GAAATTAGAGAGCAATCATGGACCCGTTTTCACACCATTCTTTCTACGCAAGATCCAGAGCCATGTTGACAAAGAGCTGCACAAACGCAAGTTGCGAAGTGTTATTACCACATAACCTGGCTCGGAGTATTCCATGCGCCAGTTCCTCTACTCTCTGAAATTCTGAGATCTAGATTAGGACAAATGGTGTGGACCTGGCCCCCTTCCGTGGGATATATTCCGCTCCTGCCACACTTAATCGAGAATTGTAAGAAAAAAGTGTACAACGCAAGCACACAAGTCTTGACATTTCCCATATTGCGAGGGAAAAAACAAAAGATCCCTTTGTGTAGAATACGAATACGGTATCTGGCAGACGCACAACGCCAGAGAATCCCCAGTGCACTAGCCCCAAACATCAAAAGAAAAGAAGCTTGTTTCTAATTGAGGCAATTTTCATGCAGAATAGCAACAGATCACACTATTCTGAGTGTCTACCAGCTGAAATATGTGAGGATGATTCACAATTCCTTTCCCAGTGAAACTGTGGGCATATGGTTGGTGAAGTTAAAAAAAGGCTTTGACTTTCAAAAGAAATAGTATAATATAGTCCGCAGACAAACAAGCGTACAAATTAAATGACAATCTTGGCTAAACCCCTCTGCCCCCCCTTAAAGTACTGATAACTTTTTTGAAATAAATCGGAACTACAGGTTCTTCTCTGTCCTTACATTTTTAAATTCGGTGTCAACCTTCTTAGGTTTCGTTAGAATATTCCGTAGAGCTGTCTTCCATAATCCGGAAGAAACTAAAGTAGCAAAAAACCGAATCGAGTTTAAAATAGATGACAAATAACTTTCTTAGATTTTTAATTTTTCCGGGGAAGTGGTGGCATTGTATCTCGGCAGAGAGGAGTCGCGGGGAAGCACCATGTTCTAGGCAGTGCGAGATTGCTGCACAGACAGCATGTAAGCACTTATGCCTGATTCGTTACCTTCTGGGGGGGGCTTCCTTGTCAGATCGAGCGAAAAGAAAGTCATAAATGAGTGTGGAGATGTAAAGATGTGGATTAAGAAGGAAAGAATGGTTAGGGGCTGCTGCGAACACTTGTCTATGGATTTGCCTTTTTTTTAGTTCACATTTTTTTCTTCCAACAAAGAACGGAAAATCCTCTGAAATGGCCTTGGAACATGTAAGGGAGAAACGGAAGGCCATATGTAGTAGATTGTTGTACAGTCATTTATCTGTGATAGCAGTTACAGTACCGTAGAAATAACTATAAAATAAGGATTTGTACGGTGCTTTGTTAGCTGAATCTTGTTAATAATGGGGACCATCAAAGTCAAAATCAGAATAAGGTATAGAGATTAAGAGATTGGCCCTTCACAAATATAGCAAGGGCGATACCGAGATTCAGATCTCGGGAAATGCAAAATAGCAAATCATAGATTCGGTACTTTCCGGGAAAGCTGGTATATGTAGTAAGAGCGTGACGATAAGTGAAATATAAGCCGACTGGTGCCTCTTCTTCCACTGACAGGCTGTACGTGCGGGTAGTTTTGTTGAGAGATATGTAAGTCATCCCTGTAAAGTTGTATTGCGTAAGTCATTTCTGTTAGTCATTACTGTAAATGTATTGGTATGCAAAGAACAACTTTGTAAGACGCTATGACTCGGCCTAAGTAATTTATTTGGTTACATGGGCAAAAGAAAGATAACAAGACAACACAACACAACACAACACAAAACAAAAATGTGTAATGGAAAGCACTTTAACTCTCTGGTACTGATATTGTCGAGACATATGTGTTAAGGATTTCGGTAGCAGAATTGTAATGGGATATACTTGTCGTTACAGTAATTAAAAATAAAAAGGCTTCTTCATAGGAAGGGCGACGTAGCAATTCCGTAATAGAATCATCATATCAAAAGAAAAGGAAGAACCTTATTCTAATCTGTACTGTTCAAGCTAATATTATTAATACCATAAGTAGTAGAATTGACCATTAAAATAGAGCGGCAACTGTTTGCGCTTCAGAGAACATCCTTTTTTTTTTCAATTAAAATATGGATTCATATTTTAGTGAATTTTTAAAAAAAAACCCACATTATACTAGCATAGCCAGAACAAGGAAAAGCAATTTTTCCGAAAATATTGGCAAAATTTTTGCAAACTACATGACTTTCAGAATTTGTTTCAGTACTAATCCTATCTAGACTGCCAAACTTCCTTTTGTTGCAAATATTGCGACAATCTGATTGAATATCTTACATTAAGGATCTTTTATTTGGAGGGGCATTTACATAATAGTTGACACAGTTTACCATGTGTTGTTGATTCTTGAACAAGTGTGTAGGTTTACGACATAAAGTATTTGATATGCAAATAGACCGTATTCAGCGGAGGTACCAACATGAATTCGAGTGGTATATCTCACTGCTGTGTTGGGAGGCAGAGAAGCCATTATACCGGAACTTTAACTTTCACAAGCCCTTTAATTCCCTTTTTCTTATTCAGTGATTTGAATAACTTGGGTGTGATTGACAAGGGGTGAAAAAGTTCTAGAAGATCTTCCTAAGCGATACTTCTCTGTCGATGTGAGTAAGAATCATCGAAAGCCTAAAATTTTTTTAAAAAAAAAAATGGTAATAAACTAATTGTTTCTGGGGAGGACTAGATATTCGGGGAAATATTGTTAAGACTCTCTCAGGAAGTCAGTGAATTGGCCGAACAAAAGGGTGAGGTAAAAAAAAATGCTTAGAAGGCATAGAAAAGAAAAGTTATTTTTTTTCCTCAAACGCACTCACTTGAGCACACGAATTCGACCAAACAAACACACGCTTTAGACTTTTATCGTCCAAAGATGTGCCCCACTAATACTGACTTGCCACTAAACGATTTTCCGATTGACCTTTCTTCTCTCATAATTGTGTAGCTCATATTAGATAATCGTAGTACATTTTCCTTCAAGGAACTCTGCCACCCCCGGGTTATTCAGTTTTTACTAACGCATAGAGATAGCAGGGGAAGGTGTTTCTCTTGTAACAGCAACGCTGAGGTCAGAGAAGAAGCAAATTGTTAGTTGCTAGTAGCCCTTATACTTCTTCGCACACATCTGGGTTGTTGGATTGAAATTCCCGCAGTAGAAGTACAAAAAAGCCAGTTACTACTCGGGGCCAAGTGAGAAAGCAAGACACTGCAATATTTTCTGCAGAAGCTCGTTATTTCCATTCTGTCAACTGCAACTACAGAGGTTTTTCTATACTTAAGCAAGGAAATAACCAGGAAAAACCACACGCACAACCATTACATCAACAACAAGAAAAGGTATACTACATAATGCCTTCTAGGAATATGTAACTGTATACTTTTCTTTTGTGTTTGTTATTGATTTGGATCAAGTTCCTTCGATTTTCCCTAATACATTCATAGAGTTCACTCTGATCTTCTTGACAAAAAGTAAAAAAATACTCTAGACAAAAATTGACAATTTCAACCTAATACTGTGTTTAGTTTTCGGGAAAAGGGAAATTGGAATAAAGATGGGAAGTTTTGAGTAATTTGACATTACAGTATACTATTCGCTAATAAGACATTGGTGGGAGGGGAGATGGAGGGATGGGAATACCGAAAACTTTCTGTGATATTCAAAGAGAGAGAAATTAAAAAAACTTATCTTGTGAATTTGTGATAGAATTTGTTGCAGCAAAGCAATGTGTAGACAGCTAATTAAAATAAAAATAAAGAAATTTTTCCGTTTTCTGGCTTTATAGCATTTCTTTTTCTTGGTTAATTATCATATTTTTGAAGCAGAGATACAAGACATTTACAGTGAAGATTCCAAACTTAATAACCTGTCTATTTTCACTGTAATCATTTCAGGGCATGTTCTATCTGATATCCTTGTGGGAAAGTTATTCCCATTAAGATCCTTTGTTTTTTGGGATTTTAAATCTTGTTATATTCAATGTATTTTAAATGTTACTTGAGTGTTCTGCTGCTGATTTGTAAGCCAGATAGGTTTGTCCTAGCTGCCAAAAGCTCAGAAATTTGTAAAGGAAACAGCTGGCAGGACTTCTCTGCTTAGAAGGAAACTTCGATCAGAGAAAAAAAAATTGGTATAAATATAATAGCAGTTTCTCATTATCAGTAGATAATAACTCTTCGGAAAATATTATTTCTATTGATTTACGGGTTTGGGATTGTTTCTCATACATTCGTTTTACTTTTCCTTCTAATTATTGCTATTTTTTCCTAGGTTTTGGTAATCTTATATTAACACTGGTATTTTTCTAGCCAACACCCACATAGATTTAAAAAATCTAATACCATAACGCCATTCTTCTGGTCAAAGTTTTCTTACTAACAGTTTTTGAATACCATAGATTAGTTATTGTCCCACTTACAAAGGACAAATATAACAGAAGATATTACATCTATTTTTTGTTATTAACACTCCATCACTTTCGATCTGTGAAGCCACTACCAAAGTATTATTGACTTTAGCGATAACTAAACAGCATATTTCTAGTTAGTCGTTCCAAAAAATAGACATACGAAACAACTATCCAATTGTTAACTGGACTATATTATTAGTATTTTTCTAGCAAACAACATAATAGAGCAAACAAAGTTTGCGCGTGTTCAACTGCACAATCATTATTTACTCATAGCATTGTCTAAGGGTAGCGTCTCAAAATACCAACTTTTCTTTCAAATACCCTATAGGAATTCGAAAATTGATAGCACAGGAACACTTCGAATAATAAGCATAACTCATTCCTGCACTATAATAATTGACAATATTCTGTGAGCCTTACTACAAACCATTTGGAACAATAGACATTGTCTCTGCCACTAGCATAATAAAGGATTGACTTTAAAGGAAATTTAGGAGAGTTAATTTCACCAAAACTTCCTCTTATTATTTCAGAATTAAGTTCAATTCGAAAGTACACATAGAGTTTGTCTTTTAGGCAGTATTGAGGTTAAGATTAACCTAAATTTATAATTAAAGATTATGCTGCATGCAAGAATTGAGAATCCTGATGTCATGGCATCACCTATCTATTATCAAAAGCCTCTATCACCTGCTCTAACAATAGACTCGATTAGAATAACACAGTCAAGCCCGCTTTCAACAGCTGCCCTGGGTAGACACGCTTCATTTTCGTCAGCTTCCTCTTCAATTGGCACCCCTTATTATGGTACAAATCATGTTTCACCTACGTCGAATAGTAGACTAGATTATTTTTTTGAGACAAGACATCAAGCTAGTGCATACTTTCAATTGTCCCCAATACAGAGACAACATTGTACATTGATTCCGTCACTGGAAAGGAAGAGTAGTGTTGAAGACTCTTTAATCCATAAACTAAACAGGAACACCTTAGAATATTTCTCCAAGCCAGTCTCTCATGGATCGCCATCAAACTTGTCGCCCACGGAGATCCCAATGCATCATGACGTACAATCTAATTATACGACTTTGCCGGTCATTCATACAACTAAATGCACATCAAATTGTTGTAGTAACGGTGTTAGTGAAGGCAATTTAGCTGCTCCTAGCTATTTCATTCAGCAGCCTGTCTCTATTGTTTGTAATGACTATGGGAAGACAAATATTCCAAATATCATACATCGGCCAGGTTCTAATTCCTCGGACAATTCAATATCTGATATAAGAACTTCTCAAAGACCAAGTGCAAGGCCTTCTATTTCATCTATTTCATCTGATGTATCATCTAACTTCAAGATCAATGAACGATTAACTAGTGCACAGTCGGCAACACCTGTTCCCGTTAAAGAAAACATTAGTCAAGCGCAATTGGAAGAAGATAGTTTGAATTCTGATGAAATTTTAAGTCTCACCAAAATTGCAAAAGAAGCAACCGCTATGGTCACTCTCGCTTCCTCGGTACCATTGGAAAGTGATACCCAGCATCTAAATGTCGGTAGATCCGAGAAAGAGGGGATTCCCAATTATGTTCGATCACGGTCATTGTCTGTTCTGTCAAGTGCTGGTGTATCTTTGCCATCCTCTCAGCCACAGAAGCCAAAGACAAAACGTTCAAAATCGCTAACAGTGCCTTCCAAAACCAAGATTTCAGCTAGTCCTCAAAAACACAAGAAGCATGGCCAGTCAAGGAAGAGTAAATTACAGCAAAAGAAGCATTCCATATCTTCCTTGTGCAATTCAGATGATATTGAGTTGCGCCGCAAGTACCTTTGCAAAGTTTGTGGAAAGGGATTTACGACATCAGGTCATTTGGCAAGGCACAATAGAATTCATACTGGCGAAAAACGCCATGTGTGTCCATATGAGGGCTGTGGTCAAAGATTTAACCGTCATGATAATTGCTTGCAACACTATAAGACACATTTGAAGAGATTGAAAGAATACATGGTGTGATAATCTGCTTCAAAAAATTGGCACTTGGTGAAGCAGGATAGTGACTGTTAGCATTTTTCGAGTTCAGTCCTTCCTCAGGATACATGACAGCTCCGGAGATCTCCGTTATCGTAATAGTGCTGTTCAAATAACACACATTTTATGAGACTTTTTGAATATCTTCTAAAGTCCAGCACAATTGCTTATCGCCATCAAAAATAATAATTAACGTTCAGGATTATTGAGACTAAGTTGTCCTTCGTCCAATGAGCAATCAAAATGGTATTGTTGATTATGTCTAGCGGCTGGCAGCCATTTTTGAACAAAATCGCTTTTCTCTGGAACTAATACATTGGCAAGTATAGTCAAGTCTGTTCGTTTCTTAACTAAGCTAAGGAGTTTTTCCTACCATAAATCATATGCTATTATATTCATATTTCCTTGTACAATATGATCAGGTAATAATATTCCCCGTATGTAAAATTATATTCTCTTTGTTCTTTTTTTAGTTTTTTATTGTCGAGGTTTCGCTTATATATGGAATGCATATTCTTTAAAGGTTTTAATGGAATGGGTTTTCTTGCACAAAATTCACCCTCTAATATATTGATAGCGATCGCTTTTGTCTATTGTTGTGTTTTTGCTGAAATTCATCACGTAATTGGGATAGACCCAGCATTAGTGATCATATTACCCTTATTTGGGCAGGCAACACAAACAGAGTCACAAATAGGTGCAAGATTTACATAATCGCCACAGAAAGATGTGTAATCGATGTGGAGATACAAATCCACCTCGTCTTAAATATATTCATCGATAAGAGTTCACCGACTCGGATTTATGGTTATATTATTAGATGTAAAGCAGTTTAGCATTTGATGGTGGGCATATAAGTACTACTTATCTTTGGTATGGTCAGCTAAGCAACCAGCAAACAAAAGTACTTCTAAACGACTCACGAAGCCCTAATTTTTTTTCGTTGCCTTTTCCTCAGATTCGATGAGTTGAAAATTTTCAACTTGAAATGTATATAAAAGCTATGAGTTTTTGACACTGAAAAATAGAGCCATTTATTGTCCGTTCTCGTTGATTTGCTTTACGTTAATGCAACTCTGATGTACAGGAACAGCAGACTTGCCAAGCATCAGGACATCATTTCCAATTACTTCATTCCTCAAAGAACTCACTTTGATTGTTATTGCTTTCAGTTGAAGGCGTTGAATTCGTTGAATTGTGTGTCCCTTTGTTTGGAGTCTGTTATTTTTTCTATATTGCTCGGAGATTACGATCATTATTGTTTATTTATTATGATGATAAAAACTAACAACAACAACTTGAATTTCTTCAACCGAATAACCCAGGAGGATACAATTACTTTGACAATAGCTTTTTAACCCTGATATAAATAATAATAATTGATCGTTTTCTCATTAGCAGACTGTAAACCATCGGTAAAATAGATCTTGTTCATACTGTAGCTTGTTAATCTTCTGGGACAATAAAAAACAACAATAAAGATATAGGAATCAAGGAATAGTTAATATAGAGAGATACGGGGCTATTGTTATTTACTGCATCTATCTTGACTATAATGACATGTTCTATTTACATGAACTGGAATGCAAAAAACCTATTCTCAGATGCACTATTATACGTATATTTGCAAATGAGAGGACTATTTCTCTTCCAGATACTTTTTAAAGGTTGGGGTGTTTAGGAGTTCCACAACTTTAGCACCGATCTCCTCGTTTTCTTTCAGAGATGGGTTTATGTTGTGTGTCGAGTTAATTTCTTCAATTGCATCCGATATTTTCCCACTTTTTGCGTCGACTGTAGTTCTCTGATAAGTAGTACATTTCAACCCTACACCGGCGATGGAGTTCTTAGTGATATAGTCCACAAGCATCTGTACAACCTCTGGGTTGGAGTCCCACACCCTGATCAGCCGCTTATGGGTGTGCCTTTCGAAGTTCTCCTTGGACTTGGCATGTACGAAAGGGGATCGTATCACAGTCCACCTTTCACGCCTGGTTGGCAAAGGTTTTGGCCCAGTCATAGGCAAGCCCAAGTAGTATCCCGCTCTCAGTATGAAATCGCAGAAGAAATCCAAATTTTCATTGTCATAGGCACGCAGTTGCAAGTCTGCTACCAGGTGACCATGTGTGACTGGGTTCTTTAACGGAGCGTAGTACAACGCCTCGACATTAACTGGAAGTTGCGGAGGTATATTAGTTGACGTTGTCGTCGAACTGTTAGTCTGTTGCTTTGGAGTCAATTCTAAATCATTCTGCACTGCTTTCGAAGATAATGGCACAGCAGTGCTTTGAAACCTCTTGGATAGACATCTGTACAGTAGCGGAGACCTCACACTGGTTCTCAGCATTTTGACTTTCTGGATGTGATGTTGCCTGAACGAATAGAAATCTGAGAGTGAAATCTATAAGTATATACCACAGTACCTGCTCTTGTGCGTATTACTCATGAGATGCGCCATTGATTCCAATGGTAGAGGCATAGAAATGTTGCGGTTTCCCGAGGATGCACCATTTGGCATTTCAACTCCTTCGGCAGTGAAACGGATAATTCGTCATTAAGTATATAGTCATATGATTTTATATTAGAATACGAAAATATGGGTTCATGTTCGTATAGTGTGTTACTTTCACATGGGTGTAGAATCGTTCTTAAATGACTTCATTATCTATGCCTATTAGCAGCGAATAGCGGGGAGTGAATATTAAGGGCTTGGCAAGGTACGCATCCACCATATTTTCTCTACAGATACGCAGACGGAGCCGAAAAGTTAGTTACGTTGTCGGCATAAAGGGTCTGTAGTTTCGAACAAGCGGTGATTACGTACTAACCCCGACATGAGTCAAGATAAAGCCGCCATATCTCATCTCTCGATTATAACATTGCCGTATCCAGCACTATGCATGACTCAGATAAGGGTGAATGTGCCCATTAATAAATGGAGGCTTATCGGCTCCGACTGATTGGAGATGGTCTGAAAACCCTTATCTATTGGCGGGGAAAGGATCATGTGGGGGGCCTTATACAACGTATCTTAGGGGTACTAATAACACATGTGTCTTGTGTGCACACAAAGCGGGAAGGCTCTAACTCCCACGTGTATCGTCATTTCCTACACCCCTAGTGTAGTCAGGTATGTCACGCTACGGCACTAAAGTGCGTTGCCCTGCAACTCTCGAGGACTTGACACACTCGAGGAAGACTCATTCGTAGGTGTGGAGGGGGCAGGTGTTACTTAAGGTGTTTAGTGTGCGTGCAGTATAGTAAGTCACACTCTCCCAGACAACACCGCAACGTGGTATGTCTCCTCACATTAAAGGGAAATGAAATGGATCCGATATGCGTCATTTGTCTCACACATCTCCTCCCAGGTTCCCCACTTTACGTTCCTACCCTTCCCCCGGCGAATTACAGCGAGAAGAGCTTAGCTATGTCGCAATCATACTTTTTTGCCGTGTACGTGTAATATGATATGATATCTCGGTAATATAATTGCTGCGAAGGGGAAGGTCGCACTGCTAGTCCGTTATCTATCCCAGACATGTGTGTACGCGCAGCACAATGTCATCCTTGGGTGTGCAGCACAATGACCGCAGAGACCACGTACACACAGCATGACGTAGCACAGGCCAAGATATTAAGCTGATGGGGATATTGCGGTGGCCCACAGTTGTTCCTGCAGAGATACACTGGGTCTGGTCTTTTGACAGCGACAAGACATAAAGAGCAAAAGAAATGATCTGCTGTTTCCAGCCTCCTCATCTTATCAACAGTATGTCCTGCACACGGTTCTCCGGCGTATCACCACTTGGTAGGGTGCCCATAAGGGTCCAGCATCCCATAGACAGTAGCACGCACTACCCCCACCCATTGTTCTGGCTTCTCCGCAAGCACCACAGAGGAAACTCGCTTGCTGTTTAGGCCTTTTTAAGCCGTATCTCGTTTCTTTTTTTCTATACAGCGTGAGAGTGCACATTTGTTACTGAATACTGAAGTGAGTGCTGGGGACCTAGGGCTGCTTCCTAGGGCTGCTCCCTAGGGCTTGATCTCTACCACTTCCCCCGATATAATTGAGTTTGGGTCCTTAGGGCTGTATTATCGCTGCAGCACCTAATTTAAAATTTGTAGAGAAAAATAATAATTCACATTCCAAGCTCATCGCCTTGCACTTTGGGAAAAGGTATATAAAGGACAAGGAATTCCAAGTGGTGGAGTTGGTGGAGACAAGTACTAAGCTGGAGAAGGAGAAGAAGTCTTGTAATAATATCTTAGTCTCACTATCAAGAAATACTAGCTATTTTCTACATACAATAGATTAACAGAGAAAACTACGAAACTAAGTAATTTCTTAATAACTAGAAAGAAAGAACAAGCAAAGCAATATTAACTTACAAAAAAGGTATACAACTTTATTATGACTAATGGTCAGATAGATTTTGAGTTTAGTGACTACCATGCTTTATCCGTTGAGGATACTTGCGCCAGACTTGTAACTGACTCCTCGAAAGGTATATCCCCGGAGGAGTTCCAGGCGAGGCTTGCCCAATGTGGTGAGAACTCCCTGGGCGATGACGCCAAGATCGATTACAAGGCGATGCTTATCCACCAGATTTGCAACGCGATGATTCTTGTCTTGATCATATCCATGATCATCTCCTTCGCTATCCGTGACTGGATCACGGGTGGTGTCATTTGTTTCGTTATCGGGATCAACGTCATCATCGGCTTGATCCAGGAATACAAGGCCTCGAAGACCATGAACGCTCTTAGAGCACTGTCGTCACCAAATGCGCATGTCATCAGGAATGGCAATAGCGAGGTTGTTGACTCGACAGACGTGGTCCCTGGTGATTTGGTTGTGGTCAAAGTCGGTGATACCATTCCAGCCGATTTGAGGTTGGTCTCCCAACAGAATTTTGAAACTGACGAAGCGCTATTGACCGGTGAATCTCTACCGGTATCCAAGGACGCTAACGAGATTTTTGACGATGAAACACCAGTAGGTGACAGAATCAACTTGGCATTCTCCTCTTCCACTGTCGTTAAAGGTAGAGCTCAAGGTATTGCAATCAAAACGGGTTTGAACACTGAAATTGGTAAGATCGCTAAGTCATTGAGAGGTGGCAACGAGCTGATTTCCCGTGATCCAGCTAAGACTTGGTACCAAAACGCATGGATCTCCACTAAGAGAACTGTAGGCGCATTCTTGGGTACTACTCAGGGTACACCATTACACAGAAAGCTATCTAAGCTGGCTGTTTTGTTGTTCTGGATCGCTGTTGTCTTCGCTATCGTCGTGATGGCATCTCAGAAATTTGATGTGGACAGAGGTGTAGCTATCTATGCTGTCTGTGTTGCCTTGTCTATGATCCCTTCATCGCTGGTCGTTGTTTTGACAATCACAATGTCTGTTGGTGCCGCCGTTATGGCTTCAAGAAATGTGATTATTAGAAAACTAGATTCCTTGGAAGCCCTAGGTGCTGTTAACGACATTTGTTCAGATAAAACCGGTACTTTGACTCAGGGTAAAATGATCGCTAAGCAAATTTGGGTCCCTAAGTTTGGTACTTTACAAGTCGTTGGATCAAATGAACCTTTGAACCCAGAGAAAGGTGATATTAATTTTATTCCAAACTTATCTCCTTATGAATATTCACATAATGAAACAGAAGATGTCGGTATTATGCAAAATTTCAAGGATAAGTACGAAGGTAAAAGTATTCCCGGTAACTGCCAATACCAACTGTTTGATAAATGGTTAGAGACTGCATCATTAGCTAACATTGCATCTGTTTTCACTGATCCAGAGACTAAGGAATGGAAGGCTCATGGTGACCCAACTGAGATTGCCATTCAAGTTTTTGCTACTCGTATGGATTTGCCAAGACATGTACTAACTGGTGAAAGAGATGACATGGATGAAGATGAAATTATGTCTAGTGTCTCATTATCTGAAAAAGATGCAACTGCCGCTAACGCTAAGTTTAGGCATGCTGCTGAATTTCCTTTCGATTCCACTATCAAGAGGATGTCTTCTGTTTATGAAAGCCGTGATTATAAGACCTACGAGATTTACACTAAAGGTGCTTTTGAAAGTGTATTGAACTGCTGTACTCACTGGTATGGTAGGGATCCAAATACTGCAACTGTTATGACTGATGCAGATGTTGATACCATCAAAGAAAATATTGACTCCATGTCTTCAGAAGGTTTAAGAGTCCTTGCGTTTGCCAACAAAAGCTACCCAAAAAGTGATGTCAACGAAGAAAAGCTTCAAAAGATTTTAAAAGAAAGAGATTATGCTGAGACTGGTTTAACATTTTTGGGATTAATTGGTATCTACGATCCACCTAGAGAAGAAACCGCTGGTGCAGTGAAAAAGTTTCACCAAGCTGGTATCAATGTTAGAATGTTAACTGGTGATTTCCCAGGTACTGCCAAAGCCATCGCTCAAGAAGTCGGAATCTTGCCAACTAATCTTTATCATTACTCAAAAGAAGTCGTTGATATTATGGTTATGACTGGTAAGCAATTTGATAACCTCTCCGAAGATGAAATTGATAATTTGCCTGTCCTTCCGTTGGTTATAGCACGTTGCTCTCCACAAACAAAAGTTAGAATGATTGAGGCACTTCACCGTAGAGAAAAATTTTGTGCTATGACTGGTGACGGTGTTAACGACTCACCATCTTTGAAGATGGCGAATGTTGGTATTGCAATGGGTATTAATGGTTCAGATGTTGCTAAGGATGCTTCCGATATTGTTTTAAGTGATGATAATTTTGCATCCATATTAAATGCTGTTGAAGAAGGTAGAAGAATGAGTGATAATATTCAGAAGTTTGTATTGCAATTATTAGCGGAAAATGTTGCACAAGCATTGTATTTGATTGTCGGTTTGGCATTCCAGGATAAGGAAGGTAAGTCTGTCTTCCCCTTAGCACCTGTTGAAGTTTTATGGATCATTGTGGTCACTTCATGTTTCCCAGCAATGGGTCTGGGTCTGGAAAAGGCAGCTCATGACTTGATGGATAGACCACCAAATGACTCTAAGGCAGGTATTTTCACTTGGGAGATTATTGTTGACATGTTTGTTTATGGTGTATGGATGGCTGCTAGCTGTATGGCCACCTTTGTTACAATCATCTATGGTAGAGATCATGGAAACTTGGGACAAAACTGTAACAGAGACTACAGTGAGTCATGTCATGACGTTTTTAGAGCAAGATCAGCCGCTTTTGCTACAATGACATGGTGTGCTTTAATCCTGGCTTGGGAGGTAATCGATCTACGTAGATCATTCTTCAGAATGCACCCAGATACAGATGCCCCTGTTAAGCAATTTTTCAAAGATATTTACGGCAACAAGTTCTTGTTCTATTCAGTTGTATTTGGCTTCGCTTCTGTTTTCCCTGTCGTTTATATTCCTGTCATCAATACGGATGTGTTCCTACATAAGCCAATCGGCTGGGAGTGGGGTATTGCTATCGCATTCTCGGTTTGTTTCTGGATTGGTTGTGAATTGCACAAATATTTCAAGAGAATATATTATAGAAACAAATCCAGAGCTATCAACCCAGAAAATGATTTGGAAAACAAGGCTGGTACTCATCCATTTGATGCTTATAGTACTTCTACCACGTTACAAACAGAAGTTGTTTTCAATGGTAAGGCTTAATACTAATACATTTGCATAAGATCTGCAATGATCTTTATTAAATTTTGATCGCATTAAATTCAAAAAAATTATTATTCGTTTATAATACTGTTCATGTTCTCATCTTCAATAATTTATAATTTTCCTATTATAAAATGTACATTTATTCTTTTAAGAATCTTTTCAGTTAAAATTTTAAGTAATATAGATATCAATTACGATGGTGCATACTATCCCTACATCGTCTCATCTAAACATGATAGTAAAACTTCAAACAAATAAAGATGCTTATATCAAAAGTATAGAATTAATATATATGTAGTATGTGTATTATAGTGCTTTAAAGGTTCTCTCAATATTTTTTTCTATGAGAACGACTTTTAGTTCTCTTCCTTCTTAACCTCATCTCTTAGAACATCTGGCTTCAAAGTTGGGAACAATAGGACTTCTCTGATTGTGTTAGAGTCAGTCAAGAACATGGCCAATCTATCAATACCACAACCCCAACCACCAGTAGGTGGTAGACCGTATTCCAAAGCGTTACAGAAGGTCTCATCGATTAATTGAGCTTCGTCATCACCTTGGTCCTTTTGTCTGGCTTGTTCTTCGAAACGAGCTCTTTGGTCAAATGGATCATTCAATTCAGTGTAAGCGTTACAGATTTCCTTGGTAGCAACGAAGACTTCGAAACGTTCACACAAACCTGGTTGATCTCTAGAGTATTTAGCTAATGGAGACATCATTTGTGGGTGACCAAAGATGAAAGTTGGGTTGATACATGTGTCTTCTAATTCACCGACAAGCTTATCTAGCATACGGGCGTTAGTGATTGGTGGTGGACATTCCAAGTTGTTGTCCTTCAAGACCTTTTGCAAGAACTCACCAGTTTCTTTAGTATGTAGTTGGTCACCAGCTGGGAATGTAACATTGAATCTCTTCTCCAATTCTTCAATCATGTTGATTCTCTTCCATGGTCTAGCGAAGTTCAATTCCATTTCCTTTTCTGGGTTGTTTGGATCTGGGTGGTACTTGATAACGTAAGAGCCGTTGATTTCCTTGACCATTTCGGAAAATAGCAATTCAGTCATATCCATTAGGTCATAAACATCGGCATAAGCTTGGTAAAATTCACAAGTGGTGAATTCAGGGTTGTGAGTCATATCGATACCTTCATTTCTGAATTGTCTACCAATTTCGTAGACACGGTCCATACCACCGACAACCAATTCCTTCAAGAACAATTCTGGGGCAATTCTCATAAACATGTCCATGTCCAAGTCGTTGTGGTGTGTAACGAAAGGCTTGGCGGTGGCACCACCGGCAATAACATTCATCATAGGGGTTTCAACTTCGATAAAGTCTCTGTTGTCCAAAAACTTTCTGATGTACTTGATAATCTTGGATCTTGTGATGAATCTCTTTCTGGAGTCCTTGTTCATGATCAAGTCAAGGTAACGCTTTCTGTATCTGGTCTCTTGGTCCTTGAAACCGAAGTGGTCAGCTGGCAACATGTGCAGACATGGGGTCAACAATTCAATACGCTTAACAAAGACAGAGATTTCACCTTCACCACCTTTCTTTGGTTGGGTTCTACCGACGTAACCTTCAACACCGACAATGTCACCTCTCTTGATCAAGTCGTGGTCGTTCTCGTAAGCCTCGGCATCGGCGTAGTCTTGCAATTGAGACATGACTTGGACTTCGACACCGTCACCGTGGAGAACGTAGAACTTCAACTTGGAACCGGATTCTCTCTTGGCGTGGATTCTACCGGCGATGCTGACGATTTCGTTTGGCAAAGTCTCACCTCTCTTCAAGTGCGCATACTTGGCCAAGAATTCAGGGTTGCTGATAGAGACTTGGAACTTGTGTGGGTATGGGTTTGGGCTGTGGGTCTTTCTCAATTCCAGAATTTGACGTGATCTAGCCTCGAAGTACTGGGATGGGTCCAGGTCAGCCAAAAGGTCGTTCTTCTTCTTCTTTGGCTCCGGCTTTGGCTGAGCAGAGGCTTTCTTGGCGGCCTTCTTGGCCTCGACCTGTCTGGCCTTCATACGCTTCTTCAACTCGGACTTGGACACCATTTCACCGGTGACTTCATCCAAGTGAAGGTTGGCAACACCTTCAGTGGCAGCTTTGGTGGCTTCTTCCTGAGACATTTTATTTTATTTTTTTTTCTTAGTTTACTGTACCAGTTCTAAGATTGACCTCTGAAGTACTGAACAATTGACGCACACCAGTATGAACCCGTACCAGGACTACCGCCATTTTCAACCTTATATGCATTGAATCAAAGTCATCGGCCACTCGACCTGAAAATTTTTCAGTTTTTCGTTGATTTTGCAGTAAAATGAAATAGAAGAGTCTCGTGACCATTTAGCGTTACATATGATATTGTTTTGGAATTGTCACCTGATTCACGTATTGAATGATAGTAAAATTAATGTTTTCTTCGGGTAACCTTAGTGTACTTCCTAAACAGGAATGTTGTATAGTTTACCCGCGTGAAATCACATGGTACAGTTTTGTCCAACCTAAAGAAGGGCCTCCTTCTGCGTTGGTTTCTGTGTTGAAGCGTTGCGTTTTACGATATGATCCAAGAAGTGGTCGAACAACAAGCTCCCTGCGGGGATTTGTCTGGGGGGATAACTAGAGGTGGATGTGTATCGCTTTTCACGTTGTTTTCTTCAGTTTTGCAACTTTGTAGGTGTGTCCTGCGGGATGGTCTGTGGAGTTTTGTGGATTGTGGAGCTTCGTGGAGCTTCGTGGAGGAGGGGGGGGTAAGCTCGCTGGGCGGGATCTTCCCTTTTTGAAATCTCGCAGATCACCTTTCGAGTATAAATAGCTGAGCTGGGGGGGGGAGTCTCGGTTTGTCTGCCGGAGCGAAGGGCGGCTAAAAAACAGAAGGCAGGGAAATTTCCATTTCGGCGGCTAGATTTCAGGAGAACCGAGATGTCTGATTTGAGCAAGACGCCGTCTCTTGATGTGAGGGGTGAGAACTCTAAGGAGTCGCAAGAGCTGCGAGGGAAGTCGTCAGCGAACTTGAATGCGCCAGGAACGCCAGTGCAGACGGTGGTGCCATCGGTGGTACCACCGGTGGCGCAGCCTGTGGCACAGCCTGTGGTGGCACCATCAGCGATGAAAGATATCAAGTCACAAACACCAGTTCAAGTGCCTCAAACTCAGGTTAAACCGCAATCCATACCACCTGTGGCCCAGCCGCAGATAGAAGAGAAGTTTCCTGCAGGGAAAGTAGTCACTGTAGGATCGCATAGAGTTGAGGTGGTGAGCTACCTTGCGGAAGGAGGGTTTGCACAGATCTATGTGGTCAAATTTGTCGAGTACACCAACGAGTTTGAGCGGAAGAATGACGAGAGTATGAACCAGCCCTTGAAGCCAGGGAGTCCCGCATGTCTGAAAAGAGTGCTGGTGCAAGACGAAGTGGGTCTCAACAAGATGAGAAGCGAAGTAGAAGTGATGAAGAAGTTGCAAGGTGCACCAAATATCGTGCAATACTTTGACTCCAACGCTTCCAGACTACGTGATTACAGCGGTAACATTACGCAGGGGTTCGAAGTTTTGCTGCTGATGGAACTCTGTCCCAACAAATCACTGCTGGACTACATGAACCAACGTCTGGCGACAAAATTAACAGAGCAGGAAATTTTCAAGATCATGTACGATATAACCCTGGCAGTAGCACAAATGCACTATCTTCCTGTGCCATTGATTCATAGAGATATAAAAATTGAGAACGTCCTGGTAGACGCAAATAATAACTTCAAATTGTGTGATTTCGGCTCCACTTCAACATGTTTTCCAGCATTCACCTCATTTCAAGACATTGCTATGCTTTCACAGGACCTTTATATGCATACTACACCACAATATAGGTCACCGGAAATGATAGACTTATTCAAATACATTCCAATCAATGAGAAATCAGATATATGGGCACTCGGTGTGTTCTTATACAAGCTTCTGTTCTTCACAACTCCATTCGAAAGAACTGGCCAATTTGCAATGCTGCATTCAAAATTCGAGTTTCCACCAAATAGTTATTCATCGAAGTTAATCAACTTAATTATCGTTATGCTAGCAGAGAATCCAAGTTTGAGACCTAATATCTACCAAGTTTTGTACTATTTGTCTGAAGTTACCAATAGGGAAGTACCTCCAACTGTTTTAAGCGATAAATATGGTCAGGGCCCTTACAACTTCGAAAAGTATACCAGATTTCAGAAAGAATCTCAGCAAGTGCAGTTGCAGTTGTCTACATTACAAGCTAAAATTAATGATCCCAATAGCACCATGCAACCTGCTGATTGGGAGTTGTACGATAGAATGTATATGTCAGCATTCACAATTGTACCACAACTGCCTGTTTCAGATAGAAAGATTGTAGCACAGAATCAATTTATTCAACCAGGACAACAACAACAATCTCAAATTCCGCAAATATCTAATAGACCCATCCAATCTAATATACCTCAAATCCAACAGATGCCTCAGTTGCAAGTGCCACCTTCGCAGGCTTCCAACGAGTTTGGCACTGATGATGAAAACTTCAAGACATCCAGGTCTAAATCTAATCAGCTCGGTTATCAAAAGGAAAATAATGATCCTAAATCAGGCGCTATTCCTAATTTTGATGGCGATCCTTTCAACTCAACGCTTCCAAGGAAAGATAGCAATGCGGAGTATAGGAGATCGCAATTAATTGTTCAAGGTAACATAGGGCCATCAAGAAGTATGGGGTCGGTCTCTCCAGTACAGTCACCAGTTAATTACAATCAAAATCATCCTAATTTTCAAGCCTTGAATTTAGAAAGAGGTATGGAGAAACCAGTCAACTACCATAAGGGAAACCCTTTTGAGCAAGATATGCCTGGTAATAATGGCAAGTTTGTTCAAAAAGGCCAGCCCATTCAAATAAATCAGCAACCTTTGTATGTTGGAGCTAGTAGCCAAATGGGACAAAATATGAATAAAAATCAAGAAAAAAGATCATCAGATTTAGAGGGTAAGTACAATAACACTAGCTCTTCAAATTTTGATCCATCTTTACTCAGGGAGAATGTTCCTAACAAGAGTTCAATGTCTCATTTACTTGATAAGAATGGAAACCAAGTGGAATTGCCTCCAAGACCTAAACGGTCATCTATGCAATCACAGACAATGCCTTCGGATAACGTTCCAACAAATGCGACATCAAATCACACTAGAACTAGAAGTGTAGATGCTCATAAGGTTTCTTTTGAGGGGTCATCAGATCGTGGTTTTTCTAAAGGCAACACAAATAATAAAGTTCAAGACAAATCCGCTCAGAACATTTTAGAGGAAGAAGGGTTCTTCGAAAATGAATACGGTAATAGAGATTATAGAAAGGAAGTTTTTACAGGACAAGCTCTACGCACAATAAATTCATCACCTCAAAGTGCTAGAAGCGATAATAGCAGTCATCCCTCAAATGCTGAATTTGCACAATTAGGCAAAAAGACTTTGCAAGGCAACTTCGAGAAGCCCAACAAGAAAACTCTAGATATCGATTACCAAGAGGTTGATTTTTCGCCAGCACTTTCAGACAATACCACTAGGCAAGGCTATTTTGAAGGTCAATCACCTGGTTTTAGTGATCAACTGTCATACGATCTTAATGACGCCTTGGAATTTGATAGAAGGGGAAAGGACTCCAGGCATATGACACCTGGTGCTTTTGATACCGGTGGACTGCAAAAGTTGAAATCCTCATCTTTAAACAGAAGCCAAGGCAGCATAAGCAGTGGTGCAAACGAATGGCCAGAGAGTTCAGACCGCCTACATAGTGCAAGAAAGTCTCTAGACTTAGATAGAGCGAGACAATTGCATAATTACCAATCAGATAAAAAGAAAAGGTCACTGTTCAATATGTTCAAGGAAAAAAAATGAGGGACATGGACAGTTTTATATTCACATAACACATATAGCATATTCAATAACTTAAATCATCAGTAATCTTGGAAATGTATCTTACACCCTACGTTGCATGTGTAGCCAATTTCAATACTATTATTTGGCTCTACTCTCCGGTAGAAATGTTATTATCCCTCACTTGTTTGTGCGAACGACCAAATCAACATATCACGATGAACTGAGACAGTCTTGTAAAAGTGTTTCAAAATCATCTTGTCTTGATTCTTCCAATATTCTCTGCAATCTCCAAAATTCTTTTGGGAAGGAGTCTCGAGTGATATGGGACGGGTTGAAGCCCGTTGGGCTTACTGACAACCCATTCCATGTCACTTGCACAAACCAAACATTGTAAGGAAGTGTTACTGTGGGTTATTGAGAAAGGACCTCCCTCTAATTAAGGGAAGATTCGAGTGCTTCATGACCACTTCTGTTAAAACTAAAACCCGGTCTTTACGAACAACAATATTCGCTGTTGAGGTCACTTTTAAGCATTGATAATCTCCAAAATTTCAAGATAAGCAGTACCTTACTCAACCTATCTCTTAGAGCTACCAGTTTTTTAGAGAAAGATATTTTGGAGTACAAATATACTGACTAATTTAGTTGGATCTTATCACTATATTTAAACGGCCGGCTAATCGAGCACTTATCCAGTTTGGTAATTCAAGGAACTCGGATTTTGGTATAATGTTGAGAGCACCAGCTGCCGGATTTCCACGGTTAATTCAAAAGACTAGTTATAGAGCGTTCTCATCTACATTAGCTAAAATGAGTGAATCAGAAACTCCAGTATTATTTTCTGTGCAGGAGACTGCTAGAATTGTTACACTAAACAGACCTAAGAAACTGAACGCCCTTAATGAAGAGATGTGTTCTTCCATTTTCAATACGTTGACAGAGTATTCCAAGAGTGATGCAGCCAACTTGATTTTGATTAAGTCCAATAACAGTCCAAGATCGCTTTGTGCTGGAGGCGATGTTGCGTCTGTGGCTCAAAGTAATCTAGACAAGAATTTTGAGTCATCAATCAATTGTTTTAAATCTGAATATTCGTTGAATTTCCAGCTGGCAACTTATCAGAAGCCAGTTGTGGTGTTTATGGATGGTATTACCATGGGTGGTGGTGTTGGTTTATCAATTCATACTCCTTTCAGGATTGCGACAGAAAATACCAAATGGGCTATGCCTGAGACAGACATTGGTTTTTTCCCAGATGTTGGCACAACATTTGCTTTACCAAGACTGATCACACTGGCTAACAAGAATGCTCAAATGGCATTATACTTGTGCTTAACTGGTGATGTGATCAGTGGTGAAGATGCGTACCTGTTGGGTTTAGCGTCTCACTATATTCCACATTCTAATCTAGAGAAATTACAAACCAGGTTAGGAGAATTACGTCCAGCATTGGACATCAAGTTCTTCTCTGATGAGTTTTTTGATTCTGTTAACTTAGCTATTGAGGAATTCACAACACCATTGCCAACTAACCATAAATTCAAATTCAGTAAAGATCAGTTGGAGGTTATAGAAAAGTGTTTTGACATTTCAAGTGGTGAATCAATTAATGCAATTTTCTCGAAATTAGAAGCATTTGAAGGAACTCCAGAAATGATGCAATTTGCAAGAGATACTAAGAAAAAACTTGAATCGAAATCCATGACCTCAATGCAAGTTGGTATTCGTTTGATGCAGGAGAACTCGAGGGATGATATTGAATCAGCTCTGAAAAGGGACCTCACAACTGCTGTCAACATGTGTGTTAATGATTCTGGTATAGCTGAGTTTTCAGCAGCTACGAAGCATAAGCTGTTGGACAAGCAAAAAGTACCATATCCATGGAAACAAAGAACAGAGCTTACTCCACAGCAGGTAACCTCATTGATCGCACCAAAACCATCTTTGCCTGTTTCATTGATACGAAACAATTCAAACGTAACATGGAGTCAATACCCACACTCATTAAAGTATCAACTTCCTAGAGATTATGAAATTGAGCAACAAGTTGAGAAGTTAATTAAGCGTGGCCCTATAAAGAAGAACGATGTCGTCAAATACTTTACTGACTTTAACCCACAGACTAAAGCTAAATTAGGTGTCGAACAATACTGTGACTTGTTATTTGATTGGAAACTCTCATTTGATCATGCTTCTGGGTTACGTTGGAAGAAGTAAACAAAAGGATATTATCTTTTAAAAATTATTAGAGAAGTGCATGTACTTGTAAATATTTAGAAATAAGAAATAAGCTAATTCACCTGAATTTTTAATTATCGCATGTTAATGTGTTCGAGCGTCTGAGGACTTTTCAGCTGTGTGTATGGTTAACTGTAGTTCTATTGTCGAGCACTGGTTCATAAGCTGGGGGAGGGACTGGTTTGTTCGCTTCCGCAATCCTGTCATTTGGTATGGGGTTATTTGTTGCAGACTGTCGTACTTCCATAGGACTAGGAGCAAACCAGGCTGTTAAACAACTACCACAAAGCTCTATGCAGCATATGCAGTCATTGCACGATCCTCCACCGCGTCTTCTCCCCTGCATAGTACCAGGCATTGTACCACCCAGTTGCACGCCGGTTTGCATTTGGGACATCATATTCATACCCGTATTTGGCATTCCACCCATACCCATATTTATCGTTATTGTTATTGGTCAATTGGTATGATTTGTTTCTAGAGGCAATCTGAAGAGGTTAAGTTATGTAAATGGTCGGATTAGTGGGTTGATCGATATAACCTTTGTTATATATATATCATCTTATTGAAGATCATCACTGGATTTGACAAAAGTCATAATGGATTGCTACAGAAATTAAAGCCTTCCTAATAAAAGCCCACTTTAGAATCAATTTGCAATAGAGCATTCTTATCAACTTGAATGTTGACTAGTTCTTTACAAACAATGGGAATCGGTTTTCCTTTTATTTTCCCGTAGAAACCTATACCCACTGCGTTATGACATAATGTGAAGTAGGCTTATTTAAAATTAATGATGCGGAGTGATCACTAGAAGTAACTGGCAGGCTGTAAAATGAATCAGGGCTACTAAAGCAATTATAGATGTTAATTGGATTGAAGGATGGTATTAAGTAAGATTGTTAACAATTGGGTAAATTTATAAAGAGTAGGTGCCATTCGTCAACTGTCCTTCTTGTCCGTGGGATGATTTCACATCACACTCATCACCAAAACATAAACTGAAATGATATAGTGATAACAATGGTATTGACGTGGAATTAAAAAAGCATGTGTACGGTAGTTGCTATTAAAAACACAAAAGTAATAATGTAAACTAACTGTCTGAGAATACTATACATGTTTGAGAAGAATTAAAAAAAAGAATAAAAAAAATAATGAAGGATGCGAGGTTCGAACTCGCGCGGACAACCGTCCAACAGATCTTAAGTCTGCCGCCTTAGACCACTCGGCCAACCCTCCATGATAAAAATAACATTTAAGTCTGCTGTGAGGTCCCACCATATTGACGCAGCAAGAGTTTTGCAAAATGTCGTGTGACAATACTTAATTATGTCCATGAGTGGAGCTCTTCCACAGGATGGGCGGTACTTCATTACTCTAAGTTGTGGAGCTCCATGGTATTTCAATAGATTGTAGATTCATCCTGCAGTAACTATAACAATCTACAGTGATAAGAATAAAATGTTACTCGGTTCTAACTTTCAGTTCCAAGAATTGCGTTGGGGGAGATGAAGTACACATTTCTGCTTTACAAGCAGCTGTTTAATGGAGTATGGATACAAATCAGTTCCTATTGCCTTTGTTCCTGAGAAATTTTGGAGAGCAGTTTATGCTTAAGGTGGAATTTATGCTTAAGGTGGGGGCGGAGTAGGGGGATAAGGGGAGTGATATATGTTAGGTCTGACTCTTACAATGGGGGGGACTACTATGACTTTGAAATTCCTTTGGGATTTCATCCGTTCTATTTACGTTGCAGTTCAACGGGGATCCTGACTCTTTCAATAGAGAAAGTCCGCAGTAAGTTCGCGATTGTCGCATCGGACCTGATGACAAAACAGTCAAAACGTCGCAATTTTTAACCAAAACTAGCTGAAAAAATTGGAAAAAAAAAGAACAAAAAAAGTGAGTGAAGATAACGTTTGACTTGATTAAACCTTAGTCATGAGAAATGATCAAAACAGAATTGTATGCACATAACCACTAATACAGTTAGTCTATACTCTCTGCCCCCGCTGTTCTATTAGGTCTTTGGTTTTACTATCCCTTCTGCCCACCAACAAGCATAGGATTTTGTATTGTTGTCCTGCAGGCCACCAATAGAGAAATAGATAGAACGACTGTGTAACGAATCGCATAGCAGATCATTCCACATTCGATTGATTCCGCAGCTTTACTGGTTTATTCCCTTACTTCTGCGTGCAAGCTAAGTGAGAAGTAAGAAAAATTCCTAAGGTTCTTCATTGATAAGAGAGCTTTGAAAATTTATACGTTGATTGCATTAAATTTTGTCACATTATGCTGAGCAATATTGGTGATCCCGGTAATACTGGTGAACAACGGTCCGCTAGGAGCAGCACAGACGATCAACCACCTAGTGATTATTACCTATCTCCTGTTTCTATACAGGGTAATACACCTCAGTCGAGGCAACTGCATCAAAGTCTCTCGAATATCACTAATCAGAGCAACACCGAACTGAATAATATGCCTTCATCAATAGATGTAAAATTTGCCCTGTCGTATGGGCGTTCCATGAGCAACGGTAGTAATAACATAAATGGTACAAGGACGTCGACACCTGGCTCAACTGGAACTGCAGTGAACAGCACATTATCCAACAGTGTCTATAATGACAGAGAAAATTTCCATTCATATTCTGCTTCTTCACCTGCACAACACCCCAATGGTAATTTTCAAAACGACTACAGAAATTTGGCCACTGATTCAATGACAACCAGCAATGTATCTAAATCTGGTACACCTTTATCTAGAAGTGAATACGAAAAGGATGAACAAAATCACTCAGCAAATGGTACACCTGTTATCAAACCGAATATTAATGTCATCTCAACCATTAAGGATGCAGAAGGGAATACAGTTAAGAGAAAATACTCAAGAAATGGATGTGCCGAATGTAAGAGGAGGAGAATGAAATGTGATGAAAGTAAACCAAAGTGTTGGCAATGTACAAGACTGAACAGAGATTGTGTCTATATACTGAATCCTAAGAATAAGAAAAGAAAGACTTCTAAGGGAAGTGATAGAGTCAAGGAGGAACGATGTGAGGAACAAAAATTAGTCAATGGACAATTAGTTACTTCTAATAATGAACCACCACAAGCAACTATAACTCCTCAACTTGATATACGTCATTCTCCCATTACGCCAATATCTAGTAAAAGTGCAGAGACGAAGAATCCAGAAATACCAAATGTATTGCCAACTTCTGACCTAATGGATGGTTTTGACACCAACTTATTAATGCAAAATTTAAATGATATGGTTAATATGAAGCTGCATGATTCCTTTTTGATAAACGACAATTCACAAGAATTTGATCTACCCGATTTTGATCTACCCGATTTACTATCATCCACCACAAGCGCATCGAGTAGTGTTCCAATATCTTTCCTCGTCAATAACATTATCACATTCAACTCAAAATTAACGTCCTTTCGTCTTGGTGGTATACATGACAAATACCTACAGGTGTTTTACTATGATTGTTTAGACTCAATTGCGCCATTTTTCCAAGATCAAGCCAACCCTCTGAGGGATATAATATTGTCATTTGCAAGAAATGAAACTTATCTCTTATCAGCAATTCTTGCAACAGGTGCTTCCATTGTTCATCGTAAAAGCAATGATAGTCAGGACGAAAGAAATTACTGCGCTTATCTATCGAGGTGCTTGAGTTTACTGAACGAACAATTTCAAAATGAAGCAAATGTCTTGAATAAGATAGAACCAATAATCTTGACAGTCATTATGCTGGCATGGGATTGCATATACACAATGGACTCGCAATGGCGTTCACACTTAAAGGGTGTAACAGATCTATTCAAAAAGATCACCAAAGGGAACTCTTCAAAAGTTTTGAATGTTGCTAAATGCTGGTTCAAAGTCATGGAAACTTTTGCTGGTGTAAGTACTGTGCTAGGAGGTTCACTAACTGAGGAAGCTGATATCGATGCCATCTTTGATCCACATGACTACCAATACGTTGATTCTTTGAAGTTTTTGAATATAATGACCCCATTGAATGAATTCAATTTATTGAGAGGTCACAAGGAAGAATTTGATCTAGTCATTCGAGATGTTATAAAATCCTTAAGCGTAATTAGAAATGTGGAAAAGAAAGAATTCTCAAACGATGACAAGAACGGATTTTCTAAGAGAAACTTAGATTACCTTCTTTGGTCTTCACGTAATACAGATCTATCAACCAAGGATGCGCTATCTTACTTCAAGACTCAGAAAATTCTGGTACAGATAGATAAACAACTAGATTACGAGTTCATCGACAAATCTGGTATCATTCCACCGACCCATCAGTCTCATCCAAAAAATAGTGGTATCCATGACAACGCCATCGACTTAGTGACTTTGAGAAATGGAGAAGAGATTGCTATTAGTTGGTATGATATTTCCCATCAGACGCAGGTGTTGTCCTTTTTGCTAATCGTACTATTAAAGCTTCTAGGGATACCGAAAGAGTCCTTAAGCATTCAAGATGTTGTGAAGAGAATCATGTCCTTTTTCAAATTTCTTGACAGTGACAATCCTCCAAAGAACCTGAGAACATGCTACTCCAATTTTGCAGTCTTGATCGCTGGTATGAATGCCATGGATGAAGAAACTAGAGATATAGTTCGTAGTTACTATAAACTAAATGGTTCATTTTTCAGAAGATTGACTGAGCATAATCTGAATAGACTTGAAAGAGTTTGGTATGGAAAGGAATCGGAGGCTAACTATGAATTAGCAGACCAGGATGTCTTGACCTGGTGATGACTAGAACAAAAAAAAAATCGTTCCTCTGCTCCGTAGGGGATACAATTGCATAAATCAGAATTTTAATAATTTTGGTGTTTTTAGGACTAATTATAGACTATGTAATAATACTAATGATACATTTCTTGTTTCTATTTACAATCACGAAAATCTGTTCGACTAAAAAGAAATGATATGACCTAAGCCCATTTTTTTTTTGCTTTTTGGGATGTATTGTAATTGGTTGAAATCTGATTCATAAGAAAGATCAATCAGAAATATATTAATATAATGACTGTAAGTCGTTTTTATTTATAATATTAATTAATATATGTTCATAGGTGTATGTTACTATATTAAACAAACAAATTTAATAAATCAATCCTCGGTGGTTAGATGAGTTGCATGATAAACGTCAAAAAAAAATGGAAACTCAAAGTTGTTAAAGATAATAAAAGTTTTAGAAAAATGCTGACACGAGAACTAAAAATACAGCGAAGCAACTGATACCCTAGGAGCTCAATCGATGGATATCTAGATAGCAGCCTTAATAGCGGAGAATCGCAACGATCGACAGCAGGGTACGTAGTAGTTTAACCGATTAGAAGTCTAAAGAAGTGTACGAGAAAACTTTAAACTGCCCAGTAGTACCTATCCACATCAATGCTGATTGCGTTCTTAATCAGGGAATCACTAAGTCTTGTTTAGCGAGTTTTGCGCATATAGGAGATATGGGGAAGAAAAGAGTCAGAGGGAAAATTCTTTCTCTTATTGATACAATTACTAAATGATGTCACCTAGTGGCCAACAGGATCATGTTTTGTATATGGGGGTTAGCCACATTATTTATTATTCATTAGTGAAAATGTCAACTATTTTACGGGTATCATTGATGTGAGTGTTGGAGCCAAAAGGAATTTAGTAGTCTACCTGGCAAAACTGCGCGATAAGAGCTGTTGTTAGAGAGACCTGATCATTTCAGTGAAGCAAAGGGGGCGGCAATGGTTTGTGGACAAGTAAACTTATTCGGTGTAAACAGGAAGAAGAATTAAAAAAAGAAGTTTCTGAACAGACACAGGGAAAACCGCATAGTAGGATACTATGAAGTTTGCTGGTCCTGCTAGAAAGGGAATAATGATGCAATCATTGGAAACCATTTCTGGATCAAGTTAGAGAGAGTTGATACGAAGTTGTAAAGCAGAACAGATAAGAAGTCTGATACATTTCGCAGTATGTTTCTGTAGTAAATTGTATTATTGGCGATAAAAATGAAATGGAAGCGAGAGAGAAGTGCTGGCCTCAGCGGCCACAACAGTGACTCAAGATGTGAGTGTATTGTTGATTTTCTCGCTAGCCATCACTGGGTGTAAATTTCCCAACGATGTTCATTGTTTAGGCCATAGACTTCTTAGCCTTCTTACCGGTGGCTGGGGTCTTTGGGGTCTTTGGGGTCTTTGGGGTTGGGGACATGGCTGGGGAAGCGACGGTGGCCATGGTGTTAGAAGTGGTCATACCGGCTTCGGCGTCGGAGAAGTTGTAGCCCATGTTGCTGATGCCGATGTAGGAAGCGATTGGGACCCACAGGCAAGGCAAGAAGGCGTATAGGATAATGTCCAGGATACCGTAGAAGATCAAGGCGGAGTCTGGTTGTAGGACGTTACCACCGTCGGTGATACCGAAACAGATTGGGTAGATAGCCCAGAAGAACATGACGAGGCCGAAGTAGATGTTGAAGCCCTTCCATAGCTCACCGTCCTTCTTGGCTCTGACCAAGTGTCTGGTGGTGGTCATGACTGAGATCATGGCGACGATGGCACCACCGCAGCCGATGGTCATGTAACCCCACTTGTAAGTGGAGTGGACGCAGGCGGCGATCAAGAAGCAGACGGTGAAGACCTCGGTCATGGCGATGTTGAAGGCGATCTGCCAGATTGGGGTCTTACCCATCAGGGAAGCCTGGATGACAGGCCATGGCAAGGCCATGAACCAGCCGACGTATCTAGCGTAGAAGATCTGTCTGACACCTGGGTGTTGTTGCTGGGTGGAGGTTCTGACGTGGTTGTACTTGGCTCTGACAGGGATCCAACCCAAGTTGGAAGCGATGGTGAAGTATGCGATACCCATGAAGACACATGGGGCGATGGCGGTGTAGTAAGCCAATCTGTCGTTAGCGGTCTTTCTGAACATCAGCAAGACCATGACGATGGCGCAGAAGAACATTACACAGAATACAGCCCATGCCCAGTCGGAACCACGGCTGGTGATGTGGAAGTCAGCTCCGGTAGGAGGGTTAATCTTGACGGCCTCGTTACCGCCTCTCTTGTACAGGTCAACGTAAGACATTTTTGTTGTTGTGGTTATTTGGGGTCAAGAGAGGTTTCAAGATTGCAAAGCATTTGTTTTATATAGGTGAAAATTTTTCCAATTGAATTGCTCGTATTTGCATTTGCAGTTGTAGTCGTAGTTGTAGTGATGTAGTGCTACTTGTAGCACTACATCAGGTAGTTGCACTTGTAATTTGTTGTTGTAGTGGGTAGCACTAGCACAAGTCCAAGTACAATTGCAATTGCAATTGATTACGCAAGGGTCCAAGCCAAAAAATCACTCAATTGTTAATTATGGGGAGGGATGTAATATTCCTAATTGGGTAAATAATATAATGGGCTGTGCGGGTGTTTGTGTATTTGTTTGTTTATAAACAAATAGTTTACCTAATCGGGTATCACTCCGTTTAATTAAACGAAGATTGCGGACCTGAAAGAGGAAATGAGAAGTGAGAAGTGAAACAGCGATACCAGCCGTAGACCATGTTGTAGAGATGCCGTGGAGAGTGGGTCATGCTGTTTGTGCCCTAAGTAACTGCCCTAGGTGCTGCCCTAGGTAGCTGCTCCCCAGCACAAAACCGAGGAAAAAGGGGGTTTTGGGGGGATTGGAGGCAGGGGAAATGCCTCCTGCACATGCACATGCACGTAAGTCATATGACGTACGTGTATGGTTGTATACAATATACGCACCCACGGTGTACACATGATACACGTACATATGTACATACGTATACACGAACACGTACACAACTACAACTGTAAATTACGTAATACGAAAAAAAGTGATAGTGCAGAGATGTTCGATGGTGTTCTGTGGTGGGAAGAGGGGGGGGAAAGGTGTGGCACGAGGGGGGGTAGAAGAGGCAGGGGGGGCTAACTTGATAGTGTTCGTGTCAAAGGGGGGGGGGACCCGTGGCACACGACTATTATGTGATTGTTCCGTAAGGGGAGGACAGCCCCTTTTGGTTGAAGAAAGCGACGAAGGGGAGGCAGCAGGGAACAGGGAACAGGAGACAGGGGACAGGGAACTACCGGAGAAGAGACCGCGCAGAAACAGGTGCACACCATCTCGTAATTATTAGCCAATTGACAGTTATAGCGGTGGAAGGGGGGGGACGGTGAAAGAGACTTAGAAACGGGCGGGGGGGAACTGGGATTAACACTTTTGGGAAGGAACAAGCACAAGCAGAACAACAAGAGCAACACGGAAAAAGGGCAGGCAGGACTGAAAAATAGGGGATCCTGTTCCTCACTCCCCCCCGGATGGAAATAGTATAAATACAGCCACCAATTGGGTCTCGAAGGAAAATTTTCTTTCTCTTTTCATTCTCTACATACTAGACAAGATACAAACACACACACACACACAACAAGAAAACATTTAACAATGCCAAAGGTCGCTATTATTATCTACACTCTATACGGTCACACCGCCACTATCGCTGAAGCTGAGAAGAAGGGTGTTGAAGCTGCTGGTGGTCAAGCCGACATCTTCCAAGTCCAAGAAACTTTGTCCCCAGAAGTTGTCAAGGCTCTAGGTGGTGCTCCAAAGCCAGACTACCCAATTGCTACCCAAGACACTTTGACTGAATACGATGCTTTCTTGTTCGGTATCCCAACCAGATTCGGTAACTTCCCAGCTCAATGGAAGGCTTTCTGGGACAGAACCGGTGGTCTATGGGCTAAGGGTGCTCTACACGGTAAGGTCGCTGGTGCTTTCGTCTCCACCGGTACCGGTGGTGGTAACGAAGCTACCATCATCAACTCCTTGTCCACCTTGGCTCACCACGGTATCATCTTCGTCCCATTGGGTTACAAGAACGCCTTCCCAGAATTGACTAACTTGGAAGAAGTCCACGGTGGTTCCCCATGGGGTGCCGGTACCATCGCCGGTGCTGACGGTTCCAGATCTCCATCCGCTTTGGAATTGAAGATCCACGAAATCCAAGGTAAGACCTTCTTCGAAACCGTCAAGAAGTTCTAAATCTAAAAAGCAAGAAAATATTAAAAATAAATCTCTTTGATAAACATTTTTTTTTTCTATATCCTCGCTTTTTTCATTTTAACACCTTCTATTTCTAACAAAGGACATTTTTAGTAAGTCCCTATATACATTCTACATACATTTAGTAGTGTTAGCTTTATATCAGGTATTTAAAGATTATAACACATATTTGTTCTTTTTTTTCCAGCTTTTCAATTTTAAAACTTTAATTAACTTGCTCAACCGATAGAAGTTTGGCTTGCTGGAGCTCTTCCTGGTCTAAAGTTATAGTGCCAAACCGGATCAAAAATGAACAAGCTTGCCTTTGACAGGTTATTCGAGAACCATGCCTCTTCAATAAACGACGCGCTACACACTGGCGACTCATTGAAAGTCTACAGCCATTGCCCACAGAGAGCTCACCTCTCGCCGGGCGTGTCCACGCTAGCCACGGACTCCACGTCGGGGAACCTGCTGCTGAGTGGCTCCTATGATGGTTCCGTGTCCCTGTGGTCGCTCGACGGGAAAGTGCAGGACAACAGCCTCGTGAACAAGCGCCTGGAGTACATAACCAGGAAAGCCCATGACGGCACAGCCCAGAACACTACCCATATCAAGTCCCTGAGACCATCGCTGCACAAGAGACAGAAGACCCAGGACCCGCGCGCTGTGCGACACGCTGCGCGACACGCTGGCCCCCGAGCTGCCAGCTCCCCGGTGCACGCCTTCGAAACAAGGGCTTACAAGTACAGGATGTACCGCCAGTCCAGCAGCCCCCAGGGCAATCCCCTCGGCTCCACTCCGGGCACTGCCCGTGCCAGCCCAGCGTCTCACTTGCAACAGGCAGGTGAGCCACCTGAGGAGGACCCACACAGAGCCCACACTTACGGCATCACCTGCCTGGCATGGTACGGGCCAGACAACGGCATATTCTTAACGGGGTCCAACGACCACGCAGTGAAGCTCTGGGACACCGCCAGCTTCGAAGCGGTCAAGTGCTATAACTTCGACACAAGGGTCAATGACCTGCACAGCACGAGTGCAGCCCAGAGCCTCATCGCGGTCGCCACCGATGATTACTACCCGAGGGTGATAGACCTGCGCCAGTCAGCTGCAGACGAAGCAGGCGCCATGCAACTGGGCGCAAAGTCGCTGATGAGGGACCCCATGTTGTGCGCCCGGTTCCACCCAACAAACGGCCAGTTGCTGGCAACAGGCGACGCCGGTGGCAATTGCAAACTGTGGGACCTGCGCATGGTCGGCAAACCCTGGGGAAACATGGCCAGCATGCGACCAGGAAATCCAGGTGTCACAGTAGCCAACTCAGGCTTGGGATCAGCTAGTAATAGCAAGGCTCACTTGAGAAGCTGTAACGCTCTGACTTGGAGTCCCGGAGGTAGCGAGCTGGTGACCATGGGCACTGACGGTAGGATATACTGTTGGTCGCCGTTCCAACTAAATGCTGAGTCAATAGTAGATGTTAGCGGAACGGCAACCGCCGACAGACAAATAGGACCCATTGACCTCGAATATACAGGTTGCAGGACCATAGGAGGCTCTACTATTGATCCTTCGAGAAATAAAGAGCAACATAAATATAGAACATCGCAGCGACTGGAATGGTTCGATAACTACCTGCTTGTCAACACTGACTACGCTGAGATACAAATATATGAGATAGATACCGGGAAATACCTGGACAAAATAAGCTATGACTATGAAAACGACCTGCAACACACGAAGTCCAAATTGGTGAAGACTATAAAACGAAACAAGAAACTGATTGGCGGAATGTGCTTACAGAAATTCATTCACAACGGAGTCGGTCTGCGCTTATACCTGGGAACCAATGACGGTTACGTCGTGGAGATGTCTTAGTCTTCTTATTTGTAGCGTCAATATTCGCAAATAATGTCATCTATAGTGTGCCTGAATTTTACCCCACGGGGTATTCCCTGAGAAATACCCGATGGCGGATTCGCCCCACATATATATTCGTTAAGTTACATACGTTCTCAAGATAATTATGATGTCCATATCATTTGACAAAGCCACTCTATTGTAGATTTAAATATTTAATAACCACCAGTCTTTTTTTCTACAGAGTCACATTATAATTAGATATTGCTGAAGAGACAATAGGTTCTTCATATAGAAGTTGAAAAAAGTACATCCAAAAAATAGCTCAAAATTACTTTGATAAGCCAACCATATCTCTATAGTCATATCTTTGAACCTCCAAGTATGTAAATTGTAAAACAATAGTTCTGATAGGAATATCTTCCAATTATTATAGTTTTAATTAGTTAATGTCACCGATCCCGAAGAAGTCGCAAAGTTCAGAAAGGGAACCCACAAGGGACGAGAAAGTCTTTGGGAGGGAAAAATAGAAGTGGGAACAATAGAAGTGGGAACACTAGAAACATTTAAAGCAAAGAGGATCCCATTTTGTAGCTTGTTGAAAGGTTCAGATACAGGAACTAATAGGATTTGATCTAGTTAGAAGGGAATCACAAGGTTTCATTTGTCGAGTTTCTGAGATCTATCTTTTCTGGTTGCTAGAAGTACGATAAGTTAGAATATAGACAAAGCAGGTGTAAGAAGAAGCAGATCCGTGCTTAGGACAAAGAGAGACTAGGTGCCATTAGAAGCTTCTAAGTATTACATAGCGGGCATAGAGCAGAATATTGAATTGTTCTGAAGGAAGAAAATAAGAATCTGTTTTCTTTTTGAAGACCAGACTCCTCCTATTACTTGAACTTACCTGCAATTGTTAAATCTGACAAGAAAGGAATCAAGCTCAATACACTTGAAGAACGCTTAATTATTATCGTTACCGTGCTTTTATTTAGCCTATTAACTTGTTTGCGTTACTGGTAGTTTTGTGTTGGCAATAGTCAGAAGAGAAATAGGTTTAACTCAGAGGTTTGCTGAAAAGAGACTAAGAACATCGTTAAGAGAACAAAAGGGATAAGAAACATATTTTTTTTATTATATCCTTTAGAACCAGAGTATCTCTGCGAAGTATTAATTAAAGATATAAGAGACATCAAGTGCTAATTTTATCAGAGGCTAAAGAGGACTTTGGATCGCCTAGATATTGTACGATATTGAACTACAAATCAACTGATTAGAGTGTCCATTTTACTGGCCTACAGTTTCATCCATAGAAGATTTTGGTAGTGAAAGCTAAGATTACAGACAGGAGTTTCAATAAGACTCAGTGCAATATAAATTCATATCATCTCATAGGAACCAAAAAAAAGAGTTAGAAGAAGTTATCTCTGATTGTTGCTTACTATAGCATTCATACATTTTCCGACTTTAGTTTGAGTTACCAAATATGTCTACCAATTTAGCAGACTACTTTAAAAATCAAAATGCTTCTTCAGACAAGAAGGAAGATTCCAACAAGAAGCAATTACCTTACAATGATTACGACGATATGGGTCCATCTGTTTCTATGGCAGTAGAGGCCGAAAATGAAGATGACTTTAAGAAATCAACGTTCAATCTTAAGAGGACGCGATCAATGGGTCTTCTAGACGATTTTATAGACCCTACAAAGAAGCCGTCAGAAAAATCATCCGATGATGAAGCAGACAGCAAATTAGTTGATGATGAGCCGGCAAGCCATGGCACGGAGAGCTACTATAATGAAGATATTAGTCATTACGATCATCTTCACGAACAGTCAGCTTCTGTGTCACCTCCTCCAGCAGATAATGACAATTATTTTATCCCACAAGATGACAATGACGTTGTGGTAGAACCAGAGAGACATGTAGATTACTTATCTCATCAGTGGAAAGAATCGGAAATATCCAACTCATGGAAGTATATCATCTTAAAAAAGAAGAAGAGAGACGTTGATCTTGTAAATGCAGCTAGATTGGAGAATGCATCATGGAGAACTTGGGCAAAAGCCAGAAATCATTTAAAGACCGTTTCACCAGAAATACTGAACTGGTCAAAGGATTCTGATGTTACGTGGCTGTATGGTCCGATCGTCCGTGACCAGCATAAAAATAAGAAAAATAAGAGGAAAGAAAATGGCGATATTGAAACGGATTCGGAGCACGAAATTTCTATAGGTTATGGTTCAGATGATGAAACATCAAAGAGAATACCATCGAAAGGAAAAAGATCAGTTACTCCAAAACCTATTTTAAAGAAAAGATCGGTAACAGAGATTATTGAAGAAAATGCTCAATGGAAACTAAATGAAGCGAGAAAACATATCAACGATATGAAACACGCATCAGTAGTAATGGATCCCAACGGACTTAAGGATGTTCATGATGATTACGATGCTTTGGCTGCTAGAGTCAATGCCCAATATTACACAACACCAAGAAGTAGACCTGGAAGTGGAGCACCAAGCAGGGAAAATAGTGAATCCAATTTACATAACCCTCCTAGATCTTCCTCTACAACGCCAAACTATGCTGTTGCCGATAGCAAGAGTTTTCACTCTGATACTCCGATCAATGAACAATCTTCAGTTAAATCAGGTAGTCTGGTTACTCCTATCCAGTCACCAAATGTTGTAGCATCTCCTGCTCAAGATATAGTTGCACCACAAGCCAAACAACCACTATCATCAATCCTTTCTTCAAAATACTCGGAAAAAGGAACCGGTCAAGAACAAAAGAAAAGTGCTCCATCAAGGCATATTCATTTTAATGACAGAGTCGAGCAGTGTATGGCTCTGCGATATCCAAGCTCAGATAGCGAGGTTGATTCAGACTATGAAAGTAATAGTAATAACCTTCATCAAACTTCATCTGTAAGTCCAAGTTCTGCTCCTTCCAATAACAACATCAGGTTTGTGCGGAAAGGTGAAAAAGGCCAGAGAAATCAAGAGAGTAAAATACCAGAAAGTCCTATTTCAGATGATTCAGTGTCATCTCCTTCTGACGATAACGAAGATGAGGAAGACTATGGTGGACTATTCATAAATGCTAGATTTTCAAGAAGATCAGACTCAACAGTTCATTCACCTGTTACTGATAATTCATCTATCGGTTCATCAGTGACTTCCAGAACTGGTGTACGTCCAATTATTAAGCTTCTTCCTGCCACAACATTAAACTATGGTTCTGACGAAGAATCTGAAACAAGTGACATTTATAATTACGGAAATGCTGTTTCTCACAATGTCAACACATCTAGAGGTTATGATTACATATATGACTACAACTCTGTGTATACTGGTGATACGTCGAGTTTCTTGCCTCTAGACCATTGTGATATTGTCGATGTTCCTGAAGGAATTGGTCTAGACACGTCAATTACTGAAAGTGATCATACAGGGTATGATATTAACAGTCCTCTTGATAAAAGAACCAACATTATGATTCCTTCACCTACAGATACTCCACCTTTTCTGAGTAAAGCCAGCAAAAGTCCATCGAGTTACAACTCTTCCTCTGATAGTGGCAAAAGTACACCATTGAGACAAAACTTTCTCAGTAATGAAAATCATGGTTATTCATCATCCGACTCTGAGCAACAGTTTATTGAAGACTCTCAACTGAATAGCAGTGATGAAGATGAAGACTCAGAGGATAGTGATGAAGATGATGAATCAGATGACGGATTAACATTAAAACGTACTGTTACTTTAGGGAAATCAGGCACTTCTACGTCAATCAAAGATTTAAATATGCCGAACGAGCATAATGCAGACTTTATTCCTCCAGTGAAGACCAGAAGCTTTATAACAGGCGAAACTATAGATGATGCAACACGAGAAAAAAACAACTTTATTAGCAACAGTAGTTCGCCTGGTATTCCTCTGAAAAGAAATCAATCTTCTAAGAGTTTTATTTTCAATTCAGACAGTAATGACGAAGATTCATCTGATAATACTTCTGATTCGGCAAGCTTTTTTGGTATTGAGACACCACAACCTGTAAATCATCAGACAAATGCTACCGCCAAATCTGTATCGGGACATAAGAATGTTATACCTCCTTCTAATGTGGGCCCAATTTCATCGATTGAGGTATCAAAGAACTTTAAAATTCCTTCCAATACTGCCCCAGATGTTGCATCTAGTGATGTTGCCATTAAAGGGTCATTTTCACCTAGGTACAACTCAGTGAAATCTGTCATAAACAAAGAAGGCATACTATCAGATAAATCAAATTCACCCTCACCACAACAATCAAGTACTAACATTATGTCCAAAAATAACTTTAGCCATTCCGGAACTGGCCAAAGTTTCAGTGATAATGAAAATCCTGATACTAACAAAGACCTAAGTAATGAAAGTCTACAGAAAATGATGCAAAGCGCTAAGAATGCTGCCAGCAAGTATTTAAACTCGTGGAAAAGACCAGAAAATAGACGTGAAGATAAATGAGACATAACATCAGTTAACGGATCTGACCCTTAACAATTATTAGACTATAAAACTAAAGAGTGGCATTTTTTCTTTCACAAGTCTTCATATTCTTTTATTTTCCGTTGAGAGGAAAACCCATTTGATGACAACACAGATTGAGTATCAAAACTTGTTTCATCGTGTCATGATCACACTATTAGGAGCCAGGATAAGATTCCATAAATACCTTCAATTTTCTTCTTTTGTGTCGGATATTGATCATATTATTCATATATTTCGTAGCCACAATCCCGATTTTTCATATAAGTTGAATCCATCGATCAATTTCCTGACCGTTAATTTTGCACTTTAATGGCATATGTCTAATGAAAATTTAAATAAGGCAAGATAAATACAAGACATACTTATTTTTTTAGTAATAAATAAAATCTTAAAATTCCCAACATTATATTTAAAACAACTTCAAGAACCAATTCACAATTCACATATGATAGTAACACTTTTGAAGGATTTGGATCCTATTTTTCATAGCGAACGCTCGCCCTTTGAGTTTAGGACTGAAATGACAAAATAACGGAAGTAAAACAACAATAACAGAAAAGTCAATTGTAGTCATAGACAGTTCTTATAATACTTGCAAATTGTAAGACCTAAACCAGTTTGGCGAGCTTTAAACATTACTTTTACGTTACTGGTCTCTCTTTGATAAACTTACTCGGTTAATAGGCCCCAATTTGAAGACAAATAATATAGACAAGAATTGCTAATTCAATCAAGGTCACATATTAGGTTGTTATGCTTTCAGATTTGTTATATTCTGAGCATTTAAGTGAACATTTACAAGTTTAAATCAATCAACACCAGTCTGCATGTCTGAAAGTTCAAAACGGGGCGATAAGGAGGTACCTGCTAACATTGTTGTATCCAACACTTCTGGAAAGGATAGTGTAATACCGTCCAACACACCTTCCTCCTCTATAGCTGATGATGACTCGTCATCTTTGAATGATGATCTCCGAAGTGTCAGTGTAAGTAATCAAGTGAAGAGTTCGTCTAGGATATCTATGGATTCGATGAGTGTCAGGAGAAGCTTTGAATCCACATCTCAATTTGGAAGACCAGGCCACGGCAGACCCTTTGCCTTTGATAATATGCGCCATAGCGGTTCAATGGATTATTCACCACTAGGAAACAATGCCATTTTTGAAGTTGTGATGAATACTAGAAGGAAAAATTGGTTGAGTTATCCTACTGTGTCTGATATACCGCCTATCACATTAACAAAGAACTCATTGCCAACTGAATGGAAAGAGAAGTTAGATGTCTACAGAAAATTGATTAATTCTGAATATTCTGTGTTCAAAGCGACAAATAATATTAAAAGCGCCAACCGAATGCAACAAATTAGACAATTAAGTGACGACAAGCTAGATGAAAATGACGCCCTGGAAGATGATAAAGAAGTCACCAGTTGGGACACACAACTTAAAAATGCAGGTGTCCCAGACTTTTACATGGATGACAATTTCAAGCTGGACAATCCTCGAGTATTTCATAAAGTTTTAGAAGGAGTGGAGCTACAATTAGAGAATTTCAGTGTAAGTGGTGCAGAAGATAGAGTGATAGGATATGGCAATTTAAGAAGAAATTTGAATGATTATTTAGATGTTGTCGAGAATCTCTTAATAAAAGAGATCTCAAAATCGTCCCATAAATTTTATAGAACACTATCAGAAGTTGATGACTTAGAGGTAAGTATCAAAAAAGGCTTAGGACTACTAGATGAGTTAAGCAAATCGTTAGTTAATGTCGAAAGAAATGAAATTGAAGTCCGACTCGCAAAACTGAAGAAAATATTCAGAAGGAGAAATGTCGAAAAACTAGAGCAAGGTTTATTACAAGTTCGGTTAATTAAAGAGAAAATAAGAGAATGCCAGGAGATCTATGAGAAAGAAGAATTACAAAAATGCTTAGATCTAACATCTTCAATAAACAATTTGATACATGGTGATAATAGTGACAAGGTTGTCCAAGCTTGGACTAATGAATGGCCTTTCAAGCTCCTTAACCTCAAATCTGTCCCCGCCTTGTCTGAATGCAGAGAATTTATAACTAATATTGCGATCGAAATTGGGGGCAAGTATTCCTTAATGCTATGCGACATCCTAATAAAAGATATCCGTGACTACTGTATGAAGAAGGAGGGCTCTTTCACGATTGAGTATATTAGAACTACCAATAAGGAAAAAGAGCAATATAACTTCAGTGAAGACTTAAGGAATAGTATAGTTGATTATATTAGGAAATTATACAGTTGTGAGGAACTAACTGGAGCATTTGAACTGTATCAGGAAAGGACTCTTGCAGAGCTGAAGTCAATACTTAAGGGCTATCTGCCTCAGGAAAGTTCTAAGCCAAAATCAGATGAAAACATAGCTTCCACGTCAACATCAGCAGCATCAGGTTCGAGATTAGCTCAGTTAATAAGGGAGCAAACTAATGACGAGTTTACTAACATGCTTCAAAGAATATTTTCACATGAAATCCTGGCTTTACGAAGACTTTATGGTCACCAAAAGTTGCTTCTTGATATCTCATTAACCGAAATAAACTCAGTACCTGAACCAAATGAAAACCAGCATAACATGATAACTCAGTTAGATATACGACAAGGAATTAATGAGATCATCCACGTAATTCAACTACGTACTGGTAAGATTATTGCAGTTAGGCGTGATAGCACGAGCAGCATCAGGTTCAACTACTTCTTAAGATTCTATGATGTTTGCGTTACCTTTATACAAGAGTGTGAAGCACTATCAGGTGAATTCTTGACCAAGTATTTGAGCGATGTGTTGGCCGCACAAGTCAAGAGTTATATCAGCCAGTTTTTCCCACGGAATAGTAAGAAGTTACAATCAATGATAGTCAACGAAAAATGGACACCAGCCATTGTGAACCCTAATATCCAAAAATCGGTTAATGATATGCTGACAAGTATTGATATCGATCCATTAGAATGGACTAAACTGCCGAGTTTATTGGTGAACGATCCAAACGATGGGGAACAAGAATCTGGGTCAGAACAACCTCAACAAGGACACAGAAAATCTGTTGTTGTTGGTGATAAGACATTTGTTGCCAGTGAGCCTCTATTATCGACTTTGATATACCTGAATGAGTTAATGATTCTATCACTAAATCTGCCATCCATATACCTTCCTTCGCTCGAGAGACAAGCTTACGATTTCTTGAAGTTCTTCAATCAAACATCTATGAACTCAGTAGCTCCTCAGGGTCAAGCAATAGGTAAGACAACGAAAAACTTATCGATTATGGGTGAGTCCTTTGACTGTCTGAGCGAGTTCATAGACATTCTCCAAAAATTCTATCAAAGATTGGGCCACAATTTCAAGGATTACAACCCTTATCCAGACACCTATTACAATGACCTCAGAACAAGATACAGGACTGCTTCTGATAGACTTTACCAAGCACATGCACCACCTCCACCAACTGCATAGTGGCAGAATCAGGCAACACTACACGATGGTACTAGTGTCATTAAACGCACATACATTAAAAACTCCAGAGAACAAGTTCTTCTCTCGAAAACAACAAAAAGCAACCCAATGCATAATTCCTAATCTCTTATACATAGCCATGTACTTAGTAATTGATTTAGAACCACAGTAAATAATGTAAACTCAGCCGAACAATAGCTTACCAAGCCCAAATTCTATACTAGAAGAGTAGTAATATCACTTTATACTACACTGTAAAGAGACGTTGTTTACACCAAAAAACTGGAAAAAATGTTCAGGCGATCCGGAAAAGCTGGCCTTCTGCGTGATTTCTCACAAACATTATGCGTATGATCAGAGGTCATCGGGAAGTTTGGCAATATAAACAACGACAATGACTGGACTACTATATGTGTAGCATTATTGGCTACGTCCATTTACTTCCTGGTGGTAAATACCTATATATATTTGTTTGGATAGAAGTTGAGGAAGAATCCCATCGATAGCGCGAATTGGTTTGGCAACAATTGCTAAACACGACGGTAAGAGCAAGAAGAAGTCTCGCATAGAGCCACTTGACTACGTTAATATGGATGCTCCCGGTGAGGACAGGAACAGTATGAAAACAGCAGAGAGCAATCCTGAAAAGGAGGCGATTAGCTGGCTATACCTGAAGAATGTTGAAGAAGGCAATCAGGAAGGTAATGAGGACAAAGGTGAGGATGAAATCGGCAGTCAGATTGCTGACGATGACACAGAGGTTAGTATTGCTGCTTTGAAAGCTGTTGGCATCATAGATAAGAAAAGAAAAAGGGAAGAGCGTGAAAAGAAGAAGAGTAAGAAGAGCAACAAGAAAAAACGCCATTCAAAGAAGGCTGATGACCAAGACGCGCATAGCAATGTTGATCCAGCATTATCCGGGCTAGAGATGGCCTTGGATGTCACTGATAATGTTACCAAAAACTATAACACATTCAGTGGTAATGAGATCAGTGATGAGATCAGTCACCAATTCTCCAAGAGCAATGGCAAAGTCGGTATATCACTTTCAGAAAATGGTACTAATACATTTTCCTATGCAGATGGAATTAATACGACAAATAATGATCAATCAATTAAGGATACAGAAAAAAACTATAATGACATCAGTAATAAAAATAAAGAAAAGATTGCGAATAGAAGTGTACCCTCTACCATAAAAGGTGCAGGCGAACTGGATGATGCATTTTTGGAAAAGGGAATCATTGACAGCAAAGTTCTAAAGCCATTGACAGATAAATTGGATTCATCAGATGGTATTCTGAGTTCATCACTACAATCCGCTGGCAGAGGTTTTGATGCAGAAGAAGACGCTAAACTTGACGCTTATATCAATGAATATCAGAAAATGAATTCCTTCACACGCGAACAGCTCTGTGACAGAATATGGAATAATAATGGTCAAAGGGATGACTTTTGGAAAACCATTTGTAAAATTTTGCCATACAGAACCAGATCATCTTTGTACAAACACGTTAGAAGAAGATATCATATTTTTGAACAAAGAGGTAAGTGGACAAGAGAAGAAGATGAGATTTTGGCGAAATTGTGTCTTGAAAAGGAGGGACAATGGTCAGTTATTGGTAAAGAAATGGGAAGAATGCCTGAGGATGTCAGAGATAGGTGGAGAAATTACATCAAGTGTGGAGAGAAAAGGGCATCACAAAAATGGACCGCTGAGGAAGAAACTAAACTGAAAGAGGTAATTGGAACCATGTTCAAAGAGGCTGCCGAATATCATCAGAAGCGTGAGACCGAGATGGATGGTATTCATGATGGAATCATTGATGCTGAAGACAAAAATAATCATCTACTAACCAGAGGGCCAAAAGGTAGGGTTCTTAATGACAAACCTGGCTTTAATGAAGTGATAAACTGGACTGTTGTTAGTGAAAGAATGGGAGGAACTCGTTCACGTATTCAATGCAGATACAAATGGAATAAAATGATCAAAGATGAAGCGCTAAGTAAAGTCAAAAATGTTACTGATGAGGAAGGCCGCTGGCTGTTAAAGACTCTTCAAAATCATAACTACACTCACCAATCACATATTGACTGGAATTCGATTGCTACCGAACAGCCTGAATCTAATAAATGGTCACCATTAGAACTGCGACTGTGTTACGAAAAGCTTCGTGAGCCAATTGATAATATAAAAAATAAAACTGTTACCGCAATTTGTACGGAGCTGCTTTCCAAGGAGTGAATAAAGAAGCTGCTGTTTAGTGCGTATTTCTCCTTGCATTTGTATTACGGCGGTAATTCTACTGGTGCTAGTCACTGAGTGGCATCATGAATGTATTCATTTTTTTAATTGAAATTCTTTTCTTTCTCACTTCATCAAGCTACGCTTATGAAGTGTATTGTATTAATATAAGCCTTACTATTTGCATAGATGATTAATTTATTATAGTCTCTACATTTAATATAAGTATAAAAATGAATGAGAGTTTGAATATTGCGTTACTTTCAGGTGTATAGTATGTTAAGTTTGAAAATGTAGTCGCAACCTCAATCTAGCTGTGCTGCAGAAGCTTGAGGACAATTCACGTCTCAAGTCCTTGCTGTATTGAGATGTGATGATTATTTAGAGCTCATATATGTGTAAGTGAGATATGATAAATACTGATTGATAGAAGGAAATGTATTCTTAAATTTTATTAGAGTTTAATAGAGTTAAAAAAAAAAACGGATCTGATATGATGAGTTTTGTGCTAAATTTATTAGTTTCTTTTTATCTATTTAATTTAGAACTTGTGGAATTGCTTGTTAGCCTTACCAGTAGCAGCAGCAACCTTCAAGACGTTGAATCTAACGGTCTTGGAGATTGGTCTACATTGACCAACGGTAACAATGTCACCAACTTGGACACGGAAAGCTGGGGAGACGTGGACTGGAACGTTCTTGTGTCTCTTTTCGTATCTGTTGTATTTTGGAACGTAGTGCAAGTAGTCTCTTCTGATGATGATGGTACGGTGCATCTTGGTGGAAACAACGGTACCAGACAAGATCTTACCACGGATGGAAACCAAACCAGTGAATGGACACTTCTTGTCAATGTAAGAACCTTCGATGGCGGTCTTTGGGGTCTTGAAACCTAGACCAGCGTTCTTATACCATCTCTTGGTTCTCTTAGAGGTCTTGAACTTTGGGTTGCTGAAGATGTGAGGTTGCTGTATTTCAGTGATATCAACTATTCCATTGTTTCCTCTTCTGACTTAAGGTTACTCTTCTTCTTTCACATACTTAACTAAGTCTTGGTAACATTTAATATAGCCCACATAACATTTATATTTTTTTGATAAAAGAAGATTCAGAGTCGAAGGAAATAGTATTGATATGATAATTTGTTAGTAAAACTATTCGAATAATTGGTTTTGATTTAATTAGCAGCATAAATCGAAGATTTGTCAAAAAAAACATGATCACAAGTAGTTCTGATATAGTAGCTAAGCAACCCAATAAACGGGCAATATGCTCTCTTATGTGCTATTACTATTGGGGTCTTGGGTATTATCTCGGTTTTCAAAATTGTTTCCTCATTGGATTGGTCATTATGGAAGGCCCTTAGTTATCGATATTCTCAGCATAGTAGTGATATTGCGGTAGCCTCTATTGCCTCTCCTTGTTACAACATATGTAACAGTATTGTGATTGCTTATAACTAAAACTTCAATATTATCTGCCTTGTATTTCTCGATGGGATTCTAAATGCATACCTTTTGGAAAGCTCTTTCAGATTGAACAGTCAATTCAGTGGACATCTTGGCGGTTTCTTAGGACTCCTTAGGCTGTGATCAAGAATTAGGTTATAAATTTTTAACCGCTTACAGACTGTTTTATCCAATCTAAATGTTTTATTCATCTCTCATTGACAATATTTCCACTCATGGAGCTGCGGCCCAGCGAGTATTGGGCTATTGAGAAAGTGAAATTTTCCAAACACTGCAGGGCCATTCAGCATCTGTGGGAGGAAGGCAAGAGCTCTCTGGTCGGCCTCCCCCCAGCCACAGAGTCACCAGCCAGGCGGGAGAGGAACAGTCTGTGCAGTTAGGCTCAGAGTCTCTAGGCAGGCATTTGTTAGTTCCGAGCAGTTTAGGCCGACTGGTTGGTGGTACTGTGGGGGGAGGTTAGGCAGAGGAGCTCTAGGCTGAGCAAACTACTGAGCCCTCAACTCCCTAGCCTCATGTCTTGCCTAGCTCACCAGGAAGACCAGCAGAGGTTACTGTGGTAGTAAGTGGCAGACCCATCCAAGCAATGCTCTTCCCTCCCCCCCCCCGTGTCCAGGCAGAAGTAGCCCATACGAGAGTCAGTCCCTTGCACTGCCAGAACGAGGGCGCTGTCTCTACCACTGTCATCGTGGGACGGAGGGGGGAGGCCACTGCGACTGGCACAGGGGCACTGAGGTATGGCACGGTCTGTGGTTTACTTGGTAGTGGGAAGCACAGAAACTCAAGGAGGGCGGAGAGATCCCCGGCTGTCGCATCTGCTACTGTCCATTGAAGTGCCCGTGGAAAGCACTACGTCTTTTCTGTGTTTCAGTGTTAATGCAAAAACCTTGTATTCCCAAACGAGGTAATTTTGTGATAGTCAGTCTTACTGGAGAGAACGGAAATCCAATCTAGTTAGATATGGTGTATGGGTTTATCAGTCACAAAGATCTAGCTTGGGGGGGATACTGAGTCATGTGCTACGTACGGATGCTCAAATTGTCTTTCGTTGTGTATGCAATGAGCATTGGGTGACTCTCTGGATGCATAGTCCTAATCATGGTACCAGTAGTAACTAAGCACTTGTTCTTCAAAATGACAATTTTGTTTTAAGGTTTTTCTTATTAATTGTATTTATTTGTTTCTTTCATTAACATTACATGGGTAGAAAATAAAAAGAGTATATAGCATGAAAAGTTCAGAGGAAATGCATAATTTAGTTCACCACTTTTCAACGTTAAAGTAAACAGGGTCTGTATCCTGTTTTCCTTTGTTAGTAATTTTGTTTGTTCTCTTGCAATTATAATTCTCGGAAAGACCGAATTCCATTCTCTCGGTATGGGATTTTTTATATCAGCAATAGATCACAGAGAATGAGTAAGACAAGCTCTTCGGGTAAAATGGTATCAACATCATGTTTATGATATCATGTTTATTTCTTCTTGTTGGAGGTGGAGTTCTTTGGTAGTTCCTTAACGAATGGCAAGAATTCTGGTTCACCTGGGATGTACTTTCTCAAGACTTCTGGAACAATCAAACCATCCTCGGTTTGGTAGTTTTCAAGAACACAACATAGGGCCCTTTGGGTAGCAGCCAAGGTGGAGTTCAAACAGTGGACGTACTTCTTCTCTCTGTCGTTCATCTTCTTGATACCACTTCTGATTTCCAAGTTTCTGGATTGGTAGTCAGTACAGTTGGAGCAGGAAACCAATTCCTTGTATTCCTTTTGGTATGGGAACCAAGCCTCTAGATCGTACTTCTTGGCAGCGGCGTTGTTCAATTCACCGGAGACGATACCAACAACACGGTATGGAAGTTTCAAGGATTGGTAGAATTCTTCGGAGTTAGCGATCATTCTGTCGAACTCTTCCCAGGACTTCTCTGGTTCGGTTATACAGAACTGTTCAATCTTCTCGAAGGCGTGGACTCTGAAAACACCCCAAGCGTCCTTACCGTGAGAACCGGCTTCTCTACGGAAACAGGAGGAGTAACCAACGTAACGGATTGGCAGTTGTTCCTGTGGCTTCTCAAACCATTCACCGCTGTGGTAAGCAGAGATTGGCTGTTCAGAAGTAGCAATCAAGTACTTCTCGTCTTCACCATCGATGACCTTGTATAGTTCTTCGTCGAATTGGGACAATTGGGCGGTCTTGGCCATAACTTCTTTGTTCATCATGACTGGGGCTTGCAATGGGATGTAACCCTTGCTGGCCAAGAAGTGCAGACCGTAGTTGATCAAAGCCTGGTTCAAGAAGACACCGTAGTTTCTGAAGAAGTAACCTCTGTGGCCAGAGATCTTAACACCACGCTCTGGGTCGTAACCGTCCAGTCTTAGCAAGATCTCGTGGTGAGACAAAGCGGCTGGCTTACCAGTAACGGAGGCAACTGGGCCGACATCAGCCAAGCCCTCTGGCTTCCAAGTACGGACCAGCTCGTTGTTCTCCTCATCATTAGAGACAACCACAGATGGGTGGACAATGTTACCAATCTGATTCACCTTCTGTCTCAGATCCTTGTCCTCCTTCTGCTCCTTCTCGATCAATTGCTTCTTCTCCTCGCTCAGCTTGTCCTTCTCAGCCAAGAGCTCGCTAGCATCCTCCTTGGCCTTGAACTTCATACCGATGTCCTTCTGCAACTTGTTCAGCTTCTTGTTCAACTCATCCAGCTCAAACCTCGTCTTGACCCAGTCCTTGTAGTCAGCAATAATCTCATCAACTAACTCAACACTGGCATATCTAGCCTTCTGAGACTGTCTGATCAGCTCAGGGTTACCACCTTTCTCTTCAATAAACTGGTTGATATCCAACATCGTTCTCGCTCGTCTTCCTTTTCTTTCACTGCCACTGTCTTCCCCCCAAGGTACTGATATTCTTCTAGACGCCCAACTATTCTCAAGAGACCTATAGTCCCGTGTTAGTGATCCCAAGCATTGCTATGTCAGTTTTTGCCAGTTTCACCAGTTTCACCAGTTTGTTGGTGAAGTGGTGAAGTGGTCAAGTGATGATTGAAGTTGCCAGCTTGTTCTCTCAGCCCAAAAAATTTTCATATACCTACATACGTGTATTTTCCACATGTTATACGTTTATGGTGATTGGATATTGTGTGTGTTTTTTTTGAAAATTTTAAAACATTGTTAAACGCATTTCGCCAGTGGAGTACCACGAAGGAAGAAATGGTCCAATAGTCCAGTGGTTTAAGACGTCGCCTTTACACGGCGAAGATCCCGAGTTCGAACCTCGGTTGGATCATCCTTTCTCTCTTTTTTCTATTTTTAATTTTTGGCAAACTCGATGAGCTCAGCTCCTCACCCTTCATTGCCTCCTAGCAAGCGTATTAGCACAGCTATTTGTACAGCTACACAGATTATAACATTTCCAACAGTGCACCAGTACTCACCATTTACTTACCAGTATTACCTGTATACCAGCAATGGAACCGCTGTCGCTGACTGTGTATGACAGGAATATATGGCACCTGTTTAAGAAGGAGGAAGGCGCGCCGCAGGCCATGTTCCCGACTAACATCAAGTACATATTCGAGGATGACGACGACGTCGCTGATGTGGACGACCTGGTGTTCCAACAGCAGCAGCCGGACAGTGAGCTGGAGAACGTTATTATTGTGGAGATCGACGGCGCCGGGCAGCTGGAGAACGTCGAGCTGATCAGCGATCAGTATGAGATGCTGTCGTACAGGCGGGAGCGGCCCGTGAGCTTGGCATCGCAGAGGTCGTTATCGTGGCTGACCAGCGGCAACGACACCGGTGGTGACGCTGGCAAGAAGTCAGGGGACATCTCAGATCCGGCTGCGGGCCCCGATGTGCCGCGGGAGGCACCACTGAGCATTGAACTGGAGCTGGTCTCAGAGTTCAAGGACTACAGGAATCTGAACCTCGAGGACCTCAAACTAGATGAATTGACCAGGATATTCTGTATACAGAACAAACAGCTACAGATGATATCGGACGCATTGAATTAAAACCTTCATAAGATAACAAGTCATACGTAATCTTACAGCAGAAAGATAGAAAACTTAAAAGCTATCATTGTAAATTAATCTATTATACAGTATTTATTTTTTGAGTGCGCGTGTTGTATTTTTATATATGCTATGCTGTAAACTGCACATCCGGGTTGCGGGGACCACTCAGCGTTTGATTCAGGCCCTTTTGCACACAATTGTTTTCAGGCAACTAGTGTCAGACCTTAACGCTTCTTCTTGTTCTTGTTCTTCTTGTTCTTTCCCTTAGATTGTGCATTCGCACTGGTGTTCACCACTGGTGTGCTATCCTTGTTGTTCTTGTTCTTCTTTTGCTTGGTTTTCTTGTTTCCAGCACCTCCGGATGTGCTTTCAGTCTTCACCTCCTTGATATCCTCGTTGGCGATAAGCTTACCAATACCGATAGTATTCACGATTGGGTTCGTCTGTGCTTTTCTGATCAGTTTCGCCTGCTTCTTACTTATCTTGCTGTTGTTCATCTGCTTGGCCTTCTTCACCACATCAAGGTAATTGCGCCTCTTCGCTATCTTGCTGATCGGATTCATAGACACACCTCTGGGACCCAAAGCGTTTAGCACACGGGACACTTCCTTGTTCATCTTCGTCTGGTACTTGTACGTGGTCGACAAGTGTGGGTTATGCGTGCGGAACACCACAGGGTCAGCCTTGGCACCACCGTGATAACTTATAGTTATGCTAGACCCCGATGGGTTGGCTTCAAACAGCTTCACACTGTTCTCGATAAACGTATCAATGGGTTTCACAGACATCCTTTGAGGTAAACAGCGTCACTTGCTCTTTTTTTGGTTCAATGGCTATTACTATCTTTTTAAATTCCTGCTCCGAGGGGGGTTATAGATCAACAAATCCAGCACGTACGAGCAATTAGAATAATCGAATGCTGTGCTTCCATAGAGAAAGATAAGTATAGTAGCTAACCGCTCCACGAACCGTTGACATCTTTTGCAGTGGTTATAACTATTACTTTGCGAACTTCTGCTGGATACACTGATTCTTGCCAAAAGTGTGATGGAATGTGATTATACACGAAAAGTCACATGATTATTGTATAATAGCCATAAAATGGAAATGCAATATTCATGAGACTGAGATATTAATTTGCTATTTAGTAACCGAGGATGTGCCCCTTATGGACACAAAACCTTTGAAATATAGGCGTGTGCGTTTTACAAAAAATTTCACTTAGTGTTTTTATGGCTTGAGTAACTGTATTTTCTTTTCAAGTTCCTATTTGTTTTGAATGTAATTAATTAAAATGCCTTGATGGTATTAAAGTAGGTTACTTGTCCATGCATAGCTAAGTTATGAAGAATTGGGAAGTACAATGATTGAAGAAGATACGGAGTCAGTACGTTCTGGTACGTATTCTGCTGATCTACAGCCGCTGGATTTCGATGCGCGCAGCAGAGTACAGATAAATGATGTCACTAACTTCGACCACGATCAATTTGAGAAGTACCTGGTCAGGCCTGACTACGTCAAGTTGCTCAAGAAACAGGCTGACTGCGATATATTACCCTTTAAAAGATTATTTCTAGCTCAAGAACTGCAACTGGGTGGTTCTTCTGTCACTGTATCTCGTTTTAGCAAAGACGGTACACTCTTTTGTGTCGGTTGTAAAGATGGATCACTTATGGTGCTGAAAGTGCTGCAGACTAAATCAGAGAAGCTTGGTATTAGTGATGCCGAGTGTGAAGAGACAGGCAAGCGTAAGATACAGTATGCTCCGATTTTCAATGAGTTGGATATCGTATCTTTGAACTCAGATGAAAAGGTTCATAGAGAAGTGCTAGACCTCTCATGGTCCGTTAACCATTTTTTGCTAGTCTCATCAGTTGACAGTTACGTAACATTATGGACACCATTTGATGGGAACCGTCCAATTATGAGGTTCGATCATCCTGACTTAGTTACGAGCGCTAAATTTATAGAGGCAGATGATAGATTTTTTATCAGCGGTTGTCTGGACCATTGCGTGAGGTTCTGGTCTGTGACGGATAACCGGGTTGAATACAGCTTCAACTGTGAGGAGCCCATAAATGTGGTAACAGTATCTCCTGGGATGTCCCACTTCACAGTTGTTGGCACATTTGGTGGTTACATTTATGTGTTTTCCACAATGGGCTTGAAGTTGATTGATAAATTTCATATAATCAATGGCAGGTCAATTGATGGTAATTTGCGCAATGGAGCTGATAAAATAAAAATTACTGGCATAGAATGGATAGTTACAGATAACAGGTTAGACGAGATACAAGAAGATAACGAGTATAGCACCGCTAGAATAGTGGTCACATCGGGAGACGAAAGAATCAGAGTGTTTAAACTGACAGAAGGGGGCTATCATAACTTGGAATTGAAAGGTTTCCATTGTGAGCAGTTTAGACATCGGGCTCAGCTATGTATTTGGGATGACAAACCATTCATATATTGCAGCAGTGAAGACCAATGGTTCTATGTGTGGAGGTTAAATTACCAGGATCTCATGCTAACTAGAGCAACCAATGAGATTCTATATGCTAGCACTACACACCGCAGAAGAAGAACAGAACGGATTCTGGGACACACAAAAGAAGTGACCTCTAGTGTATTAGATATGTTCTTCAGTACATACGCAGCGGCAGATGTAGAGATGGGGAGTAACGACAAAGGCATGAGACATGGTCAACAACAATCGATGACGTTTAGCCATGAGAGTACTGTTACACAGACGATGCCCATCGGACAACCGACAGGTTCTACTACAAAGTCAACAATCGAAGAACAACGAGAAGAGAACTACATACTCAGACACTCTCATACTTTCTCATTCCACGCGCATGATCACCCTATTACAACTGTCAATATAGCACCGATAGGTACCATAGCTGCAGTGACACAATCAAATGACTTCATATATGAGTTTACGTGCAGATGTTATTCAAACAACGTAGAGTTGAGAGACGTAGAGATGGACTCCTGTGATATCATAGGCCCCATAGTGGTTACGACAGACAGTGTTGGCAAGTTGCGAGTGTTTAGAACTGATTTGTCAGACATCGCTAGAGAGACTTTGATAAATGTCTTGCACAGTGCAATGGAGACAAAACAGTCTACATTCTGAAGGATAGTGAGTTGAAGAACGGTAGGGTGTATCTTACTCTTGACACATCTTTAAAAGCACCACTCTTACATGTGACTTTATCATATGGCCAGGTACCTGTTCGCTGATTTATCATGAAGGAAACCGGTCCAGGTTCAACATCGATGATTCCCACTTCCGAACAAAGGTGGGATCGGTGATCACATCCACCATCACAAGATCGAGACTAAAGCTGTACTTAGCTGAGTTAGAGGGTGACCGGTTCCGCTCCCACACTTGATGATTACTTCAAAATGACTGATTTCTTGTAATATAATGTGTGGAAGGGAATGAAAAAAAAAAAATTAATCTAGGAAGCACAATGGTGGTTCAACTTGGTATATAAGCAATGGCTAGGACCCTTGAGTTTATCTCTTCTCTTGACTTTTATTTCAAACATATATCTTTATAGTTTGTTCGCACTACGCAGCTCATCGCATTCCGACTTGGAAAAGTTTATATTATTGTAAACTACACAGAAATCATAGACATAATATTCTTTAAAGAAACAATACAAACGAGTTCAAAATGGCTAAAGGTGAGGACAAGATTCAGAAGAGTGCTGCTCAGAAAGTGAGCAAGTTTGGTTCCTTCACCGCGGGTGGACTCGCGGCGTGTATAGCTGTGACTGTGACTAACCCAATTGAAGTGGTGAAGATACGGATGCAGTTACAAGGTGAGCTAATGGCTGCGAACCAGAGGATATACACCAACCCATTCCAGGCTATGGGTGTTGTGTTTAGAAATGAAGGTATCAGAGGTCTTCAGAAGGGTCTAGTGGCTGCGTACATTTACCAGATTGCATTAAATGGGTCCCGTTTGGGTTTCTATGAGCCTATCAGAGCTGTGATGAACAAGACTTTTTATCCAGACCAGGAATCTCACAAAGTTCAAAGTGTTGGTATCAACGTGTTTGCAGGTGCCGCCTCTGGTATTATCGGTGCAGTCATGGGTTCGCCATTGTTCTTGGTGAAGACAAGACTGCAGTCTTACTCTAATGCAATCAAGATTGGTGAACAGACACATTACACTGGTGTGTGGAACGGTTTGAAGACCATTTACATGACGGAAGGTGTTAAAGGCCTGTTCCGTGGTATCGATGCCGCAATCCTAAGAACAGGTGCTGGGTCTTCTGTGCAACTGCCGATCTACAACACTGCAAAGAACTTCTTGCTAAGAAACGATATCATGGAAGATGGCCCATCTCTACATTTGACAGCCAGTACCATCTCGGGTCTCGGTGTCGCAGTGGTGATGAATCCATGGGACGTTATCCTAACCAGAATATATAACCAAAAGGGAGACCTGTACAAGGGTCCAATTGACTGTTTGGTGAAGACCGTCAAGATTGAAGGTATCACTGCCTTATACAAGGGTTTCGAAGCACAAGTTTTCAGAATTGGGCCACATACCATTCTATGTTTGACATTCTTGGAACAAACAATGAAATTGGTTCATGCATTTGAGTCTAAGGTCCTCGGTCACAACTAAGACATGGTAGCATTAAACAGTCTAGCGACCACCCCATCATACTAAAAAACCACGAAAATAAATTTATATATCCATTTTATAGAGCAAAATACTAAGAATCGATAGTGCATTATTCATTTCAAGCAGGCTGATAACACAGGGGCAGACAACATTACTTTGGTCAAAACACATACTTTTGGACCAGCTTTTTATGCTCTTTCTTGGACTTCTCGCTGGCCTTGGCCTCTTCGATCTTGGAAAGGTAGCTAGAGTAAACCACCACCTCTGCGACAAGCACCAGGATCCCGAAGAACATGCATAAGAAAATCCTGTGGTGTATAGCCAGACCAGCTGACGTACGTGACCAGTACCAGATGGCCACCACTACAGATATGACACTGATTATGATATTGAAAACCGTCGTTACTTGTTCCTTAATCTCACGGTTGATCTGCGCCGGCGTTGCTTCTGACTCAGTGGTGATGGCAAGATCACGGTTCTTCACAATCTGCTGGTACTCTTGCTCCTGTTGCAATGCACGCAGCCGAGCCAATTGCGCTTGAAACTCGGGACTAGGCTTCCTCGTCTCTCTGTCCTTGAACTTGAACTCTAGCCCAGACAACGCCTCTGAAACTGACACCTCGGAACCCCAAGCTCGACACAACTCAGCCAATTCACCACACGGCACACTCCCACGCTCAATCAGCTCTAGCAATCGCACCTTCGCATCGCCATCTCCCGCAGCCACCGCAGCTTCCACCGCGGATTCCAGCGCCCGCCGCAACGCACTACCTACTGCCACTTCAAACATATGTACTGGAAACACAGCTTTTATATGCTATGAACTTCAGCTCAGATTGAAGCTCATCGCCTTGAAGGAAGTTTCTGGAAGGTTTTCACTTTTTAAAGGCCTTAAGGGGATTTCTCGCCTCTCTGGGGGGGAGGGAGCCCAACTGGCTGGAAAAATTTGTATATAAAGGGCCCAACATTTAGGTGACGGTGCTTACCAGACCTTTGCATTTGCTGGGGTTGGGAAGGACCACGAAGCAAGTTGAATTGAAGATGTCCAAAGTATTGACACCTGAAGTTGCGTGGGCGCAGAGGTCCAGCGAGAGCGATGCTGAGAAGAACTACCTGTTGATTACTGTTAGTATTCCAGATTGCGAGTCTCCTGAGGTTAAGATTGAAGCTGGTTCTTTGGATCTGGAGGCGCAATCTCGTGGACATGTTGGCGATGAGCACAAGCACACTTACAAGCTGCACATTGACTTCTACAAGGACATTGTTCCGGAGAAGTCTCTACACAAGATTGCCAATGGCCAGCACTACTTCCTGAAGTTGTTCAAGAAGGACCTGGAGCTAGAGTACTGGCCACGTTTGACCAAGGAGAAGATCAAGTACTCCAACATCAAGACCGATTTCGACAAGTGGGTTGACGAGGACGAGCAAGAGACCGCCGCTGACACCGGTATGCCAGGCGACATGGACTTCAGCCAGTTGATGGGCGGCATGGGCGGTGCCGGCATGGGTGGCATGGGCGACATGGGCGGAATGCCCGGCATGGGCGGAATGGGCGGCCCAGGTGGTCCAAGCATGGAACAACTGCAGAGCATGCTAAGCCAACAAGGCGGTCTAGGCGGTTTAGGCGGTGAAGATCTAGGAGACTTCGGTGGAGAAGATGAGGATGAGGAAGAGATCGAGGAGATCAAGAAAGATTGAGTCCAAGAGATGTCTACCTCATGAAAAAAAGTAAGTGACTGCAGGTATTTTCTTCTTTATTTGTATAATCATGTTTTCTTTAACACTGATTATTTGTAGCTCAATATAATTTACGCATGTATTCAGTCTGCATTTGTACCAGGATTGTGAGCCAGTTTCAATCTTGAACTGGCAATAATTATAAAAATACCATTTATGTATTTAGTATTCATTGATAGCTAAATGATGTGATGATAAAAGAGATTCATGTGTATATGCAAGGATAAAAAAAAAGTAATAGTAATAAAATAAAACACTGTGAATAATAACAAGCCAAAGTTAATGTAGAGACAAAGTAAGAATAATATGCCTGAAATGTGAGAATAAGAGATTTTGTGTCAGAATTGCAATGATCCAACAATTTCTTGGATAAATGCTGAGTTGAAAATGTCATTACAATTCCACCGCTGGTTCTTTCTCGTTAAAGTATTATTGACAATTTCCTTGGCAGAAGAATCATCTTCGATCATTTTATGCCATTTCCATTCAAATCTGGCTATTCTATGTGCAGTTGGTCTGTTTTTTTGTCTAATAGAAGCACCTGGTAGTGGATCGAATGGCAGTCTATCTTCTAGTAGTGAATATAAAATGACACCCATAGCCCAAGTGTCAGAAAGGTGACCATCATATGGTACACCCATTAGTATTTCAGGTGATACGTAGTCTTCTGATCCGCACCTTGCTGTGCATAGCTCATCCGGTTCTATTTTCTTGCACAGCCCAAAATCGGCAATCTCTACAAAACTATGCTCGTAGTATATGTCCTTATCCTTTAGGGATCTGATATTCCCAAGAGGTACCTTCAGTAGAATGTTCTCCAGCTTTAAGTCTCTGTGAATAATATTGTGTTCATGTAAATATTTGACACCTAAAAGGATCTCTGTAAATAGACGTTGAATCAGCCAACGATCTAGGTTGCCGGAACATTGTGACATTGCGGCCAATAAATCTCCACCAACACAGTATGACATGATTAAGTTGCATGGAACTAATTTTTGTCTTAGCTTGAGCATATCATATAATGGTCGACAGCTTTCGATAAATAGTGGATCGTTCACTCCAAATAGTTTGACAATGCATGGATGATTTAAAGAATTCAGTACAGAAATTTCCCTGGTTAAAGAATTGTCAAGTCTACCCAATAGTTCATCAAAATTGGCTGAGCGGTTTCTAATGTCCTTCAATTCTTGTGGATATCTTATCCTCTTCACAGCTACTTGGAGTAATTCTGGATCATTTTGATCAATTGATTCATATAAAAGAACATCGCTGAAATTACCAACACCAATGGTTTTCACCTTTCGCCATTGTAGTGCTTTTGTATATTCGCCAATTCTATATCCCATAAGTACTATATCGTCTTCTTGTGAGTTAGAATCATCCGCAAGTGCCGTTCCGTCATGGTGAATGGGGAATTTATCATTCTCAGTTGTAGTTTCTTCTGATACTGTTGGTAAAGATATTACTCTTTGCTGAGCGGTATCTGGAGTCGGTACCACTTCTGAGATTATTCTGATAGGTTTTGATCCGATTAATCCGTCCAAGTTTGGTTTATATTGAGCCCTTCTCTTTGGAATGTTGATCTTCATCTCAGTGCTTTTGATAGCTTGAGGTGACTTATTCAACACAGCTGGTGACATGGGACTGTACACCATTGGTGTTGGTAGAGTGGCGACATTCTCAAATGTAGGTATAGAAACACTCAACGGTGTAACAACCTTCACATCTTCCGTCTCATCAGCTCCTACTTCAGTGTTCATTGTAATATCTGGAACACTAGCTCCAAATTCGGAGACGTTCGTGTCTCTACTTGTCAACTCATCTATACTACCAGCAACAGACGTGTTACCCTCTGACGTACCATTGAACCCGGTCATTGTCCCCTCAGGTATATCAAACCCAGTTTGAGGAATTCGCGGTGTTTTAGGGTCGTTATGCAAATATTGCTCAGACATGGATTAGCTGAGTTCTATAACCAGCGATGATACAAAGCTCAATTTCTCAATTAGGATGTGGTCCAATTCCAAGGTCAAGGGCACAGTATTGAAATTGGTAATGTAATGAACAACAGCAACGAGAACGTTCAGAAAAGCGTGTCGGTACTTCGCAGTTGTGGCTGTGCCATGCACGTTCAACAAAATCAAGCGCAAACTGGGAAAAGTAATTGTCCTTATAGAAAGTGCAACTTGTAAGTACCTGACTGAATGTTGTTAGAGATTTCTGAGCCTCTAAACCATAACAAATATGGGCAATTGGAAACCGTAAATCACCTTAAATCGTTGTCCCCATAAGTAACTTGTTTTCTCTAATCCGATGGGATCAAAAAAAATGTTGCAGCTGTCTCGCCTTTGTTGATGCGCATCGGCAGCTTTACAGCCATGACGGCATAGTCAAGTAGTTGTATATAATAATTGAGATTAATATATTGCAGCTCGTTAACCTGTTAGTTATATGTTTATGATTGGAGAGAAAAAATAGAATAAATTAATACATATTGTTTTTGTATAATGCCTAAGTCATTAAAAAATCGCGCGCGCAGTTCTGTCAAGGTACTGAATCTTGGAGGAATTCAAACCATAATTTTGCTTGATAGCTTAGTAACTTATTATTTTTTGGCTTTTTTCAACTGCGCTGTGATATCTGCTGCGCCTGTCGCTTTCCTTTTCTTAGTAGTCGTAGTCTTCTTCTTTTCAAATTTTGACATTTGTTCTTTCCTGGACTTTTCACCTAGTTTTTGCAGTTCTTCGTTTTTAGCTTCCATTTCTTTTAACTTGTCAGTATCACCATCTTCAATGGTCTCTAACCATTCAAGAAGTTTAACCTCCTTGGCATATCCCGCGTCGTCAGGTTGTGGGGTCTCCAGAACAATTGGTATGCCTTTCAAATGATCGTAATGAGCCAGGTTTCTAAAGAAATCTAAACCCAAGTATCCTTCACCCAGTTTTTCATGTAGATCTCTGTTAGCACCCAGTGGAGCTTTGGAGTCATTAAGATGCACAGATGCTAAGTATTTATAGCCAATAATGTCGTCAAAATCTTTCCAGAACTTGTCGAAGGCGTCTTTGCTCTGAATATCGTAGCCTGCTGCAAAGGTATGGCATGTGTCTATACAGACACCAATTCGTGACTTATCAGTGACCATATCGATCACTTTCCTCAGATCAGTAAGATCACTGCCAACTAGATTACCGGTACCAGCCATATTCTCTAGCACAATCTTGACAAACTTCGTCTCACCTAACGCCTTATTGATATATGACGCTAACTGTTTTAATTGCTCATCGTGATCACCTTTCAAAGTGGAACCAGGATGAAAGTTGTACAAACCAACACCAAGTTGTTCACATCTTGTAAGATCATCGATGAAAGATTCATAACTCTTCTCTGCTTTTTCGGGATCAGGATTTGCAAGGTTTATGAAATACTGTCCATGTGGTAGTATGTCAGTCAATGGGTTGTAACCATATTTCTCACAATTCTCTTTGAACTTTGCGATCTCTTCCTGTGTGAATGCTGGAGATACCCATTTTCTAGGGGACTTCAAGAACATTGCAAATGAGTTGCACCCGGCATTGAATGCATTGGTAACACTGTTTGAGATGCCTCCAGCACCAGACATGTGTGCCCCGAATTTGTACTTCGACACTGTTGATCTTGCAAACGTACTCATTGATCGAATCGTCTTGGTCACTATATTATCTAGGGTCTTGCCTTTCACAATTTTAGTCCAGTTTAGTTACAACCTGAGCCGATGAATTGACTAGGGAGTTCAGCAGATTATATTTATAGTTATACTCTGACAGCCAAATAGACTCTGTACTATTGTACTCATTCAATGATTGGTGATGAGCTAATCGCACAGAATTCCAGATTCCTTCAATTTTAACTTTTTTTTTCAGCCAACTTGTTCTTCGCCGAAATAGTGTCAAGCAGAAAATCACATTGCTAATCATTGATCAAATTCAAGATCAGCAATCATTAATAAGCTAGTGGATATTTCAATGGTCTAGTTGGCGACAGGATTATTATAATGTATATCAATAATAGTAGTGCATAGTAACTACTTCTCTTTCTACTCCCTAGTTATACAATTTATGTCTATCTTTGTTTCCAAGCAGATTTTTTTATCTTGTCATTATTTAAACAGATGTCTCCGGATGCGGTGTCATTTGGTTGGAAAAGAATAGCAGATTTTGCTGTTACTGCATTACTTAACGTCTCTTTGTGACCTTACCCTTGGCTCCTTTAGCATTTTTTTTCGCTAACTTGGCCTTTGCAGCAGCAGCCTCTAATTGTTCTTTTGTCTTTGGGACGACTTTGAAGAAACCATCAAGACGACCTTGTACACCGGATTTTAGGCCCTTTTGTAATCTCTTGATACCTGACCTCACTCTTTCTTCACTGAATTTCTTTTCGTGGCACAAATATTGTATCAGTTCGTCCTCCTTTGGTGGAGTCCATTTCAGATCAATTTCATTGGCATCAATGACATCTGGCTTAACAAATAATTCTCTGGCCTCCTTGTATGGCCAATTCTCAGGAACTTTCCACTTGTTATTGGCTTCACCTGACTCGATGTATTCGACAATCTTCTCCAATGAGCCGTGCTCTTTCATCAGCTTCAATGCTGTTACTGGGCCTACACCTTTGATACTATCACAGTAATCGCAACCAAGCATTATACCCAAGTCAATGAATTGGTCGATGGTTAGCTCAAGGCCTTGCAAGACAATTTCTGTATTGATCTCGTGGATGGGTTCTTTTCTTGCTTCTGAAAATGTTAAATGCCTTAATAGATATGGAGTTCTGTAACAGAGAGTATCCATGTCTTCACTTGCAGCAGCGTATACTTTACCCTTCTTGGCTAGCTCGGCACATTGAGCTTCTGCTTCACCTGGTGCATTAACATAAGGAATTCCCATAAGTTCTAACAGCTTTTTAGCCTCATCATTATGCTCTTTGGAGACTTTTACCAACCTTCTCTCGTGCTTCATCTTCTCTGCTTCTTCTGTGGCTTCAGCCAGCTTCTTTTCGGTTTCTTCCCTTCTGCTGGTTCTCTTATCTAGTTCATGGGATTTTAAAACGGGTGGTTTACCATCAAACACATAACATGGCTTGATACCATTATCAATCATCCTCAGAGTTCTATAGAACATACCCATCAAATGTGATGTAGTCTCACCGGTTTCAGTAGAAAGCTGGCCACCATCCTGTTGTCGTACAGCAATTAAAAACTGATACAAGGACATGGACGCATCAATGGCCACCTTACGGCCAAAGAACGCCTTGATATCGCTCTTTCTTATAGCGCTTGGCACATGCTCAGTTATGATCGAGTTTAAACCTTTAATACCCATGTTAGTCGGTAAGTCTTCTGCGTCTGTTAGATCCTAAATCGTCTAACTGTGAGCAATCTGAAGTGTCTATGAAAACTTACCAAACAGCTTAAATCAATTGCCAATGGTAAGTTTTCCTGATAGTTATTGAAGTCTTTACCAAGCTTAAAGGATAACTCATCGCATCCAGCTCTTCGGACCTGAATTTTTCACGGACGCGAGCAAAGGTAACGCGTAAAATAAAGAATTCGACATTGAACTATTGAAATATAAACGTTCTTACGCGTCAAATTTAGTGCAATAGCCTGCAAACTTACCCAGAAGACGGGCGATATACTAGGTATATGTAAATGTAAATGAAGTTAAGAGGTGCAAAGTAGCTGTTAGTAGCTATTGGGTAAGTAGTCTATCGTTGGCGCTTTAAAGAAATTAACAAGGGTAGAAAGAAATGTTCTACATTTCAGCATCATATTGCAACGTTTATGTATTTTATTGTGTAACACTGTAGTTATAATGAGGTTATTTGATTTATACAGATAGAATCTTGAATTTATTGATTGTTTGTAATTTGGTACTATAAATTTATATTTTGGATATGATATTCTACTATTCGGACAAGATTGGTAGATGAGCAGATGTTGAATCTTAAAGAGTAAACACATAACATTACGTATTAAGGGTAAAGAGAAGTAAAAACTGAAATACATCAAAAGACATACAATCAACTATTATAGTTCAAAAATAATAAGGCTTATTCGGATTTGCTATTATACATGTCGATAGAAGCTGAATATATAACTTCTATCTAATTATTAAAGAAAAATAATTTGAAAATACATATTTTGAATTTGATATATATTTACCGACCCAGATGGAGAGAAAACCCATGATAATTAATACCCAGAATGATGTGCCATTCTTTGCGTCATCAAATCATATTAGAAAGTAAAAAAAAATAGTAAGTGAGAAATAAAACATTTGCAAAATAATATAATTATTTTAGTGCTGTGTGAAATGAAATGTGGATTTATTTTTTTGGGATTGTTAATGAAAAACACAGAAAAATTAGTAAAAATATTTTCTTTATGATTTCATAGTTTAAGCTTGAGTGGAAGAAGAGTACTTGGTAACAGCTCTAGTACCTTCAGAGACGGCGTGCTTAGCCAATTCACCTGGCAAGATCAATCTAACGGCGGTTTGGATTTCTCTAGCGGAGATGGTAGACTTCTTGTTGTAAGCAGCCAACTTGGAGGCTTCGGAAGCGATTCTTTCGAAGATATCGTTAACGAAGGAGTTTAGAATAGACATGGACTTTTGAGAGATACCGGTGTCTGGGTGAGTTTGCTTCAAAACTTTGTAGATGTAAGAGGAGTAAGTCTCCTTTCTAGCCTTAGTTCTCTTCTTACCATCGGAAGATGGAGCAGTCTTCTTGGCAGCTGGCTTCTTCTCAGCTGGGGCTTTGGAGGCAGGCTTCTTTTCGGCTTTAGCAGACATTGTATATATATTTAAAGTGTGTTTTGTGTTTGTGGGTATGATTTCCTTTTTCTTTCTTAGTATAAACTAAACTATTGAAAAAGGGACTGAAAAGTATGAAGATTGGGAAGTTACAAGAAACAAATACCAAGTCTTTATATATAAGTTTTTTTTTATAAAGAACTAGCTTTGTTTACTATATAGAATTTAGTAGTTGAGAATATGTCGTATTGATAAGACACAGAGTAGGGCCGGGGACGTTCCCATATGGCACTGGCGATCCGACATAGGCTATCTTTATTTTGCCACACACATAGTACATAGTACATAGTACATAATACACCGTACACCGTACACAGCACACAGTACACAGCACTCAGACATCCCTATAGAAGAGCAAATAAACAAACACCAAGGACTAACACCAGGGGGTGTTGAAATAACCAATAATGAAATAGCCGACCCTATGCATTGATCTCCAAATGGTCGAAACAACGACCCATAGATCCGTACCAGAAACTTCACACTTAACTATGGATATACACGGTAACCCGTCTGCGAAAAATTGGGAACAACGGAAAGTACCCAAGGTGCCACACAACTAGAGTAGAGCAGTGATACTTGGTAGAAGCTTGCTACTGCCCTTTCTATGTGAAAACATACTATATCAAAATCCATTTTCACTGCAGGCGGGGGGGCAGAGGGCCCCATTGTATAACAATATACCTATTGACGAGAAAAACACTCAATCGCATACTTCCTATTTTCTTTCCCAAGGAAGAAGATTATCAGAGAAACAATCGTAGAGATACAGTTAATTTTTCTCGTCTATAGTGCTACGGACCTAATTTTCTCATATTATTCTAGAGAAATGAGAGAAGGGAAGGGGGGAAGAGTCCGCCCACTTCGACAAGTTCACGTCGAGTGAGCTTTCGGGTCAAACAGAGAACATAGATGGTGTTCCAGATATTTCACACTTAAGTATGGTCAGATGGGGGGTGAAAATATGGGAACGGTAAATTATACCCACCAACAAAGAACTTATCTCCCTTTCTATAATGTGCTGTGTGGTGGCTTGAAGTACATAGAGTTAAGAAAGTGGTGCACAATAAAAGGTTTTTGTGTGGTTTGGATACGTAATTAGTCTACCTGCCTCTATAATGGGAAGGGGCTGGTCGTTAGTGTACTTGCTACTCGATATTCAGTGTTATATTCTCTCAGAATGATAAGCAATAGCTTTACAGTCTCTTATAATCCTTTGCCACTTCAAAAATTGCTCTCTCTATCTATAGTGTCTCTCTGGTGAACGGTATCTGGGATTTGGTTATTTTAGAAGAAAGAAATAAAAAAGTATATAAACAGAGTTAACTTCAGTATTGCCCAACTTCTTTAATCTTTCTTGCTCTCTTCAAATATTAAAGAAACAGAAAATCAAAACCATATAAGATAATTTTTTAATTAAAGCTATCTCATTTGCGAAAACAATATTTTAATAACCAAAAAACAAACAAACTACACACATATTAAACAATGTCCGGTGGTAAAGGTGGTAAAGTTGGTTCTGCTGCTAAGGCTTCTCAAACTAGATCTGCTAAGGCTGGTCTAACATTCCCAGTCGGTAGAGTTCACAGACTTTTGAGACGTGGTAACTACGCTCAAAGAATTGGTTCTGGTGCTCCAGTCTACTTGACCGCTGTTCTAGAATATCTAGCTGCTGAAATCTTGGAATTGGCTGGTAACGCTGCCAGAGACAACAAGAAGAGCAGAATCATCCCAAGACATTTGCAATTAGCCATCAGAAACGATGACGAATTGAACAAGTTGTTGGGTAACGTCACTATCGCTCAAGGTGGTGTCTTGCCAAACATTCACCAAAACTTGTTGCCAAAGAAGTCTGCCAAGCCTTCTGCTTCTCAAGAATTGTAAGAAAAGAATTAGTCCAATAATCAAAAAAATCCAACAACAACAATAATTTTTTGATCTATTTTATCAATTCTAAAATCTGCATTCCAAAGTCTTAATTTTTTCAGTTCAAAATAAAATACTACAACAACTTTTTGTTTTCTATATATAATTTTGGGGGTATTTACGTTATATTTTTTTTATTTTCCTTCCTAATGTACTATATTAATTCCATATCATTTATCAAGTCAAATGAATTTGAAGTCCAGCACTTATTTTTTTTTCAATTTTAACGTATGTGCTCGATGTACTCATTACCAATCTCAGTATAATCAAATCATGTGTTTATCGATAATCCCACTCTTATTAAGGATCAAAGGAGTTTTCTCTTGTTCTTGAAAGTATCGGGATTGTAATTGTCCTCGGAAAACTACAAGACCATGTCCAGCTATGTCAGGAACCCAAATCACCCAGAGGCCTGAGGCTTGCTGCTACATCATCTCAACGATGACATTCCAGTTCAATGTTACTCTCCCTCTATAGCACCTTTGAACCCGAGTGAACAAGACATTATTCATATGGCGAAGATGCACTCGCACCACTTGAATTTTGAAAAAAAAAAATTTTTGAAAAAAAAAAAATTGAAATTTTTTGAATAAACAACACTGAATGAACAGCAAATTGGAAGTGTTCAATTGTGCAACTCTTGTACAAAGATTGTACAAAGATTGTACAGGATTGTACAGGATTGTACGGGCCTGCATTTCAAATTTAGTTGCCATTTTGAAATTAAATGCAAGTTAGAGAAGTTGTCATTCCATGTCGTCGACTATCTCTTGCGGGCTTTCCCATTCCTCGGAATAATCGACCATTCCACAATTGTAGAGTTCCAAACCCACGTATCGTATCTCCCAACAAGCCATATATAAATATATAGAGATTGCTATATCAATGAGTAGACACTGTTAGCAACTTCAATTGGGTTTGAAGGGTTTTTTTCTCTTATAGGGTTTAGATACTTTCTGCAGAACAAAACATCCCCATACACAAGCAATTTTAACACAATGTCTAGCTCCGACTCTATCAGAATGGTCTTGATTGGCCCACCAGGTGCCGGTAAAGGTACCCAAGCCCCAAACTTGGTTGAAAGATTCCATGCTGCTCACTTGGCCACTGGTGACATGTTGAGATCCCAAATCTCCAAGGGTACCGAGCTGGGTCTACAAGCCAAGAAGATTATGGACCAAGGTGGTTTGGTCTCCGACGACATCATGGTTAACATGATCAAGGATGAGTTGACCAACAACCCTGCCTGCAAGAACGGTTTCATCCTAGACGGTTTCCCAAGAACCATCCCACAAGCCGAAAAGCTAGATAACATGTTGAAGGAAAGAGGTACTCCACTAGAGAAGGCCGTCGAATTGAAGATCGACGACGAGCTATTGGTCGCCAGAATCACCGGTAGATTGATCCACCCAGCCTCCGGTAGATCTTACCACAAGTTGTTCAACCCTCCAAAGGAAGACATGAAGGACGACGTCACCGGTGAACCACTGGTCCAAAGATCCGACGATAACGAAGATGCTTTGAAGAAGAGACTAGGTGCCTACCACGACCAAACTGAACCAATTGTCGATTTCTACAAGAAGACCGGTATCTGGGCCGACGTCGACGCTTCTCAACCACCAGAGACCGTCTGGTCTGCTATCCTAAAGGCTCTAGGTAAGAACTAGAGATAAGAAGGAACATAGTGCCAAGAGATTGCTGCATTTTTCTTTCATATATCACCTACACCTCCCCACCCCAGAGTGTCTTACTCTTTTACTAAATACCAACCTTATTACATAGCAATATAACGAATTTTCTCTACTGTACGTCAAAAGAAAGCCAGCAAGCCAGTAAACAAACACAACTTGATGAGCACAGAAATGCCACTCAGAGTTGCCAAGATTCCCCTCCTTGTTGTAGCTTTAGCAAATACTACTTATATTTGAACTATTAAATAGTGAATGTTAACTATATAACACCAGTGTGCCTTTGCCAAATAAATAATTATATACGTAACTACACATGATTTTGTCGTAACAAAGAACATCATCCAGCATTTGAACAATCTTGGGCGGCTCTGCGGTATATTTCAGATCTCAGATTTCAGCGTCTAACTTTCTTTGGATACATATTGAAAGCAATGGCATAAGAAGAGGATCCTGCGTCTAAGATAGCCAATTTAAGCATGCTGCATTACCCCAGGTGGTCCTAACGCTGAATTTTTCAGTTTATTCCCTGACTGTTGATAGATTAAGCGCGATTTGAAGGGTTTCCGAGTTTACTCTAGAAGATCAGCTTAAAGGTATTTGAGTCCCAACGATGTTGCGCAGCTTTGTTTGCTACAACATTGAATGGTTTGCTACAGTTATAAATAACGCAACCGTCACTGTTTCGCTTTAGATGACATTGTGGAGCCTACCTCGGTACAAGGTCTACAAAAAGTAGCACTCTAGCTCTTTTTTTTAACAAAAAGAGAGTAGACAAGGATGAGATGGGTTGTATGTATGTAAAGATTCCGGTACTAGGCGTCGAATCTGGGTTGCCTATTGAACACGTCATTATCACCCGGCTTACATAAGCACAGTTCACCAGGCAAGTTGAAATTGTCCTGTCTGTTAAAGATTTCCTACAGGAGGTTAAAATTCTCTCACTGCATATGCTATGATGCCAGACTATTTCTCGTAAAATATCTATATGGTCTATCACTTTCGATAGTTCTGAATTCTGAAAAAACTAAAATGTATTTTATCAAATTTTAACAATTTTTTTTTTCAAATAGCTAATATCTGATGGGCAATCCGATTTTAACTTTTATTTAACGAGAGTCATACGCTGGCTAGTGGATTTGCAAATTCCAATAACGTTTAAGTTCGTGTGCCTCCTCTCCTCTCCTATCTTTTCTTTTCATATTATCATTTCCATTACCCAGCAACAGAAAAACACATACTTCCACATTAGTATCATTTGTACATTAAAGAGAGTAAGTGGGCAATCTCGTACATATTTTTTTTCTTCGACATTTGCAATAACTGCTCCAACATGGGAATTCCTTTTTAGCAGCTTACACTAAAGTCACGTAAAAATAACAAAAAAGTTATCTTTATTGTTTTCCAACTAGCAGAAATTCTTAACGTTCTACGACTTTTTTCATATAGGATGTGCCGTAGTACCTAAACTTGCCCTGGATCAGCACTTGCACCAAACTTCTGCTAGCAGTCTGTTTTTTGGTCAAAGCTCACCCCCACTATAGCGTGTTGGAATGATCGCTGTTCGTTCGACTTCTTTTTGTTAACTTTTTTTTAGTACAGGCATAGTTGCACGTCGCTCTGACCGAGCTGCAACCCTCGCTGCATTCTAAGGGTCTTTGTTGTTCTTAATGAGTGATGAAGACCAAACATCTTAGAAACAAATTACACATGCATTGATTACAGTTAACTAAACTGAAGAGTATAGAATTTTATGAATACGCGATTATATAGTTGTATTGTGTTAGGAATTCAAATCTATCCAAGATAAAAACTATAGGAATAGCTTTCATCTTTAGAAACATTTCATTGTTTCCGTACCTTTGTCGCAATAGGCAGTTTATAGTACACAAACGTTGAGAAATTGAAAACTAGCGCAAAGAAACGTTTGTTGTACCGACGTCAATAACCGAAATATACGAATAGGACAAATATTTTCAAATATAATTAAAGAAAGAAAATCGACTGAACGGTATTACTGAGCGACTTTAGTTTTTTCTTCACATTGGTTGCATCCAAATTATAATTCAAGAAAATATACAACGAAGTCATTGTTTTGTCGTGATTGTGGAAGCAAAATAAACATAATTTAGAGGAGAGCAATTAATTTTTATTAACAAACTGGTAATAACATTAATTATCCATTCCCTTTGATAGTACGTCTTTTACATTGATCAGCGCACGCAAAATCAGTGACCAAACAAATCACGAGCATAACCCAGGATTCTATACTTGAATAACCTTACTGCCATTCCACCAAGCTCCGATACTAAAACTTTTAATATTTAACCTACTGTTGTACTCATAATAAAAAATGGCACAGGAGCTACCGCAAGATCAAATTTCACAGCCTGCACCAAATTATAGCTCTACAATAGAATCATCTCATGTAACAACTAACAGAACATACGAAGGCCAACAATATGTTGTGAATTCTATGAATGGCCCAACTAATAGTGAACTAGTTAGTCCAATGAATAAAACTATCAATTTAGCAAATCAAAATTTAGAAAATGGACGGACTGAGAACATAGTATATCATAATTATCCCGATACAAATGGAGACCCTCGAGTACAAAAATCAGTGTACCCAAGCAACAGAATTTACGTCAACAATAACGGTCGTTATATACCTGCCGGTGAAGTTTACTATGGGACAGATAGGAGTTTTCCGTCCTACTCTCATCCTCGCAATAGAAAACCACCTTTGATACCACTTGTTAGATATACTAAAAGTGCATGTAACACACCAAAAAGACAGCTTGAACAGGATACTACGATAGTCACCAATGGCTATGTTTCACCCTTTGAGAGTCGACTGGCATATCAAAAGAACGGGGATAGCAATTTCCAAAACCAACTGGCTGCTGTACCAGTCAGAGAGCAAAATTATGGATCTAATATACAGACTTACAGAGACGCGCACTTTCGGAAACAAGGAAACACAAGACTTCTATCATTATTGCGTTCAAAGGTCTCGAGTAATTCCAATTACATGAACAATTCAGATCAAATTCCAGTACAATATCAACAAACTAATCAACGAATTAATGGTGTGCCAAGTTATGGCGCATATAATATAGTTAATAGCTATGGCCATGTAATGTCTGCTCCACAAAGGCAACGAAGATCAGACAGCACTCCGCAATTGCTCCCTATCACCCATCCAAGGCACAATGAGGAAATTATGCCTATTCATACACGTAATTCAATACCAAATACAATTAATGACGCACACCACCTCAACTCGGAAACTAACTCACACAATGTCCAGATATTAGGTTATGTGGCAGGTAATGAAATCGTACCTCAACTAACAAGCAACACATCTTCTCCCATTCTGGAGCACCCGGAAGATATATCACGTTCAAACACAATTAGTATCAGTTCCTATCCTAGGCAAGATGCCATATATCATGAACAGGGTAATACTAGAACGGGAGGTTCATTCTTAACGGACGTGAAACAATTACTTGTACAAAGAAGTCAGAGCTCCAGCAAATCGGGAAGCCCTAGATCACCTAATCATAAAACACCTAGCACCACAACAAGCCATCCAGTTAGAGACACTAAATCGGAACTGAATGACCGTTTAATAACAATTAATAATACTACTCAAGACAGAGCAGACTATGAAAAATTGAACAAAGACAGCGGTATTTTTATTGCTAAAACACCACAAACTAATCAGAGTGATGACGAGTCGAGATTATCAGGAACTAATAATGAGATAGAAAAAGTTTCACTAGGATCTGCTCAAGTAAAAAGGGTTGCTAGCAGCCATTACAAAAGATCGCTTTCTGCAGATGGCTGCATGGAAGGCCCACATGCTTTACGTGACGGTATTATTTTATCTGGAAGTCGACAGGCTCCTAAAATCTCTGACGATACAGGAGTTAAGACGAAACAAACTGAAAAATACAATGTTATCAAACAAAGTACACCAAGGTATCCCGCTTCAACATTAGATGACAAAACAAAGGAAATTGAAAACAAATCCAATGTTCCTGAAACAAAAGACTTAAAAAGTATAACGTCATCCGACAACAGCGATACGGAATACCCCATTGCACATAATAAAAGTAAGGAGATCAGCTCACAATCTATAACTAAAGATCCTGAAGGTTTGCTTGACCAACAGAGTCTACATGAAGATTATGGGGAAGAGAATCCTCTCCCAAAAATCACCGAACCTTCAAGACCAGTTAATGATAGCTCAACTGTGGATAAAAGAGTCGAAAATAAAAATGAGAACGCTACTCAGGAAGATAAGACTGTTGTTGATAATTTAATATTCAAGAAACAAAGCCACATCCAAGCTAACGATGCAGACAACATGAAAGATAAGGAAGTGGGCTATCAAGATATTGATCATAGATCTCATCTTGCTGCAACAGAAGATAAAAGTAAGTCAACAGATGAGAGTAGCTTCAAACACAGTAAGAGACCTCTTCCAGAGAGTGTAGTGGATGATTACTTAGACCATGATGACTCCTCGCAACCTTTGCACAAAAAATCTAAAGATGCTGGATATGGAACAGAGAAAGAGTTTCAAAATGAACCACATACTGCTAAAGATGTTGAACAAATATCAATGAGCCCTAAAACAAAAGAAGTTCCTGAAATTAATTCCAATAGTAATAATTATACTGATTCTTCGAGCAACGAAACCAAAAATTTGACGACGCCAATAACCACAATTGACAGTAAACCTCCGGAAAAAAATCCTGAAGGTACAAATGTGATGGGAGATGATGATCTTGCAACCAAAATCCTAAATGGTTTCAACCAAAAGGCCTTATTGGATTCTTCTGATGAAAGAAGTAAATCTAACTCGTCTGGCGTTGAACATAATGAGGTACCGATTGCATTAATTCGAGAGGAAAACATACCGTTCAGTACAAACGTAGCTACACATAAAAAGAATAGATTGAGGAAAAACAGCTTAAGCAAATCTTCTGATGATCCAATTGTGCCTGACATAGGAAGAGAGGCCAATCGAAGAAGTGTTTCTAGGTTGCTTAAACCCCTCAGTGGAGTTTTGATCGAGGATAATCATTACTCTACTAAAAATGACAATGACCAATCTGACGATAACTATGGGAAGATGCAAATGATTTATCTTTCAGACGAGGACTCTGATATTGAATTATCTTCAGATAATAATTCTGTGGACTCCGATAGAATCCCAAGTTACTTAAGAAACTATATTGGTTCTTCTTCTACAGAAGTTACCACTTCATCATTATCCGAATCAGCTCAAGCCTTTAATTTTGAGAGCGAAAAAAGGCGGATAGATCGCTTCCTAAACATTGAGGTTAATGAGTACTTGGGTACTAGAAATGCCTATAGTAGATCTTCAATATTAGAAATAATTAAGAAGGCTGTACCACAATACTTGCCCTTGGAAGCTGGGGTTGATGTTAGTGTAACAAATGATATATGTTCTGTTGATAACTACCTGTCTTCGAGTGCCCACCTTTACCAGCAATTACATAAACGCGATAAAATGGTTACAGATCGTTCTGATTACTCTTTCTTAAAGAATACTCACTTTAGCGAGTCTCCAGCTTACTATGCTGAAGTAGACAATCAAGAAGAAGGTAATGATATTACAAGTTCTAAAAAAGGAAGTAACTCAGATGGTGTTAGAACATCTAAGCATAAATGGAGGTCCCAATGGTTAAACCACCTTCGATCTGCTTATGTTTACTTCTTTGCCGATCCAGAGTCCTTGCTTTTTGACCCAGAGATTACTACAATTATTCATGTTTTTGTCAATGAATTTAAAGTCAATGTTGCCAAGGTCTTTAGCAATGATGTTGACATCATCATTAAAATAGAAGGTAATAACTCAAATAATCAACTCTGGAAAAATTTAGAAAGAAAGCTAGTTAACATTCCGAAGAACATTAGAGTGTGGGATGTTCCAAAGGCACTGAATTTCATTAAAAACATGGATATCCAAGCTGATGAATGGCCATTAATATCATCTGTTATGATAGACGATAAATCTACTGAGGATGTATCATCAAGTAATGCCTACAGGAAAAACTCTGGTAATAGTCTCAATAGTGACCATATTAGGGATAACAGACAACCTGTCTCTAGGTCTGATATGTCTAAGAGTTCAGACTTCAGAGGTCAGTCTCCTCCGAGAATCACACATATAGAGTCAGAGTTGGACAGTCCCAGATATGATATCAAAATTGCCACAAACCCGATCGAATTAGAATCTATTCCAAATATACCTTTATTAGTAACTAAGGAGATCATGACTACTAATGATACGCATATGAGTAACGTAGGCACTAAATCCTCACAGTCGCCAAGTGCATTAACAAGCAATGAAGAAACTAGCTCAGCTTCGAAAACAGAGAATCCAGATAAGCACGAAATAATTGACTCAAAAACATCTCCCGAATCTGCTGACAATGACTACAAAATGCCACATACTGCGGGATATGCTAACTCTGACTCTGTGTATAGGATTATCATCAAAGAGCTTACTGATAATTTGATTCAAAATGAGACAAAGTCCATTTCATTAAAAACAAGGCTGAGAAGTAAAGAGGAAGAGCTTTCGAATCTGGCGAAGAAATATAGAGAATTGGAAGCAAAGTATTTGAAATTGCAAAAGGAATCTAACGAAGATTAATATTCTAACTTAATATATATGCCCTATAATCAAATAAATAGACTTTTTAGGAAATCACGATCTTATATAGAATGATAGTGCATGAAATTGATGATAACTTCTTGTTACAACTCAAAGATTATCAAATGCGTATATACATTGTCAGATTTCCCAAACGCTGTACAATCTTCTATCGTTTAGTTTTTCAGTAATTGCTTTAATTTTTGTAAGTCTGCTGTTACACCAGCCAAACTGTCTCTCGACTGTGCTGCTTCAAAATAACATGTTGCATGAAAAAATTTACTATCTACTGATATGGTATTTCTCCAAATCCATTCACCACTATCCTCATCAAAAACACTGGAAACGGTCTCTTTACAAATTGGACATTGAAAGCTCATGTCATCCGATGACTCTGGAACAACAACATATTTTTTCCTTAGGTCGTTCACATCAATGAAATCTGTAGATTCGCTCTTTGCTAGTGATTCACTAGCAATTTTACTATATGCATCCTCGGAACTTTTGTTCTTTTCCTTGTTATGACGTTGATCAATGTCTCTGGTAGTTGAAACGATTTCATCATCGTTAAATTTAACCCAATCACTGTCATTCAGGAACCAAGTCCTTGATTGAATGTTCTTCTGAGTCGAAGAGACATTGCTAGACGTAAATGGATTATTCACTAATCTTGAACCTTTTATTCTCTTGTTGATTCTAAAGTGCCAATCTAAGTGATCCGCTTCAGCCTTCTTATCCTCCATGGAGTTACCAAATCTTTTACCACAGGTAAGACACTTGTTTGGCTTTGAGCGATATAATAAGTTAACTAGCCTCACATCTACTGTAGAGTTATGGTTAAGTAGATTCCCTTGATTTAATTGTAGATTTGGTGAATTTAATATGTCGATATTTGCTGTAGCGAAGTAAGCCTTACAATCATTAATTATACCCTGCAGGACGGATACGGTAGGTACTTGTTTGAGTTGGTTGTATTCTTTCAATTTCAAATCAACCTCATTATCCCCAGTTATACCATTAAGCTTATTATAAAGAGTCACTATAGATTCATTCTTTGGCTTGTATAGAAGCCCAACAGAATCTAACTCATTGAACAGAGATTTCAATTTATTAAGTTGATGATTTTTGTTGTTATCAATTTCTACAAAATCTGGGGTAGAGAACATTGGAGTCGATTCACCAAATAATGTTGACCCATTTTGATCTCCGAATAATGGAATTGCAGAGCCACTGAGCATATCTGGAGTCGACCTACTTGATTGTGCATCACCAGTTTTGGTTGGTTGCTGTTCAAGGAATTGTTCCTGCTGTTGCTGCTGTTGCTGTTGCTGCTGTTGATAACGAAGCTTATCCTGTAATTTTTGGTAATCTTGAGCAAAAATATTCCGTAATTGCATTTGCACTTGCTTCAATGCACTGCTAGCCATCCTTTCTCTTTGCAGTTCTTTCTTTAATTGCTGCAAAACCATTATTTTCTTCTGTAACTTGTCATCGTTAGGCTGATCCTTGAGCCTTTCATTTGTAATATATGCTAGCTTGTCTATTTCCTTCAACAGTAACGGTACAGTTGGTTTTGGCAATTGTGACTCCAAATTCTTTTGGTGTAAAGCACTAGCCTTAATCAAAAACTGTTCTATCTTATCCAAAGCAGTCTTCTCAAATAGAAAAGTGGAACCACCAGTTGACTGGTTGGGCTCAACCCATGTCTTGAACATCCTTATTAGCTTCGTCCGGACTTGATTGTCGACAAGTAAGTAAGCTTTCCGGTATAGGTTAGGCAAATTTCTGCTGAAATATATGGTGTAGGGACTCCCAGCATTCTTGCAGATAGAGTCCATAACGTAAAATGCAAATAACTTCTGACTAGGTTTCCACTTCTCAATCCTGGCTTCAACCGCATCTACAAAATACTGTGCACATGATATATTCTCCTCTGCCATTCGCGTCAGCGTGGTAATTATGGGCCTCGAGTTAAATGTTAGCTCATCTAACACACCCTCAAACTCCTTTACCGTTGCCTCAGTCTCTTTGTCCATCCTTTATACCAATATGTATAACTTTAATGGCAAGTTCAACTAATAAAAAACGCTGCCAGAACCCAGATTGCTATGCTACTTCCTTTACCGTCCTTGTGAGTTATTCAACTAGCCAGAGAAGTCCCCAAACAAACTATCCTTCTACTTATGAGTCAGTTCATTGTAAGTTTTGTTCTGCGATGAGGGTCCCAATTCCCAGCTTTTTTGCAAAAATTGCCAGGAAAAGCTTTAAAATTGATAACCTTAGGCATCGACAATGCTGGGCGAGTGAAGCTCATGGACGCAGCAGCAATAGGCGACTAGACTGGTGTTTCTCTAATTGGGATTTGCTGTGTATACAAGAGATAAAGCTCGCTTTCCCTGGTGGAATTGGTCGGCGTAGCGAACAGCAGTCAGTGGTTTATAAACAAGAACCCTTTAAAGGATTCAGGAATTCAAAAACAAGTTTTAACTTGGAAGTATCAGCTGGAATGAATGGCAAAGAGGAGAACTTCAAGTCTCCTGCGCGGTATGCGGCGCACTTATCTGAGTTCTATCCTTTGGTGAACGGCGAAAGCCATGGCCAGATGAGCAACAAGGAAGACATGCATACGCCAGACCGCCGGAGTTATCTAGAGGAACCTATCACACCTCGATCTCAGATGCATACGAGGAGAACGTCAAGTGTGGCATCAGGAGTGAGCTCTATTAGCGATATCCAAAGCTTTGTCACCAAGAGAGACGTTAAGCTTACATCGGACGCGCTCAAGGAACTTCACGAGACTTCTTACCGATTTTCCAAGGCTCTAAATAGTGTAGCCACTGAGGCTAATGCGATGGCAAAGAGTCTAGAGAGTATAGCAAGACTGAAGGGCTGTGGCGATGATATTGCACAAAATCTTCTGAGCGCTGGCGGGCTCTTCTATTTAGTGGGCAACCATGACTTAATAATGGCCAATTACTTAGATGAGTACCTTGGAGAGAATTTACTAAAAGACATAGATGAATTTAAAGTAGATTCGAAGACATTAGAAAATAGCTTCAAAGCGAAGAGCAAATCTGAGACGGTAAAATTGAGATTACAAGAGAAACACAACAGGCAGCTAGGGAAGCGTAAAATAAGGAACCTATTGGCATATAGAGAGAGCTTGCTAAGTCTCCAGAACACTCTCGATGATCTCGAGACGTTAAAGCATAACTACTATGTCGACTCATATGAATTGGTGGAGTCTACATGTAGCAAAGTGCTTGGAAAAGTGGCTTCACTATCCAGGGCTCAATTAGAAATATCAGAAAATATTGCCAGAAAAGGATGGGCTGGAGGTGGCCTTGATAATTTGTTACAAGTTAGCGATGATCAATACAACAAGGACACGATGGAGACCGAAGAAGAGCAAGATAATCCGACAGCAGCACAACCAACATTGACTAAAACACAATCCGACAATGGCGGGAGAGCTAGTCTTTCACCCTCTCAGACAGGTCTGCGATCACCCATAAAAGCTATTCAAGAAGGCAGTATAAAAACAAATGACCAAAGCTCGCTTTTAAGAGGTGATGAGAGTCAGGATCAAGAAGCACAGAATAGCATAGACAGAGAAAGCGAGAATAATTATGATGTTACTGAAAATTCTTTCTCTTTACCTCCAACTCGTAAGGATGACTTAGAAGACGCTGGCAGTTCAGAGAACATTCTTAGTGGTTTAGACAAACTTAAAATCGATGAAGAAGATTAGTGTTATGTCTAAAGCTTTGGGTTGAGTAGAAAAATACGACTATTATACCATTAGCCAAATTTAGACTTATCTCTATACAGCTATACTAATAAATATTTACATGACTGTAGATAATTTGAAACAACTTTAAAGTTCAAGTTTCATTAGAGAGTGAATAATTTAGAAACAATTTAACATCACTTGGCTAATGTATTGGAAGTTGATGATCATTAATGTACTCTGTTTGTTCAGCATTGAAAGTTACCAAAATTTGTACCACGGTTTTGAGTCTGATGGACCATTAGGTTTCAGACCTGATCTACCTTCCCACTGGTCCAACAACTTAGGATCATGCTCCACCTTATGCTTCATTGGCTTTTCCTTTTTAGCAACAGTCTCCATAGCCATCTGTGCAACCTGGAAACTTCGCTTTCTTTTCATCCTGCATTGCTCCCAGCCAACTATAGATCCCAACATCAAACCACCTACGGCCCAGTTCATAGCTTTATTAATATTCTTGTGGTAAAGAAGGATCACCGATCCTGTTACAAACATACTACTGAAACCGACCATGCCAGCATCCCTAAAACAAGGAATACTTGTCAACTTCTCCAGTGTAAAGTCATTCCAGGATATCGATTCCCAAGCAGCTCGTAAAGAGGCCTGCTCCTTCGACGCTGCAACATCACCTTTTGATATATCCGATTGAAACTTGGGACGTGTGTCCTCTAGTAAAATCTTCTGACCAGGAGTGTAATTAGTAGGCAAATCCTCCGCCACTTGGGGCTTCTCCTCCGACTTCTTGAATGGATTCCACATTTTCTCAAGTGAACCTAACGCAATTGACTAAAATATGGCAATGCCAACTCAATATGACATTAATACAACTTTCAAATTGCTCTATGAAAGACTCATTACCTTGCTCAAATCCTTTAACTTCATTTTTTTGAAAAATCTGAAACAATTTTGCGATGAGCTTAATGATTCGAAGTTAAAAGATGAGCTTCCAACATAGATTGAAGTATAGATATCAGCCTCTTGGTGCATGTATAGTTGATATTGAACGAGGAATAGCGCTATGGGGTACATCATGGCAGGTCTGCCCAGCAGGGTGGGTCATCTGTCGCACTTGAAGCGACAATACAAACTACGACAGCCGTTCTATGTTGAGAAGAAAGCTAGGAAAAGAGCAGCACATACCAAGCACCATAGAAGACACAGACGTAAGATGACGTTGGAGGATCTACCGGTTGAAGTAATACGGCGGATTTTTGTGCATACGTGTGGAGAACCTGCGATGACTATGGTAAATAAGCACTTCCACCGATCATTAGAGACCAGTAACATCCTATTAGAGAAAGTGTTCTGGGAGAGGTATACCTGGGAGGACGAAAGACACATTTTAGTTACTGAGCAGTCAGATGGAAACCATGAATTGTGGCGGACACAGCAGTTTCTTGTAAACAGGTCTCTTTTCAAGAATATGATTATGGTTAATTACATGCTGCACAATTATGAATCGTTGGAGCGTAAAATAGCATACTTTGTAGACGATCATATGATGGAGTATTTACAGGAAAACGAGTTACTTGATGTGAAAGAGATCAGAGATATGCATATGAGGTTTTCCCACAGAGAGAAGTTTCTGGCAAACGATATAGATACTATTGATGAGCCATATGCAACGGAGACCAAGCAACAGATAGGCTACAGAACAGACTTCCCTCCAATATTCTACTCCCAGTATAAACTGTACTTCGAGAAGCATGCGATTTATTCGATGAAGAAGATGCGTAAGCATTTCTATATAAAGCGGCCTTACGACTTAATAACATCCATTATCCCCTGGTTCTTCCAGATAGATGACTACCACAGTAATTGGAAATCGCTAATGAAGGCAGTGCGGACCATTATGTGCCTTTCGAATAATGATATCACACTGAAAGACGAAATCGCGATGAATTCACCGCTACCACTGGTTTACCTAATCACTGAAATAACGCATGCGTCTGAACTTGAGAAGAGAGACTTAAAACGCATCAAACAGTTCATCACAAAGTTCTACAAAGATCAGGAGATGCTCAGTAACCCAGAGCTCTGGTCTCACATAAGAGATACTGCCAACAAAGACTTGACAGCATTGATCATCAGCATGGGAGGGCAGCCGGACCTGACCTTCTTCACCTAGCATTTATAAACATAAAAACAATTTAACTAATGCATTATCTATAGAGCATGTAGTTATATATAGATGTATAATTAATGTATAACTAGAACTAACAGTTGGTTATCATTCGAGCAGTGATGACATCAGGTGGAATGTGAGGTCCCAGTGACACCTTTCTTGCTTGGTCAACTGCATCTTATGGAACTCCCACAGGAAGGGGATCCCTTTGGCATTCTCTTACTCCTAAGTATGAACGTCGATCACTTTGGAAATAGGAGGACAGAGATTGGCTTCGATAACCCTCTACAGCACCTCCATTTGTTGGTACCATTTTAGCTAATCCATCGGTTCCCATCAGCTCCCTCACCACCCCTCACCACTATCAACTGGGAAGCTCTCTCCACTTTTATAGTGCAGTTCCAATTGAACGATCTCCTATTTGAAGTAGAACAATCGAGCCAGGGCTCTACTTCTTTACTATTTAAACAAGTATCTATGTATTGTGCGTTGCATGGCTTGGGCCCTCTTATCTCTATCTTGTTCACTGCAACTCCCAAAATATAACATTTAGAAATGACAAACCACAAACTTAAGGTGATCGTATTGGCTGGTACTGCAGGTACAGGGAAGTCAACTGTTGCTGCAAGGCTCTTGAAAGAATATAGTACCAAGTATCCTGGGATCAAGTTTGTTGAAGGCGATGAGCTTCACCCAAAGGCTAATATCGACAAGATGGCCAGTGGTAATCCACTAAATGATGATGACAGATGGGGGTGGTTGAAAGAAGTTGCGCTAAAGTCTGCTCAATCCGCTGAGGAAGGTGGTTGCGGAGTCAGCGTGGTGGCTTGCTCCAGTTTGAAGAAGTCATACAGAGACTTGATACGCTCTACTCGTCCTGACGTTGAGTACCACTTTGTATTCCTGTATGGTAGCAAGGTGGAGATTTTGAACAGATTGAACAGCAGGAAAGGCCACTTCATGAAGTCTAACATGATGGAGTCCCAATTCAAGGACTTGCAATTGCCAGAAGAGAGTGAGGCCAACTGTGTAGTCGTACTGCTAGACCATAAGGGCTTTGATGAAATTGAAGATGATGTTCTAAAGTACACCAATACCGTATTGTAAAAACTGCCACTCGTTTTATCTTTCCTCTTCAAAGATAAATTCTATAACTAAAAAGAAATGGTAGCTTGCATAGCTTGCTCGTGGGATTGCCTGCTATGCCGGCCATCACAATTGATGAATAAAAAATCTGATCTTCTTTATTTCTGAAGAAAGACTGGTATCTGGGTTACAATCTTTATTTGTTAGATTAGATACCTGATAACGTTTTGTACATACAAAGTTGTGGATCATTACCATTCCATTTCACATACGGAGCAGTATGGTGAATGTATACATATTCTTTTGCACTGGAAGACACATTATAGCTACATTTAATGCTCATAATGTTTGTAAAGAAGTGAATATATTACCTTGAATATATAAAAATTGAATAATTAAAAAATGAATAAATTAGTTAGTTAGGTTCATTTCACATTAGAATTTTATCGTAATAGTCATTAAATTAAGTAAATAGATTTCTTCCCATTGGCTATGATTAGCAGTCATTATTCAAAACCAGATCAATATGTAAGAACAATAATAGGTTACGAGGACATCATCACCGGTTAATCGATGACAAATCCATCTTTAAATATTTTAACCTTTCTTGAAATTCTGGTAATGGGTTTTCGTCCGTCTTTGGCCTCGAGGCCTGGTTGATTATTTCAGAGTGCTTGAAGTTTTTATGCTCGATAGGTGATCCCTCTCTTCTCATATCGTCGTTCTCGTTCTCATTATCTGCAATTTCATTCAATTTAGGACTTTCGGGTATAACGATGGTATTTTTCGAAGGGTGTATATTATTGGGGCTATGTTCTACATCCATCCTCTTGGATGGCATATGATCCCCACTGTCCAAGTAACTAGAAGATGCTCTATTATGGAGAAGAGGTTTTAATTGACTCTTTGTATTTGCCCCAACAGAATCAAAATAGTTTGTATAGTAGTCATAGTCTTCATTCGAGAGCTCTTCCACTGTACTCAAAGGACCTGCCTCTGTGAAAGATTTTATAGATTTCACTGAAAGCATCAAATTCTGGATACTAATTCTGCGGCTTGGATCAACCTTAAGTATTCTCTTTAATAACCGAAAGAATTCTTGTGAAATGGGTAGGATTTTTAGCAGTACCTTGGGGTCCCTTACATAATAATAGAAAGTATTGTCGTCTGTCTGATGTGCTTTTAACCATGGATTCCTAACGCATGATAAGTTAATTAAAATGATCCCTAAGGACCACACATCAGCGCTCGCTGTAGAGAAGGACAAATATCTTTTACTATGCCTATTGTTATACGCGGTGCTTATAATCGTTTTCTCGTTATGATTCTTATTTGTATTCCCATTCTCATAATCGATATGGAAACTTTTACTATCTTCATTATCTTGCTCATATTCGCTTTCTTCAAATGCCTCTGTATCATCAGAGTAGGAGATTCTCTCTGGAGCCATGTAGTATGAACTTCCAATGCATACGTTTGGTGTTAAGTAAGGTGCAGTGGTGGCTAACCCAAAATCACACAAATGGACGTTATCGTCGCTATCCAGAAGCATGTTTTCGGGCTTTATATCACAATGGAATATCCCGTTCTTATGGCAGTATTCAATTGCAGAACATATCTGCAGGAAGACTTTCTTTATCAGTCGTCCATTGGCTTGGAAATGTCGCATGTCAACAATGGAAGTGAACAGGTCTATCTTGTAGTAATCCATAACAATGAACGTAGCCACAGGAGATTCGAGCACTTTATAGATGGTAACTATGTTCTTATGATCATGAACTTTCAAATGTAGAGCAATTTCCTTGTACTGCGGAATCTTGGACAACTCTTCCTCACTAAGACTCTTGATAGACTCTAAGTCAACCTCAGGCAGCGACAGCACATAGTGGTTCCTTCTGAAACAGTCCAGTATCACTGCCTGGAAATTCTGCGATACATTCGAAAGACCAAGCCTTATCCTCTCAGCTTTGCTCAACTTCTTCATAGTAGCCTTGATGGCATACTCCTTCAAGTTCGAATGCTCGTCGAGGTCCACTATGTCACCACGGTAATGAACAGCCTTGTACACCAGGCCGTAGGCTCCCGACCCAATCTCTTCTGTAATATGGTAGTCATTTATCTTGCATTTGGTAATCATCCTGTGCACAACAACCTAAAGGTCATACACGTCGCTAGTATCCAAAAGTGTACTATATCCTCCAGTCTATGTGTTTTAACTATAACTAAAATGATACGTATCCGTTCACTCTGTAAGCCATCCGATAGATATTTTCTCTCTGTTAATACAGGTCCTCTTTATATATTCCAGGCAAATCAATGTGCTTCCAAGCAAGTAACTCAGCTAAAAAGAAAGGTCGAACCGTTTGGTTACTCGAAACCAACTAATTTAACCAAAGTTCCAACGGTAATCGTTGCGACTTTTACTGTTAATCTCCCTTAAATTTAAATTTGTGCTGCTACCAAGAGATGCCCATCACACCAGTGGACTCAACAGTAGACTCAACTACATACAGTGGGGTCTCCCCAGGAGTGTGATAGTCTCATCATCATAAATTCTCAAAGGGAAAGAACAATCGATGCTTCGACCAGCTGGTCTGATAAGTGACACCAGACCATATGACCACTTGGGTGATGACGGGTGATGACGGGTGACCTCGACTTTATGGGTATACAAAGCTACTTGACAGTTTAGCTAACTGCCCTATGCTATCAAATAATATATAATCTGCTATATACTGCACTGTTATACCTAACTTTGATCTGCTCATTCACCAGTTCATGTTCTGTATCATCTGCTGGAGTTTTTCATCGAATGTAGTCGACTTGATGGGCATTTCTAGTGAATAGAATGGATCCTTCATCACATAATCGCTGTATAAGCAGTACACTTTGCGCAGCAAGTTGTCTGCAAGATGTATCCCTCCCACAATGTCAGTTGTATTTGAGCTAGGCGACCCGACTACTTGGTTATTCTTTATGGCGACGAATTTTAGTCCCGTCATGGTCTGATATATAAACATGGTGAACTGGTCGGTGCTCATATGTCTTATACCACTCGTATTCCAACTAACAAATGGCTCTTTAAAGAAGTCGTCACCCTTGAAACTACCCATATCCATCGGACTATTCGCGCTGGAGTTACCACCACTGGCGATGTTGTTGTGTGGCATACCTACATAGGGTATGTACGGCGTCAGGTTACTTATCTGTGCTCTACCGTTGTTCCCATCTTTCTTACCACTGCTAACACTGCCTAAGTGTCGGTGGCCCTGATTCAATATGTTTGCAGCTGCTTTGTTAGGTCCTGGCGCACCGGGTCCAGGGACCTTTGCAGTATTAGACACACCGCCAGCACCACCAGTGGCACTAGCAATTGAGCTGTTACTGATACTGCTCACAGTACTGTACTCTTCAGACTTCACACTGTCCATCTCTCTAGCACTAGCATCACTACCGCTCGCACTGCTGTTAGCTTTAAGCTGCACTGCAGTGGGCGTCAATTGCGTTGCGATCGCAAACACACCGTGTAATGTACTCGCAAGGATCAAGTAGTCATTGCTATTCATCTTACTTATGTCACTTTCCTTCGCCGGCTGCCTAGGATCCTCGAAGTTCCTATGGTATATAAGCCCTCCCGACTTATTGATGATTAAAATACTATCCAGTGCCATCTTGAATGTCCTTGCGCAACAGTATACAGGCTCACACTTTAATTATAATTGCCAAACTATATGAGATAGAGACTGTTACCTTCTGGCTGATGATTAGTCTTTATGGCTCGTCTCTTTCTAAAGTAGCTTTTAGCTCTTCTTGATCGTTTTTTGTCAAAATTCGCTATGATGAGCACAGTGATGATGTAAGTAGTTGGGATATGATAACTAGAATAATATGATAATTAGAGATTAAAGAAGGGTATATATATATATAGGTAATAGATGTGCAAAACTAACTGGTAGAAAAGTAGGTACCGACTTTTTTTATTTATTTTTAATTTAGTCCCCATGCATGGGGTTTGCAAACGGAATACCGAAGTAATGAGTTATCGAACTCTTGATGATAAGCGCAAACATCTGCTAGGGACATAATGCAAGTTTTCTGATGTGAACGAATGGATGTCCTCCTGACAAATATTCTTCCTGGTCCAAGACTGCTCATGAAACCGCAGATTTTATAATAAGATCACTATACCGATTCAAATTGAAACTACCTGAGATGCATTTAAAGACAGAACAAGGAACCAGATGCTACTAATTCTAAATAAAGAAGAATAGCTTCCTTAGCCATGATCTGTTCAATTTTTGCTTCAAGTTATGGTAGTACTTCATTTCTCCCCAACAGTCACGACCAAATTGACAACCCGCCATATTAACCACAAAATCTCTGGCATTTGGCTCGTAGAAATATTGTGGATCATCGCTGTATTCAGAACATGCACCTGGTGGGAATGCATTAATGGCTCTCAATGGTAGAAAACCTACTTTTGATCTAATCCATGGCTGGTTTGCATATAGAGTTTCGAGGGCATCCTGTTCTCTGTGCTCCCAGATCATATGCTTTTGTTCATAACAGATCGGATCCCACCACAGGTCTAATAGAGCTTTAGACCATTCACTATTTCTTAGTAAGAAAGACCCCAAGTTGAAACCACCACAATCCTGTGTGACTAGAAGATCCATCTGCTGGGAATAGTCTACATATGGAATGTCATCCTGCATTTGCAATGGATTGAACACGTCCAACTTTCTATAAGTGTAAGAGTTTATTCTCTTGAAAATATGATCCTCTAGTGATTTGCTTGGTTCCATAATTAGAGTATCAAGATCTAACCACCAGTACCATTCTGCTTCTGGGAACTCGTCCATGACCTCCATAAGGATATCGGCCTTTTGCCAGCCTTCTCTGTATTCATGAGAATATCTCTTAGCAGTGGTCATATCCTTTAGTATAAGACCGTAACCATGTCTACGTGCATACTCTAGTTTGTTGGCAATGGATACTTTCTCAATGGCCCACTCTTGCTCGTTCTTCCACTTCAAAACACCACCACCTTCATTGGCGGCCAAGACAATAACAACTTTTGGCTTCCCTCTCCACCACGATCTAATACCCGTAGTGGTGGCAATATCACCCATACCATATTCATTATTCACATAATCTGCTGGATACAGTTGTGTATTAGAGCGGATCGAGCGAACAGTCTCACCCCCTGCGCTGTTGTCCACCCAGTTCCACAAGAACAGTACTATACCTATCAAAAGCAAGTAGTTCTTGAACTGACTGAACAAATCCATCAATCTATGCTGCTGAACCCGCACATTCTTCCACCGCTTATCGTATACCTCATCATCTGTTTCATCATACCCTAGCTTCTCATCTAGTGGCACAGGCGAGGCCCTCCTTGACATGGCTCTTAGTAGAAACTTTTCTTGTCAGAGTAATACTCGGGTGCTACACTTAACAATGCTACCAACCCAGTTTGAACCAGTCCACCCCCTCTAAATACGGCATTGAAGTATTGTTTACAAGTTCATTTTGGATCAAATTCCCAAAAATTTTTCTTTCGCAGGCAACTAGCGAAGGGCATCGAAGTCTTCCTAATGGAAGTGACAACTTTCTAAATATAATTAGTTACAAGATATCGAATGTAATGGATGAATATTAAGTCATTTATTTTATACAGGTATTACTTATTAGAAAGTGAACTCGTTACGGAACTGGGAGAGGTCCATGCCTGGCCTTACCCTGTCCAAAAGGTCGTCTCTGCCCATGGATATGAACACTCTTTTCAATGTTTCTAGTAGGTTATCTGTTGGCTTGAACCCGGAGAAGGAGTACTTGTCGGCGGAGGAGATGCTGTTGCTGCGTGTGGACTGGACTTCGAATTCTCCCTCGACATCATGCATGCTTAGTGCGGTGAGCAAGTGTTCCGCGGCTTCTTTGTAACATCCAATGTTCATAGATGACACTGCCAAGTTGTAGCGTGCCCTCACAAACGAGGGTTTCAACTGTAGTGCCCTATGGTACGCTTGTATGGCTTCTTCTGACCTATTTGAGTTGGCCAATGAAGCACCCAGGCGATTCCACATCAGTTCGTCGTTGGGATTCACCTTCAATGCAGCCTGGAAACAGTCGATGGTACGGTCGAACTCATCATTAGCGTAAAACAGTAAACCGAGACATAGCTGTATATCGGGATCCACAGAATTTATTCTATTCACGAGACTCAAGAATCTTCTGGTCATCTTGCTATGGATGTTCTCATGCTCATCCCTCTTACCTTCCAATTCTGCGCTGTTGTAAAAACCAGGATACTTGGTATCAGCCCACCTGTTCAACATGTTGTAAGCACTCATGTCATAACCTTCATTGATGTAACTAATAGCTAAATTCTTCATAGCCTCTAAATTGTTCGGATCTAACTTGAGACATGTCTCTAATGCACTCATGCCGTTGAGCTCTTTCTCGTTTTGTATCTGCACTATACCTAGTTTCAACCAAGCATCCACATGCTTCGGGTCCTGTTTTATAGCAGCCTCGAACGCCAACGCAGCTTCACTTAGCTTAGCACCATTTTCCATCAAAATACAACCAATCTGATAAGCATTCGGATTATTCATGTACTGGTTCTCAGATGGGTTCTCAAACTTGTACTCGAGGGACTCAACAGCACGCTTACCGAGAAAGCTCCTCTCAAAATCGGTGTCATTTAACATGTCTTCATAGTCATCTTTATATGACAGCATCTCTTCAGTGTCCTGCTGAATTGAGTCCCATACTTCTTGAAATTCTTTCTGGTAGTCAGTACTATCTCCAGTTTCCAGATTATCCTGCTGCATCTCAGCTCCGGTGTCCATCTTCTCCACAGTTTCACCATCTTTAAAGTTTAACTTGTCAGATACTTCTTTCTCAAGTTCATCAAACTTGTCATTCCAAGCTATATCACCAGTTTCTAACCCATTAGCACGTTCCTTCTGCCTAATAATATTGTTAAATGGTCTCAGTGGTGCGGTGTTATTCACATTGGTCATTGGAGAGTACCTAAACTTCCAAGCATTACTGTTGGCCATAGCGGCACCTGATGATCCCATCTCCTGAGCCATATTAGTCTTCCCAGCAGTGTTCTGCCTAAACTCACGAGTCCACTGTGAATCACCCGCACTCCTCATAGAACTATCATCCACCTGCATCATGGAACCACCGATGGCATTCCCCATGGAGCTCCCCATCGGTGTCGCCGGGTGCATCTTGTCCTCGCCAAGCCGCATAGGCTGCGACATGAAACTGTTCAGCTGCTGCCTCCCATCCTCAGAGACTACATTTTGTCCGCTTCTAAACACATTAGACCCACTGACGCCACCGCTGTGTCTCACATGAGTGTTACTCAAGGAGCTCCCTTGGCCTTGCGCATGCTTATTCAACTGCGCTAAGGGATTAGACCCCACAGAACAATCAGTCATATTCATCGTTATCTGCACTCTTCTGCTCCTGTCTCTTTGTGACTCCAGGCTGTAAGGGACGTTCCTGGAACTTGAAAGATGCTTCCCTTTTATACTTCCAGGGCTTCGGATATTCCGAGTTCTTGTCCGATGAGCTGAAACTGGAGAACATAATAAGAGACCGTCATTGCAGTAAGATGCTAGTACTAAGGAAGTTCAGATGGAGGAAATGGACGGCAGAGACGCTGGAAAGTACAAAGATGACTAGGCCTATTGATGTGCACCAGTTGCTGAAGTCTCGGAGTGCTGGCCCGAAGTATATGAGCGTGGAAGAGCGCGAGAGAGTGGTCATAGAGCACAGCAACGATGAAGTTGATTTGGGTGTAGAGTATGCCAAGAAGCGTAATGTAGATGAGGTGGCCGAGGATAGTGCTCGAGAGAGTAAGAAGAAGAGCAAACGTTTGGATTTCGACTGGGATCCCGCTGATAATACATTGGAAGGGTACCAACCGATTGTGAACCCTGTTATATTAGAGAGGATACGGCAGCAAGAAGACCAAGGTGATGATTTGGAAGCGCAGTACTTGGGTAAGAGTTGGCGGGAAAAGCTGCTAGTGGAAATGGATGAGAGAGATTGGAGAATTATGCGTGAAGAGTTCAATATTACTAGCAAAGGGAAAGGTGCCGTGAAGCATCCACTGAGGAATTGGAGTGAAACGAATGTTATTCCAACCGATCTAGTGCGGGCGTTAACTGAGGGGATGGGATTTGACGAGCCCACTGCTATCCAGAGAATCACTATACCTAATGCTATTTCAAGTAATAAATCTGTACCACGGGATATCCTGGGTATCGCCTCTACGGGTTCGGGTAAGACGTTGGCGTTCTCAATACCTATCTTGGCAAGACTCGATGCTTTACCTGCACGACCTGTAAATCTGAAAACGCTGGATGGACCTTTGGCCTTGGTACTGGTACCGACAAGGGAGTTAGCACAGCAGATTTCTCAGGAGATTAATAGACTATTAAGTGCTTGGGAGAACAAGAAAAACCTCAATGCCGTTTCAATAGTGGGTGGGCATTCAATGAGTGACATATCGCATACTCTCAGGAATGGTTGTGATATACTTATTGCCACCCCTGGTCGCTTACTAGATGTCCTTGATAATCATTTAGTGGTTTTGAACAAGATTCAGAGTTTGGTCTTAGATGAAGCAGATAGAATGATCGATTTAGGTTTTGAAGATCAAATGAAGTCAATCTTATCACACTTGATGGCAGACGAATTAGCTGCAAGACAAACTATGCTGTTCACTGCTACATTATCTTCGTCCGTGGAGTCCATCGCCAAGGGCTACCTGAAGAATCCATTGCACGTATCTGTCGGTTCACGTTGGGATAGTGACAAACCGCTCATTACACAAGTTGTAAGACATACTGGAGATGACGATAAGAAATTGTCATTCTTAAAGGATGATCTTATTAAGAATGGGTTACCGGCTATCATATTTATCAACTATAAAGAGACAGCAGATTGGCTAACGCTTCGCCTGTCAGACCGATTTAATATTGTAACATTACATGGTTCCAAATCACAATCCCAAAGAGAAAGTGCTATTCAAAAACTGAAATCAGGTACTGCTAACGTACTGATAGCAACTAACGTAGCTGCGCGTGGTCTAGATATACCTGACGTGGCACTGGTAGTAAACTTCCAAATGAGCAAGAAGTTTGACGACTATATACACAGAATTGGTAGGACGGGCCGTGCCGGCAAGACCGGTATAGCTGTTACTTATTTAACTGGTGAAGAGGACCCACAGCTGATCAAACAACTAGCCAAGTATGTTAAAGATGTCGATCCTAACAAGGAAAACGATTTCCCAGAAGAATGCGCAAAACATTTCGGCATAGTTTCAGAGACGCGAAACAGGATCATTTATTAAGTACTTTTATAGAAAAGCATCCAAAAGTATAAGACAAAAAAATCGAACTACATAACTAAAGTAGTAACTATGTGTACTAAAAGGCAGGAATGCTTTTGTTCTGCATAATAATACCAGAGGCCTATTATAGTAACAGTGTAATTTTACCAAAAAAAAATAAGTCTCCCGGGGGCGATTCGAACGCCCGATCTCAAGATTTCAGTGTTGAAATTACAGTCTTGCGCCTTAAACCAACTTGGCTACCGAGAGTCACTTAAAAGTTATGTTGGTTGCAAATCAGTATTGACTATAAGGAGAGGTGTACTAGGAAAATTTCTTGTTTGAACAATGGAACCGCTGTAAGTCATGAAAGGGATGTAACAACAATAGTATCGCTGTATAATATTCTAACAATACGTATTTAAAACTATTCTAATTCTGTAATTATGAATTTAGTTTATGTTACATAACTGACTGTGGGAGAGTTTATAGCTAAAGCTCGGACCGAGCCAGCGATGAGGTGAAAAGTAGAACATACATTTCGATGTTTGTGTTTAGCTGGTATTGGAGTTCAACACTATGGTAATAGAGAACTGCTTACACGTATCAGTGAAGAATTAATATACTAGGGCCATTAAGTGACTTGGGTAGAATGATGCGCAAAAGGGCACGCAATGGATATGATGGTGACAGGGAAAATAGAAGTGCATTGAATAAGAAAGCGAAGAGGCACCCAGCTCTAACGCAGGACAGTTATGATTTGTGGAAGAATCTGGATAGGATACGAAAGCTACATAAAAATTCAGATAAAGTGCTGAAGAGGAGTGTAGTGCTGATACCGTTAAGCTGTGAGACAAATAACACCATAGTGCAATGCATTCAACATTTATTGAGATATGTGGATCAAGAAAGACTGCATTTCAAAACGGTAAGTGGCCAATTGTATACACATGTTGTCATATTAAGAAATTTTAGTGTTTTGGATTTCTGTCTCGTTGTCCCAGTTCTACTATCAGCAGTGAAAAGGTTGAACAGTAAAACTTCAGATTATTTCAAGTTCGACAGTCATATATTCTGCAATGGTACTTTCTTTGTACCAGATAATACAGTGATATCTATTGACAGAACTACTCTACAATTAAAGGAGACGGCACTGAGACTGATACCCGGATTTAAGGAACTAAATTGTACACCGACTGAATCTAATAATATACAGGATATGATAAATACACTGGCAAACTTTATATCTAAAGTGAAATTTGGAAAGAACAAGGATGACATATATGCAACATTTAAGAGAGAGTTGGCTTTGTTTTCAAAAAGAACAAGATTTGGACTAGGTGAGGTGTCGATGTTAGAGAAGGGAATGCTAATTGATTCCCAGGCTGTAATAGATAAAAATCTACCACTTGTACAGAACACTAAGGCAAAGCTTCAAACTTATGTACAAACACTACTAGATGAAAACGAGGATAAGATAACCACCGAAGTTCAGACAACAGCAGCCAAGAGTTCTGATGCCATCAGTAGTACCAACGGAAATAATAACGTAGCCTCAAAACCCATCCAATCAAGGTTTCAAAACAACCAATCACACAATGTACCATCAAGCAGATATAGCCATCAAGCTACTAGCACTGCAATCAGAAAACCATACACCGCAAAGGAGGCAAGTCCCTTACCAACACAATCTAGAGCATCGCCTGGAAGACCCAGATTCATGACAATTGAAGAGATCAGAGGTAGATGTATTGCCACTGTGAGAGCGTCAATAGATTCTGTGAAGAAAATATCTGCATACCAAATAGTAAAAGTGTATGTTAAGTTTCCAAAAAAGGACTCGGACACATTGTTCAGTAACCTTGACGAGTTAAGAAACAAGTCTAACTGTAACATCGTTGTACTGCATTATAACAATGAGCATGAATCGAAGCAATGGCTTGATGGCCTAGACTTGACAAGATACATAAGGGGCCAAGATGAACCTAATGCAAGCACTGTGAGGATACTCAGCATCGGGGGTGTAGCAGAATATATCGTCACTGCTCTGGAAGGTATTTTGGCACTATTGCAAGAGCAAACGTAAAACTATCGATATCTTTAGTTTCATTAAAAGAACATATTTCAAATGCTCACAACTATATAGCGATGGTAATAATATAATCTAGCATAAAATCAATCTCTTCATCCATATATATTTCCAGCATTCATAGCTCTATGTACCCACACGACTTTACAGGCGAAAATAGCGGAAAACCCGAACTTTCTGGGGATTTTGATTTTAAAGTTAAAGTTCAATGATAAAAGTGCGATGAGCTTCACAGCGGTGGCAACCTTGTCAAGAGTTTAAACTAGCGTTTAAGGCCAGCAACTTTAGTTACTCAATCTAAATTGTGGTAAATCTGTGAGCAATACTTGTTATGTTTGGTGGTGGTGCAGGGAAATTGAAGCGGAAGTCGTTTTTCCTGTTTGGGGATAGTAAGAGTAGCAATTCCGATGGCAAAAAGGGCAACGAGAGCCCTGTTCATGTGGGTACACCATCCTCGACTTTCAAAGTAAAAGGTAAGGAGTCTTCATCAGCTCCGAGCAATAGGAAAGAAAAAACTCTAAATAAGAGCGCATCTGTGCCTAACGCAAAAGGTACCGACGGGGAGACTGCGAGAGTCAAGCAAGTGAATAAACCAATAAAGGCAGTGTCAAACCCCCTGGGTAAAGAGCCCCTATGGAATAGCAATCCGTTTCTTAATGATGACAACTTAAACATAGGTTCTGGAAGAAGACCAGAAAATATAAGACTCTCATCTACAGATTCTGCGAGGAGATTAAGAGAAAACAATCCATTTCGACTTGAAGAAGATCCCAATGCGATTAGTAACGAGCTAATAGATGTTAAGATGCCAAGTAAGGCCAGGTTTAGTAGGCCGCCACCCCCTCCGGTTAACGAAGACGAATTAGCTAATGCCAAGAGAATATCGTCGATCCCAGTACCGTCTGATATGGTACAAGCTAACCACGAGACAGAAGATTTACGAGATTTATCTCAAAAAATGAATGAAGTGCAAATAAATACCAATATTACAGGACACAAGAGACAGAAATCAGAAGCAGAGAAACTAGTGGATGATATTGATTCTTATATGAATAATCAGAGTTTATCACCAGAAAGCATTGATGAAAAGGCCTTATCACCATCGCAAGATATTCTCCCGCCAATTCTTGGTATAGATTCCGAAAGGATAGACACCAACTCTATTTTGGATAGTCTTTATTCCAATGTACCGCCATTGACTGTAGAACCAAACACAGAAAAAGATGATGACATGAGATCGGAAGAGGAAAAGTCATATAGTAATTTTTCGTTTGTACCAGATGTTGAAGATGATGATAGTAAATCGGGATTGGAATCACTGGAGTCTGATAGGCATGAAGGCAGTCCAGTTATGCTTCAGGATGATGTCAGTAATGAGGATATTTTGAGAGTAGTAAATGCGGACTCGTCATATCACTCTTCATCATCTTCATCATCAATATCGTCCTCATCATCAGTTGCAGGGTTGAATTGTTCATATTCATCCGTTGCAGAGGTTAATAATGAGGTCAAATCCTTTGAATCCAGCCATTATAATAGTGAGACCCTGATTCAACAACAAACCACGGCAAGCAATGAGGCACGCACTCTTAGGGTTGTCAATGAAGATAGACCATCATTTTACTTACAGGCTACAAATACCAACGATGATGATACTACCACAGTAAGTTCTGCATCTTTTGGCCCGTTGAAACCACTTCAGAACAATTATTCTGAAATTGATAGCAAAGATGTTACTCCAAATATATTTTCCAATATGTCAACCATACCGAATGCCGATACCAGCACTAGCACTGAAACTAGCTCTGCTAATATGAGTACACCAAAAGCTTATAAATCTACTACAAGTACGCCTTTGGGGACTATATCTGCAGCAAGTGAGTCATTCACCACTCCGACCAACCTCCACAATGAAAAGGAAGCCCAAGTTGATACTGAGAGTGGAATCAGTGCTAGAAGCTCTATGGACAAGAATAGTGGTATATCTAACAATATCATATCACCAAGATCTGAGAACACTTTTAGATTGGTATCCAGCTATTTGGAGGAGATCCGGTTAAAATACAACCCAACATCGAATTTCTTAGAGCCTCCACCCAACTTACCAATCTCTATAAAGCAAAAGAATAACTTGATACAACCAAAAAACATTCGTGTCAAACTAAGGACTAATGCCAAGCAGATCGGTATTAAACATGGTAGAGTAAAACAGAAATTGCTTACCCTTGAGACCGCTAACGAAAATACTACCGATACAAAGCGCAGCAGTTCTAGTTTCCCTAATACCCCTACTGGAAGTGTTATTGATCACACAAAGGAATTCCGTAACCTTTTGCACAAAAACACAGATAAAGATGTCGATCAGTCCTCAGAAACCGGTTCTGAAGATTATTTGGATGAAATTCCTGGAGATGAAGCATATGATAGTGATGATGCAATGGCGCCACTGCGTGAAAAGAAATCACGTACTGCAACGACAGATAACACTGTCACTAGAAGTAATACAGTTGTTAGTTATTATACTCGCAAGAAGAACAAACTGGGTACAGGATACAACGAGGAAGAAGCCTCTGAGCATGCTCTACCATCCAAATTGTCCATGCTTGACTATGCCAACGCTGAAACTAAGGCCAAGAGGGGGAGAAGTGAATCCCGGGCAAGTCAACTGTCTGCTAAGACTGAAAGAGACTTCATGTTCAGAGGCCCATTGCACATTGCTAATCCTTCAGATTCTGAAAGCGATTAAAATCTCACTTGATATTTTTAATCATCTATATAACTCGATAAAATCATATAATAGCACATATAATTAACGAATTTCATGATATATAATAGATTATCTTTGGCAATACTCCATAGGAAGATCTTCATTTCTTTATTTGATAATTCGAGCTGCCTCGGCAGTTTATACTTGTCCTTCAGAGAGCCCCAGACACGACACGTCGTTCTTTGGATTTTTGGCAAAATTCAAAGGAGCAAAAGATTGAAGTCGATCAAGGAATACATAGAACATACACGTTAGAAGACAGCCTCAATTGGTGCTCAATAGCCTAGTAATCGCAAGCACGAGACAGGTTGTTATCAGATACTGTTTGTGAAGGTATTCAAGAATTTTTCTCTGGCGGTTTCCGAGTGATATTTGGATAAGTGGCCATTGAGAAAGCAGCCCTAACTGACGATAATCTGGTGAATAGAAGGAAAACCATATTGGTGAAAACCTAAGTGCCGAGAGTAAAGATGACTGCTGAAATTGATCCACCAGCTTACACGCTGGTATTTAATCCTGCTACAAACAGCACGCCCAACACAGTCGCTGAGTTTCAAAAGGCCTTGGAGAAAGGTTCCGATGAAACCAAGATTGAGGCCATGAAGGAGATCTTGGTGACAATGTTGGAAGGCAATCCATTACCTGAGATGCTAATGCATATTATCAGATTTGTTATGCCATCCAAAAACAAGAAGTTGAAGAAGCTATTGTATTTCTACTGGGAAATTGTTCCAAAATTGGATCAAGATGGAAAACTAAGACATGAGATGATTTTGGTTTGTAATGCTATACAGCATGATCTACAGCATCCAAATGAGTTCATTAGAGGTAATACCTTGAGATTTTTAACCAAGTTGAGAGAACCAGAATTATTGGAACAAATGGTGCCTTCCACATTAGCTTGCCTTGAATACCGTCATGCCTACGTTAGAAAGTACGCTATTCTAGCAGTCTTGTCTATTTACAAGGTCAGTGAGCACTTACTTCCGGATGCAAAGGAAATCATCAACACCTTCTTGTTGGCAGAAACTGACCCTATTTGTAAGAGAAATGCCTTCTTGGGTTTGTCAGAATTGGATAGAGATAACGCTCTCCAATACCTGCAGGATAACATCGATGATATTGAATCCCTTGATCCATTGTTGCAGGCAGCATTTGTTCAGTTTATCAGAAAGGATGCCATTCAAACTCCAGCATTGAAATCTCAATATTGTGATCTTTTGTTAGAGTTACTGGCATCTGCGACTGCTGATGAAGTTGTCTTTGAAACTGCATTGGCTTTAACTATATTATCCGGTAATCAAACGGTTCTGATTAAGGCTGTTAGTAAAATGATTGATTTGGCTGTTAAGGTATCCGATAACAATGTCAAAATTATCGTCTTAGACCGTATACAAGATATTAACGAAAGAAATCCAGGCTGTCTTGAAGAACTAACTCTAGACATTTTGCGTGTATTGAATGCTGAGGATATTGATGTCCGCTCTAAGGCCTTGACTATTGCTATGGATCTAGTTACCTCAAGAAACATCGAAGATGTTGTTCAATTATTGAAGAAAGAGTTGCAAACTACAGTCATTAACAATGAGAAGGAGAAATCATCTGACTACAGAAGTTTATTGATTAAGACAATTAGAGGTATTGCTGTCAGATTTGAAGAAATTGCTGCTAACATTGTCTCCTTGCTTCTAGATTTTATTACCGACTTGAACTCTGTTGCGGCCAATGGTGTTATAGCTTTTGTTAAGGATGTAGTGGAGCTTTACCCACAGCTAAGAAGTAACATCTTGGAAAACTTGATTGCAAAGCTTGAGTCAGTCAATTCCGCAAAGGCATACAGAGGTGCTTTGTGGATACTTGGTGAATATTCTACCACTGAGTCGGAAATCCAAGATTCTTGGAAGCACATTCGTCAAAGTATTGGTGAAATTCCAATTCTACAGACTGAATTGAAGAATCAAAGAAAGAGTCAAGATGAAGATGACGAAGCAACAGAAGAGAGTGCTACTAAGCAAGCCGGACCTGTAATTTTGCCAGATGGTACCTATGCCACTGAAAATGCGTTTGGTTCTTCTAATAATGATAACAAGAAAAAATTGGTGGAAAATGAAAATCGTCCACCTTTGCGTCGTTTTGTTTTGGGAGGAGACTTCTACACTGCTTCAATTTTGGCCAGTACAATTGTTAAATTGGTTCTAAGATTCGAGAAGGTATCCGAGAGAGCAGCAGTTCTAAATGCATTGAAAGCTGAAGGTTTGTTAATGCTTGTGAGCATTATTAGAGTTGGTGAAAGCTCTATAGTGGAAAAGAACATTGATGAAGATTCTCAAGAAAGAATCACCACAGCAATTGCTATTTTGATGGATGAGTCAAATCCAGATGAGTCAAGTGCAGAAAGAGAATTACTAAATATTGCATTCTTGGATGCAACAAAGGCTTCTTTCAAAGGCCAATTTGTTGCCCAAAAGAAGACAAAGCTTTTCAAGTCCTCACCTGTCAGAAAGCACAAAGAAGCCATAGACCAATCTGTTTCTTTCAGGCTGTTACAAGAAAACGACAATACTGCTGTTTCTGGGGATGCCATCGATGAAGATTTGCAATTGGCTATTAGAGGTGACGCAGCTAGAGATACAAGCTCGATTGCTATTTCAAAGCTAAAGAAGATTGTTCCTTTAACTGGTTTCTCAGATCCTGTTTATGCTGAGGCATGTATCACAACTAATCAATTTGATGTAGTACTCGATGTGTTGTTAGTAAATCAAACTAAGGAAACGCTAAAGAATTTCCATGTCCAGTTTGCTACTTTGGGTGATTTAAAGATAGTTGAAAACCCACCAGCTACTAATGTTGTTCCTCATGGTTTCCACAGAGTTTCTGTTACTGTCAAGGTCTCTTCAGCTGATACAGGTGTTATCTTCGGTAACATCATATATGATGGTGGTCATGGTCAAGATGCCCGTTATGTTATCTTGAATGATGTTCATGTTGATCTAATGGATTACATTAAGCCAGCTAAAACAGATGACGAAAGTTTCCGTACGATGTGGAACGCATTTGAATGGGAGAATAAGATCTCAGTGAAATCTAAGCTTCCATCTTTACATGCATACCTTGACGAACTTATCAAGGGTACAAACATGGGGGTTTTGACTCCTGTAGAATCGCTGGGTGAAAAGGACTGTAGATTTTTGTGCTGTAATTTATACGCAAGATCTTCATTTGGTGAGGATGCCTTAGCCAACTTATGTATTGAACTTGATCCAAACACAGAGCAGGTTGTGGGTTACGTGCGTATTCGTTCCAAGGGTCAAGGTCTAGCCCTTTCCCTGGGTGATAGAGTTGCATTGATTGCAAAGCAAAACAATAAAGTTATCGTTGGTCATGTCTAAAGTACAACCCCAAAGATAACTATCACACAAGCTTAATTATAAATATAGTTTATATTAATTTTTGTCTATAAGAATAAAATTTGTTATACGTCTACATACGAGGTTTTTGTCATTGTTACAATAAGTTCAGATATTGATTCCTCATGAATAAAACATAACTCAAAGTGGGTCGGAGCCGCTTGTCTGGTGTCGTATGTTTCCTTAATTCTCCTTGTATACCGACATGGAGATAGCAAGTAGTTGAAATATTTGAGAAACTACAGCTCATTAATTGTCATGAATCGATTTTAGTATTTTTGCAGGTACACCAGCAACAATCATGTTTTCAGGTACATCTTTAGTAACCACAGCGCCTGCTGCAACAACTGCATTATCACCAATTGTGACACCGGGCAGCACAGTTACGTTGGCACCGAGCCACACATTATTACCTATTCTAATTGGAGCTGGATAAAGGTTCTTACGGTCAGCGGGACTCATTCCATGATTTAAAGTTGCCAGCACAGCATTGTGACCAATTAAGCAATCATCACCAATGGTTACACCACCTTGGTCCTGGAATCTACAGCCAGAGTTGATGAAAACCCTCTTTCCAACAGTAATGTTTTTACCACAGTCAGTATAGAATGGAGGGAAAAGACAAAAAGTAGGATCCACTTGTTTACCTATCAATTGCGAAAACAACTCAAGTAGTTCTTCCGGGGTGTGGTACTTGTTATTCATCTCCATGGTAATCTTCAAAGCATCCTGGCTCACACCATGCATGAACTTGTAAGTTTCAGTGCCTGCGAAGACTGGTTCTCCAGTGTTAAGTTGGTTAATAAAGTCCTGAGTGTTCATAGATGTATAGCAGTTGTATTAGTATGTATAAAGGGCAATGAGACTCTGTTCAGGAATTTATTCGAATGGTTGTTAATTGTAATTTAGGGAGTCCAGGATCTCTTTCTCTTGAATTAATCAGGCGATGATATTGTTGCAACGTCTGTCATTTGTAATGACTTTAGATTATTTGCGTTACTTATCGATTATTTACAAATTATGAATGTTCTCAAAAACTTATATAGAAGTAGATTCATTTCTGGAATGGGAATTGTAGACCACTTAGCAAAGTGACTGCCTGAGCGGTGTTTTGAGCCGTGGTGTTAATATTTACATGCATACCGAAAGTCTTTGGCCACAGATCCTGGTTTGCGTCAATCTCTGGGAAGAATCTGACATCGGAGGAGGTCATACCGAAGGAAATACCGCCAAATCTGTCACCGTTGGGTTTCACACCTTTATATTCACGAATTCTTGGTAGCACAATCTCGGTCAATGTCGACAAGAACTGGGACATTTCATACCCGGTCAGCACAACTTTGGCACCCATCTGGTGGCCTTTCCTCAGTTTCCACGTTGGCACGTCAGTCTTTGAGTAGATTGGCTTGGGCTTAGCGCCTGTTATCTGCTGTAATTGCAAAGCAGCAGACACAGCCATCAGTTCGTTCTCCTTGGCTTCCTTGACAAAGCAATTGATCGTGACGTTCTCCAGCCAGGGCACATTGTGCCACTTAACAGGCTTGATGTCCGGCAACTGCGCCATAGACCCCTGGGGCTTCTTCAATGGTCTGTTCAAGTGGTAGGGAGACGACCCATCCCATTCTCTTTTCTTCAACCCTCTCTCGACCTCCTGGCCATGCCTGTAGTTGATCAGCAGCATATCCTGCTGTAAAGTCGAGTGGTAGAAGTCCCGCACACGGTCACCACACACCTCCTGTGGCCTATACCCAGGAGACCGCACATCAGTCTTCTCATACTTGAGATCAGGGAACCTTGGCGACAGCTTGTTCTTGTCGATCCTCACCAAGTGGTGGACGGGCTTCACCAGCGAGCACGCAGCCTTGCCAGCACCACTAGTACTAGAAAACGCTCTCCTCCCAAGCATCCTCAATCGTTACCGTTGTCGTTGTAGTTTGCTCTCACTCAACTGAAGGCTCGAGTACCTTTTAAGCTTCTTATTGAGAAATTTCAACGGATTCCTTCGAAGCTTTTTCTTAGCGAGTCAAGTGGATAGCGATGAGGCCCAAAGTTATAGACCTAATAGCCTTCGTACAAGCCCAGATAGTTGCAAGGAGAGTTATATATTCTTTGTATTTCTAATTTACACTGCAGTTGTAGATGTATATTTGCGACAACGCTTCCTTGAGCTACAGCACACAAGACTGTTGAGCAGTATCGGGTTCAGGAGAGCAGAACCACCTCGAAAGCTACGGTTCAAGTCAGTCGAGCCAGTTATAAGATACAGTTTACCGTTGAGCTTGTACTCGATGAATCCCATTGCTCTGGTGGTTGTGGCGGTGTCCTTTTGGTGCCAATACTGGCTCGAGAAGAGCTCTATGGTAGCGCACCTTCTACGCCACGAAGGATTGTCAACTCTTATAAATAGTGGGAAGTCTGCTGAATCAGAAAGTATTGCTGGGTGGAACAGGTCAGCGAGGTATATAGATTTGGCGATGACGGTGAGAGATGTTGATGTGCCTATTCCAGAGCAGCCAGGTGCTCCTTACCCTATAGTGACGAAGTGCTGCGATATAGTGTGTGGGTTTGGCAGAGGGTCCAGCGAGCTGGGTATTCCCACCGCTAATGTGCCCGTTGACCAGCTCCCCGAAGTAGTTAACAAGCTGGAGCTGGGTGTGTATTTCGGATACGCCAAGGTGACCCCTGTGGCTCATGACTTGGAGCAGGTTGAGCGTGAGGACGGCAGGGTGGTGAGTTATAACTACGGGTCCCACCTAGAGGAGGACAACGGAGACTTGGAAGTACTGCCGGTGGTCTTATCCGTTGGTAAGAACCCTTTTTACCACAACGACTTCAAGACCGTAGAGATCCATATCCTGCATGACTTCAAATCGACATTCTATGGCGCAAAGATCAAGTTCAATATTTTGGGATACGTAAGACCAGAGCTAGATTACACGTCTAAGGAGGCTCTGATCGAAGACATCAAGACAGATATTGAAATCTCCAAGCAGGTCCTGGACACAGAGCCTTACAGAGCTCATATGGCCGAGTTGCTAAAATAAAATAGGAGAAGCTTAAAAAGCCTATTAGTTATGCTCTTTTATTTGATATAATGATCCTTTTTGCCGATCAAATGCACCATGAACTTTTACCACATGCAATTTATTTTTTTGGCCCTATTTTTACTTGTTCTGTTAGTTTACTATATTATAAAGACTGTTAATGATAAATATTTCTATACCTGTATATTACCACAAGCGTTTACTGTTCCTTACGCATATCGTAAACTATATCAACATCTTCCGGAAGGTACGTTTCACAGAACTCTAGAAGCTTTGTGCTTACCCTTTCATAGTACTGTTTCGGTATCTGGCTCCACACTCTCTCTATTATGTATCCTCTTCTCTCCAGGTAAGAGCGTTCGCTATCGAAAAAAATCAGTTTGCTATATAGATACCAGAATAGGCCACCACCGATTAAGAAGGTCAAATCTTTCCTTATTATCTCTTTGAAGACTTTGTCCTCTATTAATTGTGTGTTTGATTTGGTTTGTAGATCAACCAAATATGATAAAATAATACCATGTCCTTGACGCTTCTCTTGATACTCTAATCTATGCATTATCTTGGAAAGTATATCATCAGACAGGAACGCATTCGAGTTTGAATCCTCATAACGGCTCTGGTTCTTATTTCGGTGTAAGTATACTTGAAATTCGATGTAATTCCAAAAGCTCTGGAAGTCCTCGATATCTTCACAACCTTCGGGCAGTGAGTCCTCCCAGACTTTGAAAAGTTTATCTAGAAAATAGAGCTCATTAGTTTTGACCAGCACTACAGTCAAAAGTTCTATTATCCTACCTTTTCTTAGAGCATATTGCAAAGATTTTAAAAGTACATTCTTTGCTGAATATAAGTCTTCTTCGACTTTGAGAAAATATTGTGCGTATTTTATCCATATGAAATCATAATGAGCCAGGCATACCAAAGCCCTTTGGAATGTGGTTTGAGTTAATGGCGCTATGTTCAAGTTTATCACGTAGTCCAAATACTTGTCCCATATGTTTTGCTGATCTGCACTTACTAGTTCATCACATGAGGTATAATATTGTACTGTCAGCTTTGATTCAAATAATGAGTATCTTTCAATTACCTGGTATTGTACGATGGTGTATAGATCTTGGGTATACTTTTTAAGCTGCTCCTTGGCTTTCTGTATGTAGGGGCCTCGTCTGCCTTTGTAATTTATGTCAACCAATAATTTTTCCCTGATATCTATCTCTGAGACAAATAATTTCAGCTTCGAAAGATCAGTAATATCATCATCTATGTGTTTCAACCATATAGCATAGAATTTGCTAAAGGAATGCAACGGTATTTCAAGAACTTTTCTCAAAGTAGAGTAGTATCGTATTTTGACGTTGCACCGCTCTTTCAGTACTTCTAAGTACATTTCCCAAAACTCCCCGCTTAAATAGTGTACTCCAATGTAATCTTCAGCTTCGCTATACTTCTTGAGCAGTTGTCTCTGATCAATTACTATCTTATTGCATATTTGAAGGTAATTCTTCCACAGCAACAAGGACCTGTTGTTATGTACTGCCAAAGCCTCCTTGAATATGGTATGAACTGATTTGAAATGGCCCAGTTTGTACTCTAATAGAGCATAGTCGATATAATAGTTCTCTAAAAGCGGGAAATAGTAGAGCATATCCGTGTATGTGGTTTTGAGCAATTTATAGAGCTTAGCATCTATAGCCTTGTTGACATTCCCGATATGTGTGTTGATCAACACCAGCAACTTCTCCCATGAGATCAGTTTCTTTGGATATTGGGCTAGCTCGGTGGTCAATTGTGCAAATTCATGGCTGTTAACTAGCTTCTCATAGCCTTGCATAGTTATGACTGCTCTTGCTATCAATTCGGCTTTCAACCTTACCAATTTAAGTAACCTTGTAGTAAGCTGTATATGATTGTTGATATACTTGTATCTTTCAATATGTATTGATTAACTATTGAATTCTTTTGACTTGATTGTTTGTTTTAATCATCGCAGCTCATCGACTTTTCCATTATTGTCACTAAAATTTCGAGTGTGATATACTCAAACGTGGTACACATAACCAAAATATTAATACACAATTATGAATATTATCATTTACACAAACAATATGCGTATCGATACTTCCAATATTGCTGCTATTGCAGTACTGGGGAATGTATAATTTTACTACCAAGTCGAACATGAAACCCAAATATAATAAATATATTAAAAAAAATAAAAGTATGACTCTAATATTAGACAACATCTAACAAAATAAATACTGTGATTATAATACCTCATGCAAAATAAATAGATCTATCGAAGTGCATTATGACCTTTAATGTATGTTGATGAGGGTTTTTTTTCCCATGCATATGGTTAATGTGTGCAGTTAAATAATGCTAGCGATTCTCGTTAGCTCACAATTGAGACTTGACCCAACCTTCAAGACCGCCTTTAATAATAATCTCTTGCAAGTTCTTACCTAGTTCACCGACCTTTTGTTCTAATAGGACTTGGCCATCTGGACTACCTTCTGTAACATAAACTTTAGCGTTAGGAACATCCCATTTTAAGAACCATCCAGTTCTTCTGGTCAATTCCTTTGGTGCATTCTCGAACTTGGAACGTAGCTTTTCAACTAAGGTTGGAATCTCCAGAGTAAGCAATGCGTTATTGATGGAGTTTCTCGAGAAAGTGTTACTGAAGGACCCTGCAACCACCAGATTAATACCCTTTGCAAGTAAAGAAGTAGCTGCTTGTTCTCTGGAGGAACCGGTACCAAAGTTAAATCCACTCACCAAAATATCACCAGCGTTAGCCTTGGAACCAAATTCACCGTCATAGTTTTCCATACAGACTTGTGCCATAGTCTCACGAGAGACATCATCTTGGTACGTATACTTACCTGGGTAAATACCATCGGTATTTACGTTGTCGGCGTCACAAAGCACCAATTCACCTACAATCTCTTCTGGGAAGCCTTCTAACATTTCAACCTTAGCAGCAGAACCTTCAGAAACTGGTGTGGCGGTTGAGGTTTCAGTGTTGCATGCTAACTCCTCGGCAAGTAATCCAGAAGACTTGACGTCCTCAATACCCCATACTTCAGCTGGAGAACCGATTCTACCCAAGACAGCAGATGCGGCAACCACGGCTGGGGAGGCCAAGTAGGCCAAAGCATCCTTTGAACCCATTCTACCCTTGAAGTTTCTGTTAGTGGCACTGATACCGACTTCACCTGGCTCCAGAAGCCCAGCACCTAGACCGATACATGGACCACAGCCAGATGGCAGAGGCTTACAGCCAGCGGCCAATAGTGCTTGCCATATACCCTTCTCAGCAGCTTCTTTCTCAATTTCAGAAGAAGCAGCAGCGAAGTAGAACTCAACACCGTCAGCAACTTTGTTGACCTTGGAGAGGTCTCCCGTTGGGCAAACGACTTTAGCGGCAGATTCCAAATCAGAGAGACGAGCGTTGGTACAGGACACCAGGTAAGCCTTGTTGATCTTTATGTTATCGCGAGCCAGATCCTGGACAGTGTTAGAGACTTTGACGCTATTTGGACCTGACACATAGTGAGTCAAAGTCGATAGATCGATGACTAGCTTTTTAGCGTAGACGGCGTCGGAGTCAGCCTTGAATACTTTGGCTTTGTCTTCCAAGTTCTTGATGGTTGTCTCATTGATCCTTGGGTGGTTAGGACCGACTATGTTCAGACGATTCTTGTACCAATTGATCAGGGTGTCATCTACTGGGAATAGACCTGAAAGGGCACCCCATTCTGTCGTCATGTTGGCTATTGTTAATCTGAAATCCACGGGCAGGTGCTTGATGGCATCTCCTGTAAACTCGATGGCGTGGTTCAGCACTTGATCCTTGTTGAAGACACCGCACAGAGCGACGATGATGTCTTTACCTGACACTGATTCATGTAGCTTGCCCTTGAACTCAACTTGGGCCACTGGTGGGATCTGCCACCAGGTCTGGCCTGTGGCCCAGATGGCAGCCGCGTCTGTTCTCACCACTGGGGTACCCAGGGCACCCATACCACCGTAAGTGTTGGAGTGTGAGTCTGAGGCCACGGTCAAGTTCAATGGGAAAGCGTAGCCTTCCTCGACCATGATCTGGTGGCCGATACCTCTGCCTGCCGGGTAGAAGTCGATGCCGTGCTTCTTGGCGAAGCTCTCGATGTTTCTGTACTTGGTCAAGTTCTTGTCGGACTTGTTCTGGATGTCGTGGTCCAGCGTGTTGACTATCTGCCTGGGGTCCTTCACTGTGCGGGCACCGAGGTTCATGAACTTCAATGCCACTGGCCAGGAGTTGTCATGGGACATGACGTGTGCTGGCTTGATGGAGACATAGTCACCGGAGTGCACTCGCTTACCTGGGGCAAGACCGACGCTGTATTGCTGCACAATCTTCTCAGTCAAGTTCTGACCGCGCTGCAGTCGAGTATATACGTGGAAAGACCTACGCAGTACCACCATTGTTAATGTATTGTTAATGTATTGTTAAAGTGTTGGTTGTGTTTGGTGTGATTGGTGTGCTGATGTACCGATGTATCGAGAGGGTTTGCTATATATATGTGATGTGGATGGTTACGTTCCAATGCCAGATACAAGCATATATGCCACTAGGAATCATAAATTGCTACGGTATTTGGCGATGAATCATCAAACTTCTTAGTAATCAATGGAAATCCCGGTGGAAATGTGTGATTCCAGTGCGAGATGACAAGCAGATCAGCACGGTACAGACTACCCACACTACATAGAACACTGTAAATACCATACAACTACGACACAGTATACTATATAATACACAAACACAAGTACCACAATATAATATACACACACAAGTACAACAGTATACTATACTCTTATAGCCTCAGAGAGAGAGAGAGAGAGAGAGAGAGAGCAAGCGGCCGGAGTATGGACATAATAGTAACTACATACGTATCAACCATATGATTGATACGTATATAAGTACATAACACATCAAGAACAACGAAACACGCATGACTTCACGTATACAAGTACCAATATATTCAATCAGCAATCAGCAATCAGCAAGAGCCAGGTGCCAGGAGCCAGGAAGGGGAATCGGGGAAGGTGGTATAACAGAAGTGCTGGAGTGTACTTGATTGCCTTTCTGTGCAAAACTGGGTCAACACGCAGTACAAATACACATACTAACGTGTTGATAATGGCTAGGTACGCTTGGTATACTAGGGCTACGGACACGCTGCACCGGTTGACGGTGCTGACCATCATCGGTGGGTCGCTGTACATGACTGGTGGGCTGGTGTACACGCTGTACATGAACGGTAAGCGGTACGAGCAGAAGGTCATCACGGACAAGAAGGACGAGATGAACCAGCTGGAAGGCGCAGTGTCTTCCTCAGAGTGATTTATTGAACCCTAACAAATTGCAAACATTGTGTGGGAGGGTATTTCTAGACACTCCTCATTCTACGTAAACACTCCATATTCTAACAATCTGTATATAGTCTTATGTATGACATCTAATGCAATATATCTTCGCTTCTTATAAAAAGGGAAAATTGCCTTTAAGTTGCTTCAAGTACAAGAGAACATGAAGGCTCTTAGTACAAGAACATACAGGTCAAGATATGAAGGCTCATACAGGACAAGATATGGAGGGAGAACAAGATATGGATCAAGCAAGCGAGAACCAGCTGGAGAAAGTTACCACCGGCATTGAGCAGGAGTTGCAAGACGAGAACGAGAATATCAAAAAGGCTCTCGAGGAGTACTCGTCCCCGCCGTTGCCTCCCAGAGATCACATTGCCACGGAGAGTGTAGTGCCTGAATTGCCCCCCAGGAACCATGATGAGGCAGAGAAGAATGATGTGATACGCAGTGAGAGCGAGGGCACTGGTAAGGGCACTGGTAAGGACACTGGTAAGGCCACTGTCGAGGCCAATAGTGATGCGGAACCGACACTCCCACCGAGGAATATAGAAGAACAAAGAAATGTTGTGGTTAACACTGATTTCCTTGCTTATAACAATAAGCGGATAAGAGACTTAGTGGCTCGTGAAGGCCCCGATAGGGAAGAAGAGATCTACGTGAATATAGGTACACTGAAGGAGAAATATAAAGAACAGATCTCTAAGCTGGAAGAAGGCCAATACAACCCTATAGTAGCAACCTTTATCCAATGCTTACCTGACATTTCTTTAAGGGACCTAATTGAAGAAGAGAAGATACTGCTTTCCACTGATCTCAAATTTAGGGATATTGTGTGGCCAATACTGTCTTTTAACTATGTCAAATCAGAAAACTTGAATAAAGGATCTAATGAGGCAATCACAAAGTTTTTGGAGAGACATAATATTACAGATGAAGAGACTTTGACAAGATACACAACTGTGTTGACGACATATTACTCAGAGACATTTCAAGGGGAGTTGTGCGATGACATTGTCATCCTACTGAATGCTATTGATATAGTTACCAAGGATGAACAAGATTTCTATATTATTTTCGAAAGTTTGCTCAATAAGTTCAACATGAAGGAAGTATACTATTCTAACAATGACAAGGATATCGAACTATGCTACATATTTGAGAGATTCCTGGAGGATAATCATAAGGCCTTGTACAACCATTTGTCCAGGGAAGGTCTATCTACTAAGATGTACTTACCCGTATGGATTAGAACGTTATTCAGGAAACAATTGAACGAAGATATTGCAGTGAAGATCGTGGATATCATTCTCCTAGAAGGCTTAGAGGGACTCTTAAGGATAGCCTTAGCACTCATAGTGGGGAATGAGGACAAGTTGTTGAGGTCCAAATTCGAAGATATCTTATCGATAATTAAGAATCTAGATCCCATGGCAGAATTATCTAGCGAATTTATCACTGAGGCCATGGCTTCCATCGAATTGAAACCAAAGGCGGTAATTGGCTACAAGTATGAGTATGAAGAAATCCACAGGTTGGAGAGAGAAAGAGAAGAGCAATTTGACTATGTCAAGAACAAGAACAAGAACCTTCAGGAAAAGGTAAAGAAACTTGAACATGATTATACTTTCCTAAACCGAGAGCATGTGACCATAGCCAATGAGCTGGTCAATAGCCAATTGAACATCGAACAAATATCTGTGCAAAACAATGAGCTAAGAATAGAACTGATCAACCTGCGAAAGGAACTGGCAGAGCTAACCAAACAAAAAGACATAGAAACTGGTAAAGCTGTTCCTGATGACATGAAGAAAGAATTAACCAACATCCTTGCAAAGAATTCTAGAGTGATGACGGAAAATTTACAACTTCAAGATAAAGTCTCTGAACTAGAGAAAACCGCGGAGGATATCAAAAGATGCACTGAAGAAGGGAAATTGTACGAAGACCCTTCTGCTTCTTCTTGGACTGGTCTAAAGAAGATATCCACCAAATTTTAAGATAGTTTATTTGTTTTTCTATTCATCTGTTCCTAGAGAGCTACACTATACATATCTGATTTATTTTTTCTCAAGAATCGTTAGAGTTATAACTATTTAACTGCTTGATTCGACTAGTTTATTGAATACATATAGCTCTGTCTGCTATGATAATGTTACAGATATCATGAATCACGAGTAACATCAAGAAGGCCCCGAAACGATTGACGGCTCCTTCACATCCCAGCGAATTGTGAGTTTGCTATAGCATGGCTACTGAACAAGAGGATTATATGAACGGGTGTATAACCTTTCTGGTGATCAAGCCGGTTAACAAAATAACGCCGACAGCATAATCAAACATGATCAATCTTTTGGTGGGGCCTTTACTAGGGTCTCTCAAACTTTCGGTGCCCTTTTCGAGGAACTTTTCCGTGACGGCTAATGCAATGCGTAGGTGGAAGTTGGTGGAGTGCCGTCGAGTGGCTAAGCAGCCAGAGTACAAAGTTGGCGATGTGAGACCTAATTATGTTCCCAAGGAGAGAAAAGAGTTCCCAGATTACAAATATGGTGAAGCCTTAGTCTTCAAGCAGAGTAATAAGGGTCTGTATGGTGGTTCGTTTGTGAAGTACGGTAACAAGATATCTGAGAGTAAGCATAAGACCAGGAGAACGTGGCACCCCAATGTGATTAAGAAGAGTTTATGGAGTGAGACTCTGAATAGATCCATAAACATCAAGATGACTGCTAAAGTGCTAAGGACAATAATCAAAGAAGGTGGTATTGACAATTACTTAATCAAGGATAAGAGTGCTCGGATCAAAGAGCTGGGCCCGACCGGTTGGAAGCTGCGTTACAGAATAATGCAAAGAAAGGAACAACTCAACAATCCACCTCACCATGATAAACCAGTTGTCAAGCTAGCAGATGGCACAGAAGCCAAGGTCCTTTACGAACAAGAAATCGACGGCGAGTCCTACAGAATCAAAGTCGGTAGGAGAAAACTGATGACTTACCTGTACCCCTTGGAGAAGTTGGAGCACAAAGCAGACGGCAAACCATTGAACCACAAGGAATTCATAGACAAGTTTGGTGATCTGAAAGCAGAGCAAATTATCCAAAGACTACACAAATATAACTTTGATCTGAAGACCATCTCAGTATGAAGCAGCCCATTGAAGATCGATATCCTTCATTTTCTCCCCGCACATGTAAATACCTACATTAACAAACCAAAGCTGGAAAATCTAAAAGGATCTATAAGAGATAACATAAATAGCAATATATTCACCTTGTCAATATATCTGAAAATACGTTTACCAACGACTAGCGCAAGCCCAACCTGCCAGGAGGTACATCTTCACGTACATCACATGTGAATTTGACGTACATAAATACCACCTTAGCAACAATAGTTTATTGTGACTGCCTTTCCTAAAACCCAGACATCCGTACCATATAACACCCATACATCTTAGCAGATATTTGATTGCTAAGATGTTTTTGCTCGGAATCTCACCCCTCCCGTGCTGGGTGCTTCGAAAGCCCGAGGGCCATCCAACCAGTAAAGGGGAAAGGCCCAGGTGGTAGGCTCACGGTCCCACGGTGCTAGGCTTGTCTAAGGTACCACTTCCCTCTAGGCTATGGTAACCCTCTCCCTAAGGGGAAGATTCTGAAGAGCCGAGAGCTGCCCTTTCAGTCGGATGGGCAGCGTGGCCATGGGAAGGGGGAGGGGAAACGTTAGAGTCTCGCTAGGCAGAGGGGTTCCTTCTGCTTGAGTGCTCGCAGACCCGGCTTCCTCCTCCGGTACTGAGACCAGGCCCAGGTCCAAGCCTAAGCCTAGGCCGAAGCGTGAGCCTAAGCCTAAACCTCAGCTGCACTCCACTTGGTGAGTCTCCGTAGTGGCAAACTCCATTTTGGTGAAAATTTCCAGCTACACTGGGGTCGATGCGTAGTCGAAAACTCTCTGCGTGAAAGTGGGAATAGTGGCTAGCTGGAAGTTTTAGAAGTGGGTGGACGGTTAAAAGTTGTAGATACATAAGTTGGTTAATTTACGCGCTTAATTGTCAACAAGAAGAGGTAAACAAAGACATCAAAAATGGCCGTTAAGACTGGTATGTTAACCTAGGAAATTCGACAGAAAGATATATGAAGCACATCCCGGAAGTTTGCAGCAAAAATCTCTAATCAGCATGATATAATATGCCTTGAACACGGTTGTAACAATGTGAATAGCTAGCCGATAGGAATGTAACGCTGAAGTTGTTGAAATAAGAATACCGAGAAACCTACATTTTTGGAAATCTCTGATAAGAAACGAAGATTTATGTTTTGAGAGACACTACTATAATGACATGGGACAAATTGCAACATAATGCTGAAAATTATATCAATTCTATTGGCATAACATGAAATGAGATAAACTATTGACTACGGATGTGGAACCAACAAAACAATTCGAAGCAATTTTACTAACATAATTACTATTATCAAAAATCTCTCTATTTGTATTTACCATGTGATATTGAAATCTTTTACCACCGTGAATGATAAGTTAGGTATCGACTATTGGCTTGTGTATTGGTTTGACGAAGAGCGAAAAAATTTCCATATTATAATTCTTCCATCGTATTGTGGTGCAGTGTGACAAATTTTTATTACTAGCGTGATAGTGGAACAAGCAGTTTTTATTACCGATAAATATTATCTGTTCAATATGAGTTTGGAATTCTGAAGATTTAATCACATGGTACTGATAAGAATAAGAGCATAAGTTTTTGGTATACTAATGATTCCAGGTATTGCTGTTGGTTTGAACAAGGGTACTAAGGTCACCCAAATGACCCCAGCCCCAAAGATCTCTTACAAGAAGGGTGCTGCTTCTAACAGAACCAAGTTCGTTCGTTCTTTGGTCAGAGAAATCGCTGGTTTGTCTCCATACGAAAGAAGATTGATCGATTTGATCAGAAACGCCGGTGAAAAGAGAGCTAGAAAGGTCGCCAAGAAGAGATTGGGTTCTTTCACCAGAGCTAAGGCTAAGGTTGAAGAAATGAACTCCATCATTGCTGCTTCTCGTCGTCACTAAACGGGTTATTCCTAATTATTATATCTTTCTCAAATCCATTTTAAAAGAGAAGATCCAACTTATATAAAAAGTACATCTTCTTTCAAAAATCATGGAGATTATAACAATGTCGAATACCTGTTAAATCCCACAACACTACATAAACATTTTCTATAAACGGAATGTAAACTACGTTACATATAATTTAATCCTTATATTATTAGATCATCATACCAATGTGATCCCCTCCTGGTTCAATAAGTACTTAGACAGTAGAGAAAACTCAAACATACTTCAATAACTATTTCTAAATGTTGCCGTAAGACTTACTTATCTGCACAACCTTTCTCATTTTACAGGTGATAGTCATAATGTAAGTGGAGTTGTCAATATTCCTCTGTGAGTTGGCCTCTCTATACCCTAAACCTCATTACGATCATAGAAAACGATGCTGTAAAGTTCGAGAAATTTTTTTCAAAATTTTGAAAAACTATAAAAGGCAGGCGATGGGCACCTTTAATTTAGCTATGAGTTGTTACGTATCATTTTTATTGTCATTCGGTTTTATTCTTGATTCCTCTTTCGAAGATCCCTACAATGTCTTTTATTTAATAGACGCCCAGAGTCACGGTGCAATCTTTTTCTAACATAGATGTTATGAGTAACCCTCACGGTCTGGATGTCGTTTTACCTTCTCCAGACTGCCGTGCTCGCGGTTGTTCTTAGAGCAAACCAGTACTCTATTCCATTGAAATATATGGAGGGGTAGTGAGTGGATCTTCCCTGGAAGTATGAATTTGAATATACTTATGATTAGATTTTCTTCACGCACATTTTTTTATATATTTTCTCACTCCATTGTATTTGTAGTATTCTTTTGAACAGGAAACCTGTCACGTATGAGGTCTTAAATGATTCAGATTTATGTTTAGGTGCGTATCTAGGTGATGCCACTTGAAACCCGTGACAATCCTCATACTTGCTGGACGACACAGTTACAATGAGTAACTCCACATATGAGATAGGATAATGAACCTTTTTGTAATTCCACTAATAAAAAAAATTCGACAATTTTAGGCAAGTTTATACAGTAAAACTAGAAACTACTACAATACTTACCTTTCTGAATAACAGAAACATTCTTATTTCTATAAATGAAAGTTCAAAGTCTTTCCAAAATTTATTGGATGACTATCCCAGATATTATCGGATAGTTATTTCTTATCCCAGCCCTTCTTGATAGCTTCTGCATAGGTAGGATAGTCAATGTAACCTTCGGCAGTCATAGTGTAGAAGTATGACCTGTCATACTTGTTCAAAGGTAATCCCTTTTCCAAACGGTCGACCAAATCAGGGTTAGAGATAAAGTATCTACCATAACCAATTATGGTTCTGTCATCATTAACAACATCCTTTACAACTTCTGGATGAATGGCATAGTTACCAGTTCTAATAATCACACCCTTCCAGATTGAGTAAGCGAAGTCAATTGTACCTTCATTGTATACACTTTCACCTTCTGGAAGGAATGGATCAAGAACTCTTGGCTCCATAAAATGTATGTAGGCAAGTCTCTTTCCTCCCTTAGCTCTTTTTTCCAATTCACCAATGATGTAAGCATATTGTGCAATAATAGTAGGGTCAGTACCACCAGACATACCTCCGTAGTTACCATATGGTGAGAATCTAATAGCTGTCTTCTCAGCACCAATGGCATCAACGACAGCATCAACTACTTCCAAAACAAATCTTGCTCTGTTTTCAATTGATCCACCGTATTCATCGGATCTGTGGTTGGAAATTGGGTCAATGAATTCGTTCAACAAGAAACCAGTTGAACTATGAATTTCAACACCATCAGCACCAGCAGAAATAGCATTCTTGGAAGCCTGCACGTAATCATTAACATATTGCTTGATATCTTCCCTAGACAAGCCGTGTTGTAAGTTGTTGGACTTCTTTGCAAGCTCTTCTTGTTCTGGGCTTGCGTAGTAGTTATCAGTTGCTGAATCAAATCTCAAACCGTCCCTGGCCAACAGATTTGGCATGGCTAGTCTACCCAAAGCCCAAAGTTGCACCCAAGCAAACGATTTGTTGCTGTGAATGGCATCAATAATCTTTCTCCACTCAACTAATTGTTCTTCAGACCAAATACCTGGAGCATTATCATAACCACCAGCTTGAGCAGATGGGAAGGTACCTTCAGTGATAACTAAAGTACCAGGTCTTTGCGATCTTTGTCTGTAATACTCTACAGACCATTCTCTGTTTGGAATGTTACCTGGGCTCTCAGCTCTCATTCTAGTTAATGGTGGGAAGGCAGCACGATGTAGAACCGTGTTGTTACCAACTTTCAAAGGCTTGAATAAGTTAGTACCCTTCAAAGAGACTGGCTCAAAATCAGTTGTGAATGACATTTTGTTATGTTGTAGTTTGATAATTTTTGCTAATTGAATACTAAAGACAACGCTAATATTCTTTCTAAGTATTAACTTGCTGTTTTTCTAGCAATAATAGGATTAAACTTGAAAGAAGAAGCCATTGATAATCCAAGAATGGAACATCTTGGTAGCCTTTTTATATGTTTTCGAGATTAAAAATTTAGAGTGTTCCTCAATTCTATATTTTTCCTGTTATCTCAGTATTCCTCAATTTGTAATAATCTATCAGTGCTATCTGAACAATCATTGATCTATTATTATTCTGGCAGTAAAATTGTATAAATTCGTATTCTAATCATAATTTCAACTATTTCGTTGGGAATTGACCCGAGTTAGCTCTTTCTTAGATTTTTGATAGAGGTTAAAAATGAAAAATAACAGTTCTGAGTAGAATAGAACAGCGGTAAACACACATTTGAAGTTAATCAAGCTCAATTAGACCAATAAGCCATCCATTTTCACCACAATGTTACATTTCACGCATCCTTAGTAATGAAGTTTATACAATTCCCCACGTTAAATTCAAGGTAATTTGACAGCTTTACCGTTTTCAATCACAATGGTGTTAACATACCGGGAATGGATAAACACTCTAATTAATCAATGGAAAACTATGGAAACTTTTGCACTCCCTGATCCTTACCTAATTCAATTAACTCAACAAAGTCATGAACTCCCCTATAAACAACCGCCATCTCACAATGCTGATTAGAGAATTCAGTCACCTTGTTTAGAAAATAACGCAGATTAATTCAACCACAATAACGTCCACAATCATTATGTTAAGAACCAGAATGAACAAAAAAAAATGATTTCCCTCAAGCCTGCTACTATATTTGCCAACATAACATGCTGCCAGCTTTATCGGAGTCCGAAGCTATTTCCCAAACTAAGGAATGACAAGATTAATCCAATTACCCTGTTCCCATAGTACTCATTTTCATTCATTGAGTCGTGGTTTCTAATTTTCAGGTCCACAGTTCGCGAAGCTACAATGATCGACGACGATTTGTAATACGTAATCAAAAATTGAAAATAAAAAATGATAGGACCCCACAGTAGTGGGAAGAGTGGACTTGACATATATTTATCTGTAGAATGTTACCTGAACACACTGTGATTGAATACGTCTCCTTCTATGAACTGTGGTTGATAGTAATATGCCAAATTCTCTCCTTTCGGAGTTACTCTCCCGTCAAAAAATATGCCTATAGGAGTTTACATTCACTATGTAGTCATTCAACATCACGTGTAGGTGATATTTTGTAACATCGAAGCAAATAACACACAGTACAGTGTTACTTTATTGATAACGAATAACTCTTAGCCCCTATTCTTGCAACCGATGTCTAACAGTTGTTGTGAGCAAAAGCAAACAGACTTTCATACTCTTTTGCTTCTGAAGGAACACAATACATCCATGCTCTTGCACTGTATTTACTAATTGAAAAATACCTCACCTGCTTTCAAAACACTTAGCTAAACCGCAACAGATCAGGTTTATCTACGTGCAGTAAGCATATTAAGGTCTTTCTATTGATTAAAGATTGACCATTACCTAATGACGTTCAAAGCACCCAATCATAACAGAATAAAGATAGGAAGTTTGGTCCATCTAAATTTCGGGAAACGTTTCCTGTTGCCAGGCTAAAAGTTTTATCAAATCCATTTAAGTTTGTTGGTGGTGGCGTAAAAACCGACAAAACAAGTATTCCATATATCCAACTTTCTCAAGCACCAGGATCAATCAACAACTAAATAACTACCAGTTAAAACAGTTAAATCCTTTTAGACCGTATCGAAAGCATAATCAACATACTGGCCTAGCAGAGATAGGATAAATATATGCCTTGATATTATCTTGCAAGTTCAAATTTCGAACTTTCTCTAAGCTCAGACGAATGCAGAACACATATATAATCTTGTTTTGATACTAAGACCATATACCATACATCGAAAGTATAACTTGAAAATGGATTGGAGTCAATTTAGAAGCTTTGCCAATTATCTATCGGAAGTTATACTCATACAAAACTCATGAAATATAGAATTTTTCCATTTTAAAACCATTTCCATCACATTGCAGTTTGAGATATTTGTCATTTTCTATCCCGCAACTAAAGTCTAGAATAAAATATCCATTCAGATGTTTAGCTAATACTGTGCGGTTAGGCATCTAAAAACATTAATTCGTCCAGAATATTAGAATATCGGACGACAAAGACTGCAAAAGGCTGTTGGTGTTATAGAAATGGTTGGCAGCTCATTAAGACTCAACAATCATTGGCTTTTCAACATATTGACCATGTAGCTTTAGGAAATAACGCATCTAAATTTTAAAAAAGTTGGAGTTATTTATGTTTTCTAAGTTCTTTTGAAATCGAGTTTAAGGAGAAAGAATATCAAGAATGATAAGCAATAATTAAACACTCAGCATCTCCTAGGTGCACATGCAAAATTGCGTCTATGCCGTCATCCAATAGTGGCGGAATTAAATCCCCAACAATTTATTTTGATAGTCGGATAATAATATCCCATATGATCAATTCCTGATTGAATATCATAGATAATTGTCCTCAATATTGCCTTGTTGGCAAAATAAATAAACATACCGGCAACAAAAGCATATCATTCTAAACCTCGCTGTTTCAATTTCAATTTCAACAATTCAGGCCTGGGGCAACACCTGGAGCCGATTTCAGGATTTTCAGCATAAAATTTCTTACAACACTTGTAAAGGTTATCGATAAGTCGAGAACATCTGTCTTCGTTATAACCATTGCTTTGTAAGCAGTCCTGAATAGCACAAGCTTCTTTCTGACATGCACTGGATGATCTACCAGACATCGGGTCGTTTGTTTATTTGTTTATGTGCGCGCGTGTATAAGATTTGATTTTATTATCGTCTGCCTTAACTTTCAGATGATATGTGGACAAGGTATTTTGGAAAATGACGTAGAGTCTAACCAAAATCGCTCTTTGATGATCAAATTCCTGGAAAGGTTTTTATCCGTACTTCTCGTATTCCTTTACTGTCTATGGTCTTTACGTCTTATACTCACAGCTATCACAAAAAGAGTCTGCAGCCATAATTGGAGAACGGATTACATACTTCTCTATACTTTTGCAGTTATACTCCTGGAAATCTCAGATCTCCCCTTCTAGAGTTAACTCCCCCACTAGATTTATCAGTGTAATTTGTCCAACTTCGGCTCCTTTCTTTTATTTAGCATAATATAAATCTAAAGAAGAAGCACTGAGTTATGTAGGGTCATATCATTTATGAGCAACAGACGGACATTTTTCTTTGTACAACTCACGGGTCATATCGGATTGCATCTAAACTATGTTCAGAGACCCCCAATTTGCATCATCTTGCCCTTTGTTCAACAATCGGATGCTTTCCCTTTTTTTAACCTGTGATCATAAAAGTTGCATATTCGTAAGGAACCCAACGGCCCTCTAGAATCCCATTCCAACTGAAAAGTGTTGTGAGTTCTACGGGATTATATCTGGTATTACAAAGGGTGTCTGGGGAGCTGGTCGTTCAACTGAGAAAGTTCCAGCTTCTAAGCTATTATTTTGTCATCAAGCCTGTGATCCCAATCTCTTTTGAGATTATCACTACTAGTTAAACACTTGTCGGAGATTAGAAGTTTTCTCTTTCACAGGAGATATCATCTCACCAACAAAATGCTGCCTTCATCCTCTCTCTACCCATGTTCCTAACCTATTTGAGTTCTCTCGTTCTGTTTTGGTTCTGGGCCATGCCACAGTACTCTTAGTAATTGCCCTTTATCCTACTGGCTCTTGTAACCCTTCTTAACCCTTTACTAGCTATTGCTCAAGGATAGCACAAAGGGCCATGGGATGGCTAATTCCTTAACCTTTAAAATTTAGGGAGCCTTCCAGTTTCTCTTGTTGAATAACGGAGGTTTGTATGGAGGGAAAACGCTAATTTCGATGAAGGAGAGATGCCCTTCGCAAATGTGTCGAAGTTTCTCACTATTCCTTCAACCCTCTTTCCTCCTTTTCCTTCGGCAATAGACACTGCACTATATTTGGAGTAAAATGTCCGTCTTTCATCGTTAAACTACCTTGAGAGAACTTAAAGAAAACTCCAACTAATTACCTTGGAACTTGGGATAAAGAAATTAGTAACCCCTCATGCTAGTTCTCTGAAAAGTATCTGAAAATTTACTGTTTGCAACAATAAGTTATGGATGCAATTACAAATTGTGCTTAAGACCTAGACTAAATTAATAACAATTATTATTTCCCTTAAGTCCTTTCTCAATAATCAATAGTTTGGATAGCTATATAAAGGGTAAGCCTTTACCATCATCAAGCCTTGGAACACATCCTTTATCCTTTGTTGTTCTTATTGTAAAATATATAAATACAACAACAAACCAAATCTTGAAAGCATCAATTATATACATAATAGATACTTTCAATCAACAAAAAATCAACATTATAACGCTAATTTTTTGTTCCTTTTGGCTTATTAGATAACTTCCCACAATTGAAAAAAAACATGTCCGCTAATCCAACTAACACTTCCGATGTTAGAGGTGACAGAGTTGTCACTAACTCTACAGGTTACCCATACAATGACCCATTTGCTACTCAAAGAGTTGGTCAACACGGCCCATTGTTGATGCAAGATGCTAACTTGATCGACTCCTTGGCCCACTTCAACAGAGAGAGAATCCCAGAAAGAAACCCTCACGCCCACGGTTCTGGTGCCTTTGGTTACTTTGAAGTCACTGATGATATTACTGACATCTGTGGTTCTGCCATGTTCTCCGAAATTGGTAAGAGAACCAGATTCTTGACCAGATTCTCCACTGTCGGTGGTGAAAAGGGTTCTGCAGACACCGCCAGAGACCCAAGAGGTTTTGCTACCAAGTTCTACACTGAAGAAGGTAACTTGGACTGGGTTTACAACAACACTCCAATTTTCTTCATCAGAGACCCATCTAAGTTCCCACATTTCATCCACACCCAAAAGAGAAACCCACAAACTAACTTGAAGGACCCAAACATGTTCTGGGATTACTTGACCACTCCAGAAAACCAAGTTGCTGTCCACCAATTGATGATCCTGTTCTCCGACAGAGGTACCCCAGCTTCTTACAGACACATGAACGGTTACTCCGGTCACACTTACAAGTGGTCCAACAAGAAGGGTGAATGGCACTATGTCCAAGTTCACATCTTGACTGACCAAGGTATCAAAAACTTGACCAATGATGAAGCTGTTGAAATCGCTGGTAAGAACCCAGACTACTGTCAACAAGACTTGTACGAAAACATCGCCAAGGGTAACTACCCATCCTGGACTGTTTACATCCAAACTATGACCGAAGAACAAGCCAAGAAGTTGCCATTCTCTGTCTTCGACTTGACCAAGGTCTGGCCACACAAGGACTTCCCATTGCGTAGAGTCGGTAAGATGGTCATGAACGAAAACCCATTGAATTACTTTGCTTCCATCGAACAAGCTGCTTTCTCCCCAGCCAACACTGTTCCATACCAAGAACCATCTGCTGACCCAGTTCTACAATCTCGTTTGTTTGCTTACGCTGATGCTCACCGTTACAGATTGGGTGCTAACTTCCACCAAATCCCTGTCAACTGCCCATACGCCTCCAAGTTCTTCAACCCAGTTATTAGAGACGGTCCAATGAACGTTGATGGTAACTTCGGTAACGAACCAAACTACTACGCTTCCAACAAGCAATACCAAATTCCAAACCAAGACAGACCAATCCAACAACACCAAGAAGTCTGGAACGGTCCAGCTCAACCATTCCACTGGGCTACTTCTCCAGGCGACATCGACTTCGTCCAAGCCAGAGACTTGTACAAGGTCTTGGGTAAGCAAAAGGACCAACAAGAGCACTTGGCTTACAACATCGGTACTCACGTTGCTGGTGCTGACCCAGAGATCCAACAACGTGTTATCGACATGTTCTCTCGTGTTGATGAAGGTCTAGGTGCTAACATCAGAAAGGAGATCGAAAAGAACGCCAGCGCCCCAACTGCTAAGATCTAAGTGCGCTTTTGAACCACGTAAAGTGCTGTAAAACAGCTCTATTCAATGAGGTAAATGATAAAGTTTATAAGAGACCAAAAAATTCAAAAAAAAAATTGAAAAATTATATTGGTATTTATATGAAACAATAGTTCAGTTCAAAGCGCTAGCTTTTCTCATCTCAACTAACCGGTATTAGGTGGGTATTTATTTAATATGGGAACAAGAAATGTGACACTAATGTTCATGTTTTTATTTTCATTATTTATTCTATATGGTTTGGGACTTGATGTTATGTCTTAATTCATAGTTTTTTTTTTTTAGTAACAGAAATATATATCTATCAGCTATTTATTAAATATTCAAGAGATTAAATTATTATAAATGTCACTGGATGCATTGATGTTGTCCATTGTACCGCACTGAAATACAACTCTTTAGAGTTGAACAAATTGAACGGACTTTCTCAAAAGTTAAAATCTGCGAAGCAGGGGAGTCATTCGGGGCGAGACCGTCGTAGTCCAACATAAAACACAAGTTGGAGCAAACCATACAAGAGCCTGGCATTGTTCAAGACAGTTAACAACGCAGGTATATCTTGACTATACCCCAAACTATTATTATTTGGACCGCCAGAATGCTTAAGTCCAGTTTGCTTTTGGAGAACATACGGAAGTTCAACAGGTTTAGAAGTCCTTACAGGCTGCAGGACGTGTGGCCATTAGGCAGGCGATCTGCCGTGCTGGTACTACTATTTATTGGAAACCAAGGTGAGTTAAGAGTTCTATTGACCAAGCGGTCACGGAGTCTGCGTAGTTTCTCGGGCCATGTGTCATTCCCCGGAGGTAAAGCGGACGATGCGAAGGAGACTCCCGAGCAAGTGGCTAGAAGAGAGACATGTGAGGAGATTGGGCTACCGCAGGACGCAGCACAACTGAAGCGGGACTACGGCATGGAGATAGAAAACCTGCTGACGGAGATGCCTTGCTACATATCACGCACACTGCTCAGCGTTAAGCCCGTCGTGTGCCTGCTCAAGAACACGCACAAGTCTGACCTGGATATCCTGGAGGCGAGCAAGTTTGCCGCGAAGTTAAACCCTGGCGAGACATCGTCGCTGTTCTCTGTGCCACTGCGGGACTTGGCACCCAGACATTTGCGCCGCGGTATGGCAACTGAGTACGTTGACCACAGAGAGGAGTCTCTCGAGTGGGGGGGCCTTCCCTGGCTAGTGGACCACTTCTATTACCCCGTAGAGAATCCGCAAGAGGCCCCCTGGCTCACGGATGTGCAGGACCTGAGCAGCGAGGAGAACGAAGTCGAAGTGCTGCGGGACGCCAGCAGCCACCGAGTGCAATGCCGCGACCTGTGGGGGCTCACCGCGAAGATCATCAGCGACCTAGCCGCGATCGCCACGGGACTCATAACCACGGACACTAGCAGACAGGCCACGGTGGGACACGAGGACCTGATCTACGGACTCTACACCAATGGCCAGATGCAACCGGAGCGGTCTCAGTGGGAGTCAGACATGATCCGCGCCAAGCGCGACACCAACTACACAGACGTCATACCCGAGGCATACATGTCAGACCTCCACTCCCGCGGCGTAACTTTCTAGTTCTAGCACTGTGTATATGTATAGTCAGTATATAACATGCAGTATAGTCAGTTATATGTAAATCACATGATTCCAACGTATTAGAGTAGCAATATAGACACACCCCTTCCATTTCCCCCCGATATCCCCGAACAATGGGAGGAGTTCAGTTTCGCATAATTTTGACACAAATGAGCCCTGTAGAGGAGCCCTGCAGCGGCGCACAGCAACCCTTGTAGCGGACATCGGAGGTGGAACTGGGAAAGGGTGTAGTTCCTCCTCACAGACACGACCCACAACGGTGCGGTACTGTCTGTGGGGGGAGGGCAGCCCAGAATTCTATCGGAATAGAGGAAATATCCCAGCAGAGAGCAAGAGAGAGAGAGACTTGTACGAGGGTCTCTGAGGAACGAGGGTAGGAGGGGGGTGCTGAGCGATTTCGATCGACGGTTCTCAGGAAAGACTCATCATTTTGTGCGGGTGTTTCTGTGTGAATTTGGGGGGGGGGATAGAGAGAAGAAGGGGGGGGTCTCTTAGAGCAGACTGTGGGAAACTGGGAATTGGGAAACTGGGAACGGGGTGGCCGATGGGAGGGAAGTGGAAATGGGGCTGGGCCTGGCGCTAGTATAAATAGGACGACGCATCGCAAGGTCCTGGGATGGCTGGTCTTTCTTGGAGATCAGCGGCTAAAAGTATGGGAAATATTTTTATTTTGGGAAATACTTGTAAGTTAGAATAGTTTAGCAAGGAGAGAATGACGATAGATGACACGAGCAGGCGGTTTGAAGAGGATGATGCTTCGGCGCCTGTGTTTGACAAGGTGTACCAGAATTACATGATGCCGGGGCTGGAGTTGTATGATGCGCGGGTGACGATAAACCACTGGCAGCTGCGAGACTGTATCAAGCCGTCCTCGGGAAACCACAGCAAGCTGTACTACATATACGACCACTCGATCCGTGTTCTGGACACTGATCTGGAAGGGCTGCGGAGTTACCGGTCGCACAGGATGTCTGAGAGCCATGTCTCAGGGTCAGAAGGGGAGAAGAGGCGGCTGTCGTCCAAGCTGAAGAAGGATGTCGTGTCGTATAGGAACAGGGACATGCTGAAGGGAAACCTGAACGTGCCTTCAGAGAAGCTAGTCGAGTTTTATTTCAAACCGCGTTGCTTCACAGAGCTTAACGGGCTAACTGCTTGTGGTGGTCTTGTGGGTTCGGATGACAGAGGGTTCCCAACCAACTGGAACAGACTGAATCATAATGCCGGTGCTACGAGTCCGCCCACAGACAGAAACGCCACCTCTGTGGCTGGGAGTAACATAAATACACAGAACACCACAGACTCCTCACCTCCAGCTCAGCCTATCAAATTGGCTAGGCGAGATGTGCTCTTGGATCGCAGCAATTACAGCAACCCAAATATTTGGAAAGGTATATTATCATTGTACAACCAAAACACTAACGTTTCCATGACTTTCGTACTGGGCCAATTCATCAACAACTGTGTGACTTTAAATGATAGATCGAACAACCAGTATGACCTTTACACTTGCAACAACGACGGCCACATGTACCAATGTGATATCAGCAACAGAGACGTTCAGCTTGTAAGAAGATTCTCTGATTTGAAGTTTCCTTTGAATAATGCGGCTTTATCGCATGATTCAAAGACTATGATTGTTTCCGGTGACTCAAACAAATTTGCCATTTACAGACAAGAGAACCTATCAGAACAGTTCACCTTAAATTACGACAACCAAGCACAATGGGGTAACTCTCACTCCAAGATCAAAAGAATTCACAGATACTCTTCTGGAGACAACACCGGTTACATCGATAATATATTCGAAGCTCCAAACGGAGACCACGGCTTTTACAACTCGTTCTCTGAAAATGACTTGCAATTTGCAACGTTGTTCCAGAACGGGGTGTGTCTGATATATGATGTTAGAAGACTAGATTCCCCGCTAGCTGAGATAAGTTCCACAAGACCGCACTCACATAATGGTGCATTCAGGGTCTGCAGATTTAGTTACGGCTTGGATGACCTATTATTCATTTCTGAGCATCAGGGTAGAGTTCACGTTGTCGACACAAGAAATTTTGTCAATCATCAAATAATCCTAATACCAGATAAAGTTACACCACCAATGGATACCGAGGACCAGAACACTTATAATACAACACAAAGTACACAACAACAAGCAGCAGACTACCAAAGCTCAGTTTCAAACTATATGTCTACCTATAATAATGCTAGGAGAAGATATTCTTTCCCTTCAGTTGGAGTGAAAAATTGGGAACCATGGATTACACCTGCAAATTATATTCCATTACAATACTTAGAACCCAAGATTTTACCTTTCCCTAAAGTTATTGATAAACTAACTAATGAGAGCATTATTAGTCATTATAATTCTTCGCAATATGGCTCATCTCGCCAAAATTCGGGATCTTATTACGCCGCATCTACAGATAGTGATAATAGGGTGTCTAAGCGCAGAGATGCAAGAAACTCTTTCAGGATCAGACGTGTATCAACATCATCTAAGCGAACTATCCCTCAAGAAGGAAACAACAGTGGTTTACTAAGAGCTCAGAATCAGCAAACCAACCAGCAACAAGAGCTACATACCAGTTCTGGATCTTCAAATGGTAATACAGTATTCGACGACGACGATATATATGATGCATATCAGGACGTCAATACAAATGAAAATATGTACCCTCTCAGCGGTAGATTCGAACCCACTATTAATGAAATTAGTGGCAGATACAACCCCGTTAATAACACTGTAGTTGATTATTCAAGTACAGATTTCACAGAAGAAAACAATATTTCAGGTATCGACTGGGTTGAGGATCGTAACGGAAGCTCTTTGATCATCGGCACAGACTATGGTATCATGAGATGGAATATCAATTCATGGGCTAGGAGAAGCTTTTCAAGCTATGATTTCTGCTGATTTAGTAAACTTCATTGAATTTATTTTTGGATTATTTTATTTTTTTATTTCTAATTTCTTTCTTTTATTGGTTACTATTTTCCATTTTTTAATTGTTTTTTGGGTCGTCATTGTAACTGGCATTTAGTTAACTCAAATCTCTTCATTTCTTCATTTCATCACGATTACTAGTTTTTTTTATCGGTGCATATTCATTATTTTAATCATTCATACAATTTATAGCTTGTAAAGACAGAGTTTCATAATTTCCTCTTTTTCTCAATATAATACCAAACCACCCAAAAAACTCAAGAATAAGCAAAGTATGATTGAAATAGTAGGAATATCAACAACCGAAAGCTTGGTGCTTTTCTCACCCACCCGCCGTACCAAGAACCAAAATTTCCCATGAATGTATGTCTTTGTTAATAAAATATTTAGGTATAATATACAATTGCAGTTTATAATTGTTTAAATATAAAATATTAAGAAACCGATAAACTTAACGACATATCGGCTAGCGTAGAATAGTGTAAGTCAAATGAATGATAAACTATTCCGATTAGTTGTGCAAACGCTTTTCGTAAGAGTGCAAGTTGTGGACACCACCTTCCAATTGAGCGGATGCAGTTCTGAACTCAAATCTGACGTTACCGTTGTCAACTTCAGATCTCAAAGAGTCCAATGATTGAACACCAATGTCTTGACAAGAGTGCTGTAGACCGTTGTATAGGTATGGAATGAACTTCTTGATAGAACCCTTGTCAACGACAGCACCAGAGACACCTTGAGCGACCAAGACACTGTCAGTTTCAGAGAAGTAACGAGAAGTAGAAGCATTACCCTTCTTACCAGTCTTTTGCATGGCATCGATAGAACCCATACCTCTGTAAACCTTTAATCTCTTACCGTCTCTGTAGAAGTAGTCACCTGGGGATTCAGTGGTACCAGCCAACATACCACCCATCATAACAGTGGAAGCACCTAGACACAAAGCCTTGGTAATGTGACCAATGTTTTGAACACCACCATCGGCGATACATGGAACACCGAATTCGTTAGCGAACTTACAGACGTTGTAAACAGCGGTACCTTGAGGTCTACCACAGGCCATAACTTCTTGGGTAATACAGATGGAACCGGAACCCATACCGATTCTCAAACCGTCAGCACCAGCAGCAATCAAGTTAGCAGCTTGCTCTCTGGTAGCAACGTTACCAGCAATAACTTCTAGTTCTGGGAATTCCTTCTTAATCCACTTGATCATGTTCAATTGGAAGATGGAGTTACCTTGAGAAGAGTCCAAGATAACAACATCAAGACCAGCTTCAACCAATAGTCTCAATCTCTCCTTGTCAGCATCAATAGTACCGATAGCAGCACCACATAGCAATTGCTTGGTAGTGGCAGACTTGGAAGCCAATGGGTAGTTTTGGTTCTTCATCAAATCGGTTCTGGACAACATAGAGACCAAGTTACCGTTGTCGTCAGTGATCAAAAGCTTACCCTTCTTGGTAGTCTTCAAGATCTCGTTACCTTCAGAAAGAGTGATACCAGCCTTACCGGTAACCAATTCAGTGGTCATGACGTCCTTGACCTTCATGCTATCGTCTTCCAAAAATTGGAAATCACGAGAGGTGATTATACCTAGCAATTTGCTTCCAACCTTACCTTCAGCTAAAACAATGATTGGAGTACATTTATCCTGTTGCAATTAAAGTATTCTTTTCAGCAAGTAGCCAGCATTGCGAGACTAGTTATCATATGCAATTGAAAAGAAATCAAACAGTATAATGTAAAAACCATTAATGTTAGTAAAAACAAATTCAATTTTGTTTTCTTAAAGAGTGGATCATATGTTAAACAGATAGCAGGCATGACCTAGACTAAAATCAATATGCATAAATCAGCGTGATGATGATAATGAGTCTCTATTTCCTTTTCTTTTCTTTGTAAATCAGCAAATAAAAGTTTTCTACAAGATCGTTTGATCGCAGTCAGTAGAACGAAAGTTATAATATTAAAAGTTTAATCATCATTTCAATTGAAGAAAAAAGTATTCCAGTAAACTCTTATATCTCACCATTTTGAAACTTTTAAACATTATTGGCTTTTAAAAAATTGATGCCATATGCTATCTGTTAGTACAATCCAAAGTTTTAAGTTATTTCTTTGAATTTTGCGATTAGATTGAAATTACAATCATAAACAAAATTTTGAATGTGGTGAAAAAAAAAACATACCTGTAACTGGGAAAGCGGAGAAACCGTAATCCTCCCTCATGGTCTTGACTTCACCGACGGTAACTTCTGGGCCAATAACGATTGGGAAGTTGATGAAACCGTTTTCGAAGTTCTTGACCTTCTTAACCATAGAGGCTTGTTCCTCTGGGGTACAGTTGTGGTGGATGATACCGATACCACCCAAAAGAGCCATGTAGATGGCCATTTCAGCTTCGGTAACGGTGTCCATTGGGGAAGAAACAAAAGGGGTGTTCAATGTGATCTTCTTGGTTAGCTTAGTTTGCAACTGAACAACAGAGGATGGGAAAGAAACATAACCTGGCAAAACTAGGAAATCGTTGTAAGTTAGACCACCTCTAGTCATAGAGTCCATCAACTCACTGACAGAAAGACCATCCTTTCTCTCAATGGTCTTCAAGTACTCTAGAGCAGTAGTGTAATCTCTAACTTTAACAGATTGCTTAGTAACCTTCATCCTTTTAATTATTAGTTTTTTTTGTCCTGAATGTATTTTCCTTTTATTAATTCAGATCAAAAGAAAGTGTTATGTTTTTAATTAGATTTCCTGTTATTTATTCAGTTAATTCTTTCAAAAGAAACCAAAAGACCACAAGAAATGTTTTATCCGATTCTTTTTTTTTTTATCCAAGAACAAGAATAAGAATGAAAGAAAGAATCAATCCAACCCGGATCATCTCCCAATCCCTCTTCCCACCCACATGAACACCAATTGCAATTGAAGAAACTACCAGATGTCTGGTATTCATGATGCCTATTTATACATTTTTTTTTTTTGCGATGAGCTTCGCGATGAGCTTTGAATGAAAAAAATTTTTTTTTTTTTTTTTTTCAAAATTTGCCAGACAAAGCGAAAGATCATTGTACGGCTACTTGTTAGGGAGCTACTAACACTCCCACGATACCTTCTAGTGAAGAACCTTGATTCGATTCTCCCCAGCCAGTAAGACAAAGTATGCCTTTAACTTCCTGCTCTGTTAGTGCTTGCACCAGTCCCGGAAAAAAGAAAGAAATATATCAGGTGCTGTCCCTTCCAGATGGGGACAATTGCCAGGCATACGCCCAAGCACTGATGCTCGGTTTCTTTGCCTTGTCGATGAATGGGTATCCAGTCCAGGGTACCATGACAAGGCCCAAGGACAGAGAGGGAAAAAAAGAAACAAAGCGACCAGATAGGGCATCGTTTCAAAGCCGAGAGCAATGTATGGTTTGATGAATCAGTGCAATACAGGGCCTAAAGAAACAATCTTGAAATAAACTTGAAAGGCCCTAAAACCCAAACCTCTATACTTTCGTATACAATTATATTAAAAATTGATCATATGGTATGACGTGGTACGTGATATAATAACACACGAATATATGTCATATGATATGTACGTATACCAGTATATGGCCATCTGGGGGACCACACCTCCAACTTTACCCGGACTCATCACAGTAACATAGAGCTGCGAACTCTTGGAAAACCCCATCGGTATACCCAGCGCACAGTATACCAAACATGCTGGGCCATGTAGCCCATAGTATTGGACAGGGATACCTCATGTTTCAATGGTCGGCAACCTACTACAAGTATACCTGGGGTGTACTTACCAACAGCAGCAGTTCTACTCATTCCTCAGCACACAATCCACAAATGTCTAAGAGTATCAACGTTTATTCGACTTCAGAAGCACAGAAAGCGCTCGATGAATTGCTGCCTTCTGTGTTCGCTAGGCTAGGGTACCGCGAAGACCACACAGCTCTGGATATCAAGCTTGCGCTTGGCTACACAATGGCCGCAATTGCGGTCGGAAGTTTCCTGCTGGACAAGAAATTCGAGAAGAAAGAGATTATGCACTACCAATTGATCCTCACCGTTTTGTATTTTGCTCTCTCGTTGGTGTACTGGGTCTACCAGAAGACTGTGAACAAGAACGCCATCTACCACGGCAAAAAGACCTCTGGTGAGAACATCAAGGTTATAACGTCAATCGGCAAGACTGATCCTAACTACAAGGTAACCGTTATTAGAAATAATAAGAACAAAGAGCTGGAGTTGGTGCTTCCTATAACTGAAGTGTTTACTGAAAAGGGTTTCTTGCAAGGCGATCTTGTATATAACTGGTTTAGCAAGCACCTATCAGAAAAGGATGAATGAAACTCGAAACGATAGAAAAATTATGTTTGCATTTTGAAGAGGATTACATCAAAGCTATCCAGTTTTCACATGAGTCGATTATATTACGAGAATCACTAACGCAATTGAAGACAGCTTGCAGATTATGGAAATTCCGATATTTTCTTTGTTTCTATTAAAAAAAAAAAGGAATCTAATACTCAATAATTTATGATAAATACTTCTTACATACTTGATAGATTAATTCCATCAATTTCACTTATATTAATAGTGATACTTTTATACTTACTTAAGAATAAATGAATGTATCGATTTCAAAGTCAATCGCTGGCATCGTCTAAGAACTCAGCTAGCTCAGGCTTGTTGTAAACATTAACATACAACGAATCCTTTGGTACATTGACAGTCCTACCATGCAATGAAGAAAGATCTAATAGTTCAGGATTCATGTCCTTAATGGATGTAACACCCAGCAATCTCATGTTCATTTCAATCTCTGTTTTCAATAGATCAATCGCCTTTTGCACACCATCCTTTCCATAACAGGAGTTGGCATACAAAAATGGTCTACCCAGACCAACACCAGATGCCCCAAGACATAGTGCTTTTATCACATCAGTACCACGGCGAACACCACCATCTACAAATACTTCAAAGTTCTTGTCCAGTTTCTTCTCCTTCAAGACAGGCATAGTTTCAGCAAGAACTTCAATCGGAGCCCTAGCAAAATCCAACTGTCTACCACCATGATTCGATAGAACAACACCATTACAGCCTATTTCTGCAGCTTTAACGACATCCTGAACTCTTTGCACACCTTTGATAACTATGGGCAATTTAGTTTTCTTTCTTAGTATTTTGATGTCTTGCCAGGACAAAGAAGGATCGATAAATTTAGACAAGGTTTGAGCGGCACCTTCTGATTCCCCTACATCAGATTTCTTCATGCTCTTTGGTCCACTCATAGTATTGTTGAACTTAACCTTTTTGTCCTTCTCTCTAGAACCTAAACTTGGGGCATCAACTGTAACAAATATAGCTTTAACGCCTAAGTCTTCGACATGCTTTATCAAGTTTTCAGTTATCTTACGATCAGAGTTAACATATAGTTGGTACCATATGACTTGGTCTTTTGATGGTGCAGCATTTACAATCTCATCAACAGAACAGGAAGCTAACGTTGAAATCATTTGTGGAGTCTTGTTTGGTCCTTGACCACATCCTCTAGCGATGTCTTTTTCACCTTCTTTTGGATTACCTAGTTTACACAATGCTGTTGCGGTAACATAGAATGGAACATCAACTTTATGGCCTAGCATTTCTGTAGAGGTATCGACTTTACTGACATCAACAAGAACCTTTGGATTGAAAAAAATTCTGTGGTATGCATTGTGGTTCTCACGGTAACTGACCTCATCATCACTAGCAGAAGAGTAATATGCCCATGCCTGTTTAGACAGGATTTGTGATGCTAAGTATTCAAAATCATATAGGTTCATAATTGAGCTCAAAGGTGGTAATCTAGCTCTCAAAGCAGCTTTTCTTGCAATATCATCTGGGGTTTCACCTGGCGCATAAGGTGGACATATGTACTCTGCATCCAATTTACCATCTAGGGGACCAATATGCTGTTCGGGTTTTATGTACTTTTCTATGGCATCTGGCGGATGGATTGGATCAAAGATTGCAGTTACATCTTTCCCAGCATTCGTTTTTATAATATCCGGACCACCTGGGTGCAAAGCAATAAAATTGGTTAAATCGTAAACGTAGCCATCTATGACTACCCAGCAGTCCTCCGGTGTATTATGTTTTATAACTTCACTGGGTGAAATTTTGGGTTTTGAACTGTCAAATTTGGCATCATTATAAATATCTTTTTTGTTGTGGAGATTATCAGCAATTGCTGCTGTCAGACCGACTGTCAACCCGATACTCCAGAACCATTTATAACTCTTCCTTTGTCTCTCGGAGTTGAAGAATTGGTTATTTAAAGAGCTCCTCGTCGAGACAATACCTCTTTTTGTTGTGGAATTGATGGCATGTCTTGGTAAAGATCGTAGCACCCTGGAATGTGGTGTCTTAAATATGTACCTTTGCATTATATTTTTCTTTCTGTCTTGATACTTTCCTTATACTATATAAAGTTCAGAATATAAACAATTGATGGATGAAAAGAAGTTAGAGGAGAACTTAAAATTGAGAGTGTTATAATAAGATCTCAGCAAGGTCTTATATATATTTTTGAGGTTGGAGGTCTTGCACAAACCATTGGCAATTACTAGAATATAACATCAGGAATGCGCATAAGCAAAATAGCTAAAAAGTGGGATGAAACCGGATGTCAATAGACAAAGGAGAGTCCATTAGATTAACGGTCGGTGCTAGCGATCCTCAATAGCTGAATCTCTACGTGAAAACGATCCTCACTGTATACTTGCAACGCTATGACATATATTCATCCCGCGTCATATATCTACTATGACATCATGCTGTCCAATACAAGTCCATAACATTTAGTGAACTAATTTGACCAATAAGTTATACATGGCTTAAACACGATAGTTTGAGTTTGGCCCTTAGGGGAAACTATACGTCGGGGAACGAAATCCCACATATAGTCATCCCTTCAACTGGAAAGCAGATTGAAGAGCTGCGATGAGAATAGCCCCAGAAATGGTTATTAAGTTGTGTATGACCCTTATAGAGCGAGTTACTTATAGGAGAATGGTACATATATTGCCTGGTTATATCCCACTCTTCATGATGACTAGCAAGGAGATGTCCCGATAAATCCATCGCTAATTGCCTCACCTATAAGGATCAGAGCTATTATATGCGGAAATGTGGGGAGTGGGATGATTGGAAGAAGTAATAGCACTGGTGAAGAGAGTGGGGGGTGGTTATCTCCAAGATATTATGATAGTGGTTGACTTAGCTATCAAGTGTGCTGTCCAAGACCTCAATTAGTTACTATACAAGAGTGGACAAATGGGTACCTTAATCTCCATAAATCCAGGAAACTGATTGGCTACTCTGATAAATGCTAAGCGATCGTCTCTCACGCAGAGTCCTTAAATGTTGATATGATGAACTAACGGTTAGAATTGGTGTAGTCTATACAACTAATACAAAGTGGCTGAATGTAACCATACAATCAATTGATAAAGCAAAAACGCTAATGTTCGTTAAAATCATTATATATTGTACATAGGTAGATAGAAATAACAAAACAAAATGAAGGGGGAAGAGTGATTGTTATCGTTTGTTGAGTATATTCCGTATACTCACAAAGGAAGTAGACCTTTGACGAGGACTTAGACTCAAGGGGCTTGAGCTTTTCTCATTTGCCACTGAATGTACTGTTCTTGATCTTGATCTAGTGCTTATCCTAGTTTGTAAAGTGTTGAACTCCATCCCCATGTTAACCAATGGTCCTTTGCCAACCGGAGATGTAGACTTTGGCCATGGTCTTGACGTACCAAGGCCTGCACTGTTGCATCTAGCCAGGTTCATATGAAGTCCTGGATGGTGCTTCTCATGTGTAAACGATTTTGCTGTTCTACTCTGTGGAGTATTCACTACGGGTGAAGGATTGTCTGAATACACAGGTGGTAACTCCTCATCAATTGTAGGTGTCAAAACAGCCATATCATATGAAGGTACTCGAGAAAATTTTCTTAGATCGGGATTGCTATCTTTACTACTTTGGCTTAAGCACTTAGCCGCATCCCTATCTTTTAGTATGTAGTCGTTTGAGAAATAAGAAAGGTTGATATCAGAAGGTAGCTCTTGGATTTCATCTATTTTATTGAATTCGCCTGCCGATGTAGGCAAAGACAAGCCATTCATGTTTGAGTAATAGTCTGAATCCCGATCTTCTAAATGTAAATCTCTTAACGTGCCGTCTAATTTATGTAAACTATCCTCATTGCTAATGATAGAGTCATTAGTCATATGAATCGGACTATGCAATGCTGAACCTCCCACAGGTGTATCATGGCATAGTTTATCATAGAAATGCATTTCATAATTCGGTGGAGCCATCAATCCATTCATACTGCGATTATGAGCCAACGAGGTGCAATTAATCTTGGCATTGTTCCCACTGTTCATGAATATCTTTCTATCATCTTGATTGAAAGGGGTTGAAGACCACCGGTGCTCTTTCTTCAATGAGTTTTCATCACCCTCGACAGTGACATATAGTGAATTGTATGGTTTTGTAAAAAGTTCAATGTAAGGCGACACATACAACTGAATTGATAATGTTGCTCTCAGTTCTGATATATGGTTATCTGGATTAATTAAAGAAGCAACAACTTTAATTTGGTGGCGGCATTTGATTCGTTCCAAGGTAAAACAATCAGGAGAGCATTTCATCAAATCTGGTGGTATCTTTAGATATGCTTGAAGATCCCAAGAATCTTTAAATTCTGAATTATCTTCATCGTCTTGGAAATTTACATTTCTGGCTAGCTCCTTTAAAGGGTTTCGTATTTTCATTTGAGTAACTTTACGTTCTTTTTCTACCTGTTTGGGATCACTCTTACTTCCGTAAGAGTATTTCTCGATTAGTGTCATCCGGATGGATCCTAATTTTAACCCTTTTAATAATGGGACCAATAAGATGTTCACAGGCGTTGTTGATCCAATAGCTACCGCTTTTGTTGGAACAGATATAGAATATTCTACCTTCTTGGGCCATGTATTGGTAAACAAAACACTTTCTGATAATTCCACGGTATCTGCTGAGAGTGTCCTTATCACTCTAAGATGCTTCTGGCATAATATAGTAGCTGTTGGATTCATTTGTTCGAGGTTAGCTATTAGATTGTAAGTCAATAGCACGCCAGGTATCCCTTCTATACTCTCTGGAAGAGTACCAGGGAGAACGATATTAAAAGGTAATTCATAGTTACCTTTTATAAGTGTATAGTATTTGGAGCTTGTGCTGTCAAATGCCATATTATGCAGAGAGGTAGTCGATTTTGCACCTCTGCATACAAGACTTTTCATCGTTTTATTTTGATCATCATTGGCGCCATGTACTAATGATCCATTGGGACCTATAGAATTATAGGAAGAAGTCGTACAGCCATGTATGTCAAACGAGTTCCATTCGTGCTCAAAAAACACTTTCCTATAATACCTTTCTCTCTTGTTATTAGTGTCAGGCAATCTTAGCTTGAGTTTCCCACATAGCTTCAGCGATAAATTTTTTATACGTATCGGCTCCTTCACCGAAAGCATTATATTGCCTGACAGTAACACAGAAGCTGCCTCATCGGGACATCCCTTCAATAAAACCACTCCGCCATCTCTATCATTGTCGACCTGAATGTCAAATAGTAGCTCCTGATCTGGTGAAGTCATTCATGTATATTCAAATCAGTGCCTCTAGGTCGATTTTACAGTTACTTTGAATTTTCGGCTCACTTTCGCATCTAATACTGTAGCTTTTATGTTAATTTATTGTTAAAAATAGTGAATAGATGGCTCTATTCTGATCAACAACAAACAACAGTTATATAAGACCACAGCTAGTGCTAGCAAACTAAAAGAAAAAGTTAATATTTCAGCTTGTTAATATATTTTGCTTGGACTCTTCCTTGAGTACTCTTAGAATCAGCTTGTTAAGTATCTTTATGAAGGAATCACAGTGCTTTTCCTTGCACACTTCTCTCTGATTCACAAGCAATGCGGGGATAAATGTTTAGGAGAGCAAGCTTCAAATCAATCAATAAAAAGCATCAAGCTAACATAGCATATGATAATGATAGTAATATATGAAGAAAAGACTAGATCAGGTTTTTTGTTCTATTTGAAGAAAAAAATGGCAAAAAGAATGCAGGAAATGTTACTAGATTAGGGACAATGAAGACGACTGCAGTGCAAATATAAGAACGCAACAGCCCTGCCTCCATTTTCAGTCAAAGGCAATGCGTTATCGTTGATAGCACTTCCACCTTATCTTCGCCATGCCATGAACAAAGGGTCCTCTGAAAGATCATCGCAGGAAAGATCATCGAACAGTTCAAATCCCATCCATCGAGTCAATCTTATTTTTTGCGGGGGAGGTGTGAACATCACCCAGAGCAGTAGTGATGAAATGCCAATAGCTAGTTTGTTAAAGTGTTGTAAAAGTGACCTGGATGGTTGTTCGTAGTTTCGTTGGCTCTCATCACCGGTGATAGTTGCTTTAAACATCCCAAATAATTGCAGTGTAAGGATTCCTGTACAACGATAGCAAAAGTGATAAGGGGAACAGCAATATTAAAACCGAAAATCATTTTCTTAAAATAGTCTCATTTTGACGTATGCTATGACAGTAATGTGGAAAGCATCATCTATATTGTATATGTGATTATATCTACAGAATTACATATTTGGGCGCCAGTTTGTTCTTTTTAAACTGGTTTTGCAATTGCTTATTGGGACTTTAAAAAAGTAATGTCGAATTTTTATACTATTGGTCTATGGCTGTTGAATACTGAGATAGTAAGAGGCAATCACCTCCACGTTCGGGATCGAGAACATAGTTGTAAAGGTATCCCTCGGAAGATATGACTCGGATGGGTAGCATTGTTACTTTTGTCCTGTCTCCTTGATCCTGTCCATCAAACAATTCTGGATATTCTACCTTATCTACTTCCATTTCATTCCCAATGGAACACAGAGTCTTAACGTTTCCAGAAATGTTTGAATCGGTTGGCAGTTTCAATGATGCAAAATGCCTAGAAGGTTCTAGTATGGATGTCACCTTGATTGGGAACAGTTGTCCCAACGTCTTGGCTGCCCGCCTAGATAGCTTCTGTGAAGAGTTTCTTATCATTCTACCCATTGTTTTCCTAGATGCGTCCACATACGGTTCCCTTGTACTCTCTATATCATTGTCACTTAACAAACTTGATACGTCACCGTTACCAACGGAGTTATTATCTCCATCATTCTCGTTGCCACTATCATCGCTATCTGCATCATCTGCTCCACCACTCGTTCGTTCCTCTCCTGTCTTCGTAAGCTTGAATATATGTACTGTTTTGCTTGAGCAAGTAACAGATAAAAACCTATTGTCTTGACTGAAGCTCAATGAGTATATTTTGGTGGGATACGTACCTCTTCGGAATTGATATAATTTAGCACCTGATGATGTAGAAAACACTCTGATAATAGTGCCCTTTTCTGAAGCGGTGGCTATTAGTGAGCCATCAAAACTAAAATTTAAAGCAGCAATTTCACCTTTGTGGGCTTCTATTACCATCAATGGTTGCAATGTACTCATATCATATATTATAACATCACCACTATTAATGTCATTTTCTGCAGTGTCTGTATTTTGATCCACTTGATAACCATTCGCGGCTTTATCTTCGTCAATATTTTGTTGACCTTCAAGAGTTGTTCCAAACTTATTCTGAAGATTATTATCCTTGCTGTTCGCTATCAGTTCCTCACTTTTACTTCTAGCTATGTTAATTGTATTCGTATTCACATTTGGATTTATATCGGAGCTTATTACTTTAGGTGGTGACGGATAAGCAAGCAGGTTAGTGTCGGTGTTACATGACAACGCCACAAGACCTTCGGGATTTGGGGCAATCTCAATGGTATGTAATAGACGCATGTTGTTAATATCATATATATAGATTTGCTCTTTCAACACCACTACAATCCGAGATCTATTCATCTTGACACTTAATATCTTGGTAGGAAATGTCACTTCGCATATGATGGAGTGTTTCTTTGTGTTTATTATCCTTAACCTTCGTGGTGATAGCATCGGCTGATCACCTATTCCAACCAATGCTAACAGAGATGTAGAAAAGAGCATTTCCACGATGCCATATCCTCCTGAATCCTCAGAGTAGAACTTACCAAAGGGCGCACAATTGAAAATGAGAAACCCATTTGATGTTCCCATAGAAATGCATGTTCCTGTTTGATTGAAATTCAAGTAGTATATCGATACTGCTTTATTAGGCATACTTCCAAAGATACGAGAAACAATTACCTGTATTTAGTGATCGTTTATATTGTGTTACCCTTAATTTCTTATAATTGTAGGAGTCCTTTTGACGCTTCTGATAGTATTAAAGATTTTCAATTTGTGATTGGTAATGATGGGTTAAGCCAACTAGGTTTTGCAATGCATGAACGTGGTACAGAGCTTCGTATGAGCGCCAAGAACGGATATGCTTAGTAATAACGTCAAATATCTGTTGAGCTCCATAGAGCTACTATTACTTACAGAATCAGCTTTTTTTTTCCAGCTCATCTCCGGTTACTTGTACCTAGAAAAGTACCAGCGAACGGACTATAGATAGTTCACACTACAATTCGAGTGTTAACAAGTTCTGGTCTATGTATATCTGAAACAACCAGTCAGTGTTTTTATTAGTAACTAATTATTGCCTAGCTCTCTATACAATTTTCACTGCCTATTAAATATACCTCCCCTGTCTTGGTACTTGATCTGTGTACACATCTGCAAAACCTATTACATTTCTCCATTACACCATGCTTGATAAACAGAATAATTAACAAACCTGGCACTAATATTCAAGGGAAACATATTACCAAACAGATTCTGCTAGTTATTACAACATATGGCGGATATATAGAGTTCTGACTAAATTTTAATATTGACGCTATAGTCAGAATTTCCCAACTTATGTTTCCAACAAGTTCAAGCGCAAGTGGTTTAGTGGTAAAATCCAACGTTGCCATCGTTGGGCCCCCGGTTCGATTCCGGGCTTGCGCATTTTCTTTTTTTTCCATTTATCTTTCTGTTATCCTTAAATAGGAAAAATGAGAATCTTCTAGGAACATAGTCGATCCCCGTCCGTTATGTGACAAGCCCAACTGTTCTAGGACAATCAAAATCAGATCGACAATTTCTCGAAGATTGCAACCCTTGTCATGACCTTTTGAGGATCTCACTCGACCTTCTTATTGTTAATAAACTTTTTTTTAGCTCATTTCTTGCTATCCCTACAGATATTATCCATAAATTGGCTTATAGACAACGATTCATTTGTGGCCTGAGCTGAACTCAATTGTGCCAATTGTTACTCTCTTGTCCTTTAAATTGAAATTGAACATTAATATTGAGGAGATTAAAGTACTATAGTTGGTCTCTTTGAAATGGATGGAGCTACGACAATGAGCGATGTGGAAACCTCGAAGATGGATACTAGCAACAATGGTGGGAAAGAAATGGACCTGGATCAAATGATTAATGCTACCGAACAATTGTTGTCGGAAGCACCCAAGACCACAACTAAAAAGAAGAAGAATAAAAAGAAGAAGAAGAAGAAAGTGACTACAACTGATAGCAAGCCGGTAGTGGATACAGTCGCTGATCCAGAACAGCAAATTCCAACAGAGGATAAACCGGGAAAGGATATCGATGAATCCGTGTCAGAAACAGGCGATACTATCCCTGAAAAGATTGATGCACAGAAGGTTAGTGATCTTGATTCAAGTTCTGGAAATCTAGCCATAGAGAGAAAACCTAAGAAGAAGGGTTCTAAACAATCAAGGCCAGTAAGTCTCTCTAAATTAGAGAGGGACTCGATCAAAAGGAAAAGTTCTGATTTAGATTCAATTCTTGTAGGTATTGAAGAGTATCTGCAAACTGATGAGGATATAAATGTAAACGTTGTTGATGGCTCAGCAGTACCTAATGGAAGGGATTCCTCCTCTGACACCAGTAAGGCATCTAAGAATTTAAAGAAGAAACCTGTGGTGAAAGGAATGAAGAGAAGCAACACGGCAAAGCAGAGCCTAAGTTCCAAGATAGTTGAATCAAGTGCTGAATCAGCATCTGATGCTAACAAGGTTGTGGGAACACATGTAGAAGAAACGAATGCTTATGAGCCGATTGATAAAGAAGCTAAACCTCTGACTGAAAAGACAGCTGATGAAAAAAATGAAAGTATATCTAATGAACTAGCAACAGAAAAGGAGCAATCACCATCTACAGCCGTGTTATCAGATGATCTGAAGAAGAATCAGGATAATGTCCAAGGTGAGAAGCAATCTATCGAGAAAGGAAGCAAAGCTGACGCAGATATTTTGATTAAACCTGAAACTAATTCAAAACTTGTTAAGGATGCTGTAATAGCAAATGAATCGGATGCTGATAAAAAAAGTATCTCAGACACAACTATCAAGGAGATAGGTGAAAGCAATGCAGAGATTAAAGAAAAGCAAACGACACAGTCTCGATCAGAGAAGGAAATAATCAGTTTGACGGCAGAGGAAAATAATAATAAAGTTACGATTTCAGATACAATTCCCGATCTGAATGATGATACGATGAAAGCAGCTTCGCCTAATATTGATGAAATTAAATCAGTACAACAGGAATCCTATGATAGTAAATCAAAAGAAACAAAATCTGAGCCAGAGGAACAGGAAGAAGACATGAATAAAGGGCAGTTAGAACCAGAAAATAAAGTGTCATCATCACCCTCTTCATCAAAGAAACAAGCATTAAAGGAGCCAGCACTGGAAAGTGAAACAGAACAAGAGCACGAGGGTAATTTATTGCCTACTGGTAATAAAACTGATGTATTAGAAGAAAATTTAGAAACTGTGTCTGCAGTTAAACCTTCTCTTGCCGATGTAAATAAAGATTTGCCTCTCAAGGAAGGTGTAAATCATGGAAAAACGGTTGATGTTCAAGAACTACACACAACTTCAAAGCCAATTGAGGAGTTATCTCAAGCAGAATCTCCAAAGAAGACTTCATTAGATGCAATGAAAAAAGAAGACAAATTAAAGGATTCTAGGAAGACCGAATCTACTATCGAAGCACATTTGGATAATCGCATTAACGAAAAGAGCGAAGCTGAGGAAGTTGGAGATGATGGCCCTGTTGATAAAAAGTCAGAGGATCTGAAAGATACCCCAGAGAAATCATTGAGTACTGAGGCTGTTACACAATCTCCTAAAGTGCATAATGTGAATGAAGTTTCAAAAGTGAATGAAGAGGAAGACAAAGCTGCAGAGTCGTTAACAGTCGACAAAGCTGGTGCTGAAAATAGCCACAAGCCCTCCAATTTGAAGGTACTTGAAGCCAAAGATACATTATCAGATACAATGAACGAGACTAAACAAGATGAAACAATGGATAAGGAACCCAAATCTACTGCAAAGCTAATTAAATTAAATGATGAAGTGGATGAAGAAGCATCTACCTTGGCTGATGATGTAAGTGATCTCACAGAAGAGAAACTCAAAGTAAAGGATAATGTTATGCACACTACTGCTGAAATCCCTAACAATGACGCTCAAACGGACTCAGATTTGCCTAAAGAGAAGGAAGATCTAAATGAATTCAATGAAGACAAAAATAATGAAGATCCTGTCAAAAAGGGGGATGGTGATGTTCTTTCGAAGATAATGACTGAAAACAATGAAACACCGGAAAAGAGAGTTGTGATATCTATATTGGACGATTTACCCTCTCGACATGACAACGGAAATGAAAAAGAAACACATGATACGGTTCCTAAAATTGATCTCGAATCAAAACTAAAGGAAGCATTAGATGAGATAGAAACGTCGGATGTTAGTGTGCCAACTGTTGATCCCAAGAAAGATGTGAAGGAAACAGCAGATGAAATAGAGGGTCTTGATCTTGGAGATCAGGAAGAAAAAGAGCCAGAAGAACATAAGCACTCAGCTGATGTTCAATCACCTTCGGACAACGTAACGGCCAAGAATTCTGGAGGTATTCAAGATATTTTGGATGAGACAGACAAATTGCTAGAAGAGCTAAACTTTGTTGATGACTCTGAGATCAATGCGTTATTGGATTCATTCGATAAGCCAGCATCTAAAAAGAAAGCAGTTGTGAAAGAAACGCCGCAAAATACAATCAAAGCCAGTGATATAATCAAGGCCAACGAAGAGTTACCTGTTTACATATACACATCCCTTGCCGGAGGTGGCTTCCACATGATACCACGTACCAATCGTTTGAGTACCATACTCACTGCGAACAGAATCAAGTTCGAGTACCGTGATCTTGGTACGGACGACGAAGCACGTAAAGTTTGGAAAACGTACGGTCGTGGAAGAACGCTGCCAGGTGTTGTAAGAGGTAGAGACGACATTATTGGTAACTGGGAAGAGATCGAGGAAGTCAACGAAAACTACGGTCTACGCGATCTTATTTATAACAGTATTTAAAAGCAAAGTGTGATTACCTCTCGCACGATATTGCATGAGCTAAGAATATATAGAATAAGGCATATAACAACCAGCACACGTCTTGTTACTCAAATACTATATGATTCATTGGTCATCCCTTGATAATGTAAGATACCTCCCATCCATTGTTCTAATGAATTGCTAAACACTAGAAAATGTCCTTTAGGGACCAGCTACTACGGGGACATAAGTCGAGCTACTGTTGTTCTTCCCACTGTCTTTAATTACAGTATGATCCCAGATGGGGTTTACCTGGTCTCTGCACACTTTTGTTAACCCCTCCCTCCCGTTGTATTCCCACCCATATAGCACAGAAATACACCTACAAAGCATAGGCACCCCAGCCTAACCCTTTTTCCTCCTCCAAATGTGATTCTTTGAAACAAACTAGTGACCCCACTTTCCTATTTCGTACACCAGTCAGACAAACTGTCGTACAATCATAGTTGCCATTCCCTATGCAGAGAATTGATGCACAGAAGGATCCAAGAACGCCAACTGAACTAGTGTTTATGAAAAAAAGAGGTAATCACTTACTTTCTCGAAGGGCTGCGTGTCCTTCTGAGGGTATTGTGTATCTCGACTCATCCTTATCCTTCGGCACTTCCAAGTTTCTGTAAGCAGTTTCCCCTTGCCATAGGACTCACAGAAACTGCTTACAGGCCTGGCAGTAGCTAGCAAAGGTATAAATCTTAGAGGAGCTTGCTGGTATCCACACAATGGCCATTGGCCAAGGTGAATGATTATGTTTTGCCAAAAAGAAAACAGTAATAAAAAAAACAAGTAAACTGCATTTTAGTGTGGATATAGTGGGATGTATACATATGTGGAAGCTCAAATTGTTGCCCACCATTCCCGTATGGCTTATTGAGTACCTTCTGGATGTCTGATGCAGTGATTGTGTGACTTTTCCCAACCCCCCTTTTAGCTAGAAAAGCCAGCTTGAAAGTGAAAAAATAACTGGATAACGTATGATGACAAAACAAAAATAGACAACAAAAGACAACAAAAGTGCAATTGCAACAAAGTACAATAGCAACTAGTTTCTCAATTGCTCCCCCCCTTGGGAACTACCCCTCTTTTTGGCAAATTTCTTTCATTCTGAAGTAGAGTATATAAAGCTCGACAGTAGTTTATATAGGAAATATAATACTTATGCCAAGCTACAAACCAACTCAAAAGGATAAAAAAAAAGCTTCTGATATTTTGCACATTGTCTTAATAGAGATAACCTCACTCCCATAAGACCTAATTTTTTTTTTATTTGCATTTAACAAATTATTTTTTTTGTTTCTTTACTGATAGATTACTTGATAAACTATAGAGGAATAGCTTGTTTTTTAACTAGGACACACTTTCTAACTAACCAATTACAGTATCATGCCTCGTGATTTACAGAACCATCTTCTATTTGAAGTTGCTACCGAGGTGGCCAACAAGGTCGGTGGTATTTACTCTGTGTTGAAGTCTAAGGCACCAGTGACAGTGGCACAATACCAGGATAACTATACCTTGATTGGTCCATTGAACAAAGGAACTTATCAAGGTGAAGTCGAGGAGCTGGATTGGGAAGACCCTTCTATCTTCTCAGAGGAGCTTCAACCTGTGCAACAGGCCCTGAAGTACATGAGAGAAAAAGGCGTGTACTTTGTCTACGCCCGTTGGTTGATTGAAGGTGCCCCCAGAGTCATCCTTTTCGATTTGGACTCCGTGCGTTACAAGCTGAACGAATGGAAGGCCGACCTGTGGTCCCTAGTTGGAATTCCATCCCCAGAAAATGATTGGGAAACCAATGATGCAATCTTACTAGGTTACACAGTCGTGTGGTTCTTGGGTGAATTGACTCAATTGGATCACAAACATGCCATTATCGGTCATTTCCACGAGTGGTTGGCTGGTGTCGCATTGCCATTGTGTAGAAAGAAGAGAATTGATGTGGTGACCATTTTCACCACACACGCTACTTTATTGGGTAGATATCTGTGTGCTGCAGGTGATGTAGATTTCTACAACCATTTGCAATACTTTGATGTGGACCAAGAGGCAGGCAAGAGAGGTATCTACCACAGATACTGTATCGAAAGAGCTGCTGCTCATACAGCCGATGTGTTTACCACTGTGTCACAGATTACTGCACTTGAAGCAGAGCATTTGTTGAAGAGAAAGCCTGATGGTATTCTTCCAAATGGTTTGAACGTGGTTAAATTTCAAGCTGTTCATGAATTCCAAAACTTGCATGCATTAAAGAAGGAAAAGATCAACGACTTTGTTAGAGCACACTTCCACGGTAACTTTGACTTTGACTTGGACAATACTTTGTACTTTTTTATTGCTGGTAGATATGAGTACAAGAATAAGGGTGCTGATATGTTTGTTGAAGCTCTGGCTCGTTTGAACTATAGGTTGAAAATGGCTGGCTCCAAGAAGACCGTTGTAGCTTTCATAATTATGCCAGCTCAAAACAATTCTTTCACTGTTGAAGCTCTAAGAAGTCAAGCTGTTGTTAAGTCCTTGGAAAACACAGTTAACGAAGTGACTTCCTTGATTGGTAAGAGAATCTTCGAGCATGCTATGAAATTCCCACATAATGGTATCACCAATGAAATTCCAAACAACCTGGAAGAACTTTTGAAGCCTTCTGATAAAGTTCTGTTGAAGAAGCGTGTTTTGGCTTTGAGAAGGCCATATGGTGAATTGCCACCAATTGTGACTCACAATATGGCTGATGATGCCAATGATCCAATTCTGAACCAAATAAGACATGTCCAATTGTTCAACAACCACAGCGATCGTGTTAAGGTGATCTTCCATCCAGAGTTTTTGAACGCCAACAACCCAATCTTGGGTCTAGATTACGATGAATTTGTCCGTGGTTGTCACTTGGGTGTCTTCCCATCATACTATGAGCCTTGGGGTTACACGCCAGCTGAATGTACCGTAATGGGTGTCCCATCCATCACTACTAACTTATCAGGTTTCGGTGCCTATATGGAAGACTTGATCGAAACCAACCAAGCCAAGGACTATGGTATCTACATCGTTGACCGTCGTTACAAGGCACCAGATGAGTCAGTGGAGCAGCTAGTTGACTACATGGAAGAGTTTGTAAACAAGACCAGAAGACAAAGAATCAATCAAAGAAACAGAACCGAGAGATTATCCGATCTACTGGATTGGAAGCGTATGGGTTTGGAGTACGTAAAGGCCAGACAATTAGGTCTTCGTAGGGCTTACCCAGACCAGTTCAAGGAGATTGTTGGAGAAGATGTGAATGATTCCAGCATGGAGGCACTGGCTGGCGGCAAGAAGCTAAAGATTGCCAGACCACTAAGTGTCCCAGGCTCCCCAAGAGACGCCGCCAAGTCTCCAAGCACAGTGTTCATGACCCCCGGTGATCTTGGTACAATCCAGGACGCCAACAACGTTGACGATTACTTCCATTTAAGTGTTAATGACAATGAGGAGGAATGATTAACCCTTCTCAATCCCACTTGTACTTCACATTTTGAATTTTATTTGTTTTGTTTTTTTTTTTCTTTTCTTATACTTCTAATAATTTATGTAATTTACTTGTTATGTTATTTCTATTTTTTCTTTATTGTGTTCTTTTATTTAATTAGTATTTTCAAAAACGTTACAATATTTTATGTAACTGTACAGCTGGGAGATGTCACTGTGACAGTGATTACCCTTAAAAGTTTAAGCATAGACAAGAGACATTACTTATTAGCGATCTGTTGTACATGCACACCTGTAAGTGGTGTATTCAGCTTATGCACGATGTATAGAAGAACGAAATAGAGTAAATCCACAGAATTAGAAGAGGATCACAACGAATGGAAACCGCTCCAATAAAATTAATGTGCACTGCGTGAATTGTCTGCACATTCTCCTCCCCCAAAAAAAGAAGCTTCTATTTCCTCCCAACTTTATATTATCGCCCCTTTTCCCCCCACAAAAAAATCCTTCTAAAAACAATTTTCTTAGAAAGTGCGGTACAAGTCCCCATTGATAAGAAGGGCTTCTAGAAGGTCACTTTTTCTTCAATCCAATTAAATTAGATTGCCTCTCTCTCTGCGGTCCCTACGATACTTTCTTAGCTTTCAAAAATGGAAGTGATCTGATTTCTTTTATGACCCGCAAAATTGTAGTCATGAGATTAAAGGGAAAAGTGCTTCTAGAAGCATGGCTGGGCAGAGCAATCGCGTAGAGCAAACCAGGGAAGCTACAGCCACGGATCAAAATCATCTTCTAGAAGCTTTCCTTTTTCGTTGGTGCACTGCTGGTGCACTAGCAGTGCTCTGGCAGTGCTCTGGCAGTGCTCTAGCATAAACAAACTGCATTATTGTTTACAAGAGTATAAGCTCCTGAAAGAACCAGCAGATGGCAGACGGTTCTAAAAACCGATAGGATGGGATGCTGACATTCCCTTGTGCCGGATGGCAACGTGGACCAGCAAAGTAGCAGGGAGATGAAAATGCCTGATCGCTGCCCGCACTAAAATATATATAACAGCATCCCATTCTTCATAAATTTCTTATTCTAGTACACTCCCCCCCTCCCCAAGAGACACAACTATTCAATAACATTCACTTGAAAACAATACACATGGAAGAACTGTGTGATATACCTAACGAATCGTTAGAGGCTCTTAAGATAGAGGCCTGTACTACCACAACGACGCGGGTCTGTGACCTGGAAGTGGAAGAGAACAAGTTTAACGTTGTTGTGGAGGATGAAGAGAAGATTATATGCGAGAGCGAGGAGGTTGTTCAGGACATGGACCACAAGAAAGCCGGATACCTGTTCCAGCGTACGTTGGGTGCTGGTTCATTTGGTGTGGTCAAGCGTGCGAAGCAGTTACATAGCGATGAGGATGTAGCTGTTAAGATACTGTTGAAACGGGCTTTGGAGAAGAATGGTGGGTTGGAACCCATATACGATGAACTTAATATAATACAGCACCTGGATCATCCCAATATCGTTAAGTTCAAGGATTGGTTCGAGACTGAGTCCAAATTCTATATTGTAACCCAGTTAGCATCCGGAGGTGAACTGTTCGACAGAATTATGCATGACGGGAAGTACACAGAAGAGGATGCCGTAAACATCGTTGTTCAGATCTTGAAAGCTGTCGAATACCTGCATTCTCAAAATATAATTCATAGAGACTTGAAACCAGAAAATTTACTATACCTGGATAAATCCAAGGATTCCAGGATAGTGCTAGCAGATTTTGGAATTGCCAGACAGCTAGAAAACGATGACGATGTCATCTATAGACCTGCAGGCTCCTTGGGTTATGTGGCGCCAGAAGTGTTCACTTCAGATGGACACGGAAAACCCAGTGATATTTGGTCTGTAGGTGTGATTACGTATACATTATTATGCGGTTACTCTCCGTTCAAAGCGGAATCAGTCGATGGATTTTTGGATGAGGTTACATCTGATGAAAATCCAGTCAAATTTCAGAGACCATATTGGGACGGCATTTCTGAACTGGCTAAGAACTTCATTTTGAGAATCCTAGATTTGGATCCTGCTTGTCGACCATCTGCTACTGAGCTATTGAATGATCCATGGATACAGAGTAAATGTTCTTTAAGAACAGACTTGTATCACAACATGAGGAAGAACTTGAGTGCTAAGAAGAAGCTACAAAAGGCTGTTGAGCTTATCAAACTCAACCAGAGAATTAAAAAGCTAAGACAATTATATTTATTGGCTAACGAAACAGATTCAGATCTTGAAGAAGAGGAAAGATCATCTTCAGCTTCGCTCTCCTCTCTTCCTAGCTCACAAAGCAGTTTGAGTTTATCCAATGAATATGGCAGCAAAAGCAAGCGAGAACAAGATGAATTTATATCCTCCTTAAGACAACAAACATTGGCACAAATAATAAAAGTTGCTACGGTCAATAAAGATACTGTACGGAAATTTGAGAAATAATTAAAGATTTTTCAAGTTCAAGGAATTGCATTCATTCTGATAATTTTTTTTATCTTATATCTATTGACAAAAAGGTAACTATTACTCCAAGTATAGATTTTCCATGGTACCCGCCATTTGCATTGATATTTCCCTTTTAATTCGGTAAAAACGTGAACAATTTAATCTTAATGGTAATACAGAATCTTTGAAACACTCCTTTAATATTCCTGACATCGCAAGATATTTTATTTTACAAGATCACTACTGCATATTGGGTTTTTCAACCGATTTTATTTTTATTCATTGATACCCCACTCGCTATCAATTAGTGGTACGCTATCGCTAACATTGAAAGGTCGGAAATTAAGTATTTTGGCTTTATTTCAATAATTAGTGAGAAATTAATAGTTATTATTCGTACTTATCGCATATAATCCAACTTTTAAGATTCTATACCATTATACACTGCTATTATGTGTTACAACTACTCAGAATCCTCCATAGCATACTCATCATCTGAGTTCTCGATCTTGTAATTAATTTCTCTTCTTTGGGACCTCCTACTTTGTCTCTTTGTCGGATTTATGTCTCCAAACTTTGTTTTCATTTCTTCAAATTCTGCTAAGATTGGCTGAATTCTTCTTAAATAAGTTTGTAACATGGCAAATTTTCTACGCGAAGAGTTGAATTGTGGGTTCTTAGGAAGCGGATTAATCTTACTAGCATCCTTGGATGACTCTTCTGATTTTTCTTGTTTCTTTTTCGTGTTCTGACCAGACGTTGGGGAGACATCAGATTTAGTTGAGACACCATTTATTAGTGAGGATGGATCACCATTCTCTGATCGAATTTCTTCTTTTTCAGGTTCAGCTGTTGATGGTTGTTGGATCTTTTGATCGATGAAGTCTATAAATTTCAACAGAGTTTCTGAATCATAGCACATTTCATACCAGTAATTTTTTTCTGTCATGTCAGCACCTGATATTACATCTTGTATCAAAGCAATCTTGTCATGAAAGAGTATCTTGAAGTTTGAGCTCATAAATGGGCTATCATTCTCAAAAAGGGTGAATGGGTTGTATTTCTTAGATTCAAAAGTGTTGAAAATATTGTCAAGTGTTTTTAAATCCGTATATGTATTCATTGATGACATATATTCATATGTTTGCATTCTTGGGAGGTAGAAATCACCAACATGAGGTACCCTACCAATAAAAAACTCTTCAGATCTGAGCTTGTATATTTTATCCTCATATGGGTTACTGAGAGGGTTTTCTGGAGTTTCACCTTTGAATACTTTTTCCCAGTCCTCGTAATTCTCAATCATCAACTTCAACTTTTCATCCTCAGTTTTACCTTTCATTTGGGTTTTCAGTTTTTGTAGTATTTCAAGTCGATGGACTATTTCATCATTTTTTCCTTCCTTCATTTGTTTCTTTACATGCTTCTTTTTGCTTCTTATTTCTAATCTTGATTGTACCAAGTTACAGAGTTTCTTATAATAACTGAATGTCTCGTCAAGACCTTGTAGAAGGTATCTGGGTACGTGCTTGGTCTGAATACCAAAAGGAGGGTCACGCTTATAATGCGTTAATATGTAAATTTCATGATGGAGCAAAGGAGAATACGAACAACACCAGTCTACCAATGTTCTTAAAAATACAATTCTATCCTTAGCCTCTAGAGCCAGAATACCTGTCCTTTGTAATCCCTTGGTTTGTAAGGGATCTTGATCAATATCAATAGGTTCGTTTGCAGGCCACTGATAAATATTTGGGGTTAGAATCTCTTTGTGTTTCTGGTCTACTGCTGGGCCTATGTCGTCCTTCTCGAATGTAGAAGAGGCCGGCTTCATCAAGGTTTCAGTAGATATATTTTTTCTCCACTCCTTTGGGTAACCCCATTCAGGAGCATACAATCTGATCTTTTCGATATAAGATTGGAATGTTTTTTTGCTCGTTGACTTTAAATCAGACCATTCAACCTGGGGCTCTCTTTCGGTTTCCACTGGACGAAACAATAAATCCATAATTGTCAGCAGTAATAAATTCATCTTATCCTGACAACCAACAACTTCCTTTACAGGTATGTAGTCAGCATACAATCTTTGTATTTCCTTTCCTGTATTGATCAGTGGATCGGGATACAAATCCAGGCCAATCTCAAAATCTTGGAAAGATAAGCTCTGTAACTCATTGACAAAGAAGTAATTGAATTTGTTCACAAAGGACATAATTTTCAATATGTCTCCCGCGTATGGAACAGCTTTCATGTTTTCATTTTTTAGTCTGGATATCTTCGCATTCTGGTTTCTAAGTTCGCTGTTATATAACGGTATATTGGCAGTCCAATCTTTGTTATTAACAACAGGAATAGGAATTTCAGGAGTTCTCACAGGAGGTTTAGGAGTGCTACTTTTCTTCACCTTCGACTTGTCAGATTGTTGAGGTTTAACTTTAGCATTTTTGGCTTTAGCATCCTTAGACTTACTGGCTACTACCTTCTTAGTTGCTTTACTCTTAGGTTTCTTCTTTTTAGGAAGATACACGCTAGGATCTATCTCATAAATGTCCCTCTTCCTTGGTACTCTCTCTCTAGCAGACCTCCTCAGGCCAAAACCATACTCAGTGGTTGGATCATTTTGGTTATGCATAGATGAAGAAGCTTGGTTATTGGAGTCGTTAGATAGTGGAGAAGTGGTTGAAGCTTCACCTACACCGTTTGTTTCGTCACTGTTCATGGGTATTTGTATTCAATGCAAAATACTATTCACGCACCTAGAAAGAGCTATGCTTAGCTATTGTCCGAGACACGTTATTATTAGACTATACCCTTTTGGATTGATCTCAATGTCAAAAGTTTAGCACCAGGATATCAAGTTGAAAACTGTCCTTAATAATTCTGCAAATTAGAAAGATGGAAAGTGTTTCGTGAATTGATCAGGTCTGTGCAAATACGTGCTCAATATGGAGATGGCTTTTCCAGAACTCTTTGATAGTTTATAATTGGGTATCGATTCCGATTCACTGTTTCCCAGAGGCAATGAAACTAAAATCTGGCATATAGTGATAGTTTGTCAATACATCTAGCATTTACTAAAGTGCAAGAATTGAAATTACTTAGGACTTGACAAAATTTGGTGTTCATTGAGTTGGATCAAGTTTCAACTGCCCCATCCATACAAATGTTACTTGGTACGTGCTTGATATTTCGCCAAATTGCTATACTGCATTACAACACAGTGCATATAGTGCTAAGTGGCCCTCCAATTGTTTGTACTATTACAATTCTAAACTAAACTAGTCGTCAGTAATTGTTGGTTGACCTCTAGCGTCGCACAGCGTCTAACAAATCGCGATATATAAATCAAAACTAAAATATGTCAGTCAATAGCGCATAGGGATATATAATAAACTTTACTTGTATCAATGAACAAATAAGTATAAAAGCTATAAGGAAATAGAATAACAAGTATACTTCTAGTACTTATAGAAGCTATTAGTACCATATTTAATTTTATAGTGAAAAAAAAATTGACAAAAAAATAAGTCTCCCGGGGGCGATTCGAACGCCCGATCTCAAGATTTCAGTGTTGAAATTACAGTCTTGCGCCTTAAACCAACTTGGCTACCGAGAGTCACTTGAAAGTTACGTTGGTTGCAAATTTGTGTGTCCTATAAGGAAAGGTGTAATAGAAATTTTGGTGATGTATAACTTGATTATATCACATAGCAACAGTAATTTCATAACTACAGCATTACTCTTATATTCACACTATTACATACTGATTGGTTCTTGAACGAGAGCTGCGTTAGATGTCCATCAAAATACTATATTGTATAGCAGTACTCTTATTGGCCAGTTGTAGTCATGTGTATGGTGGATCGTACTAAGATAACTCACGGCCCTTTCCTCATAAGCTAGTTCGAGAGTAGAGCAATCCTGTTGTACACTATATACATTTCTGTGAACATTATGTATGTTAGGCAAGTATATACGGACAGTTCACGAAACAGATTTGCTTGATATCTTGATCTTTGAAATACAGGCAAACTAAGTAGCTGATCAGGTCTTTTCCATTCCATTTGAAGTTGATTCCGTTTTAAAGGAATATTTTGTGTTTTAATTATATCAGAAAGGCATACTATAACGATAGAAAATGGGCGCACAAGCATCTAAGAGCACAGACCCAGTGGCACCAACGCTTTTTACGCCGCAGTCTAAGATTGAGTTCTCACAAGCATTACTTTCTCAACTTGAGGATGTTTCCGAGATGGACTATAGCAGAAAAGAGTATGCTGAAAAATGCATTGAGCAAAAGATCTCGAGTAGATTATCAGAGCTCGAAGTGGAGACCTTAAGGAAATTCAAGGACACTCTAAATGATTCCATGCAGACTGATAGCGATGATGGTTCTAATAAAAATACGGCCTGTACTGGCAAACTAAATGAAAAGTTAACGGATTTAAGTCAAAAACTTGAAGCATTTAAAAAATTGGAAGAGGATAAGAAACAGAAGTTTGGTTTGGAAGAGAAAGAAGGCCCCAGAGCGAAATTGACCGAGTGTTTGATTAAGAACAAAGGCAAGCCGTTAAACTGTGTCGACGAAATAGCAGCATTTAAGGAGTTCATGGATAGTAAATAGGCATCTAAAAGTTATTGATTTGAAATAAAAGTAAGCCTTGAGATAAATTTCAAATATGATATTAAGACTTTGTACATAATGTATTTACATATTCCGATTCATTAAAATATTTTAACCTAAACTAATATTACTAATTCATGAGACTTTTATCAGGATCCAATAGTTTGCTCTTGTGGATTAATCAAGTACAATTATTTTTTTGGTAAAGTTATAAAGTCGTAAAAATATCAAAGTATAATAATTTATAGACCAAAACCTTTGTAAAGAAGGATTAGAGCGCTGTCACTTTCACCGCCTCCTGCCAATGCCTCAATCTTCTCTTTCTCAATTGGACTGACTTTGTCGTCATTGAACTTGTACCATTTGTTTTCATCACTTTCGTCTCTGATGAAAGCTTGGTAGTGTCCAGATTCAGAGTTGGCACCTTGATGGGTAATGACACCTATTAGGTCATATACTGAGGAGGGATTCTCCCCAGCAGCTAAATTAGATGGAAAACGCTTCTTGAATTCGTTGAGCCAGTATTCTCTCTCACTCTCCTCCAGAGCTTTTTTAGTCTCATATTCTTCTTTAGGCGTCATTACTACATCAGTTTGTTCAACTTTACGCTTCTTAGCTTCACGCTCCTTTTCATTCTTAGCCTTTTCAACTTCTCTTAGTTCTTCACGTACTTTGATCTTCTCGTTCGCATATTCTGGTGTTAACAGGTCAGCTACATCTAGTTGGAATGGGAAAACAACTTTTCTTAAAATCTTTGACTTCTTTCCTGAGGACCTTTTCCAGAAAAATCTGACATATTGCACAGTTAAATACTTAGGAAGTTTTGTAATTTGTTTTTGAACTGCGTAAGTGGAATTCAATCCAGTTATATCTGATCTCTTTTCAATTTTTTCATTTAGAGATTCAATCAAACCATTTTTCATGAAGTTGGTAGTACCTGAGATGTGACACTGTAGTTTCATATCACTTTCATCCTCTCTCACAGTAACATCATCTTCATTGGCTGTATCCTTTATTGTCGCTCTGAAATTGATTTGGAATTGGTTGGCAAATTTATCTCCGAAGACAACAGTCAGCGTATGGAATAGTTGGGTGAATAGTTCCTCGGCGTCCTGTTGCTTATAAAATCCACCTTGTGGATCACGTTCCGCGAACTGAGGATAGCATTTCCTTAGTGTGTTCAGTAACATAATTGGCAAAACTGATTTAAAACTTCTCTTTTTCAATGTTTCAAAAGTTCTCTTTAATTCCAATACTATCTTGTAGTGAATTTCGTCATTGGCATCAGAGTTTGTTACTTTAGATGGATCATATTGCAAGATCAAGTCTTTCAGTTCATCAGCCCTGAATAAAGCTTGTAATGTAGCGTTCAGGTAACAGGTGTTTCCCATATTTTGCAGGCCAAGTGGTGTGGAGTTAAATTGCTGAACCTGTTGATCTGGTGACAAGTCCTCTACAAATCTATGTTTTTCAGCAGGCTTCGAAAGTAGATTAGCATCAGGTGTCCCTAATAGCATGACAGTACTGCCGGGCTTTATTATTGTTTGAAGATTGGCGATAGAATCATCGGACAAGCCTCCCTTAACCATAAATTTTTGTCTAGATCTTGGGACCTGAGTCAATTCCTCAACTTGAGTCTTCAGATCAAGTGCTGTTGCATCATTTGATAAGGTAATTGGCAAAACCTTGCCTGCATGTTTGATGTTAAAGGAGAATGTATCGTTACTCATCCTTGCTATTTTGTTATTCTGATTTGTATAGCGAGTGTAGCACTTTTCTAGCTTACAATTTTCTGAGAAGTTGCGACTTGAAACCTCTACAAGAGCTATCCAGTTTTGGTGACTGTTAAAATAACCGTAGTTGATATCAATCGATTAACTAGAGGTGAAGTTGGGATAACGCTTACCGTCTACTCCGAGAAGCTTAGGGTCAAGCATTACCAAAAGTTAAAATGGTGGCAAAGAGAAAACGTTTATAATGATAAAAATTAATAGTATACTAATAATATTGTGTTGTAGTTAATAGTACTAATTTCTAATCACTACCTAAAATTGAATATTTTTGCATAACACCTATTCAGATACTCTAGCAAAGGCATTTGTAATTTTTGTTTTCTTTGGTACTATACCTGTCATTTGAGAAAGCTAAATTTTAGCCGGATGTTTATAAACATATTCATGTTTTGGAGCCATTCAACAACTTCACAATCTCATGAACATCGAACATCGAACATCCACAATATGACAATCAAGTAGGTCGTTTGACAAATATATCTATAACTATTATATGAATTTTTATATATTCACCACCTATTTAAATCATATTCAATGCCTCTTAACAACACCAGCGGCGTCAGCTGCAGATAATATATAATCTCTGTAATCATAGATAGTACCGTTAAATCTATTAACTGTACCCTTTTCGGAAACCCAAATTTCTTTACAGACATTGTTAATGACAGATATGTCGTGCGATACCATCAGGATACCACCAGTGAAGTTCTTCATTGCATCAACCAATGCATCAATACCTGTAGTATCCAAATGGTTGGAAGGTTCATCAAGAATCAAAATGTGTGGGTTATTCAGACACAGAGCCGCGAAGGCAACACGAGATTTTTGACCACCGGATAACAATTGCATTTTTTGTAAACCTAGAGTACCCGTAATACCAAATGAACCCAAATGACGTCTATACTCCTCATCTGTTTTACCAGGGAATGTCTTAGACATCCAATCAACTGCAGAAGTAGATAGGTCCATGGAGTCAACGTGATGTTGTGTAAAGTAACCGATACGCAATCTTGGGTTTCTAGAAACGTAACCACTTAGTGGCCTTAGTTGCTCTAACATGACTTTCAACAGTGTAGTCTTACCACAACCGTTTGCACCGACCAGTGCAATTCTGGAGTCCATTTGAATATCTAGATTGACATCCTTTAACAGTAGTTTGTCAGGACTATAACCGAAACTGACATCTTGTAATTGAATAATTGGTGGAGATAATTTCTCACAATCTGGGAATTTGAAATCAATACTCTTTTCTTGTTCAGGAGGTTCTAATACTGGCAATTTTTCAAGCTTCTTAATTCTTGATTGTGCTTCAGATGATTTGGCGGCGTTATATCTGAACTTATCAATAAACTCTTGTAAATGCTTTCTGTATGCCATTTGGTTGTCGTATTCTCTTTGTGCATTCTTTCTTCTTTCTTCCTTTGTTGTGTAAAAAGTGTCGAAATCTTGACCTCTGTAGTAGTCCAGACGTTCATTGTGTTGATAAATAATATCTGTTGCAACCTCATTTAGGAATGCACGGTCGTGCGACACTGTCAAAACAGTAGAAGGATATGATTTCAAGTATTCTGCTAGATAGGCGATAGACGGAACATCCAACATATTGGAAGGTTCATCCAGCAACAAAAGATCAGGTTGACAGAACAATGCTCTTGCCAAAGATAATCTCATTCTCCAACCACCGGAAAAGGAATTTGTTGGTTGCTGTTGGGCTTCGGTACTGAAACCAAGACCATATAGAATAGAGGCCGCTCTAGCTTCCGCCTTATCTGATTCCATATCAACCAGCTTTTCTGATATTTGAATTAAATGTGCATCTAGATCTTCTCTCTCGTTATCTAGTTTTTTCACTTCCAAACTGTCTTCATCAAACTCTTCTCTTAATTTCTCAATTTCTTTCAACCTTTCGTTGATCTTGTTCTCTTCGGTCAGTAACTGCTTTCTCCAAACGTCTGCATCTAAGACACTTTGCAAAGCTTTAGTTTCATCACCTCTTAGTTCTTGTTCAACATGCAAAATCGAAATATGCTTTGGAACATTCAATTCTCTTCTCGATAGCGCTCTCAATAGAGTAGATTTACCAATACCATTTTGACCAACAAGACCATATCTATGACCAAAACTCAGGGTCAATTGAGCATTTGAAAGAATTCTCTGCCCATCACCAACGTAAAGATCAAATGTATCAATGTGAATATCCTTAGACTTACCAGCTGACGAACCAAAGTCCAATGGGTTGATCTCCAAGAAGAAAGAATCATAATCTTCGTCTTTCCTTTCACCAATAAGTTTTGATGCCTCGTATTTCACAAACTTGTTGTTTCTCTTTGCAACCTTCTTTGCAATCTTCTCTTCAGCCTTTGCCAATTTCTTCAAATCAACCCTGGTCTCCATCTGTCTACCAGCATGCTCAATGTCACCACCAACACCTAACAAACTCAATGAGGCATTTAGGTTAGCCTTATTGTTATGACTTTTCAAAACGTTGATGTCCAACAATCTCTTTGACGTATCACCGGTCAATTCTAGCTTAGAGGCGTTCTCCTTTAATTGTGTATTCAATTGTTCAAGTATATTTGCCGACAAATCCTTCACCTTTTCTTTATCAGCACCGGCACTGACCAACATCTCACTGACAAACTGCACTTCAGAATCTAGATCAAGCTGCTTACTCATAACAGCATCAAAGGTCAACCCCGACAAATGGTTGAAATAACCAACAGCATAATCAGTAACAATAGGATCAACCGATGTACAGGTCTTCCTAACCTGCGTTCCAATACTAGCCATTATCTTTTTATATCAGCTTAATGCTATATGGCTCTACTTACCGATCCAATAACTTTTATTATAAGTATAAAGGTACTAACTGAGTTGTTGTAATCGATTGCAATAAACTGGCTATTAACTACTATGCTTGTTAAGTCTCAACTATGGCATTTCCTCATCGCATTTTGCAAAAATTGAACAGAAAAAAATTTAATGTGTAGCAAAAAAAAATTAAATGCGCAAGCCCGGAATCGAACCGGGGGCCCAACGATGGCAACGTTGGATTTTACCACTAAACCACTTGCGCTTAATGTTTTGATGTTAATGGGTTGGAAACCTGATTCTTTATACATTATATCAGTATTTTGGCGCTGGTAACTAGTAATCCATTCGCAATATGTCCTCTAAGTTTCATATTTGGCTATATGTCACGCACATTTATTTTAAATACCACAAGTAAAAAAACTGCTAATAAATTGAGAACTCTTCTATAGCATGTATTGGTACCACACCAAGTACTAACAACTAAACTTGTACATATTTCTAGACTTTAACAATCTAATATAATAGTAAGGAATCTCTACATATATATACAACAAAAACAAAATAAAGGAGACATAGCAAAAGAGGCAAATATTAGCTATCTTGACATTATTAATCTAGTTGTCATTGAATATATGCAACTTGTCATAGACATCTTTCTTGAAATCCTCATATTGAAAGGAGGGCCGGCGTTTATACACTTTTCCATTATAACCTTTATATAACGGATCCATAGCATCTTCTGCTTCCATATATTGTCTCCTAGGCCCATCATAATCTATAGAGTCGCCCATGTATACTAGTTTATCAAATTGTGGAGGTATGTGCGATGAACCAGCCATGAAATACTTGCTGCTCTCGTGTTTCATATCTTGTTGGCTCATTGACGTTAAGTTTCCATATGTATAGTTATTATCTCCTTTACTGGATACCTTGTCTACATCTGTTCTCACCTCCTCCATTTCCCTCAACAAACCTTTATCTCTCAATGTATTTACATAATTTGTTGATCTTCTTCTGGTTGGATAAGGAACTGACTTTATATTTGTTGGAGATTCACCACAACCCTTGTCAATATAAGCCAAATACGGAGAATCCTTAGGTGGAGGAGGATTTTGCATGTTGATGAATTCCAGTGATGAGTTCATTGTTACACTAGCTTGCTCAAGTTGTGACATGCTTATAACTATTAAATTGCTCAATTGTTTGACTATTCCAAGACTTTCAAAAGGTGAAAAATAATGCAATTCCCAACAATATCAGCAATACCAGATTTACACTAAACTAACAACAATTATTCTGCCAGAAATTAAAAAAAAGATTGCTGCTCTTTAAGCGCTTAGAATCACAATATCCGCACTATTTACAAATTAAAAGTGGATTAAAAAATAGTACCATTCAATATACATATACAAGAGCAAAACTGAGAGCAAAACCAGCACTTTCTCAACTCCTTTTTATATGTAATGTTCTCGGTCTAGTATTTGTATGGCTGTGTAAATGTTCTGGGGTGCCGAAGGGTCAAGAAAGATCAAGACATTCTGATTCTCAATGATAAAGACTCCGGACAGCACATAACGTTCAAATGCATGTCCCTTCATATTCTTTTATCTAACTGATATATGTTGCCTTAGAACAGGTCAGTGCTTTTTGCTTTTGATTACATTATGTGTCTATTTGAGTGATTTACTTATGTAAGGGATACCTTATCAGTGTTGTTGCTTTTGTGCATGCTACTGTGTATCCGATTCTACAGACCGAATGATAAACTCGCTCATCATGACAGCCCATTTATAAATAGTTTGCTGATCCAAATGCCTAAAATCATCATTAATAGTGTGCCATGTCGATGGGAAACTAGACGGTATTAGATGCAAGATAGGCACATTTTTCTCATAGAAGGGGACATGGTCATCACCCATAAAGTTTTTATCATGGATAAGGAATCTGTCGTCATTTATATTTAGGGATTTCCGTTTGGCATATCCCAGATTCCTCAAAGGTTTGACGTCCTGTGTCTCATCCTTGATTAGTTGCAAATAGGAGTGTTCAATATCACTTAGCATCTTGTAGTACTCATGTGAGTTCCTAAAGTAGCTTGGAATAGGAAGTCTATCTCTTCCTCCAATCAAATCCATAAGTGCTAATAAGTGAATGTCTTTCAATTGCCCAGATTTTTCCCACTTGGCAGCCAGATGTTTGGAGCCATAAATTGAGTCATCGTCGCTCCATTCAACTAACGCTTCTTCACCATCAAAGAAGATCAGTTTGATACCTTTGGATGCGTTTTTGAGTATAGGATCAAACAGCTGATCATCTGTGCCATGAACATATTCTAAAAATTGTCCAATATAGAGTAGAATAGCGCATGAGGCAGCGCTATCCATCGCTCCAACGAAACCCTCAGGTAAGATCATAGTGTCGTAATGTGCTGCGAGCACAATGTAGTCGTCGTCCGCAAAATCTTCATCTGGTTCAAATGTAAATACCAAATTCGTAAAATTGTAATCCTTCTCAGTGAAATTGTCTATCTCAACATTCCACATAGATTGATTGAAGTTATGTATGATAAAGTCTTGTATCTTAATCGCTTCAGTGCTGCCCGGTATTCTTGTAGAGTTGAAGGGTACTATCAAGTTGGATTTAACATGCTTGCGATATTCCTTTCGATTGATTGTCAATTTCTCTTGCAGGTTGTCGATGTGGTAATCAAGGTGGTGTATACCATAGTCATTGCCTTTGCTCGCCAAAACGACAGCAAGACAGAACAGTAACCAAGAATTAAACAATTGCATCTTTACTGTGTCACCAGACCCGCTGAGTTCGCTAGTGTAAACTGATTAATAAGTAGTCGAGTAACGTGTAGATTTTATACTACCCACTATTTCTTTGAAAGGCTTCGTGTCTTGGGCAAGCTGGGAAGCTCATCGCTTTACAATGAAAATAACAAATTTAAGGCAAACATAAATAGGTAGATGATCAATGTCAAGTATTTATTAGAGTCGATATCTGTTTATAAGCAGTCTGTCACACTAAATGAGTTGCGTTGGCCTATTTATTCATAGGGTGTGGCATTAGTATTTGCAAGATACCAAGGGAATAAGCAATCATAGTGAATAAAGCAAAACAATGGCTATTGGTCAAGGGACGCTTCCAAAGGATGACCAAATTGAATATAATAATGAAGCCGGTGGCACTAGTACAATTTCTGAACCCATTGATTTAATTACTAGGACCGGCTTGGTACCAAAGACCACTACAACTACAGAGATCACTACGGAGGATATACTAAGTAATGATATAACAGTTCCACGGGTAAACGATAAAAGCTCTAATCAACTAATAAATGATGAAATGGAAAATCATAGCTACAAAGAAAGCTTGAGTGTTAATAAACTACCACATGAGTTGAATGATAACGCAGATCATATGGACATAAAGAGTAAAAATATAGAACCGATTAATACAATAGTCATACCAGATACTTCTAATTTCCTTCCTATATCAAATGATATTGATAAACAAGAATATATTAGTGACCCAACAAGTGATAAGGAAGAGCCGCCGGTTGAATCGAACACCTTCCTGAGATCAGAACGAAATGGGGAAATAACAAGCAATGACTTGAGATCAGAGTTGAGAGTTGATAAAAATATTCAACTGCGTGCATCTCCAAACCAAAATAAAACGTTGTTATTTGCTCTCGCGAATGATATGAATTCAAAGCGTTCAAGCACGTATGCTTCAAAATCAACTGTAAAGGCTATACCAATACGAAACCACTCTAGCCATTCAATGGCTCGCGGTTTTAACTCATATTACGACAACGATGATGTTAGCTCATTAAAAAGTAGATCCTCTTCAATGGCAGCCTCATTTTCTAAAGGGTTCCTTCTTGGATTTTATAACAATAGAAATAAGCATGCGAACAATCAAAAAGTAGTGCTATCGAAGGAATATTGGATGAAAGATGAGAGCGCGAGAGAATGCTTTACTTGTGGCAAGAGGTTTAATACCTTCAGAAGAAAACATCATTGTCGAATATGTGGCCAAATCTTTTGCAAAAATTGTACGTTAATTATTAATGGAGAACGGTTTGGTTATGATAGAAGTCTAAGAGTCTGTCAAAATTGCTACAAACACGCCGATAACTATCAGGATTCTAGTGATGAAGAGTATTATGAGGAAGAAAATAGCGTCATAACAAGGGAGCCGAGTACGAATCTCATGAATGAGCATCTGTCCAAAAAAGAAGAGCAGGACTCTATGAATGACTTTAATATCCAAGAGGAAGGAGATAGTAGTATTTTCAACACACCAAATAAAAATAATGAAGTACTATTTATTCATGATGATGATGTCCATAGTATTATCACTTCTAAGCAAGATTCAAAACTTTTCATATCCACTCCTCCTCCACCTCCAAAAATGGCGATACCTGCTACGAAGCAGGGTGAATCTCTAGAAATTGCCTTCAATAATAATCTGGTTAATAGAAACTCCAATAAAACAATAAGTCATGATGGTAATAATGAAAAAATCACTATTCGAGATTTGGATGACCCCACATCTTATAAACCAAATGAAAAGAAGAATCCCAATTCCACACCTTCTTTGCGTAGGTCTCTATTCCAATACATGGGTAAAACCAATAGAGATCAAGCCAACAATCACATGCCCAGCAATCCCTTACCCGATAGTAGTTTACTAAACAATAGAAATTTTCAGTTTAAGTTTAACTTTAGACCAGAACTTTATAATGAGAGGCGAAAATCGTTTGGAGCTGATAAGTTTAATAGTAACGAGAATAAAAACGCTATAAATGTTTCTCAATCACCAAAACTGTCATTAGAGTACGATAACAATGATTTAGAAGATGAGGCATCTATGTCTCTGTATTCCTCACTGCATGGTAGCATTCCAACAGATAAACCAATTGGATTTGTTAGAACTAGTAGCAAATCAGATCAACGGGCTATGGCTTCATTACACAGAATTAGACACAAACGGACTGGCAAAAGCAAGTCAATTTCGATGACGTATCCTAGTAACTTAGATTCCGATTTTATCTCTCAGAGTTCGCCCAATCTATTGTCTGTTGTGAGTGATGAACTTCCATTACCTCAACCAACATCAATTTTGTATCGAACCGGTTGGGATAAAGCGAGTACCGGTACCAACAATGCCTGGAAAAGACATTCCAGCTTAACATCTGTAAGGCCCTCTGCCGAACCTAAACCTGAATTAAACAAGGTTGCTCAAATTCATTTAAACTCACTTCTTGACCAGGTTTTAGGCGATCAAGATATTGCTGATAAAGAACTATGGAAAAATAAACTGTTATCATTACTTTCGCAAATTCAAAACATTATACTATCGGCAAAAGATTTGAATACACTAGACTATCGACAGAACTACTTGAAGATTAAGAGAATTACGGGTGGTTCTATAGATGCATCTGAGTATATTAATGGGATAGTATTTTCCAAGAATCTACCCAATAAACATATGTCTCGAAAAATAGAGAACCCGAGAATTCTTCTGCTGATGTTTCCAGTTGAATATGAGAGAAGTGAGAACAAATTTTTAAGTATAGACTCCGTAATTGCACAGGAAAAAGAATATTTGAACAAATTGGTGTCTAGAATTCTATCCTTAAGTCCCGATATTATATATGTGGGAGCAAATGTTAGTGGTTATGCTTTGGATTTGTTTTGCAATGCTGGCATTGTAATCCAATACAACATGAAACCACAGGTACTGGAAAGGATAGCAAAGTATACCGATGCTGACATAGCTCTGTCAATTGAAAAACTAGCCACAAATATAAAAATGGGTGAGTGCCAGCTATTTGAGGTAAAATCCTATCTTTATGACAAACATATTAGCAAGACATATACCTTTTTGCGTGGCTGCGAACCTACACTAGGTGGCACTATTTTATTGAGAGGTGCTAATGAAACAGTTTTAAGAAAAATCAAACAAATTGTGGAGTTCATGGTATACGCTACGTTTTCACTTAAATTAGAGAGCTCCTTTTTCAATGACAATTTTTTACAATTATCTGTTGAGCATTATTTGCTTGCAAAAACCGAATCAAAAAACCAACAACCAGAGGGATATTATTCAGATTTTGTAGAAAAGTTCAATAACAGATTGCTGAGCGTCTCCCCTACTGTTAGTTTTCCATTACCATTTCTCTTAAAACAAGCTCGAAACCTTGAAAGAGAACTAAGACTTTTGGAAGATCAAGAATCAACAGTTCATGCTGCTAAAGAGGAGTATCAAATCGGGCTTTTGTCAGATATCTCTAATAAGCTAACAAAAATGGAATTGGTAAACCTCGGCAGATATATAATGGAGAAAGAAATACAAGATTTGAAGAATGAATATAAAAAAAGAGCTCGTCAATGGGAGGTCTACTACTCTTTAACAAGGAACATGCTGGGAACTGGGTCACACCAGAGTATCACCGTTTTATACTCAATGGTTTCAATTAAAACTGCTACCCCCTGTATCGGACCACAACTTATGACCATAGATTATTTTTGGGATAGTGATATTTCAGTTGGTCAATTTATTGAAAACATTGTTTCAACTGCTTGGCACCCGTGCAAACAAGGATGTAATACATATCTATTTGACCACTATAGAAGTTATGTTCACGGTGATGGAAAGGTTGATGTAATGCTAGAGCGATTTGAAACAAAACTTCCAAAATTGAGAGACATAATCTTAACATGGAGCTATTGCAAAAAATGCGGATGCTCAACTCCAATTCTACAAATAAGTCAAAAAACTTGGAACTATTCCTTTGGAAAATACCTTGAAATCATGTTCTGGAGTGAGAGACACAGCTTGCTAGGTGTAGGAAAATGTGGCCATGAATTTACCAAAGATCATGTCAAATACTTCAGTTACAATGACTTAGTCGTCCGATTAGAATATTCTGATTTAGAAATCCATGAACTTATTACTCCCTCAAGAAGAATTCGATGGAAACCAAATAGAGATATTATTATGAAAGTTGAATTATATTATGGGATTTTGGATAAAATCAACTACTTTTATAGCAATGTATCTGAACGTCTAGACAGAATTAAACTGGATGGTTTAGTTGTTGATAAGATGGAACCAGGAAAGCAAAAACTAAATGAAATGAAAATTATGCTGGAGAACAATAAAAGGAACCTTCTTGAGAAGTTAGAAAAGCAATACAAAGATACCCCTGGGACAGAGCACTTGCACTTAAACAGTATTTTACGCTCATTGTACAATCAAACCAACTTTTGGAACAATGAATTTAAAGAGTTCGGAGAAACATACTTACCTTCGGAAAATGATATAACTAGAATTACTACATCACAGTTGAAGAAGATATTTGGGGAACCAAAGAAACCAGATCTTATTCCAGAATCGACACACCTCAATGTTAGTGACAGAAGTAATGAACTGGAACGGATAAGCGAGAGTCAATCTTTTATATCTGAAAGTAAGGAAGACAGTGTGGACAATAACAGAGCTGCTGAAAGAATAAATGCCTTACGCGAACATACAAAAAAACCATCCATTAGCACTTCAATGATTAATCTATCAAAACATGATCAACCATCGTTCATTGAGCATAGCGTCCCTCCAACGACATACAATGATTCAGGATATGATTCTAGAGTAGGCAAATTAACTAATTTCTTTGATCAACTACATTTTGATGCTTTAACGAAAGAATTTGAACTTGAGCGAGAGCTACAAAAGCTACAACTGAATAAATCTAAATCAAGGAAATTCAGGCTTCAAAACTCGACACCTATTGTAGAGATATACAAGGATGTCAAGGACGCAGTTGATGAACCACTTCATAACGATGAAAAGATACAAAATGATGACTCAAATGAAGTTGAATCGGTCGATTATTCAAATTCATCGAAGGCTCATAGATCAACACAACAGAAAAAAGTTTCTGAAATGCTGGAGAGTGAATTAAAAAATTCTATCAACAGATGGGGTGAAGCCTACATTAATAGTGATTCAAATTTAGCATCTATGGAGCACTTAGAAAAGAAAGGTGAAACTGATATTACAAAAGATAATAATAAAATACTTGATACAGATCAGAAGTCGGTGGAAGTTGCACCTCAACCCGAAAAATCTACGCTTATGAAAACTTTGGCAACATTTTGGGCGGACCGTTCAGCTTACCTTTGGAAACCCTTCTCTTTTCCTATTGGAGCCAATGAGCATGTGTTTACCGATTCTGATGTCATAATAAGAGAAGATGAGCCAAGTTCTTTGATCGCTTTTTGCTTGAGCACCTCAGACTACAACAACAAAATGGCATCTATCAAAGACGATACTGACGTGGCACCGGTGGAAAAGGTAGTTAACAATCAAGACCATAAAAAATCATCAAATCAACAAAACATTTCTGATAGTAGCGAAAAAACCCATGCTAATAGCAACATTGAGTCGGTCAATGAAACATCATCTGTTTTGACAGAAGAGAAAGCAAGTGTATCTGATAAATATTTTGATCCAGCAAAAAACCTAGAAGCTATAATGACGAAGAAGACAGCTATCCATTTGCGGTACCAATTTGAAGATGGGCTTGTCGTAATGTCATGTAAAGTATTCTTTGCTGAACACTTTGAAGCATTCAGAAAAATTTGTAACTGTGATGAAAACTTTATCCAAAGTTTATCCAGATGCGTTAAGTGGCATTCAAACGGTGGTAAGAGTGGTAGTGGATTCTTAAAGACCCTTGACAACCGATTTGTTATCAAAGAATTAACCCACAGTGAAGTTGACTCTTTTATCAAATTCACTCCCAGTTATTTCGAGTACATGGCACAGGCCATGTTTCATGACCTTCCAACTACTCTTGCGAAAGTATTTGGTTTCTTTCAAATTCAAGTGAAGAATCCGATTTCTGGCTCTAAGAATTACAAAATGAACGTCATCATTATGGAGAATCTATTTTACAATAAAAAGACATCTCGAATTTTTGATCTCAAGGGCTCTATGAGGAATAGGCACGTTGAACAAACAGGTAAAGCCAACGAGGTCCTTCTAGATGAAAACATGGTTGAGTATATCTTTGAATCTCCAATACATGTTAGGGAATACGACAAGAAATTGCTTAGGGCTTCATTGTGGAATGATACACTTTTCCTTGCAAAGATGAACGTCATGGATTATTCACTTGTGGTAGGTATTAACAACGATGATTACACACTTACGGTGGGCATTATCGATTTCATCAGAACTTTCACCTGGGACAAAAAATTAGAAAGTTGGGTCAAAGAAAAGGGCCTTGTAGGTGGAGGTAATAGTATAATGAAGCAACCAACAGTGGTAACTCCCAAACAGTATAAGAACAGGTTCAGAGAAGCTATGGAGAGATACATACTTATGGTTCCTGACCCATGGTATCAAGATACAAACTAATGCCTGATACGACATTCAATAGAAAAAACAAACCAAAAACACCACAGTTTCTGATCATCATATGTATAACAATCGACTAATCTATCTGATTTAATATTAAATATACCCTCCCACACTAAGTCCAACAGGAATATAATTGCTGAATCACCTATAAATCGTCCTTCTTATCGGCATACGCATCGCCACCAACTGCCGTGTAAGGTATTGCTACTCGCCTGTACTTTCCTATTACAACAAATAGTTTCTTAAAATATTTGGTTCTCCTCGCCATATACTTCCTTGGAAATGAACTGCACTGATTGCTCGAGTTTCCATTTTGAAAATTTCAAAAAAAAAAAAAAAAAAATGGCGATGAGCTTATAAAAGACTAATAAGAGTATTTAGAGTTTTATAAAAGTATAGCTAAGCCAATTAGTGACCATCGGCAATCCTTTTTGAATCTGTGATTTAGGTGGCTTTTATTTGTTATTTATTACTGCACTAGTGGTCCATGTCTGGTGCTGAAGAAACACAGTGGCTTGCAGCTGCGTTTCGTGATATACTGTATGGTTCAATAGCGGGTGCTCTGGGTAAAGTTATAGAGTATCCGTTTGATACAGTCAAGGTTAGGTTACAGACGCAAGGGAGACATGTATTTCCAGATACGTGGTCATGCATAACCTATACGTACAAAAACGAAGGCATAATAAAAGGGTTCTTCCAAGGTATAGCGTCGCCACTTGCTGGGGCTGCCATAGAGAATGCTGCGCTATTTCTGTCATATAATCAATGCTCAAAGTTTTTACAGCACTATACAAATGTTTCTGATCTAACTAATATTTTAATTTCAGGTGCATTTGCTGGTTCGTGTGCCAGTTTTGTGCTGACACCTGTGGAACTGATCAAGTGTAAACTACAAGTGTCAAACTTGCAATCGCTGCCCTTAGGAGTTGCAGGCGGTAATACAGTAACGGAGAGACACACTAGGATAATACCGACAATTCAAGCTGTTATCAAGAATAGAGGGTTCATAGGGCTTTGGCAGGGCCAGTCGGGTACATTCATTAGAGAAAGTTTTGGTGGTGTGGCGTGGTTTGCCACTTATGAGCTCATGAAAAAATACCTTAAGAGTAGACATAATATTGAGGATCCTAGCCTTCCGAATGATAACAAGACTTGGGAACTGTTGGCAAGTGGTGCATCAGCGGGCCTTGCATTCAATGCAAGCATCTTCCCAGCGGACACCGTGAAATCGATGATGCAAACAGAACACCTGGGCTTGAAAACAGCGATCAAAAAGATCTTTGTAGAGAAAGGTCTGAGAGGATTTTATAGAGGTCTAGGCATTACCCTCATCAGAGCTATACCAGCCAATGCTACAGTGTTCTACGTTTACGAAACTTTATCAAAACTTTAAGATGCATAGACAGCAATGATATTCTTAGCATAATATAATAACATTTCTGTTTCCATATTTATTTAGTTAATTTATATCCACGCATTATAATTATAATTCAATTGCCCATTTGTCTCTTTTTTATACTTTTCTTGATATACCGCAAAGTAGTAGTATTGTGATGTTAAACCAATTAGAATAACAAAATATTCAGAACATAAAGAATAACGAAAGTTGCCACTTCTTATATTCCAAAACTTATATTTACAGATCTGCATAGCCGTGAAATACAGCACTGTAGATAATGCCACTACAAGAAGTGCTATAACTTGAAGAACTAACATCACTATATACAACCATGACTTCATCTCATCGAGTTTTGACTCTTGCTGCTAATTTATTAGGGAACTTATGATTCAATCAAACTATTCATTAATAAAGTATTTGTCAGGCCTGAAGTTTATATAAGTACATTGGCAAAACTGAAAGATACTTTTCTGCCACTCCTCTTTGTAATTACAAACTGTGTGTCAAGTTCCAATTGAGAGATCAGACCCTTTCAAAAACCACTAAAACGGTTTGATAATATTACTTGTGTGAAGCTACTGTCATCAGTTTCTATCAGATTCATTTGTTACCAACGATACAGGTTTATTTTGCTTACGAATAATAATGGACTCTAGAACTGTCGGTATTTTGGGTGGAGGCCAGTTGGGCCGTATGATTGTCGAGGCTGCAAACCGCTTGAATATCAAGACTTTGATACTTGACGCACCAAATTCACCTGCGAAGCAAATTACGAATGCATCTGATCATGTCGATGGATCATTTGCAAATAAGGAGGATATCGAGGCCTTGGCTGCCAAGTGTGATGTTATGACAGTTGAAATCGAGCATGTGGATGTTAATGCATTGAAGGAAGTCCAAAAACAATTCCCCAAATTGGAAATCTACCCTACGCCTGAAACCATTGGTTTGATCCAGGATAAGTATGTGCAAAAACAACATTTAGTTAAGAATAGAATTCCCGTAGTACCGAGCATCACTGTTGAAAATTCGAAGGAATCCTTAATTAAAACAGGATCCTCATTGGGTTACCCATTTGTCTTGAAATCAAGAACATTAGCCTACGATGGAAGAGGCAACTTTGTTGTTAAATCTGAAGAAGACATTGAGAAAGGACTTGAATTTTTGGCGAACAGACCACTATACGCTGAAAAATGGGCTTCCTTTAAGAAGGAATTATCTGTAATGATTATCAGATCATTGGATGGAAGAGTATATTCATACCCTATTGTTGAAACAATTCACAAAAACAATGTGTGCCACTTGTGCTATGTTCCGGCTCGTGTACCAGACTCAGTACAACACAAGGCCAAATTAATGGCGGAAAATGCAATCAAGTCATTCCCAGGTTGTGGTATATTTGGTGTAGAAATGTTTTTGTTGGATGATGACTCTATCGTCTTGAATGAAATTGCACCCAGACCTCATAACTCAGGTCATTACACCATTAATGCTTGTGTTGTATCTCAATTTGAAGCACACTTGAGAGCCATATTAGATTTACCCATGCCCAAGAACTTTACTTCCTTAAGTACTAACTCTACAAATGCTATAATGCTAAACCTATTAGGAGATCCTGAAACTAAAGACAAGGAACTTCAAATATGTGAGAGGGCCTTGAATACGCCTGGCGCATCTGTATACCTATACGGCAAAGAGTCCAAGCCTAACAGAAAGGTCGGTCATATCAATATTGTATGTTCGAGTATGAAGGAATGTGACAAGAGATTACAGTTTATTATGGGTCTAAAAACCGACCCAATTAAGCATTCAGTTATGGAAATTTTAAATGCGGAGGAAGTAAGAAAACCTTTAGTTGGTGTTATAATGGGATCCGATTCTGATTTACCCGTAATGTCAGCAGCTTGTAAAATGTTGGAGCAATTCGAGGTCCCATTTGAGGTCACTATAGTCTCAGCACACAGAACTCCTTACAGAATGAATAAATATGCTTCAGAAGCAGTATCCCGTGGTATTAAAGTTATCATTGCAGGTGCGGGTGGAGCAGCACATCTTCCAGGTATGGTAGCAGCTATGACACCTGTACCAGTTATTGGAGTACCTGTCAAGGGCTCTACTTTAGATGGTGTAGACTCACTACATTCTATTGTTCAAATGCCAAGAGGTGTACCAGTAGCCACAGTAGCCATAAATAACAGCACTAACGCAGGTATTCTGGCTGTTAGGATGTTAGGAATACATAATTATGACTATGTTAAGAAAATGGAGGAATTTTTGAACAAACAGGAAGAGGAAGTACTTCAGAAAGCAGCCAAACTCGAAAGCATTGGATATGAAAAGTACCTAGAGTCCAAATAGAGCACCATCTATAAAACCAGTTAGTCTTTGCTTGAAATTCAGAAGATTTATGTATCTTAACTTCATATGTTTTTAAATGTCTATTGCTGTTTACATAATATGCTATAATATATTTAATGCAAAATTTCTTCGTGATATGTAAAGAGAAATGTCATCAAATAGTCCTTTTCTCTCATGTCTTCAATCTCCTTCATTCCAGTGTAATCACGTAGTAAATTAGGCGCAAATATCAACGCCAAATTTCTGATAGTCATCAAATTAATGCTGCTGTAGGAGCTTACCTTACATACATGCTTTGATAATAGCCTCAGAACATCAAAATGACTTTCAGGTATATTGAGCAATATTTTTCTAATAGTCTCAACCATAAAAAAGTACCTCTCTGAGCTCTTTGATTCGGTGGTCATTTTGCTGTTAATCAATGGTAGTGCTTCAATCAGATTTTCATCCCTAACAAGTGATATGAGGGGTTCATATACTTGATATGTAAGCACGGGATTAGGAAGTTTTCTGAGATACCGCTTTAAAACACCTGTAACTGTGTGTATATCTTGATCCTCTAAGAATCGTGGCGGAGGTGCTTCAACAGAATCTTTGTTTACTGGATAATCAGCAAACTTTTTTTCCAGCTCTTCTATTCTTAACTGAGATCCGGATTTTCTGTATATTCCTTCGCTAGTCAAAAATTCATCTGAAGACTCAATAAAACTAATACATGCTCTAATTATAAAAGGAATTGAGTTACCTTCAAATTGAGCTCTGGCAGCTAAAGAAGAACCATATAATTTAGAGCCATCTGATGTGATTGGTGAGCTTGATCTGTTTGCCATTGATTGATCATTAGTGTTTTGAAGAGATATCAGCTTCAAATCATCAAATTCATTAACATTTTTTAGTACTGGATGTGAAATATCCAGTTTTAGTGGATTATCGTCCGAGTTGGAGCCAAGCGAGAACATTGCAGAAGTGGAATTTATACCATAGTTAACAGCTTGCATCGGAAATTGCATAGGTTGTGATATCAATGGAGGGATAACAGTTTCTTTGGAAGAAGAAAACAGTTTCCAGAACCTGGGCTTCGAATTCGATGTTCTTGCTACACTAGCAACTTCAGCTAATTCAGGTTGAGTTCCTTTTCCTCTAGCCTCACTAATCATAGACAAATCTTCATCATTGTGATCTATAATACTCTCGTCTATTTGAGCTCTTAACTGATTCCATTCCTGTTGAAGATTATCGAGACTTAATTTCAACTCTTTTCGAGCAAGCTTCATTTCATCAATTTCTTTCTGGTATTTCTTCTTTTTGTTCCGATATACATCAACTTCATGTCTTAGTTTTCTCAGATGCATTTCAGACCGCATAATTTCTCTCTTTATTTCCTTCTCATAAAAGTAGTCAGAATCATTATAGTCACGGTCGTGATTTAGAGGTGGCTTCGAAAGACTCCCATTCTGTTTTAAAATTTCAGAGCTTGAGTTATATTGCTTGCTACCCTCATATAAGGAATCAGAATCAGAATTTCCAAGACGTGATGAGTTCAAATTCAGTTCACCTATTCTTCCTTTCGAAAGAACGTTATCCTGGGAGTGACCCTTATCGTCCTCATTTTTCAAATTGTCCTGCTCGCCTTCAAATGAATGAATAGAAGATGTATCCAGTTCGCCGTTGACAATACCTTCCATAACAGCCGATTTGTCGTTCCTCAGCTTGTCATTGCTTAGTTCTTTGGTCAAGCTAGTTGGGAAAGTTCTGGGACTTTCTGAATTACCTAAAGATGTATGATTAGAACTCCCCACAATAGGTGGTGCCATTAAACTGCTTCCATCCGAAGGATCGAAACAATCTAATATATTGAAAGATTCAGGGCTATTTTCATCATCGGTATCCAGAACCATACCTCGACGATGTGATTTAGGAGACTTAAGTAATATATCTGTCTTACTACCTCTGAAAGGTGACTTCTGAGATTGATCGCGAAGCGGTGATCTGATAATATTATTTCTAAGAGGTGATTGGAACTCTGTTGCTGTATAAAATTCTTCTGCTGGAGCAGATAACGAGCTTTTACGTAGATGTGCAGGTCTATTAGGAGATAATAATTGCTTCTCTGATACAGCACTGTTTTTCCTGGAGCTTGACTTGTCAATAACATCTTTACTCTCGTTCTCCTTTGTTTCGTCAACATCCAAGTAATGAGTAATAATTGAGTCCGACGTAGATTTAACTAACCCATTTTCCTTCATTATCTGAGCATCTCTAATTGCTGATCTGGGCCTATTGACTGATCTTTTTGGAATTTCTAATGAGCTAGAGCTTTTTTTCATATCATCATCTGTTTGTCTTGACTTCATAATAGGGTTTAAAGATGGACTCTCTACATCATCGTCAGTTATCTTTGGTATCTTTGGCAAATTCTTCTTCTCTAGTAATTTACGCTTCTTTTCATCGTAGGTCCTCCTTTTCGCAAGCAGTTTCTCATGGCAATGAAGACAGAATAGTCCCTTTTTGGTCTTGGCATATCGAAGGTCCTGTATATTTTCATGACATTTACAGCATTTAAAACAGTCAGAACAGTACGCCTCGTTGGAAGACGACAGTATAATAGCCAGATCATCAATCTTTTTGCCACAACTTTTACAAGAGTCTGAACAATCAAAACATATAAGAGCCCCGGTTCCCAGCACCAAGAAATCGCTGTCGCACGTCAGCAACCTATCACACTTATGACACGCAAAACACTCTATATGCCACCTGTCGTAACCCAACTCATAGGCATGCCCAGTGGTGATGGGCTCTTTGCACTTGACGCAAACGGGGAGTTCCTTAGAATCCCCGCTGATCACACTGTCCACACTTACCGACATCTCGATAAAACGGCCCTGGTAACTATACTCCCAATCCTAGCCACAAGCAACAACTCACCAACAGCCCAGTATCGTTCTTGATTCACAACAGTTTTCAGCGCGAAGATAACCAATAACCAGGGGGGAAAAGCCAGTGAAAAAATATATTAAACTAAGAATCCACTTCACACCAACGACTAAACCTAATGAGATCCACTGGTCTATAATAGTAACGCTTTGTTTCGTGTACTTCTGGTTACAAATGCAGTTGGTTGAGCTTCTAAGATTGAAGAGTTTTTGTTCAAAATTGTGTTGAAAAAGGGACCTGCAAGACAAAAAAAGCTCTTCGCAGATCAAATTGAAAGTGAATTATGAGACGTGTAGAGGCTATAAATAGACTGGAGCTGTAAATAACGGTAGATACAGTAGAATAAGTAGAGTTATAGTGTAAGAGTTACAATGTTACAAGTCAAAAAGTTGCTATTGTTCGGGGACTCGATTACGCAGTTCAGTTGTGGGCGTTGCGAGAGCGTGGAGGAAGCTGGTAGGATCGATGGTTTTAGTCTTGGGTCTGGCTTAGGAGCGGTGTACAATAGGAAGCTGGACGTTGTGACAAGAGGTTTCTCTGGTTACAATACCAGGTGGTGTCTACCGGTGCTGGATGCTGTGCTGGATGCGGAGTTACAAGGTCAAAATGAGGTTGCGCTGAGTGTTATATTCTTTGGATCTAACGACTCCGTTAGCGACGGACCACAGCGGGTACCACTGGAGGAGTATTGCCAAAATATTGTTAAGATGGTTGGTAAGATGAAGGCTGCCAAGATCAAGACTGTGCTGGTTACACCAGCCCGTGTAGACAAACAGCAATGGTCCCATCATTTTGCGGAGGATGCCAAAGTTGGTTATGTCAGATCTGATGCTTTATACAAGGAATACAGAGACCAATTATTGAAGATTGGGGAGCAAGAAGGCATCCCCGTGGTGGATCTGTACACTGAGTTTGGGAAACACGACGTCAGCTCACTACTAACTGATGGTATCCACTTCTCCTCCGAAGGCTACCGTGTATTCTTCCTCGCTTTGATGAAAACAATTAGAGAGAATCTTCCCGAGTTAGCCCCGGAGAACTTGCCATGGCATCTGCCTTATTGGAGGGATGTAACAGAGGATCCTACATCTGTCATAGCCGCACTAAATAAATACTAGTCACGATCATATGTCATGTCATATTTCTCACTTTAACAGTTGGCTCGTTTATTTGACGTTTTTTCTTGGTGGAGGAATCACCTTTGTCATGGAGACTCTTTTTATCACTCACTTCACTTCAAGGATCACACTCTAAGAGACAATGGGAGGAACAACGAAAGATAGGCTGGAACGATAACTATCACTGAAGTTTGGGAAAAAAAAATAAATGCAAAGATAGGTGCTTACTCAGGACTCCTTTCATTATGCAGTGAATTATGATTCAATTGTTTTTTTCTTGTTGTATTATAGATGCTTAACTTGGCAACCTTTGGTAAGATTGTTCACACTCTATCATAGCAATTGATAAGAATAGGAATCACCAAGGATGATGATCAGAAATACAGTGACTAAGTCTTCGAAGCGTTCATTCTCGGTATTGTCGAGCTTGAAGGCCACAGAACAAAGTAGTAGCAAGACCAAGAGTACCAAGGAAGTAAAATATGAGAATTTATCGGAGGCTCAACGTGCATATCTAAGCCGTGTTATCCGTGTCGACCAAGCAGGTGAATTGGGTGCCAACTATATCTACGCCGGCCAGTATTTTATCCTGGCTAACAAGTATCCACATTTAAAGCCAGTACTAAAACATATGTGGGAACAAGAGATTCACCACCATAACACATTTAACAACCTACAGATAAAGAACAGAGTCAGACCATCATTGCTGACCCCCTTCTGGAAAGTGGGTGCCTTCGCAATGGGGGCTGGTACTGCTCTAATCTCACCAAGAGCTGCAATGGCATGTACAGAGGCTGTCGAAACCGTAATTGGTGGCCACTACAATGAACAGCTACGTTGTTTAAATAACCAGTACAACCTAGACAAGAGCGATAACTCAGGCGTTGGCCAAACCGAAGAAGTTAAGTCCTTAATAGCTAACATTAAGCAGTTCAGAGACGACGAACTAGAACATTTGAATACCGCCATCGAACACGACTCTCACCTTGCAGTCCCATACTATTTACTGACAGAATCCATTAAGGGTATCTGCAGAGTGGCCATCTGGGGTGCTGAGAGAATTTAATGAGACTTTATATATGTATTACTTTGATCTTTTATAATTAAGAATTGAATAAATAGAAACTTTTAAGTAACCATTCTATTCAATACCATTCTTTTGGCTGTACTTATTGACCATAGGTTGCTGCTATTGCCCTTTCAAGCTAACAGATCACTTCGCACACAGAGGCGTCGCCCTGATCTCTCTCCCAGCATAATGATCAAATTGAATGGAGGCAAAGAGGGATAGTTATCCCAGCTGTGGTACATTTCTTCGAGTATCTAAATGGAATATTATAGCTTGTGATTATCAGTTCATTTTAGAGTGCTATATTTTTAGTGTGAATACGATTTGCGAACAAGCTACTCCTATCAGAAGCATTGTCCCTTATTGAATAAGTTTTTATAATCATTTGGTCTTGGACAAAGATTGCCCAGAATTGTTATCGAGCTGATTACTAGAGTGAATATAGGTACATTAACTCTTAAGGAAATACACTCTCTTCAATTGCCTTGAAATTCCTTGTACTGAAGAAATCCTGTTGCCAAACATTAAAGGATAAAAGATTCAATACTTAGATGAGAATGAACGATGATGCTGTAACAGGTATGGGGGTTCACTTTGGAGGGGATCCTCCTGAAGCAGACTTACAAGGTGAACCAATTCCCAGTGCTGATGTTACTAATATTGAAGATGATGGGCGTCAACTATTGTACCCCAATATAGGAACACACTTACCATTAAAAACTTCAGATCGATTACTTGATGATATACTATGTTCAGTTGGCTTTTTGACCAGTGGTGACAATAAAAGTATCTTGAACTCGAATACTTTAGAATATTCGAAACAGAGGCCGCATATAAAGGGGTCAGCTGTGGGATTCTTTCAAGATCAAGTAATTATACAAACCAAATACGAATATCCCTCCAAGAGCTGTCCAGAACATAACAAGATCTTTGTCATCATGGGTATATTGATAGGTACAGACTATTTAGAGAAAGCTGAAAAGAAACAGATTAGTGAAGTCACTGAAATTCCAATTTATCATGTAAAAATAAGCGTGAAAGTTAGATCGATATTGGAAAACTCCAAAAAACTGGTTGGTGTTTCTAGATACTATAAATTAGACCAGCTACACGACTATGATAGAGTAGATTTCCCGTCATATGATCCAACTGACAGTAAACTATTGGATAGTGCTTTATATGCCACAGATGACACGAATAAAATAGTGTTAATTGAGATCTACAAACCTGAATTTGATCCAGAAGATAAAGACCTAAGCGTTTCTTCAGTTCAAATAAAAAATAGGTTTGCCCAAGCCAAAGAAAAATTTCCACAACTGGCTAAGGAGGAATCACCAACTCAGCTAGACAGTATCAACACACTTTTCAAGTTATTCAAAGGACCTTTGAAACGCAAATCAGACGATGCCCCTCAAAAGTCTATTGAAGCCGAACACCCTTTACTTATATCTAACATGAATCCCTCTGCACTGGTAACTCACTTTGGGTTTACATATACCAATGAGAACATTCCTGGGGGAGAATACATGGCACCAGACTTAGTGAACTACTTAGGTGACCCTAATATTCAGAAGCTTAGAGACACCTTCACTCGAAAATGTTTGGAGCTAATTGCATATGGTAATATCATTATTTCAAGTTTACCTCAGAATATAACTTCTACTGCTGAATTCAGTAAAAAATATAGAATTTTGAGAACAATTCAACCAGAGTTTAGTTTATTTTCTTGGTTACAGTTATTGGGTGATTTTAAATCGAGAAATATTGAACTTTTAAATGTTAATGAACATAAAGGATATCATTTACAAGAGGCCCAAAAACGCGTCTACTACTCTCCCTTTGATATCGATTCCAATTTTACTAATCTTTCTGTTTGCTTACACTATGCTGAAAGAGACATCATACAAAACTATGAACGACTAATTACGTTGGATGAGCCTAATATTGGAATATACTTTGATTCGTTATCTGTTGTTGCAAATAGGAAGGGGTCATACCAACTACTATCCTACTGTGGTAAGCAAGACGTTATAGGTCAAGAAGCTCTACAGAATTCACTAGCTGTTTTTGGTATTGACTATACAAAGGTTACTTTAGAATCTCTTGATGAAAATCTCTTACTATCAGTTTACAAACATGAATGGAAAGAGAATCCGGACAACAACAGAATCAGCGATCTTAAGAATGCACTGCGACTTCTTGCAAAGTACTTCACATCTGATTACTTGAAGTTTTATGTTGATTATGAGCCATATCGAATTATACAGAAAGCATATGATCTGCTCGAAATTGATGAATCCGTTGATGAGGACATTATACAAACCGCTTACACAATTAAAATCAATGATGCACCTGGTCTTAAGATAGATTGTGATAGGGCACTATATACTATTGCGTACAGTAGAAGAAGTTTGATGTTATTTAATTTCCTCTTTGATCAATGTCCTGAATTCCAAAGATATTATGGTGCACAATCACTTGGATACCATCAGTCGTTTGAAATATTACAAATCAATGAAAACATCACAGAGCCTAACCTATTGCATGTGTTTCAGCAAAAGTGGAAAAACACTTTACTAGAAGAACCAGATCAGCTCTTGAAATATAGGGCCGCTTTAACAAAAATTGCTCTAGAAAGAAACTCCAATCTGCTACTGAACTTTTTAGAGACAGGTAATATAAATCCTAATTCATTACCTGCAGAAAACTGGCCAACTGGTATTAATAATATTGGTAATACATGCTACCTAAACTCCCTTCTTCAATTTTATTTTGCGATATCACCTTTAAGAGAATATATTGTTCAATACCAGAAAACCATTGCCGACTTGAGTTCCAACCCTGATAGTATTATATCAAAGAGACGGATAGGTGGAAGACAGGTTGGTAAGAATGAAATTGAAAGATCTGTGCAGTTTCTATATCAATTAAGAGATCTTTACAACGACATGATATTTTCATCTCAACGTTGTGTCACACCTAAAAGAGAGCTAGCATATTTAGCTTTTGCACCTAGCAGTATCGATGTTGAGTTTGAGAATGCAAAAACAAAATCCCCGATCTCAAATATAGAAGGATCAAATTCTACTACAGATAGCCAACCAATGCCAAGTACAGGTGAAAATATTGATCATAATATGGATATAGAACAAGAGGAACGTAATAATGAAGAGATTAACTCTACTAACAATATTGAATCTAATGATCTGGTATCTAACAACCATGATATTGAAATGCTTGACACTGATAAAGAGAATGAAGGTAATATGGAAATAGAAGACACAGCAATAAAAGTAGCTAAAATAGATCCTGAACAACTAGAAAATGCTCTTGAATTGGGGCGCCAACAAGACGTAACCGAATGTATTGGAAATGTCTTATTTCAACTTGAGAGTAGTTCATCTCCAACTTCTCTTTCTGAGGATCATGAACAGAATGACTTGATTAAGGAATTATTTTTCGGTGAAACTAATCAGCACATTAAGCCATTGAAGGCCGATTCTGTTACCAGAACCAAAGTAGAACGGTTTGTCTCCCTACTAGTTAATATTGCTGACCATCCCAAGGATGTATACGATGCGTTGGATCTTTACTTTAAAGAGGAGTATTTGACAATGGAGGAATATGGCGAGGTTAAAAGAGAGTTGGCGATCAAGAAGTTTCCAACTATTTTACAGATTCAGATTCAAAGAGTGTACTACGATAGGGAAAGATTCATGCCCTATAAGTCTATAGAACCTCTTCCTTTTGAGAGTGACATTTATTTGGATAGATACGCGGACACCGATGATGTGAAACTGTTGCAAAAGAGAGAAGAAACGGCGGAACTTAAGAGACAGTTACGCTCTTTCAAGGAAAGACAAAAAGAACTACTATCTCGAAATGAACTTGGACTAAGTCGTAGAGATGCTTACAAAGAGACGGCAAACTTCCTGAGATCAGAAGTTTTGCAAAATACAAATATCAGCATCAGTGATCCTGATCTTCTGGCTACAAAATTAGAGGAATCGGCAAGTAAAGTTGCCGATGAACTGTCTGATTTATATGTTAAAATCACCAACCTAGAAGAGAAGATTAACCACCAGTTCGATGATTTTACAGAGCATGGATATACTTTATTTGCGGTATTCATCCATAGAGGTGAGGCTAGCTATGGGCATTACTGGGTGTACATCAAAGATTTCGTCAACTCTATCTGGAGAAAGTACAACGACGAAACAGTTACCGAAGTACCAGAAGAAGAAGTCATGAATTTCACTGAGGGCAATACTGCAACCCCATATTTTATTGTGTTTGTGAAAAAGGGACATGAGAAGGATATCGAGCCATTGAAAAGAATGATAGAGAAGAATTGAAAGTGAACAACGCTGAACTTAAGAACAAGCATAGATCTGAATACTTGACAAAACTAAACCCACATATACTATATACAACCTGTTTGTAGATACAAGACAACCCAATTGAACATACTATTCTCTATAAGTAACTGAACTCAAATGACTATTTTTAATCTATATTGGAATGTACTGCTATCATAATTAGGATTTTCTTGTTTTTCATGACAAAGTTTGGGCTTCACTTCGCTGAAAAAAAAATTAAGAAACTTAGACAATGTTAAAAGCAGAGAACTATCAAGACTCTATTAGTCTTGCCTCTTTTGTAGTCGACATTATTTTATCTCTAGAGATAATACATCAGATAAATTTCACTCAAAGCTCTTTGTTTTCTTTACCAACCAATTGGTATTTGTATTAGTTTATTTGTTATCCAGTTTTGAATATCAGTACGGAGAGACAGAGTTGCCTGAAATATTAGCAAATAGAGCTCAAGAGGGAAAAACCAAGTAATATATAATATGTCTGAAGAAGAGAAACATAATATGTCTGAAGAGCAAGTTGAATTGGCTCCAGAGGAGCCGCCAAAAGAGGAGGCAGAGGATTCTGTTGAGGATGGAAAAGACCAAGAGGAAACCATGCCAGAGAAAGAAGAAGAGATGGATGATCTTTTTGGTGATGATGAGGATGATGAGGATGAGGAAGAGATTACCACTGGCAGAGGCAGGAATGGTACTACTGGAATTAGCGATGATGAAGAAGACGATGATGAGGAAGGCATCACCAGACGCAGTCGAGAACGTGAGGATTATGACATGGAAGACTATGACGATGAAGCTAAGGAGCAGGAGATGTACACAAGAAAGTTTTATGGTGAGGATGCAGTAAATTATTCAGACGATGATGAGCCACATACGTTTAAGGAATCAAACGTCGACTTGATTAGACATATTATCCCTTACAAGACCAGGACGACAAACAATGAACACGATGAAATATTTTATGCTAAAGTTCCAGCCTTCTTAACAATAGATCCTGTACCATTCGATCCTCAAACTTTTGAAGCCACCGTTGATGAAAGACTAAGCAAGTCTGCCTCAAAGGAGGACCAATTAGGTGATAGATTAATTGATGAGAACACAATTAGATGGAGATACTCTCGTGATGCTGAGCAACACGTTTTCAAGGAGTCTAATGCACAAATTGTTCAATGGTCAGACGGTTCGTTCTCGCTTAAATTAGGCGACGAATACACGGATATCATAGTTAATGACACAGACAATACTTTCTTGACTGTTTCTCACGATCAACAGGAACTAATGCAATGCTATGATGGTGGTGAAATAACCAAGACTATGATGTTTATACCTACCTCCACCAACTCGAAGATACATCAAAAACTAAGTAAAGCTGTTAGCAGGAGGAACGCAAGACAAAATCTGGGTCCTGGTTCCTATATTATCAAGCAGGATCCAGAGATAGAAAAGAAAGAGCTTGAAAAACTCCAAGGTCAAATAATAAGAGAGAGAAGGAAGAGACAACAGAAAGAGATCGAAACTCGTGAAAATGCCGAAAATGGCTTCGCAGAGACCGGTGAGTTCAAGAGGGGCAACACTCCTTCGAGGTCTAGTAGGCAAAACGAATACGAGGATGATGGTTTCTTAGTGGACGATGAAGATGAAGAGGACTTCATAGACGATGGTGAAGAAGAGGAAGAGGAAGAAGAAGATGACGATCTCGACGCTGATAGATTAAGAAACGCCAAAAGACAAGGAGAACATGCTTTCACTGAGGATGACGATGAAGAAGACGACAACAAGAGAAGAAAAACAGCCATTATCAGTAGCGAAGAGGATGACTGAAACAAATACTGTCAAAATATCTCACATATGTACATATACATACCAAAAAACTTTGGCCTATTAATCTATTTAACACCATCTGTATTATAGCTCAGCATTTTTGCTTTCGAAACCATGACTACATAAGCTGAAGTGTCTCTATTCACTGTATTGCATTGCATAACGGTCTTAAAATTCAGCATAGTATTCAGTTCAAGAACGCGAAGAGCGAAATTTGGGAAAAAAAGAAATGAAAAGTTGAAAAATTTAAAGTGAAGCTGAAATTTTGACATCGAAAACAGCAGCGACCGGTATTAGTAAAGTGATGGGCTTGACGTAAACGGTATCTCCATTGTATGATTCAAATTGTATCTTAAATTTCAGCAACGATTTGAATTACATAGCCCTAGTACCAATACCATAACCATAACTGAGGAACGCCAACGGTATTGAGAGTTTCCATTTGTCAAAAAACCAACAAACAAAACTCCAAGGTAATATTGTGCTCCCTTCTCCAAGATTGTACCCGAGGGTCAACCTAATCACAACAGTTTAAGATAGACACAGATAATCATTGGATAAGAATCAAACATATCTGGCTTCATCAATTAGAAAAAAGCTAGAACTAGTAAGGATAACACAAGGTGCTAGTTTTTATCTCAGACATTGAAAAGCAACAGGAATAAATAGAGAATACAATGCTGGTAGATCTCGATGAAATACTGGTTTCTTTGAAGGAAGGGCGACATATACCAGAAGAGACAGTTTATGCGCTATGCATGGATTCACAGGAGTTGCTGATGAATGAATCTAATGTGGCACGCGTCGATACTCCAGTAACGATATGTGGTGACATTCATGGTCAGTTACATGATCTACTAACTTTGTTTGAGAAAAGTGGTGGTGTAGAAAAGACCAGATACGTGTTTTTGGGAGATTTCGTTGATAGAGGATTCTATTCGCTAGAGTCATTTCTCCTGCTGTTGGTATATAAATTGCGATACCCGGATCGAATTACGTTAATACGTGGTAACCATGAAACCCGCCAAATCACAAAAGTTTACGGATTCTATGATGAAGTAATGAGAAAATATGGTAATAGTAATGTGTGGAGATACTGCTGCGAAGTCTTTGACTATTTATCTTTAGGAGCTATTATAAATGACAGTATATTTTGCGTACATGGTGGATTGTCACCAGATATTACTACACTGAATGAAATTAGAGCCATTGACAGAAAGCAAGAAGTACCTCACGAGGGAGGTATGTGTGATTTGTTATGGAGTGATCCCGACGAGGTTGATACTTGGTCTATGTCCCCACGAGGAGCTGGATTTCTATTTGGGAAAGGTGAAGTTGATGAGTTCTTACATGTAAATAACGTTGATCTTATTGCAAGAGCGCACCAGCTGGTAATGGAAGGTTATAAGGAGATGTTTGATGGTGGCCTAGTTACAGTATGGTCTGCTCCTAACTACTGTTATAGATGTGGTAATGTTGCTGCAGTTTTGAAGATTGAGGATAATTTAGAGAGAAAGTATACGATATTTGAAGCTGTTCAGGCTCAAAATGGTGTCGGGAACACCATCATACCGACAAAGAAAGCTCAAATGGACTACTTTTTATAGATACTTCAAATCGTAAAGCATTCATTGTACTGAGCAAGGGTATTCATGAAGAAAACCTTTTAGACATTATCCAGGAAATCTTTACACAAGTATTTTTTGGGGTGTTTAATATGTTATTCTTTCATGTATAAATCAGGCGCATTCTATTTCAGTTTAATAATTTTGGGCATAATCATGAAAGGATTATTGCTCTCTTTGCATATGTAACACTAATTAATTTTCTGTACTAATATTATTGCAAATATCCACGTTTCCTGAAACGAGAGCGTTGTTATACCTTTTGCTCGATATAGTTGATGTACTCTTGGCCCATACTCACGTTGAAATGCAAACATATAATTCTGAACAACTAGAGAACTGACTGGTATCCTCCAGTATCGCGTGCCCTCCAATATCGCGCGCGAGATCAAAAGAAAGAAAAATACTAGATTGTGGGCCATAGTAGGAGCGATGAGCTTGAATTAAGCAATACCTGCGTTGTGCAACTTACCTTGTTGCTATATGCCAGTCGTATTGAATTTTCTAGTCACTTGGATACAATACAAGAAGTTTTGTTGCAAACATGTCCTTTGGAGTACCGTTGTCACAGCTGATCGTCAATGCACCGAAGCCTATATCCACTGGTTTAACAGCGTTAGACAATGAGTTAGATGGAGGGTTTAGATACAAGTCAAGCTACGAGATATATGGCATTCCTGGGATAGGAAAGACATGGCTTGCGAGTGAGACGGTCAAGACATATTTACAAGAGAATGATGACGGTAAAGTTCTATGGATAACTACTAGCGGTGTTGCGCCACAGATGTTGCTGCGAAGTGAAGCTGAAGTGAAGGAAAGGATAGAATATATCCGGATAACGAAGTTCACGGAACTTTTGTATTTCTATCAAAAGCAGGTGATGTCGGAGCCAGACTCAATTTCGCAAAGCCAATCACCAGCTGAGAGCGCCATGCCGAGCACGGGTACAGAGGCAATTACCAACGATACCAATAGCAATGACAGCTATCGACTAGTTATAATAGATGGTTTGTCAAGGTTACTGAATCTGCAATTGCACAGCTTGAGCAAGAAGAACTGCACTACGTTGCACGACACCAAGTGTCGATATCTGATTATCCTAATGACATTGATCACAAAATACAACAACAAGAACAATGCGTGCCATGTCATACTGAATGACTCGATGAATACCACGTATGTACCTGAGAACAATGGCGGTGCCGAGGACGAACTTGAGATGGTTGAAGATGGGTTCAACTTCTTTGTCAAGTCACACAACTACCTGTATGAGAACAACAAACGTCGCCGAGTGTACGCCCCAAATGTCATTAGAAGTGCGTTGGTGGCGAACAATGCCCTAGGTAACCGTGATAGCAGGTGGGAGATATTTATTAAACGTCGAATAGGTATATTTTGGGAATGGGAAGATAAAGTTACTCGAAATCTAGACACTGAGTGCAGCAAAAAGGCAACGGGAAACGGCAGATGTAGAGTTGCTCTAGTACACAAGGACCGGCAAAAATCCAGCCAGAGCCTCAACTTCTCAGTTGTACCGTTCGATATAGATCTAGATTGAGTCATTTATTTTAATTTATTGTTTTTTGTTCTTGTTCTTTCTCTTGTTCTTGTTCTTGTTGCCTTTTTGTTAATATTTGCTTGTATTATTGTTTATACTATACTTCAAATTGTATTATAGAGTCATGGGAATGGAAACACAAGAATAATTATCTTGTAATTTACCCTTTTTGGGTAACAACAGAGCTAAACCTAATATAAAATTAAACAGGAGAATACGTAAATTGCTCGTATGGACCAGCATATTGCCGCAGAGGCAATACCCGTTAATTTCCATGAAGAGGCCCCTTGCGGTTATATTTTAGATTCATTTATCCCAATTGGGAAACAATTAGCTAGTGTAATAAATTAATATCCTGTTCCCAACAGACACACCTGCACGGAGGGGAATATTGGTCTAATTTTAATCACTGTGAATTAAGTCATTAGCTTCACACAACGAGAGGGAGAGAAAAAAGAAAGGTTCGCATTTAAATTACATCATGCCTACAACATTCCTCTACGGGACGAGACACCTTAGAGGAACGTACGCAATTGCACAAACCTATTTGATACGGTCCGTGAAGTACAATAAATTCCATTCCACAAAGGGTGTGCTGAGTGCTGAGTGCAAGAGGGACACGGAGAAACACCAGTACGATAGATGCCTGTTGCATAGGTAACAATGGGGCTCGTCTTTTTCAGGGTGGGCCGTGGTGGGTAGCACCTGAAGCGCCTGGCGGTGAGGGGCAAAGGTAGTCTGGACCTCGACTCCCTTCATTTCCCTTTTCAATTTTCAACCTTGAGAGACATAGCAGAGTCTAATTTTCAAGTCAGTTATGACAAGGGCAAAGAAAGCAGCATTGTAGCGTTTCCTCATCCATTTTCAATGGGTTTTCTTGAAACAGTAGTGTTAGTGCCACCTACCCTCCCTGCCGACAATACATGGCACTCTATTCCCAAGAAACCCACTATCTCAAATTATCCTTGGTCCCTTGATGGAGAGAGAGAAATGACGTCTTTTTTTCTTTTCCTTTGACCATATTACAGCCTCTTTTCTTTTCTTTAATTAACCCCGTTTGCAGCACGTACGATCTCTTTTGCATCGCTCCACTGCAGGGAATCACTCCCCTTTGTTGAGTCTTCCCCCCCTCCCCACTCCACAGAGATAGAGAAGTACGAAACACAAAAACTCCACTTAGAGATCCACGCACACTATACACTGTAAATAATGGGTGGGGGGGAGAGAGGGACCCTTTTTCCCAACTAAGTTATTATGGCATTGCCTCGTACATTGCATTTGCAGTGAAAATTCCGCACACAAAGAGATACAACTCGCACCAATTCTCTATCATTTCCTAAAGTGGAAAGAGGGAAAGCAATGTAAATACGTCAAAGTTGTTCAAAGGTGCCAGAGCTGCAGTGCCCGTCCGCAGGATACAAGAGAAAACAGTCGAGGAAACATCCGCACAGAGGAGATAAAAGAAACGAGTCATCCCTTCTAGTGGGGGGAGGGGGGAGAGTGGCCATTACCACCAAGTACCAGTTCCGGGTCCATCAACGGTGGTTGAGATCTCACTAAGGGAGAGAGGGAAGGACGGACCTAAGAAACTGTAATCTAGGGCAAGTACTGGGGCCAGGACTAGGGCAAGTACTAGGGCAAGTACTAGGGCAAGGACTGCTAATAAAAGTAGTACGTAAATGAAGTTGGAAGCTTCTAAAATTAATTTCTTTGTACCCATCATGGGCGATAGCATCAAAGACTGGTGTGGCTGGGTTTTTGCCTAACTCTCGATAGTGAATAAATGAGTTGCATTGCATTGATGCTTAGTACTGTAGATGAACTTGAACTTGTATCCGAGATGGGATGGATATTAGGATAACTGGAACCCCCTCTTGAATTCTCAGTAATAAGCAATGCCTAAAAATAATGAGCAATAAGAAAAGTATCAGGGAGTTTTTAAAGTACTCAAATTAATTTCTAAAATTAAAATGAGTAGAAAATAGAATAGACTGGTTGCATACTTGTAATTGATATTCAATCCCTTACAAAATAACTTACTAAAGGAAAAAAAAAAAGGTATATAAAGGGAAGCTTTTTTCTTTGTAACCATTATCTTAAACCTTTCCTTTATAATATAAGAACAACAACACAACAATCGTTTAATTGAAAACTTAGACCAACCAAAAAAAAACTAACAATGAAGTTTACTACCGCGTTCGCTACTTTGGCTATTGCCTCCTCTGCTGTTATGGGTCAATTCAGTAACAGTTCCATTCCAATTGATCCAAGTACCTCAGTTCCATCTCAAAACACTACCACTGTCTCTTCTACTACCACTCCTCCAACTACCAGCTCCACTACTACCATCCCAGCCCCACCACCAGGTTTCAACTCTACTACTACTGAAACTGAGATCGAAGTTGTTACTGCTTACACCACTTACTGCCCATACCCAACTACCTTCACTCAAAACGGTGTTACTTACACTGTCACTTCTGCTACCACATTGACAATCACTGACTGTCCATGTACCATCACCAAGCCAAAGCCACACCCACAACCACAACCACAACCAACCACCAAGCCAGCTCCTGGTCCAGAACCAAAGCCACAACCACAACCACAACCACAACCAAGCACTAAGCCAGCTCCAAAGCCTGACACTACTACCACCGTCAGACAATCTGTTGCTCCACACCCAACTACTATCCTATCTACCCAACGTTCTTCTCTTGCTGCACAACCAACCTCTTCTCAACATGTTATCGTTACCCAACACGTTAACGGCGCTGCTAACTTGGCCGCTTCTTCCGTCATGGGTTTGGCTGCTTTGTTGGCTTTGTTCATGTAAAGAATCTCAATAAACTTTTGATTTATTTTTATTGATTCTTTACATTTCTAAATGACGTTAATATTTTGTGAAAAAAAATTATAACATCTTTTACTCGCAAAGAAGTATCAGTTGGTATGCCTTGGGTTTTATCTGGTTACACAAACACACAAAAACAGTTAATGCTACTGAATTGGTATGTTGTTCGTTGAGATGCTTATTGTGCCATTATTTTTTATCGTCTAATTTTCTATTACACTTCTTCTATCCTCGGATACATTAAGCGCTAGTGAGATTTTAATGCAATGTTCTTTCAAAGGCAATATCTCTGGAAGATTTGCCGAACTTGTATTTGCTCATATAGCTGCAATTTTGGTTCTACTATTTCTTTATTCTGCTTTTCATTGCTAATATTTTATTATCAATAAGTTATCCTGGTGTAATGGACACTTACTTTGACAGTGAAGTTCCAGCTGGGCTAAGTATTGTTGATATTTTTTTTTTATACCAAGACCCTTTATAAACTACTTACTCAATATAATAAGCACTTTAATTTTTTTTTCTCCTATTACTGTTCTCTTAGAACGCATTCAAGTATTATAATATGTAATATGAAATGGCTTATTTCTTCTCACTGTAGAGCACATTGATGTGTAACTTCAACCATTCGTCGATGCTGGTAATCGGGATGACAATGACGCCAGGTTTTTCAACGGTATAGTGCCTTAGAACTTTGGGTGAAGATAGCAAAATAATCGAGTATGCAAGTAAATGTGGACAGAGCAATTTCTTAGTGTTTACGTATTTTTGTAGCGATAAACTATGTGCTTCGATCTGCCCAAATGTATCATCACGAAAACAACTAAAGTCATCAATCAATTGAACAAATTCTTGTACTAGATCCTTGTCCGCCAGTAAGCACTCGCGCATTATTTCTGTATATTCCTCGCAAGAACAGAGCCAGTTGTGGAGATCAACGTAAACTGGGGTCTCTATACCATCTGATGATGACGATTTCACAATCAGTCTATACTGAAGCAAATCATCATCTTCATAGAGCTTATTCAGGTAATTTTTTGTAACATCCACAGAGTTGTCTTTGGCGTTAATTTGAGTCGCGGTGGTTGATGTTGCTATATTTTCCTTCGAGCTTAAGTTGACAGATGTATCTACGTCAGTGTTCACTTCGCTTTCTGAAGACTCTCCTTTCATAGCATCAAATACATAGATAAACATATCAGATGACTCTAAAAGAGATAATCCACGAATAAATAGCTCCCGAGGAAACATGTAATATAAGAACGACGCTACCATGTCGTCCACACCGTCATCCTTTACTAGCGTGCTAAATATCTCTGAGTAGTTTATGACAGAGGCATCTTCATTCATATTATTCTATTAACAGCCACCACTTGAAGCTACTCCAGAGGTGGTTAGTCAATCAATTGAAACTTGTTAAGAACTACTTCTTGAGCGATGAGCTTGTTAAAGCTGTTCTCTTGATCCCGCATCGCGCACGATTCAGTTAAAGCAAGGCCCCCCCGCTGCCAAAAGAACATAAGCTGAAATGATTGAAACAGAACGACTCATATAGCAGGTAGTCAATAGATTGATACATACAAAATATCATCTGCTAGATTGGCTGGAATTCTATTTCTGCACTTGATAACTGCCCTCATTAAGTATTTTACTAAGCGAAGGTCTAATAATTGCAATCAACAAGATGAAGTTACCATTCAGATACACAAGGGCACAGCTCGAGATATTTAGATTCTCATTTTGTCTTCTGGCTCCTGTGGCGGTGATGTATTACATTGGTACTGATACGGATAAGAAGTTGAATGTACCTGGGTTTTGGCCTGATCCTGAGTCGCTAAATCAAATACCAAAGGAACCATATGAAATTAAGGCAGAGCTTGCGAGGATGAAGAAGGAAAGACTAGAGAAGAGACTAAAACTGGAGAAGAGGTTGAAGGAAGAGTTTGGTTTGGATGTGGAGGCTGAAAAGGCGAAGATGAGAGAAGAGCTGGGTTTGACCAGCAAAACAGAATAAGATATGAATTACAAGGAGGTCGAGGGAATGGTTTGTATCATACATTATTGATAATTCTATTTCAGACCTACAGTTATCTTAGCATTTATTTATTATTGGAGTAAGACTGGCAGGGAATTCTCTCAAGATACTGCCTCTAAATGAGGAGGTAACAAAAAACACATGTAAATAACCTATAATAATAATATTGAAGCACATGAATACACATAAAAATATGTTATAAGTATGTCAATAGGTCTTTTATTTTCTCTGTTTTTCCTATTTCTGTACTATACACTAAATAATATACAAGGGTTTTTAATTTTAATGTCTTTAAATGGACAACACATCATCAGTCAATAATTTCGTAAACGTCAAAACAAGTTCTGGCAGGCCAAATGCAAATGTCGGGTGCTGTCTCAATGCTCTTCTTCTTCCTCATCCAATGGATTATATATATTCTTAGACAGCAATCTATTCAGTTCCATCTTGATAAATTCAACTTTTGTAGGATGTACTAACAGGTGTGTTTCATCGAGTTCTTCTAGTATAATGTCATGACGTTCTGAATCGATTTGCACGATTAGCGCTTTGATTGAAGGATCACACTTCAGCAGTACACCTCTTCTAGCTCGTACCATGACTGTGGCTTATTGTGCAGTATTTATGAAGTTATCTGTCTCTTATGAAATGAACTACTAATATAACTTATACTGTAAGTCATCTCTGTGCATTTTAATTTTTTTTAAGATTCCAAATTAAAATCCGAGAAAATGTGCCAAAATTACAGTAATAAAGGTCAAAACTATAAACTATGATTACTTCATTTAGTGCTGAACTAGGTAGAATTTCCACCTTCAAAACTGAATTTGTGTTGAAACACAGTAATTAATTTGCTTTGTGGTTTAGAGAATACCCATTTGTTATATTTTTTTCACTTTGACTTTTGCTAGGTATTAAGGAGATCCAAGTATATGGCATCAAAACCCGACCAGATTGAGCCTACTGGTGTCAAAGATGAGGTTAATAGTACCAATGATATGACTACTAGAGTAATATCAAGGAATGATTTGCAAATAAATAATGAGAATGATGTCAATGAGAATACTACAGATGCGAATACAAATGATGAGTGCATGACAACTGTCCCTTCAACCATTGATGAATCACCAAAAGATTCCAGAATAGAAAATAAGGACTTTGGGTCCAAGAATAACGTTGCCTTTCTGGAGGACACGGTAAGTACAGAAGATGATCAAATATCGAGAGCAGCCAACCATATTGGCCGAGATGAATCGGTGGACACAGAAACCGCAGAAAGTGTAGTTCTTGGCAAGGTTTATACTGATATTGATAAAAGTAGTCCTGTAAGTGAGGCTGCTACAAACAATAATAATGCTGACACTAGTATCATTGAAACACAAACCAGTAAAGGAGATGATGATAAAGATGATGAAGATGATGAAGATGATTTAGAAGATGAAGATGGTGAAGATGATGAAGATGAAGAAGATGATGAAAAAGAAGATGATGATGATGATGAAGACGATGATGGAGATGAACCACCACTACTTAAATACAGCAGGATAAAAAACTTGTTTGTTGATTTACCTAAGCGTGATTCAATATCTACATGCTGCTTTGGAGAAACTTTCTTTGCATTTGGCACTCACATGGGATTATTGCATATAACTAAGCCGGATTTCAGTGCAATAAAAACCTTAAAATGCCATCGATCGAGCATACTTTGCATAAATATTGAATCAGATACCATTGCAACAGCATCGATCGACGGAACTGTAATTATAATATCTATGGATGACTTACAAAATTTAACTGCATATGATTTCAAAAGACCAGTCAATGCTGTTGCCTTGCATAGCAATTACTCTACCAACAAATTATTTATTTCTGGTGGAATGGCTGGTGATGTAATATTAACTCAGAGGAATTGGCTGGGCAATCGATCCGACATAATATTAGATAGCAAGAAGGGTCCTATTATGGGGATTTTCATTGTTGATGATATGCTAATTTGGATGAATGATGATGGTATTACAATATGTGACATACCGAGTAGAACTATTATGTTAACCACAAAATTTCCTATAGGACTTGAATATGAAAGGCCAGATTTGTTCAAACCATTTCTACACAAAATCGATACCGATAGGTTTATGGTTGGATGGGGACGCCATTTATGGGCATTCAAGTTCTCGAAAATTACAGATCCAAAAAACGAATCGGCTAAACTAGTGTCTCTCATATCCTCAGCAGCCTCCAGTTTGAAAATTACTCCAGAAAAAAATGTCGTGCTAGAGAGTCATCACTGTCTAGATCAATATCTTGCTGGTATTGCTTCATTTAAAGGAGATCAGTTGATGTGCCTGGGTTTCCCGGTATCTGAGAATAACGATCCCCTAAAAGGGATATTACCACAAATATCGATTATCGATTTGTGGGATGCGTCAGAAATTTACTCCAACGATATTGTTACAAAAGACTACGATAAATCAAATTTAAATGACTATCACCTTGGTGTTCAACTGAATAATGATATCAATGAGTATTATCTTATTTCAAAATTTGATTATATTAAAATTGATACATTGACTCTAAAAGACCACTATGATTGGTATTATGAGAAGAAGAATTACACACGTGCATGGGAGGTTGGAAAGGTAATTCTTCCTCCTCATTCTTTATTTGGCCTTGGAGTAAAAGCTGTCAATGATTTAATACATAAAAAGCAAATACTAAACGCCTTAGAGATGTCTAGAAGAGTATTCGATACTATTGATCAGTTACATAATCAGGAGCTAAGATCTGACAATGATTTGGATTGGGGGAAGTTGTATGAGCATTTTCTTCAAATAAGTCAGGCTTATCAATTGTCAGATTTTCTACCGAATAGTAAAAGGATTCCCTCACAAATTTATGAAAAGATTCTCAGTAGCTTAATAGATAATAACAAGATTGAAGATTTGAAGGACTGCATTATTAAATGGGGAGATAAAATTACAAATATAGAAACAATCGAAACCAAACTCCTTCAGTTGAAGAGCGCACAGCAAACATCAAACAGTAAAAAGGAATTGATAGACAGCCTGGTATCATTAAATTTGGAGGCTAAGAGATTTAGCAAAGTAATACCATACATGATTGAGAACAAAGATGATAGAATTTTTGAGATTTTAGTTAGAAATAAGTTAACATCCCATTTTCTATCAGATATAACTAGCATTATTTTGGTGCCTCTTGGTGATAAAGATATTAATAAGTTGGATATCAAAGATCTTCGTCAAATTTTGAAGAAATCCACTGATTTTATCTGCACTTCTTTGAGGACTATACGTTTAAGTTACCTGATTGAGAGACTCTCTGCGGATACTAATCTTTCAAAATTGAAACTTGTTGTTTTAGAGGAAATATTTACGAGGGATCCGTCTTTACTTCGAGGTAATGAGGATACAATGGTGGAGTTATATGCGTTGTGTGATCCACCGAAGTTGCTTCCATTTTTGAAAGAATATGATGGATATAGTAACACCAAGGCAATTGATATTTGTAAGGGAAGAAAGGATTTGTATCACGAATTAATTTACTTGTTGGGAAGAGTCGGAGAGACTAAAAGAGCTTTATCAATTATCATCGATGAATTAAATGATCCTCAACTTGCAATTCAATTTGTAAAAAGTTGGGGTGACCAGGAACTTTTGGATTTTATGATCGGATACAGTTTAGATAAACCTGACTTTGTTATAGCTTTGCTACAGTGCGAAGATCAAAGTGGGAATATGCACGTTAAAGTGCTTAAGGGTGTTCCAGAAAATTTGGAAATTGAAGGAATAGCACCAATATTGAAAAATATGACAAAAGAAGATATGCTTGAAATTGTGAGCAAACAGATACTGGCTAGTATTGTGGAGGAAGATACAGAAAATTACGCCAAAGACTGGATTAAGTATAGAAAGCTTGGTAGAGTATTCGATGTGCATTAACCTCTATGATAGTCTTGCTAACCTATAATAAGAGATGTCTAACTTCCAGACATTCTTAGTTAATGATTTTTTTTTTATAGCAGGTGCATGACATTGAATAGCTTTACAAATTCTAAAAGGACCTCTATGAAAACGCTCTTTGACATACATAAGTATATAGCAAGTTCCTAAAAAAAGGGATCCACTTCCTTAACCTGAAATTGTGAGGTTCCGCCGTTGGTTTTCTCCAATGCGAGATCATAGTTAGATTCATTTGTAGTTGGATTATCAGAGTTTGAATTATTGAAAAAAATATCCTCAAATTTGAACTGTTCGGGCTTTTGTTTTTGCTGGTTTTGATTTTTCTTTACCTTTTTAACCAGCTCTTGATAAGTATTTGAAAGCTGTTTAACAGTTCTTTTATTAAACTTTAAAGTATTGTGATTAATATGCTTCAATAGTACCTGTAAAGAGCTAGCAATTTCTATGTCCGTCTTTAATGAATTTCCTTCTTGGATTGTGTCCAAAGGACTTGAAGAGTCTGATGTTTGCACGCTTTTTAAGCCATTTGAAGATGTATGAGATTCCGGACTGGTCCCGTAAAAATCCAAAATCTGTTGAACATTGTTATCCAATTGGTTAGTACTATCATCATGTTCAACAGAATTTGTACGATCTGTTTTACCAGTAGTTAAATCATCAAATGTTTGTTCAATTATAGCACTATTGTCATGTATATCAATAGGCTTCGTAGTAGTATGTGAAACATCAATCGATTGAGGAAACAAATCGTTCAGATATTCTTCATTACCTAGCGGCAAATCAACATTAACATTGTTAAAGTCTATATTATCATCATTCGCGTCCATAAATATGTTAGATTTATCAATCAGAGTACTCACATCAAAGATGTTTGTCTGAGTGAATGCATCATTATTAGAGGAGGTAGAATTCTGGTTGGCATGGTAACCACTGGTGATAAGGTTCAGGAAATCACTATTGTAGTTACTCTTTGGATCACCGATGTTCAACGAGTTCTTCCTACTCTCCAAGTGAGTGTATCCATTTTGCCCCTCAATGAACTGTTTTGTGTTTTCTGATTCAGGTAGCTGTGCATTGAATTCATTAGTAGATGGCTGAGCATCGTTGTCGACGCCATCAGGTTCATAGTTTTCAATTATGGCACTTTCTACCAATTCTTCCGTACTCAGAAAGTTGGTATTCTTATTTTCTATATTTAAGTCCAGAAGCATCTCATAATCCCATTTCTTCTCACAGTGATATTCGTTACAGAGTTTCTCTAGTTTCGCTTCAAGAGCTTCATTTTTTTTGAATGCCATACTTACAGTTTCATTTAGTTTTATCATATCATTTGGCAGGAGTCCTGAACTTTTCCAGTTAGCTTTTATGGTATCAACTGGAATATCTGACCACGCTCGACTGATGAACTTAAATGCGTTGGACATTGTAAGTTGACTTTGTTCGAATGATATCAATATTTCTTTTGATTTTAGTTTGCTTTCCAACCGTCGTTGTAGCTCTATCAGAGCTTGATATTGCTGAATTCTATATCTTGTTTTAAACTCGTCTAATACACCCCAATTAAAAGGTAAAAATCTTGAATTAGCCGACGTATATACCAGATTAATGTTCTTGAGGTGCACATTTACAATTCTGTGAGAGCACGAATCGTCGAGCACAATCCAAATTTTCCTGTTGTAAGCGCCTAATCTTTTATCCCATTGTGCCAGCCAGTTATGGAATAAGTTACTAGTCAGCCATGATTTCCTATTACTGTGATACGTAACATTAAACTTCTCTGCCATTTTCTGGCCCAGCATCGACTGTGATACTGGATCTATAGGTTCTGATGGAAAATAATTTCTAAAACTCTTATAACTATTGTATCTTCCTACAACCATTGGCTTAATCTTTTCTGAACCATCTAGGTTCGAGCAAAGCATAACTGTGGCTACTTCTATTTTTCTCTGTATCCTACTCGCCTCATACTGAGCATAGTCCAAGGGCAAGTTGTAAGCGATAAATGTTTCATCTAGTGTGAAGAGATCCTTTGGCGGAACTTTAGCAAAAAGATCCTTTAATGCGCTTCTCTCTTCAAATGTCCATACTTTTGGCGTCTTCGGCAATTCTTCATCTAGAGCAGAAATGTTGACGTCCATCTTCGCAAGGAAATTTGTTATCCATTTGTAACTGAAGGAGCCATTACCTTCTCTAAACTCCGGTGGTATCCGCTGCCACACGGAGTGGGCCGTCTCTTGGATAATCGGTGATGTGATGGGGATACCGTTCCATAAACTCTGAGAAATCCATTCCTGAATAATACGGCGCACAAGCAGATTATTCGGCGTCCGCAGCCTCGTGGCATCTCTTTCGTGCTCTTTGCAATTCATATACGTCGACTTCCTCGACAGCAACCGCGATATAGTACCCTGCGAGGGCACTTTATCCAACTGGAAGGTATCATACGCCCACTTTGCTAGCTCCAACTGCGTCCACCTGGGGTGCCTTTCCGCCATCAGGCAGATATTGTACCGTTGCTCTATTGAAAGCATCTGATCGGTGCACTCTAGCTCGTTTTTCCAGCTTCCAAAAGGTAAAATGGTAGACCAAATACGCTGTATTCAATCCTACTATCAAGTTTAACACTAATCTGGCCAGATTCTAACCGTTTATACCCTTATCTACAACCAGAAATGGCGAAGTCATCGACTGCATTGCCTTTTTTTATTTTTGTCCTGAATTTTTTTCTCTTGACAGCTTTTCTTCGACTTTTGGCAAATTTCACCTTAAACGGACTATAAGATCAAATGGCACTTTACAAAGGACCTGATCTCTGGAGTTTTGATGGAACAGTGGCTCAATGGTAGGCACATCCCAGTAGATTAACAGTTGCTAGTTGTTGATGGAACATGGCGAGCTAGTCAGCGAGTACCGGTGCTATAGCGAGCGGGTTTCGCGCGGGTTGTACCATGCTGAGGTGTGCATGACGGTGCGGATGCTGCACAGTTGTTTGGATCAGAGCCATGCGCGTGTGTTGGGTGGTAAGTTGTACTGGAAGAACCGTGCTATTAGGCGGTTGAAGTTTGTTGGTACAGTGATTGGTGTCAAGTATATGTGGCTCAAGGGAGATGACTACGCCGTAATTCATCTGGATGATTCGTCAGATTCGTCGATCCTGAAGTGCAAATGTGAAGTTAATCAATTGAACTCGTTTGGGATTAACATTAATGCTGGTTTTATCGGTTCGAGAGTGGAAGTATGTGGTGTTTACAATACCGAATTCAATGAGCTGGAAGTAGGTTTTATCGGGGTGTTGCCGAGCACGTTGTTTTCAGAGATAGAGCATTGGAGGAAATGTTGTCTACTGTTGCGTATGCCTGACGACCTTACTGATGAAGAATTAAAAGCTAGTGGGATTGGTGACGACGAAATGCAAGACGGGCGGGATTCACCACTGGATGAATATTTCAGTACACCACCTCAAAACAAAGCGCAGTTCATTGAAAAGTTAGTGCTAAGAGATGTCAAGGATAAGCTAGAGATAACAAGCCCCGATCCTGTGCGAAACGAGTCTATTAGTGTTGTGGATGACACATGCGATAATACCACGCTTGGATCTAATACCATTGACCTACGTACTGCAATAGAACCTATTACTCAACCGGAAGTAAGTGGGAATGACAATTTCTACAAACCAGCCACGGGATCGACAAGCAAGAGGAAGCTGTACCGCAAGTTATTCATTGCTATTTATCTCATCCCTGAGGAAGAGTGCACAATTAATGATTTGGCTCGTGACATCGGTATCACTAGTGTTTTAAAAGGGTTCCTTGATGGCCAAGGACACATATCAAATGATGATATGCAAATTATCTTACAGGAGTACCTGTCACAACTTATCACTGGCGATGTGTTGGTCATCACTGCGAGAAACCGAGTGTCATTAAAGAAACTACATGCGTTGAAAGCATACACACAGAAGAGAATAAACCTCCTGCTGAAAATACAAGCACTTCTCGGTACAGTCAGGTATCAGGATGTCCTACAGTCCACATCTATGGCCATCCCTGCGGAGACAATCATAGACGCATTCAAAGAGTCATTGAGAACCATCGATGCGGGCGTCGCGTGGTTCATCGAGACGCACCAACACTCATTCACTATCCATTTCACATACAGCCAATCAACTCAAACATGCAATAATTAACTCCCAGGCCAACTAGCTACCAATACCTGTTTTCCAGGTTATCCATTTACTATAATCAGCAGTGTTCATCACTCTCAGCTGGATCAGTTCACAGAAGATACGAAGCGCAACGAAAAAAAAATTTAAAAAAAAAATGAAAAAATGCGATGAGCATCGAGAGGTATATTAGTGGCAGTTGGGTACTAATTGACTTCGGGAATTAGTGAAAGCAGGTTGAACCAGTTGAGCTATGTTTAAAGTAGAAGGGTGGGATATCAAGACCGACAAGGTTGCGTTTTCGGACAGCAAGAAGGAGAAGAAGGCGAAGAACAAGAAGGAGAAGCGCACCAAGAGTAAGAAGTTTGAAAACAGAGACGGTGCTGATATTACTGATGTTGCTGATGTTCAGGATGCAGAAGCTCGTGATGTTCAGGATGTGGAAGCCCGCAATGCTTATGTGGACAAAAGGAAAGTAGAGTATGACAAGAAAGAGGAGACTAATAGCAAGAAGAGGAAAGTGTCTAAGGACAAGGAGGAAGCTCCGCAGCCTACAATCGCTCAGTCCCAAGTGGCGAAGAAACTGACACCTTTGCAACAGAAAATGATGGCCAAGCTGACTGGTTCTCGTTTTAGATGGATTAATGAACAACTGTATACAATTAGCTCTAAGGATGCTTTGCAGCTGGTAAAGGATCAGCCGCAATTATTTGATGAGTACCATGATGGTTTCAGATCACAAGTGCAGTCATGGCCCGAGAACCCCGTTGATGTCTTTGTGGACCAAGTAAGACTACGTGCAAAGAAGCCGGTCAATGCGCCAGGTGGTCTACCAGGTTTGAAAGACCGTAAGATTGTAATCGCAGACATGGGTTGCGGTGAGGCGCAATTGGCTTTGGATGTCAACACTTTTTTCAAGAAATACAACAAGAAAGCCAAGAAGTCTCATCAGAGGAATTGGGAAGTGCATAGTTTTGATTTGAAGCAAGCCAATGAAAGGATAACAGTGGCCGACATCAGAAATGTTCCTCTGCCTGACAACTCCTGTACCATTGTCATATTCTGTCTTGCTTTGATGGGTACTAACTTCTTGGATTTCATTGAAGAGGCTTACAGAATACTGGCTCCAAGGGGTGAACTGTGGATTGCTGAGATCAAATCTAGATTTGCTGATGGAAAGGGTGATGAATTTGTCAACACATTGAAGCTAATGGGTTTCTTCCATAAGAAGACCGACGATGAGAATAAGATGTTCACTAGATTTGAATTCTTCAAGCCGCCAGCTGAAATTATTGAAGAAAGAAAGGCTAAGCTAGAAAGAAGACAGAAGTTCATTGAGGTAGAGACAGAAAAGGAAGAGTTGGAAAAGAAAAGATCCAAGATTGCGGAAGGCGAATGGCTGCTGAAACCTTGTATTTACAAGAGAAGATAAGTCAACATATGAAGAGGAAACATATCCAAAGAATATTTGCATTTAATGCTTCAATAAGCAACTCGTGTTAAACAGTACACTGTATATTACTTAGCGGAATCTTAATTATATTCTAGTTTTTATAGAAAAGGGGGAATACCTATATGTTATGCAAAAACATGGATGTTTAGAGTACAAGTTTCTTGCAGCAATAAACAAGGAACACTTTAATATTTAGTGAAGCTTAGTTAGCAGCAGATTGGAAGAATGATTGAAATCTCGCCAATCTTGTGATATTATCCAGGCCTGGAATAGATGGCAGTTGAAAGAATGGCTCGGTTGACTGACTGTTGTTAGGGTTCCAGCGATCACAGCAGCGGAACCCATATGTGTTCCATCCGGTCATACAAGTGGCCACAGCAATCAATATGAACGTGATCAGTTTTAATCTTAGTATAGCCAGTATGCCTAGCACAAACCAGATTGCAGGAGTCAGGTACATAGACCACCAGAACAGCTTCGAGTCAATTGGATTTATGGGTGGCCCAGCAGTATACTGTTTGTGGGATTCGAATGTGAATGTTTCTGTGCTCGTTGCTGAGGAATCGTACCACCAACGCAGCTGTACCAATCGCCTACCACTGATATTCTTAGTGAAATAGAAGTCTGCTGCCAGCAGCAACACTATTGTGATAAATAATGCTGTGAAACTGGGGAACAGAAACCCAGCAATATAGAAAGCCAGGGGAGCAGCTTTGCCTGCTAGGTGAAAGGCCATCAGCAAAGGATGGGACGACCTCAGTATAGTGTCATAGAAATTCCTTACGTGGTCCATTCTTTAGTCCTGTGCCTGTATAGTATTTCCCTCTGAAAAGCTCTGGTAGCTATAGATAGCAATATAGTCCGCTGAGTACACTATTACCACCTTCACAATGTAGTTGTATTCCCTTTAACTGAACTTTCAGGTCACCTCAGGTTTGTTCTGTGATACGCATGGCCCTTATGCCTACCTCCACCGTCACCTATGCTCACATAGCAAGTACCTCTCTAACCTTTCCAATAAATAAGAGATATATTTACAACTTAACCCAATAACGTAGCATACATAGACTAATATTATACTAGTTCATTGAATTTGACAGTGAAAACAGTTCCAGAGACACGACTAGCACTCGAGAGAGACTTTGTAGGTGTTGAAAAAATAGTATCTTGATGCATTAATTCTATCAACACAACTACAAAAATATTTCCCACATGAAAATTATACTTCTCAGTACACCAGACTATACAAGCATAGGTCTAAAACCACCTCAAAGCACAGTTCCCAGCTGCTTGCAGAATAGCCTATTATTCCAGGTCACACGACTTCATCTTGTACGAGTGAAAATTTTTCTTCAAAATCGCTTTTCGCCTCCTTGTTGTTCTGTGCGAAGCCCGATTCCATCTTTTGGCGATGAGCAGGACTAGCTAATAGCCAGAGTAATAGAACAGTATATGTTAGAGTATATATTAGAAAGCACTACTTGTTTTGTTGAACAGGGTTAGGAATTGTGACAAAGGTCGATCAACCGATAATATAAAGGATAGAAGATGGCTGCCGCTGAGATCAAGCTGGAAGACATTCCTGTTGATGACATTGACTTCACTGATTTGGAGAAGGAGTACTCTGTTGATGATGAGTTCAAGTTTGACAATTACGTTGTAGTTACTGGTGCGCCAGTTATTCCAGAGTCCAAGGTCCCTGTTTTGAAGAAGGCTTTGGGTGGTCTTTTCTCGAAGGCCGGTAAGGTTGTCGACATGGAGTTCCCATTGGATGACGACAAGAAGAGCAAAGGTTTCCTGTTTGTGGAGTGTGGTTCAGATGTTGATGCCAAGAAGATCATCAAGGCTTTCCATGGTAAGCGTTTGGATTTGAAGCACCGTCTGTTCCTTTACAGCATGCGCGATGTTGAGAAGTTGAGCGAGCAAGGTGCTGGTGAGTTTGTCGAACCAGAGTTGCCTGGTTTTGTACCAACTTCTACATTGAAGTCCTGGTTGGCTGACGAGGACGGAAGAGACCAATTCGTCATCCAGAAGGATAACTTGACCGGTATCTTCTGGAACTCTATGCATGAAAGCGAGGACGATGTTGTTGAATCTCGTACCAACTGGTCCACCAACTACGTTAGGTTCTCTCCAAGAGGTACTTACTTATTCTCATACCATCCTCAAGGTGTTACCTCATGGGGTGGTCCTCAGTTTGACCGTTTGAGAAGATTCTATCATCCAAACGTCAGAACTTCCTCTGTTTCCCCAGATGAACATTATCTAGTTACTTTCTCCCCAGAGCCAATTGAACTGGACGACTCTGTCCCAGAATCTCCTTTCACAAAGCGTAACGAAGGTCACCATATCTGTGTGTGGGAAATCGACACCGGTCTATTGTGTGCTTCTTTCCCATTGACCAAGAACCCTAACTTGCAATGGCCATTCGTTAAGTTCTCTTACAACGACAAATACTGTGCTAGATTTGTTGGTGACAGATTGGCAGTTTACGACTGTACTAACAAGTTCTCCTTGCTAGAAGCCCCAGCACTAAAGGTCTCTGGTATCAGAGACTTCTCCTTCGCACCAACTGGTGTTGAGTTGCAACCTTTCAACAAGAACGACGAACCATCTGTTCTGTTATCTTACTGGACTCCTGAAACAAACAACAGTGCTTGTACAGCCTCTGTTGTTCAAGTTCCTAGAGGCCGTGTCCTAAAGACAGTCAACCTTGTGCAAGTTTCTAACGTTACCACTTACTGGCCGGAAGGTGGTGAATACCTTGTTTTCAACGTTGAGCGTCACACTAAATCCAAGAAGACTTTATTCAGTAACTTGCAAATCTGTAAATTGACTGAAAAGGACATACCTGTCGAGAAGATCGAGGTCAAGGACAGGATCATGGAAGTTGGCTGGGAACCTCATGGACACAGATTCATCACTATCTCTACCACAGAAGGTCCAGACGATAACATTGCCATTCCAAAGAACGTCGTTAGGTTCTACGCACCAGAGAAGAAAGAAGGTGTTAAGAACAAGATCGTCGTTAAGAGATGGGTTGTCATCAAGGAAATCGAAAAGAAGTTCTACAACACCGTTTCCTGGTCGCCAGCTGGTAGATTTGTTACAGTCTGTGCCTTGGTTAAGCCAAACATGCGTAAGTCTGAATTCCAGTTCTTCGACTTGGATTACCCAGGTGAGAAGAACTTGAACGAACGTAAGGATGTTCTTGCCACTCTGAAGGACGTTGGTGAATCCAACTACGGTGCTGCCACTGATCTATGTTGGGACCCATCTGGTAGATTCTTGACCGCTTGGTCCAGTTCCCTAAAACACAAGATGGAGAACGGTTACAAGATGTTCAATATCGCCGGTGTTATCATCAAGGAAGACATTCTTCCAAACATGAAGAATTTTGCTTGGAGACCAAGACCAGAAAGCTTGTTGTCCAACGCCGAAAAGAAGAAGGTCAGAAAGACATTGAAGGAGTGGTCCGCCGAATTCGACGAGCAAGACGCTATGGCCAACGACAGTGCCGTCAGAGACTTGATCTTGAAGCAACGTGCTATGTTGAAGGAATGGCGTGAATACAGAGCCGCTAAGGCCCAAACAACCACCATCTTTGACATTGCTCCTTGGTTAGACACCACTAAGGACCATGAAGACTTCGTCAAGATTGAAGAAATTAAGGAAGAAATCGTAGAAGAAATCAAGGAAAAGTTGTAAATTCATAGAAACCTGTCCCATATATAACATATACATAAATAGTAAAGACTCATACCTCAAAGTACCTCATATATTGCTGTTGCATACTTAGTTGGATTATATGTGCATAACTCCCGACTCGAGTGTCCCTTAATACGTGTGCCATTAGAAGTCAAAAAGAAAGAAACAAAGAAAATTCTGAAGGAAGTCAAAGGGAAAAGGGAATTTTAAGAGTTTCTCGAGTCTTTTGAAGGTCAGGACAGCACCATCAAGCGATTATAGTCCTGTACTTTAGATCTTGCATCACTACAGCGGACAATAACCATACTAAGAGAGAGATTATAGCGACAGGAAGTCATAAGACGAAGCTTTGTTCAGGGATTTGTGGGGTCGCAGTCCAATAGTTTGAGAGTTATTTGTTTGAGAGACCAATAAGGAAGAAACTAATTCGTAAGAATAAGCAGTCAAGAAGATAGAAGGTGTATTTGATATTCTGGCTATAATAAAATATACAACGACCATTTCCTTTTTTTTTTTGAGCATTTGCTAAAACTGATCATAGATCTACTGAGAATAGAATTTATCGTTGAGATCGAGTTACGAGAATTTTTATCCCTATTACGACTTTTGCAGCTTCTTAGATATTTGATAGAATTGTGATTGTTTAACAAATCACAGCTGTTTTCTTTTTTATTCTTATTCTATTTTGTTTTTGGTTGATATATCACAAATTAGAGAAATTATTGCACTCAGTTCTATTCGCATTTCATTACTACTGAACCGGGGTTATACTTTTCAAAACACAAAAAAGTTTTTTACTGAATTCATTAAAAACGTGCTATCAACTAACTGACTGAAATAAGGATATTGTTCTGTTATTTTGACTTAAATTATGACGACACTTTTCATTATTGGAACAGAACCACAAAATATTGCTGAAAATTCGGCACAGGTCGATGTCTTTGACCGAATCATTACCCTAAAAGATGTTGATTCGTTAATCGACAAAATATACACTGATAGGCTGGCACCTAGGTTAAAGGCATTTGCCTATGAAACATCACTCTCTGTAGTTTGTTTTAATGGCAATAACATTAGTGGGATTTCTCCAGATAACTTGGATCGAATACTGAAAAGGTTTTTGCCTGCACTGAATATAACTGTGGTACAGTCTATTGAGTTTTTGAATGATAAAGATTTTATGGACTCCATTAGAAACAATAAAGTTATAGGAAATGACACTATTTTACGGATAAATCATTGGGTGTATCACCAACATGACAAGCCAACAGGGGATAGTAATGACACATGTTATACAAATTTATACTCATTGATGAGTCATTTAACAACTTCAAATAGTTTCGCAAAAAATGAACCGATTCCTAGAATTATCAGGAATATAAATTTCAGGGAGTATTTCAATGATATATATGGACAATATGATTCCGACACGGTAATGGAGAAGCATTTCATTGATACCTTAAGCACATGGAACTTCTGTGCCATAAAATTTACAACAAAAGAACTAATATTATGTGCTTTTTTTCTCCTAAGAAGTCTTTCTAAAAGAGCCAACGTCTTGATATCAGATAATAAGCTGCTATTATTGCTGATAACAATCGAAGCATCATACCATCAAATAAATAAGTTCCATAACTTTAGACACGCTGTTGATGTCATGCAGGCCACATGGCAGATCTGCTCAAACTTAGGTGGAAACGGTTCTATTGATCTATCTCCTCTAACTGTTCTATTACTATCAATGTCTGCAATTGGGCATGATATAGGGCATCCTGGGACTAACAATCAATTGTTGTGTCAACATGAATCATTCCTTGCAACAAATTTTGACAATAAATCGGTTCTAGAGAACTTCCATAATACACTATTTCAAAATCTACTGGTCGATCATTGGCCACAAATACTTAAAGCGGCAAGATATAAAACCGTTCAAAGTGGAGAAATTAATGTGACAGATATTCCATTTGTTAATTTAAAGAAATCCAACAACATTAACGAGAATGATGATAATGATAAAAAAATGACTATCAATGTAATCACCAATGCAATCCTAGCTACTGATATGGCAATGCATGCTAAATATGTTGATAAGCTTGACGAATTGCTGAAAGTACCGCAGCATTTATTACCATTACCGACACTCATAGCAGTTATTATTAAAGCAGCTGATATATCCAATGTGACAAGACCTCTCAGTATATCAGCAAGGTGGGCATTTCTCATTACGCTTGAATTTAATGACTGTAGTCTTTTAGATAAATATGCCTCAGATGTGAAGGAAGATGGCACATCTTCAAAAACAGCATGTTATAACTCAAATGGCAAGCAGAGGGTGACAGATCCAGAATACTACAAAAGGAACTCACCTGAGTATATTGTTGATCTTGTACTAAATCGCGAAGAAGAAGACGATGAGAAATACTTGAAAAGGTTATTACAAAGCTATCCTAATATACCGCAGGGACAAATTTTCTTTATCAACACATTTGCTGGCAAGTTTTTTGGAAGGTTAGGAGAATTGTTCCCAGAGCTGCAATTTCTTTCTAATAACGTCAATTCCAATAAATCGTACTGGGAATCAATGGTTGCTAAGAACTAGACTACACAAATAATTATTTATTTTAGGCATATAGATGACGGCTTCTTTTATATTGACAAACTAATAACTTACAAACGAAACTATATATAGATGACCGCAACGATGGGCATATATTCTAATAACTAAATTTATTGATCTATGAAATGAAGTCTTTTCAATATTGAAACAATTGTAACAAAAATCTTAAATGAGATTGAAGTAGCTGCGACAAAATTGTCAGTGATGCTGTATTCGATGTCGTTATTTAATGTTTAAATATGCTGAATTATCTATTAGATCACGGTTCTTGTAATCTCTAACAATGGTGAATGCCTTTAGTAACTTCCTGCGCGCACCTAAAGCTAAAACACCACGTTTTAATAAGTCTTCGTCTTCCAAGTAAATCAACTTCTCCCAGCTTAAATCATTCAGGATGTCTGAGTATTTATGTAGTCTTAACGTTTTTAGCCAAATAGGAATGTTATTCAACAATTTTGGATCAGTTAAGCTCTTTGGGTTCATTGAACTGTTACTTGAGGCACCAGAACTTGAATTGCCATTGTTAGAGGATGTGGTTGTCGAACCATTTTGGTTATTCAGAGTCAAGTTCTGGAATGAGCTTGTAACAGGTACATCCGCAGAATTAGTGATGTCGTTCATTCTCTTGGTGTTGTTACTTCCAATGTTATTGTTGTTGGCGGTGCTGTTGTTGTTACTGTTGTTGCTGTTATTCAAGTTTCTATTTGTGTTTGTGTTGGATGAGTTACCGTTGGAATTCTGTGGTTTGAACTGCGAGATACTCAAGTTGGATGGTTGGTAGTGAGTCTGGTGAGATAGTGGAGGTTCTGCAGATTTTGGTCTCTGGCGATAATCATTTAAGTAATCGTAGGCAGGATTTTGTATGTTTGAAGCCTGGGATGACCAGTTCATGCTACTTCCTTTGCTATTGAAAGCTTGGTGGAAGTGATTGCTACCGCTAGTTGACTGAGATTGCAAGTACTTCATGGAGTTATTGGCAAATACAGAATCGAGGGTGCTTGGGATGGGTGAAGCGATGTTGTTCTGGTTGCTGTTTTGGTTACCGCTTTCCTTTGGCTGGCCCAGGTTTTGCATGGCCTCAGCACTAGTTGGAGAGGACGAGGTTGTGCCAAACATGGTGTCTAGCTTCATCTTGGTGTAGTTGAGAGTGCTTTCGTTTAGCACCGAGATAATGTTATCCATGACAACACTCTGTTGGTTTGCGGTCAGCATCGACATCCAGGTGCACAGTTGGTTGACATCAGTGTTGAAGTTCAAAGAATTATTAGCATTTTGATTGTTGTTGTTGTTGTTGTTGCTGCTGTTATTAGGTTGCATTGTGTTATCATGGCTTAAAAATGAGTCCAGAAATATATTATTATGAGAGTTGGAAACAGAACCTGCTGTGACCAAACCGTTATTAACATTGTTTAGTGTAGAATTGCTGTTTGTTTTTTTGTTCTCCTGCTGGAATGAAAGAGTGTAAGACTGGCTTGTGGAATTAGAGGACAATGGGATAGTAGTCATCGGACGGTTGCTGTTGGCGTTCATGGCAGACTTGTTCAAGTTAGTGGACGAATCCAGTCCAAAGTCGTTAAAGAAAATAGAGGACGCCGCAGAAGATGGCACGGTAGGCGACATCGCATTTCCAACAGTTGTATCGATGATGTTCAATGAGGAGGACTGTGGCGACAACAGAACAGCACCAGGGTGGGCGGTACGCAACGGGTTGTTGTAAATCGGACTAGAGCTGTGGCCCGTGCCCCTGCTCTGTATCGGGTTGCTATTCCTGTTCCCCTGCCCAACATTCGCACTACTATTACACAACGGATTACCGTTCATACTGGAATCAGGCACCGGGTGATGCATCTCATCAAATTTATTAGCCAGCATATCTCTTTTACTTATAGTACAATTATTTCCAGTGTAGATTTTTTGCCTCCTTTCTCGAGTTCCTCTTATTGTGTTTTTTGTAACCAGCAAAATACAATAATCGACACGTCTTTTTCTTTCTGTTAAAGTCCAGTTTCTTCTAAACAAATCCAGTTGTCTTGTTAAGATGGTGTCTTGTTAAGGGTCTTGTCTGTAATCCAAGCTTATGGTTGTCGTATTTTTTTGGTTCAAAGTTTTGACAACTTTTTCTTGGTATAATTTATATTATTTGCTTACAGGAAAATTTTTCCGCTTTTTTCTGGCCTCAGTCTTTCAAAAGAATTTACCTAAAGTATGGGACCTATTCCAGTTTATTTGTTCCATCCTCCATCCATAAAAAGAAATATACTTATTCCAATAACATCCATTTTGCCATTTGCCATTTGCCATTTCCCACTTTGAATTGAAAAATTTTTCATCGCCCTCCTGCGGGATTTCTTAGCATTTCTTCCTGAAAAAAATTTTTTTTTTTTTTTCAGAATTTCTTTTTGCGATGCGATGAGCTTTGCGATGAGCTTGTCGATTGCGATGAGATGAGCTCATTCGAATGTATATGTGCGATTTGTCCTTAGGACTCACTTGTAAACCCGTACAGGACATCCTTGCTTCTCTTGTGCTCGTGCTTCTCGTGCTTCTCTTGCTTCTCTTGCTTCTCTTGTCCTTGCATGTATGTACTTATTCAGGATTACATACTACATATTACGAAGAGTTGTTTTGCGCTCCTATGGTGGAACGAGGTACTATATCGATGAGGAAGTCGAACATATCGCTCATCTGCAGGGCCTCAGCTATATCGGCTTTTTGCAATGTGCGCCGCTTGTGCTTCTCGGCAACGCACCACGCCCGCATCGTGAGCTCAGTGATAAACACTTCGCACGCCTTCGCGAATATTATAGGTGCCTCTGCGCTAATCATCTTCACTTCCTCGTCGGTCTTCATGACTCTCCGTATTCTGGCAAACGGTAGCGAGTGCGACTTGAAGTCGTCCTGGTACTCAGACCCGGGCTCGTTCGTAGACTCTATCTCGTTGATCAGCTGCTGCCAGTACTCAATCATGATCTCCTTGTAGTGGCCCTCCAGCCCTAGCCCAACATTGCGAAACACATCCTCGTCCTCTTCAAACTCAAGCCCGTCCTCATGCGCACCGTTGTCAAACTGAACATCCAACTCCTCCCCCTTCATACCTGCGCCGCGCCCCTGCTCCTGCTCCCGCGACTGCTCCAGCGCCTGCTCTTGCTCTTGCCCTGGCTCTTGCCCTGGTTCTTGCCCTGGCTCCTGTCCATACGTCTTTTCCATCTTCTCCATTACCCACTTCTAATATATAAACCTGTGCAGTACCGTGCAGTACTCTGCCTTTGTAACTATTCCACTAGGCCACCCCCTTCTTGCTACGCTCTCTTTAACTCCCTGGTTTCGCTTTCAAGCTTTCGAAAGTTTAAAAAGCCCGTCAGTGCGACCGTCCCTGACACTATTGCGAAGTGCGCAGGATAGCAAATAGCAAAGGATAGCCATCGTGCCCAGAGTGCCCAGCAACATACCAGCGCATCAGTGGTTTATCAGTGTTCTACCAGTGGTTTGTCAGTGTCCCAGTGTGATAGTTTCTAAGCAGAATAGCAGCTGGCTGTGAGCGGACAGGTGCACAGAACTATAAATTCGACAGGAAAGATTCAGTCCCTAATTCTTTGCAGGAGAGGCCTTACTAAGGGTACAGTAGCATCGACAGTAGCATGTTGTGGGAGTCCATCGGTGGTCAGATATAAGCATCTCGGAAGGAAATCGGAGCTCAGGGAAAGCGGCACTACAAAGACAAAGACGAGAATGGAGGGTATGGACAACGGCAACAGCGGCAACGGCAGCAACGGCAGCAAGCGGCAGATGCTATACGACTTCGTTCGCAAGACTAAAGAGGTCTACATTCCAAATATAAGGCAGATGACCTCCAAGCCTTACATGCCGGATGGTATGGCGAGAGATGGGCCCTCAGACATCTCAAATTCCCAGTATCCCGAAAACATGTTTATCCAGTACTACCCTTCATACTATACCAGAAACGACATCAACGATGGGAGGAAAGCGCTATACGACGTGGTCATAAGGCTGAATATTTTAGAACCCGGAGATATAACGAGGCGGAGAAATAGGGTGCTACTATCTCTATGTAAGCAGTATCTCAAACCGGGAAACTCAGACCCCGATGCAATACAATCCGAAACCGATTTGAGTCAGGCAAAAGGTTTCAATGAGGAGGAATTAGAGACGTTGACAAACAGAATACAAGGGTTTCTTTGCGCAAGAGTGCCCGGCGCACCTTTGCTAATTACTTTGCATGGCGACACTCCAAATGATATACATAAAATAGAAATACAGGCCGATAATATAGGCTATGTTGAAACGAGTGTAATGACCGAATTTGAGCCCCGGAGAATTAATATCACAGTTCAAACACCAGACTATTTTCCCGCTATAGTAACAAAGGACGTGTCTAACTTAACCTACATAAAACAGGATGGTTGGGGCCTTATCAGTGATATAGATGACACAATAAAGCATACTGGTATAACGGGTAATAAGAAATCAATGTTCAGAAATGTATTTGTTCATGAATTTGAACGTTGGAAGATAGACGGTATGCCATCCTGGTACTACACCTTGAGAGACGTTTACAATTTTGATTTCTTTTATGTTTCGAATTCCCCGTTACAGTTATATCCCGTTTTGGTGAATTTTATAGAATCAAATTACCCAAGAGGACCGATATTCTTAAAGCAATACACTGGTAATTTTATGAAGAGTTTGATGACATCCAGTGCCAATAGAAAAAGCGGGAAGATCAGGTCCATCTTGGAAGATTTCCCAAATAAGAAATTTATTCTTGTTGGGGACTCCGGTGAGCAGGATTTGGAGGCATACACTAAATTAGCATGTGAGTTCCCAGACCAGATTCGTGCAATATTTATTAGATGCTGTAGTAACTCTTTGAGCGATTTCTCAGTTGAGGATAAAAACATAATGAAGACACTGAATGAACTGATACAGAGACTTTACTTCAATAAATCAGTTGGCTCATCTACAACCAGTCTGCCAATCTCAAGGAAATCCTTTAGAGACGACTTGGTTGATAATATAAGAAAAATACCACCTTTACCTTTACGAAGAAGAACAACAGCAGAGGTTGCTAGACCAGTTGATTCGTTTGCAAGAGATACACCCGTTTCAAGAAGATCGACAACCGATCGGTTAAGGCGTCCTCCTCCTCCTATTCCTAACAAACGGATACAATTATCTAGAGAGCAAGAAGAATCTATTATGGCAACAAGGCATCTCAACTCTGACGACCATAGATCTAATGCTGATGAGAGCCCTAAAAGACCGCCAGCATTACCACCAAGGAGAACTGATTCAACACTTTACGACACCATACAAGATAAAAGCTCTTTGTCTCCGTCTGCATCCTCCATTTCCTCTTCAGCGCAATCCTCGGTATCCGAAGGGTTCTTTATTCCATCATCTCAGAACGATATGGAAGGCACTGGGACAATCGTGGATAAAAGGGCTGATAATTGGCAAGGACGAGTTATTAATGCTATTGATGAGTTGAAAAGCGCTAATGTTAATGTGCACTTTGCATTTTTCATGGAACCGGAACTGTGTCTCGAGGATTCTCTTTCAATCATCGAATCCACTAAGGAGAGAACACCATCTGAGAAATAACCACTGTTTATATTTAATAGATGTAAGGTTCTTATAAAAATTAATGAAATATTATTTATTTTAATTTGCATAATTATAATGATATAACCAAACTTTTTATTGTCAAATTCCGATATTATTTTATAGTCAAATGGTCCAATTGGGCCAAGGTGACTTGAATATTAAACTAAAAGAAAACAAAAGGTTAGATGAAGCTTACAACAGATATCATAATTGCAACGCACGATCAATAACGGGAATGATTACCTACATTTCATTATGGAGGATCTAACTGATGAACAAGTTATTGAGGAAACCCTTAGTGCATATAAGCAATACAGAGACTATGCATTGAAGGAATACTATACGCCCAGACTGGTAAAGTGGGAGGCCTTGCCCGAAATACAGAGAAAACTGGTACCGAGTTATTCATCATATTTAAGCAATCTGAAGAGATGCATATCTTTGAATGCTGATTTTATTGAAGGTGCAGTGGAGTTCTTCGAGCATGCAAGTGGTATACAAGGCAGTGTTTCACGGCCGGTCAGTCGATCAAATATGGAAAAGGTAGTATCCATGCTGGCACAACTTTATAGAGAATGGTCTGCAGAAGCTTCAAGTGAGCGAGACATACTGTTGAGTAGATTGATGCCCTTTTTATCGGAACTACAAGGGAATTCGAGCTCGGAGGAACCTCTGGAAATCTTAGTCCCTGGGCTGGGCACAGCCAGACTGATTGCAGATCTGGTAATGCATGGTTATAGAAGTGAAGGTAACGAGTATTCATACTATATGATAATTATGTCTATGTTCATGTTAAATGGTGGTCTGTCCAGCAAGGGCATTGAGATATACCCCTTTGTGCATACAAATTCGCATTGGAAGGAAAGGAACCTCATGTTTAAGCCTATACGTATCCCTGACTTCGATATACAATCAGAATTAGCCGGCAACAACCTGATGCAAATCTCTATGGGGTCGTTTGTAGATTGTTATGGCCCCAATGAAGGCATATTGGGTTCTTCCCATTACAACATCAATCAAGAGATGAACTTGAAACGGCTCAACTCCAAATCAACGAAGGACGTAGTGGTGACCAATTTCTTCCTAGACACGTCAGGCAATGTCATTGACTATTTACTTGCTATAGAGCATGTACTAAGGCCCGGTGGTACATGGATCAATTTTGGCCCGTTGGTATACCATCATGAGAATGACAACGATTCGGACATAAATTATGAAGTCGATCCCTACTCGGGGGAACGGACAGACCACAGCCCAATACCGATGAAAGGAATTGAACTCACAGTCGATGAGATAGTTGCAGTAGCCTTAAAACTGGGGTTCACCATGCTCAAAAGAGAGGACGGAATATTGAGTGGGTATGGCCAACTTCCTTTTCCAGAGAGTGGTCTCAATGGCTTGCCGGGTTATAGATGCAGCTACTGGGTGATGAAAAAGAGAACGGAACTAATGGAAGGTGCATTATAATATTGTATAAAGTGTAATAAAAATGTTATTAGGACCATCGGAATACATTATGTAGTTTAATAGAGACAAGTATTGCATTCGAACTGAGCATGTATCACTTGGTACTATATGCCTATTTCTTCTATTTTTTCTGCCAGATGAGCCGTTCTAACCCTGTCGGCCCTTCAAAGTTTAAAGCTGAAGAAGTGAAAAAAAAATTGGCATAATGATCTCTTCACTTCCAGAGAAGTTAGCACATGTCTGTTATCAGCATAAATATAAACTTCAGTTAGTCAACAGCGGTTAAGAACGAGGTCAGTTAGCAAGGTACCTAAACGCTATTCGGGGAGGTCATTCTGCTAGTGTAAGCATTGAGATATTAGAGCGATGCCTTCAGGTTCCAAGAGCAAGAAGAAGAAGAGTAAAAGCAAGGGCGGTGTTAAAAAGCATGCTGTGGAGAAAGTGGCGCCTCCTATTGAGGCGGAGATCATGGATGAGAGAGATGAGTCAGATTATCCTACATCTAGAGTAATAAAAAGAGGGCCCAACGGAGATGTGATTGTGGAGTCTCTACCGGATAAGTCGACATCGGGTAAGAAGTCGAAGAAGAAGGGCAAGCTTAGTGACTTAGAAGTCTCCGAGAGTGCGAAGCAGATGGGTATCACTTTAGACTCGCATTGGGAATCTCTGTCTCCTGATGAGAAGAAGAATATTCTGCGTATTGAAAAGGAAGAAGTATTGGAGATAATACGAAATTACCAGAATGATCATAACTGTAGTTGCTCAGTGTGTGGGCGTCGTCACATGGCTATGAACCAAGAAATGGAACGAATGTACAATTTATTGTATGAATTAGAGGAACAGCGAGATCCCGATATGAATCCTGTGAAGTTTCACTTGGGAATTATAAAAGAACTACAAATATCAAAGAATAAGCAGATTCTGGATCAAACCGAAGGGCCAAATGATAATACAACACATGAGGAAGTAGTGAAAAACTTTCTGAGTTCTGATATTGCAGATAAACTTAAAGAAGAAGTGCATCAATTCAAGCAAAAGCAGCTTTCGAAGCAAGAATGCAATAGGCCGTCCAGTCTCGCTAACGACAATATAGAAGAAGAGATACCGTGCGCGCAGATTCCGCAAGCTAATGAAGAAGCTATGACAAAAGATATACAGAAAACATTGGAACAGCTATCTGTAGTAGAACCTGTAAGCAAGATAAATGTAATACAAGAGGATGATTTGGGCGAGATAAAGGAAGAAAATAAAGAATATTTGAAATTTACTGAATCTTTCATTTCTTCCCAACCAAAGATTGCACAAAAGTTTATTCAAAAGCTCGATGAGAATCCATGTATGAAAGCAATCACTGATGAAGTGATGCAAAATAGCAGTTATGAATTCTTAGATGCCCTAAAGAACTTATGGGCACCAAATCTGTTGAAGATTGTAGAGTCAGAAGATGATGATAATCTTGTAAATTTAAATGAAACTTTAGACCCTATAGAATTTACAACTATGTTACATCATGGTAACCCACTTTCTCAGCAAGACTACTATGATTTACAAGGCGCAATATCTAGAAAAGTCGTAAATGCCTTCAATTTTGAGAATCGCAAACTGGAACACCTTTCTCCTTTGGAAGTAGAGCTATTTGGTCGTTTCATGTCTAGTGATCAGGACAACATATTTCACAATATGCTCTTAGAAGCATACAATGAGCGTTTCAAGGAAGAACCATTCAAAATGATGAGCAACATACCACAAATTATAAAAGCAGTTGCTACTCTTACGAACCTTGATGGGAGGATGATGGATGATGTTGATGAAAATCATTTTACATCGGAAGAAGAACGATATGATGATGACATCACAGATTATTCTGATTCAGAGTACGAAGATTATGACTCAGAATACGACGATATAGATAATGGAGATATTATCTCAGATGTTGATGAACCTTTCAGTACCTTGAAGTCAGATCAATTAAGAGTAAATTATGACACCAACTCTGGAAATATAAACCATAGCGACAATTATGAGAGCAACTCACGCCTGCGAGAAGTCACGGATGAGAATGAAGAAAATCTCCAGTATGATACCCCACAGGAGAAGTATAATTATTCTGATCATGGTAAAGATCATGGTACTATTGCTGATGAGGATGAAGATAGTATTGATGAAGGGTATGAGAGTAGCATAGATGATATGGAACGGTTAGAAGAAGGCAGAAGGTTAATTCAGATTGCCATTACAAAACTACTACAAGGAAGAATAATGGAGTCATATCATGAGAAGGAAGCTGATAGTAATAGACTAAAACTTCTAAAAGAACTTGAAGAAGAGCAAATGAAGAAGAAAGAAAAAGAAGTTAAGAAGATCAAGAAGAAAGAGAAAGAGAAAGAGAAAAGGAGACTACAACAACTGGCAAAGGAAGAAGAAAAACGCAAAAAGGAGGAGGAAGAAAGATCTGCAAGGGAAGAGCAAGAAAGAAGAGAGATGGAAAGACGTGAAGCTCAACGGAAGAAGGTGGAAGAAGCCAAGCGTAAGAAGGATGAAGAGAGGAGGAGGAAATTAGAGGAGCAAAGGAAGCGTGAAGAGCAGCAGGAAAAGCAGCGTAAAGCGAAAGAGGAACAGAAGAGAAAACGTGAAGAAGAAAAGAAGAAGAAAGAAGAGTTAGAAAGACAATTGCGGGAAGAAGAGCTAATGAAAAAGAAGGAAGAGGAAGAAAGATTGTTAAGAGAAAAGGAGAGAGCTGAAATATTGAAAAAAGAAACTGAACTCGCTATGAGCATGAAGGAAAATCATTCCTCGCAATCGCTATCAATACAAAATCAATTTTTCTCAAACCCTCAGAACAGTAATATAGGAATGCAGAACTATTTCAATAATGATCTAGATAACACAAATGCAGGTCTTGGTAATGGCGGTCCGACAAATCTTGGTGTCAGAAAAAACTCTCACGTGCTTGGTTTAACTCAAGTTTATTCTGACAAGGCAAATAATTCACCAGGTAAGAACGATGACAACAATGAGATCAATAATGAAATTCTTAATATTATCAATGCTGCAACTACTGCAAAATCAGGATCTCGCACATCAATGGACATGCAAGCTCTTTTACAACCACCATTTACTGATAATGTAAATGACCAGATACGTTCTAGTAATCTCATCAATGATCAAGCTAGTGGCATGAACTCTAATGGGCTAAGCACCAACTTTCATTCCCCATACGGTAGTAACGTATTTTCTGGTGAAAATCAATTGAGTAACAACCTGCAAAACGATATCTTGACTGGTTTGAATGCTGATACATCTTCTACAAACTTAGCAAGTTGGACTTCACTCCCCGCCCTCAATAACTTAAACGCAAACCAGCATATCCTGTCTAATAACCAGACACCATTGCATCAGCAAAAAGGAACATCTCCAATTTCCAATACGATGATGGATACGAAAAGAGACTACTTGGGTGATGAGTTGAGTAAGTTGACAACTATGTTAACAACCAATAGTCTGAATGAATCCCCTGCATTCAGTTCAAGTAACTTGCAAAGTTCCCTGTGGAATGATCAAAACTCTAGCGGAAAAACTCCTTTGGGAAGTAATACTACACAAATTCCTCTATCTCAACCAGCTTTTCTAGGAACGGAGCCTCCTGTGCACCGAAGCTCTATATGGGGAGATAGCAGTGCTAGCATGTTTAACTTTTCACAAAGGTTATCGGTTCCTACAAATTCAAATAGTGTGTCATCTCAAACTGTTCCTAATCAAAACATAGGTATGGGATCTTCGTTCACTAATCCCAGCATATGGTCAACAGGGTCTGATTTCAACGTGCCTTCCAGGGATATGAATTCAGGAGTTGCATTTACCAATTCCTTCTCCAATACCTCTCCAAGAAATCAGTTTGCCTTGAATTCTGGGAGCATGTTACAAAATCAATCTCAAAGACAAAATATTATGGACAATATAAGGTTACTATCTAATTCGCCCCAGAATAATGGTTATATTCCAATAGATTTATTGTATCAGTCGATCAATAAGCAATCAACATCAGATTTCCCGAGCTTCTTGAACAATGTCATTGATCTGGAGCGAAGTCATAATTACGATCTTGTAAAAGATCAAACAGGTGTCATTAATGGTGTGCGCGTTGGAAGTGAAAACAGGCCGGTATCGACAGCGTTCTCCAATTTCCATCAAAACATGGATCCTACGATGAAAGGTCCTGAACATTTATCGAACAGTATTCCTGGCACTGCCCGAAACTTCGAAGGAAACTCGTATCTAGCCAAAGAAGCTACCATGAATATTATCCCATCATCGTCATTAGATCGTTAATTCAGAATTGCATTTAGCTATCCCAATCTCCATCCCGTGCGATTATCATTTTAATCGGGTTTCCATTTATCCTATACTTCTAATAAATAATAGCACTAGTTTATGTAAAGATACATTATCCTGCTTATCAAGCACCAATTCACTCAAAATACTATTTATTATACTATTGTTGCTATTCTATTGATTCTCATTATATCGTAATGTATGAGTCCTAGCTTTGTAGTGAATAAAATTCATGTTTTGGATTAAACCTGAAGGATTATTGGTACTAACTTGGAACCTTTAAGAAGTCATATTCCTTTACTGAGTACTGTTAATCGATTAATTATAACTAGGAATATATTGTAGCTATAAAGGTGATAAAATCGAGCACATTGTTGTAGCTCTAGTGTGGATTTGGTGCTAATATTTAAAGAGATGTCCCAGAGTTCTACCAGCACAGAAGAATGGCTGCTTAAGGTGCGAAGAGATACTATATCTTCCATGATTCAGCATAGTGGGCTAAATGAATACATAATGTTAGCTAAGGGTGATGATTGTAGGAGAACTACTCAGATAGACCTCATTGAAAAGTATTGCAACAGCTTTCCAGCTGGTCACAGCTATGGTCAGAAGAAATAAAGGTAGAAATACAAAATTATTACAAATGATCATTATGTATGCAGACGGTTACTACTAAAATAGCATCATGAAGGCGTATATTTGCAACTGCATATATCTAATTTTATATTAGCGTGGGCATATCAAAAGTTGTTCAAATGGCAGAAGACAGGTTCTTAGTTGGATCTGCTGATATCATTACTTGAATTGTTCTGCCATCGACAGTGGCACCGTGAAAGAAGTCTCTCACTCTGATCAATTCTTCGGTAGAGGGTTCTTTCAAGTGAACTGTGGCCATTGCAGATCCGGTAGGTAAGTCACGAACTACAACTTTATCAATCTCGGTATTGCCATAGCTCTCTAGGATATCTTTTAATTTTTCCTGATCCAATCCGAGAGTCAAATTGTAAATTGTAAGCAGGTTCCCATTATCTGGCTTGGTGGAAGTAGATATTACTAATTTGTTGCGATTAGTGATCGCAAGACCCGGTGACATAAGAGGAATCTCTAGTCCGTTTCTTGGTGTATCTACAATTGTACTAGGTGTTCCTTCTATAGACTGTGTATTGTTTCTAACTCCATTTGTACTCTTTTCTTTTCTTTTGCCAAAACCAGTATCGCTGGAGTCTTTTTGATTTTGTTTTTGCTTTTGCATCTGGTCTGCCTTCTTCATGGAAAGCTCTGTTACTTTAACACCAGTGCTATTGAATAAGCTCATTATACGTTCATCGGTAAAGCCTAGACCCCTCATAGCGTTGATCTTATTTGGTGTCGACAGGCTGAGAAACCGTTTCATCTGAGGATTTGTGATCTCAGTGTAGCCAATGACACCTAACTGGTGGCGGATCATCCTTTCGAAAGGGTCCACCCCATTAGCCCTGTTTCTCTGTCGGTCATTACTGCCAGTTCTACTGGTTTTCACAGATTTGTGTTTTACTTCTATCCTATCAGCAAGTGGAACCTCCCTTGCAGGTGTTACCCGCGCTGCAGGCTTCTCCCTGCGCTTCTGAGTGGCAGCTTCTTGGACTCGAAGCTTAGCACGCGGTTTTTGCACCTGTACCAGCTGATCAATGTCCTCACCAGCCTCCTGTTTCACAGTAATGCGCTCACCGCCATGGCCATGCCCTTTCCCTTTACTCTTGCGACCTCGCACTCGAACTCTCACCGCCATAACCGCTCTTATTTCCGCAGTACCCAAGCTTAACACAACCACACACTGTTAGAGTATCTGTAGCACAGCAATTGGACCTCTTTGATGCAGCTGTGACCTTATAGATGGACTAACTTCTTGCTTCTATTAGCCTAAAACCACTGCGTCACATGATTTTTATATAATTTTTCTGGCAGAACTTCGCGAAATCCTTTGAAGTTGGCCAAACTTAGACTGGAAAGGGGATTTTATAACTGGGTGATCTGTTCAAAACAGTAGTGGGGAAGGTATAATTTTGGAGTAATTAGGCCTAGGATATCAGTGCATTACGAACTATATATAGCGCTAGCATGTCTGACTCGAAGTTTGCGATGCAAGGGTACAACCTTGTGAAGTTGTTGAAGAGACTGGAGGACGCCACTGCGCGTCTGGAGGATGTTACAATCTACCAGGAAGGCTATTTGCAGTCGAAGATGGAGTCTGGTGTGATAGACCACCAGTCTAGCGGTGGTAGCGGCATTGAGGCCAAGGCTGCTGGTGTAAAGAGTGAGTCACAGGAAGTGCCACAGGCTGTCGCTTCCATGCCTGCCTCGATTGAGAAGTTCGATAAGTTTATTAAGGAGAGAGTTGAACCATTTGTAGAGCTATCCGAGAAGATTGACCCTGTTGTATTCCAAATTACCGAGTTGTTCAAGGGTGCCTTTGATGCCCAATTGGAGTTCTTGAAGGTTGCCGTCAAGTCCAAGAAGCCTGACTTCACCTCGCAGGCTTTTGCGGATGCTTTGCAACCAATCACAAAGGCCATTACTGCTATCGGTGATTTGAAGGATGCCAATCGTCAGAGCAAGTATTTTGCTTTCTTGAACGCGGTCACTGAAGGTGCGCCTCTTTTCTCTTGGATCACCGTCGAAACTCCAGTTTCGTTGGTGGGCGACTTTAAGGAAGCGGCTCAGTTCTGGACTAACAGAGTGCTAAAGGATTTCAAAGACACAAACCCTGATGCCTCTACTTGGGTCCAAAACTTCATGTCAATCTTCGATAAACTGAAGGAGTACGTCAAGGAGTACCACACCACTGGTGTCAGTTGGGACGCAAAGGGCAGCGATTTCGAAACAGTTTTCAAGAACTCTAAGAATACACAGTCATCCACTTCATCGCCAGCAGCTCCTTCTCCTGCTCCAAGTGCAGGCGGCCCACCACCACCTCCACCTCCTCCACCAGCATCCGTCTTTGAAGTTAAAAACGACACTGCTGAAAAGCCTGCCGCATCTGGTATTGACGCCGTCTTTGCAGAATTGAACCAAGGTGAAAATATCACAAAGTCCTTAAAGAAGGTCGACAAATCTCAGCAAACCCACAAGAACCCAGAGTTGCGTGCTTCTTCAGTAGTTGCTTCTAAGGCTGCCCCTCCACCAAAACCAAAGAAACCTTCTGCACTAACTACCAAGAAGCCTCCTAGAAAGGAACTTCTTGGTAACAAATGGTTCATCGAAAACTTTGATGATGAATCTGAACCAATTGTTATTGAAACTCAAAAGGATGAATCTGTATTTATTGGTAAGTGTTGCAAGACATTGGTGCAAATTAAAGGTAAAGTCAATGCTATCTCTTTGAGTGAAACAGAATCTTGTAGCGTTGTACTATACTCTAGTATTTCTGGTATGGACATCATTAAGTCTAATAAGTTTGGTGTCCAAGTTGAGGGCTCCTTGCCACAAATATCCATAGACCAATCCCAAGGTGGTAGCATATATCTGTCAAAGGAATCAATGAGCACAGAAATTTACACTTCGTGTTCTACTTCGATAAATGTTAATTTGCCAATTGGTGAGGATGAGGATTATGTTGAGTTCCCAATTCCTGAACAATTGAAGCATACTTTCGACAACGGCAAGATGAAGTCAGATGTTTTCGTGCACGCTGGATGAGTTCGACAACGGCTCTCATTTTTATATATCTCATCTATAGTGCTAACTAGATATAAATTCCATTTATCATGAAAAGACACACTTATTTACGCTTTATTTTTTGTCCGTTGTATTTACATGGCTATATAAAATATATGATTATGCTTTTTTCAGGTTGGTGAATATTATATATACGAAATCCGATTGGTACAATAGCAGCTCACCATTCATCAGAACAATCATTTACCTCTTCTGATGTAGTACATGTATGCACGTTCATGTACTGGAATATCAAATGGTGATATCACTTCGGAATGACCTGGACGAGCAACTGGATCTCTCAAGTAGACAGCATGACAAGTCTTGAATGAAATTTCTAGATGATGTGGTAAAATAGCGAATGGTGCCAAAAATGGTCTTGGCTTCCATGGTGTGAAATAAGGTTTGTTGGAATCCTTTCTACCATATAAATGCTTTGATTGCCATGGTAAGTTGATTGCTTCCCTAGCTTTTACCTCGTCTTCTTTAATGGCCTCCAAATCCAAACGTGGATGGTATTTTAAGTTCTCTGCCCATTTTGGGTCAAAACTACTGTTAGCAATAGAACCATCAGTCTGTTTGTTCTTGAAATGATTTATCACTGATTGGGAGTACTTCTTGACAAAATCTGAAAGCTGGTTTTTCCCCTCTCTTAGAGAAGTCTTGGAACTGGCAATTAGGTCTTTTTTAGCATCATCCTTTGGAGATATCAAAGAAGATGCAAATTCTTTTATTTCTTCTTTGTTCTTACCTTTCAACTTATCTAGCAAAATAGTCTTCGAGAATAGGTAAGTCTCATAGATTTTGTGTATAGTTGGCAAAATTGCTTCATCATATTTGGCCAACGTCTTGAATTCCTCAATTGGTACTGGTGTAGTATCATCTTTAGCTTTTTTTAGGTGAATGCTAATAATTTCTGCAAGGATATCCTTTGGGGTTAATGCCTTTAAGATTTTATATTCTTCGTTTTGTAGATTTGTATCTTCTTTCTTCAATCTTTTCAAGAATTCATGTTTCTTCTCGTTTGTATCTAGCATGGACTCGAATTTAGCTACTTTATCGGACCATGCTTTTTGTGGATTGGTTTTGGCTTCTTTAACATATTTATTCCAAAGAACAACTTGTTTCTTGTCGACTTTCAATGCCTCTTCAAAGCTTGGCTTTTTGCTACCCAATGCTTGTAAGACCTTTTCAGGTTTCACATTGAAAGTGTCACCAGGTTTGAGAGTATATCCTGGGTGTTTGATCTTTACACCGTTTACATATACATTACCATGCAGGATAAATTGCCTGGCTTGTCTCACAGAAGACGCAAACATTGCTCTGAAAACAGCAAAGTCCAGTCTTTTCTCCAACGTAGCAAAGGTTTGCATCAAAAATGGAGTCTCCTTGGTTACACCACCTCTCAGCGATGCATCCAGCTGAGCCACAGAGTCCAGCTTGGGACTGAACATAGTCTGCCATCTGCTCTCAGTGATATGCTCACCGTGATAAGCCCTCGTTTCCTGTTTAGCGGACCATTTCTGCTGGTATAGCGACTTAGACCTGAAATCTATGTTACCTTTCTTGTACAGATTGAACAAATTGTACTTGTTGAACGAGGTACGTACACGCCCTCTAGTCAACGAGTTCAACAACACCGCCTTACGAGGCATCCTGTATGTCTATTTCGAAGCTCACAAATGCTAGTTTCACCACGCTTGCTACTAAACAAAAGCTATAGAAGCGGTTCCTTCTTATACAATAACTAAGGGTTCTTGCTTTCTCTTGTGCAGCACATCGGAATACTGGTGTTTAGTTATTGCTGCTTGTTATAGGTCTGAAGTTAGAAGTTTCGTCCCTCGAAGGACTCTCCCAGGAAGATTTTCGTTGCGGACAACAAAACTGATGTGAGATGCCCGATGGATAGGTGTCAACGCATAGCAATGAATACAATTGCAGGCCATCTATTGCTTGGTTTCTATGAAAGTAATAGCATTCGGATCAAAATACAGTAATTAGGCCGTTGCTATTATTTCCTATCGAAGGGGAGCTAAAAGTACCTGATACTGTGGGGTTTAAGGAAAACGCGATGGATTGGAGCATTGTCGATGAGATCAGGCTGTTTCGATGGGTTTCTGAGTTTAAGCCCTGTGGGAGTCAGAATGTGGGTAATGTCAAAAAGATTGTGGATAGGCTGAACAATCCAGAGAAGTACCCTGTGTTGATGCTGCAAAAGGATACTAGTCGACGCCGTATTTCCAAAGTTTTCACTATAGAGGATGTTGTGCGGAAGCTCAGTCAGTATTACGACCTTGACGAGGCTGGCCGAGTCGAGGACGGTGTAAGAGATGTGGGCGGTGCAGATGATGACACGAGTTCTTTGCAATTAGATATTCCTGATCTGGATCATTCAGACACCAAGAGGCATGACAATCGCGAGCGAAGTCTCGCGGAAACGCTGGGCGAAGGGACACTTGATCATGACCACTCTTTTACAATTGGTTCCGATAGATCAATTGTTCGGCAGGATACCAAGAATTCTAGTTTTGTCTCTGGCGTAGAAAACAGTATTAAAGATACCTCTCAATTCAGTGCTAATAGCAGCAAAGGTAATGCCGATATGGCGCAAGAGATAAAGGTTACAGGCACTCCAAAGAAGACAGCTGATAACACAATAAGTAATTTTGATGATATAGAAATGCCGGATGCTCACCAAGAGAGTGAGCCAGATACTCCACTGGAAACTCAAGAACAAAACAATGTCGAAGAGAGCGGAAACAACAATGAAGAAAAAGCCATAGAGGTTGATAAGGATGTTGGAAATGAAAGTATAGGGAATAGTGAGAGTGTTGCAGAGGAGCCAGCTCATATATCATCTAAAGAAGATATACCTAGTAAAGAAACTTCAAACGTGGATCATCTTTCCAAAGCTACAAATAGTAACGAGATTGAAGAGAACTCGATGCATAGTGGTAAAGGGGAAAAAGAGTTAGCCATAGAGCTCGAGAAATCGAATACTCAAGATGAAAAAACAGGCTTGCCCACAGAGGATGATATTGAGAATAATAATGATACAAATAAGTCGGCAGTATCAGATACCGAACAGAGTAAGGATGAAAGCGCTACAATAGGTGATAATAAGAAAGAGAATACGGCTCAAGAAATTCAAACAAGCGAACAACATTCTTCTAGATCCCCAGCGAATGATGTGAATGATGATTCTTTAAAATCTGCACACGAAACACAAGTCAACGAGTTCGAAAAAGATGAAACTAGTGGGACCAATCAACCAATTAAAGAAGACAGTATGTCAAAGAAAATACCTGAAGAGATAAAAGAGACAACTACTGCAGCTGGTGTTAATTGTGGTGAGGAAAGTGAGATCAGAAAAGATGATGAGGAAACATCGACGTTAAGCTCGGTTGATGAGTCGTCAAATATGAATGATAGCAATCAATTAGAAGAAGTCGATGTTGAGATAAATAAGAATAGTGAAGAAGGGTCTCCAATATCTGAACTCAACGGCAAACAAATCACAGAAGAAAATGCACTAGCAAATAAAGATACACCAGATGGTGACACTAAGGAAGCTGCTCCTACAGAGAAGAAAACTGAAACACAGGATATCGAGAGCACCTCTGAAGCTGGTGAGCTTAGGGTTCATGAAGGCAATGAAAAGGAGACTACGAGCGACTCTAATAATCAAGAACAAGAGAATAAGGAGTCTGATTTAGATATTGCATTAGCTAAAAATGATGTTGAGCAAGAGCTACAAAACGATAATGTCACTGAAAACACTACAATTGATAGAGAATCAAATGACGGTACTTTACAGGAATCTGAAACGCAGGATAAAGTTGAGGTAGCTCCAATTGGAAACTCGGATATCAAAAGTGAGGACAAGGGCGAGTTCCAGGATACATCAATTGTGAATGAAAACAATGAAGACACACAAGTAAATTCAGAAGAAGCAAATGATGATAGAGACATCTCAGACAACAAAGGAGAAAGTAACGAGAAATTAGAAGAAGGGAAAAAGACCGAGGAAGATAGTGGGATTAATGATAATCAAAAAGTTGATTTAAAAGATAATGATGCAAGCGACGATGTTGTAGGAGATCAAACTACTAAAGTAGGATCTAATAATGATATAGAGGACAAAAATGACGAGGAAGCCACGGTTAAGGAAACTAATAATGAAAGTAGCGAAGAACAGGATTATATGGCAGCAAATACCGAAGATAAAGACACAAATGAGGATGAGAAACTGGTAGATTCAAAGATTGAGGGTCCAAAGACAAGAAAAAGACAAAGAGAAGAAGAAGCGAAGGACAAGGACGAGACACTGGATGAGAAAATGAGCATTCGCAGAAGTAGAAGAAGTGCCACGTCAAATGCAATTACTGAAGCGCCAGCTTCAAAATCTCAGGCCACCACACCGGAGCCTGAAGCAGTCTCCAGCAAAGATACACCTCAAAAACAGACTAAGAAGCCAAAACTACCTGATGAACCATTGGCGAAGAGGACAAGGCATTCGGCTGCATTACAATCTGTAGTTGCCGAAAAGGAGAAAGAAGAAGAGCCTAAAAAGAAGAGAAAAAAGAACGCAAAAAAAGCTGTTCAACAACCAACACGTATGTCAAGTCGGTTACGGAACAAGAAATAGTCTTTACTATGGATCATCAATGCCCCCCCACCCCCTCCCTCCCTTGTGATAGACTATATTGTAATATTAGAAATCCATACAGTTCACAAAACTTTTGTACTGGGTTATATAGCGTGTAATTATCAAAACGTTAGTATTCGTCTGGTATTTAGAATAACTGTGATGAGCGGACTCCGCCAAAGATTAACGGTTGGCGGATGTATCGGTATCATGTAAAATGGTTTGTGTCCCAGATTGAAGAAGTCATTAGGATGAGTTTATTATATTGGACCTATATAAATCGTTATAATGGGTAATGTGATAAGGTTGTAAAGCGCAAATAAGCAAATTATAATAAAAGTATTGCTAGTAATTATTTAAAGCTTCGATATTTTTTTTTGGATTAGTTAACCTTCAACAATTCGACGTCGAAGATCAAAGTGGCGTTAGGTGGGATCAAACCTGGGAAACCACGAGGACCGTAAGCGTATGGACCTGGGATGGTTAGTCTAGCCTTTTCACCAACGGACAACTTTGGAATACCAGCATCCCAACCCTTGATAACTTGGCCTACACCAATGTTACATTGGAATGGAGAACCACGGTCGACAGAGGAGTCAAATTTTTGACCGTTCTCTAGAGTACCAGTGTAGTGAATAGTCACTAGATCACCTTGCTTTGGGAAAGTCTTACCATCACCTGGGGACAATCTGTCGATCTTGACACCGCCTTCAATTGTTTCGGACATTTTTTATTGTACTATTCTTGTTGTGTATGTGATATACAGTGAATGTATCTATTCAATGAGTAGAGAAACAGAATCAGAAATTATAACAGCCCTTGGGCTCCCACTGCCAACAGCTTACATTAATATGACAGTCCTGAAACCTCATCGATACTATTGCTATGCCCATTGCTGAGAATTTTGGCAAACGATGAGGACCCGGCTGATCCGGGCGAACATTCTGAAAAATTTTGCGATGGGCTGGCCTCGTTGTATGTTATCTCAATATAGAGGACGATAGTACACGGTTAATGGCGTATTTTGGGCTGTATTATTTATATACTTTAAGCAGAACTTGAATAATTATTTACTGAGAACTGAGAATATTTAGTTTAGGATGGCAACCAATTTCTCACCGGAGTTCTTGCCGAATTTGATGTCGTCTAGGATCTGTTGGACGTCGTCTAGACCGTTCTTATAGATTTTAATTGGGATGTGGTGGATGATTCCTTCGTTGATTCTTGGGTTGATGAAAGCGACAAATTCCTCGACATCTTTTCTGAACTTAGGATCAGCTGGCAGGTGTACCGGACCGAATGGGACGTCTTCACCGGTGGCCAAGTACAGCATACTACCGATGATGGTCTTGTTGTCTCTTCTGTCCTCTTCTGGGATATCCTTTATGGACAAATGTGTCAATTGCACAATGGTAGCAGACTTGGACTCGGTGGCACACTTGTAGACTTGTTTTATGGTGTTTTCGTTGGAGACACAGTCGACTACGATTTGCAAGTCTGGGTATTTCTTCTTGATTTGCTCAATGACATCTGCATCGTGGTAGTCGAAGACTTCATCTGCACCGTAGGTCTTCAATTGAGCTTCGTGCTTCTTGGAAGCAACAGTGACAATCTTGGTGAATCCATGGATCTTCTTAGCCACTTGGATCAACAATTGACCAACACCAGTGGCACCACCCCAAAATAGAACTGGGTGGTCTCTCTGAGGTTCGCTTGGCTCCCATTTCAAGTCAAGGCCCAAGTTAGAGTGAAGAACAGCACCAGCAGTGGTTAGGGAGACTGGGAAACTAGCACCATCTTCAAAGTACTTGACGGTGCCTTCTGGAATGGTATCCTTACCACTCATGGTGATATCCTGGTTTGGGAAATAGGCAATCTTTGGGTCAAGTAAGGAGTACTCAGCAAAGGCACCATTGTCTGGGTGCTTGACAGAAGAACCATGGGTCAAACCATAGGCCTTCTGACCAATCTTGTACTTGGAAGTGTCAACATTGGCACCGATCTTGACAATCTCACCACTGACATCACAACCGGAGATGGAACCTTGTGGGCCAATCTTAGAAACAATGTGCTTCCAATCAGTTGGATTACCAGCAACAGCTCTGGTCTTGATCAAGACCATACCGTCTCTGACTTCTGGGACTGGGACCTCCTTAACGGTAAGGTGGTCACCATCAATTACAGCAGCTTTCATGGTGGCAGGGATAGACATTGTTGTTAGTTAGGTTGTTAATGTTTCTTGATCAATTCAACTCAATCTTGAATTGTCCTATTTAATACATAAAACTTTTTAAGGGTAATGATTCAAGACTTTTTCAAGGTTCAAAATGTTTGTTAAACTGATGAAATGAATAAGTTGTTTTCTTATTTATACTTTTTGAATAGGCTATTCGCTATTAGACAATTATACGGATGCTTCGTATGTACCTTTGCGAGTTCTACTTACTTCTATTGCCTTCTTTCTATTTCAAGATATCCTGGAGCCACCAGACAACTGGTTTTCCACCTCTATAGTGTTGAGTACCCCATGGGGCAGTGTGCACTCGGAGAATCCGTGGTTGCATGTTTACTATAGCAAGCAGTGGGTCAAAGGGTTCTAGTAAAGAGTTGGTACCATTGTTGGGGGAACTGTTTAATACGTCATTCACCGGGCAATCTAAGGTTAAACTTCGTTACGTAAAGAACTCGTCTCTTGTTACTTCTTCACTACCAGTCTTGGTCTATTCTTATTCTTCACTTTTAAAATAACTCTTTCCGTGGAGCCGTTGTTCTGGTTTGATGAGAGTGTGTCTGGTTTACCCGATTGCTTGTCAGGGGACCGGCTCAGCAGTTGTTGGCGCTTCTTTTCGTACTCGTAATCCTTGTCCTTGTGGAACTGTGTCAGTCTCTGTATCTCTTGCTCTCTGTTCTTCTCGAGCTCTTTGAAATAGCGGGTCTCCTCTTTGCTCAGCTGGTTAAGCTTCTTGACCTCCGCGCTCTCCCTGTTAGACTTCTTCTGCTTCTTAATGGCATTGGCTCGCAGTTGGTCCCGCAGCGTCTTCCTCACACGCTTCTTCCGTTCTGTCTCAATGGCACCTTGTATAGCTTCCTCCCTCTCAGATTGCTTCTCGACATCTGCCTGCCCTTCAGTGACAAACTGTAGCTTCTTCTCCTCACTCATGGCAGCTGTGTCGCTCTTTATTGTTGTTATGGGTTAAACTGTTATCATAAACTGCTTTATATCATTGTTAGTCTCAATCATGCATGCCTAGAATTTATCATGCTCATCGCATCGAGTTTTTTCCAGATGTTCTGATGATCCCACCAAAACATTAAAATTAGTGTGACATACACATAATTGCTCTATATACCTAGTTACAGGCAAGTATTCTTGGCACGGATAGCTATAGTCGTGACGAAAGAAATGGATACTTCCAGCAGCATTTTACTGCAACTCTATTATACACTAGCATTGGTGTCCCGTCGAGCATAGTGTATGATGCAGGTGAAATAAGCACGCCGTACCAAGATATATATTTGTTAGTACAGTACCCCACCGCTATTTGAAGTCCTCAACGAATTTACTAAGCGGTTTTAGCTCAGTTGGGAGAGCGCCAGACTGAAGATTCGAAAACTTCGGTCAACAAGTTATCTGGAGGTCCTGTGTTCGATCCACAGAAATCGCAATCTATTTTTTTTTTTAATTTCATTCTTTTCTTCGGCTTTTCTACGGTGGTTTTTCAAGCTTCAACGGGTGGCTCCCCGGCTACGTACATTGTTACCCTGAAAGCTTCGAATTTTTTTTTTTCAAAAAATTTGCGATGAGCTCATCTCATCGCCTATTAAAATGAGCCTGTAGTATGGGAAACTAGCAATTGACTTGGGTCCTTGTGTTTTTGTAGCAACCTCTTGGCAAGATATATCATACTTAAAGTAATAACATTGCGAGAAAGGTGAAAGATGGCGAAGAAAGCTATTGACTCCCGTGTTCCGGCGCTGATCAGGAATGGTGTTCAGACCAAGCAGAGGTCGTTCTTTGTCATTGTTGGTGACAAAGCCAGGAACCAGCTGCCCAACTTGCACTATTTGATGATGAGTGCTGATTTGAAGATGAACAAGTCTGTGCTGTGGGCGTACAAGAAGAAGCTGCTCGGGTTCACTTCTCACAGGAAGAAAAGAGAGAACAAGATCAAGAAGGAGATCAAGCGAGGCACCAGGGAGGCCAACGAAATGGACCCCTTCGAGACATTTATCTCCAACCAGAACATCAGATACGTATACTATAAGGAGACGGAGAAAATTCTAGGTAACACTTACGGTATGTGTATCCTGCAGGATTTCGAAGCTTTGACTCCGAACTTGTTGGCCAGGACAATTGAGACTGTCGAAGGTGGTGGTATAGTGGTTATTCTGCTGAAATCTATGTCCTCGCTGAAACAGCTCTACACTATGACTATGGACATTCACTCCAGATACCGTACCGAGGCGCACGATGATGTGGTGGCAAGATTCAATGAAAGATTTATCCTGTCGCTGGGTTCCAACCCTAACTGTCTGGTAGTGGACGATGAGCTGAATGTACTACCGATCTCAGGTGCAAAGTCTGTTAAGGCTCTTCCTCCAGCGGACTCCGACGAATTGACCCCAAAACAACAGGAATTGAAGGACTTGAAAGAATCGCTAGAAGATGTACAACCTGCGGGCTCCTTAGTGTCATTATCAAGAACTGTGAACCAAGCACATGCCATTCTGTCATTTATCGATGCCATCTCAGAGAAAACTTTGAACACCACAGTGGCATTGACTGCCGGTAGAGGTAGAGGTAAATCTGCAGCGCTAGGTATCGCAATTGCTGCTGCAGTAGCTCACGGTTACTCTAATATATTCGTTACATCTCCATCGCCAGAAAATTTAAAGACGCTTTTCGAATTCATCTTCAAAGGTTTCGATGCTCTTGGCTATCAAGAACATGCCGACTACGACATTATACAATCTACTAATCCTGACTTCAACAAGGCTATTGTCAGGGTTGACATCAAGAGAGACCATAGACAGACAATCCAATATATACTGCCCCAGGACTCATATGTGTTGGGACAAGCTGAATTGGTTGTAATCGATGAAGCCGCCGCAATCCCACTACCAATTGTTAAAAACCTGCTGGGTCCTTATCTAGTGTTTATGGCCTCCACAATCAATGGTTACGAAGGTACCGGTAGATCATTGTCCTTAAAGCTTATCCAACAACTACGTACCCAAACGGTGCAGACAACTGATGATGCCACTCAGACAACTGTAGTGTCGAGGGATTCACAAAAGGATACTAGAAGTCACCTAAGCCGTCAATTAAAGGAAGTTTCATTGGATGAACCTATCAGATACGCTCCTGGTGATCCAGTTGAAAAATGGTTGAATAAACTTCTATGTCTAGATGTCACGTTGATCAAAAACCCACGTTTTGCCGCTAGAGGTACTCCACACCCAAGCCAATGTAACCTGTTCATTGTAAATAGAGACACTCTGTTTTCTTATCACCCTGTTTCGGAATCCTTCTTGGAGAAGATGATGGCTCTATATGTCTCCTCCCACTACAAGAATTCTCCAAATGATTTGCAATTAATGAGTGATGCTCCAGCGCATCAGCTATTTGTGTTATTGCCTCCAATAGATCCAAAAGATGGTGGTAGAATTCCAGATCCTCTGTGTGTAATTCAGATTGCTCTAGAAGGTGAAATCTCTAAAAGCAGTGTGAGGAACTCCCTATCTCGTGGCCAAAGAGCCGGTGGTGATCTTATCCCATGGCTAGTCTCTCAACAATTCCAAGATGAAGAATTTGCTGGTTTAAGTGGTGCAAGAGTAGTTAGAATTGCCACCAACCCTGAATATTCCTCTATGGGTTACGGTTCGCGTGCAATGGAACTACTGAAGGACTATTTTGAAGGTAAGTTTACTGATCTTTCTGAAGATACTAAACCTAGAGATTTCTCCTTAAAGAGAGTTGATCCTAAGGAACTAGAAAAAGCCAACTTACTAAAGGACGAAGTCAAGTTGAGGGACGCTAAGACGTTGCCACCTTTGCTTCTAAAACTTTCAGAGCAACCACCACACTTCCTACATTACCTGGGTGTATCATATGGTCTAACACCAGCACTACATAAGTTTTGGAAGAACAATGATTATGCTCCAGTATACTTACGTCAAACTGCCAATGAGCTTACTGGTGAACACACTTGTGTTATGTTGAAGGTGCTAGAAGGTAGAGAATCTCACTGGTTAGTCGAATTCGCCAATGATTTCAGAAAGAGGTTCCTATCACTTCTATCGTACGACTTTAGCAAATTCACAGCAGTTCAAGCGCTTGGTGTAATTGAAAGTAGTAAGAAACCGGGCAAGACCTTGGAGGAACAGCATACCGTCAAAGAACTAACCAAGAGTCAACTGGATGACATTTTCTCCCCATTCGATCTAAAGAGATTAGACAGCTATGCAAACAATCTTCTGGATTACCATGTTATTGTAGATTTGCTTCCAATGCTATCGATACTATACTTTGGTGACAAGATGGGTGACAGCGTCAAGCTGTCGAGTGTACAGAGTGCCATTCTACTTGCTATCGGTTTGCAGCACAAGAGCATCGATGACATCACAAAGGAGTTGAACTTGCCATCCAACCAAACAATTGCTATGTTCTCCAAGATTATGAGGAAGTTCTCAGTATACTTCCGTAATCTACTGAGTGAAACTATTGAACAACAGCTGCCCGAGCAACAGGATGACGAACTTGCTGACATGAACGGTGAGGATATCACCACCTATGATGCAGCTCAAGCTTTTGACCAAATGGAGGAAGACCTTGAAGAAGCTGGTTCGGAAGCTATCAAGGCCATGAAGGAGAAACAGAAAGAACTGATCAACTCTTTGAACTTGAACAAATATGCCATAGATGAAAATAACGAAGAATGGGAGAAATCCAAGAAGAGTTTAGAGAAAGCTGCTAAGAGTGAAGGTGTAGTGAGCCTGCAGACAGGTAAGAAAAGAACCACTGAAAGTGCTGACAGCATAATGAAACAGGAAATGAATGCTGTTAAGAAGAGCAAAAAATCTAAGAAGAGTAAAAAATAATAGCCATGCTCTTTGAATTCGCTCTTTGTATTACCACCATACATCCCATATATACAACATTATGTACATTATATTGACTGCAATAACAACGATAATTAAAAAAGAGATAATTAGGTATCAACTTGCAAGTAATATCTTTTAGGAATATTTCTATATGCTGGCCTGCTTGATATCACTATTAACGTTATACTGGTCAACTGGACGACTTTTTGGAAAAAAGCTTGAACAAAGAGGAAATCATTGGAAAGTGCAGTATAATTAGAGAGCATTTTGAATACTAGTGGTGGGGCCCTCCATTTTATGCACAATAGAACAAGAACCTCTCTAGTGTTGAATAGTAGACTACAGGGACGCACGACATTTATCCTTTATAAGAAATGGTTGAATTAACAGAAATTAAGGAGGACACAGTCCAGGATCCACCAGTTACCCCAGCTGGTCTAGGTGATGTTGCAGTTAAAGGCGCTAGAGTTGAGGATGAAGAAGATGACAGTGACTTTGAAGATGATTTTGATGAGAACGAGACTCTCTTGGATAGAGTCAAAGCATTGAAGGATATTATTCCACCACAACACAAGAACAGAATTTGTGCTGTTTTCTCCACTTCCTGTTCTATTATAAAGTCTGCTTTCACCAGGGGCAGTGGATTGGCATGGACTCTGACCACTTCTGCGCTACTCCTAGGTGTGCCTCTATCGCTTTCCATCTTGGCTGAACAGCAACTGATTGAGATGGAGAAGACTTTTGACCTACAAAAGGACGCTAACGATATCTTGGCCCAAGGTGATGAGAAAAACACCGTTGCCACAGCATAATCCAATGAGACTCAAATGAAATTTTAATAATATTTACTTTATTTTTGTTTCCCAAAGTTTCCAAATTTACATGATCATCAATTTTTTTAGGTAATTTTCCATGCCATTTCATCATTGCTACGCTTTGCTCTCATTTTTCCGACTAGAACAAAGTACACTTTGCCAATTTAACTTGACGAGAGGATCTTTGACTTGCAAAGGTTCAGTAATTGTTACCAGGATGGAACTAAAACGACCTAATGAAGAACTTTGATTCCAGTGTTGCAATATAATGTACTAAAACACATGAATTTTTCTCGATATTATTTCTTTACCTAATTATCAGTTTCACTTGTACATAAGCCGTTTATGGTACCAAGCAAATATTACATAGCAATAAAAAAAGTCCTAGGTACTTTCTTCTTCAATTTTTTCTATCTCCTTAGCATCGGCTGTTGCTCAGACAACTATATTTTATAGAGACCTTATAATGACTCTTTATACACATATCTGAAGTTTATGCTTTAATAGCTAGGTACTTTTATAAGTTTATATGGCATTGAATTATATCACGTTATTTTAATAAGTTATCCAAATTTCTAAGTAGATTTTGGATGTTTGATACTTAAGGCATAAACATCAAGGTAGGTGGTGAATTCATAGATAATCTCATTTATGAACATCGCATGGATACCTAGACTGACACCAAATCCACCCCACAATAAAGCCAATACCATGGTCTCTCTATCAGATTTGAAATAGCAAACGAAAATTATGTACATGATCAACTGAGAGATTGGGATAAACATTGGAAAGTTGACTAATGGGAACTTTTGCTTAGTTAGATGACCAACAATCATACGGCCCACAACAAATGCCATTGTCAAACCAACTGAAATGATAAATGGGAATGAAATGAACAAGTTATCTACTGCAACTAAAGCGAAAACAGTAGCAAAATAAATAAAGAATGGCATAAGGGCAATCATGGCTTCTTTCTTCTCAGCCTCGACTTCTTCCATGTCATTCTTCTTATTGTGCTCTTTGAAATACTGGAAGACATTACTAGTTGCCGCAAGAATGTTAAATAATAGAGCAAATGTAGAAAAACAGATCATCAAATGAACAGTTTCCAATTCGAAAATATCTGAGTTACCAATAGTCAAAGGTAAGTGAATCGATAGCAGTTTAGTGTGCCAAACTCTCTGAGTACCAAAAAGACCACATAGTATGAACTGGAAGACAAGCAATAAAATACCTTCAACAGGACCCGAAAATTCACTTAGAAACAATCTGTGGGTATAGAACTCCTCCCATGTACTCAAGTAGAAATTTCCGAGAACCATAAATTGTGTACCAATCAAAATCATAGAATAACCACAACCAAGCATTGAACAAACAGGAAACAGGGATAAGGTGGTATTCAAAGAGTCAATACAATGATCGAATAGCTCCCCCAATGGGCTTGATTGACCAGTACGACGCGCATGCATACCATCACAAGCATCAAATGTTTGGTACAGGAATAAACCTAGGGCATAGGAGAAGTATGTCCATCTGGGCGTTTCTGTGTTTAAATAAGGATCATAATACAACACAGTCAGCACATTTAGGATAATGAAACCTAAACCAGATAGTGTAACCAAGTTTGGTGCCATCCACATTGGGAACAGCTGCGAAAACCATCTCCAGTATGGTCGCAAAATGTAATTAGAGATCAAGGATCTGTCTTCACTTTGATACTTATAGTACTTCAAATTAGCAATAGCTTCCTTAGGAATAAAATAACCCATGGTTTAGTATTACTGTAAATTTGTGTCCCTTTATTTTTCACTTACCTTCAATCTTCCTTCTACGCTACTATCTTATTAATTTCCTGGACTGTATGAGTTCTAAACAACCTCTAGAGGCAAAGGAATGACTTTAAATGTCGTGGTTATTAAAATAGAACGGTTTATTACTTCTTTATTATGCAACAAAGCAGGTAACATCAATCTTTCGAACCTCATCGCAAAACAGTTTTGATTCGATTTTTTTTTTTCACTTTTTGACACTTTTTAGCACTGGAACAGCACATGTGAATGCCAATACAGCTGATGGATGAGATGGATGAGATGTTTTAGACCGATAAGTGCAGTTCATACAATTAAACTGATATGAATTTCTAATTAAACAGTCCATCAACACTGATATTGTTAGGCTCTGGGGGCTTTCCAATCTTCTCTAATAACTGAATTTTTGACTAGATGGACAACAAATTGATTTGGTTGCTTCCCGCAATTGGATTGGTGGTTGCACTTCAACCATCTTATATACACCCTGATGAGCATTTCCAGACTTTGGAGATGCTCATGATAAAATTCTACGGAATAAGCGGAACTGTGCCATGGGAGTTTGAGCCAACAAATAACGCAAGAAGTTACTTCCCACTATATGCATTTTATGGTCCATTGTTTTACCTTATGCGAGATATACTGAAAGTACAAAACCCCTTGAACATTCTCCGAATCATAAGATTTTACAATTTTATGTTGTATTTATCAGTACTATATTATGCTCTCCCAAAGCTGGTAAACGAAAACAAACTACAAAATAAAGGTCGAGTAAATGAAGCACTAGTCTTTATCCTATCCTCTTACATAACATGGTGTTACCAGTGCCATTCATTTTCAAATTCATTAGAGACAATATTATTACTTCTGGTACTCTCAAATTACACAGATATACTATCGAATAAGGCTGGGTTACTGCAGTTGGTGTCAACTGGGTTCTTGATTTCAGTAGGGACTTTCACTAGAATTTCATTTCCAGCTTTCTTACTACTTCCATCCATTCAAGTGTTTCTAAAGGTGCTTTACCGAAAGTGGATACAAATGGTAGTTATTGCTGTTTCCATGACTTTATCAACTTCAATTATAGTTTATTTTGACACTTTCATGTACGAATCTGATGAAATAATAATAGCCCCTTTAAAGAATGTGGTATATAATCTGAATGTGGACAACTTGGCAAAACATGGCCTGCATCCAAGATACACTCACTTGCTGGTAAATATACCACTTATATTAGGCCCTGGCCTTTTAATGATAAGAAATACCAAGAACGATTTTCTAAACTTACCGCTGTTGAGTATAATTTCATCTTTATTCTTTCTATCTGCCCTTAGACACCAGGAACTAAGATTCTTGCTACCAGTAGTTCCATTATTTTCTACATTACTAACACGATTTAGATACAGACCATATTTATTTAGGATATGGTTGGTATTCAATGCAGCGATGTGCATAATAATGGGTATATTCCACCAAGGAGGAGTGATACCAATGATATCCAATATTAACGCTGAACAGGACTTAACTATCGACATATGGTGGAAAACGTACTCGCCTCCAACCTGGTTGTACAACAATGATATACTGACAGTATCAACCACTTCTATTGTTAACAATATTGAAAACTTGGATCTAGTTCAATTCAACGTCAAAACGAACCATGTTGTTGATCTGAAAGGTTGTGATTTTGATCTTGTATTGGAAGCAATTCAAAACTTTAGGATAAATGGTGTAAAAAGCCTTCGGTTGATAGTACCAAATTCAATGACTTCTAATGTCGCTGCGTTAAACCAAACGTATCTTGTAACAAAAGAGAATTCAGTATTTCCACATCTTGATTTAGATCATTTGGATAGTGGAATTCAGAACATTATCGGCTTGTCTGAATACAAGGTATCACTCTGATTTATCGTAACTACTACCACAAAACACTAGAATAATCATCGTATATAACTGAAATCAGTTGTGATGCAATGACAAATATATTATTTATACAAATAGAAGGATGACATGTATACTTCGCCTATTTATAGAAGTCAAATTTATCAACATCGCTGTCGGTTTTAACTTGTGCAGCATAAGCCTCCTCAAGATCGCTTTGTAAAATCACATATCTGTTCTTTCTGACTGCACGTAGACCAGCTTCTTGCATAATTGCGGCAATTACTGCACCAGATATGGCATCATTACGGATGATCAAAGAATCAAGATCTGCCTCAGGTGCCAAAGACATTTTACTTGCAATTGTACCGAAAATTAAACGACGCTCTCTTCTGTCACGCAAAGATGGGAATTCGATTTTTCTATCAAGTCTACCAGGTCTCAAAAGAGCTGGGTCTAATGTGTCTGCTCTGTTGGTAGCCATAATAACTTTAACGTTAGTGGATTGATCAAAACCATCCATCTGGGTTAATAATTCAATCAAAATACGTTGAACTTCACGATCAGAACCAGTTTGAGCATCGAAACGTTTCGTAGCAATGGAATCCACTTCATCTATGAAAACAATCGAAGGAGAATTTTCTCTTGCCAACCTGAAAACATCACGAACCATTCTAGGACCTTCACCCAGGTATTTCTGAACAAATTCAGAACCATTTACTCTAATAAATGCAGCCTTTGTACTATTTGCCACAGCTTTAACTAACATTGTCTTACCTGTACCTGGAGGACCATACAATAGCACACCTCTTGGAGGATCAATACCTATTTGTTCGTATAAGTCTGCTTGTACCAATGGTAATTCCACAGCTTCTCTTATTTCTTGTTTTTGCATGTCTAGACCACCGACATCAGCGTATGTAACATCTGGTTTTTCATTCTCTCCCATAACCGATATACTCGAATCGGAGTCAGGTGGCAATATATCGACCAAGGCATTTGAGTGACGGTGCAAAGCCACAGAAGTAGAAGGCTTCAATTGCTCACGGTCTAATGTAGATAATATTCTTACCACATAGTTCATACCTGTTGTGCTCGATACAATACCTGTATCCTGGTCAATTGCTTCCAAGAATTGACCTATCACCAAGGGGACAGATTGAATTCTTTTCACTTCCTCCTGAGCCCTACTTAGCTCGAGTCTCAAATGTCGCTGCTCATCCTTGATATATTCTTCCTGCAAGCTCAGCAGCTCTAATTCTTTTTCAAGCTTTTTCAAACGCAGGTAAACATCGTTATTGCCTTGCATGCTAAATACTTTACTATTCCCGAGCTGCTCGAGCAAATTTGCATATGATTTCACATTTCCATTGCCAGCACCATTACCATTAGCATGTCCATTGCTCTCCAATGGACCCGAGATCCCTAGTTCCTCCATTTCCTTATTTGAAACACTTGTTAACTCGCTTTAACCAAAAGATCAACCTAAAAGATTACCTTCTTTGCAACTTACCAAAGTATATGTGCTTCTCCTTAAGCGGCAATATGCTCTATGAGTTGATCTGGATCCTGATTCCCTGCACCATTTGACCGCTATACACTCAATGCGTTCCTTTTATATGCTTCATTTGCTCTTCTTTGAAATTTCCAATCTACTGAAGGTGGAGGGGACCCCTTGCCACCTAGTCGTACAGAGTAACAATAATAGGGTATCTCAAATGGTCGCATCGATGAGCTGGAAAGAGTAGTGACTGAATTGGGCTCATATTGATAATGATGGCTGATGCTTGATCTTGGAATGGCAATGGTCAGCTACGACCTGAAGTGAGCAAAAGGAAGTCTATAGCAGGTGATGTTTTCGTTGAAGCTAGGGAAGAACAAGAAGAAGAAGAAAGTACCGAAAGGTGACAGTGAACTATTTGGCAGTGAAGCCAGTGTTGATGATAAAGTATCGTTGACACAGTATAACTATGCTGATGAGAGAGAGAAAGAGAAACCTAAGAAGCGGAAGATTGAACTGGCTACCGCAGAATCCGAAACGATAGCTTTGAAGAGAGCAAAGAACAACATCGGCGATGATTCTATAGTTCAGGAACTCGAAGCTCTACCTGAGAAAGTGGAAGATAAAGAATATGAAGAGATGCCTGTCGAAGAATTTGGTGCAGCTATGCTGCGTGGTATGGGCTGGACAGATGAAAACGAACTCGAGGATAGTAAGTCGCATTCGAAAAAGCTTCCGCATGAACAGATACACCCAGAGGGTCTTGGGATAGGTGCTAAGTCACAAGAAATGTCGAATCCTGTCTCCGTGAAGGACCTTGTCAATGATTTTATGCCCGTCAAGAAAGTACCGAAACAATAAATTCAGCATGACCTACCACCATACATGTTTTCTCATCATGATCTATGTTGCGTTCTGATCTTAGGAGAGATAAGAATATATTGTATTCATTGTAACACTATAAACAGATATATAAAAACAAATCAAATTACTAGCATGTTGTTTTGGTATGGCACCAAAACGAAATTATTAACGATAATTAAAGATCAAAATTCATAAACGGCGTTACATTATCATTGGGTGTTGCAAAAATTAATGAACACATACGATTTATTATACCATTGCACCGAATCCAACTAACAATAGCTGCGACGCAAATGTCGCGCCCCATTGTTTCATCCAGTCATTCTTGTTTCTATATTCCCAGTCCTCTACAACCTTTAGCAAGTCCATGTACATTTCCATCGTAATTGTATCCCACATCTTTGATATCTTTAAACTTGACAAATTCTCAAGTTGCTCAACGTTTTGAACTATACGGCATCGTAATACCAATTCATTGTCATCTTGAACAGAAATATTATGGAACTTGATTATTTCTTGATTTAATGGTAACGGCAAGTTCCTCTCATTATCTTCAGAAGTAGAGTTCCAATATGGCTTAGAAGATATTACTGTAGTATTTGGGTATGACTTTTTCCTTCTGATAGATATATTAGACAAGCCCCAATTTTTATTGTCGTCAACGCTTTCAACGTTTGTCCTACTCTGATTCGAGTCTTCCAGAGACGTTAAAAAATGAATAAAACCTGATCTAGAATTCACATATGCTATTACTGGTTTGAGTTCATTCAAAGATAGTATTTTTTCGCCTGACGATAGCTTGGGTTCTTCATTTGGGAATTTTGTCTTTAGGTCCTTAAACTTAAACTTAACATCAATGACCACATACTTATTCTCAGGTGTATTCTTATTTACAAGCGGATCACCACCCGGATATCCAAGTAATGTTTTCAGCCCATTACCTTCGTTATTTTCATCTGTATTGGGGATCATAATGTCAGCTGATATCTCAATAGTTCCATCGTCTATCCAATTAAATGCACCTGTCCTGTTCAAATTCAACTCATTTATATTGATTGCATTTAGCCTTAAGTTAGTAAATCTACCGTCGTTCTCATTTTTATCGATGGTCTTGCTTCTATTATCCCTACCTTTATCAGAGAAAAATGCTGGCAGCAGTTTATTTTGCCTCTTGTGAATGTTGAATAAGGAGTCATTTACCGAACCGACAAGGACATCAGCACTAAAAATATCAGTGAGCAAATGGTCAAATCGCAGTCTTGGAATCACGAGGGAGTATATATTCATATTAAGATGCTTGTTATTTGCCTTATCATGAATGACAGTGGACGAGTCATTTATGGTAAAGTTGTTAAGCTCATACGTTGGATTAGATTCCGTGACCCAGTTTATCAGGGATTCCACATTACTTTCTTTCTTGTCATTTATGGAAATATCTCCAGATATACCGAAAATGGATATATCATTGACCAGCCCTTTACCAGATAGCCATTTAACCACGGAAAGAGACACTTCTACTTGGTTTAGTTTCAGATTCATAGATACACCCTTAGTGTCATCTTTATCATTCGACTTCATCGTCACATTATGGAATCTGATCATCTTCTTCTTCCACTCGGGCACCATAGCATCCTTGAAAGTGAAATCGATCCCGTTTATGTATTTATTATTGTTTAGGATATTTCCAAGTGTCTCGCCAACAAACTCCTTAGCAAACATTGTGTTGGAAGCCATGATAACCAATGAGAGAAAAGTCGTGGTACCGACCACAATCCACACTATCTGCGACAACAACAACCATGAGAACAACGTATAGATCTCATCCTTAGAAAACGGTCTATTACCACGTATCAAGACCCACTTAGTCTTCACTTTAAACCGCTCAAAAAAGTTATCTGCATCCTTCAACAACAACTCCCGCCGCTGCCGTTCCTGATCCTTCTGCAACAGTATATTCTGAACATGGAGGAAATCAGTATTATTTGATATACCGGCACGGATAGCCTCCCGCTCAACAGGCCCAGAAATAAACCTCATACCAACAGGCCTCACCACTGGGCTTACCGCTGTAACTGGGCTTGCTGCTCGGTTTACGGGGTACACCAGAGGTCTCACTAGCCCCACAATAGGTGACACAAGCGGACCTCCTTCAGAGCCTAGAGGCCGCCGCAAAAAACCTACTATTCTCCTCCTGATCATTGTACCGCTTGCTATGGCTACCAGAACAAACTATAGAAGTTATCACCGATCAACTTATCCCACAACTCATTTAAAGCTTTGACAGCTCTTTCCGGGGTGATCCCTTGCTGGTCCCTCACAGCTCATCGCTTGGTTCACGAACCTGAAAAATTTTGACAAAAAAAAAAATTTGCGATGAGCTTGTGAAGAAGTATATAACAGCTGCTGTGCTCGATGAGCTTGGTGCTAGGTTACTTACAACAAGAGGACAGACGATTCAGGAATAATGGTTGCGCCAACTGCTGTTAAGAGACAAGAAGAAGCTACTGCTGGTCCCAGCCGAATTCTTGGTGATGGGGCACCAACGGCTATGATTGATGAGGATGATGATGAAATTTTGATTGACCAAGATATGGAGGAAGAAGCACCAAAGAAGAGCAAGAAAGAGGCAGCTGGTGTTGTTTTGGATGAATCTGGAAAGCCAAGGTTTGGCGCAGCTAAGGACCAGGCCACGACTAAGGTTAAACTGGAGTCCAGAAAAGTGCCTGTGCCACCACACAGAATGACGCCATTGCGGAACAGTTGGAACAAGATATACCCTCCTCTTGTGGATCACTTGAAATTGCAAGTTCGTATGAATTTGAAGACCAGAACTGTTGAGTTACGTACTCACCCAAAGCATACAACAGACCCTGGTGCTCTACAGAAAGGTGCTGATTTCATCAAGGCCTTCACACTGGGTTTTGATCTGGATGATTCTATCGCACTACTAAGGTTGGACGATCTGTATATTGAAACTTTTGAAGTTAAGGACGTGAAGACACTTACCGGTGACCATTTGTCGAGAGCCATCGGCCGTATTGCAGGTAAAGATGGTAAGACTAAGTTCGCCATTGAGAATGCCACCAGAACTAGAATCGTGCTAGCAGATTCCAAAATACATATCCTGGGTGGGTTCACACATATCAGAATGGCAAGAGAAGCCGTTGTTAGCTTGATCTTGGGTTCTCCACCAGGTAAAGTCTACGGTAACCTACGTACTGTTGCTTCAAGATTAAAAGAACGTTACTAATTCATAGGACTTATCAACCACTGCATATTAGAAAAGAGCAAGAGCATTATACAATCTTTATTTTTTATTTTCTATTCATTCACTTCAATTCAATTCGAAAAGCTCCATAAACTATTTTTTTTGTGTTTAATATTATTTCGTTATATCTCGTCCATTCCTATCATACAAAATGGGCATATATATCTTAACCACTGTGTACATTAGGATAATAAAATCTAATTAACTTCCCAAAATGATTTAACCTAAAAACTAAGAACATGGTTTCCAGATAGCTTTCTTACTATACTATCACTTTTCTTATGGAGTCCGTTTTAATCACCACGCGTTTTCGTTACAGGCGTCACCAAAATGAATTGCACTATAACGAGATGCTTCAGTTAAAGTTATTGATTGGTATTGATCCCATGGCCATTAGGAAGAGTTACATAGGCATCCACATCTAACATACGTTCACAATCGTGCATGTGTAGTGGAAGAAGTTGTTAGCAGATGAAGAAACAGATCTCTCTATCGGAAGTGTTAACTGGTAGGCCTACCACTACCAAGACACGCAAACCACGAGTGAAAGGTACTAAGAATGATACAAGTTGTACAAACACTACCGACATGAGGGTATCTGAGGATAAGCTGAATACGGAGGAGGATGCGAGGCTTCGAACGCGGCATATCGAGCCAATTGTAAATAGTACAAAAGAACCTGTTTCTTTAAAGAGTTTCCTTATGACAAGGCCACAGAAGCCCAAGACAACGGAAGTAATTGATTTAGACGAGGATGGTGATGTGATTTCCATTGAAAATGAATCTATAACTATGAACTCAAAGGCCATGGAACCGGAGAACTTCAAGAAGACTAGCCATAGAGAGATGTTCAATAATTTTGAAAAGAAGAAGAAGACAAGAGGGAAGAATAATGAACTAGAGATAACTAATGAGCCATACTTGGGGTATGAAAAAATACGAAGGTATAACGATGTTTCAAAATTGAAGGAATTACCTACTAGCTTATTCCCCAAGGTTCAATTGGTTGCCGAAAAAAGTATGAACATAATAGACATCGGGCAGGAGCATTTTGCTGAAAAACGTGTCAGAAATAGAACGGCTGATTATAACTTTTCAGTTGATGAATATATGCAGCTGAACCCTATTAGGAAATTAAATCCTGATGCAATCACTGATATTCCTGTGTCCGTTTCAGTTTCTGACTCAAGTAATAGTCAAAAGTTGTTATGGAACGATATGATGGCGCCTAAAAATATTCAAGATGTATTATTAGAGCCCAAGTTGAAGGAAGATGTCTTTATGTGGATAAGTTCAGCGTTTCACAAGCTAAAAAGACCCACAACTCGGAATAAACTGAAAAAACAAACCAAAAACGACCGTTTACGTAACGAAATAGAAGATTTTATTGTACCAGATGGTATGATAGTATTTGGTGATGACGAAGATACGACTAATTCTAAAGTGAATGAATCAAATCATTTTGATAATGAAGTAGAGTTTGTTCCTTTAATGATACTACATGGAGAGGGCATAGGGAAAAACACACTCATAAAAAATATAGCGAATCACTTAAACTCTCAAATATATGAGGTGGCGTCGAATTGTAATCGAGGTAAAAAAGAAATCAAAGAAATGCTTTTAGAGTTTTCCACAACACACTATGTTAAAGGTACGAAGGACGGAATCATTTTAATCGACGATGTTGACGTAATATTTAGAGAGCACGATAAATTTTTCTGGCAGGCGCTAGAAAAAGTTTTAATGGTCTCACGGAGACCCATTATACTTACAACCCGGGACATTAACTTTATTCCAACATATCTGCTTGATATATGTGAAGAAGAAAAATCCATTTTTCTAGCGAAAAGAGTATCAAGGGGCACAGTTCAAAAAATGTTGGCAAAATATATAGAGGTTCTCAATCAACCTTTGAATTCAGCGCTGATTGAAAAAGCAATTGAAATACACGGTGCCGACGTAAGGGGTTGCTTACTTGACCTTCAATTTCTTGACGGCTACAAAACAGGCTGTGATATAAACACCCCTTGTAATTTGTCGGTATCCATTCAAGACAGCAACTGTATAAATTCCCAGGCCAATGTGGCAGAACTACTTTCTAACTCTGACATAATACTCAATGCCACAGAATGGAACTCCAATTTCATCACAGAACCAGACAGCACACTAATGACTAGATCAGCTTTAGAGTATAATGCTAAACAATCTGATGATACTCTAAAATTGAAAAATGACTACTTAGTTGATTATCAATTGCATTTGAATGATGAACTACGACAACAAAGATTGCCATTTGAGATCAATATTGGACACGAAATTTATAAAATATTGGTTGATAGTCGATCACATAAAACTTCAAGCAAGCCAGTAAAATCTAAAAAATATAAGATTGACAAAGTAGTTAGAGCATCGGCAGAATACTTGGGTACTAGAATAGATTCAACGCAAGGGAAAGACCGAGGCAACAGGGCACGCAGTTCACGGAGGCGTATTCAAGAGGTTTTGGATAGATTGAGCTCAAACTATGAATATTCTGCAGATAAAGAAGATGAAATTATGATGGATTTAGAAATGTATCCATATTCCACATTATCATGTGAGATAAACCCGATGATACACGAGATTGCGAAGCGCGACAACGAGATCAAGTCATTTAATAGACAGTTATTTGAATCGGAGACCAAAGGTTTAGCCAAGGAAGAGATGAACACTGTGGTCTACAAGCTGACAAATGAAGGACTCTTGAAACCCATTTTTTTTCGAGCTAACCCACAAAGCTTACTCGACTATTGGAAATAGATACGGAACGAAAAGGCATGTATCCAAAATTTGCAAATACGAACTCCATTAGCTACTATTTGCACAACATATTGCATTATATACACTTAGTAAGACACTTAATAAACGAATAGAATAACATATAGCATATACTGCATTTTAAATGGTCAGTAATTGCACAAGATTGCTTGTACATCACATGATGAGTTGGTCATGACACCTTTTCTGAAAAAAAATTGCGATGCGATGAGCTGCGATGCGATGATTAATAATATTGATAAATGAAGATGATTTGGCAGTTACAGTTTCATAAATAAAACAGTGTGCTTATATGTTATTGCCCTCGACGCTTTTGCAAATAGTATAGAGAACTTCAGTACCTTATAATGTCGTACACTGCTCCTACTGATCCGGTGAATAAGCAAGAGGTGGTGAAGTTGTCACAGCTCTGTGAGCTGTGCCATGGTAGGAAAGCTGTCTTGAGAAGACCCAAGAATTTGCAGAAGATATGTAAGGAATGTTTCTACTATGTTTTTGAAACCGAAATTCACAACACTATTGTGAGCAACAACTTGTTCCAGCGCGGCGAGAAAGTTGCTATTGGTGCTTCTGGTGGTAAGGACTCCACTGTCCTGGCACATATCTTAAAATTATTAAACGATAGACATGACTACGGTGTTAAACTTGTTTTATTAAGTATTGACGAGGGTATTGTTGGATACAGAGACGATTCACTTGCCACAGTGAAGAGAAATCAGAAACAATATCAACTTCCGCTGGAGATTGTTTCCTTTAGAGATTTGTATGACTGGACCATGGATGAGATTGTTGCTATTGCAGGTATCAGAAATAGTTGTACCTACTGTGGTGTTTTTAGAAGACAAGCACTGGATCGTGGTGCCGCCAAACTAGATATTAATCATGTTGTTACGGGACATAACGCGGACGACATGGCAGAAACTGTCTTAATGAATATATTGCGTGGTGATGTTGCTAGGTTAGAAAGATCAACAGCCATTATTACACAAAGTGCAGGTTCACCGATCAGAAGATCCAAACCGTTCAAATACTGCTACCAGAAGGAAATTGTGCTGTACGCGCACTACAAAAAATTAGATTACTTCTCTACAGAATGTACATATGCTCCAGAAGCCTTCAGAGGTACAGCTAGAGAACTTATGAAAAACTTGGAAGCAGTACGACCAAGTTGTATCATTGATATCATCCAAAGTGGTGAGAACCTCGTTTTGAAGAAAAAGAAGAGACATCCTAATAGTAAAGTAGAGTTTAAAGACGGTAACAGATGTGAAAGATGCGGATATTTATCAAGTAACAAGATTTGCAAGGCATGTATGCTATTACAAGGACTGGAGAAAAATCGTGCGTCTATGAGCATAGATAATGATACAAATGTTGATGGTGCGGCAAGAGTAATGCGGACATTAGAAAAATTATCGTTCTAAAGACATACTCACAAACCAGTAAATACTAATTCAGATAAAAAATCAAGTTTAATTATGTAAATGCATATTAGTACATGTCAATAAGCTCATCATCGATATGCGAACGTGACTCAAGCAAATTTAACGAAGTAAATTGTACAGAAGGGAGTCCGCTTCTTGTTTACCCCAGAATTTACAGCCTTTGATCCAAGCCCTAAGAAACACCAACTTAGCATATATAGCTAGATAACTGGGGTAGAGGTGGTTAGTATTACTCTTAAAACACGCCCTTACAAATTCCAAAGATCTGTAATATTGAGTAGAGCAGAAGAGACAAGTGTGAAATTTTATTTTTGAGAATGAATAGTAGTGAGGATTACGGTTATGACTACGATTATCTCTTCAAGATAGTGCTAATTGGCGATTCAGGTGTCGGAAAGTCTAATCTGTTATCTCGGTTTACCACGAATGAGTTTAACCTCGAGTCTAAGTCGACAATAGGCGTTGAATTTGCCACAAGAACTATAAAAGTCGAGGATAAAAAAATTAAGGCACAGATATGGGATACTGCTGGACAGGAAAGATATCGTGCGATCACATCTGCCTACTATAGAGGTGCTGTCGGTGCCCTAATTGTCTATGATATTAGTAAATCCGGCACATACGAAAACTGTAATCATTGGTTAACCGAGTTAAAGGAAAATGCAGATGATAATGTGGCAATTGGTCTGATAGGTAATAAATCTGATTTGGAACACTTACGTGCAGTACCAACTGAGGAAGCCAGAGGTTTTGCGTCTGAAAACCAGCTTTTCTTTACTGAGACAAGTGCATTAAATAGTGAGAATGTGGATTTGGCCTTTAGGGAACTGATAGAACAAATTTACAAGATGGTCAATAAGCATCAAGTTGATCTGGGAGAGAATGCTAAAGGTAGTAGTGGCGCTCCTAAAGGACCTACTATTAGTCTAGCACCGGTGCCTGGTGAGAAAAAAAAGAAGAGCAAATCAAATAGCTGTTGCTAGTTTTCAGATACTTAAAGCCCCATTAATTCTATACTAAGCTAGACCAAGGAAAGATGTTCAACCAACAAGACAAGCTCCTAAATGTGATTTCCCAAATGCTACCAAATTAATCTTTTTAGACCATAGGATATCTCAGAGTTTTGCTATTATTGTAAACACCATGATAATGTTAATGAAATAATAATTTGTCAGACTTGTTTCCTTATATCCAAAATGGCTCTTCATAATGATCAGTTTGCTAACAGACTGCCATGACTATCCATTTATGCTGATCTCCAATAATTTGATCTCTTTTCTATATTGGTATCGTTCATTTATAATGAATTATATGGAGCAACTAGAACGCTTAGCAAATAGTAGAACTTTACGAGTTATGAATTAGGTTGTGTTCAATAAGCTGGAAGGATTTAGTGAGTTTTGGTTTATAATTGATTCTGCTTTTTAGTTTGGATTGTAGCTTCTACTAAGAATTGTAGAGTCAATTGGCTGTATCTAAATTTTTTGGGAATATAATCACTATTAGGGCATTAAGACTTGGATAATATTTTGGCGAAACGGCATTTTGTTTCAAAGAGTGGCATTATTCGCTTGCAATTTCGAGTATTTATGCTGATTGGCGGTGTCGCTTGTCTCGAGCTGGACAGATTGACAGTGTTATCGATGTTCTGAAAATCAATATCTCAGAAAGTATATGGACAAATATGCTTTCTCTATAGAGGAACCATTGCACAATCATGCTATTTCCTTGGGTTTGAATTGAGCATAAGATGTTCCCTTCTGTACGATACTGTGGTTCATAATACTGTGTTTCGGAAAAACCACTTGATCTTAAAGAGAAGTGCAAAATAATGGCTAGCTATACACCTGTATAAGATTGAGTACTCATTTTGTACAAAGGAGGTGGCCGATGTCTCCTTCTATATGTAAAGCCTTAATTCAGTCTAAGCGAAACGATAATAGACTTAAAAGAGAATAAAAGAAAAGATAGCAGAGCCGTGGACAATTTGTATTGTGTTGCCTAACTAATGAAGTCCGGTTTCGCTGGCTCAAATGTTTGAATATATGAGTTACGGTAACTTTCTGCGGGTAAGACAATATTCAAGTAATCTCCTACAATGCTCTAGAAAACTATGTTGTAGTGCTTTGTTATTGATAGTAATGATAACTTTACTACAGTTACCCCATCTGCTTCACTTTGTCGTACAGTCGGCAAATGGTTGCTTATCCAAGAGCTAAATGACGTATTGCTAGTATATGCTCAGTGGGGCAGGATTTTGTTTTATATAGTCTACAAAAAGAAAGAAAAATATTCCCATCGGCTTTGTCCTGATATAATAGTTTTTCTTACAGGCGTCCCTATTACTCATGCAATCTCCTGGGAGAAGGATGGATAGTGGAGCCCCACCATTCAATAGACATTTGAAGTCCTAAGGGCACTAAAGTGAAGCACAGACTGTGTTTAGTGCTAGTTGCCCCGGATGCACTGTTAAATTTGCAACAAAGACACAGATATTGTTATTAAGTGAATTACGTAGTTTTGTGATGATCAATTTCTACCTTTATAGAGGAATAGTTTTTCCGAGATCCCTAGAGGTAGATGTGATATCGCAGTTAGTGAATGAGTGGGCTAGTAAAACAGCAAAAGCCAGGATATCTTCTTTAGCAAGAGTTGTATAAACACCAAAATGGTGTACACATACGTCCGAGGTCAGAATACTTTGTTTCAGCTCTTGAAGCCAGTTTCTCTAGCTTATATTCTGTGGTAAACCCAAGTACAAATACATGTTGTGAGTTCCGACCTGCTGCTCAAGGTGGGGCAGTTACTTACTCAAACACCCAACTTCCCAAGCCGTTGTGCCGTCGTCCTCATTTCTTTTGTAGCTGGCAGTTCCATTGTCCCCCCTCTATATGTGTCTGCCCCACTGTTTTGAAACTTTTTCTGACTTGCAGTGTAGCTGGAAATAGTTTTTCCGTCAAATTCCGGACTGTGCATAAATTTTGCGCAGGGCGCATTCTAAGAGATTTCTATAGCTAAAAGAAAAAGAAAGAGAGCTTGATTAGCAGATAAGAACACAGTAGCTGGACTTCTCAAGTTGACATGATATCTGGGGTATTGCAAGTGCCTTACTCTACCAGTAGTTCTATTCCAGAATGCATTCTTATCAGAAGGTTTGTCTGCATCTGGAATAGTATTCAGGTATAGAAATAGTTTTTCCGAACTGAAATGTTGTATAGACTGAAAAGTGAAATAGGATAGAAAAAAGAAAAAATAAAAGCTAGAAATTCACTCGAAGTTTAGTTTGTCCTTGGAATGTCCGCAGCAAACTTTTTTGGCTTATTTGACTTGCTCGATGGACTCCAGGAGTTTCTTCCTTCCAGAAGCACGATACTATTTTACTAAGAAAATTATGTGAGAGCATTTTGTTTTATCTCGATCAATATTGGTGTATAATATCTCAAGACTAGTGAAGGGTCCGCTCAAAGTGGGTAGTGACTCTGCGCTGGAACTGGGGGAAACGAGGGGAAGGATACCAATCACTTGCGGGTGAAACAACATATCCCATGTGTAGCATCAAAGATTTGACAAGCACTTTGCACAGGAGGTAAGAAGAGTGATAGATAGTAATTGTGGCAGTGGTAGCCCAATGAAGTAGGTTCGACTGATTAAATAACCTCCAATTGCATGGAGTAATAAAAGGAAATAAATTTATCTCATATGTTACTCGGGATTTCTTCCCTCTCCGTAATTTAATTGATATCCCATTATTTGGAACCTTCGTTCCGTAATTTCCATGTAACATAGAATCAACATAATCTCAAAAGTTATAAAAAGAGAAGATATTTTAGTTACTCAAAGCGACCTTTGCTTATTTTGAATGATATTTGTTTTTAGATAGTCATTTGCCCATCGCAGTTAAGAAAGGTGTCTAATTGTTATTTATTAAGAACCTAAAAAATATACTGGCTAAACATAAACTAGTTATAGCTGAATTAGAAGCTCGATATAAATTGTTTTCTTTTCGATAATTTATGAAGCTTAGGAAACATTCGTGTTCTCAACAATTCAGATAAATTAGCCGAGCTCATTTGTCTTCGAACATATTAGTTTAGTTTCATAGGACGTCGAACATCTGTCGATACTGGTAAATTTCAATAATCTCCTTCATTGGAATTACTTTAAAATTCTAAACTAAAACTAATAGCACTGCAATAGCAAAATAAAACATGGCTAAAAGACCTGTTCGCCTTCCTTCTGATAATAAGGAAAGGCCTTTCAAATGTGAGCATTGCTCTCGTGGGTTCCACCGCTTGGAGCACAAGAAAAGACATATGAGAACCCATACTGGTGAAAAGCCTCATGGCTGTTCATTCCCTGGTTGTGGTAAGAGTTTCAGTAGAAGTGATGAACTAAAAAGACATAATCGAACTCACACAGGTGTTTCGCAAAAGAAGAAGAAAACAAAGGGTAAGGGAGCAAAGATACAAGACCCAATGGCTGGAGAAGAAAAATTAGTGGAGCTAGTTAATGTTCAGTTCCCGGTACCGTACACATCCGTTCAGAATGGTGAAACAAACATGTCCCCTCCCATCCCAGGCTCGCAGCCAATATCTATTCCTATTGCGAATCCACTGCCGCACCCAACGTCCGGAGTTTACTTTAATGTCCAACCTGGTACATCTCCATTAGTGGCTATCGCTCAACAGCAATTGGGTATGGTTAATTATCATGGATACCCCACAGTAGCTGCTAGTGAGTCTATCACACCTGTGCCTATATTGAGTACTTCAGCAAGTTCAGTAGCTCTAAGCGACATGTCACACACATCCTCGGCATTTTCAAATATTGGTGGAGGCCATTCTGGTGCTGGTTCACTATCTACTTCACCATCAAGTATGAATGATGTATACTTGAATTGTAACTCTAATAATCTACCACATAAGGTTAACAACACTACAAATCCGTGTGCTCCAACGTTGCCGCCTGTAATCAACATCACAAACAGTGCTGTTGGCTATAACAATGTTTTGAATTCTCTACAGAACAAGACCTCCAAAGCAAATTCTCGTGTCACAAAGGCCGAAAAAGGTGGGCCACTTTTGTCAACATCTCCAATTGATATCAAGCCATTATCTACAAACAACAGCTCGACATCATTAGTGGCATTACTGAAAAGTGATGCTAGTTTGGCCCCATTGAAAAAAGGCCCACTACAGCTTGCTTCATCAACAAGAAGTACAGCCAAGTATCTTGATGGCGTTTCAGATGGGGATGATAACAGATATTACTCGCAAGGAGATGAAGACCAGGACGATGATACTGATACATGTACTACTCCTCGTGAAAACATCAAAATTACACTGCCGCCATTGAGTAATCTTATTAAAGGGATTGAAATATTCAATGGTCAAGCATGATGATATTATGTAGGCTATATATCAAGAACATGAATATATGATAGATACTATAAATGTAATAGAAAGTAAATATAATGAAATGCCTCGGCTATATGTATTATTTACCGTTAAACAACTATAAAACTCAAAAACAACTATCAGATTGTTATACGAATTCGTGCTAAAGTAAAGAGACACTACCCCAACGGCATCAGGCAGAAGCAATTCCTCTCCCACGAATTTTGAAACAGCAAGCATTAAACACGCTTATTGGAACTCAACAAAATAAGCCCGGTCCATAATTTGGGGTGGGGGTGGCAGAAATGTACTGAAAACGGTTCTGTCATCCATTTCAAACACCGTTGCCGATCGTACTTCACTTTCGTTGAGTTCATCTCACATATGTTTTTCCGGTACCTGAAAAGGGGGACCCCACCACACTATGGAAACAAATAGTTATTATCCTTAACATTAAGGCAGGAAGCTAACCTTTACAATTGATAGTAGATGGGGAAGATATGTACGATTTCAGAGACCCAAAATAGTTTTTCCGAGATCAACCCCATAATATGTACGGCCACTTTCCTTTTTAAGAGTGTTAGAACATTTGTTGGCGCTTCAGCCAATTTTTAAAAAAATGTCTCATTTCCTCGAAATGCAATAGATCCCTCGGGCACTTTTTCGAGATCTACAGTTTCCATACGTCGTTGATATTCCCTGCATCCATTGTTCAGGCTATGAAAAAGCAAGCAATGAATCAGTGGGAAAAGAAAAAGCACTCAAAAATAGTTTTTCCGAGATCGTTCCTTTGTTTCATACCAAACAAACCACGCACAAGTTTTCTGTTCCTCTATTTTCCATGAAAAGCCTGGTTCTAGACACTGCCCCGCCCCCACTATTTCCTTTACGTAATTCCTCAAACATCGCAAAAACTAGCCATAGAGTCACAATATACGTTTCTATAGGGGCCCTTTTAAGCTTTGAGAGATTTTCGTCGTGCAGCATCAGAGTGGCACCATTTATTCATGCTTTTCAGGTATTGCGATGCAGTGAATAACGGAAAATCATACAAAACGTAGATCATTAGCTTAACGGTCATAGGGAACGGAAAAACTATTCCTGCTCTCTTGATTTCTAAACTAGCAAAAAAAATGATTTACAGTTTTGTTTGGCCCCTATAATCATTTGGAAGACGAAAGAGAGGCAGAGAACTCAGGAGCTGGCTGCGCACAGCTTGCTCTAACGTTCCAAACGGAAAAACCTTGTTAATGGAGGGAGGAGGGGAAGGGAAACTCGAGAATCCGTTTGTTGTCAAATTGCAAATTCAGAGAAGGTACTCCTGCGTTTTATTCTGAGCATACAGGATTGTTAACATTTAATAGGCTGGGGAATGTCTTCTTCAGGAAGCTTGTGTAGTAGAGCATTGTGATACTGGAGAATTGCTTCGGACGAATGGTCTTTAGGAGGATGCTCTCTTGATGGATAATGGCCATTTAAAAATGTGGGGAACAGAAGCTAGGGTCCATCTTTTTTATTTTATATTAATGTAGTACAACAGTATTTGAAAGCGCATACTGTATTACCATATATATAGTTGTGAAAGGATAGCCAACAGTATCTTTTTATTTGGATTTTTTTTACCTTTTTGACCAGCACTCTGAAACTCGAAGTGTGGTGATTTTGGTGGAAAGCTGGAGAAGTGGAAGAGAGTAAAGAAAATGGGTAATAACCCCAGCCTCGATTATCAAAGGACAGTTAAGAACAGTCCTCGCAAACATAAGGAGATGGTTCAAGTGGATGACATAGAAGCTAGGGTTGCTGATATCGACTTGCAGAATAGCGAGCAACCACCTGCAGAACGGGTATTGAATCGTAAGAAGTCCACATTGTTGTTCGATGACGAATCCAATAATGAAGAAGAGTACAGTGAAGAGAATGAGGAAGAGAAGGTAAGGTATCGTGCCGAATCTATATCGTCTACCAGCAGTTGTTCCAGCCATGCTAGTGACGATATTCAGCAAGATGAAGTATGTGATAGAACTGAAGAGGCAACTAAGTTGGAGAGGCAGTCTAGAGAAGATCATAGTGATGAGCATATTAGGACCGCTACACAATCTGAAAGCGATCTCGCTCGCACAACGACTAATACTACTGAAGTTGGTATTGATGAATCTCGCCATGAAGAAAAGGAGAAGCAGGAAAGCTCAAGTTCAGCATCAAATGGTATGGTTCCTGTGGAGATAAGATGGGAGCAAGGTGGTGAGAAGGTTTATGTGACAGGGTCCTTCACAAATTGGAGGAAAATGATAGGCTTAATTCCTGTTGAGTCCGAACCGGGCCATTTCAAGATTAAACTTCAGTTGGCTCCTGGAACTCATAGATTTAGGTTTATCGTAGACAACCAGCTGAGGTTTAGTGATAACTTACCTACTGCAACTGATCAAATGGGTAATTTTGTTAATTATTTGGAGGTCTCGGCGGTTCCGAAGTCAGACTCCACGTCATCAAGAACAGGTAAGGAAAGGAAAGATAAAAATAAGAAATCTGTGAGTAAAGTATCGAAGGATAGGTCTACCGTGGGACCATTAAGTGCTAGGTCCTGTATAGCGTTAGAAATAGAAAAAGAGCCTGATGATTTTGGAGATGGGTACACCAGATATCATGAAGAACTCCCACAAGAACCAAAATACGAATTTAGTTCAGAGATCCCTGCTATATTTGTAGATCAGTCCATAATCGAGCAGTTAACAATGGAAAGGCAAAGAAAGAAATCCAATAATATGTCATGGTTGACTCCGCCTCAGTTACCACCACAATTAGAAAACGTAATACTTAATAAATTCGGAGAGCCATTGAGTCAAAGCACGGAGAACAATGCAGGTGCGCTACCAATCCCTAATCATTCTGTGTTAAACCATCTGGTAACAACAAGCATTAAACACAACACACTCTGTGTTGCAACAAACAACAGGTACAGGCAGAAGTACGTCTCACAGATTTACTACGTCCCATTGTAGGTATCACTCACATTGTAATATTCATTAAAAAAAAAAGTAAATAGTATATATTTTCCTTCCATAATTGTATTATCAAACAGTTCACGACTACAAGTCTGTTATGCAATACCGCAACTATAAAGAGATAAGCCCGGTATAGGCCACATCGATCTACATGCCCACCAACGATGGCATTAAGACTCATCGCATCAAATTTTTTTTATTTTTTTTTTTTTTTGCAGGAAAATTGATTTTTTTATGAAATTTTCCGGTTTGCTTGTACAGCTGTTTCTGTGAAAACTGACCAACACATCATTCAAGTTTTGACAAAATGAAAGCTTCTAATCGAAAAACTTGGACTATAGTCTGCACAACGCAAGGCACCGTGGTATTCTAATTTGAGTATTTGCCAACCTTTGTTCTGAATAAGAATTTCAATTAAAAGGAGTAGTATATAGTCTTCTTATTTCTAGCTTAGCATTCAGAAACTGGAACAAAGAAGTCACTTTCTTTTTATTTGAGTGAAGAGTCATTGCAATCAGCTAATTGTGAATATAAAAATAATCATGTCATCCTCTCAAGTGTATAGATCCACTAGATCCGCTGAGCAAGAGTCTAAGTCCTTCGAGGAAGCTGTTATTCAAGGTCTGGCTACTGATGGTGGTCTTTTCGTTCCATCTACCATCCCAACAGTCTCCAAGGACACACTTTTCAGCAAGTGGTCTAAGTTGTCTTTCCAAGAGTTGGCTTTTGAAATTATGAGACTATACATTGACTCTAAGGAAATTCCAGATGCTGACTTGAAGTCCTTGATTGAAAGATCCTACTCCACTTTCCGCTCCGATGACGTTACCCCATTGGTAAAGAACGTTACCGGCAATGAAGAGAACTTGCATGTTCTTGAATTATTCCATGGTCCAACATATGCTTTCAAAGATGTCGCTTTGCAATTTGTCGGTAACTTGTTTGAATACTTCCTGCAAAGAATTAACAAGGACTTACCTGAAGAACAAAGAAAAAGATTAACTGTCGTTGGTGCTACTTCTGGTGACACAGGTTCTGCAGCAATCTACGGTCTAAGAGGTAAAAAGGATGTTTCTGTCTTCATCCTTTACCCAACTGGTAGAATTTCTCCAATCCAAGAAGAACAAATGACTACTGTTGAGGACAAGAACGTCCAAACTTTGTCCGTCGCTGGTACATTTGATAACTGTCAAGATATAGTTAAAGCCATCTTTGGTGACAAGGATTTCAACTCCAGACACAATGTTGGTGCTGTTAACTCCATCAACTGGGCTAGAATTTTGGCTCAAATGACCTATTACTTCTACTCTTACTTCAGAGCCACAGATGGCAAGGAAGGTAAGGTTAAGTTTGTTGTGCCAAGTGGTAATTTCGGTGATATATTAGCTGGTTACTTTGCTAAGCAAATGGGTTTACCTGTTGAAAAGCTAGTTATTGCCACTAATGAAAATGATATTCTTGACAGATTTTTGAAGACCGGTACTTACGAAAGATCTGCCAATGTTTTGGCTACACACTCTCCAGCTATGGACATCTTGATTTCTTCCAACTTTGAAAGATTACTGTGGTACCTTGCTCGTGAATTTTTGGCTGAAAAGGATGACTTGAAGGCTGGGGAGATCATCAACACTTGGTTTACCCAATTGAAGACAGAAGGTAAATTTGTTGTTGATAAATCTATCATCGAGGGTGCTCTACAGGATTTTGCATCTGAAAGAGTCTCTAATGAGGAAACTATTCAAACTATCAAGAAAATGTATGAAATTTCCCAAAATCCAAAGAAGTATGTCTTGGATCCTCATACAGCCGTTGGTGTTTGTGCCACCGAAAGATTGATCAAGAAAGATAACGATAAGGAGATTCAATATGTTTCCCTGTCAACAGCCCACCCAGCCAAGTTTGCCGAAGCTGTTAACCAAGCTTTGTCCTCCTTTGATGGCTACTCATTCGAATCTGACGTTCTGCCAGCTGAATTGAAGAGATTGTCTACTCTACCAAAGAAGATAAAGTTGGTTGAAAAGGCCGATGTCACTTTGGTAAAGAACACTATTGAAGAAGAACTTGCCAAGATGGGTTTGTAAAACAGTATAGAATTATAATGAATTAATTTTTTGTATAGAAATAGAAATCTAATGATGAATATAACGTTATCATTTTGAAACATTGGGTGCGTATAAAACATGAGCGAAAGATGATTGATTAAAGTCATGATATGTAATGAGACTTATTGAAAAAGTCTCACTGATTAGTCGATTTTAGAGAGAGTTTACCATCTTTTGAGATGTCAACCTCATAGCCAGCCTCCTGTAAAGTTTCATCGTTGGCGACTCTTTTGGATTCAAGGTTAGCCACAAAATTCTGATTCTCTTTGTTGTCTTTTAATAAGAATTTAATACACATTATACTTCTTTCCTTGATGAATGGGTCGTTGTCATCAATAACACAATTAGACAGAATCACCCCTAGACCACCTAACTCTCTAACTTGATTCTGAATTTCCCTATTTTCATGTGTGAGCATCGCAATAATTTCTATAATCAATAGTTTACACTCAGGGAAATTGGTTTCTTTTATTTTCATGTTAATTAAGTCAATACGCTCTTCAATCAATGAATCTTTGGCCAGCTTTTCACCTAGTTTATTCGTGGCCTTGACACCAGTAATATCAGACGCTTGACTTGTTTTAGTAAAGTTCACTCTTATAAGGTTATCCTGGAATATATTCAGTAATGATATGAGCTGATCTAAACCTTTATATGATATAATAAATTTTTGGACATGGTTGAATTGGCACAATTTAGCCATAATGTCTAATGTAATAACACACTTGGCGTGAAGTTTCTTCGCAATCTCTTCATTTTCCAACTTATTTTTAAAGTAATTTTTAATCTGATCAGCGTTTTTCTCAAAAATCTTGTATGTCCAAGTCATTATGGATGTGAGTTGAAATTTGTCCCAACTATCTATATTTGTGACGACTAATTGCATTAATTTTAGTAGATCGATAAATATATTAAAAGAATTATTTTCCTTGTCTTCCAAATATGGTATAAATGATTCATGAGTAGAGATGAGGGCAAAAGTTCGAAGTAGTATCATGTCTATATCAGACAAATTAACATCAGGACTGACTATACGAGTACCGCTAACTATTTCAAATATTTGTGATTCATCTCTCATTATCTTATCTAGAATTAAACCGCATAATATACTGTCAACCTTATCATACCGCAAAAAATAATACAGAAAATCATCGTGCTGGATTAAATCCTTGAAATACAATAAGTAAGGTAGTAAAATATCTTTTGTATACTCATAGTTGAGTTTCACCGGGAAATGCAGAAATTCAAATAATTCTTTCGATGAGGAACGATCAAATACAACTGATTTAGAGCTCATATTATGAAGAAAACTCAATATAGTGGAGTAAAGAGCCAATTGCATTCCGTCATCAAGCTTACCAACTTTCAATGAATTATTGAATATTTTGTATGCAATATTTTGTAGCAAGAGTTCTTGTGCAATCTCTGAACCCGATACAGCTAGATTTCTTGCCAGAATGAACACACCACGTAATAATCTTTTGTATAAGAATATGACCTCTGCTGACCATCCACTGATATCTTCAACATGAGAATTCACTAATATGGTTTTAATTAGCTGCCAAGTTTCCTTATCTCTTGAAAATTTATCTCTGATTGCAGTATTGTTGGCAGTTTCGATGACAAAGTCATTCAAAAGTCCTAAGTTGTCATGGTATAGTTGTGGATCAGAGTTTGCCTCTGACAGCAGTCTATCTATATCCTGTAAAATCTTTTTTTTTTCTGACATAGTCGAGAAGCTGTCTTTGATTAGGTGCCTAAATTGTTAAAATATGTTCTTCAAAAACCCTATTTGACTAAAATTTGGAAACTTGATCAAATCTTGATTTGCGATGAGCTTGAATAATCTCAATTTCGAAGTACCTTTAAGTGGGGTGTATATATTTATCACGTGATCATAATAAATCAATCTACTAATGTCAAACATATTAATTCAAAATGCGTTATTTCCCGGTTACTACCGAATAGACTATGTCAAATATAAATGCATGCTGTTAAATATATAAACGTATGTTCTTTTCGATTAGGACGTAAAAAAAATCTATCATTGCAATAGCTCATCTTCTGATTCGCTATCGTCTTCAGATAATGCAAGTTGTTGTTTCTTCTCTTGGAAACCTATCCATTCTCCATCTTCGTCATCGTCTGATTGCATGACCACATCATCTTCATCACTTGAAGAAGAATCACTTATATTTTGAATTTCCTCTTCACTTGAATCAGCTCCTTTTCCTGATGTGGATGTTAGGAAACGGTAAGCGTATTTGTTAGTGGCTGACAGAAAAGTTACATCTTCCGCAATTCTTCCAATGAATCTTCTAACAGCCCTAGTAGCAGATGAAAACATATGTTCATGCTGCTTCATAAAAGATCCATGCGCTATTAATAGAGCCTTTAGCCACAATAGGTTGAATTCAATATGTTGAGATGTTGTAGCAAAATTACCAATAAAGGTCAGTAATCTTGACACATATACTACTGGTAATTGATTGCAGACAGAATTGATTTGTGTCACTGGCACATTCTCATAAACTTTGTTAATTAAATATTCCTCGTTCAGTCTAAATGCCATGACTAGTGCTGTAAGATAATCTTTTTCCGCTAAAACTTCCAAAGTAGCTTGTGGAGTTATATCAATATCTAAATCAAAAGGATCAAAAATTAATGTTTCGTCAATTGAATATATTAGGAGACCCTCTGTTGAGGCTGCTGCAAATGCATTAGCTGTTGGAGAAAATTGGACAGAGGTTACTCTAATTTCTGGTCTAGAGCTTCTTGTGGACATGTCTCCACCTCTGTGAGATCCTGGTAGAGAGCCGTCTATGCGATCCTCTAAGTCGGAGTACTCACCAGAACTGTCAATTAAATCTAAGGAGCCAGCTTCTGTCATTCTGCTGCTGTTCAAAAATTCTAAGGTACCATTTAAATTCATATTTCTTGACACAATAAATCTTTTCAAAAGCACTTCATTAGGAACATCGTAAAGGCAAATGGAGTTGTTGTTACCACCAGCAATAATTGACTTACCATCAAAACTATAATTAATAGTAGTGAAGTATTTAGACCTTTCTGAATTCTTGGACGTAAATCTATCTTGCAAGAATCTACCGGAGATTATGTCCTTCCTACAGTCAATATTACCGATTTGCTTCCCGCTAGCAATATCGAAGATTGTTAGCTGTCCCTTTAATGTGGATACAGCTACGTGTTTACCATCTGGTGTGATTGTTATCGCTAGTATGTCTGCAAATACTTCCAGAGGTTCTACTTGCTGAGATCTGCCAAAGATTGACCATATCCTAATTGTTTTGTCCCATGATGCAGAAGCGAGTACTGCATTCTCCATACTGAAGGCAAGACAAGAGACTGGTCCCTCATGTCCTGAAAGAGTATCTAGTAGTTGTCCGGTCTGTACTGACCACACGAAGACATCAAAGCTATCTGTTGAACCAGCACTTACAACTTCACCGGATGGCTCAACAGCCAGACATGTGAACTGCACTCTTTCAGTAGCAGTAAATACTCTGAAATTTCTGTATCTTATTAGATCCCATGCACGAACTGTACCATCTAAAGATGCAGAAAATAGCACTTGACCTTTCTTGGCAAATTGCACAGCAGTAACAGCCGATGTATGCTCTTCAAATGTGGCCAGACAAAACCCTGACGCAACATCCCATACCTTGATTTTACCATCCTCAGCAGCAGTAACAACTCTGGATCCATCTGGTGAGTATGTTAAACTATTAGTTGCATCAAAATGACCCTGTTGTTTTAAGATGTATGATTCTGATTGCCATTCATATACTAACAACTGACCTAATTTGCTCGAACCAAAAGCTAACCATTCACCAGAGTTATTTACAGATACAGTATTGACTGGGTTTTGTCCCATAGAGAGTTGTTGGACCATCACAAATTCTGGCATTTCGTATAGTCGAAATTCACCATTAGAAAACCCTACAATTAGTAAATTGCTATTAATATGAAATGTGCAGCACTTTACCTTAGCTTGATTTGCGTAAAAGAAATTCTTTTTTGTAATTCTCCAGCTCAATTTTGATAAATCTTCATCCTCTAAATCTTCTTCATCCAGACCTTCCTTTTGTGCCTTTGAAATGTATTCCCATGTGAATACAGCACCATCTTTACTTATTGTGTAGATTTTCTCTTGTGTTGAATTAAAGTAGGCACCTAATACATAGTCTCTATGGCCAGCTAGAGTGGTGGCGACCAGTTCCTTATCTTCGGAATTAATAGACCAAACTCTGGAGGTCAAATCCTTCGAAGTTGTTAGCAGGAACCTAGAATCATGGGACCATGTGAATGATGTAATATCTTGAAAATGCCCTGCATGAACTCTGTAGCGCACGAATGGTGCAAATTGCCTGTCCTGCGAGACATCAGGTGTCTTCCATATCTGTAAAAACCTGCCAACAGCTAAAGCGAAATATCTGCCATCCGGACTAAATTTTACACTGTAGCACTTATCTTTAAAATTGAAATGATGTAACACATTTCTAGTCTTGAAATTAACCAAGATTGCTCTACCATCTGTGTCAACTGACAACAACAAAGTACCTTGTTTATTAACATCGAATGTTGCTATGTTTTTCCTATGCTCATAAGCAAATGTAAATGATTTATTATTGACTAGATCAAACACAGAAATACGGTTGCCCACTGGAGACAAAAGCATATTCCCATCATGGGAGAACTGCACATTACCTTGCCTATACACTGTCCCAAGCAAATTGGAAAACTTGAAATCGGACTTCATCTTAGTTCAGTCTCTGTGGTCCAATAATCCTTAAAGCACAATTGATCCCTACTAAATACTAGTTAAAAGCAGGAGAAATTTATCTATTTTCATTCTATTACTTACAGTTATATTGAAGCGATGAGCTCAGCTCATCGCAAATTTTTTTTTTTCAAAATTTTTCAAAATCTAAAAGTATATAAATTTGAGCGTGATTACTGTCGTGGGCAGCTATAGTAATACGGCTGAGAGTACAGTTGGGCTAACGGGTAAAGTTTTGCGATTGCAAACGCCATTATTTGCATGCATTAGTTTTATTAATAGTTGGCAATTATAACAAAAGTCTATAGGTTGTTTTTTTCATTTTTAATGTGTAATGATAAGCAATATTTATTATTTTTTGGCTGGTGTAAAGCCTGCCCGCAGGATTGCCTCTCTTGCCGTTGAGTTGATGTGTTTGAACCTATCTGGACCAATATGTACACCACCAAACCAACGAGCTACTACAACGATAACATTCCACACATCCATGATAGTCACTAAATGTAGCATTCGGGATCCTGCTGCGGTTTCTCCGTCGTCGTCACAATCCTGGTAGATGATATCGTTACTATCTGTTTGTTTCTTAATTCTCCAGGCACACATGGCATGGTTAGCCCTCCTCATCTTAGAATCGGTCTTCAAATGATCAAGCATTTGGAATGCCTCCTCCTCGGAATTTACATGAGCTGCAAACGCCATAAATGTTGACCCACGGTCACTGATAGGATCCGACGCAGTCCAGCCTTCAAATGGATCCACGGGAACTAAAGCAGAATTATCTACTACTTCAGCGGCATCCATAGACGATTCCTCTTCATCATCATATAGCACACCATCCAATTCAGTGAAGAAATCGAACAGGCAAACAGAACCCTGGTGAAACATGGAATCCATGACTTCTTGAAACAGTGTCGTGAGATACTTTGAGTCGTAATCTCCTTGAGCCACAGAAACTTCGAGGACATGGGGCGGTTCAGTTGCTGGATACTTATCAGGCAAAGAGATCTTGACCGTGAACTTCTCATGTTGAGGTACCTTCATGGCAAATATATTCTCTGCATCATCTCTCTTCAGTAAGTCAGGGTAGATAGCTTCCAGAGACTCCAATTCTTCTACAACTAGTTCATCCATCTTTTATCGCCTAGATATTGTTGTTTTGGTACAGCTGTGTTACATGACTAATGGACCTGTAACCAATTAGAAATCACTCTTTTCATTCTATTCTCTCTTGATCATTACTTCTTTATCATCGCTGCTGCTTAAAGGCGAGAGCGATGAGCTGGAAATCCTACAAAAAGCCTGGGCATCAAGATGTCAACAGACAGCGAAATTTAAAGCATTGGAATAACGGATTACAGGACAAGTTGACGATGTCCTTCCAGCATTTCAAGGATATTGGTAATGAGCATTTCAAGAAAGGTGAGTATGACCTGGCCATTGAACAATACCGCAAATGCATATCCTTAGAGCCTACAAATGCCGTCGGGTATAGTAACCTAGCAATGGCATACTTGAAGAATAGGTGCCCGGACGAGGCCAAGACTGCATGTGAGATGGGGTTATCATACTGCAAGGACACAAAACTCAGACAAAAATTACAGTACAGGTTAGAACTGGCCACTACAAATAAGAGACCAAAGACGCTACAACAGTTGGAAATACGAGAAGTGGAACGGATCCCTCCCGAATTGGCAAGCTTGTGATAGGTGTTGTCTCACTAAAGGCAAAAAAAAACGTTTCCCGGATCCATTGGAATTTCTGCTTCATGTAGGGAAATATCGAGTTTAGTTTCTAATGGCATGATAAATTGTTCCATACGTGATTTGACTAATGATTACTCGTTTTGAATAATCTCATTGGGTTGCTGGCTACAAAAGTCCAAAACTGATGCTTAATTAGAGTTTGTACCTTAAAAATTACCCTTTTCTTAAAAAGAAAAAAAATCCCTTCAGTAACTGTATAAATACTTTGAACCCTATATAATATATCCTTACTTTGAATAATTTCCTTTCCGAGAGCATATACTTCTCAGGATATCCAGGGCACATAGCTAAATATAACTGAGCGATGAGGTTCTGGTGGATTGTAACATTAGCTAATCTTTGTGCGGCACATATGCATATGGATGATGACGAGGATATGAGTAATGAAATGGGTATGGGAGTAAGTGACACTAACTTGACGCCTGTACCACATGAGCCCAAGCATTTGCATGGTCAGCCCATTCTGGACACCCACTTAACGCCAGCTGAGAGACTGTATTGGGAGAAGTATGATACTACAACCTTCTTCACTACAGACCTTGGTAACAGGTCTGCGTTTAAGTTCCATGTGGCGACCATGTTTATTTTGTTGTTCTTGTCTTACCCCGTATGCTTAATTTTAAACTCGGTTGCCTCCAGCTGGTACCTGGCAGCATTGACTGCCAACCTGGCATTAACTGTCGCTTCTCTTATATCCCTGTTGGTATTCAGCACCACTTTTCCTGAGGAGTGGTATGCCAATAACTTCTATCATAAAACTTCATGGACTGTTCTCATCTTGATGTTAGTTCATTACATCGCTGCTGTAGGTACATTGGCTGCTAAACGGTTTGGTTCTGGCTATGTATCATTAGATATAGAGACAGTTGCATATCCTTTGCAAGATTATGACAACTACGAAATACCAGATGTAGTGGTTAATGATGGCAACACTGAGGACCCTAGTCGTCTCAGCCCGCCAACGACAGTTACTCCAAACGATGACACACAAGAGTCATCCTTGAGTCATAGTCATAGTGAAGAGTCTCTGAGGTTTACTGATGATTCGCATAAAAAGCCAAGGAAGGATAAATTGCTCAACAAGATACCTGTAAACTCCAAACTGCAAACTATAATGGACAAGTTTGGTGTGTTTTTTGGCATTATTTTTGGCTTCCTTAATTACCCAATGTTGTTGATCTTATTTGTTGATGCTTGCACGGGTATTGCGATTGGTAATTTACTTGGAAAAGGACCAAGGGTATTTAATTTACTAGCTCATTGGATTAAAGGTGGTGTCTTCTTTGTTTTAGGTATCGTCTCGCTTGCTAGATACTGCGGCGTGGGCCAAAAATACGGATGGGCCTGGAATAGGCTTATTATTGATAGAAGATCGCCATACGCAAATTCTGTTTGGTTCAAGTACAGTCCAATAGGAGGTATTACAATGGAAGGGTTTGAATCGTTCTTGATCTTTTTTTATGGTTCAACTAATGTATTTTTAGAGCATTTGGCAGGAGCTGGTGGCGCCTGGACTGCAAAGGATCTGCAACATGTTTCAATAGCATTTATGTTTTTTGGAACTGGTTTATGTGGCTTATTGGTGGAAGGATTCCTTAATAAATGGAGATTTACACATGCATTGGTTAGAACTGATTATAAAGAAGAGGAGGTTTTGGTGGCTAATCCAGGGTATTCACCAAATCCATTTCCAACATTTACGATTTTTTGGACTGGTATATTGATGTCACAACATGCTCAGGCATCTGAGACGTCGACTACCATACATGTTCAATGGGGTAGTTTGTTATCATATGGATCATTCTTCCGTCTGTTTACATTTTTAATATTGTATTTCAGTCCTGAGGTTAACATGGAGCCTTTTAAGCCTATTACAGAATTAGTTTCATCTTTCTGTCTCTTGGCAGGTGGATTGATTTTTATGGAGTCAACAGATCAAGTGGTTGAAGGCTTTGAATATCGCGGCTTTACACCGATGTTCACATTTAACATTAGTGTGGGTATTGTCTCATTAATTATGGCATGGGAGATGATACTTCTCTTTTGGAGAAGATACCTGGCATCCAATTAAATGCTGGTAATTATTTATTAACTATTCTCGAATATATAAACAATAGATGGAGAATGAGAGGTAAGTCTAAAATATGTACGAAGGGCCTTTTTCTAGACATATCATTCAATATAGCAATTAACATATTATCGATTATGTATCATGCGGAAACTATTTTATGCAAGACTTTCTGTGAGGCATTTTTTCTTTGATTTTTTTCACGAAGTATAAGGGCAAATCGAATAAGATTTTCTGTTAATCTCTACAAAATGGCACTATGGCCGAGTGGTTAAGGCGAGAGACTCGAATTTTTCTGAACGTTCGGCTATCTCTTGGGCTCTGCCCGCGCTGGTTCAAATCCTGCTGGTGTCGTTTTAATTTTTTTGTCATGTTTCCTCTGTAGACTGATATTTTCATATAATTTCATTAGGCATCTAAGGCGAGCATGTATTACAGCCAATTCAATGCTGAAATATGCATTAATAACTAGAGTTTATTTTTGTATATTCGTAAAAGTTAGGTTAGATGATAGGATCATTATAGAAATAGACGAAAACCAGAAAATAGCATTAATTATAATAGTGATGGTAATATCTACCAGCAAATACGATAGATATTATAATGCTAGTTTTTTATCTATTAAGGCTTCAAATACCAAGGCATTTATATATCGAATCCTCGATTTCTTAACTGCTTCATTGTCCATATCCAGGTTGATGCTGCGTCATCAAGATTATTTGCCACGTAGCTACTTCGTGATTCTTTCCCACCAGTGGTGAAATACTTGCCATTATCGTTTGTTGTTGTTAATTCCTGAGAGAGTGAGCATCTCAATGTAGAGTATGCCCCTTGCTCATTCGACACACCAAACATAAATCCGACTACTTGGAATAGCAGCCAGAAAAAAATGCCTACCAGAGGTAATCTTGTCCAGAAACTGAATAAATTTGTGTTCATTACCAATCCAGGGTGTACACTGACAAATAGAATGTCGGGGTTCTTGATCGCCAGCATTTTTGTGTATTGTATAGAGGCCACTTTAGTCATTGCATAACGGAACCAAGTGAATACGAAATTTGGGAAATAGTTCCAAGTTTCATCCAGTTTGCTATATTTGAATATAATGTGGTGGCCTAGCGATGACAGCGTTACTACACGACCATGACTGCAACGCAGCAACGGGAGTAATCTCATTGTCAGCAAGAAATGGGCAATGTAATTCGTCTGCATCTGTATTTCAAAACCGTCCTTGGTTATCTCATACGGTACCGCCATAACCCCAGCATTATTCACCAGCACGTCTAGATGGTTTTCCATTCTGAGTATTTTAGCGGCAGCGCGGTCCACGCATTTCAAATCAGTCAAATCGGTGTGTAAATATTGTAAACTGCCCAGGTATCTAGTGGGCTTCTGATCATGCAGCCCTTTCAGGTATAGATTATGTCTGCGCACAGCTTCCTCAATAATATCGTCCATGGCCCTGCTAACTTTGTGCGAGTTTCGACCACACACATACACTCTAAACCCATGCATGTACAGGTGCAACACCGTAAACCACCCTATACCACTGTTCCCTCCGGTGACTACTGCCACCCGGTCATCCACTTGCGGATTGTAATACGGTAACTCGCTCGGATCCCAAGTCATTTCCGGCAATCTTCTATAACAACTACAGTATCTACAGCCAAGTGTACCCTTGTGAATAAGTGCATACTACTCCCCCTTTCCTAATGTAATAAGCATTCACAACAGCTAATATATAAACTCATCGGTATTATAGACACAGGACTCATCGAGAAAGTTTTTTTTTTTTTCATCCTGCCAAAACTAGTCCCTGCTAGCTTTCAAGGCAAATGCTGTCTTGTATAGTAAGAAATATCCGTACAAATTTTCACTCTCTCAAATCCGCATCCATCCTTGATCAGAAACCCATTTAAGTTATGGGAAACCTTTTTTCTCTGCAGCGGTTCTCTGCGAAAAACTGAAAAGCAATTTTTTTCTTTTTTTTTTCGTTTTCGCTTCGCCGCTCTCACAATCCTCTGCGGATATGAAAGAACTAACACAAGGAGGATGTTATGTTGTACGTTGTGTATGGGTATGGGTATGGCATGTGCATTTCGTTGGTTGGTATGTTCGTTTCCAGTGTTATGTCATGTGAAATACCATCATACGTGTATCCGGTTTCTCTTCCAAACCAGGATTTGGCCCTATCTGTTCCCTTGTTTTCCTCATGACCGGCATACTGCCGTATAGGTTTCAACAAAAGTACTTTGCAGTTATCTCTTTATTTACACTTCATTTCATGTTTGAGTTTAGCTGTCTCGGTGCGGGAACTAGGTATGAAAGTAGGTATTAAGAATGGTGCAAATTGCTTTGTAGTAGTTGAAATGACGTATCCCGTCGATAAATGGTATTAGAAGGTAGTGTGGTGTGGGATTAGTATTGTCAAGCACTAAGCGTGTGTAGTGTAAAATTGTTCATAGATATAGCAAATTAGGAGAGGTCTTAAGAGGGGTTCACCACCCTGGGGCATGTCACTTCATTGATAGTCTGAGCACAGCTCTTTCGAATGCTCTTTCAAAAAATATTTCGCGACTTGGTAGATTTTTAAATGAGGAAACGCCAAAAATTCCATGGCTATACCATCTGCTATTGAACAAATAGTGACGCGAAAATCAGGGAAAGTTCATTGTTCCTGCAGGTTTTTCTAAATGTACGCTTTGGATTTGCAGTCCTTTTTTTTGTGTCCACCCTCGATTCTAGCAATTGCCGGGTAAAAGAAGGACGCGAAAATTCAAGGGGAATGTCGGTTTATTCTGCGCAACATTTCGCTCCTCTGGCTTTTGGTTTTCTAAGTGTAAATAAAACCCTTTAAACACACTATGCTTGTGACTTGACTACCTTGCAAAGAAGTAGTGAGTTTTGCCAATTTGTCTATGCCAATTGGTACTCGGTCAGAAACTCAACAATGGCGTAAGATTAGAACTATGTCGATCTCTTGCGTAGTCTTAGCTTGTTCTTCGCTTCTTATCTCCCTTTCCATCTACGACCCCCCTCCCCCCACACACACATTACTTGTCTGCTTCGAAATTATATCTCTTGTGGATACGCTATCGAGACAATTCAGAAAGACAAATGCTCAGAAAGCATTAAAGTTTGAAGGACAGTGCAGTGTCAGTGTGAAGAGGCATTAATGCCTCTTCACTGATTTCTTGTAATGACGATTTCGTATCCACGGTTGATAATATCCTGCCATTGTACTCCGACCAATTTACCTTGAGTTACTTACACAGTCAGAGACTGCGTTCCTGGATTTGTTCGAGATAGAAGTGTAGAGACGTTTAATTCGTAATTGTCTTTGACATGGGGAAACACGAATTTTTATTTTACAACTCGAAATTACTTCACAAAACACCAAAGAATTTATTGAAATAGTATTTCAAAATTTTATGTTCATCTGGACCTCAGCAATTCTGTATTTTGTATATAAACTAGAAAAGATTTCTATGATATTTAAAAATAAATCTCTTAGGTCTGAGCCCTCTATCAAATCGTAATCCTTTTTAATATCGATTCCTTGATTTACAAATTTCTATATTTATACATTGCGTCATTTATCTTTTTTCATCTACTTGATTTGATTTTTAGTATTATCGCTGATTATAATCAATTAACCTACCCAAGGATACAACCAGATTAAAAAGTTTTTTATAAACTGATATAATATACCAGGTCAGAATTCAATTTTCTTAACAGAAACAATACCAACCAGGAAGTTTGACACTTTACAAAAAAATTGACCAAATCTTTCATTTTTATTTCTATTGAGCCATAGACTACAAAACTAGGTCTCGTCCATTCATTATTATTTTATTTTACCGATCGCTTCCTCTATACAGAGAATATCAGTTATCCTAACCTAAAAGAAAATTACAAGAAAAACTTTAAAGAATTACAAGAAAAAAAATGCAATTGAAACAATACATTTCTGCCTTAGCCCTCGCTATCTCTACTGCTTCCGCTGCTTCTGCCTATTCCAACAGCACCTACCAAGCTTCTTATCAGAACGCTCCTCTTTCATCAGTTAACCCAACTGCCGCTGTCTCTTCAGTGGACGCTAATGGTAACGCTGCCGCCGCCGTCCCATCAAGTAGCAGCTCTTCCACATTTTCCGCAACTAGAGGTGATACAACTACTTTGCAACCACCACAATCAGTAGTCGCACAAGAGGTTATTATAACTCACAGTGATGAAACAACTACATACTATGAAACTTCTACCCTTTACTCTACAGTTTACTTGACAAACTCTAAGTCTAAATCTGTCGCTGCCCAAGACGCTGCCCAACAACAGAAGGAAAACGTCATCACCGTCACTAAAACCGACGCCAACGGTGGTGTTGTTACTGTTGTGACTACTGTAACTGTAGGTGCTGATAGCAGACCAACCGGAACCGTCATCTCTGATGGTTCTTCTGGCACTACTACCTCTACCATTACTTCCACTTTGTTTGTTACTGTTCGTCAAAGTGCTGTAAGTGTCGGTCCATCTAATGCCCCAATTGGAAAAGAATTGGCTGGTATAAACTCTGTCAGCAGCTCCCAATCAGCATCCGCTCAAGGTTGTGTTCCAGTAACTACCACAGTCACTGATACTGTCACTGACACCGTAGTCAGCACCGTCACTGCTACCCCATCTCCTTCTATTCAATACGTAACAGTCACTATGGCTAGTAATGGTACTATAGCTTCTAACGGAACCATAAATGGTACTCACTTTTAAGTTGAAAATCCGCCTTGGGACGACATAAGAATCCTCTTCCGCCCATTGAAATATTTTACGAATTTCCTTTGGACTAGAACTATCATAACATCATCTGCTTGAACTAAATCATGTTGTTCAATGACTTCATTTCTGATTCAATATTATTATTATTGTTATATTTTTATCTTTTTAAAGCATTCTAATTTACTCATAATTTGTCAATTTCTAAACATTTTCCTGTTATCTTTTTATAAAATCCTTTATACAACAGTTACTATTCGCTTTTTTTATGCCATTATAAATAGGGATATATAGATTGTTAGTCAACTAAAGTTTATCTAGCGCACAATGATACAGTTTCTCAGTAATTTCATCCTTTATTACTAAATAGTCATGTTTTTGTATTTGATATTATTTACAACATTTGATATCCTATTAATCTCATCATCCAAATCATGAAACTGATACATGACTCCTAAGTTAGCTGTGAATAGCCTTCTGGATTCATCTAACTTTCCAATTTTAGCTAGTGCATGAACTAATAATAAGACCGCTTTGGATGCAAAGTATGGGTCATGAGTTGTAATAGCTCTATCGTATAGATTTTGTATTAAAGGTATAGCCCTGATGGAAGCTTTACATTCTATTAATATCCTCGCTTTTTCAAACTCAAGCAAGGATTGCCACTTAGACTCAGATATAAACCTAGAAAACTCAACCAGTGAACTTTCAATGACCTCTATTGCAGACCAGTATTCTCTGACAACTACTAAGTAGCGTACCTCTAATATTCGTAACTCCAGAGTTTGTTGAAATGTCAACCGGCATTTCTTTTTTCTTTCTATGAATTCTCCTATGGGCGTGTAATCCTTTTTCTCTAAAAGGTGTTCATAATGTAGGATATCCTCTCGGAAGCCATCATTATTATTTATTGGAATAATCTTTTCATAAATGTCAGCTATGAGTCGTTGTCCTAATACTTTCCACATCATTGACGCATAGTTTAGGTACTTGTAAGGAACGTCTGATATTTTTATACTCTGAAATACTATCGTCATGTATTTCAGCGTCGACTCAAAGATATCAATCGCATTAGTGCATTTATACATCTGCATTATTGAGTCAAATCGATATGCATTCTTAAGTATTACTGCATTGTCTGTATCAGAGCTTGACTTTAAATATTTTATTATTTGATCAACAGTAACATAAAATCTATCAGCAAAGATAGGGTATTTTTCTAGAAAATTAATTACCCATATCATTATCACGTTTAGTGTTGAAGTGTCTTTATTTTCACGAGCAATCTTAGTTGCTTCTTCAAATGCTTTTAAAGCAGAATTGGCATCCCCAAATGACGCATGAAAAGTGGCAAGATATAGAAGGGAGATGTGGTAGCAATTTTCAGAGCTCTGTGTTAAAGTGTAGTCAAAATAATTGTGCAAAAAATCTAGAGCATCTTGGTAACGATTTTCATTAACTGCATTCAAGTATCTGATAAAAAAAATTGCTGGAAATCTGGTAATATCATGAAGTGTTAGGTTATCAAAGATATTATCGTAATTTGATGATTTCGTTTTGAGAAAGTAAACTTGAGAAACTTCCCAATTGATATAATTGTGTAGCTGATCGGGTGAGACAATAAGTGTATTTTCTTTGCTTAATCCAGTGTTGTTGGTTTTTTTAATGAGCTTTTTCATCAGTTCTATCGATTTGAGATCAGATTGGGATTCATAAGAGGGTAGAACAACTTTTGATGTTGTGCCAAACTCAAAATATTGAAACTTGTATTCCTCCAAATCCAAAGATCTATAGCTTAACGAATCAACGTCATTTAGGAATTGATGTCTAAAAAACACAAAACTGTTCCATAAATCCTCACGCTCTTCAAATCCGCCACATATATATTTCTTAAAACAGTATCTAATGTAAACGCCTAGAACACTTTTTTTAGCAATCAGTTTATTCACAGATCCGATCATTATTTGATCCTTATTTTTGTTACTCTTCAGTAGGCATTCCTTGTCTAAAACCCAAACTAAGTTGTTTATGACCTCTAAACCATCAATATTTTGAAGGTGGCCTAGTAGAGATTTCGCAATGTCTACTCTTTTTTCTGTTTCCAGCAATTTTATTATATCTTTTAGGTATGGTAGCACTGGCTCAATTGACTTGCTAGAGACCGGCTCCAAATGTAGCAATAAAAGCTCTTCAGTAGTATCTTCATATTCAGGAATCAAACGCAGAAATATCTTCAAAGGTACATGTATTCCCTCGAATACATACATGTAAATTAATACCAGTATTGTTAGGTCATATGGAGTTAATGTGTAACTGACTTTGATCGGGCATTGTGTCATAATAGTATAAATATCAAATGAGTAAAGATATACCGCTTTTGAGTATATTGATATTCAAACACTTCAGTAGTTATTGTATGTAAAGTTATCAATAGTTGATACTAAATTGATATTTTGTTTTGCTCTTATTATTTTGTGTTTTCGCAAGTTTAATGGATTATTTTTTTGCACATTATTGATTTGCGATGAGCTGCAAAATGATTCTAATTCAAACCTAAATATAAAAATATTTATTTAAGACATAATTCAATTGACACATTGCAAGGTGAGAAAATTGTGATTCGATATATAGTTTTCATAGCTTTGCTTCAAAAGGAAACCTTTATATTCATTATATGCTGTATTATATCTCAAATATATAGAACAAATGTTCACGTGCTTATTCTAGATATCTAAACGAGGTTAAAATCATTGCATTGGGTGGAAGTCTTCCAGGTACAGGGAGTAGAATTTTGAGTTTGTTACGTTTTTCATTGAGCTCTGTGATTAGACCAAATCCTAATATAGGTGCTTGTAGAACCTCTTCAGAATCTGATTTTCTAGAAGCATATGTGATAGCAACCAATGCATATTGTAAAGTACTGCTATCTACTGGAGCTACTTCTAGAGTATCTAAGTTTGTATTCTCACCCTGAAGAACAGACTTTGGCCTCCATACTGTAATATCTGAGGTGTCACATCCTAAATTATAAGGACTTAAAACTGTTCTAGTATCACCATAGAAATATTCTCGTATTGCTGCACGTTGCTGAGCTCTAATATAGACATCATCCTTTTCGAATACACCTGCCATAGTCGGTACTCTTAGGAGTCTTTCACCGACATAAGTATTGACTATTTTCGAAACTTTCGTGTATATTTCCCTTCCCTTATCATTGTCATTACACAATATAATCAAGTAATTGATTCGAAGACCAACAATTGCTTCCACTAACTCTGAATATTCATCATCACAGTTTTCCAATGGCGGTGAATCAACGATACAACCAGATCTATGTACAAGAGAATCATTTTGTAATCTTTCACTCACTGTTTCGAATAATTTTTTAGTAACCAATTTATAGAGACTCCGGTTTTCAGCAATTGTTTCAAAACCAAAATTCTTTATTATAGGTTGTTTACCATGCAACCTAGTGGCACCACTAGTCATAGTTTCACCCCATCGTGGTAATTGGGCATCCAATGTGCTTGAAATCGGCACAGCAGTAACACAACCTGGAGGACTAAAGATAGGCTCAACTGGATTCAAATTGACGAACATAGGCTGATATGGCTTGTTCTTGATAGCATAAGAACATAATGTTCTACATAGTGCAGTTTTACCAGTGTTCTTCTCACCAACAACCATAATCCTTGGTCCATCAAATGTAGAGCTCCTCATTTTTTCGAGTGCAAAATGTAGATTGTAAACGTTATGCGCAGTCGTATTCTCCACAATCGAAAGTTCCCTATCATGTAATTGTGGGCATTTCCACTCAATTTCAAGTTCCTCTACAGCATATATTCCAAATTTCCAATCCCAAAAAGTATACTCAACATTGTTGGCTAGTTCTGTCCCGAATATCTCACCAATACCAGCCGTAACCTTTAGCGATAATTTTTCATCAGATGAAAGTTCAACACGCCATATATGTCCACTAGGAATTACCAGCGTATGCACTTGGTTAGCATCTTCTAACAGACCGGCATCATCCACCGGTTGCTTAAGACCTGGGAGGGCTTCCACTTCAGCCATTTTTGACTCTTAAAACGTGTGGTTGTTTTTGCTATTGAAGTTATTACAATTTCAACTTCTTTAATTGTGTAATATATCAGCTAAGTAATGTAACTTCTGTCATGGAGGAGCAGTATATATGAAGCATACTCATCTTTAGGCCTCTCATCAGTCCTCTATATGACCTGCAGCTTGTCAGATTATCTCAACGTAAATAGTGAGTCAAATAGAATACTACTTAGACACTCATATAGGTAAAGATTCACATCAATTGCAGGAACAGCTTCTACAATAGTTCCGTCAGTACTCCCATATTACCACAAGTCAGTAATTATATTCATTATGTAGGGATACTTAAATATTTACTATAGGAGTTTTCATTTCCAAAGAATTGAAAAGCACAATTATCACTCTCTATCTTTAGCAATGAGCTTAGGATCTGATCTTAAGACCCATTCAACCCATGATCCATCATACAATTTTATGTCCTTAACACCTGAATGTTCCAAAGCTGTTCTAATGATGCATGCACTGACTCCAGTACCACACATGACAATCGTAGGCTTGCTTGGATCGTAGGTATTATTCAGCTTTTTGAATGCCTCTTGAACTTTCTTTTCCATGTCAACCTGTTCTTGTGGGAATGTTAGATCAGGTTGATCCAAGATTTCAGTAAATGGCAGAGGCTGTACACCAGCAACATGACCTGAGCTAATATCAGGTCTTGGTTCTGGAGCTTTACCTTCAAATCTGTTCAAAGCTCTTGCATCATAGACATTGTACTTCTTCTTCAACTCGCCAGACTTCACCAATTCCAGCATTTGTTCATAGGTAATCACATTTTCAGGACAGAGGTTGGTTTCAGACTTATAGTTAGATTTTGGATACTGAGTGAGCTTTGTCCATTTTGTAGTGTCTAGGGGATAGCCCTCTTTCTTGTACGCATTGAAGTTGTTCAACAGGTACACTTCTGGGTGGCCTAGCATAACCAATGTCCATGCACAACGAGGAGCGCTGAAATTACCAATTCTGTCATAGACAACCAGAATGTCCTCCTTATTCACACCAAGTTGACTCATCCCTTCATTGAAAGTAGCTAGGTCTGGAGCCATATGTGGAAACTCGCTAGCTGAATCCCTGATATCATCAATATCAAAATAGACAGCACCAGGAATACGTTCAACGTCCATAAACTCTTGCTTACCATCACGCTTCAAATTGGGCAGGTACCAAGTAGAGTCAACAGGTACCACCTTCTTGGAGGCCTTCGTAAGCTCAACAAATGCACACGGAGTAATCAATTTAAACAAAGACATAGTCACACCTCTCTTCACACCTTGCTTGCCTCCTGAGTAACCACAAAACCCACAAAAGAAAGCTTATTTATATAACAATAGTCCTTATCAATGCCATTTTATGCTGATGCTAACTGTTATCTAAATCCCCCCTCCCATTGTCCTTGGCATTCGTACGGGACTTTCTTCGATGCAGGTGTATTTGAAGTCTCGAGGAAATTGAAATTTTTCACTTTTCCAAAGCCAGAGCTCATCTCATCGGCCATCTCATCGCAACATATTTGAGAGTTGAGATACAAGAAAGTTAGAGGCCATTTACAGAACCAAAGTAACCACAATCCTCACATACCGCCGTTACAAAATGCCGTTATCTAAGTCGTTATCGAAGGTGCAGAAGAAGATCAAGGGTAGTGGCAAGCAGGTTGCTGTCCATCCCAAGGGTCGTAAGTACCAACAGTTGGTGAGGGCGACCATGCGTGAAAGCAAAGTGCAGGAGAAGAAGCGTGCTCACAATGAGAAGAGATCCAACGAACTTGCTAGAGTGAAGTTTATACAAGATGTGATCAAGAGCGATAGTTTTAAAGACAAGAAGAATTTTAGTTACGAGGAAGCTGCTGTCTTTATTGAGCAGTTTATCAACCGTGATGATCCGGAATTAGAACAGTTTAAGAAGAAGCAACGTAGTAATAGACCCACTCCAAACAGACAGTTGCTTCTAGAACAGAAAAAGAAACTTGAAATGGAAGAGTTCAAGAAAGGTTTCCTATGTCCTGACTTGGCAGACGAACAAAGTGTTGTTTTCCTAAGGAACTGGAACGGTACCTTTGGTGCCATGAGTACCTTCAAGATGATTAGAATCAATAATGAGGGTAAGCAAGTGGTCGGTGGCCATAACAAGTTTACAGGTTCCGAAAACAATGAAATTGAAATGGCATAACGATTACTCAAACTTATTGAAATAATTTAAAGAAAACGAGTGTGAACACTGTCTACCCATGTTTCTTATATATTGCATTCTTATATCAAGCTACCATTCATTCTCACAAGTGTATAATATTTATTAATAAACTGGTCTCATCGAGAGTTGAAATCACTGATCAAATTTCTGTACTTGCTCATCGCAATTTGCACTAAATTTTTCTTAGCATTCGGAGAAACATGAAAATTGCATCGCTATATGCAATTGTAGAAGAAACACACAAGTATCAATTGAGAGTTAGTATTTTCAGATGTTTTACACTACAAAGCAATATATCAGAAAGTGTATCTGCAATTATCAAGACCACTTTCAGAGTATTGTATAGTTCAATAAATTGATCTCTAAGCTGCAAAGGAAAACAAATGGGTCGTTCGATTATTAACCTGGATAATGTATATGAGAATAACTTGGGGATGATGGCAAAGATTGCCAAAATCGTTTATCCAAACCAACAATTTGAAGAGAGCTTCTTTTCTGAATTGTTCAAAGGTGGTAATGATAAAAAAAAAGAGGCTTACATGGCTCAAATCGCTTACTATAGCGAAATTCCTGTAGGTACCATCAAATTGCTTTTATTACAAAAGAAGAAGAGTGACAGCTTACAAAAAGGTTTACATATCGAGCTTTTAGCCGTCCTAGAAAAATACGATGATCATGAAATAAAAGAAAAATTGCTTGAGTATGCTCTTGATGAATGCAAAAAGAATCACCAGCACAAACTATTTACTGCTACTAGAAGTAGTGATGAACAACTTATGAATTGGTACAAAGAACATGGATTTACTGAAACTGGTTCCAAGGGTGAACCTGTTACATTATCAGATGGTACTTCCGAAGAAACTGTGCTCTTAATAAGGGAACTTGACTAAACAAGCTAATGCTCGCTTATTCCACCTCCTAATTTGGATTATTCGTATCAGAAGGCCTGATAAATCATAGATTGTACCATACATTAGTACAAATCAACAAATAAGTAAAAATTTCAACTGAAGGATTATGATAGTTCACCTTGTGAAAGCTCTTTTGTGTCACAACACACATTTCCATCTAACACAAATTACTCGCGAGGACAAATAAAGAATAAGGAGATTTATCAGAGATCTGTCCTTTTAATGACAAATGCAATTAATCATATTTATCTACCTTAACAATCTATAAAGTAATGCATGAATTTATAGAACAAATAAAATTTAAACATGAGAGCACCTCCTCCACAAAGGAAGTCAAAGAGTAGGTATTTTGCGCCGTATTTCGTCAATATCCGAGAGTTACTTAGATTCCGTAAAATAAAAGCATTTTGGAATCGCCAAAAGCTATTTAAAAAGCAATTTGAGAACCTGCACCAAGTATACCAGCAGAGATATAATAGCTCAATAGATAGCCACCCCGATGGACAAGTTGCCCTTTGTAATCATGAAAACTTGACTCAGATAACGCCGATTTCGGGGATACGCATTGAAGATATGTGTTGTTTAAGCTCAACACATGAATCTCAATCAGCAGACAAAAAACCACTACTAATAGCGACATTTCCAAGAGGATGTAATAGATCACCTACAGTACGCATATTAAAACGGAATAAATGGTCATGGCTACCCATCAGTAAAAGAAAATATAAACTGTCATTCTTTAACAACGAAATTTTTGATCCGCAACTCCATAGCAAGAGTATAGAGGTAAAATCCCACACTTGTGCCAATACAGTCAGAATGATTAGAAAATATGCCCATGAGAAAGCAAATGTTAAAATTATCTTTCATAACAGAAATATCATAAAATCCAAATTTCTGGATGGGCATGAAGACGCAATCAGACCACCAAGTTATATTGAATTCGGAAATAACCATACATTACGTATTGAAGACTTCAGGTCTCTAAAACGAAAACGTCCAAGGAAAAATACTCACAAACAATCATACTATCAAACAATTAGATGACAATATATTCTTTATCTTTCTATAATTTGTTTGTTTAACATGTCATAATAGGCTATTAAAAAGAAATCAACGACGTCATTCTATAGCTAAATTCAATCCGTTTCCTTATTAACTATTTATAACTGGAATCTGTAGTCTCTTCTGAGAATATTTTAGCAGCATTCATCAGAATTTCTCCAATGCCATCCAATTCCTCTTGAGCCTTATTATAATCTTGCTTATAAATCGCATCACGAACTCCAGGAAAACTCCAGTTTAACAAGTCCTTATTGTTAGCAAACAAAGTAGGTCCAAATATGACGTTTTTGTAGTTATTTCTATCAGTTAGCCCATTGGGAGCACAGAGTCTTCTACCAATGTTAGTAATTTTTTTATTCCATGCCCATCTATGGACAGAGAAAAGAGAAGGCTCCATCCCATTATCTAAATTTTCAACAATGTTTGACCATTCATGCTTCCAAGCTGTACATTCTTTACCAAGCCTTTTCCACATTAACAAACCCTTTATTATTGTATCAAATCTGATCTGACCTTTGTGAGAAATTTCTAAGTCATTTAGCATGCTATCCAACTCAGTGACGAAAGTTGAGACTTCAAAAGGAATTACTGGTTTGTCTACTAACAACAGTGCTGATCTAAACAAAAATATTAGAACATCTAGTAATTTTTCTTGGTAGTTGCTCTGTTTTAATAAATGTCCTACCCTTTCAAAGGTATCTGCCTTTGTATGAGCAAGTAGTTTTGATTTTAATTTTGACTTGGAGAATGTTGCAGTAGGGATACCATGAGTCAAATATGGCGTCCAATCACCAAAATCATGAACTGGTAACACATTTACATCAACCTGGGAATGATCTGACTTACTTTTGAAAAAATCATACATAAGCGGGTGACATTGTATGTCTAAATGACCCAAGTCTTCGAAATCCAATCCAACTTCAGATATATCAACCATTGCGTAGATTTCCTCTTTCAACGCACTTAGTCGTTGTTCTACCAAAGTATTGGAGCCTTCGAAATTGAAGTCCGAACCTCCAAAAGATATGAAATAGATATTCCTCAACGGCTTCCAGTTGAAACGAAATTTCATTTCTTGGAATAGTTGAATCAAAGAGAGCATCATTGCTGTACCAAAAGCAGACGTCGTCGCACCATTATCAATAGAGTTCCTTCTGGCTGCAATCACAATAGCCCTATCAGATTGTTCTTTTCCTTCTATTTTTCCAACAAAGTCGGATATTGGTTGGGCAGTTCTCAAAACGTTATCAACTCTCATGTCTACTTTCACAATACCAGGCTTACCACTAAAGTATTTGTCCTCATATTTAATTCCGCTATGAAGTAGTTCCATTAATTGCCTTCCTTGCTTATAAGATAGTGGTAATGTTGGTATGGAAGGCATTGTCTTCGAATATGTCTCTGAGTTTTCGCTGTACTTCAGATTAGGGTACCTAATTTCCATAATACCTGCACCATACTGTGAAATTGAAACAGAGTTCTGTTTAATTACATTTTCATTGCCATTAATTACATCCGAGATAAATACTATAGCTTTAGCTCCGTAATTCTGGGCCATCAGTACCTGCTGACTAACATATTGATCATATTTGATAAGTAACACAAAATCCTCCTTGAGTAGTTGCGCCTCCTTTAATAGTTGAAGGTCTTGTTCGGAACCATAATGTCCGTATATCAAATTTATATCTCTTAGTTCTCCATTGGGAGAACCTGGATTAAAATTCACATCCGTAAGTTCAATACTGAAAGGTTCGCCGCTCTGTGGTCTAATTCTTAATGACATTCCATCATCTTTTGGATAATTTGCAAATCCTTCAGCCTCCCATTCACGTAACAAATGAATGTTATTATTCTTCATAGACTGATATATATATTGTCTCATTGCAGTATCACCTTTTGTTCCAGACATGTGAGGCATACTACTCAAATACTCCAAATCTCTTTCAAATTTGGACAGATCAGCAGTTAGTCTTGCATAGTTTAAAAAGGCATCATGATCAGCAAACGAGCCTCTTGTCCCGGATACATGATCCTTATTAGGGTCTTCCCTTGACAACAAACCATATGCAACTATGGAAATAATAAAGATGTAAATAAAACGGCTCAGAATAAAAGGATTACCAACTTTGGAAACGTAGTAATTGACAGTATCAGTAACAATATAGTTAAGTCCTACCAGCGGATCAATTATATTATTCTGTACAGGCTCTATAATATTATCATTTAGCCTATTTTTTATTCGCGAAATATATGGAATACTAGTAGAGCCCAGGTTTCCTATCATGCCATCACCTTCATTTTCATAAAGTGCTGATTCATCAATATCCATGTCAAATGAATCATCTCGTGTACGACCAGTTTCTATATCAGCACTGGCACTGGCACTGGCACTGGCACTTGCATGCCCAACTTCACCTCTCACTGACTGCTGGCCATTGACGACATCGTAGCTTGGTGGTTCACTTGGCAAATCCATACTGAGGCCAATATATGTGTTAATGACTTACTAAAGCAGAGGGGTTAAAGTGTCAAAAAGGTTATTGAATCCCCAGGAAAATAACCGTAAAGGAGACCCTTATATTGTTCAAAAAAGTAGGATAATAGTTGAAATAGGTAGAGGTTTAAGAACCTTAACAGTCTTTCTATTAGGTTAGTTTATGAATTATTAGAGGTTACTGGCCTAATACTTTCAGTTTCTATTGTTCATAGGCTTTTTGTAGTTAAAGGTCATCGCGATCGGTACTGAAATAATTTTTCAGCCTTCACAAGGCGATTTGTTAAGTCTGTAAAAAATGCTGAATCTTGACTTTGTCATCTAAATAACAAAGACATGCAGTTAAATGGAACCTTTCGTTTGCATCTAGCTATAAACCTGATATAAACCCTTCAAACAGGAGCTAGGAAGTGCGTGTAATAAAGTAGATATGAGTGGGATCAGGATGTCGCCAGCTCGTGGAAGCCAATTGACAGAAGAACAAAGACAAGAGATATTCGAGGCCTTTTCGCTATTTGATATGAATAATGATGGGTACTTGGACTATCATGAGTTAAAGGTTGCTATGAGAGCTCTTGGGTTTGACCTATCTAAGAGAGAAGTACTTGATCTGATAGATAAACACGATAATGACAGGCGGAGACAGATAAAATACGATGATTTCTTTCAAGAGATGGGAGAAAGAATGCTGAAACGGGATCCTGTAGAAGAAATCAAGAGAGCTTTCCAGCTATTTGATAAGAATGGGGATAAGAAGATTACTGTGCAGGATCTTCGAGAAGTGGCCCAGGAACTAGGTGAAAACTTAACAATGGAAGAATGCCACGCGATGATAGATGAGTTCGATATGGATGATGATGGAGCAATTAATGAGGAAGAGTTCATATCTATTTGTATGGATAATTGAGTGATTTAAGATATTATTGATGCATTAATTATCTTTAGTGATTTACCGTGGTCCAAATTGCTCCTGTTAATTATTGCACATCTTCATCCTCACCATTTGCTTTAAAATAAACTTTTCAATTCTTTATATTACTACTATATTATTAATTTCAATTTCGATATTCTGTATAATTAGCACCTTCACATAAATACTATAATTGTGACATTATATTAACCATCAAATTGAGAAAGTTCGTGCTTCTTAAGGGGATTTTGAATTACAAAATTATCAATATCATTAAAAGCTCTCAGAATATGAACATAGATGCAAGACAGTAGTAGTTGAAAATATAGCCACACTACTGAGATAACCATGATGAAATGGGACAGTGCCTTACAAGTTTACATCGACCATCCCGAAAAGTATGGAAAGGATACAGTTGTATATTTTGATGAGGATGCAGTTATAATACATGATAGCTTCCCTAAAGCTAGATTTCATCTGTTAGTGTTACCCAGGTCAAACACATTAACGAAAAAGCACCCAACAATAGGACTGAATTCAAGTGTCAAGAATCAACTAGAGAACTACGTACAAAGGGCAATAGATTACATATATGAGGGCTTCACACAACATTACCAGCCTTCCGATAAAGTACAATCTATATTTGCCGACAAAGACACTTTCATAAAAAACTTTTTAGCAGTCGGTATTCATTCAGTTCCCTCAATGAAGAATCTTCATATACATGTAATAACAAAGGACTTCGACTCCCCCAGATTAAAGCATAAGAAACACTATAACTCATTCAATACCAATTTTTTTGTTAATTGGATAGATTTGCCTTTGAAATCTATACCAAATGTAAAAGAAACTGAATTAAAGTACATTAAGGGTTCACCATTAATATGCAGTTATTGCGGTCAAGATTACGGGTCTCAATTCAAGAAACTAAAAGATCATTTAACAGAAGAGTTTAACAAACATTTCACTGAAATTATAGAATTGTAATGGCACCGTGTATTTAGCCGGGTAGATGATTGGTAATGATAATTAAAATAGATTATTTATGTAAGATGCTTTTTCATACAAACACACACATACATATATATATATATATATATTGTATGCCGATAGAGAATTCTACCATGACTTAATTATAGCAAATCATAATTTTTGATACTCGAGAGTACCTTCCAGTTTCTTGACTTCTGCGACCTTTCTCACCGCCTTCATTAAATCTTCTGGAATAATATGATCACGGTCATCTCTGATGGCAAAGAAACCAGCTTCTGTGGCACAGTTACGAATATCAGCACCATTGAAACCATCACTCATTTTAACGGCTGCATCGAAATCGAATTCACCACTCTTCTTCACCTTTGACGTATGAATCTTGAATATTTCCAGTCTTCCGGCCTCATTTGGCAAGGGGATTTCAATTTTTCTATCGAGTCTACCTGGTCTTAACAAGGCTGGATCTAACGTATCGGGTCTGTTTGTGGCCATAATAATCTTTGTCTGTCCCAAATTATCGAAACCATCCATCTGTGTCAGCAATTCCATCAATGTTCTTTGAATTTCTCTGTCTGCCGAAGTACCTTCACTGAATCTACGACCACCGATAGCATCAACTTCATCCATAAATATGATACAAGGCTCGTGCTCTTTGGCATATGCAAACATTTCTCTAATAATACGGGCAGATTCACCAATATACTTATCCACAATACCAGAAGCTGGTGAAAAAATGAAATTTGCACCAATTGTAGCGGCGACAGCTTTGGCGAGCAAGGTCTTACCCGTACCAGGTGGTCCATATAACAAGACACCCTTTGGAGGTTTTATACCAACTCTTTGAAAAATTTCCGGGTTCTTCAATGGCAGCTCAATGACTTCTCTTAGTTCTCTAATTTGATCGGTCAAACCACCGATACCCTCGAAAGATATCTCACCCTGCTCGAAACTGGTCATGTTGTAAACCAATGGGTCAGTTTCACGGGGTAAGATTCGCATAATGGTTAAAGTGGTAATATCTAATGTCACTCTTACACCTTTTTTCAGTTTCGATCTATCAACCGAGTTTCTGACACCTACGATATAACGAGGACCTGATGACGCTTTCACAATATATTTCTCTTCCGACAACTCCTTCATCACTTCACCAATCAATTGACCGATACTCTGCAACGCTTTGATATCGTTCTCAGTCTTATCGTATATCTTCTCCAAATCCCGTATAGTCTGGCGACGCTGCTTCAACTGGTCATCATACCTCCTGTGTTCCATCAACTTCTTCTTGAAATGCCTCAATGCCTTCTCATACGCTTCTTTCTCGGGATCCACGGGCTCTGGCTCAGGTGCCGCCTCCAATGGCTCGGCAGAAGCCTCCCCAGATACAGCGGCGTTGTCTCCACTACCCCCATTGTTATTGCTCTCGTTCAAAGCCGCCAACAGCGGATCTTGCTCTTCACTCATATTTATCTGTTACTTTCTTTTTTGAAACTGCTTCCGACTGTAAGAAAATCGCACACACAGAAAAGACAGCTCACACTTGTACTAGATATCCAATGTTAAATTAGCTCCCTAAAGCGACCATATTGGAACTAAACGCCAACACTACAATTAATTATAGTGTTGCTACTTATGTGTGGCAAAGTTTCAACTCGCACATAGAAAGAATCAAGGAATTTGGAAAAGGGAGCTATCACCAATTATCACTTTATACAAACCAATCCAAATGACTATTCGTACAGAGTAAGAACTACTTTTATTATAGAATACGAATTATCACACGATCACTCGTACAAGTATACCTGAAAAAACTTTGGAAAATTTCAGTGCAAAATTATGCTCATCGCAGAATAAATGTCATCGGTGGGTAATCAACACTATGCATATTAATTGTATTTGTAGTTGATTAGTTTGGCATTTCCCCTGATATTCAATTGACTGTGAAGGCTTGGGTTATCTCAGACAAGCAGAAGAAACAGAAAACTGAGGAAATAATGCAGATTCAGGCGTTTATATTCTGTGGTCGTGGCCACAACTTATCTCCCTTTGCTAAGCATCCCAACAGTGCTGCTGTTACACAGGAGGATACTATTTTGAGCGATGACACTGTGCCAAAGGCATTGATGCCTTTGGCTAACAAGCCCATGCTGGAGTATACCATTGATTGGTGTGACCAGGCAAATTTCTCGGAGATTAACATTGTCGCACACCATGATCAGATTGATGAGATCAAGCAATTCCTATCTACATTCCTGGCATTGCGTACACAGCAATTTGAAATCATCTCCAAGGCATTGTCTGCAGCAAACCACAACCACCATTTACAGAAACCAAAGCCTATCAATTTCATCAGTTCTAAGATGAACTCCAACGGTGAAGCTCTACAGAAGGAGTTGCTGGATAAGATCAAAGGTGATTTTGTGCTATTGCCATGCGATTTTATCACGGATATCCCACCTCAGGTGTTACTAGACCAGTTCCAAAACAGAGACGACGACAATTTGGCTTTAACTGTGTACTACAAGAACAATGTTGAGAGTGTCGATAAGAAACAATTTCAACGTCAACAATTTTTTACCATATACAGTGAGAATGAGGATACAGAGAAACAGCCGGTCTTACTGGATGTGTACCCTAAGGAAGATGTCATGAAAAACAAATACCTACAAGTCAGAAACCAAATGCTTTGGAAATACCCAAATGCAACAGTGTCCACCAGTATTTTAAACTCTTCCATATACATGTGCTCCTACGATCTATGCCAATTGTTACGCGAACAGACCCACCAAGAGAAGAACAATGACGACAGTGAAGGCAATAACGTAAATGACTCTCCAAGAACTAAGAACTCAAAAGGTACAGAGGATTATGATGACGCACAGAACTCCGCTCACAGAAACCTAAGTGAAATTAAACCAAGTTACTTCAAGAAGAAAAATGAACTGATAAGAGATAATATTAACTGCCATAAGCCTTTAGGTAAACTTTTCAGAGACTTAAGTAGGCGCTCGTGGCAGCACTCGTCCAAGAGAGAAACAATGGGTATATTTATTATACCCGAGCCATGTGTCTTTATTAGAGCTAACAATCTGAACGCATATATGGAGGCTAACAGATTTATATTGAAGATAAAGGCCCAAGCTACCCAATCCAATGTACAAACCAATAATCTATCAACTTCAGCTATCGGTGCTGATTCCCTCGTTGGTGGAAATGTTACTATACTTGAAAAGAGTAACATAAAAATGTCTGCAATTGCTGGTGGTTGTAAGATCGGTAACCGTTGTCGTGTTGCTGGGTCTATTCTGCTTGCCAACGTTGAATTAGAAGACGATGTAATCTTAGAAAATGTTATTATTGGTCCTGGCGCTAAAATTGGCAAGAAGAGTAAGTTAACAAACTGTTATGTAGAAGGTTCATATGTCCTACCAGCAAGAAGTACACACAAAGGTGAAACCTTGAGAAAGATCATTTTGAATACAGACACAGAAATGGATAGCGAAGTTGCCTACAGCACTTCTGATGAAGACAGTTCCGATGTTATGACTGAGGAATTCACAGACGAAGATTTCGGTGACGACGATTTCTTTGAAAGGTAAGTACCGGATATCCGACAATAGCATTAATGCATAAGATATAAAGATACATATGATTATAATGTAAAAAGCTTCCAAATAGAATTCCCTGTCATTCCAATCCTTATGATCGTTATATTTTGGGTAAATCATGTGGGTAAACTGTATTTACTCCGATATGAAACCAATAAAACATGGTGATAACATCAATAGTTGCCATTAACCTAGATTTGACATTGCCTGTTAACTGCGCAAGCCATCTGATACGGGAATTTGTGACAATATTGGAAAGATAATATTAGTGATGCAGTATATTTGAAATACTAAATATGCTTTATATATAATATTCAATCTGTGGCTACTTTTTCAGTTTCAGCCGTTTCAGACTCCACTTTGTTTATATCAGCTTGTAATTCCTTATTTCTCTCCTCCTGCAGTTTCTTGTTTTGCATTTTATTCTCGATCAGATCATCAAATGCAATAATCGCTCTTACAAGGTTAGTGATATATATCACCATCAGTTCGTCGTTAGTTTTAACTGTCAATGCCCTTTGCAAGTTATTACTGGCAGTGACCATATCATTACTAGTTGCAGAGACGTCAGTTTCTTCGTTATACCCAAGATTTGGCAACAGATTAAAAACATCCTGAAGTTTCCCTAAAATAGTATGGTTAACAGGTAGCTCATTGTTAATGACTTTATTCAAGTATATCACAATGTCATTTAATTTTTTTTGTAAACCTTTCAAAGACTTCAACTGGTTGGTCAATCTAATAGACAATCCACCGGCCGCTTGATCACGAACATCTCTCAACAGATGCTCAACACCAATTTCTTCCGCTTCTTCCGCTTCAACTGTACATGGCAAATGTAAGAAAGTTTTTTCAGTAGAAGTACCATCGTCTTTCACTTGTTCAACAGCCATATATGCATCTGTTGGTAGACCAACATCCTGCTGCTTAACATCCACAATTAAAAGCAATGGATTGCCTTGTGTATATTTCTTGAACAGTTCATTTATTTTCAAGTCTGAAGCCCTTAGTTTTGGCCCACTGTGGTACCAACCAATTAATTTTTCCTTGGCATTAATCTTTTTACACATCTCATTCATACTCTCAATATAATTGTGATCTAAAAACCAAACATCAGAGTTTTTCTCATCTTCTTCAAATGGCAAAGCAAATGAATTAGTTACCCTTATTGTGTTCGTTTGCGAATCGCCGAGTATGACACCAACACATCTCTTACCTTCAGGGGTATTGGTACGCTCGTAGTGGTCCAGCACTGACAATAGCACCAATGGCGCAATTGTGACATTATCGTGATGTAAGGACATTGGATATATTTGGATTCTGGATTTTGGTACTATATTACCTGCAAAAAAGCTATCTTCTCAAGGAGACTCAAATTTCAGTGCTGCCTAGTTACCTATCTAGTGTTCAAAATAATGACCAACAATTGACTGATAGAATAATACAGAGATCAATGGCGGCTATACTATGATACTCTTCTGCATCCTGTCGTCCCTCTTGGTTCCACTTCTATTACCTTACTATCCTTCAGAATACGCTTTGCCACCAAATTGGATTCCTTCGGGGTGAAACGCTGGAAAATATCTAGCTCGTACCAAATTATATATTTGTCCTTCAGTTATGCCCCTGGAGTGTACACATGCTTCAAATGATGGATGAATAGTTAGACTAAATCATCACCATGATAATAGTAATTCTATCTATTATATCAATTTTACTATAAATGACAAATTGCTTGTTGTTTCTGATTTTAAAACTAAGCTGCTGGCAATGACGGTTAGTAAGAACTAATGAAAAAAAATGCTAGGAATTAGATATTTAAATATAACAAAAACAAATGAGGGTAATGGTGCTATGCTTCTAATTGGATAAGCAATATATAGATACATGTATTTTCTAAGAGGGCTTTGATCTGACAAGTACTTCACTTGGATTTCTCAAATGCTTCCTCTAGGAATTTCAATTTACTTTTGAAAGTGTCCAGATCGAAGTAGCATGACTTGAACCAAACAAGGTCTGATTGCCTTGTGTTATGATTGGTCCTGGTATGCAGTATTCTTCTATTGTTGTAGATAACCGCGGTATTTTCAGGTAAGTTTATTCTTAGCTGGTTTTCGTGGTCATATACCATCTTCTCAAACTGTTGTAAACCTCTTAGGAAGTCTCTGAAAACTAATCTTTCAGTGACTTTACCTGGAGAGGTGGTCAATGGATCTTCTATTCCCTCGATCTTTGGTACGTTTGTCAATTTGTTGTAGATACCATAAGTGAATGGGGCTTGGAATGGTGGAGAGTAGTTTACACACTTGACTAGGTATTCATAATTGCCGATCAACGTATTATGCTCATTACTCTCATATTCTTCTACAAGTGGCTTCGATTGGTAATATCTCTTGTTTTTGTTCTTGAAGGTATAATTGATTGGAACATGTTGTAGAGCCTCGTAGGCTTCGTTATCTGTTTCACGAATATTTCTGGCCGCGTAAAGAGAGTCAACAAATATATTTGTATCATTCTCGGATTCATTTTTCAAAGCATGTAAGATTTTGAACCCCGGAACGTTTTCCAGAAATTGTAAGTCCATGTGCAATGGAGATGCTATGTTTTCGAATGGAATATTGTAGTCATGTGGTGGAGGCAAATCCTGATCATAATCTTTCAAGTTTTGGTTGGTTATATCAAATACTTCACCATAAAATGTCTTCCTCAATGGTCCTATTCTTTCACACAGGTTTCTGACCATATATATATTTGCATCATTTGCATCAGTTTCATCTCTGATTGTTGGCATTCCAGATATAAACGTAATACCGAATTGTTGCAAATTTACCAGTGTCCTGTACAAGAGCTTATCATCATTCATCACCTGGTCAAAAGAGAAAAATGAGCCATCTCTGTTCTTATCTATCTTGCTATTTAGTAGATCTCTGTTCCAAAAGACTCTCTTGTGCTTCGACATTTGATTTCTAATAGATTTAGTCAAGAAAGAGGAACCTTTATACTTGAAGAAAAAATCGAGATCATAGGCATAGCTATCGCCATCGCTCCAATCAACTACCAGTCTCTTACCATCCTCAGAAATGTTGACAGATCTAGGAACAGTGGCCCTTCTACCGTTATGTTCATCCAGAAGCTCAGCTGTTGTTACTAGTCTTTGACCTGAAACAGGGTCCACTGTTTTTGGAGATTTCGATGCATCCCTCAAGAATATATTATTGAAACATACTGTGAATGGCCTAATCTTATCTTGTGTGTCTGGTGTCGCATCCAATGATGTGGGGACCGAATCATTAGGCTGAACCATGGATTCATGCAAAAATGTAACAGTGGTGGACTCATCGGTAAATGATGCATCGAGAATCTTGCCGCTGGCTTGCGAGTATAACCTGGTGTGTCTCAGCAGGGACGTAGCTGCATTGTGTCTGAATCTTCGCATATGACTTCTAATCATCTGTAATTGTAATTTTGTATGGGTTTTTATATTTAGTGTATTAGTGAGAGTATGTAAAAATTACGTTCCTTTAAGGACAGTGATTGTCCTACGCAAGCGTTGTTGCGTAGTGTACAGTTTATATATGTTTTTTGGAAGCAGTTAGAAGAGAGAGGGGGTGGTTGTAGTTGCGCAGTATTGTATTGATTACAAAATGGACTTAATTGCATCAATTATTCGAGAGGGGGGGTCATCCATAAAAACTTCGTAATTGGTAGATGTACTTAAAACTGGTTGGGCAGGGCTTTCAAATTTAGGGATGATCATCAAGCAGTATAGTGATATGCAATGTAGTCCTTACAGAAACCTCTCCCTCTTCTCCCTCTCCCTCGCTGTTTGTCAGCTTATCTTTCGGATGGTTCCGTCATGCTATACTGTGATACCTCCTGGGAACCATGGGCAAGTCCTGCTCCTACTCTCCCTAGAATCTCGATTAAACATTCCCAATTCTGTCTCTCTGCAACAAAAGTCCTCAGGCCAGTGATATCCTCTTTACAATTCAAAATACAAGACCTCTGTGAAAATTGAGGGGTGAGCTAGAGGGAAACTGGGGATCTGATCCATGCCAGTGTGATTAGAGAAACTTAATCAGTGTGCTGGGGACATTAAAGCCCGACAGCGAAACTACAGGCTTATTGACATTACGAGGTTAATGCGATATTTGATACACAAGAGTTAGATAATTGGTAACTTATCTCCAGCAGTAGAAGACCACTCAGCCGAAATGGATGAATGGAGTTTTTCATATGGAATTTCCATTGACACCGGTGAACACCGTCAATGCTTAGAACAGCTACCATAACAAGACTCAGATTTTATTTCCAGCAATGCCTCGGAGATGCAAATGCTACAATTATATGAAAACTAATTCTTGTGTCTATAAGAGGTTATTTATCTTTCTTAAATATCACTACAAGCACCGTATGGGTCCATTAAGCAGGTAATCTATGAATATCTGAAAAAAGAAACTGTATGAAAAATGCTATATTAATGTGGAAATTCAGGAACTATTATTATATTACGTAGCCGATTTCTCAGAGGAGAATGTGTATGATTTTGAGTGGCCTCGCCTTGGACTTGATACTTCTATGTTTCCTATACTTGCTTTCCTTGAAGAAGATGGTGTCTTTGATAAATGCTGGCTATAACTCAATTTTCGTTTTGGTGTTGAGTTTGATCTATGCTCTTTCCCATTGAAGGCCTTCTCATTCAGCTCATTTAAGGGCCCATCAGCAAATTCGTTCTGTAACTCCATAAATTCGTGGTCTTGTGATCCTCCAATGACTGGTGTACCTCTATATCCATTCACAACGGTTCCTTCTGGGTTATAGTAGAACTTGTAGTATATATACTGACCGCCGATATAAAAGTCCAATCCCATTTGGAATAATGCAAAAAATTCAAATAAAGAACTGGTGTCTACGTTTTTTTCACCGCTGTTTAAAGACAACAAAAAGGATAACTTGACAGTATCACCACATAGCCAACTGATCAACAGAATAATCTTGAATCCTTGAACTGATTTTAACTTGTGCAGGATTGAAATCTGTGGTAAAGGCAGGAGCGATTCTACTAACAAACTGATTCCACCGATTAAGGATCCCACATTATGTGCAAAATTCTCCCAAGCTATCACTTTTGTTATCAACAGAGTGAAAGAGAATTGAAAAGTTGCAAATATGATGAGGAACTTCCAATATTTGCGATCATCGTTCCATTGCCAGAAGGAGCCCACTCTTTTGAAACTTGGGTCAAAGAATTTCAGAAACTTATAGACAAATACCAAAAATATCTTGAATATAAATCCCATCAGTCTCTCAAAAGATAATGACCGCAGTAGGTTCTTCCATTCGTCACTGAACATTCTTGGTTTGTTTCTGATTGCAAAGTACTCAAACCAAACATCATGAATCAGCTGTGTGAATGGCTCAACAGATTGTAGATTATCGTATTTATACTCTTCAGGACGATACTTTAAAGTGGTTCTTAACAGTAACAATTGTACCAAAACCATGATTATTGATTGTCGTAATAGTGTTACTTCGTATGGGACAAAGAAAAAATACGATATCCTTAATATACTCGCTATCAGCATAGTTGCACATATGTCAATTGAAAACCCAAATGCAGTTTGACACCTCTCAATACTGAGAATGGCTGCACCGTAGGAGAACAATGGTGTACAACTATATATATAACCTGTCAGAACTCTCATCGTGAGCCATTCTGGGATATAGAACTGGTCAAGCTTGGGCAAATATGATGTTAGGGTCACCACATAACTGTCCTGATTCTTGGCTGATTCAGCAGCTGCCTCAGCTATTTGCTCAACAGCGGCAAGCTCATGCTCTTGTATTAGTTCAGCCCCATCCATTATGTAACTCGGTATGGAATTTGGTGCTCTGAGTAATCACACACAATTGAAAGTATTTTGGTGTCTGCAATTTGATTAGGATATCCCAAAAGCTTTTAAGTTATTGATGTGCTCGACCTCCACTGATAGTTGTAATTACCAAAGTGTCAATATTAACCACTATGATTTCACTATAGCCACTCAAACGATGGTCGAAATTCGCGTAAAAACCCTATTGTTTCTTGAAAACTGATGCGTAGTAGACTCTTCACCGAACCCCAGAATAACGAACTCCTCGAATATACATTAAATTGGATTTAGGCAGTAATCAATACGTAAAAATACAAGCTATAAATCTACATCCATTGATTTCTTCAAACAAAACAATATGCAGCTACGCCTTGAACTTTCCTTCAGCATCGCAGTCACTTTTCTCGAACGCCAGGTTTTTGTCAAATTCCCGAGAGATGCTACGTGCAATGGAATGTGGATCAATCAAGAAGTATAAAGAGCTAATATTGTTATGAGAGTTACTGATGATAATAAGAGCCAACAGTATTCTTGTTAAATAATAAATTAGTGTTACATGTATATACCAATATCTTGCTTGATATCTGTTTAAATAGATTGTAAGTATTCATGGCGAACGGGTAGGCTGTCTGCATCAGGTCTATTGTAAGCTTGCCATTTTGGTTCATCCTTGAATAATCTTAGTGCCTTAATATGATTGGTCTCTGTGAGTGTGAATCTGTGATAGATACCTGCGGGTAAGATAAGTAAATCACCTGGACCAACTTTGCATCTGACCCATACGTCATCCTTCCCATTACGCACATCGAAGTAGCCTGAACCTTCAATGCAATATCTGATCTCTTCATCCTCGTGCAAATGCTCTTTGTAGAATATTCCGAGCTGTTTCTCAAGTGCATTTTTATCGCCTTTGAAAGTATCAACATTAATAGTGACAATGTCTCTGTTTTTATAGTTGCGCTCTTTCGCCAAAATATCAACATCTGCTTGATCTGCTATATGCTTGTATATCACACCAATCTTTCCAAGATCCTCTAGAGCTACAGTCTTACCGCTGTTGTGTGGCTGTCTAAAGTCGACACTGTCGTTTTCGTCATGTACATATATTTCCACCATTTCAATTCTTATTCTGATATATCGGTATAATCTGCTACTTCTAACAGTTCGAATAACCTGTTTGTATGAGCTCGGTTACGTAGAATATATATACATCTGTACATAAAGAGTTATATATGTATAGATTAGTTCAGTTCTTTCTTGTGATATGGATTACTAATAAAAGGTGTTGGATAGTGGTCCAGAATTGTGGCACTGGGGGATGGTGGTGAGGGGACCCTTCTTTACTCACAAAGTTCAAAATGTGTGACGACTAAGAAAGTTATCGGTTGTAGGTACTTGTCACTTAGAACACTCTCTTACCACAAAAATGACGAACCAAGGATATCATTCTTTGTATCGTTGATTGCAATTTACATACTTTGCTAGGAGTGATAAAAACTGTGACTTTCTGCCTAGAATTGTTCAATTCATGAAGAATGAAAATAAGTGTCTTCTATAAGAAGTAGTACACATATTTCAATTTTATTCAAGCATACATATCAAGGTTAGATGCTATTGCATTTTACATGACTGGCTAGAATAATCTCGATCACTAACAGCTACTAGTAAATATTTGCTTCAATGCGTTTAACGTACTTATATAACTCAATACGAAATCACTGGTTGATAACTCTACAGCAAAACTGTCAACTAAGAGAATATAACGTTTAATAAGCTTCTATGGCCAAGTTGGTAAGGCGCCACACTAGTAATGTGGAGATCATCAGTTCAAATCTGGTTGGAAGCATTTTTTTAATTTTTTTGGTTTTTATCCTACTAAGGAATTTATGCAGACCCTCTCATAGTTGTTTAATATTAAGAACAATGAATCTATCAGGTAAAAGTTTGTATTTATAAGATATTATGAATATATTAAGCTATTCTACAGCGATAACTATGTTCTTTGTCTTTTCGGGGAGGGGAATAGATCATTTAAGTTGACTTCAAACTCCATTGGTAGTTCTTCCATGTAAATAGAGCTCCTTTTATTATCTGCTGGTACTGATTTCAAACAAGAAGTGTCTATATCAGAGCATTTTGTACACTTGGATGGATTCTCAGAACAATGCGTTGATCGTAGTGCTGATACTGCATAGTTTGACTTAATGGATTCTGTTGATAGGCCCGACTTTGACATAGTGTCCAACAAAATATCACTTCTCCGTTGTGGAGGCTTCGCACTTAAAGTGCTTGTAATATCGCGACATACACATGCAGTATTATCATTACAGAACCCACAATTCCCCTTATCTACGTCATTTAATACAGCGGCAAAAGAAGTAGTTGAAGACCTCGGAGTAATTGAAGGTGAGCTCGAGTTCTTTTCTTGTTTACGTTTCAATGACACGGCCTCCATAGGCTGAAAGTTCTTTATTGCGTTGCTCAAGAATTCGTCCTGGAAGAAAGGTTTTATGTCCTCGTTCCTGGCGTTCTCCTTCAGACCATCCAGATCAACGTTCTTCATGCAAATGTAGCATTTGGAATCCTCCTTCGACTCAGAGATCGTCTTTTCCAGCTCCACAATCTTCTCGTTAGAACTCTGCTTGTACTGATCAAACTCACTAGCCAGTTGCTTGTACTTGCTCTGCCACATCTTCACCATCCCTTGCAAAGTCTCCACATTGTCCTCCAGCGTCTGGAGCTTGTTCCTGCTGCGCTCCCTGTACGCCCGCTGCGCTTCCCTATTCTGCAACCGTTTCCGATTGGGCCCCGACATATGCTTCGAGTCCTCACCAGTTGGCGAGTCGCCCGCAGGGGATACTTTCGCGCCCGCATCCATGGAAGGGGACGGCTTGGCTCTTTCGTGGCTCCCTTTCGGACGCAACGGGGGCAGCTTCCACTTCTTGGAAATATGTATCTTGGACATCGCCATCTTCTCGGCGACAGAGTCCTTAGGCCTCAACACCGGGTAGTTCTCTCCCATTGATCCCAGAGCAGTCAGCATCGGGTATCCACCGCTAGGCCACACATCGTCCTCACACTACATAACAGCTACTAAGCACTACACACATATATATACTATTTTACACCCAAGTGAGGGCATTTCAACACTTTAATTAATGCACCCTCAATCGCAGTAATCAATGCGATGCCCTTTGTGTACAGAGATGATAAGTAAGACCTCATCGACTTCTTTTAGATAAAAGGAAATTTCACTATACAGGATAACAATAAACAGCTCCTCTGCACGATGCTGTCTAAGCAGAAACGATGCCTTCCAGGCCCACCTAGCCTTCCCCCCCCAAAACACCACGATAGAAACTTTCTTCAGACACCCGGTTTTCTCCCTGTTAGATTATCTGGGTATACGGTATGTATCACGCGGGGTGTCCGTGGAAGGGGTGGAAGGGGTGGACTCGATCCGTTCGTATAGTACTACAGTATCATGTGACTACATTGAACAGAAATTAGATTTAAAGGGTGGCCCTGGCGAAGGGTTCGCATGGCGCTGCTTTACGGTTGAGTATAATTTGACGTTTGGTATTTCTGTGTGACTACAAACGTGTATTTAAGTTGGCTATTTTTTTCTTGTCCTGCTCTAGTTTGATCCTGGTATGTATTCGCCATGGTGCTGGTAGTTGAAGCGTTTGGCTCTGAGAATGAGGTCAAAGGTGTGAGTGTGATGCGGAACTTGCACATGCTGTGCTATGTTGTGATATATCTGCGGTTTGTGCGGGACAGGTCCGTACTGAACATGTTGCTGGTGTATATTGCGCTGTCGTTGGCTGGGTTCTTGAAGGACCTGCTCGTGTCCTACCTGCACAGGCAATTGGAGACCATGCGGGACGGTGAGTCCTATAGGCGGAACAGCAACGATGGGAACGGGCTGCTGGAGACAGAGGTGATCAGAACCATACTGATTAAATCTGTGCGGTACTTGCAAATCCTGATAGTGGCGGAGGCACTGTACTGCGTAATGTATCACGGGTACAGTGGATCTCCGTTATTCTACTACGACAGTCCCGGAAAGGTGGGCGATGTGGTAGAGCCGGCTTTCCATTACAAATACGGCTATTTCATCATGAACCTTATTGGGGAAGAGATGCCCTATATGTCCAGCCGATGGAAGCTGCTGGCGATAGACGTCGTGCTGCTAATTCTACAGTTAGTGGTAATAACAAAGTCGTTGGAGCCCGAGCTAGACGGCATAAAACTGATCATCCCAGAGTTGAGAACACACCAATTGGGGATGGCCAGTATTCTGCTGTTCAACACTACATCCTCCCAGGACAGCAGCCGACTCATCACACTGTGTACATGCCAAGAACCAGACCGTTGTGAGCACAACACATCGCCATCGGCACTGCCGAGAACAGAGAGACGATCCTACGGAGCTACGTAAAACCCCTTCATCTAATATATAGATATAAGCTAATATTCGTAGAATCCACAATACAATGAAAACTAATCACCAAGAACGTCATTGTGCACCACGCAGATTCTTAGAAAGAAATTTTTCAACTTTCTCTTATTGAAATCCTTTGCTAGAAATCTCAAAGGAGTTTACAGGGAGCGATGAGCAATTGCGATGAGCAAATGGCAAGGCAAGTACTCATAGAAGTGTAGTTAGTTGTTCCCAAACTTTCAATTCTTGTTTGTCTATCTGCTTCTTAAAATAACAAGGGATTACAAAGAACAATGGCAAAAGTTAAGAAAGGCAAGGGCAAAGGCAATGGTGGTGGCAGGGAGCACTTTCAGCGTGTAAACTACCTTGCGCAACTATCTCGACACGTAGCACAAGCGACCGGTGATGTCTCGCTCACCCAGTTATACAATCGTAACTTGGTGCAAGTCAGCCACAAGACCAAAACCCGCTTGAGCCCCTCGCTCAAGCGCAGTATGTGCAAACAATGCAAGATAGCGCAAATCCCCACTATCACTACCAAAGTGAGCGTCGAAAAGCATACAGGCTGCCTCGCCATAGAGTGCCAGTGCCACCAGCGCCCTCACAAGAGCAAGCGTGTCAACAACAAGAGATCAGTGAAACGCTTCCCCATTAATGCCTGCAGATCACTGGATCATTGATCTGCGCGACCCTTTTACTCCATCTATGTCCCCCCCAACACCCCCACCACTCACAAAGACTCTGCCTTTTACCCATTATGCGTTGCGCTATGAAAAAAGGCTACATCACTATCTACTCCTTTTCAGCAGTGCAAGAGGAATTCAGAGATAGCAGATCATCACTACATACGCCATGATCCAACTTGTACAAATGTCCCTCGCAGGATACTCGAATCGAGAGAGAACTCACGTCCCTTCGCTATTATATACACCGGGTATGTGTGTAGTGCGCACCCTTCTGTGTGATTCTCTTTGGTGTCAAAAGACGGGTGTCTCCCACACAAAACGTTGTGTCCACATATGTCTCTCTGTCTCTCTCATGTCCCTTATCCAGTGGCAGGCAGTGGCAGGCAGTGGCAGGCAGTAGCAGGCAGTACAGGCAGTGATTCTCCCGGGTTTCCCTTCTCGTTGCATTCTCTTGTTGTCTTGTGAGTCCTCACACTTATCCACCTTAGAAGGCACCACTCCTCTGGGGGGCTCCTACCTTTTCGTACTGGCTACTAGTGCTTCGTTACTCGTACTCGTACTGAAAAAAAAATGAACAACAGGTAGATGTGTTTACTTTTTGACTTCCTTCGCAGGCAACTTCCTCGTTATATAAGCATATGGAATTTCACATTGCGCAATCGGCCCGGATAATTGGTGGTTTGCACAGTAATAGCAAATTTTAGCGGAAACTGTTGCAAGCAATGGATTACTTGCAGGAGATAAAAGAGGAAGTGCGATTGCAGGAGAGGAGCGAGAGCCTGGGGCTGGGGCTGCAGCTGATGACGCCCACGGAATCTATACATGAGGCGCAGGAGATACTGGAGAGCAGGGACGCGGATATTACAATGGCGGATCTCTCCAAGGCGCTCGAGATACCGACCACGCCCGTGGTGGAGATCGAGTCTGTCTTTGCGGACTCGCCGCTGCTCTTGCATGCCGTGGATACCACGCCAATTGCGCATGGCGGAAGCGATATAGGCCTTGGGTTTCTCCCCGCATCGCCGGTGGTGCAGAAACTGAGATCTAACTCGTACTCTGCCTCCATCAACAACAACATGACCTACCATTTCAACGCAACGATACTGAGTAACGTGGCAGATACTACCAACACGGGCACAACAGCCAGCATGGGCGCAAACAGCCCTAACCCTAATTTATTGAGTCCCAGATCCCTGGGGTCGTCTTTCAAGAAGCATGTTGTACAGAGAGGTGCATCCGTGGACGCTGTCTCTCTAGATCTCCACACAAGGGAATACACCGCCGAGTCACCGGGCTACTTCGATATAGGTGACTCTAAGAGAAACTCATTACAGAAATTCAGAAGCAGCTTGAACATAGCAACAGCCCACTCAAGCAGCAAACTACTACAAAGAAGAAACTCAAGAGCCTCTATTTCAGCTTCTAGCCCCATGTCCAACCTGGGTTACTTTGAAGACTACAACCACAACTATACAAGATCCAGGAAAGGCTCAATTGCATCCGCGACTACAACAGTAACTCAAAGAAACACCTCTTTGGGGAGTAATGTAAGAAGAAGCTTATCGAAAATTGCATCAACTACAGGAACGATAAAGCGGGCATTCTCATCGGCTTCATTAAATGCAAACAACGCAAAAACTGCCAACCCCGAAGGCAATAGTAACGATAATGGCTTTCATGAGACTATGAGCCATAGCTTTAGCAGGATGTCCCAAAATAGTGGGAGAAATTCTGTTGCAGATGTAAGAAATGGTATGTTTAATCTGCATATATCTCGCGAGAACTCAGCATATTTGGAGCCCAATACAATCTCAGATGACGAGCTGTCTAATTCAAGCTCTACTTTTACGAATAAAATGCTATTGGAAGATGGATATTCTCTGCAAAATAGTACGCCAGTTGAAAATTGGTCCAATACTGGTTTCGTAGGTATCAAATCTCAAGGAAATTATCGAGAAGACAGGGGTGAAGATGACAAGTTTTTAGTTGATATCGATAAACTAACTACTGAAGTACCCGTTATATCAGTAACCGATAGACTTGGCTCGAAGAATTCTACACCCTTGATAGAACAAAGTAGTATTGTAAATGCTGAGGTGAAATGCAAGGGCCGCAATAGAAACAACTCTAACGCTTCATCATTGGCCAGTGGTAGTACCCAGAAAATGGGTCTGGATGAGTACATTAAAGTTCTAATAGGCCAACAAAATCTGGAAGACGAGAGACTTGAATATTTAGAGAAACGATTCAAAGAGTGCGGCTGGTGTTCAGAAGAAGAGTTACAAACCATAAGAAGAAAAAGAGTTATGATTAACAGAAAATGGGCGAACAAAATATCTCGCTATCAGAACAAATTAGAATTATGAGGTTCATGGATGCCATCTTTTGTTCTCCTCATGCTTAAAAAAAAATCAAGTGCATAACATTTCGAAAGATCGAGAAATCCCTTTTTCTCATTTTTGCTACTGCTCTAAAATAAAGTTTGATAACAACTGTACTAATTACTTAATATATTCATTGTCGCGATAGGAGTTGGGTGGTTCTACGGATAAGCATATATCGGGCATTATACCTATATCGAAAGTACTTTCCGAAGAATGTGCAACCATGGATCTAATTGCTGGTTTTTTTTTGCTCTACTACGATACTTTTAGTAGATGTCTGAAATCTGGAACCAGGTTTGTTACTTGTTTTGGAGAAATTGATAACAAGTAAAGTAAGCGAGAGTTTTTGTGTTAACTTTTTTTTTGTCGACAATTGAAAACAGCAATTGATTGTTTTTTGATGGGCAAGAAAACTGTACACTGTTTCAATTTGTTACTTAATCAAGTATTTCAAGGTTGGAAAAGCTGGGACATTTTCGTTTGGCACATCTAGTTGTTATTGTTACAACTTTATTGGTGCATCCCAGGCTACCATGAAAATGTCGAAAGACTTTTTTCGGTGCCCACGTTACAACCATCTCAGGTAGAAAACTGCTTATCAGTGTTGTTTTTATGCAGAGTTGTGGAGAGTCTGGACCCATTTGTCCTTATTTTGCCTTTTTCCGTTAGTTTTCTACTTTTGCTTTTGTCAGTATGCACTCTTTGCTTCTTTTTTCTTTTTTTTTTTTGAGAGTTCCTCAAATATGATTTACGGGTTTTGAAATATACACGTACAAAATGAGCTTTACATTCTTCCAATATGGCATGGTTATCGATTTCAAATAAAGTGTTGCTAAATTAAACTTTTCAATTCGATATCGAGTTGATTTCTACAATAATTGCTAATGATAGTTTTAAGCCCGCCTCCTGTTATTTCATTTTTTACTTCTTGATATTTTATGATTGATCTAGTATGCCTATTCATTTTCAGCTTAAATGCCATTTCATTTTGTAGCCATTCATGACTTCCCTGCTTATAATATTTTAATATCGTGATGTGCAATTTCTTTCAGCTGTTATATGGAACTGCCTTCGTCCTACAATTATTGATTCCGGTTCAATAAGAATAAATCCAATTTTTTTAATTATCTTTATTTCTATTTATTTTTTTCTCACGAAGACAAAAAAATATACATAAGTTGTAAATAATTGCTATAATTGTGATACTCTATTTCTCCGCTTTTGGTTGACTATTACTATGCTAAAATCTTCTACTATAGCATTTCTATCCAATTACATATGACCTTACCCTGGTTCAACAAAACTCTAAGAACCAATAATTAGACGGTGCGATAATTGAAAAGAGTAGTAACACATAACAACAAAAAATCTATATTTCTATGCTCAAGATTAGAGTAGTTCTCTATTTATAAATAATAACCGTAGAAGGAAACAAATACAATAAATTATACAAACCTCACAGAAGAATTCCGTTTTTTTTTTTGATCTGTTCAAGCAACTGCTTTGATTTCTGCTCATTGATCTCTTCCAATTTAGATTTCCAATGTCTATTTTCCTGCAACAGACCATCAATCTTCTTGTTCAAGTCATCTATGTGTGAGTTTAATTGTGCCAGTTTCTCGAGATTCTCCATACGACGCTGTTTCTTCCTTATCCTGAAACGCGCCGAGGCCTCTGAGTTCTTGCGACGCTTCTCTAAAGCTTTCAGTAAAAGGCTCTCGTTGTCCTCGACTTCGTCTTCACTGTTTGCACTGCTGTGGCCACCAGTTGTGGTAATAGCCCTGTTGTCCCACTGCGAGGAAGTAGTTACAACAGCATCCTCGTCATCGTCACCCGATACTCTAGCGTCTTCTGTGGTATTCTTGTATGTATAATCTCGGTCGGACTGGGCACCCGCTACTACTGGTTTAACCTCATTGCTCTTGTGTTTGCTCTTGGACCTCACATTTGAAGCACCTCCTTTATTGATGGACTCGATGATCTCTGCGGCATTTCCACTGTTTACCAGCAACAGCGACACTAGCCGAGACCCCAATTCGGAGTTCTCCATGATCATTGACCGGATCCGTTCCGACACGCCAAGCACCGATGACGGCAATTCTGTGTTCTCCAATCCCATGCTGTAATGTCTGCGGGTATGTAAATATGCGCGCGTGTGTTTTACGTGTAGATGTGTCTGTGTCTGTGTGTTTGTGTATGCTGAGTTATGGCGCGTATTTCTAGACTTCCCACCCCAGTAATTATAATGTAGCCGCCAAAACCAAGCGTGGAATTGGTGCTACTAGTATTACATGCTACATATATATACTTGTGCCCTTATTACATACATCGTACCGTATTTGTATCTAATTGTTCTTTTGTTTGGGGAGCGATGCCACCACCACAGTTGAGTCACGTCCAGGCCATAGTATAGATACTATTAAGTCTTTCAATAGGGGGAAGGTATAGAGTTCTTTGTCTTATCTTTATTGTTTTTTTCACTGCAAAATGCCCACAGTTTACCATGGAAATCTAATCATTAAGCTTAGATGTATCGATTTTTGGCCTTGGTGAGATGAGATAGTACTATTCGCTATCTGTGTCTGCTTTGACATTCCTACTGCCCCACTACACACTTTTGCCAAAAAAGGCTCCATCTCTCTAGGAGGGGCAGGAGATTGCGAGAAAGAACAGCAAGTCAATACATAGATGAATCAGCTCCCCGGCCAAGAGTCACGCTCATGCAGAGTAGAGCTGTGGATGTTAGTAATACCGAGCAGAGTGGGAATCACAGTTTCTACTTTCAAGAAAACCTACTAAATGACATAGGCCACCTTTGGAAGAGCTGCATTAACCACATATATCAATCACGTGAACCTGGTAAAGAAATGGGCCTTTGTGAAGCTGTTATAGTAGGCTCTGCATTGGTAGTTGTACGCCAAGGGAAGTAACAAGCACGGATACACTTACACATAAATGGCTAAGGCGAGTTCGATGTGGAAGGAAAAAGTGAGTGACTCGTTGACTATCAGTACAACTCTTCACCACAGTTTCTTCTAGCGGGAGGACTGCAGAAGGACTGAAAAATTCCAGTGGGATCTTCTCATTCGATATCTCTGTTGATGGCCTCTATACCGGAGGGGAAAGATATTTGGGTTGGGAGCCAAGATAGCCACAAACCGCGCGGCTCCTTTCCCTGAGTCCCCCGCTTAGCAACTGTGTGTTTGCATGACTTCGGGGCTGTCTCAATTTTGTGTAACACCGGAGTATTTGTCCTACTGTGTTTTCTCAGTTCTGAGTTTATTTTCTGGCACCACAGTTTTTGTTTTACTGCGTCTTCATTAGCGTACTACATGATGATTGTTGTGGTGGGGGCGGAGAGACAAGCCGTGCATGTGTGGTATCGCATACTTCTGAACGATGTGGTTACTTTTGACATATATATATAAATATATATATAGACTTTTCATATATGTGGGTGAAAAAACAGAAACAACCAAAAATTGAACTGTATGTATGCTGTATATCTATGCAAGGCCGCTCTGTAACGTTTGGCCGATGTATGCTACAAATAAGGGAGCTGCCCTCTCTAGGTCGACGTCTCGTAAGTTCTTGTTCATTTGCACAAACTGGCGCTTCAGCCTGTTTAGTCTTGGAAGAGTAAGTTGAGGGGCGTCTGCAGGGATGTCTAAGAACAGACAACGGTCATCGTTGATGTCTCTAACGTCTTCGGAGACGATGATTCTCTGCGGTCCCCCGATTGCTTGGGCGGCCTGGCACTCGCGCACGATGATACGCACAGTCTCGGTCAGCTTAGCGTCTAGTAGTCGCACGAAGTCTGCGCCTGTTGCTGCTTTCAGCAGTGTTGGGTTGTTTTGTGAGAGACGATTCATCGGTCCCGGGGAAGGGGACCCGTTACGGCTGGATGACTTATCGCTGATTCCAAGGAGCACTTGATCTACTAGTTGTTTATGTGTAGGCAATAGAGTCTCTGGAGACACGACTGTAGCCATTGGAGAGTCCCATCTGTTAGACGCATCTGGTTCTTCAAACCGCTGGATCAATTGGTCCAACAGCTCTTTGCCCCATCTTGGCGACTCCTCGCCGTTTTCGTCCCTCTTCAAGATATCTGCATATGTGGCCATGCAATGCACCAACATGAAACCAGTGTTGCTATTCTTACACTCACAGTGCAGCTGGTATCTGAACCCCTTAATATAGTTCAAGGAGTCTACAATGACAATGGTAGAGCGGGACAGATCCCGACGCACAGCACTCATGATCTCGTTTCTCAGCTTACGTTCCGCATGCGTGTCATTATAGTCTTCCTCACGCGTCTCACGACCCTTGTGCCCCAACGTCTCATCACTATGGACCACTACGTTGGCTCCTTTCTCCCTGAGATACCCTGCAAGTTCGCGCGCAACAGTACTCTTCCCACTCAGCGGGAACCCACACATCAATACCAACGGCATCTCTTCCTTTTGAAACTCCTTGGGAAAGTAACTTGCAGTCTGTGATTATTTTTTTCTCTCCACAACAAGATGTGCTTAGAAATACCAGTACAAAGATCTAAGACTTTTGCCTTGTGATGCTAGTTTTTCTTTGTCAGCTAGCCGCCATGAGTTCCCCATCTACTGCGTAGTACCCTTGCACAGTAAGCCATCGGCACTCCCGAAACCAGTTTTTTTGATCTTACGCAGTTGGCAAAGAAAAAAAAAAATTTTATACGGTCGTCTCAAGTTAGCTACCACGGAAGGGGTTCAATCTCAATTGTTCGTGCAGTGGCACATTCGTTGGGATTACGTGTAACCTTTTCTCGCTCACCAAATGGTAAATGAATAGTTACTTGTTCCAAATATGTCATTTTTACCTCATTGCTTGTTTTGGCATATGTCCCTTCTAATTATTTCTTTTGTTAGTTTCTTTGAACTTTTTTGAACTCTTTTTTTTTTTTGCATCACCATAATGCAAAATGGTCAAGGGACAAGGCAAACAAAATATTTCCCGTTTGGGATTTCACTTCTAATTAAGGTAAACGCATACTTCATTTAATGGGTTACGAGCTTGCTATTCCCTGGTGGGAACAATGAAAAATTTGAAAGGGAATGGAATGACACGAACCTTTTTTCTTCTTTCCCACTTCACCATTAACTCTTACCACAGAGCTATTTTTGCCGTTAATGGGAAAGAAAAGTCTCTACTGAGCTTCCTGGGCCCGCGATTTGATCGTGGTGGGAATAGATATACGACCATCGTGTCTTTTATTTCCTCTCTTTCACATTATGTGCTACTTCTTTAGTCCTTCCCACTTGTGAAGAAAAAGATAATGATAAAAAACTTGTGGACTCCATACTTTTCTTCTTACTTGTATCAATCCGTACGTACGTTTCTAGCTCACCCGCATCCATGCAATCCCATAACATCCAGTTCCTTAGCTAGTCCTCCTGTTTAGTCGGTTTCTCTGCGTTATAACACCGCTTATCGCTTCTTTCTGTACCGAGGGCAAATTACCATTTTGACAGCACTTTTGTCTGTTCTGCTTTGGTGTTCTGCTTTGGTGTTCTGCCTGGTGTTCTAAGTAAATCGATTCGATGTTCCTTCACTCCAGACTTCTTCCAACCCCTTGTCCTCCCTTTCTTCCCTTTCTGTGTGATTCCCACGTACAGATGTTTCTAGTTTCTGTCCTTGCGGGACAAGAGGTTCCTGCTGGGTTTTAGCACTTACTCATCATTCCAATCTCATCTCTATCTTTTCTGTGAGTGCCCAAAAGTGCCCAGAACTAGCCGATTTGCCCGTTCTGCGCGTCCTTTTCTTCCTATCCATAAGCACTACAACTATTGTAGATTGTGCTGCTCGCTATCCCAAGGGCACTTCTTACATGTACCTGGTTGCCATGTCTGCTTCCTGTCCTCTCTGCGCATGTTCCTCTCAATACATAAAATCCCGCACATATCCCCCTTCCCCTTTGCCCCTTTTAACCCCTGGTGTATGTTTTTCTCTCTTCAAGAACAGGGCCACAGAGATAGCGCACGCATACCTCGCTCCCACGAAAACAATCTCCGGTCTCCCGAAATCATGGTCCTTACCTTGTGAACATGTAAGTCTCTTTGAAGGAGTGAAACCCACGCACAAGCACTTGTCTAATCCCCATTTTCTCGGATTAAGGCATAACCACCCGTACGACAAACTATCCCTTCCCACTTACAACCGTCCTAGAACCCAGTCACAGAGCTAGAGGCAGAGCTAGAGGCAGTGGCCGAACCCGACATCCCATCCCACCGGGCCTCCTTCCCCCAGCCAGCCCCTGCCTGTCTTTTTTTTCTTTCTCTCTCACAGAAATCTTTGCGGGGAAGTAACCACTCTTTGAATCAGACACGACTAAGTCAAGAAACTGGTACGTTAAATAAAAAAGAAAGAAAAGATCGGGAAAGTCATACTTCCCGGGGCAAAGAACCACCTCCCCACAACACAGAAAACAATGCACAAGGCATCAAGAAAAAAGCACTCCCATGCTATCCTCCCCCCTTCCATCCGCACGCGATCTCTCTCCTGCCACATCCCACAACTCCCTCGATTCCCGGCTCACAAATCACTACAAAGAAAAGTGCTGATTAAAATCCCGCACCGCAACCAATCCCCTCGAGAAAACTTCCATCTTCAGCATCTTTTCAGCATCTTTTCAGCATCTTTTCAGAAATCTTCCAAATATGTTTATCTGCATACAATTCCACGTACAATTCAAAAAACAGTTTCGCAATGAAAAACTAAAGCTTATATCATTCCCACAGACACAATCGCAGCATAATCACCCGAGACACACGCAGAAGACGATCCTTCCCAATGGTACCTTATACCGCTAACTCCCTCTCTCTATCTCTCCCCCGGATTTCCCATTCGGAATTCCCTTCAAAAAATTTTTTTCTTCCCTTCAAAGTATATAAACTGCAGGGCTTCGACCCGCTGTGCGAATCCAGGAACCACTCCCCCCCTCCGATCAGCATATACATAATAATAACAAAAACCACTGTGAATAATATTCTTTCTAAATTTTTTATTTTTCAGAGAAAATAAAAAATCATTAATGCATTAAGAGGGTATAACACTGACTAGAACATGCATCCCGTACCGATCGCACCAAACTTGCATAGACCTTCTACCGGCTCCGCCAGGCTGGTAGTGAGAACGTCCAAGAACTGGGTGCTGCCTCCCAGACCTAGGCCTAACAGAAGAAACACCATCCACTCTGGTGCCAACTCTTCACACACACACACAAACAATACACACACAAACAACGCAGGTAACGCTAGCAGCGCAACTACTGCTGTTAACAGTGCTGCGACTAGTGCCGCCAGCACTCCTGCGCCTCCTAAGCGGAAAAGAGAGAACTCCTTGCCTGTGAACTTGAAGAAAGTTAAAAAGGACTACAACAGGGTCGAGAACTGCCTCGCGTTCCTGAAGTTCGACGACGAGGAGGACACCACTACAACAAGCACAGATATAGACGACGACCTGTTCTCTAACACTTCACCGGTATCGTCTACGTGTACCCCTCTGACATCGGCCTCTTTAAACCTCAAGAGCGTGCCCTTCAATGGCGCCTCTGCTGTCAGTGGAGTTGGCATGCTGAACTTGTCGGCTGGGAAGAACGGGGCTCAGAAGAAACAACAGCGCGCAAAATCAGCACAGTACAGTTACAAGCCTTCGTCAAAGGATGACAGCAAATACGGCAACGAGTCCACATTGGATGGCGACCTCGACCTGGAGATGGAGATGTCCATGAACTTGGACGACAACATCAACGCGACGTCATTTACAACTGCCACAGAGTCCAAACCTGAGTTCTTCACCATCAACAACATAACTAACGCTACAACATCAGCATCACCTGCTCTTAACGACCCAGTGACTACAGACTCCTCCCTTTCCGCAAAGGAACTTGAGGATTTCTACAACTATATTCCACCTAGTTTGGAAGAATTGATTGATGAACAAGACGCGCACTCCAAAAATAACAACGGTCTCTTCAGAGACTCTCTGATGAGCAAGAGCTATGAGTCCATGAACTTAATGATGTTTAATGACCCTTCAAATACTGCTAGACAACAAGATGACCTAATTGTTGACACTGATGGTGACATGTTTGCATTTATTTGATGTTTTTATTTTATATTGGAAGAGATCAAAGGATAAAAAAATGGCTCGTGCTTCACCTAGAGTAGAAGCCTAGCCTATTTATGCTTGTCTACTTCTATTTTTGCCCAATTTTTTTTATGAATAATGCCAGTACTGTCCACCCCCACTTAACTCCAGCAAGATGCTTTTTATTTAAGTAGGTAATGACACTTGACCAAGTGTTAACCCTTGTTGATTTATTTTATTTTTGAAGTTCCACTCACAAACACAATTTATTTTATTCCGAACATTTATTATATCTACAAATGTCGTACCCAAGGTACACTTTTGTAGTGAATTCCTTTTACATTTGATTTATTCATTGTTTTATTTTTACTATTATTCCGTTGACTTTCGATTAAAACTTGATTTTGAAACATTTGCCTTGTCTTTTTATTTTATTACTTTTTACCCACGTCCTCAACCATTATCTTTACAATTTACAATTGTCTGCTTTGGTGTTATTTTGGCGTTATGCCTTGCACTTGGTTTCTCTATTGTATTTCATCATGCACTCAAAGAAACCTCTACAATATATTGGTATCCGTATACTTTTTTTTTGAATTTTTTTTTTTTTGATGATTCTAAAATTTGATGACATTCATTATTGACTTACAAACATTACATTTCCTTGTGATTATTGACAAAAAAAAAAAACCTAACGTATTTATTTATTCCATCTCTACACTGTAGATAATCATCCTTCTGATTACTATCCCAGTTTTTATTATTCAAAATATAATCATATTCAAGATATATATCATATTCGAATACATATTCCCATATCTCATCTCATTTCCCCTTCTCTAAGCTCATCGCATTATCTTTTTCACATGGCACGCAGCGTTAAGGCGTCTGAAAAATTTCAACGCGTGAGCCTTTAAAAGTGAATATACCTACTCCACCACTGTAGATTTACATTGCTAAAGAGACCTACGACTCAAGGGCCACAAACACGATGGATATGGATGTCCAGCAGGTCAAGTTGAAGATTAAGAGATGGGAGCATGCTTTCATAGCCGAACACAACAGGCCTCCAGACAAGGATGATATAAGGCCCCTCACCGAGATGAAGCAGCTCTACAAACTTTACTCTGTGCTGAAAAGTAAGGAGCGTAAAGCCGAACCAATACAGAAGCAGCAGACGCCGCGTAAGGACTCTAATATGGTGCTTGGTCCGACCCCGCAGATATATGGGAAAGCGGTTAGTATTTTCGAGATGAAGGTGTCGCCGTTGAAAGTGGAAGAGACGCCTACTACCGAGGTAGAGGAAGATATAGAATCAGAAATAGAGTCATCAGTTAATAGAAGAAATAGCGACGAAGCTAGCGCTAATGAAGAGAAATTGGGTATACACTCAGTGAAGAAAAGACTATTCGAGTCACCAAAGAAAACAGAGAACACAACACATCTGGCCGTGCCACAAGTAACGCGGTATGGCCCCAATTCACCTTTGAAACTGGCCCAAACAGTTAGTATACGGCAGCATTTGTTGACACCTAAAAAAAAGAAGGCAGAACCCAAATCTTTATATACTCCGTCACCGTTGTTGAAACGCAACTCATCAAAAACCCTATACGAGCTTGCCCATGAGCACTTACAGTACGTGGAGGAGATAAAAGAACTTGATCAGCAATTCAAGAGTGAGATTGTACCAATACGACATGGTAACGGTCAAGATATAGGCGATGAAAGCGATGAAGTGCCCGAAAAGAAGAAAAGGAGAACTGGTGTGCTCAGAAGATTGCAATTTGATGAGGATGAAAATGATCGAACTATAAAGAAAGACTTACATAAGGAGTTACTGAAACTAAAATCAAGGAAAGTTAAGGAATTTCTAGGTAAAGAGGACAATGAACCTTCTGAAGAAGAAGAAGAGGAACAACAAAAGTCCGAACCCCTACCGGTGAAGAAGAAAAAACCAAAGAAATATAATCTAGTAAGCAACAACTTCCGTAGACTAAAACTGCCTAAAAAGAATAGAAACCCAAGATTTGGTCGGCGTAGATAGACAAATCAAAAAGCAAATATTATGTTACATTATTTGAAACTTAACTATTCTCTAGGACAATCTATTCTATGGTCAGGAGATATAGTTACATTCAGAAAGCAGAGAGCACACTCACAATATCGAATTGAACTTACGGATGTTTCAATCAGTAAAGGTAAGCATGTAAACTTACCTTCTATTGTACACTAATTTTGAAACTGCTATGATTATTTATATGTGTTATATCACATGTAACGTAGTATTTTGGATTTCGGAGATTATCATTTCACAGGCGAGGTCACTCTCTGCAAAATGGCTGCTTGATGGCAAGTCGATGACGCATTGTGATGAGGTATCGGTAATTGTGGATCAAATGATCTATTATAAAGCAATGAACGGTTGCCAGTAAAGGGTATTATGTTACACTTCATGATATCTTCTCAACAATTCCATTTAACACGCGCAACAATTGAGCCATCTAGTGCAGAAGCCACCACCCGATGACTCTGAACTACGCGAGTGTGCAATGTGTGCTGAGGATGCGAAGCGCCGTGATGTTAGGCCGCAGGCGGTTGTCGCGGAAAGCATTAAAACAAAGTACTTTATTTGATATCCCCATGGCGCCACCGGATGGTGTTTTGGGGCTGACGGAAACTTTCAATGCAGACGAGAACCCAAATAAGATTAATTTGACAGTTGGGGTATATAAAGATGGATGGGGTCAGGTGACAACCTTCCCTTCAGTGGCTCAAGCTCAAAAGATTATAGACATGGATGTGGGAATGAACACTGATCTATCATATTTACCGATAAGTGGGTGTGAGGATTTCAAGAAGCATACAATTAATTTTCTGTATAGGGACAGCTGCCCGCAAGACGGCCCTGCATTGATTAAGAATGATCGAATCAGTTTTATACAAACGCTAAGTGGAACTGGTGCATTAGCTGTCGCATCTAGGCTTTTATCATCTTTTATTTCGAGAAAGATATGGATACCCAAACCGTCTTGGCCTAATCACACCAATATATTTACCCAAAACGGTTTTACCAATCCTAGATTTTATAGCTACTATGACAGAGGCGATTTGACGATTGGAAGATGGTTACAGGAATTGAGGCATGAAGTTGGTAAAGACTCAAATACCAAAACACCACATTGTATTGTTTTACATGCCTGCTGCCATAATCCGACCGGCCTTGATCCGACAAAAAAGCAATGGGAGGATATAATGGATACTATTTATGAATTAGGAATGATTCCAATTATAGACATGGCATACCAAGGTTTAGAATCGGGCAAGCTGATAGATGACGCATATTTACTAAGACTATGTCTGGACACCAGCAGGTACAGGTCCTGGGATAACGGTCTATATCTGTGCCAATCTTTTGCCAAAAACATGGGATTGTATGGAGAAAGAGTTGGATCTTTAAGTATTGTGGCACCTGAACATGTTCCTGGTGTGAAAGAGGTCCTGGACTCACAACTTAAACAGATTATCAGAAGTATGTATTCCTCCCCTCCTGGATATGGTTCAAGAGTCGCTAAATTAGTCTTATCGAATGATAAGCTCAAGTATCAATGGTATTCTGATGTTGAGACAATGGTGAATAGACTAAAATCGGTGAGGGAAATGATACATGAGAGGTTACAATGGGAAGAGATAGTTAATTTTGAGCAACAACATGGTATGTTCTATTTCACAAAATTAGGACCTGATATTGTAAAAAAACTCAGGGAACAATACTCTATATATTTAACGAACGATGGCAGAATGTCCTTAAGTGGCGTTAATAAGAGCAATGTTGACTACTTATGCAATTCCATCAAGGCTGTGACATCTAGTAAAACATTACTGTAACCTAGTATTTATGAAATTCATATCACTATTTCTCGTTAACAAATAGTACGTAATTGATTTCTATGATTGATATAAAATCAATAATCGCAAAATCTTCTCCTAAGACTGATCAATGAACGGATTGTGTGTAATGGAAAGAATTTTCATGCAGAGATAGTATTTTGGGTTTGTAGACGTGGAAATAGTATATCGTGTATATAATTTAGAATAATGATAGAATAAGTAAAAACATTAAGGAGATAATAAGTAAAAAAAGAAGAATTGAACTTTTATTGTAACTTTTAAACAATTATTGAAATCATTCAACAGTGACAGATTTTGCAAGATTTCTAGGGAAATCAACATCTATACCTTTGTTTACTGCTAACCAGTATGACATCAATTGTAGTGGAATGATGTTTAGTAGACCTTGTAAACAATCAACTGTTTGAGGGACTTCCAACGTAACCAAGTTAATTTGCTCAGCCTTTTTAGCCCATACATCATCGTTTTCATTACAGATAATAATCGGTTTACCTTTTCTGGCAGTCACTTGTTCAATTGAAGATACAACCTTTGGAAACAAGGAGTCTCTAGTGCCAAAAGCAATAATTGGTAAGTTCTCATCAACAAGAGCCAACACACCGTGTTTCAATTCACCAGCAAGAACACCTTCAGAATGCATATATGATATCTCTTTGATTTTCAAAGCACCTTCCAACGCAGAAGCAAATTGGTAACCTCTACCTAGTAGAAGCAAGGATTTTTGGTCCTTCAATTCTGTAACACATAACTTTTTGATTTTGTCTTCCAAATTCAATACTTGTTTGATTTGACCAGGAATCAATTTCAACCCGTCTATAATTTCCTTTCTCCTCTCAATCTTTGAAACTCTATCATCGGAAAGAGATAATGCCACCATCACCAACGCTACATATTGAGAAGTGTAGGCTTTAGTAGAGGCCACACCAATTTCAGGGCCAGCATTGATATGGACACCACAGTGAGTCACTCTTGAAATTGAAGAACCGACAGTGTTGACAATACCGATAGTTAAAGCACCTCTCTCTAGACAGTAGTTCAAAGCAAACATCGTGTCTGCAGTTTCACCACTTTGTGACACAAATATACAAACATCTTCCCTGAACACAGGACTTCTCCTGTCCAAGAAGTCTGAAGCCAATTCAACACTTACTGGTATTTCGGACAGTTCTTCAAAAATAGCTCTAGTGGCTAGACATGAATGGTAAGATGTACCACAAGCAATCATTATCAATCTACGAGCTCTTCTGATAACTGGTAGCCAAGCTTTTAGACCACCAAGCATAACATTTTTGTTCTCAAAGTCAATTCTACCTCTCATAGTGTTAAAACTCGATTCGGGTTGTTCATAAATTTCCTTTTGCATGAAATGTTTGTAAGGACCCTTCATAATTTGCGCTAGCTCCATTTCCAAAGTTTGGATGGATCTAGTCATTGATGCACCGACTTCCTTTCTCGATCTATGAATGTGTAATTCACCATCATAAATGTGTGCAATATCGTCATCTTCCAGGAAAAGAACCTTTTTAGTATGCTTGATAACAGATGCTGCATCAGAAGAAACAAAAAATTCAACTGGTGTTGGGGAACCATCTTCTGACAAGAAAGCTCGAGATTGAGAATGTCTCAAGTTGAAGTCGTTAGCAGCTATTGGCATCAAATTGTTGTTATGGGCGTTAGCTTCAACATGACGAGCATTTCTACCTGAAACAGTTACGTTATTGTTATTGATTGCTTCACCACTAGCGGATACCAAAGGAGTGTCAGGCTTACCCATGGATTCATCTGGAAATTCGACATCCACAAAGTCAACTTTTAATTTCTTTTCTGATTTAACACCAACCAATAGTGGAGACCCCTTTCTGGTTGCAATAATTTCATTTGGATAATGGTTAGATTTACATAGTAAACCGTAAGAACCTTCCAACTCCAACAAAACCAATTTGGTCAATTCATGGAAGTCTAAATCGTGTCCATTCTTTAAGTTGGTATCATATAAATGCTTAAAAAGTTTAGCAATACATTCAGTATCGGTGTCACTTTCAAACTGGTAGCCCTTATTCAGTAGCAAAGTTTTCAACTCTCTAAAGTTAGTGATAATACCATTGTGAACAATTACAAATTCGTTATTTGGATCAGATCTTTGAGGATGGCAATTAATCTGCTTTGGCTCACCATGAGTAGCCCATCTAGTGTGGGCAATACCAGAATGTGACACAAATGTAACATCCCTATTAGGCTTCTGTAAAGCAATTTCTTTCTCTAAAGAGCTAACTTTACCAATTTGTCTAAAAATAAAAGTGGAGTCAAGTTCATCACCATCGATAGCGATACCAGTAGAATCATATCCTCTATATTCCAACCTTTTCAAACCATCCACTAATGTGTCGATGATCTCACCACGAGATTTTTCAACCAAGTAATTACAGTAACCAAAAATACCACACATTCTAGTATTGTATAAATTTTTTAATTCACTTTCAATCTAGTTTAGATGATGGAAATAGTGCAAAGGAGACTTATTTTTATAATCAGAATATTTTGCGTTGTACTAACTCAAAATTGAATTATCTTTTCTAAAAATCTGAGCACAAAAAAGTGATTGCAATGATTTTTTTATTGCAGTAAATTAATCTATTGGCTCGTTAACAACACAATTGATTAGAATTCCTATTGCAAGTAAAACGACGATTTGTATTTGCAATCTCAATAGTTTCACGTCTTAGCTCTCAATTTTTCGAGTCTTTAAGCAAAACGATTATAAGAAAAATCTTCTTTCTTTACTGACTTGAAAATGCAAATGCAGTTTAAAAACTCTTGGGCGCCAAATAAGTTGTTGATTTGATGGTGCTGGAAATGTACAGCTTCCAATATAATTGCTGGCAAAGCCTCATCGACACTTATTTAAGTTTGCCTTTGTGAGAGATCATCAACAAGATGTCCAAGAAAGGAAACTCTATATTTCGCTTTTCAGTATGGAATTACGTATTCTATGATGTTCTATATTTAGTGTTATAAGCAATAAATTTAACATCTCTCAGCACAACTAGTGGGTATTAATAGCGTAATGAATTTATATTTAGATGGATATACATTGGATTTTGACTTCTTTTCTATTTTACTGTATAACATTTTTTATATGGATATTGCTAGGGATGTGTTTATTGTAAAACTTCACTTACAACTCGCCAAAGTTATCGTAAACTTCTCTCCAGTTATCGAAGAAACCTCTGAAGAACTTGATTGCCATCGCAATGTCCTTAGTACCTGTGGCAGCTCTGATGCTGTGCATAGATAATTGAGAAATACCAACATCAATAGTACGTGCACCCAATTGTGCAGCGACAATTGGGCCAACAGTACCACCAGATCTGGAGTCATTTCTGATTTGGAAGTATTGAACGGTATCCTTGTTCTTACGAGCCAGCTCTTCGACAAAAGCCAATCCAACTACATCCGTGGCCATGTGGGCGTTAGGGTCCAATGAGATGGTCATACCCCAGTTTGGCTTAGGAGAATGCTTCTTCAAGTAGACTTCCTTGAAATTTGGATTAAACAAGTGGTTGACATCGGCAGATAAGACAATGGAATTTGCAAACAAAGTTGGTGGCTCTAAGCCTTCCATGTTGGTGAATCTCTTTGCGGTACGGCAAATTGATGTCTTTAGTAATGTGCTTTCAGCACCTTGTCTTGTCAAGGAACCAACTTCTTCATTGTCGAATAGAGCTACCATGTTGAAACTGCTCAATTCGTCAAGGTCGACTGTGGCACCGTAGTAGGCCATAGCAATCATAGCAGTGAAACTACATAGTCTGTCGTCCATTCTTGGTGAAAAGATGAAGTCCTTCTTGATACCACCGAAAGTACCCTTCTGAACATCGAACAAGTCCAAGTCCAGTTGTAGAATCTCGGAGACCTTGATGCCAGCTAGCTCAGCAATGTATCTTAATAGCAAGATGGAGTGCTTACCAACAAGAGGGCACTTCTTCTCTTCATCAGTGATCGTGCCTTCATCATCAATGTCACAGCACCATCCAAAGAATGGAACTGCTTGGGTCTCCTTGTTGAAAGGACCTTCAGAAGGTTGGCCAAAATGTGGTGCCAAGCTAGGAATTCTACCAATGGGGTGAGGAGCAGAGTTCACAAGTGTGCTTTCGACCTTGGAAGAGTTCTTCTTCTTGTACAGAACACGACCAGCGATACCCAAGTCTCTGTCGAACCACAATTCATTCAAAGTACCACCATAAGGAGCAACTCCGAAGAGCTTGTAACCCTCGACCTTTTCCATTAAGGAGGCTGGCTTCAATTTGGCGGTCAATGAGTCAACATGACTGGCGACAACACCGACACCAGACTCAGGCTTCCACTTCTTACCGATGACCCAAGCGGTCATGTTAGTACCATTTCTGATGGTGTAGTATCTACCTGGCTTACCTGGCTCCAATTCGTCGTTCCAGGTCTTCTTCTCAGGCAAATACTTGAATCCCTTACCTTCTAGCAACTTAGAGAAGAACTCAATGACGTGGTATGTGGTTGGGTTCTCATAAGTGAAGTCGATGAACTCCTGGGCACAATCCTCGTAGGTGTGCTCGTTGATGTGATAGAAAGGTTCATCTGCTGGAGTCTTGTTCGAAGTAGTGTTTTGGGAAACAGTCAATGCGTTCAAAGTCTGCTTCAATTGTTCAATGATCTGGCGTTGTTCTTCCATCTTAGCTTCCATGGTTACCGTTAGCTAAATTTGTATGTAAAGTTTTAAGAGCTACGGGATCGAAAGACAAGTTTAGTGCATTTATATATGATACTTATATACCAAAATTCTTATGTGGAACACAATGCCATTCATTCATTGAGCTGGCAGTATACATTTGCGAACTCCACCATGGTATGCATGGGGAGGAGGGGGGGGTGTCTGAAGCATTTGACAGATCATGGATATGAGCCACTTCGAGGAACAATGCCAATTGAGTTGTTCAGTAAACTTCCAGACCACAGTGGATTCGATCCAATGGCAGCAGACACCCCTTCAATGTTGTTAACCAGTGTGAATATCACATCATAGAGTTAAAGACATACGAAGTAGAAGGGTGCCCAAAAAAACTGGCTAATCAGTTTACCCAAATAAGGATTCATAAGGGGTGGATGATCAATTCGCTAGAGGAAATCACCGATTACTAATCAATACAGCAACAGTGAACTCATTTTTTTTACACACAAGAGATAATTACATTTCAAATTTCCAATTGAATATATCTGTGAAGTGCAATTTAAATGTTCTGGACACAATAGGGTCCTCAGCTTCAAATAACATGTCTTCTTTGAACTAGGACAGGCTATTGTGCTACAATATAACGATTCCTTTCCAGGAAGACTCACTAGGGTCCCATTGTCCAGTAGGACAGGCAATGTAATGAAGGCTTGAGAGGAGTTTGTAGAGAACGGTTTACCTCGACCTCGATCAAGAAGCATATGCTGTGAAGCAGTCGTAGTTACACTGAAAGGGAATAATATATTAAGGACAGAATATACCTATTTGGTGTTTGTTATCCTGGTGGGAAGGTCATATCTTACCACATGCTGGAAGAAACGTGACATGAAATAGTTCACGAATATCACTGCATGCTACTGTACGTTTGCAATAGTGTGACGACCGTTGTGGGCCCATTCATTTCGTAGTACATGTGTGTCTGTAACACGCAGTACAGAGGCCGCAGAATCTCTGTGCGACTGAATCGGGTCTAATATATGGGCAGGGTAAGGGAACTCTTGCATTCCTTTTCTTCTTCTACTAGTGAGTATCTGGCTATTATGTGTCAAGAGTGGTGTTATGTGTGTTGGTTAATCTCAAGCATAAGTAATACACACTTAAATGATATATATAATTTTTTTTTTTGATTTTGTGCATATTTGGTGTTTTACAATTATATAGCTAAGTGGTGCGCAGTCTTTTCTGGTCTTTCTAACTAGTATGTGACTCCCAGCTTTCCACCACTTACATATGGAAAAAAACGAATAAGTAGAATGGCGTAGATCAATCGATGCATAGCAGCCCGACCTCCTTTTATTGTCTTCCCGTCTACAGTCCTGTTCTATAGAGTTGCAGTATATTTCTTGACCTTATCCTTCATGTCTTTCCATACTTGTTCGAAGAAATTGATTAGAGTTCGCTAGTGTAAATTGTGTCCTTTTCGCGTCTTTCGCTTTCCCTTCTTTATTTTTTTTCGCGTCACACGTACACACATCAGGGATTAATTTGGGTGTGATTTTAATTACTAGCTGTAAAAAGAACAAAAATAAACTTGAACATTTCGCATCCTTGTAGTTTTAATAATATGCGATTACACCAAATGCATATTAATCTCCACGTCTCTTATGGTCTTACTGGATTATCTGGCATCTCCTCTCTAAAATAAAATCATTAGATTAATATGAATCACCAACATGTTACTCGTTTCCTTCTTGGTCGAATAATCTCTGCAATATGCTTGCCAAAAGAAAAAAATTATTCAGGCTTTGTATAATAGTATATATATTTCTTGATCATTACATTTAACAATATCAAACTTCCCATTAAGAGATCCAACGGATTTTTTTTTTTCATAGTGGCATCTATCTAAACTACTCGATCAGAAGACATAAACGCATTTTGAAATTTAAGCTTAAAAGTGTATTAATTTGTGTGTCTGTGTTAAATTTTTTTTTATTCCAATTACCAACTATTATTCATTCATTAATTATATTTTACTCAACTACAGTAACGGCTACACTTATTTGTCCATTTTTATTCTATTATTGAGTCAATTATAGAGCTATTTTTCCCCCTCCTATTGCATCAAATAATGTCAGTTCTAATACCCCATCAACAGCAGAGACTAAGGGCCTCTTCTGCAGCTAAGAAAGCTGCTTGGAACGCTATGAATAAGACGGTAAATATAGTCAGCCCGCACAATAATGTCAACTACGTGAAAAAGCCATCCCCAAAGACCAATTCTAACCATTTGGACCGTGTCATCAAGTCGGTTAATGATGCTACAAAGAGGCTCTCGGAGGCAGAATCTATAAATAGCAATAATACAAAATCTTCCAAAAGGAAATCAAGAGACACCGTGGGTCCATGGAAACTTGGGAAGACCCTCGGTAAGGGCTCCTCCGGGAGAGTTCGACTAGCTAAGAACATCGAGAATGGTACCTTAGCCGCGATAAAAATCGTGCCAAAGAGAACGTATAACAGGCGTATGAGGGATCAGAAAATGAAAACCGCTGGTGGCGTGTCGAGTGGGACAGATTCCAAAGATTCATCTAACAGGGAAGATCCTATAAAGAATGGCACGGACTCAGCTCTGAACCCATATGGTATTGAGCGTGAAATAGTTATAATGAAGCTAATATCACACCCAAATGTCATGGGCCTTCTCGAAGTATGGGAAAACAAATCAGAATTATATTTGGTGTTGGAGTACGTGGATGGTGGTGAGTTATTCGATTACTTAGTTTCTAAAGGAAAGCTCTCGGAACCTGAAGCAGTACATTATTTTACACAAATCATACAAGGTGTCTCATATTGCCATTCTTTCAATATCTGTCACAGAGATCTAAAACCAGAAAATCTTTTATTAGATAAGAAGAACAAAGTAATCAAGATAGCAGACTTTGGTATGGCTGCGTTGGAACTACCCAATAAATTACTAGAGACCTCCTGTGGATCACCACACTATGCATCGCCTGAAATTGTGATGGGTAAACCATATCATGGTGGTCCAAGCGACGTATGGTCTTGTGGTATCATTTTGTTCGCATTATTGACTGGACATTTACCCTTCAACGATGATAATATTAAAAAGTTACTACTTAAGGTTCAAGCCGGGAGATTTCAACTACCTCCATATTTAACTAATGATGCCAAGGATTTAATAACAAGAATATTAGTGACTAACCCTGAAAAACGACTAACGATTAATGAAATTTTAAATCATCCATTAATTAAAAAATACAGGAATCCACCTGCTCATATTCGAAAGCTCAATCTTTTGGGACGAGGTAAATCAAATTCAGATTTGCATGTCCTTGAATATAATACCCCCGCCACAGTGTGTTTGAACTCAGAGGAGGATATTGATCAGTCGATCTTGAAAAGTCTGCAGATTCTATGGCATGGTACTCCAAGACAACGTCTAGTAGAAAGGCTTCTAGTTGAAGGAGCAACAGAGGAAAAGTTGTTCTATTCACTCTTGTTTCAGTATAAGTTAAAACACTCAAAACCAATATCAGCTACAAAACTTCAAAAGAAAATAGAAGATGTTGTGCTTGAGAATGAATCAACAAAAACTGAATCTAAAGATAGTAGCAACGAGCCAGGTATTGACAACAACAATGATACTTCTGACTTCACACAAGATGGAAATTCCTCTGAAATGGTAAATGAATTGCATACATCAGCTCCAATGCTGGAACAAAAGTCACAGTTTAGTCAGCATTCTTTGAAGAGTAAAGAGACTGTGCCAATTTCGGATCTGCCACCATTACCGCCTGTAATTCCTACATTCGCGGCCTCATCTTCGAAGGCTTTCAGAAGAAGTAAATCAAACCTGTCTTCGTATCTGAAAAGGCCAAAGTTAGAAAACGCTAGATCAAGAACCTCGTTATTTAATTCTTCTTCGAATACATCTATTACCAGTTCATCTATTTCGGAGCTAAATACTAGGCCAAGAGGAAATATACCATTATCGCCAAGTAATATTACTTTAACTTCATTAGTTTCTTCCAGATCATTGCATAATTCTGCTTCAAAAAAATCTTTGAAGAATTTACAGAAGAGAACTCTTCAAAATTCTGAGTCTAAAAGATCACTTTATTCGCAGACTTCAATCTCAAAGCGTTCCTTAAACCTTAATGACTATTTGATTGGAGGGCCTTCTAACTCCGCGGAACTTCCACCTCTACCTAAGCTCGATTCTAATAACGAATTTGAAATGTTATGTGATAAAATCTTGAACACTAGTGCATTAGATAATATTCTTGAGGAAGAGGAAGAGGATATCACGCCTTCAAAGAATACAACTCAAACAAATGATGTACATAATGAAGATACTATAATTCGCAAAGAAATGCATGATTTTGAGATTAACGTCAATAATCATCAACCAGAATTTAAACGCCAGCCATCAGATTTCTCAGTGAATGGACCAGATACATCTATTTTTAGTATAGAACCCATGCCAGAAGGACTTGGTATTAGTAAAAAGCCAGTACGTGTACAACCCACCTTTAATTTTATTATTGATGAAGATAAAGTTGATGATAGCATTAAGGTTAAGCAAGTTTCTGGTACGGGACCATCTAATAATGTTCTCAAAGATATAAGCAACCAGATTAATAATGGTAAAGGAATTGAAAACTCAAAATTGCATCCTACTTCCAATAACAACTACAAAAATATCAGAAATGTTACCGCTCCAGAAGGTAACTTTACATCAAAAACATTTTCGTTAGATCCAAGGAGGAATGTTTCTCAACCTCCAAAAGAGTCGTTGTTCCATAGTCTCTTAAACAATAAATCTTCCAAAAATGCTGAAGAAAATACTCAGTTTGAGTCCAAGTCAAAGCAATACAACTTTATGAATAAAACTGCACATTCTGAATTTGAAAAAGAAAGGCTAAATGCTCACAGAGACGCGGATAGATCGAATGATCAAAATGTGTATAATGAAACCAGCGTTCTTGCGCAATCCAGTACGATTCATGAGTCTCCTTTGTTATCAATTCCTTCAACTTTATTGAACACATCTATGACCTTCAAAAATCTGGTTGACATGCTACAAGAAAATAAACTAGATGATATCAACGAAACTGTGGCTAAAGAGAGCAGTGCACCACTGAGAAAAAAATCTACAAAGTTGTCTTTGGCTCCTCATTCTAATTTGGTCTCTGATTTGAACAAAAGGACAAGTGGTTACAACACATTAGCAAGTGTTGATAGATCTTCTTCTGATCTATCATATGCCATAGATCTACCAACGAATACCAATATTGCAGAAATTGTTTATCTATCTGGTAATAACAAGCAATCTTCTGAGAAGAATATATTCATGTTATCTAATGATAACAATGAAACAGAGCTTTTTCACACTGATGAAAATAAAACTTCCATAAAAAGTGCAGTCAATATATTCGAAGATCCTCCATCGGATTCCACGTCATTGCAAACATCCTCTTCTGAATCGGATTCTATACCAAAAGTACAAAGGAAAGCCGTTTCTATTGAAACGCTAAATGCATCTAATATAATTACACCAGCTGCAGATGTGCGTGTTAGTTTGTATGGGAATAATGTGTCCAATTCAAATACTATGCCAAGAGAGACTACTGAAGAGCTGATCTCTAGGTTCAAGTTGACGCCGGAAAAGCCTCAACATCAAGTGCAGAAAAGATTCTCTTCATTAACTCAAACAGGACGGAATACCGATTCGATTGCATTATCACAAAGCATGATTTCAATGTTTAAGGATGCAGAGGAAAACGGAAACAACAAATCTGTGAAGGTATTGGACCAAGTTGAGGAAGAAAATGCCAGTAAATTAACACCTACAAGTCCAAAAAATAGAGTCACGATGCTTTTTGATGATTATGAAGCACAACAGAATATTACAAGTGATCAAAGCAATAAAAGTTCAAAAGTTATAGAGATTCCAAACGATTCCCCAATCAAAGTGAAGGTTCAGAAGGCCTCTACCATTTTCGAGAAGGAAATTATATCTGCTGCTGAAGCAGATGAGAACGACCATTTAAGGATCCCTTATGAGAGCAAAAGTAAGAAGGAAATAGCACAGGTGCATCAACAGGAACAAAAAGAACAACAAGTGAGAAAACCTACCGAATCGCAAGAGAAGGCTGTACAAAAGACTACGAAACCAAGTTGGTTCTCAAAGCTAATACACGGTTTCAAGACAACGGGAGGAAGCGGGCATACAAAACTGATTAGAGAGCACTCTACAAAAATGACTTTTGAAGAAGTCCATATGATAACGGTGAAAGAATTTGGAAATAATGGTATCGATTATCAACTCCGTACTTTGGATAAGAAAGGAGATCGTGAGAAAGTTGAATATGATTGTAAATTTGTTAAAGGAAATTTTGAATTCAAGATTAAGATCTTTAATTCCGGTTTCCCTCATCAAAACACAATCATTACAGTCAAAAAGAAAGGTAAGATTAATTCTAAAGAGACAACAGATTTGTTCCAGAGGTTTAATGCTAACATTGAGAATTTGATCAAGTCTGCAGAAAGGAACATAGAGTCAAACCCGAAATAAAATATTAGTTACTATCGTACTTAATTATTATTTATGCCGAATTCATAATAAATACTATAATATTAATAGTAAACTTGTAAGAATAAATGCGCGGTGTGTGTTATATGCCTCAAGAATGCTTATTCAAATTGTCAAGTTCTAATCTTCCGCCTCGTCATCATCATCAGATAAGCTCAAATCGTCATCTGATTCAGGTGTGAAGTCAGAATTAACATCTGTGTCAGAATCTTCAATATAATCGGATTCTAATAATTCAGAGTAGGTCAGTTGGTCCTCCTTCTCCAAACGACCAGAACTTAGTTTTTCATCATCTATCTCAATGACATCAAATTGTAAATTCCACATATCCTTAAAATCATTGTTGAATTTAGCTACGACACTTATCGATATTAACAAAAATGGGACGATGTAAAGTAATGCAGGTTGTGCAACATTGAATATGTTTAAGCAAAGCATACAGGTAACCATAGACAATGCATAAGATATCAAGGCAACTTTGAAATATGTGCCGATGTACCCCCAATTCAAGAGATGAAATTCACGGTCGACATTTTTTAGATGCCATTTCCAGATATCAAACTTATAACACATTGCAATAAACATGCCAGGGATGATCATATCGCCAAGCCCAAGGAATGAAAAATCAAACTTTTTACTGGCAGGATTGAATTTGACTGGAATTGAAAGTTTAAATGGTAACTCCAATTGGGTGGCTACAGTAACCATCACGTCATTGTAAAACACGAAGTAAATGTCATAGAAGAACAACACTAGTAGAATCATTGTTCCAGACTTCAAATTCTTAAGGTTTAGTTGAGAAATTGTCCATACTGAAAGATTCAAGCTAACAATATTTGTCAACATCCAATTCCTTGGAAACCAAAAATAGAGCGCAGATATAATACATGCAAAAATAAACGAATAAATTGTGGCATCTGACATATAAACATTGAGAATTTGTGAATCAGATTTAACGGAAGATGGTGCTTTAAGTTCACGTCTGTACATGTGGCTTTCCCATGATGTCTTCTTAATCTTCTCAACTCTTTTAGCCTCCTGGATTTTACCAGATATTTGATTCTTATAGCAAAGATTGCTAACGGCTCCTGTTTGATGAATTTCAACATTATCGTCTGACACTGTTAGACGGCATCTGGGTAAAATCTTTAACGGATTAAATTTAAACAAGTATGACAAGTTTCTAATGAAACTTTGTATCAAATAGTTGTAAACAAAAGTAGCAGCGAAAGTGTGGGAAAGTATGGACTGATAAGTCAAGCCCTTAACTATGATGGAAAGCCATCTGACCTGCAACCTCTTAATAAAAAAATACAATGTCATCAAAACAGCACCGCAACTCAGAGGGATTAATAAAGAATGTCTTACGTCAATTTTGTCGTAGTTAGCTAATTTATGGCCATCTTTCTTCTTCTGGGCATCAGTTTCATTTTTATGAACAATTATACTTTCAGTATCCAAATCAAAATCAGTGGGGTCGAACAAAGGATCATACTTTGTTGGTGGCAAGGCAGTATGTGGAATTGATTTGATTGAGGTGAAAGACCCTAATGTTACAACAGTAAGCGCAAAGGCCAGCATACCAACGCAAGCATATAGCGAAGGATGGGTTGATATAAGTTGAGTAAATGAGAATGTTGTTCTATCGACCCATCTATCAAACACTTTATTAAGTTGAGACTGGTTAGTTGACATGAATGTGTTCACTTTATTGAACACATCTACCAATTCGGAGTCCACTGTGGTAGTTTCATTACTATGAGGACTTAAAAATTTGGCTAATACCTGTTCTGCAGCAGCCCTAAAAGGAGACGACATCTATCTGGTTTTCCAATTGAGATCTTATTTGCGTTCTTAATTTCTTTTAGTTAATAAATCGGACAGATAGTGTTCTTGCTATGCTCCAATGTAGTGAAATCAAAACGGCCAAAATTCTAGGAATCACCGAGATGTGATCAATTGTTATCAAGGATGCTATATTCGATAAAATAATGGAAAATTGGTTATGTCGATGTTCGCAATGGGCTGTCCTGATGTGATTCAAATTATTCAGTTATGCGGTGGGAAGTCAACAGAGGGGAGCTCGTACCATGAGCTAATTAGAGGGTACTCAATTGCATGTATTGATGTTTTAGTCTCTAGGCTTCTAGTAGACATTTGCAGGCATAGTTTTAGCAGAGATTAGTTGTTTTTGTAGAAATTAGTTGTTATATCTTGACATCAACATACTTAAATCATTGAATATAATGCAAGTAGGGTTTTATATGCAGTATAATTAGATTAGTGGCCTATTGAGAAACTATATATTAATTTAGATGTTCACGACTGCTATCAGGATTCAATACAAAATTGATTATGAAATTGAGTTACTGGATGTCTCAATTGGATCAATTTGATAGCTTACCGGTCGTGAAAAGACGTTTATTTTATATGATTGTTTCCGGCAAAATTGAAAATCTAAATAATATCATATACCATTCGTTTTAGAACACATATCAAATTAATACGCCATTTTAGTATAGTGGTTAGTACACATCGTTGTGGCCGATGAAACCCTGGTTCGATTCTAGGAAATGGCATTATTTTTTTTTTTTAATCTGATTTGTATAACTAAAGTTGGATTGAAAACCCATCTATTGAATGTTAGCAATAGTACTATTTCTAGTGTCTAAAGCAATGAAAAGAAATAGTCATAATGGTTTTTGCGTTTCTGTTTTAATATTCTTTATAAACTAATGACAAATATACAAAAGTATTTAAGTTGTTATGTATATGTATAAATTCTTAACTGTGGGTATATCATCATGAATAAATGTGAAGTCACAGTCAGGTTTATAATGCCTTCTTCTAATTTGTTTTTAGTCACTGTATGGTGCAGTTCTGCATTTCAGCTCATTACCTTAAACAAAAGAGGTAACTTCGAAGAATCTCTTTAAGTAGTAGATTTGAAACAAAGAGTTGGCAACGACAAGTCCCAATTGGAAGATAGACCACCACTTGACACGGTCGTTGGTGGATTCGGCGGTGTTTCTGTGGGTACGCTCTCTAATGACAATGTAACTTTGCTCGTCCTTAACTTCATTGGTTAGCTTGGCCAATTTTCTAACGGCACTGTCCAAGGTGTTGGCGTTTGGATCATCTAAGTCAACGTAAACAATACCGTGCATGTTGAAAGTAACGTCCTTGGTCTTGATGTTAGAGTTCTCATTGGAGAAACAATATTCGAAGTTCCCGGAGTGAGGGGCACTGAAGACAACATCACCGTGCGATACATCTCTGAGAGTTTTATGCAAAGTGTTACTGTCAACACCAGTCAATGTGAAGTCACCAGTCAATTGATGGCTGGATTCTGGATCTCTGTCACCAAATTGGAATGTAATAGACAACTCATCGCCTTTCCCTAGCTTCTCGGTAAAGCATCTGCGGCCATGTGGAGGCAATAGAACATTGTGTGCTGACACAACGCTCAGAAATAGCGCAACTAGAATACCAAATAGCATTTTCCCTTTATTGTATGATATACTATGTGAGTAAAAGCGTACAATATCTTCTCCCCCTACTACTCTTAATTCCTTTTCGATCCGATTCCCCATTGTTTCTTATATATTTGTTTGTCGAGGATCCTTCCAAAGAGCAATCTCGAGAGAACAGAGTGAAAGACGTGTTTCGACACTTTGAAACTCATAACGCGTTTAGTGGTAAAAAGTGATATCACAATATCCATTGAATAATAATATAATTGGGCTGTGCCGATCGTTATAATAATCTACTGTATTATATGGATCAATTCTGATTGTTTAACAAAACTTTACTGATAGTTGGCTAATGGAATAAAATATCTGGGGATATGAATTTATCTTTTAATTCTAATTCTATCTTGCTGTAAGTGAGCATGAAAATTATTAACAGCATGTGCGTTCATTGAATATATACATCATTGCATCTATATGGTTTCAATTTGTCTAAGAAAAAATCAATTATATTCCAATATATAACATTTTTCTATTGTATCTCTCAGTAAAAAAGCTGTTGCTATTTTCTCTCTTTCTCCATGCCGTATTGGTCTTTTGATTGGAAAAGCTGTTAGCATCACAATCAAGTCATAAAAAATTATATCAAATAATACTGGTTTGCGCCACCAAAACATAATATATGAAATGCAAAGGCTAGCTCTTCAAAGAAGTTCCTAATTATCTTTATTGGGTTTGTCATACTTTGTATCGTCTTCACAAAAGCTATTTCAAATACACAGGTATTTTAGGCACAATAGAACTCTGTAAATAAATACTGAGGTAAATTTTGTGTTATGATGTAAAACAATAGTTTGGGAAATAAAACTACAAGAAGATGTGTTTATGTGTGTAAAGTTTTACTGTAGATATTATTTATTGTTTTGTGTCAAGGCTATAATTCAATTAGCGACACTCCGCCACTACACACTTAAGAAAAAAATTAGAACCCCATTGTATCAACAAATATTCGATAAAATAATAAACAAGAAACTGTTTATATACTAATCTTGCTGCTTTTACATTCTTGTATAAAAGGGTTAGCATTGCAATGTTCAATTTTGTATTCTATAACATGGGCTTTACTGCCTTGATACATAGCGCAGGTTACGAATTTTGCTTTGATCCCCTTTCAAAGATGCATCACAATAATGATAATTAACAATACAAATTCGATGTACAAAATATAATGGGAACAACTCAATTACCAGTTCATGTTATAGATTTTGCACTTATCAAACTATATTTAGTTCAACGATAAAGTAGTTTAGTAAGCAAGGATGAACTCTTTATATGAGCTGGATCCTCGGTGGAAGAAATTGATTCATGACCCTAACAACTTCCTGGGCGGGCTTACCGTTGAAGAGTTTGTACAAGAGGTCGGTAGGGATCGTGACCCTGTTGATAGCACAGCATGGAATAAGAAGCTTGATCCCAAGCCATATATCCGTACGTTTGAGTCCATATTGAAAGAATTGACCTCTCTACAAGAACGCATGGATAATGATAAGCAGATGATGGCAGACGCTGTCTCTAAGCAGGAACTGGCATACTCTTCAAAGGTGTTGAATTTATCATCTGGATTGGGTAAGCTAGTCGATAATTATAATTATCTGGATAATAAATTAACATCAATCAATCAAATGGTGTCCCCTTTAAGTGAGAAGCTCCAGAATTCGATCAAAAAGAAGAAGAACTATATTAAGTCGATAGAATTGATTATACAGTACAATACATTCCTCAAGAATGGTAAATCTGAATATGTGGATAATATGTTAAACTCCAAAAAGTTGGCCAATAGACTAAACGCCGCTGTACTGATAAAGAACCAATTGTTACTAGCTCGCAAGATAGAAACAAACTCTATACCCGCAACAAAAAGTACCACATCGACTATTGAGAAGTATGCTGAAGAGATGGAAAACGAAATGCTAACCAAATTCAATAATGCTTACAGAGAAAACAATTTCACACAATTAAATGAGATCGCCCTAATACTGAATCATTACAACGATGGTATAAACGTTATTCAAAGTTTCATAAATCAACATAACTTCTTTTTGGATTCAGATGAAGTTAACAAATCTATGACAGGTGAGTCACCATATTTATCTGAGGATGTGAGGGATAAACTTATGGATCCAAACTATCATATAATAGTTTATTCCCAAGAGTTGGTAGATATGCTCAAGAATATTGAAGAAGTAATAAAGAATGAGTCAAAGATTGTTAAGAGGGTTTTTGAAGATAGTGCATCATACGTATTACAGTTGTTTATTCAGAGAACTTTTGCTCAAAAGATTGAGCCTCAACTGGAATTTCTACTGAACTCGGCACTGTCATTTTCGCACTTGGCTTATGTTAGAACTTTGCATTCTCTTTATAGTCTGCTTGGGAAATTTGTGAAAGATCTAACGGATTATTTCCAATTGTTAGAAGTTGAAAATGAGGCTAATTTGCAGGCAGCTTTGGAACAATGCTACACGGATTTCTTCTCGAGATGGTTATTTGACAGATCAAAATACTTTGATATTGAAAAAAGAAGCTTGGAAATTATTTTGATAGAGATGACATCGAGATTCAATACACTGCATGAAAAGGATATAAGGCAAAGACTACTAACAAATAAATTCAAAGCATCTACCAATGACTCTCCAGAAACGAGAATTAATGAATTATCTACAACTAATACGGCCAATAGTAAATTGTCACAGATAACAACATTTATGAAATCCCGTATTGATAAGGATATACTTCCCGTATCGAGATCTAGATCTGTCAAAGAAAATGAAAATGGATCACCTATTGACCATGCTGGTGATGATGGTTATAACTTAGAAACTGTTGATGCAATTATTAAATGTATTGTGGAAGCTATTGCTAGAGTTATGGAACTGATTCCAAACAAAGCAACATCATGTATTTATGAAATTTTAGAACTAGCTTCAATGGGTATTATAGGCTCATATGTCAAGAATGCACTCGAGGTTGCATATTGTTCAATCTCTAAACCTGAACAAAACAAGGTCGATGAGATTGACTTGTCAAGCATGAAGTATATTTCAATTACTACTGAAATTCTGAGCTTATTATCAACTTTAATAAAATCTGTTTGTTTACCCCTCCTGAGTAATTATCCCGACGTTAAGAAGAAGGTCATAATAGCAACTAATTCACAAGTAAAGAACTGTGAAGTAATGATTAATCTCATTATGGAGGAGGTATTCCAACAATTTTCAAACAAATTTATAGCATCATTATCAAAGCAAAAGCGGAAGGACTTTTTACCAAAGTCATTAGACTTATTAGATCAAGATACACAGCCAGCTGTAGAAATTGTGAACTTATTAAATAGCACGTATTCACAGGTATCACAGCATTTGAAGTCTCAAAATTTGACAACATTCCTGTCAACAATTGGAGAGGATCTTTATAGATTGTTACTTGATCATTATGGGAAATTTCAGGTAAATTCCACTGGTGGTATTATTGTTACAAAGGACATCATCGGGTATCAAACTACGGTAGATGATTGGGATATTCCAGATTTGTCGGAGAAGTTTGCCACACTTAGAGAACTGGCAAATTTGTTCACAGTTCAACCCGACCTTCTGGATTCACTTACGAAAGAAGGCCATTTGGCGCACATGAGCAGAGGCATAATACAAACTTATATTGCGAATCGTGAGGACTTTAACCAGGATAATTTTATGAGTAATATGAAACAAAGTCTGAGACAGTACACATAGGAACCCAGTCGAATTTCAAAACTGCTGTTCAAATTTTGTATTAATATCAGTATATATTTGCATCTCGGATGTAGGATAAATGGACTACGTATAAGTTTTACTTTAAGTATTAATATTGTAGTTAACGCATCTGTCACTGGTGTACACAGTTTATTACTAGTACGTCTAGACGGCATATATTGTACATAATTCAATGAAGTCGTCAAAGCTTGATCATTTTGACCCCATCTATGACTCCAAAACATTAAACTATAATTAATTTATGTGTAAAGCGGAACTTGCGCCCCAAATTTCTTTTCTATTAGTTCAAAATGAAAGGTATTTCTGTTTATTATGAAGATATTTGCTTTATTAAAAATGATATATGTAAAAATAAAAGAAAAAAAAATATAAGTAGAATAGATAATAAACAAAATTGTAAACTTTAATGTTACGGTGTATTCACGCCAATATATTTCTTTTCCATTGCATTTCCACTAATACGATCTTAACGGGAGTAAGACCAGACGTTCTTCAACAAACCGTCGTTTTGAGCCAAACGGTTCAAAGAGTCGTCAGATTCACCTCTAGCTCTAACGTTACCGGATAGAGCGTAAGTGATGTATTCACCTGGGATGGCACGGCCTTCTTCATCAACCTTAGCGATGTTGATTTGAACAGAAGCGTGGTCATCGGCCTTGATGATTCTGTTGGTAGCAGAACACTTTCTTGGAATGTAAAGTTCGACCTGTAAAAATAATTCAGAAAAAAACAAATCTTATTTTCTAACGTTTAGATTCAACTATTTTTTTTTAAAGTGCCCTTGCCCTAATCAAGAGAACTCACTTGCTCTGGTTTTCGCATAGGTTGTTTTTTTTTAAAAATTGAAAATTATGTTGTTCAAATAAGTCCACTTGTACTGTACATCAGATATGGTTGTATGGTATATTGATATCCACCTAGTTCTCATCAAAGAGTTTTATTGTCTCCTTTTCATCAATCTTCATCACTCAAGGTGTAGTAATTTTCTTTCCAAATCCTCTAAATATCATAATAGCAGTGGTTCTCGAGATTAATTCAATGGAATTACACTTTGGCATTTTTAAAAAATTCATATGTTGGAATAAGATTAGATTGTTTTTTTTTATAATGGCAATTTGTTAGTAAGAGTATCTTAACATCCACAGGCCTAACTGATCAATATTCATTTGGGCACCGACAATATAGAGTTCACATCGGCACCACTCGAATTATACCCACAACTCACAACGGTGGACTATCGATCAACTTCCGCCAGTTTCCTTTCTCATAATCAAAAATTAAACATACTAATTGACCCTTATCGTTCTCCATTTTGTCTAGGTGATTACTGTATTATCTATTGGTTCCTTCACTTAAGAATAAATTCAAGAAAAAAATCTATAATCTATAATATATACAGTGTATAATATCGCCTAAAAGTTATTACTGGGGCCTTGAAAGTTTTTTTTTCAATTTTTTTTTTTTGCCAAAAGTGAAACGCTTCCAATTGCAAAAATTTTTGGAACTGGATGGGAGAGAACGAGCGAAAAATTTTTGGAAAAAAAAAAAAAATTTTGGGTGAAAACTGAGAAAATACATCGTACAACGACACATGGTGCTTTCTGTGTTCCTGTGTGTCCCGTCTCACAACCGACGGACATACTAAATTCGCGCAGAACAACAGATATTTTGCATGTTGTCCTGTATCTGCACAGACTAGGTAGTGGGAGGGGTGAAGAGACAAATGATACTCACGTTGTAAATGATACTTACTGCTACTTACAGTGTTTCTTTGTACTGCGTTTGTCTCATTACGGCTGCTTCTGTGCCTTTGCTTTCAGGTGGGAAGGGAGGTACAGAACAGTGGGAAGTGCAGTAGAAGTGGAAATGGTGTGTGTGCGTACTCTTGTGTGTGCTTGTGTGTGTAGCCTTTCCCTTTGCGAAGTGAGTTTGCAATTCCTACAGGTGTGTCTCTGTGATATTCTTTCACTGGCACAACTGTCCTCATGTGAGGCAAGTTCTGCTACTTAGAAACGGACGTAGTTGGGATATATTCCTATGACTTATACTGGGTCTATGATTATACGTGTGTCCTTCGTTTGTCGGTAGTTTCTACATCCAGAGTTTTGGAGCTTTTGCGGTGGTTGAATTACGTTTGCTACGGTTTGTTCTAAGAAGTGTACCCTTGGATAGTTTCACATTTTTTCCCAATGCGGAATATTTGCGATGTTGCTTCGCTTCTTCTTTAGAAAACTGAAGACAAAAATGATAGCCAATGAAAAAAAATGGATGGGCGCAGTTGTTATCCAAGATGTCTGGGTGTAATTTAGGGGTGTCAGGGTGTAATCAAAATAGTACAGTCACAAGCATTTTCTGGCTACGTGCCACAGCAGGTACCGATACAACTGAGAAGACGTCAGGTATTAAGCATTATATATATATGTATATATATTTATATATATATTACTTGTATGCATAATAGAAATGTTACAAATTAAACTCTCGATAACACACAAACCGATTCGACGTGATGGGTTTGTGGGAAGAAGTCGAACCCTCTTATGCTCTCGACTCTATAATTCTTACCTTCTGGTGTGTCCTTTAAGAAATACTGGACATCTCTTGCCTGTGAGTGTACGTTACAGGATATGTACACAATCCTAGCTGGGTTGTAAGCAGCTAGTTGTTTCAAAAACAACTCGTCACAACCTTTACGTGGTGGATCTAGGATCACAGAGGTTGAATCCGCAGGTGTGTCGATGGATTCAAACAGCTTCTCTGCTTTACCTACAATGAATTTACAATTCTCAACGCCATTGTTCTTGGCGTTTCTCTCCGCGAAGGAAACACTATCAGCTGAAATCTCAACACCAATAACCTTGTCAACACCTTTAGAACTACAGATACTGAAGAGACCAGAGCCACAGTAGGCGTCTACCAGATAACGCGGCTTGTCCCCATTACCAAGCTGCAGGTTATCGCGTACATACTTGGTAACTAACGGCAGGATAGAATTGTTATTCTGGAAGAACTCACCAGCGCTAAATTTGAAAGTGTAGCCATCAACGTATTCTGTTACGATCTGCCTTGTGTTTGTAACACATGTCTTTGCAAGCTTCACACCCGTAGTTTCATCTGTAACTTCAATAAAACTTATATCGCCATTTTCATCTCTAGATCCTTCCTCTAACTGCTCCTCCGTGGGCTTAGAAGGATCCAGTATGATTGTGTTCTCTCTTAAAAGAATTGTGGCACCTTTCTTGTAATTCTTGAACTCTTTTTCAAATCTGGCTCTTTCATTAGACAGACCTTTGTTCAATATATCTGTTGCCAAGGCACATTCCTCAATATCTAGAATCGGCCCAGTGCCACCCACTTCTAACGTCTCCTTTCTCCATTTGGGCCTACCCTTTTGACCAAATCCTAAAGGTGGTCTAACTTCCAATTGCTTGACCTTATGAGGCATATCAAAATGTGGAGTGATCTTTGTTCTATAACCATACTGCAATGGTGACGCAACTGTGTCGCTGATCTCTGGTACTAAAGATTCTGCTAAAAGCAATGGTGCAAAATGTTTATAAGCATTGGCAATGGTAGATTTCTTTATCTTCAATTGCTCTGAATAGTCCAGGAACTCAAATTGACTACCGGAGTACTTCCCAAAATACTTGTCTTTAATAAGCTCATCTTTTCTGATTGGCGATTTCTCTATGACATCTAACAGATCAGATTCGACATATAGAGGGTGTGTCTTGAACACTTTTATTCTAACCAGATCACCAGGAAGCCCAAACGGAACAATAGCCACTTGCTTTTTGTCTGTTTCCACTGGATTAGGAATGATAGCTAGACCATCACCATTCGATCCCAATTTCAAGACCTTAACATCTGACACCTCCCTATGGTATTTAGATGCAATGGGTCCTGTAACGAAAGATGTATCATTAAGGATGGCAGTGACATCGTTTTCCACTTGAGACTTTTCTAAGTTGTTCTCCCTCAGTAACTCATCGATTTCAAATTGTAAAACACCAAGTGGAGATGTTGGATCAACTTTCTTTGCCTTATATCTTTTCAACTTTGGTCTTTTCTTCAGAGGTTGGTTATTCTTTTGAAGAGCTTGTCTCTTCTTACTATCCTCTATATTTTGATTATTCAGGGCTTCCATCTTAAAGCACCTCTTAATTGATCTTCGCAGAATTCCACTCCTAAGTCCAATATTCACAAGAGAACCTTTAACCAAAAGATTCATATATCAATATTACAGGATATACCGTTAATTAAAAATAATTTACTACTAAGAATGACTTACTTTAGTCAAATCTCGAACAATGTATCCGTTTGTTGGGGAAGCTCATCGCAAAATTCCACTTTTTTTTTTTCACTGATTAATTTTTTTTTCAACCAACTACACTCATCGCTTCTCCAGATGGAAAACCGAAATTTTTCAAATCAAATTACATCGGCTAACAAATATACGGATAAAACAGACATTAGACTGTTAATATATGTAAGTAATGAAAACATTGTACTGCAATTGTCAGCTTGAAGCTACATTATTCTTGAATCAAAATGCCATAGGAATGCCCCTCACATCATGATTCATAATGTGCCATCCTTTCATCTTTAACCTGCACATGCACATCTAAGCCTACAACTTCATATCTCATATATTTTATACTTCTGGCGCTAACTAACAAAATAAACAATATTTACTTATCCATAATTATTGTCATCAACCACAATGTAGAGAAACAGAAGCTGCAATGCTGAGCTCCTAATATTAATTTACGTGGCTTTATGATGTTGAAATATCAAGGCTTTGTTAACGAGTAGGCTGATGATTGCACAATGATGAGTTGCTTAATGAACTTTTGCTAAAGCATCTCGTAGAGAAAAACCATCGATGATGTTCAGTGCATTCTGAAGGTGAACTAAGATGAGCCCTGTTTCCCATTTATGTCTGGTTGCAGAATTTGACGTACGTAAACGGTAGGAAGGGGTCCTGTGGTTGCTGTTACCATTGTTTAAGATTAATCCAAAGACCGGATCAGTTTGGTTGTACATGGACTAAAAAATATTTAGGCTTAGCTCATCTATTTCAGACATCACAGCAGTGTATCGCCCACCTATCCTACGAGTTTTATACAGTTCATGTTGAAAGAGAAGTTATGGCAATGCATCTGTACGGGCTCTCCTTTGAGATAACGTAAAGTGCATGTCTAATTGAATCACACTGTTTGTTCATGTATTTTTTGCTCTTATCTTCATTAATTGTTTAGAACGTTGGTATTAATTTGAGATAAATATAAATTAATCTATCTATATATATATAGGTGGGTTTCAATCATCTAAACTTGGTAACTTATTTTCGTATTCCTTATCTCAATATTTTCTCTCCGCTAAATATATTATAAAGTAATTGTTAATCCCCCAAAGCACAACCTAACTACGATAGTCAAGCTAACATATATTACATGCCATTATTTGAAAAGCTAATATATTCATTCTCTGAAAAGAAAACAATACCTCAGCAATTTCCCATTCTACTGAATAATGACCAGACATTGCCACCACTTGTCACATATAATATGACAAGAGTCATGCCAATTGTAAGGAAGCTGGCAAGCAGATCGTTTATGATTTTCCCTTCAGTTCAATCCTATGATATATTCAAGCAAAAGAAAGGTGACTCCATTGATCCTGATGGTATGGGTATCCCACTTTTTGAAGCTGTACCGTCTTTACTCCCAACTTACATAGACGGCAGGCCATTGCTGAAAATATCTAAATTTGTGTTGTTACCAAGAGATGCACCAGCACCATCCAGTCAATATGAAATCATAACACAAGATGACAACTACAACCTTTTTAAGATTCCTTTCTGTGAGGTCTATTACAAGCTAACTGGAGTTGCTTCCAGAAGATACGAATTTCAATTTTCTAACCCAGAAATTCTGTCGCCAAATTATATTCAATCTGAGGCTTTTAGCTATAGTCATAGAGGTACTGCAGAAGGTTTTGATCTTAACTGGGATATCTCAAGGATTCCCTTTCTGGTAGGAAAACTTGTGATTACTGTTAAACAAGATACACCTCCCACATATCAAAATGCTGTCAAAGGTGAAAAAAAGCAGAAACCTTCTTCTTATAACTATAAGACCAAGACTTGTGCCTACTACACGAAAAGGTTCCAAGATGAAGTTCCAAAGTTGATATCCAGGCGAGCAGATTTGATTATCGGTGAACTAAATAATTCCCACTCCTTAGGTATCACCAATGTTTCAATATACACCGAAATATTTGCTTGTCATGCACTCATGATTCATGAACTTGAGCATACAAGAAACAATAAAAGTGAGAAACGGAATAGGAGGATAGATGCGAGGGATATAAAGAAAGAGCAGAGACGTGAAAGGAAGGAGATCCGGAGAGAAGCTAGAAGACACCAACATTAATGAGTCCGTTATATTTAATTTTACCGAAGTTTTGTAATCTTTTTCTAATACAAGGACTGAATTCTGTGACCAAAACTTGAATCCTGTCAAGGTTGTAAAATTTCTAGTCCAATAATTCAAAAAATAGTATCAATTAATTATTAATTAGCTTATATATAATAATAGTTTTGTATTAAAATTTCCATTCAGATATTTCATTTATTTTCGATATCGCATTACATTACGATACATTTCGATTTCCTTATATTTTTCTTAACAATAGTACTTGGTAAAGCAGCAACATTTCCAGAAGAGCTACCATCATTATCATCACCACCATTTTCCCCATCATAATATTGCTCCTCAATATCAATAGGCTCACTAAGTTTAAGCTTCTTTAATTTAAAAATACTTTTGAGAATTGGGGCATTATGATTTTGACTAATTAACTGCTCAGCAAGTAGCTCATTGATGGCAGCGTAGAACACATTATCCACTTTAACCCTCAATTTCGCGGAACACTGAATATGAGCAAATGCGCCATTCTTCTTCGCTATGGAATCCGCCTCAGCTGGATCAACCTTACTATCACACGATTCTTCTTCATACAAGTCTGATTTCAATCCCACTAACATCACAGGTGTACCTGGGCAGAAATGTCTTACCTCCGGAAACCAGACATCTTCTACGTTCTTTAAGGAGGTGATACTATCTATAGCATAACAAATCATCAAAACGTCTGCTCCTGTATATGAAAGGGGTCGTAGCCTACTATACTCTTCCTGTCCCGCTGTATCCCACAAAGCCAATTCTATTATCTGCCCCTTTGGCCCTTGTATATTTGTCACATAATTTTCAAATATAGTCGGTATATTCTCATGTTTAAACACTTTCTCCACATATGATATCAGTAAAGAAGTCTTCCCAACTGCACCATCACCTACAACAACAATCTTTAAATGGTAGTCAGGAATTTTGTGAGCTCTCTTCATGTGCTCAAAACTCTCTACTTGGGATAATGTTCTATCAAATGGATTTATGCGACTACGACTAAGTTTTAACGATGTTGCTCCATATGTATTCAAAGTGTCATCAGACTGGCCACTGACTAATGATTCGGGTAGAGTGGTACTGGATACTCGACTATTTGATCTTCCACCTCCTCTAGGAATCCCACCTATGCCACTGAAATAATCAACTTGCATCATCTTTGTTCCGTATACAAGCCTATTGCGAGTTCAGTCGGGTCACTATAGTTGTGAATATTGAATATTGGAAAGATATATTCCCATATACCTGGCGCAGAAAAGATGAAAATGGAGAGACTTGTTATATCTCAACTCTCTGAAGACCTTATGAGACCAAATGTGTTTGTTAAAGAAGCTTACCTCATCGCTTTAAAAGAATCTGTTAGTAATTCACTACCATTAGAGAGGCAAAGGTGCCAAAAACAATCTGGCTTTACAATTTAACAACAGGGAAAAAAAGGGACCATACGCGATTCTCTGAGCAAAATACTCTCGAAGAGACTCTCATAGAAAGGAATCACAGGTCTTCCCGCATGCTGGTGTTCAGGGACAATCCTCCCAGAAGGCCGAGTATTGCTACAAAGCAGAACTGCCTATAACCAATGGATGTGTACAAAAGGAGAAGAGAAGAGGGGGAGGATCGGAAGGCCTAAGGCCAAGGAAAAAAAGGAAAGATCGGTATTTAAACAGAAAGCATCGCACAAATATTGCTACAACTCCCTCTGTTTCTTTTTGCTATGTTTCGGACCGCATTCAACATGTTCAGTTCTGGTCTCTTCCTGCTGGTTTTCTGTGAACAACAGAACCAAAGTATCACCTTAACATGTAAATCACTTCAAACACCTACATTCTGTCTTTTTGCGAGTCTTTGCTATTTTGCTGCACTACGGTGGTTTCAATGCCCAAATAGCCACATGCTGTTACATCTACAGGTAATTTAGTGCGATTGAAGAAAGTTGCGCAGAGCCAGAATGGAAGATCAAAAACCCCCAGACACTGACATGACGTCATTTACAAGCACTCGTTTTTTTTAGACTTTTATCGTGCTTAGAATAGAGTGCATTCAACTTTTTACAGTAATGAAAAGCCTAGTTCTCAAATTAAAGTCACATGCTCATATTATCGTGAAATGGAATATTGACACTTTGTGCTTGTCCACGACCACGTTACTCTTTACTGAAATAGCAGTTCACCCGCCCCCCCCACCTCTCCCCCGCTGACTTAGTTGAAATTTGCAACCGGCTTTACCCGGACTTCCTCTTAACATGAGATTCTAAGCAACGCGAAAGTAAGGATTCGATTACAAAGAGGTGGCAGACCTGGGTCGGGTAAACGTACGATGTTTGTTTATTTTTTGGCCAATTTTTTTTAATCTCTCTGTGATATCACGCAGCCTAGCTCGATAACACTAAGACTAAGGCGCACAAGATTTCCAAAACTAACAAGAGATCCCGGGAAAGGGCAAAGTCGTTGGGCGGGAATTTTCCGCGTTTGTATAAATAGCAGGTACGCTACATTTCGCTCTTCTTTTCTCACAAGAGCTCTTGGCGGCTATTTGCATTTTGGCCTTTGGCTTTTGCTTTCTACAAAACCATTGACTAATACAGACTTTATTGCCAAATACAATCTCCCAGATCACATCAAGTCTTTGGTTTTTCTTCTGTTTGGTAAAGTGCATTGCTAACTTGATATACATTAATAGATACTTTGTCTAGTCTGGTGAAAATTGAGAGTTTTTATAAGATTGAGACTTTTTAAGGACTACGTTTTGTGCATTTCATATTATTGTTAAGATCTTCTTTACATATCAAACCGCCTTACAGCTGGGATGGTTCAAAGGAACATAGAGCTGGCAAGATACATCACTACTTTGCTAATTGGAGTGTGCCCGAAACTGCTAGATGACAGCGAGCTGAGAGGAGGTGTAGTGGATAAACTGTCCAATGACGTACATGTAATAGAGTTCAGTAACAACGACAATGAAGGAGGCAAGATCGACAACCAAATCTTGCGCGTGACTATTGCTAAGTCAAATAACGGGTCAGACATCGACGATATATGGATCAACGACTCTATACCGACGAAAGTGTATGAAGATAATGAATGGTGTAGTGGCTTGAGTTTCTCATCAGTGATAGTAGTGAAACAATCGAAATTATGGCTCGATGACGTGCCAATCAACACACAGTTGACAGCCGTTACGTCACCAACATTATTCGACATAAAAGAATTCACAAACTTCATCGAATTACAGATAAAAAAATTGTTTCAAGAGATCACAAGGATGGACACCATAGAGTATTCATTGGACTCTATAAAGGATACAGAACAAAAGTTGGCGGAGACATCTGCATCTTTATACCGCCTCAATGACACCATAAAGTCACCTGACTTGCTCCAATTGGCGCACCATATTGTAAGAAAAGCTATCCAAGAAGGTGCGACAGTCGATAACTACAAGCAATACATTCCAAAAAATATACTGAACGATAAAAAATTTGTTAATGCGCTCAACCATATATCAATCCAGTGGATAAAATCTATGAAGAGTTTGATATCACTATTGGATTTCCCATCCAAAACTGACTTATCCAATGAAATTAACATGTGGCAGAGATTGAGATATATACTTGTCGATATAATCGGTCAAACAGAGAAATCGGAGTTTCAGATCACTTTGAAGTTATTGAGAGATACAAATATATCTAACACCGGGTTAGATGCTTTGGTTGATACAGAACTGCAGAAGACGCTCAATACTGTAGAAGGCTATATCCAGTTTCTCACTTCCTTTCCTTCTTATATAAGTGGGCAGAATTTCGATGAGTTACAAGTAACATTATTTAATTTTTTTGGAAACGCCCAAAAATTTTCTCAATATGGATATCCAGTCAATAGAACAATTGAGTTGATCGTGCTATTCAACAATAATTTAATGCAAACAATAAACTCGAGGTACCAAAACAGCATTGCCTTATCACTCAACGAATTCAACGCTGATTACACACATATTACTATGTTTCTTAACAGTTTGAAGGCACAGTTAGAGGATTTCAAACTAGTGCTTAGAGAGTATTTAAGGAAAAACAACAATCTCAATTACAAAGAAATTATTGAACAGTTGCCGGAAAATACTACAACTATTGATCAACTTAAGGAAGTTAAAAATTTGAAAGAGTATCAGGATATTCTGATACGTTGTATACATGCATTAAAATATGATGGTTATATTTCTGATATCAACGAAATAGATCATTGCTTTTCATCAAATTACAATAACCAGATAACATCCAATTCATTGCGAAATCTACAGGTTACTTTTCATAAGATTAGTTTCGATGTCGAGAATAGAATAATTCTTCTTTTTCAAGATAGAGATTTAAAATCTGACTCTCGCCACATTCTTGATGCAAAACATCTGTTTCTTTGTTTAAAAGATTTGTCAAGGTTCAGCCACATAATAAGAAAAAAAATGCAATCGTATAGAGATGAGTACTTAAACAAATTGGAGAAGTCAATATTATTAATTATTGACAACTATTATGTTCAATTAGTACATTTGACTAATTATTATCCTACCGGAAATCTATCCTCTTTCAGGCAGATTTACAGTATTTTTTCTGTCAAAAAACAAATCCAATTAAAATTAAGAGAGTGTGATATACTATTTGATAAAAGCTGGATGAGCACCCCAAAAGGACATACGATAATGAGTAAAATAGAAAGCATTGATATTGATAAAAAAATACAGCAATATCTTTCGGACTGGGTGACAGCAATTAAACAGAAACACAATAATCTTCTTGACCAGACATTATTTACCATAATAAATAATGGCTACAATAAAAACGAGTTGAGTATTATATTACCGCAGTTTCTTCTTGAATGTTATCGAGATTTGAGAAATATCACATATTTGGGTATTCAGACTGATATGGAATTTTCACATTTTTTGAGAGGGAGTAATAAATGGATCAGCAATGTAGAGATTTTAAAAGAGGATATAAAACTTTTTTTTGTCATGATCCAAGATTTGGATAAAACAATTTTCACAAAGATTATTATATGTGCAGAAATCTATGATATTTGGACTATAGTTAAAAAGCAGCTTCATATCACATGGCAACGAATTCAAACCCACAATAACTTCATAGAAGTATTTGATACCAGGTTACAGCCTTTATTAATAAAATATGACTTATCTCTTGGTCAAGAAACTATTATCGGTAAGTCGTTGAAGAACTTGAAAACTGGAAAGTTGAGTATCGATTTTATTAACAAAGAGTTAAACCTGATTGAACGATCCCTGAACTTCCTAAAAGCTAATAAAATTGAAAGAACAAATCTCACAACACATTTAGTTTTACAAAATCTAGAGAATTCATTTATGGACATGATTTTCCATCACATGAATGACTTTAATTTCTCTCAAATAACAATTAGGTTATCAAAATACAATGATAGTATAGTTTTTAAACCCTCATTACAAGAAATAAACTCTATGCGGATAATGGAAGTTCAATCAGTTTTGAAGTCTTTCACCAATATACAGGAGAATCTATCCGAGAGTATTTCAAACCACAGTTTCAGTCAAGTAATTCTTCAAAATATTACGTGCAGATACTATATAAAGGAAAGTTCCAACTTAATCAAAGAGGAGATGGAAGCTATAAAAGTAAGGTTAAAGGAGACTACTATGAAAATCATGATCTTGGAAATAGACGTCCAACAATACCAACAAGTGCTTCATGAAAATATAGATGCTTTTCTTGAGCTATGTGAAGATGTAGTGAATTTGAAATTATTTACAGAGTCGAACAGTCATATCACCATCACAAAAAGCATAAAACTGGATTATTCTAGTTTGATTTCAGACTTGAAAGCTAAACTTAAGGAATGCTTTAGAATTTTAGGTAACTCACTTCAAAATCACTTGATGACCCTCCAAACATGGCTTGATGAAAAATATAAAGAATTCAACGGAGGGTTAGAATTCAATGAAAATGCTGAATATGAACCTCCTCATCTTTTAAAGTTTTTTCAGTTGTACTTTTGTTTCATAGATTCTCGAACCGCCATCAACACAAATATTGCAAAGTTCAAAGAGCTTATACAGTTGAAGAAGATAGTTGAAGAAACAAACCACGAGAAAGGGCAGCAAATTCAAAAATATATCAACGTATATGATCGCCTAGAGAATAGTTTTTATAAAACGATATGCTATATTCAAGAGAATTGCCAAAATGAAATCAAAAGTCTTAAACAATATTGTACTACATGCTATAACTCTAAATTGAAAGAAATCGAGACTCTATGGATACAGAAGTCTACCTTTCTAAAGTCAAAAAACTTAGAGTTTATTTTGCCTTTAATACGCCAATTTCAAGTGTTGAGATCTGAAACAGCCAATTTCAAAAAGATGTCAATTCAAGTGACTAACCATTTCAAGCTTTCAAACGATGTTGAATCAATTAACTCCCAACCTCCTATGGAGAAAGAAATTGACAAATGGATTGTATGCTTAGAGGAGCTTGTACAAGTTGAAGATGCATTAAAATCATTTGAGATGACTCGTTTGAAAGACTTGTCAAAACAACTTAATACAACAGCAATAGACAAAGAAAAAACAAAAATTGAAATGTTATCAACTACCTTACATGAAACACAAGCGTATAAGAGCATAAAACAGAAAATATTATTTTATATGAATCAAACTGATATTCTTCTTGGGATTTCCTCTGAGCAAATTAATGAAAGGCACATGAAGGAGCTATTCGATGAAATAGGTTGTCCACCGAATCCCCACCTGAATTTCTCTGAGCTTAAAATCTGTGATCTTCCAATTGAGCAACTATTGCTGAATAGGTTTAAGGTTGATGAAATAATTTCAAAAGCCAAGAGAGAGGCTGCTATTAAAGATTCTTTAGATGAAATAGAAATGTACTGGTCCTACTTCACTCTTCTTATGGATGACTCAACTGCACACATACCTATATTAAAAGATATCGATGAATTGAGAAATAAGATTTCGGAAGATATGGATATTCTTGAAACTATGATCATATCACCTTTTTCTGTCCCTTATACTACAACTATTGAATCATGGAATACTAATCTTTCTAATCTGTCTAACTTATTAAATCAAATTGAAGTCTCGCAATCGCAATGGTTGGAATTTAACCTCTTATTCACAAATTCAAATATATGCAGTTCACTTCCTCTTGAAAAAGCGCAGTTTGACCAGATATCTGAATCATTGCTATCCCTGATACTATACGTTAAACATGCCGCTAATATTTTTGATTTGATTAGAAGTGGTAATGTAAGCAAATCATATACTGAAATTACCTCAAAATTGAACAAAATAAAAAAAAAATTCTCAGAGTTTGTTGAAAGTCAACGACAGCAATACCCTAGATTTTTTTTTGTAAATGATCAAGAACTTGTAACTATATTAGGAGCTATTAACGATATTGATGTATTATCGGGGCATCTGAGAAAATTATACTTCTCGATAAGCTCATTTGACATTCAGAACGGTAAAATACACTCCGTCGTTTCTGCTGAAGGAGAAATCTTGAAACTGTCTAATGAAATCGAACTTTCAATCTATAAGACGGTACCCGAATTATTAAGATCGTTAGATTTAGAGATTGAAACGACTTTAAAGACATCAATTCGAGATTGCCTCATGAATTCCAGATCTTTGGATGAGATCTTTGAAAGCAATGTCTATCAAGTTTTGACTTTATGGTTACAAGTTAGTTTATCTGAGAAACTTCATTCTTATAAACATTCAAAATCTAAAGATGAATTACTAGAAATGGAAACATTTCTTTCGAGAACATGCTCTTGGCTTAACTACAAAAACGTATTATCTTCTGATTCAGGGTACAAAAAACTCAAGATTGAAGGCATGCTTTTGGAGGTTTTGAAATACCAATCTCTTTTCGATCAACTTTCTAAATGTACATCCAACATTGATGTTGATATCATGCTCGATGATTGGTGGATGTTTAGGCTTATCGAGGGGAATGAAATTGCAATAGAATGCAGTAGACAGGATAGCATCTATCCTTATGCATTTAATTATCTAGGTGTTCCTGAGCATCTAGTATTTACTAAAGGATTAGCAAACGTATACAACTTTCTTGATGAGTCATTTCATCAAAATTATGGTGTGAGCATCATTGGACCCGCTGGAACTGGTAAGACTGAATCTATTAAGTCATTTGGATATATGTTTGGTATATTTGTGACAGTATTTAATTTTGATGACCTTATCGACTTCTCGAGTTTGCAACGTATTATTGCAGGTATATTGAAACTTGGTCTCTGGGCAAGTTTTGACGAGTTTAATAGATTGGAATACACTGTAATGAGCGCTATTTCAGAAATGATTAGCAGCATTCAACATTCACTGTCAAACAAGAATACCACTATTGATTTTTTGGGCATGAAATTGCCAATACATTCACATACCAAATTATTCTTAACCATGAATCCGAAATACAGAGGTAGAAGAAATTTGCCTGAAAATCTGAGACGATTGTTTAGAGTCTACTATTTTGGAAAATCTGACAGTCACCATATAGTGGAAATATATCTGTCTATGTATGGCAATAAGGACAAATATTTGGCACCCAAACTTATAAACTTCCTCAATGATTTGAAAATGAGTTGTTCTCAACAGGATCACTACGACTTTGGGTTGAGGCTCATAAAAGCTATATTTCGCCAAATATCAGCAGTGCCAAGAGCAACATTAGACCAAAATACGATCGTATCACTTATGAAAGTGATGATATTACCTAGACTAACCAGAGAAGACTCTAAAACATTCAACAAAAAACTGGATGAGATATTCAATTACTCAAATGACCGGGAAGATACTTCCTTAAGCAGTAATTTTATGAAGATCTTCAAATCAATGGATTTACTAATCCAGGGAGAACAGTTGCAAAAGTGTTTACAGCTGCGAGAATTATATGGTAGCAATACTGGAATAATATTACTAGGGGAATCAGGCTGTGGAAAAACAACAATATTAAATGCATTACACAAGAGCTTTGAACAGGATTTACACCATAAAATCGAGGTCTATTATTTGGATCCGAAAGCAATACCAAAAGACCATTTTTTTGGCTACTACGATAAGAGCACAACTGAATGGCAAGATGGAATATTCTCTAGTATAATTAGAGCGTCAAACTCCAGTACAGAATGCGTACCACTCTGGATTGTTGTAGACTCAGATTTAGATTCCAGCACTATGGAAGCTATGAATAGTATGCTGGATGATAATAAACTGTTAACATTGGGAAGTGGAGAACGGCTAAAAGTAGGTAAGAATATTAAATTAATCTGCGAGACTGACTCTGTTTCCAAACTTACTCCTGCGACGGTATCCAGATGTTCAGTTGTACATTTACCATATCTTCCTGCAAATATCGATGAATACATCAACCATAAAATTCACCTTTTAACTCGTTACTTAAATTCGAACGGGTATCAGTCAATACAGCAGGATATTCTATTTGAAGTTTCCAGACTATGTGAAAGCGATATTTATAAAATCGTAGCTCTTTCAAAAGATACCACTGAAGCGGAGATAAACATGAATACTCAGCAGCTCATAGATAACTTCTTTTACATCCTCATTGATTTTATTGGGATCTACTACTCTATGTCAGTAAAATGTGCAGATCACGCTAACATGACGTTGGTTTTAAGGTTCCAATTGAGGAAGTATCTTATTTTTGCATTTTCGGGCCATCTGCAACAGTCGGTTCAACTCATGTTTTTACATGAATATCAGAGATCATGCCAAGAGAAATTCTGGGGAGAGAACGAAACATTAGCAGACAAAGCAGTCGATACAATCTTGTATACAATTACTGATACGTATCAATTGGAACTCAAATCAACGGCTATTAAAAATTTATCTACTGACATGGATCATTTAATTCAAACCAGTGAAATCAGTTTGTACAAAGAGATGATCAATTCCTATTTATTTTGTAACAGATCTTTACTGCTAATTGGTCCTCCCGGATCAGGAAAAACAATGCTAATCAGAAACATCATAGAAAACAATGAAAATTACAGCTCATACTTTATGAGCTTATCTGCTGATAGCCAGATTAGTGATATAATACGTATCATAAAATCTAAAACAAAAGCCATATCAAAAGCTTCTGAAGTTGTTCTAGTTCCCAAACAATCGAAAAAATTTGTTCTGTTTTTAGATGAGATTAACCTTCCAAGACTTGATGAATATGGATCTCACAAAGTGTCATTATTCATTCGCCAATTGATAGATAAACAAGGGTTTTGGGATTTTCAAACTCACCAGTGGCTTCAGATAATGAATATATTGATTATTGGTGCATGCAATCCATTGAGCTATTTGGGGAGAGTTCCATTATCGAACAAGTTTTATAAACAAGTTTCAGTTTTGTTCGTTGATTATCCTAGCGCCAACTCATTAGTATATATATACTCTGAGAAGTTCAGAAGGATATTTTCTTTGATTCCACATTTAGAAAAGCTTAACGTTGACATTCTTAAAGCAACAATAGAAATTTTTTATAAATTTAAAGAAGCATTCGATGAAAGACGTGAAACCATTTACATTTGCACACCCCGTGAACTAACAAAGTTATGCAAAGGGTTATTGACCACTGTTTTAAACATCAATGAAAGTATTAACGAGGATGTTCTGTTTAGGGTATGGTTATTTGAGATATGGCATATATTCGGAGAACGTCTAATGAATGCCGATGATCAAAATATACTGCGCGATATAATTTACAAAGTTTCCACTCAATTCGAAATTAAGTATACTGAACCAAATGAACTCCTCTTTACATCTTTAATTTCTGGGGAATATCAAGATGTAACGAAGACTAATTTGATGAAATTCTTGAAGAACAGAATACCGACATATATTGAAGAATACAAAATTCCAGATTTTGTAATAATGGATATGATGGCAGGCCCTATCATTAGTATTGAAAGGATTTTAAGTAAGCCTAATAGTCATGCTATTCTTTCAGGAGCACCTAGACTGGGTAAAAAAACACTGACAAAATTGACTTCTTGGCTTATGGGTCTAACTACCTTGGAAATTTTAATAGGAGACAAGGATTCCTTCGATCAGTTTTTTGCCACTCTCAAAAATTGTATTAGAGACTGTATTTCAAATGATATATCATACTGCCTTTATGTTGGTTGTTCTGCTGACGTGGAGACTGCCTATTTGGAAAAAATCAACGCATTAATTGCTAATGCTGATTTACCCGAGATCTATGAGGAATCTGAATTAAATATTTTCCTAGGCGAAGTAAAGGAAAATGCCAAACATAATAACATTATATTAGAAAATGAACTTGAAGTACAACTCTTTATTAAGGAAAAGATTAGTAAAGGACTCCATATTGTTTTCTCTGTCTCTGATGATAATTTTGATAACAATTCAAATGGCCTGTTGTGCTCACCGACTTTAGTTAACAGATGTACTGTTGTATGGTTCCCTTCTTGGAGTTCAGAAGTCTATTATGAAATTGCTACTAAGAATCTTAATCGACTACCATTATCTTTTCCGGTAAGTGAGAGTTTAGGAAAATCAAGCAATGATACACTGAAGCAATTGGCCCAGTGCATTGTTGAAATTGACACTTACTTAAGAGTCAACTATCTGGAACTAAAATCAACACCGTCATACTTTTTAGACTTGCTCAGAGTGTTTGAAAATAAATACTTGGCAATGTTACATCAAAATGATTCTTCAAAGTCGTATTGTTCTAGAGGTTTAGAAAAAATTAATGATGCAGTTCTTGAATTAAAAACCCTCACGTCAGAATTGGAAAACTCAAGGCAGCAATTAAGTATCAAAGAGGATTCTGCAAGAAAAACCCTGGATGAGCTTTTAGTAGATCAAAATGAAGTTGAAAGGAAACACGAAGCCACAATCGAGATCAAAAAAATACTCGAAAAGCAAGAAGCTGAGGTAGCGGACCGTAAGCTCAAACTTATGAACCAAATAAATAAAATCGAACCAGTTGTCAGTGCTGCAAGGGAAGGTGTGAAAAATATCAAGAAAGAATATTTAACTGAAATCAGATCTATGGCCAAACCTCCGAACGCCGTTGTGCTCATTATGTCTGCTGTGTGTTCTTTATTAGGAATTTCATTTAATAATTGGAAAGATATTCAACAATATATGAGAAAAGAGAGCTTCGTTAAGGACATTATTACTTTTGAACCGAAGGGTGATAACTTTAAAGATCGGAGGTCTATTGTCCAAACAAGCTACTTTGCAGATAAAAATTTTAATTTTGCCGCTATTAATCGAGCCAGCAGGGCTTGCGGACCGTTATATCATTGGATTGTTGCTCAGATAGAATATAGCGAAGTACTAGATGAGTGTGTTCCTCTTGAGAATGAGATCGGTGACATTAACTTAAAATCTAACCACTATAAGGCTAATATTCTTGCTGCTGAAAGTATGATAATTGATCTTCATACCAAAATGAAACTCGCAAAAGAAAACTACGCAAATCTCATTGGAGAGGTTGAGAATATTAAGCGCCAAATAAAAGCAAATACAAATAGTCTTAACCGAGCAATCAAGTTAGTTAAAACTTTATCAGCCGAACGTAAGAGATGGACTGTCAACGAAAGGGACTACTCTAGCAACAAGTCGTGTCTTATTGGTGATTCCTTGTATCTCACTTGTGCTAGCATATATTTTGGCCAGCTTAGTGAACTTAACAAGGAAAAAGTACAGAATTTAATATTTCAGTCTTTTAAAAAATACAACATCAGTCATTCTACCTTAGCATTGATAGAAGAAGTAAGTGTGGAGGATAAAGCTCAATATCTATCATGTGGTCTTGCAGAAGATCCATATGTAATAGGCATGTTTGACTTATTGATAAAATCTCCTCAATTTACATCAATCATAATTGACCCACAAAATGAAATAGTTGAGATTTTGAAGTCATATCACAACCAAAATATTAGTATAATGAGCGTTAATGATCCCAGCTTCACAAAGAGATACCTGAAAGCAATCGATTTTGGTGGACCCGTACTCATAACAGAATGCGAATATCTTGGTACAACAACCCTTTCTACTTTATTTGACGCTCGTGCGTCTCGAAGAAAGAATCACATTTATCTCCATACCACATCTTCAACTCATAAATTTCCAGCTTATTTGTTGGCTCGAGTAGACATTATTGATTTTTCAATTAAAATTGGCAGCATTGCTCTTCGGTCCCTAAAGGCAACTTTGGATATAATAAAACCCGAATACCAAAAAGAAACGGAGGCACTTAGAATAAACAAAGAACAGCTAAAAATTACATTAATGCATCTAGAAGATAGACTTTTAAAGGAGCTAAGCGACTCATCTGGCCCCATGCTAGAGAATGACGAGCTTTTGAGGACACTTGAACAATTAAAGAATGACAGTGAGGAAATAAATGAGAAAATAATTGAAACGGAAAACAATACAGCTATCCTACAACAAATAATAGAGAATATAAAAATAATAGGGAATCATGCTGTACAAGTTTATAGAATACTAGAGGCCATAACAATTCTCGACAAGCACTACAAAATATCTATAAGCCGTTACCTTCAGTATTTTGCACTAGCTTTGAAAGAAAATGATCTTTCCACATTTAATGTGATAGAAAAAGACACCTCACGGTTAAATGAGCTTAAAAAACACTTGATTAAGATGTTTTACTGCAATATCTATGGAATTATTTCTCCCTCTTTGAAATCGGAACATCGAGTCGTGCTTGCTATAGCTCTGTATATTTGCTATAACAAAACTAACAAAGAACCAAATAATAACGATTGGCTGATAAAGGCAATTACCCATCTTTCAGCTCAAAGTGCTATTGTTACTGACAAAGCAGATAATGTGGATAATATAATTACTGAGAATATCGACAGCTTGATGCAATTAAAGGGTATGCTTGATACTTTTTTCAAAAGCAAATTTTCTCTAGAAAACATGATCAACAACAAAAATTTCCCAAATGTTGTAGTAATCAATTCACATTATCAAGATGGTTCATCTTATATCACTCGATGCTATAGTAGACTAATTGACAATGCTATTTCTTTGGGCACTAAAGAGAGTTTGGCATGGGCTGAAGGAAAAATCCAGGAAGGTATATCAAAAGGCGGTTGTGTATTACTTCAAAATATAGAATTGGGTGAGAAGTGGATAAATTCTTATGTTAGTAGTATCACAAAAAGACCTTCGGAAAAATTGAAATTGTTTATGATCTATAACCCAACCATAAAATCTACAATTATACCAACCATCTCAAACTGTGATAAGATTAGATTTGAGGGTAATGATAATATTTGCATGATGGTTAATGAATTATTCACCATGGTAAAGGAGTATGCTAGCTCACAAAGATATGTTTATTTATCTTATGTTCTAGCATGGTTACATGCAATCATTGTTTTTAAGATGAGATTTGCACCTAATGGCGGGTTTAGGCAACTTGTGGCCTTTAGTGATAATGATTTCATTTTTCTTTTCAATATTGGACAACGAATATTGAACCGAAGCAATAATGACCAACTATTCTGGCAATTTATTAAACATGCAGCACATAATCATGTTTATTCAATTCAATTAGAAGATGAAAAAGACAAAATATCTATGAAACGTCTAATTGATGAAATTCTCCCTGAGGAGTTTTACCCGAAGTACATGATTGTCAATGAAATATCGATATCTTTGCAGGATTCTGCTTCATGTATAGAAGAGCAACTAGCATCAATTAAGCTTCCTCAAGAATGGGAGACAGTCTGGCTTGGATTTAACAAGGATTCTTTACGTACTCACAAAAATGATATCGAATCAAAGGTTTTGGATGATACTAAACAACTGTTAAATAGTATTGAATATGTCTAAGAAAAATTGCCTATCAAGACATAAGCTATCTATGCCGAAGAAAGATTGAATTCTATAATGATAGCTAACTTGTAGTAACTCGTAATTTCACATCATGTAGGCCAAGAAATCATATTCACGATGCTGATACAAATGCTATCTGTAATATTATAATAGTAGGCTATGGTAGGATAACATATTCGCAACCATATATAATATAGACAATTACCATAATAAAATGCAGAGTATTTCATCATTATTGGAGGATAACCTTCGAGAGGTTAATATAGTTTAGTTGGGCAGATTGAGCCACCTTACCAAGAATCCTTCAAGTTGAGGATTGTCTTGACATTAATGTTACTCATGTGCGCAATAGCTTCGCATTCACTAGGCTTTTGCAACAATGCAACCCTTAATATTCAACTAGATGCTTCTTCATAGTATCTTTGTGCTATACGAGGTGATGAGCAGTTACAATGGGAGGGATTATTAAAGTTACGGTTCCGTTCTGTTCTCCCCCCCCCCACCCAGAGAGAATTCCGAGCTGTTGTCACCCAGTTTATCAGCCTAGAGAGAGTTCTCTCTCTTTTTTTTTTTGTCTATCAACTTGTTTTCTTACTGCTTGGTTCATGGGAATAAAACGTACGTTATCTTTCGATGAAGAATGCTTTATCACCTACTATACACTATATACATACTTTTTTTCTTCTTGATAACTCCCACAGTCCTCATTCTTTCTTTTTTATTGAGACTAATGAGGTAGTACTCCCTAGAAACATTACCAACATCTGTACTGATGATCGTTACCATCGAAGTCAAAATAGTCCCATTTCACCATCTAATGAAGGCTTAAAATATTCTAAATTGCTTTTACCATTTACCTCCCTACTTACACCACTCGATCTACACAGCCTTATTATTGTTGTTTCCCCGTCCAACGCGTTCCAGTTACAATGACGCATGGTCAGATCTCAAGTGGAATTGATGAGGAAATGAATTCCAAATGAGTTACACATTACAGAGATTCTGGTGTTTCCTTTCTTTATTGGCAAAGATAAAAATTCTCTGCAGGACGCAAATTATTTTGGTCGACTTACTAGTAAAGAAACGCTCTAGAGATGGGTCTCGATCGTTTAGCCTTTTAGTAAGTCTTTTCTTTCATTATTCATTAAGCACACCAAAAAAAAGAAGACTACTGGAAGAAAGGATAATATGTCACCATAAAACAATTTCAAGCCTCTTTATTAGCCCTCGAGTTCCCCACAATTTAACAACAAATTTTTTAGTTAATTTTGTTATTTCGTCTGCCTATGGCATATGATTCAATACTTTATAAAAATTGACAACACGGTTAAAGCATTTATAAGTTTAGATCGTTTATTTGCCTAATCAAGTGGCTAATTGCATTTTACTATATTGATCTAACTTTACGTGTCATAGCACCACTTTATGAAATAGACTGGTTTAAACAGCGACAGTAACAAGTTTTCTTCGACTGCTTAAGCACTCCGGTAATATCACAAACGTGGTTTGTTATTAGTATTTTTCTCTCTCATTGACATTGGCTTTCTTAATACATCCATAAAGGTGAATTATCCTCAAGATTTATCTTCTTTATAATTTACATTAGAGGATAATGTCTGTCGCTGCTACCTTGATCGAGAAGGCCGATCTGTCTATCGAAGACTCCAACGGTTGCAATGCTGCTAAGCATCATTTATCTGACCCAGGTAATCATCCGGCTGAACATTTCAAAAAGAAAATGTCTCCTCTCAGATTTAAAATGAGGCAGTTTTTAACAAGATACACAGACCACCAATCAGAGACTTTAGCGAATATACAGCACACGCTTCGTAACCCAGTGCTTGATGTTTATTTCAAGTACTCCGCTTTGATGGGTGCACACACATTTTACATTATTGCATTACCCATCCCCATCTGGTTTGGACACTGGGAGTTGACAAGAGACTTAGTTTACATATTCGGATACTCGATTTATTTAAGTGGCTTCCTAAAGGATTATTGGTGTCTGCCCAGACCCAGATCACCACCTGTTGAAAGAATTACATTGAGTAAATACACTACAAGGGAATACGGGGCTCCATCTTCTCATACTGCAAATGCCACCGGGGTTAGTGCTTATTTTCTATGGAGAATATGGGTTGAGTCAAATTTCACCTTAACATCAAAGGCTCTGCTATCTATTGGTGTTATGTTCTATTATCTAACTCTCGTTGTCGGAAGAGTTTACTGTGGTATGCATGGACTACTTGATCTTTACAGTGGTGCTCTAGTAGGATTAGCATGCTTCATGGGAAGAATAGGATTTGACTATCTATTTCCAACCTTTAAGGCCAGTGAGTACAATTGGGTTCCTGTATTGAGTGTCATTGTCAGTTTATTTTTGTTATACAAACACATCAAACCGGTTGATGAATGTCCATGTTTTGAGGACAGTGTAGCTTTCATAGGCGTTGTGTCGGGATTAGATTGCTCTAATTGGCTAATTGCTAAATTCAACTTAAATCTTGTCTGTTCTTTCATAGACTTTGAACCCAAAAATTGTCTTCATATACTTGCCAGATTATTGGTAGGCGTATTGACAGTGATAGTCTGGAAATATGTTATAAGCAAACCGTTAGTCTACTTCACCTTGGTAAAACTAGTCAGACTAAAAGATGAGAGAAAGGATTATCATGAAAGACATGAAATAACGAAATTAGCTGCTGAATGTGCTGAACATATCGGTGTTCCAAATATTGAACTTCTTGGAAGATTCATAATTTACGCTGGTGTCCCATCAACTGTGATTCTAGTTTGCCCAGTCATATTTAAGGCCCTTCAATTGTAGGATATCTTTTTGAAAGTATTCTCCTTTTTGTCTATGATATATAATTGTTAGAAAAGTTTATGTAACAAGATATTCTTATTTGGATTGACGGAGTTTTGACCATATTATATTGGCACAACTTCATGCTATTGCCGATCAATATACCATAACTTACTCAGTAATTTGTTTTACCCAATATATTCTATGATAGTCAGTTATCAGAGCTCCGACTTCATCCTCGGAGGATATAATTTAAAATCATCGATTTTTTATAGTTTTTGCTCCTACAAAGGCCAAATTTTCAGTGAAAAAAGCTGAAAATTTTTGCAGAAAATTGACAGTGTGTGTATCAGCAAACACATCTAGATCGCAACCAGCTCCTATATCAGTGTCTGCCAAGAATATCCTTTTGATAACCGCATCAGACGCTCTGTGGATTTTTCTGGTTCTTTTCTGATAAAAATTGGCCAATATTGATTCAGTTTTTTGGTATCGACAAAATATTGAGAAGGGGTGCCATACTTAATCTAGAGACAGCGCATAAAGTCAGCACAAAGATCATCTATCTAACTAGTCTAGACATTCATAATCCTTTTTGGTATTATTCAGACTAACAATCAACCTCATCTACTACTTAATATTTGGCTCCTAATCAATAGCCGGTTTATTACGGTCGATCTGTCGGTGAGGAAATCAAATATTAATAAGGTCAAGATACCAGCAATCAAGCCATGGATGAAGAAATCGACTATGAGGCACTTCCGCCTTGTGCTCCACTACATCACCAGCTACTTGCCGGTGCATTTGCAGGTATAATGGAGCATTCTGTGCTATTTCCAGTTGATGCGATCAAGACCCGAATACAATCTTCATCTTCAGGCGCAGCTACACAAGGCTTGATCAAACAAATTTCTAAAATCACCACTGCTGAGGGTTCTTTAGCACTTTGGAAGGGTGTTCAATCGGTTATACTGGGTGCAGGTCCTGCCCATGCTGTGTATTTCGCAACCTACGAATTTTCGAAATCCAAGCTTATAGACCCACAGGATATGCATACCCATCAACCCATAAAGACAGCGATAAGTGGTATGGCTGCCACTACGGTTGCAGATGCATTGATGAACCCATTTGATGTCATTAAACAAAGAATGCAATTGAATACGAGGGAATCGGTATGGCATGTTACTAAAAATATCTACCACAAAGAAGGCTTTGCAGCTTTCTACTATTCATATCCAACTACACTAGTAATGAACATACCTTTTGCAGCTTTCAACTTTGCAATATATGAGTCAGCAACAAAATTTATGAATCCATCAAATGAATATAACCCATTCATCCATTGCATTAGTGGTGGCTTAAGCGGTGCAACATGTGCTGCAATCACTACACCACTTGATTGTATCAAGACTGTTTTACAAGTGCGCGGTAGTGAAACAGTTTCTAACGAAATTATGAAACAGGCTAATACATTCCAAAGAGCTGCGTCAGCTATATATAAAATACACGGATGGAAAGGTTTCTTAAGAGGCCTAAAACCAAGAGTTATTGCAAATATGCCGGCAACCGCAATATCATGGACGTCATATGAGTGTGCTAAGCATTTCCTTGTTAATTCATCATAGACTTTCTCTCACTTCACTTTAATCTTTCAATTGTTTTTTTCTATTACCAGATTTACTTTGGTCTGTTTTATTTCTTATCCCTACATATTGCTACCATACCGATAGAATATTCTTCATTATGGTGTCTTTGTACACTCTCTTATGTACCCATTTGCATATAAATAAACTACGATAACGATCTAAATTGAATTATAACTATCAAAGAAAAAGAAAACAATCAACGCCTATTTCTTCATTGTCTATTTAGTACTACTTCTCAATATTTAGACGTTGCTGTATTAATTTCGAAAGCCCGCCTCCGAAATTCTCTTCAAAGCTATGTAGCATTTCATCTCATACCTCTTTAGTTTGTGGATGATGATCTCCCAATTATTTCATTTCTTAGTTGAGCAGTCGAGTTTGTATATCTAGCACCAGCAATATTCCATACTACCGGATAATTTGGGTCTGCCTGTACATATCGAGAAGTGTCAATACTATCATCCCAATCTGCTGAAATATCTTTTGCAGAATCTGTGTTACGTATTGACTCACTAACCTGAGCTCCACTTTCAATAGCCCCATAGTCAATCCAGTACCTTGACTCACCATTGTTTGTAAATCGAAGTCCCTCGTTGATACGATCTATTCTTGTATCTCTGTTGACCCCTCCTAAAAGACTTGTTTCTACAGAAGGATCAAAATTCCGGTAATTATAGTACGTATTACCATTTAATGCTTGCTTTGAATCCCAGATTAAATCCTGGATACCAAAACAATCTCTGATTGCGTACCGCAGTTTCATTCTTGCGCCCATTGGTATTGATTTTATCGAATAATCCTCCCAAGGAAAAGCCTTTTGATGTAAGTATGCGAAACCAATCATCTCGAAGCACAGCAAAGCATTTCGATATATATAACCCAGTTCAGAATGCTTATATTCAATTGACTTTCCGAGAAGCCTGTAGTATCCCAGTACCTGAATAATTAAACCTTGCCAATATGATACAAAGATAATCAATTTAACGCACAAAAATTTTGGCCATGGATGAAATGGCAACAAATCTTGATATAAACACTTCCAAAACAACGCTAACTCATATAAGGATAAGGATACAGAAATGTTAAATAGGACTACCAACGCTATCTCAAATTGTTTTAAGCCCCATATATCGATACAGATCATAGAGATAGAATATATTGGCTTGAACCACACATATTGTAAAATCCCTCTTTTTATCCATAGAAAATCATTAGGATTAGAGATGTCAACTTTCTTCAATAATTGGCCAACTAAGGGAACAAAATGATTCACAGGTTGATGTTTTAATCCTCTCCTCGATATAATCTCATATTCTCCACCTAGGTAGGTAATCAATAAAGAAAAAAAGGTGTAGATCACTACTGCTTCATATACCTCTCTAATGGGATCAACGAACCTCCTTGCATAGAATGGGAACAGAACTGACAAAAGACATGTAATGCAGAATATCGGTACAACAATCAAAATTCTAATAGATAACCGTTGCTCATATGGCTTTCTGTAGTTCATAAGATGCCTTAATATGGTGTAGAGAGCCATGAACATGGCCAGCATGGAGAATAACGCACTGTATTTCGCTAAGCATCCATTTAACAATTCCGCAAATAGCGTTGCAACACCCATTCACCTTTTATTGTGTACAATACCGGTGCAACTGTAAAACAAAGCACCTGATTTTAACCGAATAAAACGTTAATTAAAATAAAAGATCCTTAACAAAGGAAGATATTAGCAACCGTGAGTAATTGTTTTGATATATCGCTATCACTCATCGTTTTCACTTCGCGATGAGCTGCCCTTAATGGAACTTTTTTTTCCTTGAATAATGAATTGCCGAGTGAACAAAAAATAGATTCAATTCTTATTATAAATAACTTCAATATTAAGTGAAATGCTAACTATATATAATTCGTTTATTACATATTTTAATGTGATATGCAGTTTTTAGTTCTTCGAATCGATGCTAATATCTTCTTCATGGTTCCTCTGTTGGCATTGAAGGTTATCGAGAAGTCATGACATTAGGATTCTCAAATGCTTCTTTTGTTACATTAACAATGGCTTTCTTGTCAGTAGATTCAATTTTTCTTTTTGCCTTTACTCAATATCTTTTTAAGTGTAAGCGGCAATTCCTCATCGGATGAAGCATTTTCATCATAATAGTCATCGTTTGCTTCTCCAAGTGTTCTTCGCCTAGAAAGCCCAGGAAGTTGGCCTGCTATTGAACCGATGGAGAAACTCCTGTCTCTAAAGTTTTTCGGAAGTGCATCGACTTTACTTCCAGCTTTATGCGAAGCTATCCTGGCAAGATTTAATGCAGTCCCGCTATGAATATTGGCAGTCCCATGATGGTTTTCATCTTCCAATGCAACAGGATTTCTAGGTGACATGGCAGAAGCAGAGTCCATATCAGATGATAGATCAGATGCCGATTCCATACCGTAAAGGTCAAAGTTATTGTGACGTGAGGCATTGGCTTCTGTGCTAGTTGTGTTGTTGGTATTATGTCTGAAATTTGAACTTTTGCTTGTTTCAACATTCGTTACGCTTTCATACTCGTCTTCTTCATTGAAGGTTGGAACATTTTTCAGCATGCTTACCTTTTCTGAGTTTATAAATTCATCAAAGCCAGTTGCAGCTTCTGTTGCCCAATCTTCATAAATTGGCCTTGATAAAAATCCGTACTTGAATTCATTAACTCCAACCAATATTTTTGTCAAATCTATCAACTCTTCAATGTAATCAATTATTTCTTCAGTAGAAGCACTGGTTGCATTCCATGTTAGATAGGTTTCTCTATCAAAAGTAACCTTCCTAGTCAATTTGGATTGCTTTGCAGTGAAAGTTAGTTCTTCTTCACTATCACTAGAAGACGTGCTATCTTGCATTTTATTACTCGATTCGGTTGTAATAGATGGAATGTTAGCTATTTGAGGTAGTACTTTAGAAATCTTAACGAGGAGTCTTCTGTGGGCCAATCTAGCACTAGGTAAGAACTGAGGTAGAGGTGTTTTATTATTGAAAGCTTCTTGTGCTGCCCTAAATAATGCTATTGTAGATCCAACCAGTTGTCTTCTATAAGCGTAAACAATGGGATTCACACCTTTCGCAATACTACTACCGTAATGCCTCCGCAAAATGGCCGCATTATCCATACGCTCAACAATCTGTTGTAGAACAAAAATAACTTCCGTAAAGATATTCTCCAAACCAGTATATTCACCTTTCAATCTCGGTTCTTGCCTCGTTAGCCCTTTATAAGCTGTAGCTCTTGTTAATGCAGCTTTTGCACTAGCGGATAGCTTTTTAATTTTTTCAAATCTCTGTTGGGTAAGTGTAGTTTCGTGTTCTTCACCATCTAACCCAACTGAATATAGTAACTCTATCTCACTGATACAACCACAAATGAAAGAGATCTCCTCATTAAGTTGGTCCCGAGCTTTTACTGGAAAGAAAAACAGCTGAACGATCAACGCAATACCACCACCGTAACCAACTGCAAGACATCTCTTAGCAAAACTTAACAAAATTCCTGATGGATTATCCGTAGGAAGCATGGCGGCTAAAATAACAATGTAAATACTAATAATCTGGATAATTGCGGCCTTAACGTAAGGACTACCTAGTAGAAAATAAAAACCAGGAACTGCACCAAAAACAGTTATCACTGTCTCAAGATAGGGATTGGTATTATGTATACCAGCAGCATAGGAAAGATATCCCCAAGCAGCGCCTGTAATAACACCAACACCTCTTAAGAAAAACACCCAGAACGTTCCACCAACAGATGGCTCTAAACAAAGAATACACACGAAACCTATCCAAGTACCCCTATAACTAATATACCAGCTTCTAATATTTGGTATAAACATAGGAAATGATGCTAACATTAATGCAACAACAACTTGAAAACCAAATCTGAAATGCTCCTTGGATCTGATAATAAATTTGTGAGCTTTAACGGGCAGATCTTCAAGCACTTTTCTTGTTCTACTCATAGTTGGTGTTTTTATTAATGGCAAGACTAGATCTGATTCGTTTCTTCTATTAGTATTCGCCTGTTGGTTAAGTAACTCGTCTTCTTCATATGATGGACGTCTTGCGACAAACTCTGTTTTTTCACCAGCGCCATTGAGAGTGCCTCTAAGTCCATCATTTTCTGTCATCTTACTAGTACCAAATATTGGGAAATTCTTATAATTTTGAAAGAATGGGATCCATAGTGATCTACCAAAGTATCCTCTTTTCACTTCCCTTCTTTTCCTAGACTCGTAAACAGAGTGAACCTGAGTAGTTAATACAATGATACTCTCCACCGCTTGTTTTAAATTTATCAAGAATGTTGAAAACAAAAACAATTCTTCGTCAGGCTTCAGAAGATCTATATCGACTGTTAGAATCTCCTCTTCAACTTTAGATTTAAATGCGTTCAATGATTCTTCAAGCAGCTCAATATGTTTTGAGTGGTCAACTTCTTCCGCAACCTGGCTTAGTTTCTTACCCTTTAGCTCTGGAACTTCTAATCTGTTTATATCTACATCGAAGCCATAAGCGAGCAGTATCATATCAGCTACCAAACAATCATCTATTCGTTTTTTCATTATATCGACCAGCTCCTTTAATTTATCAATATTTTCCAAATTTAGTTCCTTTAACAGCATAAACTCTAGTTGACAGGCATTCACTAATCCCGTTATATAAATTGACATATCTTTCAAACTAGGTATTAGTGGATGAAGCTTAACAGGAGACAGATAGGAGTACGATATTTCATACATGCATTCTTCCAATACCACTTCACAATTACTTATCTTAGACCTTACCAATGTTTTATATTTCAGTAACTTATTAAGTGAGACCGGTTCTATAGCAGCAGAATCTGGTAATGGGGCGTTGACAAAGAATTCAACGGAGTCTTTGACTGATTTACGCACTTCTTTAAATGTGTCAACTGCCGCATTACCTAAATAAGTACTACCAAATTCTGGGAATAATATGAGATTGAAAAAGATTGACATTGCAATACCTAGATAAAACGGTGTACTAAACGAATTTGCAATCACGCCAGGAGTTTCTGAAAGAGGAGCCATGAATGTGAAATGGACTACCAGAAACAGTGGAAACACAATACCAAAATAAAAATGATTAACAGATCTAAACCATCCGTGTACAAACAACATGATTGTCTCAAACATAGCTAAAATAGCCAATGCTGATCTGTATCTGTTGAAGTGTAAGACCAACTGCTCATGTTCAGTTAGCGTATTCCACGTACTTCCCAGACATTGTGCTGCCAGAAATCTACCAAGCAAAGAATAGGCTAAACCAAATATCAAACCTGTTGTACAGTACATGGCACCTTTAATAGTACCACCCACTCTTCTTCCAGGATGCACGATAACAGATATCAGTGGCAGCATTGCAGGTTCGGTACCTATATGGTCTCTAACTTTCGGGATCAGCGTAAATATGAAAGCCACAGTGGTATTCACCGTGGCTTTGAATATACGTTGTGCAAGTATTCTATCTGTTGGAAAATAGTGCTGGTATAGTCGGTAAGCATGGACAGCATGCTGCTTTATCTTCATTTTACTTTAATCTTTGCCTAATTTAATAGAGACAGCAATCCTACCAATACTCTACCCGGTTATATGAAAATTAAAATCTAACTGATTCGATCAAACTGCTAGTCATTAGAGACTCCATAAATTGATTGAAGATGAAATCTTATTAGCCATGATCAGTAATATGACTACTTTAAGGACTCATCGAGAGACAATGGGCCAAAGCAATTTTTCACAAATCAAAAGTGCGAAAGTCATCGGCCACCACCGAACAATGGGAATCGCACTTAAATACGAGAAAATAGCAGTATAGGTAGTACCATTTTCAGGTATAATCACACACATTTACTTCCAAGAGCATCTTCTGTTTCAGTTAAATAGGATAAATAGGATGTTTTGTGGAATATGAATGATTGTCACATCATATGGCGAGTTATAAATAAATAATAAGAGAAAAGAAAAAAAAATAAATACATAGACTTTTTGAATATCTTGCAATTCAAAAGTTATAAATAGTCAGTTCACAAGCCTGTACGTATTTACAATCCTTGTTCATCTAAAGTCTTGAAGATGTGAACTGGTTGGTTCTTTGGGAAATCAATACCTCTCTCTAACAAAGCAGCAAAGGCCTTAGAGAAGTCTCTGAAGAAAGCATCTTGGTCAGCAGCGTACTCCTTGACAATCTTCAAGTAGTTTGAGTCTTGGATCAAAGCGTAATCGGTTGGCAACATCATGTAACCCTTTGGAGAGTTATATTGCAAGTTACCGGCATCATTCTTTTCTAGTTTCCAGTCCTCGTTCAACAAGTTCAAGTAGAATTCATTAGTGAAGATGTTGTTGGCAGCACCCCATGGGCCTTCAAAACCAGAGTTCTTCAAATGTGTCTTACCCAAAGCATGTGCACCCAATAGAGCGACAACTTCTCTGTCGTTAAAATCCAATCTCTTGTAGAAGTTTCTAACGTAGTTTGCGTCCTTGTCACCATCTGGTAATCTACCATTGTCTGGGGTCATATCTTCTGGCAGATCGGTTCTACCTGATCTCCATGGGATCTTAGGACCTTGAAGCTCTTGAATACCTACAACACCACCCAAGGTATACAAGTCACCATAAGAGATCCATGGGAATTGCTTCTTTACTGGTTCCAAGAACTTGGCTGCGTTCTCTAGACCAGCATTGGATGGATCCTGGCTTTCCTTCTTGTATCTGTAAGTACCACCATAAGAACCACCAGTGTTGTCGTTCTTGTCCCAGGTACCAGAAGAGTGCCAAGCTAATCTGACCAATACTGGACCGTAACCAATATAGTTGTCATATTCATCGTCGTCTCTCAATCTCTCTGCAATCAGATTGTAGACTTTCTGGTAGTCAGCAGTCTTCTTGTCTTCTTCATGAGCTAAGTGAACAACACCAGCAGCAGCAGCTAGTGCACCAGCCTTGAAGCCACTGTTGTTGTTATTGTTGTTGTTGTATTTGTAGTAGTTGTTGTTCTTCTGAGCCTTATAAGCAACAGTAGCAGCAGCACCGGTAGCAACACCAGCCAGCAAGTAGCCCAACCTTCTTTGGAATGTTCTGGAGGCAATTGGAGCAATTCTCAATGCAGTAGCAGACATCTTTTCCTTAGCTAAGTTTGATCTGTTGATGAAACAAAGTTTTCTCAATGTTAGTAAATATGTAGACAAACTTATCCTGATAGAGACTTCCCCATAACATAACCTTAAAAGCTTTATATACGTTCTCTCGGATACCAAGTTTTACTCATCCTAGGTATCCAAAGAGTTTCTCGAAGGATTGTGGTCACTGCTTACTAATTTTAGTGCGTACCCATCATTGAACTAGAACCTATCTGGCTCTCCCCAAAGGTTACTCCTCTTTCTCTGCCTGTGTACTGTTAGTGTACTCTTGGATCACGATAGTGACTTTCTCCACCAGGTAATCATCAAATACTAACTCCTATCGATTACTGCTGCCTCAGTGGTTCCTTAGTAACAGTTAGATAATGCCTCTCCTCTTCCCTCTAATGGAACCTTGCCATCAATGACCTGGTTGATTATTCACACAAAGGACAACTTCTAATATGGACCCTTTGTTACTTTCGAGCCTCCCGATATGTCCGTCCTATAGTTCCATAGCATTGTATAGTGATTCTGATTCATCGACTTGGCATCTCCGTTAAGGTACAGCGTTGAGTTTGTCTTTCCTTGAAAGTCATCGATTGCAACTAAATCCAAATTACATCGTATTTTTCCCTTAACCGGGCAGTTTGACACTCATTTACCATTGAAATAGTATAAACTTGAGAAGCTCGAAATATAGAGTTTGATTGTCAGAAATTATTATTATTTGTTTGTTACACCCTATAATAGTTTGAGTTCGCAATGCCTGCCCATGTCCCTGAGGTTGGGCATAAGTATATTAATGACTACAATGGCTATACGTATAATATTCATACGTTCTTGTATGACCTGATTGTGTTCCTTTTCAACGCTGTGATAACTACATTCTTCAGAGAGATCAAAGTCCGTGGTGGTTACAATGTGCCTCCTCGAGGAGTACCCACTATCCTAGTGTGTGCACCTCATGCTAATCAATTCATCGACCCTACTCTGGTTATGATAACTACTCGCCAGTTAGGGTACATCAGAGGTAAGTTGAGGTCAAGACAAGCATGTTTTGTCACTGCTGCAAGTAGTTTGAAGATGAAGTTTGTGGGCCTATTTGGTAACGCTATGGGTAGTATCCCTGTTCCCAGGATTCAGGATAATTTAAAGGATATGGATTCCAACTTGATAATATATGCTCCTGATTTTGAAAATAACCCTACTATGTTGAAAGGGAAATGTCTTGATGGTTCAAATCCAGGGTTTACTACCAAGTTTACTGTTAAGTCGCTAATTGGGTTGCCAAATTACTTGAGTAACGCAAATATCGCCGAAATTCCTGATGACTCAACTATAGTCTTATCTGCACCATTTAAGAATGATAAGAATGGTAAAGTAGCAGAATTGTTAACACAAGGTACAACTTTCAAATATGCCGAAAAGATTGATAACACTGAGACTTTTCAGAGTGTTTTTGACCACTTACACACTAAAGGTTGCGTCGGTATATTCCCTGAAGGTGGTTCTCATGATAGGCCTTCTTTATTGCCAATTAAGGCTGGTGTTGCAATTATGGCTCTTGGTGCTGCTGCCGCAGACCCAAAAATGGAAGTAGCTGTGGTGCCAGTTGGCTTACATTACTTTCATAGAAATAAATTTAGATCAAGAGCAGTGATTGAATATGGTGAACCTATTATGGTTAATGGTGATATGGGTAAAGAATATAAACAGCAACCTCGTGAAACCGTCTCTAGACTACTTAAGAAAGTGTCTGATGCACTTTTTACACTGACAGAGAATGCTCCTGATTACGAAACTCTGATGACAATTCAAGCTGCTAGACGACTATTCCAAACTAATAATAGTAGAATTCCATTGCCAGCAGTTGTAGAAATACAAAGAAGATTATTAGTTGGTTATAAGAAGTTCCAAAGCGACCCAAGGATAATGCACTTGCAAAACTCAGTTAAAGAGTATAATAATAAGTTATATTCAATGGGTCTCAAAGATCATCAAGTCATGTCCTTGAAAACAAAACCATATGAGACCTTGAGATGTGCTGTGACTTTACTTCAAAGAATATTTAGAGTCACATTATTCTTTTTCCTATCTTTACCTGGTTCCATAATGTTTTTACCAATTTTTGTTGGCTCTCATTTCTATTCTAAGAAGAAGCAAAGAGAAGGTTTGAAAAAGTCATCTGTTAAAATTGAAGGTAAGGACCTTATAGCAACATGGAAGCTTATTGTTGCTTTGTTAATGGCACCCAGTTTATATATCACTTATACCATAATACTTATGGTTTTACATCAAAGAAGATCTAAATATGTATGGTGGGTTTGGGTTCCTACGGAAAATAAGGTGATCCAGTTTATTTACTTTTACATGCTTTTGGTGTTAGTTGCATATTCCTCATTAAAAACAGGTGAAATTGGGTTTGACTTATTTAAATCATTAAGGCCACTAATGATATCGCTGGTTTACCCACAGGATTATATTCATGAGCTACAGACTAGAAGAAAAGAACTAAGTAATGAGGTTACAGAGATCTGTAATGAACTAGGTCCACAAGTATTTCCCGATTATGAAAAGTTTGCCTCCTCTTATCTAATCAAGAAAGACAAGAAAGATGAAAGTAAACCTGAAAAGGACTATCTCAGTCAAAATAGCACAGGCCTTTCAGGTCGTAGTAGATCGTCATCTATTTATTCTATGATATCTAATGTTTCAAACTCATTATCGAGGGTTAATTCAAGAGGTTCTCTAACTGATGTTCCCATTTTCTCAGATTCCCGTCAAGGCGAATGGACCAATATTACATCTGATGATGAGCAATCTAATAGTAAAGAAGAAACACCAACAAATAAATTAAGCTCGAAAATCACTGATTTAATGAGGAGTAAACGTGAAAAGGAAAAGGTTGATTAGAACTATATATAGTCTAATATGATCTCATTAAAAGTTGATTACTAACTAATTCTGATCTTAAATATTCAGTAAATTATAGGTATGGTTGATCTGTCAGATATACAATGTATATACCCTAGCCATAGCAAACAAACCCTCTCTCTGCCAGTTATAAACCTATAGATAATTTAAGAACTAAAAAGAAATTGAAGTTCTTCTAGTAGATATATCAACTTTGTATAATTTATTCCGGTGGCAGTGTTATGAATCAAAATATTTATTTGAGGATAATTATTTTTTTTTTATTAATATACAATGCTTTTTGTTTTCCTACATCGACATTGAATTTAGTCCTCCCCAATAGGGATTTCATCTTTGAGGACTTTATTTAATTTTATTCTTAGTTCGGTCTGTGGATCCCCTCGTAATATATCAGAGATAAACCACACATCGCAATCTAGTTGAACCATCTCTAAAGCACCTTTTAATACACCACAAAGTATATTGGAATACCATAGTTGATTAACGGCATCCATTGGAAGCTCTACAAAGTCACTTAGGGGATTCTCATCAATTAATAGGGAAAATGTGTCTTGGCTTTGGGACCAGTTGGTGACAGTAGGTGTTATATTCAAAAAAACCTTGAACGCACATTTTGATATCACTTCGCTTGTACGCAGCATTGTATCGCAACGTGGTAATGCAGTTCTTGCTAAGAAATCTTCAATCAATCTAATACCAATATTATAACCCATTGAGAATAATTGCTCATTCACTTTTTTGAAATCACGCTTATAGTCTATGCATAGTTGTGAAACAATGGACCCGTATGTCAAATTGAACAACTCGCTGTTAACCTTCTCTACTTTATTCTTCCATATTTCTTCACCTGTGATTTTCAATGATTTCGATTGTGAGCTAATAGACTGTGATCTTGACATTATCTTAAATTGGTGGTAATGCTGGGCTGTTCAATTTGTTATGAATATTAAAGTTGTTTTGTTGGTAGCTTATTCGTGAATATCTGGTTCCTTTGATACACATGTTAGGTAACTAGAGCTTTATTCCTGTGCTTAAACCAAATACAAAATCACCAACGTTGTTAGTGAGGACGATTGCGAGGTAATAGGCTGAATCAGTCCAGTTGCATAACGAGAGTGTTTTATATGTAAAAATATTAACAGAGCTTCCATAGTTATTTATTGTATATAGTAGAATGTATAAGTGGGAATTAAAAAAAAATAATGTCTATACTTTGTAGGTTGATAATTTTAACCTCAATAAATCATCAAAGCCTGGTCCACATAATTTTTCTATTTCCGATTCATCAATAGTTCTGCTTAGTATGTTTCTATACTCCTTATCAAGTTCTGTCTCTTTTGTTTCCTCTTGAACAGTGTGTTCTGTCATTTCTATATCCAAGTCTATCATATCATTGTCTTGAACACCAAAGCTGTCTGAATGTGTTGGAATAATCATAGAATTAATAGTTTTCCAATTGTTTTCCATTACTTCTGGAGACATACTTCTGCGGGTATTCTCTTTTTTTGAGATCTTTTCCTCTAATATTTGCCAATAAACTTTTCTTGCATCGATCTTCTTCTTTATCACTTCGTTGATTTGCTTTAGTAGAAGGTCTTTATCGAGATGATCAGTGGTGGTATTCAAAAAGTCATTGAGATCGACTCTTTCCTCTGGTGACCCAAATTTACTCTTTTGCAGGAACCTTATTATCTTGCTTATCCATGTAATAAAGCCTTCAAATATGCCTTCGGAATCACGATTGTAAACATCATGCAAAAATTCGAGAAAAGAATTTTGATGCTTGTTAACCAGATCTAATATACTTTCAACTATGTTAAATTTAGAAGAGATGTGTAATTGTTTCGCAATAACATCATCCATTAACTGAACTAAATCATCCATGAACTTCTCAAAGTTTTTGATTGCCAGATCCATTCTCGCTACTTTAAAAATTCTTAGCATTGGTTCATATATCAAGGATATTATTGCCTTTAGTAATTGCTGAAGTTCGGGGTCTTGCCATAGTTGCCTCATTAGTCTCTTATCGTGCTCCTTAATGTATAATTTCATCAAATCATGTACATTTACATAGAAGTTTCCCTCTCCACTTGGTTGTAGCTCATTTCCCTGTTCTGACTTCCATGAGGAATATGAGTTTATTAGTTCGGCAACAACATCTTTCTTAATTTTTCCTGCTTCAGAACCCTTCATAATAAGTAATAAGCAAACTGGCATTTGCATCAATTCAGATTCTTCTTGAATATCATTGAATTTTAGTGGATTCGAGCTATCATCTTGAAAAATGCATGACCTTAAGAATGCCAACATTTGTTTTGAATCACTATGTTTTGAAAGGACCTTCCTTTCGAGTTCTTTGACCGCATTTTTTTGATGTTTAATATCTTCAGTCAAAATTGTAGAAAACATCGTCTGTAGCAATGATTGACCGCCAAAAGGCTGTGCCATAAAAAGGTCGATCATACCCTTCATGATCGCTACTGGATTTGTAAATCTCATGATCTGGCACATCACCGTGTATGGAAGGAGTTTATGGAGTCTGCGGATTTGTCTATAAAATTCGTAACTATTGTCATTACCCAAAAACATTTGGTATAAAATAGAAGACAGATAGATTTTGCACCATTCCACAAAGTTCTGAAGTGATGGTGACAAATCTTCGAATCTCTTTTTCGCCTTAATTTCACCGACTAATTCTAGTAGGTACTTCTCATCTTCAAGCAAATTGGTTTTGAAATCCTTCATGGATGCTTGAAGCTTTACTGTCTTTTCTAAAGCCATTTTCTGGAAGGAAATTTGGTTCTCCAAATTTTTGATATCAGTAATCTCTCTTAGTTTAATATCTTCCATCAAACTTTCATCAAATGTCTCAGGATCTACAACATCTTCCTTAAAAAACTCCTTCCAAATACTACTTTGTACAACATCCGAATCTTTACTCAATGTTCTCAGATACAATCTTAAAGTGTATCTCAAAGTTTCATAGGGCAAAAATTTTGTTTCCTCCTCAGCTGAATCAATGGACTGTGTATCGAGGTCTAGGTCTTGATCATCAGATGATATATTAGAAGCTAGATCATCTTTCATAGAGTTGTCATCAATTGGAGAAGGTTCGTCGATGTCTTTCGAATTTGAATCGTCTAACATCAGTGAAGAAATGTTAGGTTGGTCGGTCTTGTTATTCAGTTGTTCTTTCTTTATATTTCTTAAAGCTTTTTTATCTTGTTTCTTCGAGGGTAAATCTGGCAGTTTTTTAGATGGAAATTCCTTCTTCAACCTATGAGAGAATTTTTTGAAAGAATTGTATGTTTTAAAGTTATACGAAATTGCATCTGGTTCATTTAGCCTTCTGGTACGGATAACAAAATAGTATTTAGACTTTTTAGATCTCACACCATTCTTTTCATTTGAATTAACTGATAGATAGGACTTGGATTCTGGAGTAGAAGAATAAACTGTGCTTCCAGAAAGCTTGGAAAACATGTTAGATGTTGTGGAACTAGCAGCACCAAACGCACTCTTGAACATTTTAGATGTATATGCTGATGTTTTCTTTAAGTCTTTTGACTTAAACAAATAAGAACTAGATGAATGAATGGATGATGATGATGATGAATTCGAAGAATTGTTCTTTGTTAATGTGTTAGATAGCTCATCAGAAGCTTTACTACTGTCATAAACGGAGATTATGCTAATATCCCATGTATTGAAATATACAGGCTCATGAGTGACCAGAAATTTCAGGTTTTCCTTTGTTGGCATAGTGAGTTCCTCGATATTTGATCTTTTCCTGGTATTTTCCTGCTGGGCAGTCAACTTATCATGTTCATAGTAACTTGATTCTAAAGTTGTTCCGATACCAGAATTGAACAACAGCATAATAACTTTCTTCATTTTTTGTCCCATCTTTCTTCTCTTGGTTGTCTCTTCCCTATCGTAGCTATCACTGAATCCCATAGACATGAAATGCTCGAAAAAGACTTGCACTTTCCCTTGCCAGAAGCGCTCATCAACCGAAAGATTCTTTGACAATAGTGGGAAGCTAAATATAAATTCCTGTAGCATGTAACTCAGCAATGGATATTGCGTTCCTTCTAGTCGCGGCAGAATAGACACCGCAGCCTCTTCCTCGACTTTAGTTTCTTCCCCTGACCCAGACCCAGTGAAGTATGTGGCCGACGACCATAAAGCATTCGAGATCGCAGTACCATATGATTCACCTTTCTTTATTTGTAGTCTTGGATCCTCGCTAGTAAATGGGTACCCAAAGTGCCTCAGACCATCCTTGTTATTAAGCAGCTCAAATTCCTTGTCGAGCTGGAACTTCAATAGTTCTCGCTTCAAGTAGTGCTCCTGCACTGCATCTAAACTCATTACCTTAGTGTATGTATAGCTCACTGATATGGTATTACATTCAGCAACCAAAGTCCCGTAATTGATCAATCTTCCCCTTTCCCATTCTTTTATAGTCCGTGGTTGTCCGTGGGTTCCTGGAAGATCATCGCCATTTCTTGGCCCGTTTGCAAGAAAATGGAAATTTGTCAGTTTGAAGGCTAACAAAGGACCAAAGAGTAAGTCATTCCGAGAAACCCATTAAAAGTCAGAACTTTTTACTACCTTTGTAGTTTAAGATTTAGTAAAACACAATAGTCTTAAGAAGTCTAAGGTATTAGTGACCGTTGGAAAGAGGTTATATTGTTCAATTGACACGTAAGAAGGTAATTTACTGTAACGAAAATATCGGGGAGGTTACGTTCTAGGGTAATAGCCGTTAATCAGTTATCAATTACTACTGCATTGATATTTCATATTTGGTGAATATTAGGTCAACTGGTTTAGGCTATTGGGTTCTTTTTATAGACTTTTTTGTGAAGGTTTAGGGAGAGAGAGTTGCTAAAAACACGTCAAGTTTCGCTAGGATAAAAATAGCTGTGCACAAAGTAAAGGAATGAGTCAGCAGTTTTCCTCTTTCATTAAACTAAAAATATTCCAATCGAATCATGCTGGACATGATTCGAAAAATGGTTCCAGGTCTGAGACTAGCAGTGCGCCATCAAATGAGAATAAGTCCGAGTCATCCTTGAGCGGGTCGCCGCGTAAGAACAAAATGGTGGAGGCGCTTGATAATGAGCTAAATAAGCTTACGATAAAGACGGATGACATACGCTTTGAGCCACCACAGTTGGTCAGGCCTGCAACATTCTCTCCAGAGAGTCCTCAGTTTAACTTTGACATATCTAATACAGACAAGGACAATTACAGCCCCAGCACTGATCATACAATACATGAAGATGGTGAGTATGATATAAATAATACTAAGCAAGATGAAACGACAGGTGCTCTTTCTGAAGGGCATAGGAATATAAAAAATGTATTCCACAGACGACATACATCGGATTCACTCACAGACAGCGATTTGAGCACGAATCAAAAGAAGACACATGGGAAATTTAGAAGGATACGACATAAGATGAGTCTATTGGATATAAATTTCAAACTAAGTCCCAAAGGTAGTAGCACGGATGTAACAAAGTTACGGGATGATGACAGTAATCAGCAGATTTCCAGGCGAGGAGAATCAAAACTTAAATCAATGTCACAAGTGAATTCAAATGAGAGATTACTTGCACCAAAGAAACAAGTTGCAGTTCAATCCTTCAATCCTTCAAAGAAAAGCATGGATTCTACGTTGTCAAGATCATCGGGTAATCCAACTATGAGTTCAATGACTAAAGTACGATCGGCATCTTCAAATGGTTCAAGCAATTTACTGGTAAAACATTACTCAAATGAAAAGACTAATCCTTTAAAACTGAGAAGTATGAAAACTGCAAGTACAATTTCACTAGATCCGATCCAAACAGAATCTATTGATGAGAATCTTGAGAATAGTAAAATATCTCAAGTCTCTACCAATAAGCTCAAGACCATTAATAGACGCAGAAGCCGTACATTAGATCTATCTGATTATGTCAAAAATAGGAAAGGTAGAACATCAAAATCTGTGGAAATCAATAGCAACGAATTATCAGATATCCGATCCCATAGTCTCTCATTCTCTGGGAGATCACCACTTATTCTCTCCAGAACAAATTCACAAAATCAATTGACCACAAGTTCTGAGAGGAATTCTAGAGATAGACCTAGATCGCCTTATGGAAACTTACCTGCTCCATCTTCTAGTAGCAGCGCTACAACAGCATCTATTGGAGGAGGAATTTCTTCTAGAAGAAGTAGTTCGATTGTAAATGCCTTGAGCAGCTTGGTTAATCTTAAAACAAGCAGTGTGACGTCTTTCAAACAAGTCCCCTTCTCAAGCAATAGTGGGCAACCTCAAGTTACTCTCGATGATCTTCCAAAACCACCTCCACCGGAAGGTAGCGAGTCCCATGTTGATTATTTGATAAGAATATCTCCATATGGGAAATTCCTGGGCATAATATTAGTTAAAAAGGATGACCCTTTCAATAGAAGGGCCCTATATCATTTTCTGGACAAATACTTCAATTTAAAAACAGATCCTATAGATGTGGCATTAAGAAAGGTCCTTATGTTTTTAGAACTGCCAAAAGAGGCGCAGGAGATAGACAGGTTACTGACAGAACTAGGGAAAGTTATATTTGATCAGCAGTCGGAATCTTACGACCCTTGTGCTTGGGTTGATGCTGACCAAGTGTATTTCTTACTATACTCGTTACTAGTTTTGCACACAGACCAATTCAATACTAAGAACAAATTTAAGATGACTAAACAGGACTTTGTCAAGTTAATTAGGGAAGATACGTATTCAAATGGGAATAAAATTCCAGCTGAGATCTTATCATATTACTTTGATAATATTACTGTTCGAGAGTCGCCAATATTTGATCTGCTTCCCCCCGTTGAGGTTTTTCCACTCGAGCATGTGCAATATGGGGTTGATAGAGCAGAAATTGCTTACTCACCTATGAGAATCCTGCAAGATCGCACTCTGAACTACGAAGGAGACTATCAGCATGTAAGTACTCCGCCAAAGTTGACATCTAGGCCAACTTCAAGCTCAATTTCTTCCTACTTTTCTCAGAACTCGACTACATTATCCGGTTCCACCATTATGCCAGTTACATCTGACATTGACATATATGAGAAAATATTTACTAACGAGTTAAGAGAAGTATCTTTGGAGCATCAGGTTTCAAAAATTTGGGACTATACTGAAAAGGATTGGCATACTGTGACAGCATCATATACTTCAAATCATGTCGGGTTTCAAAATAGATACAAGAAATTTTACTCTATATTAATGGATTTCAAAGGTGGGTACATCAGGATACATAAAAATATACTTATGAAATTAAACTTGCCAAAATATGAGTTGACTAAGGGTGAAGGTATTCGAGAAGACGATTATTGTTATTTAAAGATTATCCAGATGGGTGAAATTCAGACATTTCATCAAAATAGAAAAATACCACTAGTAGGTAGTAAAACATCCATATGGAAATCAGAATATGGTGTTTTAACATACATTGGTCTACTGGTTTTTGAAAAAAGCGACTGGATAAACCCACAAGCTGAAAAAGATGAACATACAGGTGTAACTAACTATATTATAGACTTTAAACCTGGTTTTTCTTTTGTTTCCAGTAATGTAGAGTGTTTTCATGGTATGTTTGCAGTGAGAGAGAAAAATGCAGTTGGGAGATCGCATTTTATTAAGTTATTATCTCCTAACTCTGCAGGAGCTTCCTCCTCCAGATATAACGGAAGTGTCGGAAATGATTATCTGGATTCTGCTATGTATGGAGTTGATATAGCGCAATCAGAAAAAGACCAATCTGATCCCAATGATCCATTAGCTGACCTTTGTAAAGAAGAGATGGAAGGGACATTAGTTTTCTTGCACAGTGCTAAGAGGAATTTGATCTTCAAATGCCCTTCTGTAAGTGCCAGAGATAACTGGGTTGATGCCATCAACCTCATATCAGCCTATGATGGATGTGACTATGACCCTGCGTGTCTCGACAACACTTTAGTATGCAAGAAAAAATACTCTGTACAGGAACGTTTGGTAAGGTTGCACAGTATGGATGTGGAGAAGAGTTTCAAATTACATGAGCTTGAGACGATACTAATGTTCTTCAGACAGGCGATCCCAATTACCATGAAGTCACGCAGTACTTTAATTTCAAACATTAAACAAATTGCAACCAAGATGGATTGGTTGTTGTTCGAAATTAAGAGGAGTCAAACTTTTGTTAATATCATCAGTGAAGTTGATGGAAGCTATGATAATATTTTTGGTATTACAACAAATGATTATCACAATGATGACGACATTAGCGGTATGATCCCCAATATCAATGGGAGCTTCCTATTCACTGATTAAATTAGATAGCATTCATAAATTAAGTATCCTTTTTTGTACCAAAATATCTATCCATTTTATTGCTGCCAATGTTTATAATCCTAGGACATCCTTTTCGGTTCTTTCCTAGTTTACAACACTCCCAGCAGTAATACGCGGGTACTTTTCCGTTTGTGGATCCACACAATATACATTGAGTGGCTTGTTTACCAAAGGAGCATTGGTCGCACACAGTAACCCTGCTTCTAGGCCTAACGTAACTATCGCAGCTGGGGCACCTCCCATCACATTTTTCGCAGAGTATGCCAGTGTTGATGCCAGCTGGGTTCATACACATCATTAAATCTGATTGGTGTCTAGACATTGTTGATATGCTCTTATCTAAAAAATATGGTGTTGTTGCACTAGATATCCTATTAGAAAGTGTAGTCTATTGATGGTTTTGCTTGGCATGCTAAATAAGCTCATCGCAGTTCAACTTTTTGTCTTTTGCAGTCTTCCGGTGATAAAAGAAATGGTAATGATGGTCAGCTAAAGGTTAAGACAAGGCCCAAAATTAAATAGTTTATGCCACTACATATTTTTAAGACTTAGCGATATAGTAGGGTGTATTGATGCAAGTATGGTTTCAAAAGTATGCGCTATATGTCTAGAGGACATCTGTGGCAAGAGCTCTACGTCTTACTTGAAACCATGCGGGCATGAATACCACAGTGATTGCATAAGGAAGTGGCATGGGCATGCAGAAGATCTAAAATGTCCCATGTGCAGGATTGATGCTGAAGAGTTGGTTGTTAAGTTATATGGGTGTGCTGAGAAGATCATTGACTTACAAAAAGGGTTTGCGGTAAATCAAGTAGTGAATCATGTTATCAATACAGAGCCAGATTTAATAGATGAGCTAGCTGAAGCTCTGGACAATAATTTGCATATATCAGAACTAAGGACGGATACTCAGGTTGAGCCTGAAGCACCACCGAGCAGGCCTCGGTTGCTACAATGTGGTATATGTGGGGATCAAGATGATTTAGTACTGGAACACTATTGCGAGGAATGTCAAACGCTATATCATGGTTCATGTTTGAGGGTTTTGGCTATCGAGACTGGTGAGCGAACTGACTGGTGTGTTTGTGTGGATTGCCGCAAAGAATTGATATCTCGGAATGATAGACTCGTCATTCAGAATAGCCAGTTGGCCTCCAGAGACGATGGTAGTCTCATGTATGACACAAACAACACTATGGTATTTGAAGGACAACTTCGGGAAAAAAACAGTGTGAGAGCGGAACAGATATATCGTGATTGTTACTTAGAATCCTTGAAGAAAACCAAAACGAACATACAGAAACATGTAAGGAAATGCCTCGACACTTACTACCATAGTGGCAAGATTGATCACATGGAGTATACTCGCATAAACAAGACAGTTTCCAGAAAACTCTACACTCTTTCCAACTATACGTACTCTCAGGAGCTCAACTACGATCACTTGGCAAAACAGCATATAGAAACAGAACTTGGAACACCTTTGTCCATATAACTAAAGGAGTGGTTATTGAATTTATAAGATATATATATAACTCAGAACTATCTGATGTAGGTTGCTATCTTTACTAGTTTAAGCATTCAATAAACACACAGCCCTAAGACCACCGAGAGAGCTATTATCATCATGCACCACGAGCTCATCGCAAGCAGGAACTTCGACAATCACGGAATTTCAAAAAGTATAAAAGGCGAGCAGGAAAAAGTATCTTGGCTGAAAAAAATTTTTCTCTTCTGTGGTCATCGCTAGACATATACAGCGCTAAAAGAAAAGGCCAGTCGCATTAGCGGCATGGGCTTTGTTACTAATATTAATAGGACTACCAGGTGGTGGTGCTAAGGAAATGATTACGTTGTTTTCTTTGGTTTTTTTCGTCTTTTTTTCTATTGTCAGTGATTATTGATTTTTTAAACCATTACCAATTGTTCCGACTGAATGGTGTATTCTATATGTCGACAACTATATCTCTATCGTTAAGTTTCAGCCTTGTATGAGACAATCAATTAAAGAATAAAAAAACTTGAAATTGAAGATTACAACTTATCATTTCTTTGGTAATTAACACAACAAATAAAAAAAATATGATGATTATTTTTGTCGACCGGGCGGACATAGTTTAGTATCTGTTGGGTGGTAGCTGTTGCAATTTAAGTTCTCTTCTTGTGTACAAATTTTTAAAGAGGAGGATGGCAGTGGCATTATTATCACCTGGCAGAGAATGGATGATTGGTCACAAGATAGCTGATTTTTTTAACTTCCTTTACTATTCACTTCCAATCTGTTCTGTTTTGAATCAGTTGATTGCAGTCTAGATGGTTGTTTAAAGCGAAGTTATATATATAATGTTTCTCTTTTTCAGTGATGATTCTATTCTATATTCACACTGTGTGAGGCCTAGTTTAATTACTATGGTCAATGGTCACAAACAAGAAAAAACTGATTTAATGACTCTGAGTAAATTGAGAAACAATAGTAATATTCTTGTTTATATATTGTAATATCTAGTGTATGTTGGCCCTCTACCATCTACGCTCGACCTCATCTCTAATTTTTCTGCACTTGTTGTAAGATGTGCCAGTTTTCTTGATTGTTGTACTAATTAACGTGGCGATGCCCTGCTCCCCTACTAATTTAAATTTGGAATTAAAGTAATATTTATTAACTGTTATAGTTTGGTCCCAACGTAGAAATTACCTAGCTTCAAGATAACTAATATACCAAGATGTCCTGGAAGTTGTTCTTCATTGTATACTTGCTTGGAGGTTTGACTTTCCTTCCTGGTCTATGTGCGTTACTGGTATACATTCATTTACAATTGGAGAAACTGAAAGAGTTAGCTGAAAAGAATGCTAGGAATGAACTCCTCTGTAAAGATGTCGATCCTAATTTGAAAGCTGGCGAAGTATTGGATCCCATTGGTGTGAACGTATCCAAGAGGGGATGGATTACTGTTACTAAGGAGTACTACTACCATCACACCGAGTTGCAGACTCCACCAATTGCCTCGGAGACTGCAAAACAGGATAGTAATAATACACCTCCTAAGGATTTGAATGAAAGTCAAATTCCTCAGAGATCTCAATTGCGTAAAAGGCATAAATTTTATGGTGTTTTGAAGCATGGAAATTTGTTTCTTTACAAGGATGATTCTCCACACAGTGATTTGGTTCATGCCATCTCTCTACAAAAGAGTTTCGTAACTATGTGGCCTAGGGATCCTAAAAAGGAAATGTCAGATTCATCTCTATTCACCAAGAGAACTTGCATCTCTATTTTGAAAACAGGTTTAGTTTCTATTGATGAAGAAGGTAAACTTGTGTTTAATCCCTCCATCAACGCTATACAATCGGGAGAAGAAGATGGTAAGCAATCTAGCCAGCAAAGTTCTTCAAATTTGAGTTCAAATACGTATTTCTTGTACTTCGATAATAACTCTGAAAAGGAAGACTGGTATTTCAAACTGATTGATTCTTCTAAATCAAATGATGAAAAGAACAACAATGAGGATCCTCTTTCTCCAAATACATCGGCTAAAACTGCTCATTTAAACACAAGAGATATGCTGTATCTGATTCAATCCTTGAATTCAACAGAGGGACAGTTGACAACCAAATGGTTCAACGCCCTGATTGGGAGACTTTTCTTAGCTCTACAACAGACAAATAAATTGAATGAGGTTCTATATGCTAAAATCTACAAGAAATTGACAAATATAAATAAGCCAGGGTTTCTAGATGACTTGGTTGTAAAAAAAGTCGACGTTGGTACTAGTGCTCCAATGATAACACATCCTGAATTGCGTGAACTGACTCCAGAGGGCGAAATGAAGATTGCAATGAATCTACGGTATACAGGAAATATCTCTGTAATCATTACAACGAATATTGGAATTAACCTCGGTTCTCATTTCAAGCAGAGAGAAGTATCTGTTCAGTTATCCATTACCTTGAAAGAATTGTCAGGGCCGCTTCTAATTATTATGAAGCCTCCTCCTTCTAATAGAATCTGGTACGGTTTCGAAACCGATCCTTACATGAATTTGGATATCGAGCCAATGGTTAGTTCCAGTAAAATTTCTTATAATATGGTTACTAATATGATTAAGGGTAAATTTGCTGAAGCTATCAAAGAGTCTCTAGTCATGCCTTTCATGGATGATATAGTTTTCTATGATACAGATCATGATGTGTTTAGAGGTGGTGTTTGGGATAGGTCTGAATTTAGTAAACCATTGTTGGATATGTTACGTAAACAAAGTTCAGCTGAAGAGAAATCCATTCATAGTAACGATGATATTAAGGAGCATGAAACTGAAAATAATAATAAAGATGATGAAAGAGAATATGAAATTACCAAAACTTCCGATACCGGAATTCTAAATAAGATGGGTAATGTAAAAAATACGTTGCTGAACAAAGCAAATAAACAAGGGAGTGAAGAAAGCTTGGAAAAAGGTGATGATTTCAATGATACTGACAGTTTGACAGATTCTTCTATCAAACCTAAAAAGTATATAAAAAATTCAATCAAAAAGATTGGAAAATGGTACAAAGACAATATCAACTCTAATGACGAGGAATTTGATGGTAATATTAATGAAACTGAACCGGAGCAGAGAAGAGTTTCTCTGGATAGCGGCAAGTCAGTACAATCTCCAACAATGATATCTAATCGTAGAATGCGTGGTAAGAGACCTGAGCCACCTTTCATTGGTGCAGAACCCGGGTCACCTACAACAGTAACAACAGAAAAGCAGACTTCACAAAAATCTCCTATCATTAATGCAACGGCAATGTTTGCAAATAGGAATACAGAGTTATCAGTGCGTGGACGGTCTTCTATTTCAGAAGGTGTAAATGATGAACAAGGCCAGCCTCATGGTTTTATAAAGATGCCAACGACTAATGAGTTTGGCGGTCAGTTATTTGAAGAGAATATAAGAACTTTTAATGGTAGCCAGGTCACATCCCCTCAAAGCACACAGGGAGAATTTTCTTAATTATTCAAGGGTTAGTGCCAGAGAAGGGGTCACAAATTATAATCGGAATTATATATTACTATGGCTTGGCTGCTAAAAATTAACCTTATTTTCAGTTATATTCTATCTAACTAATAATGCTGATATAAATTTACTTATATGATACGTAGTTCTTGTTCGTACACTATAGAACTGAAATGGATCTTTAGAGCTCAATACATTTTAAATAATTAGAGATATTTACCATGGATTTTCCTCGAAATCTTCCTTTGGAGCCCAATGTGATGCGACGGCAGGAGTATCAACTGTCTGATATTCAAATCTGTCATTATTGTTATCTAAGTCATTATCTTCATTTGCAGAGGAATTTTCTTTATATGAATCTTCATGTGCTTCTTCATTATCAACCTCTTGCTCATGCTGTTCTTCATTTTGGTAATCATAAAACTCGGAGGCATTCATACGTAGTTTGGCATTTTCACTATGGATTTCATAGATCATGTCCTGAATAGATACTGGGAGCAACGGCTGATATGATTCATGGTCTACACCTCTTGCATATATATCTGTCATTTCGGGAATCGTAGGTAGAACTAAAAGCGAAACAGTGCGTTCAGGCAAATAAGGTGATTCCTTATTATTCGACGCTTTTGCCATTGCCGAGAGTTTCTTCTTCAGTTTAGAATTAAATTTGGATTCATCAATTTCATAACTATATTTATCAGCAGCTTTTAGAAGTTGAGTCGGTGTCAAGCGAGAAAGCAAGTCTAACGTTGAGTCAAGGGCATCTTCTGAGTCAATAGTAGTAGCAACCTGTAACCATTGTAACAACTGAAATACAGGCTCCATGTGAATCTGTAAGATCCTGTGTAGAGATTGATAATAAAACAAGGAGTTATCTGTATCTCTTATTAGAGGTAAATCATCATTCAAACCTGAACTGTTATCGACCTTGTTGACAGTTGCCACGTTATTTAAAATAGGATTACTCAAGTCAATATTGGCAACATCTTCTACAAGAGTGTACGGAAACCTTTCCCACATAAAGTCATCGATCATTTTAGGTTTTGGAACTTTTGAATCGTTATTCTTAGCCCATGCCTCAAATGTCGATAGGTTTAATCTTATTTGAATTGCATGTGCACGAGAAAGGGATTTCTTTTTCTTGTCTTTTAAGATTTGATTGAAAAGGTTATTAGAGAACCATTGAATGGCTAGCGATAAGCACTGTTGTTGAAAGAGAGGATGGATTTGGTGTAAGTTAAGTACATACATTAATGCACCAAATATTTGTACCACTTTCATGGGAGAGGGCTTCATCTGCTCTTCCATTGAAGGTGGGTATAAATGTTTTATAACTTCTGTATCATAATATAGGTCTGTATTTTCATTAATAGAGGAATTTTCTAGTTTTGAGTCGTTACTCATTGAGGTAGATAGTTGTCCAGAATGTCTTTTCTTCTTGAATAGTTTTAATTTCGAATGTTTTTTTTTGTCTTCCGCTTCATCATCAATATCATTGCTCTCATCAAGTGCTTCAGATATCTGCAACTTGTCTTCATTATTTTGAAGAGTTTCTTCTTCTTGTTTTCTCAACTCCTCTTCTTGCTTTTTTTGTTTTTGCATCATTTTGTGATGTTTTCTCTTCTTAAAAAAGTTCCAGTCTCTCTTGTATAAAGTTTCTTTAACATCTGAGATAGTTGTGTAAGAAAGAATAGTTGGCTGAATAATTGAGGTCAATCTAGAATATATTGACAAAGTCAGTTCGATGATCACACTATGAATTGTGTTAATTAACTCTTGAAGAATTTCTGGATATTTTTTGAAGAAACCTTCTTCTCTAGTAAGATAATAGTACAAGAATGTTAGCACACCGAGCCAGTATGATTGAGACACAATATCACCTGAACTAAATGCTGTATCTGCGGATTCTTGTGTCATATCGGTTTCTGTTGTAATTGCTGCCAAAATTCTAGCAAGCGAAAGACTCATTATCGTGTGAACAAGTTGAGGTTGTTTTTTTTTATGCTCTGCAAATCTTACCATCTGGAATATTAATGCAGCCGCATAAGTTGTCATATGGGGTTCCTTTTTTGGCAAAGACTCTAACAAATCCAGCAACTGTTTTATGTCATAATCTTCGAACTCTACATACTGATTCGGTAGTAATTTCGTAAAGTCAAACTGTTCATTTATGCCTGAATCGATTTGTTCAGTACCAAATAAGTAATCATTTCTTGACTCGGTTGCATTGGAAGCAAAAATGTCTTCATTATTTTGGGTACTGGCAAGCGATAACCCAGCGACATGTAAGTCAATGTTTCTTAGGGCATTCTGGTCAAGTGCAGATGATGAATTATCATTCTCAGTTGTAAGTTTTTCTTGGAAGGTCGGTATGTCTTGGTATTGAAGCATATTGTTTTGTTCTAGGAACATGTAGAAGTCAGAGTATTTAGCCACCATATCCCAAGCGGACAATTTTTCCTCCTTAGACACCTTGTGGAAATCGATTTCAGTTGACCAAGTAAGCAGTTCTGTGCAACAATCAGTTCTTTCTAACAGAAAACACCACATTAACGGGGTATACCCTGCAACATCGTCGCATAGATTAAAATCAAGTTTTGACCTTGCTCCTTGATACAAAAACTCGATATATGACGCTCTATCATAAATAATAGTTAAATGGAGCAATGGTATCCCCAGCTTCTTTTTATCATTGACATCTCGCACACTGTCCAGAAGAGATTTGAACTCCGTAAACACCTCACCTTGACTCGAATCGCTGATCAACCGCACAAGCTCAGTCCAGGGGTCTTCGTCATTATCCTTGGTACCCGCTAGGTAACTAATAACCGCATTACGGGCAGCATTGAGCTTCTCCTCCTTCGAGACCCGCCCTGATCCCCACTCCATAATCTCTCAGTATTATCCTTCTATAGAAGCCTCGCTTAGGAAAAATGGCCTATATGACAAGTTTTCGATTCGATTGCTCTGCTAAAGGTACCCACTGGATTACAATATAGACTGCTATACCCTGGGGAATCGACGCAAAGCTCAGTGACTATGAATTGTCCTTTTATTGCTCAGGATTCCTGTTTTATCAGGGAAACTCTTCACTGACGATTGTCCGTCTTCTGAAAAGTTTTTCTCTTTTCCAACAGAAAATGTCAAGAGGTTATAAAATATTAAAGGATAAGATAGTCTATAAAGAGCTTCTAGTTGCTACAATTGCCATTCAGAGGAACAGCTGTATATCTAGGAGTAAATATGGTGTTAGCTGACCTGGGTAAGCGTATTAACAACGCTGTGAACAGTGCGTTGTCTAACACGGAGGATGACTATGTGAACAGCATTGACGGAATGCTTAAGGGCATTTCGACTGCTTTATTAGAAGCGGATGTGAACATTATGCTGGTGTCAAAGGTGAGGAATAATATTAGGTCGGTTTTGCTTGACAATAAGACCACTAACAGGTCGATGAACAATGTGCAGACGAAGAAGCTGGTGCAGAAGACGGTGTTTGATGAGTTGTGTGGACTTGTTGATTGTACTGATCATAAGGTTTTCCAGCCCAAGAAGAAAGCAACGAATATTATCATGTTTGTGGGTTTGCAAGGTTCGGGTAAGACTACTTCGTGTACTAAGTTGGCGGTATATTACTCTAAGCGTGGATTCAAAGTGGGTCTAGTGTGTGCGGACACGTTTCGTGCGGGTGCTTTCGACCAATTGAAGCAGAACGCAGTCAAGGCTCGTATACCTTTCTATGGTTCATACACTGAGACAGATCCTGTTAAAGTTGCTGGTGATGGTATTGCCAAGTTTAAGAAGGAAAAGTTCGATGTCATTATCGTTGATACATCTGGTAGACATCATCAAGAAGAAGAGCTGTTCCACGAAATGGTGCAAATATCCAATGTTATTAAACCAAACCAAACAATCATGGTGCTAGATGCATCCATCGGTCAAGCTGCAGAACAGCAGTCCAAGGCTTTCAAGGAGTCTTCCGACTTTGGTGCAATCATCTTAACAAAAATGGATGGTCACGCAAAGGGTGGTGGTGCTATCTCAGCTGTCGCAGCCACAAATACACCAATTGCATTTATAGGTACTGGTGAACATATTCATGATTTAGAAAAATTCTCTCCAAAGTCGTTTATATCCAAGCTACTAGGTATTGGTGATATTGAAGGTTTATTCGAACAATTAAAGACTGTTTCTAATAAGGAAGATACAAAAGCTACAATGGAAAATATACAACAGGGTAAGTTTACATTACTGGATTTCAAGAAGCAAATGCAAACTATTATGAAGATGGGTCCACTTTCTAATATAGCACAAATGATCCCAGGTATGGGTAATATGATGAGTCAGGTTGGTGAAGAGGAAACATCGCAGAAGATGAAGAAAATGGTTTACGTTTTAGACTCAATGACAAAAGAGGAACTGGAGTCTGACGGTAGAATATTTATCGATCAACCAAGTAGGTTAGTACGAGTAGCAAGAGGTTCAGGTACATCGGTCTTTGATGTTGAAATGATATTGATGCAACAACAAATGATGGCTAGGATGGCTCAGAATGCGAAGATGGGTAAGCAAGGTGGAGGTATGCCGGGTATGCCTAATATGACGGGTATGCCAAACATGCCTGGTATGCCAAAAATGACGCCTCAACTAATGCAGCAAGCACAACAAAAGTTAAGACAAAATCCAGGCTTAATGAAAAATATGATGAATATGTTTGGCGGTGCTGGTGGTATGGGCGGTATGGGTGGCCCAGGTGGTATGCCAGATATGAATGAGATGATGAAAATGATGCAAGATCCCCAAATGCAAGACATGGCAAGACAGTTTGGTATGGGAATGTAGTTATGAACTATGTGCTATATATCCTAATTCACAATAATTTAATTCAGCATTCGAATACTTACTCTTGTCTGAAAACCACTTTTTACAAGTTACATTATTTTTTAAATAACTTTGTTGATACAGTTAATAATCATGTGCATTTAATAAATAACAAGCTTGAAATCTTACTAGAAAACATATAAACGTCTCTTCATCACATATCATTCGATAGCTTTTATGAGTGTATAATGCATACAATTTGTATTATATCACTTGTGTTGCTAGAAATAGCATGTAACCATATTCTTTGTGATAGGCTGTTAGCATGTCCTCATGCAGATGAGGATGTCAAAAAATGAAATAATATTAAGTGTCATTAGTTTAAGTATATACTATTTGAGGTTGAAGATCATATTAAGAATTAAATAAGTGATAAGCATCCATTGCTGGGGATTAAATAATGCAACGTCCAAGTTCCTCTGGATCATTCTATAATAGTTAATGTTTGAGTGAGTAATCATGGAATCCTTCCCGTTATAGCAATATAGGATGTTTTCATTGTAATCTTTTAACCGTTTGTGGGGTATCACAGTCTCACTAATATGAAACTGGTAGCTGAGTCTTGGGTTAAGTCAGTGCAATGGTCTTGACTGCAATAGGCAATCTCAGGCAGGTCCTGGAGTAGGAGTGTCTCTCTTTTTATCGCTTTTTGCAATTCTGTCCTTCTCTACCCTAGGTAAATCCGATAAAGAAACTACTCCGCTAGCGATTAGCTGAGGATCAACCACTTTCTCCTTATGATCAAATAGAATTTTGTAACCTGATTTGATGGTACCTTCAGTAACTTGCAATATTTGGCCCACTCTAGCAGCTGAGACGGGTATTTTGAATAGCAAGATATTCAAATAGATGGAAACAACAGCAATAGTGATAGGCGATTTACCAGCAATTTCCTCAATTTCCTTACACTTCTTAGCAGTGTACTCTGCGGATGTAGTAACTTGCATTGGAAGGCCCAAATGCGAACAGAATCTGGGGATATATGTAAGGTTTTGAGCACCACTCATATTGTCAGTGTCAATCTTAATGAAACCATCGGCACTCTTTTCTCTCAGGATATTTTTCATAATACCCAAAGTTTTACCGAATTCCTTAGTCTTGACATGAATGATGGATTGAATTTCCTTGAAGGTTCTTGCAACTTCGGCACGCCTACAACCAAGTAGAATAGAAGCTGCCATTATACTTTCCGAGGATTTACCCTTTAGTGCTTTCTCATCGTGGCAGAGTTTGTAGGCTTCTTTAGCGCAATCCTTCACGATCTTGGGCAATTCCGAAGCATCGCAAAGCATAGTGATCTTAGCAAATGCGGCCTGGATTTCGTTGTCCTTCTTGTCCAGAACATTTTTACCCTGTGCACGGTTAAGCTCTTTAGTGAATCTCATGTCAGTGGTTTCACCTTGACCAATTTTAGTCGACAGGTTATTACCGTCCAATAGCGGGTTAGAAGCTTCACCAACACGACTTGGATCATCACCGTTTTGATCATCGTTAGAGAAAGTACGCCACTCCGATCTGGTATCCACAAGCTTGTCAGATAGCACCAGCCCACATAAAGCACAGACGACATCACCTTCACTAAATCTTTCCACAATCTTGGGTGGATACACTTTGCACTCGGGGCAAGTCAGGACTATATTCAGATTAGGACCTTTCCTACCAACACTTCTACGCAAAGACGTTACAGGGGCAGACATCGTTATTCTATTGTAAGCGAGTTCAAATATACCTCTCAAATAAAGCGTATCTATCTTCTTTTATTTCCAAAACAACCTTGTTTCCTTACAAGTTTGTATTTTTATTTCAGAGAAAGAAATACCAGAAACAAAAGTGTCTTGCTTATTTATAGAAAAAAAAATTTATGGCTAAGATCAAAATTAAAACCTTTCTCTTGCTTATTTTATAAGTTTTTCTTGAAGAGTTTCTAATTTTTCAGTTTTCCCCCCAGATAAGAACACTTTTCTACAACAAAAATACTCCTCTTTTTATTCTTATGTAACCTCGAATGATCTAGTTCAATTTTTTTTTACTTTTTAACTCCAGTTTCAAAAGTTAAAAGTAACCTTTTTGTACTATTACTTCCTTTTTACACAGTCAAAACGTCTAGTATCCTACCAGAAGAAATGAAAAACTAGCTCTGCACGCTTAAAAGAAATAAAGGATGCCTCCTATCACCCAACACCAGTTTTGCCACCAAGAGTCCTCAGCACACAAGACTGGAGAAATGTCCAAGCCTGATGGAAAAAATCAGGACGACAGAAAGACCTAGGAAAACCCTCGGCCTTTATATACTTTTTTTTCGCCTGTAGCAGTTTTACAGGAAGGGAAACCGGGAATAGAACTCAAAGAAAAAGAGATGTTACCCGGTTTTTCTAGAAAGCCATCACATATCACGTATTCTATGATCACATGTTTTTTCACTCTCTCGAGACAAGACAGTTGGCCATCGAAACTGTTGCAACTTCAGTGCAATGAGAAGAGAAGCCTGGGCTGCCTGAGGTCATCGGCATATGGCATGTACCTAATAACATTGTACAGGTTGATGGGAGGTATTTAGATAGTGTCTGGTACTAGTCCTACGGAGCATTACAGGAGGGCCGATCCATTTAATGTTGAAGCTTATCTCGAGAGGGGAATAGCAAAAATAAGAGAACATTATTTAGCAGAGAGCATATTGGGGCTAGGGCATTTGAATATACCAGTGTGACAATCTTCATATTTGCAAGAGTTTATAAAAGGTAGTTGTTTTTTTTGAAGGATGTCTCTTGAGAACGCTGTGCGGGTTGTTTCTACTGATGAAAAGGGCAATCAGGCGTCATCAACAAAATTGATTGAGCTGCTGCATAGCCGTGTCGATGCGCTGACGACAACTAACATTGAGCTGACTACTAAGTTGCAGGAACTACTTGGTAATCTAGACACTGTACAACAGCGGGAGAGGAAATTGAAGGAGAGTGCTGCGTCTTTGCGGCATGAAGGAGATAATGTAACGCTAATGCTCAATAGAAAGGAGAGGAAACTGACAGAAGTGAAGGAGGCTATTGTGGAATTAACCACTAAATTGGGTGAAGCAAAAGAAGTTAACCACTCTTTGAAACAGAAATTTGAAGATGAGGGTTTAACTAGTGAGGAATCGTTGCGTGAAAGTATCTCCGAAGTAAAAACAGAGTATGACACTTTAGTGAAATCTCATGAGATATATGAATCCAGTAATGACATTCAATGCAAGTCCTTAGAAGACCGTTTTTCACAGGCCTTGCTGATACATGGTGAAAATATGAAAGCGCTAGATGGTACAGCGGAACAAATTTTGGCTAATAATAGTGAGCTGGTATCGCAGTTAAGGGCAACTGAAAATAAAGCAGAATCAGCCAGGACTTCTATTCGTAATGCATCGATTGATACAGCAGCAAAAGTTGATTTGGAAAAATGGCTATTCTTATACAAAGAGGCGCAAAGAATATGTGAAGAATTTGCTTCAAAAACAGATACGAAACTACCAGATGAACTGCAAGCCATCATTGATGATCCGGTATTAAAGGAGTTGGATGCACGTTTTGCATTGGATGAAATACAATACGGAAAGACAAGGAATAAGAGGATACCAAGTAACCCATTGTTAAGCAACTCTCAAGCTGCAGCGAGAAGGGTTGCCTCACCCTCGGCAAATTACTCACCAAGAGTTTCTTCTGCACAAGGTAGTTTGCCTGGTATAACAAGAACGCCTTCAATGAAGGTTAATAACAAATTTAGTGATTCAAATGCCCAAGAAGTCCCAACAAGACTACATTCGCATGGCTCAAGAAGCAAGCGTAGCAGTATGGTTTTCAAGTGAACTACACACATCATACTGTGAATTTAGCTGTTGCACTTAATTTCCTGTATTTGCATTTTGAATACTGTTGCATGAATTTCGCCTGGAGCAGGTGGTCACTACTGATCCAAGAAGTTATATCATAATTTTCAAACATACCCATTTTATTTATAAATCTTAGCATAGCTAGATAGTTTGTTGTATTACTACTATGTAGCAGATAATCTTTTCATTAAGCTCGGTGAGCTAGCCTTCAATATATTTTTATTAGTATTGTCATTCTGAATTTGCCGTGAGCATCGTATCTAACGTGTGATGACAAAATACAAGTAGCATGGCATCGCAAATAATAAAGATTACATAGTTTACATCAAAGGAGGGATTCCTAGAATGGTACCTAGTATATAAGAGTAATTAACTTTTGTCTGAAAATTTGAACTGGTAAATGGAGCGGGCTGCTACTCATTTTCTTCGTTTGCATAAGTCTGGCATATCAGCGCTTTGTTCAGGTGTTATTGATCCAGATTATGGCATAACGTCACCAGTCCTGTTTTCGGGAGATATTGATGGTGAAGTTACCATTTGGAATCTGATTACGAGACGGCCAATTTTTACGAGTAAGATTTGCAATGAGCAGGTAGTTGACATACAATTCCTGGAAGGCAAATACTTGAGTTTATTATGTAAAGACCATAAATTGCGCCTCTATGAGCTGTTAAAACTAGGTGCTATTGTCAAACAGTCCGATTTTGGTGGTGGAGATAAGGTAGATCTAAAACAGATTTTTGAGGTACCTGTGAATACATTGAACTTTGCAAATTATGTCTTGACATATTTGGGCAATAATAAGTTTGAATTGGTAACTTGTCATACTCAGGATGCGCATTTCATTGATATATATGAATTTGAAACACCAGAATTGAATTCTTTGAAAAGGTTTTCAAAGGCTATTGACTTTTTACCTATGCTGAGGGACAGGTTTGGTGATAATTTACTCCCAAAAATGGATGGTTTAGGCATAATAATGAAGTTTTACAAAGTTAATGAAGTGGTTTACTGTGGATTCGAAAGTGGGTATGTGATTGCATTTAGGAGATATAGAAATAAACCATTGTACCGAAAAAGAGTGAGCGGGTTCATTGGTAAACCAATCAATGAATGTGCTTCAGGAATTTCTAAGTTGTTACAACATGAGAATGTAGAAACCTCATCGAGTGTAAATGACCTCGAGTTAGATAATGTCATTGAAATTGTATTGGTAGATAGGGCACATTATCCTGACCCCGTACTAGATATGGCACCTAATCCAAAAAAGAATGGTATTATTTGCTCTTCGACAACCAATAAACTGGTACTAACTAGCGTTGATGAACAGTATTTGGCGGGACCAAATTCTGCATACATATTTAAAAGCGATGAGTACTTACTTGATAAAAAGAATTGCCTATTGATGAGCACCAATTTGAAAATTGATGGATCGGCAGTTAAAGATATGATGTGTAAAAATATCGGTTTCGTATTGTCACTTGGTGATTATATCATAACGGGCAATTGGTCTGGGAAAACGTATATAGGCAGGATCGAGAGCGACAAAGCGGTTCTTGCAGCTGCTAAAAGCAGGAGTCTGATCGAAGTTAATGAGTCGCCCGTGGGAAATATACAGCAAGATAAGAGCATCCAAAAATCGAGTAAGCATACAAAAATAGGTGCAATGACTGGATTTGAAGTTAAAGATAAAGAACCTGATAAACTTATGTGTAAAAATAAGGAACTTACTCCCGGTAAGCTGCGAAGACTGAACGCATTTGTACAATCCAAATGGTACTTTATTGGCTACACTGATGGAACAATTGGTCTTTATAGAGCAGAATAATGTATGCATTATAATATTATTATGATTAATTATGTCGCTAATTCAATAATATGTTTCTATAAAAAATGCTATAGCACTCAATTTCGCAAAAACTTCTTGAACATGCTTACAGCTCCTGATGAAGATGACTCAGTATTGTTAGGGTTACTTTTGGAGGGGTGAAGTGAATGGTCCTTCCCAATACTTTGATGCATTTTGTTCCCTCTCCCTATCTGAAGTTTTTCTTTCTCAGCAATTTCTCTAATTAGTAAACTTAATGCAACGTCGACATTATAGTCTTCCAGGTTATCCAAGGCAACAAAGCCACATTTCCATTGAGTAGCAAGTTGTCTCCCTTTTTCTATTAGTAATGGGCTCGCCATATTATCTTTAGTATGTGTGCATACTATTAGGCACGGTGGGGGAGAGTCTGGTGATGAAGGATCAGTTTCTATGCTATTTAAGGTGGTTTTGTAACTTCTCAGTTCCTGTATTTTCGTAGATCTATCTTTTTCTGCCTTCCACATATGTTTAAGAGTGTAGAACAATGAATAAACATCGTCTTCTTGGCCCATTTCCCATCTTCTTTGATAATCTCTAAACTCAGCCCAAGCATCCAATATGCAGTCTCTTATAACATCAAGTAAACTAAACCCACCATCCTTCTTTTTGGTGTAACTCGACCATGGTATACTTTCGTTTGTTTTAGTTTTATCGATAGACAAATTGGCAACATCTTTATTTGTGTTTGAAAAATCATATGATGGCGGACTTATTAAATGACTCAACTCGGGTATCGCACTATACACAAACACATAACCGTCTATCTTACCATTCAGTTCAGAAGCACCAGATGCTACTAGCAGTGAAGTTGTAGATACGGGCTGTCTTGGTTCATCAGCTAACCCTCTTAATATATTCTTGTCTAAATTTGCAAATAATGATACTTCCAGAAATGGTACAACCATATCTGGTTTAAATCCCGGTGTGTCTATTATATCAATCAATATAGGACTGTAGACTGGAGGAACATAATTTACTGGTAATTCGTTGTTGGGACTCTTTTCCATAAATGTTGGGCCTCGAAGATAAATACCTTTATCATTTGCTTCTGCTGCTTTACCATTGTTATATGAATATTTATAGAGATGTGGTTTCTTTTTTTTTGATGATTCCATAGGTCTTATGTAAGAAAGTGTCCGTCCTTTATTCTGATTCCTTACCTGGGTAAATTCATCTGTGAACGCTTGGAAGACGAGCGGTGATAAAAGTACATGGTCGGTCACTGAAGGAGATGAGAATATAGGTTCCAAAACTTGACTACCTGGTGTTCTAAATGCCAATCTTTCGTGCGCTTCTGCATCTAATATAGCTCTAGAAACTGGTGAATGGGGTATAAAGTCGAAAAGCCAATTAGTTTGATCTCTGGTAGGATAATGTACCTCATGTACTATATTTAGCGTCAATCGAGAGACAAAGGAGGTCTTACCCGTTGAATCCCCACCAAGAACAGCAACTCTTATTGGTCTTTGTTCACTCATTTTAAATTTTGATAAAGTTTATCCTAGGAATTAATGTTTGACCACAGTATTAGCGGAATGTATAGTTGCACCTGGATATTCTCCGTGTATAAAATGAAATTTCTATTCAAAAAAATGCTGTCTAAAGTTGAATACTGTTTGTGGAGTAGCTGTTCTGTTTCACTTATGTATAATATTGTTCTCAGGGTGGTAGTTGCTCTGTTTTATTTACTAGTTGAATAAATTAAGAACTAAATTGCAGTTTTTTAAGTCAAATCAAGTTTTTCTTCAAAATGGGAAAGTCATCGCGATGAGTAACAAAATAATGAAGTATTGGTAATGAGTTTGTTGAAAATGGTTCTTGGTCAAAACATGTTATATAAAATCTGTGGATATAATATTTGTATGATGATTTATAGTACTTCTTAAGAATATATATAAAATAAGGTATAATTTGTTACAATTAAAAAAAAGAAAAGAAAAGAAAAGAAACTGTTGTCTTAAATGCAAAATTTGAATGTATTCTTGAACTGTTTAGTGATTATTGTCTAAAAGTTTTATTGTTGTTTCTTCAATTGTGTCCCAGTCCATAAAGGTTGTTTAAGAAGTTGCTCTTAAATCCATGAGGTTTAGTATGTGTGTTATTAAGTTGTGTATAAAGCGGGTTTCCTAATCCAGTAGGTAATGTTGAAAATTTGATATTATTATGATTGACCCAATTATCCATATTGTGCATCAGGTCTTCCTTTTTCTTGTCTAACAAGGTTTTATTAATAATTGAATTTGAAAGGAGCTGTGATCTTGACAGATTATTAGGCGATGGGGAATGTTGCTTTTCAGAGGAATTATCTTGAGACTCCCTTATGCTTTCCTGTGAAGATGATGGTGCCGATGTTGATTTAGCTGTCTTAATCTCTTGTTCTAGTTTTTTAGCATTTGAAAATGCATTTAGTAATTTTGGTAGCTCTTTTGATAAATTAGTTTTCTCCATCATGAGATACATATCCGAATCTGTATCTGTTTCGCTCTCACGATCAGCAACTTTACTCATCGTAGACTCGTGAAGAGTAGATGAGGAATCATTTATGGTATAATTTTTATTCTTCATGGAAAACCTATCACTGCTGTTGCCATCGAAATAAAATGGATAAGGTGATTTTTCATCATCACTTGTTGTGGATAAACTATGGTAGGATTTAGAAGTTGGAGAAAATGGATAAGATGATGTCGAAGAAATTGAAGAGCTTGCTGAGGCCGTCTTAGTATGTTTAGAGTCCATTGGAATTTGAAGCACCGGTGGTTGTTGGAGAAAATCATCAACAAAGGCCGTTATGTTATGAACCTCCTTAGACTCATTAATGGTAGGTAGGCTTCTGGACATTTTATCATCCAGCATCTTGTTTTTATCCTGGAGATGTTTATTCTCCTTTAACAGCCAATTAAAGTTCAATGCTTGGTACATGGATTCTATGTCAAAAAACACTCTCAGACATTCTTCAAAAGCGTCTTGGTTACTATTATCCTGGTTGGAGCACTCAGCATCTTGTAATTGCGCTATAAAGATTTTTAAGAATGCTCTGTATGAGGTAATCGTAGTCTCTAACTTCTTTACATTCTCTTTATCAATGTTTGTACTATCATTTTTATCTTTACTTCTAACAAGATTCCATATTTTTACTAGTTCATAGTCTATAAGGAGTAGTTTCGATCTCATAAATATTCCAGCGATAACTTTTTGGAAATGTCGTATTTCTCTGTTCGTTACAACCCATATTTCGAATAGTAAGGTCATTGAATTGGAGAGTAAAGGTGACATATCTGATAAGCCAGAGGTAGAGCTTGCAATAAAATCCCTAAATGAGGAGATAGAGGTGTATAGAGACTCCAGACCTACGGCGGACTTGTCACATTTTTTAATGCTCTTCAATGCCAAATCCTTGAAAAATTCATCAGTTTGCTCCAAATTATTATTATCTTTCAGATTGAACCGTATCAGCACACTATCGTAAAGAGCACTTATATACCATGATTTTGTGGTTATCATCTCCAGCTTTAACAGGTCTGTGTATGTCTGTAACGCACTTTCGCATTGGTTCAGCACATGGGAATAGACCGACCCATTATTCCTCTCATTTAAAATCATCTCCTCAATCATTGCCACACCGGCACTTGACTCTCGCACGTCGTGCTCTTCATCAGACTCATTATTCGTATCCCCACGATCCAAAAACTTCAACCGTTCAGAAGTGTCAACTGCAAAATCGAGCTCCTTGAACCTCGATATTATGGGATCCATTACTTGGCTTGACTCAATGTGTTATAATATTATGGGTGGTTTCTGTTAATGGTTATGGCAGCTAGTTTATCCTCTTCCATTGTTCTCTTTTCAAGTCAATTTTATAATGTACGTCCTCTTTTTAATTGTGAGCCCTTGTTGACGAATTACCGTGTGAAGTAAAGTCCTTGAAAAAAATTGGGCACAGATCATTGGGCCATTGTTTTCAGATGCTCATCGCAAGAATTTAAAGAAGCAAAGATTCGATGTTTAACCGTATTATTGGGATGTGGGTAACGAATCGTGTTGGTGCCTAAGGCGTAGTATTGTAAGGGTTTGTATCTTATAATTAGTGTGATTAGATGGAGTTTTTATATAATTTGCATAGCGGGTGGCATGTTGACCAAGCCATTGTCACCGAGGAGGAAAGGTTGGTTGTCGTACGGTTTGGCCGTACGGCTGACCGGGAGTGCATGTTAATGGATGAGATGCTGGCGTCTGTCGCAGAGAAAGTGCGGAATTTTGTGGCAATATATCTGTGTGACATAGATGAAGTTCCTGATTTCAATGACATGTATGAGTTAAACGACAATATGTGCCTCATGTTCTTCTACAAAAACAAGCATATGATGTGCGACTTCGGCACAGGTAATAATAACAAGATGAATTTCTTGCCGGATGATAAGCAAGAACTAATAGATATTATGGAGACGATATTCAGGGGTGCCAGGAAGAATAAAGGTATTGTTGTGTCGCCGTATGATTATAACCACAAGAGACCCTCAGATTGAAGTCTATTGCCATACTAACATGGATTATTGTTATTTTCATATGTCCTACCTAACACAAAAAGTTTGTAATACTACTAATCTCTTGCTAATTATTTACATTTAGACAAGAGTTCATTATATAGGCATAGTACCCTTTAAACTTATAACAAAGAATGATTGATTTTAAAAAAATTATTTTTTTTTTTGATAATGATTATATTAAAGAACAGTCTAAAGAGAAATAATTATGTAAATACAAATGACAGGGAGGCAATTAAAAAAAACCTTCCCATGAATTTCCTACTCTAGATCAGACTTATTTCTTGGCAGCCTTTTGAGCAGCCTTGGTAACCTTACCGGCCTTGTCAGTCTTGTCAACGGACTTGATAACACCGACAGCGACAGTTTGTCTCATGTCTCTGACAGCGAATCTACCCAATGGTGGGTAGTCGGAGAAAGCTTCGACACACATTGGCTTGGATGGAACGAACTTAACCAAAGCAGCGTCACCGGACTTCAAGAACTTTGGAGAGTCTTCCAACTTCTTACCGGATCTTCTGTCGTTCTTTTCCAACAATTCTTCGAACTTACAAGCAATGTGGGCGGTGTGACAGTCCAAAACTGGAGAGTAACCAGCAGAGATTTGACCTGGGTGGTTCAAGACAATGACGGTAGCGTTGAAAGAAGCAGCAGCCTTTGGTGGGTCGTTCTTGGAGTCACCACAGACGTTACCTCTTCTGATTTCCTTAACGGAAACGTTCTTAACGTTGAAACCAACGTTGTCACCTGGCAAACCTTCAGTCAATTGTTCGTGGTGCATTTCAACGGACTTGACTTCAGTGGTAACACCAGCTGGGGCGAAGGTAACAACCATACCTGGCTTGATGACACCGGTTTCGACTCTACCGACTGGCACCGTACCGATACCACCGATCTTGTAGACATCTTGCAATGGCAATCTCAATGGCTTGTCAGTTGGTCTGGTTGGTGGTTCGATAGCATCAATGGCTTCCAACAAGGTCTTACCCTTGACGACACCAGCCTTGGTTTCCTTTTCCCAACCCTTGTACCAGGAAGCGTTGGTGGTGGCTTCAATCATGTTGTCACCGTTCCAACCAGAGATTGGGACGAATGGAACAGTCTTTGGGTTGTAACCGACCTTCTTGATGAAGTTGGAGGTTTCCTTGACGATTTCAGCGAATCTGGATTCGTCCCACTTGACGGAGTCCATCTTGTTGACAGCGACAATCAATTGTCTAACACCTAGGGTGAAAGCCAATAGAGCGTGTTCTCTGGTTTGACCGTCCTTGGAGATACCAGCTTCGAATTCACCGACACCACCAGCAATAATCAAGATAGCACAGTCAGCTTGGGAAGTACCAGTAATCATGTTCTTGATGAAATCTCTGTGACCTGGAGCATCGATAACGGTAACGTGGTACTTTGGAGTTTCGAACTTCCACAAAGCGATATCGATAGTGATACCTCTTTCTCTTTCAGCCTTCAACTTGTCCAAAACCCAAGCGTACTTGAAAGAACCCTTACCCAATTCAGCGGCTTCCTTCTCGAACTTTTCGATGGTTCTCTTGTCAATACCACCACACTTGTAGATCAAGTGACCGGTGGTAGTAGACTTACCGGAATCGACGTGACCAATGACGACGACGTTAACGTGTTGCTTGTCCTTACCCATTGTTGATTATTGTATGTGTTTTTCTTGAAGCGGTTATCTAGAAAGAAGAAAATAAGTAATAGTAAGAAGGTTTTTTTTTCAAAAAGGGAAGGAATTGAATTTTAGAACTGAATTGAAAAAAAACCAATGGGCCTTATATAGAGTGGCCAAAGAAAAAAAAATTTTTTTTTTGTGAAATTTTTCTGTTCCAAGTCGACCCAACCCGATTCGCTTCTTCCGTTTCTAACAAGAAGGGTAATGGGTTAGTAAACCCACAAGTTTTCTCTGCGTGTCTCTGCGTGTCTCTGTGGTGTCTCTCTGCGTTTCTCTCTGCGTGTCTCTCTGCGTGTCACTCTGCGTGTCTCGCTGCGTGTCGCAGTCTGTGCTACGTTTTTGTCCCCCCACTATAGAATTTGTCCTAGCTTTTTTGTGTTCCAAGAATTCCAGTTCTTTTTAACTATTCAGTATCTAACAATCCTCCGTAGCAAAGGTGATCTTCCCTTCCAGTTTTTCTCACTTTTTGGGTTGTTCGTTTTTATGCTTGTCACCCATTGATTGCCAATCCTTCCAGTGCACGCCTGCAGCTCAGAAAGAAAAACCAGCTCTTGAGCCCAAAAACAAGATTTATAATTTCAATAATCTCCTGTTTGGGTAATTTGTCCCACTTCCAACTTTGTTGTTCTTGAACTTTGTTGTTCTTGCAACTGTTACTACAATGTTGGACAACCAGCAGGTTGACTTCTTCTGCACCTTCTGTGGTGTACACTTCACGCATCTTATACGGCAGCTCATTTTTTTGTAGTTTTTGTTCATTAATTATAGAAGGGGGGGGGGACCAAGAGAAAAAAAGGTACAAGCAACCCTATGGGAGGGCCAGTTTTAAAGAGGAGTAAGATGTAGGGAATATTCAAGCGCAAGCGGGACACGCACAGAGATCAGCGTACATTGATACCAGGGCATTTAGTATTTTTCTACTAAAAAAAAAGGGCATGAAGCACCGCTCACAATCGCTGGTGGCAGAAAGTAGCAATGTCCCAATATCTCAATTGCTCCAATTGTCCCAATTGTCCCAATTGTCCCTTTTCCCAGATTAAAGCGTGCAGGTACCAGAAGATGTAAGAACGGGGCTGCAGTTAAGTCTGAGAAGACATTGCAGAGGAATTCTAGCTTCCAGCACTTCGGGAAACTGGGACTAGAAACTAGAAACTAGAAACTAGAACCAAATGGAACAAATCAGATTCCTGACAAGATTATTGGATTTCTATACTTCATGCTTAAACATCACACAGGTGGTATGTATGGGTGTATAGTCCTGGTGTATGGGTCTATAGTTATAGCAGTCACATTCTAATGCCCAAGGGGGATAAGTCGCAAGCGCAGACTCCAGTCAAGCCATGAGAAGGTATAAGTGCTACATTTAAAAATGTGGGAACCCAAGTACATGGATGTGGCACATATATATAACGCTACATATTATATCTTTAGTTACAATGTACTACAAATGCTGTGATACATAACATAGCCTCAAAATATATATTTATTTACCTCGTAAAGACTCTAAATAATGTCTCAATACTTATCCAACTTTAGTTAACATTAACTCCAACACAAACCACCTTACTCATACTCCCATAAATAACGAAAAACTCCTAAAATGACACACACACTTTCCATCACCAAAACATTAAATTAAAAAAAAAGAGAGAATCCAATAATATCACTTTTAACGTATATTAACTTCCCTTCATCTCAAGAAACAAATTCCGTCGGAATTCTGTTTCTGTCGTTCACTTGCTTCCCATGAGGAAATTCCGTCTCTATAATTGTTACTGGTTCGCATTGAAATTCCAATGCCATCGCATTAATCGCATTACTTCGATGAGTTTATTACTAACAATGGCCCTTATAGAAGACTATTGACTAGAAAAATGACTACTAGTGGAAAAAAAATTATGGTACCAACGGAATTTTGTTAACTGTGAGAGAGCAACACTGAATGATCACGTTCTGCAAAGGCCCTTTCTTCGAGATGACTCTTAATTGCGAAGACGGTACAGCTTCTATAGCTACAAACCTGTTCTTCCCGAACTATATAAATCGACCAATTGTATAATCTTTAGCATTGATTATCCTTACTTTTTCACTACAACTAGTCCCAAAGACACATAGGTAAATACACTTTCAATTGATTCGTCAAGATCAAGTCAAGAAAACAAACTACAATGTCCTGGAAAGAGAGACTAGATAATCCAACACTTTCAGTGTGGCCACATGATTACTTGAGGCCACACGCCGAGCCATTCGTCGAACAAGGAACGTACTCCATCAGTATTCCACAACTAAGTGGTGACTATGCCACACTTCTGGCTGCCTGGACTGCTCTACTTTATAGAGTCACCGGCGATGACGATATAGTGCTATATGTGCGCGACAACAAAGTTCTGAGATTTACCATTACTCCAGAATTAACTTTCACTCAATTGCAAAACAAAATCAATGAACAGCTTGCTGAGCTTGCTAATGTGGAAGGTACCAACTTCGACGCTTTGAGCGAGTCATTACAGAAAGAATCGGGACTCGAAAGACCACCACAACTATTCAGAATAGCGTGCGTCACAGAGGATTTACAACTTGACCGTTACACTCACAGCCCGCTTGATATCGGCTTGCAATTGCACGAGTCTAGCTCTGATGTATCTATAGTTTTCAACAAACTGCTCTTCTCACAAGACCGTATCACTATCTTAGCTGATCAACTGACTTTGTTCCTGACAAGTGTTCTCCAAAATGCTAAACAAGTATTCACCAAAGTTTCCTTGATCACGGACTCCTCTACAAGCATTCTACCTGACCCTAAAGCTAATTTGGACTGGTGCGGCTTTGTTGGCTGTATCCATGACATATTCCAGGATAATGCTGAAAAGTTCCCAGAGAGGACTTGTGTCGTGGAAACTCCCCCAATCAACAGTACCAAGACTCGTACTTTCACCTACAAAGACATCAACGAGGCCTCCAATATTGTGGCACATTATTTAATTAATACTGGCATCAAGAGAGGTGATGTGGTAATGATTTATTCCTCCCGTGGTGTTGATCTAATGGTATGTGTGATGGGTGTCTTGAAGGCTGGCGCTACGTTTTCCGTTATTGATCCCGCATACCCACCAGCTAGACAAACAATCTACTTGGGTGTAGCCAAACCTAAGGGGCTGATTGTCATCAGAGCCGCCGGTCAACTTGATCAATTGGTCGAAGATTACATAACCAAGGAGCTGGACTTAGTATCCCGTATCCCATCGATTGCTATCCAAGATAATGGAACTGTAGAAGGTGGCTCACTACCATCCGAATCCGGTGATGTATTAGCCTCTTACACTGAATTGAAATCTACTCGTACAGGTGTTGTAGTTGGCCCAGATTCCAACCCAACACTTTCCTTCACTTCTGGTTCAGAAGGTATTCCAAAAGGTGTCCTAGGTAGACATTTCTCTCTGGCATACTACTTTAGCTGGATGGCAAAACAGTTTAACTTGTCAGAAAATGATAAATTTACAATGTTGAGTGGTATTGCACATGATCCTATTCAAAGAGATATGTTCACACCTCTATTCTTGGGCGCCCAACTCTACGTCCCAACTCAAGATGACATTGGTACTCCAGGAAGGCTTGCTGAATGGATGGGCAAATATGGCTGTACTGTTACACATTTAACGCCGGCCATGGGTCAATTATTGACAGCTCAGGCCGTTACTCCATTCCCAAAATTACATCATGCATTCTTTGTCGGTGACATCTTGACTAAGAGAGACTGCTTAAGACTGCAAACTCTAGCTGAAAACTGTTGTATTGTGAATATGTATGGTACCACAGAAACACAGAGGGCTGTTTCTTACTTTGAAGTTACATCAAGATCCCAAGATCCTCATTTCCTGAAGAAACTGAAGGATGTCATGCCTGCCGGAAGAGGTATGAAGAATGTTCAATTGTTAGTTGTAAATAGAAATGACAGAACGCAAGTCTGTGGTGTTGGTGAAATCGGTGAAATCTACGTGCGTGCTGGTGGTTTGGCTGAAGGATATAGAGGTTTACCTGATTTAAATAAGGAAAAGTTCGTTAATAACTGGTTTGTTGAAGAAGGCCATTGGAATTACTTAGATAAAGACTTAGAGGCACCATGGAAAGAATTCTGGCAAGGCCCAAGAGACAGACTTTATAGAACAGGTGACCTTGGCCGTTATTTACCAAATGGTGACTGTGAATGCTGTGGTAGAGCTGATGATCAAGTTAAGATCCGTGGTTTCAGAATCGAACTTGGTGAAATTGACACCAACATATCCCAACATCCACTGGTTAGAGAAAATATCACTTTGGTTAGAAACAATCTAGAAGGTGAAAAATGTCTTGTAACTTACATGGTTCCTAGATTTGATAAACCAGAACTAGAAAACTTCAAAATTGAAGTACCTTCCAATATTTCAGATGATCCTGTTGTTTGTGGTTTAATCGGGTACAGTCCTTTCACCAAGGATTTAAAAGCATTCTTGAAGAAACGTCTGGCTAGTTATGCTATTCCATCATTGATTATAGTACTACCAAAACTACCTTTGAACCCAAACGGTAAAGTGGATAAGCCTAAACTACAATTCCCAACTGTTAAACAACTTGAACTTGTTGCTAAAAATTCCAGTATTGATATCAATGATTCGGAGTTCAACCAACAAGAACGTGAAATCCGTGATCTTTGGTTGGAATGCTTACCAACTAAGCCTACATCAATTAGCCCAGAGGACTCATTCTTTGATTTAGGTGGCCACTCCATTTTGGCCACGAAAATGATCTTCACAGTGAAGAAGCAGCTAAATGTCGAATTACCCCTTGGCACGATCTTTAAATACCCAACAATTAAAGCTTTTGCTGCCGAAGTCTCTAGATTGAAGTCAACAGATAAAATTGAGGAGGAAACTACAGCTTTGACAGCTGACTATGCTAGTGACGCTGCATCTCTTATCGACACACTTCCTAAATCGTATCCAGCAGCAAGAGCGTTAGGATCTCCCTCTGAGATGGCTGGACCAACCACCGTTAACATATTTGTAACTGGTGTAACTGGTTTCCTCGGCTCCTTCATTCTTTCTGATATCCTAAATCGTACAGTTACAGGTGTCAACTTCAAGATATTTGCACATGTCCGGGCAGCGGATGAAACATCTGGGTTGGATAGAATCAGAAAAGCTGGTACTGTATATGGGACTTGGAAAGAAGAGTATGCGAACTCACTACAAGTAGTGATAGGTGATTTATCGAAGAAAAACTTTGGATTGACTGATGACAAGTGGAGCCACTTGTCAGAAACCATTGATATCATCATTCACAATGGTGCATTGGTTCACTGGGTTTACCCCTACTCAAAACTGAGAAACGCCAACGTAGTTTCCACTATCAATATCATGAACTTGGCTAGTGAGGGCAAACCAAAATTGTTTAACTTCGTATCATCAACTTCTGTTCTAGATACTAACCATTACTTCGAATTATCTGATAAGCTACAGCAATCTGGTAAGGAAGGTATTCCTGAAAGTGATGACTTAATGGGTTCCTCATTAGGTCTAACAAGCGGTTATGGACAATCTAAATGGGCTGCTGAGCACATTATTAGAGCTGCAGGTAAAAGAGGTTTAAGAGGTTCCATTATTAGGCCTGGCTATGTTACCGGTGCCTCTTATAATGGTTCTAGTAATACTGATGACTTCTTGCTGAGATTTTTGAAAAGTGCTGTTCAATTGGGAAAAATACCAGATATCAACAACACTGTTAATATGGTTCCTGTCGATCAAGTTGCAAGAGTAGTTGTAGCAGCATCAATAAACCCTCCCTGCGGTGACGATCTCTGTGTAGTACACGTTAATGCTCATCCAAGGATAATATTTAAGGATTATTTGTATGAATTAAAGAACTATGGTTATGACGTTGAGATTGAAAATTACGAGCAATGGAAAAAGACACTTGAGGAAGCTGTCATTGAACGGAGCGAAGATAATGCCCTCTTCCCATTACTACATATGGTCTTGGGTGACTTAGAGGACTCAACAAAGGCTCCAGAGCTTGATGATAAAAATGCTATTACGTCACTTAGAGCTGATATTGAGTGGACCAACGAAGATAGAACGAAAGGAATGGGTGCTACTCCAGAACAAATTGGTATTTATATCTCATTCCTAGAATCTGTCGGCTTTTTGCCACATCCTAAGCATTTCGGTGACAAGGCACTACCAAACATCAAAATATCTGAGCAACAAAAAGAATTAGTTGCTTCAGGTGCTGGCGCTCGTTCAAGTTCCGCTGCTTAGTAAATTTTAATTATAATAAGTTTGTACTTTAATAATATTATCATTAATGTCTATAGATATTAATTAGTCACAAGATGAATATCCTATAAGGAGTTTTAATTATTAAACAAAAACTGAAGATCAGCCGGTGTTAATCTATTAATAGCTGCCTCGTCCTGATTGATAGTCGCATGAATCATATTTGCTTTCTTTTCTTGCAGCTCAATGATTCTAGCTTCAATACTATCTTCTATACAAAATCTAGTTATCTTCACAGGCCTATACTGTCCGATTCTATGCACTCTATCTCCACTTTGCCATTCCACACTAGGATTCCACCATGGATCCAAAATAAAAACCTGAGAAGCTTCACATAAATTCAATGCCACACCACCAGCTTTCAAACTAACCAAGAAAACCTCACATTCAATATTGTCCATAAAGTATTTGATTGTCTGATCTCTTTGCGTTGGGGACATACTACCTTGTAATTTAACAGTTTGAAATCCAGCTCTTTTCAATCTCCATTCAACCAAATCTAACATACTAGTAAATTGCGAAAATACAATAGATTTGACGGTTTTTACGGGACTTCTAAGTTTATAAAGTTCTTCAACAAGTGCCTCAATTTTAGTTGATGACCTCCAGGTACCTTTCATGTTAAGTCTACTGACTATGCTTTGCTTCTTGAAAGATTCTAAATCTACCTCCAGTGACGGTTGAGACAAATCTATACTTAGTCCAATGTGACAAACTGGACAGGTTAAGTTTGAACCACTAGATTCAATATATGATTCAACATATTCCCTTATGCACAACCTGCAAAATTTATGATGACATTTTGATTCGATTGGCTCTTCTGCTTCATCATTACATAGCTGACAAACAATAACGCCCGCTGCATTATCGTCATGAAAACGCTTCAAAACCAAGTCGGGATGATCGGCCAGCTGCCTCATCCTTGTGATCAAGGAAAAAATATTCGCATAGTTATTCAAGACAACACCCTTTTCGACAAAAGAATTATATTTCCTCTGAGAATCAGTGTATAAACTTCTGTATAAATCCTTTTCTTCTTCGCTGAAATAATCCTTTCTGACCGTGACTACTCTAGGTGGCAACCCTAAATCGTCGGCTCTTTCCACTTTCGTTCTTCGCAGCATAACATTCTTTAATAATGTCTGAATGTTATTGAAAGATTCCAACCCTGGCCCCTCAACACCAAATTTTTGTATATTCTTTAGCATGAAGTGATTAAAAAAATTGGTATGCTGCATTAATACATGCCCACAACTATCACAGTGCATATTATCACTAAATTTCCATTCTTTAGAGGCACATTCACATTTTGTACAAAAATATTTCGCGAATGGATTGATATCCAAAAACCTGATCAATGAATACATTTCGCCAATTCTGTTCTGCAAAGGTGTACCGGATAGACACCACCTCTTTTGTGTCTTAAGAGCGTTGACGGCTCGAGAAGTATTACTAGTTCTATCCTTGATATTATGGGCTTCATCAAGAATAGCTCTGTAAAAATCAATATTATGTAGTAGCGATTTTTCCTTCACCAGGCCATTCTTCCTCCTAAACCCGTAGTTCTGCTTCCTGAAAACGGATTCAAGGACAGAGTATGTCGTTAATATCACATCAATGTCTTTTAAATCATGAATATTAATAGTTCTGGATGCACCGTGATATATATATGTGGAAAGAGCCCCATTTGTGTGTTGTTCAATCTCATTCTTCCATTGCATAAGAGCCACTGTTGGTGCCACCACTAGAGATGGCTTCTTGCTTCTGTCATTCATGAGTAGAGCAATAGTTTGAATAGTCTTACCCATCCCCATTTCATCAGCAAGAACTCCGCCGTTATATATACTATCTTCCTGTGAAAGCATCCAGTGCAAACCTTCCAACTGAAAAGGAAGTAATTTGACACCCATGTCTGCCGGTTGAGGTGCTCTATGAGGCTCATATTTAGGAGCATTTTGTAGATCAGGGAAAACATTGGCAAGTTCTGGATGGTGTTCAAACAACCTCAGTGTGGTCCTCTGATAAGGGGTAAGCTTGATCTTTGGCTCCTTCTTCTTCCTTGATTTTTTTGCTGTCGTTTTCCTCTTCTTACTTAAAGGTTGATCATCTTCATCATCTTCCTTTATTTCTGGTATATTTGGTTCGTCTGGTACATCGGGAAGGGCATTATCAGGCTCTTCTTTCTTCATCCTGGCATGGCCATCCTCATCAAACTCCACCTTCGACAAATCTACCATCAGAGTGGGTTTTAATCTTCTACTTCTCTTTCCCCTTTTCACTTTAGCAGTCCTCATCTCTGCGGCAGTATCATCTTCAGCATCATGGTTTGCCACCTCTTCCTCTGCATCGACAAACTCTTCATCCTCCTCCTCCTCATAGTCAAGATCGATAGGATCGTCAGCACTTGATCCAACAACAGTACTCTCGCTAGAGTCCTTCCGTCCTCCAGACACACTAGTAAGAGTAGATTGCTCATCTTCGCTACTACTCACCTCCACATAGCTGACTTTCTTCTGCTTAGCACGACCAACACGGCTCCTTGTTCTCCTAATGAATCCACCTTCCTCCATCCCTTCAAGACAAGCGTCCCCGCAGTATTTAATCAATATAGAACTTCTTCATTAAATTTCAAAACTCCCAGAAAACATGATTCCTTTTAAAACTTTAATTAAAAGCAGCTCATCGCAATCCCTTTGTAGTAAAATCATGAAATTTTTCAAAAAAAATGAAATTTGTCATTCCGGGAGGAAATCAAATTGAGGACTCAGGCTCTATGGACTTTTCACTGCAAAGACCGAAGATAAAAAGAAAGATAGTGACATAATCCTGACACCTTGCCACCCTGCTTGGATCACATTTAGTGTAGTGTTCTTGATGAAGCAGTTAGGGCCCTTCTAGCACTGCATGGCCCTGGCTGTATGAGCATAGCGGATTCCATATCATCACAACCAGTACATACCTTTGATTGTTCATGAGAAGTCAAGAATTAAACTGAATCATCCTGATCGTAATACGACCATTTTATTCAGTTTCAACTATCTCTTCTAGGAATGCAGTTATTTTCCTCATAATGGCATCTTTTGTAGATTGCTGTACTAAATCTGTAAGTTAGATATAAATATACCTCCGAGAGCTTAATGGTAGCTTATATGTGGGGAGTGTTTGGAATATATGTTCCTGTTAGTATGCTGATGCCAAACAAATAACAAGGTCAGAACTTATAGTTGGAAGAGATTATAACATACCTAAAGCCTGTGGCTCGATCTGGGATAGTGCCTTACTGAAGTTTGGCGAGTCCTCTTGAGAGATTTCTTCTCTGGCTAATTTCTTAACCTCGTCAAGCCATCCGTCTTTGAGTAACCTCTCAGTGAGTTCATTTGATATAGCCTCATAGTTACCTGATTCAACAAGACATTGTTGAATCTGGGCTCTTAGACTGGCTGAATTCTCATTAGATGAAATTGTCATTATTCGGGAATTGAAGTGCTATATTTCCTAGAAATTGGTTCAAGAATTGTATAATTTGTGTAATTACAAATACCTAAGCAGTCGGTAATATTTACTTGTACTTATGTAGCAACGATACTTCAACTGCCAACTATACACAGACTACATTTAAAGCTATAGCTAGCATTGATTCTGGTAGTTATGCCTGGGCCATTGCGTTGCGATCGTCGAAAAAAAAAATGATAAAATTTGAGATGAGCGAGGAATTCCTACGCAATCAAGTACAGGAAATTAGGGCGAGGCATACTACTTTTATTAATTCTATTTCAATTCTTACAGCCAATTCCTTGTTTTACTATGATTTTATTTGTAAATTTAACCTGAGTTACCAGTTATATGTTTGGTAGAAGAGTAGCTATATCAGGTCACAGATTTTTATCGAGGATGATTAGTGCTAAGGGGAAACCAGAGGCTGCCAAGATTGTTCAAAAGAGTCAAGTTAAGGATACTAGTGAATGCAAATGGATTGGTTTGGAGAAGATCACGTACAAAGATCCGAATGGTAATGAGCGGGTGTGGGACTCCGCTGTGCGTATGACCAGAAGCACAGGTGAGATAGATGGTATTGGTATCCTTGCGATTTTGAAGTTCCCTGATGGCAAACCAGACGAAATTGTGTTACAGAAGCAGTTTAGACCACCTGTTGAAGGTGTATGCATTGAGATGCCTGCTGGTTTGATTGATGCCAATGAGGATATCGACACCGCTGCTTTAAGGGAGCTAAGAGAAGAAACTGGTTACATTGGTAAAATTGTTAATAAGAGTCCCGTGATTTTCAATGATCCAGGTTTTACAAACACAAATCTATGCCTCGTGACAGCAGAAATTGACATGAGTCTCCCAGAGAATCAAAATCCTGTCACAGAATTAGAAGAGAACGAGTTCATAGAATGCTTTAGTGTTCCACTTAAGGAGTTTCCCGAAAAAATGATCGAGCTTGATAGCCAAGGTTATAAGTTAGATGCGCGTGTCCAGAATGTGGCACAAGGGATAATCTTGGCCAATCAATTTAACATTAGCCAATAAATAAAAGAAATGCTTTAAAATTTAGCGTAATGAATATTAATTATATATGAGGATAAATTTAGTTTTCTAAAATGGCAAAGTATGACTTCTAAATATTAAGAATGCTTTGCGACAAGGGCGTTACACGAAGAAACCATTCTATACCAGCATCCATACAGTATGCACATCGATATTATTGTATTATGACCATGATACTTTCCCAAAAAAAAATTAACGACACCAGCAGGATTTGAACCAGCGCGGGCAGAGCCCAACAGATTTCAAGTCTGTCGCCTTAACCACTCGGCCATAGTGCCAAAATAACGTTACTTTTTCCTATTGAAAAGTTTACCTCTTGAGCCGACAATCATAATTATGTTCGTTCGTTAGTACTAACTTTATAACTCTCACAGACTTAATGGCAAATCTCAAATATGGTATGCATACTACAGAAAACCATATCAATTACATGACCAATTAAGGGCTTCGCTAAACAATCATAATCTCAATCTCGAATAAGTAAGGTAATGGATAAATTGCTCTTAAATTATGGTATTAATTCACAGTATATTCTTCTCCTTATCACATGCAAGAATATTAATTACCGTCGTGTAAGATTAAAGAAGCATAGCATTTCTCTGCTAATAATTTCCACCTGTACGATGCTTTCTCTGTAATACACAATATGATAGTAGTTAAACTGGGAAGCGAAAAAAAAAGAAATCAATTCTGAAAGAATCAAGCTCATCGCATCGCTTAATGAGTTGATCAGTATCATAAAAGTGATAAATTTGATTCAATTATCTCTACCAGCGGTAAGACTATTTGAATCTGGTTGCTGATCCTCTTTAATTTTATTTTCCAGTTTGTTATATATACAGTTAACGTTTAATAGACACTTAACCAGTTACAACCATTTCATCTCTTTGCTTATAGAGCCTCTTATCACAGAGAATGGAGAGTCTATTGGAGTCAGTACAGGAGACTAATGCAGGGTTGAAGAGCAAGAGAGATTTCTTGGAGGAGCAGCGGGAACAATATGTAAATATTCGTCAACATTTGATAGAGTTACCGTCTCGACAAACTACTGAAGCTGAGATTTCGAGCAATAAAGGTCAAGTTACCGGATTAGTACTTGGAGATGTAATCATATCAAAAATGACCAATGAAATGGAAGGTATAGAAAGCTACAGGCTTTTTGTTAATATTGGCTGTGAATACTATGTGGAAAAAGATAAAATATATACCACGAGATACATTGAAGAAAAAATTTCCTTGATCGAGGATGCTATTTCCAAGTTCAATGAGAAAATTCAAGAAGCTAATACAACAGAAAAACATCTAAAGGAGGCCATTGCTTTTGAAAAGAAAGAGAATGACCAAAAATTTATACACTCAAAACAGGAAACCAGCAGCATAGGTTATAATGAAGATACTGATGACATATATGAACCAATGGAAATCCGTGAGGAATTGGATGAAGAAGGAAATGTTATATCAGGAACTGTTACACCGGCTGCGACCGATAAGCAAGCTAGTGAAATTAGAGATAAATTATTAGATGTTGGCAACGCCCAGAACATTAAAAAACTACCAAATAATAGAATAGAAGAGATATCCGAAGATAACTCTGACAACCAAACAGATAAAGACAGCGACTTTTACAATAACTTGAAAGGTAAACTAGTTCATACTGGAAGCTTGAATAGTAGTAAGCAGGAGAAAGTCATCAATGAAAAATCCTCTGATGAAGTACCTAATAAACAGCATACGCAAAGGATAAGTACGGATGAGATATATTCTTTCGCTGATCTAGTAGAACAATTAGATAAGGATGATATAGAAGAAGGTGATAATTCTCTAAATGAACTAGATTTTGATGAAAAAGCCATGGACAGCTGGGAAATTAATGGTGATAGTCCAGAGAACTATGAAGACGATGAAGATGAAGGTTATTATTATGATGAAGATGAAGAGGAAGATGAAGAAGAAGATGGAGATATGTCTTATTCAGGCTTCGGAGTTGCTGCATCTGTATTACCTACTAATGCCAGATCCAGCTTCATGGACCAAATCATGAAACTGAGAGGTTTGAAAGATGACACAGCTGCTGATACCGATAAATCGTCCTCTATCAAGAAGAGTGCTATCCAATCTAATGATGATACGAATTCAAATCGACAATTATCAGGTACAAAACACCATCAAACAGCAGTAACTAAATCAATATTAAAGAAGGGAGGCAAGCAAAAGGCGAAAAAGAATGTTGGGTTCTCAAAAGATTTGCAAATACATGAAGTGGAAAGTTTTAAAATGGAAAACAAGAAACAAAGGCATGTGTTCAACCCTGCTAATTTGTTTGACCCCGAATCATATGGTGCTGAAACAGAAGAGAAATTAGATGACCCAAGCAGTACAGCGGATTTTGATAGTGATTTGTTTGCCGAGCTAATTGGAGCAAAAGAAGCTGATGTATTGCATGAGAAATACGAGGAAGAGATAAATGAAAACAATAGAAAACAACAAGAAGAAAAGAAAGCCAATAGAGTTTCCCGCTTTAAGGCTACCCGACAAAGTAAAAGCAAAACTTCTTTCAAGACTGCTGAAACAGGTGATACAACAAATGTAAACAAACCAACTGAATACACAAAAAAAGATCTCTTGGAAAGTTATCACGCAGAAAGTATCTCACCCAGTACCAAAAAACATTCCTCCATTACAGCTTCTAATTATAATAAGCATGATTCTGGCTATGTCCCAAAAAAAGCTAGTCCAGATAAGGCAGTAATACAAGAAGTTGAGGATGAGGTAGTTGAGAGAGCAGTTGAGGATGAGGTAGTTGAGAGAGCAGTTGAGGATGAGGTAGTTGAGAGAGCAGTTGAGGATGAGATAGTTGAGAGGGTAGTTGAGGATGAGGTAGTTGAGAGGGTAGTTGAGGATGAGGTAGTTGAGAGGGTAGTTGAGGATGAGGTAGTTGAGAGGGCAGTTGAGGATGAGGTATTTGAGAGAACAGTTGAGGATGAGGTAGTTGAGAGAGCAGTTGATGAACAGATAGTAAATGAATCAATCTCTTTGGATGATGACAACGCACCAGCTAATTCCCAAAATACTAAAGAGAGGAAAGTTCCTGTTATTCCCAAAGAACTTTCTCGCTACATTGAGAAAGGTGAAGGTGGAGACAAATTTCCGAAAGCCAAGATTGACTATCAATCTCTAAATGAAAATCTAGACGATATGGCAATGGCATACTCAATGGGATTATATGATGATGATGTAGATGATCCTGGCGTAGTATTAGAACACCTAAATGATTTCAAGCAGTACAACGAGCAAGTTAAAGAACTGGAAAGTGAGATAGCAGAGTTTAAAATAAATAACCCGATGCTCTCAGAAGATAATGAAGAAGACGATGATGGGCCTATAATGACTGATATCCAGGAGAAAGACATACCGGAAAGTTATGGCCAAGATGACAATGGAGATGATTACTCATTGAGTCAAGATCAACTGGCGCAATCAGTAGCCATAGAGTATAGGAATATGAAAGAGAAACTTGTGAACAAGATGAGATCAGACGTGTCTGCCATAGATCCTCAAACGGAAGAGATGAAACAGATAGAACCCATCGATGAACACGGAAACCCTGTGAAACAAAGTAGATTCAGATCACAGAGAAAGGCCATTGATAAGCTGATAAGATAAGTATCTCTTATAGTATACCCACAAAGAATATATTTATATACTTGATAAAACAAAGAGCATCTAACTTTCCATACATCACTTCATTGTCACGAGCCAATTTCTGTTTAATCCAGATGTTTTCAATCCTGCGATATTTTTTAGGGGTTGAGCTTATATCATGTGACTAAAAGTTTAACTGTGGCAGCGGTGGTGGTGGGAGGAACCAGCCTGGCGATGAGGAATGCCCATCGATCGGCCTTTGATCTGATTATCGCCACGGACCTCCCCCTTCCCCCCCAATTCAAAATATTGGCAACCAGTAAGGTGGTGTAGTTGCAAATCTCAATATGATCACTACATTGCATTGTCTCCAGAGATTCCCTAAATCGCCCAATCTAAATATTTATTAGTACATCATGTACCGCGAATCGTCCTTATTTATCTGTTTACCGTTATCTATTCCCTATCTTGCAACCACAGATTCAACAGTAAATGCAAAGAAAGCAATCTCTTGCCATAAGTGTAGAATACCAACACAAATGTACACGTTCACCTATTGGAAGAAGTGGAAGGAGGCTCTGAAATTCCCCGCACATGCTTAGTGAATTTCGAAAGATGACTCAGGAACTACCAGTAACAATACTCCATCCAATATAGTGTCTGAATTTCCTATTCTTCAAGTGTTACAGTCATGTGCCATTGTCTTAAAACTATTCTAATCCGGCCGTTCCGATGATTTTTTGATTTCTTCAATCTTCAAGCTTATCCTGACTTTTACTCCAAGTACTAAAATTTAAACCACCTTCTACGTTGTAGTTTTTCATTATGGAAGATACACAGTCTCTATACTGCTCTACCTTCATTCCACTCCAAGACATCGCTACGAAGCCATGTGCTGTGACTTGGGTGTCTCTTTATTTGTATTGCTCGGTCTCTATCTAGTAAACTAGGGAATGCAGAAGTAGGGTGCGAGAAAGAGTGTAAAGGCCGTTTTTTTGACACAATTTTTCTATGCACCATATTTCCAGCATATTGAATTGTTACACAAAAGGATGTTTTCACCTTGTCTAAGAACCATTGGCATATTTTTTGTGGTGGTGTAACAAGAACTATGGGTTTAGGGATAAGGATCAATTATGAATTTTCTGGACTGTAATTGTATTAATAGCGCAAACAAAGATATATAATTCCAGGACTAATTTAAACCTTCTTTTCAGCAAACCGAGTTTTGTTTTTGCTACAGTGGTACTATTCAAAACAAAAACGAAAAAAAAAAAAATTAGAAATTTGTAAAGTAATGGAACACATCCCTTCCTATGATATGGGCAGAGATGCTTGGAGGTCTACGCTGGAAGAATTGAGAACTGATAATCACTATGAAGATTATACAGAGATGAACCAGTTCAATGACAACTACTTCCAGTTCGTGAACACCTCTGAAATTGAGCAAGAATTCAAGTTTGATTGGAATGAGTTAGAGTTGGAAAATGGTAAGAAGAAGATCAGATTTACTGATGACGACATTAACCATTACACCGTAACTCATAGAAGCGGTAAAGATGATTCCAGTCTTAATAATCATCAACGAGGTGTAGAGAATGACCAAAACGTCGAAAGGAATATTAACCGCTCTGGCAATAATGCTGGATCCAGTGAGTATGTACCATTAGCAGAAGAACAACAACCCGACTCACCAGTCTCTTTTGAAACTGCCGCTATTGAGAGAAATTTACAGTTTGAGTTTGATAATAACTACGTTAATGATATCGTATTGGCGTTGCGTCGCCTAAAAGAAGTCCGAGCAAGACTACAAAACTTGGTGCGCAATGTTGACAATGCAATAAGCATAGACAAGTCCCCAAATTTTGATGGCCTTCCTGATGACGTTGAGATTAATGCTGTCAAGAGCTCTTTGTTATCATTCTTAGCAGATGGAAATAACTAAAAAGTTTGTTCAGTAAAACAAGGTTCATAAGTAAGAAGACAACATATATTCTGATCTACTATTGATAAGTGGGCTGGTTTCCCCTTTTTCGAATTAAAGTAACATTAACTAAAATTAAAAATACAGCAAATAATTACTGTTTTAATAAATTCTCTTTTTTTTCTTCGTTATCATTTTTTTTTTTTGAACAACATGTTTGGGTAGTAATGAAGACTCCATACCGGGATCTAATATTAAATACCTAGAGAAGCATACCATGCGTGATAAAATTCTTTGATTCCTTACATATCCTATCAATAAAATAAAAATATTCATTTTTTAAGAAGAAAGAATGTTTGAAACATATTGTATATCAATTATCTATTTATAATCTAAAAATAAATAATAATTTATAAAATTGTTCAAAATACGTTGCTCGTTGTACAGTATAGGATATCACTCATGCTAGTGTCTGTTAATTTCTTAATTTGGTAAGCATGGCCTACTTAATCATACAGATCTTCGTCTAATCTAGCCGCTGGGTTGTTTTCAATAAAATCTAATGAAACCTTGTGACCCAAAAGTTCTCTAATGTTTTGAACCTTGTATTTAATCATGGTTGGTCTCTCCAAAGAAAGACCCCAACCTAGAACTCTTAGATCTCTTGGAAGACCCATTGGTTCAAGCATCTCAGGTCTAAACATACCAGAGTTACCAATTTCGACCCATTTACCTAGACCTTCGTGCCATGAGAAAATTTCCATAGAAGGTTCAGTATAAGGATTATAGGTTGGCTTGAATTTCAAACCTGTTACACCCATCTTGGCAAAGAAATCTTCCATGAACTTAATCAAATCACCCAAAGTAATGTTGTAATCGGCAAGTACACCTTCGACTTGGTGAAATTCTGCCAAATGTGTAGCATCGACAGCTTCATTACGGAAAACACGATCGATGGAGAATAATCTTGTTGGCTTTGGATCCTTTGCCAATTTATGCAGCATAGCAGCAGAGATGGCAGTTGTGTGAGTTCTCAAAACAAGTTTTTGACTTTCTTCTTGTTTCCATGGGTAACGGTAACCAATTGTATCAAATTTACCACCTTCGTGAACAGCCTTGATGTTATTTAGGTATTCTTTGTCATCGGGTAGATCAGATGTTAGAGGGTCCTTGATATAGAAAGTATCTTGTAGATCACGGGCTGGATGTTGTTGTGGAACATATAGGGCATCGAAGTTCCAGAAACCAGTTTCAACGTATTGATTAGTTGGCATTTCAGTGAAACCCATACTGAAAAAGATTTGTCTGAATTCCTCTCTAACCTTGCTCAATGGATGGAGAGCACCAGATTGAACTTCAAGACCTTGAGAATTGAAATTGTATGGTTTGAATTCAAGATCCTTGTAAGAACCAGTAACCACCATGTCTGATGTTATATCAGTTTCCAATTTTTTAATTTCCAAAGAGAATTCAGCACCTTTGACAACTTCGAAATCAGTCAACTTCTTTGGAGTGATCAACTTTCTCTTCTTTAAATCATTGACAACATTTTTATCTAAAGAGTCAGCTTTGCCTTCCACTATAGCCTTCAATTCAACCTGAGTTGTATCTTCGACATCGTTTTTACCCTTTTCGTTTACTTCTAGTTCGTTGTTCTCGTTCTTCTTAATCCAACCGTTCTTGAAAGCACGAGCTTGACCTAGCTTACCATCCTTACCTAACTTGGCATTGACATCACTAATTTTCAAATTACCAACTTCTTTGATAAGCTTCAATAATTTCATTTCATGAGAACCATTATTCAATATATCCTGACCTTCAGTGGAAAGATCATACAAAATTGTGTCATGCTTTGTGTAGTTCAATTTAGAGTGAGCCTTCAAAGAGTTCAAAGCGCTAAGAACATCTTGTGAATCCTTGTCGGCAAAAACTTGTAAAGTGGATTTAATCTCACCCAATTCATTCAATTTCTTCAAAATATCCAATTGGAAATCAGACATTGTGTTCGATGTTTCGTATGCTGCTTTTTGATAATGGGAACAGCCAAATACAGAAATTTTGATCAGCTCAAATATAGAAATATGCTATAGAGATATAGCAACCTGCCAAAAGAGTATGAGCGGTTACAAACAACTACTAGCAATACAGTTGGTTCTTCCAACCTTTCATTAGAATTCGTGTTCTACAGTAGTGAGATGAGCTTACCTTCGAGCGATTGAAAAAATTGACTGATTTTTTTTCCAGTTTTTCACATTTTTTTTGGTAGAGTAAAACTGAAAAATTTCTTTTTCTCTGTTTTTAACATCTTGACCACAAAACACGTATATAATTATGTATCAGGTGATAATAGGTTGTTGCTGTAAAATTATTTTACGAATAAGTCACATGATATATTCAAAAAAATTATCCTTTGGCGGCGTAGTATTACTTAATTATGGTTTATTCTGTATCTGAAACAGATACTATTGATTTCACGAGTAAGTATTTTACCCATAGTTGTAATGGTTTGTGTAGATGTGAATTATGCAACGTAAGAAAGTAAAAAGACATAAACTAGAAAATGATTACTATTTTTTCGGTGGCTATCATCCCCATTTTTTGACTGATGGTTTCGTCACTATTATTTTATTTGTTATTCTTGTGTTTTTGTTGTCGCTGTTTTCCGCCAGTGTTTAGTTCATATCGGCTTTACGATAAGGCTGGCATTGATTATTGGTAAATAGAATAAGGGGCTTTTGGTGGTAGAATATACCGCATTATTCTCTATAGACTATTCTAAGAAATATTAATCATATATTATGAATATGGTACAAGTACGTTTTCTTTTTAATTATTTTTTTGTTGATTTGTCGCGCTCTTGACATTGCTGTTTATTGAAGCGTATGTTGAATATAGGACAAAACAGAACTGGTATTATACTTAATTCGTTCTTGTTTTCTTCTTGGCAATCAGTTTGAAATTATCAATAATATCGGAATGACGTTTCTTTGACGGTTCTACATCTGTTACAGAGGAATTTTAATATAAAGTAGAACTGTGATTAGCTTTGATACCAGTCAGTTACGTATTTGTTGCTGTCAGTCAGTCGCTATTTTACGTTACGACTGTGAACAGAACTGTCACCCTCTCTTCTAAAGTATATTTTCTTTTTTCTGTCAAGTTTGTTCACAACAAATTTGTTAATCAAGTAAATTAATATGTCCTTGTAATCTTGAAAAAATTCATTTGCTACATACAATACAGTTTTGGTTTCTAAGAGGTAGCAAAATTTCTTGCACCGATATCTTGTTTTTTTTGTGCAATTGCTGGGACAAAACTTAAAACACCAAGGGTCTAATGTAATAATTTGTCCTGGGTGCTGAAAAGTATCCAACAGAGAGGCCCAATGAACATATGCGAGAAAGGTACTATTAAATAATTTCAAATCATGATTTCTTTCTTTCTTTTTTTTCTTTGATGATAATAATACTAAATCGAGTTGCTCAATCCCGTTGAGATGGATGCATAGAGCGAATGTGAATTTTGCGCACCTTGGCCACAATAAACTGTTCTGGTTTTTCAATCTATTCAGGTGAATATCAAGGTACAACTTTCTTATTTATCGCAAACAACAATAGTGAAAAAGCGTACATATGTCAAATCTTTAAAGTGAAAGAGAATAAAATATCGGAAATTCATCTCCGTGATATATCAACCCGCTCGTTTGTTACTATTCCATCATCTGACATACGTGAAGATGCGAGGTAGGTGACGCAATGCATATGAAGAGGGTGAAAGGCACCGAATTTGACATAGAAGGCGAACCCCGAATACTCTAGCTTCTCACGAATGTAACTCAATATGATTATCAATTTTACTTCAAGCACCCCATGCCAAAACAGGGTAAATTACCAGCAAATATGTTGATCATAGCTTGAGAGTACCGGAAATCTATTGTTGTTTACAATACATACGAAGAGAGCATTACGCAAAACCGTAATTCACATCTAAATAAAGGGTGTCATTCTTTCCCGACAGACACTGCTATTTGTAACAATTTTGGAATAAAATGGACATGTCTAGACTCTCATGATAAGTGAGCTCTTTGCTTGTTATCCTAGTAATAAAGTTAAGTACAGAAAAATATTGTAATAGTTTTTATGTGATCCTACTGCAAGAAAGTGGGGATAGGTAGTGTAAGTGACATAAACCACGATCGTAATAAAGCGTTACTTTTCTTTTGTGATATAATTCATGCCAAATATTGAAGTTCAATAAAGAAAACAAAAAATTAACGTCAGTCCAGAACCTTTTCTTTTACAAACAGATGAAGAGTAATGTGTATATTTAGTTCTTTTTTTCTTATTCTTCTCTTTCCCCATCTTATATGAGCTGTTTTAGTTTGCTACTATGATGCGTTTTATATCCATAATATTTCCGAGGTCTACGCTGAGTTGTTAATATTTTGACAAACCTGGGTGGGTTTTCAAGATACCCTTTCTGATGGACAAAGAGGAAGAATCGTCCGTTATTCCCTCGGGTTCATTGAAAGGCAAGGGGATTTTCGATCCCACAAGAGGAAATATGACTTTGTCGGGACTTATCTGTACAAGAAAGTGCAATTTCATGCAACACATAAAGGTATGATTCACCGTATTAATTTCCAAAATAGCGACGTGAGCGATTCTCCAGGTCTTTGCAAATTGCAAATGGAAGTGAATCCACCTACCCCCTCATCTCTGAGACAGAACGAGAATCATCATGGCTGGGGTTTGCTTCATTAAAGGAGCATGCAACGATTTAGAGAATTTGGAACCAGGATATTTTTGATAGTAGATAGAAACTGATCGGCATCCTGTGAGACGTCCATAATATGGCATGTTGTTCATGAGACATGTGGTCTCATCTCAATATACTATAGAAATGCAGAAAGCCTTTTTTCTACGAGAATTTCTGAGAAAATAAAGGGAAAAATAAACTAACAAATAATGGAAATACGTCATTTAATTGCGATTCAACAATATCGCTAACACTTGGAGTATTTTGGTCTTGGTTTCTACAGTATCTTTCTCCTTTTAATCCCCCACGTAACAACACCCTGCACTGTGCGCCACCACGGGCTATATGCTTAATATAGGAACCTCCCTAATACCTTGCAGCATCTTTGGACCCTTCTAAGAAATGGCTGCACAGCTACCATATAAGGATTCTCAAGAGATACGATCCTGTTTCGAAGCAGGTACGTAGCTTTCTGTTGCTGTCCTTTTTGTTCATAAAAAACTAAATTTAATTTATGTAACTTACTCCACGATTCTATTGTTACCCTTTTCAGTCTCTGCAGAAAAACCTCTTTCTAGGAATAGTATTATAGTTACGTGTCAAGGATGTTTTTTTGCTTCTGCATTACCTGTACGATACTTTTAGTGTTATGATACTTCAATCTGATACGTGAAGATAGCAAAATGTAGTAGTGAGTAAAAGGGGTTTGGCTGGTACCAAAAAAACCTACAGCTCTACGACACTATCTAGCTCGGAAAAATAACGGTCTTTGCTGTGGTGGGGTTACCAGCCCACATCACGAAAATCAAAGAAACCCTTTAGAATGTGTGTGGGATCTCTTTGTTTAGTATCCCACTCTCTACTTAAATGACCGCAGTGGAAATGCTATTTTAACAAATTAATGAAAAGGAATATTAAGCAGATCATAAATTCATCGAATGATGTGCCATCAAAACAGGAAAGTTGTTTAGTATAGTTTCTACGTATTTTTCTGACATCAAACAGCAGGTAAAAACACTGTTATTTTAAGAACCATATAATCCCACACTATGTCAAAGGCTTAGTTTCCGTTGGGTCGTAATACTAGATACATTTTTCTGCAGACAACTCTGAGCAATCCTACCTACTTCTCCAACATGAAATGGAAACTACAAATCAAAGAAGTTTTAAAGAAGTTAATACATTACTCGGTTTTGACTGCTTCTTTCTGGTAATGGAAGCAAACAAAAAGCCGCTGGTGAATACTCCTGAACTGGCCACCACAGCCCATAAGTTTAGGCTTTCCCCTTTTATTGGTGAGAATAGCAAAGAGTGCTGCCAATGATTTTCTTCTTAATTTATGTCGATGCGCGCTATTAGCGAGCTTCTACGCATATTATTATACCTTCTTTTTTTTTTTGCGAAGCACTGAACTGTTAGTGTAGCCAAGAAAATAATTATTCTCAAGATTTGGCTGTAGCATAATTTTTGACTATTGTGTTCATGAGCTTCGTAGTCCATTCAAGAAAAATATGCCCAATTTGTCCATGACGATCGTTTTTCGGAATTGTTTACCTTTCGAGTAGTCTAGAGATAACAAAAGATCTCCCATTATTGCTACTTTCTCCCTCAACATATGGTTTAGTGTACCTTAACCCCATTGATCTTTGCTGTCTTTTTTGAAAGATTTGAATATTTGTAAGAAATTACCAATAAATGGGATACAAAGAGCATTGAGGGCAACAATTCTAGGTTTGTCAAGGTTCTTTACTTTGTCCTTATCTTTTGTACTTTAGTGTAGATTGCTGGACAAAAGTCTTTTTGGTATGTTAGTTTTCCGACAGACTGACAAGAAATTAAACAAAAATAACATATACAATTGGGTCCTGGTACATAGCATTTTTGTAGTGTAGACCAGGTTTCCTGCTATGTTTCTCGGCATGTTGGGGTTCCTTATTTATTATGCACAAGATGCTTGAAGACGTATTCCGTTAGGAAACAAAGACCAAATTTGTCCAGAAGAACAAAGTCAATGAGAAGAGTCAGATCGGGCTAACTGTTCCATGCTTTTCAGTTATAATGCACCTCTGTTCCTGCGGACTGCCCCTACTTCATTAGATCTCACTGGATGTTGAACCCTTGGTACGTAAGAAAACTATAAATCGAAAGAAAACTGCAAAAACTGGAATTTTTCACAGAAGGAACAATATAGGATTAAAAAAAAAAGGGTAGGCTCCCCCCACCACCACAGAAAACACAGCACAGTGGCGATCGAGAAGTTAACTATTCCGTTTTTTTTGTGTTGTACTTGCGCACTCTGATAATGTGATTGTTTCCTTGAAGAAACAACAGTACAAAGTTTGAGTATTATTAAAGAAGCTTTTTTCTATTTCCCCTTCTCTTCTTGTATTATATAACTTCCCATATTATGACTCAAAAAACCCTGAAGGAGAGCTTTGCTTGAAGAATAAAGAAGACTGGAATAGCACTAGGAACTTTCTCCCTTCCGGCTTTTCTAAAGGGAAAGATATTTCTCGTAATTTTGATCTGTTCTTCTAGAAATTGACATTTGAGTCGTAATCAAACCCCACTCGTTGTTTCTTTTTTTTCTGTTGAGGGTGCTCTTGTTCCATAAGCTTTCTCTATGTTCTGTGGAAGGTGCTTTGTAGCCCTTCAAATTTGTATCTGTTTTCATGGAAGCATTCTTTTCTTTTTGTCGAGCCACATCCCAGCAACGACAAGTGCAAGTGGGTTATAATCTTTTCGACATAAGAAGTAGTATTAGTTAGTATTCTCAACTGCTGAAATAAACTAGTCAAATGAATAACGCAAGCAGAAAAACTGTATTCAGTATGTAGCTAATACTGACTTTGACATTCATTTCGAAATCCTTGCTCCCATGTTCTAAAAAATCTAGAAAACTAGAAACTTATTTCTTAGATATATAAATGTAACAGGTTTATGACGGTGCGTTGATATGCGTTCCTCGGTTTCGCTACCATAGTTTCCACATTTTGTTTAGTAATTCATTGTTATTTTCAAATTTATATATATTTTATGATAATCTAGTTTATAATTTATTTTCTGTCTTAGCAATTTCAGGAAAATTAGAAACAAAATCCTCTAACGGTATTAAAAAAATAATAAAGATAATAATAAAAGGATTATTATAACATAATTATTATTCTTCAAGATAAAAGAAAAAATATCTCACACACGCAGTTAAGAGATAAATTTAAAACTTACAAAAATATAATCCATTCTGAAAAAAGCTATTATATATTTAACGTTTATCATTTATTCGAGGTAACAAAAAAAAAAAAAATACTAGAAATCATTCAAGATAAGTTCCAATCTTTACTCTAAAAAATTTCATTTAAATTGCAATAAAAAATTTTAATAATTAGTCCACTCTCCTAGCTATAATGATGTATGACATTAGTGCTACATCCCAGTTCAAACAGAGCGCGCTTTATAAGCACAATAAACAAATGTCTGACCAAATTAAATTTGACTTCAATAACTTTCAATTTAAAAATAACCAACAATTACAAAATAGAGATCTAATGAACGACCATTACGATAATACCTTTGCCAATAAAACCAGTATGCAAACCTCTTTTGTTGGTCATGCTTTTAATCCATCATTCCAATTCGATACTATTGACTTTGATGACAAAGGCACCTTTTTCGATATTAATAAAGCTCAAAACCCAAAGAATAGGATTCTGGCTATGCTGGAAAACGAATCTAGATCTAATACTGCTACTATTGATTCTAATTTTCAGGCTGGGGTTTCTAACTCGCTTAATATTGATTTATTAGATGACCCTTTCAAGGTGGATGAACAGATTACTCGTAGTGATGACATCTTCCCTAACTTACCATTCCCATTTTCAACAGAGGACTCAAATATAATTACTCCTTCATTTGAAAGCAGGAGTACTTCTAATGACTCTAATTTTGAAATTGTCGATGTCACAACACCGGTCGTAAGCCGTAGCAGCAATTTTAGCAACGCAGATAATATCCCGATGCCAAAGGAGTTTGATATAAAGCATTTGCATCCAACTATTCCACCTAAAACCAAAGAGCCAACTTCTAAAAGACAAATTAAGGTCAAGAAAGAAAAAACTCCTGTATGTGTGGAAACTGCAAAACCATCAGATGCCGATAACAATAAAGAGGACTTGATATGTACAAATTGCGGCACAACCAACACGCCACTCTGGAGGAAAGATATCGATAGAAAGCCTTTATGTAATGCTTGTGGTTTATTCTTTAAGCTTCATGGAGTGATGAGGCCCTTATCTCTCAAAACAGATGTAATAAAGAAGAGGAAAAGAACTGCAAAAATAAAAACTAACCGCCATGTAACAGGCAAAATAAATCTTAGAGATAGGAAGAGAAAGAGTAATCCCTCCAAAAAAGACAATAAAAAATCCATCACCAAACGTCAGCAGCCGTCTAATAGCAAGAGCTCAATTGGTAGCAAAAGTACAGCATTGTTTAAATCTGACAAATGCAGTAGTTCTGGTTGTAACGAAACAGCTGATTTGACAACTCCTGGTAGTGAATCAACTAGTGTCAGTAGCACTGAGACTATCTTTGATAATTCACAATCTATAAGTCTCTCAAGTTCATCTACAGATCTGAAAGATAGCAACCATGGGTTTTTGCCATCAAATTGGTCTGATTTTCAGTCCTCAGATGGCGATCTTCCAAATTTCTCTGTTGATTTCGAATTTGGTGTGGTTGATGATCATAATTCGATTTATCCATTACCTGTGTTTCAGTATGAGTAACGCTCTTCTTTGATCGAAATAAATACTGGGTAATGGTAATCGCATTAGACTAATAACAGAACACACAAAAAGCATACTGAATTCCACGATTGATTCCATAGGTAATATTGACTACTTGAGTAATATCAAATAGTAACGGAGAAACTATATTCCAACTATCGTGATTACTCTTTTGTTAATATTTTATCAGGACCATACTCTTGAAATGTCTTTGACTCACGTCATTAAATGAATAATCATCTACCGGAGATGTTATTATATGGGTTTTGAAATGCTCACTACATATAGTTGCCTATAATATTCTTTTACCCCCCATCCCTCTGTTAGGTTCACTTATATCAACATAAACCTTAAATCATATATTTATTCTATAAATAACGCTATATTAAGACGATACGAAGACCAGTTTAATTGAGTCATTAAAATCATTATGGATGATTCGAGGTTGTAGTCTATCAGATTATTTATACCAGCTATACAACATTTTAAACAAAGAATGACCCACAAGGCATATTCAACTAAAACAAATGTTAGTATTCTAGCTTCTATTTTTACCAAACTTCTTATACCAATCATCGGCCACTTTTTCAAAACGTTCGCCCAGAATTGCAAGTTTCCCATTCAAAACGTCAAGCCATTGTAGAGTTAGTGTTTCGTATTCTTGTGAGTCCTTGACAGGTAAAACTTCTTGAAGGAAAATATTATCTGTCTCTTCTGCATAAGACTGGTCTTCTTCGGCACACCTCAGTGAAAATTGCACGACTTCAATATCTAGTAATGGGTCATCAATAGAAAGAGATTCAATTGACCATTGAGTAAATTTTACAAAATGGTTGTATGTGTCTTCAACAGTATCAGTTATGTCTTCCGGAAATACCAAATCAAAGTTTAATGTCTTGGCTATCAACTCTTTCTGTAGAGGCTTTAAAAGAAAATAATTTAAAAGATCAATTGTCTCCAAACACTTAACCAAATAAGATGCGAATGTTTGAATATTGAGAGCCAGTTCAGGTTCCTCTCCTTCATATGTAGTCTGCAGTTGTGCCAAATCAGTGGAAAGCAATGTATCATTGAAAAACCGCAGCTTCTTGACTATTTTTATCATTATAGACCTTTCATTTTTCAAACTAGTCACTCTGCGCAGATAATTGATATACTTGTTTAAAATATGAATATTTGCAGATAAATACGCTGAAAAAACAGATGATATTTTTGTTAGAGCATCGACAATACCATCAGTGGCAACAATATAGGGCTGTTCTTCTCTAGACATTATCGACTGATTTTGTTTAGGATATACCTAATTATGCTTTGATCTTCAAAACTAAGTGAGTTGCGATTTAGTATATTCAATTGGTTACGCAGCAAATGGAAATGAGATGGTTCCTAACAAGCAAAATGCAAACGTAATAACTAAAATTATAGCAGTTAATCACAAAGTTTCTTATTTATTATTTTGTATGATAATGTATATGTCTCTTTTCTTAATCGAGATGTTATTATGAGTTCTTGCATCATTGATTTGGCAAATCCAAAAATTTGAAAAATACCAAAACAAAGGGACCCTATTTCGCGTGAAAAATTCTGCACATTAACAAATAGAAAATGACGTATTTCTTTTCAGCATTAACACACACATATAACGATGAAGGTGACAAGATATTAGGTCCTATACATTGTATTACTAACTGAAATACATAAAAAACAAGTTGATATTGAATAGCCTCTATTATATTTACCAATCGTCATCATCATCCTCTTCGCGAGAAATATCCTCTTCACTTTCCGATCTTAGCTTATTGGCCCTTGCAGCCAATACAGAAGCCAAATTAGCACCAAGATCAGTATTTGATGGCCCCTGGTTGGTGTGTGTCTCTGGTTCATTAATGGAAGTGGTGTTATCTTCCTGTATTTTCATTGTATTCATATCTTGATGCTGAGCAGATGGATCTGTCACATTTCCATTATATTTGACAATGTAGGATGTTGGAACCCAGCCTTCCTTTGAGTTATCTAACGTACTTGCCAAAGACCATCCACTAGGATCACTTTTAGACACGTAAATTATGTCCCCCTTTTGTAAGGGCAGTTCTGATGGGTTACCAGAACCAGGAAAGTCATAAGCGGCTTGATAACTATCAGTTTGACTGCTTTGGGGTATGTTTTCTGGTAAACTATAGTTTTGCTTCTCCTCAGTTTGAATAATCGCATTCTTTTCTTGGGTTACATCATCTTTGACACTTGTTTTGGAGACAGAAACTGTATCCTGTGTCCGTTTAGTCACACTAGCCTTTGGAGCGCTATAAACTTTTGAGTTTGAAATAGTCTTACTGGTGTTTCTGACAGGTGAGCTTACAGGAGGTTTACGAGTTTTTGTTATGGGCTTAGATTTACTAGGAGATTTTTGTTCAGTAGATGTAGGTGACCTAATACCTTTAGGATGGTATGCTGCTTGAGCAGCAGAAGCGGCCAACGAAGATGTTGGCAGGGCTTGAGGTGTTCTCTTAGTTCCCACCTTCTTTTTCATTGTTTTGTGTTTTGCTTCCATTAAGTTTCCGTACATATCTTCATTATTGAAAGCAGGTCTGTTTTCTGCAGTAGAGTCGGGTGGGTTACCATGGCGGACTAAAATTGTCCCATTTCTATACAAATCATGGTATTTTGGAGCAGAATCGCTGTATTGGCTTTTCACGACAAAAAGTTTCTTAGGCCCCCTCAAATATTCAATAGTAGATGAAACTTTAACATGGATACGTGGATTCAATTGTGTTAAACGCGTAATAAGCTCCGTTTTAAATGGCAGATTGATTAATGGATCTGGTTTTGGCGAATCCATCAAATTTACAGCCATCCAATCATCCTGTAAATTTGTCACACTAATCGATCTAATCTTACCCAGGTCAATTCTGTAGTCCGTAATATACTTCATTGCATTACGGGCTTTGGTATGCCCAACTATCCAGAGTGATGTAGGTGTGAGGATGAAGGTCTTTCTTAGCCGTTGTGATGCTCCCCCATACATTGCATGTAAGGAATTACCATGTGAAGAGAATAGTACTCTTTCTGTGATATTGGCCTGACGTTTGATGTATGAGCCCCTAGTTTTCGATTCGTTACACGACAAATAATCACCATAAAAACCCCTCAATCCTAACAAAGACATGTTTCTTCTTTCCTTCTTGCCGCCATAAACCTTATCACCAGCATTGCGTAATTCGTCATTACGGAACGTGCTAACACCCGATTTTCCTCTAATTGCATTCTGAATTCTAATTGCTGCATCAATCCTTTTTTGTAGATATCTTCTCCATGCTCGCTGAATTCTGGCTGCCATATTGTACCAATACTTGTCCCTCATATTCTCTAAAGCAAAGAGAGTTTCTGGATGCTTAATAAAAATTTGTGTTACACCAATTTCATATTCAGTTGTTGGGATAGAAGCATCTTGAAGAATTAATTTTACTGCATCCAGGGTTTCACCATCCCAAACATAATCTCCAGCATATGAGCATTGAGGAGAAAGCAAATAGAACCTCTCAACAAACTTTTCAAACACTTGTCTATGTGCAAAACCGGCTCTTCTTATTCTAACATTTTCTTTTAATCCTAAATACTTTATTTGATGCAATACCCGTTGATCATCATAGATTGTCGAAGATTTAGTATCATTAGGTTTAATAGTTCTGATGTATGATGGTTGTGCTTTTGACAAAGTTTCAACAAGCTCATTGGCACTTTTGATTATTTTATCTCCCGAAGTTGGTGGACGTCTCCTAGAATCTGTTTGAGGCTGATCCGGAAAGATTTCCCTCACAAACGAGTTTGAGGTGGTTGACAATAATTCAACTAAGTCTTTTTGTAACTGATCCTTATTTTTGTCTGTAATGCCAAAGATGTCGTATGTGACATCTCCCGCGTAGTGTTTAACCACAAATTTGTTTTGTCTTAACTCAAAATGTGGATTTGTAGTAAAGAGATTCAGTCTTTGTGCAAAAGCCTGATCTGCTGCATCAGAATCTGCATGAGCCGTAGCAATTGCATCATTCATAGCAGCAAATATCCCTGGCGGCCTTTTTGCCTCAATCAGATCACAAACAATTTTATTATCGAAATACTCAATAGGTGTCCAATGAATTTGTTCTTTTTTGTATGTGTCTTGTTCACTTTTCAGTGTCAATTGAATAAAAATCTGCTGTAGCTTCTCATTGACATAATTGATACATATCTGTTCAAAGGAGTTATGCTCAAATATTTCAAACCCATAAATATCTAGAATGCCGATAGACTTATCAGCACCAGGAAAGGCCTGAAGAGAGTTATTCACCCTTTCTACGATCCACTCAAAGAGATTATTATATATAGCCTTTGCCAAAGCATCTCTTACAGCTGTAGCTTGAATGATATTCAATGGGGAATGATAGGTAGAGCCTCTCTTAGCACCGTGTGTTGTTTCAATAATCCTTTCGATTAAAGCTTTTATCAACAACTCTTCCTGAACTTCTAATAAATATGCAACAAATGTTGTAACCGATTTATCACGTATCTCTGCATTACCTGCCTCGTTTTCTACAAACGAGATATTACCGATCCACAAAATTGCTGCTAAAGCTCTAAATATTTGATCTTGTTCCGATTTCGTAAGACCAATCGTTCTCATAGCGTTTAAAGTTTCATTAAATTCTTCTACATCATCCATATTTTCGACAGCAGTACATTGCGATGCCGATGTGTAAATATACTGCTCTGGTTGTTGAACACCGAAAAGTTGCCTATACTCTTCGGGTGCTCCCTTTGTAAATTGATAAAAAATATGAAAATTTCTTTCATTCTTGATTTGACCAACAACCCTTTGTTTCTCTAATAGGTAGTTTGTAATATGTCCGGCACATGGCTGGAAATGTGCATCAAATTTAATCTCTAAATATTTACCGTGCCTAGACGAATTGTTGTTTCTCAACGTCTTAGCACAACCAAAAGATTCAAGAAGAGGATTCGTTGCTAAAACCATATCTTTAATCTTACTGATCGATTCGGAATGAGTGGAAGAAGTAGCTGCAATATATTGCATAATTCTCTTAGCAGCTTCTGTCTTACCAGCCCCTGATTCACCAGATATAATAACACATTGGTTTTCATTGTATGATTTTAGGTTATAGTACATGTTCTCAGCAATAGCAAATACATGTGGAGGCGCTTCTAACCTATTCTTGCCTTGATAGGATTTCATAGTGTCGTCGGTGTAGATCCCAAGGTCCCTGAAGGGGTTAACACTAATCAGGACATACCCAATATAAGTGTAGATAATACCATGCTCAAACCTCTTCTTCAGGTTATCATTGATGGATTCATCAGAAATCTTGGATAATAATGTCAAGTCAGAAACACCGACCTCTTTCTTCCTTGACGAGTCATACGATGCTTTTTTGATCTTAGCTCCTTTCTTTACTGGAGCTTGGCCAGCTTTAGACCGTACCACTCTCTTAATAATAGCCATCGCACACTGAAACTCCAAAGTATGGCGAACTTATAATAAAATATTATCTATTGTGTGTATATCCTTTATAACCGATGACTTTGGTGCCCCTATAAATTCAAAATATAAGCCAATATTGTCAAAAAAAATATAACCGGACAAAATCGCTAAACAAACTCTTATGGTATTATATAATGTACTGTTGACAAACAGGAAATAACAAAAAGTGTATTTTATTCCAAAATATATACAATTTAATATAGCTCATTTTTATAAAATCGATAATACTTTCAGTTTCTATAGTTAATTAGTATGAGGGAATTAGATGTCTCAAGCTGTCAATTGAAAGGATTTCCGTAAGTTGGATTTCTTCATTCTGATAGATCAGTGAAATCAACGTACAACCCCGAGACTAAAGAACAAATTACGTCATCTGCATAAATTTGAAAAGAGAACAATGGGTAGACGTATGTGTTTTATGCAGTGAACTTTTAGCGAATGGATGAACAAAGAAACATAGACCCGGCTACCAATGTAGACGGTGATCCTATTTGATATAGATGATCGGAGTTTTAAGATACTACGAGAATTGATTGATCATCCGCAGGTTTTTTGGTTGTTTCCACCACTGTGTAAATTACTTTGCCCGTTTGCAAACCGACTAATGCTGGGTGTTTTATATTTCTCAGGATACTTTCAATGACATCAGAGTGAACTGTCAATGAAAGAACTCTATCAGTGGCATTAACACTGGAGAAAACCTCACGTAATCCTACTTTGATTCTTCTATCCAATTCAGGATAGGTTTCCAAATGTTCTGGTTGCCATAATTGATCTTTTTCTGCATAGTCATCTGGATAATCAAAATGAACAGTAACATCGCTGGTGTTATATTTGTGATCCTGGTATTCTGCTAGAGCCTGTGAATGATCTACACGTTCGTTTGACTTATCTATACCAAGGGTTTCTCTTAAATACTCAATGACTTTGACATGAACAGTGGAATTTGCTGGCTTGTGCTTAGCAAATATTGGTTCCCACTCTCTGATGCATGTGTCTAGGCATCGTCTTAATGGTGAAACGAAAAACTTATCTGGTAAGCGTTGCAGACCGTCAGTCAAGTTTGTCAAATATGTTTGGCCAGCCTCTAGGGCTTGTTTCTTACCTAATGGTGTCAATTCAGAATCAAACCAATTACCGTACTGGTCACCGTCTAACCTTGCCCAATAATCATACCAAGCCTTTTCACCATACCTATCATACCCGATATTATGATAACCCTGGCCGTGTCTAGCCAGAATAACCAGCTTGTACGAATGAGTTTCGGTATCATTTGGGATGGCTTGGTACATCTGTTGCCAATTGCTAAATCTATCATCTAATGCCAAAAAGTCAAAGATGGTAGCATTGATTTTGGTGTCAGGAGTGTCCTGGACAGTGTACCCTTTGAAATATCCAGGCAATGCCCTGAAGTCCAAATCCTGGGCTGTGTTGTCAGGATTCCAGTCCAAATTTAGCAACAATAGCAATTTATGAAGGATCATTGTAACGAGAGTGGATATATATTTGATATATCTGATGACAGTTGGTATTTGATTTCTACAATAACATTTAGTCTAAGAACAATGCTAAGGATGATATATGATAATAGTGCCTTTTTATATGTTTGAAGAGGGCTTGTTGACTATTATCCTTAAGGAAATATTAATGCCTTATTAGGATCCTGGGTTCAATGCGTTTATAGTTGAAATATAGAGATGTTCACAAAGGAAAGAATTGTTAACAAGTATCGTTGTACGTCTCTTAAATATGGATGCTTCTCTTAATTAGACGGCAATCCAAATATTTAACAAACCGCTGAGAATCATTAAAGACTTTTTAACGGTTTATTTACGGCTAAAAAGACTATTGATACCTAGTAAGAGTAATAAAAAAGTTTACGGCTCTAGTTATGGTAAAGGACATTTATAGAGAGTTCGCATCAATCAGCTATAAAAAAGGCTTATCGAAATAGTAGGCGAGAGAAATAATTCACACATATTTTATTTCTTGAAAAAGTGGCAGATTTTTCAGTTATTGATATGTATTAAGCCATTATCTATTCTGTTACCATAATAGTAACGTATTGCGACCACATTAAATTGCGACCGACCGGGTGCACAACGAATTTTAAAAACGGCAAAATTAATATGTCGGAACAATGGACAATAACGAAAAAGGGAGATTTACTAACATACCCATTGATCAACATTATCACAACTCCTGATCTCAAATTTCCAACGTTTTATCTTTGAACTGATGATTACGAAAAACAATAATTGCAACTTATCGTCAATTCAGTTATAAATTACTTCGATCACTCTAATAGAACCTCCATTCAGACAAAATAGAGCAATACACCAGTTCTGAAGGCTCATATAGGATTGATATTTTCATGCGTTTTCCTTAACTAGGCCTTTTATCATCGACTTACCTGAGTGCACATACTAGAGCCTCATGTAAACGTTGTAACAGCGTCAGGCCCATTTTAAATTTCCAATCGTACCAATAGAGAGTATGCTTAAAGGCCTGTGTTAGTATTTACAACTACTTGTTTTAGACTGCCCGATTACTGTTACGCATTGCACTATAATTTGGGAAGCCTGGATAAGTTTTATGGGCGTCCAACGGAACCAAAATCAAGGTTTTTTTTGATTTTTCTTTAATAAAATATCAATTTGAATGAGATACATACACTACATATTGCACTACTTAGAGTGATCAAAATTTGGAATTTAGCTTTCCATTAATTTCAGAAGGCAAGAATCGTATCTTGAACTGTTGAGGTAGATGTTCGCAATAATGTTTTTCTCAAATCCAAAGCAATGAAGGAAATTTGCGTGCAATGGATAAGTGTTGTAAATATAAGAACAAAAGGAACGGCATACAGAATTAGTACCTAGCGAAAGTGTTGTTACAAGGAGAGGTATAATGAGCAACTGGCTGTTTAATGATCGTATTTCATTTTTATCATTTGGGTATCCGTTATATTAGGATACTACGATGACCGATTGGTCATCAGCTGGAACTTTTGATACATCGATCACAGTGTAAACTAGTTTTCCAGTTTCCAGGTCATCAATAGTAGGATGTTTAATATTTCTTAGAATACTTTCAATGACATCGTGGTGAGCTGTCAAGGAAATTACTTTATCAGTAGTGTTGACACTGGAGAACATTTCACGTAGCCCAATTTTTGTTCTTCTATCAATTTCATCATTAGTTTCCAAATGATTTGGTTGCCATAGTTGGTCCCTTTCTGAGTAATCCTCAGGATAATCAAAATGAACAGTAACATCACTGGTATTATATCTATGATTTTGGTACTCTGCAAGTGCTTGAGAATGAACCACACGTTCATTAGATGTGTCTATTCCAAGAGTTTCTCTCATATATTCGAGTACCTTAACATGAACAGTAGAATTTGCTGGCTTGTGCTTAGCAAATATTGGTTCCCACTCTCTGATGCATGTGTCTAGGCATCGTCTTAATGGTGAAACGAAAAACTTATCTGGTAAGCGTTGCAGACCATCAGTCATATTTGTCAGGTAAGTATTGCCGGTTTCTAGAGCTTGTTTCTTACCCAAAGGCGTCAGTTCTGCATCAAACCAATTACCATCTTGGTCACCATTCAATCTGGACCAATAATCATACCAAGCCTTCTCACCATATTTGTCATAGGCAACATTGTGATAACCCTGGCCGTGTCTGGCCAGAATGACCAGCTTGTATGAATGAGTTTCGGTATCATTTGGGATGGATTGATATAATTGTTGCCAATTGCTAAATCTATCATCAAACTGCAAGAAATCAATTGCAGTAGCATTAATTTTGGAATCTGGAGTATCCTGGACAGTGTACCCTTTAAAATATCCTGGCATTGCTGTGAACTCCAAATCCTTAGCTGTGTTGTCAGGATTCCAGTCCAAATTTAGCAACAATAGCAATTTATGAAGGATCATTGTAACGAGAGTGGATATTTATTTGATATATGGGATGATAGTTATAATTTGATATCTAAGTTATCATTTAATCTGAGAACAATGCTAAGGATGATATATGATAATTGTGCCTTTTTATATGTTTGAAGAGGGATTTTTGGCTATTATTCCTATCGCAAAATAATCGTGTTATCTAGAAGTGTATCTCGATTGCATTGATATAATAATTTCTAGTAATTAAAAAGAGCACATGGGTGTTTCAATCCATAGATAAGTAATGTTCTGCAATATATGTGGTGCAATTTCACACCAACCAATGATAACGCAGAATTTCTATCGCACGAACCGCTTACAATCACTAAATATTTACATTTATTCTTACAACAGTGATTATCTTACATATAGCTGTACTGTTAAAATTCCATGTAAATGGCTCATTCCATTAGGCCATACATTATTGTTTATGCATGTCAAGAAAGTAATTGAGTATTTGCTTATCGAGCAAGAAAAATCAAGTTATCCCACGAGCAGTCAAATAAGAACCTTTTGACAATCTCAGCTATACGTGAGAGTAACAAATTGAGGCTAGGAGCATGCATCGACATATTCAAAAAGAGTGCATAGAATTCAACAAAAAAATTTGTGATAGGATAACAGTTGCAATCGATTGGGTACAGGGTAAAGAACAAAATGTTAAAAAGTTAATTTACAATTAATTTAATTTGATTATTTAAAATACATGGAGGAGGCATACACGGGGCGGAGAAATGAGATATTTAATTAAAAAGTAAAGATACTGAGCTTAGATGCTTAGTGTTTCTCTTAGATATTAGTTTTTGTTTTCCCCTTTTTTGATCTTAGTATGATGTTAAAGATAACCAGAGCAAATAAAAAATGTACACCTGGTTATTCGTTGATAAATGAACTAAATGATAAAAAAAAACAATAATTGAAAATAGTATAATATGTATAAGCAAATACAACGGCATACAGAGTCAAATATTAGCGACATAAGGTATCAAAACATAGAGAGCGATTATAAAAATAAGCGATCATGTCAATTCGATCAGTAGAATTCCGGGCATTCTTTATGACACAACAAGCATTGGTTGATCATCTGTAGGCGCCTTAGATAGCTCTACCACAGCATATACAAGTTTCCCCGTTTGCAAGTGGTCTATAGCTGGGTGTTTTATGTTTCTCAGCACACTGGCGATAACACCGGAATGGCATGTCAATGATATCACCTTGTCCGTAGTATTGACACTTGAGAACATCTCACGCAACCCTATTCTTGTTCTTCTATCCATTTCTGCTTTAGTCTCTCTATGGTCGGGATACCATAGCTGATCCTTCTCCGAGTAATTACCAGGGTAGTCGAAATGGACAGTGACATCACTGTTGTTATACCTGTGGTCCTGGTATTCTGACAAAGCCTGGGAGTGGCTTACACGTTCATCACACGTGTGCACACCTAAAGTTTCCCTCAAGTACTCGATGACTTTTACGTTGACAGTTGCATTTGAAGGCCTATGGGTGGAGAACACCGGCTCCCATTCTCTGATGTAGGTATCAAGACAGCGTCTCATTGGTGAGACGAAAAACTTATGTGGTAGTAGTTGGAGGCCGTCAGTCAGGTTAGTCAGGTAAGTTTGGCCGGCCTCCAGGGCCTGTTTCTTCCCCAACGGCGTCAGCTCGGCGTCCAGCCAGCTGCCGTACTGGTCGCCCTCGAGTTTCGACCAATACTCGTTCCAGGCTTTCTCGCCGTACCGGGCCTCCGCGGCGTTGTGGTAGCCCTCGCCGTGTCTGGCCAGCACGAGAAGCTTATAGGAATGGGTGTCCGTATCCTTGGGAATGGCCTGGTACAGCTGTTTCCAAGTGGTGAACTGGTCGTCAAACGCCAGGAAGTCAAGCTCTGTGGCATTATGCCTGGTCTCGGGCGTGTCCCTAGCGGAGTACCCTTTGAAGTACCCAGGCAACGCTCTTACGTCCAAGTCCTGCACTGTCATCTCGACTTCGCGATTCCAGTCCAGGTTCAGCAACAGAAGCAGTCTATGTAGGATCATTTAGAGGTTAAGCATGGTTTTAGATGGGGATGTTACGCGTGTGTCCCCTTGGTTAAAGAATACCCTTTGCTTTTATACAAATATAGTCTCTAAGCTCATCGCATCGAGCCATCGAGCCATCGGGCCATCAAGAATTTGGAAATGATCAGTGTGATCCGCAGTTATTCACCCCACTTCCCCCTCCATTGTACGGTAGTTTCTTAAAGAACTAGGGAGGCACATACGTTGCAGTTCTGAACCCACATGCTTGTTGCTAGTTGCTAGCACAAATGGAAATAGTAACCACGTGTTATATCCCAAAACACGAGAAGACATTGAAATAGCTATGCACGTACTTATAATGTGATGTAACGTATAATGCAACACACTGTGTTTTGTGAAGTTGGTGGGGGGCCCACACCGTTGTATTAGAAGCACCCGTAGGGATTGGAGAGCAAGCAATCGAGAAAGATCGAGGTTTACATAATACGTGCGGGGTGCGACTGTTACTGTGTAGAGGGACCAAAGGCAGAGTGTCAAGGGGGGGGGGGAGCCCTCGAGTTTGTAAGGGGAATTTTTTCGCGGAAGGCGATAATTGGAGGGGCAGGGGCAGGGGGGAGAGAAGGAAAAGGAGAAGGAGAAAAGGAGAAAAGGAGAAAAGGACCAGGAATTGGCGGTAAACCTGGAGGGAGAGGGCAGGGGGGCAACAAAGGGATGGCGGAGGGAATGGGGTTGGGGGGTGGAGGGGAGTGACTGCACAAAAAGGGGGGGAAGGGAGACTAGAAGGCTGTAGAGTGCGGGCGCTATTACTGAGTGAATCACTTCCATTGTTTACCCCCCTTGATTCACTCATCCAATTCAAACTGAAAAAAAAAAAAAAACATATTTAAACAACAACCCTGGTAAAAAGAAAATTTTTTCTTCTGACTTAAACAAGTGATAGGAGTAATAGAAGTGTTATACATAGACACATTAACAAATAAATAAGAAAGAAAAACTAGTACGGAAAGGATGCAAGTTGAAACAGTGCCAACGAAGCCATATCAAGACCAGAAGCCAGGTACTTCTGGTTTGAGAAAGAAAACTAAAGTTTTCATGGAGGAGCCTAACTACACTGAGAACTTCATACAGGCGATCATGGATGCTATTCCAGAAGGAGCCAAGGATGCTGTTCTTGTGGTTGGTGGTGATGGTCGTTTCTACAACGATGTCATCATGCAGAAGATTGCGGCTATTGGTGCTGCCAATGGTGTGCGTAAGTTGATCATTGGTCAGAACGGGCTGCTGTCTACTCCAGCTGCATCTCATGTTATCAGATCCTATGCCGAGAAGTGTACCGGTGGTATTATCTTGACCGCGTCTCATAACCCTGGTGGTCCAGAGAATGACTTGGGTATCAAGTACAACTTGGCCAACGGTGGCCCAGCACCTGAGCCGGTGACCAACAAGATGTGGGAAGTCTCCAAGCAATTGACCCATTACAAGATAATCAAGGATTTCCCACAAGTCGATTTCTCCAAGATTGGTAAGGACCAGCAATACGGTCCTTTGCTAGTGGATATCATCGACACAACAGAGGATTACGTGAAGTTCATGAAAGAGATCTTCGACTTCAAATTGATCAAGGAATTTATTCACAAGCAAAGAGAAGCCAAGAACTGGAAACTGCTTTTTGACTCCTTGAACGGTATTACCGGTCCATACGGTAAGGCCATCTTCGTCGATGAATTTGACCTACCAGCTGATGAAGTACTACAAAACTGGCACCCACAACCGGACTTCGGTGGTCTGCACCCTGATCCAAATTTGACCTACGCTCACACTTTGGTCGAGAGAGTCGACCGTGAGAAGATTGAGTTTGGTGCCGCCTCAGATGGTGACGGTGACAGAAACATGATCTACGGTGCTGGCCCAGCTTTCGTCTCTCCTGGTGACTCTGTTGCCATCATTGCTGAGTACGCTAAGGAAATTCCATACTTCCAAAAGCAAGGTATCTACGGTCTAGCCCGTTCTTTCCCAACTTCTGGTGCCATTGACCGTGTCGCCAAGGCTCAAGGCTTGAACTGTTACGAAGTGCCAACTGGCTGGAAGTTCTTCTGTGCTTTATTCGATGCTAAGAAGCTGTCCATCTGTGGTGAAGAATCCTTCGGTACTGGTTCCAACCACATCAGAGAAAAGGATGGTGTGTGGGCCATCTGTGCTTGGTTGAACATCCTTGCACTTTACAACAAGCACAACCCAGAGAAGGAAGCCTCTATTAAGACCATCCAAGAAGAATTCTGGGCCAAGTACGGCCGTACTTTCTTCACTCGTTACGACTACGAAGGTATCACTACTGAAAAGGCTAACAAAGTTGTGGATTTGCTAGACAAGTTTGTCAATGATCCAAAATCCAAGAACGCTCCATTCCCAGGCGACGAGTCCTTAACTGTCTCCGACTGTGGTGACTTCTCTTACACAGACCTAGACGGTTCTGTATCAGACCACCAAGGCCTGTTCGTCAAGCTATCCAATGGTGCCAGATTCGTACTAAGATTGTCAGGAACAGGTTCCGCAGGTGCTACCATCAGACTATACATCGAAGAATACAGTGACGACAAGTCTACCTACACACAATCTGCAGACCAATACTTGCAAAAGATGATAAAGTCTGTCACTTCATTCCTAAACTTCAAGGAATTGATCGGTACCGATGAGCCAACAGTCCGTACCTGAGTGCATTTAATTTTTTTTCGTATCTATATCCCTCCAACAAAGAAAAAAAGCCCTCAATCCCCTTCCCCCCCCTTATAAGGAATCATCCTTTTCTATTGTAAAAAATATTATACATAATATAAATAATTCGATAAACATTTACTATGTTATAGTGTCCCTTATGCTTGTACTTTTGTTTGTTTTTTTCTTATTCCAACCCACAGTCTATTATAGCAACACGCCGATATGTGTGTCCTGTGCCTTCCCACACAAGACATCCCCCTTTTTCCACTAGTAGTAAGTCAATTCAAGGTGTCAGGGTGTGAGGACGTTCCAAATTCAGATGAACAGCCCTTAGACTTGGGGGGGAATGAGCTCTCTTGTGCCCCGTGTTTGCTACACAATGGGACATAGTAAAGGACCTGAGGGCTGGCTATTGTATAGGAGAGGAATATTCAAGAATCAAAAATCCCGTAATTGTCCGCGTTTTTCCTCGTTTCTTGTCTGGTACACAGAATGCCTGGAGGGACCATCTTTGTGTATTAGTCGGTTTTTGGCTTGCGAAGCACGTCCCCACGATGGTTACTGTGACTTCCATCTCCATTTTGTGCTTTCTGTCGTCGGGATCTAGCTTCTAGCTTTGCCCTTCTGGTACTACGACTGGTTTACTGACAGCACAAGTGATCCAGCACTTGAGAATATATGTAAGGGGACGCTCCACAGGATATTCTAAGCATGGGAGCTGCATGTGTGTATTCTATTAACTATGGAAGCTTTTTCTCTTGTCACTTAATACAATCCACTCTCAGAAATGTCCGCGTCTTGGGCGGTCTTTGCCAACCACCCCAACCCCCTTCCTTCTTTTCCCGATTAGGAAAATGGAATCACACAATCTTAAATTAGTTCAGCGATTCTGCGTACAATACACAGGGGGGGGGGGGGGGGAGAGAGAGACCAGGGAGAAGGTGCTTTCATGGTTCCTGCGTGCACTCTCTCACTGCCAGGAAAAAGGAACGAAAATAGCTGCGACAATAACAAATAGCTCACCTGCTGGGCCCATCGCTAATAAACAATGGCCTGTCGGTAATATTGGCAGCCTCGAGGGGTTTTTCTCTAATTCCTAGTATATAACAAACTCTTGGAAAACAGGACGAAGACCAACACTCGAAACCAAGGATCCCCTAACAGCGCGCAATTGGTAAGATGTACGGTTGGAAGCTGCACAGGTTTAAGTTCGGTAGAGGTAAAGACGATGACAGTAGAAAGAAGAAGATGATAATAAGCTCTTCGCAGAGCTCGCTGAATAGCGCGGATACGGCCGCGGGTGACTCGATATTTAGCAGGCCTTCCGTCGAGAGGAGAGACACAGTTACAGCGGCGAATGGTTCTATAGCACCTGTGCGTGTGTCGCAGGATTCTTACATGTCCTATTTCAAAGAGAGCAACGAGAACATGTCCAAGTTCGATTTGCCATCCTGGTTGCGCTCGCACAAGGACAGCTTCTCGCCATTTAACAGCAGCTCAAACTCGAGTTCTAATCTCGGAAGCAACAGAGACAGCTCGATGACGGATGTCACGGAGCTGCTTAACGACACAGCATTCAAGAGCACCCCGTTCGATAGAATTGATGAGAATATGCACTCCGGCCTGCTCACAGTGAAAGTTTACTCCGGAAGTAACTTCACCATGCCTGTGCCAATCACTTCAGACCAAGGCATATTGCATAACCTTCTGAACTCCTCAATCTCAAGCTTAGAAGGCGATAACAACACTTACGCGGAAATGGAACAGCTTATAACACAACTCTCGCAGGTGCATCTGGCTAACCAAACCTCAGAAGAGCAGCTTATATCTAATGCATTCTCATCTACATTCATCCCAGCAGTCATTAAAGTCCCGGGACATGACGACTACCCACTGATATACATGACAGTAGAATACGACAACACAATGGCCACAATATACCCTGAAGGTGGCACGATATCAAAGCCCGTTTTCAATAAGATATCCACTTTTGACGTGACTCGCAAACTGCCCTTCCTTAAGTGTAGTGTATTCATAAAAATTCCATCAGCCCTACTACCTTCAATGAGATGGCAACAAGAGGCTGCACTAGCTGACCCGAACATGAGATCTATTCTAGAAACTATACATGCTGGCAAAGAAATATTCTTAGATTCGTTTACTTTACCGGTAGTGCTGGATATGAACTCAGCTTCAAACTTCAGATTATTCAATCATCAATGGATTAATCTCAAACAGGGGCTCGGGACCATCAACCTGACCGTTGACTTCAAACCCTCATATAGCAAACCAGTTGGTATTGATGACTTTGAACTGTTAACTGTATTGGGGAAAGGTTCATATGGTAAAGTGATGCAGGTAAGAAAAAAGGATACACAAAAGATTTATGCATTAAAAGCTATCAGGAAATCATATATTGTGGCGAAATCAGAAGTCATCCATACATTAGCAGAGAGAACAATCCTAGCACGAGTGGAATGTCCTTTTATTGTGCCATTGAAATTTACCTTTCAAACGCCAGAAAAGCTTTATTTAGTACTTGCATGTATAAATGGCGGTGAATTATTCCATCATTTACAAAGAGAAGGTATTTTTGATATTTCTAGGGCTAGGTTTTATGCATCAGAACTTCTTCTTGCGTTAGACTCGTTGCATAAAATGGATGTGGTTTATCGTGATTTGAAACCTGAGAATATCCTGCTTGATTCACAAGGTCATATTGCGCTTTGTGATTTTGGTTTATGTAAGTTGAATATGAAAGATAATGAGAAGACTTCAACATTTTGTGGTACACCTGAATATCTCGCACCTGAGGTACTTTTAGGGAAAGGATATACCAAAGTCGTAGACTGGTGGACCTTAGGTGTTTTGCTTTATGAGATGTTAACAGGTTTACCTCCTTACTACGACGAAAATGTAAGCGAAATGTACAAGAAAATACTAAAAAGCCCACTGATATTTCCGGATGGTATGGATCCTGACGCTAAGGACTTATTGAAAAGGCTCCTGAATCGTGATCCTAATAGAAGATTAGGTGCCAATGGTGCCGATGAGATTAAAAACCATAAATTCTTTAATGACTTAATCTGGGATAGCATATGGAATAAAGAATATCTTCCACCTTTTAGACCAGACGTGCAAAACGCAAATGATACTAGCAATTTTGATAATGAGTTTACGAAACAAAAGCCAGTTGATAGTGTTATCGATGAATACTTAAGTGAAAGTGTTCAGAATCAATTTAAAGGATGGTCTTATTTGGGTTCCGAACAACTAGGAAGCTCGATGGCCTGAACCAATTAGTGCATAATATACAATACTTACCTATTGTTATAACGAACTCTATCGTACTATGTTTAATGAATTTTACGACAAGCAACTTTAGCATTATTTATTTCTATTTTCGTTTACATTTATAGTCTGGCACTTAAATAATACTTCGATGACATATTCAAATCCATAACAACTTCAGCATGTAGAGAACAGGTCGACTATGTGAACTGGGTTCAATATCTCGTTTTAGCCACGATCAAGAATGTATCACAGTGAAGATAAGCTTCAACAATGGGGGCAGTGGGCTATTCCGTCATAATCATCCTGTTCGATAGATTAATTTTGAGATCGATACTGTGGGATAAAGTGGGATCGTGTCACGAAATTTCTGAATTTTCGGATTGTACCGTCTTACTAGTGCTCTAATTCCTCTTCGAATTTTATTACTTAGGTGAATTTCCCATTGGAATTTGTTTGATCAAGTTTCCAGTTAGATGACTTGAAATTTCTAAATTGGCCTTTACAGCTGTTTTTTTGAGCAAATGAACGCTGTGACTTTGATCAAAGTTCCGGTCTTTTAGTCCAGCAGTGATTTATCAGTGGAAATTGATAGATTTGTAAAAAATGGTCATCACGTAAAAGTGTGTTTATTACTCTTGCGTTTCTTTCCATCCTTGTAGTTGTACATATCCGAAGTGGGTCAGGTATATAAATTCAATTGCTGTTTTGCAAACTTGTTAGTTAGATTTTGTTTTCATTACTATTCTTTGTACTTCATTTATGATATTTGCAAAAAGACGTTGCAACGTTACAATTATAATCACAACACAGTCTTTGAGCCTTCATAAAGCTTGTTACCCAATTTTCCTATTCGCCAGTTAATTAAACTTCGAACAAACCATAATATTCTTTTTATATACATTGCAAAATAGGAACCATGGCTCAAACAATAGAAAAGAAACCTGTTTCATTCTCTAATATACTGCTGGGTGCTGGGTTGAACTTGTCGGAGGTCACAACTCTTGGCCAACCATTAGAAGTGGTTAAGACCACTATGGCTGCTCACAGAGAATTCAATTTCTTACAAGCTACAAAGCATGTATGGTCTCGTGGTGGTATATTCGGTTTTTACCAAGGGCTAATTCCATGGGCTTGGATCGAAGCCTCCACTAAAGGTGCCGTGCTTTTATTTGTTTCTGCTGAGGCTGAATACAGATTCAAGGTGCTAGGGCTCAATAACTTTGGTGCTGGTATCATGGGTGGTATCACTGGTGGTGTCACTCAAGCTTATTTAACCATGGGGTTCTGTACCTGTATGAAGACTGTGGAGATCACAAGACAAAAGGCCGCTAATGTTCCAGGTGTTATTCCTCAATCATCATGGCAAGTGTTCAAGTCCATCTATAAGAAGGAAGGTATTAGAGGTATCAATAAAGGTGTAAATGCCGTTGCTATTAGACAAATGACTAACTGGGGTTCCCGTTTTGGTCTATCGAGATTAGTTGAAGATGGTATCAGAAAACTCACTGGTAAAACTGGAAAAGATGATAAGCTAACTGCTCTTGAAAAGATCATGGCAAGTGCCATTGGTGGTGGTTTGAGTGCATGGAATCAGCCAATCGAGGTTATTAGAGTAGAAATGCAATCTAAGAAAGAAGATCCAAATAGACCTAAAAACCTAACTGTTGGTAAGACTTTCAAGTATATCTACCAAAGTAACGGTCTTAAGGGTTTGTACCGTGGTGTCACACCTAGAGTTGGTCTAGGTATCTGGCAAACTGTCTTCATGGTTGGTTTCGGTGACATGGCCAGAGAATTTGTTGCTAAACTAACTGGTGAAAAGCCAGCTGCAAAGCACTGATGGTCTCTTTTAAATAGGAATGGAACTTTTAGATGCATTTGTATATTAGCATACAAGTTACTGATAAATCTGCAAATTTTATGTAACATTTTCTGTACAATAGTAAAAACAAATAACAAGGAATCGAAATAAGCGCTATGCAATCAATTACCCTTGTAGCAGAAATTAAGTCTTAATGAATAAATGCTACATATATTATGTTAATAAACTATACAGCCTAATTGGAAAATAACATTCATGAAATGAGATCTTAATAGTGTATGTGATTAGATTATAAATTGAAATCTACGTATCTTTGTGTTTTGACTATACAGAGATTAGAAAAGTAATGTGAAATATTCTCGAAATCCTTTAATGTACCCAAACCAAACAGCTTAGTAGAAAGTAGATGGTCTCTTGTAAGCGAAGGTCTTGGTGGACTTTTGGACTCTGTGTGGCAATGGGAACTTCAAGTCCTTGCTCAAGAATTGCTTAACGTATTGTCTCTTGACATCAGCGGTCTTTTCGATTTCAGCAACCTTCAAGATGTGGATAGATCTAAATCTAGCTCTGTGTCTAGCAGCCATGTCTTGGTACAAGGTTTCGACGGCAGCAACTCTGGAAACATCTCTGATTTCCTTGTACATGTTGTGGGTACCAGATCTAGAGTCGTATCTAACCCAGACACCGAAGTTCTTGACCTTGGTTGGGTGAGCTTCGTGGATTTGGTTGATGGAAACAACTTCACCGGAAGCCTTCTTAACCTTGTGCAATTTTTGCAAGAAGTACCAGTAACGAGACTTGGCAACAACTTCATTTGGAGCAAAAATTCTCATTCTGAACAACTTTGGTTCAGGAACGGATTCAGTTGGCAAACGACGGCCAATAACTTGGTATTCTCTCAAGTGAGCCACTATTTTCATGATGTCAAACCTCTATTCTTTTGTTACTAACAAGTCAATGTCTCGAAGATTTTCTAGCTGTGACAATAAAACCAAAAGTATGATGTACCACAAATCTGCTTAACGTTGACCTCGGTTAAGTATTAAAAGAAGTTGAATATTGAATTAATATAGTTAGTAAATTTTGAACTTTTTTCACTCGTTTCTGATAATAAAGAAAACAAAATTTAACCCCAATAGTCAAGAATAATCATTTAAAATATTAAATTCACCAAGCCATATATTCCAATGAATGTACATCACAGATCATCTTTGAAAAACTTCCCAGATATTTCATACAGTCTAACCGCACATGCAAAAGCACGTCTGCTAATTTGTCAAATTGATTGATCAGGATGTATAACTTCTCATTAGCAAAATGCCTTCAACAGTGTATCAAGTAACATATGAGGAAAATGAACGATGAATCTTCTCCCACAACGAACTCTGTTCATATCAAACCTTATTCCATTAGTCTCAACCCATAATGAATATAATACATTTATCTATTTCCGATTAAATTAACCATGGTGAAGTTTCATTGTATATGCAAATATGTTCTAAATTTCCAGGCTATGCTCCCATTGGTGTCCAAATATTGTTCTCTATTATTATCTATTGTCTGGCGATTATAACGCCCATAGTATGTACTCACTTTTTCTCTGTTCTGCTTCCTTTGTGATGCACTAGATTATGAAAATACTAAAGTATAAACAGAAAAACCTCTATTATAAAGCACTATAAGAAAGTTAGCCGCAAGATGTAGATACTATGATGATGAAATTATCGATTATTTTTGTCAATAGTTACTAGGTTTTCCACTTTCGCAGCACTTAGTTAGCAGAAATTGTCTGTGCACACAATTCCTGGTAATCTGAACTAGGTGATGAGACTGCATCGCAAGCCCGACACTGTCTGTCTAGAATTCGCAACTCTAGAAGGAGATACTAGTGGACCCCCAGCATAGTCCAGGCAGGTAGGCCAGGAGGGAGGAACCACTCTGGCTAGGAACAGTTAGACCTGAACCAGTACCCTCTAGTGAATTGTAAAGATAGTCGTTATGGAAAGCCTGCTAGGCCAGCGAACCTAATTAGGCCGGCGGATTGATCGTATCCAAATTACAACCCTCCAACTGGGATGTGCTTGTTAGCTCATTAGGCTGAGCCCGAACTTGCCGGGGCGTAGCAAAGGGAAATATTGAGCGTAGCCTACTAGGAGGGCCTTGAGATAGGCTGGGGTGTTCAATGCAGTACTATTGTCCTGCTACACAGCCTTGATGGTAGAAAATCTCATCGGTGTCAGTGTGCTGAGACTAGACAGCTTTCCCTTGCGGGTTCATGCTTGTTCGCTCATCATGAATATCATCACTAAAACTGGCAAATGTCTTTCACCTTCATTATCGTAAGTAAAGAGTTGTACTAACTTTTTGATCTTAATATGGTGTTTGGGTGTTTAAAAAATTGCAGTCACAACTAATGACTTTTTGGGCCAGCTCGCTGAGTGGACGAAAAAAAAAACAGAAGCCGAAAATCCAAGTAAAGAAAGAGTGTTATGAGGTGATTCATTCCTTTTTTCTGAGGAACTGAATCAGGATGATTCAAAGACACGAGCGAGGTTCGTAAAATCGAAGCACTCACAATGCGCATACTAAGCAATTGATTAAAATGCATAGATCAGTAGTAGCTATCAATTAAAAAAAGTTGGTAGAAACTGTATATATTTTGACAATGATATTTTTGTATACAAAATAAATATCGTTATGAAAGTGATTTTTTATTTGAAATATGGAACTTACATAAATGTAAACGAATATGATAAAATGGAAGCGGGTTGATTATGTTCATGACTAATATAATGGTTAACATACCACATGAAGAGGGTATATGGATTTATCGTTGTTGAATGTAACTCCCCAAATATGTGATGATGATGATTATGGTCGTTCAAATTTTAAAACGGTAATATTCTCTTTCAGAATTTATTTTAATTGTCATCAGCAATAGCGTCTTCTGAAATATTAGATGCGCTCAGAGTGCCATATCTTGATGACTTCAAATGATCTGGATTTAGAGGCTCTGGTGGTAGTTCCTCAGAGCCACCGGCAATCATGGAGAACCTTCTACGTTCATCAGGGCTGACGTCGTCTCTAATGAATTCTGGTTGAACTGTAGCAGAGTTAATACCATGTTGGCGGAAAATTCTTCTGATCTTTCTGGCTGAGCTCTCAAACTTGTCAGCTGCACAGTCAATTTCAACATGGATAGATGCAATGTATATAGACTCGGTTAAGTTCCAGATATGGAAATCATGGACGGCCTTTACACCAGGAACTGCCAAAATTTCTCTTTGAACTTCATCTGCAGAAATTGTGGATGGAGTGGCTTGTAGTAGAATTCTTGAAGCTCTTCTTGATAATGGTAGAGCAGATGAGAAAATTATGGCCGTGATTAGAAGGGAAACAACTGGATCTGAGTAATGTCTCCAAGAATAATCTGTTTTCCAAATAAACAAAGCTGCAACAATAACACCGACATTACCTAGAGCATCACCAAGAACATGTAGAAACACACCGTGCATGTTCAATGACTTTTGGCTCTTTTTCTTGGCTTCAGCCTTCTTCTTGGCCGCTTCATCTGAATCAGCTAATAAGCTAGTGTTTTCGGTGGCAAGTCTTGTCATAGCGGTTTGAGTCAGAATATCACCGATGTTATTGTTATAGAAACCGTTTCCATCACTCTCAGTATCTTCTTCTTCTAATTCTTCATCAGATCTATGTGCTGGACAGTTTGGATCTAGGCCAGCGTTAATTTCTTCTTGGTGAGAATGATCATGGCCGTGGCTATGTCCGTGATCGTGGCCATGGCTTTCCCCTGCTTCAATATCAGAGCCTAGACCACCATGGGAGTGACCGTGGCCGTGGCCATCATCATGGAATAAAAATAGACCGACAATGTTAGAGGCCAGACCAGCGCAACCAACGATCAAAACTAATTTAGGATTCTGAATTTCTTGAACTTCAATCAATCTTTGTAATGCTTCAATGAAAATCGAGAAACACAGCGCAATCAGAAAGACAGCGTTAACCAATGCACCTAAAATTTCGGCTCTCTTCCAACCGTAAGTATACTTGGCATCAGGACCTCTATTCTTAGCGACACTAACAGCCCAAAGAGCAACCAGTAAAGAGAAAATATCATTTAGCATATGAAAAGAATCTGCAATTAGGGCCAATGAGTGAGACATATAACCAATAGTGATCTCGATAACGAAGAAAACTGTGTCCAGTGTCAACAGGGCACCAATCCTTATTTCCTTACCAGATAACATGTTATAATAGTGAAGGACTAACGGATTGTAGTAATGTGCTAAATATTTGAGTCTGGTTCCAGAAACGAATCAAGTGTAATGTTATCTATCGCTCAGAAGTATGTTCTTCTAGTAGACTTGATAAGTCAATTTGTTTATAATAATCGAGAATATTTCGTCTTCTTTGAGTTAAGAAAAGCGATGACTATTTTGCTTGTCTTCCAGCAGTGATAATGATCTCGAAATCCACTTCAAATATAGGAAATATGTTCCAGATATATACTGTTTATCTTTAGATCAACTGCTCTGAAGAATATAACAATGTTTTGTGCACAACTTTTTTTTTAAGACTGTGATGTGGATGCGTTACAGCTGTAGCTTTAGTTAGTGTCTCGGTATGATTTTTTTTTTTAAATTAGTAGAAATTCCCTTCAAAAAACGAGAAAATATAAAGCTCGCACCCGAAAAGTTAGATAATAGGTAAAAGTACTCAAAATACTGTATGGCAGATGCAAGCAAATGTCTTCTTATTATTTTTAGATCGTATACTACAAATGCGACCTTATGTGATGATGTTAAGCGATATTGTATTTTTTTGTAAATCTCTGTTTCCTTTTCTTTTTGTTTTGACTACCTGTCACAGAGAAATATATTCGAATGCTTGTTTGATTTTATTTAATAGTAAAAACACTCTCACACTCACACTCACACAAAAAAACAGTATAGTTCAATTTTTTGTATAAACTTGCAAGCAATAATAAAAAAGCAATTAAATTCAATGGTGATATATGCCAATCCCTTATGGCCGGAGCAACTTTAATAGTAGTTTCTGTTTTATTTGTCGGCTTAATTTTCTTGCAAGAATTTGTGCAATTAGATTTGTAGTGGAGTTACAATACAGGAAGACAAGAGTGGAAGATAAAAGACAAATAAGAATCGGTTGGGACTTATAAATGTTTCTTCAAGTGAGAGAAGAATTTTTTTTCTTCTCATATAATTTCAGATCAGTGATCTATTTATTACAGGAATTATTATCAGATCGGATAACAATTGTGTCGTTTAATGCAGGAGGTTGTAGTTGTATTTTTAGGAAATCTATACGTCAGTATTGGTTTTTATGTAGAATATGTATACTATTTTGAACTCAACACTGTGGTAAAGTGGTCACAGCTGCCTAGTTCCTTATAAGAAGAAACAACAAACCCGAAATGTAAATAAACCGTTATCGTTGCAAATAAAGTAAGCAAATGCTCATCAAAAAGAGTTCTCGAACTGTATGGTATACCATTTCAGTTATTGTTTTGTGGAAAGCTACAAAATTAGCGAAAAGCTACTTGATAGTGATCTTGCAACAGTTATCGGCTGCCAATTTCTATTCCCTGATTGAATATGCCTACAAATACTGTAGCTCTCTCTCTTTTTTCCCTCATTTATTCCCAATATGCTCTGATACTTCATTTTTTCTGGATTCCAGTCTCAGTGACAGCTCGCAAAGAAAATAGTGTAAAGAAGAGGGTGATTCGCACTCTTTCGTAGGCACGCTGAAATGATGAACCTCGTTCTCTAAGAAGTATTCGTAGAAATATGGATGGGTGTTTGCTCTTTTGCCTCCATCTTCAATTCAAGATAAAGAAGCAGCTGCAATATTTTGTGTTTCTTAAGAATCTCATGCTGTATATTCAGTGAATTAGAAACAAGCTGCTCTTACCTACATTATAAAATCCAATTGAAGCAAAGTATTTAGTGTGTTCTCATTTCCTGTTATTGCAAGTACAGTTCTGAAAAGATATTATGTACCCGGGAAGATGGCATTTTGACAGTTGGGAAAATGAGATTGACGCCTGCATATATTTCTATGTTATCTGAAACTTCCAGCATCCAAAACAGATGTGGATTGTGTGTAGATGTGGATTGTGTGTAGATGTGTTGTGGGTGAGTGTGGGTGTGTGTGTTAATGTCGTTTTGTCTCTATATCGTAAGTTGCCCAGCTGATTCAGGTTCGCACTCGAGAAGACGCAGCCAGAAATAGCAGCAAGCCGGATATTAAACTTCCGATGCGTTACTTTAATTGTGAGCGATAAGATAGCTTAACCTCGTATTCTTCACAGAAACCTTAGTGGAGGAACGAGGAATGCCAAATCAGGCTTCCATTTCTTTTTTTTCCCCTTCCAAAAGTACTAATCACAAGAAAATCGCGCGTGTCGTGTCACTGTCTGGTAGGGAATGGATTTCATAGCTGATGGCACAAGTCCGGGGAAGAGGCAGCGGGGGGGTGGCTATTGGCTGTTGGTCAATTGTTCCTTTCTGCTCTTTTGTAGGTTATTTGAATATGGACACAGCCTAGGAAGCATGTAGCGATCCTCGCAAATGGAACAGACCACATATGCCTCTTTTTCAAGTATTGACGATGTAAACCTATTATGACAAGGCAATAAATGCTGCCTTAAACGTAGTAGTCTATACTCCTTGCTAACTGCCTTAGGCTTAGATTTACTATTTGTATCGGGGGTCGAGTTCCGAGGAAATGCGTTGTTATTTTGCATAAGGGTGTATGTCTGTGTATCACTTAAAGGTTTGTCTAAGTACTTCAGGTTTTGATGTTTTATTGCCCGATGTTGTGGGCTTAGGTAAGTTTTTTTGATAACGGAAATAAAATAAATGGAAGCTCCGGTAAAGTTGAATGACAAAACATATTTTTGGCATTAAGCCAATATCTATAGTTTCTTTGTTTAATTATCAGAGTAAACCAAAACTGGTATTGCTCTGGGAATCCCTTTTTCGATATCGAAAATAGTATAAAATTATATATATGAATTGGTTGGAATTTGTAATGCTTACTCTCAATCTTATAAAGAGTCCCTTTATTTATTTTACTTAGTTAGGGGTGCAGTAACTAAGGATTGAAATTTTAAGATTCTTTGTTGCCGGAGCGTAGTATCAAATACTGTGAATATTGAACTCTTTATTATGAAATTTCGATCTCGGCGCAAAGAAGAAGAAAATTGCTCAGCATAAGCAGTAATTCTAATTGCCGTTAGTACAATAAAGTATAAAATCAGATCGAGTTTCCTTAATAATTTTTAATTATTGTTTTAATTATTTTTTTATTATATTTTTATTAATCTCTCTAAGTGATTTTAATAATGTGGTAAACCATAATCTAGATTTTCTTTGGTCTGTTCCTTTTTTTGAACTATAATATAATCGCATTCTAGCATAATTTCAAACGCTATATAGTAATCTGGTTAACTTTTATTTCCGGGCGGTATAAAAAATAAGATATAAAAATGGCAGCTTGAGTTAGGTTTCTGTATTCTTACGACGATGTTTATTGCAACGATCTCTACAATGTTTCGATATTAGTCTTATTAGTCATATATAGAAAACTTAAAAATAATGACATTTACTAAGGCTGTTATTATCTTTTTCTTTGCAATTGGAGTCAGAAGTCACATTTGGAATGATAAGCCAAGTGAAAACTCTGACAATAAAATACAACATCAGCATAAGAAAGGAAGTTTTAAACGTGATGGAACTTGTAGCTTTCCTAACTATCCAGGCATGGTAGCAGTTCAAAAACAAGGAAAAAATGCTGGTTGGGCGCTAAACACTGATCAGCAATGTTCATATGGTACCTGGTGTCCATATGCCTGCGAATCTGGTAAATTAATGGCACAATGGGATCCAAGTGTTACTTCATATTCTTATCCTGGTTCTCAAAACGGTGGTTTGTTTTGTGATTCTAATGGAAATTTGCAAAAGGGTTTCTCTGATAAGGATTATTGTGTTGATGGGAAGGGAACAGTTTCGATAAAAAATGAGGCATCAGGAGAAGTGGCGGTATGTCAAACCGTTTTACCTGGAAATGAAGATATGCTAATTCCTAATAAGTATTAATAGTGGCTCAGAAAAGGTGATAGCTGTGCCAGGGCCAGACTATTTCGCTGGAACAGCGGCACATTATTATATAAATCCACCTGGAGTTTCAACAGCTGATGCCTGTCAATGGGGTAAAAACAGCAAACCTGTGGGTAATTGGTGTGCTTATGTTGCAGGAACTAATCAAGACTCCAATGGTAATACATATGTCAAGATAGGCTGGAATCCAATATATCTTGAAGAGGCCACGCCTTTCCGTACTACGAAACCGACCTTCGGAGTAAAGATTGAATGTGATGATCCATCACAATGTGAGGGATTACCTTGTGCAATTGATCCAGGTAGTATGGAGGTGAATCAAGTTAGTGCTAGTACGAGTTCATCTTCTGGTGCTGGTGGTGGGAACTTTTGTATTGTAACAGCTAAAAATGGTGCAAAGGCTAAAATTGTTGTTTTCGAAGTTGGCGGCGGGGGTAATGTTAAACGGAACATTGCCATTGAAGAAGAGAAAAAGGTTGAAACAGTCACCGTTACAACAACTGTCACCGAAACATTAATTCGCTCTCATACTTGAAATAATGAATTCTTTAGTTAACAGTAGTCCATTATGAGACCTCACCTAAATTTTTCGTTTCTAAATAAAAATAAAAAACTATAAACTACAGTTCTAGTTATTATATTTATATGAAGTATATACAAGCAGTTAAGAACTCTACATCTATAATTAAAAAAAGGCTTACCTTAGTTTGTTTCAAAGCTTAGCTACTATTTAGAGCATATTATGCAATGATTTCGCACCGAGGACTAAAAAGGCGCATAATACTTTATGTGAGTCCTTGAATTGAGTTGCATTATTCTACTAGTTATTGAAGGAACATATTAACAATTACATTTAATTATTGGATGTGAAATACAAGTGAAGTAAATATTTCCATACACATTAATTAACAAGTCCTGAGGACCTTAACAGTTGTAAAGTAGCAGATACCAATTTCTTATAAATGCTCTCGACAATTACAACATTATAGTTCTAAGTCTCAAATTCTGTATGATTAGAATTGTCTATGATAATTTGGAGGTATTTTTCAATAGCAGGAAACATTAGGAAAAAAATTAAGCATTAAGTGTTCTAAAAAGAAACAAAAGAATATATAAACCACTGATTATAAAAAGTTGATTAAAAATTATAGGCCCTTAACATTGACCTTTCTTGAATTTCATCCTTTAGCTTGTATCGAGAATTATCATATCGATAATCCACTAAACTGAAAGGAATAAACTATCTAACGATTGACACGATTTTGATCAGATAGCAGTTTCACCAGAAGCTCTCACAGATTCAGGGTCTTCAACCTTTTCTGGGTACATTTCTTGTTCCCCAGATTTGGTTAGCTTAAAGCTTGGCCATAGACCGTAGTGGTTCGTAATGAAAACTAGGTAAGCTGGCAAGATACCAAAGATACACAAGTCCAAGATACCGTAAAAGATAGCTTCGGAGTCTGGTTGAATCTTGTTACCACCTTCAGACACACCCCAACAGATGAAGTAAGCCCAAACGATCAACATGGACAAGATCAATAGACAAGCAGTGAAACCTCTAGTCTTCAAGACAAAGAATTGTCTTCTGACTTGGATACCTTGCACGACAAGCATGGCGGCAGCACCAAAGGTGAAGTAACCCCATTTGTAAGTAGAGTGGATCAAAGCACCAACCAGCAAAGCGACGACCCAGTACAAAGTACCAGTCATTTGAACCAATAGGGAGTGGATCAAATCCAAAGCAGAGATCTCCTCACCTGGGTTCAAAGTAGTACCGATACCGGCCAGTTCAATCAAGAACAATAGACATGGCCATGATAGGAACCAAGCACAGAATTTGGAGTAGAATATCTGTCTCACACCTGGTACCAAACCAGTGACTGGAGTGTCGACAGTAACGTGGTTGAATTCTGCTTGTACACCAGTCCAACCCAAATTAGAAGCGTATGTGAAGTAGCCGAAAAACTCGAACATGGCGATTAAGAAGGCAGGAGCGATAGCGTAACGGGTGATACGGGAACCCTTCAATTCAGCAATGAAGAATAAAAAGATGTAAACGACCATCAACAGACCGAAGCATGCGAACACAGCCCATAACCAATCAGAACCACGCTTAGTGATGTGGAAATCTAGGTCGTGAGGTGGGTTGACGCTGATGGCCCTGTTACCGCCCTTGTTCTGTATGACGTCCGTAAAGATATCAACCATTATTTATTTGACTTAATGATAAAGCTGAAGATTTGTATTTGTCTGTTATTAGCTCGTGAGAGTTTTTTGACTTGTTGTGTTATGATCGAATAAGAGTAAAAAATTAAAATAAATGGAATGTAGAGTTAGCAAGAAAAGAAAACGGAAAGGTGGATAATTAGTCCTGTATTTATATGTTCTTGAAGAAGGTACTGTTTATAGAATATTTCCTATTTGCGATTTTAGTTTCATTTTTTTTTTTTCTGTTTTAACTGTTACAAATGGTTTTCTTTCTTCTGATGGGATGGCATCCCTTCATTCATAAAAATAATTCGTAATTGGCTTCTATTCCTTTCTTCCTCTCTTCAATTGAATTTGGAATTATCATCAAATCCCCTTTGTTATTCTGTATTTGTAAGAGGGATTTTCTATTCAGGGCTGTCCTTATTTTCTTCTTAGTGCTCATGCACCATCAAATTCTCAATTCGAGTACAAAACTACTTTCATAAGCTCTGAAAATCAACACCCATTAGCAAAAATGAAATCTATTTACAGGGGAACAAAAGGCATGCTAATTACTTGTTTCATGCGTTTGCCCAGACAAGTCTGGGAAAATCATTAAGGCTTTAGAGAAAGAAGAAAAGATACCATTACGTAGTCTCCCATCTGAACTAACAACTGTCCTACAATTGAAGTCATTTTGCCATAATTAACCAATTATGGACTATCAAAACAAAAACAAAAACAAAAACAAAAAGATTTTCCCGCCATATTTCTGCCTTATTTTTTTTTATTTGGCAGAAACTTTCAAACCACTACCATTTTGCTGCGTTTCTGGTATTACATGAGAATAACTCCGGGCTTCTGTCCAGAATAACTGGCAAAGTCAAAAAAGTGCTTTACCAGTTACGGCTTTAATGTTCTCTACTCCCTGGACTCTCCCAAAGTCGAAAGTAGTCCTTGACCCTAAGAGTCGATTGCGGGAATTTCCATCTTCCCTATGCCCTTGCTTTCCCTTTATGGCATTATACAGATAATTAGACTCCTTTACCTTCTTCTGATCGAATACTCCGTTCGGTTCTCTGAGTAGCATCCGGGAATAGGGATTCGTGGCGGTAGGAAAGGAGTTGGTATCCCTTAAAAGGATTGACAACATCAAAAGGCTTTGCAATGCATCTTGTTCCAAATTTTTACAAAAAGGGGCGTAGAAAAATTCTTGCTGATACACATAACATAGGACCCGGAGAAAAAGTTCAGTTATAACAGCGGTAGAACGTTCTAGATGTGTACTTCCTTTATTGCTGTGACTTTCAGTGAATCTGTCCTACTTGCCCGTCATAGGGATTTCCTTGTCCAATCATTATACCAGGTAATCTCATATCCCCTATTCACTTCTATCTTACCGCAAGCCTATTGTCTCACCCTTCCAAAATACTATGGAACTATATCACCGTTACAAAGATAGATGCGTACAACTCTCCGGGGGGGTGGGGCCGGTAGCACATAACAGAAATGGCATCCTTTCTTCTTCCAATGGCCAACCCCCCTTTTATCTTTTTCACTTTCATACTTATCCTATTTGATAATCCCCGGTGAATACAAAAGAGATGTACGTACAAGTACATCGGTACCCCTATTTTGCCGAATTCGATCGAGTTTCCATAGAACTATTTTTTTTTTTGGGAACACGGGAAGTCATCCCTCGGAGAATCACATGCACACGGGCCATTCAAAAAAATAAAATGATTGACACCCTGGGAGACGTATCCGTTGTTTTGGTTTTACCTAACGTGGAAATGTAAACACTTAAACATATAATACGTTAAGCGAGTGCTAGGATGTGCTATGAGAGTGATGGGGGGCAAAGGGCTCATCCACATTGGTGTACAACTGGAAATACTATTAATATTTTGGTACGACATCTCAACGTGCTGTTAAAATGGTACTGGAATATATTTCGTTGCACATTATTTACATGGTATTTGTATAGCATCTGGATTTAGACACTGATATATATAAGCAAAGACAGTTTGGTCAATGATTGATTTAGTTCCAGGCCCTGGGTGGACATAGCATATAACAACTTCCTACATCTTGTGTTTCTTGCCATCTATTATTAGTGTGTATAATATGGGCCATCCCCAGAAACTTTAGTCTTGAATCTTCATTTTGAGAGTTTTGCGTTCTGTTCTTCTACTTGCTTTAACATCTGTTCTCTTTTGAAATCCACTATCCTCTTCTCGTTGAAATATTTAACCCATGAAGACACACAATCAGTCTCGTATTGCTGGTTCTCAGCTTTGCATTTAGACACACCGTCGCTGGGTTTTAATATATCGTTCTTATCGAGACAACTGAAGAACTTGTCTCGGCTCTCCCAGCATTTCTTCCTGTTGGCACGGTTATTTTCTATCTTGGGTTCTTTACTAAACAGTCCCATCTTGTCACTTAACTCTATTTATCTCTATATGTATCTGACTATGGCAACAAAGGTCTCCCCCACCAGTTACTATCTACAACCACATAACGATACCCAAATTACTTCTCATTACTTTTTAGTAATGGATAGTTTTGCAAGCTTCCGTTCCCTTCCCTCCCCCCCCTCCCCACACACATAAGTAAGATCACAAGGAGATAAGTACAGACGATAGACATGTGACAATGTGTACAGACGTTGGAAATAAAACACACGATACGAACTACATGTGCCAGACTCCCATTTCCGGAATCGCTAAGGTTGCAACAGTAACAAAACATATTTTTGTGCCGCACTACAAGTGTCTTTGGTAACTTGAAATCCAATTTTACTTTACAGTTATTGTATCCTCTTAAGGTCTCTCGCTATACATTTGTTGTACAGCAAATTCAGTATTGGGCCTCTTGTTCTCGTAAGCTCTCTGCACGGAAATTTTCTGCTTTGTCTTGCTAGTAAAATGCGGATCGCTTGATAGAGATTGTGCTGCGCTAAAATACCGCAGCAAGTCAAAAACTCAACAAAAAATGAAACTCAAAAGGCAACCGAGATGCCTCTACTAGTTCCACAGAAAGCACACAGGCAGAAGCAAAGAACAGGTCCAATATAGGGGAGAATTTCTGGAAAGAACCGGTGGTCCGTGTGGGAATACCATCACAATCCCCGTGTCTTCGCACAAGGCCAAAACACACACCCGACAGAGACAAGCCCGCAGAGAGACAAGAAAATGAATTATCGATGAAGTTTTCAGAAACCGACGATCTGGAAACAAAAACTCAACAATTTTTCCAGTTTTTCCCAGGCTCTGATTGGACCGCAGAGAGTGAGAGTTTACTGGCAAGCACAGAAACTCTTGCGCCCACTCCTTCTCCTCTTCTTCCACGTCCGTCACAGATTTGCTGAGTGCTATAGCTGTTATGCCCTCTGGTTATATGCAGTTTTTTTGTGCTCTATTCTGAAGAAGAAACCAAGGACATCAACAGTAGAAGCCGAAGCGGAGGAGAGGAGAGGAACACACGCATAGGAGTTCTATCGGACTCACCCATCAAGCCAGAAGGGGAACCATTCAATCAGGAAGAGCAAGCCAAATATGGGAAAAAGGGACAAAAGTAGTAAGAAAGTGCTGCACAACACAATGGAAATGCTTCTAGAAGGAAAAAAACGCTAATCTTGCCGCCCAACGAGAAAATCCTCTCTCTCTCTCTTGTGTGGACCACTTTGGAGAAGGGAAAGCACACTGTTAAACTCGTACTGAAGCCCTGAGAAACCTGCTGTGGGATTGTCTCTGCTTCTGACTGACTCTTCTCTTTATCTCTAATCTTAATGCAGGAGTTTCGTTAGAACCTGAAAGCACACTGAGAAGCTCACTAAGAAGCTAGACACAGCAACACACACACACATACACACACAAAGAAAAAGTACTCACGGTGCATGAGATCTTCCCTGGAACGTAACAAAAGAAAACTTCACAACTCCAACATCCATTATGGGTTTGGGCATACTATATAAGCAACGCATCTCCTCTTCCTTAGGTATGACACCCTACCTTAAAAATTAAAGTTTGGGACTAAAAGAAGTAAAACATAGGCTAAACGCAAGAAGGAAACTTACAAAAAAAATATAAAACATACAAATGGTACAAGTCTCTGCTATATACGGCAAAGCTGCCAACGAGCATGAAACTGCTCCAAGGGTTAATGCGCTGAGAGCTCGTGATGGGCCCTTGACTAGACCTTTGGACTCTAATGCGTCTACTGTGTATGAATTGGCTCTAGAATCCTTCCAAAAAGGTGGCAACCGTAGAGGTATGGGCTGGAGAGAGATCACTGAGATACATGAAGAAGTGAAGATTATCGTCAAGAAGATCGACGGTAAGAATGTTCCACAGGAGAAGACGTGGTTGTACTACGAAATGACTCCCTACCGTCACAACACTTACAGAGAGCTTATCTCTATTATGCATAACTTGGGTCGTGGTATGGTTAAAGCTGGTATTAAACCTAACGGCGAAAACAAATTGCACATCTTTGCCTCTACGTCCCATAAATGGATGAAGATGTTCTTGGGTGCCCAATCTCAAAACATCCCAGTGGTAACCGCCTACGACACTCTTGGTGAACGTGGTTTAATCCACTCAATGTTGCAAACCGAGTCAAACGCAGTCTTCACAGACAACGACTTGCTGACAAAATTGATTAACCCATTGAAAGAGGCCAAAGATCTTAAATTCTTGATTCACTCTGAAACCATTAATCCTAAGGACACCAGACAAAACGGTAAATTGTACAAAAATGCAAAGGAAGCCCTTGCTAAGATCAAGGAAGTAAGACCAGATCTAACAATTATCAGTTTTGATGAACTTCTGAGATTAGGTAAGAAGAGTAAACACGAAATTGAACCACACCCACCTAAACCAGAAGATCTGTCATGTATCATGTATACCTCTGGTTCTACAGGTGATCCAAAGGGTGTTGTCCTAACTCATGCAAACATCGTCGCAGGTGTCGGTGGTGTCTGCCATAATGTCTACGGCGATGTTGGCCAAAACGACCGTATTATCGCTTTCTTGCCATTGGCTCATATATTTGAATTGGCCTTTGAATTAGCTGCATTCTATTGGAATGGTATCCTTGGTTACGCCAATGTCAAGACCCTAACAAACCTATCTGTACGTAGATGTCAAGGTGACATGGTTGAGTTCAAACCAACCATTATGGTTGGTGTCGCTGCCGTCTGGGAAACTGTCAGAAAGGGTATCCTGGCCAAACTAGGGGAATTACCAGCCTACACTCAAAAGATTTTCTGGACGGCCTACAAATCTAAGGTTAAGCTAGATGAAGCTGGTTTACCAGGTGGTGGCCTCATCTCAAAGCTAGTTTTCAAAAAAGTCAAGGAGGCCACTGGTGGTTGTCTGAGAATTATCATGAACGGTGGTTCTCCAATCAGTGAAGATGCCCAAAGATTTTTAACTAATGTCCTATGTCCTATGTTGATCGGTTACGGTTTGACCGAAACTGTCGCTAATGCAACAGTGCTTTCCTTAAAAGCATTCAAATACGGTATTGCAGGTGATCTAAGTGGTGCTATCCAAGTTAAGTTAGTCGATGCTGCAGAATTGGGCTACTTGGCAAAGGACAATCAAGGTGAAATCTGGATTAAGGGTGCTCCTGTTATGTCTGAGTATTTCAAGAATGAAGAAGAGACAAAGAAGGCATTGACTGAAGACGGTTGGTTCCGTACTGGTGATATTGGTGAATGGAATGAAGACGGCCAATTGATTATCATTGACAGAAAAAAGAATCTGGTGAAGACCCTAAATGGTGAATATATTGCTTTGGAAAAGCTAGAATCTCTCTACAGATCCAACAAGTATGTTCAAAACATTTGTGTATACGCCGATCAAACTAAGGTCAAACCAGTAGGTATTGTTGTTGGTAACATGAAGCCTTTGGAAGCCTTAGCTAATTCATTGGGTCTACTAACTGGAGAAGAGACCATTGACTCTGTTTTACATGACAAGAAATTGGCTGCAGCTGTATTGAAGGATATGCTAGCTACCGGTAAGAGCCAAGGTCTGAACGGTATTGAACTATTGCAAGGTATTGTGTTTTTCGATGACGAATGGACTCCACAAAATGGTTACGTTACTTCTGCACAAAAATTGAAGAGAAAGGAAATCTTAGAAGCAGTAAAAGACCAAGTCGAGGCCGTTTACAAAAATTAGTTTCTCTGCTCCCAGACTTTTTTTTTTGCATTAGCCTGCATATTGCAGCATTAACTCAAGACATTACTATTTTCGATCTTTTCACCAATTGATTTTTTGGTACTTAACGCATTCTCCTGCTTATGATTCATTACTATCATCATTAATTTCAATTCTCTGAAACACTCTACGATACACTTTCGCTTAACTTTGATCACTGTATTATGTATTTATAAGAGTGATTTCACCAAAGGCATTATCTTTTTTTTCTAATCCATTTTATAGTCCATATTTTGTTTTTGATTTTCTAATTAATTTTTTAGCGTATTATTTCTTTGATATGTTCTACACGTTCGCAAATTGAACAATTTTATATTATATGCACAATTTTATGTAGCAGACTGCTAGTTTTGCAATTTCGAGAAAATAAGAAATCTACTTTATCACAACTCTTAGATACCCAAGAGTGGCTTCAATTAAACTCAAGAGACCTACATTACTCGACTGAAGGCTACCACATATACAATATGTAAAAGAGAGACTTGAGGTATGTGGAATATAATAAGATAATGAAATGAATTTCTCCCGGGTATGAAACTGCAAGCTATTATAGTGAAAACAGAGTTTCTAATAGAAGAGCGATTAAACGGGATATTTGACTCTATGATATCAGTCAGTGCAGAAAAATTAATAAGGTACTACCCTTACAATCGAGGTCCTATGCTCAGTAACTTCAAAAATTGCTCACCCGATCTTCAAACTGAATAATTCCCAGGTAGAAAAGAAACAAAAAGAAATAAAACATTAATGTTGAACCCATCTCAATCCAATACCAACCACAAGAAATACCGTAGAATATATTACACAATACCCTAACGTCAACATTATTGTATAGGAAAGTAATGGAAGAGAAAAATATCCTAACTCGAACAACAGATAAGGTAAAAATGTATGAATCTGATACTACTGAATACACCTTTAACAATGACTATTCTAGACTTGAAGCCCATTGCACTATATGGAGGTGAAACGTACTGTGGACCTACGCTAGATCAGACAGTGTATCCAATAAAAAAAAGCTACACAGCATTAAATCAGGCGGATCAGAAAACAATTGAAAAACTCAAAAGTCAACAATCCTGTAGAGATAAAGTGTATAGGACCAGACAATATTTTTTCTTATCTGTAACAAATTCTTGCTAGGAGACTCACTCCATTGTTATAACCAATACACAACTAGTTTCAACGAGCATATGCATAAAATAAAATATAACTTGCTTGATAGCGGGCTTGGATGTAAAATGGACACCAATATTTTCTTTTGACATTTTTTTTTGTTTCATATCTTCCAACCTGATATAACGAACATTCAGACTCAAAATATCTCTGATGGTAAACAATGAAGTTCAAGAACACAAAGCTAACTCAATCTAAGAGTAGCATAGTTCCAAATCATTTCCCCTCACTACATCCATCAATTGTAAATTACTTTTTTCTTCTACAAGATAAGATATAAACTGATAGCTAATAATACAACTATATTAATGTGTATTCGAAGATAGCATCTTACTTCACTATTTATACTACCATTGGCAAAAGGAAGATTAAGCATTTTCGATGAGCTCGCTCACAAACAATGCAATACCTTTGCTAGCTCATCGCTCATTGCTCATCGCTGAATACCTGTCGCACAAACTTTCTTGAACTGAAGAAGAGAAGAAATTATCAACGAAGAAAAATTTTTCACTCCACATTTACGGATGATCATATGATACACCGTGAGGTTGTATAATAAGCATCTCATTTTTTTCTTTCTTTCCAAACACACAAGTGACGATGTATCAATCTATGTAATGCAAGCAAATACAGCAGAGAACAGGTAGAACCTGACTACTAGTTATATTTGAAACCTTTTTAGGGTTTACAATCCAAGAAAACCCTATCTCCACAATATCTAAATCGAGTAAACTAACTAAAAAAAAGACCCTTTGAGTACGGTATATCCGTGTGCGACATTGGATGGAGAGGAAAAAACACACCGCATAGACACATAGATATCTTTAGGGCTTCTTTTTATCGCTTGATCCACCACCCCTTTTTCTAATATTGAACTTGAGAACCCAACTACAGTAATTCCAAAATCCACTTTGCAGTGCCCTTTTTTAGCCCCATGGGATGAAGAAGCCCTTTTTTTACACAGAAAGACGGGCAGAGGAATATTTTATTTTGAGGGATTTTCGTTGTTACCAAAGACACACACACGCAATCAACATTTACCAATCGCAACCTTGGAAGGAACAAGACCAGCTTCTACGGCAAAACTCTAATTCGGTTTTGGATACTAAAAAGAGCCTTCCTTGCCCTCCCCCAACTGGCATACGTCATTATACCTTTGCCACTCTACTAGATGTTCTGAGGAACTGCAACGATGTGCTACCACTTTCTTCACAAGGATGGTTCAGGCCATAGTGCAAAATCCGCAGTAGTAATATCATTTGCCATTAGATGGGAGTGAAAGAAGAAAAGGGGGATTAGCAATTAATTCTAAGAAGTGGAATTCTAATTCGTCTCAGAAATGGAGGCAGTAAGTTTTCTTAATGCTGGATCTGGCTTACTTGCTTGTCAACCCATTCATTTAGAAGAACCGAAAAAAAATGATTTCTCCTTGAGTTATTCTCTAGGCTACACGCATTTGTTCCGTGGATGCTATTTCATGGGTTGAAAGTTGATTCATTAGGTCTACGTTAGTTACACTGAAAATATTTTCTTTTGTGTTGACTTCTCTCCCTTCAGACCCCCCTCCCCGCGCAATATTAATTCATTCTACGTCACCTGGTTCTTTATATCTCTGGTCTCTGTTTATAAAGACACTTTTCTTCTTTGATAAAGATAGTGCGCTACACTCATTGCGCGGGAACTGTGTGGGAATTCAATTTACGTCTTTTTCCTTTTTCCTCCGCATTTCTTCTTCAAGATTTGGTTTTCTGTTCTCTACAGCACAACTGTGATAAAATAAGGCACACACTCTCTCAGAGAACTGTCCGTGCTGTCTGTCCATAATCTTTTACAAAAAGAAAGAAATCACAAACAATGATGAAGAACGCTTAGAACAAGATATCGACTTCCGAAACGAACGACGCAGTAATGCATTTTTTTTTTGGTTCTATATCAATAATCTGAGAAAGCACCGTAGCTTTACTTTTTCCTATAGCGAAGAGTAAGCGAAGTGTGCCCCAATCCTGAGCAAGATAGAATATCCAATGACAGAAGCAAGGACTGCTTGCTTTCTCTGTGCCCGTACTCCTTCGACCGCTCGAATATATACTGAAACACAAAGTTGCAAATGAAGTGCTACACCTCTTTTCTCTCAATATCTAGATGTCCGCAGTATAAACCCTGGACAAAATGTACAAGAAAAACAGAGATACCAAGATATGACAAATAAAAAACGGGGTTTTCACTCATTTTCTCAGTAAGCTTCGATTATATTCTTCTTCTTAGTTAGTTTGCCATACATCGCCTGTATTTTTAATTTCCAAGACCTGGTTGAAAATGGTCTTATCAGTCTGCTTGAGAGAAACCCTCACACAATTTTTCAGACCTAGGTCCAACAATATACAGCTGTCTACTGCCATCTATACTAGTGCCTCTCTCTTTCTATATCTTTGGAAGTTGTCCCTGTCTAATACGAGCAATTTATTCTTTCAACGCACTACGCATCGCCAAAACAGAAAACTAATCAAATCAAGGAACTAATTTCGATATTAGCTAACACATCTTTCTTGTTCTATATTTTTACAACTACACATTCCCATTCAACACAGCCCTTTCTCATACATGTACTTTACACTACGTTCTCAAGGATAATTTTATTGTTCATTAATTCTACATTTATTATACACTGAAAGAGATATATATCATTTGCTCTCTCTCTCTCTCTCTATTTACCTAGACCCCATCATCGAGTGCTCATACCGCTGAATATAGCACATTCTACTCATCTGCGACAAACACATTGGTTAAAAATTTGACGTTAGGACCAAGAAAAACAATCTTTCTACTCGAGTTGCTTTGCTGTCGATAACAATCGCTAGTTAGCACTTCTCAATAAAAGCAACCCACATAACATTCCATTGTCATACCCCATTTCTAGCAAACCATCACATACTTCCGAAGTTTATACTCTCCAAACAATGTCAAAGTCTGTGCGGGTGGGTGACTACTATGGCAATGACGAAAACGGTGTCTGGTCATGGTACTTGTCCAACCTTAGATCTGGTGACTTCGAGGAGATTATCGAGAACAAATTGAAATACACATTGTTGAAAAGATTCCTCAATAGTAACTTACTTGGGAATTTCAGCCCCGAAAGCCCGACAAGGTTCATTAACAAGAAACTCATATTCGTATCTATACCCGAGGATGTCCATCAGGATATCTCTATACTGGAACTATTCCTCAGAGATTATTTTCATTTAAAAGTTTTAGACAACAATCAAATACATAAACTCACTCAGGACAAAGTATACCATCACGAAAACCATTATTTCCTCATGGACGAATTGAACAACTTTGAGGACCCTACATTCTTGGAATTTGGGAAGTCCAATTGGAAAATGGAAGGCACAGCAGGTACTGTATATGACCCCCAAAACAAGGAAAACACAACAGATGCATTAGTCACTGAAGCAACTGCAAAAATAGATCATAAAATTAGTAGCAGTAATACAGATGACTCGAGGTTCGATACTTTGGTTAACGATACAAAAGATGACAGCTCATCCCATGAATATAATGCTATGAACTTGAATGAACAAGACTCCATCACCTCATCTAACAATAACGACTCACTACTAAGCAGCTTATCAACTGGCGGCGAAGATTCACTGAACCAAGAGCTACGACGTCAGAGCGATCATGACGAGTCTAGCTCTATTATAGATCAGACTAACGACAATAGAAAGAGTTATTCCAACGCAGACACTATACGAAGCAAAATGATACCGTCAGAAGGAAATATTTCAATTGATTTCGATCAAGGTACAGATAGAGAAAGCACAAATGTCGATAATAGCAATAAACGGACTGGACTCGATGATGATGGAGCAAGTTCAATTGTCCTGAATTTTTCACATAATAGAAATGCACATAAAAGGAAAACTAAAATAGATTCATTGTTAGGCGAACGATACCCAAGTGATTTCTATACACCTCCTCAGTCGGAACTAGTATCCATCAATAGTTGCGGCTCAGCTGAGGATTACACAGGACAGTCATTGAGATTAATGGTAACAAAAAATGGTACAGATTCAAAAGATGAACAACCAGGAGATAATCCTAATAGAAGTAAGACCAGCGTTAATGGCCATATTGCGTCTCCACTTTCTGATATACAGAACGTTTCGATTAACGAGGCAAATATGGGCGGACAAAACGATCAAGCATCCTTTTCTGATAATGAATCTGAATCAATGTATTCAAGTGATTTGGAATCTGAAGATGGAGAAATGGACCACTACAATGCTTCAGGATCTGATATTACACTCTTATCAATACTTCCATCAATATCAATATTCGACACACTTGGATACTTTAGATTAGTTTTACAGTCAATATTAATACAGGATCCACAGACTAAAGAAGTTTTTACAGCAGTAAGGCAATCTAACAACAAACCAACCATTGCTGATATTACAGATGACTGGCTATTATATGATGCCGAATTTTCTATGCATAATTTACAGATATTAACACTGCAAGATATCATGACCATAAAGAAAGACTATCCTAAAATTCTCTTCTATACTATGGTGGTCATTAACGACCGCTCAGAAATTGCATGTGAATTTCCATATAACGGAGCTCAATTCACCAAGGCTCCTTCCCCAATAACGAACAAATCGCATGAGGTAGAGAAAGAAGAGCTGGACCAACCTACGGAGGTCCAAGCATATTTTCCAGGTAATGGTCAAGCCATAAAAGATAGTATAAAACCAAACAATAGGGATTCACTGACGTTTGACCTGTGCCAGGCAGAAAGGACGAAGTCTAATATGACTACTACACACAGATCAATTAGGACTGTCAATAGCATTGGAGATTGGTCAATCAGTCGAGATACCACTGGAATAGCGACACGTGCCGCAACCAACACCAGCGGACAATATGACGATCATTATCAGGCGTTAAAATTTGATGAGAGTTCCAAAGAAAGATTAATACAAGGAAGGAAAGATGGTAGTGGTGGTAAGTATTCCAAACACCAAATTTCAAGAGTTAATACAAATGGATCATCAATGCCATTAGATTCGGTAGAAAGGACAAAAAGTTTACCTCTACCGACTCTGCTGAAAACTGCCAGCGGGATTGAGACATCTCATATTGAAACACCTAGTAAATGGGGCTTCAGATCAATCAAGAGGCACAAGAATAAACACAAATCGAAAGGCTCGCTCACAAACGGTGATAAAAATCGTCATCGTCGCACTAAAAAGAATGAGAACTCTGCATGTGTTTTAATGTAGCCTATTTGTATTATATAATTCATATCTAAAAATTAGTGGGCAATCACTATTTATTGGCATATATCTTCAATGATTTGTAGAGCTGGAATTAAATTTCCTAACCATTTCTGGACATGATCTCAAACAATAGTGTGATTTAGAATGATACTATAAGTTCTGGTCACCTGTCGTAAACATCTCTTGGAAGCAGAAAGCCCCCCCCAACGAATCTTGTCCATACACCAGTTCACCACACCATAAGTATCACAACAGCCTGTCTGTGATAATATATGTCAATGGTTTTTGTGGTACCCTTTAATATTAATATTATGTGGTGTACTAATGTAAATTGCCCATCACATATGCGGTGTCTGGATGTTACAAAAGGGGCGTTTAAGACTTGTGGGGTTGAAATGTCCCCATCCCCACACAAAAATTGTCAAGGTTCCGGTTGATTTCAAAAAGTATATAAAGGGATTTGAAATTTCTAAAAGTATGTGGGTTTGACTTCCAGTATATATGTTAACCTTACTAGCACGACAAAAATAATTGGCAAAAGAGATGGGAGGTTTGCTAGATTTCATACTAGTTTAGATTGTATCAATTAATTTTCTTTATGTTACGTTATTAATGTGGAACCTATTTGGGTTAATAAATATTACAAACAACAGATTATCGGATGGTAGATAGTACTAACTCATAAATAAAATGGGGCTTTGTTTTTGGGTGTTATGTGTTGCTGAGTAATTATGTCTGAAGGGTAGTAAAATGTTTGCTTGAAATGTGAAAAATAATTACTTTGTCTTTGTATTTGGTATATGATAGCCAGTCTGAATATTGCATCTTATTACTATTTGATCTGTTTGGAAATTTCCCTTATTATAATAGAATCTTGTGGATTTCGTTTTTATTCTGCCCTTGGTTTTTTTTTTAAATCTTTTCCCTTATTCTCCGATTAGTATGAACCCCAAGTATGTGGTAGTGGTAATTTATTCTAAGAGGTGGCAATTTTGTTTCTTATATTTTGTTCCTTGTGGTCCTCTCTAAAATTTTCGATTCCTCTAAATGTAAATTTTGTTTCTACGTTTTAATTTATCTTTGTGAGTTTCAACCTGGAAGACAATATTTACTGCATGACAACCTAACTCCAACCCGTTCTAATTATTCTGCGATTTTTATTTATTCACTGTTCTTTTTTTCAGTTTTCTGATGAATCTGTTTGTTATTTTCCAATTCCCTAATAGAATTTAAACACTATATGGTTGATAGAAGTTTATACAGTTTTGTTTTTGATAGATTCAAATTATTGAAATAGTCGCCATTGATTCATGTTTTGTATAAAATAGCAATTTCTCCCATTCTTTTGCGTTTCCAGTTGGTTTGTGGTTTTTAATGATGATTTATGAAATGTGTTTTAGTTTATGATGGAACTAGAAAGATTAGTTAATGATTGATGATTGATGATTGATTATAATAATATTACGGTGGTGATTTTCGTTAGAAACAATTATTGTGGTTATAAGACTTTAATGAATATGTATTACACATTTTGGATAATTTTTGGAACTACCCTTTTTTTTTTTTTTGATCGTAGTGAAATGAGGTCTTTTTTTTTTTGGGTCCTTTTTATTTTTATTTTTACTATTTGATAGTTTTTTTTTTGTTTTATTACAACACTATACATTCTATACAAGTATGAAAAATATAATGTATATTCAGTTCCAGACTATTGTTTTGGAACCTGGTGTTTTGGTTTAGCTTTCGGTATTTATTTCATTTTTCAGAAATCAAATTTGTGTTAACCGGTATAAATTTCCAACATTTACGGGTCATTCAAGGACCCAAAAAAAAATATAAATGAAACGGACAGGAATTGAACCTGCAACCCTTCGATTGCAATCTTGTATTCCGAGGAAATCCCAGATTTTAACTGGAGTCGAAAGCTCTACCATTGAGCCACCGCTTCATCTATTTCTTAGAAAGCTTTCATAATAATTAACTACATATTTCTTAAAAGCTTATCACGTGACTTATGGTATTATCATAAATCCCATAATTAAACTGATTAGCGCCTCTGATCTAAGACAAAATATCGATAGTAGTTATACTTTTATTCCAAGTTATTTTGGGGTGTAGAAATTAAAGAATTCTTTATAAAAGTAGATTAATAGTATATGAACATCTTCTAGCGATAAATAATGCGTTAACGACAATATGACGCCATTGATAGCCACCGGTATAGTGCTTACTATCAAATAAATAAGAAAAGTGTCATCTCAGTTGATTCATAAGAATATTTTTTATGTTTGAGAAATCTAATTTTGTTATTATCAAAAATGAAAGAGTTCTTTTGTTATCTCCTTTGGTCCTTCACTGCTGTAAGATATTTTTAGCTATTTTAATTCATTTTTGACTATTAACCTGGTCAAAAAAAAAAGAAAGTGATATTCGAAAGACATATCCTATAAGATAGTTTTCGTTCCGCAAATATCTATCTAGCAACTAAATCGCTATCAAATAACTATCTACATTAAACCAAACTCCAACAACAATGGAGATAAACAGATTTACAGCATGTGCTGTCCTCTACTTCTTTACACTAAAGAAATCTAGCTAACTCCACACTGAATTAAATAAGAAATAATAGGAACCGTGCACAAAAAAAATAAAACATGTGGCTTTTCATTGTTTTCAAATATCGTAGGATTCCTGTGCATTTCAAGGTACAATATTGGGGTCATAAGCAAAGAAAAGCAAATGCTCATTTTCTTTTTAACAGATGAAGGGTTAAGAACTGAAGCCACAGTTAAAAATATTCTAAGTATATTGCAATAAAGATGTTAGTTCTTTAGAACATCGTTTCCCCGGAATTCATAGAACATCCTGCGAATGCGTTGAAAATGAAGTTCCACATCATTGCATAACTTACGTTGACATGTCAATGGAGTAGAAGAAAGACAGCACCCTTATTGTTTGATGTTCAACATAAAATATAATATAGTGGATAGTATTTCAATTCCAAATAATAGAGGCTTTGGCCTGATGTATTGGATCATTCAGTTGCGGATCCATCATTCATTGCTCAAGATCATAACAGAAACGTCATTTTCATGAAAGGGTTCTCCCCACCACACACCCCGCCACGAAGTTTACAAAGATACGTCATATCATTTTCACCATAACCTTTTTTCAAAAAGAAAAGAATAGTGCATTAGTTTGCCATTGCCTTTCTCTTGTGGGGATTGAAATGGAGGCATCCCCACAGGAGAATTTACTATAGTTGTTAACCTCTCTACTAAGCTTGAAGTATCAGTTATCCCCACACTAAAGTACACCTTGACGTATGGAAGATATTATATCCTTGAAACAGCAGGGAGAAATTCCATACATGGCAAGCACGGATATAGTATGGGGATCTTTTGAAAGGATCCGACAACGGATGAGAAAAAAAAAAACAAGACAAGATGGTATATACAGGTCTGTCTTAGATTGTAGTATACACCTTGCTAGAAAGGATCAACAAAAATACATGCTCTCTCAAAATCTTGCTTGGTTGCAATAAAAATTACGTTTGAACTATTTTTATTTCTTCGCCAGATGGGTCCCTCCCACAGCTAAATTACTCATTTGCACTTAATTTTTTTTTTACATTGTTTTTCATATATTTTCTCACTGCTGTACTTGGTGCCACAGTATTTTCTTAGCAAGAATTGAAATCTTTTATCAAAAATGACACATTTCTTCTAGTTGCGATGAGTGCATTAAATTATGACTGAACAAATCATATTTTATATATATACGTATATATAATGCTCACTGAATTATCTAAAATATGCCATGCATATATGATCTACTCTGTGATTGCTGGCAATCTTCTTACTTAACACAATTCTAAACATAAAGTGGAATATCAAAAAACACCACAATATAAATTTATAAACTTCATTTGAATAAGGAACACTGTTTCTTCCTAATTTCAGCGTATTATTTTTATCGAGATTAAAAGGGACATTGTCTCGATCAGGTGTCACTACTCTTTCTCTCTGAAATTCCCTAAATCATTCTAATAAAACCACATCCATATATGTTATCATGCTTAGTGAAACAATATCAAAAGAAAATCAGAAAATTCTCAGCTCGATAGTGTTTAAACTGTTTAAATCTATCTCTGAACCGTTGTTGGAATTTTTAAAGGATGCTATGGAGTCATTGATTCTCTTACATACTAATGAATCCCAATATCCAATATTCACGCTTAGAAGCCATGTAATATTGAAATTAATTTCCTTACATGAGAAGATCAACAAAATCACTAAGAACTTTAGCAACTGCGAAAATTATGAAAAGTTGATGAGATTGATTTCACAAACCCATAAAAATCTAATCTCGATTGTCAGCTTACTATCAGATCAATTAAGTCAATACCACATCAGAGAAGAGTTCTCTAATTCCATCTCTGTGATATTCCAACAAATCTCATCGATCTTCAAGTCATTTAATATGTTTGATGACATTGTAAACCAACTATATTATCATGCCACGGCCACCGGCGGTTCTGATGGTAGTCTGTTTTATGTCACGGACCCTTTACTAATGGACATAACACAGTTCAATCAATTCAACGACACTCTTAAAAATGAGATAATAATGGCATCATCAGGTTTTAAAGAATATCTCCTTATTGAACTAAATGTATTCCAGCTCTCAAAAGAGAAACTGCTGAACCATTCTATGGATACTGCCATAACTGGCGATCCTAAATTCAAGGATTTCCTTGCCAAACGGAGGCAAAGGCTGAACATTCCAAATTAAAACTTTTCAATAGAGTTAAATTGATAATTACTTGGATATATATACACTCACACTCTAGTCAGCATTATTGCATATACATAAAAATAAATACATCAATGCATATATTCCGCTTATTCATTCATAATGCCATATATATAATTGAATGCAAGTAAAATAGATGAATAATCAATGTAAGTTAAGTTGTCCTACTGCCATAAAATGTCCTCATTTTAAAAATGACATTAGGAGGTTAAAATTAAAGGGAAATAAGAAGACTAGAGATGCATCAAGCAATCAAGGTGTAAGCCTGTACTGCTCGCACAGTTAACTACCACCACATCACCAAAGGCGAAGGGAATAGCTAACAGGCAAAACAGGCGGCTCAGGTGTGAGGATTGCGACACTTCTAATTATACACAGGACGACATTCCCAGAAGAAAGCTCCTAAGTAGATCGGTCGGATTATCAAGAGGCCGAATTCATGGTAGCACAAAAACTTGACCAAACAAAAAAACAATGCTTTTCTGAATATCTCGTCTTATCGAGGAGACAACACCTTCTCAAACATTACCATCATTAAACAAAGACAGAGAAATAAAGCCCTCGGAAGTCTCCAAGGTATGCTACTAACTATCGACCAATCAACAAATTTAGAAGATTAAAATTCCCATAAAAAGTAAATAAGTTCAAATCACCCAGAGCATCCCCAGAACATCTATCACTACCCCCATATCTATGCAGTCCTTCTATGATTTCCCTTGAATGATGAACAGTTACACACAGACAGTCCAAATGCTGCAAAAGAACAAAATAATAAAAGTAAGACAGTAAACACGACACCTAAAGTTCATCTTGTGATAAATCGGTGCTTCATAAGCATTTGAGCGTACTAAACAAATTCCATCGTATGAATTTAACGTTGCATGGGAGTCTCACCAAAAAGATGGCTATACTTATTATATCAGACTTAACTGCCAACCATACAACAATCATAAATAGAAAACGTTTTTCGGCCCATACACAGAAGTTTCCAAAATCCCACGTAAATGAACTCTATGAGTGGCATCTAGTTCACATTTCACCCGCATATATTACTTTATCCAATCTCATCATAGACCAAGTCCGTCCTTCTCCCGTAAATCAGAAAACCATTAGAACCACAAAAAATAAGAAGCATAAATGACAAAACATACTGGAATGATACTCCTTTATGTAAGTGAAAAAAACTCACCGACTTCGATAAAATTTCAATCCCAAAACCCAAAAATGTTAATTGACCAAGATACCTAGCAAACAAACCTCTTTATAAGTAAAGAACTCCCAAAGACAATAAAATCATACCTATGCTTAAGGAAAGATGGCAACTAAAAGGAACTGTCCCGTACAGTCCTTGGACTCGACCATATCTCGTTAACCATGGACCATTCCACAAAGAAAATCTAACCTCCTTTTTTAGAGTGAACTTGGAACCGTTTCCCATATACAACCTCTTCTTATCTTCGATATATGCTCCTCCATCCCTTGATTGCTTCATGAAAAAAGCAATGAAAGGACAGTTGGTAGCAAATCGAAATTGGTAAAAATGGAAACGAGCAGGTTTCGGAAATCCCAGCCAAGAAAAACCCATATCATGTTAGAAAGAAAGAGGAAAAGTAGCTCCTCCCAAGAGTAAAAAATAACATTACCATGAATATGATTCACAGGAAATAGATGAAAAAGCGAGCTTTCTCTCTAGTCCCCATTACTAACATACCCATGATAACACATTTCTTCCCCAGAATAGAGCAGCCCTCATCCAAACGAACACAAAATAGCCACTCCTAACCATACGAGACTCCCAAAAATAAATCCTGCCCACAACCAGAAAAGTTTTCATGTGCAAAAAAATCGTGTTGTAACAAAATAGTTAAGGTAATGATCCTCATTGAGGTCATTTCAGTTGTTACACTGAAAAGAACAGATACTACACTTGATCTAAGCCAAAAGGCAAAGAGATTCTTGGTTTCTTTCAAAAGAAGAAACAAAGAGTAAGAAGGGAAATTATTTTTCTCTAATCTTGAAATCTTCGTAACCTCATCGCCTTTTATACTTTTTTTTTCCCGCAAGTTGGCTGAAAAATTTCCAAAAAATTTTTTCTTCTGAGTTTTCTATTGTAAGGGCTACACTATGCTAAGTGATGAGCTTAATAGAAAAAGAAAGAAACTATCTTCGAGAATGCGCAGTGACAAGCACTGCCAAGCAGGTCCCAGGAAGTTGATCTTTTGAGATTGAAAACATATAGTGCCTGCCATTTGTGATATATCCACAGCCATCTCCTCTTTCTTCTAATAAGGGCCTCGAGTTTCCCACTGAAAAGTAATTACAAAGGTTGCTAGCGATGCCTGGAGTACAGAACACTGAAGGAGTTATTGAAGAGCAGCGTGCGGCCTTAGAGTCCTGTCGACACTTTCTTAGAGGTAAGTCTTCCTATGATATCCTACCTGTGTCATATAGAATGATAGTGCTTGAGTCTGGTCTCCCTGTTAAGCGAGCCTTGAATGTTTTGATTCAAAATAAAGTCTTGTCTGCGCCGATTTGGGACTCGAAGCGGTCGAGGTTTGCCGGTATACTTACGCTAATGGACTTCATTGGACTTGTACAGTATTTTTTCTCCAACCCTGATCAATTTGACACCATGGATAAGTTGAGACTTAAAGACTTGAAAGAAATCGAGTACTCTATTGGTATGCATGCACCTTTGGAGAATTGCACTATCCACCCAGAGAGGTCTCTCTTCGAAGCTTGTGAGTTGATGTTGCAGTCACAGACTAGAAAGATTGCCTTGCTGGACAAGGAAGATTTTACGGAGAGAGAACTAGTGGTTGGAATGCTGACTCAATATAGAATACTTAAATTTCTAGTACTGAACTATAAGGATGTGCATTTTATGCACAGGTCCATTAATAGTTTACAACTGGGCACTAGGAAAAATATTAAATCCTGCAAAATGGAAACTCCTCTAATAGACACTATCCAGTTAATGACCACTCACGAAGTATCTTCAGTGCCTATTTTAGATGAAAACGGCGTACTACTTAACGCATATGAGGCGTCTGATATTTTAGGATTAGTTAAAGGCGGTATATACAATGATCTTTCTCTATGTGTGGGAGAAGCTTTAATGAGAAGAGGTGATGACTATGAGGGTATATACACATGTACTGGTGAAGATAAGCTGGCTACCATATTTGACATAATAAGAAAATCTAGGGTACATACATTCTACCTAGTGGACGAAAACGGACGGTTAATTGGAATCTTAACTTTGGGCGACTTACTACGCTACATCATCGAAGGCTAGTTTGACTTCTACAGTTTGTGGCTATCAACTAAGTCATCATACCTAGATCCACTTATCTGTTATCATCATTATTTATAGAATAACATACTAGTAGACATATCTAATTTTAAATATGAGAAGCGAATGTTAATCACGCGACTAACCAAGGTTCTATGTTAATATTACAACTAACCAGCATGATGGGGTAAAATAATCACTTTTCTACAGATTTTTACTTTGTGACTATTACCCCACATACTAGATTATAATTATTTGGGTAAATTATTTTGTTTCTTGAAGTCTTATCATCATCTCTTTCCTTCTCAACTCTTTATATTCATTCTCTTTGACAGAGTCCACTTTATTCAAGAAATCTTGTTTTGCAAGATAACCGTCTTTATTGTGAGCCGAAAGTTCATCATTGATACCTTCCTTGTCAACATATGTTGCCCAGTCCAACTTGGACTTTTCCAATGTTGACAACTTTGGTTTCAGAGCTCCTGATATAATCTGCTCCAAAAAAGGTGGCCTTTTTAAGGGCCTTCGCAGCTTCTTTCTATCAATACCACTCTCAGATGTATCTTCATTTGTATTATTATTTTCCTTAACATCAATTTCTTCAAGTTTTCTCTTTGTAGAACCAGCTTGGTCGGTCGATTTCCTGAATTTCAAGTTGTTCAAATATTCAACCGCCTCTGCACTAGATATTGGCACCGTCTTTTTCTCTCGTATGGTTTCTCCTGCAAACTTGTATACTCTCTCTATGGTTACCATCTCCTCGCCAGCTACATGATTATCCTTCTTAAGTTTGGAGGACTCTGATATTACAGAGTCATTTTCTTTGTTATGTAACCGAGATAATGACTCCTTCTTCAAATCTTCCCATATACTGCCAACTTTTTCTGATATAGCAGCCTCTACAATCCCTTCATACTTGTTTTTGCGTTTAAACTCTTCCTCCTGCTGACGTGCCCGCCTCGTCTTCACAAGTCCACCACTTTCACTCACTATGTGCGAGTAACTATCTTTCACACGACTATCATCCTCATCATCCTCATCATCATCCTCACCATCACTGACCTCTGCTCCCGCAACAGCTGTACCCTTGGTAGGGTCAAAGTCCTCATCCTCCTCCTCATTATACTCTTCTTCACTCAATTTTGCTATATCCGTCTCTTCCATGCTTGATTCAAATCTCAGAAGAAGCAAACTTTTCCGACTAAGACGATCTTATCAATGTAGTACTCCAACACCAAGGATTAGATGAAACAAACTGGATATAATGGCACGCTAACTATGTTGACTTCGGTGCTCATTGTACTACCTTCCATCCCATCGATGAGCCTTTAAATCAAGACTTTTGGGTCTAAATGTCCGGGTAATAAATCGTGGGGCGAGAGGTCACCAAAAGTCTGTCAAAATTCCGAAATTTCACGAAAAATAGCAATTTCACAGCAATAAAGAGCTCTCAGAATTGAACAACATAGTCTGTAATACAATGGCAATTGCAGAAGTCAAGGCAAAGATTACTGGATTCAACTGAGGTACAGCAATATTACAATCTTTTTATCAGAAATTGTTACATTACAACGTCGGGTTTTTGAATTGGGTATATTACATTATATTATTCTGTCTTTGACAAAAGGTATCGTATAGGTGCGACTCACAGAAAGAACAACAAGGGTGCTTTTTCAAGAATTGATATTGAGGAGCAACATAAACTATAAGAAGTAAATCGTGTTCGACTCAGATAATTGACAAGCTTAATAATTTGTGACTTCTGGATTATAGAAAGGCTGTTACAATTGTTGCTGTTAGGGGTAAGTATCATAAATTACAAGAGTGAGAAACAAGTCTATACTGTTCAATTATATTATCCGACAACAGTGATATGATGACTATTGATAAAGAGACAATGGGGAGCTCCAGTTCAAATGGGCTTTCACCTAATGTCTTGAAGAGGAAAAATGAAGACTGTGTGGATCTAGAGGCTGAGATTAAACGGGTTGCTCTGGATGATGAAGAGGCTGACAATGAAGGAAATTCCAAATCCGAATTAAGTTCTGATGACCGCAACAGTTCATATACAAGCACAAAATTGGACCCTAAGACCAATATACAGAGCCAGGATATCAGCTTACGTATGCTCTGCTTAGTCAAACAGGCATCTATAATAGTCGGCCCAAAGGGAGAATCAATAAATAAATTGAAAGAACAGACAAGTACAAAGATAAACGTTTCACCAAATATCAGAGGTGTACCAGAAAGGGTAATACACGTTAAGGGAAGCTGCGAGAATGTTGGTAAAGCCTTTGGTAAAATTGCTAGGATTATAATTGAAAAGGACAGTAAGAATAACGCAAATCAAAGTAGCTCGAGCTTGGATAGTGAAGCTAGTCAAAATAGCTCAGATGCAGAAGACACAACATTAATTTTAAATTTGCTAATATCGCACGCATTAATGGGAAGTGTAATCGGAAAAGGTGGCAGCCAGTTACGGGAAATAGAAGAAAGAAGTGCCGCAAAACTGTATGCATCCCCAAATCAATTAATGATGTCCAATGATAGGATATTATCCATCACTGGTGTACCAGATGCCATACATATCGCTACATATTACGTTGCCCAATCACTTTTGAATTGCAGAGAAGAGTTGAAACAGAGAAAATCCATATTCTATCAGCCTTCACAAATGGGATCGGCTCTACCGAACTCATATGGTGCACAAATGTATAACAAATTTCCTCATCAAATGCATCACCAATACCATCCAATGGATAAATATAATACTCCAAGAAACAAAAAGTCACATAGACTACCAAGACCGCAATCCATGCTGGCTAACAACGTACCACCATCTATTAATGGCCATGCATTTCACGATGAATACATGAATAGGCCCGAATCAGGCCAAATTCACTATACATCAGCGAATGTGGCTAGTGCTCCATCATTTACACCTACTAGAAATATACCAAATGTCAGGATTGTTGACAATCCGGAAAACAACATGGCCTACAGCAACCCGATTGCTCCAGTAAAGCAAGATATTTACATAGATGAGAATTTTGTTGGAAATATAATTGGTAAAGAAGGCAAACACATTAATTCAGTCAAAGAAAGTACAGGGTGTGCAATTTTTATTGACAACCGCATTGAAGGAGTCTCTGAAAGAAAATTGACGATTAAAGGGACTTATATGGCTTTGCAAGCCGCCATTATGCTAATCAGTAATAAAATTGAAATAGACAGAGCTAATTTTGAAAAGAGTTAATGTCAACTCAATCAAATGGATTAATTCAACCTACGTTTATCACGCAATGAAAGACAAAGAAAGTACACATACCTGATCTCTTTGTATTAGTGATGACAATTATTTTTAGTGCCTTACATAGACCACATTTTAGTAATGTTGCGAGCGCTCTGTTGATAGAGCAAATTCATATAAATAGTTAAGTAGCAGTTCTCATGTTGTAACAATATTATACAGTTTTTAAATATGCTTTAAATATTAGTTTTGTTTGAGCAATTAATTCTTTTTATTATGATAGTGTTATACTTTCTTAATATCACCTAGACACGAAAAATAATCACAACTCAATATTTACATTTAAAAGATCAAAGTAGCATTTTTTAGTGTTTCCACCATTTTATTTCATTTGTGTTTCAACATTAAAACCAATAGGCCATTTACATAACGCTAACACTAAGGAAAACTAAGATTAGATATGGATAATACATTGACGCCCTTACAGCAAAAAGTGCTTGCGAGATACAAAGAACTTGTGAGCTGTCTGCGAGATTTGGATAGTTCCATCAAAGATCTCAATCAGCAACAATTAGATACAAAAGGCAATAAAGATTCGAGTAATTCATCACCTGATGAGATATTAAAGGAAATGAGAGAAATTGAAGTAAAAATTGGCCTTGTTGGCACACTATTAAAGGGGAGTGTGTATTCACTAATTTTACAGAAGCAGCAAACTCAGAAATTCAATTCTGAGTCATGAATTTGCATTCATTAAAAAACAGTTCTTCAATGTTGTTATTGAGGTTTAAGGATGACTACTTCTCATCTACCGTAGGAATTAGAAACTCAATTTTGTATTATTATTAGCACTACATATACTATTATGGTAGTGGTTTCAGTATTGTATATTCGGAATGCATTATTACTATTATTATATTTTATTAGCCATCACTAAATCAATAATACTTAATACTTGTAAAGATTAGATTCTGTAAATAACAATTTTACCGTCTAGACCACAAGAACTGACCTCTGTGACTTGGCCGTTAGACTCAGCAAATGGTGCTAATTCGGTAATAGTGTTTTCGTGAGCCGATTCTTGGACTTCTACACTAACTTTACCCTTCAAATCCAATTCCTTAAATTTCTTCAAGGCCGACATACCAAATGTTGGATTTTCATCCTCGTCCTCACCACCAACTTGAGGGGTAGGAGTCTTTGCACCAATCTTGTCAATGTTCTTGGAAAACTTCCATCCCTGAGACGACTTTGAAAATAAAACAGGATGACAAGAGTAACCACCACACAAAATTTCATTGTCATTAATCCACACCAAAGCTTTGAATGGTAAACCATCTGGAGAGTCCGTAAACTCATATCCATTTTGAGAATCAACAATGTTTAATTTAGCATCGTGGGTAACAAACGCAATTTGTTCCTGGGAACTTCTCCATTTAACGTCATGAATGTACGAACCTTGATACCATTCTTTGACCAAGGAACCGAATGGGAATTTATCACCCCATGGCGATCCAGCAACCGACTCCTTTGAGTCCAACCCTTTAATGAAACCAGAGAAAACACGCATGTAACCGTCAGTACCACCAGCGGCAAGCAAAACCCCGTTCGTATGCCAAGAGAGGCAATTGATGGTAGATTTTATAGGCTTCTTGATATGCTTTGACACCCACCAGTTGTTTTCATGCTCATAGTAACAGACAGCGATTATGCGAGCACTTGAGCCCACGGCAAACTTGTAACCACTTGGAGCCCAAGAGACAGATGTAGCAGCTCTGTTGATACGTAGTAATACCAAGGTTGGCTTGTATGATCCATCACTCAATGGCTCCCACACGTAGGCGTTACGGTCTTGTGAACAAGTCACAATCCTACCATGAGGAGAGATATCAACGGCAGTGACCAGTTTGTCATGATTTGCCAAAGTAGCCACCAATTGAGGCGTTGGACCACCAACACGATAAATCAAACAGTTAGCCTCACATGAAATGGCTAGTACAGATCTATCCGCCGAGAAACAGTGGGAATAGATAGGGGCCTTGACGAGCTTGAAAACTTTTAGAACAGAATTATCAGACATTAGGAGACTCTCAACTAATGTTCGGTGAGCAATTATAATTTTACTTATTCAGCTATTATGAATCACAGTCAAACAAGTAACAAACACACCAATTGCTACATTACTCACAACATTTATGTAGCCGACTAGCGAGCTTATTATCACCATGACCACTCATCGGTTCTTAGAGATAGGGAAGGTTGCTGACAGGGGAGGGAGGATAGGATGCCGGGTAATTACTACTAACTTTTCATGAGGACGCACCAACAGTCTGTTACGTACAAACGTACAATAATACCGATAATTGGGCTGTTAACTTGGTTGAACTAGATATCTTGACAAGGATTTATTGATATGTTGGGTTCGATCAGTGTAAGTGGGGGCAGTGTATTGCTTTTTTGTGCTTTGCTGTTTGGCAATACAGTTACATTTTACAATGGCATGTACCTTTTGCAGAGTTTCACCTAAAGGATCCCATTTTACAATGCCTTTAAGTGACTCATGACAACTAGACATCACCGCTATAAAAAATTGAACTTGTTGATGAAAGTCTTGGTTTCTGAAACGATCAGTGCGTAACTCTGTTGACAGTTTGCCATACTTAGGATAAGCAGGTGTCGCGATATGTAATTGCTATGACTACTGGGACATCGCTGAATCCTAAATTTTCGGGAACTATGCCGTGACATAAAATGGAATCAACTAAACACTAATTAGCCTTTGCAATAATCTACACAAAGCAATCAAACAATTTGTGATATAGTTCAGGAAATTATTCTACATTTCTTACCACAACTACTAAGAGAAATTAGTGTATCATTCGTGATAATAACAAGGAAAAGTATTAGATACCATAAAGCATATGAGAGCAAGCAAATTCTATGATTTGCCGGGGGCTCATCGACCTTCACCTAGGGATAGTGTCAATGAATCAAGCTCTTTAATTGGGGAATTTCAAAGGAGAACTTCAACATCTTCATACAACTATTACTCTACACCATCTGGTAAAGCTCATAAAGTTTCGTCACGATATGATCCAGATAACCCCAACAAGGACAAATTAGGTACTTTTGATGGTGTGTTCATTCCAACAGCACTTAACGTGCTTTCAATTCTGATGTTCTTAAGATTTGGTTTTATTCTGGGACAGTTGGGAATACTGAGTACTTTAGGCCTACTTGTGCTAAGTTATAGTATCAATCTATTGACTACATTAAGTATATCGGCAATTTCTACGAATGGAACTGTTCGAGGTGGTGGGGCTTACTACATGATATCTAGAAGTTTGGGACCAGAATTTGGTGGCTCTATTGGACTGGTATTCTTTTTGGGACAAGTATTCAATAGTGGTATGAATGCAGTGGGTCTGGTAGAGCCACTATTATACAACTTTGGAGCGAACAAAAATCTATCAGATAATCTAAGCGCAGGCGTAATATGGCCTCTATTACCACAAGGTGAAGTATACTCCTTCATATATGCAACAACAATATTATTTATTTGCCTTATGGTTGCCCTAGTTGGCTCACAGACAGTGTCCAGAGCGGGCAACATTCTATTTTTCATCTTATTTGCATCAATTATTTCGATACCTATTTCATTGCTCTTTAAATTGCCATTTACTGAAGGTTTTGTGAAATATACAGGACCTTCTTGGAAAACATTTAAGAACAATCTTTTCCCTCATTTCACTAAAGGTGCAGCAGGATCTTTGCTAAAGGGAAAGGAAAATTTCAGTGATATTTTTGGTGTATTCTTTCCTGCCACAGCAGGTATATTTGCCGGTGCTGGTATGTCAAGTGAGCTTCGAAAACCTTCTAAATCAATACCTAAAGGGACTTTGTGGGGCTTATTGTTCACTATTATTTGCTATTCAGTAGTCGTTATGTCTATGGGTTGCTCTATTCCAAGAAATACACTATATAAGGAACTACAAGTTATCCAATCAGTGAGTGTTGTCCAATGGCTAATTTTTTCCGGTGAATTAGCTACCTCACTATTTTCTATTATTGTTGGTATGGTTGGTGCTGCTTATATTTTAGTGGCAATAGCAAAGGATTCGATATTTCCAGGTTTAAAAGTCTTTAATAAACACCCGCTATCAGCATTATTATTTACTTGGTTTTCAACACAACTTTGTTTATTTCTAGATGTGAACAAAATTGCAAACTTCATAACAATGACATTCTTAATGACATTTGCTGTTATGAATCTGGCATGCTTTTTACTGAGTATATCTTCGGCACCGAATTTTAGACCATCTTTCAAATATTTTAACAGGTACACTGCACTTTTCGGTACTATCTCATCTGTGATTGCGATGCTTATTGTGGATGGCCTATCAGCATCAGAATTAATCTCTGCTATGACCATTCTGTTTCTGCTAATTCATTATTTTTGCCCTCCAAAATCTTGGGGGGATGTTTCTCAGAATCTGATTTATCACCAAGTAAGGAAATATCTACTAAGACTAAAACAAGACAACATCAAATATTGGAGACCTCAAATTTTGTTATTTGTAGATGACCCTAGGAGTAGCTGGAATTTAATTTTATTTTGTAACCATTTAAAAAAAGGTGGTCTCTACATTTTAGGTCATGTTACTGTAGTGAATAACTTCCAAAAACAACTGGATAACATAAAGAAACAACAGAAGGCGTGGATGAAGATCAGGGATATAACAAAAATCAAAGCGTTTGTGCAAATAGGTACTGGTCCGTCATTGAACTGGGGTGTCAGAAACGTATTTCTTGGATCTGGATTAGGTGGAATGAAACCTAACATAACCGTTCTTGGTGCATATTACTTGAAAAATTACAAAAATAAAGGACCCGAATCTGGATCTGCAAGTTTGTCTCAGTCACGGATTTCAATGAACTCTTTGAAGGCCATTAAAAGTCAGAAAATGATAGATGCAAAAATGAATTTACCCACAGCACTTCCAACCGATGCCTATGAAAATAAGGTTAAGGTTACACCCACACAATGGGTTCAAATGATTGAAGATTTATCACTTATGCAGTCCAACATTGCCATTGCTCATGGCTTCAGAGATTTAGATATTCCTCAAAGAGATGGAATAAAACAAGCCTCAAAAAGAGTGATAGATCTATATCCAATTCAAATGTGTGGAAAGCTAGAAAGTGATGGTAATAGACCTTCGTTAGTTTCTACTAATCTTGATACGTATACTTTAATTTTACAGTTAGGGGCAATTTTGGTAACAGTTCCTGATTGGAAAGAAACACACGTTCTAAGAGTTATTTTATTTGCAGAAAATGTCAATACAGTTAAAAACGATATCGAGAACATGCAAAAATTACTTGATGTATTACGTATTCAAGCTGAAGTAATTGCTGTGACTTTGGACCAGTTTAGGGTCTATAACACAATTGTGCATGGTGAGCCATCTGCTTTTGAATACGTCAATCGCGTCCTTGAGGATGATGATTGGTGGAATGACCTGGTTGATGCCAGAAGAACATTAAATCCTAAACGCCGGTTTTCAACAGCTGATGGTGGTATAACTGGGAACAAAACCATTAAGACTGAAAAATATAAGGTTGCTGGCCTACAAAAATTAGGTGTTAATCTGAAATTAAGTTCGAGTGTTCCTAACCAGCAGATAATAAGTCCATATGAAAGTGAAATATCTGATACGGAGTCTACTACGACATCTAAACCAACATCCACAAGTACTTTGACCTTGAACGGATTATTTCGGAACCAAAATGGAATATATCATAAAAATGACAGGAGAGTCATGTCTCATAATCTTGATTCAAGTAGTGGCAAGAAAACACTTCCGGTATTTAGCACCGGGAAATTACCTAAAACAAAGGTGCTTGAAGACGGTATTGGTGACAAGCCCACATTAATCCCAGTAATTGATACCAACGATCCAAATGAACGGCAGTCTCGAAAGCAGGATCTTCCAGAACTGTCTCCTCTAAACTCTAATGAAAGCTTAGTAAAATTAATGGAAAACATAAAATTTGATGATCTTCCAAGCCGAGCTCAACACCTAATCCTAAATGATGTTATGATCAATTTATCTAAACATTCCAGTTTGCTATTTTCAACATTACCGCTACCACAACTAGGAACACACAAAGATGAAACAGCAAGTATGGAGTATATTGAAAATCTTGACATATGGCTTGATGGATTACCACCTACTATGCTAATTAACGCTCAAATGATGACCGTAACTACTGCATTATAATCCGCAATGGATTAGAAGATTTAATTGCATATTTAATTTCTTATATACATCGCAAAACCCAGCTATTATAAAGCCGTGATTTTGTTACTTTTTTTTATTCTGCATAGCCAATCATCAACTACATTTACCATTTCCTGAAGACTGAGAATGCCAACCTTACTCAACATGTTCTCTTACTTTTTTGAAAGCAAATACTGTATATAGATAAGCAGCTGGTTCTTTCTCTATGCCTTCAACACCATACTTACCGTCAGATCTTGTTAGACCTTCTCTCATCTTTGGAGAAAATCTATTTACCCATTTAGGTATCTCTTGTACAAAAAACTGATTAAATGGCATTTGAAGAATCAGTTCCATACCATATTCATCTGCAAGACTTCTTAGTGTCTCAAATGGAACCACATACTCGGGAACATTGTCAATTGCATCTTCTAACCAAAATGTATACATTTGGCCATATGGCGATGGAAATTCGTTTCCATTTTCATGATAATCATTATTGGAAAATTTGATACTGTATATTTGGTTTCCCCACTTGGGTTCCTGAACGTCTTTACCAATCTTATTCAATTTATAACGGAGAAACTCAGAGTCTGGTATGGTACCAAAAAATCTACCGCCAACCTTCAAAGATTTAGACACATTTAATAAAGCTCTTCTCGCCTTTTCCTCGGTCTCAAATGCATAATGCAAACAGAATTGGGTGGAAACAACATCACAAGGGAAGCGACATTCTGGAAATGGTTCAACCGCTACACCAAGAGATTCCCCAAAACAATCTCCAGTTATAAGAATGGCCTGAAAATCAAGATTTTTCATAGATTGGTACCTTTTATGGGCTTCTTGAATGGAGGCATTTGAAATATCAATACCAATGAATTGTGAAATTCCTGCAGCTCCGTATTTTCTTAAATCACCACCTTTACCGCAGCCCAATTCTAGAACAACATCACCTGTATGTGTAAACTTATCAATTAGCATAAACTTGATTGCATTATTAAAATTTCGAAGCTTGATAATTGGGGATTGGTTTCTCTTTGTTCGATTTGCTATATAGGTTCTCTCGTTGTAATGCTCGCGCACTAAGTTATTGACGTTTGTAATCTTTTCAGCTGTCAATTTAATCTCATGTTCCTTCAGTTGTTCTTCTCTCAGTCTTCTCTCTCTTTCACGCCTCTTCTTCTCTTCCAATGCGAAATCATCATGTCTCTTACGTTTTTGAATTTTATTGGCGCCAATATCACTGCTTGTTTTTGATGCTTCTCCTACAACTACATTACTGCTAGATTGAGTTGTAATAGTTGTTTTTTCCACAATAGCTGTTTTATTCTCGCCATCTCCAACTGTACCATATTGTCTATCATAGTCCTCCTGGGACATCCAAACGGGCTTCTCAGGTTTCACAGACATCGTTGTCTAGATCAGTTTTAAAGATATTGAAGTTTTATAGTAAAGAAATTGTGTGAGCTATCGATAGCTCTAGTCACCCAATATTGGCTGTCTTTAATAATTGTGGATCAATATTGTCGAATTTTAATAGGTATTGAAGGAAATTCAAAATTGCGATGATCTTGAAACTTGTTCAATTTGAAAAACTGCAAAAATGAAAAGAGTCAACAACTATATTATCATAAATGCTCTGAGTGTGATAAAAAAGGGTTAAGAAGTATAAAGAATCTAACGGACTACGTGGATATTGGTATGACTAGTATAGATAAACAGAAGGAGAGGTTAGAGAAATTAGCTCGTTGGAAGCAGAAGAAGTCTGAATCCAAAGCAGTTTTGAACACGCAGAACGTAAATACTAACAGCCAATCATCGAATCAGAATAATGTCTCAGATATAGAAAATAAACTAGAGAAGGTCAAGGCTTGGAAGAAGAGGAAATTAGAGGTTAAATCGGACCAACAAACACCACCTGCTACACAAAGTGAAATAAACCATACCTCGAGTGTGCGACTAGAAGAGAACATACAAGGAATTAAACGGAAGAAAAGACAGAAGAGAGTTTCCAATGTCTTTGATGAAGTGAAGCCCATCAATAGTACTCCAACAAATGATGCACAACTATCAGAATCCGACATACTCGAAAAAGTTGACTTAAATACTGAAGATCCACTTGATAGCTTCTTTGGCAATATTGAAACAACAGAAGAGTTTCATTTTGAGGTTATTGATAATAAAGTGAATAATGATGAGTTACTTGATGAAGACAACTCAAAATTTGACGCTTTACAGAAGGAACAAAAAAAATTAGCCAAAGCTAAGAAGAACAAAAACAAGAAACTCCTTACACCTGTAAATTTTAGGAATATTGACTTAGATCCTATATCTAAATGTTTATATAATGAACCAGAGGAGATCAAGTCATATACAGAAGATGAAATTGCAGACTTAAGGTTAGACCTCGATAACATCAAAATTGAAGGTAAAGATTGTCCAAGACCAGTTACTAAGTGGTCTCAACTTGGTATTCCCTATGATATTATCCGATTTATTAAGGATGTGTTTAGTTACAAATCATTAACTCCTATTCAAACACAAACTATACCGGCTATTATGAGTGGCAGGGATGTAATTGGTATCTCCAAGACTGGATCTGGTAAAACAATTTCATACCTGCTGCCGATGATCAGACATGTCAAGGCTCAAAAGAAGTTACGAAATGGAGAAACTGGTCCAATTGCTGTAATATTTGCTCCGACAAGGGAGCTGGCGGTGCAAATTAATGAAGAAGTTCAAAAATTAATATCAGACTTGGATATTTCTAGCATTTGTTGTACTGGAGGGTCTGATTTGAAGAAACAAATCGACAAATTGAAAACAGGTGTTGAAATAGCTATTGCAACACCTGGTAGATTCATAGATCTGCTATCATTGAACGGAGGAAATCTAGTATCTACACTAAGAATATCATTTGTTGTCATGGATGAAGCGGATAGACTTTTTGATTTTGGATTTGAGCCTCAAATTGCCAGTGTATTACGAACTGTTCGACCAGATAGACAGTGTGTTTTATTCAGCGCTACATTTCCGAGCAAAGTGAGCAATTTTGCCTCTCGTTTTCTTGATTCTCCCTTACAAATCACTGTTAATGCAGAGGGCATGGTTAATGAGAGAATCAATCAGAAGTTTACAATATGTTCTGACGAATCAGATAAATTTAAAGAATTACTATCGTTACTGAAAGTTTTTAACAGTGAGACAGTGGATGAGAAAACTATAATATTTGTATCAAGTCAGCAGATATGTGACATTATTGAGAAGAGATTAACCGATTACTCGGAAAAATTATATTCAATTCATGCTGGAAGGCCATATAACGAGAGAAGACAAAATTTAGAGCTTTTTAAGAAAACTAGTAACTCAATTCTGTTGTGCACTGAGGTCATGTCGCGGGGACTAAATGTACCTGAAGTTTCAAGAGTGATACTATATAATTCTGCAAAAACATTTGCGCAATACGTTCACTCAACTGGTAGAACTGCAAGAGGAACTAGAGAAGGTACGTCAATCAGTTTGTTATTACCAAATGAGTTAAGCTCCGCTTATATCCTAAATAAAGCTATGCGGGATAAAGATTTCTCTGAGTGTCCGGTAAAGGAGGTTAAAAACTTAAAACAAATGGCCCAAAAGTTTGAGGATGGGTTGAAATCAGGCAAATACAAACTTTCTACAGGTTTGGGTGGGAAAGGTCTTGAAAATATGGATAACAGTAAGGAAACAAGCAACAACGATTTAGATGAACAGTTAAAACACCAAGATAACATATCGATAAGCCAGGAGGCAGATTTACCAGATGATTTCAAATTTGATACTTCTGTGGAAACTGTTACAAATGCCGATGGAACAATTGCAACAGTATGTAAATTTGTTGTAAATGATCTCCCACAACTAGTAAGGTGGGAAATGACCAAAAATACCTCTATTAGCAATATGATCCGTGAAACTGGATGCAGTATCACTTTACGAGGACGTTATTATCCACCATCCAATGTTACCAACGATAATAATACTGAACCGAAGCTATATTTGCTAATTGAAGCGACTGATGATAAAGCTGTACGGCATTGTGTAGATTTACTGAAAGATAATGCAAGGGTGGGATTCATGAAGGCAACTTCGGAAAGCTTAAGAAATACTAAATATTAATTGTCGTAGTGAAAAGAATAAAGATATTGCGTACCTTTTGTAAGTATTACTTATCTAGGTATACACAACCATAAATTGATTTGATGATTATTATTATTATACATATATATATTAGAATTTATATATTCATAGTATACTAGAACGTGTACTTGTTTTTCTTATTTATAATGTGCTGCGTCGGAAAAAAAAATAGCACATGTGAAATGTGGAGGTATTATAACATCTAAAGAGTGCTCTAACTTCCAGGGATCGGAATTCTATAACAGCAAGCAAACTTTTAAATTAAGTGCATTTCAACATCAAAGAATATGATTTTCAGAGGAATGGATTAGCGTACTGTAATTTCGATAGGGAAACAAAATGGAAAGCAAAAAACAAAAGGAATAAAAATAATACTTGACTGAATGCGCAAAACAATTAAATATTAGTCAGAATATTTGTGAAAGATTCTGGATAAAAAAAAAAAGAATATTAAATTCATGAATGTTTATGTTCTGCAACTTTAATTTGTGACATAAATTGAAATTGTCTCTATAATTTAGTAATTCGTAATCGTAAACAATGGTGTGCAATTTCTTGAATATCTTTTAACCTTAAACACAGGTTGGCTTCAGATTTCTCAATTCAGGAACAGGAATGTCGTTAACGTTTAATGATTGGAATTGATTCAAAACTTCTTGTAAAACAGAGTATTTTACAGCAGTGCCTGTTGTCAATCTAGCTAGTTGTCTGGAGTCACGGCAAAATGGTGAGTACCGCTTGACAATCTTCAGATAAAGTACCATTCTGTCGTCAATTGGTTGAGGGGTGTTTGGTACAATACCATTAGTAAAATTTTTTCTAGGGGTTGGATTGACAGTTGCACTAGCCATATCATCAAATGCACCAGAAGCATTAGCGGCTTGGAATGCTGGATGTGAGTAGAAGTCCATTTCTGTTGATGGTGGTGGAACTGGTGTACCAGACCAGATCTTATTTGGTGTGTTTCGAGCGCTAGATAAAGTATCACGATCAGGAATAGGAGATAAAGAAGGTGAAGGAGTATTTGTTGTACTTGGAGCAAGACTGTTCACTGCACTCATTGGGGAAGAAGATGATATGCCTCTGTTGCGCTGAGTCCAGGTAACGGTCGCATCTCTCAGTGCTGCCCAATCGGCATTAGCAATAAACCTTTGGCCAATTTCGTCGGATTTACAAATTAAGTTGATCCATCTTTGCAAAATTTCCTGGGTAGTTACGTCATCAATTGAGCCCATTGACTTTAACAAAATTCTGTATGCAACAATAGTCTTTGGAATGTTGAAAGCATCATAACTATTGTCGATATACTCCAATATTGTTCTATCATGCCACACAGTACATTTGGCGAGAATAATATTGAAAAAGGGTTCATCAATATTTTTCATATTGTGATAATTTTGAATAATGTTTTGTAACATTGGGAAACCCTGGACTTTATCATTGGCATAGTTCTCGAAAAATATATCAAAGAAAGTATCATTCAAAGAAGATGAGATACCATGATTAACATGTCTACCATAATGGAGTGATGATTTATACCAAATCTGATAGATGTGATTGAAGTCACCTGTTTGACTCCAGATATTTTTCAAAAAGGACTTGACATATGATACTTGCAAATCAATCTTGTATGGCATTTCATCATTTAATGCTTTATCAAAAAACGCCTGAGCAACATTTAGATCTTTACATTCACCAATAAATGATAAATGAGTTTCAATTAAATAACCGTATTTCATTTCAGTGGATTCTTCGCATAACTTTTGGAACAGTTTCAATGCCATTTGATTCTCACTTGCTGATAAAGATGCTCTGATCATACCTACGGACAAATTTGGATGGAAGTAGTTAATCATGGAGGAAGACTTTTCATATAAAGATTGAATTTCAGGATAAGATACTCCATTTTCATACAAAATTGGCAGAATAACACCAACCACTCTTGGATTCAAGAATATGTTTGAGGTGTAGTTGTTGGACCCATTTATAGCTGACTTCCATATATTTACTGCTTCTTGAAACAAGAGAAGTTCTTTAAATGCGGTAATTAGGTGCATGGCACCGTATTCATTAAGTTCAACTTTACCATTTAAGACGTCTTCCGATATTTCCCTCAATGATTTACACAAGTAATTGGTCATTTCCTTATGAAAGGATTGTGAATCATAGTCAGGCTTCTTGTTCATTCTTGTCAGCTGATTTCTGTTAGCTCTCAAACCATTGTGGAGTAAATGGACTAGTTTAGACACACGGTCGGAGTTCAATTCTGGGGTATTGATTAAATCATGGTACAAGCCCATTGCTCTGCCGATAGAATCCCAAAATAATGGATTCGCTTGTGTATTAGGATGCTCTGTGCGTCTACCATTATTCATGTTATTGTTACCATTGTTCCTCATGTTTGATCTTCTAGGAGTTTGTGACATATACAGAGTCTGAGACACACAATCTTCAAAAGCAACTACTTCATTATACCATGGTGAATCAGGTGACATGTTATTGTTCCCATGATTCTTGCCATAATTCATAACATTTGTAAAAGAACTATTGCGCGAGCTGAATTGATTTTTGAAGTGTGGTCTGCTGTGGTTACCGTTGTATTGATTGTTTGAGGCAGGGCCATTTTGGTGTGTTGGTACTTCTACTGTCATTGCACTATTTGGATTGAACTTCAGTGGATGAGCACTTGGGTGAACGAATGAGTTTGTCTTTGGATGCGGTGGAACTATTTGGGATGGTGCTTTACCCTTTAATACATTCGCTGGTTGAGCAAATCTAAACATGTATTGTCCAAAAAAATAAGTGTATTCAATCTGAAATAATTCAAGGATTTATATCCAATCGAATATAATCGCTTCGGAATAAATATTAAAGTGTTAAGTGGTTTAGAGTTATTCCTTTTAACTTATTATAAAACCAAATTCTTAATAGCTGTTTCTAGCGATGGAAATCAGTTTTGTTATTTTATAATTCTGAGAGGAGGAATATTAATGAAGAAAAAACCGTAACTTGTTTTTATTGAATATCAAATAAGCGTGATTGAAGAATAATAAAACTTTATGGAATACAGTTTATATCAGCAAAAAAAAATGTGACTGAAGTAAGTGAAGCAAAACTTTGGAGCCAATATCTTTTCTAATGTAATTTTTGTTGCAGTATAACAATCTTCCTGTCTAATTAGGTTAATGTCCTCTAAATTATTTATTAAATGAACAAATTGATGGTAAATTCTATTTTCCCAATAGTTATGGCTATTATTCTGTTTAGTGTTGACCCTTATTTTATTGTTGAGAATATTGAAAATCGAGTATAGAAAAAAGTTGAAAATAATAACAAAGAAAGTTTTGTCCTCGAAACTGAATATTTAATCAAAGAAAAAACAAAACTTAAGACATCTTTAAGTGCAATTTTTAGGCTTGAAAGTCTGTTCAATACCATTACATATATATATTAATTATAGTTTTTTAGCTAAATATTCTATAAAAGAAATACACAAATCTGTCCAGTATTGTTTTTTTTTTTAAATTTTTTTTAATTATGTGATGAGTACAGTAAAAATGGCGTAGAGAATATTGGAGCAGACTCCATTATGCTTTGTTTCCTCTTTGTTTTCCTGGGTGATTTGTTATATTGATGGAGTGTAGAACAATAATGCAAGCAGGGTCTTTAAAATGGAATATTAAAGAGCTATAGGAGAGAGAAAAAATTTTTCTCAGTGCATTTCTTTCTCATTATTCTATTTCAACAAGAGTTCTTCCGTGACCTTCATTGCTTTTATGTGGGTCCAGCGTTCAGAAGTTGATGTTCAGAGTGCCCATATAACTACGCAGTATATAGGGATTTAATGGGATGTAAGAGATTAGGACGGAGGTGAGTGTAAGTCGGGGAAGTCCTTCCTGATTGCCACTCAAGGAATCGCAAATTAATCAAAAGCAAAATTAAATCCTGCAAAGTAAGGACCCTGAGATTGAGAAGTATCTTCTTCAAGTAGCAGGAAGAAGTTACTTCGGAAACCTCCTCCTGTTCCATCTGTGGCAGTACAAAAAGAAAGAAGTGTAGTACGGTAAGGATGAAAAAAATAGGAAATATTTTTTTTCTTTTTTGTTCAGTAAAAAGAAAGACTGAATCAAAAACGAACAATGGAGGCCACTGATCTGTACGTACAATCCTGAATTATCTTCATGTTCAACATATAGGCTAACTTTTGGTGGCACTCTAGACCATCCTCATCCTGGCTTGACAAAATAAAATCATATGAATCTCTTGAAGGTAATGCACATCAGGGAAAAATGATATTGTGGATATTAATATTATTCTCCAACCGCGTTGATATAAATCTGGACTGCCATAGCTCCAAGAAAAAATTCTGAATGATTTGCTTAATTTGCCATTGTTTACATCGAGTTGAAGTTGGGTCCTTCTTCCAGTTGTAGATTTTACAAAGATCAAGTGCAAGAGGATTTGAAATAGCAGAACAAATAGCTGTCTTATGGGACTCCCTTGTCATAGTAAACATGTGTTTTCTACAATCCGTTATCTACGAGAATAAGTACATCATGCCCTGAATTCTCACTGTAACATACAGTCCTCTGAGAAGCAGAGGGAAAAAACGGTGCAGCTTTTTCAATTTTTGCATTGAAAGTTGTGCATAGTTTGTTGAAGAATTTCACTGCTTCAGCAAGCCATTGGCTTGTTATGTATCTTCGCCTTATGGTAACTACTTTCATAAATATTAATCCCACGCACCAAATAGATCTCAACTACAAATTATTCCGGTTAGCCATTGTCTTTGGGGGGGCAGTCCTTCGATCCCCGAATATCAGCATAGTTCGACTAAGAAGCATTTGCAGAAGCTTTCGGAATATTTAATGTTTTCCTTCTTGTTATATTTTACTCTCAGTTCGTTTCAGTTCAAGAGCAGAAATTATGGATGCCACCCGTACTTCACAAGCTTTTCTTAGGCATAATTATTTTCTCGGAAAAACTTTTGCACTACTGTTTTTCTTTTTTTAAAGATCAAGATCCAGAACTGATATGTTGCGGTTAATTCGTGTTGAAACAATTTTCGGATCACCACTTAAAAAACACCGCAACAGTTCTTCCGCGGGCTTGGCCTTATACATAGCAGATACGGAAAGGCATCCCTGACCTCTTGCTTCCTTCTTATATCCAACAAAGAGAACGCTGTACCAAGAGCAAATTCAGTTAAAAGCTTTGTATTCTGTTCTTAGCAGACACCCCCGCCCCCACTTTTTTCTTTAACCGCAATTTCCTATTTCGGCATCTCCTTTGCTTGTTGGAACCCGCTACCAGTACGGACCCCTGTTAGGTAATGCTGTCCTTTTTTGCCACAAGTCAGGGCCATCTATATAATCTTGACGCTTTTAGTATCCATCTTCAGAAATGCGTGTAGTAAGATGGTGTTCTATGTTTCGTTTACAAGATTATGGTGCAAGGCCAGCATCAAAGCTGTAACTCTTTCTTTTTTCACTTCTCAAATGACATGGCTTTACCGCGTTTCTGCGGCTACTGTGTATGAGAAAATATCAGTAGCATATCTTCTGTGTATACATTATTTTGATGCAAAGAAGCTTGATACAGAAATATTGTAGAAGAACTGGGAACGAACTTGTAGGAATGTGATGCTTCTGATCTTTTGGATTTCTTTCTTTTTATGCCCATCGTCCTCTGTATCTTGAGGATGTTCTTGCGGTATTCTTCCTTTACAGCATCTTTTCTTATCTTTTCTTTCTTTTTCCTGTTTTACTAAGCGTCTGATTAATAGGCACGATCTAAGAATATTTCAAGTAGTTTAAATCTCGGATCCCTTGTATTATCCTGAGGTCTTTATTATGTTCGCAAACAGAAATAACAGCAAGAGCTATATTGCTAAGTATGGACTGTCACTACCAGCATAGTACAGCATGGAGCCTGAAAGTTGTCACATTCATTTTTTTTTTGACTTGTATTCTCTATCTTACTCAGAACTGAGTAATCTCTACCATTGTATAATATTTGGACCTTCTCGTGAAGGCAGGAAGAACTGGCATAATAGAACCTTTTGTGTTCTAAAAATTGATCAAAGTTCATGCCGTGCTAACTATACTTGCTGATTATAAATTTTCACATGCAATGCGCTGATGTCAGTTCACCTGTCAGCTGGACTGGTTTCAGCGTTGTGTATCACTATATAGAAAATGTACTCTTCGTTGTCTTCACTTGTACCAGCATGTCCACTGATTTATTCGCCATTTCATGTAAAATGTTATTTACCTTTCTTATTAGTTTACAGTGTCTACTTTTCTATTGTTAGATTGTCCATTAGGAAAAAAATACAGGTTTTTCCTGTGTATCCATCACAACTACATTTCTTTATCTTTATTTGAAGTTTACCTCTATGTAGTTGTTTTTACTTTTTCGCGTGTAGGCGGTTGAATTGTTAAGCTAATTAGCATGACTATCTTTTGTGATATAAATTTGAACCCCCCAGTTCATCACAAAAATACTCTTAGATATCATAGTCTCCACCTTAAATTAGATAAAGTTTTGACTTGTGATTGTTTTCTAAGCTCTTATACTTACTAATAGTTCAGCACTTAATTGTATTTGTGGCAAGCCTCGGTTGTTCGAATTTAGCTGTGTAATTCATAAGAAGAAAGAGTATTGAAATAATGAAAAAACTGCAAAACATAACGTCATTAATTTCTTATAAATATATATAAATTATGCTATATCTCTGTGGTCATTACAAAACGGGCAAGAAGTTGCCAAGAATCATTAATGGCAAGCCAGACATATCTCTCTTTAAAGTCCATATGCACTTGCATTCAATGACTTGATTCCGGATTGGAGTCAATAGTCTACAGACATCCATTTGTTCGGAGCCCTTGATATTGTTGTAAGCTATTCGAGCAAAAGTTTTGAAATACTCTCTTACACTTTCATCATCAATAATTTCCACGATAAAGGACATTTTATCAAGAAGCTCCTCTCTCTTCCATCCGCTCAAGATTTCAAATTCATCATTAACATAGGATATCTGACCATTTCTTCTCCATACAACAGTCGGTGTACCAATCTCTTGAATAAACTTTACGTACTGCAGTAAGGTTCTTTGATAGCATTGTTCCATAAAGATCATATCCTCCTCTGTTAAAGTTATTGAACAGGCAATAAAAATAGGTCTGAAATATGCCATGTTCTGGCACATGGACACTAAGTCTTTCTGGCTAAACCGTTTTCGTAGATATTGAAGTAAATGTCTAAACCCTGGTGTGTGCGAGAAAGGTTCATTTATCAGTTTGTATATCTCTACTGGAGTTCCATACTTAAGTGAATGGTCCCACTCAACATTATTATATAATCTAGATCCATCTGGCGGGGGACATTCCACGGAAACTGAAACGGCATAATTCTCTGTATCGGTAACTTTTTCAACCTTTCCTGAGTCTATCTTGTATTTCAATTCCGGAAATGTTAAAAATTCATTGTTAACATAATATTGGTTGATCTTAGTGTTAAAAAACGAATCAGTATTCTCTGTTTTACTAGGATCTGATGGGTATATCCTCTTGAAGTCTAATGTACCATCTACTGATAAAAAAGGGACCAGTGGGAAGTGGTTTGCGTATAGGTTTACTTGCGATTGAAGGATTTCTTTACCGTAGTCACCTAATAGAATGGAATAGATATGTGATTTAGATGATGGATATGGCTGAGGTGGTTTATGTGCATATGTATCATGTTGTTGAGAATTTAGATCAAAGTTTTTTGCATTGGGACTCATGGAGTTATTCCGAGTGAGGCCGTTAGATTTGGGTGAACTACTTGATGGACTGTTTAATTCCGACGATATGGAGTTATAACTCTGAATAGGTCCGGGAGATGTAATGGTATCACGATTCCTGTGTATTATTTGATGGTTATTGTTATTGAGCGAGTTTTGTCGTACAATTGTTGACAGAACAGAGTATTCTGAGTTAGCTGCATAAGATTGGAATCTATGTGCTTGGTCATTTCTGACATTATATCTGTTTTCAGGATAGCTTTTATAACTTGTAGGGTAAATATCATTAAAATCTCCTATACTGTGTCTTGGAGTCTGGCCATATTGTTGATTATCAATGAAAGAAGCTGAATGGTAGCCAATTTGTAAAGGTGTCCCATAATGTGGTGTGTTACTTCCAACCCTGATGGGCAAAGTATCGATTCCTTCTAAGTATTTTTTCTTCTTTCTTGGTGCATCCACACAGGTATTGGCTATGCCTTTCTTTATGCATCTTGAACAGGGTCGTTTTTGCTCACATGATGAATGATTCCTCGAACAATTTACGCATGCAACGTTTGTATTTTTCCTTTTCTTCTTTACTGTATGTGAAGTTTGGGATATAGATGTATCTGACTGAATGGTACCATCACTGTTATCATTAGAACTATAACGAACATTAGTATTGGAAGTGGAGCCGCTAGGAAGTGTACTTGTTAACTTGCCATCTTGTTCACCCGATGTTCTATAATAACTGGTAGCATTATTCATTTCCGTTTTAGATATATGAACGCCACTTATATTTCCCACAACTTAAGTAGTTTAACTATGCACCACAATAAGATTTTGCTAAGGAAATGTGTTATCTTGGCTGTATACGAGATGTGTACATCTAATGTTAATCCGTTACTTCCACTCTGGGTTACAATTATAATGATATACAGATATGTTGTTTAAATTTTTTGGAATGTATTCCTCTTAATTATGAACAGGCTATGATATAGAGCATATCTCTATGATCCCATGATATTGCCAGTAATCATTATGGTGTTTTTTTTCACGCTTCAAGAAACAGTTTCAATTCGATGAGGTAAATAGTTGTCTCGGATGCAACAATTATAAAATAGTATACAAACTTCAAGAGTCTACCTTCTGGGCTTATTGGTATATTAGATATATGAAACGGATATGTCTTGCCTCCTCTGATTCTAATGTAGATAGAAGAAAGCTAGAAAGATATCCATTTGGGCCACCATCATGCTGCTAAGAACATAACTGTATCTGTTATTTAAATAGTAATCCGAATTAAAAATTCAGAGAATATAAATTTTATGATGTCTAAGTATATGTCGAGGTTTGTATGTAGTCCAATGAGAAAGAAGTTGTGTATCACTATTGTCTGGGTTTGATGCTTTTGTCTAAAGCTCCGAGAGTTAAAAAAGTTACAAGAGAAATCGTTGAAATCCTCTTGCATCATGCCTTAATAGTATAATACCCTGTAGCTATCGCGAATCCAAAGTGTGGTAAACTCCTGAATAATCCATGCAAAGAAGATGAAGCTATTCAATGTTCTCTTTTTTAGTTTACTCTTTGGGTACGTGACCGCTTTCGCAGATTATTTACTGAAGTCGTGTAATGAAGCCGGGTTTTGCGTGAGGAACAGAGAATATGCAGCTAACATCATAAATTCCAAGGCTTCCTATTATTCAATAGACCCCAAATCGATCGATGTTGATGATAGTTCAGGTACTCTGTCTGCAAACATCATCAAAACAATCAAACGCCCTGACCGACACACTGAAATCACATTACCGCTAAAAATCAGTTTCTTAAAAAGTCATGGGGCTAGTTCAAAGTCCTATTTCCGGTTTACAATTGACGAATTGAGACAGAATGTGCCTCAATCGAATTTATTGAACAAATACCGTTACAATGAGACGGCCAAATGGGCATTCGATCCTAGCAAGCAATGGGATAACAGTCATTTTACAATTGAAAAGAAGATCAAGAATGGAAAAAAGGGAATAGATCAATTCTTATTTGGTTCAACTAGCAAAGATGAAGAATACTATTTAATTCTACCAAGAGATGACGAAAACATGGCAATTGAATTATTTTTAGATTCCTTTCAAATTAATGTACTAAGCAAAGGAAAGTCAGTTATGAGTATTAACGAGTATAACCTCATGAACTTTGAGCATTTTAGATCTATTGAAGATAACTTTCAAAATTTACTTGAGGAAGAGTCAACATTCAATATGTTTAAGGACAACTTTAGATACAGTCAAGACGATAAAATTCCATTTGGTCCTGAATCTGTAGGGATCGACTTTGTATTCAAGAATGCTAAAGCTGTTTATGGTATCCCAGAGCATGCAGATTCGTTGAAATTAAAGGATACTCGCGAAACTGACCCTTACAGATTATTTAATGTGGATGTCTTTGAGTATTTCGTCGATTCTCCTTCACCTATGTATGGTGCAATTCCGTTTATGTTTGGTGTCAGTAAGGATGTTACCACCGGATTGTTTTGGGTTAATAGTGCTGATACATGGATAGATATTCATTATTCTTCCGTCAATACAGATCAGGTCAATACACATTGGTTTTCAGAGAATGGTGTTATAGATGTAGTTGTTTTTGTGGCTGAGAACCCATCTGATATTCTTGAGCAGTATACGGACTTGACAGGTAGGCCTTTCCTACCACTGCAGTCATCTATTGGGTATCATCAATGTCGTTGGAATTATAATGATGAATATGATGTTTTGAGTGTACAGAACGAAATGGATAAAGCGCATATACCTTTTGATATAATCTGGCTTGACTTGGAATATACTGATGATAGAAAATACTTTACATGGAAAGATGAATCCTTCCCTAATCCTAGAAGATTATTGGAGAAATTATCTCAATTTGGTAGGCAATTAGTCGTTTTGATCGACCCTCATCTGAAATCTAGAGGGAATAAAGTCAGTGATGCGGTAGTTAAAGGAAAAGGGGCTACAAAGAATAAGAAGGGTAGATTGTTTTTAGGTGAATGTTGGCCAGGCCAATCTATTTGGATAGATACAATGGGTCAAATCGGGAGAAAACTATGGAAAGGGTTTTTTAATGATTTTCTTTATAAAGGGTTGAGCAATTTGCATATCTGGAATGACATGAATGAACCCTCTGTATTTAGCGGGCCTGAAACTACAGCACCAAAGGATGTTATTCATGCCGGAGGATTTGAAGAAAGATCAATTCATAATGTATATGGGTTAACTGTTCATGAAACTACATTTAATGCTACCAGGGAATTCTATACCGATTCTGAAACCCGCCCTTTTGTTTTGACGAGGTCTTTTTTTGCAGGTTCCCAAAGGACTGCAGCTACGTGGACAGGGGACAATGTAGCCAACTGGGACTACTTGAGAATTTCCATCCCTATGTGTCTCTCTAATAATGTTGCAGGATTTCCATTTATTGGTGCCGATGTTGCTGGTTTTTCTGGAAATCCTGAGCCAGAGCTCTTAGTTAGATGGTATCAGGCTGGTCTTTGGTATCCATTCTTCCGGGCTCATGCTCATATAGACAGTGTTAGGCGAGAACCATATTTATTTGACGGTCCAGTAAGAAATATGGTGAAGGATACTATCAGATTGAGATATAGATTATTGCCAACATTTTACACTGCTTTTTACGAATCAAGTAGAACCGGGGCACCAATAATGAAGCCTTTATTTTTTGATTACTTTGCTCATGAAGAGTTGCTTGCTATCGATGATCAGTTCTTCGTAGGCAATTCTGGTATAATGGTGAAGCCAATAGTGCAGAAGGGTGTCAAAGAAACAACTGTGACTTTCCCACCAAAGTTATATTATGATTATGAGACATTCGCGTTAGTTAATGATGATGTATCTGCTATAACTAATAAACAAGTATCTGCACCTCTCGATACTATTCCAATATTTTTGGAGGGTGGTCATATTTTGTTCCAGAAAGAAAAGTATAGGAGATCCTCTGAATTAATGTCCAATGATCCTTACACCATTGTTATCATACCTGATGAAAATGGTATTGCAATTGGTAATTTATATGTTGATGATGGTAAAACGTTCGCTTATTCTAACAATGAATTCTTAAATACTACCCTTAAATTCACATCAGATGGTTTATTCAATAGGCCTCATTCAGAAGGAAATCTTTCAGCCACTGCTATTAACACTAATGTAACGGCCATTAAGATCGTCACCTCGGGACTTGAAAGTTCTTTCAAAAAACAACTGATATCGAAATTCTCTAGTGATGATAATCTGAATACTAATGTCGAAAGCAATCATATAGTCATGAAGATTCGTTATGATATGAGCAAACCATGGGATTTTGTCTTCTGAATTGAACAGCTATTATGAATTAGTATGATCATTATAATTAGTTTATGCACATTTGGTAAGGATATCATACCAGTCAAAAATCAAATTGTCTTTTTTTTGTCATCTGCTGTAGTATTGTCTTTATTTAATTTTATCGAATAGTAAATAACATCGCACCATTTTAATAAAGTATAGCACTTTGGACACTTTGGCGATTGCGGAATTATCGTGTCCTCTTTAGGCAGTTCAGTGTTGCTCATGAAATATCGATATGCACAGGCAAGGTGACTGACGAATGTGCAACTAGTATCTCTACAAAATGCAAATAAGTTTTCAGAGATGTTTCCTGATAAGTTATGCTTTATAATTTTATTACAAAACTGGCATGTATTGATACCTGTATCAATTTTTTCTTTGTATAGTAAAAGAGTTTTTGTCTTTTCGGCCAGTGTTGTAGAGTATAGGTTCTGTACAAGCTCCATATTTTTCTCATTAACGTCCATTATGTCATCTATAGTATCGTTATTAATCTCTGTTAAAGCATCTTGTGATAGAGATACTGTGTAGTTATTGTCTATTGATTCTTGTGTTTGTGATACATTGAACTTATCGTTCTTCCATATTTCTTCGACTTTTTGATTAAAAAAGTGTAATGTTAAATCCATATAGCGAAAGTATTCATTTTTCAGAAGAGAAGTTATCATGGCAAGCTTATGGTGTATAGACCTTCCACCTTTTCTTGTTTTAACTACCCGGTCCTGGCTTTTAATGTATCGAGTTTGGTACCCATGTTGCCAAGCATGCTCAAATTGTAGGGCAGCGATACGACTAGGAAAGCCATAAACGATAGCTACCATTTCCCAAGGCCGAGTGCCATCTCTTTTTGTTCGATAAGCACCTCCACGACTTAATGAACCATTATGTTGTCTCAATCTCCTAACTGGATTCGGGGTCGAGCCTATGTAAAACGATTGCCTTTTACTAATAGACTGCAGTAAATAGCATCCATAAAAGTCCGGAATCTGTTGGAATTCTTCCATCAATCGGTTTCGATATAATAGTGTAAGTATAGAAGCGGCTAAATTATATTGTATACTTGAACCACAGGTGTTTCATTTAAGGGATTATCATTACTACTTATTCTGATTAATAGTATATACAAACTGTGAAGAGCTTTTTTGATCTGTTTACATGACGTAAGTGTAATTTGTGCGTGCCTTTCTATGCAATCGCTATATTGTTCAAAAGTGAAAAACATTGCATTAGGCCATCTCGAGCCAAATTTGACAAAAAATTGCATTGCGATGAGCTCCTACAGAATAGTCAATGTGATGACTAATAGAGAATATTCCTATATATGTAGGCGGTGAAGCTATTATTGTTAGTTTTTGCTATATAATAGTGTATTTCTTGAATGCGCAGTAGAGTCAATGCTGGCACTAAATAGCTATGGGTGCAGTAGAGCTGCGAGTTTGGTTAACCGTATTGCAGTAAATGCTATCATTTGTCGTTTTATGAGTAGCAGTGATAACGCCTCAAGACTTCTTGTGCAACAGAATACCAATGAATCTATTCCCCCTCCTAGAAAGTTGAAGGCCTATTTGGATGAGTATGTTATTGGACAGGAGATAGGTAAGAAAGTCCTTAGTGTTGTAGTTTACAACCACTATTTACGTATAAACGATAAGCAGAAGAAAGCAGAGCTCCAACGGCAGAGAGAAATAATAGAAGAAAGTAACAACATTAGAGCTGCTGAAAGCACAAAGGATGGTAATGATCCGGATGACAACTCCTCTGGAAAAGATGATACTTCACCGATAAGTGATGTGATTCAAAAACCATATAAACCTTCTGAAAAGGAAGCGGGTATGAGAAACTTGAAAATGCAAATTGACATGAAATTAGATCAAGAGGACCAAGATTTGGAATTAAGTAAAAGTAATGTATTAGTTATTGGTCCATCAGGTTCTGGTAAAACATTGCTTGCCCAGACATTGGCCCGCGTTTTGGATGTCCCTATCGCTATTTCTGATTGTACACAATTGACTCAGGCCGGTTACATTGGTGAAGATGTAGAAGTATGCATTGAGAGATTGCTCGTAAATGCTAACTATGATGTTGCAAAGGCTGAAAAGGGTATAATTGTACTGGATGAAATTGACAAACTTGCCAAATCTTCCAGTTCATTTGGTACAAAAGATGTATCAGGTGAAGGTGTTCAGCAATCTTTATTGAAAATTATAGAAGGCCACAATGTAGAAATTACGGTTAAGAAGCCCGTTAAGGTTGGAACTGATAAGAACAATAATCAAACTACTGCAAAAAAGGATGAAACATTTGTTATTAATACTTCAAATATTTTATTTATGATAATGGGTGCATTTGTTAATTTGGATAAAATAGTAGCAAAGAGAATAAGGAAGTTACAGAATAAGGAAGAAAAAGATGGGGAAGAAGAGGATATGAGCAAAAGTTCAGCTTATAGCAACAGTATTGAAACAATTAATTTGGAAAACGGCAAACAAACGTCAGCATTGAATCTCGCTACACCAACTGACCTTGTGTCCTATGGTATGATTCCTGAATTAGTCGGGCGTGTACCAATAATAACAGCACTTGAACCACTTCAGTCCAATGACCTTTTCCATATTCTAAAGGAGCCAAAAAATGCCCTTTTTGATCAATATACTTATATCTTCAAGCAATTTGGTGTCCGTTTATGCATGACTGATAAAGCTCTTAAGAAAGTCGCTGATTTTGCGTTAAAGGAAAGGACAGGTGCAAGAGGACTGAGAGGTATTATGGAAAGACTACTGTTGAATGTCAATTATGAATGCCCAGACTCAGGAATCTCCTATGTTTTAGTAAATGAGAAAACGGTTGATTCTTTGCAGCAAACAGAATACTCACTGGCAACCCATGTAGAGGCCAAGTATTATTCTAGAGGCCAAGCTGATGAACTTATAGCAGACGTTTATGCTGAAGATGAAGCTCTTGGACGAGTGTTGGATAAGGAATTGGGAAGGACCTCAACAATTGCAAAGAGAAAAGAGCAGTCAAAATTGTTGCAAGCTCAATAGAAACTTCATTGCCCTATATTTGCAGTATTCTTGTGAATGATACAAAAATGCATTAGTACTATACAAAAGACTTTACTATGGAAACTGTAAAAGTATGCATAGTATATCATATTGATAACGTAACGATATGAAAATAGGTAAATAATTAGTTAATTTTAAGTCCAGTCATTTTTCATGTGTTATTTCTTTGGCTTCCGGGCAACAAGGAAAAGCATTCTATAACATCCTGCGTTATCATCTACTTTACCTAAATGTTCTTCAAAATATCTCATTGGTAATGTTGTAGGATCAGTATCTTTCGGTGGATTACTTGCATCTGGAAAGACTTTTCTCATCATGTGATCCCAATGTACAATTGCCAAAAATTCATTGAGGAAGCCCATTTGAGTATCTAAGTCACCCGTTTTTAGAGATAGGATAGATGATTTAATGTTGATAAATCCAGACTCCTTAAATGCCTTAAATAGGTGCTTTGTAGTGTGAATATGTAAACCTCTATTAATGGCTTCGAGAGATACTGCATCATACGTTTTGTCCCTCTCAATAGTAGTCTTGAATGTTGATTCATTTAACTCAGGATCATTGACAGAGAATGTGTTCGACATACTAATATCAGCAGCGACAGCCATAACATAGCCGCCCGGTGTGACAGTCCTGTACATCTCTCGCAATAAAGCTTTCCATTTACTGTGTGGTAATTCACTCCATACCCATGGGCAATAAATAGCAGGCAAAGAGTTATCCTTGAAGGGTAGACGAAGTTGAAGGTACTCCTTACCATATAGGAGTGCATTACTTGGCTTTCTTTGTAGAGATTTTGGTCTCTCGCTTGAATTAGTTGTATTGACAGATTCTTGGATTTCATCTGGGATTATGAATTGTGTCGGAAGCGTGACTTTCTTATAATTATTCATTAAATTAGAGTAGTAATCAACTAACCAAGTGGTTGAGTTTAGAAGACTATTAACGTTGTCCTTATTTGACTTAGGAGCAATCGATAAGGATGGTGATGCTAAATTGCTTGGTAAGTTTACCATTGGTTCCCCTAAGGATAAATCCTTGAGCTTAGCTTTTGCATGATCAGGCTTGTTCGTGGCTATTGTGGGGCTAGTGAGGTTATCGGTTGAGTCTTCGTGTGTATGCTTCCGTTTGAAAAAGTTAACAAATCCGGACTTTTTGTTAGTTTTGGTCGTTGATTTCTTAAGTTTGGGTAATTCATCGTGTTGCTTTTCACCTTCTACGTTAAACAGTCCTGAATCTTTATCGTTGGTATCAACCTCGAATTTATCTTGTTCTTGTAATAAGGTATAGCTTCTATCCATGCAGTCAACCAGCACACTGTGCGCGTTCTCATCGTTTAATACTTCCAATTCGCTTTCATCGGATACCAGTTTGTAACAACTTTCTTTCGGCACGGAAGATGCAGTTTGACTAATAATCTTTCTGTCTTCCTCGTCGTGTAACCAGGGTGAAAGGTCCAAAGGAAAATCACCAATGTTCAAACTAGGTTCATCGCAAGCCAGTTGCCATCCAATTTGAACAATTAACTGAGGTCGTATTACTAAAATATCAATATCTGTGCACAGTTTGTGATGTGTTTTTTTACTGCCCGTTCTGTGGTGGGCAAAAGAGTCTGGTTTAGCTGAGAGTACTGAAGAACTTTCATCCTTTGCTAGCTGGTTATTGATTTGTTGCTGATGTTTTCTGGAAGATGTCTTAGTCTTTAATAAGTGTTGTACTACCTCAGTGGAAAATAGTAGTGAGTTTGACTGAAGAAGTAGCTTTTGAGCTTGATAGTACCACATTTGGATAACCATCCCCATCTCGTTATAAATATGTGTGGCATTGTAGGACACGTACTCTCTGAGCTCAGTTTCAATGGTTGATGCTAGCTGAATATTAAATGGGTAACACTCAAAGGCATATTTTCGTACTTTCAAATAATCTGAAACAAATCTAACGTATTCTGTCAACCTTTCTCGGGCATATGTTAAGGCATCACCTTGTGATGTGTCAGAGTTAAAGTTCAAAAATATGTGCATTTCCGGTAAATGTTGATTGTATGAAGGATCATAATGGAGTTCCTTTTTCTTTCCGTCTTTATGTACTAAAACCTGGTTGTAGTTGGGGCCCTTTTTCAATATAGATGTACCAAGAGCAGGCAGCTTATTCCAATCGTAGGACCAGTTGTGATTCGTGGTTATATCGTGACTGTGGCTACTGCTCTGTCGTGCACCAGATTTCTCTACCGCCGGAAGAGGGTCTATCATACCAAATATCTCAGAACTTGTTATTGGATTTTCGTCGTTCTTACTTGCCATAAGTAGCGAGTTTTCGTCCGAGTTGTTAGTGATAGCGCTTTGGCTTGGACCAAGAGAAGGTGACGGCATGGGACTCGACAGTCTCTTATTGTCTACTATGAGGGTTTGAGGCCTGATACCCGAGGTTGATATATTATTTGCCGACGCTTGTTCTGATCTGACACTTATGCTTGGTGACATCGGCAGTAACTGTGGTTGAGGCGAATCCATTACCAGGATTTTGTCGGTGTTCGGTACGTCGCTTTGAATACTCTTGTCATTGGAAGTGTTGCTGTGGGCGGTGGTGATACCAGATGACGGCATAGATGTCGGCGATGGTCCCGTCACCACTTTCAAATCTATCCTGTTGTCGCTATTTTCCTGGCTCGCCTCTAACTCCTCCGGGTGTTCATATCTACAGGCATTATAAGGACCTTGCTCGGAATCCATAACTGTATATAAAAAATTTTTCTCGGACTGCTATTATATTAAAGTCCCTACTTTTTGTTGCTTATCCTTTTATCCTTTCTCCTGGTATTCCTTCGTCCTGTCACACTGGAGCGTAATTAATAATCCCTTCTTTTCCACTTCTAATCAGTGACGCAGTGATTTCCTCGGCTCTTATAAGTTATTGTCAATGGCGTCCCCGGCACGCTACTAACTCCTGTCTTCTGCTCTTGCCTGAGTTGTCTCTGCAAGTGCTTTGAATTACAGTAGAGACTGTAGATATGCTAATGCTATCATAAGCGTGTCTGGTTCGCTCAAAATCCTTATTTGTTCCTGAGGTGTAGCCCGAAAACGGAAAAGTCAGCGTAGTTTTTTTGCTTCCCCCTTCATCACTTGAAAATTTTGACTCGGATCAGATGGGTGCCCGGTGGATGATGACTTATTAGTTATTTGGCAGTTCGAGTCCTAGTGGGAGCCTAATTATGGGCATCGCCAATGGGATAACGTATAGATGATGCTTGTCTGTGTGAGTTGGAAGTGGAATTGGTGACTTAGAAGTGGAACTTCAAGTGGAACTGGTGTGATATGAAGAGGACACTTTCTGATGCTGCGGCAAAGTGTGCGGAGAGATGGAGCAGAGTGCAATACGGCGGCAGTGAGCCTGTTGAAACCGAGCGTGCTGAGCGCAAGACAGTAGGTAGTGATGCTGACACTGATATAGAGGGAGATTCTGATGAGGACTTGGTGGTGGTTGGCGAGAAAAAAGTGGAAGTGCATGTGTTGAGTGACTCTGAGCCGGACATCGAGGATGCGAGGCCGAGTAAGCGAATCAAGGGCACAGACGGGTATGTACCGTTCCGGCTTATTAGGTCTGAGGCCTACGACGAGTCCACTGGGCATACTCCTTACATGGCAGATTTGGGGGATATCTTTGGTGACCCTGAGCTTAGAGAAGTGTACTTGTTCAGCTTTCAATATGATTTGAGTTTTGTGCTACGGCATTTCACAACCAGCATCGAAAGGATAACTATAGTGGCCCAAACTGGTACTATTGTGCCAGTGAGCTCATCGGAGTTGACGCATAGCCCACAGTTCTCTCAGATTTTTCATCGGTTGGTGGTTAAAGAAATATACATGCCGCCTTACTCCTGTCATCACTCAAAAATGATTATTGGCATATATCGAAATGGTCGCGGAGTGCGGGTCTTTTTACCATCGAATAACTTTACATGGGCGGAGACTAACTGGCCACAGCAGGTCCTGTGGTCGAGTCCCTTCATGAGCATTAGCGACAAGGCAGTTGAAATGAACGGGTTTCAAAGAAGTCTATGCGATTATCTAAGTTTTTACAAGTTGAAAGAACTGAACTCTTTGGTAAAAGATACCATAATGAGAACTGACTTTTCTGGACTAGCTGACGTAGAGTTTATTTATTCTTGTCCAAAGACAAAGGGGAAGAATATTGAAACTGGACTGAACATGTTCCTGAAATCCATCGAGAAAGTTGAAACAGAGCTGCGGGATGTTGATCAGATTTCTCTGAACCTGTTTCTTTGCCAAAGTTCCACCATTGGTGGCCCTATAGGTAGAAGGAAGGATAACCCATCTAACTTATTTACACATGTTATAGTTCCTACTGCCCGAGGTTTTAGCGAAGCTGCTAAGAGTGATCAGCAAGCTTTATTGAAAGCATATCATGAAAATAAGACATATCCATGCATTATATATCCCTGTATGAAGGAGATTAGGGACGCTAGCGTAGGTATTAACTCTGCAGGATGGTTTAATTTCAATTATACAAGGAATGATACTCAATTGCAACAATATGACTGGCTAAGGAACAAGATTAAAGTCTTTTACAAATATAATCGTGACTACACTACAAAACAGAGACTTACGACACCTTCACATACAAAATTTTATCTGCGCTTCAGAATGCCATCGCAGTCAATGGCACAAGGCATGAGGGTTCCCGAACATATAGATTGGTGTTTGTTCACATCAGCCAATTTAAGTTCAAATGCATGGGGAACTCTAGGTTCACAGCCAAGAAACTACGAAGTTGGGGTGATGTATAAGAATTCCAACATTACCACGAAAGCCCAGGATTCGAATCTTCATTGTCAATCACTGCAAGATATCATATATCGAAAAGGACAGAGACCCCAAACTAGGTCAGTTCTATTCCCGTTCCCGAGCCATCTGCAGCCATATGAAACTAATGATCAGGCATTTTATCAGATGTAAACTATATAACAGCATATAAAAGCCCTTGCAAGATTATATCATATTAACTCTTAAAACTATGTACGTTAGATGTTTGACGTTTTGGTGATGAAAGTACGGCCAATAAGTCATGAGAGAATTGAATCATCCACTTGAAAACTCAATTCGAATTCTAACAAAAAACGGGATGAGGACATGTCAATGAGGGAAATTAATTCCGATGGGATCAAGTGGTTCTAAAGATGTAAGCTGTGGCTTTTCTTTTACAGCAAAATGTGACACTTGGAGTCCTAAATTGGAAAACGCTAGTATATATAGAGGTGGACATGAATCCCTATTGAACACCAAGACAATACACCGGTTATATTACGGAATATTTCTATACCAGTAGTTATAGCATTCATTAACTGAGTATTAATCAATATAAGTGAAGTCAAAATGACTACTGCTACTGCTTCTTTCAATGATACATTTAGGGTATCTGACAATGTTGCTGTTATAGTGCCAGAAACTGGTTTGGAGGTGACTTATAGGGATTTGTCCCATATGGTTGGACACTTCCAGACAATCTTTAAGGACCCTAACTCACCATTGTATGGTGTTGTGCATAGACAAAGTGTCATCGCCATGTCAATGCCAAATGGCTTGGAGTTTATTGTTTCCTTCTTGGCAACTACAATGGATGCCAAAGTTGGTGCTCCTCTAAACTCGAATTATAAAGAAAAAGAATTTGATTTCTACCTTGGCGACTTAAAGACAAGCTCCATTTGTGTTCCTAAGGGTACTGTTGGGACTAACGCTGAGGTTTTAAAATCGGCTAAGAATTTCAATTGTTTTATTATCGAGTTGGAGCTAAATCCAGAGAGATTCAGAGTCGAGTATCAAGTTTACTCTCCAAAGGACAACTACAAGAAGGCAATTTACTCATCTTTGAACAACGCCAAGTTTGTTAATAACGATAATGTCAGGTTTCCAGGTTATGCCCGGTCAAGCGACGTTGCCTTAGTTTTGCACACCAGTGGTACAACATCCAGACCAAAGACGGTACCATTAATGCATTTGAATATAGTAAGAAGCACTTTGAATATTTCGAGAACTTACAAATTGAATGAAACTGACAGATCATATGTAGTCATGCCATTATTCCATGTCCACGGCTTAATTGGTGTTTTATTATCGACTTTTAGGACTCAAGGCTCCGTTGTTGTACCACCTCGATTCAGTGCCAAGAGATTTTGGGATGATTTTATTAAATACAAGTGCAATTGGTTTAGCTGTGTGCCAACGATAAGTATGATAGTATTAAAGACGCCTAAACCTGCTAATGGTATTCCACATATCAGATTCATCAGATCATGCTCCTCTGCATTGGCTCCTGCTACTTTCCACAAGTTAGAAGAAGAGCTAAAAGCGCCGGTGCTTGAGGCATATGCTATGACAGAAGCTTCCCACCAAATGACCTCCAATAACTTGCCTCCAGGTAAACGTAAACCTGGTACTGTTGGTCAACCACAAGGTGTTGAAGTCAGAATTTTAGACGACAAGGACAATATCCTACCTCAAGGTGAAATAGGTGAAGTTTGTATCCGTGGAGAGAATGTTACCCCTGGTTATGCCAACAATCCAAAGGCAAATGAAGAGAACTTTACAAAGAGAGAAAACTATTTCAGAACCGGTGACCAGGGTTACTTCGATGCTGAGGGGTTCTTGGTTCTCACAGGTAGAATTAAGGAGTTAATTAATCGGGGTGGTGAAAAAATTTCTCCAATTGAATTGGATGGGGTTATGCTATCACACCCAAAAGTCGATGAAGCTGTATGCTTTGGTGTTCCGGATGAAATGTACGGCCAGGTGGTTCATGCTGCTGTTGTCTTAAAGAAAGGGGAGAAAATGACCTATGACGAACTAACTGCGTACATGCAAGATAAAGTGGCCAAGTTCAAGATTCCAGCAAAGGTATATTTCGTTGAAACTCTACCAAAAACTGCGACAGGCAAGATACAAAGACGTATAATCGCCGAAGCTTTCGCAACAAAGAAGAGCAAACTATAAGCTGAGCAAATAAGACATTTATTAATAAATAACTAAGAGTGTTTTATATACAATATAAATAAAGTTTGCCATATCTGAAATAGAGTCATATTAATCATAACTATCATAGATAGATTGACATTGTAAATGTTCCTCATAGAACCTGCATTTACATCGCTAGAAACGAATATCTCCTCATCCAGTTTTCCACTTTGGCAAAATAAGCTGAACAACTCCCTTTTCCCCTCTCAAAGTGCCTTGTGATAACGGTAAATTGTTCTAAACACAGAATTGGAACTTCACTCTTCACACTGTATCGACAAAGGCCATCACCTACAATCAATTGAGTCAATTACCAACATTGTCAGTTGTCAGATTCTGTTTTTTTTGTCTGTTATTTGAAAACTAACTTCAATCGACCATCAGGGATAACATTCTTTGGAAATAGGAAAAAAAATAGGAAACCATTACAGCAGCAAAGGTTAAGTTTATTAGAGGTCTCATAATAAATCTATTCTTAACCTAATTCAACGCAATTCAGAAGCAATATATATTCTTATTGAAAGATATCTTCAAACTAAAAAGAAGAAGACAAGAAAACATTGTATAACCCATCTTGGATAAGTTGCTATAAGACCAAAAATAATAGTTGATTTCATCGAACTGCCAATATTAATAGCTAGTACTATCAGAAAATGCTACAATTTAGAACACCACTCACAAGATTGACTCCAATGGCGAGATTGGCCACTAGAAGTGCCGTTAGAATGGCTTCAACAAAGACCATGACAGTTAGAGAGGCCTTGAACTCTGCTTTGGCTGAGGAATTAGATCGTGATGACGATGTTTTTATCATTGGTGAAGAAGTTGCTCAATACAATGGTGCTTACAAAGTTACCAAGGGACTTTTAGATAGATTTGGTGAACGCCGTGTTGTCGATACTCCAATTACTGAGTATGGTTTTGCCGGTTTGGCTGTTGGTGCAGCTTTGAAGGGCCTAAAGCCAATTGTTGAATTCATGTCATTCAACTTCTCCATGCAAGCCATTGACCATGTCGTTAACTCGGCAGCAAAGACACATTATATGTCTGGTGGTACCCAAAAATGTCAAATCGTGTTCAGAGGGCCTAATGGTTCTGCTGTAGGTGTTGCTGCACAACATTCTCAAGATTACTCTGCTTGGTATGGTTCTATTCCAGGTTTAAAGGTTCTTGTGCCTTACTCTGCTGAAGATGCAAGAGGTTTGTTGAAAGCTGCAATCAGAGATCCAAACCCTGTTGTTTTCCTTGAAAACGAATTGCTATACGGTGAGCAATTCGAAGTTTCTGAGGAAGCACTATCACCTGATTTCACTTTGCCATACACTGCAAAAGTTGAAAAAGAAGGTAAAGACATATCTATTATCACCTACACAAGAAACACCGAATTCTCTCTTGCAGCAGCCAAGATTTTGGAAGAAAAATACGGTGTATCCGCTGAAGTTATAAACTTGCGTTCCATCAGACCTTTGGACATCGATGCCATTGTCAAGACAGTCAAGAAGACTAACCATTTGATAACCGTGGAGTCTACTTTCCCATCCTTTGGTGTTGGTGCAGAGATTATCGCCCAAGTTATGGAATCTGAGGCCTTCGACTACTTAGATGCTCCAATTCAAAGAGTCACCGGTGCTGATGTCCCAACCCCATATGCTAAGGAGCTAGAAGATTTTGCATTCCCAGACCCAGAAACTATTGTTAGAGCTGCCAAGGAAGTTCTATCCATTGAGTAAATATTCCCATATACCTTATACTAATTATTCTATTTTTCTTTATTATTATATTATCTTTATCCTATTTCAACTACTTATATTTATCATCTTTTCTTCAATATCTAAATTGTATAAATTTTGAGCATAGCAAGAACCATGCTGCTTTAATGTACTATAATATTTAAAATTGAAATACCGTCTCTATGATTCGGTTATGCATTTACAATCTACAGCGATACCGCTGTAGATCATTTGAAAACAAAGGTGCATACCTACAGTATTTTCTGAGAGTGAAAAAATAATTTGCAAAAAAAAGTAAAACTTGCCTACGCGAACCGGTAACATAGCAAGCTGAAAGAGAAAAAATTGACACAACCTGAACTGTCTGATAGGCATCGTACTTGCAGAAAACTTTTCACTTGGTCGAACATATCCTCTCATCGAGATTATAATACCAAAGGATCGACAATTGCGTTCGTTCGGGAACAATATATATCTGGCAATTGGGCACCTATTGATTAAAAAGGATAGCTGAAGCTTTATTTACTTACTCGATGGATACTCCAGCGAAGACCTTGGCGAAGAGAGATATCCCGCAATTTTATTTGCTGATATGTCTTTACTTCTTGCAAGGTATCCCTGTCGGGCTAGCCTTCGGTACAGTACCGTTCCTGCTGAAGTCAATGGCTAAAGAGACTACGTTTACACAATTGGGTATCTTCTCCATGGCTACATACCCCTACTCATTGAAAATTCTGTGGTCTCCACTGGTTGACTCTGTATATTTCAAGAAAATAGGTAGAAGAAGATCATGGATCATTCCCATTCAACTGGTCAGCGGTGTAATGCTGTTCTTTCTGGGTACATGTATTAGCAGAGGTAAGGTGTTCAACGGTGTTGATGACGCCTTTCATGGAAGGAACTCAGGTGGGCTACATAACGTCAATGTACCTTTTCTAACTTGGTGTTTTGGAACTTTGGTATTTTTGTGTGCTACTCAGGATATTGCTGTCGATGGCTGGGCGTTAACAATCTTATCCAGAGATTCAATTTCATATTCGTCCACAGCCCAAACCATTGGTTTGAATATGGGATATTTCCTGTCTTTTACAGTTTTTATCGCACTGAACTCAAGCGAATTTGCCAATAAATATGTTAGAAATATGCCATTACCGCATGGCCTCATAAGTTTAGGGGGCTATATGAAAACTGCTGGTGCTCTATATGTGCTTTTGACTTTGTATGTGATCTTCTTTACTAAGGAGGTCCCTAATAGTGTCTATGATTTGCCAATAACTGACAAAGTGAAAGAGAAGGATAGAGAGCTTAGTGCAGACAAAGCTCTTTCTCCAACAATCACCAATATTGAATATCCGGACCATGTAACTATTAAGACTGAAAATACTAGCAGTATCGCCTACGTGTACAGAGGATTTTTAAAGATATTGAAGCTGAGATCGGTGAGAACCTTAGCAACAATTCATATGGTTAGCAAATTTGCATTTCAATGTAATGAGGCAGCTACAAATTTAAAACTATTGGAAAAGGGTTTTAAAAGAGAAGATCTCGCTGTTACAGTACTTATTGATTTCCCATTTGAAATCATATTTGGTTATTATGTTGTAAAATGGAGTTCCGCAAATGAACAGAAGAGGAAATTAAATCTGTCAAGAGGAAACCACCATAAGACAAATCGCATTGTAAAGTTTTTAGTTGGAGACGGCGGCCTATTAACCCCCTGGTTATGGGGTTTCTTAGGTAGGCTAACTGCTGCTATGTTTGGTAATTATATTGTAAGTATGTTCCCAAAAGATGGGCAAATTAGTACCGGCTACTTTTTACTTGTTATAATCCAGCATTTATTAGGTTCTTTCATGTCAACAGTCCAATTTGTGGCAATTTCGGCTTTCCATTCTAAGATTGCTGATCCAGTCCTGGGTGGTACCTACATGACACTTCTAAACACATTAAGTAATTTTGGTGGTACCTGGCCTCGCCTCATGATCATGTCAATGATCAACTATTTTACCGTTTACAGCTGTACCCTAGAAAACGGATCAGTAGCAATTTTGAATCGAGGTAGTAATATTCAAGCATGTACAACTGCTTTAAGAGGAACCGCCAAAGTTGTCACTGATGGTTACTACATTGCAAACATGTTTTGCATTATTATCGGCACACTGTTATACTTTATGTTTATCAAGAAGAAGATGCTATTTTTGCAAACATTACCAATTGGCTCTTGGAGATGTACATAGCATAGGATGACATAACAGCAGCAGATGCTCTGTTGTTGTTGGTTTTGGTTTTTTTTTTTTGAATTATTTATATTCCGTTCTCCAATAACGTTATTTCCCTTTGGCATCCTTTTGTGCTGGATCATACTATTGAAACAAAATACATTAAACAATAAGAAAAATCGGATTTCTTGCAATTACTTAACATCCTCAAATCCATCGATACAATAGAATAATAAGCTGATACAACTACGCTTACTTAATAGATAGCACTGGACAAAATTGTCATATTACTTGTTCCTTGATGATGCTCGATGACTAAATCATCGAAGGTAAAGTTTCGTCATCACCAAAAATTGGAATTTTTATGCAAAAATTTTCATTTTTTGTAATGTTCGCTCGGCGACCTCCGTCTTTATCTGTGGAGAAAACAATTGGACCCTTGAAAAAAAAAAATCGAAGTCTAAGATTGTTTTGTCACAAGCAAGCTTGAGTTGACACCAACGGAATTACTATTGACTTATAAATACATACAACTTGCTCCTGTGTTGGCCAATTGATCAACTACTGTTTTCATACTACTCTTTAATATTACAAAGCCGAGACTAACGTACTAAAGTTAAGCACTAAAATACATTATGGCCACGAACAAGATGTTGACCGGTCTCCGGGACAACTTTAGTTTGCTTGGTGAGAAGAATAAGATATTGGTTGCCAACAGAGGTGAGATTCCAATTAGAATTTTTAGATCAGCCCATGAGCTATCAATGAGAACTGTAGCCATTTATTCACATGAAGATAGACTATCCACACATAGATTAAAAGCAGATGAAGCCTATGTTATCGGAAAGGAAGGTGAATATACTCCAGTCGGTGCATACTTAGCAATTGATGAAATTATTGATATTGCTAAAAAACACGGTGTAGACTTCATTCATCCAGGTTATGGTTTCCTCTCAGAGAATGCTGAGTTTGCTGATAAAGTTCAAAAAGCCGGCATTACTTGGATTGGTCCTCCCCCAGAAGTTATCGAATCTGTCGGTGACAAAGTCTCAGCTAGAAACTTGGCAGCTAAGGCTAATGTTCCCACTGTGCCAGGTACTCCAGGCCCAATTGAAACTGTTGAAGAAGCACAAGATTTTGTTAATAAATATGGGTATCCTGTCATTATTAAGGCTGCTTACGGTGGTGGTGGTAGAGGTATGCGTGTTGTGAGAGAAGGAGACGATGTTGCTGATGCATTCCAACGTGCTAAATCCGAAGCTATAACGGCATTCGGTAATGGTACTTGTTTTGTTGAAAGATTTTTAGATAAGCCAAAGCACATTGAAGTTCAACTACTTGCCGATAATCATGGCAATGTAGTCCATTTGTTTGAAAGAGATTGCTCCGTGCAACGTAGACACCAAAAAGTTGTGGAAGTTGCACCAGCTAAAACTTTACCACGTGAAGTTAGAGATTCCATTTTGACAGATGCGGTTAGATTAGCAAAGGAAGCTGGTTACAGAAATGCTGGTACAGCGGAATTTTTAGTTGATAACCAAAACAGGCATTACTTCATCGAAATTAACCCAAGAATTCAAGTCGAGCACACCATCACTGAAGAAATTACTGGTATAGATCTTGTTTCTGCTCAAATTCAAATAGCTGCTGGTGCTTCTTTGCCACAACTAGGTTTACTACAAGACAGAATCACTACCCGTGGTTTTGCAATTCAATGTCGTATCACCACAGAAGATCCTGCAAAAAATTTCCAGCCTGATACTGGTAGACTGGAGGTTTACCGTTCGGCTGGTGGTAACGGTGTCAGATTAGATGGTGGTACTGCTTATGCAGGTGCTGTTATTTCACCACATTATGATTCCATGTTGGTGAAATGTTCTTGTTCTGGTTCTACTTATGAAATTGTTCGTCGTAAGATGCTTCGTGCACTAATCGAATTTAGAATTAGAGGTGTTAAAACTAATATTCCTTTCTTGTTGACATTATTGACTCACCCTGTTTTCATTAGTGGTGATTACTGGACAACATTCATCGATGATACTCCTCAACTATTCCACATGGTCTCATCCAGGAACAGAGCCCAAAAGCTACTTCATTACCTTGCTGATTTGGCTGTTAACGGATCCTCAATTAAAGGTCAAATTGGTGAACCTAAATTAAAGACTCACCCACAGATTCCTCGTTTACATGATGAGGATGGATCTCCAGTCGACGTGTCTGTTCCACCACAAAAGGGTTGGAGATATTTATTACAGTCGGAAGGACCAGAGGCATTTGCCAAGGCTGTTAGACATAATCAAGGCACACTAGTTATGGACACTACCTGGAGAGATGCACACCAGTCTTTATTGGCTACAAGAGTTAGAACTTACGATCTAGCTGCCATTGCTCAAACAACCGCACATGCATTTGCTGGTGCATTTGCTTTAGAATGTTGGGGTGGTGCCACATTTGATGTTGCTATGAGATTCTTACATGAAGATCCGTGGGAACGTTTAAGAATATTGAGAAAACTCGTTCCTAATATTCCATTCCAAATGCTTCTCCGTGGTGCCAACGGTGTTGCATACTCTTCTCTACCTGACAACGCTATTGACCATTTTGTTAAGCAAGCTAAGGATAACGGTGTTGATATTTTTAGAGTATTCGATGCTCTGAATGATTTGGAACAATTAAAAGTTGGTGTGGATGCTGTTAAGAAGGCTGGAGGTGTTGTGGAAGCCACTGTTTGTTACTCCGGTGACATGCTTCAACCAGGTAAGAAATATAATTTGGATTACTATTTGGATGTCACAGAAAAGATTGTTGCTATGGGTACTCATATACTAGGTATCAAAGATATGGCTGGTACTATGAAACCAGCCGCTGCTAAACTTTTGATTGGGGCTATTAGGGCGAAATTCCCTGATCTACCTATTCACGTGCACTCTCACGATTCTGCAGGTACCGCCGTGGCCTCTATGGCTGCTTGTGCCCTTGCTGGTGCTGATGTTGTTGATGTTGCTATCAATTCTATGTCGGGTTTGACTTCTCAAGCGTCTGTTAATGCTGTTTTGGCTTCTCTTGATGGCCAAATCGATACTGGTATCAATGTTAAACATGTCTGTGAACTGGATGCATACTGGGCTGAAATGAGATTATTATACTCTTGTTTTGAAGCAGACCTAAAAGGTCCAGATCCAGAAGTTTATGATCATGAAATTCCAGGTGGTCAATTGACTAACTTATTGTTCCAGGCCCAACAATTGGGTTTGGGTGAGAAATGGATTGAAACTAAAAAGGCATATAAACAAGCCAATCAACTGTTGGGTGATATTGTCAAGGTTACCCCAACTTCAAAGGTTGTTGGTGATTTGGCCCAGTTCATGGTTAGCAACCAATTAACACCAGATGACATCAGACGTCTAGCAAATTCATTAGATTTCCCAGATTCAGTGATGGATTTCTTCGAAGGCTTGATGGGCCAACCATATGGTGGATTCCCAGAACCTCTAAGAACAGATATATTGAAGAATAAGAGAAGAAAGCTAAACCGTCGTCCAGGCTTAGAATTGGCACCATTCGACTTAGCTAAGATTAGAGAGGATCTTGAAGCCAGATTTGGTGATATTAACGAATGCGATGTTGCTTCCTACAACATGTACCCAAAGGTTTACGAAGACTTCCAAAAGATTCTTGAAGAATATGGTGACTTGTCTGTATTGCCAACCAGAAACTTCTTGGCAAAGCCAAGAGTTGGTGAGGAAATTGAAGTACACATTGAACAAGGTAAGACTTTAATAATAAAACTGCAAGCTGTCGGTGATTTGAACGAAGAAACCGGTATCAGAGAGGTCTATTTTGAACTGAATGGTGAAACAAGAAAGATTCGCATCGCAGATAAGTCTCAAGTGGTCCAAACAATTGCTAAGCCTAAAGCAGACGGTCATGATCCACTACAGATTGGCGCTCCAATGGCTGGTGTCATTGTTGAAGTCAAGGTACACAAGGGGTCTCAAGTTAAAAAGGGCCAACCAGTTGCTGTTCTAAGTGCAATGAAGATGGAGATGGTGATCTCATCTACAGGTGAAGGCCTTGTCAAAGATGTTCTAGTCAAAGATGGTGAAAATGTCGATGCAAGCGACCTATTGGTTGTTTTAGAAGAAGAGGTAAAGGACGAATAAATCGTGACTATTTTATAAGCTTGCTATTGGCTTATCATGTATTGTAACAATTTTCTAATATAAATAATCATATATAATAATAATTTCAAAGCATATAAATACAATTTTAGATTCATATGAAAAATATCAAAGTATTTGATACTAAGAATCTTAAACTAAAACAGCAAATATTGTCTATTCTGTGCAACTTAACTTAAATCTATCTATGAACACTATTTTAAAAAGGTGAGTATAACTCATTGATCCACAATGATTTATGTCGAACCTAACCAAACGCTACCGATCCACAGTAGCTAACAATAAGCTCATCGTTTACCTTGAATTGGTTCCAAAGATCACCCACATTTTGACTTGGTACTGGTGCAAATGAGTTATTTATGTAGCAATGAATATTCTCCATTTTCAGCTTTCTTTGTAAAAAGGATATGATAACAGAAAAAGGTTTATTTGTTGAAATTTGACATACTGAGGGTGTAATACTGGTTATAGAGCCAATTGACTGAAATTTTATCATAACCTTTTGTGGGGCCCCAGTGTGTCCATGACTACTTGACTGAATTGATGCTTTGAGACTTTGTTGTGATCGAAGGCTACCTTGAACGAATACTTCTTCTTTCTCACTGCTATCACTGCTCTCATTCGTGTCAACCAATGCCAATTGTGATAATCGTCTGCTATATTGTTCTAGTCTATTTTCAACACCCAACTCTCGCTTCTGCTCCTCATGCTTTGAAAGAGCAATTGATCCTGATGATACCAGATTCTCACTCCCGCTCTCACTTTCTTGTTCACTTTCTAGTAGCCTACTCATAACAAACGTGTAAAGGTAATCATTGATATACCGTCCTGAGTCCTCCACTTATCATTTACCGTTGCCAATATCGAAGCTCATCGCAAGACCAATATTGTCACTTATAAGTGGAAATTTCAAAATTTTCCAAGTTTGAGGCCGAAAAGTAGGGTGAAATAAATGGTTAACCGTGCGCTCATAAGAGTGCAAACATAGAAGCCGTGCGGTCAGAACACTCTGGTTACAACTTGAAATCCACTTAAGATCAATTGCCTATATTCTGTACTTAGAAATATGTCAGATGCGTTTGAGGAAGTTTGTGACGCCTTGAAGGCGTCGTTTACTGATGATAAGGAAGATTCTCTGACGCTGGTTACCATGATTGACACCTTATCTGAAGAGGTTGATGAAGGCTTCGAGGTGAAGGAGAAAGAGCAGTTTCTAGAGCTGCTGTTGAATCTTTTGGAAGCAGACACAGAACTTGTCAGTGCTGTAGGTTGGGATTTGCCCCGCACACTTTTGAGATTCTGCAATGCCAAGAATATCAAGAATTCTGATAGATTGAGAAAGTGTAAAGTTGTCACAATATGTATGGCAATCTTTAATCTACTAGCGCTTCATGCTAAACCGCAAGAATGTCTTGTGACAACACTGGAATTATTAAGTGAGTTGAACTTCAAGAATATTGTTGAGGAATGTCATCAATTGAGTGAAGACGGTTCCGATAATAATACAGCTGAGGAGGATAACGATGCGGTGGAAGATTATATGAAAGATAGAGATCAACCTGAGATTATTTTTGGTGTGAAGTCATATGCTTTATTTGAACTAGCTGGTTCGTTGATAAGAAGAGTTGCCACATTGCACCCATCAAAATACTTGGAAGAAGCTGTTACCGCCATACGTAAATACGTGACAAACAATACTGAGGTGGTTGAAGATGTTAAATTTATATTAAGGAGAGTATTTGCCTTCTGCAGAGGTTATATACCACCCGAACCACCAAGACAGCTTATTGTTGATCTGAAAATGAACCATGAGGAATATGATGAGATTATGAACAGTGAAATTGAACTTCAGGTTAGATTGCTAAGAAACCTTTGTACATTTTCCGTAGCTTATTGCGTCAAATTCTTAAATGATAAGACTGAGGTTGTGTATTTTCACAAATTGATAAACAAGGATCTGCAACTGCCTGAATTTTATAGATCAGTTCATGATATTATTTCTCGTTACTACCAAATTGCTTTTTCATTCGACATAGATCTAAACGATGAGTTTAATGATATTTTGAGGGAAACTAGAGGTATCTATGAAGATGTTATAAAACGTATCAATGAGACTAATAACACTGACAAAAATGCCAAGTCAGATATATTACTCAAGGCTGGTTACTACTACGAGGTTCAGAAAACTGCTAGAGAAAAAGAAATTAATCCTGATACCAAAGGTATTATACTGTTAAGTGGATTTAACTATATAGAGAATGGCGATCATCTTATTGATATCGATATTGCCGATGCACTTTATCTATATTTAAGATTTGCTTCGGAGTCTTTATTCTCTCCGACTTGTCACAATGTTACAATAGAAGGAGTTGCAAGGTATTGGATTTGGGCTGCACTAACAACTACAGACAATAACATTCTGAAAGAAAAACTTGCTGAGCTCTCGCCGTTGGTATTACATTCTGTTTTAAACCTGCTTCTAGTTAAAAACTGTCATCAAGTCAATGAAGAAATAAGAATGATCACGTTTACTTTAATTACTAGAATCCTCTGTTTATTACCAGAAAATTGCTCATATGAATTTTTGATGGATGAGCTTGATAATTGTGCTGTTGTATTTGGTAAATCCTGTGTGCTAGGTATTTTACGTGACCTTGTTATCAAGGTTGATCATAGTGTGAGTAGTAATAATACGGATACAGAAGATCTATCGGAAAGCATGGCACAATTAAAGATCAATAATGAGAAACGAGCTAAAAAGACTTTCATCACATTAGATCCAAAAAGGGCTGGAGAAATAGAAGATCTGGCTATCAAAACTTTGAAGGAAACCAAAAAGTCAATGAAGAAAGACTACATTCTACTTGTATTAAATTACATCAAATTCTTCTCCACTTTTGCACATAAGTGGAATAAATCTAAATTAAATGAATTCACAACTTTAGTTGCGACCAACTTTTCGGATAGTAAAATGTTACCCGAAATTAATGCAATTATTGACGCTAATGAGAAACTAAGATCACTGACAGAATAAAGTACTTGTTTGAATAATAGGCTACTGTAATATTATAGAATATTCAAACATGCCATTTGTAGTTTCAAAATAAATACTGATAAAATATGAACATCAAGAACTACATAGCCATTATTATTCGTTTGTATATATGCTACCTATTCTTACCAGCAAGTTTTTTGTTATTTGAGGGGGCCAGTTTAGCTTCGGCTGAGCTATCTTCGTTCTCGACAAGAGGACCAAAAAAAACAAAAAAACCATCCCTTGTTGCTGCTCTATATTCCTCCCATTGTAGCTCAGAATCATCAATAAATGGATCCTCTATATCATATTTACCAATCAAGTTCTTACCTTTTGACGGATGGGGTTTCTTACCGTTTACAGGAACAGCTGGCTTGACTGGTATATGTGATTCTTCTTCTTCAAAATCGTCCTCATCATCAGAGAGATTAATTTCATCATCTAAAGTAGATCCACTTCTGTTATTTGATAAGTTTTGTAATAAATTCATAGTTAAGTTCTTTTTCGGTACTTTGGCCTTCTTACTGATGCCATACTTTTCATCTATTAGCTTTTGGAAATTGAATATTACCTGATTATCTTCTGACAGATACGCATTACTATCATCTAGGGATAGTGGTACATCAATAATAATATCTGGCCTTGACAAAGTTTTTATATCGGTCTTACCTTTTTCTAGAACACTCATTATATTTGGTGACTTAGTTGTTGGAAGTGCTCTTTTAGGACTTCTCGGTTTGGGTGTGACTGCATTCATGTCTTTCTTCTTAGATTGCTTGTCCTTACTAACAATACCTATTCTATCTATCTCAGTAAAAGATTTTGATTTTAATGAAGATTTAAAAGTACCTTCCAACTTTTTACCTTGTGGAGTTTTATCTACCTTTGAGGTCTTATTATCTTGCTTAACAGCGTTTGATATTTCAGTATCATCTAGTTTGGTAGCAGTGCTTGACTTCTCACTAGTGGAGCTCAGTGATTTTCGTACATTGGCGGGGCTCTTGTTCTTCAAGAGAGCTCTCATCTTTAGTTTATTCAATTTCGACTCGCTGTCGTTTCTTTTTAACGATGGGATTGACACACTTCCTGGTGACTGTGGTGAATTCGATTTTGGTTCAGTTGAGTTTAATTTTTGGTTGTTAGGGCCTGATAGTAGTGAAGCCACAGGCAATGGCTTGGTTTCAGGTATCATGGGCCTAGGCAACTCTGACTTGCTTGTCTTATCACTCCCATTACTGCTACTATCAGAGTTCAGTAACGGTGATAGTGAACTCGATCTTACATTTTGCCTATTCATTGCCAGTTCCTCTGCAATATTCGGTATCTTCTTCGCTCCGGTATTTACTTTCGGCTTCTTAACATCTGTATCTTCATCAATGGTTATCACTTCATTTGATCGTTTGTGTGATTCATTGCCAACTCCACTAACAAAGGAATCTTGGTTAGACATTGTCCTGTAATAATCAGTTTGTGTCAAACTGCTCTCGGTATGATATTATAAATGTGCCGGTTCTACCACTAATCGAATTTGTAAGAGATGTGTGCCTTATTTATGTCCGTTTGTGAAATTCGTTCGCATCGCGTTTGATACAAAATTGTGATTCATGATTGAAAATGCGATCGACACAATACATTAGCAGAAATACCAGTAGTTGATGTCTTCATCATTGATTATAAGTGATTAATGGTAGGTGATTGATATATATATAAATATATTACTATATTTGGTAAAAAATTACTATTAAATAAACTCCATTAATATGAGGATAAATTGTGAATATTTTTTTTCTGAAAAGGTATGATAACTAGATAAAGTAAAATGAGAAACAATTCTACCAGTGGTGCGCCTACTTGTAGTTTAATCGAGGAATGAAGTATGTACTAGTATTCCAAAGCATGGTTAGCAATGAATTACATCACCACATTTAATTAGGAGACCCCACTGTTTCCCAGTAGTTCTGTGCATAAGAAAAGTATTTTTTGAGATTCTTGAATATGTTTGCCTCATGGTAACACTAGTATTGGTTGCACTTATTGAGTTGCTGGACCTCTTTGTCTTCTAGCTGTCTGTGGGTCAACTTCAGTATTTGCAGTCTGTTTTCTGGCTAACAGGTTGATGATATCAGTCAATGACACAACACCTATCAATTTGCCAGTTCTGTACTCCTTTTCAAATAGATTAGGTTGGATTACTGTTGTATTTGTAGCTTGTGTAGCAGGGTTAATGACAGTATGGCCATCATCAACGGTACTTAATAATGGAGAATGGTTGTTTAAGGCATTTGGTGTTGCTCCAGGAGCTGGAGAAGCTGAGGTGGTGGTTGGTGTAGGGTTTGGGGAAATGGTTCCGGTATTTACACTGGAAGAAGTTGAACTACTTGATGTGGCAGTTGGCGCTTCTTGAGGCTGTACGATCCACAATCTATGCGACTTAGTTGCTACTAATTTTGCCAGTGTTCTTGCAAGAGAACTTGTTGGATATACATGAAAGATTGGGAAAGAGTCCTTACCCGTCTCTAGACCACGGGAATTCAAAATCACAGAAATGAAATGACGGCACGTCTTATGAAGCAGTGGATATTGGGAGGTTCTAGTGACATGCTTGACATCTGTTACTGAAATGTTACCAATTAAGTTGCCTTGTGGATCAATAACAGCAATGGAAGAGATCCTTTCTTTATGCATCTTATATAGAGCCATTATTAAAGGCTCCTCACCTTGAATTGAAATGACTCTTGACTGCCTTGAAGTTGGCTTAGAGTTTGTATTCAAAACTCCGATTTTCAAGTCCTGTAGTGAGCTATTCAGTAATGGTTCTAATGTTCCAAAGGACCTAGCATTATCCCATATGTATTTTATTAGTCTACGTTGCGATAAAATACCTCTGATTTGAGTCATCTCTGGATTTGTTATAGCCACTCTATGAACACCGGAGCCCAAAATGCCCATTACGGTAGACAAGTTTTCGGTTTCAGGTAATTTGTAAAAAGGATTCTTTGGAGTCAACTTGACAATGTCTCCCACAGCCACTGGTTTACCATTCTGGCAGTCCTGGGTCACTTGCTTATTATTGATTGTTATTTTGTTCAGTACTAAAAGTAAGTATGAGTTCAAGTCATTGTAATCAAAAGTTAAACAGTTCATATCGCCTGGCACAGCTTCAACAGGGATAGAGGTCAAGTGGTACTTGATCAATGTGTTGAAAGTCTCTTCTACGGATAACGATCCTGGCACGAAGATTAACTTGTTCTGTTCAATTAATTGTGATAATTGGATGTGTTTCCAGGTATGAATATGAGCTGAGTTCAAACACTGGGATGGTGTCTGTAGCATTGGCACAGCAGATAAATCAGTGTTTCCAGCTTCCAGCCCACTGCCAGAGTGAGGAGTACCACTGGCACCCACATTGGTAGCACTTCCCGCACTAGGGTTTGCACTCTGTGCATTAGCACTGCTGCTATCGTTGTTGGACCCCATAGAGGTAATCGAAGACGTGCCAGAAGCGCTCCTCTGTAATGGAATAGACTCTATGCTCTCTGATCTACCTTGAGATCTATGAACATGAGCGTGCTGCGCATGCTGATGTGGTAGTAAAGGCGGAGAGGATAGCATCTCCACAATAGAAGCATGTCTGCTGGAGGTCCCTGAGTTGGGAACAACATTTTTGGGATTAGTCATTATGTTATTCGTTCTTGGGGGGTTATTGTTAAACAAACGCTATTATCCTTGATTTTATGATGGCACTATTATAACCCAATTTTAGTCGTAGAAACTTCGTTCTTTCGCACTTAGAGGCTCTTATATTGCTTAGCTTTCAAATGATACACCTATGCTAGTGTGTAATACGCTCTGATTCAAACCAAACACTTGGGAATAACTGTTATAAGTTCCCATTCTTCCACGTTCCAGGTACAATTTTCTTATTTGAAGGGGGAAGAATTTTTTTTTCAGCTTCCCAGCCTTTGAAGGGGGGGGACCACCTCCGATTTACGATTGTTCTTTGGAGGTTTTTTGGAGAAACCCTTATTATGACGTGTGCTATTATATTTCCATGTGATCTATATAGTTAATGCTATAGTATTATGTAGTAATCCTGGTCGTTTACACAGTGTAGTTGGCTAGCACCTCTGTACGTGGTGGGAACGTCAAGGATTGTTCCTGGCTCATTGTCTTGTATAACTGAACCAGCTTGTCGACATCTATTCTTGCTGCGTTTTGGATGCCGAATATGTCTGTGCATTGCTTAATCCATTGCATTCTATATTTTGACTGGCTCATGTCTGGTGATAAGTCTCTTATCCTACTACGCAGTGTTCCCAGTGTCTCTACTGATTTTTCCAGGTCTAGGGTCTCAAGATGTCTCTTGACCTCATCTCGGATCAGGGCTGCAAACCGTGGAGATGACCCATTGGATGAAATCAGAAGTTGCAACCCTTCCACTTCAACATTGGCTCCAAAATAGAAATCGCATAGCGGTGGATTGTCTGCGACATTGACCATCTGTTGTGGGCCATATATGCTCTTCGCCTTTTTGTATATCCTTTCACTCTCGACTTGGTCTGGAATCGCAGTCATGATGAAAGACCAACCTTCCTTGTTATCCAGAGCGAAATAATCATCATTAAACGTATCTTCAACGTATTGGTACAGCTTTAAACAGCCCGGTACCCATTTTTCGTTTCTATGCACTTTACCGTCACTTGCAGTGTCAAACCCACCATATTTCCTCAGTATCTTCTCATGGATTACTGGTGCAACTATGGTAAGTTTACAATCTGTCTTGATCAGCTTAAGAATCCGTGTCAGCGCCACTTCACCACCACCGACTAGCAATACATGTTTGCCCTTAAGTTGATGCGCTAATTGCAATGAGTTTGCCATTTCCCGTTTTACGTAATGACCAGCGTAACAACGTCCTGTAGGAAAACCAGTTCAGGTTGAGTAGTTGAAAAAAGCCCAACCTAGAGTATTTATATGGTTTAAGAAACTGAATTGGGTGTCTGTAAACATCATTTGTTTTACTTCATTACACATCGCAACGCCTTGCCTTCTAGAAGTGAGATCCCACAGTTTTATTATGTGCCACTATGAGTCTTAATCACATGATTTATTTCATTTCACTCCCCAAAGGAGATATCATAGTTAGATGTATGCGATAGTGGGGTTGTTGCTTGTAAGCCGTGAAATAAATAATGCCAGTTTTGTTCTATTGCTAATATGTTACTCTGTACTGTGATATAATTAAATAAAAATATGCGTTCTTTATAAGTTCAATATATATATAAAAATACTTGGGGGATAAAAAGTAAAATAATTGAGATAATTAATCGCGTGTATTCTGTCAAAACAACTGCCGAAGACTAATAAGAACAAGCATGGATAAGAATAATACACGATTTGATAGATAAGAGTCAATTGAATGTCAAACAAAAAAAATTAGGAGTAAGAACCACTTTTTATAGTTAAAAGTTTTTCAATTTCTCAAAGTTGAATAAAATATAATTGGGAAATAAAATAACAGTAAAAGCAACAATAGATTATTAGATGAAAACAAATGAAAAAACTCAAACCATTCTGGGACATAAAAGCACGATATTAAATATTATTTTACTTTAATAAATGATCCAACTGCTTTAAACAGTTTCATATAGCCTTAATCCATTCCATATGAAATGATACGTGTTCACCTTTGTAGGTTAAACTGAGCCAGCAGTGCTTGTGATGTTGAATAATAGATTTGTAACTGGTTAAGTAAAGGCAAAGTTATCATTGTTAGTGGTTAAGCTAGGTCTTCGTACGTTATTCATCCCTAGCGAATTTTCATCAACCTGTTGCGGATAGGCCATGGTACGGTCTCCTTGACCATAAATATTGATTTGGTTCCTTGCTGAATTTGGGGAACTTGAGTTAAGAATATTATCATTGGGCAATTGGTTCAAGCCAGCGGATTGAGGATTTAAATTTAAAGAATGTAATTGGGCATCCATTTCAAGGATCCTGTTTCCAACATCATTATTGATATCAGCTCCTGAAACAATATTGTTTGTCATTGAGTTTGCTGGGATATCGTTTGATAGTTGCCATGCTGTAGTGCTAGTCACATTCATACCAGCCTGTTGTGCCACCGTATTTTGCATATGTTTCATCTGGTTGTACTGATATTGATTAACCAGATCTTGTTGTTGTCTTCTCTGTAAAGCTTGCATATATTGTTGAGATGACTGTTGCTGATGTGATTGGCTTGGTAGGGGCTGTTGTTGGTATTGATTATATGGTTGGCCCTGAATGCCTTGCTGATGAACCTCAGTCAATAAAGGGAGAGAATCTGGTTTGGTAGCAAAATCATTTGTTTTACCGTATATTATTTGTTGTTGACTTGGGTAGAATTGTTCATGCTGATAGGTGTATGCCTGGTTATTGATATTATTATTGGCTAACATTGTAGATGGGTCTTGATATTGGGGTCTTAATTCTTGCCTTTGATTTCCCGAGCTCACATATTGGGGTGGCAATTTATTTATCATGTTTTTAGCTACATGGTTCCTGCCCCAAGACAATCTAATAGGGTTTTCAACTAAAACAAAACCTTGTAATCCCTGAATAGCTGCTTCAGCATCTATCTTGTGTTCAAATTTTACAAATCCGCAGTTTTTTCCTGGTGGAATCTTGATACTTAAGATATTACCAAATGGTTGGAAGATTTTTCTTAATTGTTGTTCTTGGACAGTAGGTCCCAAACCGCCTACAAATACTGTTGTGTTTGTAGGATCAGTAGCAAAGAAGTCGTTTAATGCAGCTTCAGATACCTGGGTGTTGACAAAAGAAGTGTTGATCATGCCATCTTTCCTGCCCAGGTCAGCTCTATTAGGTGGATATCCTCCACTCATATCTGTTCCGTAGTTCACCTCCGGTTGATTATAAGAGTTATAATGTAGCTGTCCTGGATTATATGATCTTTGTGGAGGACCTCTTTGTAAACCGTTTCCGGAGTTTATGTCGTTACTGTAATGTGTTTGCTGAAACCCTGATGCATTTGGGTAATTATGCATTTTATTAGCTGATCTCAATTGGTTAGCTCTTTGAGAGTTATTTGAGGCGTTCATGAGATATTGAGACAAGTTGCTCTTCTCGAGTTCAGCTTTTGAAATGGTATTTCTCACATCAACGTGGTGATCGTGTGGGTTATTACCTTGGGTGTGCATGACGGTGGTTGACCTTGGAGTTGCGTAGGCGACTCTCAGAGTTCTTCCTTGGAAATGAACGCCGTTCATCTCTATTAGTGCTCTTCTTCTTTCTTCCTCGTTGCCGAACCTCACAAAACCAAAGCAACGCGATGCGCCAGTGATGGGGTCTGTCATTACTCTCACTGTCTTCACGGACTTGAACTTAGTTTGGAAGAGTGACAGCAGGTCTGCCTCAGTTGCTGTTGGCGACAAGTCACCGACGAACAAAGAGTACTCGGGCGTAGTTGGTATGGAGCTCTGTAGTGTGGCGCCGGATGCCCAATTCAGCCGAAATGTTCTTTGTCCCGTGGGGTTGATGTCCTGGCCAGTGGTAGTGGAGACGAAGTTAGGCAGTGGTGTAGAGTTCAAAGCCAGGCCCTCTTGCGCGTCTTTCTGCGACTCGAACTCCACGAAGCAGTAGCCCGCGTGGTGCAGCTGCGTGGTTGCCGGGTCTATGAAGGAGACACCGTTGATGTTAATCTTCAAGGGCTGTTGGGTGGACTGTTCGCCCTCGCTGGTTTGAATGCCACTGTCAGAGGCCGGGGTGTTAGACGCCGATCCTGTAGTGTTAGAAGGCGAGTCCCTGGTGTCTTCCTGTGGTGGTTGTGCGCCGTTCTGCCCGGATGGCACAGATGCAGCTGGCACAGGCGCGGGGTCTGAAGTAGAGCTGCATGGGATCAGCAGGTTTTTCTTTGCTCTGATCAGTTTCACGGTGACGTGCTTGCCGAGGTGGCTCCATATCTCCTGTATCGTCTCCTCGTCATAGGAGGGGTCAAGGTCTCCCATCCACAGCGTACGTGGCGGCTCGTCGGAGGTTTGAATAGTAGACGTAGGCGGAAGCGGTATGGCCGTAGCGGTACTGGCACTACCGGTAGTGCCAGTACCAGTACCAGTACCAGTACCAGTAATATCTGTGACAGTAGTAGCAGACATTTATACCTTGGAGTGGCTCTGGAGGGGGGTTTAGTTATTATTAGGCTAAGAAAGAAAGCAATAATATATATGAAATTTTTTTTTGCAAAAAATTGCTTTGTGTTGTCTACAACTCTACGCCCTTTTCAAACCCGAAAAAACCAGAAATTTATATCGGACCTCCACATAGGGCACTATAGAGAATTCAACAGCATAGCATGGGATAGTATGCTATGCTATGCAATACTACACAATACAACACTATACTACATTACACTATACTATACAACACTATACAACACAACACAACACAACACAATACAACACAACAATACAATGCTTGGCACAGAAGCTTATTTTCCACTGAAAAGATTTTAAATTGCAATTAATCATCCAATCCCCGCAGGGGTTCTTATGGGGGGGGCAGCGATGAGGTGGACCCTTTTCCACTCTGTGCGCGGATCTCTCTCTCTTCTTCTACTCCACAGACGGATCCGCACTTCCTTTTGCCGTTTCGTCCTGTGCGTTTGCTATGCTTTGGCTGTGCGTTGCTGTCTGAGAGAGATACTTTCCAGGGTCCAGAACCCGTTCATCGTGGACGGTGTGGTCAGGTGATTGTTTTTTAGGCAAATGTAAACAGACATAAGAGATGGTAGTCAACAAGTGTTCCTGGCTTGGATCAGTAGAGGAGAGCGGTGATGGATAGAGACACGAAGTTGCTAGCGCGGCTGCGGGGCAGTCATAGCAGGAACGTCAAGAGGAGCAAATCCATCTCGTTTGCTGATGTGGATGCGGATTTGGATGAGAATGCAAATGTGGATGTGGATGTGGATGTGGATGCGGATGAGAATGCAAATGTGGATGTGAATGCAGATGTGGAGCCTGTGTTTGATAATGAATATGAAGCGACACCAGATATACTAGACGTACCAGTACCAGATACTACACCTCACACACAAGGATCAGAAACTGGCAATATAAGCACGCCTGATGTGCCCAGGTACACGGGTGTCGATGCACACATACAATCGAGTGCATACGACTTCGAGGACATACCGGTGTCGAGGCTGTACTCCTCGATCACCTCGGTCACCACTATACATGTGCTGCAGGCGATATTCACAAACCTGTTGCAGAACGACCTGATACCACAGGCGTTGACCGCCTTTAACGGTACCACTAACGTGCCGAGACTGTCCCAATTGAAGAAGATGTCCCACAAGCTGGACATGCGGATATTTCAAGTGCTCGCAGAACAACTGACCGCGGACCTGGATGACCTCCTGGACATCAATAAAGCCAACAACGAGCTCTGCTACCAGTTGAAGGAACTAACCGCAAACTCGCAGCTGCTGAACAAAGAACTCATCGCGGTGCGGAAAGAACACCAAACTATTAAATACGGGGGCAAGAAACACAAATTGGAGAACGATAGAGCAAACATTAACTCAAAGATTCAGCTGAATGCACAATTGGTGGAACTTACAGAGGCTTTACTCAACGATAACGAAGACGATCAAGCTGATGCACCACTGACTATTAACAGCCTGAACTTGAGACATACTTGTGAGTTGCTCGACCCACACAATGGATTGGTAAAGAGACTACAGTCAAAGATAAACGAAATTAAGTCCCTGCAAGAAGATTCAACTTGACAGTCAGAATTACCTCAAAAGAACAATTTGCTAACTCTATCCCGGTGATGGAACCGTAAACTTTCAGGAACAAATACCTCTTATATTGCATTTTTTTTTTTTGTATCTTATTTAAATCAAGGATACGTTGTATTATATAACACAATATAACATAAAAATAGACTGTTCAGTAAAAATAAAAGACCATTAATCATTTGCTATTGTATATATTAACCATTTTGTATGGCAATTCGAGACGAGCTCGCTATCTGGCAGGTGATTGAGAAACGAAAAAGCAAAAAAAAATTAATAATTTTGAAATTAGGCTGATCACTCCGATACGGGGAGTCGAACCCCGGTCTCCACGGTGAAAGCGTGATGTGATAGCCGTTACACTATATCGGACTATTAATTGGATAAAAGACACTAATCATTTAGTGGGTATTACTACTAATATAGTTATCATGTGACTTTTGAAGGATTTGGTATTCTGCACTCATTCTTGTTGGCGTTTAGGTCCGCACAGCAAGCATTATAGTCACACTCACAGGATTCGCTAGTCTTACTATTTTAACAGCAATACTAGCTACATCAATATTGGTAAAGAAACCCATACATGTGCGCAGCAAGCGACCGAACGATAAATGATATTTGTATAATCACAGACTCGGTGAATTCTTTCTATGTTAAAGTAATAGGGCCTATGGTAGCCATAATCATAATCTCGTTATCCTTCCAGAGTAAATTGTTAAGTTGAAAGAAAAATGCTCGTTGAAATGCTATTTATATGTACTTGTCTATATGACCTTGATGTTGAAAGTTAATTTTGTTCTTGTTTCTATATGTTGTGATATCCGTGTGTATCTGTGAATGGTTTGTAGACATGATGTCAGATTTCACTGAGAAATCCTCAGGCCTTCCCTTTCAAGCACTTGCTTATCGAATTGGATCAGGAAAACTACTCTGTTATCGTGGCCATCCTGTGGCATTGAGTGTGGAGTAACTTTGCATGGGAAACCTGCTGATGTTAAGTAACCGTGTATTATACCACAAACAAAATAGTCGCAAGAGACATTCTTCCCTGATATGAATTGGGTTAGTTTAGGTTTGTTGTCCACGATCATATATTCATTTTCGCGCTCTGATGATTTGACCAAGTCGTTACTTACATGGCCAAAAAGGTAAGACCACAGGGACCCGTGTATGAATTGCAATACATCTAGTATCTTCAAATCTCTCCTCCTCATACGATTGATAAAGCTTGTTAGGGAGGATTCTTGGTCAGAGGCCGTGATGGTAGCGTCTGAGCTACCGTTGCTTGTGTTTGATCCCGACGACAAGAAGTTCTTTGAAGTAAAAGTGGCAGAGGCTCTAAAGTTCAGCAGCTCTATCAATCTCAAGCCTATGTTGTAGCCCATCTTACTCAGCCTTGTCTCAAACTCATTTATATCCTTACAATCGTTGTGAATATTCGATATCATCTCCTGGTACAGGAACGTCATTGCACTCAGCGAGACTTCTTTCTTCTTGAAGATGAGAGACTCATTGTATATGGTGTTCATTGTGTATGTATTGTGTATGGGCTGAATTGTGTTTTGCCTACAAGTGTGTGCAATTTATGTCTGAAACACTTGCAATCACTTCCATATCATGGATTTAATCTTTTATGTTTTTTTGGGTTACTTTGTTCGGCCGTGGTTAAGAGCCCGAAAAGTGATGCACGTCTGTGGGCATAGCCATTGCACAAATATATATCGAGCTGTATATATAGTAAGTGGTTAAATCCCCTAGATATTATAGATTCAAATAACAAAATTAAAAATTTATTGTTTTAATTTATTGATATGAGTTATGAGTATGGAAGGTTGTAGTAATTATTCCTTTATATTATCATACAGAATATAATTTTTGTTTCAGCCCCAGTGTTCCCCCCAAGAGAAAGATAACTCAATCCCTTTGAATGAAAACTGAGATTGTAACACTAATTTGAAGAAGCATAGTAGGAACATGGATTGATGATTTATTGTGGGGTTTCGGTAAAGAAAAGTCTTTTTGAAAGAGACAAACATAGGGTAAAAAATGGTTCGTTTAATAAAGATTGAGTAAAAGTAAAAAAAAAAATGAACTGACAAGTTAAAACATGAGAAATACGAAAGGTGTTATGTTATTTCCAAGTATGGTATGGAATAAAAGTAGAATATACACCACTATTATCGATGCAAAAAAACGGTTTAGTTTAGAAAGTGGATAAACAGCGGATAATGACAATTCTCAATTAGCCCATAAATATTCAGCATACATGTAATTTTTTTTCTTCATTCTCAACAAAATCTAGAGGTATTATCCTTCTGTAATGGTGATGATTAAGAGAGGGAAAAAAAAGGTCAACACCTTGAATCTATCAATGTTAAAAAGTTTGTCAATTGTTGCAAATTAATATTATTCATTTGGACTGATATTTTTTTTAATAACTTAGAATCTCAACTTAGAGAAGAACCATTGGTTCTTACCAGCTTGGTGTCTTTCTTCGAAAGCCTTCTTGATGACCTTCTTGGCTTCTTCACGTTGGGTTGGTTCTTCGAAAGTTTCGGTAGAGACAACGGACTTGAAGGACTCAACATCCAAGGTGTATCTGGTTGGAAGCAAGTGGTTGTAGTTGATGGCCTTGATGAATGGCTTGATCTTAGTTCTCTTAGCGACCTTCTTGGCACCGTGCTTCTTGGTAACCTTCAATGGGTATCTTTCAATACCGGCAACCAAAGCATGGGCAAATGGGTGAGCCTTGGAACCTTCATCGTGAGGCTTCACGATGACAACCTTCTTACCGGCGTAACGACCACGGACGACGACAGCAACCTTACCAGCTTTCAAGAACTTAGCCATTCTGTATTGTGTATGTGTGTGTGAGTTGTGTTCTGTTCCTATACAAGATAAATGGCAAAAGCGTCTATTAAATACTCAAAAGTCTTATAAAAGAATATCGAATCCCACTTCCTTCCCCCCAATGAATCCCAACCAGAAACAGAAACGCACAATTGATGAAAAAAATTTTGGTGAAAAAAGTGAAAAATTTTGAAAAAAAAAAAAACTAAAAAATTTTCAAGTAGCGGCATACGAGTAGCTCAATTCAGAGCACCGCATCACAGTATACATTACAATATACATTACAACTACAACTACAACTACAACTACAACTACAACTACAACTACAACTACAACTACTACATGTACTTCACTGTCGGGGGTATACGCCTGGGCCGGCAGTGGCGGTTCATTTGGTAGTACAGAAACACTAACACCCTTACACCACATATATACCATATAAGCAATAAATATAAGGGATGTCTGGCCCACTTTTCTAGTTGGGCGTCTCCCTGCACAGCAGAACGCGCACGGAGAGAGATACAGCTGCACTTCTAGGCTGAACTCGCCCCACTGGCATACAGACCGATATCGTCGTGTGTATGTATATACTACACGTGTATTATTGTCACTACCCACACTTTCGTAGTTCCCCCCCCCCGCATTGAATCGCCGAAACAGGCAAGTTTCAGTGCTTTCGGCTGCACAGCGACAAAGAAGCCGAGATTTGACTGCCTTCTCATATTTCATGGTGTATGGGTGTAGTATGTCTGGGTGTATGTGCATTGCAGTCACAATTCTTTTTGACACCCACAGCAAATCAACGGGACCCCCCGCCCCTTCAAAAACACATAATAGAGGCGATGAGCTCTATAATATTATAAACAATGGCAGGAGCCTTATTGACAGGAACCGATACGGAACTAGGGTATAATAATAATGGATACTGCTGAGCTACGGCCGTATTACAACGAGGATACGTTTGACGCTGGGTACCTGGTGAAGTTCAACCCGCAGAAAGGTGTTGTAGACTCAAATGGGTTCAATATTGCGTCGAAGTTGAGCATTGTCAAGAACAGCAATTCTTCGGCCAAGAACCTGGATCCCGCGACGCTGTTTACCACTAGGTCTAACAGTAAAGGGAGTCTGTTCAATTTCTCGCTCAATTTCGGGTCCAGGGCCAAGGCATTGAAGGGCTCGAGTGGGTCCCTGGACAGTCTGGTGAAGGAGTTCGAATGGGTGGACCTGCTGAACGTTAACAAATGGATAGCAGTGGTGTCGCAGCTCATGGAGCTGTTTGTCAGGAAGTACTTCCAATTGTTGATTCAGCAGCCTTTCGAAGTGTCGCGGCTGTTACAGCAGGTGGGGCAATTCAACGGTGAGTCGGTATCGCACACAGAAGAGCAGAAGAAAGCGCGTCATAGCGGGATAATACTCTCAGACCTGGACAACGAGGACGAGATCAACTACTTCCCTTCCACTAGCACGCCAGATTTATTAAGGGATGGCACGGACAATGATGAACGTGACGATGGCGAAGACCAATACACAGGCCAAGGTCAGACTGATTCTGTGGCATCCATAGAGGAAACCCACATAAGATGCTTGACACCAGAGAGGTCTATCAACCCTGAATCAAAGCATACCCTAGATATAATGAACTCCATCCTGGATGAAGAAGGTATTAAAGGGTTGTGGAAGGCCAATAACACAAACTTCATCTATCAGATTCTATCATCCACCTTGGAAGCTTGGTACACTGGTCTGATATCGCCTTTGCTACATATACCAGATCCGTACTTCATTGACTTGATCCACTTCCCTGATACACAGTCGGCTGTGCTTCTCACTTTGTCAGTTGGTGTACTTACGGCCCTCACATTAATACCAATAGATTTAATAAGGACAAGATTTATAGTAACGGCACTCTATGGGACCGACACTGAGGTCTCAGAGGAGGCAAGTGAAGGTGCTGCTAATAAAAAACATGACTCTCGGAGTTTGAGGCATTGGATCAGAAGCTGGTCATGGCGTCATGACGCCTTGAAGCTACCTTCAGATATGTGGCTGCTCACAATGTTGCAATCAGTATCAAACGTCTCGTTCAATAAGTTGATTGATCTAGTCATATACCATAAATTTCACGTTGACAAGTATTCTCAAATGACAACATATAACACCATGAAAGTGTTAGCGAGAATTGCTGAACTTTTTGTGAAATTACCAATCGAATGCCTCTTGAGGAGATGTCAACTGGATTTCCTAGTATACAAGAACAGTTCTCTGAGAATAGAAGATACTAGACAACTGATAATATCTCCTGTTAAATATCAAGGTGTATGGAAATCAATCAGAGATAAATCGGAATATAGCTCCCTTTGGAACGGATGGCGTGTCGGATTTATGAGCATAGTGTGCAGTTACGGAGTCAAGCTATTGAACAAGTTCCCCGAACATACTGAACAGGAGAAGTTTTAGCTCTTAGCATGTATATAGATGTCAGTATGCAATGTCATCTGAAATTATTCTAGCCTTTCTAGTTTAAGCTACCCCCAAGTTTGCTAACAAAATGTTAAATATTCCCTTTGCGTAATGTGAAATGATTCATCCCATCAGGAAGCGAAAATTGTTGTCCTCAATATTATTATGTAGTACATTTTATATTCATTATTATATACAAGTGTATGTCCCTAATGCTTTAATTGTCACTGCGTTCTATCAGATATTCACCCAATACCCGTAGCGGATCTGCAGGTTGCTCCACAGCTATCTTACGCATGCCCTCCAATAAAACTGGTGTTACCTTATCATTTAGGTATCTCCTTGTCTGAGATCCACCTATTGTCTCTACCAAGTTGATCCCACTACCTGTAGCTGGTTTCTGTTCAGTAAGAGAAATTGCCGGTGTAGCTACTGGCGACTCCGTCTTGATATCCTGTTTCTCTTGTTTTACTTCCGGCTCTGGCTTAACAACAGGCTCTGATGGTGGTGGTGCACAGGCTTCAGGTTCCTTAGACAAAACATCGCTGATCTCCATCACGTTGTAAATATTGTATTATTCAATTGGTCTATACCGCACTACTTTGTTCGGGTCGTTGGTATTCAACTATTGTCTCTCTTGTAGTGTTATTCTTGCGATGAGCTAACCTAATTTTTTTGGGCTAAATTGTCAAGAAAAAGTGAAGGAATAACACTAACGATTGATGCTGTTTTATCACTGTGTATTGCCAAAGTATTAAAACAAGTACTGGGATAAACATATATTATATATAGGGAACTAGAGCTGAAACTGCTAATTGAGATTTCAATCAGGAAAAAATGAGTGCTGATCCATTTCAGGAAGTTGTAGATGACACGAGAGAGCAGATGAAGAGGCTGGCGCAGTATTTGAGCCAGCATGAGAGTTCTAGCTCAATTTCACCACAGGATGAGGAAGTTGCAGAAGTTCAGGAGATAGTAGATGATATTGCTGAGACTCTAGTCGATCTGAACCGTAGTGTTGATGTTATTGAGAAAAATAACGCTAATGGCGTTGATATTGAAAACAGAAGAGAAACTATAGCGCAACTGAAAGACCAATATGAAAAGCTGAAACTTCGATTCAAGGTACAATTGGATACACACAATTCTCAGGCGGAGGCAAACATTACCGTTGACCTAGAAGAGCCTGATGATCAGAATAACATGACTGGAGGTCAAGCGAATCCATTCCAAGAACAAATGCTTAGGGAGCAAGACACTCAGCTGGATGATATACACCAGACCATGAAAAACTTACATCTGCAGGCAGAAACTATGGGTCAAGAGCTAGAAGATCAAGGTCAATTGCTGGACGATATGGATCAAGGTATGGATACTGTTGCTGGTAAACTTGCTCGAGGTAGACGACAACTTGAGTGGGTTTATGAAAAAAATAAGGAGAGATACAATGACTGTTGTATAATGTTGTTGATTATAGCTCTGATAGTTTTGTTGGTCTTGGCATTTATTGCATGAAGTTCTTCTTTCGAGTTTATGAAAAGTTTTTTTTATATATATAGTGCTACTGTTTCAAAGAGCTTCAGTCCACCATGTGGTTAAAATTATCAATCTTTGATATTTTGTCGCTGCTAAGGACGCTAATTTACAAGCTATTTGTTGTCATTTTGGTATTAATTACTCTAGGACTTCATCACGTTAAAATGGAGTATGATTTAACTATGAATAGAATAAATATGCATTTTCGTTTCCAAACTAATATATATATATGCCATCATATTTCAAATACATAAGTACACCTTTCATTAATTCCCAAACATTCTTGGATGATAATGATTGCTATCAGTCCAAGATTCTTTAGCGTTTCTGCAAACTTCTAAATGCCGCGGATGCTCCACTACTTGCTTGGTTTCTATCAATGAGATTACCATTGTTTTTGATACTTTGAATCACTTCATATCTGCTGCTACTAACATGAATTTTCTCAGAATTAGCTCCTGGTTTTGGGCTGAATGCTGAAGGTGAATATTGAATAGGAGAACCATGGCTTACTGAGCCTGGTCTGGGAGGGACTTTCATGTTCGGAACTGGAGATTGAGGTGTGCTTGGTGTGCTCGATACGGATCGTTTTCTACCGGAGTTCGTAGTATTAACTAAAGAACTGTGGCCTGTATTGATATGAGGAGGTTGGCGAAGTTTAGGTTTAATGGGTTTTTTCGTTTTTGTCGTACTTGAATTCATGGATTCTTTACTTAAGGGTTTTTCCTTTACGTCAGTTGCCTGCTTCTTTTTAAGAACAGGTGGTGTGGAAGAATTCAAAGAACTTGAAATGGATTTCTTTGATTTTATCGAATCTGCCTTTTTAGGCGGTAGACTGCCATTCTTTTCGGTTGTTGGTGAAATTAGCTCGTCCTTGGGTTTACCAGCTGGTGTTTCCTTTTTCTCCTTAATATCTAGACCTTCTATTTTTTTATCTATATCAAATCCATTCTCAATGATTTTCCTTGTACGGAAAAAACTGTCAATCCATTTCTCATTGTTATTTATTAATAATCTCGTAGTCAGTTCTCTTGGGAATGTTGCAAGCAATGAATATGATGGTAATGAGATAAACCATAATTTGTATTTATATTTCTCCAGTATTAAAAAACCCCTTCGCAAAGATTCATCAAACTCGAAATCATACATAGAAAGGTTCACGTCACCCAGGTTGACCATAGGATTCAGAGCTTTTTCACCTTTCCTAGATTCTGTATTCACTTCTTTATAAGCCAGAGATCCATCCTTGTATAAAACAAGAAGTTGTGGAAATATGTTTATTGGTCTTAAAGAACTCTTGTGTTTTGCAACTAATGATGTGATCAGATCATCGTTGATTGTTTTATAAGAGTTAATAGCCATGTCTGGTCCAGCAGCATCATAGCTAATTGTTTTGACGTAAACAAAATCTTGTTTCAAGATCTCTAAGCCTGGTGTTATTTTCAAAGGTTTTTTAATGGTTTCTTCTCTCTCAACTTGAGATGATTGGTTTTTGAGTTTGCTATCACCATTAGGCATATCACATGCTATCCTCATAGTGGACTGGCTAGCTTCAACGTTAGAAGTACTGCTTTGTCTGGATCTATTTTCATCTTGAACTCCATTTGATAGGCCACCGTCATTCATTTGAGGCACTTCTTCCAAACTGTTGGTATAGTTTAAATTCATATTTGAGTTAGATATGTTCCTTTGCTGGTCTCTTTTTTTAGTTTCCGCTATTTCACGAACAGCGCTGTTATGGCCAATATGGGCTGGATTGACGAAATTCGACTGACTAGCAGAGACAATGGCCGGCTCGTTAGAATGATTTATTTTTCCTTTTAAATCTTGATGCGGAGGTATTGGATTTGGATTTGGATTGGGTAATGTTGGTGAGTTGAGTGAGTTGATTGCTGGTATGGGATGGATCGTTTGTGGTGTACGATTTAATTCCTTATTAGAGGGTTGATTTTGCAGCTTCATAGAAGTGGGTATTGGTGACTGGCTATCAAGATTTGCGCCAACTTGATTTATAGATACATTGCCAACTGGTATCTCTTTAGTTATTATAACTTTGTTGGTCGGTAGTTCTGGTTTAAACGAGTCCACGACAATGTTGCTAATGCTTTGTGTGCTATTGTGAGTGGATGAGGACGCAATACCTAACTTTTTTCTCCATTCTACAATACTGCTAGTGGTGTTGAATTCTTTGGCTGGCTTTTTCCTCTTTTGTTTAGTAACGGGGATATTTCTCAGTGGCGTGTCTATTACGTGCAGTTGGCGGTTTTGTAGTATATTTTGGTGACTAACATTTGTATGCATATTAGAAGGAGATATATAAGCATTTGTAGGAGTTATTTGATTTTGTATCTGCCATATTCCTCTCCACAATTTCTTTTTGTCACCCCAGTCAACATTTGCAAACCACGGATCCCGTTTTATTTGATCTATAGTAGCTCTCTGAGTAGTATCAATGGTCAACATTCGCCTTACTAGATTTACCACTTGAATGTTGATAGTCCCAAAGTTGGTTTGTCGTTCTGGGTTCCACGAATAATCCAACGATACTATTTTCTCAAACGTCTTCAGTTCATTTTCGCCTCTGAATGGTGGGAAACCTTGAATGAATTGATATACCATACAGCCTAATGCCCAAATGTCTGAACCAAAACTGCACTTATTATACAGAAGTAGTTCGGGTGAAACGTATTCTGCAGTACCAACAAAGGATGAACATTCAGTCTTATCGCCAGAGGATGGCACATCATCCTTAGGAATGCCTTCGTTCGCATTTGATCTGGTATTATCCTTATCGGAGAAATTGTTCTGAGTTGCTGCTGCACCAAAATCTGTAATCATAAGTATACCCTCCTTACTTAAAAGAACATTTTCTGGCTTTAAGTCTCTATGTATAACTCCCCTTGCATGCATAAACTCTAATGTATCCACTAATTGTGCTGCAAAGTGTTTTGCCCAGCTGTCCGTGAAAGTCCCCATCTTATGTAACAATGACAGTAACTCACCACCAGAGGCATAGTCCAATACAAAATACAAGTTTTCTTCATCATGGAAGGTATAGTATAGCTTTACGATTCCTGGATGGTTCCCACGAGCCAGAAGGTTTAAGGTATTCTTCTCAATCGTGACATACTTCACCTTGGCTTCTTTGATTATATGCCTCTTTGAACACACTTTGATGGCATATGGTTTTTTGAGATCCTTTTTGTCTAGCGCTTTGTAAACAGTAGAGTACGAGCCATGACCAAGCTCTTCTTTAAAGATAAATTCGTGTGGGGATCGTTTTCTCGAAGTCATATGTCCATTCCTTCAATTCCGGCACCAGTAAATCCTATATAACCAAATTGTTTTCCCCTTAAGATGGTTGCAAAAATTGTCCTACTATACAATGCCTTTAAATTACAACCAAAATCAATAAACTGTAAAATACAACTACCACAAATATTTATCTATGATCTATGACTTCTCGATGTCAATATGCTACCCCAAAAAAAGTATGAGTGATCCGGATCGTCGAGATGCAGTACTATTCAAACTCAAAGGCTTAGAAACACTTCAGTAGCAGATCACTGTTATTCAACTGAATATGTAGCGGTTTAAGTTGAAAGATCAAAAGCCTTACCTTGTCCGTTCAAGACCTCGATTTAACTTTGAGGGTCTTGTTTCCCGGTTCCTGTTTTCTCAAGTTTCTTTGAAATTTGTTTCTTGAAAACTGGAAGCAGCGTTGATCCCGAATTTTAGCTGAAAAAAAATTCAGAATCATTAAAAACAGCGATGAGCTTGCGATGAGCTTCACTGATGAGTCTGACTGATAGTCCATTAGGATAAGTTTTTGTTCTCTCAAGGTGTAAATTAATTGATGTCTGAGCTACATAGTCTACTAACCTTTCCGGTGAGACCAATTTCGGAAGAGCACTATCTTGGGGAGCTCTCTCGGTTCCTAAAGGCTGGTATTCCTGCAACGTACACGTTAGAGCAAGTGGCAGCGTTTGAAAGAAGTGAGCTTCGAGAAGATGCTGATGAGGTATCTGATGAGGAGGAGCAATCCAATACTACTCCGTTGCATATACTTGCCAGGTCGTTGCCTGGAAACCTGAGCGATGATGAAGAGCAAGTGGTGTTACACATGATGGATATGCTTTTTGAGTATGGTGCCGGGTGGAATTTTATAGACTTCGAGAACAAAACGGTTGGTGACTTGATTCTCGAAAGAAATGGTGGTAACAGAGAGTCTCCATTATATCAGCGTGTCGTCGAAGCGGGAGTTAGTGCTGAATTACTACTTCGTAAGTTGAATGGAGGTGACGTGGAATTCATCGATGAAAATGAGATTGATATATGTGCTGAGGCGTCAGCGGAAGTGGTACCAAAAGATGCACTTGATGACAGCACGGGCAAGGTTTCATCTGTTTCGGATGATGATGCTACTGCAGCAGATCCAGACACCTACTTAAATACAAAATTAAAGTATACAGAAGATGCGCTGATAACAGAAAACAATAAAGATGGTGTTATGATGGATTGGGAAACTGACATAATGAAACTAGCTGCTGATACATTGGTTTCACGCAAACCAGTGGGAGAGTCTGTGGTACTTAATATTGGATTTGGTATGGGCATCATTGACACATTTATACAAGAGAGGAATCCAAAAAAACACTATATTTGCGAAGCGCATCCCGATGTACTAAAGAAAATGAAAAATGACGGTTGGTATCAGAAGCCAAATGTTGTGATTTTGGAGGGTAAATGGCAAGACTCACTGAACAAATTATTAGATGAGGGTAATGTGTTTTTTGATGGAATATATTATGACACATTTAGTGAACACTACGAAGATATGCTGGATTTATACGATATCGTTGTCGGTCTGGTTAATCCAGAAGGTGTTTTCTCGTTCTTCAACGGGTTGGGTGCTGATAGACCACTTTGTTATGACGTTTATAAGAAGATTGTAGAAGTTGATGTTGCAACTTATGGTATGAATTGTGAATACACATATGTCGATTTGAAGGGCAAGCTTCCTGATTGGAAGGATGTGAAAAGATCATACTACAATTGTGAATATTATTACCATCCCAAAATATCATTTGCATGAAAAACTTGTCCAGTAGTAAAGATTTTAGGAATATATTTTATTTATAATAATAAGTTAAAAAGTGTCATCTAGAAAAAAATAATATAATACAACGCCCTTCTTTGATTTTCTTAAATCAATTAGTTGGCTGGAATGTCTTTATTTTTCGTCACTTTCCGTTTTTTCTTGTTAGAGTTCTCAATGAAATCTTCGATAATGTCATTAACTTCTGTTTCGATTTTTCTAGCAAGATCTAATTTACCGAAACTACCTGCAAGAATTTGTAAAGAATCGCTGTCAGTCATCACTGTGTTTCCCGATCTATCTATCGTTTCACTTCCTTCGAGTTTAATTTTGTCTTTTGAAACCCTTGAGTCAAATTCTTCTTGAATCCATTTCTGTTTCGCTTCATTATTTTCAGGTCCAAACTTTTCATTAGCGCGCCTCTTTAGCCGTGATCTTAGATCATTCTCCCAGTTTTTCTGCGAGTTCGCTTCCCTCCATTTTCTTTTCCTCTCTTTATTAGATTCCCTTTTGAATTGGTTAAACTCCTCTGCGGTAAGATACTTCTTTAACAACTTAGTTACTAGTGTAGCCATACCAGGATAGTTTTTCAAATTCGGGATATTGAAGCTGAAGGTAGGAGTAACTGGTCTGGGTTTTACAATTTTTACCACCTCTTTTTTAACTACTGATTTCTCCTCAGTTTTTACAGAAGGTAATGTGTTATTGGAGTTCGAGATGTTGTTTAACGGTATAACTAGTTTTTTAGGCAAAGTGTGATTCACGCGACCAGTTGGAGATAGTCTTTCAGCGCTTTCCTCCTTCTTAATTATCTTGCTAACAGGTGGCACTAACCCATCTAAGTTTAATACATTGTTTGGTGTTTCTTTATTAACCTTTCTTGGTTTTTTCATCGTCGTTGCACTTTTCTCAATTTCAGGCAGTACAGAGCTTAGTGTATTAGAAATCAGATCACTAAAATCTGGCATAGAGCCTTCTTTTTGTGATTCATGATCCAAATCTATGAGCTGTTCACGGATCAACCTATTTATCAATGGACCTTTGTCATTATCATTTGAATTGAAGTTTCTCTGGCTACCAATTTCCTCACTAGTATTATTCTCGTCTGAACTTTTGTGATTGTCAGCTTTGTTAGAACCTGTTGAGATATGCGCATCAGAATCACGAGATGTCGGCTTGGGATTGTCAAACTTTACATGTGTTTCGTTAATCTCTGATAGCGGGTTTTCTACGGATTCGTCTACTCCAACATCTATCGTGATGCTATGGCTTTCATCGTTAATATCTACAATATGTGCATAATTCCCAACAGAGTTTGGTGTATTTTTGAAGTTTTTCTCTATATGTTTCGTACTTGGAGGATGAAGTTCATTGTCTTCTATTAATATTGAGGTTGGTTGGGAAGTTTTGTTATTATGAGATAAGACAGGTTCTATGTTGTTTTCAATAGGATGAGATGCACTTTTATCCATACCATATAAAGATGGATCGATAGCCATTTCCCCGTCATCGGTCATATCTCCATGATCTGAATTGATCATATTGATGTCATCATTAGAGATGTCATTAATGTGTCCGTTGTTATGACAGATATCATTGACAGTTGCTTCTCTCCAAAGTTGTAATCTTTCGTATTCTTTTATTGCGTCATTGTTTGACAATAAGATGTGATAATTATTCCATGGTATTTGCGTCCTCACAGGCGTAAAGTCATGAATTGTCACTTCTTCTTCAATTTTTATAGGAACTGCGTGTTTCTTGGTTGTGTCTTCTTTGTCATCAATTGTGATTGTACCTTTTTTTGGGCTTATTAAATTCCCTTCACGGTTACCAGAATTCACTATCTTCCTTGAATTGAAAATAGGAATGGTTTGACTTCCATTAGTCAAAGATGGAGAATCAAGACGTACTGATGTCTCCGTTTTGATTGATTGCAATTGTGATGACCTAGCATTTAGAAGGGCCTTCACTATTGTGTTTTTTGTGTATTGAATAATAGTTGCTAGGTATTTGCTTGCTTCTTCTGGGGATGCACCTGAGGCAGTCTTAGCTTTTGCTGCAGCTTTCAAAGTATTGACAATTGGACCCAAAATAGAAGACATCATCTTTTCTCTAGCACTAACTGTTCCATATTCGGATGTTTTTTTCTTTCGTTTGCTTGCTTTACCACTTGGAACCAGTTTGTCAATCGCATCTCTTCTTAGGAGAGTAACGACTGGAAGAGTTAATGGAGGATTGTTAGGTATTACCCAAGGAGGATGGTATTCGATGATCTCTTTGCGGACAATTGCATCACATGATGGATCATAATACGTAATGTTTGTTGCATTTTTCTGATTTTTTGCAGCATTCATCGCCATCTCCTCAGAACTCATATTATTAGACTTCTGAACAATGTTATTATTTTGAGAATCTTTTCTGCTGGATTTTCCATCAGACAGGTAACTTAAACTTGCCATTAATGGAGTTAACCCTTTCGACAAGTTGAACAGTGGTATTTTCTTCAATGCATTTAATGAGAGTTTTTTAGGTTTCTTATCTTTCTTTTTCTTTACCTTTTTCACTTTCTTTGGTTTTAATGCTTCCTCAGTACTTTTTTGCACTCTTGCCTCCATTTCTTCCTTTGTCCACCTTCTATATGGCTTTTTTGGTCTGCCGCTTTTCGTCAATCTAAGATCTGCTGGATATGGTGGTCCTTTTGCCACGATTTCCTCTAGTTCTCTGGACTCCTTCTCTTTCTTCTCCTTCTCTTGAAGTTTCTTGAGTTTCTTCTGTTCTTTTCGCTCCTGTCTTAACCTCCTCTCTTCTTCCTTCTTCTGTTTATTCAAGGCAGCCCTTTTCTTCTTGACTAGGGAAACTGCTTCATTAACAGCAGCTAAATATTGCTTAGAGAGTTTCATTCTTGTAGTTTCTATTGTTTTTGTTACTGGCATCGTTTTCTGTCTTTCATCTGAACGATTGGAGAATTTGATTTTATGTAATATTGGGGCACTAGCATCATGATTAACAGCTTCCCTACCGCCAGCATTAACTTTAAAAACTTTAATTTGTTGAGAGGATGGTAGTGTCTTGACTCTTAAATCAGTAAGTTCTGTTTTATTATCTTTCGCTTTTAAATCCTTTTTCTTCTCTTCTAGATTAGTTTCATGAACTACACTAGGTGTAACCACAGCAGCACTTGGTAAACGGTGGTTATTGTTATCAACCTTATCTGGGAGTTTCGACTTTGTTGCTATTAGTTTGGATTTGCTTTTATCAGACCCCCTATCATCTAATTCTGCTGAAGATTTCTTTTTAGAGATCGTTTTCTTCTTTGCTTTCAAGCTTTTTGGAGCAAGAATGTCCGCAATGGTCATATCGCCTAGCCCACGGTTGAATTCTTCAATAACTGAAGTATCCAGGTCATTGCTCTCATGGTTTTGAAATGCCATATCCATAGCATTTTTCATGATAGCATTCATATCAAAAGGCTCCTCAGCAGCCTCTAGTTTGTGTGTTTTCTCTGGTTTCTGTTTTTTTACATCTTTCTTATGTTTTGTCTCTTTCACAGACTTGGATTTCTGTGCAACTTTCTCCTTAGGAATCACTTGTTGTTGTTTCTGTAAACTGCTTGGACCACTTATACGTTTCTGTATAGGCGGTATCACAGCTCTAGGCGTTTCGGCTTTTTTCTTCATCTCAGAGGCTTTTTCATTGGAAACAAACGATTTGCTCACAACTTGCTCTACAACATCAGCTAATGCCTTGGCGTACTCATCATCATCTGTTTGTAAATTAGCCTTAGGAGTTTCATTAGAAATATGCTTTTTGGCCACTGTTGAAATATGATTAGGGGTGATAGTTTTATTATCCTTTTTCGACTTTTTAGTTTTTGATTTCAAATTTGAAATAGCAGTATCTTTTGTTGTTGAAGACTGTCGTATTGGTTTTTTCTTCTTTTTTTTATCTTTTTCAGTAACATTGAGAAGCTCCTTTTCAAAGGCTTTCAAAGTTGCTTCAACAATTTCATCAGCGGCAAAATTATCATCGCCAGCTGTTGCATATTTGTTACCAGCTTCTTCACCTTCCTTCATAAAGCCTTGGATCACGTCTTCAAAATTTAGTAAGCTGATATCATCATCAATGGTCTTTAGTTGTTCAGATTGATTATTTGATTTTTGTTGTATCTTGGAGGGAGTTTTCGGTATTACTAAATTATCAGATTTTTTTATTAATTTTTTGTCAGATTTTTTAGTACTCTTTTTGTCGGACTTTTTTTCCTGCTTTCTATCTGATTTCTTATCTGTACTCTTTTCTGATTTCTTTTCTGATTTCTTTTCTGATTTCTTTTCTGATTTCTTTTCTGATTTCTTTTCTGATTTCTTATCAGGCTTCTTTTCGGTTCCTTTCTCTGGCTTTTTATTTTTATCTTTATCTTTTTCTTTCTTCTTCTTCTTAGAAGCTTTCTTAGTTTGTTTAGTCGATTGCGGTACATTTAGCTCATTTAATGATTCCAAAATGGCTCTTCTTAGATTTTCATCCTCATCATCTAGATTCTCCTCATTTTCTTGTATGTGATCAATATTATCAGTCTCTGTTTTTTCTGTCTCCAAGATGCCTTGTCGCAGTAGCCTTGCCCATTCTCGGTGTTGTCTTTCTTCCTCATCAAGCTCGATATCCTTATCAATTTCCATTTGATCGTCATGACTGCTGTGTGTTTGAGTGGGTGTCTGTTCTATTTGATGTGAGCCCTCAACTACGTCCATGTTCTGAATAGCATTAGCTACCACAGCAACTAGGTCATCTTCAGCAGTGTGTAAATCGGGTAAATCGATATGTGGATCCTCATTCTGCTGGTTGTCCGTTTCGTCTTCGTTAATTTGTTCATTATGTGTACTTAATAAATTTCCTACAAGTTCCTGGAAGTTTATATCTTCCTCATCTTGTTGATTATGCGACATTATTGTCTTATTCTCATATATATAGGAAAATTATCTCCAGTCTTTTGCTTTCTTGTAGAAGATATTAATTCGCGTTAGATAAATGATTTTGGTGTTTTGTGTTTTGAGAAAAAACTTAGTTGAATGTCTGCGTCCAAAAATGGCTCGACCGTCCTTTGTTGATCTACTAAAGCCAATAAATACTGTCAAATGTACGACGTTCAATATTTCTAAGTTAACAAATATGATACTAATTTTGTTTACTGCATTGTTATTGATTTCATGGAGGAGCTCATCGCAACAAAAATTTAAGGTTTTGATATTTTGTATTTTTCGTGATTTGTGATTGTTTGTGTCTGAATCATATAGTCCTGATTTCAAGTACTATGGTTTTAGGAGCTCCCATTTTTGACAATATTCAGAATTCGAAAAAGTGTAGAAGTATCTCTTATGATAGACTCACTTTGTTTATATATGTATTTCATCGATTTATGCGTATTTACTTTATATGTGTGTATAGAAAGACCATAGAAAATAAACATTAATTTAGAGGGGCTAAAAAAAGAGGAATATGAAGATCAATTATAATATGCATGGATTCTTGCCGGAGTGCTGGTGAAAGCAAGTTCGGTAATAAGTATGGTCCAAGGATATGCAGAAGCACAAGGTACAGTGTTAACTCTCAATTAAAGGTATCTTTGAAGTATTCAGTGTACAATGTTGTGTATTCTTCTAAGCTCCTCTGTGATTGCTTGGATATCACATCCTTATTGAATCTAGGAAGAGGATTCTTCACCGATTGAGTACCAGCCTCAAATTCTAACAGGTAATCTAAGTTCATGGAGCTTTGTTCCGAATCCAAAGGAGGAACATGTTGGTCGGCGGAGTTCTTTTTGATGCATTGATCCTGTTTATTTGTGTTTTCGGTATCCAATGGCTTAAAGCTTGGGATTTTTTGTCTACCAAAAAATGGGTGGCCGCCCATCTCTTCTTCTTCTTCTTCTTCGTCTTCTAGTGGTTCCTCTGTGTAGCGATTTTTTGGTTTTGACTCTAACACATCCTTATCAAAGTCAGCAGAGTCAAGTAATATCTTGTTTGTTCCGTATTTGGTCAATATATCACTTCTTTTGGCGTGTTCTGCCACAATTGTAAGTGCTTCCATCGCGTCTTCATTGAGAAGTACTTTCGAATCCATAATGCTTCGTGTTGTTGAGATAAAACGGGATTGCCCATTAGAGGTTTTTATCATTTTGACTCTATTCACTTTCCTCTCTGTCTTGCCATTCTTGGATTGTTTTAGGATATACTCTTCAGGTAATGCTGTACATTGGCCTGACTCAACATGGTCCTCAACCCAAAATTCAACATTTGGAGAGTATTCCCCACAGTGAGAACAATGGCCTGAGGATTTAAACCTCTCCTGCGATTTAACACCACTTGGGTACATGATATGCCGCGTCTTCATATGAGCTTTATAAGTATCTCTACGGCTAAATCCACCATTGTTATGACAACGTAAATCTGGTGGTGCCTTCTCGTTGTAATACGGACAATAGTAAGCTTTCTGCAAAGCATGTTTTTTGATATGCCTAGTCAAATACCCTCTGATCTTGAATCTCGCATCACAATAGTGGCAAACAAACTCTTCCTGTTCGTGCCTCGTCTTACTAACCTCCTCTTCTTTGACTAACTTGCGCCCAACAACGTCCTTGTTGTCCAACTCAAAAGTCGAGGAGACAATCCATGGTTCTCGGCCCAACATCGCGGCAACAGTAATTTCTTAACACTTAATGAATTGCCTTTTAAGCTCACCTGGTAACTTATCACTTACTCAAAGAGCTTGCTATGATAGCATCCACAACTAATGGATCAAAAGGTTGTACTCCTTTTAAAGTTTTGGCAAATTTCCAATTCGCTGACTTTTGGCTTGCGATTGACTCCTTCGCGGTGAAAAAAAAAATTTCAGCACTTGCGAGAGGTAAAATTGGATGTCTCTGCGTGTGTTTCTGTGTCTGTTTGATGATATTTGTATGTTTGATAGGAACAAGTGTGTATGGATTTATGTTACGATATACATGTAAACTAAGTTGTATTTTCCGATAATATATACAGGGTGTAGGATGTTTAACAATGTGTATTTGTAGAGTACCTGGTTGGTGTTGTTGATACATTGCTTATGTGTCAGCCAGGAAACTTTGATGTTGGAAATGGCTCCTCATAGCTTTTTAAATTTACTTTTTGAAATTGTAATGCCATATCTTGTTTGGTGGAGCATCGGTGGTGATCTTTATATCTAGTGGGAACTGCTTACCTTCTTCTGATATGTTTGCTTCTTCGTACAACTCCGGGCTCACGGACTTCAGGGTCTCCATGGCCTCCTCCATTGCCAAATACTGTTGCTTCAATTGTGCCAACTGTCTAGTGGTCTTTTGTTGCTGATATAGCTTCCAGCTTCTCTCTATAGTCTGATGTTTCACTAGGTCCTCCTTCGAGAGCTTTAGCAGCTTCGGTTGCTTCCTGGCTGCCGACAGCACACTCAGCTGTGTGACTACCCTCTGTGTAAGCGGTGAAAGCCCACCCTGGCTCTTGGTACGCTTATACCTCACAATCTGGCTCTTAGCCATCAATTGTTCGATACTGGTTTTGCTCTTCCCCACAGTGTTTCTCAGCATGACGCAGTGCTACTTTGAATATTTCTTTCTATATTGGGATATCTTGCCAAGCGTCAGATATGTAAGGATACCGTGTTGGTGAATATATACAGTCCAACTTTAAATACCGAAGCCAACTAAGGCAGAGACTACCAGTAATAAGGTCAGTAACTTGAATATCGTTCACTGTTCAGCCTGGGAGGATCACTTTTCTCTGGCATGATAGAATGACAAGACACATGAATTGTCACCAACACTTCATGTCGAGGAGTCTCCGAGAAGGATTCAAGACTCCCAGAAGGACACCCCAGCACTGTGAATGCTCACAGTGTCCCCCCATTCTGCAAAGTCTTGTTCCACTGCCTACTCTTCGAAAAGCCTTTGTTCTAAGCTGTTCCTCTAGCTCTTTCCCTTTGGTTATGGTTGAAACTAACAATTCCATGCAGAGGATCCTGCTTCCACCCCCCTCCCCCGCATTAAACTTTTATTGATATAAAGGGTCCCTCAATGCAAAATACGTCATATTTGTATTAGAGTAAGTACTATAAGCCCATCTGACAGGTATAATTTACAGAACAACAACATGCCAAGCCCGATTTGTGTCTAATAAGTGCTCCTTATAATGGACACGGCGAAACTGAAAATACGTCAACAAAGTATAGCAAAGGAGACGCATAAATGAGCAAAATATATAAATAGCCTATAGTCATATTTCATTGTTGTTTGTAGTGTCCTTGCTGTTCGACCGCTCGACCTGGTAAACACACAACTATATATTCGAGCTTGAAGATCATGGAACACAGTAAGAAAGAGATGCCGGCTGATCCGCCTTCTTATGAGGAGACAATGCGGATGGATCAGCACAGACAACACTATGCAGAGGATCACAATGACTACAGGCCTGAGGAACCCCGGTATAGACACGTACATGTGCCCATAAGGACTGCTAGGACAAATTATCCTGCCGGTGGATCATATACTTACTCCAGTAGTAGCACATGATGATTTGTGAGACCTAGTCCGATCCTGAACTACTGATAGTTATAAGATTGATCATTGTTGAGGGGGATCATCGATTTGTGCTATATACTACTTAGATATATATATGAAAAAATCTTTAATGTTTAATATTCATAAAAAAAAATAACTCGAAACTCTTTATTTCCTTTTTAGAACTGATATTAAATGCAAAGTCATTAGTTGATTTACTATGGGCACTACTCTCATACTTCTTCTGCCACGACACAGCCTAAACCCATAAAAGCCTCAGTCAGCATTCTATCATAGACAAAGTCTGATCTGAAACCAGAAGCAATATAATCCTTTCTGTTTTCCAAATCTTTGATGAATGGGTCATCATACGATTCCTGGTCAATGGTGTAACGCTTATCTAAGTCTCTATCACCATTGAATGGTGTAAACGGAACGTTGTCTTCTTTCCTACTTAAACCTTGGCTTAACATCAAACTACTGTATGGATTATTTTGTAATACACGGTTGATTTCCTCAAGTTTTCTTCTCGCTGAGGACTTCTTTAATTTAACAGTATTCTTAACACCCTCAATTACATCATCAGCGTTTGTAGAGCTTGCTAACCTGTTAACAATCTCTCTCTTAGCCCATTCCTTGTTCATCTTGTCCTCCGACTCTATTTGTCTCTCCAGCATTCTCTTCTTCATCCTCATCTCTTTCTCGAATTGTTGTCTTTGCTCGAAATTCTCCAGATCTTTCTTGCTCCGTTCCATATTGTTCATAATCAGCTGTTTGTTTAGCTCTTCATATGTCCGGAGCTTCTCTTCGGTCTCCACAACATCAATCTTATTATCCAACTTGTATACTATATCTTCCACTTCTTCAAGGTACTTATTATATGCCTCTAGATCATTGTCAAAATCCTCTAATGTCTTATTGAACACATTGAATACACGTTTCCTGATATCAACCTCTTTTTCAACACCAACGTCATCAAATATCTGTGTCTTAAATTTGTTCTTTCTCAGGATCTTATCACAACTCTTATATGGGCATGGTGCAGGACCTAAACTGAATATACGATCTACACAGGATTCGCAGATCTTGTGATAACATTCAGGATTCACCAAAAACCTCACATCCGGTGAAAGATACCTATCTGTCTTACAGATAGGACACATGTCCTTGTTATCATCAAACTCACTACCTTGATTCATACCCTTACTCGCCACTGCTGAACTCATCTTATCTTCTGATAAACTTTACAAACTCCTTCCTTCAATTTTACAATAGCGAAGTATCACAACTTCTAATTTGCAATATCACTGTTATAAGCTTATACAAATAGGCACTTCAGGCTCCTGATATGCTATGTGCAGTTCGGTTATTTCGATATTTCAAATCCACTTCTTTTATATTGATCTTTCAAATCCTAAAAGTGAAAAATTCCGGGATTTTGATAGAAAAAATGCTTGATTACAAGGTTTGCGATGAGCCATAAATGTTCTTTAGCTTGCTGTAGAGAGTACTGTTATCTAATAGCAAATAACAAAATTAAGACGTTAGATCACAGTTGATAGCTTGTTAATATAGAGCTAGTTCTTTTGAGGAACTCCTACAAATCACATTTGAGTGGACGAAAATAACTTTGATGAAACAAGCACCTTGCATGAGATGGGTTTCGCAGAATGGAGGCTCCGAAATAAGTACTGGACAATATATATAGTACCTCTAGTGGTACTACTTTTGATGATTTATGGCACATGGGCGTATTGTCATAAGTTGTGCTACGAGCGTGTGTATAGGGACTTCGGCCACAAGGCCACCGCTATAGGATTGATCTGCACCTGCTGTGTCCTAGATGCGCTGATCATAGCCATTTGGGTACTAATAGTTTCATGTGGACCAGGTCACCAACCGGGTGTGGCACCCCATCTCTTGGTAGACTCCGCGGACTTGGAGAACACAACAGTGGCGCCTAACTGCTACCAGAGTGATCCGCACGGATACCCTGTGTGGTGCAGCAATTGCCAGTCCTTGAAGGTTGGGAGGACAAAACACTCTTCACACCAGGGCCATTGTGTACCAAGATTTGATCATTACTGTGTTTGGTTAGGCGCAGTCATCGGATTCAAGAATTACCGCCTGTTTGTGCAATTTGTGTTCTACTTTGCTGTATTGTTAATGATAGTCTGGATAACTATAAGTGTATACATCAGGGATATTCGTCAATACCATGCAAGGTTGAACGCGAACTTGATAGTTCTGTTGATCATAAGCGGGATAGGATGGCTCATGACGTCAGGTCTATTTGTGTCGTATATATACTACATGAGTCAGAATTTAACATCCATCGAGGTCATTGACTTGAAGAAGCGCAAGCGCACGCCTGAATTGAGCATGCAGAGACTCTACTGTTATTACAACTCTGACGACCACTACCGGTACGTGGTCAAATTGGATAACGACTTCAAAGGGTCAGTGTATAAGAAGCATTGGTTAAAAAACATCAAAGAGTTCATGGGTTCTAACCCAATGCTGTGGTTTATTCCATTGCCCCAGTACTGGCATGAAAGTCCGCTCGCTAATGGTGAAAGAGACGTCAACACTATTGTGTCACCATACCAGGAAGAAGTGGGTCCTCACACCATTGACTACATAAAAAAGAGGATTGAATCTGGCGAGTACATCCACAAATTCAAAGAGCCAGGCAGAGAGAAAACACATTTATAGAATACGCTGTTATTAAGAAAACCCCCAAGCAACCAAGTGATTCCTTGCGATAGTCGTGTAAATAGAATTTAAAATCGAATAACTGGTGCCACAATCACCGAAGACTTTCCAAAGAATGATATTGAAGAATATGCTTACAAGTGGCCAGAAGAGCACGTTATACACCCAAGCTGACTAGTCCAATCCTTTGATCTCTGAAGACTCGAATGGCTATTCTATTGTTTACAAACTAGATTCTATTTTGTTTGTTTTGTTGTTTTTCATCAATTTATTGGAAGAATTCCTCTAGTTGTACGCAACTTTTACTGCTTTTTCGAAGGGGGGGAGGGCAGAACAATCTAATTTACCTTTGAACAAACAAAACAAACATTCCAACGAACAAAAATTAGTTTGGAAAACAGGAATAAACAATGAAGTTTAAACAGGGATTATACATTTGATTTACTTGTGAATATAGATTGGTTGCAATATTTGTTTTGTGAAGTTGAGAGTTTTATTGTATTTTTGAGTTGAAATTAATATATGAGTTGTTTTATGAAAGAATAAAAGACAGACACAAACGTCTCATAAAGTATTCTTAGGGACAACTACTACAAAAGGAAAAGTTTAATTGCTTTCTTAAATCTGAACAAAGAGGAGGCAAAGATAATACACACATACATATGGAATGAGCGAAAATAGACAAGGTATTGATTTGTCTAAGCTCACAGCTGCACAGCTGAGGTTTGTGCTGGCTGAGAACAAAGTTAGTTTTCCAAGCAAGGCGAAAAAAGCTGATCTGTTAAGGTTATGCAATAAATTGATTGATGAGTCTGATGCAGAAGAGGTTAGCCAGAGAATTGGAGCAGCGATTGCAAAGGAAAGAGTTGATCATGAGACTAAACTGAGACTAAGACAGAAGAAAATGAAGGAATCTGCCAAGGCAAATTCAGAACCAGCTGAGAGTTTACCAGCTGAGAAGGTTTCTGTCCAGAAATCGCCAAATAAGAAGTCAGTTGCTGGTAAAAAGCACTCCAGAACAGAATCTGAAGATGAGGACAGCGACAAGAATAAGAAAAAGAGAGCCAAATCTACAGATGATAACATCAAGATCAAAAACAATCAATCAGCCGCTGTCAATAGTACTTCAGCACTCGCAACTCCAGTTAAAGCAGCTGAATCAAGTTCTCCATCGAGAAACAAATTGGAGAGTAAACCAGACATTCCTGTTACTAGGGGGGCTATGCATGATGAAATCAAAAAAGAATCATCAGCTAAGAAAGGTAAAAAGAAACTGCAGGAGATTGAAAATTTAGTGACATCTCAAACTCCCAAGAAGTTGTCTGAACAGGTTCAAAAGATATCTCAAAAAGCGGAAGAAGTTGTTGAAGAGATCAAGGAAGACATTAAGGAAGAATTATGTCCTACAAAAGATGAGTTTGTAAAGCACAAGGAAGAAGAACCAAGCAAACTATTTGCTGTACTTGATGAAATTATGATTTACTTGTTCAAATTTCTGGTAATTGTATTGCCTATTTTATTCTTCTTATGGTATAGAGAACAAAAAATTAGAGTGGGGTTCTGTGGCCATGAATTACCTGTGGCAAAGTTTGCACCATATGCAAACTCCAACAAAGTCTGGGCCTCTGTAGATAAGACTTTGGAAAGATTTTTACCAAAGTGTAAATTATGTCCAGAAGGTGCCATTTGTAAGACTCATCTTCAGATGAGTTGTAAAGATGGATATGTTTTGAGAAAGAGTTGGTGGAATTTGGAAAGTTTACTCCCACTAGCTGATAAATGTATAACTAAAAGAAAAGCCGCAAATAAGAAAACTCCTCTATTATTTGCCCTAGATTTGTTGAGAACTCAAAATGCCAACACACATTGTGGTAGCACATTACCTGATAACTACCAAGCCGGTATGTTGGAAAAGGATTTATTCAATAATGTTTATGAAGAGTATAGAGATATGATGACTAAGGAATCTTTTGAAAAGGAATGGGCTGTACTATCAAATTCATTGAAAAGATTGCCTGAGATTTATTATAAGACATTCGTTAGTAAAAATGTTGCTGGTAACATTGAGAATATACAGTTGTTTAGATCTCTTTCAAAACAAAACGTAAGTTATTTCTGTGGTATATTCAAACTCTTAAAAGAGTTTCCAATTGAAAAAAATGTTCTCTTCGTTGCTTTGACGATCTTCTCTTGCACAGTAACTCTTGAGATCATTTTACAAAAACTTTGGAAATGTCAGAATAGAGAGAATGCCTTTGTTGAAAAATCTACGGAGAAAGCTCTAGAAAAGCTACGTGAAGCTAGTCGTGATCCGGAGGTGAAATTCCTTGACACAGTTCAGTTAAGAGAGTTTTTGTTAAGTGAAACAACAAATCTGAAGAAGAAGAACCAGCTGTGGGACAAAATATCTTCCAAATTGCTTGAAAATGAAAATGTTGAAAAAAGGCAAATGGAATTATATGGTGAAGTTCTTGGCATTTGGGAGTGGAATGACTAATAAACGTTCTCGATATACATTGAGTAATGAAAACAACTGGTTTTCTATTGTATTAGTAGTAAGACTTAATAATTATTGTACATGAAATAAATAATGCCTTCTGAGAAGGAATTTTTTACTGCCATCTTTTTAATTCTTTTCACTAATTGTTTTGTTCTGTGTATATTAGGGTACAATAGCCCAGTTAGTATTGTTTTTTCTTTTCCAGTTTTTTTCCTTCATTATAAATTGTTAGCTCATAAAGTCCAAACCAAAACATTAAATTGATAACCTACGTGAAATATGATTATATTTGGTAGTTTGTTAGATTCAGTCAGTTAAACTACTTAAATATATTATGACTTACACAATTACTTCAACTATGTATGCAACTACGCCAAACCAAAACCTTCATGTCCTTCATTTATGGCAATTAACAAAGAACCCCTTAATGTATCATAGGATGCATAAGCTGGTAAATTCAATTGGTTGAAACATGTATGAGATGATGGTAAACGTTCAGTTGAGCCATAGTCTCTATGGATCGAGAATTTGCATACACCGCTAACACCGCTTAATTCTTTGAAACCATTTAATGGTACTTTACTAGTACCAGTGACAAATTGTAACAATTTTGCTTTCTCTTCGGCATCAAATGATCTTACTGCTCTCCAGAAGTAACTAACTTGTTTACAACTTTCGGTATAGTTAACATAAGTGGTATTATTCTTCCAATCATCAACGTCAATGTCAGGTAGACCACTAATAAGTAACTCAAGTTCTTGTTCATCAAATATAGAAATGACATCTTTTGGAATTAGAGCATAAAATCCACTCAAGAAATTATCCATTTGCTCTTTAACGGATGTATGTAATTTGTATTCCACTATCTTTCTCACATAATCTTGTTTATTTGACTCCGTTACAGAAACATTTCTTCCGTTATCGATCAAGTCAATTATTTTATGCTCACCATAATCGTCTGTTTCAACTGAAAAAGTTTCCTCGATTATATCTGTTATATCGTTCTCCAATATCCAAACAAGAGATTTATAATAATCCAAATCTAATGATTCCATGTCCTTCAAAGCAACAGGCTTTCCTAAAATACTTTTATAGACCTCTCTGCTAAAATGACAATCAAGGAAACATTGATCTCTTATAGCTTTACCAATTACCATACCTACAAATTTGAAAAATGAAAGATGTTCTGGATTTACACCGGAAGCTCTGTTAGGTCTAAATGTTGTTTTGTCTGATGCTACTGGTGTAAATAATGCATAACCTGGATTGAACATTTGCCTAGATAATACTTGATACCATTCTCTTGTAACACCACCAGCATCAACCCCACTCTCACCCTTAAATGTAATTTCAAGTCGGCTATTTTTGATCTCTTCATTAGATTTGAAGAATAGTGCTCTGTATGAGTCTAAGAAAACTTGATCTCTTCTTACTGGGATAGGAAGTTTAGGGGCTTCAGTTTTATCTGATTTGATCTTGGCAATAAAATAGTATCTTTTATTATCAAAGTCCAATATTTTTGGATTTTTCACTAATGACGCAAAAGGTCCACTCATTAGTTTAGGATTCGACCTAACCATTTGATTCAGCAATCTCTTATGCAAATCAGTGAAGTGCAAAAATAGCTCACCTGTATCCATTCTCTTGAAATCGAGATTCTTTTCTTCCTCATATTTTAGGATGGGAGCAATACTAGGCCTACAATGTCTACAGATGATCATTAGAGATTCAATCAATGGGAGTAATACTGTTGCAGATGTACTCAAATGCTTCCTTTTCTCAAATTCAAACAAACATTTACTTAGTTCCACCCAGATTTCACCCAAGGCCATGCTTTTATAGATCTCCGACAACTTATTAGTATCTATCATCTCTTCGGAGATATTATCTGAATACAGAAAATCAACTACAGTTAACACTTTCAACAGTTTCGCTTGATTGGAACTAGGTACTGTAAATTTTTGAACCAAATCAGAGTTTATCTCAGCTCCACTCTCAACTACAGTTCCTTCTTTGCACAATGATCTCAACTCTTCTGAGAGATCTGCAACTATGTTTCTGGCATTTTCAACCAAATCTTTTATAAAAATATCCTTATTATCAGCAATGGTTGACAGGTTTTGTAAAATTGTTATTGTCTGCTGGAATACCCTAGTATTACAACTATCTAATTTTATGATTGAAACCAATTGCCTCAATTCTTCTTTTTTGAAATTAGGTATCTGAAGTTTCTTACTTTCTTTCTGATTACTCTTATCTTTTTTCGCAAGAGTTGCAATAGGTTTGGAGCATACTTGTAGTATTCTCGTTAGAAGATCCATAAGAACTGTCTCATCTGTTATAATCTTCTTACTCAGCAAAGTTATTAAGTATTGAATAGGAAATTGGAACGCCTTAGTACTTGATTCTTTCTTGTGCTTTGTACCGATTTTATTAACTACCAAATTGTCATGCTCGGTTATAAAAAAGTACTTCAATCTACCATCGGCATCTATTAGATTCTGTAGTATTTCAATTGTCTGATTAGCTACAGTAAGAGGAGTACAATCAGGAGGAAGTTGTTTCGTAGCAGTGGCCCCACCCGATTTCCCTAGAGCTCTTGATGAGATTGAATTGTAAACTTTCTCCAAAGATGCTTGGTCATTTATCGCTTCACTTAGAATAAACAGGAGGATGTTTACAATATCACCTCTATTTTGTTTACTCGAACATAAACGGTAAAATAATTCATGGTAAACCTCCCTTTGTATGTACGGCTGAGATATGAATATCGCCTTCATCAATGCGGCAATTCCTGCCCGATCTACAAGTGGTGAAAAGTAAATTCTTCCATTTTTCTTTTTATCTTCAGTTGCAGCTTCAGGGACAGGTTCATGATCGCTGTGATCTTCATCTGTATTAGATTCAATTTCGTCAAGGTTTATTCTGTCATCCCCAGAATTTCTAGCATTGTGAATAATCTCGGAAACATGCTCTTCACCAGCTTCCTCATCTAAAATTTCGTTTCTAATCTCATCTGGTATGATGTCCAAAAAGTCTGAGTCAATTTCACGTAAGTGTATGTTATTTTGAAAAGCTTCGGCTCTTCTTTCGCGGACATGCTCAGCAAAAACCTCAGCTCTCATATCTTCTGGTAGGGCCCTTAAGAATTCGGGATCAATATCAGTTCCACTAATATCAACATCACGCCCTTCGATATTTACATAGACTGGATCTCTATGTTGTTGAGTTTCTCCAGTATCTTCCGAGTTTATTGGTCCTTGTGTATCACCCAGTGGCTCATGATCGATGGTGCTATCATCAGAAACTGAGAACGAGGACCGATGACTCAAGTGACTGTTTCTCCTTTGTTTTTCTTTGACCTTTCTTATCTTTTCTTCAAGTTTCTCATTGTATTTCTTTTCTTCCTCCCTGAAAAGGTCTAAGCTAGGCTTATATATTTTGTTTAATATCTTTGTAACAACACAATTGGCATACCCCTTGGAGTCATAAAACATATCATAAATGTCCTTCCATCTTGCTACAGAAGATTTAAGTATGATACCATCCAGAGGTCTCTCATCAAACAGTTCACCAGAAAACAATACTTCATCAAAGTTAGATCTTTCAGTTCTTGGACGTGTACCTGAACCGATCGTTGCCAGTTGATCAGTGATATCATTTTCAACTTGTTCTAGACCTGTTGGTCCTAGTGGGTTGATCAGATTATTTTGAGATCTACGAGAACTATTGAACAGAGTTAATGCAGGAGAACCAAAAGATATTCCATGGTTCCTCCTAAAACTTCTATCATGATGACGAGCGACACTATCATTTTGAACCCTAAATAAAGGCTGATTTTCTGTATGAAACACATGTTCGATACCCTGAAAAACACCCCTTTCAGAGTCACTTATACTATCCTCAATTAGATCAACACCATGTGTAACATGCCAACGCCTTCTTCCAGAGTCGTGCTCAGAATCCTCATGATTGTCTTCATCTCCATTACTTGAAGAGGAAAAATCGGAAAGCCCTGATTCCCAATCAGAATCCTCAACTTCATAATCTTCCAATTCAAGGTCAATGTCTGAATCATATTCATATCCATTCTCATCAATAATACTGATATCATCACTATCATATGAGGAACTTTCGCCTTCAGAGGAGTTAGTCATTTCCTCATCATGTTCATCACCAGAAATACTCTCTTCGGCAATTTCTACTTGAATTTCGCCATCATTCTCACTATCAGATTCTCCATATTCAGAGCTTGGATGCTCATTATTTTCATCACTTTCATCACTAAAAACTACCTCAAAGCCTCCATCTTCGCTGTCAACAAAAGCGATCCCGTCTTCTTCTCCAATTAGAGAACCTTCTTCTTCTTCATCGTCATCATCTTCCTCTATATCTTCAACATCATACATTCCTAAGGCAGAATTACGGAACATATCTTTGTTCTCTTCTTTTTCTGAATCTTCGTCAACATCGTCCTCATCGTCATGAGACTCAACTTTAAATAGATCTGAGAAATTATTCCTAGTAAAGTTGATAGCATTCAAGGCATCAACAGCTTCGTTAAATAAGGTTCTTGAAAATGGATAGTTCAGGTCTAGGTTTGCCATACAGTCAGTAATTGCAGTCGGAACTCCTAACTCTATCATTAATTTACAAATCTGATATTGATCAGCCTCAATCTTATTAGTGTCCAAAATAGACCTCAAATACGGTGCTTGAACATAGACCATAGAGCCAATTATTTTGAACCAGCTTTCTAGACGGCTGACGTTATTCTCAAGTATTTTTGGACTGCTGGTAGAATTTTTAATGACCTTAATAACAGATTCTATAGTAAATTTCCTAATAAATACCATATCTGGGTCTTGTTTGGTCAAGTCTTGTTTAGGGGTTATCTGGATTTGAGTATCAGATATAAAAGCTACAATCACAGATCTGGCAAGAGTACTAATGACCTCACGGCGCCTTTGAGCGTACACATTCTTTTCAGTTCCAGCAGGACGATCAATGAGCTTATAAAGGAAGAAGTTCAATGCAGTTACTCTTGGTTTAGGTTTTTCCGAGTAAACGTTTCTCCGATTATATGTCAAGAATTCAAACTTTGATTGCTTGTAACTACCAATTAGTTCCAAAAGCATCTTCAACAAACATATCATGTAAGCGCAGACTGGATTCTTCGAAGGATCAACTTTAGATGGCTTAGAAGGTATATCAACTGGTGGGTGATTGGCGGGTTCCGAAATCCAATCTTTTTCTGATGCTGCCATAAGTTGTGACAATAGTAAATGTACAATATTAGTTCTTCGTGATGGTATAATCTCATTTTCATTTGTATTTTGTGTTATAGAGGTAGTCTTCTTATCCAAATCAAAATTTCTTCTCATAATGTAGTTTGTAATGTAATCTGATTTATCAAATTCAGAAAATCTGGCATTCTCGCATAGAATGTCTACAAAAACAGATGGACTTCGCATCACTACATGAGGTTTTTCCTCCAGCAAGCCACTTAACTCTCTTTCACGTTCTTTATAGTTTCCAATTGGTCTTGTAGTAAAACTTTTGTGTATTTCATTTCTAATTAGAGTAGAAATTATGCTTGTAGTTTCAAAACATCTTCTAATCAACAAAAGAAAAGACGACTCAAGAAAGTTAATTTTTTCAGACTTCTGAAACATCCCAATAACTTTGAGTAATCTCGATAGAATTCCAGAGTGTGTTATCTCCTTTGCGTATTCTTCATCCCTAGCGTAGAATATCAAGATTCTAGAAGTCGCCAATGCCGAATAAAAGCTTGAAATGTCATTGACTCTTATTAAGATGTCAAAAATAGCTTTTTTTGTTTCATCAGGTATACGGTGGGCAACTAAGGGAGACCAAAGTTTATAACGTGCTTTGACATCTTCATCCAATTTCTCCATTTGAGGAATTTCTGATTTTGCCAGCACGATTTCATATGCATACAAAGCCTTTGAAAACCAAGAGGCGTTCACATATTGAGGTTTCAAGTTTTCTCGCATGTATGTCAAGAAGTGCATTACGGATGCTTCAGATTTTGAGTAGACAATTTTCTCATTCAAAAATATACCGAATAAATGGATAAACGATGAAAGAGTGGCTTCATCTTTGATGTTAGTCTTTTCAACCTTTTCTAGGACAGTTGCTGCAAATGTCTCACCGGATATCTTCCAGTCAGCTAATATTTGTAAAAGAGTTCTTGCAAAAGCATTAACTAGTTTGGGATAATAAGGCAGAATATTAAACACCTTATCAGGCAGTTCCTTGTAGAAAGAGTCATTTTTTATTCCAATCAACGAAACACTGGTATGCTTGGTAACTAGTTTAGGCACGCTATTATAAAAACCGAAGTCGGGTATCAGCTTTACCACATCGCTTAGAGTCAGGGTTTTGTCGTCCAGTTTAGCTTTTATGGCTTTTAAGTTACCGTTCTGTAAATCCTTTTCACGTATGGCTTCTCGGATATTTTCAGAAGTGGGAAAGTATTTGCAATCCAAAACAAATAAACCACTAGCAGTCTCCTGACCTGGAGAGAATAGATTTTTTAGAAGAGTTAGCAATTGTTTAAATACAGCATAAGGCACTGTTCTAGAAACAGGATTGAATAAATTAAACTTATTGTCAATTTGTTTTATCATAGTTGCCGCTGAGATTTTCACTGGTCCCATTAATGCCTTAGTCAAATTAATATTATCCTCAAAGCCATCATAATAATACTTAATCGATGGGACCAATTCCATAGTATCCATATTTGTCGGCTTATTAAAAAATGTCAGAGCGTTTATGATGCAACTCAATATCAGTACCTCCTGGGTATCCTTAACATAGTCAATCTCTTCAACAGATGCAACGTTGGAAAACTTAGACATTTCTCCAAATAATTCCACAACGAGTCTCTCATAAATATCATAACCACCCTTTTGCAAAAATAGATACGATGGCACTGTTTGAAGTACCTCATTAGCAGTTATACTCGTCTTTGGAAACGTGAAGATATAGGTATTGAAATTTAATACAACCAGAGCATACTGCAGATTGCCTTGCAAAGGTACGGCTGTCAACAGATGAAGAACATTTTCTACAACTGTATCATAAATTTGTAATTCCATTTGACGACTTTCTACATTTGCATCAGTGGACTTTAGCCTTAAGAAGCATCTGAACAAAATCGAAGATGTTGATTGCAGCTTATTCAGAATGCTTCTAATCTGATAAGTATTCTTAAACTTCGCAGATGTCCCGTTATCTTTGGTTTCTTCCTTTTGAGGCTTCGATACATGGATTTGTATTGGTGGAGTGTTCCCCCCGATGGTATCTGGCATGGTTTCTTTCGCAACTTCATCAGGCAAGTTCTTTCTAATAAAGCTTTCCTCCAAAGCACATCTCTGAAACAACAACCTTAAACGGTGGATCAAACCTATGCCGAACTTCTTAAAGAAAGTCAATATTTCCTTGAATTTATTTGGAGTTAGTGTGGTAATGTTCAAGTAGACATTTGTGACAATATATTGTGTTGCCAATAGTTTAGATAGCTTACTGATAATAGAATCAACTCTTTGATTCAGATCAATACTACCCACATCCTGCAATATACTTGTGGATTGTTCAGTTACATTAATGAATTCTTCCAGGTCCTTTAATTGATCATCCATTATTTCCAGTATACCAGGAAATGCGTAATCTTTGAAATGCTCGTCAAATAGTTGCAACACATCTGTATAGTTCAACATAGTTTGAGACATGCTAAAATCAAAGGGGACATTGTTAAGTACAATTGCATTAAATAAAGTTTTAAAGTCTAACTTTTCCGGTAAATCATGTAAAGCAGAATTCTCAAGCGTCATTCCATAAAATACATTGGAGAAACAGTCGACGATTGGTGAATCCTTCTGTATATCCCAAAATGCAAGCTCTTGGGAACCCTCTTCATCTCTTACAACCTTATCCGTTTTTGATCTGTATATTATATCCTCTCCAGTATTTGATTGATACAAAAAGGGTTGATTAAATTTTACTATGTCAGGTAACGTCTTTACCATATCTGAAAATGCATTACAGATCTCGTCCTGAAGATCAGGGTAATGTCTTGCTAGTTCATCCATTGACGTACCAAAATCGACAGATTCTTCCTTCCATGAGAGTACAATCGCATAATCCAAATTGGTGACAGTCTTGAACAAAGATTTAATCAGGCCATTGTCTTTGACTTTCTGGAGACCTTCTGTATTCAGACAGATGGCAGAAATAACATCAGGTAGTAGAGTTAATAATTCTGAATATGGTCCCATCAAACTTTCAAAGTTTTCAATAATATAGGGGATCAGGCCTGCCTCATTCAATATAGGATAAATTGTAGGTTCACTATTGATAACTCTTTGTATGATGTCCAGAGTATATGTAATTAACGTATATCCGAACAATTCCCTATTAGTCATGATCTTTTTTAAAGAGCCTAAAATTGGAGAGTCAATCAGATTCCTTATTCTATCGCCAGAGTCAGTCTTTAGTAATTTTATTACAAGTTTCAAATGACTTCTGATGTACGATAGTTGACGAAATGAAATGGCATAGTAAACCTTTATAAACTCCGGTGGATTAAATTGCCCTTTATTCTCTATCGCATAATTGATTTCTTCATCTATAGATTTGATCAACGTCGTGAACCCATCATTGTTTATGAACTCGTTAGTGGAATCACTGTCATTAATGAAAACCTCTAATAAATGTGTGGCGGATGCGAGTGTACGTCTATAGTCCAAGTTCTTAATTGAAACAATATCCAATAATGCCGGTATTAGGCCTGCTGCTAATAAAGCTTCATGTAAAACTTTGACATCAGCCAAATTAGAGATCAAGTAAAAAAACCGTACATTATAAATTTCATCGACTTCTGATGACTTTTCTCTTAAAATTTTACTCAAGTATCGTAGAATCTGGAAAAGAAGACCATGAGACATGTTACCCCCAAGGTTTCTCATGATATCAGAACACCAAACATGTTTTAGAGATATACATTCCAATGCGAATAACGCATCTAATCGAAGGTTTTTAGATATTTTTACTTCTGAAAGGGAAATAAAATCTGTCAGACTATTAAAAGCATAAGGATCAACTTCAAAGAATTTTGAACTTACTTGTGGAGGGAGGTAAACCGTGTTCACAAGGGCTATAGCATTCATTTTTGTTCTTATTATTGTCTCTCTTAGATGCAGATTATCTTCGGAGTCATCACTAAATGCTTTTGCTGCTATTGCCTTTAGTGAGAAATCAAACCATTCCTCTGCTGGAATAACCTTCATACCTTTATCCAAAATCTCTTGAATAGTTAGCTTGGAAAGTTCTTCACTATTCATCGAAAATTTTAGCATAGATACCCCTTGCTGAGCCGAGGAGTGAGAGTTTGAATCACTACAATCAACTGATTTAACATTAGATGATGCTGAATTAGTCTTAGGAGACGCATAGTATGTATATCTTAGTTTGCTCCACTTCGACGGGTATTTTTTCTTTTCGAAATATAAATCTGTCAATGCAAAATGTTCTCCATTCTCATCCATTGCAGATGATGGAATTGCTAATGCTAGTTTTAATGCCTTATTTTTCAATGGATGAGTACCCAATACGTTTTTTGTAGCATCAATCCGTTCTCGAGCAATGACGTATCTCTCTCCCATAGTAGCAAGTACTCTTATAGCACCTAATTTTACTTCAAAATTTGGACAGTTAAGTAAGTTACTCATTACATCCATTGAAGAATAGATGTACCGGTTTTCAGTGTTGCACAATAATTTTGTAGAAAACTCAGTTAACTCAACAGTAACATTCAAATCTTCATCGTTCATCAATTTTAATGGTTCAGGAGCCTTTGTGTAACTATAATGATACTTCTCAACAAACTTAGAAAGAATATCATCAATTCTATTCAATACAGGTATCCAGACAAATAAATCATTTCTGGGCCTATCATTAAAATCAAAGTCTCTAAGCTTCTTAACAAATTCATCTTGCGAACTTTGTTCTAGATCATCTAAGAATGGTTTAAAATACTCAGCGTTCTTTTCCTTTTGCAGTTTTTCAAATCTAGTTAACTTGACCATGCTAATTTACCGTTTATTCCTTTTTTTTTCTGTATTATGTGAAGTTTGTCGTCACAGTGGCAATATTGTCTGTTTCTATGAACTTTGGTGCCAGTATGGAAATAAAATAATCCTATAGTCTAAAAGTCAGTATTATATCTCTTCACAAACCTCCCTATGTCTTGAGCTGCAAGCTTTGATTACTTTATAAGCTTAATACCAAAATAAAATGTTAAGTTTGTAGAGAATTGGACTTTCAATTTGCAATTCAATGAAAGAATAGTAATTTCTCCTTCTTGTTATTCACCAGTAATCGCTAGGAAAACCAATAGTGATTTAAGTTCTTGTTATTTCCACTCTTACAGGTACAGATTAGTCTTCCAATTGATGATTAAAAAACTCCTTATAATAATAAGTGGCGATTCCTTTTCAAGTTTTTTCAATTCAAAGAGTCAATCGCTAATCGTCTTACTATATAAAAGATGCTTGATTGCGAGTCCTATCTGTTACTCTTATCTTCAAATCAACATTTAGCATTTGCGATGAGCAAAGGTACTTATTAAAATTATCCTCAGTTAGCCACCTGTGGAAACCCAATTGAAGTTTTTACGATGCCAAGACGTAGAATATGATACAAACTACACTAATAGTGCTTGAGTATGTATAAGGTGTCCAGGTGTCCGGCTTGAGTACTATGTGGGGGGGGGGGGACTATACAGTCTAGTCGGAGGGCAACTTGTATACTAGTCGGGGAAAAGGTAAATATATACAGGTAACTATATTATTCACTGTCTGTTGTTCTTGGTCAAAACGTTATCCCTCTACATCATAAATTATAAGCGTTTGATAGTACAGTTTTGTAAATCCACAGAAATCACAGTAGATATGACTTTTCTTGATCTCACTGAAAAAAAAAAGCTGGAAAATTGACAAAAATTCAGTGAAAATGAAAACAAACTGAGATGTGAATTGTATAACTGATATATTACGCGTTCCTTATTAAATCTTAAATAAATTATCTTGTAACCAAGCTTAGCTGTCGTGTAAGTACAAATTCATTTGTCAAAACTAATACAGAAATATGTCTCGTCCAATTGTCATCTCTGGTCCAAGTGGTACTGGTAAGTCCACTCTATTAAAGAAGCTATTTGCTGAATTCCCAGACACTTTCGGTTTCAGTGTCTCGTCTACAACACGTTCTCCAAGACCAGGTGAGGTACATGGCAAGGACTACAACTTTGTCACTGTTGATGAGTTCAAATCAATGATCGACGGCGAGAAGTTCATCGAATGGGCCCAATTCTCTGGTAACTACTATGGTACTACCGTGGACTCCGTTAAGGCTGTCATCAGTTCTGGCAAGACCTGTATCCTAGATATCGATATGCAAGGTGTCAAAGCTGTCAAGACCAAGGACCTTAACGCTAGATTTTTGTTCGTTGCCCCACCATCCATGGACGACCTAAAGGCTAGGTTGCAAGGCAGAGGTACCGAGACAGACGAATCCTTACAAAAGAGACTGGCCGCTGCTGATGCAGAGATGGAATACGCTAACAGCGGTGCTCACGACAAAATCATTGTCAATGATGACCTTGACAAGGCTTACAACGAATTGAAGCAATTCATCTTCGAGAACTAATTGAAAACAACTGACGTTGAGGAGAAAAGGAAAAATCAACGTGTAATAATTGTATAATAAGATAAATATCTCTCTAATATATAGCAGTAATATTATAGATCAGATGAAGGCTATCATTAATAAGGGCATGGATTGATAGACGACTAAAAAGATGACACTATGTAACCCTTTACGTTTGAGGTTTCACATGCATGGTACGTATACAAATATCCCGTACAAATTCACTATGGGCCAGCCGAAATCTCGAATTACTTAAGTTTGAGAGAAACAGGCTCACCTACTGGTAGAAAGCTACCGAAAACACCCAGTTAGGGAGTTTTGCTGAAGTATAGAGTTAATAGGGTTGGAAGGCAAGCCTGATCTCAAGAAATAGTTTACAGATAACGCTTTTCTCAAGTATCTTAAGACCGATTAAAACTACTGTACCCTTGCTCATAAACCTTCTTTGACGACCTTGCAGTTGTAAGCACACGATAACCAAGGATTTAGGAGATAAATCGAAAAGAATCCAAGAATCTCTGTATCGGCTTTTTGAAATATAGAGGAAAAAAAGAAACAGTAAATCATACAGAACCGGCCGTACACTCTTCTTGCCTTTTTACTTCAACGAGCCAGGACGTGCTAGCACATTATCATTGTAGAGGTTCGTGGAACTCTGTTGTTGAGATCTCACAGAGAGCAACGCACTTCCAACATTTTCTGGCTGTTGAGAGATGTGCTGCTGAGTTTCCCGTAGTTCGGCTTCCCTTTACTACCTCTCACTGGCTCTCCCCCCCACGTTTGTAGTACTTTAACTTAGAGGTAGCAGTATAATGTCCGTACGTCATCGCTCAATCGCTGTCCGAGTGTCTTCTCGGTTTGGCAAATAGAGGCGGCGTGCTGGGCAAATGAAGAAAGTCCAGACTCGGAGTCGATCTTTACAAATTTTCTCGATCGTTTGAAGGTCCCTTCCTCTAGTTGTTCCCAAAATTTACTGTCAGTCCAATATACTATTATCAAATCATTAGAACAAACTGCATACAATATGCAAAATGGACACCACTAATGATAATGGCGAACTTTCCACAGTCGAAATGCCTTTGATAAAATGTAGTTTTGTATAACCAATTGAGTATTGTTAGTAATTGCAAGCTTTAACAGGGTGCAACCTTGTGCGTACTCTTCGAGGTTTTGGTAATTTGTAAAATTAGGCTCGAACCATCGCCAGTTAACTAACTGCGCGTAGGGACACTCGCATTAATGTTTAATGGAACGTCTAGCGATGAGCTTGGGAATCCATTTATAATATTGAATCACCTAATCCTACTCTTGTTTCAACATTATAACAATCAATCGAAAATTGAAGTTTTGTAAAACAAGAATTAAAAAAATTTAATATATAAAGGACACGGATTGTCAATGAAGATTCAAATAATTCCATTCCTCTTTTCTATATGTAGATTACAATACAAGAGAACATCAAAGAATATTCTATTCTAATACACTTCCAAAAACAACAACAAAACATCAATTAACAATGGTCGCTCAAGTTCAAAAGCCAGCTCCAACTTTCAAGAAGACTGCTGTCATCGACGGTATGTTCGAAGAAGTCTCCTTGGACAAATACAAGGGTAAGTACGTTGTTCTTGCCTTTGTCCCATTGGCTTTCACTTTCGTCTGCCCAACTGAGATTGTTGCTTTCTCCGAAGCTGCTAAGAGATTCGAAGCCTTGGACGCTCAAGTTTTGTTCGCCTCCACCGACTCTGAATACTCTTTGTTGGCATGGACTAATGTTGCCAGAAAGGATGGTGGTCTAGGTCCAGTTGACATCCCATTGTTGGCTGACACTAACCACAAGTTGTCCAGAGACTACGGTGTCTTGATCGAAGACGAAGGTATTGCTTTGAGAGGTTTGTTCATCATCGATCCAAAGGGTATCGTTAGACACATTACCATCAACGACTTGCCAGTCGGTAGAAACGTCGAAGAATCCTTGAGATTGGTCGAAGGTTTCCAATGGACTGACAAGAACGGTACCGTTTTGCCATGTAACTGGACCCCAGGTTCCGCTACTATCAAGCCAACTGTTGAAGATTCCAAGGAATACTTCAAGGAAGCCAACTCCAAGAACTAAAACCAAATTCATGGAGAGTTTTCAAATTAATCGTTTTGCCTTTTTTCTGTTTTCCAAACTTTGCAAAAAAACAATCTTATAGAGTTTTTGCCAATTGACATTCAATGCTTTTACATAGTACTATGATCTGTTTTTAATTCATGCTTATATAATATATCCTTACAATTAAAAAAAATCCATTCTTTTTTAACTAATTCTTTTAATTCAATGCAAAATATTGAAAACAGCATTATTATTATCGAGCATATAACTGATATATATTTTTAAGACTGTTGGTATATAGTGTCTCTGTATGTTGTTATTTTAGTTACGCTCGTCTTCATATCCAGTTGATATAAAAGCGCGTTCTTTGAATATTTTCCATAGTCCGTTATCGCGCGCTAAATCTGCGGCCAAATGCAGATAGTCCTTAACTAGTAATGATTCCATAGGATATGGCTCATCCTTTGATGTGTACTCAACTTCATAATTGAATGCTTTGTTTATAGCATCATGTTCTGCCAGTCCTTTATCTATTAACTTTTCATATTCGGAGTTGATAGAGTCCAAATCAGCGAAGTATTGAACAAACTTGGTAGGAGAAAATAGTTGTTGTATGTGACCTGGTCCAGCAGGTAACTCATCTGGTTTCTTTCTCGGTATACTCTTATCAGGCTTACCATTCTTCTTCTTCTTCTTTTTATTTTGTTCTGCTGATGCAGCCCAAAATGATGATTCATTGTCATCAAACTCGTTCTTCATTTTATGTTCGAGATCTTCAAAAAATAAGTCCCATGATTGGTATTCTAATTGATTTTCACCGAAAATACTTGAGGAATCGGTGATATCAGAAATATTATATTCCCACACTCTTATCGAAGGGTTAAACGTGGGTATAACGGACCCGGAAACTTGAACAATTGAGTGCTGATCGTATATCTCTTCAAGAGTCCTCTTTTCCTTTTTTCCTTTCTTCTTCTTACCTTTCTTCTTCTTTTTCTTCTCAATATCTAGATCAGAATCGACTGCCTGCTCAATTTCTTGTAATACACCTTTATAGTATGTATCTAAAACTCCATCTAAGTAAGACTCTTTGTTAACAGGCTTAGCTCCCATCAAATGAGCTTCTCTGGCAGCAATAGCATGCTCTCTAATCGTTTTAGTCAAACGCTCATCTTCACTCAATAAAGACATCTGCTGCTCTTCCATATTTTCTCTTATGGCTTGCACATCTACAGGAACAAAATGATCCATATTCATATGACCATATAGTCCACCTATTATTACATCACGATATTCGTGCATCCAGAGAGAAAACTTATCATAACAGGAAGAATCATAGTTCTTAGCTATAGGTGGTACATGGCCACTAATCCACACCTTCATGCCTCTTTCTCTGATTTCATCCAAGACATATCCTAACCATAGCAGAAGCTGATAACCCGGTTGCTTTCTAGAATCACAGTTATCTACAAGTGGGTTAGCCTTAAACAAATAAAGGGTATTGAATGATAAAACTGCAAGCTTACCTGGAATAACTTCTGTAAAGAAAGAAGCATCCCTATCAAACATTCTTTGCTGTTCTTCGGGAATAAAATCACCCCATAGTCTATAATATTCTCTTGTCTGAAGTGTAGGTCCTAGTGAAAACAAATTATGAGGAAATACATCATTATTACCAATAGATGGAACAACAGGCACAGCAAAGTCTCTAGGGTCAGGAGAGTTTGGTGTTCTGAAGATCTTCTTGATTTTCTCCGCAACTTCGGCGTTCATTCTAAAGATCTCATCCTCAGTTCTAGGGTAGGTACGATCGTTATCATGCCTTATATTATCGCCAGTCCAGACCACAAAATCGATTTGGTCTTTCAAATTCTTATCTATCCAATCTAGGGTCATATCCATCAACAACATGGGTGAATCACAACCACTCATAGCATTACCAAACTTTGCTGCTCTGTCTTTACCCTTGGTAGGCTCACCACTATGACAAACGTTATCGATCGACGTACCAGCAACATAGTACTCATCAGGGTGCATGTCAGTAATATGAAGAAATCGGCCGTGTAACTTCCTCTTATTGCCTGTGCGTAAGTCTGTAATAACAACAGGTTTCCTGGGTGTTAACCCCAGCGATATCTGCCTCTCAATATCAACGCTATCAGAGTCATCACTACTAATCTTCAAGCCATGGATGGACTCCGACGAAAATGTGAATGCATTTTTGCATAGAAATAGCGTTCCAAGAGCGATAAATACCCATAGAACAACACTAACCCGGCTCTTCCGGCCAACATCCTTTTCGTTAACTGCCATCCTTAATAACTATAACAAAAACACCTGGGGAGAGGGGTTGCCTATAAATTATTCCCGCTTATCCCAAAATGACTATCTTAAAAAAGTCAAAGTATGGCAAAACAGGTTTAAAAGAACCTTATAGTAGTAAATAGGGTAATAGTAACTGGATTTATAACTTCAATAGTTATTAGTTCCTTTATTAGTCGCAAGTTCTAAAAAAAAAAGGAAACTTGTGAGTAAACCCATGTGCCTTCCTCAACGTAAGCTCATCCCAAAAAAAGAATGTAAATACAAACGAGAGAACCCTTCGAAGCTAAACTTATGATGAAAGACTTCGATCTTCTACTTTTCTATCTTCATTCTTACTGAAAAGAACCCTTTAAGTGGTTTTCTTGCAGGAGGATATAAATCACGTGATACAATGGCTTGTGAAAAAAAATTTGAAAAAAAATTTGCGATGAGATGAGCTCTTAAACTATGCGATGAGCTTCAAAATAGGTTGCAGTTATAAATCATTTGTGGATTGGTTTTGTCATTGTGAAAATATACATAGTTGACAGATTTAGATTTGAATATTCAGTCAGGTACAACTGGTCATAAAATAAGTTACTATCAATTGAACTATGTCTTCGAGAACAAGATATTACTTGGAACAGTGTATTCCAGAGATCAATGATTTAGTTGAGAAGGAGCTATTCACTAAAAATGAGGTTGCGAAGATTATGAAGAAGAGAACAGATTTTGAACACAGGCTAAACTCAAGAGGGTCTTCAATCAGAGATTACATGAGGTATATTGACTACGAGACCCAAGTTTTCAAGCTTCGAGCCAAACGTTGTCAGAGAATTCTTCAGAGCAAGAGAACCAACAGTATTTCTGATAAGTCTATTGAGCAGAGGATAGCGTTTATTTATCAAAGAGGTACTAATAAATTTCCCCGTGATTTGAAATTTTGGGCAATGTATTTGAATTTCTTGAAGAAAATGGGGACTGAGACATCTTACAAGAAAGTCCATACTGTATACAATCAATTGCTAAGACTACATCCAAATAATGTGGATGTGTGGATAAGTTGTGCTAAATATGAGTACGAGACTCATGCTAATTTCAAGAGTTGTAGAGTTGTCTTCCAAAATGGTCTAAAGTTCAATCCTGATTCACCTAAACTATGGTACGAATACATAAAATTTGAGCTGAACTTTGTCACAAAATTGATAAATAGAAGAAGGGTCATGAAACTGATAAATGAGAGAGAACAAGAACTAGACATGCTAAATGAACAAAGCCAAAGTACAAAGAACGCTGTGAATTCCAAGAGCATGGATGATGATAACGAAGAAAATGAAAACGGCATAAAAGTTCCATCAACAGGTGATAATATGAAGGACAAACTAAATGAATTACCAGAAGCTGACATGAACATGCTTGGTAACGCCGAAACTAATCCAGCATTACGTGGTGATATTGCATTAACCATCTTTGACATCGCCATGGCAGAATTGGGAAAGCATTACATCAATAAACAGAAAGGATACTACGCCAACACCGATTCCTCAATCGACAAGGAACTACAAAAGGAAACTGTCCAATACTTATATGAAAAGTCCCTAGAAATTATACAGCTATTTGATCAATTCAAAGATCTTCAAAGAGACTATTTGATCAATCATGTAATACAATTTTGGAAAAATGAGCACTTCTCAGTTTCTGTTTCGAATGATATGCCCGAAATTTATTCAGACATTATTGTCACCGAAGTAACGCTTTTGTTAAGATATATGGATATTAAAAATCTTGATTATGATAAGCTACAGTTGTCAGTAAGGAACTACATGGCATACAAAAACAAAACTAAGGAAGAAGCTAATAAAAAGATCTTACAGAAAAAATTCAAAACATTCTTGGAATCACGCTTTACTGAAAATGCATCGGATGAAGAAGATAACAAACTTAAAATACTGCACCAAATTATTGCCAAACTTTAGCTTTATGAAGTTTTATCTAACATCAATTTACTCATTCAGGTTATTCACTAATAATATCATGTTGTTTAGGAAGTCACTTAAATAAATTCAAGTCATAAATAATACAACGCATTTTGGTACTTACTATATTTATATATATACTTAAGTGTCTATGCAAGACCTAATGCTAGTAGACATTGTCTACATAATGAAGTCATTGTAGGATACGCAATATCTCATTATCTTATCGATTTTCATCTAAATTTCATCCATTGGTTATGTAAACCATGACCTTAAGCTAACCAACATATCATATCCAATGCTGTAGTTGAAAGAAGTCGTATATTCTATTTGCCTTAACTGGATCAATATTGAGTAAGTCTCTGCAGTTCTTTTTGGGCATCGAACCTCCCGTTTTCAATAGTTCTCTGAACATCACTTCCTTTATTGCTAGGTATGGTTTTGGAAGTATCTTCAGTTGGATACATAGTTGTTGTTCTTCGGGTGATAGCAAACCGTAATCAGATGCGTGCTGTATGTCACTAATAGTAATGCCTTTCTTTTTACCATTGGAATCAGTACCATTTTGGGAATAATCAGTGTTTGATCTGTGTCCAGGGGTAGATCTATACCTTGTTCCAGCAACACCCGGTGTACCTGCCTGACTTGACCCCAAATTACCCAATGACGCATCGCCATAATTACCTAGTCTTTCCAAAGTCGATATTCTACTTTGTTTGTCCCTTTCATATTTTAATCCCGCTTCAAGCGTGGTTAAGCCTTTACTTCTCCATTCCTGTAGTTGATGTATTCTAGTTCTGCATTGCAGTTCTTCTAGAATATCTTTACTGAACTCTTCAAAATCTTGTGCTGTCATCACTCTTGCAAATGCCTTGATCTTGTTATATAGATCCTTTGCCTCCTTGCTCCTCTTTTTATCAATGTTTTGTAGTTTCCTATATTCCATCAACTTATTCTCAAACAACAGTCTTTTCTTTTCAGCACGAACTGTCAATCTCGAACTATATATATCTAAAATGGCAAATTTCAACTCCAGATCCAAAGGTTGATCATCTGGTTCAAAGACCATGTCCTTAACAGGTCCCTCTGCTTCGTTCTCGAACTCTGTCTCAAATTCCAGTCTACCAGGCATGAAACCTTGCACCTCATGACAAGACGGCACGGAGGCCATTGGCTTCTTCGGAGGCTCTAATGGCCTATCTCTAAATTTCTCTATTCTCGTCTTTCTTTCATTCAGGAATTCTTCCTGTGGGACCTGTATATCTTTTGTGATATCAGGGATCGGGTAAAATGGACTGTTGATGTAGTACTCGATGTAATGGTCTCTCACTTCATCTTTCTCTCGACTTCCTATATGCTCGGCAATATCATGCCAATTACCCAGACCTAATGATTGGGCACCTTTTATCAATGCAAGTTCTTCATCAGCACCCCAATCTGGGCATAATATAGGGTATGAGTTCGTTTCTATTATTCTATAATCATGAAAAGGCCTGTGGTTACCGTTGTATAGACCTTGGGAGAAACAAGGCACACACAAGTCATACTCGGGACAAACAGCACATGATATTCTAACACGGTGCGTACAGTCCGATGAGCACACGTCACAATGAAATTTATTTGACATATCCTTATTTTGATGTACGTGATTGAAATTTCACCAGCTGATTTCGAATTTTCTTTCTTTTTTCCCACTCCTGTATTCAACTCAAATGAATGATTTATAATACACCGAAAACTTAATAATTGATCAACAACAGTATAATTTCAGTGGCTCCAAAAGGGAAAGCTCTAACAATTTCGCGTAAAAAAAAACGGTATAAGCTTAACGAAAGGCAGTGAAAAATTTATCCAATGAAATAGTAAAGGAAACGAACAGAATTGTGATAAACGCAACGTATTTATTTGCCTGGAATAACAACAGCTGATATAAATTGAGTGCAGATCCAATTGAATTATAGTATGTAAATTTGTTTGCCTTTCTAACAGCTCAATTCTATTTTATCCCTCACTTCCGGCTAAGATTGATTTCCTTCCTCCTTCAAGATAAAGGAATTATTGAACACTGTAAGAGCTGAGACAACAAAGTTCAGCGGCTAATAAGTAAATAAACACTACAATCTACCCTTTAAAAAAGATATGCGGATACCCAACCACCAACAAGTAGAGATCAAAACAGACCGGTGGAACAATAGTTAGAGAGAGAGTCAAATTGTTTATTGTTTCGCCGTCGTTCTCTCTCGGCTTGTGAAAAGTTCCCGCATTTTTGCGATTTTTTTTTGTCATTTTCACTTCTCGTCTTGCTCTTCTAGCCCATCTGTTTAGTGGCCTACTAGACCAAGCTGTACGACACTGTATGTGTAGTATATAGTGATATTTGAATAGCCACCGACCCACACCGAAACTTAGAAAAGATATAATGAAGGTTTATGCAGGTGTTTCTGTGGACAGTGGTTGATGGTAGATAGGGAAAGAGACAGAGAGAGGATGCGTGTCTATGCTATGATCTATTCTTCTCTCACCACCTTCGGTTAACCTATTTAATATTGTAACCACCTTTGAAAGAAACATATAAGGTGTATTTATGCAAGTGTTTAGCCCTGATTCTCTTACAAAAAACATTGGCGGGGTAACTATATATGTGTACGAAAGGATCACCTGAGTGACGTACAAAAACACACACGAAGTACAGTAATACGATGTACACGTGTATACCGTATATAAAGTGAACACGAGGTTCCATTTTCTAATGTTAAGTGTTGTGACTGTCAGAGTTAAGGTGTCTGGGTGCACCCAAACATGTTTTGAAGATTGTCTTCTTTGGTAGCAGACAGAATTTGTTTCTTTTGTTTGTTTTCCTTTTGGGGCTAGCGTGGCTCTCTCTACCAATACCAAAGCCGGGCAGAGAACTTGTGAATGCTAGGCAGGAGGGCTGGGAACACTGGGAACACTGGGGGGGGGGGTTCCCAAAATGCGGGGGACAATACCAGTTAGTGCAGTGATCAATGCATTGTACTCACGCCATATGAACTGCTCCGTTACCCTGCTAACTTTCTGGACATGGATGCCCTGCCAAACCTGCCAGGACAGTAATTGGAATAGGTACGTTGCAAGAATACACCGAGTTTGTTGGGCAAGGAGAGTGGCCGTCCCTGGCAGAAGGGCTACACTATCTACACGGAACTAGATTGAGCCTAGCTTAGGTGGGCTTACACTATCCCTTTCTAGCTTTCATTTGCTCATGGCAGCCTAATACTGCCGAAATCTTGTCACAGAATCTTTCACTTCCAACAATATGGAATTCAATCTCAGTTTCTCAATTCTGAGCATTGGCGCTGTAATGCTGATGAATATATCGAAATGCCATAATGAGCAAAGTAAGTACACTTGTGTGTATTTATCAGTAATATATATATTTCTTCTGCATTTTTCTTCTCATAGAACAGACAACCACAGTATAGACACCGCGATTCAAAATGGTACGTTTAATTATAACTTAACCTATATTAGGTCCAGTGAATACAGCATTCAGCTTGATAGAATTCTGGACGTGAAATTATGGATAGGATTGCAATCAGATATGAAAATATTTAACAGCTTTGAAAATAACATCCAGGAATAATCTCTCCAACGTCCTTTATAGGCGATAATTCAAGAAAGTTAATGGATGGGGTCCAATATGAACGAGTTAGAAAAGAATAGAAACAGACATATGGCGTAATTTTCTGGTAGATGATAGAATTTATTGATATAAAATAGAAATCTCAAAGGCTATTAAGACCGCCAATGCTACAGTACAAAATTCAAATATCCAAATGGTGAGTAATGAGGTGACAAATAGCAAAATGAATCTAATACTGTACTGTTAATTGAGATGATGCCAACCTAAAACTACAAATTTACAAAATGATAAAAAATTTCAAATCAGAGTGGGGAAAGGCGTTAAGGTGACCTGGAGTTCTATTTCAAAGAATAATGGAGAAACATTAGTATCACAAGCACTTATCCAAAATCTAAAGAGAACAATCTTTACTAACCTAATTATTTATCATCTTTACAATAATTTTCCACATTTAGTAGGACGCCCATTATGGTTTAAATGTATGCCAGTATGATTGCAAAGCATTACAGGCGGAAACTAAAAGAAGCATAATGGTCGCCGAGGAGTGTCGAATATTTATGACATGAAAGGATAAATACCTTATTATTACAGGGTAGAGTTAGAACCAAGACCGTCAAGCGTGCCTCCAAGGCTTTGATCGAACGTTACTATCCAAAGTTGACCATGGATTTCCAAACCAACAAGAGATTGTGTGACGAAATCGCTACTATCCAATCCAAGAGATTGAGAAACAAGATCGCTGGTTACACTACTCACTTGATGAGAAGAATCCAAAAGGGTCCAGTTAGAGGTATCTCTTTCAAGTTGCAAGAAGAAGAAAGAGAAAGAAAGGACCAATACGTCCCAGATGTCTCTGCTTTGGACTTGTCTCACTCTAAGGGTGTCTTGAACGTTGACAACCAAACTGCTGACTTGGTCAAGTCTTTGGGTTTGAAGTTGCCACTATCTGTCATCAACATCTCTGCTCAAAGAGACAGACGTTTCAGAAAGAGAAACTAAGGTTTTTAATATTCAGCTGTTGAATATTTACTAAAGCCTTTTTCTATGTATTTCTTTTTTAATTCGTTTTATCTCCATCACAATATCATATAAAAATCACATGTAACCTTTTGATTACGGGAATTATTAATAATATATCACATATTTCATATAAGTATTTTATTGATGCTGTACCAGCAATTTACCAGATTGCAATAATGGAATATTTAGGCAGTGAGACAAAGTCCACATATGTACTAAGTGAAGCTTTATTTCATAAAATATTTAATATTTCGTTACCAAGTTTTTTCACTTTTTCTAGTTTGGAATCTATTACATTACCATGCTTGCAAAGAGCCTCAGCTCTATCGATTAAAACAGTAATAAGAGAATTAAAATTATAGCTCAGTTCAATTCTTTTTTTGATAATCTTAATAAATATTTCTTGATGAGCGCGTAAGATATTTTCACCTTCTTCAATCCATTGATCCAATGACCATAAAGAGGACTGTCTACAATACGTTTTTTCTTCTTCTTTCTCTAGGCCAGGAAATATCTCTGTCATGTTGTCATCATCAATAGTCATATCGTTTTGTACTTCATACAGCAATCTAGTTTGCTTCTTGAAAGGCCCTGGATCTTCCGCTGGTTTTAACGAGTCAGCATTATTTTGTCGTTCTTCTACTAATGGTGATGTAGGCGTAACTAGGGTGTCGGCTGGCTTTGTTTCCTCTGGTTGAGTAGAATGCGGTCTTTGTTTCGTAGATGTAGGAGTCTTTACACCAGGTGATTTATTTACTTTAGGGAGTAGATTATTGTCAACTTCTTGTGGACCAAACAGCGAGCCCGAAGACCTCCACCTGCTTCTCATCTCGCTTGGCGGTAAATTGATTGAAGGTAAGCTGATGTTTCCTTCGTCTTTGATAGGCGTCTTCAGACCCAATCCGGGAACAAACTTTGCAGGATCACTAGCGCCATCTAATTGCCCTGGTACCAAGAGAAAACTCTCAAGAATAGACTTGTCCTTTTTCTTTCTATGGGTGTCGTGTTTCTCTTTATTGACCTTGTAGCGCTTCTTGTCATTATTCTCAATAGCGCCAGCTTCTGATTTGATAAACATACTGGAGACAGATACCAATACACAAGCAGCACTAGATATGTAATTTATTACACACCAACTCCATAAATTTTCCAATGCTTGTGTTTTATCTATTTTGGTGCAGTTACACATGAGCGGCTAAAAAGTGCATGATATTACGATACTCAAAAGACAAAATTTATATAACTACGTACGTAAATTGATTGAGATTCGACTAGCTAAGTTTTTTTCGATTTACGCGGTAGTTCCTTCAGATGCAATTACTGGTAATACAAGACATAAAAGGCGGGCTTACCTGTGTCAGTCCAGGCTAGTACAGGGCAGGCGTTCTCCATTGACCCCTTGCTTTCTTTCACTGAACACTGCCCTTCCCGCCAACTCCATGCAAACTAGGCACAGTGACTTGCTTCGTATTCGGGATTCCTGCCCCGAGATCCCCTTGCTTATGAGATCCGGCAAAATCACAAAGTGTGTGTGTATGTGTATGGAGTTTCGCCTCGAACCATTTTTAGCATTTTGACACAAAAGCTCACAGATTCCAACAGAAATACCCGCACCAGACACTGTTTGACGGTGCTAAGAATAGCAATAGGGCAGGTGTACAGGAGCAAGCGGAGACACGGAGACACGGAAACACGGAAACACGGAACTCATAGAAAGATGGCACATCCTTTCCACCGCTAACAATCCCTGGAGAAGCAGCTCATCTGGGAAAGGATGTACGGATGTTCCACTTATAATGTTTTTCTGTTTTTCTGCTCGCGGAACTGTAATTTCTCTCCCAAACACTTTCCAGTCCCGAGTGTAACAGCCCCACCATGATCGCACAGAGACTAACGCACAACCTCATTCCAAAATCTGCAGAAGGAGCCGGGTAAAGGTTTGAGTCATCTCCTTCCTCCTACCCATCCGCCGTGGGGGGGTGGAGTTTAAGCTGCGCTACAAGGAAGCCACTGCCCTTCCCCCCCCCCCCCAAAGAAGACGCTGGTGGGGAGGGAGGCGAAAGCCACAGAGATCATCACGCATATTCTACAGACCCTGCTTTTTTGCCGTCCGTGCTAATAGTGGTTGAGGCAGTACGGGGAATCACAGGGCCGATTGAGGGGGCCAAAAGGGAGTACGGCTCTTACAGAAGAAAATCGGATCTTGTAAGGCCGGGGCGATGACCCTAGATCCTGGAAAATTGGGCGGCTATTGTCAGGGGTATATAAGGAAGATACTAGATTGAGATCGATTTCTTTTCTCTTCCTTGGCGTACAGGACAGTAAAACGTACATTGCACTGCACAGTTCTAAGACTCAAAAAGGGCATCAGGAAACATAGTACATAAAATGAAAGGGTTTGAGAAGAGCATGTTAGAGACGCTTCCGCTGGAAGTTCTGGATCTTATCCTGGATCGGCTTGGGCTGGACGAGTATGGTGACAGTCTAGCTATTTTGGACTGTTTCAGTATAATGGATGCAGTTCCCAGGGATACGACACTGTACTCACAGATCAGGTCCAGGTTTCACCTGCTGTCGTATGTGGACGACCCCAGCACACGTATACTAAACTTGTTGAGTGGGTACCAAGACAACGAGAAAGAACTGAACCACGAGAATCTGATTGTGGCTGTTGACCTTGACAACTGGGATATTGAAACGGTGAAAATAGATCTTGAGGAGCTGCTGCATCGTTGCTCGGAGGAGCACAGTATGGCATTACATCTCTTATTTCCACTAGCCTCCACAGATAAGGCTTACGATGTCGCAAAATTCTATTCAGTTATCAAATCTGTGCTATCTGAGATTGCTTCGTCGAAACTATTCAACTTCGAGTCAATTATCTTTGACAGCATATCTAACAAACTGGTCTGTGATAAGAACATGTTCGGTATCTTAAGTTATGAGTTTCTAGAGACTATAGAGTCAGCACATTCAGACACATTCGATATTTCGAAAGTTATGCTACCACTAGTCACTACTTTACAAGTTAACTATATGACTTTGGATACTTTTTTCTATAACATCCTAACAAAATATAAAGGTTATCAAAGGAGTAAATCCAAACTGGTGAAAAACTTTCTGGCCAATTTCAAATTCTATATGCCAAATGTGGTAAATCTACAATTCTTTAAGACAAATGGATGTGAACAAATTGAAACATGCAATTTCATAGATGTATCATCTTTGATCTTGAAGAAATGCAAAGAAAATAAGATAAACGTTGTACAAATGTTCAAGATCCATTCATTGGCGAATTGGAAGTTGCCAAATATAAGGAAATTTACAGGTCATAGATTCAAATTTGATGAAATTGCAACTGCTGGTTCGCCAGAAAGACTTGTGGTTTCATTAAGAGAAAATTTAAAGTTATTGCATGATTGTGCGATGAGTGACACACAGGATGGTGTATCTTATTTCAGGGTTAATCTAATCCCAGAAGGAGTTAAAAAAACCAAGATTATTAACTGGGTTCCAACCGAGATCAGTTCAAATGTTTTTTCTAAGGTCGAGCAATACACCACACCAATCATGTGTGTAAGGTGTGAATCACTGGAAGAATTGGAGCTGAAATTACTCAGATTTGAAAAATCATCAACGATAGAAATTCAAGGGCTTTATTTTCCCAATTTGAAGAAGCTAGTGCTTTCAAATAAACCAAGGATTACATCAAGACCTGTTATATCACATCGTAATGATTCATTTAGCCTGGAAAGTGAAAGGAAACCTGCACATGGTTATACTGCAAATCTTGAAGTTACAAGAAGAAGAATGTTAACTACTAGCAATAGGTATAACAAAGCACATAATACAGCCTATAGTAATGTGACATTTGCCGAAAATCCTTCCCAGATAACAGATATGAATCCGATTGCATTTACTTCATGGAATGAGCTGCCTAGTTGTGAGTTTTTAGGTTTTGTTTCCGAAGATTCTACCAACTATATCTTTAACATTCAGAATTTAAAGGAAGTTCTACCAAATTTAAATTTAAAGAATAGTTTCCCAACATTTGTGGATGAAAAGCAGAAATTTATTGTTGTTTAGTTTATCATCCTACTTTCATTTTGATTTTACTTGTTATTTTTAATTTTTAATTTTCCAGTTATATCTTATGCACCCTCCTCCCCTTCATAATGTTTAATCACATAAAATCGATAATTCATTCGTTAGCAACATTGTAATTTCTCGGAGTTTCGAAGTTTTTAAGATCATTTTGTTAATTTTTATAAAAAGTCTAATTCTCTTGTGCGCATCTTCCTATTTTCATTTGAAAAAAAAAATCAGAGCTTGTAAATAAGGGGACCGGTTATAATGCAGAAACGGCAACCAAAAATCAAGAATTAACAAATTTTAGATGTTGAGTATCTATTATTATAATGCAGAGTACCGAATGCTCATACAGTGACCATGGTTAACGCATGGAAGGTTGGGGAGATTGATGGAAGATATAATTTACTGAAGCAAGATATAGATCGAGATGGGACCAAGTTGCTGAAAATAACTATTCATATGACAGAGGCATTACTGGTACCGCAAAGCTCAACTCTCAAAAAATCTCTGAAGACTTACGCTGTGAAACTTGATAGTGCTCGTAAACAACTGAAGAGCCAAGGTTTTGATCTTCAGTCATCTGATAACCTCATCAAAATAGTTATAGAATTTTTGAATAACCTCAATTGTTATACTAAAAACAATTACAAAGATTCGAAGTGTGAGATGAGCTTACATAAATCTGATATGAAGATCACGATTAAATTGGATGCAACTATAAAAGCGACTATAAATCTAGGGTTTGTTCGTTTGACAGATGAACAAGGGTTACTGATATTGTTAGAGCTTTCACATTTCTTATCCGAGACACTATGGTATTGGAGTAGAGTTTGCAGCTTAATTGATTCTGAAAGCAATACTAAAAATCTTAATAACTGCCTAATTGAGTTAAACCGAATAGCCGAAGCCAAGGAATCTAACCAGATCTATGGAAGAGACCTGGCCAAGTTATTTATTATCAGGGAGAAATTACTTGGTAGACAAGCAAAACTTTCGGGAATGATAAGCACAAGATCAAGTAAGAGTGACGAGCTACCAGGAGAATTTAGTGAATTCGACTCTGACGATATGTCTTGGCGTACCAATAGTGTCACCCCCATAGAAATCTTAAGAAGTGAGGATATTAATGAACTATCCTCACAAACTGATAAGATACCCGCAAAGAGAGTGAGAAAAGAAGACTCCATTAAGATGGAGTCACGAATTTTAGATAGCAATTACGAGGAAGCGGCTATTTCTGAATCTCCGAAAAGAAAGAAGAAGAAGTTTGGTAAGATTGTGGTTAGCCCTACAAAAAAATAGCCGACGTCACCAATAATCCTCTAAGACGTACTGAATGGTGTCTATCGGTAGATAGCTACCACTAATATTGTAAAAACTTTTGATCTTAATGCATACAAAATATTTAATCTTCCAGTGATTTCATATTGAGAATCACAACTTTGTTTACACGTGATATTATTTAATACGTATTCTACAGTCACAAAAGACTGAGGTGCCTTTTATATACACCCATACATTTCTTGAATAATGTATGGGTGTTTATCAACTGGACCTAACGGACAAATTGTGCCAAAAGTAGCCGCGTAACCACTGAACCGCCAAAGTGTATATACATACATAACTTTACATACAAAAAAAATTTGGTGCTGGATATCAGGCATGTTTCAAATATGGCGCTTTGAATTCACTAGATTAACTGGAAGGAAAGATTCAGTCTTCTTGTAGTACTATTTATGGAAATGAATTTGTATTCAATTCAATATTGAATGAAAATAGTAATTCATGTATCATCACAGCAATCCACAATCCGTAAAATCATTCCTTTTTCCTGTAAGACCCGCCTAGACCTCACTTAGTAATTCTAAAATAGATAAAGCCAATCATATTCATTTGCCATTTTAACCGCACACCAATCAAAAGCAATCTTAAAATGTTAATTTTTTATTAAAATTATGGGGAAATACTAGTGTATAAATCTCAATATTGTTTGGTATAGAAAAAAACGTGCTTTGCCACCAGTAGGTATGCTGTCCATAATAACTGAAGACCTCCAATGCTGACACAACGACACATATATTTTGCTATCTTAACGCAAACGACGAGCTTCACGTTCAGATTCCATTAGGACCAAGATGTCATTTTCTCTAACTGGACCCTTGACGTTTCTGACAATAGTACGAGAAGTGTCTTCCAAGAATTCAACACGGACTTGGGTAACACCACCACGAGAACCGGTTCTACCTAAGACCTTGATGACTCTAGCTAAAGTAACTGGGGTTTTGTTATCCATATTGACTGTGTTGGAGTTAATGGAGTTGGTGTGCTTTTTAAATAAAAGAATAAAAAATATAAAGTTAATTAATATGAAAACTGTTTATTATATACCAATGCAATTGTTAACATACAGAAATATGCCAACGTTGCTAGAAGTTGTCCAAACCAGAAGTGAAAAAAAAAAAAAGTTGATGAGGTGGGCGACGGTAGGCCCGGCGAAATTTTGAAAAAATTGCCAAAAAAAAAAGTTGCGTGGATTCATAAAATTTTCGTGTAATAGTACTACAATTCACATGATAAAACTTTCAATACAGGTATACTTTGATTGGCGTATTTCTAACTTTTATAAGAGTTTAAGGTTGTAATGTTAATGAGAACTTAATAAAAAGTAACCTTCATAGGTTATTCCCGTCGAGTCTCTACAGTTATATTAGAGTTGATTATATTTCGTTTTCTTATTTCAGCTATCACTTCCTCCTCTGTTAAATCTGACATTTTATTTAAATCGCCTACAAATTCAACCATTCGCTCAACATCCCCTTTAAAACTTTTATGCAATTCTGAAAACAGTACTTCATATTTTTCCGAAAGTTCCTGCATAATCTTCTTGTTTAACAATTCATTGATTATTGATATGCGCGAGATCATCTGATTGGCAATTGCGTTAATGGAGTTGGCAAGTTGGTCTTGTATTGATTTTGAAAACGCTCCTTTGCTTATAGATTTTGATAAGGATAAATTGGCATCCTTACTGGTATTAATATCACAGAGTGTACCTGAGTTGTTTAAGGATATTGTGTGATCCTCAATGCCAGATACTTCTTGATTGGGTACTTTACTGTTAATATGAGAAATTATTTCCTTTGACCTATTTTGAGAAGTACTTGTCTCTACCGGAACGAGGTTTGCAACAAGATTACTTTTTTCTTTGACAGTTTTATTTGAATGGATATTTTCAGAATTATTATTTGCGATCATCTTCTTACCTTTATTGATACTCCGTGTTGTTGGTTTGACATTCTTCCCTTTTGATCTTCCTACTTTATAACTTCTAACAGTACAACTAGCAGATCCAAAAATTGTATTCAACACATTTATATCTGCAGTTTTGACTGATTTAGGTTTTGTTTTGGATACAGAAGTAACTTTGGGTATATTGTTTGGTTTGTGTCCCACAAACTGACTAGTTAAGCGCCCACCTTCGATTAAACGGTGACGGCCCAAATCTTTGTCAATCAGGTGATCTTGATAAGCAACCGAAGAAGGAATAATAATATTTTCTTTCATAACCTCTATTGATTGATTTAGTGTTGTATTAAATTGCTGTTCCATTACTAGCTTAAGATTCTTGCTCGATTTTGATAGACTTCTTTGTAATCTTTTCTTGTTCAGATCAGATAATGGAGAGGAACAAAGTGCGGGCTGTGGTTTCAACAATATCCCGTACTCTGAACTTGGATATTGTTCTCCATTAGAATGCGCTTTATTATTTTGTATGGAATCGTTGTCGTTTTTATCGTTCCTCTTGAGATCTGATCTTTCGGGAGTTTGAAGCTGTGTATTTCGATAAGAGTTGTCTTGCATGTTAAAATGGCCATTATTATTCTTATCTGTATTTGATTCTTTTAGCTGAATTGGTACAGATTTTTCTTTGAATTCAAGCTCGGAATGAGATATGTTATCAATTTGGGAGCTCGTGTCTGATTCAGTAAAATTTAATAGTAAGTAATCCTTTGCTTCACTAATTCTAAAATAGTTATCCATTGGCTCAAGAAAAATTCTACATTCATGTTCTGAGTTGAATTCTAGCTCCAATTTTTTCAAATATTTCATCGGTATATGACTTTTTTCGAACTCGTTAAGAGCCATTTGAGTGAAAGGTGTGATATCTCTGGGAAAGCCTATCTCAATCAAGCAATTATTAGATTTCTTTAAAAAGATATTTTTTTTTCGAAGATGAATGAAAGTATTTGTTCCAGTCCACAAATATAAATTTCCATGAATGAACTGTGAATAGCAAAACCGTTTACTACCTGAGTTTGATAATCCTACAATTTTCTTTGTTTGACAATTCTGACTTTCATATACTGCGAAGAGTTTTTTAATCCTCACAAAATTAACTAATTTTTCCTTGAAGTTATCTAGTATGAACTCCATAATTTTATAATTACTGAATATTTTATCAATATTCTGCTTTTTCCACCTTAATATTGGGTATTCTTGATGTTCAGCATTGCCATTTGCTAGCGAAAGGAAAGAAATCAACATTATTAACAAATTTAAATCTTTTATTTCATTGGATGTTAAAAAATCTTTAACATAGTCAAATTTAGAAATGATCAGTTGTTGGATATCATCACTCGGAGATGTATAAATGTATGCCAAAGTTTTCAATAGAATAAAAAAATATTTCCAGTTTTTAAAAGTTATGTCTTTCTTAGTACCCCTGTCGATGAGAGTATTTATTATAACATCATTACTCTCTGGGACCTCAGTTTCTTCAAGATTAAAAGTCAGTTGAATTCTCAGTAAGTGAATCCATATATCTTTGTATTGTAATTTTGCGTGACTCAGCTCAATAAACATTATGGATATTAGGAGCCATATTTTTTTAGAACGAAGTGGTTCTTTGAGCATAAATCGGAATAATACCTCAATATCCTTGTGTGTTAAATTTGCTATTGCATTTTGTATTGTCCTCTCTAAAAACTCTGTATCGCTAAATTGTATCTGAATGTAATAAAAGCCGTCCACCACCTTCACATCAAAATACCTTGCTAGTATACTTTGTGCATCCATTTTTGATAGCCTTCAACTAAATTATTTATTTCCTCTTTTTTGTAGACTATATATTGGGTACCGGATACTGATGAGCCTCCTAATGTAATATCGTTGCTTCTCCAACCTGGCAGTACTGTTATTTGGTGAAGGCGGTCTTTCCTTTTTTGAATTGGACGAGAAGGAAAGCATCATTTCAATTATTCGTAATGTTCGTACTATTATATAGGCTTTCTTGCCAAGAAAGGGGCTAAGGCAGAGCTGATCAGTTCGACTCTGGGCGGCTAACAGTGGGCAATCAGAACCAGCTGTACTGCACTAGTTTCTATGGTTTATGCAACACCGAAAATGAGATCTGGATACTTGTTGTGCTGGCTCTTCTAGAGAAAGCCGGCAACTTCAATTTCATCAATTTGCTAAATTCACACACTCCTTCCTTCCTCTCCCTTAATTTCCCTGTTAGGAAGTTCTGGTTGGCAGCGATTATCTTAATTTAAAAAAAAAAAAGAAAAGAAAGACAAAGAACTTAGAATCCGCAGCACAGAGAGAACAACAAAAATGTCCAAGGCTGAAAAGGAGAGAAGCTCTAGCCGCCCAATTAGTACGTGACTAGTGATTTGATATTGTCGTTGGCAAATAGAGCTTTATACTTAAGTACGTCGCTATGAGTGCATTTGTGGTGTAAGAGGAAGATCGTGGGAGTAGCGAGATCTTGAAATTTTTCAGTCTCTTAGAAGAAAGTGCAGAGACTAGCTTAAGATGAACTTTGTCTCAAATATATGTTTTCCCAAGATTTTGCAAATTCACAGAGGATACCGCGTAAAGAAGAACGAAAAACCATTATTGTTCTGTAAAACGGTATTTGGGCTTCTCTGTCTCTCTTTTTTTTCTTTGCAGGCAGATGAGATGAGCACAATCAACTCAACGAGCTGGGTCGCAATTTTGTCCTCGCTAAGGTTTGCATGGAGGAAGGCTATTCCGTAGCCGCTGGGCGGGGAGTGAGACTGCTGCGATTTACTGTGATAACTTTAAAACTGCTTGTGAATCCTGGCTGAACTCTCTTTTTATGCTCTATGTTCAGTACACTCTGCCAATAGGTACAAGTTAGAAACAGGAAATGTCTGGTCGTCAAGGTGGTAAGGCTAAGCCTTTGAAGCAAAAGAAGAAGCAACAGCAAGACTTGGACCCAGAGGATCAAGCTTTCAAGGAGAAGCAAAAGGCCGATGCTGCTGCTAAGAAGGCTATGATGGCCAACGTCAAGTCTGGTAAGCCATTAGTCGGTGGTGGTATCAAGAAATCCGGTAAGAAATAGATATGAGGTTCTCATATTGCACTTATCTATATGTGTGCCATTTTTTTCAGTATATCACTTCTATAGTATGCCACACTATGTGGCCACTGTATAGGGTATAGCGTATATCAGTTAAATGAATCATTTCTCAATATAATTTATGCTTACGTTTGATTCCAACCTATTTAAAGGATGAAATTAATGCGTAGTTCTGTATCGTGTCAATGTTACCAAATGAGCACCTGGTTACTACTCAAGTGTAATCACCTCTAAATCAGCGTGTATTTTATACATAATTGGGACTTGTTACATATTATAATTACTTAATCAAAATACTTATACACGATGTGTGCAGCTTAAACACCAAGTACCCCCCCTCAATAATTTTGAAAAAAAAAATCAATAAGAGTGCATGATATACAAGCATGTGTTGGTGAATACATTGACCAAAATAGGGCTTCTAATTATACAGTAGCAAATTCAAATCGTTGAGAGCTGTGATTTTTACTCTATATTAGTTACTTCTTTTTTATTTGAGCAGTATCATATTTTTTCGACTCACAAAACTGACGAAGAGGACCTTTATTTCGACTATACAATTCATCAATATACAACCAGCGGTCTTCACCATTTTTGATCTGCAATCGCATCACATATAGTTGGTGATTTGAACATTTACGATTACTCAGGTTTATTTTTTGTTTTTAAGGAGGGTTTTTAGACAATTTTCCAGAGATATAGCATATTCGCATAAGATAAATTCCAGAGAATAGAGAATAATGTCAGGTAGACAAGATAAACTGTTAACGAAGTATAAAATTGTGTTTCTTGGTGAGCAAGGTGTTGGTAAGACATCGTTGATCACTAGATTCATGTATGATACATTCGATGATAATTACCAGGCGACGATTGGTATAGATTTCTTGTCGAAGACCATGTACCTCGATGACAAGACTATCCGTTTGCAATTATGGGATACTGCAGGTCAGGAAAGATTCAGATCATTAATCCCTTCCTATATTAGAGACTCAAGAGTGGCAATTGTAGTATATGACATTACTAAGAGGAAATCGTTTGAATTCATTGATAAATGGATTGAAGATGTTAAGAATGAAAGAGGTGCAGAGAATGTAATATTATGTGTTGTTGGTAATAAAAGTGATTTGGCAGATGAAAGACAAGTCACTGCTGAGGAAGGTGAAAAGAAGGCCCAGGACCTGGGAGCAAAAATATTTATGCAAACCAGTACTAAAGTTGGTTATAACGTCAAGAACTTATTCAAGAAAATTGCCAAGTCTTTACCAGAATTCCAAGATTCAGATGCAAATCCGCTAGAAAACACTGGCGGAGCAGCAGGAAACAGGAATTCCAATAAAGCTGGTGTTATTGACATTTCTACTACTGATGAAGATCAATCACAAAGTGGTTGTCAATGTTAATCTCTTGTATCGCGAAACTATTTGGTGCTGAAAATAATAATATGACTAGATCTGGTTTTTGGAAGACAACTCAACTAATTGTTAGAGAAACACGATTTTATTCAACATTGGATAGGAAAAGAGAATGGGTATTTGCATGATACACTGATAATGAAACTTGAGATAATAGCAAAGCTTTACGATGCTTTATAAAGTACAGCATAATTATATAATATTGCATTTAATATTGTAAAAGTATAAAATTTTGAAGAATTAAAATTTTACCCGCAAAAATTATTACATGTAAATGTCTATATTTAGATAATAAAAACATTTATGCGTTTACACAACGCTAAGGGGAGTAGTTTACAACACACGTCAGGAAGACGTAATTTAATAGGTAAGGTGAAATTCCTTGATATTATAAGCTATAAATAAGTAATTAACTTATAGAGGATAATATAATTGTAGAGATCGTTAAATAGAGATATGAAACGCTTGTAAGAAAAGAAAGCAAACCAGTTTTAGAAAGGTTTCATAAAATGCAAAGAATGTTTTTTAGACTGTAGTTATAGAAAATGAGCACAATTCTGACTAGCTCGGTATTTTTCTATTACATAGTATCGAATTCAGTATCCACATAACTACCATTTCTTAGTAAGGTCTTACAAAGTCTTGGTAGGACTTCAACTTGTAAAGGTTCCAATGGGAATTTTTCACCATCAACTGAAAATAGTCCGTGATTTAGTTTTGGGATCAATTTATATGCTAAGATTTTGGAGTGAATAACTTCTGGTTGTAAGACATGGGATCCTTTATCCAAAGCTAGAAGGATAGGCGCCATTCTTGTAACGGAAGTTCTGGCATCTGTGACAACCATATCAATGGTACCATCAGATGGCAATGCAGCTGGAAAGAATTTGGTATCAGCTGCAATATAAGGCATTTTACCCGTGTAAAAGATACCAATATTATTCGAGATAGATGGATCAAGCCTCTCCCAGTCATCTGGAACGCCGTCCTTTAGAGGGTACTTCAATTTGAAACTGTCCTCAGTGATTTCATTTGAGATTTCATTTTCATTAGACTTTGATATCTGTTTAGTGTCCTCAGTCTCTGGAGATTCCTCGTTTAGGTCCCCTTCAAATGTAAGAGAGCCTTGATTCTTATGTTCTAGATAGTGTACTTTTAGGTCATTTTTTGACTTCGCAGCGTACTTGACGTAAAGGTCACACGGGTACTTCTTTCTCTGCAAGACATTGAACGCGACACCAAGTTCAAATCTGGCTGGACCCATCCATCTAATAAATTCTGTGTTGATATCGGATTCTGCAATCACACCATAAGTCTGACTTAGAAATGATAATTTAGGATATTCATCAGCGTAAGATGGTTGAGAACAACACATCAAGTCGATTCTAGCTTCTACTGATTTAAGAAGGCATAATGCAGCATAAGACGGATTGTTTGTCCAATGGCAAGAGACACTCATGGCGTTACCTGATCCACAAGGTAGTTGTGTGATAGCCAGTTTGTTGAAAGCTTCAACTCTATCAGGCCTTCTATAAAGACCGTTAATGACTTCATAGGGAATACCATCACCTGAGGCACATACAATGGTGTCATATTTAGATATATCCATTTCTCTGGCGATATCGATGGCTTCCTGAGGATACTTTGTGTACTTGATCTCAACAGTACTTCTACTGGCGCTCAGCAAAGGTTTGGCCTTTGTCATAAACAGTTTTTTAGCTTTACCTTTACCACCAAATGGGTTAATAATGGCTAGGATAGATCTGGATTGTTTTGTGCCTTTATAACTTCTATCCATGATGGCATCTACAATCTCAGATGGACCTCTTAGTAGCTCAGTGGTTTCGATGGCAATCACAATTTTCTTAGGTACCACGTCTTGTCTTCTAGGTTTGGCAAAAGTTATCTCTATTAAATGTAAGCTTTTTATGTTTTCCATTTCATCTTGACTGCCTTCGTAGAGTATTTCTGACTCTTTTACTGAAACTTTTGAATTATTAACATTGTCGTCGTCATTAGTATTGAATGGGTTCTTTAGATCCACGTTGTCGTTATTGTCGTTATTTGTAGTTGTTCTTGATGCTGATGCTGATGTTGATGATGGCTGGGTGCTGAACGGGTTATTATCGGTGTCACCGTCTATGCTGGTCATTGATGTTATTCTAGCGTTGGAAGGTTTTCTCTTAAAACTTTTTCTTCTGGGCCTATCATCAGGTACAGAGATAAATTTAGACGCCTGTGAGGACACATCATCACGGGAAAGTATGGACTGGTTTGTGAAATCGTTCGAGGTTCTTGGTTCTTGGTTCTGATTTTGTGGTGTAGTGGTAAATATCTTGGCATTGATAATTCTTGCGTAAGGTATCACGGTGTTTATAGGTAAGAAAGTGTCCAATTTGTTGTTAGTGTCGTCGTTGCCGCTGTGGTTCTTCTTGCGATGTCTCATTTTCTGCGAGTTACCTGTAGCAGACGACGCTAAGCTCAGTGAAGAGCTTCCGCTACTGGTTGAGTAGCTCGAGTCGCTTAAACAAGTGACGCAACTCACCAAGGAGGCAGTCTCAAAGACACTCGAGTTCGACCTTCTCACGTAGCTGTTCGCACTTATAAAGCTATCTGTTGAGCTTATCCTGCTCTCTATGCTCAGTCTAGGGCCTTCCTTGGACTCGTCGCCGTACTGTCTGCCACCCACACCCATGCTATACGAGGAGTCATTGCTGAACATCATCGTGCTCGGTCTGTACACGTTCGTGGTGGTGCTGCGCATATTGGCGGGTGCCTTGTTCTGGAAAGTGTTGAGACTAGTCACCCCGACTATGCGCACCCCGTCCTCCACTAATTGACCCCTCGAGATCATCCGCTTGTTCTTGGAAATCGGAACGGACTGAGACCGCCCGCTATTCTTGCTCTTCTTCTTGCTCTTCATGGTCACATACACATCATCGTCTACTCTATTCTTAGCTATCATCTAGGGAGTTTGAGATCCCTTTTATTCCTTAGCCTTTATATGGTTCGGTGGTTGTCTTTTTTTTTCTCCCCCCAAAATCCCGGTTAAGAAAAGGGTTTCTTTAGTGGCAGTGGGGACCCTTCCACTATTTATACTTCTGGCGTGATGGGGGAGGAATTGAAAAATGGCACCTTATAGCATCGACCGTGTAGATGGAACACACAAGTGCAGCAACTGTGCGACTACATTTTGCTTATTACGCTAATTCCCTTTGTGCAGCACTATTAGTGGAGAGATGATCAATCTTGGGGGGTCCAATGAGTATTGCCCAATTAGGTAATTCAGGCTAATTCCACCTCTGATCCTCAGAAAGTCGTGTACAATCAAATGCTCTACCAGCCGGTTACTCCATCAACTTGTGAGAGAGTGCCGTGCTTGCGATTGAAGTGTTGAGTGGTACAGAAAGAGGTGCAGAGAGACCTGGAGACAATGGTGAAACAGAGACATTGCAGGTAATGTTACAGCAAGCAATTGGTCTACTACAGTTGTGGTGTTGGTGCTTCGTACGCGTTCTTATCTAAGAGTTCCAAGCACGCACAGACACACACACAGACACACACAGAGAGAAAGTATAATAAAGATTTGTGCACTCTTCTGCATTGCTTTTTCCTTGGAACACACGCGGATCCGTTACTGTGTTTCCCCATCTGTCCCATCATGCCCCCCGCGCCCCCCCCCCCCCCGTCAATTACCAGATTGCTTCTGAAAATCTCTTCCGACAACTCCCGTTTACCGACAACTCCCGTGTCCAGTGGTTCCCGTGGAATCATTTGAAATTTACACTCAGCTCTCTCAGCTCCCTCAGCTCTCTCAGCTCCCTCAGTTCCCTCAGCTCTCCCATTGCCCAGTGCCGATCAGCCACCACAAAAACCAAAGAGCCTCCTCTGCACACCCACCCTGAGAGCGAAGGGACCCTTTCACATGTACACACACACACACACCGACACACACACACACCGACACACGCACACACACATAACGCAGAGAGTTGGGAGACCCTGGACCTGAGACCACACAGCAAGACTACAAGAAAACAGTGACACAGTGGGCATGTGACTCCGACACGTCTAACATGCCCTAATATTTGAATCTTCGTCCCCCCCCGCACCGGGTAACATTCTCCTGCATACCGTGATTAATGCCAAATCCTTCACTACCGCAAGCTGAATCCCGGAACTTCGGTGTTGGTGCTGGAAGGAAAACAATAAGCCGGGTAAAGTACCTGATCGCGCACTTACAGCTAACAGCTGACGCACTCGAGAAATCTGCCCGTTTTGTTCATGGAAACTTGAAGAAAATCAGGGAAATCGTTACTGCGCTCTCTCTAACGCTTGCAAGCTCCTGGAATACAAATTCGCAAAGTATATAACTCTATAGCTTTCAACCTTGTTACTGTGGAGTGGCTGTTAAGGGATAGAGACATAAGATAAACCATACCATACATAAATCACCTCCCATATAAACAAATGTTGAGAGCTGTTGCACGTTCGCAGGTTAGATCTTTGAGAAACGCTCGTTTGTACTCCAGTTTCAAGGAGTTGAAGTTCGGTGTCGAAGGCAGAGCTGCTCTGCTTCGTGGTGTCGAGACTTTGGCCGATGCTGTCTCTGCCACGCTGGGGCCTAAGGGTAGAAATGTGCTGATCGAGCAGCCATTCGGAGCACCAAAGATCACCAAGGATGGTGTCACCGTGGCCAGATCCATTACTTTGGAGGACAAGTTCGAGAACATGGGTGCTAAGCTTCTGCAAGAAGTTGCCTCCAAGACTAACGAGGCCGCCGGTGACGGTACCACCTCCGCCACTGTCTTGGGTAGAGCCATCTTCACCGAGTCCGTCAAGAACGTCGCTGCCGGTTGCAACCCTATGGATTTGAGAAGGGGTTCCCAGGCCGCCGTCGAGAAGGTCATCCAATTCTTGACTGAAAACAAGAAGGAGATCACCACTTCTGAGGAAATCGCCCAGGTGGCCACCATCTCAGCTAACGGTGACGCCCACGTCGGTAAGTTGCTTGCCTCCGCCATGGAAAAGGTCGGCAAGGAAGGTGTTATCACCATCAGAGAAGGCAGAACTTTGGAAGACGAACTAGAAGTCACCGAAGGTATGAGATTTGACCGTGGTTTCATCTCCCCATACTTCATCACTGACGCAAAGTCCGGCAAGGTAGAATTCGAAAAGCCATTGTTGTTGTTGAGCGAAAAGAAGATCTCTTCCATCCAAGACATCTTGCCAGCTTTGGAACTATCTAACCAAAGTAGAAGACCACTATTGATCATCGCCGAAGATGTCGACGGTGAAGCCCTAGCTGCTTGTATCCTAAACAAGTTGAGAGGCCAAGTCAAGGTCTGTGCCGTTAAGGCTCCAGGTTTCGGTGACAACAGAAAGAACATTCTAGGTGATGTCGCCATCTTGACCGGCAGTACTGTTTTTACTGAAGAATTGGACTTGAAGCCAGAACAAGCCACTATGGAACACCTAGGTTCCTGTGACTCCATTACTATCACAAAGGAAGACACTGTTATCCTAAACGGTAACGGCTCCAAGGACTCTATCCAAGAAAGAATTGAACAGATCAAGAACTCCATTGATGTCACCACTACTAACTCTTACGAGAAGGAGAAGCTACAAGAAAGACTTGCCAAGTTATCCGGTGGTGTTGCTGTCATCAGGGTTGGTGGTGCTTCTGAAGTTGAAGTCGGTGAAAAGAAGGACCGTTACGATGACGCTTTGAATGCCACCAGAGCTGCCGTTGAAGAAGGTATCTTACCAGGTGGTGGTACTGCTTTGGTTAAGGCCTCTAGAGTTTTAGACGAAGTCAAGACTGAGAACTTCGACCAAAAATTGGGAGTTGACATTATCAGAAAGGCCATTACTAGACCAGCTAAGCAAATTATTGAGAACGCCGGTGAAGAAGGCTCCGTTATTGTCGGTAAGCTTGTTGATGAATTTGGCGAAGATTTTGCTAAGGGTTACGACTCCGCTAAGGGAGAATTCACTGATATGTTGGCTGCCGGTATTATTGACCCATTCAAGGTCGTTAGATCTGGTCTGGTCGACGCTTCCGGTGTTGCTTCCTTGTTGGCTACTACCGAAGTTGCCATCGTTGACGCTCCTGAACCAGCTCCAGCTGCTGGTGCCCCAGGTGGTGGTATGCCAGGTATGCCAGGTATGATGTAAAAGGTCTAACTTTTGCAATCATGCTGGTGAAAATGAAGCAAATCATTACATAGAGTGGTAAAATCTTCAAGACCAAATAGCTTGTACTCAAACAAAGCGCTTCTCTGATTTACCTACTCAAAATAAAACTTGTATATCTTAATTTTTAAATATTATCGCTTTTCTAAGTTAAAACAATTGTCAATAAATAGCCCTGTAAATACGCAGTAATAAAAAGACTTAGTTGTTTCAATTATAATTGATAGTTGGTAAAAGAAATTGTTACTAGGGATTCTTATTGTGCTAGTTTTGCATGTATGTATAATAAAAAAAACACAGTATTATGAATACTATTTCATTTAGTTGAAGACAAAATACAAAAAAAAGTTGGGGCGAGCTGGGAATTGAACCCAGGGCCTCTCGCATGCTTGTGATTGTTCACACGGATGTTATCCATGTTCGCCCAAAGCGAGAATCATACCACTAGACCACACGCCCTCAGAACTTGTTGTAGGAAAAGAAAATGCCGACAGTGTAGTCAAGTAGGTGTTATTCCATACGGTTTCATCACATGCGTTTATGCTATCTTATTGATTCACTGTAGGTATTGTTCTATACCTGAATGCTACTGAAAAGTGTACCAGACCTTAAATAATGTATTCAAAAACCTTTCAGTCTATTTAGAAAAGATTGCTTTATTTCATGATATATGTAAAAGTTTAATATTGGGTATTCAATGTGGTTTGTGAGAAATGTAATAAAGGAGCAAGTAAAGAGTAGAGAAGAGTGGTAGATGAAGAACAAGTCAATAATATATATTTGACAGAGTACCAGTTAATAAATCCTAGACCAATCCGATTATATGTAAATTTATTGCTAGTCAGTTTTCCTGGTGATTACTATAATATATATGAGTCTAGGTGATTAACAAAAAATGGGAAACAGAAGATTCAAAAAAATATATTTGAAGTATAATTAAAAAAATAAAGCGTCACAGACAGGATTCGAACCTGCGCAGGTAAAACCCAATGCCTAATTGCTGTTCGTAAAGAATGAATAGCAGGGCATCGCCTTAACCACTCGGCCACTGGGACACGATTGTTATTGGTGTTGCACGCTTGAAAATTATAAATATACTACAAAACCTTTTTCTAACTATGTACGAAAATATTATTGGACAAGACCTGCATATCCTTTACAAAATCCATATGATGCTATAGGACTAGATGTAATTGAGCCTTAATTAAAGTTTTGACAATGGATGATACATATATTTTTCAGTGTTAGCAAGATAATCACAACTTAAAAAAAATGCCAGAAATTAAGATGGCATTATAAAAAGAGAAAATAAAAGAAAATTGAGTTCTTCCTAAATTACAATGTTTTTCAGTAGACATTTTACCGTATATGTGTTGTTTAAGTTAGCACTGGTATATAAATTGGAACTGTATAAAACTTCTTTTCTTTTAAATTGTAGATTTTGCACATTTTTTTTTTCAACCATTTAATTTGATATTTTGGTAGCCAAATTGATACTTTGAGTTATTATCTTACTTCAGCAACCACGGCCACATTGATCCTTCGGAATAAACAATGAAAAATGAGCTAATTTATCACATTAAAGTACTGATAACAGTTTTGAACAATTTAAAGCAAATTATATTTGCTCATCATATTTAAAAGATGAATAAAACTGTAAATATCAAGGCTAATATAAAAGCTCTACTTTTGGTCTTTTGACTGCAGAAAAGCTTACGTATTATTTAGGTAATATTAGATGGTTAAATGGGTGAAATAAGAAGACCAGCTCCATTGGAGTCGATTACATTGCAAAAAAGACACGGCAATACTCATTTTGCTAATATCAATTACGGTTATATTGTATTTTTTGTTAGCGTTGCATATGTGGTATTTTTAATCTTGCTGCGAAGGATCATTAAGTCGTACCCTTCTAATAAGAATAGGACATTCTTTGGTGGGCTATGTAAACGGCTTTACACCATTGACCCGGCATTACACTTGTTAATACTATTTATTCCATTGATTGCTACGTTTTATTACCATTATTCCATCTTTTCTCAAACTGCAGTTTACATTATGAGACTGGGGAGACTAAGCTATGTTCTTCTATCGTTAAATCTGTTTTTGAATTTGAGACCCAATATCTTTTTTACAGACAAATATGTCTATACAGATTTTATCCCATTTCACAAGTGGTTATCTAGGCTAATTGTTATATTTGGATTATTGCATGGTGTTTTCTTTGTTATCAGATGGGCGATTAACCCCAAAACCGACTTAGACGCAAAGTTGAGCAATAAGTATAACTTTGCCGGCATTGTTATTGCTGGAATCTCAATAATTTTAATTATCGCCTCTATGAATGTTGCAAGACGGTCAGCGTACAACTTGTTCTATATTATACACAATATTACATTATTTGCATTTGTTTTCATCACACCTTATCATGCGAGGCCTAGCGTCAAAACTCCCTACCTTTTTGTAAATAGCGTTTTGATTGCCGTTCAAGTGATCAACAAGATTGTTTTTACTTCTCGAGCTAGTCTTATAGAAAAAATTGAAGATCGTAAAAACACTAATTTGGTGGTACTTAAATTCCCTAGAAAGGCACTACCTGATTTTTTCAACCCATCATCCCATATTAGACTGAGTGCATACAGAAAGCTGAACCCTCTATATTGGATATTACCTAGCCATCCATATACATTGGCAACTCTACCTTCCGATGAAATCGTGGAATTAATTGTCAATGAACATACTGTACCTCAATTTAATACATCATCTTTTGTTGTCGAATTGGGCTATAGCTATACCATCCAGAACCCACATAACCCCTCAGTACCTGACGTGTGCTTACAAAATGCGAACCGAATTGCCATAGTTTGTGGGGGTTCCGGTATTGCCTTTGGACTGCCTTTATTCCGTTTTTTTAAGTCTATGAAAAATATCTCATACCTTCGACTAGTCTGGTTGACCAAAAACAGCAGCCAGTTGAGCATAATAACTAAGTCAGATTCTTTTCGCGCTTTAATAAGCGAAGATGGTAAAATAGATAATTTAGACATATACTTGACTAATAAAACAACTGCACCGACTTCGTCTGGTACTGAAGAAACTGAAAATGACATAGAATTGGAGGATTTCGAATTGAATACTACGGAGGATTTAACCGAGTACAAAAAACTATGTAACATAACTGAGGGTGAAAGGATGGATTGGACAACAGAGTTATCCTCACTAGTCGAAGAAGATACATCAAAAACCTGGCTGCTAGCCTGTGGCCCTGAAGGTTTAGTTACCGACGGTAAATCTTATGCCAATGCTAATGGTATCCACTTTGCTTCCGAAGTTTACACCCTTTAATTCAATTATATATTTCTTACCTTATGATCCAGTCATTTTAAATTATCTGATAAACACAATTAAATATTATATATCCTTTCTAAAGCCTGATTATATTCCACTAAGAATTAGATAGTTTCATTTGTATCAAATTTTAGAGTTCCTGTTTCTCCATTAAATATGTTGTTTAAATCAGGTTCATAATCAAAACCCAAGTTGTCAATAGGAAGAAAATCCATATTTGTAAGACCCAAATTAGGATCTGTCTTGTTAATACCGAATGCTTCAACAATATTCGACGGATTGATACCATTGAAATTTGTGTTGGCCATCAAGAAGTTTTCAAGATCATTCGGAGTTCCTACTGCAGTTCCATTAGCAGTGTGATTTGGAGTGGCACCTAGATCTTGGAAAAGCATACCATTCGGTGAGAGGGGATTTAGTGCGGGAACGGGAAGGTTGTTTACATCTAATATGTTACCATTTGAATTATTTATCATATCGAAACCATTCAACCTTCCCATGTGCTTCTCAGTAGGTCTTGGTATCGATGTTATATTCTCCATGGTTCTTTGTCTTTTAATAGGAGGACCGTCGAGGTTGCTAACTCCTGGAGATGATATTGCCGAACTACCCCTACTAGCTCCCCTAGAAGAACAACCACGAACATCACTACTTGTGTAGGTAATTGGCTTATACGATTTAAGTGGCGGTAATTGAGTCCCAATACGATCAATAGAAGTTCGTAAAGGACCTGGAAAGGAAGAGTTTCTAGTCACATCGAACCCAATAGTATCTTGATAAACAGGACATCTTCTCAACTGACTCACGTCCGCATTCAAAAATGCTGCACCGTCATTTCTCAGAAGGCTAGCAATACTAGGAATTTTTGGGTGCTTTGGAGGTAAAAAGGAATTCATTTGGTTTTTAGAGCTCTGATCGTTCAAAAGGGTCATGAAAAAGCCGGTAGATTTCATTATCCGGATTGCCAGCGTATAACTTTTGGCTAATCTTTGTGTCAGTGAGTAGAAACTAGATATATTAGATATCAATGTTTGGAGTAAGCTGTCTGTATCATCCAGATCAATCTTCGAAGTGCTCATGGACATAATATCCTTACCATTTAAAAATCCTGGATTGTTCAAATCTGCTTCCTTTTCATTTTCTGATTCGGTTCCTGATTCATTCTTGACAGCAAAAAATGGACATTGTCCTCCACCGTTACCTGTAATATTCCCACACTTCACTCTAAGAATCAAACAGATAAAATATTGAAGTGATCGATGACAAACGTCTAAGCACTGAGGAAGTAGAAGAACACTAGCTGACTTGAAAATTGGATTGTTGATGTTTTCAAAAAAAATCATAGAGTTCTTGAAACAATCCACAGAAAAGTCCAGTGCTTCTTGAGCATAATATTTGGTGATAATGATAGTATCCGGATCTGAGTCGCCCAGAGGTTCATACCTAGTAAACAAGATATAGTTCATAATGTAAACTAGAAGCCTCAAAGTCAAATGCCTTGAGTATAATAACGAGTAGGTCAAAGTATTTTTAACCTTATCGGACCTACTTAAATTTTCAGATTTGCTTTCTCCCCCATATCCAGAATTCTTGGAGAGCATGATATCCTTAAATGGTATTTCATTTTTTGCATATAGGCTTTCTAGAGTTGGTAGCCCATACAGAACCGCATCCTTAACATCGTCTGCAACAGGATGAGTAGATTGCTCAAAGAGCAGATTTTCCTGCATATTAGTTGCAACCAACTCAGAAGATGAGAGCAAATTTCTTTCAATTAATTCACTTACAACTTCATTAACATTTCTTTCTCCAAATATTAGGTCTGATAGTAGCTTTATTAGCGAATCTAAATCTTTCTTCTTCAAACTCCGAGCAATAGACAAGTTCAGAATATGATTCAGAACTGCCATGATACACAAATCTAGCTTAAAAATCAGGGTAAAATTTTTAACAATAACCAGTTCCTTGATATCATTCTTGTAGTCAATTTTAGATGAAGATGGTAGTTTCGTATCACTAAAGTCTTTCAAATTTCTTAGAAGTCTTGGAGTACCCAAAGAAAATGATTGCTGAATATCCAATGAAATGATATAATACCATAATTTTCTCCAAGTATGTTTGTATCTCTCAATTGTATTTTCTTTATGGTGTTTTGAGTTTCCTTTGGTGCTATTTCTTGATTGGTCTTTATTATCAGCTGAGTCTGAGCTATCTGCAGACTGATTGGGGAAGACAGTGACTAGTTGAGGAAAATTATCAGGGTCTCTGTGAAGACCACAACTGAAAGCCATTTGAACAATACTTGAAAGTAAACCTTGATGAGTTTCATTATCATTATTAACTGTTTTTAAAGCACTGAGGGTGCCACCAGAAGGTGCGTTATTAGTATTGCAGAGCAGTATTATTCTGTAAAAAATGGCAAACTGAATTGTGCTAATTGTGACATTTGCATTGGATACGCTAGAAATTTCATCAAATTCAATAAGACGAGTTTTCAGAGATTCGATTAGTTCTGTTTTGATTTCAAAACCACTCAACAGCTTGTCATCTGTAGACATGGTTATTTTGCTGTTATCTGAAAAAGATAAAATATTAACATTAGCAGGTAACTGTAACCAGACCAGTCGCATAATAATCAACAGCATACCTAATAAACAATAATCTGAACTTTTCGTGATATTAATAGTCGAAAGTTTTGAATGATCGAATGGACATCTGGAGGTTTTATCCTTAGCCTTATGCCCCTCGAAAATATTCAGTTCTGGGAATACGATGTTCAATTGGTTTTTGAAATTAGTTTCATCTATAATAGGAGCCAATTGATAAAGGGTCTCAAAAAATTTATTAACGAACAATATTACAATTCCTCGCGGTGGTAAAGAACTTTGTAATTGCTCCATGACTTCCTTTTTGGTGAAAGATGGTTGCGAAACCTCTGGTAATGTTGGCGAGGCGGACTTTTCATTTTCTTGTTTCACTGAATGTGTCACAGGGCATTTGCCAATACCTGCCGAATTTCCTTTCGCATCCATTTGTGGGACATTGCTGTTAGCTTGCTGATGCCCGCCTATAAATCCCGGGATAAAACTGTTCCCACCATGTTGAACCGGACAACCACTTGTAGGTGGATTGGCGCCTACACCAGGATGAACAGCAGTGGTTGGACCCATTGGCAAATTGTTAATTGTATTCATATCTGTTCCATTTTCGTGTTTAACGGGACATTTAGATATGCCAGGGCTAAGTGTTGAGTCATGTTTCACAGGGCATTTGCCCGGATTTATCGCATTTCCATTGACATTAGTATATTGACCATTGTTAATCTGTGGTTGTCCTTGTTTCAATTTAGAATGATCGATGGGACATTTAGAGACTTTCCCCATCTGTTTCATTTTAGTCCATTCAACTAATTTCTCCCTCATAGTGAAGATGTGTTTCCACAGCAGCTTCAAGTACGGATCACCTTTCATGATCGCCAACCAATGAGTTGGTCCCAGATGTATCAAACCGTAGTCTTTCTTTAAGTGGAGCATGTCAAATTCTCTCGTTAGGTCAAGTTCGTCGGATTCAAATTTTTTGAATATACTATTCATGTAAGCGTCAGTCATAGAGTCGTTATTTGCGAAATCGTTATGTTCAGTCTTTATCTTTGGGTCATGAACGGCGGGGCTATTGAATGTCCCTGTGTTGTAATTGCTATTGTTATTTGTAGTAGTTGCTGTTGTCGGGTTTGAGCTCGAGTCCCTGCTATGTGGGTATGGCGAGCCGGTGTTCATGTGCAGTCCACTGGTCACATCGGTCAGAGAGTTATATCGGGAGAGTGTCTCCTCCAGTTGCTTCACCTTCGACCGCAGCTGTTTTAACTCCATCTCCTTCGATATTTCCTTCTCTGCCTCCTCAGCCCAAGCCTGTTCCATGTAGTGGCACAGGTGTGCCACACCGGTTTTCACACACTGTGTACAGTTTGGGCGGGACTTATCACACTTGACTTTCCGCCTCCGACAAATGGTACAGCTCAACGGCACCCTGTTTCTCTTCCGCTTCACTTTCTCTTTCTCCTTCTCTTTGTTCTTGATATTGCTGGTGTTCTTGTTCATGTTTGCGCCAGCGTCTTTGCTACTTTTCGCCACATCGGCGTTATCCTGCGGCATAGGCAACGCATACATCGCGCTGTTCATATTAACGCCCGCGCTGTTCATGGGAGGCATCGGCGTGTTGTTCATCAGGATTTAGATCCGTAGATTATTGTTCCTCTCTTTGCAATATAAAATGGCTCTTTTTTTTCTAAGTATGTTATTTATTTTTTCCTCCCCCAAAGGACTAAGAAATCTGCTTGTGGGCCAGCTCAAAGAAATGATCAACGATAGGTATTCGATTCCCAAATAGTCAATGTCTAAGATCTACTAGAAAATTTTTCTTTTAGCCATTGTATGCGCAAGACAATACAAGACAGTTTAACAATTTACAATTAAGATGCACAAAACTGGAAGCACACGGGAACGACGTCAAAACCTGCATCCGATCTGCAATGGCAATACCTTTGAGTCGAGGACTTAAAACCGAAAAAGAGCATCTTGTTCTGACTAACGGGTCAAAGCTTCGATGAGAGTTTGCATGAAAGTTTGCATGAAAGTTTGTATGAAAGTTTGTATGAGAGTTTGTATGAAACTTAGTGATGTTTTCGATGGAAGGCTTCGATATCAACAGCCCAACCGGAACCCGGGAACGAACCCCGCAGGAACAATCCGTGGAAGTGGGATCGTCGATTACTACGAGGGGGGGGAGTGGATTTGTTGAGACCCACTGAGACCCACTGAGAGCCACTGAGACCCTCTGAGAGCCACGAAAAATAGGCCCAAACGGCTTTATCGCCTCAAACAGCAAACACTCCTCCCGTGATATCGTATATGAAAAGTAACACGTTTAGTACGTATAATGTTACTGAAAAATTACTCGTACATTATTACCTTTCCTCTTCAAATCCTGCGGAAAAGATAATAGCGATGAGCATCTAATGGCGGTGTGGTGGTGCATAGGCCCTTTTGATATATTGTCACAAAGAGGTTATTGGACTTCTGTGGCGGAGGGGAGGAGGGGAGAGATGGAATGCTTGTTTTTGGGTAAGGTGGTTGTGTATGTTGAGCGTTGCTAGGATGTCTGCTAGGAGGAAACGTGGTGGAGCCACGAAGCAAGCTGTGGTTAGGCTCGATAACGATGTTGATATGGCTTTGCTGCGGAGGTGGATGAGAGGGCGGGTGCCCATGCATGTGCGTCAGGTCAAAGAACCACTGGTGCGGGCTACTAACTACAACCAGCTGATGAAAGGCGTGGCGTTAGATAAAGGCAAGGATCCGCGGGTGTCGTTTCTGAACGAGCTCGACCACTTCAAGAGGATCAAGAGCCTGAAGTATGAGGTTCCGAACAGACAGCGCATGAAGTATGTGGACGGCTATTTGCAGAAGCTGAGTGAAAGCTACCATCTGACCAACAAGAGAGCCAACAAGTTGTTAAACTCGGAGCTGAAGACGCTCGAAGATAACTGGATTGCCAGACACGGGAAACTACCAAAGATACCGAACGACAGCAATATCTCACAGACGAAGAAACAACATTTAAAGGAGCAGCTCTCAGCCTACAACGCTGAGGTTAGACAGATCAAGGACAACCAGCCTGTGACCGTGTACTCTGTTCCAGGCGGGACGAACTTCGACTACTTGACAAACTGCATAAAGCTGCTAAACAGCGATAGAGCCATTTTATTTTCCATAGACATCGAGGCGTTTGAATTTGATACAAAGATCATCACGGAGATCGGGATCTCAATCTATGACCCCAGAGAGAATTTATACTCCACAGCACCAATTACCAGGAATTACCACCTCATTGTCTCCGAAGTATTGCAATTGAGAAACTCTAAATTTGTATGCGATTACAAAGACTGCTATCTACTCGGAGAAAGTTTCGTAATGCCTTTGAAAGAGTGCTGTGCCTTTGTACAGGCATTACTGAACTATTACATGAAACCTTCCACAGACAACGAACGGACATGGTCTAGAGCATTTGTTGGTCACAACATTAAAGGCGATATCAAGTGGCTAAAAGATATAGGTGTCGATTTCAGAGACATCGGCGAACCAGCAGGTGAACTCCGTCCTTACAAAGAGGAAGCTGACAAAAATGAACCAGTATATTTATTGGACACAGAAAAATTATACTGTGCTAACTACGGTAGAAAAGGGAGCAACCTAGGCAGGATTTTACAACTGCTGGAGATTCCCCATGCATTTTTGCATAACGCAGGTAACGATGCTCATTACACGCTAGAGCTTTTGAAAAGAATGTGCGATGTACAATATAGAGAATTGAAAAGATTAGATGATCTCGAGCACATTGCCACAAAGATAGAGAAGCTTAACAAGAGAGCTAAGGAAGAGCCTAAGATTTTACCGATGTCTTATGCGATAGCAGTCGCTAACAAAACCGTCAAGAATTTTAACGATTCAAACAATGGTAAAAAGAGAAATAACTTAGTACAACAAACAGAGTTTGGTGGTGCGACATTCTATAATGATCCTAAAGAAGCATTTCTATCAACATTCAGCAATATAAAAACATAAGTTCCCTTTTTTAGAACGTTGTAATAATCTCGTGTAATTTCTATTTTAGCATAAGTTGCATATCATATATAATTCACATAAAGGCAAGGTAACTAGTTTCCTTTGGTTCCCTACACAGCGACTGCTTTTAGTATCGACTAATATGCTCACGCAATTGAAATGCTTTCAATAAAGAATCTTATCTATTAGTTTTCATAATATTTATAAAATTAGAAAAATATAAAAGTATTGCCAATCAGTTCTAGTTTAAGCATCAGCACGCTAAAATTAAGCCAAAACCTTTTGTAGCAATGGTTGTAGTTTACCGGTTTGCTTTAATTTTTGTAGGTCACTGTTACCACCAATGTGTTGACCATCGATGTAAATATTTGGGACAGTGTTTTGACCGTTGATTTCAGCCAAAGCTTGTTGAATGTCGCTACCTTCTTCAATTTCGTCCAATTCTAGAACGACAGCCTTGTCCATTGGGACTTTCAATTCTTCGAACAGGGTTTGCTTAGCAGCTCTGCAGTAAGGGCAGTAAGACTTTGAAGCGACAAAGATCTTCTTTTGACCGATCATGTTCTTGACGGAGTTAACAGTGTCTTGGCTTACCATCTTGTTTCCTAGAGATGAATAGAATTTTTGGGATATATAACGAGTTAATAACAAAACGGCGATTATTACAATTAGATTGCTAAAATCAATGCTGATCATTTGAGTTTAGACAAGAGTATAAAAGAATTGAATTCAAGATGAAATATAGAACTCCCAAGCTACTTATATACTGCAAAAAAAGGTTTGCGAGCTATCATTTTGATATTGTCATTTATAATAATTGCAAAAAGGGTTGTTGGTTGAAACTAAATTCAACACCCACTTCACCCCCATGTGATGATGGATTGGTAATGGAGTGGAAGAAACACAGTGATAGGGAACTGTATAGTCTTAACAGTTGTAAATACGTAATTTGTGTAAAATGCTGTACAGTGTGCGAACAATCAAAAAGGGATGTTGTTCATCTCTAATAACTTTCTTCGAGATTGTTCTTCAAAGAGTAGATGTGAATGAAAGTTGTAAGAAAGAGTGTGGGATATTCTACCTGGTGCGTGTGATAGATCACTGTGCAAGAACAATAAGTAGGAATTGTAATGTAGATTCGAAAAGGTACTACGAGGTGTCATTTGGTAATTGCTAAGAATTGCTCAGGTGTCTTAGATTAATTAGATAATGATAACGTTGTCAATGATGGATAGGGCTATGCAATAATAGTGGCACGTTAAAGTCACTAGCTAATAGTGTAACACATCACCTCCAAAAAGGTGTCTAAATTAGCTTAGTCAATAGGTGTCAGAAGACTTATGATTTCAGTACAAATTTGCTGATTCCGGAGAAGGCTCGACAATATATTAACAATTGTGATGTTCTTACACCATGTTGCATTTCGTAGACATCATTATTGACCTTGACGATTCAAAAGAGAAAATAGGTGCCCGATAATCTTCGAAATATTGTAACTGTATGAAGGTTGGCTTTGGCATCTATAATACAAGTGTAAATTACGGGCATCAACTACTTGAAATCGACTAGTCATCCGTATATACTAAGCTTGTGTTTGCTCTATCATTTTTGGATGTTCCACGGCCAGCAGTACATTCTGGATTCAATATAAATCATAATACAGAAGTTATTGAATATGAGTCAAGAGAATGTAAAATATCCTACAACTATGAGTTGTAGGGAAGCGTTCGACCAACTGACAACATGTTTATCAATAGGTGGTCAGTTTAGAAATTATTACAGATATGGTGAGTTTTCAGCTTGTGAGAAGCAGGTAAATAAATTCAAGTTCTGCATACTTAATGCCAAGGACCCAGTCAAAGTACAAGAATGGTATCATAATCAGGTCGAAGAAAATAAATTACGAAGAGGAAGTTCAGATATTGTATGGAAGGAACGTTAGTATTATCTCCATCAATTGACCAGTCATCATATTTTGGCTTAATCTTCGATAATGAAACAACCTATCTTCAAGATATTTTGAAATCTGATAATAATCAAGTTATGTGCTATATTATTTACAAACTTTAATCTATTGTGCTTACTTTAATACTTAATGTGTGCTCCTTGATATTGTACCCCATAAGTACGATCCAACGCATTTAACAATTCATAACGTAAGAGTTGCACCGTGTTGTGGCTTCCTGTATATACAATATAATTCCTTTCAATATTTGCTTAAATTTTGTTCTTGCCCTTATCTTCTTCAGGGTTATCTCCCTTAGTTACTTTCTCTGTCTCCTTCATTAGCTCATAAAGTTGTCCAACTTGCTCTGGAGACATCTTCTCTAAGACAGCAGGTGAAAGAGAGCCTTCTTTCCATTTACCGTTTGTGATCTGATGCAAATAATCCTGCCAGCTGGCAAGGAACCCAACAATATGAAGAGGATTATCGATGGTTCTGTGTAGTTCAAATTCGCTTTTCACATACTTGTCACCCATTTCTTTTTGCATAGGTGGTAGCAGTTTGTGAGCCCTTAATATTCTTCTATAAAGCATTAATGGTGGTAGTAGGGTATGGTCTTGACCAATAACACCATTTTGAGATGCATATCTGCGAAATACTGTCACAAGCTGTCTTCTACCAATCATTTGTCAGCACTTGGTTCTTATTAAAGCTTTCACTAGGATCTCTTCAAATAGATTTCCAGTTTGTGATAAACTTAAATATAAGTAAATATCATAATACAATCAAAATGTGAGTCTCTCAGGTTTATATCAGAAATAGTATTAATGTGTTGGCTATTGCCTCCATAGTATAATGACTATGATTGCTAAGCAATGGAAAACCCCGGGATCATTCTGCCCGAAGACCTAATTTTTCGATAGTGCAAATGCTGTTTCTCTGGTCAATAAGGGAATAGCAAAAGCAAAAAATCAGATAATAAAATTCGATCCTTTTCATCCATAATGAATAAAACACAGAAATAAATATAGACACATAATTTTAGTATGTTTTGGCATATATAATGGTTTGAAATAAATTCGCTACCAAAAAAGGATCATATAAAATAATTAGGAGATTAAATATAATGGTAATCTTATATATGACAAGCATAACGACTGAATCACAAATAAGGGTAGAAATGTTAGCCAAAGATGAGATATGCAACAATTCAAACATATTCATCTTTCAACTTAACTAGCTTGATATTGTAAATATTCTCCCCTCACACTATAAATAGAATTGAGAATTCCGAGATATTATGCTCAGGCGATTAATTACCCAAATAAAATGGTACATCTCACATTGTTATTAATTCCTAAAGTAAATGGTACGATTACAACTCATTGTGAATATTGTCTAAGACTATTGTACGGTAGAAACCAATGCCTTACCCATTAGATAATGTCAATCTGGAGACAAATTGCTGGATAAACTGGTTCGAAAAAAGATAAAATAAAAATGCAGGAAAGTAGGATATTCATAATGCAAAAAATAAGGAATAAAAAAGAAAAACTAATCATCAAAAGCATCCGGAAATATCAGGATTATGGCTTTATTAATCTATAACAAACAAAGACTTTTCCTTAACAGCCCGGCCAATAAAAATTATGAGTGGATGAAAGTCAAAACACTCACCACCACTGTATATTGCGGGTACAGTGTTCTCTGACTAACACCAGAAATCGACCACTCTCTTCCACATAGGGCCATTCTTTAATTTCTCTTTGTATTCTTCATCTTCTTGTTTCAATAGTTCTTCGTCAAATACCTGTCTGTAAGAGTCTAGATCAATATCCTTTGCTCTAATAAACAGACGCCAGTCCCTCTTCCAAAGTTTGTAACCAAAGTAGAACGCAATCAAAATTGGCATAGCCAAATAGTTTTCAAAGAAACCTTCTGCGTCCAGGTCACCGTTGTTACCAATTGGAGCAATGGCAACCCAGAATTGAGCAATCAAAGCCAGCACCATCATAATGGTGGCGTAGTATGAACCATAGACACCAAGTTGTGCCTTGAAACCAATCTCACCCAATGATCTACCTTGGACAGTCATAGCTCTTCTAAATCTAATATGAGAAACACAGATGGCAATCCAAGTAAACAATTGAGACAAACCAGAAATGGCTAGCAACCAAGTAAAGACTTGGTCTTCCTTTGGTGATGCGGCACAGAAAGCAATGACACCAAAAAGAGCAGCACAACACATGGCTCTGAAAGGTCTACCTTGCCTGTCAACGTAATCGAAAAACTTTGGAGCATAGCCTTGCTGAGCTAGACCCAATAATAGACGAGAACTTGAGTAAAAGGCAGAATTTGCGACAGAGAAAACAGAGATTAAGATAACAGCGTTAATGAAATGTGGAACAACTCTAACACCATGAATAGAAATGGCTAAGACATAAGGAGAAGCCTTAGTGGCACTACCACCAGCACCCATTAATTGATCAGAATCCCATGGGACCAAGAAACCTAGCAAAGCGATAGTACCAACAAAGATACAAATAACACGGTAAAGGACCTTCTTAGCTGCAGATGGGATAGCCTTTCTTGGGTTGGATTGTTCAGCTGCAGTCAATGCAATAAATTCAGTTGCACCAAAAGCAAAAGCAGCACTAACAAAAGTCGCCATAATACCCTTGAAACGTTGAATACCGTTTGTACCTCTGAAGGCACCTGGATCATGCCAGTACTTAGCACCCAAGTATCCGTCGTTACCGGCACCACCGGCGTTAATGATAATACCCAAGATATAGAAACCGATAATCATAAGAATCTTACAACAGTTGAAAAAGAACTCGGCTTCAGCGTAACCTCTGGCACCAAATATTTGAATGAAAATAATAACCACGTAAAATATCACCACAAAGGCGTCTGGATTTACCGTTGTAGTCCAGTATTTGATAGTCAACGAAGTAGTAACCAATTCCAAGGGACAAACACACAACCATTGCAGACAATACACCCATGCGACAGCGAAACCAAAACCAGGGTCAACCAACATGGATGGGTAAGTATTGAAACCACCCAGCAAATTAGAGTAAACGACAGCCATTTCACCGGCTGCTTGAATAATACAGTAGATACAAGAACCCATAATAGCGTAACCGATGACTAAACCAGCTGGACCAGCGTTATGTAGGGCTTTAGCGTTACCAACCAGTAGACCAGTACCGATACCTGTACCTAGGGAAATCATGACGACGTGTCTAGGCTTAATAGATTTCTTCAAAGCTTCTTCCTCGAATTTCATCTGACCATTACCGGTTGGCTTATTTTGAACGCGATCCAAAGAGTTCATGGAAATTGCAGTGGTCAAGTCATTTTCTAAATCCTCAGCCAAATTATGTTGTTGATTAGGTTGTTGTTCGGCACGTTTGAAAGAGTCGATGAACCGACGGATATTACCGCGAGGCATCTCATCACCGCCAAATTCGGTAGTGGATTGCAATTTCTCATCGATATTTACGCCATCAACATTTTCTTTGTCAAAATATTCAACGGCAGAAGTAGTAGCACCTCTGCTACCACTACCTAAGTTATCATATCCTTTCTTGCTGTCATCAATGTTGTGCAACTCATAGTTACTCACATCGGCTTCCTCTGAGTCCGGTGATTGAGACCTCTCATTCCGACGTCTACCACCAAACACCATGATATGTTAATTAAGATATTTGATATTTGATATTTTTTAAATGACTTAGACTTTGTTGCTTATTTTTTTCCTGCTGACCAAAGAACCAAAACCCAAAAAATAAAGTTGAGTTTGTTTTATAAGGAGCTTATATTTATTTTGGAATCAAGAAGTCAAATGAGTTATATGATTCCTTTTTATAAAAGGAAAAAAATTTCATACAAGGGAAAAAAACTCATCGGGATTGTCAGAATCGTTACGTTTTAGCAATTTTTCCAAACAATCTTATCTGGAGATAGGATGGCTCATATAGATGTTCAACATGTAAGGAGATAAGATTTCTTTTTTTTTTCTTTTGATTTTATTTTTTTTTTTCATTTTTCATTTTTTGCGTTCCACCTATTCCAAATACTATAATCTCCATATTCTCTCTAATCGGTTTTGCTTATGCTAACACTGCTTGCACTCTGTATACGTTAGCACTGAAAAATTTCATCAAATAAGTTATTTTGCTTTTTTTCTTCCCAGTCCATACTATTACGCTAGGAGAGTGTCTTCATGGTGAGCAAAACCTTTCTGAAATTACGTATTCAGCAATTTCTCCTAGACAATGGTCGTAGCAAAGCTCCAGTCAGTTAAATTTCTTTTTTTTTTATCTTCTTTTGTTTTTGAGATTTCTCTGATCCTCGAAGCTATCCCACACACAGAGATTCAGTGGTGTGTCGCATCTCATTCTCTGCAGTCTATCACAGATCGGGAAGGAAATCTATCACAGAGAGAGACCGGTGGGGGAGAACAGACAATCGGCATGAAAGAACTGAGAAAGGAAGATGGAAAAAAAATGGTTCCGTACGCCGTTTCTTAGTGGTAGAGCCTTTCCATATACGTTGCATCTAGTGCAACTATTTTAAAATTTCCAAATGCTAACAAATCCATGTAGACCTTGGACTCAGAGAAGCAAAAAGAAAAAGTAAAGTTTCGTTTCAAAAGGCTAGAGGAAAAACGCAGTAGAAAAAAATGGATAATGGTGCTACGGGATGATAGAAGCCAAGCCATTTCTTATTGCTGGCACAGATTACACGGTAGTGCATTTCAAAAAATATGACGGGTCCTCGTACTACATGCATTGTTCCACATTATCTACGTAGAACCAAATTCTTGTCATCGCATTTTGTCGTGCGATAAAACGCGGTGGCAAAAAAAAAAGCTTCTGTAGCACCCTCCCAGTAAAAATTCGTGGCATTTCAGCAAGGCAGTAGCGAAAAGAGGGGGGGTTGCAAGCGTGTGCCGAAGAGTTGCCAAACCAAGAAAAAAAATGCAGAGGAACGTCCGTAGATTATTTCAATTTCTCTCATGCAAACGTAGAAGCTTTCTAAAAAGCTACGTGGGGCCGATGCAATATAGTGCCACTGGCTTTATTCACTTTCTACCTTCCATTTTGCCTAGACAGACAAGGGGAAAAATTAAATATGATTTCCCTTCCAGAAGAAGAGCAACAATGGGTGGGGGCGGGGGTTTGAAGAGAAGAACTTAACGCAGCAATGATGGAAGGCAGAGACGTCGCAGGGGTCCAACGCGTATATAGACACGCGGTGTTCTCTGAGGAGACCAAAAACCTAGAAGCATTTCTTGCTCACAGGATGAAGAGAATCAAGCTCTGCCTGTTTTCCTAGAGCCCTGCACCAGATCTTTGATCAGATCGTTTCTGCGAGGGGTCCCAATCTCCTTCAAGTCTGTGTCGTCTAGTGTCAAGAGTATGTTAGCTAAGCAGAAACTTCAGAAACAGCGTAACAAGAGCAAGGGAGAGAAAATCCAGCGAAAAAAACAAACTCCACGAAATGTGAGGAAGCGTTTTAAACATCTAAACGTGATTCCGTAGAGCAGTTGCTAAGAGATGCCGTCTCTCTTACCATCAACCAAAGTTCACCACGCTTCCGTGAAAACTTTTCTGTGGAAGAGATCAAGTAAAGCAGTATTGCAGACAGAGTGTTTCTGAGCCTAGCAATCCTTTAATCTCTTCTCTATGACTCTCTTTGGAAATCCATATTCAAAATGGAGCCCTTCTCCTGTACTGAGTTCTTTCCGATTTTTTTTTCCAATGCTATGATTGGATTACAACTTTTCAAAATTATGTTTATACACCTCTTTGCAAAGCCATTGCAAGCTATGTTATATAACGGTATATTTTTCCCTCACTTGCAATTAACGACCATCCCATTACCGGCTTTCAAAAATATATATCTGCTCGCGTATATATATGATGCGATGCTTCAAAGGGCTATTTGGGTTTGAAGGGGCGGGGAGTAAGTTGAGGAAAGTCTTGCGCCATGCGGAGATTTCTTAGTATTAAAGGTAATCATACATATATGTCTTGCACCGGTTGCGGACCCAAGATCAATCGAGTCACGCATTTCGAGATAGGAAGTAGAATTTGAGAAAAGATCGTGATGCTTATCTCATTTTTTTTTCCCACTGCAACGATAAAGTTGTTCCCAATCGGGAAGTGATAAGAAGTGTTTTTTTTTCTTTCTTGATCATGGTAATGACCTTATCTATTGCAAATAATTATTTTCCTATGGGAATTGGATTATGTTTGCCAGTGAATTCTCGTTAAAGTACTTTTCAGGAGATAACTGTCAAAAAACGCAAAAATGGATATATCTACGTGTATTTATGCAGAGAGATAGAAACCGGACTAATTTGTAAGATACCGCTTTCTTCTTACTCCAAGTGTAGAACCAAAAATGCCACGGTTGATCTAAGCACACAAATGTGCGTTCCAAGCCTGTATGTTCCCCCCCCATTTGTATGAGAGGAATACGAGCTGCTCTTTATATAGATTAGTTTACCAAAGAGTTAATAATTGACATCGAAAATTCTTCTTCAAGAAGCCCTTGTGTCATGTGGTACTTACGTATGTAACTACTACAAAGCTCAAGTGACTGTCCATACACATAGCACGAACATTTCGCAAGCAGAGTCATGTGGTCTGGTAATCCCTCCTAATCGTACAGTTGTACAAAGTGTTGGATATTGTCCATTAGAACGGCAAAGTGTACATGTGATAAGTCGTTGACCATTAGCTTATTTTCTTGTCGTAATTTTAACTTTTTGAACAATCGAGACGGGAAGCAGTAGGAGAGAGAAGTGAAAAAAAATTGTCTTGTCGGTGTTTCAGGCTGTACAGTATTGCGGGCACAGGATAGAGTAAGAAGGGTAGAGGAAGTAAGGACCCATATTGTGCGGATCAAAAATTTTGGGGGCGAGAGACGGGATTCCAGAAGGCGGGTCCCGACAAATAATAAACAATTAACGATAAATGCCCTTTGTAGTAACATGAACTGCAATAGTTGTTTTTTAAAGCTACTTTCGTTGCTTCTATTAGATCTTGATAAAACTCCTTTTTTTTTTTGTTAGTTTTCTCTATATTAAAAACTTTCTTTCTGCTTTCTTTACTTGACTAGGAAAAGTATACTGGATATTACCAACCTTAGATAACTGAGAAAGAAGTGAAATATGTCTGACACTAACGAAAACAATGCCAGCGAGACCCCAGATGTCAAGCCTGATCTACAAGGCCAAGGCGATGCGCCAAAGTCTGAGACACACATTAACTTGAAGGTGTCTGATGGTTCTTCTGAGATCTTCTTCAAGATTAAGAAAACCACTCCATTGAGGAGGTTAATGGAGGCCTTTGCCAAGAGACAAGGTAAGGAGATGGATTCTCTAAGATTTCTATATGACGGTCTAAGAATTCAAGCTGATCAAACTCCAGAGGATCTAGATATGGAAGATAACGACTTGATTGAAGCACACAGAGAACAAATCGGTGGTGCGTACTAGGAAAAAATAAAATCAACAACCCTAACCGCAAAATAAATAACCAAAAGGACTGAGAATATGGCAAAGTGTTCAGAATAAAATGCTTTAGACCCTTTCTTTCTATTATTGGTCTATTTTCTGCCCATCCACCTCCCCTCCCACAATTCTGATGATCATTCACAAATGAAGAATAGATGATTTGTTCCCTGCAACAATGACAACTATGATAAGAAAAAATAACGTGCTTAAAAGTCGAATACCCATTTAATGTATCCTTAACTGTTATATAAAATATACAGTAACTAATAATAATAGAAATGCAAGCTTGTCTTGAGAAAACATGATAAAGAATATGGTACAATAACACAATTAAATAAAACCCCAGATACTAGAAAAACGACTCAGGCTCCCTACTAGTGTCATACTTTTATTACCATGACAAACCAAACCATAGATAAATAGAGATATATGTATGTCAAGCCAGATACTTTACTCTAATACTTGGCCAGCTATGTGAGCAGAGCACGTGAAACAATTTTGATCAGGCGTGATAATTCATGTGATTAAACGTACACTACTATATGTGCAGAATATTCACTAACTTTACATTGTAAATTTCCCGATTAGGAAATAGTATTGGCTATGATGCGAGTTTTGAGAAGAGAGTCTTCTACGCAGGTTTCACACACGAAGAAACGTTTCTACATTTCCATACACTAATCTTGCTTAGAAATTACCGTGGCAGAGCGGTGGCAGATAGATAAATTAATACGCATCAACTGCACTAAACTGCGATTACCCGGAAGAGCATGACTTTACTACCGAAACTCGAAGAAACACTCTTCCACACCGCAATACCTGCGACAACTGCAAAATGCTAAGCTCGCAAGTGATAATTGACAATCGAACTGATTGACACGTCAAGATGCCCCGATTGGAACGCGAAAAAAAAAAAACTGCAATAAGGTCTAGTGCAGATGTTCTGAAGTGGGACTTCATCATCGGATTGATCCTTTCAAATCTTTTTAAAAATTGAATAAAAAGGCTTTATTCTTGATGATGGAATAATTAACATTGTAAGACTGAATTCATAACGTAGCTGGACGAGATACCTTACACTCACAATTTTTTTTGGGAAGCTTTGATTAGTGCATACAAGAGGAACTATTTGCCCATAGAAGCGCCTCACATAACATACAACATACCAAATTTTTTCAATTTTGCTATTGACAGTTTGAAAGCACTAATCGCACGTATCGATATCAAATGAGCGCTATAAGTTCAAACACCGTGAGTGTTATCAAGAACAATCAGATAGGACCATGGAAACTTGGTGAAACTTTGGGATCCGGCAGTACAGGTAAAGTACTACTGGCATCTAACGAAACCACTAAACAGCAAGCTGCTGTGAAAGTGATTTCGAAGGCTGTATTTGAGGCCATGAATAACAGCGAGAGCAATGGTGACGCCACCAATGCTTTGCCTTACAACATCGAACAAGAAATAATTATAATGAAACTGCTAAACCATCCAAATGTATTGAGATTATTTGACGTTTGGGAAACTAATTCCGATCTATATCTTGTGCTAGAATACGCCGAAAAGGGGGAACTATTTAATATGCTTGTTGAGCGCGGCCCACTTCCGGAAAATGAAGCTGTTCGTGCCTTTAGGCAAATCATTATCGGTATATCATATTGTCATAGTCTAGGTGTAGTTCACCGTGACCTGAAGCCTGAGAACTTACTTCTTGACAACAAACTTAACATCAAAATAGCTGATTTTGGTATGGCCGCATTAGAATCTGAAGATAAACTGCTAGAAACTTCTTGTGGATCTCCTCATTATGCGGCACCAGAGATCATCTCTGGTCTACCTTATGAAGGTTTTTCTAGTGATGTATGGTCCTGTGGTGTTATCTTGTTTGCATTGTTGACAGGTAGGCTTCCATTTGATGAAGAGGATGGTAATATAAGAAATTTGCTCCTCAAAGTCCAAAAGGGTGAATTCGAAATGCCCGATGATGATGAAATTACAAAAGAGGCTCAAGATCTGCTTGCAAGATTACTTACAGTTGATCCTAGTAAAAGAATTACAATAAGAGAAATTCTAAAACATCCACTTCTACAAAAATATCCAAGCATTAAGGATTCACGCAGTATACGTAACTTGCCTAGGGAAGATACATATCTATCACCATTAGCAGATACCAACTCTAAGATTGATGATGCTATATTGCAAAATCTTGTCATCCTGTGGCATGGTAAAGATGCTAGAGAAATTGCAGCAAAACTGAGAGAACCGGGAGCTAATACAGAGAAAACATTATATGCTCTTTTGTACAGATTTAAATGTGATACTCAAAGAGAAGCCAACAGAGCTAGAAGACAATCCAAGATAGTCCAAAGGAATTCCACAATTAGATCTACTGCTCCAGAGTCACCTTCCAAAAAGAAAACTTACACTCCGCAAAAGAAAAATAAGAGAGCATCAATAATAGCATCTTCTTCAAAAAGACCAGTCTCTGTGACGAAAACGGCAACAAATATTACAGTCAATTCCAGTATAACTGGCACACCAAAATCTGCAAAGCGTATGTCAATGAACAATTCTGCCAGAAAAAGAATGTCTGCATTATATGGTACAAGAGATTCCCCTACAAAAACTTCTAGAAGTAGGAGATCCTCCATAATTACAAAAGATTTCTTGGGAAATAGACCAAGAGACAGTGTTATAAGTATGTCGCATAACAAGCGCGCCTCGAAATCAAGCAAAAGAATTTCCCTGGTCCCTAATCTAAAAAGACAATCGGTGACAACGAAATTAATGGCTACATATGCCAAACTTTCTGAAGATGATGACTGGGAATACATTGAAAGAGAAACAAAGAGAACCAGTTCCGATTTTGCTACCTTGATTGATGAAATTTTTGAGTATGAAAAGTATGAACAAATAAGGAAGGAAAAGGCAGAATTGGAACGTAAAGTTAGAGAGACTAAAGAGCGTGAAGAACGTGAGAGAAAGGAGCGCCAAGAAAAGGAGTTACAGGAAAGGCTTGAACGAGAAAGAATCGAGAAACAAAAGGAAGATATAGCGAGACAAATGGATGAAGAAATTTCAAATTTGAAAAAAGAACTGGTGGGGGACCAGGATAATGAAGACAAATTTAGATCTGTATCAGAACCACTTGAATCTAAGAGTAAAAAAATTGAAGACATCGAGGAAGATATTGACGGCATTCTTCGTAATAGAAAATATTCTTTACAAACACGTCCAGTGTCACGTCTTGATCCAGGTATCGGCTTTATAGACAAACCACGTCAAAGTGAGCAACACGTTCCTGAAACTGTAAATCTGGAACCTGAACTGGAAGAGACGGAACAAAAAATTTTAGAAACAATAAGAAGATCTAAATTCTTGGGTTCATCTTTTGACATAAAGAAAGAACTTGAAAATGTAAAAAGGCACAGACAAACTTCACAACCAATTGAAAAAGAAATGGCGCCTCCCGCATTACCAGAAACCCTACCAAAAGCGGTCGAGAAGAAGAATGTATCTATGGACCCTTCCTTGAGAAAAATATCAGATATTAAGGTGCCTCAGTTCACCAGAAAATCTAGACATTTTAGCACTTCAAACAGAAGACTTTCTGTCCTATCTATGTATTCAACCAAAGAATCGTATTCAAATCTAGCTGACATCCTTAAGAATGGACCTGGCGAAAAAGAAATGATCCAGACAGCACCAACCCCCAAAAGTGCAGATGATTCTGACCAGCTGTTTGATACTATCGATGAAGCTGATACACCAGCCAGTGTATCACGCGAGGAAAGACTGTATGAGGTTGCAGAAGAATCAGAAAATGAGTTGGCAAATAAAAAGATTGATATTGCTGACTTGTTGAATTCGGAAGGATCTAACTTGAAGTCTGTTGAGGAACAAGAAGATAGTATGAAACTACCTAAATTACCACCGCTGTTTGAAGATGGCTCTACTAAAGAAACAAAGGAACAATCGAAGTCAATGATACCTGAAAACATGCAATCAAGCGAATCGCAAAAGCAAATTGAAAAGAACAATTCTGATGAGGGTGGCTCTTTGAACCCATTCATGACGAAACACAGAGATGTCTCAGATAAAGGGGTAACAAAAGAGAAGCCTACAGTCACCATGAAAACTACTTCCGAACAAGTTAGCGCCGATAAGAAAAGAAATATGTCTTTCTTAAGAAAATTGTCAAAGGGCAGTTCGTCTAGCAAAGACAATGTTGATGTTACTTTATCAACGTCTGTTAGTTCAAAACAACTATTCAGTGGCTTGGTAAACCTATTGAAAGGCTGGACTAAGTATGGACTAAAGGGCATTGCTATCGATAGCACTAGTCAGACCATCACTGGTAAACTTGCAAATGATAATATCCTTTCATTTAGATCAACTGCTTTTTCTATTTTGATATTCTCACAAGAAAAGGGTAGTGCTGTGACTTTTAGAAAAGTCAGTGGTTCAGGTAAAGCTGTTAGACGTCTGTCGGATGAGGTTAAAAAGGTCCTATCAAAAGAAGGTGTGTTAAGGGATTAGTTAGCACTTAGTTAGAGTTCCGTCCAAATTTATAGATATTTCGATTATATTCCTTCAATAACTGTTACATTATAAGAAAAAGTAGTTTTGTATTATTGTTAAATACTATTTTGAAAATAAAATACTCGAATCGTATTATTGATTGCTTATGTTTATTTTTGTGAAAAAGTAAATTATGCATAAATTTTCAGCCAGTCAACTTAAGTGACTCTTTGTTGGGTAAAATCCCCATGAATACTGTACTGCATTTGTTACAGTAATATTCACGTCATCTGCCCAAAATGACACAAGATTTGGATTTTTCAAAAATGGACGACCAACAAGAATTATATCTTGTGCCTCTTTATCTAAAAGCTCGGAGGCATAATCAGCAGTGGATATCACACCAGATGAAGCAATTAAAAGATTAGTTTTGCCTTTGTGAGCCTCCTTTAATTGTTGCAGAAATATAATCTTATTTTCTTTTTCGGACTTGGGACCGATTCGTAAACCTCTTCCAGCTATATCTAGGACATCTACCCCATGTTTAGCCAGTTCAAATGATAATTTTATGGTTTCGTCTGTGCTCCAAGCATCAGGATGATCTAAGTTATCACAGGCCTTCAACCTAATAAACAGGGGCGTATCTTCCGGAATATTTTTTCTAACGTTATCTATTATTTCTAGTAATATTCTAATTCTATTCTCAAAACTTCCCCCATATTCATCTTTTCTTTTATTTGTTAGTCTTGAGAAGAACTCATTAGTAATGTGCCCTTTTCCAGCTTGAATTTCAATGAAGTCATACTTTGCTACTTCAACTGCTAATTTAGCTGCGGTACCCCACTGCTCTACAATAGTCTTAATTTCTTCAGTGGAAAGATCATGCGCTTCTTTCCCAACCTCCACATTGTGCGCCTTGTTATCTTCATCTACATTCTGAACCACCTTTCTCATAAACTGACCAAGCTGGCAACCTACTATAACATTTTGCGAATGTGCAAACTTAACAATTTTAGAAAAATGTTCAGAAGCTTGTTCTTTGTTCCATATTCCCATATCATTTACTGTAACGGCAGTTCCTTCAGAAACGGCAGAACATTCTACTATAATGATACCAGGCCCTCTAGTTGCTAAAGAGCCGTAATGCATTAGATGGAAATCAGTTGGCATATAATTATTTGTGGAATAAGTACACATTGGAGAGACACCTATTCTATTGGGTATCTCTAGTGCCCTAATCTTCAAGGGCTTGAACAACTTTGGGGGATCTCTCTCACTTGATCCATCTTCATCTTCTTTGTACTTTATAAACTTCCCTAGAATTGGTTGCTCTGGTGTAAAATAGTCCAAGTTAGGAGCACCTTTCACTGAAACACCCATTGTTCTTTTTATTATGAAACTGAATACCTTTGCTTTTGAAATGTGTAATTTCAGAGTCTTTAAAGAGAGATACGTCGACAGTTTTGAATGCTTTAGTTTATTCTTATTCTTTTAGATACGTGTAAAACTTATTCCTCTTATCTCGGATAATAGTATACTAGAATTTTATTTACATCACACTGAAAGATACAAAATTATATCCATCTATTTATATTTCTCCTGAACGGAGAATATTAGGGCTAAAAACCGATGTTTTATTTCCTCGTGGATCAGTGGAAACCACCCCTCATTTTAGATTTGCTTGGTATAGCTCATCCACAACGCAACTCAGAATCTCCTTTACAATTGCCCAAACTGATAGGAACAGGTTAGCAATCATATGGCAATCCAATCCAATCAATGTTCTACAGTTACCAAGACGTCATTATAAGAAGTGGGAGTTGATCATAGAGAGGGTCCAGTAGCAATAGGCATTTGCCAACCCTAAAGCTCTGGCATTGTCTAGTTACCATCAGTTTAAAGGGTACTGTATTTCAACTTCTCCTCGTACGTCTTTCTCCATCTCTTAAACTTCTATACACAATCATGTATACATGATGACTCCCCCCCTCGCCTCCCCCCCGTCTTAGCTGTTCGAGGACTTTGCCCCGCATTCCCAAGTAGCAACAATGCGGGTTTCTTTACTCTGCCCCACCTCATCCCCATTGTTTCTCAGAGTATCCAGTACGGATGTAATGACGAGTTCGGAAAAATAATAAGAATTCCTCGAGAAAATCGTTGGAAGGACCCTGGATGGTGCATATGCGGGACCTTCTTCGCCTAAAACATCCGCCAATATCTATTAATTTTCCGATATAACATAGCAAATATGTAACGAAGAATAGCTCGATTTGGCAGCTATTTATATTTAATATTCCGAGGATACACTTTTATTCGGTTGCGTCAAAATGGTTGTCTATCATAATGAACTACAAGCCAATAGTTTGCTTGCGAAGTTGTCAAATGACAGCTTTGATGCAACTTGGTGCAACTTGATGCAACTTGGTGCAATTATTGCCACTTTTCAGGACTTAAGATGTAACAGATCATTTCATTACTTCTAAAAACGGTGCAGTCAATTGGATTTTGGCACATTGTTACAGGCAATTGTTTGACAGCTCCCATACTTTTTGCGATTTCCCCCGCGGAGAGCGATTTTTTTCACAGAAGGAACCTCTGACTCAGCCCATCGCTAAGAACTTCAAAGAATATCGGGGATCTTCAACAGTATGCACAGTAAGCAGCATGCATCAGATTCAAGATCCAAAGGTATATAAGCAACAATTTGTCACAATTAAAAGATAGAACGTTTGCAAAACTGTTGTTTATTTCTTACATCAGATCAGCAAGATATTCAGTATCATAACATCACTAAAACAACAAGACAATGGTTGAACTAGCTACCAAATTGATCCATGATGATGACAAGCACAACAGAGTTTCTGATGTCGCTCCACCAATCAATGTCTCGACCACTTATCGTTACGCTGAAGAAGACTTGATTCCTTGGGCACAAAGAGAGAACTTCGATTTTATGGATGAGGCCCCTGTCTACTCTAGGGAGGGTCATCCTAACTGCACTCGGTTGGAAACAATATTTTCTGACATTTTAGAAGGCCATGCCGTTTTATACGCCTCAGGGTTGGCTGCTTTCTTTGCAGCAATGATGCACTACAACCCAAAGCAAGTGTTTCTCGGACAATGTTACCATGGTGTGCACTGTATCAGTGATATGTTTACCAGAAATTTTAATGTTCAACAAAGGACTCTAGAAGACATCGCGGAGTTTGCCAAGAAAGGAGATGTTGTACACTTGGAGTCTCCTGTTAACCCGTTTGGTACCGTAATTGATGTAAAGAAGCTTGCTGATCTTGCCCACTCAAAAGGTGCTATTGTCATCATTGACTCTACATTTGCTCCTCCACCTTTACAATACGCTTGGGACCTAGGAGCTGATATGATCATGCATTCTGCTACCAAATACTTTGGAGGACATTCTGACTTGCTTGGAGGCATCTTAGTCACCAAAGACAAGGAGATTAGTAGAGCATTGAAAGAAGATAGAATAAATCTTGGCAGTATGATTGGCAACTTAGAAAGTTATTTATTAATGAGATCTTTGAGAACTTATGAAATGAGAATTATGAAACAATCCGAAAATGTGGTTAAAATTGTTAAATATCTGAACGATAATAAAGAGAAATATCCCAATGTCTTGGGAGACATTTATCACTCCTCCATTCAAAGCGATGCTTTTGTTAAGGATCAGCTGGTTGGCGGCTACAATTCTGTCTTTTCATTTTGTTTGAAATCTGAAGAACAATGTAAGAAATTCCCTGACAAATTAAAGTACTTTCATCATGCAACATCCTTGGGTGGCATTGAGTCCCTAATTGAATGGAGAGCGCTATCTGACGATAAAATTGATCAAAAACTAATGAGAGTGTCTGTTGGCTGTGAATCTGCAAAAGATTTGATCGATGATCTATCACAAGCATTACAAGAATTGGAGAATGAATACAAATAATAAGTTCTGGATCATTATTCAAGAATATAAACATAACTGGAAAATTGAAGATACATTTATATAGAATCTCTGATATCAATAGAAAAACTATTATATTATACTGAATGTATGTATAATCACAGCACTTAGACTGCACATTAAAAATAGTGGAACAAGTGCAAAGCAAAACCAATCAAGAGTAAATAAAAATTGAAATATCAATTATCTGAATTTATATACGGAAGATAGATAAGAATTTAGCGAGAAATGACTATTTAATGTCTTGAAACTGAAAATATTAGCACTTAAGAAACTCACCATTAAACTCTAGAATAATTTGTGAGATTACTTTAATAATAATACACTATTAAGTATTTACCATTTTAAATATACCAGCTCTTAATAATACAATTATTAATATTTAACAATGAATTTATTACACATTAAGGATCAATTTCTGTTGGATATACCATTATATTTCGCTTCTGATGCCATTCGCCTGTAGAATTTTTAGTCGGATTCATCCACTTCTGTCTCAACGTCAGACTTCTTTTCAGCTAGTATCTCATTGTTACCAAGTCTCAGTTGTCCTTCGTTTGATGCATTTTTCTGTCTCAGAACATCATTTCTTAGAAATATCGGTGTAGCACCTTTACCTGTAACAGAGCCGGGTCTTCCTGAAGCACTGTCATTGCTGGCTAATGCTTCATCCAGAGAACCCGATGATTTCTTAGGTGAAGCTAACGACATTAATGTCTCTATTGCCTCTACCTCTAATGGTGGTCCTTTGGTGTTCTTCTTGGTATTCTCTAGATTGGTATCTAACGTTAGTGGCTTGGGCCTGCTGGTAGATGTCCATCTTAAAGGTGAAACAGGATAAGAAGTTGAAGATGAAGACTTCTGTTTTTTCTTCGGACTTGAAAGTGCTTTCAAGAATGCAGAATGTGCAGAGTTCCCTTCATCATTACTATTTTCGTCACTATCAGATTGAACCTCTGAGTACATCTCATTGCTTTCAGTTTTGATTGCAGTTTTGGTACCAGCCCGCTCATCACCGCCTTTATCATTGCTTTGTGTGTTTCCTTTCAAACCTTCAAACTTAAATGTGGCAGAACTTGAGTCATCCCCTGCAAACTGATTAACATAGCCTGATTTCCTTCTTTGTTGTAAGAAATCCTTACCTGCATCGTTATTATCCAATTTACTAAACACCTCACCAGAGTTTTGACCCTGGCCTATCTCATTAATACCATCCCCTCTATCTGTGGCAAGTGTATGTTCCAATTCGGGGAGTGATTTGTCAACCCAACCATTCTGCAACTTCATCAACGCATAGTTCAACCTGGTCTTTAACTCGTTAGATATTTCCTTTATCGGCTTTTTTTCTATCTCCTTTGATACTTGTGGCGACCTCAGCTTCGGAGATGGAGACATGAACACCTCCGTTTGCCTGGATTTAGGCGTGGTTGGAGGGAGTAGCCTTGTCCTCCCACTGCCACTCTCATGGCTTATACTGGTTTTACGCCCTTTATTACTGGATGGGGAGTTCGGCACATCAAAATACCGCCCTGGATGTGTTGGTGTCCCAAGAAACCCCAGCGACGTAGATGACCTCCTCGCATGAGATGAATTCCTAGGCGGCGAAGGCGTCTCAGGAACCCGGCCCTCACCAAACACTGTCACACGACTACCGCGCGGCACATCCTCGTCACGACCCATAGACTCGTCGTCAGAGTCGCCTTCTACACCCACACGCACTCCGAGCCCTTCAGCTCCCGTATATTCCCTGCTCCTTGTTGCCATCCAGTATTACTGTCCTTTCTATGCACAAGTGATTTTCCCCAGCAACTTAATAACTGTTCTCACAACCCAGAGATTTTATAAATGCTTCTGATATATATACCTGCTCTTTATGTTTCCTAGAACCGCAAGACTACGACTCCTATTGCAAGTTTTATTCATATTGTTGTTTACACTTTTAAACTTCCGACCCCCAAAATCCGTGTGCTGGCATCAATTTGCCAGAGACGTGTCAAACCAAGGTTAAGAAGAAGCCCACCAGAGCCATTGACGATGCAATTAGCATATATCGAGTACGCATAGCAAAGTAATCAGGTATAAATCTTGCCTGTACAAACCTCTGCCATTATCAAATTGATCCACAGGCAAGACTAATTTGTTAATGCGAAGGGCGATGTCTTGAAATGGGCATAGCGACAACACCTAGCTCATTCCTTAGATATCGCAGGCACAGCCCTGTAATGGAGTTAGAGTTAGCTGTATCTACAATATATATCCTTTTATGTATAAAATCTGTTTTGATAACTCTTGGAATAATGGCATGCTCTTCAAAGTGCATTCATTGGCACAAGAGACAAGAAAAATTGAAAAATTGCTTTTAAAAGCGGGAATAATGGGTAAGCACAAAACTCAATTGTTAGCCATCATTTCAAGGAGGTAGAACCAGATGAACAAATGGTGCTGACTAGACGTACGCTGCCGGTGACGGAGTTTCTCATAGACAAATACTATGAAGTTGCGCAGTATGGGCGAGTACTGCATGAAGGAGAAGGAAGCGACACAGAGGGAGGTGAAGAGGAGCACACTAAGCTAGAGTTTGAGACGGAGGAGGCTGTGCCTGACTCCCGTGAGAGCACGCCTAGCTATTCTGAGATGGTTTATGCGCAGCGGGCTGCGCTGAACCAGCGGCTGGCGAACTCCCAGTGGCTTAAAATACCAATGCCCCTGCTGGATAAATTGAATAGCACTCTTCGGTGGTTAACCGGCAAGGATCTGACTACGTGGGAGATTGAATATGAGTTGAAGAAGAATAGACAATTAGCGAGGTCATATGATGATTGGAAGGCTATCAGTTTACAATTGGATGAATTGCAAGGTAAAGCTGATTGGAAAGTTGATGACGAGACAGATCTTTATGATTACCAAGCTGTTCGCGCACTGACGCATAAGATGAAAGAACTACGTGAGAACAAGAATTATGCAGAATTACTATATTATATCAGGACGACATGGACAAGAAACTTTGGGAATATGGGCAATGTTAACTTGTATAGACACACGAATCATGGTACAAAAAAGCTCATAGAAGCGTACTTAGCTGAGTCTAAACTATGTGTGGAAGAACTTGTATCTAAATCAGGCTTTGAAAATGAGTACTTGTTGGGGATTCTGCAACAGACGAGGCGAAATATCGGTAAATCAGCTCTGGTGTTGAGCGGTGGGGCAACATTTGGGATGTTTCATATTGGTGTACTGGCTGCTTTATTTGAGGCTGATCTAATTCCTAGAGTAATCAGTGGCACTAGCGCAGGCGCTATTGTTGCTAGTATATTTTGTACTCATACTACTGAGGAGATACCAAGTTTACTAGAAAGCGTGCTTGGTATGAGATTCAAAATTTTCAGAGATGAAGACGATTTAGAGACCACAGAAAATGTATTTGTCCAGATGGCACGTTTTTTTAAGCATGGAACCTGGTTTGATAATAGGCATTTAATAAAAACTATGAAAGGCTTTTTAGGCGACTTAACTTTCAGAGAAGCATATAATAGAACTGGAAAGATTCTCAATATTAGTGTCTCAACTGCAAGCATATTTGAACAGCCCCGATTATTAAATAACTTGACTGCACCAAATGTACTGATATGGTCTGCTGTTTGTGCATCCTGTTCTGTTCCAGGCGTGTTTCCTACGTGCCCATTGTACGAGAAAGATCCAATTACAAACCAGTGTACCGTTTGGGGTGGAAGTACATCTGTAAAATTTATGGATGGGTCTGTGGATAACGATTTGCCGATCTCTAGGCTGTCAGAAATGTTCAATATTGATCATATCATAGCTTGCCAAGTTAATGTTCACGTCTACCCATTTCTAAAACTATCGGTGTCTTGTGTAGGTGGGGAATTGCAAAATGAGACTAGTGCAAGGGTCAAGCAACATATTACCGGATTTTGTAATTACTTTTCCGATGAATTGGTGCATTATTTGGAAATTTTGTCTGAACTTGGCATTGCAGAAACTCTATGTAACAAGTTAAGGTCCGTGATATCACAAAAATATTCAGGCGATGTCACTATATTACCTAAATTAGACATGATATCTTGTGTGAATGAACTCCTGAGCAATCCATCTCAAGAATTCTTGCTTAAAGAAACGACGTTAGGTGCCAGAGCAACTTGGCCAAATATTCCAATAATAAAAAGTAACTGCACACAAGAGTTTATTTTGGACAAGGCAATTGCATATTTGAAAGAGCAAATAATCGTATCATCCTCATCTGATATCCCTGCTAATATTTCTTACGGTGCTATGGAAAGGGTGATGCTTTCTAATGATCCCAAAAAGAGGCAATTATCAAACCAGAGTACCGACGATACTTTTGAGGAAAATAATGTTCTAGATGATAATTTGATGGAGAATGAACCTACTAACTCTACATTATTGTTAAGGGAGAATGCTTTCACAACAATCCATGACCCATTGTTTCCAAGAGAGAAATACCTGGCGCCAATACCAAAGAAAAGAAGAAATCACAGGAAATCAGAAGCATCAACTAGAGTACGTTCAAGATATGCTGTGGGCTCTTGTTCCTTTTCCGTTGGATCTGCAACAAAAACCATGGAAATACTTCAGGTTAAAACCTCGAAGTCGGCTTCACCAAAAAAGTATCAGAATATGCGTATCAGTCCAGCTATTAAAACCTCAGATCGTGTGATATTTGGTAGTAATAGAAATGTTTTTGACTATTTACAAAGAGATTGATTTTATCATACAATATTGATGTTATTTCTTGCATAGTATAGAATAATTCTTTTTACTGTTATATATTGACTATTAGAATTTAACCCATTAATTTAAGTGAGATTATTTACATGACTATTGCTATATAACAAAATTTTGTCTTATTGGCATCAGCCCATATATCTGAAAGAATTACTTCCAAAGTTGTGCCAATGTTCTCTCTCATAGACACAACTAACTTTGTTGACAAACCCTTGAGCCAATATAGTTCCAACAGTTATATGTGAAATATTGTTACAGTTATCAATATTAAGCAAACCTAGTGCTTTTTCTCTATAAGTGTTTAGGTTTTTTAGAAATGAATAGACAGAGACTCCGGTGACCGATGGATTGAAAGATATATCAAGTATATCCATTGAAGACATAAGATGAGCAAATTTTGAGAAAAGAGTTATTGCATCATCATCCAAAGTTGCCATTTTAGGCAGCTGTAAATTGTTTAGGTTTGGTAATGATGAAAGTAAAAAAGATGGTTGTAATGCTGTTTCCATTGCATGCGATGGCGGTAGTAGTGTAAATTGAATATTCATGCAATCACCCAAATTTAGTTTGGTGATTTTACAATCCATAAAATAACTGAAAAGTCTTGTTAATCCAAGACCAGTTATCGATCCACCCATTAAATCAAGTGTCTCCAAAGATCTCAGATTAGACAGGTAGCAATAGCTTCTATTATTTGCCTCTAGAGATACCTTGTCATAATTTCTATTTTCACGAAATGTGAGCCTCTTCAAGTCATCCCAAATGTGAATATCTCTAATAGTACTAAAAAAATGAGATAGCTTCGCGTTGTTATTATTCTCTAGCCAAAGTTCATTTAATGCAGGAGTGTTTGTGAGCCAATCGAATTGATCAGCTTGCAAAGACATTGTAACTCCGCTAATACAAAGCTTTTTTAAAGATGGAAAGTTCTTATTTTGTAATATATTTTTAAATGGAAATGTTGGCACTTTTCTTGTATCACAAATTACACTAAAGTATTTGAGGGTTCTAGTCCAATGAGCATTTTGGGTGCCAACACCAGTTACTTCTTCATTGGAACTGCTCAGAGGTACCAAAGAATTATGAAACATAATCTCAAGCCTTGTAAGGTATTCAAAGCTTTCTAAAATATCTAGTTCATAATTTTTATCCGCCCTGAGTGTACACATTAATGAGAGCTCCCTAATAGATTTCGTGAACTCGTTACTTTTGGGTATCATTTTTGCAATATGTGAAGTTGTTGTATTAGGTATTGCCATGATTAGTCTGTTGCATCTAATTATCTCTGAAGAACTCTCTAATAATATTTTGGTGATTTTAAACTCCTCCGAGGGTGATTTTGGTGAAATTTTGAGAGTTTTAAAATGCAAAATATTAGATCCACTAATATAAAAATTAATCTTGCTCAACTTCATAATAAAAGCATTAAACTTAATCATTTGGCGTAATGTAATATTTTGAAATAAGAACTCATCAAATAATGCTGGCGCTTGTAATATTACTTCTCTCCATTTTCGACACACGAGCATTAATTCTGCCAACTGTCTTGGCCGAATTTTCCTGAGAATCTTCAGGGTAAGTTCAATAGGCAGCTTCTCAATGAAATCAATCTCTTTTATATTAAAGTACTCTTCAGCGTCAGACTCTTTCTGTTTTTTCAACTGTACTTGTTCCAGTATGGGGTCTATCAGCTTACGTTTCTTTTCGTTCGTCCCTGCCAAGTCTAACGATTTACTTTTATTTAGGAACATATCCCTAACAATATTCTTTTGTTGTTCACAATATTTCATTAGTTTTCTACTTGGTATAAGTTCATACTTTTGTGATGCATATTGTATTCTGGTGAGACCTTCTTTGAAATTATGATAGGCATCTCTATATTTAGTCAACTTCATTAATATTCGGCCTTTTCTAATATACGTTTTTATGTTGAATGGCTCAAGCTTAACCATTTTATGGGACAACTTCAACGCGTTATCCAGTATATTTTGTTTTTCCCAACATGCCGATAAGTTATCCAGTATTTTTACATGCTTAGGATGTGTTATAATCCTTTCACATTTGACTCTCTTATACAGCTCATCTGGAAGTTCATCAACATGATAAATTTCTCCTCGGAGCTTCTTTATCTCGTCTTTTGAGTATGAATCAACTAGTTTTAGGGCCTTTTCGAATAAACTTCTTGCTTTTCTATAATCTTCACTTTTGAAATAGGTTGTACCAAGCTCGATGGCTTTGTTTAGAATCTCTTCATCAGGCATATTTCATTAATATTTAATTTGAAATCAGTACATTCAGAGGTCTTCTATTATATTTTTCGATCTGCACGATGTGCCATTATTTTGAGCTTCTGAAGTATGTGTGTGGTTGCTCATCGCTAAACTCATCGCGTTTTAATCTTTGCAAAAATATCTGGCTAAATAAGGCTGTCTAGTTAAAGTTGAACGGAATGGACTTGTACTTTATTGGTAGTGTCTTTGAAAATGGTTAGTTTGTATATAGTTAAGGTCAATTGATTGATTTCAAGCCACTGAGGGTATTTTTCTTCTGTGAGTAATAGCTACAAATGGGAATAAATATAGCTGCAGTTATATTATTAGCAATATTGTTGCTAGTAGCTACGTTCAGTATCGGCTGCCTGCCATTTTATTATATTAACATAAACTCGACTTACAGTAACACTCAGAATGGCTTTCTGAAGGTTTTCTCTCAGTTTGGTGTTGGCATGCTACTAGGGACTGCGTTTATGTTAGTCATTCCAGAAGGGATCAAGGCATGCACAGAAGAAGGTGGGAATGTTGGTTTCGATTTATTAGCAGGCTTCATTGGGGTGTATTTGTTTGACCGTTTGGGACATTCGATAATGAGTAATACAAATGCATTTCTAATTCAAAATCCTGAAGAAAGCAATGACCTCCCAACAAGTAGTGCTTTTAGAAGCAATTTAAATTACTCGATAAAAGAAATACTGACAAAGCCTAGAGTGGTAGTTGCCCGAGTATTGAAAAATAATGTGATATTAGCGTTTGTGATACATGGTATTTCAGATGGTGTGGCTTTAGGCACAACATCCAACAACCAGCGGTTATTAATTGTTGTATTTATTGCAATTACTATACACAAGATACCGGCAGTGTTATCACTTTCAGCACTAATGTTAACGAAACAGGGATTACCCATGACTGAGTGTATGACAAACCTTTTTGCCTTTAGTCTCTCAACACCAGTTGGTTATATTCTACTTTCACTATTGAATTTGAGGCAGTCTGCGACAATGGATTATATTAGTAGTAATTTGCTGTTAATGAGTGGAGGAAGTTTGCTTTATGCATCGTTCACAGCCTTCTCTGAAGATGATCACTTCATCGAACAAACTAGTGATCCTTCTACTTTTGTGAATGATGAATATAATGCAGCATCGAATGATACAGAATCTATTAGTGTAGATGTCTTGGAACAAAATTCTAAGACTTCTTATTTCTTAAAATATGACGAATCTTTGTACATTCTGGTAGGAGCTTTCATACCGACATTAATATCATTTATGGTTAAAGATGATTGAATTGGTTAGATAATAGAATACTGCAAACGCTTAGATTTGAAAGTTAGGCTTATGGACTAGCGCTATTATTTATGCATATGTAAAGACGTGATATACTGGCCTGGAATGTAGATTATTTAAGGACATCTATCGACTTTAGATTAGTGATAAGACTTATCGTAATTACTTTCTGTTTAATGACCTTCTTTTCAGCCATTTGTTTCTTAGATTGGTAACATTTCCTTCTTTTTTTGGAGCCGATTTTGATAGATTTGAAGATAAGACAGATACCTTTACAACACCTTTATTCATTGTAGTTTTGCAAAGCTGCTTCAAAGCATTTTTCTTTCTTTTCTTTATCTGTTCTTTGACTTCTGGGACAAAATCCTGCGTGTCTATGTCATTAAAGTTAATATGTTTCGGTATCGTTTGGCCTGCTGTTGGATCAACATTATTGATTTTAGCAAGCAGATCTTCTGGTAATTCCTGGAGTTCCTCTTCGTCACTTTCAACCGTTTGTGATTGAAGTTTCTCCAGCTCTGCTATTTGTTTTTGCATTTCTTCGGTTCTCATTTTTTTTTCAAGTTGTTGCTCTTTAAGACGTTCATTTTCTTTCTTTCTCTTTTCTCTTATCCTTTGTTTCTCAAGGATCGCAGCTTGTTCCTGTTTCTTAATTTGATCCTCCACTTCATCTTTGGCGTTTCCTAGACCTTCCTCTTCTGGGGCGTCATCGTCGCTGTCGCTGTCGCTATCACTAACATCAACAGACTTGGACCGTAGAGATTTCACACTTTCCTGTGTCTCAGTCTCTGTATGAGCGGTTTCATCATTATCATCAAATTTAATATGCTCCTTAGATCTTGTGCTTACAGTCATCGTATTTGCTCAGTAAGGCTTTCTTTATTTTTCTACTGCAATATGCACAATGTTGTAATTTTGATAACTAATATCAACTGTCTTTTGTCTCAGATGTGACCTTGTGAGAAATGTATTATATCAAGCTTCTCAATATTTGAATAGCTTGTTTAATGGCACTAGTTCAATGTCAACATGAATAATACTATTAAAGCTCATCGAGCTCATCGCAAAAAAATTTGTTTAACCAAACATATTTATCGTTATGGGTGATTTCGATCTCGCAGGTCATATAGGACAATTTGGCTATATTCACTTGTCCTTGTACAACTTTCCTAGTTGTGGTTACTTTAGTTTATCAGCTTTTAAATTGCTAGATTAACATTAAGTAGGTCAGCAGTAGATGCTCGTTTTGGTATAATAGATTTTTTAATCAGTTTCTTGAACTTTTATCTCAACCAAAAACATTATTTTTGTTTTTATTTAGTGGTTTCTTTACTTTATTTTGCTTTATTTTCGTTTTCTTAAGTTGGATTTTGAGATTGGTTAGATTATCACGTTGTATATCAGTATTTGATCCAAGGTCGGTATCCTGAACATCCGATTCTTCTTCTTCCTGTTCCCGAAGTTGTCTCTTAGTTCTAAGATATTCCTCTAATTTGGATTCGGTTAGTTCTTCTGCTTCTATCTCTTGTAATTTTTCTTTGCGCCTCAAATTTGTGTCAGAATTGTCAATGAAGCTAATATTGAGCTGGGTTAAATCTACCTGGTCCTCCGGCATATCGCCGATATTATCATCATAGACTTTGATCTTACCTTCTTTGCTCAGGTATTTTATGAATCCAGTTAAGGACTTAAAGCTAGTAGCATTCATATGGATATGGTCTCTATCTTTGATAATTTCATTGTATAGTTTGTTCACAGCTATTTTCTTCTCGCCATGATTAGTCTTCAAGGTATTTAGGAAGTTCTCTTCAAACAACTTTGTGAACTCTAAAATATCATCCTGAGTCACAGTGGATATATTCTTTAGGTGTGAAGGCGATTTCACATGTGATTTAAACCCATTCTGATCTCTACATTGTTTGTTGCATACTTGACAATAGAATCGTAGTTTCTGCAGTCCCCGAGCTTTCAGTTGTTTGTTTAGGAACTTCGCACTATTGAAATCTTCAGACATCAGTATAAATAATCCTATCAGTATATTATAAGCCTATGGTTTACACTGTCCGTTACTCTTATTGTACTATTCATGAACGATCATCATATTTTATCATTAGCAGTCGCCCAGCTTGAGCTTTTTCCAAGTTTGAAAAGGTTGAACTATAGAAGCAAACGTCGAAATTGTTAACAAATAGAAGATGTTAAGATAGAGGAATAAAGATAGTTAATTATAATTAAGTCATAGCACCTCTAGTAACCTTAAATTGGCCACTTGAAAGTTGAAGCGGGACAAAGATTTTTGAGTGCTAGTCTTGAAGTTTTATGAAACCAGGATATGTCAAGATTGGAAGAATTGGCCCGACAGCGAAGGTTAAAGAAAGCTGGTAGTGAGTCTAGTGAATCTTCAAAGAATTATGAAGGAACCAGCAAAAGTGCAAGTCTATTGGAAAAATTACGGAACAGAAAGAAAACAGCTTCCGAAAGTCCACATAACTCAGAGGCAAATACTGAAATAGCGAATCATGGATCACAAGCGGCGTTGAATCAAACCAGTGGTAAGGTTAGAAGCACACCCATAAAAACATCTAGCAGCTCTACATTAGGATCAAAATTGAGAGAACTTAGGAGCAGAAAGAAAGTAGAGGAAGCTAAACAAAAAGAATCTGTTGATGTGACACCTGAAATAGATAGTTTACCAAACGGGCAATCAAATAAGCAATCGCGGGATCAACTGAAACAGCAATATTTAGTTGAGATGGCAGAGTTCAAAGCTCTTCAGGGGCGGTTGAATATAAATATAGACTCGAGCAAGACGATACGAAGACTGAGTGGCCATTCTAAATTTCTCGTTAATTCACGAAACAAAGTTCACAAACTTTACAAACAGAAGAGAGATATGTTATTAACTGTATTTTATCCAGCCAGAAATAAGTCTGCCAGAAAAAAGAGTATTGAAGGCTTCCATAAACCCAGTCCGGATGATATTGTTCTAGCCGCTCAAGAGCAAGTATTCCAAGCGGTGACTGAAAATGTTGCACAATTATCCATAAAACCCATAAAAATCAAAGAAAGAGTAAGTAAACGATTCACTGATAATATGACTGATCAGACTAAGGTGCAGAAACAGCAACTTACGGTAGAAGATTTTATTAATGATCGTAATGCTACTTCATTTCAAGTACCGATGTTCGGACTACCAGGTAGTGGTAAATCTACCATTTTAGGACAATTATCATTTCACCTAGGACTAACAACACGAGAGGACATTAGAGTTATCAAGACAGACATGGAACGTATGCACTTTCGAAGGATTGATAAGTTGGATACCAGATTGCTGACAACTTCACCTTTTTGTTGGGTTGTTGATGAAACGACAGAGGAAAGGCAGTTTGGACATTCCAACAATATCAAACCTCTGCATATAAAATATAATGACACGGATATAATAATAAATGAGGTACCAGGCAGTTTTGATCTTTGCTCTACTATTGAAACAAAAAGATATGTGGGAAATTCTGTAATAATTGTCGTCAGTGCAGAATTGGGTGACTATGAAGCAAATTTTGACATGAAAAAGCGGTTAATTGAAAAGTTGATTTACTGCAATGGAGTCGGTGTTAGGAGAATTCTGACTATAATTAATAAAATGGATCTAATTGATTGGGATATGGACAGATATACAGTTATGAAACATGAATTAGAACTAATATATCAGCAAGTGGGTATCGACATTCTGAAATGTGATTTTATTGGGACTAGTGCAATTACAGGAGAAGCGTTAACTAACGATGGCGATAATCGGAAAAGAATGTTCACAAAAGGCAGTTTCTCATCATTGTTGAATGTTCTGTTATCGTATAAATTGCAATTCAAAAAAGAAGTTTTGGAATCAAGCCTAGTGAATAGCCAAGAACAAACGCTATTAGACAGCGAAAAATTAATAGCTATACAAACAGGAAATAAGCATGAACAGCAATTGTCTGTACCTTTTTATATTGAAAGAGGTTTGATATTGAAAGGTCAAAAACTCAAGATAAATAGAACTGGGTTAGAGGTAGTAGTTAAGAGCATTAAAGAGTCACTCAGAAAGAAAAAATCAGTTAATGTAGCAGTTGTTGGGCAATCAGTTGATTTGCTTTTTGAACCATCAGAGGCAATAACAAGTAGCAATATCAACAATATTCTAACTTCCTGTAATTCACCTAAGTTAATTGAGACTTCAGAGTTTAACATGAAGATGTGGTCTCTGAAAAATTGTTCTAAGCAACTGGATTTTAATAACATATTAATTTTCTGTGTTGGAAGGTTCCTCAACATCTGTATTTCAAATGTAGAACAAACAGAAAATAATGAGAAATTGAATAACTTTCAATACATATTCTGTCGAGCATGTCTAAAAAGTAGTGAGAACATGCTTGCATTTGAGCCTGGTTATGAATCTGCCAAATCTTTTGTGCTATTCTTTGAAAATAGGGCTATTGGATTTGGGGAATTGCTGCTGAATGATCGCAGTTTTTGATTACGTGAATGACAGTTTAATAGATAGATATTATTATTTTGTGACAATTACGTAAGATGCATTTTACGAAGCATTATTGTATAGTTAGATTAGTCAAGTCGCCATTTATGCTGCTTTAAGCTAACTTATATAATCAAGTAACAAAATCAATATGCCAATAATGACTGCTATATAGGTCGTCAATTTTGCTGTCTTTCCGGCAGCACGCTGTGCTTTCTTTAACTCTTTATTACCTTTTGTAATATTAGTTTCAATGATATCTTGATTATCTAACATTGAATTAATGTTCTGGGATTGAACTTGAAGGTGAGCAGCTAATTCACTTTGGACACCAACTATTTCCATAATTGTTTTATTAATTAAACCAACCTTTTTCAATTGTTCGTTTTTCTGGTTAATAAGCTCTTCATGCTCTGTCTCTAGTACTTGTAATTGTTCCTGGGTAAGTTGAGAAATGGTTTCTTCATATTGTTTAATTTCATCTTGGATATGCTCTACTGGTTGGCTTTGTGATACTGTCAATGAGATGGATTCTGTTAAGTCGACCTCAGAATGATTGTTCAGATCTACTTCTTGAGATGGTTGAGAAAACGATAAAGATTGTTGAAATTTACGTTGTGATGCTAGTCTTTCCTGTTGCATGTTGCTAAATTCAGAGGAGACGTATTTCAACCACAAATTGAGGGATCGTAGCACACCACTCCTAAAGTCGTTATTGAAGTTTTGATAACTAATAAAGTCTCTCTTATCAATATTTCTGTTATTGTATTTAAAAAAATTCAATGAGCCACTAATCTTCCTGATCTGTTCATCTATGAGTTTCCGTCTACCTTTTTCGTATTGCTCCAGATGCTTCAATTTCTTCACATATTCCTGCAATTGCAGTCTGGCCTCGGCATCAAAGTTATCCTTCTCTGCTTCAGTCATGCTGAAATCGTTCATATATTCCTCACACACACTTTTTAAAACTGTATTCAACTCGAAAAGAAATTTTGCAAGGCTTCGACATTCCTTCAGAAATGAGTCCCTTGTAACTATTTCATTCAAACTGGACTTAGTCTCACTCTGAGCTTCTTGAAGCCCAGTAGACTCATCAGCAATTATACTAACATATTGCCTAAACAATGGTGTTAAGTTAGACATTCTTGTAATTGTTGTCCAAAATCAGTTGCTGGCGTTTTTAAATTTAAGTTTTACAGTCTCTTCCTTGAAAGTTCAGTTTCCACTATACTCAAGCTCAATCCCCTTCTTCACTTCTAAAATTCGCTGTTTTGTCTAAATCAAACTAATGTCAGTATACACAATTTTAGCCGCCCACAGAACGAATACTCTTCCACAATTATAAGCCGAATGCAAATTATTACCCTTCTATAGACTTTACTCCGGATTTATTATTCTGCCAAAACTAATATCATATACTACGTGAAGTCAGGTACATTAACGTCTTTTACGATATGTGTATGTACTATCCAAATTGCTCAAAATAACTTAAGCGCTAAGATTTATTTATTTACGGTTGTCCAAACAAGTTCTAATAAACTTCTTCAGCTTATTCAAATAAGATATCTAGGTTGTGCTAAAGTATTACAAAGTTGAAAACAGTTATCGTTTAATTTCCGCGATGTTGCTTTCTCAGAACCCAGATTGGTAAATTTGAGATTGCCACTTGCTCCTGGCTGGGAAGATATAAGCATTGTGGCCTGATTTATAATATGAGACTAGCTCATGTCAAATTGAAAGCTTCAATTTGCAACACAATGTCACTCTCCCGTTTCATAGTCAAAAATTGCACCGGGATGTTCGTGTAAGTAATGAAGTCGGGAGAAGCGTGTTATCCATCATTTATCGGTGCCTGATATAAATCAGCAACGAAGAATAAGTGAAAGGATGTATATGACAACTAAAATATACAGATAATGTTAACAAGTTTGCAGGGACCAAAACGTTGCTAAACATCAAGTGACTTTGCTGTGGGAAAACTAAATTGAATCACGTGACAAAGTTAGATATCTTCTTCTCTTCACAACTAGGAATTGGTACGCGTTATATGGACGAAGATGCCTCTAAGAAAAAAAAGTGTAAATAACGCGTAATGACTTTAGAAAGTGGCGTAGAATGAAATAAAGGTCCTCAAATTAGGTTGCCTATTCAGTAGAGAAGTCAAATTACATATGCCACAGTGAATAATACAGATTCATTTCTATCGATTGTTGTATATGGTATTAGCAGACAGCATCCAGTATACTGTTTGTATATAAGTTAACCTTCATGAAGGCACTGGAAGGACAGAACCAAAAGAATCTGACAGCTTTGTTTTGCAGATTAAGTGAAATAATAGACCCCAGTTAAGGCAGATATCGAAAACACCAATCAGGGATGACAGTTACAAACTTAGAAGAGAAACAATACTTAGATTTGTGTGAGAGAATTATAAAAGAGGGTGAATTTAGACCAGACAGAACAGGTACAGGTACGTATAGTCTTTTCGCACCTCCACAGCTTAGGTTTAGTTTGAAAGATGACACTTTTCCTCTATTAACTACCAAGAAAGTTTTTACGAAAGGTATCATCTTAGAACTGTTGTGGTTTATTGCAGGCTGTACTGACGCTAAGAAACTATCCGATCAAGGTGTTAAAATATGGGAAGGAAATGGGTCCCGTGAATACTTGGACAAGATGGGTTTTGTTGACAGAAGAGAAGGTGATCTAGGTCCAGTCTATGGTTTCCAATGGAGACATTTTGGTGCTGAATACAAGACCTGTGAAGATGACTACACAGGTCAAGGTGTTGATCAACTGAAAGAAGTTATCCACAAGTTGAAGACAAATCCATACGACAGAAGAATAATCATGAGTGCGTGGAACCCACCTGATTTTCCTAAAATGGCATTGCCTCCATGTCATGTTTTTTCCCAATTTTACGTTAACTTTCCAAAGGATGGCAAGCCACAACTTTCTTGCCTGTTATACCAGAGATCTTGTGATATGGGCCTTGGTGTTCCTTTCAATATTGCATCTTATGCACTATTAACAAAAATGATTGCACATGTTTGTGATATGGAACCAGGTGAATTTATTCACACATTAGGTGATGCCCATGTATATAAGGACCACGTTGATGCATTGAAGGAACAAATATCAAGAACTCCAAGAGACTTCCCAAAACTGAGGATAAATAGGAAGGTATCTGACATTGATGACTTTAAATTTGAGGATTTTGTGTTAGAGGAATACGATCCACATCCAAGAATTCAAATGAATATGAGTGTTTAATCAGCGTTACATTTGTTTCTTACTTTCAGCAGTTTTTAAATATATAGAGTTATCTTATTGAAATAATGGCATCATTATATCTGATTCAAGGAAAAAAGAAAAGAAAAAGAATATGGAATTAGTTCTATCTAAGGTAATACAGTATGACGATAAATAGTCATGCTACGGCAAGAAATTAATTAAGCTTTATTCTTTCTGGATCTTGACCTATAAGTTTTGGGACTTGACTTATTGGTATCATTATGCTGTATTAAGTCAAAAACTGACAGATCATCCTCATTGACTCTGAAACTCACAGTTTTCTGCGCATTCTTAGTTTTATCGTCATATATATCATTGATAATTGCTGTCTTTAACAGCTTCTTTGTTTTCTGTTGTTGCTTATTTTTAGATATGTTTGTAATATCTGAAAGTACAGATTTAGTGCTGTTGTTGAATGAAGAATGAGTTGTATCATTAATTGAAGAGTTTATATTTTCGCTATGACTGTTGTTGTGTGAGCATTCCGCATCGACACTACTGGTGCTATGGGTACTACTGGGCCTACTTTCATTGTCTCTGGAAATCTTTTTGAAAATAGTCCCAGACTCAAATGTTTTTTCATTTTTTTTAGGAGATTTCATTGCTTTCATATCTGTCTTGAGTTCTTTCTCAAGTACCTTCTTGGACTTTTTGTATTTTACTTGTAAATCTTGGATATTTACAGTTGTAGTAGCATCAACTAGTTTTTCAGTTGGTCTCCTCATTTTTGCCCTTAGAGAAGGCAGCCTATAGTCCACAGTTTTACCTCTTGTTCTTCTAGGTCTGTCAAAGTCTACAGATTCAGTTGACTGGGTGCAAGGCATACTCTCATCTACAGATCCTTTATTTTTCTTAGGTTTTCTTGATTTCATGGAATGTTTCACCTTATTGTTTCCAGTTACTGTAATAAAGGCAGGATCGTTCGTAATAGAATTCTCTGGCGGCTTTTCATTTTTGCTTGAAGATAACTCCTCTACAGGTGGGTCATGGAAAATTTCTAGCTTTTTCTTTTGATTTACAGCAGTGTCTCTTTTCTCAGTTTCATCCAATATATCTTGTTTAGGTAAAGTATTTTCTTCCGGAATCGAATACTCCAATACTGAATTTGTGAAACTAAAGGACTGATCCTCTACATGGCTCTGATCAGCATCCAAATTTTCTCCTAATTTTTCAGATTGTTCGCCTTCTTGTATTAAGGATTCTGAACAAATATTTTCCTGTTGTTCAATAGTATTTTCCATAAGTGGCTCGTTGTTAGGTTTCGGTAGTTCTGGAACATAGATAGATTTTCTTCTGTTGCTTTTTCTCTTCTTATGCGGTATTGGTGATAGTAGATTATCATTATTAACATTATTCGTATCAATTTCGTTTAAACCTGGTAGCTCACTTAATCTCAAAGTATCAGATGTCTGTAAAGAGTTTGATTGAGCATTATCTAGTGCTCTCTTGATCGAGGCGTCAATCAAATCCTCCCCAAAGGTAGATGACCGTCTCTTCATTGATGAAGTCGAATGGGCTGATCCTGTAGATACTGACCTACTTCTTCTTCTATTCCTGGCTTCCTCATTTGATTGCCTCCGTTTTTTAATTCTATCTACTGTTTCATTTGTACTTGTTGGTCGGCTGGGTAATGATTCTTTTTTTCGTATGCTATCGAACATGTATAGAACCTCTTCCAGTCTTTGTATGACACCATTTTCTAGGACATTTATTTGGGAAGCTAGCTTGTTTTGAAATTCCAGTTTATTAAGACTGACCTGAGATCTAAGTTGCACGTTTTCTCTAATGAGTTGGCTGACCTTGTTTTCTAGTTCGCTAAGTTTCATTTTGAGTGTACAGTTTTCTTTAGCAATTAATGAATTTTGAGTTGTATAGTTCTCCTTAATAGCAGCCCACTCCTCCTGTTGGGAATCTAATATATTTTGTAACTCCTGTATATGTGGTGTACCAGCTGAATATAGATTAGACATATTGTCACCTTGGGCTGAGGTTATCCTCTAAATTAACACAATTGGCAATTTCTTATAACCTCCTAGGATATAAATAACACTAGTTGTGCCTCAAATGAACCAAGGAATATTTCCTCTAAAAATACAATTGGAACTCAATTTATTGATGCAGTAAATATCTGAGAATACTTTTTCGTAAACTTTACTGAGGAAAAACAAATACAATGCTTACTTTTGGTGCTCTTGTAGTGCTTTGGCTAATTAATAATATAGGTAGCACAATCCTCGACCAGAAAATCAAATAGTCCTTTAAAATATATCCCAAAGTTGCTCTTCCGCTCTAATTGTCCTAGTAAAGCTTGGATGATCAAGAATGTGAAGTCCTTCGCTAAAGGCTATTAATTAACAATTATCAGTTAATGGTACCTCTTGTAAGCAGTTCCAAATTAGCCGCTATTGAGTAACTCTTTTTTATGGCGGATCCAATAATTTATTGCTCTTAAGATCTGATCTCGATATTTCGATTTCTTGTTTACATTTTTGTGTCTCTTTAGAGTCCTATTATATATCACTGCGTACGTCGATACGACATACACTGTGATAAGTGTATGAATGTATAGTAGCCCTTAAACTCTCATATTATATTTATATTCCTGTGTGGAAGTATTTGCAAAATATGAGGACTAGATAGTCTAGTAATGTTGTATATTTTAAGTGTAATTTTTCTTTAGATAACTATTTTTTTCTAGTTTTGCTCATTTAAAAAACATTGTGCTATTAATTTCAAGGTTTTAGTGCTGTAGATATTTAATGGTGAACATAAACATTGACTATAATGGGGTTGTTTCTGTCTTGTATGTGTTTGACATGGATGGCAGCTCTAGAAGTGTATAATTTCGGCTTTGCGTTCGATAAGAGGCGTATGTTCTACTACCCAATTGCTATCTCTGAGGGCAGCTTTTGGATCATGTAAGGTTTTCTTGTTACTTCTTTGATGTTTGGCGAGTAATTCGTTGTAATGGCACTCGTGTTTCTTGAATTCCCGAATAACAATATTGTCTGTGAAATCTACATAGACTCTCGTATCAATTACCCGTACAAGTACATCATCTACTCTGAGAAAGAAGCGGCTCAGGAGCAGCAATCTCTCGTGCATTACCCTTATCTTTACATTGAGAACAGAAATACCATTATCTGCTAATTCATCCTCAAATAATATCATATCATCAAAAAACAGGATTTTATCAGGTCTTGATAGTTTATCAATAGGCAATTCAGCACCGATGTCTTCTTCAAATTTGGGTAATTTTGCGTCTGTAGGAGTCGTACCTTTGTATAATGTTGTATATGTCCAGTCATATGGGTGTGCAATCTCTAATGGGTTAGCGGAGCTGGATTCACTGCTTGAGGTCTTTTCCTGTTGTTGTTGTTGTTGTTGTTGTTGTTGTTGTTGTTGTTTCTGTTTAGATTGCATCCATACTTTAGAATGAGCCACACGCAACCCGGTATCTTCTAGGTTAACTTGTCTCAAGGCATCTAACGCATTGAATTCTATATACCATCCGTTCTTGACGTTATCTATCCGCACAAAATTATTTCCAAATATCATCTCTGGCAAAGGCAATTTCTGCAACTTATTGGCTTCCCAATCATCTAGCTCCTGTGAATTTAAAATTGGTCTTTTCTGCGTGGTCACTTTCCAAGTATCAGCAACGGTAATGGATGGACTATCCTTTAACGGCAGTGTTGCTCTTGGAGATGGAATTATGACAGTCCCACAATGTGGGCAATTGGGGTTATTTGGATTGTTGTTACACACATGGTGTGGTATATCGTTTTTCTTCTTCGGCGATTTATTAATCGTAGTGTCTGGTGCCGATGGTGTTGCAAACGTACTGGTATGCGAAGCTTCAACTGGGATTGTAGTTCTCGTGAGTATAGATGACCCACTGGTAGTGTTAGCGTTGCGAGGGTTTCTGCCCCGAATCGACATTGCATGCATTTCCCTCGCAGCGTTTATTTGTATGGCATTTATGCCAGGACCTCTTTCAGCTCCTGGTCTATTGGGCTTCTTTGCACCATTTGGTAAGCTTGGATCACTAGCAGACATCTATTTGTATGGGACAGCGTTCAATAATGTTATGCCGAGTTGTAGTACGTTGTCAACAATTGCAGTTTCTCAGATGTCTTATGGAGATCGAATCTTTTTTAGATGAGTACTGGCGTAGGCGTCTTATGAAAAGCTTGGAGCAACACTAAACTTAACTTGATTGTGTTCTCAAAAATCTATCTCGGTTTATGCGATATCTGAGTATTAATTGGACTCTTTAATTGTTGGGCTCCTTTCAGGTGTGTCGCTATCATTCTCGCCTCTCTCCCAGCAAAATAAGGTGCTAAAAGTCAAGAGAAAAAATTCGAAGAGAAGGTTCTATGCTTTATTAGAGGGAGTGTTAGAAGCAAAGTAGTCGGAACAACATTACTTACTCTCCTATTAGTCTTTTTTTTGCTAGAAATAGAAGGGCATTGGTATTTGTATTATACTACAAAGCGATTTAGGTTTGGTTCTCGAGCTTTCTTTGCAAGTTTTCGGATCAAGAGAGTATAGGGACGGTAGAAACGAATAGATATTAGCGATGGCTAAAAGGATAGGGCGATTTCACGGCAGCCATATAGTTCGTGCCATTGCTGCGCTGACATTAGTTGGGCTGGTATGGTATTTCTTCAACACTGATTCTTCGATGAGTGTATCGGCACCAATGGCAGGTCGTCTACGGGACACTGTTGAGCCAGTTAGCAATGTTGAGAAGAGCGGTAGTGGGGTGAGTCAAGAGGATAAGATGAAAGCCATTGATGATGCGACAATTATGCCCCTAATGGAGGACAAACAAGCCAAGGTAGAGCTCGGGAGAGCTTCATGGAAGTATTTCCACACGTTACTGGCGCGGTTCCCTGATAAGCCAACTAAAGAGGAGAGACAGAAGTTAAAGACGTTTTTAGAGTTGTATGCTGAACTATATCCCTGTGGTGAATGTGCGTACCATTTCGTTAAGTTGATGGACAAGTATCCACCGCAGACCTCAAGTCGTACTGCAGCGGCGCTGTGGGGATGTCACGTACATAACATAGTCAATGAGTATTTGAAGAAACCGGAATACGACTGTAGTACAATCCTAGAGGATTACGATTGTGGCTGTGGGGACACTTCGGTAAAGAATAACAAAGTTACCGTTGAGAAAGAAGGCAGACAGCACGGCTAGGATCATAAAAATATAGAGTTATAAAAAGTATTACTTGAAATTTAGAGATTGAATAAAATATGCTTGTATTGAATTGAATAAAGTATTTATAAGACCTTTTTTGTTGATTAGTTAAAAAAAAAGGCTTTTTTGAAGTTTAAATAATTGATAAAATTGTTTTCTTGAAAGTTATAGAATATGATATTTAGTAAAATGCAGGGGGGGAATTGGGTTGAAACATCAATAATGTTACAAATGCAGAAAATGTGTTTTGTTTTGTATTTTATGTTTTGTGATTGTCTTTTTCTTTTCAGTTATGAAACTTATAATAGGCATAGAGAGGTTCTTCTCTGGCCCAATTCATTGTATGATGTTCTGTAACCGTCGACTTCTTGTTCCTCCTCCTCGTCAGAGACGACTGCGCTTTCATCTAGTTTGTTCAATCTAGTTTGCAGCAGTTGCAAGTCTCTCTTGATCATCTCTTCGTCGACCACTTGGGAGTTAGCTCTGGAAGAGTACTCGGAGGTGACTGGGGGTAGAGATGGGATGACAAATGGTTGTTCGACTTCGGAAGCTAGTTGTAGGAAAGGCATTGTTATTTGTTTGTTGTTTGTTGTTTGTTGTGTTTGAGTGTTTTCTGTTTGTTGTTCTGATTTGTGATAGAAAGTTAGAAAGATATATCTCAATTTGAAGATATATTTGACTAGTTTATATATGATTTGAATATATGCTGCTCAGCCAAGAGTCATCGTCATTGCTCATTACATCATCTTGAGCTGTGTGACAAGTCGCATTTTAAAATCCATTCATGACTCTTTACACTCTTCTAGAAGCTTTCGCACCTACAGCCTTCTCTAAGCACATCATCCGAATACATTTTTTTTCCATCCAACCTCTTCCTCTCTCTTGCAACAATGGGGGAAACCGAGCTAATTCCCAGCATCCCAGTATCGGTCCCCCCGCAAGCTCTTCGGCTCGGTGCGGTGCGGTGCGGTGGTGCGGTGGTTGGCAGTTATTCCATCTTCCGGATGGGCAGAAGTCTGTTTCTTGTGCTTGTGCTGCTCTGAGGGTACTGAGGGTACTGGGGGTACTGGGGGGAGGCCAGTCACTTCAAAGATTAAAGAGGGTTGACGCTGCAGAAGATCGGGTTTTTCCTTGCCCTTCCTTGCCCTTCCCTGCCTTTCTCTGCCCTTCCTCTCCCTCACGCTCCTTCTCTTGGGAATAATAATTCCGACGATCCCTTTAATACTTCCATCCTATCCTAACAAACGGCCGTACCCATGAACAGTATTTTATTTTTTTGCAATTTATCTCTTTTTGATGGTGTGTGAGAATCTCGTAAAGAGCGCAAATGGATGGTAAAAAACGGGAAATGCGTGACTACACTACACATACGTAATTTTATTTCATCATTGTACGGCAGTTTCTACCATTACTGGAATTGAATTGAGTTTACATTTTTAGGGGTCCCAGCAATTCGAAGGTCATTTCACACTCTGGTCTTATCTCCTGTGATAGGGTCATTTCTCTTGCACGGGCACGGGCAAGGGCACGGGCACGGGCACGGGCACACATCCTCTGATAAAATGGAGAGAAGCGAACACGTTGAACGCCCTTCTCTACCCCCGCCATATCCCGGGTTTATCCGTCTATTACAAATTTTCTTCCAGAGCAGCACCGTACAGCCACGGAAAAGGGAAATGCACTACCGCCTTCCGGGGCATTCAGAACACAGCCGTGAATCATCCATCATGGAGCTGACCGATGTCGCACTTTGTTTCCCGAATCCTTTGCGGTGACGATTAAAGTCTGGTATCACCAGCCCCCCCCTCAATAACTCCTACACTACGTATGAAAAAAGAGCATTTCTATACATGAAAGAGCATTACTATTCTACAAGGATTAATAATATTGATTTCTACTTGGTTTTCAATTATGGAACTATCTAAATCTGTATCCGATGATGGCCTGAGTTGCCTTCAATGCTTCGTACTTGACACGGGAGTCACTGTGGTTCAACAGCTCCATGATTAAAAGCTTACCACCAGTTTTACCTAAGACATCGATGCTCTCCGGTAACAACTCGACAACATGGGCAATATCGCTCAGTGCGACTTCGATTATGGTCTTGGTCTTGCTCTCGTTGATGTCTACGTTCGTGTCACGCTTGATGTCCTCCAGGATGTTTATCAGCTTCTTGAACAACTCCCAGTTGTTCAACTTGAACTTGTCTATGTTGTCAACCCAGAACCCATTATCTATATGTGGAGGGGACCAGCACAGCAGCTTGGAGTCTACCTCGGCTATATACTCATCGAACGATGTCAATTCCTTGTACTCTTGCTCCAGGATGTCCTTCAACAGAACAAGGTCGTCCTTCAACTCCTGGTCCGTGTACTTTCTTTCTGTGAGGGACTCGACGACAGGTAACGCGTTGCCTAACAACAACAATTGCTTGATCAGTTTCTTGTCCTTGACTTCACCGTTCTCGTCAACTAGGCATTGCAAAAGGATGGATATACTTACACGAGATATCTTCTCCTTGATGGTGACCTTCATGATCTTCAAAAGGTTCAAGTACTCAGTGAGGTACTTGGTCACATACTCCTTCTGAACCTTACGCTCAAACATCAACACCCATATCAGCAGCAATGAATAGTACTGTATTTGGATCACCAAGTTGTTGGCGTTTGGTACTAGTGCACTGCTTGCTGATCTGTGGAACGAGTGTGACGAATTGCTCGACGTAGATGTGGAACTTGAGAACCCTAATGGTGTGTTCTTGTGTTTGGTGTCAATAGCTCTTCTCAAAATTGTGAACAGCGTTGGCAAGATCTGGCTCTCATACTTCCAGATTATAAGCTTATAGCCCTTGTGGACAGCAAGCTCTTGCAGCAGACGAATACAGACATAACTTGTGTCCAGTTCCTGTAAGTTGGTCAGGATCTTCAGTAACAGACCATCGGATACGGTCAATAACTCCTCAACTAGTTTACTGTCCTGCAAGCTCTCCTGAGTCAATAGTGAGACCATGTTAAAAGCGGCAATCAGTGTGAATTGGCTGTCATTGATCTCCTGTTCACTTTGAAAAGAATTTTGGAATAAATCTCTCATGAGCTGCTTGTCCTCTTGGAAAACTTCCACAGTTTGTTTATAATGTGTTTCAGATGAAAGTAATTCGGCAACCAAGTTAAGTGATGATTTTCTGCAATCCTTGTTGTGAGTGTTCCCTACTAATTGAACTAAGGAGCGTATCAAATTCTCATTCACATTCAATTCCTTGCTATCAACACTCTTCTTAACCAATACGTTCTCGACTAGCTTCGCATAGGTTGCTTCTTCATCGCTTATCTCTTCTGATCTCGACAACGCTTCCCAAGCCACCGAACGAGACCTTATCACTGACCGCATTTCATTGAAATGGATACTATCCAGCAGAAGTCTTGTATCTCCAATCATAGTTTATCTGTTCTTATATTCTAACTTGTAACAATAGCGTAAGGAAGCTTTTCTTGGGTTTTCGCTCAGCTTGCTCTATGATATGTTAGAGTTGCTTTGTATCCCTTTGCCAAGTTTTCAGGTTGCTTTACGGACCAAGTCAAATGTTTAATGAAAACAGTCAAAGGTATAAACAATGATGCGTACACAAGCAAATATGAGTACGTGTGTCCAGTTAGTGATGCTCTCTCATTCAATTAAAAATAGCAGCAGAAATACTCTATTTACCTATTATATTCATTATAAAGTACAGTTTTTTGTTCACTTTGAATTCTATTCGGGGGAGTTACGGGATAACCTATACGTCACATATGATTAGTCACATGATTATGTTAACGGTTAACAACCCATATTATGGGCATCCAAGTTGTGTTCAGTATCTAATTGTATTCTCAATACTTTGACCTGTATATATCTATAATAGATTTTCCTAATTGATTTTGTAATTAATGGACGGGTTCCTACGAGTTCAAACTGTAAACGTATTTTTAAAAATTAAGTGTCCAATATATAATATCGCTTTCTTCTCAATTAAAATAATAAACATATGCCATATTGATAGTTTATGTAGTCTATTCAGACAAATTGTATATGTGTTGAGCGTTTGACATGCATTTCATATTGTGCCCTGCGATTTTTATGTTTTATACGTGCATTGTCGCCAAAAGTTTTTCCGAGGAGATAATGCCAAAGTGCTTTGACAAAGGACAAAGGAAACTCCGAAAATGAGGAAGCAACGTTAAAACAATTTTTAGAGTTAAATAATGAATTATTTAGATGCAGTAATAGTAAAAAAGAATGTATATGTGACAAGTTTGTAATAAAATTTTATTTCCTGCCAATGCAAATCATAATTTGTCTAAGCTTTTTAGCCTAGTTAAAAAAAGTAATTTAGAAGTGCTGTTGTAAGAGCACAGAGTAGTCAATTTAATGAAAGTGTATCCTAATTATTCATAAAAAAAATAAAAACATATAACAGAAAAAAAAAGTGTAATATAAAAATTAGCTGGTTTAAATTAAAAATCATAACATTAGAATGAAAAAAATAGCTTGAAATCCCTTGACGATTTCATTTGAGATAAATATAAGGTTGTTAATATTCATTTTTTCCTTTCTAACTTTATTGTTCGTTAGTTTCTCTTTCGTATTCCTTGGACATGTTGGCGTTTTCGATGGCACCACAAACAGTCTCACACATGATACCGGTGACCAAGTATGGATCTATGTTGGAGGCTGGTCTACGGTCTTCGAAGTAACCGAATCCTTCCTTGGCGACTGGTCTAGGTATTCTGATGGAAGCACCTCTGTTAGCGACACCACTGGAGAAGGATGTCATGGAGGCGGTTTCGTGTCTACCCGTTAGTCTTTGTTCGTTGTCGGCACCATATAGCTTGATGTGTTCGTTGTGTCTCTTTGAAAGTTTTTCGATGGCTTGTTCGATGTACTTCATACCACCTGGCACTCTCATGTCCTTTGTAGAGACGTTAGTATGGCAACCAGCACCATTCCAGTCACCCTTCAAAGGCTTTGGATGGAAGGAAATCTTGACACCGAATTCTTCTGCCACTCTGTGCAAGAAGTATCTGGCCATCCACAATTGGTCACCCATGGAGATACCCTCACATGGACCAACTTGGAATTCCCATTGGGAAGGCATCACTTCGGCGTTGATACCTGAGATGTTGATACCAGCGTATAGACAGGCTCTGTAGTGGGCTTCGATCACATCTCTGGCGTAGACCTTACCGGCACCAACACCACAGTAGTATGGACCTTGTGGGGCTGGGTAACCACCCTTTGGCCAAGCGTAGACGTTGTCGTACATGTCGAACAAAGTGTATTCTTGCTCGATACCGAACCAGATCTCTTCGTCCTTGTGTGCTTGGAACAACTTGTTAGCCTCATGTCTGTGGTTGAACTTGTTTGGAGTACCGTCACTGTTGAAACATTCAGCCAAGACAGTGATGTTGTCACCTCTTCTGAATGGATCAGGGTAGAACGCCACTGGCTTCAAGTAGATGTCTGAGTCGTAGCCTGGGGCTTGGTTAGTAGAAGAACCGTCAAAGTTCCACTCCGGCAGTTGCTCAATAGACGTTATGACTTTGTTCAAAGTTCTAGCCTTGGAACGTAGGTTACCAGTACCGTCAACCCAGACGTACTCGGCGATGACCTTACCGTTTTGGGGCAACTCAAGGTATTTTTGTAAGATTTGAGTCTTTTCAACACTGTGTTCATGCATTGTGTATGTGTATGTGTATGTGTGTATTAGTGTTTTTGGTTCTTTTTTTGTGATAGAAGTAAAGTTTACTTCAATGGAGTTGTTATTTGAGGGAGTTGTTATTTGAGGGAGTTGTTATCCTTGAGGAGTTTCTTATGAATGAAAAGAAAGAATTACAACCTACAAAGAATAAAAACCCATCCATTTATATATTATTTTTCTTATTGATCAAGTTCAAGAAATAGTAATAATATTGTATAGACATGTTCCTTCATTTTTGCAATACAATCTTGTAATATTGTATTAATGCAATAGTATTAGCACAAAAACCCAGGGAAGAGTTACGAGTCAATGACTCTCTTTCTCATCACTTTACTTTTTTTTTTGGTCTTCTCTCTCTCTCTCTCCCGCCTGGTACCATTTCTATGGGCATTCTCTTCCCTTCAATCTGTGTGTAGAGAGGGATTACGCCTCTTGCCCAAGTCTTGTTGGCCACTATCACCCATCAGCCAGTAGCCATCAGCCAGTAGCTATTAGCCATCAGCCATATTCTTTGGGGGAGGGATTCCACGCTGTGAGTGGTCGATGGCTGGGTCTGAGTAATTCCCTGCTTCTCTTATCTTCTTTGTTTGTTGTTGTTTCTTTTCTTATCAGTAGTGCTGCGGTGGTGCGGTACTTTGTTGGACGTGTCGTTGTTCAGTATCCGCTCTATTTTGTGATGATGGAGTAGATTGCTTTTTTTTCTTCTGGGGGGGGGGGACTCGATGATCCTACTCTTCATTGGGTTTCTAAATAAGGGATTCGGGGCATACTGAAATGGTCTCTGCGCTGTTGGACAGTGGAGACCGGGATGGGAGCCCACTTTACTTTTTCTTTGTGCGCATGCTTCTCACGGCACATGTATTTCAGATGTATTTCTACGTGGGGGTGGGAAGATCGTTATCTTTCCGATGTAAACAAGAGAAAAAAGCAACGTGATAATATGTCTCGTCCCTCATTGGGCTAACAAGTTTCCGTGCAAGTATGAGTAAAGAACTTGCTTTTGTCCAAGGGGTACATTTCTTATCAGGACAAAGAGGACAAAAGTAAACACTGGGAGAAAAGTACAGAGCGGTAGGGAATTGCATAGGAGCAGAGAGGGAACTTGGGTTGCCGTTCAGGGAAGTTAGAACCGACGGAGTGAAAGCATCGTAGCTGGGAGGAGCAGCCACCTTCTGTTAACAGTCACTTGTAGAAGCGGGATTTTAGATTTCGAAGATTGATTGGAACTCTCTTCTCCAGACGAATGACTGGACAGGCATAGAACTTTCTCACGAAAAGACTCACTTGTACTCACTTGTACTCACTTGTACTCACTTGTACTCCCTTTTCCATCATCACACTCCCCCGAGAGCAAGGACGGGGTGGTATTCAATCCCCGACTGTTGGTAAACAATAGAGATAAGGGAGATTAATGATCTGTCCATTGGTCCCGCTAACAATTAGCCGCACAGAGCTTCCCCAGGACAAGTCAATACGATCGAGAACCTCTTACAATGGATCTAGGCTCTCCCTTTTCTTATTCCCCCCATTCATCCGACAAAAGTGATGTACGAGAATTGTGAAGATCCCACCGAACACATCACCCTGAGCTATGCAAAGTACTCTCGCAGTTCGCAATTTCGCAATTCGCATCTAATGAGTATTCCTAATTAGGAAATGAGAGCTAGTTAGCCCATGTGAACATCATAGAAACGCCAAAAATAGTATTGAAATGTGTAAGAACAAGTCACCAACTCTATTCAACTGTCTCGCACCAAAGGGGAGAAGGGGGGGTTAGAGGTACTGGTCCTACATAATCCTCCTGCGGCCATAATATGCAGTCATAATCATATAGGGATCGAGCCATTTACTGTGTTCCGGGCTGGCCCGGAACTCAAGTTGATACACTTCTTTCTTCGCAACTATATACTGTATACTCGATATCGAAACACCGCGCTTTGCACAGCAGTCTTTAACATACAAGGCACAGAAAAATCTGCAAAAGCGGTAACGTTTGCTCTTGCTCCTTGTAGCTGATTTACCCCGTATGATGTTTGATATCACATGGTTCTCGTATTATTGTACCGCTATAACAGAAGATCTAGTTGACCGTCACATGATTGTACGTATACAGTTCTAGAAGCCAAAATAAAAATTAAAAATTTACGTTTACTGTTACAATTGCCCTAATCTATATATCTCTGCACTCTGTAGTATGTACTTTCTACTGGGACACATTGTTGTTATCTTTCTTTAGTTTGTGGTTGTTGAAGTCCTCCTTAGTGAACCACTGTGTCAACCCCCATTTCGGTAAGTTGCTCAAGGAGACAGCACCATTCCATGCTTGTAACGATCTTTGTAACTGATCAGGGTTCGTAAATGTGCTTAGCTTATACTGTGGGAATCGTATAGACAACTCTCTTATTATTCTCTGTTCCATACCATCGATTAATGATGTGCCACCAGTGATGATGACATTGGTTAGCAACAGCGAGTAAACGTGCTCGGGCGTGATGTTATTGGTAGCAGATCCATCACTCCCAGCGCCTGTGGCCGATGTACCAAACCCTATCGAACTGTATCCGTTCAATGGAATCAAGGGCCCGTTAGTTTGTGGACCACTGTTCCCACCGCTGGAGTTGCCACTGCCACTGACCTGTGTACCAGCAGTGTTGGAATTGACACTGGCACCGCTCTTCTTTATCGCCTTACCGATTAACTCACCTAAACCATCCTTGCTAGAGAAATCCTCTGATGCCAACTTAGGCTGGAACAAGTACTCTGCAATCTCATAAAGTTCTTTGTTTTCTACTTGTACAGTACGATTGATCATGGCTCCAGTCTTGTTATCCTTGACACGTAGTAGGTAGTTTTGCTTTTGTACGAGTGGGTTATTAATATTAGGGTTGTTCATTGGAATTGTGTATTGATTCATTTGCTGGGTCTGAGAGTTTTGTTGCTCTGCCATTCTTTCTTGTTGCTGTCTGTATAATCTCATCTGCTCCTCGTAATACTTCTCCACTTCCTTAAGATCTTTGTCAAATACTGACACCATGGAGGTCTTGAATTCGTGGATAGATGTATTGGCATTTAACCAGACTTGTAAAGAGCTCTGTGGGGTTTCCTCCATGCCATCTGTTTCCATGTCATCCTTTGCTACTCTCTTCTTTAACTCTTCAAGTTTCTTATGTGTTTGGAAATCCAGGAAGTCTCCGGCAAAGCGAGACTTGACTATGCTATTTCTAAGGATGGTACCGTCAATAATTGGAGTTACAGTACAACCAGTTGCACCTACATCAATCACCAAGGAAGAACTCTTACCAGTGGACAGCATTATCCCCAGAGGCTCCACAACGATCTGCAATACTGGCACTTTTAATTTCTCAAACGCGAGTTCCATATAGTTCTCGACAATCTTAGTCTCTAGCTCCCGGTTAGTCATCGATGGCAGCGTTATAACCAAGGGCAACTCGCTAGGATCGACCTTGAGCTCCTTCTCGTATATATATCTGTACAGTCTCTCCAGCGCCTTCCAATTGTACGGAATACCGTGGTCATCCACAATCGTGAACACTTCGCGTCCACCTTTACCGTTCACATCAAACGCTGCCTCATCCATCATATCAAACAACCCGAAAACATACTCATACCTCGATTCGTCCTCTTCACCATCATCCATGCTAACATCGTCATCACGCAACACCCTCACATAACTAGATGGAATCGTGCACTGAGGAAGATCAACATTGTTAAACCCGGCCACGGTGCGGTGCGACCCAGTACTAATAACGACACACTTCTTATCAACGGTCATCTCACAGCTGCTATCTCCAGAACACTTCACTTCCCACAAGATCAAATAAATAACCGCCCAGCTGTCAATACCCAATGCGTCCCCTCCATGAAATAGGTCTCATTACTACTTGACACTTTCGCAATCCCATCGAAGTGCTTCACAAGATTTATCCAAAACCTTTCTTTGTCGAAAGAGATAAACAACTATGAGACCGTGTGTTAGACGAGACATCACATGACTGCAAATTTTTTTTTGCTGAAAAATTTCATCGAAATCCTCTTGCGATGAGCTCTATCAATGGGACCTGGAATAATAGTAGTTGGCAGAAGGTTCTTAGGATGGGTTTGCCAATTCCTCCCATCTGGCTTATAGTTCTTCAATTGTCACAGTTTCACGTTATACTTGCGTGACAACAGAAAAATAATTCCGGAAATTCTGGATCATCTAGAGCTTTTTTTTTTCCTGTTAGAAAGCTATTTACTGCATTGAATATACACACTTGCATCTCAATTGATATTGGTATAGTGTGCTGTTTTTATTGCTTAATATTTCAGTTGGCTCTTTTATATGCTCAGTAGGATAGCCGGTCTTAGGTATAGCTACAAGAGATTTACGCGATTATACACAATGTCTGCAGAACAAGCACCAGCACATCCTCAGCAGAATGCTAAGAAGGAGAAGAAGTCCAAGTTACAAGTCTCTTTGAAGACTCCAAAGGGTACTAAGGACTGGGCTGACACCGACATGGTTATCAGAGAGGCTATTTTCAGCAGCTTGTCTCAATTGTTCAAGAAGCATGGTGGTGTTACCATTGACACACCTGTGTTTGAGCTGCGCGAAATCCTCGCAGGTAAGTACGGTGAGGACTCCAAGTTGATCTACGACTTGAAAGACCAAGGTGGTGAATTGTGCTCCTTGAGGTACGATTTGACCGTGCCGTTCGCAAGATTTGTTGCCATGAACAACATACAAAACATCAAGAGATACCACATCGCAAAGGTTTACCGTAGAGATCAGCCAGCCATGACCAAGGGTCGTATGAGAGAGTTCTACCAATGTGATTTTGATATCGCTGGTAGTTACGAATCAATGGTCCCAGATGCCGAAATCTTATCCATCCTAGTTGAAGGTTTAACCGGTCTGGGTATAAATGACTTCAAGGTCAAATTAAACCACAGAAAGATCTTGGATGGTATTTTCCAAATCTCAGGTGTCAAAGACGAGGATGTCAGAAAGATCTCATCTGCCGTTGACAAACTAGATAAATCCCCTTGGGAAGTGGTTAGAAAAGAAATCACTGTCGAGAAAGGTCAAAGTGAAGAGACAGCTGATAAGATTGGTGAATACGTCAAATTAAACGGTACTCTAAAGGAAATCCACACAATTCTCTCTCAAGATAGTGCAATCACTGGTAATGAGCTGGCTAAGCAAGGTCTGGATGAGATTGCTACCCTGATGGAATACGCTGATGCCTTTGGTATCAGCAAGTTCATCTCATTCGATCTTTCCTTGGCCAGAGGTTTGGACTACTACACAGGTCTTATTTATGAGGCCGTCACAGAGGCTTCTGCTCCTCCAGAGAATGCAACAGAACTGAAAAAGAAGTCTAAGTCTACCGACGATGCTTCTGAATATGTCGGTGTCGGTTCCATCGCTGCCGGTGGTCGTTACGACAATCTAGTCAATATGTTTGCTGAAGCTTCCGGTAAGAAGTCATCATCTATTCCTTGTGTCGGTGTTTCTTTCGGTGTTGAAAGAATATTCTCTCTGATCAAGCAAAGAACTCATCTAACTAACGCTATCAAGCCAACTGCAACTCAAGTATTTGTCATGGCCTTTGGTGGTGGTAAGGACTGGACTGGTTTACTACCTGAAAGAATGGCTATTACAAAGAAGTTATGGGAAGCTGGTATTGAGGCCGAATATGTTTACAAGAGTAAGGCAAATCCAAGAAAACAATTTGATGCCGCTGATAAGGCAGGCTGTCCAATCGCTGTTATTTTGGGTAAGGAAGAATTTGCCGAAGGTAAAGTGCGTGTGAAGAGACTTGGTCAAGAATTTGCCAATGACGATGGTGAACTTGTTGACTCCGGTGATGTTATTGAGGCTGTTAAACAAAAGCTTTCTGAAGTTCACAAAGATGGTATCAATGACGTTACCCGTTTGTTAAAGGGCTTATAAACATAATTAATCTGAGGTATTCAAACAATGAAACCTACCAACTTTTTTAATTAATATAGAAGCGTAAGAGTTTACTCACTAAATACTTCAGATTTATGTACTACAATTAATGAAATTTCGATATTGTTTATTTACTAGAATCCAAACGCACCTCTAACCATGTCTTTACTTGTTTCCTCCACAGTATCATTCATAGCTTGACCAATAGCTGTTGCATATTCATTAATTCCATCCTCAACTGCATCCCATTGGTTTTCCACGGCTCTTGACATACTTCTGAAATATTCGTAACCGCTATTTCTACCTCTTCTACTGACAGGCTTTTTATACGCATGCTCATCGTTTTGCATATTCGGTGAGTTAGGAGCTGATGTTTCTTTGCGAAGAGATATAGTACCAATAGCAATTTCACTTTCCTCATATTTGGACTGTGGTCTTCTTTCACCACCCAGCAGTAAGTCCAATTGCTCACGAGTACAATAAGATGTACCTCTAGCTAGTTGTAAAGAATTTACCTGTGGTCTCCATGGAATTTTTAAACCTGGATTATACAATGTGTCCTGCTTTTCGACTTGTTCTTGGGTATATGCCTTGTTTAACCCGATAGCGCGCTGATCAAAAGTTGAGAATAGATACGATTGGAATTTGCCTGTTCTTGTCATAATGTCACCATTCCGGAGAACAGATGACTCTCTAATATACTGAGCTTGTATTGGGAAGGGTAGTTGCATGCTTTTCAACTCTTTCATATCAGGTGTAGTGAAAATTTTGACAGTACCGTTACTTTCCAGAACGATCAAGACGCACAAGCTTTGTTTCTGACCAACAGCATTGATGAAAGTAATGTGTGATATTCCAGATGTTGCAATTTTATGTTTGAATGATTTGTGACCTTCTTTAGATTTACCAGGATCAACAAATCTTATATCCGTTTCAGAAGTCACTACTACCATACCGTTGATTACTACGCCTTTACCTAGATCTTGCATTTTTGAAATTGTGGCAAAACAGCTTTCAGTAGTTTTCTTTTCGAATGTATCTATCTTTAGTATAGGGCTTTTATCATTGGTCTGTTTAATTTCCACAAATTCAACAACAAATCTGCCCCCACTATCTGGTAGAATTTTTAATGTTACTAATTCACCTACGTCGGTACCGCAAAGTATTAAAATACTAGAATAGCCATCATCTCCATACTCCATAATGGCAAACTCAATTGCAGTAAATTTGCGACCTTTGATCCCAGGTAATCCTCTAACATTTTGCATATAGATTATAGCGGGACCCCTGCGATCAACAACTACAAAAGTTCCGTCCTCATATGCTATAGCCACAAAGCCAATATTGCTGTTAGTCAACGCTGAAGTTGGTCCATGCTGTGCATTGACAACTGTACTTGGCATAAATCCTTGTCTGACGGTCTCAGGAGATCTATCACGTACATCAATCAGCATTTCTTTACTACTACCGATCGAGAATCGTCTAAATCTCATCTCCATATCACGATCTTTATTCTTATGTTCCGGATCATAAAACTGGTTAACTTCGAATTTGAAAAGTGCAACTACACCAGTTTCTGTAGCAACAGATAATTCAAGTGTATCCGTTGCAAATGAAATGTCTGAAATAGATAGGTTGGATCCCATATTCAATACTCTCGCTAAATTTACTTCAAATACAGAATTGTCATCTAATTCACCAAAAGATGCATCCCATAGTCGTACAGACCCATTTGCATGTCCAGTAGCTAAGGCTGACCTATATTCGTGAACTCTAGCTGGTTTCTTGGCTTGCATACCTCCCTTCAAGATGAAATCTTTATTGTTAGCTGAAGATAATAAACCGAGCCATAGCTTTTGTGGCACAGATGTTGCAACCATTGCAGTAGTCTCTGGCCTTGCCCATGACAGACTTTGGGGAAACAATGACGCTTTGTAGGTAAATGATCCTGATGGGTATAAGATGGTTTCCAGACATCCATCATCAAGTACTAATAAAACAACTGCAGGGTCGTGGCATCCTGCATAAAACGGAGATTTTCTTGCTATTGGAACCACATCCACAATAGGTGTTTTGTTTGGAAGAGGTACCAACTTTTGGCTTGTCATGTTTGAATAGTAGTTACTCATTTTGTCATACGAGGTAATTGTGTATAGGGGAGTTCCACCCAAATCAATTATTGTCAAGTTTTGATGTTGTGGTTGCTTATCTAGAGGGATTTGCGTTATTAATAGCGATGTATATTCGGGATTATTTTGGCAAATCCATTTGACAGTTTTTATTCTTTCAGGCTGCTCTAATCTAGCCTTTGTCAAGTCAGGTTGTGGTACATTCACATCAACATCTAATAAAGTCCTGGCTTGGATTAATTTACCGGTGTTAGCATCCCAAAAAACCATTGAATTATCTTCATGAACTGTTAGGATATGTAAGGAGTTAGGATGATACAAAGATTGTATAACCTTTGGCCTCCTTCTCTTGGTATAATCCATAGAGAGATTCCCCCCTGGAGCATACTCTTCTAGTTCATAAATAAAACTCTGCTTGACGTCATCTTCTAAAAATGAGTAAATGACAGTAACTAACTCATAGGAAATTAATAAAGTGCCAATATCTCTTGGGTTCCATTGTATGGAAACTACACGAGACAATTTTTCTCTAGGGAAGAATTTACCTTTTTGCAAGTTCTCAATTCGAATATCAGACATCTGATCTCTATCTACATCATATATCATAATTCCACCGCTCTCTAAACCTATTACAACCCAATCTAATGTTGGATCGGTTTCCATACAGCTGACCTTGACGGGTAGATAGGTCGAAGCTAAGATCTTTTTGTTATGCAGTGAGATAACAACGAGAGTGTCTTTAGAGTCGATAATAACAAGATAAATACCTTTAACAAACGCCATCTCTTTAATGGAAATCTTTTCTGTTATTCTCTCCGGAGGACTAAAGACTACCTCAACCTGCTGTCTACCACACACATGAATTTCACCCATATCAGTCGCAAGAGCCATCAAACTTTGAGTTTGGTCGTAAGCAACTTTAACAACTTTGCCGTTAAATCCATATCTTGCGACAACTTCAGTTGTAAATAACCTATTCAGAGGATTGGAGCTTGTAAACTTCTTCATAGTTGATGTCGGAGCGAGCATTGGATTGCCTGGGCCTATATTCTTCGGTTTGGGAGCTTTAGCACTGTCATCCTTGTTTGATTCTGTACTTTTTGAACTCTTGAATGGGTTCGAAACACCTTTTAGTTTGCCCTTCTTAAACATCCTGATAAATCCCTCAGCGTTGGCTCCCTAAATCGACCTTTCAAATTCTGTCTGTAATAACAAGATCAAAACTTAACAACAATATGTTGTTTCTTTATGTATTGTTCGGTAATATGATCGACGGAGATCGGATTGACAATGGTATGCTTGATTTTGTTTATTTTACTAAACTGATTCTGCGTTTCTTCGTTATTTCAGCTCATCGCTTGTTATTGTCACCTTTTTTTTTGTTTAAGCCCTGAAAAGTACTGAATACGTCATTTTATAATTCAAGTCGTTTAACTAACATAGACATTATTAAAAGAAGGTTATATATTAGTTTCCAAGTAGGGGAAACGATGCTTTACTTTTTGTCTGAGATATATTACATCCAATCAAAAATTTGAAATTAGTTCAAATCACCAACTGGTTTATAGATATTTAAGATGCGCATAACTATGTGTGTATACGAAAGAATTTACCAATAAAGTAATTTGGAGAGATACTGAAATGGTATATTATCTTTGCTATATTAGTAGGATTTCTTCCACTTTTTTCTTCTTTTGACCTTTGTAGGTTTCTCTTTTTCAATCGGCAAATTGTTTACAATGCGCGACTCTGATGGGGTTAACTCCTCTACATCGGATAAACCTTCTTCTTGCTGCAAGATGGGACCTTTCCATAGTCTTTCGGAGACCGAAAGTTTATCATGTTCCTTATTCACTTCGAAATCCATATTAATTTCTCTTTCATAATCGACCTTATCAAACTGGGCTGACAACTCTTTTGCATAATTTGAAATTCTATGGATATAATCAGAAGTGAGTCTGGTTTCATCCAATTTAGTTGAAGCAAAATTCACAAAAGCTTCGACATTTTCAATGAATGTTGCTGAGGTCGAATTTCTTAAAGCGTTTACAGAATGATCTACTATAGTATGTTTGTCCAATAATGCTAGAAGTGATGTAAAGGCATTAAAATGCAGAAATTTCGAAAGTACATTCCTCCTGAAGAAATATTCCTTGGGGCTGGTAAATACTTCATTGATCTTTTTATTAGTTGCTCTGAATGACTTCGTAGCATTCACCCTTTCCTTTATTAATCTCGAAATATTGCCCAATGATTGTAAATCACCTAAAAGAGAGTCGATAAACTGAATTCGATCATTTAGATAACTCTCATTTTGGGAGTTATAGGAAAGATTGGTATGAACACGTACTAATGGAGCTCCTTTTCTCAACTCTCTTTTCATTGCCCAATATTTACATAATAATATACTCAAAGGTATCTCATTAGAAATGTCAAACATAACCAACACTTTTTGAATAATATGAGTAAAGTACATCGGTGCAATAGGCGTGCCTTTATTGGTCTTCCAGTGAGCAGAGTTCTTGTCTTCTGAATTAACTCCCTTTGTAATCAGTTGCTTCTCTTTAGAAACCTCCGAGATTGCATCTCTATTAGCAAAGTATCTGCGTGTTTTCATAATCCCTTCGGCACAGGAAGGCCAGCCTGGAGGAGAATGCTTGTCGCAGTAAGATGTAACATGGTGATGCATTTGATAATGTTTTGAAGCCATTTCAGCAATACTTGTATCATGTGTATCCAAACAGAGGCCCGCTCTTTTGGCACACGTAACATGGTATGCAGCAAAACAGTTCTTATTTGAGCATTGAATGCAAGCCCCTACTCTGAGTTTGCATATATAACAAACAAGTTTCCATCTCGATTTATTAATATTTTCAACACCTTCAATAGGCTCCATATAATGAAGATTCGCGAATACCAATTCTGGAATCCATAATGCACAGAGAACATGGGCCCATGAGCCTGTATGAGTTTGTTTAAATGCACCAGTAGTACTTGGGCATGTCACACAGTTTACTTGTTTGTTTCTTGAAATAAAGCACCGCCTGCATAACCACTGGCCTTCGGGAATAAAGACGATACCATAGCATTCTTGGTGTACGGCTATGTCGCATCCATCACAAAAGACAATCATATTAGTTGTTGTGCTGACAGTTCCATCACAAACAGCACATGCTTGATCAGATGTTAGACCGGTACCATCATCTGAACCGTATAATTCATATCTAACTTTGTTTGCATGGTGTTGTATCGAGTTCAATTGACTATCATTTGTATCTGTGATTTTTGGTGGGATATGCTTATCCAAATGGTACCATTCTAGTTCAAGTATGGTTATTATTATCTCAAAAACCTCCGCTGTTATGTATTTTTCCCCCAGTGATTGATTGAGAAACTCTAGATATAGTGCATCCTGTTCGTCCATATCATATTGAGGAATAAACCCAGACAAGTTTGGTGATAGGGCCTCAAAGTGTGATTGTATTGCTTTATCTCTCTTAATTTGGTTACTGTGAGTCATAAATTTGTCCTTATATATCTTATCACTGTCATGTGCATTAATTATTCTCTGCTGCCGCCTCTTGGTCTTACCTTGAATATGGTCTTGTGAATAAAATTTACTAATTAGTGTATTCCCAACAGATTTCTTTGAATATCTTTTGGCATCTATAAAAGTTGCAAAGTCATTCACAGGGTACGGTATCTGTTGAACATCTGTGGCTTGTTTCGTAATTGTTATTGGTTCCACGGTAATTGAACCATTGAATATCAATTGCTTGTAGTGTTGCTTGCGTATTATCTCATCCTGAGAATCCACACTCTGTGATTGATCTGTTTCTTGGCTGACGAGTATTGGGATTAGGTCATTAGCATCAAGGTCTGGATAAAAATCGTTAAAGTGCTTCTCTTCCCGAAGTTTGGGTCCAACATCATTCGAGGCTCTCGACATTGATCTGTGAGCTTCAAATAACTGTTGAAACTGAAATACTTAACTACAAGCCAGAATCACCAATGAAGAAGTATTATGGTAGAGATAGTAACTGCATTAATAGATATACTAATTATATATTACTTATGGGATTAAAGGGCATCGCACATTTGTAACCTTTTTTTCAACTTTCGTGCCCATTGTTTACTTTTTTTTTCACTGTAATTAATAAATCCCAACGATCGACTGACTGCAGCAAATTTTGGTCGAAGTTGAACAATAGATGTTGAATTAAACTATTGCGCTGAATTGACGACATATGGTTTTTTTAAACCATTGATATTGAAATATACTTTATATATAACTTAACCATTAATAAAAAAACATATACGATAAAAAAAATAAAAAAAACATATAATGAAATTATGTCATAACATTTCGTTAAAATGCAAATACCCCTAGGCATTAAATATGTTTTGAGGGTATGACTCGAGAAATTCAAGTCAGTCCATTAGTGATTTGACTGTGTGTCACATCCCCCGACAACCGTTTCATATTTCGGAGGTTCAGGATAGTCACCGCTGCCATTTGTGGTCATTATGCTGTAATCTTTTTTGAATAGCTCATCTGCAGCTGATACAGTTATGATTGGGAAATTCCTAGGTTTGTTCATATCACTACCATTATTTGAAGTAGTATCAAAACCATCAACACCTGATCTGTTAGAAGTTTCTCTTTTATTGGCAAGTGATGAATGTGATGATAGTAGACCGTCTAGGTTATTATATGTAGACCGTACACTATCTATCATGTTATTGGTACTGACTGGTGGCAGCGATGCCATCAGATGGTCCACGTTCGGTAAATCTGTATCGACCGACAGATCTGATCTTACACTGATAGAGCCAGACCTTGACATATCAAGTGGACTATAATCAGGATAAGAACCGCCATAGTGTCCAGCAATGGCAGCTATTCTTGGAGATGCACTTGGGCTTGCAAAAGGTGATGAGTAAGAAGAGGTTGCTTCTTCAAATGTGGGTGGTGGAACGTTATTTGAAGCCAACATTACTTTAGTTGAATCTGATAAAGCCATATTATAAGTGGGTAACTCGGTGTTACCGTTACTACAATGTTCGGAGACCACATAAATTGGTGTATCGATAACGATTTCAAAGTTCTTTGCAACTGTGGGATCATTTTCGTCTGTCTTTTTTATTCTTAGCATAATCTCCAGCTTGTGCTTTGAGTTGATATTTCTGAAATAGGAGCTGTCAAGGTATAAGCCTCTATGTGATTCATGGTGTCTGGTCTTGGTATTCACGGTAATTCCTCCTTCTGTGAATATTTTGGTCCTACTTTTGTGCATTGTTTTGCTTGGTGATGAATTAACCGAGTTGGAGCTCTTTTGAGACTTAAAAAATCCAAAAACACTGCTTTGTCTTGAGCTGTACCAATCATCATCAGCATTACCTGAGACAAAACTTTCAATACCATATGGGGGTAGGTTTTTTGCAGTTGTTCTATCAAAGTCCATGTGATTTGGAAGTTTTAATGTTGTTTCTACGCATATGGGTTCAATTAAAGGTACAGATTTGGTTTTCTTTTCTGTTGTATTTTTTCTTCTGTTAAATTCAGTGCACTCGTCGGTTACAGAACTGTAGGATAGTAAATTATCATTTAAGCATCCTTCCACCACTTCTTCACAAAGAGCCTTGTTGCCTATTTCTCTAGAACGTATTTCAAGCAAAGGTAGGCTCCTGGTTTTCTTTTTTCTTGCAATCAAGTCTCTATAATACGGGCTGAATGGATCTTTCAGAATAGGATCTAATTGATCATATTCATATTTCCTATTGATGTTGGAATATTTTATAGTTTCAACAACACTGACTCTTATTCGTTTAATCTCAATATCTTTCACTAATGGTGATAACTTTATAACTAGAGGGACTTCGCTATTTATTGGAACATATTTCTTCCCAAAAGATACCTCGTATGCAAGAGAATCAGCCCACACCTTATTAACATAAACTGGTTTGTCTGCAGTAGTCAAAGACTGTTCTGGTGGCATACGAACAATATTTATTGGCTCATCGATGAAAATACTGTATTTGTTCTTTTCAACATTTGCTTTCAGTTCACCAGATGGCCTTCTTTGATCGGTTACACTTCCCTTTCTAGACATACTGATAGGTGAAATTTTTCCAGTCAAGGATTTAGTGTCCGGGGTATCGGTATTGTTATCAACTGATGTAGAGAATTGGTCTTTGATTGATTTGAACCATGAGTTTGTTCCTGACCGCTTTCTTCTGTCTGTTTTCATGTCATTAGTAGCAGACAGTTGATGAGATTCAAATTGGTCTCCACGGCGATTAGCTCTCATTTCCTTCATTGTATTAGTGTCTACACTACTGTGAGCTCTTTGACGAGTATTTTTTGTTCCTAATGTATTATTGTTGCTATGCATATTACTATAATCAAGGGACAACTGTCTTGCCTTGTGTTGTGAAGTTGCATAGTTTTGACCCGGTGTCAAATGGCTATCGAAAGTCTCTGGAGGGCAAGCTTGGAGTTGCGAACTAGGTGGGACAGTTAGTGGAGGCGGAGTAGACACATTACTGAAATGGCTCATGGTCCCGGATGATTTGAAGCAGTCTAAATCGTTTGCGGAAATTGTTACAGGCGCACCATTAGAAGAAGCATTAGTAGAGAGAGGTGGCCTGTTTAGTAGACGCTCAGCAATATTATCATCCACTGCTTCCGCATTTGTAAGAATTTTCAGACGATAGAAGACTCTACCCGAAGGCATTGTAAGTGTCTCCGGCGCCCTGTTTGCAAATGCTACTGGGATAACAAATACATAATCACCAGGCATGAATAGTTCGTCATCATCCAATTCATTCTGGCCATTAGAATTGTTTGTTGAGCGATCATTTCCACCTTTGGAGGTGGTCTCCGATGATTGTGATATTGTAGAATTGTCATTCTCTTGACTGGAACTGCTTTTGCTGGACTCGGCTGAGTTGGATGTCTTTGAGTCATCACTATCAGTAGCATTAAGCATGTCCTGTAACTCCTTATTCAGGCTAGCCTTATTTTCTACGTATTTTCGATGGCTTGTCTTCTTATTCTTGAATACCACATAATCTCTAATCACATCAATGTCTAGGTTCTGTTGGACATCGTCTGCTGAGTATGAATTCGCAGGGATGTAAATGTTATAATTTGTAGCAGAAAGTTTCCAGTTTACAGAGTTTAGCTGGTAGAATTCTTCATACTTGCTCTTATTCGTAGGCAATCCATTATACCAGTGTATGCTAACATTGGAAGATAAGTTAACTATTATCCGTGGCATCTTCATTGGTTTCTCCTTTATTGATACGATAACAGCGATAGACATTGGGGTCATGCTTCCAGAGACATGTGTCCTCTTAGTCTTTTTCTTTTGATCCGGTGTAGTGTTAAGTGTATCCATGGAAGCCAGAGACAAGTCGTTGTTTTCGTTTAGGGAGTCCATGATAGATGGTGGGTTCAAGAATGGGTTTGTATCGTAATGTGGTGCGCCTCTGGCTAGATCTGCTAAAAACGGATTGTTCAGCTTCTTAGCAGGAGTCAGTGTGCTTGCATCTGCAGAGTCCAGATTTAAAGGTGGGTAATCATCGCGGTCCTCCTCCTGTGCAATAGCCGCGGAAGAAGAATGATGTGCCTGCATTTCGTGCCTCTGCGGTGCCGAGATCGAGCTCAGGTACTCCTCCTCGTCCTTGATGGACGTGGTAGGCAAGAACACCGGGTCCGCGGTCGTGGCCATGGATATCGTCATGCAGTCGTCCTTGTGGAAGAGCGACCGCTGTGGCAGAAACCCGCGGTTCATCAAGAAGTCGTTCAAGTAGTTCACAGCGAACAGGTTCGGCTGTCTCTTGCGGTGCGTCACCTCCGCAATACTGTGCCGCCTCGTCCTGGTCCCGTCCGGCGGCGCCAGCTGCGAGCCGTACGGTATACTAGACGACCGCTTCATCGCAGACGTGTCGGACGTGAGCACATAGTTCCGCTGCTGCATATCGGGACCATCCATAAGCGACGCCAGCGTGCTCTTGATCACAGAACGGGCTGTGCCCGGCGAAGCCGGCACACCCGTCGACCGCCTAGCGCTAGTCGTATTACTGCTATGGTAGTTATGTGATAGCATTGGTCTTTATGCCATTTTTCTCTTAAAGGAAGCATTGTATGATGCGTTTATGATGTGTTATGTATATATATAGTGCCGAGGGAGGGGGGTCGTTAGAGCGAATCAGAATCGATAAGATTGGCAGGGGGGACAGTCCAAGAGATGAGAGTAAAGATCATCGAATTTTTCAAAGTTCCCCTCTGAAAGATCCGTAGGAAAACAATGTTGTAGTATACTGTACTTTGTTGTACTTGCAATACTGTGCGGCCCTAATTCCTAATTTCAGTGCCTTCCACTCCCCCCCACAGACTTTCTTTGCGCATCAACCCCCACACTCATGCATCCCTGCAGCCTCTCCCAGCACTTCCTCCAGCACTTCCTCCAGCACTCCCCTAAAAACAAAAAGGGGAGTGCAATTCCCTTGAATATCGGATTTACACTTTCTATCTCCCCCACCCCCACACACTGCCACATTCACCTGTCTTACCTGTCATACACTCACACATAGACACACTCACACAGACACATTCACACAGAGACAATGTCAAATACTTATGACACACCGTGTTACAGTATACCTAACATCATATGATTTCTCGTGTAATTGCATACATTGTATCCGGGTAAATCTATTGCCGGGTAAATCTATATCCGGGTAAATCTATTTTATTCACTCGTAGCTTCTCCAGCTCTCACCTAGTCTCTAATCTCATAATAACGGTGCATATCAGACCCAAGGTCAAAATTGGGTATTCTTAAATCGCATAAGTATAATCAGAGACTTAAACATACCTTACCTTGGCAATTCGTATTGATGATGCGCAGAAGTTCTTCTAAGAAAGGGTCCAGCGGGACTTACAACGGCTCTAGCTCGCTCAGGAACTTCATCAAGGACGTGCGCAACGCAAAGACTCTAGCCGACGAGCGTGCCATAATCAACAAACAGGCAGCTAAGATAAGGACGAAGCTCAGAGATGACCACCTCTCCTCTGACAAGAAGCGTAACAACATCATCAAGCTGCTGTACTTGTACATCCTGGGCGAGCGCACGCACTTCGGGCAGGTCGAGTGCATAAACCTGATCGCCTCAGACCAGTACATCGATAAGCGGCTCGGATACCTGTCGACTACATTGCTGCTCGACGAGTCGCAGGACCTGCTCACTTTGCTCACAAACCTGATCAATAATGACCTGAAACACCCAAACAAGTACGTGGTATCTTTGGCACTGACCGCATTGGGGTTCTTGTCCTCCCCTGAACTGGCTAGAGACCTCTACCCTGACGTAGAGGGCCTGCTGAAGACCTACAGCACCGATCCTTATATACTGAAGAAGGCGCTGCAGTGCTGTGCCAAGCTGATCGCAAAGGACTCCCAGCTCCTCGAAATTGTCCCAATTGACTTGTTCCTGACTTTGCTGAAAGAGTATAGATCGAGCCTGACGAGCCTGTCCGCGGCCCATGGTGTGCTGATCGGTTTGTCAAGACTCTTCCAGGCCATCGCCACAGCAATTACGAACCTGGTAACTCCACAGGAAACATCCGAGTCCGATCCCGAAGACATGGCATACAGACAAAACTTGGCACAGCAAATGATCAAAATATTCTCAGAGTCCTCTTTCCTAGATGACTTCTACCAAGTTCTCGCTAGTTTATCATCCAGAAACTTGGACCCACAGTTCGACGTACAAGGCGTCTCGGACCCGTTCTTGCAATGTGAAGTTATCACTACATTGAGACTATACTTCAAAGCTTACCATAAGTTGGCTACAGAAATTAACCAAGAGCAAGTGGATGGATTCAACGACTTGCTAACAAATATCGCTACAAACACTGACTCCACTAAATCAAGCGGCCAGGCTGTACTATACGAGATCACAAGGACTATATTCGACTTGCAGCTACCTAAGCCCTTGCAAGTGCTGGGTATAAATATTCTAGGTAACTTCTTGTCTCCACGTAGTGTCGGAGGAAAGAAGCCCACCACTGCTGTGATCACAGCACAAAACAATACCAAATATGTCGCGTTAAACATGCTATTAAAGGTCGTTCCATCAGAACCTGAAGCTGTTAGAAGACATCGGAAGTTCATCTCCAGATGCTTGAACGACCAAGACATATCTATTAGAATGCGTGCACTTGAGCTAACTTTTGCAATCATGGACAAGGATAATTTGGTTGAGCTTATCAATGAGGTCTTGAACTTCCTCGCGAAATCTGTTATGAACAATGGTTCCGCGAAGGGGGGCTATTCATCCAGCTACAAGATCAACTCATTTGGAGAAGATATAGATGACTCAAAGGATTTAATTATATTTGCTGTGAATCACATAGTTGATAAGTTTGGTGAAATTTCGGAAGAACAAGGAGAAAATATAGATAATAATTGGAGACTTTCTGTTTTTGTTAAAATTTTGAAATTAGTGGGCTCTTATATCCCTGTTGATCGTATCAGTGATATTCTAATTGCTTTTAATAATACATTGGAAGTAAATTACAAGACTGATGTTATTATTAGAATGCTGGATATATCACTAAGGGAGGTTATGGAGTCAACGGATAAAACTACCGAAGATGAATTTATTGAAGAAGGAAACTTAGGGTGGCAGCTTGTATCAATATGGTGCATAGGTGAATATGGAGATATTGTATTACAAGCACTTCAGAGCGATTCTAAGTTAAATGAAACGTATGGTAAAACGATAAACGAAAAGACAATTGTAAATTATCTGAAATTGAAAGATACGCAATATATCAGGACCAATCTAAAAATTAATCATTATGTATTAACTGCGGCTTTAAAGCTTTCAGTTAGGATACAAGATTTTGCATTGATAGAAAAGTTAAGGCAAATCATTGTTGGACAAACAAAAAATACTGACTTATTACTTCAGGCAAAAGCGACACAGTATGAGATCATTTTTAGCCAGCCTGAAAGTATTAGGAAACAAATTTTGGATGCTATGCCTCAGTTCGAAAGAGCTGTTAAAACAGAAAAGCCAGTTACATCCATATCGCATTTGGATAACGGAAAGCAATCTGATCGAAAGCATGATCCGTTACTTGACTTACTGGGTGATACTGATGTACAAGATACTAAGCAGCAACAGAAAAATAACACAAACTTACTTGCTGATTTACTATTGGGCGAAAACAATAATGGTATTCAATCACAAGGCCAAACTAGCAAAAATAATGAAGATAAACTCACACTTCCAGAAAGCTGTACTTTATTGCAAACTATTGATTGCCTAGAAATCTACGCTAGTAAAATCACTAAAGATGACACTTCTGCTCATCTGGAGATATACTATAAAAACAACGGAGATGTTGAGGTATCCAATCTTCAATGTTTGGTAGCTGTTACTAAGACACTAAAAGTTGTTTTAGGTCAACTGTATCCATCTGTCAATATTCCTGCTAATGGCATTATCAAACAGACCTTAAAAGTGTCAGGCACCGGTAATTTAAAAATGAGAGTAAAATTGTCATATTCAGTAGGTGGTTCTCAACAAACACAACAGTTTGACCATAAGTTTCCAGAGCTCACTTTATAATGGCTTTCCATAAATAGTATTATGATCTTGAAATTTATAAAGTATATATCATAAAACATTTTAAGAAATACTGAACAGCTTATTTGTTTTTCAAATTTCATACAAATCTAGTATTACTTGCTCATCTAAATGACTATGTCTATTTTATTCGTCATGATGTTTATAAAATAATATATCAAAATAGTATAGGTTGAGTTTAGTGAGTAGCAGCACCGGTAGCTCTAGAGGCTTCCTTAACAGATTGTTGCACACCATCGGTCTTCTTTGGACCCAAGATGTACTTGTCAGTCAATGGGGAGATGAAACGGTTGTAAATCATAGTGGCACCACCAGTTTGTGGCAAAGCAATGTACAACAGGAAGATGGTTTTCAAGAACCAGTAGAATGGAATGATGTATAGCAAAGCCTTGGACCAGAATTCAATGACATTCAAGAAACTGAAGACAATCCAGTAGGTCAACAATTGAGTGTCATCCTTGGTAGTGGTGGTCTTCAAAGCTAGGATAGAGTAGTAAGCTGGGATAACAAAACCGGCAAAGTTACCTAAAATTTCACCAATACCACCAACATTGATAAAGATTAAAAGTAAGTAGAAGATGGTAGAGCCAACAACCAAATAAGACTTTGGCAAATTGGTTCTTTGTTCCAATTGGTTCAAAACATTGTTACCAGCAAATTTGGTGTCTAATTCTTTCAATTGAGTTTGCAAAGAAGAAATAACGTCAGCCATTGTTGTTAATTTTAATTTCTCTTTTCTTATACTGTTATCAATATAAAACACAGGTAGAAACAGGTGAAATTAACACTATAAGGTAATAGGTGGGGAAAAATAATTGTTGGGAAATTATTAAATTGATTGCAAGAAATAGTCGTTGCCTTTTCTACTCAACGGATCAACAATTGTGCTAATCCAAATTGTTCATTGAATGAAACAACCCTCGAGAAAGGGTAACGGTGTTTCTTTGTTTTGCTAGGCGAAGCCATTCAGCCACAAGATGATGAAAGAAAAGGGATAAAAAATAATCTGGAAGACCACGAACGAATTATTTACTTAGAGTTGGTGAGACTCATCTGTTGGTTACTAGGTGGGACAGAATTAAAAAATTCAAGATCCTTAATTCTTGTCCAAAACATTATTTTTGTCACTTATTCACAATTATATGATGTACTTTTCACATAATAGTTAGAATAAGAGAACTTCATAAAAGCCCTTTTTGATATAGTAATTCTTTTCATGGCTAATGCAGCAACTTGTAGTATTAAAAGTTAGAAAGGATAAGAAAAGTTCTCACATAAGGTAGCAAGTTATCAAAAAACTGACAAGATGATGTAATTGTAGTGAAACGCTGGACGTCGGCCGTCTATGGACGCTCAACTATAGAAAACAATGGCAAACCATCAAACTTATTCGAGAGGCACCAATAATTTAGATCTTATATTATTTTAGTGTCCTTCCTTTGCGACTAAAAGGGTATTAAATGTAAATTTTAAAAAGTCTTGCTCAAATAAAGTTAATACAGTCTCCAGCTTATTATGATCTAACATCTAATTTACTAAGCGGTTTTAGCTCAGTTGGGAGAGCGCCAGACTGAAGATTCGAAAACTTCGGTCAACAAGTTATCTGGAGGTCCTGTGTTCGATCCACAGAAATCGCATTTTATTTTTTTTTGTTAGTGCATTATCTATGTGCTCTGCATGTACGAATAGTTCTCAACTATCCAAAGGCCTACATTTATTGAAAGCCACTTATCACAAAGAATATTGAACATTTATTGTAAAAGATACAAAGGGAATATTTAAAATATTGTAAGTAATTTCAGATTTTTTTATCCAGATTATAAAAAATAAACTAATTACTCTGCCAAGTAATTATGTGTAGATATGAGCTAGATCCCCAGTTTCATTCTTGAAGGACAATTTCCTTGATGGTTGCGCCTTTCAGGTCATCATCATCGTCATAAGTACCATGGACTGTCAAAACTACATATCTTGCTCGCTTCTCACCTCCTGGTATAGAGTTATAATCTATGGTGAATTCAGTGGTGTTACTTGGTAGCAACTTAATAATGTCATCATCGATAATCTCTTTGTAATATCTTTGGTTTGGCTTTATAGGATAATCCTTTAAGATTGGTATGAATTTCTCTTGCAAGAGATGCATATCAGGCAAGTAAGGAATCAATTGATCCAGATCATCGCCTTTCCAATTCAACAGAGCTAGGATATCATCATCAATTTCTGCTGTGACATTAGACTGTGTCTGACCTAACATTTGATTCAATAGTGAACCACCTTTAGTTATTGAAGATGTTTCTAACAGGTCTGTAATATTAGCAAATAGTTGTTCGATCCTTTCTGAGTGAGGCAAGACTGACAATGAAATGTTCTTTGCTGGTCTTTGTCCCCACAGGATGATACCCTTTTTAATGACATGCGTGCTGTTGAAACCTAAATCAATCAAGAGCTTTGCATTATCACTTTTATCGAATGGTTGCCAATGCGTGTAATTGTTACCATCCAATGCTGAGAAGCCAACATCTCCAGGAACACCAGCCGTCAAGTTTGTAATCTGCTTGCTTTCGGCAATGTTTCCATCAATATTTAGTTTAGTATCATATAATGGAATGACCAGCTCTTCATTAGGATACAAAGTAAAGTAAGTACCATAATAGTCGTCAGTAGCAGAAAGATCATCGTCTCTCTTCGAATACAACGCTGAAGTAATGTTCCTGTCATGCAGTATATCACGATTAGGCACCTTGATTCTGATCGGTTTATCTCCACCTTTATGAGCAATAGTGCCGTTGTTATCATCAATGATAATGTCCAATACCTGACCCATATATTTGAAGTTTCGAATGGCGATACCACCTGGCAATAGTGGAAGCTTAACAGGATCAAATTTTAGTAATCTACTGATCTTCTTAGTCCTTGGCGTGACCTCGTAAGAATATCTTAGACCAGTTAAGCCAAACAAAATACTCTGCAAGAAACCACCGTTTGCAGTTAAAAATGGGAATGCTGGCTGTGTGAGACCATTTGTTAAGAAATTATCGTCCGACTGTTCACTAAACTGGGCAAAAGGAGAACGCAAATAAGGTAGAACCGACTTGTATAGATAGCTCTGAGAAGATGATCCGTGGTTCAATAGACTAGCAGCAGCAGCAACAAATACTGGATAGGTCATAGCAGGACCTGAAGCAGATTGCCTTTCAGAATAGTAATATAGATCTTTAATTGCATTATTCAAAATCGATTCATCATTAATGTATCCCAATGGATAGACCATCAAAGTTACATCTGCTTGCTTGATTTCAACAGAGCTATTCATACCGGAGTATTCCAAAGTAATATTAGAATCTGATCTAGGGATGTGTATGTTATCGGCTATTTCCATCCATTTTGGATCAACTTCTTCACCCAAATGGGTACCAATATCAGTTGCCCATTTCAAAAGTGTTTTTATACCAGCATTGGTGAAAGCACCATTGTTAACATGATTAGCGAATTCATCCGGATCTGTTAGATTATATGTCTCATATTCACCTAAAGTCTCATTGTATTTGACGTAGGCTTTGAAAAACACTGCTGCATCCTTAACCATTGGCCATGTTGTGAAACGTAAATAGTCCTCATCTGCACCTTCTGCACCATTCATATATATGGAAAATGATGCAAGAGCAATGTCAACATTAATATGATATTCATAATCAATACATGGCCCAGTAGAAGTACAGTTAGCATACCTACCAGAAGTCCAAGGATAAACAGCTCCTGGATAGTTATACTGCTTAGCATTTTCTATGGCTTGCTGATGTGTGGCATTTCTATAATTGTTCATGTTCATAGCAATATTAGGAAAGAAAGGTAGGAGTGCTGGAGCCATCCAGACATCCGCATCCCAGAATACCATACCACCATAGGAGTCCGAAGATAAACCACCAACACCAACTGGTAGACCCCTTGTTGTTGAAACATTATATTGCCTTGTATTGGCAAGTAAGTGGAACAACGAAGATCTTGCAGTCATTTCCAGAAGACTATCAGAGGGAATTTCGATAAAGGCATCGTTGTACAAGTCATACCATGCCCTCTTATGATTAGAAAGTAAGGATTTATAGTTACCCTTAGCAGTGTTTGCAATGTTGCTGGCAAATTTTAAATTGACATTTGGATTAGGCTCGTCATTGTTGTATTCGGAGGAAACAACACTTGTGTACTTATATATTACAACCTTCGGATTTTCCTCAGTCAAGTTGGTCATATAGTTCCTGGCAATCCTATCATCAGAAGTAAAGTTGTATGGTGAGAAGTTATTTTCAGTTCCTTTAATGGTGCACGTAGAGTAGACAACAGCATTTGAATATGGAACATTTTCTGGATTAACAATCATGTAAATGGCCTTATTATCTTCGTCCTGGCCCTTTTCATATAGAGTTGTCCTGTGAGAAGTGTTGAAGTCGATAATGTCATAGATAGTTACCGGTAATTCAGTAAATTCATCAGGGAGGGCGTCCAGGTTTAAGGAGATTTCTAATCTGGTAATCCCCAAAGAATGAATTTTTCTATGGGCCCAAACTTCGCTCTTAATATTGATCATACCATTCAACCAGTCCATATTTGTTGAGACGATGCCATCCTTCATCGACAAATTTTGGTTATAATTAATGACATCATCAATCAAAACAGATTGCGGATTAAACCAATTAGTACCGTTAAGATCAACAGTAAATTGCAAATCAGTCCATTCAGGAATTGATGAAATTACAGTAGTGTATCCTTTCTCATCCAACTCAGGAAAGTTAGTAGAGTTTAGTTTGGCTTGCAAGGAGTAGAAATCGGAGACGAATGACCCAGCAAATCTTCTGTTTCTCAACGGCCAGCCGTTATTCAAAGCCCCAGGAGCATCAGCATATAAATTTAGAGTATCCAAAGCGTAACCAAAACCAATATTTGGGATACGTGAGCCAATGTAACCATTAGCAACGTATGGTTGTCTTGAGTAAGTGTTCTCACCAAAGGCAAGAGAACCCAAGATCATATTTTCATCATCATAAAAAGCGTTGTCGAAATCAGACAGCAAATCATACAGGGTCTTTGAAGACTTTCTGGTTTGAGGGTCCGCATGCAAACCCAAGTTGGACTCCCTCATGGGTCTCACCACTCTCCCTTCTTTGTTAAATAAGGGGGACGCTGAGGCAAGGGAGCTACTAAAGTAGGAGTTAGTGGACAGAATAGCCGTCCAGATAACTAACGCAATCAACATTCCTAGTATAAGTGTCGTATTCAGTATATTCTGTCTTCGTATTTTCACTCTTGTACTTATTCTCTCTTCTGGTAATACAAAAAAATCAGAACTATGTGAAAGAGTTTCATTAGTTAAACCAACAGGTCTCGAGTCAGCATCTTCGACAGATTCGTCTCCCTTATATACGTTTTCAAAAGAATGGAAGAACCTATTAGCAACTTGGTCTGCTACAGCTAGCGTTCTGTATTGCACCTCATCCTTCCAAAAAAGAATTTTGTCCTTAAACCCCATTGTACTTCTCTTTCCAGACCTCGCTACTTGCAGTGTTGTCTTGTTATTATTTACAGAGTTTGTGTGTGTGTGTTGTGTTGTGTTATAATCAGAAATTTAGCAATGTTACCAAAAACAAAAAAAAAGGATGTGGGGTATCAAAAATGGCGAAGACAAGAGTCTCTCTCAACAATCATGTAGCAAAGCCGTCGTTAAACTTTTCAGTAGCTGTTCCCACTCCAACCTGATTAACAATACATATCTTAGTCCCTCACCAAAAATATCTAATTTAGCAACAAATTCTCGAGAAATTAGCGATGCCCTTTATCCCCTTTGAATCATCCGTTAGTTCCCTGAAAAATATCAAAAAGCTTTCAAAATGACTTCACTACGCAATTTCGCTAGGAATTGACTATTTTGACTATTAAGACGTCAAAAGTAATGATAAGGTACACCCCCCGCATACAAAGGTGCATTAAAGGATAGATATGCTGTAGCAATCTTGTATTTCTTTGCGTGTTTTGTTTCTAATAATCTGTTCTTCGCAATCAATTGACCCGTTGCGCTATTGCCTCTTTATGTTGCTGAAATACGTTATGTCTTGTGATGTCGTAAGGGTGTCGTATGCCTGATAAATGCAACAATTGCAATGTACAGTCTGCATATAATTGGCTTCACCATTCTAGGCTTATGCTTATTGTATGCGTATGGTATATGTATTTGTGTGGGGGGATAAGCTGTACGATAAAGCTGTCCAAACTATATTCTAGACTCCAACTTAAGGTAAAAAAAAAAGTAAAAGTTCAACAACGGCTGTACACATACAACCTCAACCAAGTACATTCTCAACCTTCGTAAATATTTTTGTTCATATACACACATATGGCAAGCATCAACAAATACTTCAATTGTACAGATTATTCAGCAAGATTTTAGTGTATTCAAAGCTAGGAAAATTAGGGTGCGCATCAAGTATCAACAATTGATAAGTACTAACAGATTCTTCAGACAACTAAGTTACCTATGTTGTCTTTGTAATCGTTTATACCACAATTCTTGTCTCTCGTGGTTGTAATTATTCTTAAATGCTGTTACTAGTAGCTTGCCCTTTTGAAACTTTTCCAACTTTGCGCGATGGGCTCAAATCACAAGATTTTTCAATGTATGGGAAAAAGGATGATACAGTTAAAAATACTAGTTTTGTAGCTCCCAATGGCTGTATACCTGGTAAAACAAACAAACAAAGCATAATAACAGCAAATGTCAGAGTCTGGTGTGTCTACGCAGAGTCCACAAAATTCTTCAACGCCTGATGCGAAGCCAGTTGAGCATCCACCTAATTACAAGAGGTTAACTGATGATGATCTATATAGACACTCCTCACAATTCAGGTTATGGTCGTTTACACCTGACAAGTTGTTACAGAAACGTACAGAGACGAATGCTAGGGCTGTGGTTGTTATAGAAGAGAAGCTTAGGGCATTCAAGGAGAAACACAAGGATGAGTTAACGCCTGATGTAGCGAAAGTGATAGATAGCAAAGCCACACCGATTACCACGGAGGAAGAACTCAAACTGGTAAACTTCTATGCGCAAAAAGTACAAGTCATTGCTCAGAAGATGAGCTTACCCACTGAAGTGGTAGCCACCTCAATTTCATTTTTTAGGAGATTCTTTTTGGAAAACTCAGTATTAGAGGTTGAGCCAAAGGACATTGTACATACCACAATTTTTCTGGCTTGCAAATCAGAGAACTATTTCATAAGTGTGAATTCATTTGCGGAGAAGGCAAAGGCAACAAAGGAGACCATACTGAAATATGAATTCAAACTCTTAGAAACGCTAAAGTTCACGTTAATGAACCACCACCCATATAAACCATTACATGGTTTCTTTTTAGATATCCAGAAGACGTTACATGGCAAGATCGACTTGAAGTACATGGGTAAGATTTACGAAAAATGTAAGAAGAGAATAACGGAAGCTCTACTGACTGATGCTGTTTATTTCTATACTCCACCACAAATAACGTTAGCAACTCTAATGATAGAAGATGAGGCTTTAACAACAAGATACTTAGAACTGAAATTCCATGGACAGGACGCTCAAACGACTGATAATACTACTGACAAGTCTCACAGCATTCATCACATTAATTTTGAGAGGCTCTTAAGTGTAGTTCAATCATGTAAGGAAATCCTGGAGAAACCAATTACTATTAGCGTGCAGGAGGCAAAGGGAATTATGGCAAAGATATACTACTGTGAAAACCCAGAAGGGCTACTAAACAGGTTGAAACGAGAACCACCCAAGGATTCGGAAGATTCACCAGCAAAAAAGCAAAAGGTGTTGCCGCCCCAGTGATCCAAACAAACAGATAATTGATATGCATTCAAGTACAATTTAAATAATAATGAGAATTATTGTAATAAAATGGTGATAATCATGATATTGTTTATATTTTAAATACCAGAGTCTATTTACAAATTATAATTGGTTGATGTAAAAATTAGGAAGTAACCAATCTTCCATGCTATCTAATGCTAGTTTACAGGTTAAAAAAAGTGGATCCATAAATGTCTATAATATACAATTCTCAAGTTTTACTTGATAAATCAACATCAATAGTATTTTAAACTTTTAACATTGTCGGTATCTTCGACTTGTCTCCACCACCGATATCCTTTCTCTCATCACTGTCAGGCCCTTCAACCACAGTATTAGTAGATGATTTGCTTTTATTAATTGGCTCCCCTTTGCATATCTTTTCAATTTCTGAGGCATCTAACGTTTCATACTCAACAAGACCTTGGGCCAATCTGTGGAGCTCTTCGTTCTTTTCTTCCAGTAGTTTTCTGGTCCTCTCTTCAGACTCCTTTAGTATACTTATGACGGCATTATCAGCTGTATTTTTGATGTTATTAGACCAACTGTCCCAGTTGTCTCCTAGGTTCACTGGTCCTACATCTTCACACATACCATATTGTGTTACCATAGCACGAGCGGTACCAGTGGCACTCTGTAAATCGGAGCCACACCCACTTGTGGTGTTTTCCTTTCCATATATTATCTCCTCGGCAATTTTTCCGCCCATGCATACATCAAGTCTTGCTAGACATTCCCTCTTCGTGATATCCACTTTATCCATTTCTGGCAATTGGAATGTGACACCCAATGCCCTGCCTCTTGGCAAAATGGTAGCCTTATACAATGGAGTAGCACCATTAGTGTATAGGGCCATAATAGCATGACCAGCTTCATGATAAGCGGTTGCACGTCTCGAAGCTTCAGTCAAAACCATCGTCTTTCTCTCAGCACCCATTAGAATCTTATCTTTAGCCCATTCGAAATGTGTCATGTCAACAGCAATTGCATTCTTTTGACAGGCATACACGGCAGCTTGGTTAACAAGATTAGCCAATTCCGCACCAGATAGGCCTGGCGTTCCACGTGCTATGATAGTTGGATCCACGTTTGGTGCTAGAGTAATCTTTTTCATGTGATGCTTCAAAATATCAGCACGACCACGTACATCAGGTAGATCGACGTTCACAACTTTATCAAATCTACCCGGTCTGGTCAGAGCCTTATCCAACGATTCTGGGAAATTGGTTGCACCAATGATGATAATACCGCTGGTTTGTGAGAAACCATCCAATTCGACCAGAAGCTGATTCAAAGTTTGCTTTGCGTAGGCTTGATCTTTTGGGTTACGTTTTCCTCCGATGGCGTCCAATTCATCGATGAATATGATAGCTGGAGCACGCGCACGAGCTTGTGAGAACAGTTCACGGATACGTTTGGCACCAACACCAACGTAGACCTCATCAAATTCAGAACCCGACATAAAGAAGAAATCAACACCTGCTTCACCTGCGGTGGCACGAGCTAGCAATGTTTTACCGGTACCTGGTGGACCAGTCAGCAAGACACCCTTTGGCAACTTACCACCTAGGGATTCATACTTGGCTGGGTCTTTCAAGAAGTCAACGATCTCTTCCAGTTCAGCACGAGCCTCGTCACAACCACGAACATCATCAAACTTGACGTTGGTCTTTGCTACATCAACAGATTTATCGGCCACTTCAGAGTTCTTTAGCAAAGTAGTGTTTTCTGCAATGTACTTGAATGCTTCAGAGACACCGTAAGCGAAAATACCAAAAAACAATACCCATTTGATCCAACGAGAAACCACTGTAAAAGTTGATTCAGAGACTACCACATGCAAGGGCTCTTTGCGGGAACCATACAGTGGAGAATAAAGGGATGGAAATGTCGTGTGGTAGCCCGAGGAACCTGGCGAAGAGGAAGCCAATGACGGATTGACAGCGCCAGCAGAGGATGCTGTAAGCAAGTTCTGTCTGACCGAATCAGCCTCGGCGTGCCTTCCTATTCTTTGCAGAGCCTCCATGTAGAGCTCCATACACTCCGGAGACGAGGCGATCCCCGGCGTTTCAAATCTCGAGACCACATACTGTGGGTAGTTTGATTGCAGTAGCAGTTTGTAGAAAGTCGCTTGTGCCTCTGGGTTTGTTAGATCCTTGTTAGCCTCCTGTTCTCTAGTGGCCAATAACGCATGCGAAACCGAGGCATCAGCATTAGCATTGGCATTGGCATTGGCATTTGCACTTGAGTTCGCAGTAGTTGCTGTTGTATTTGTGTTAGCGCTTGCGCTCTTACCACCACCCAAGGCTGCACCCGATGTCTCGGTGGCGCCCTCATCGCCACTTTTCTTCATATCAGAATACCTCCGGTTCGCGCACATACGCAGCAGACTGGCACGCCCACTGTACACAGACCTGACTCCTACAACAGAAACACTCCTCAACATAGCAGTCCTCGCCACTGAGGGCAGACCTGCCAACATCATCTCTTATATTGTACCTAAATGTGTACCTAACCCCCCGCGTGAAATTTTAATTAGAACAAAGAGGTCAATAGCGCAGTAGTAAACTCCTGTTTTTCCCCCAAATATAAACTATATCCAAGTACTTTTGGGCGCTTAATTTTTGTACTCCCACACAGCCTCCCCCGGTCCCAGCACTACTTTCAAGTCCTATATTTGGTATCACACAACTTAAAGCCCAGAACACCCCCCCAAATGGGATTACACCACGGTTTCCCACACACGGGGGTGTACGGTTGTTCAGGACATCGCAAACGTTGAGAAAGTCGGAAAAAAGGCTTCTGGGCCCTTCTCGCTCACCCAATTACCAAATCTCGGAAATTTGTAGCTCTACACGATATTCATCTCTCTGCTGGGGTGACAGAGAAATATCTTAGAAACCGCACAGGCCTTGCCCCCCTTCCCTGCCTTCTCCGAGAAGTCCGGTTTCGTCAAAGATGCTGTTTGTCCTGTCGTATTGAATGAAGTTATGAATCTCTTTTGATGATTTTACCCGGCCGAATAATTGGTATAAATCGTTTTGTACTGCAGATCAGGTGGATGCCATTTACGTATAAGTGTATATACATGTGACCTAGCTTTTTCAACATCTCTATGTACGTGACATCCGTCCTCTTTCTTAAGGCACTTCTTTCACATCCGCATACTGCAATACCATACTCATACCTTGCTATTAGTATAGATTAGGTTGCTTGTAAATCAGTACACACTACAGAGTCTTGTACTACTGAAACTCGGAAACTACGCTTGTTACAAAATACCACTTACCAACTGAACAGTGCATTTTTTGCCAGCATTTGAAATGGATCAGAAACAGGCCCTGAAGTTTTGCACCGTGTGTGCGTCGAATAACAATCGGTCTATGGAGTCGCACAGGATACTGCAAGAAGCGGGCTACGAGGTCAGCTCGTATGGTACCGGCTCTGCTGTGCGTCTACCCGGTTTGTCCTTTGATAAGCCCAACGTGTACCCGTTCGGCACGCCTTACAACGATATATACAACGACCTGCTGAGCCAGTCTGCTGAGCGTTACAAAGCCAACGGGCTGCTGCAGATGCTGGATAGGAACAGGAGGCTCAAGAAAGCACCAGAGAAGTGGCAGGAGGGTACCAAGACTTTTGACTTTGTGTTCACCTGCGAGGAGAGATGCTTTGATGCAGTGTGCGAGGATCTCATGAATAGAGGCGGCCGTCTCAATAAGATCGTGCATGTTATTAACATCGATATCAGAGACGATAACGAAAATGCCAAGATCGGTGGCAGGGCCATCCTAGAGTTGGCGAATATGCTCAACGAGAAAGTCTCTGAATGCGAGCAGAACGACACGCTGTTCGAGGACTGTATATTAGATATTCTAACTAAATGGCAAGAAGCACATCCTCAACTCCCTTGTCTTTACGCTCCAAGCTACTACTAATACAGATACAATACAGATACAATACAAAACATACCTTGCATACTTTTGGCATTGTCCTCCTGCATTCCCCAGCCAAAACAATGAAGATATTTATCTTCAAAAATTATATACCTTAAACTTGAACTTCACTCCTTCACCTAATGCATTTTTTTCATTGCATCAATCATTACACAACATTTAATACATAATTGTAAAAAAATTATCATCTTAGTTCCGCATTCATACTATTCATCTCCTGATAAATCAAGTAAAATGAGGAAATGCAAATTTTGGCCATCATACCCTTAACATACTATACGCCTAGGTACAGACCCAATTTGTCAAAAAATATCAATTCCTATACTTGCTTTCTTCGAGGAACTCATGAGCTGCGTCAAATTTAACACACAGCTTTGTATGAAGAGTCTTCACGAAAGGAAAGCAGCTTAGAAATTGTAAAAAAATATTCATAATGAAAAGAGAATCAAAAATTATAAGACCCACCCGTTTCTACCAATACCTGTATAGCTCTCAGCTCTTCCTAAAAAAAGCCAAGAAGACTCAGAAATTCACAGAAGTAACTTACCCATACCAAACTCCATGAAAAGAGATAAATCCCATTCCATGTCATCTAGTAAAGGTGCCATAGTGCTGAAAAGAGGCATCCAAGTTCAAGAGTGGCAGACCAAACCCACTATCTCACAACCACTCAACCTTCATAGATTGAAAACCTAGAATCAGTGGCCTCCATGAGAATATTGGGTAATAAGGACTATCAGCATCTTTATGCTATTACCAGAACCTCCACTTCAGATAATTTCATACTACTCAAAAGAGCAATAGTCATCACCCAATGTTAAGAAGAACCAGTCATAACACCTTGGCTTCCTCAAAGCAACTATGATTACTTAAACTGGAATCCCAATTAGGACAAAATGCCCTCGAATCTGAATACCATACAGTAACCAGCTCCCCAAGCACCAGTTATAATACCTGGTGCCATAATTCTCCAGGCAGAATGAACACAGGACTCCAAAAGTAGATAAAAATCCAAGCTTTTGCAATTAAGAAAAAACAAAGAAATTAACCCACTTATTGGAATTGGGGAACGAAACGTCAGCAGACACCTTTTCCGCAAGTATGTGCAAGTGACCAGGGAGTTTACATCAATTGGAGCAAAAAGAAGTTTTCTTATCCCAAAAGATCAGAGAACTTCCAATGCAGGAAATGCATAACTTCCCTCTAAATTGGAAAAAAACGATGCCTGGTCAGAAGGACTTCTTGATCTCCTCTGACATCTTAAGGTAAGTATGATTCTTTTAAAAGGAAACAAGAACAAATATTGAAGGAACAAAAAGGACAGCTCTTGTGATATTTAGTAAACGTTACATGCAATGTCTTCGCTATTTATACTTTTTCAAAGTTTGTGAGAAAAAAATTGAAAAAAATTCTCCTCGTACAATGATACGCCCTGTAATTGCAAGATAGTAACCTCGAACAGTTTATCTTCAATAGATATGTTTTTTGAATTTAATGTATATGCAAATGCTATTATTCTATAATTTAAGTTATTTATATACTAATTGATTCCCACTTAGCCAACCGATAAACATCAGTACCAGTGTTACGAATTAACACAAATCTTGATTTATTATCTCTTAAGGCCTCACTGTCAATGAAACCATTTATCATTCCTCTACCCAGACCTAAATGGAAGGTCCCCGAGGTAGCAAACCCTATCAAGTTGGTGAGTTCAGGTTTCGGAATCTGTTGTTCATGCAATTTCTTACCATTAGCTTGATAGATACCGCCCGCAACTTGCTTCCAGAAATTGAGGTCTTGATCGGGTATACTGTATATCCTGGAGTTATCACTAGGCCTTCCTTTATCTATCAATGTCGCTGAAATTGGAGTAATTGAGAGCGGAACATTTAGAATATGATCTGGTTTTGATATGTCCATTGCGGGGTAAGCTTTGCTTCCCTGCCTGTATTGAATAGGTAGAGTTGGTGAATCGATATCTGCATTATCTTTAACATCCTTGTATAATTCAAACAGATCGTTAACGTTTCTAACAATTCTGTTCTGATTATCATCAAACTGCCCGGTTCTTTTTTCGTCAATGTATTGAATCGGTGTACCTTGCTTAGAAAGAAATTTTAAACCATTCCGTAATATTTGAAGTAATTTCCAGTCACATGAAAACGGATCGCCAAGCTCACCTGCAATTGTAGGCAGACATTTTGAGTGAATGTTCCGGATTTTCTCATAATTCACCCTTTTGCCTAACGGCTTTCTCTGCCACCGTGCATATGATGATTCCCTTTTAAATACGCTATTCTCTAGATAACCTTGCTTAGTAAATGGAAAATCATCTGGAAAATATAATTGCTTTTTCTCATATTGAAGTTGTTGAACTTGTCTTAATCCAATATGGTATACCTTGGATATCTTATTAATTTGATACCAGTATGGCAAAAACCAAAACCAAGGCAAAATGACAAGCCAGTCATCAGATTTTTCTCTTTTTATTATAGAGATTGGTATTTTTGGATCAGTTTCATCATTAAAGGGCAGCAAGTTACTTGTCCCAGTCTTATTTGAGTTCTGTCTTAGTGCAATGCTTTTTTTCTTAGCTATCATCTTCAATGTGTGTTGATTTCTGTAGGATTCATATCTTGAAGTAGAATCCGCTAATTTATTGAAAACCATAGATATTTCTTCCTTTGGAAACGATTTTTGAATATTCAAAATATTGTTAGTGATCTGATTTAAATCACAGGTAACATTTGGTAGTTGCGGCTTGCTCAGATATCTCGGATCAATAGCGTCAAATGCAAACATAGTATATTTTGGAAGTATTGAATCATCAGACAATTTTGCCACACTTAACAGCTGTTTATATGATTCACAAGGTTTTGCGGACCTCATAACCGAGGCTATTGCGGTTAGAGCCTTAGCACCTTTTACTGTGAAACTGGCCAAAGCAAAGCGTGAATCCGTAAACTTTATCTTATTACTATACGTTGCACAAAGCTCATCAAATACTTTCCCATATAGAGCTGGATGCAGTCTTATCAATAGTTTCGAATCTGTTATCCACATAATCTCTCCAATCCCTATTATGTTATCAAAATTTTGGCTGGGATCATAAAATATGCCTTCATACCACTTATAGCCATTTTTGTACTTCTGTTTAGTCACTTTATTTGCTGTTAGTTGTCCTGCTAGTTTATCCAATTCATTTTGACTCTCAGGGTTTGAGGCCTCTAAAATCATCGTTCCAAAAAAACTCGAATCCATACAAAGTGCACCATCAGATGCAGCCGTTGAGCCGCCAAGTCTATGAGTCAATTTAAAGCACTTCTGGGTTGGTGACCAGGGAATTTGGTAACCCCAACGTTTCATCATATGCGATCTCTTTGCATTCCAGATATGGCTGGGTAACCATGTGAAAAATCTTTGTCTCTTAAGATACTTGACCCTCATTTTGGGTGCTGATGCTAAACTATTAATACCTATATTATCATAACTGCCCATCTTGTTATTCAGCGCTTGGGAGTTTAATCTGCGACTGGAATTAGATTTGATTGTCTTTTTTAAAGTATTTATCTTGTTTCTGATCTTTGTGTTTTTTAAAGTAACATTCCTAGGCAATGCTAACTGCAAGGAGGTGGACCTAGAAGCCAGTCTTAGAAGCTTGATGGCCATTCGTATTTTATACAGTTGCCGCTTTGTGAGACCATGTGCCTTGTACTTAGATTTTGCAGGTTTCTTTTCAGTAGTCGCATTCTTGCCCTTATTATCATCGATATTGCTCTTCTTCATCTCACGCAGAGCTCTGTTCCTCATACGTTTGGGAATTCGCCTCACATTGTGAGATGCAGTCCGTCTACGCAACTTCCTAGGCAATGCCTGAAAGACTCTTGTAGAAGAGGAGGATTTGGAACTCTTCATCGCCATCTGCAAGCTTTGAATCTCATACCGCCTGGAATTGATGAAATTGCCCACCTGCAACATACCACCAGCTTCAGAGACATCACCTTCACGGTCGTTCTTGATCGACTCGGTCCTAATCTGCCTTGCATCCCGGACCTTCTGCCGCTTGAACAGCTGATTATCATTCAATTTCTTCTTACCAGACATCAGTACCAACTCTCAGGTCAACGCCAAGCTAGCCTCAACCACCACCAGCACCGCCAGAGACCACTCTCTTTAAAATAATAAGCTCATCGCATTCTTTTCAAATCGAAGGCAGCAAATTTGAAATATCATGTGTGTGGTACGTTACCAATGATATTATCGATCAAAGCGTTAATCCTCACAAGGTGATATGAGCCAGAGGAGTATAGCAAGTAATTTAATGCAAATACATTTAGCAAGATGTTGGTAATTGCTCATTTCTATATGTATAGATCAATTGTTATACCAACAATACCATAAGGATTGTAGTTTGAAAGTTAAACACCCAAATAAGACTAGGGTAAAATGACAGACATCTGACCTCTACGCTGGGTAGCTCAAGAAAGAGAATTGAACAATGCCTGCACTATGTTGATATTGTCACACTACAAGTTCTTTTAGAAGATGTCTTTGTGTGCGTTTCTGTAAGATCAAAACTGGCAATACCTAACTGACAAATGTGTTTTCTTCTGGGGCAGACGAAGCTACGAGCTCAGTACTTTATCACTGGGGCTGTGCTATCAAAATGGGAAATGGTGACTTCTCTTTCGTTTGATCCAATAAAATTAAATTGATTAATTTAAATTTTAATTAATTTAATCACTTGGTCATCCAAAAATCCAAGACAGGGTCTCTTGTCTTTCGAGTTCGACCCACCCTTTTTTATCCAATTGAAAGCAACCGTACGTGTTTCTCAAAGGAATTGAGTTTTAACTTCTCTGGTAAAACACCTTTCTCGAAGGTTGAGTGGATTATAGCAAATGTAAGATAAGGCAATAAATGTACATGAGAATTGAGAGAAAAAAAATTTACTCTATTCTATCTGATGTAATCTCTTCCATGAACAGTTTTTTTAAATCTTATATATATTTCTTACAATGGCCTCATCGCATCTTAAACTTACAGAATCTTGCATATTTACAAATTTTGGTTTGTTAAAGGAGACTGGCTCGAGTTTTTAGAAGTTATTTGATTGTTTGCTAGTTATTAATATAGAATGGTTAACGTTGTATTAGGTTCCCAATGGGGTGATGAAGGTAAAGGTAAGCTAGTTGACATCCTAGTGAGTCACTACGATGTCGTTGCTCGTTGTGCCGGTGGTAACAATGCCGGTCACACTATTGTGGTCGATGGTGTTAAGTATGACTTCCACATGCTACCATCAGGCTTGGTCAATCCTAATTGTAAGAACTTGCTAGGTAACGGTGTTGTGATCCACATTCCATCATTCTTCAAAGAATTAGAAACTTTGGAATCCAAGGGGTTGAACGACGCTAGAGGCCGTCTGTTCATCTCATCTAGAGCACACCTAGTGTTTGATTTCCATCAACGCACCGATAAGCTAAGAGAATTGGAACTGGCCGGTAGATCCAAGGACGGTAAGAACATTGGTACGACCGGTAAAGGTATCGGTCCAACTTACTCCACAAAGGCATCCAGATCTGGTCTAAGAGTACACCATTTGGTGAACGATAACCCAGGTGCTTGGGAGTTGTTCGAAAGCAGATACAGAAGACTTTTAGAAACCAGAAAGCAACGTTACGGTGACTTCGATTACGATGCTGAAGAAGAATTAAACCGTTTCAAGCAATATAAGGAATCCCTAAAACCTTTCGTTGTCGACTCTGTTGACTTCCTTCATAAATCAATTGCTAACAATGAGAAGATATTGGTTGAAGGTGCTAATGCCCTAATGCTAGATATTGATTTCGGTACTTACCCATACGTTACCTCCTCTAACACCGGTATCGGTGGTGTTATCACCGGTCTAGGTATCCCTCCTCAAAAGATTCAGGAAGTATACGGTGTTGTTAAGGCATACACCACAAGAGTTGGTGAGGGTCCATTCCCAACCGAACAATTGAACGAACAAGGTGAGAAGCTTCAGTCTATTGGTGCTGAGTTTGGTGTTACTACAGGTCGTAAGCGTCGTTGTGGTTGGTTGGATCTTGTCCTATTGAAATACTCCACTTTGATTAACGGCTACACTAGTCTAAATATTACCAAACTTGATGTCTTGGACACCTTCACGGAAATCCCAGTCGGTGTTTCTTATAAGTACAAAGGTGAGACTCTAAACTCTTTCCCAGAAGACCTGCTCACATTGGGTAACGTCGAGGTGGAATATGTAACACTACCAGGTTGGAACCAAGATATTACTCAAATCAAGAAGTATGATGACTTACCGGAAAATGCTAAGAAATACCTAAAGTTTATTGAAGATTTTGTCAAAGTACCAGTTCAATGGGTTGGTACCGGCCCAGCCAGAGATAGCATGCTTGAAAAGCAAATTTAAGTCTTGTTAACATGTATCCTATAACTGCATGTTCAATTCTTTTACCATTCGAACATGAATTAGTTGTTCGCAACATTTACGACACTTTTTGCTCATTAGAATACATATATAAAATTGAACTTTTTAGTCATGTCATAAATTAGTTTGTAGTTTAATTATTATAGATTGTATTTATTAAACATAACATAACCGTGCGTCATCGAATATTTTGTAGAAATAACAATTGGAAAAATTAAATCCTTATTGGATGCAAATGGTATACTGGAAAGCTTAGTTATTTCTGCAATCTCATTGATTTCAGTTTGGTATACAAACATAAGGCAGTTCCAGTATATACCAGTTTCAGTTTAGATTAATCAGCATTAACTTGATATTCAGAAGAAGGCAGCTTTTCGTAGAGGCAATAATCAATATACTTAGCATGATACAACTTAGTCCAGAGCTCAGGAATATATTCCTTCATCATACAGTCGATAATTTCAGGAACCGCAAATGCTCTACCTAAGAATTTAGAATCTGAACCATCAATGAATTTTTGACATACTACTGCATTCCAGCGGTTTGCTGAATTAGACCCTGTAAAGCTATCCTTTTCGCCATCAGTAGGTAAAGTAATATCAACAAAATAATCACACTCTTCAAGAGGCCATATCTTAGATTCATCAAACATGTTCCTATTGTTCATACCTTTTGGTACAGCTCTAACCGCTGTAAAGATTGACTCGTCTTCAATGAAGTCACCTGGCAATAGACCATCAAAACCTGACTTAACAAACCTTAATCTATGAGCATTAGGTAGGTAAAATGAATTTGGGAAATGATACCACTCTCTACCGGTGCAGACATTTACTGTAGAATTAGAAGTACTCTCTCTAGAAAACAGTTCACTATAAACAGTCATTGGAGCCCTGTAGTTTTCAATCAATGCAAAGATTCGCAATAGAGACTGTAGAATTACTGTTCCCACTATAATAAGCTTAACAACGAATGCAAACGAGAAGTACTTTTTATAGACTTTCAGTGCTTTATACGTCAAAATGCTGGCACTCAAACTAATATAACCGTAGAGTGGGTATAAAAATCTCTCCTCTTTATGTGGCTGTAGTGCAAATACGGTAAACCACACAATTGCACTAGTCCAAAGTGGCCATAATCTCCAATGAGAAACACCTAAGACAGCAAAGCCTAGCGTAGTGATGGGGAAGTTTAGTAATAGGTTTTGAATATAATATGAGAATGGTTCAGTGCCAAAAATATTTGGACCTGCCTCTTCATCCGCATTCAAGACATTATAAAAGAAAATGTTCCATGCTACTGGCGCAAATTTCCCATAGAATAAAGAGTCAATGCCAATAACAATTACAGATATCAATAAAAATATCAATGAACAATCAAATGCAGTTCTAACAGAAGAAATGATTCTGTGAGTCCACACATAATGGATACAGAGCGGTAAGTTCAGAACTAACACAAAAGGCCATCCCAAAATTCCGGCTATCATATTGAATGTCAAACTTCCAATGAAATTGCTGGATGCACTGGTAGACAGATACTTCAATGCATAATTTATGGAGCCCAGTTGCAATATCATTGCAATTGCAGATGGTAGCAATTCAACGGATGCATGGAACCAGCCTGGGTTAAAAAGCTGATAAAATAACCAAAAGTTAGCAATCTCTAAAGTAGTAGTACCAGTAATTTCCTTGAACAATTTCCATTCCTGTATTAAACTAAACAGGCCGAGCAGTATTCTCACAGCGTAGAAGTTCCAATTTGCCTGTATCTCCGCCACGGCATTCAAAGGATATAGCAATGAATAAAAAGGTAACAGGAAACTCCATGATCTGATAGAATATTCAGGTGAATATTCCCACGTCTGTTTACCAAACCCACGTAAAAGTAAGTTCAATGGCTCCCAATAGTTGAAAGTTTCGTCACAATCGGAAATCAGAGAATAAAATGGCTGTATATACAGCCTAGTAGCTACTAGTAGCACCACCAGCACAAATGTGCAGTATTTATTGTTCATCGATTATGTAAGTTCGACAAATAAAAAGGACAAATACGTAGCAACAATTGATCCAGTTACGTATTTTGCATCCAAAATGTGGTGTTTGCGACTTGCAATTTATAAAGATAAGCCAAATACAATAATATCCAAAAAGCACATATAGATTATAATGACAGAAAAAGTATAACACTGAACATTGAGATTGAATGCATACCAATATTGTCTGCTCATGAATTATAATCAATCTTTTCAAGTACAAATACGAGAGAGAATGCCCAAGATCGATCGTACGTGTGTGCATATTTAGGAGGCCCGTGTAGAAGTTTATTGCTCAAAGATTTAAGCTTACTTACTATCATGCAAGGTCAAAACCAGATTTACTAATACAAGCACAGCCTGTTAATCTCACATTAATTGATTGAGGTGCTTTTAAAAGAGAACAGGTTTTTCTATATATTTTACTACTCGCCACTATTCATTTATAATCGAGTTTAGACCACTTTGCTTTTGGTAAAAAGATTCTTGTTTTTATATGCTTACAATACAGCTCTTCCAAAACCAATTTCACCAAAACAGATAATTCATGTAAAACTGGTCTATTATGCTTGTAGAACACTACTTTGAATACAAAAATAATGTTAATAGTCTTCAATATTCCAGATCATAAAACTGAAAAAAAAAGTAAAAACAAAGGCCATGCGATGAGATGAGCTGAAGGTAAGAAGTGTGAGTAATTTATTAAACCAATACATTAATCGTTGCAACAAATTTGGGGCTCCAGAGGTAAGCACAGTATCGATACCATGCAATCTTCAGGTAAGGAGATATCACAACTTATAGCATGCCCAGTTTGTAATGAAAAGATTCAGTTTGCGAAGATAAATAGCCATTTGGATAATTGTACCACTGGGAAGGCACAAAACGGCCAAAAATCTATAACTAGCATACTTGGCAATAGTAATAAACGAAAATACGATACAGCAGACAAAGCTAGCGAAATAATCGATTTGGACAATGAGAATAATGCTGATATTCCACAAAAGAAGATCAAAATTGAAAGTACTGAGAACACAACGAACACAACGAACACAACGAACACAATAAAAAGCTCTGACTATGAGTTCAGGTATTTACAAAAGATCAGTCATTTACCTTTAAGTGAAAAATTAAGGCCCAAGGAGATACGAGACTATGTCGGACAACAACATATCTTATCACAAGAGAGTGGTGTACTAAACAAATATGTCCAAGAAGGTTTAGTACCCTCTATGATTCTCTGGGGCCCACCTGGTGTGGGTAAGACTACATTGGCTCGCCTATTAACAAAAACAGCCTCTTTACATGGTAGCCGGTATACCATGGTGGAGACCAGTGCCACTAAAGCCAATGCTCAAGAGTTAAGATCAATTTTCGAGAAAGGTAGGAAAGAGTACCAATTAACAAAGAGAAGAGTAGTATTATTTATTGATGAAATCCATAGATTTAATAAAGCACAGCAAGACTTGTTGCTTCCCCATGTTGAGAATGGCGATATCGTGTTGATAGGCGCTACCACAGAAAACCCTAGTTTCCAGCTGAATAATGCTTTGATCAGTAGGTGCCATGTCTTTGTACTTGAAAAGCTTTCAGAAACTGAAGTTATAATAATTTTATCTAGAGGTGTTGCACTTCTGAACAAATTACGGAATGTAATTTGGAATGTCAAAAATCCATTAAAACTGTCTAGGAGTATTTTAGTTTATTTGTGCGATATTTCGGTAGGTGATGCTAGAAGAGCCTTAAACCTACTCGAAATGATTGAAGTATCGACAAGACATGTTGAGAAGGAGCTAACAATTGAACAAATTCGCGAAATCATAAAGAATAATAATTCTCAAGGATTAAATACATATTATGACACCAAAGGGGATAATCACTATGATACAATCTCTGCATTTCATAAAGCTGTGAGGGGTAGTGATGAAAATGCATCTTTATACTACCTAGGAAGGATGCTGCAAGGTGGTGAAGATCCACTATATATAGCACGGCGTATGATTAGGATAGCTAGTGAAGACATAGGTATTAGGGACAACTCTATGCTTCCACTAGCCATTGCTGCCCATGATGCAGTGATGAAATTAGGATTACCTGAAGCTGATATGGCATTGGTTCAATGTTGTGTATCTCTGGCGAGGGCTCCAAAATCAGTAGAGATTTACCGTGCCTGGAAGAATTTAAGAGGAATGCTTGCTGAGAATAAATATAATCTTGCCAGCAGTGAAGTACCTATGCATATAAGGAATGCACCTACCAGATTAATGGAAGAATTAGGATACCACAAAGGTTATAAATATAATCCGGACTATAAAGATGGTATTGCAAAACAGGACTATTTCCCACAAGAGGTTCTCGATAAATGCGAAGACCCTAACGAGCTTAAATTTCTGACAGGAGAGCACTTTGGAACCAAAACTGATCCCGATCTTAATGAAAACAAGTAATTTTATAGATCTTAATATGCTCCGCAAAGACAGATATTTCAAAATTTCATACAGACTTTGCAATCTGATTCCAACCAGAAGCCAACTGCGTCAGTGCCCTTAAAAGGAAGAAGTTTTGATCCATATATATAATTTAAGGTCGCATCATGCTTCTGAAAATCTAACGTCATATCAATTACTACATAGAACTACTATCCTAATGCTGCTTTTCAAGATCAAATATTGATTACTATAACAACCGATGCCCTAATCACATCTATAATCTGCCTACTTAGGGCTTCCGTTGGCCAACCATACAAAAATGAATTGGTTAGGGCTAGATTTACATGAAAAAATTGGGTATGGCACGACCCTACGGTGTTTCCGTGTAATTTTACAGATTCCGATTTTAGGTGAGAATCTGACACTGAAAAAAATACGTCATCACCAAGTACCCAATAATAAAGTGGTAGTTGGTTCACGATTATCTATCTTCTCGCATATCTATTTCCATCAAGTTGATAAAGTTGTCATAGTTGCATATACCACTACTTGCCGATAACTTGATAACTACAAATTGTGATTTCGAGACGATCTTAAAGACAAATGCTTTAATCTGGTAAGATCAAGAAATGCCAAGCATTGATTTGCTTATTGATCTACCATTTTATACTAATTAGTGATCAATGCTGTATTAGTGTTTTTTTACAGTGCAATTTTTTCTAATGTTATGTTCTTATCTAGTCATTCTGTTAAACTGAATGCCATTAGAACTTTTCTTAGAACATTAGTATATCTAACATAGATCAATAATTCTACTATTGACAACTGCTCTTAGAGAACTTGAAATTGAAACTTCACATTAAGGAAAAAACATATAAACAATATGATATACTATAAGGTATTACTGGCTAACCATATCCACTAATTACCTCTATGTTCCAAAATGCTTTTGATAAAGTCAACTATTTGTTATTTATTTCATATTTGTGTGTGTTATGTCTATATTTACAACTCAGTCTTATAGTAATCTGAAAGTTCCCTACGTGCTAGCTTAAACTCTATTCTCGCTTGCGCTAGTGCTTTCTTTATCAGATACAAGTACTTCTTGTCATCTTGAGGCACTTCTTCTTTCTCTTCTTTCTTGTCTTCTTCATCCACTGAGACCTTGTCAGGAAGATTCTTCAAGATATCGGTCCTCTCTGGGAAACTATCTTCAGCTTTACGACCCAAATTTTGAATACGTTCACAAGCCCAGGCAATTCTTTGAAGTCCCAAGGCTGCCGATGACCCCTTCAAAAAGTGACCCAAATTATCTAGTTCCTTCAAATTATCTATACTTCCTAGAAGATTATCCATCTCACTAAACGTTGTTGTTGCTTGATCAATGTACTGAATAATCAATCCTTTGGAGAAGTCTGGATCATCTTCATCCATAGAAACAATCTCATTCAATATAGTCCAATCAATGATCTCAGAAGGCACTGTCGTCATTATGATATTAATGGTTTATAATTTTATTTAACCTTTGCTCTAAGTACTCCCTTTTAAGCTTTACCTCGTTTTGTTTGTCGAATTAAATACTTGTCAATTCAATTCTGCTCAACAATGAACTCTTGTAACTTGATATGGATCAAGATTTTATTACAATTTCAAACTCTAGCACTCTGATTTAGCAATCAAATAAGTTAAGGAAAACTTGGAAATAAGCTATAAAATATTGCAATCAAGCATTACTGACTACATATTAACTAAGAAATAACGATATCTAATGTGCCAACATGTAAGCTACACAAAGGTAAAATTTCCTTACTTATATCAATATTATCACAATAGATGTGATGTAACACCACCTGAGCTTTGTCAAACTGGAAAATAAAAAAAATTTAGGTGATTCCCCCTTCTCCCCCCATTGATAGAACAGCAATAATCACAGTGATAGAACATCTCCTAGTAGATTCCCAACGATGATCTGTCCCTTTCAATGACATTATTTCCTTCCTCGGTGATGAAAGTCCAATTAAATGACCAAGAGGGATACTTATCAAAATACATAGTGCGTAGTGATGGCTCACTGTTTATGACAAATACCATGTTACTTATCATCTCTATCTCTTCAGTCGTTTGAGTGACAAATGTCACACGATAAGAGCCTCCGTTAATAAGGCGTGGGTAATACAACAGTATCCCGCACAAGTGTATCTCCTATCCAATTGCCTGCAAGTGCTACTTTCCATTATAGACTGCTAATACGAGCCGTTTCAATACATTCATGATGCTATAAAGTACATTCTCGAGTGACACCTTAACGAGTTCGCACAAATATAAACAATACACATTTCCTCAATAGCAACAAGAAATTTGATCATCACACTTTTATCTCTCATATAGACCAAACGGCTAATTTATTATTCATAATTTAAGGAATCGTAACTTTAGGAGAAGTACCTCTTTGGTTTCAAGGATATAGTTACAGTGATTATGATTCCGAGACGTATTGCAGTGTTAATATTAAGTCTAGCAATTATACTAGTGTTTTTCTGCTCTTTTTTAATTGATATGAGTGAGAATAATGACAATGTAAATACCGGTGTCAGAGTTCTGAAAAGTATGCTGGATTCCCCAACATTACGTGCTTTATCTGTGCCCGAAGAACACCACGATAGACAACTAGTATTTATTGGAGATGTCCATGGCATGTATGATAAACTTTTGGAATTAGTTGATAAATTAAATTTTGAAACTACTCCAGAGATGGAACTAGTATTCCTGGGTGATTTCATAACGAAGGGACCTGACTCTACAAAAGTGCTGGATTGGATGATCAAACATGAAGGCCGTGTACATTTTGTGCTCGGTAACAACGAGTTTTCAGTGATTATGGGAGCACTTGACATGGGTCTTCTAGAGAGTAAGATGTTGAATAATGAACAAGGCCATGATGTGACAGGTACATTTAAAAAATCACACGCTGAGTTGGCACAACAGCTAAATCCATCGCATTATACATATCTATTCAAAAATGCAGCAGTAGTACTGGAGTTTGATATGGAGAAAACCAGACAAAGGTTTATAGCCGTTCATGCTGGAATTTTACCACAGGACTACGATTTCGAGAGAAGACATGTCATTTTGAAATCTGATGTATTCTCTATTCTGAACATGAAATTTGTCAACGAAGAGAATTCCATGGAAACTTCAAGGGAGAAGCAAACTAAGCATTGGAAAAGATGGTACAAATTATGGGAGAAAGAACTTGATAACCACCACACAAAGGAACAAATAACCATATTGTATGGTCACGATGCTAAGAAGGGCCTAAACTTAAGAAAATACACCAAAGGTCTTGACTCAGCCTGCGTTAAAGGTGGTAAACTATCGGCCATGCATTATATGTATGACCCCCATTCAAACAGTTATAAAGAGACTCTGGTTGAAGTCTGAATTGCGAAACTATGCATCACCAACACATAAATTGTTAATAATATTCTAGAACTACTTTTTTTCGATAAAAATTAGAACCCACTGTGTCATATTAGATCATAATATTATAATCAGTATAGCAATCATTATATCACATATACCATATTACACAGTATGCAAAAGTCACATAATACGGTAGAATTTTAGATAAACAAAACATCACAACACCCAACGGAGGTTTGGGTTTTGATGCAGGACTATAAGCTAAATACTAATAATGTGAAGAACGCTGCCATCTGCGGCAGTATAATTTGTAACATTTAATGGAGATCAGATTATCAAAAGATTTACATCACAGATATACTTAGTTGTATATTTCAAAATAATTTTTGAATTGCATTCCACATAACTCAAACCCTGAATTTTCTTTTGAAATTTTGGGATAAACGTACCTATCCCTCATCATCGACTTCATAATAACATTAAAACTTCTAAAGGTTAACTAGTCTTCAGCTAGTTGTACCGAGAATATTCATCCAATTATTTGCTACTGTCAAAAGATATAACATTAGCGGTGGCACTAATTTACCAGAACTTCCATTAAATTCTAGACAGATAAACTGGCCTAAAAAAAATAACTTGACTATAAACTTAAGTCATCATGTCAGCCAACGATAGTGAACAGTTTGATACCGCACCAAACGAATTTGTTGATGCTTTGGAAACCAATATACATATTGACCCACCGAATCAAGCTCAATCAAAAATCGATGAGTCTAGTAGAAAGGAAAAAAATAACAATGATCTAGGCGTCGAAATGACCAGCGTTGATCCTGCTTTAACAGGTGAGGATATGAATGAGGCTCACACTAAAGAGACTGCTGCAGAACAAAATGGTGAAAAAGGCATTTTTAATGGTATGGTATTCTATCTTAACCGCGATTCCAACGCCCATGACTCGATTATAATTGTAGAGCAATTGAAAAATTTAATTTTATTAAATGGAGGTGATATTGTGAATAAACTACCAAATAAGGATTCTGCAGAAGCAAAGCACATTATCGTGGTTTCTCCATACAACAATACTGAATTAAAAACTGTCACATCTACTTTCATCCGGGCATGCGTCCAGAGCAACAAATTACTGGACATGAAAAACTATTTAGTACCATATGATAGTTTTAATGCGCTTTTGGATGATGCGATGTCCCCACCATCAAGACAAGAACCAACAATTTCTGAATCCAGTTCTGTAAACGAAGGGCAACCTACAGCTTCGAAACCTCCACCCCAAAATATTGCAAACAAAAGAGATATCCCAACAAAAAAGGTATCTGCAAATACTGGAGTTAGCAAGACATCATTTACTGAAGAAGAAGATGAATTTATTTTAGATGTCGTTAGGAAGAATCCCATGAGACGTACTACACACACATTATTTGATGAAATTTCCCACTATGTACCAAATCATACAGGTAACTCAATTAGACACAGATTTAGAGTGCACCTATCTAAGCGTCTAGATTTTGTCTACCAGGTCGACCAGTATGGTAAACTTGTCAGGGATGAGAATGGTAATCTAATAAAAACAAAAGTTTTACCTCCATCAATAAAGAAGAAGTTCACAGCCGATGAGGACTATGAGCTCGCAATTGCAATTAAACAACAGTTTTACAAGGACATTTACCAGTTAGACCCGGTCACTGGTCAGTCTTTGATTTCAGACAATGATCCACCAGCGCGTGTAGCCAAAAGGCAAATGATGATGGATCCTAACGTACAACGAGGATCTGAGCCCCCATTTAGTAAATACAGGGTGGGAACTAGAAGAGGACCAATTGCTAGGGAGTTCTTTAAACAATTTACAGAAAACCATCCAACTCATACGGAGAGTGCATGGAGAGATAGGTTTAGAAAATTTTTGTTAGAGTATGGAGTCGACAAATACATTGAATACTATGAAACACAGAAGGCTAACAATGACGAGCCCGAAGCCATGAAAAATTTGACAATTAGAACTAAGAGAGACAACTTTCCAACTCCAGGAAACTATGGTAATGCTGCCAAGAGACAGAAATATGAAGTTTCCTCAAATGTCGAAAATACATTGAAGTCTAAAGGCCAAGCCGGTGATATTCCTGATGCTGAATTACTAGATGAGGATACAATGAAGTTTATATCTTCCTTGAAAAATGATCTGTCTAAAATTGATAACAACTTTGGCTTTGACTACACAAACGAGATAGCTGAAGCTATAAGGAACGATTTTTCTGAGGAGGAAGCCATATACGATAATATAGATCCGAACACCATACCGTTCCCACCCCCAATTGCCACCATCGATTTATTCCTACCGCAGTTTTTCAGGATGTCTAGCACACAAGAGTTTATAGAAAAGATTAGAGAGATAATACAAAGGGATTACGAACCATCTCAGGCTGAGCTTCTGATGCAAGATTTGAATGACGAAGCTGGGATTAGAAAGACATTTACCAGTTCCATATTAGGTTCTCTATCTGGTGATCTAATGGTGCTTCCAAGGTACTTCTTAAACATGTTCTCCAAGAATCAAAACCCGCCAATTGACATCCCTGGTATATGGACTTCTGGGGATGACGATATTTTGAGGAGAGGTGATGAAGCGGAGGTCAGCAAATTAGTAAAGAGACAAGGTGCTGGGCGTGTTGAAATGCGGAAGAAGTTTTTGGAGAGAAATCTGATATAAAGAATGAGTGGAGATATTCAGTTTAGATAAGTTGTTTGGTTTTGTTTCATTTTTTTTTTATCTACCAGCACCTCTTACCACTAATGCCTTTGTTTAAGTGTTTTAATCTGGGTACAAGAGAGTCGCTGTTATAGATTTTGTATTACTAGTAATTACCATGTGTAGCTATTACAATCACATCAAGCCTTGTTTGAATCCGAATGATGAATAGTTTAATTTTTCATAAGTTTCTTTGTGTGTTTCTCTTATTAACATCACTTTTTCCAGCTGAAAGAGATTAATCGGTTTAAGCTCTAGAGCTGGAAAAGATTGGTGAGAGACCAAAGGAAGGATCAGACACATAAATATGGCAATGGGTGCTGGTTTGCAAATTCTAACATTTACGAGAAGAAGCCCCTGGTTAATAAAAAACCAATCATATATAAGTTATGGATAGCGAGCTTAGTGACATAGAGTTGTCCAACTCGAGACCGTCATCCATAGAAGATGAGGACCTTTATCAGGAGGAAGAAGAAGAGTATCAAGATGCCATGGATGAAGATGACGAGTACAATGACGATGGTGCTGATGATAACGATGAGGAATATATAGAGGGAAGAGAGGCTGAAATCAAGAAGCCCAAAATAGCCACGAAACAGACTATAAGACCTCCAGTCAAGAAATCGGAGAGGATATCGAGCAAAAGAACAGCTGCCACAGGTCTGCAGAGGGTACGACCCAAGCGAGCCGTAACTGACAAGGAAGTGAACTATAGTGAAGATAGCACATCAGTAGACAAAGCCATTGAAGCGGCAGAGGCCGCCGACGAGAAAGAGCAAGAGCTGGATCAAGATGCTGTAAATGTAGATGTGGATGTTGAAGAAGAGGATGACGAGGAAATACGCTCTCCAGCAAAGAAAAGACAGAGGACAGTACTTGAGGATGAAGAAGATGCTCAAACTTCTACAGCCAACAACTCCGGATCAGAACAGCTCCCAGAAGAAGATGAGGAGGAAGATAATGGCGGTATATCGGATAGTTTGAGGTCCGATTTTAGTAATGGCAATGGCGGTGAAAACGGTATCCAAGAAGACCTCGATGCAGAGGACAATATGTCTACTCCTGCAGGAGACGAGGATAATGAAGAAGTAGAAGCTAGAGAGAATACTGAGGATGCTTCGATAATACCTAGCAATTTACTTCCGAAGAACAAGATGTTGATAAGTATATTAGACGACAACCCATTCAAGAAGAAACTCACAGAGGAAGAGATACAACTGCGGAGAGCCGAGAATGCGCGTAAACGTAAGAATCTAAGTGAGAAGAGGCTCGAGGAGGAGAAAAGGGAGACTTTGAACAAGCTATTGAAGAAGCGTGCCGGCAAATCAAGATCCAAGGTTGACAAGGATGAACCAGAGAACACTGCATCGACCATTAAGCCACGCAGACCTTACAATTCCAATGGTATGGTCCGTATAATAAGGAAAAGAGACGAGGACCTTTACTGTATATTTTGATAATGTTTCCATAATGCAATGAATATAAATTTACATACGTCCTTATAGGCCCCCAACCAGAGATTACAGAGAAGTACCATGTGATTAGCGTATAATCTTGTGCTCCCAATCACATGTCCATTCAGTGTAATGGAAATCATTAGATACTATTTTGTGTTTTGTGCGTGGCTCGGAGAAAAGTCTATTAGACCCGTTTGCGCAGGACTGATTTGCCGATTTCCCCCCCACGCAGCTAAAAAATGCAAAAAAAAGAAAGAAAAAAAAAAGCGGTTGTAACGAGAAAATGAAAAAAAGGCAAGCTGAGGGGTACACAAACATCCGTACAACAAACATGTCACTCCCAACCCCCATTAGAGCCAGAGGATTGGCAAAGAGGATATGTTACCAGCGACGCACAAAAGTCCAAAATTGCGGCACGAAGAAGTGAAGGGAGTGAAAGGGCATGCAAAACCCTAAATACCCTTATGGCTTGCGGATGCCCATACACGCTTGTTTCCTTGCAGTGGGAATTAGGGGTCCAGAATACCAAATTCAAATGTGAAACACCTAACATTCTCCCGCGGGGAGGTGTATTTCTTCTAGCAAGACAATGATGTAAATGCCAAAGAGTGGACGTCTTCAAAGTTGACTCTTTTTCCCTCGTGAGTGGAACCCTAGGTCTTGCTCTTGTTTTCCCTCCCACTACTGATGGCTGTTACCAGTCACACACGGAATACTTATTTAGGGTTTGCGAACTTGCTTCAACGAGTCGAGTCGCTTCCCTGGTGAGTTTGGGCAGTCGACTGCCCAAACTCCCCTTCCCATTCTCTTAGTAGGAAACAATTCGATATAAATTACATTGTAGTGCTGATCATAGGAACAAAAGATAGCCTTTGCTGCTCTCTTTCTCTCCCTAATGCTCCCTATTACGTACAGCAACTGATTTGTTCAGGATGCAAACTGTAAGAAAAGAAATAATAGCACTAAAATCGCTGGAAACAGCAAAAGGAAGAGTTGAATTGACTGGAAAGTGGGAAAGCCTTCGTGGAGTTAACGTTTCTGCTCTGTGTCTCCTGCGACAATTAGACACTGATAGCTCATATAGATTTACAGCTTTGAGCAACTGGGGGGGTTGGATACCCACAGTGAAATGCCTAGTGAAGGCCCATGAGAAAGCAAAATGAGTGCGGAAGATCCTAAAGAATTAAAAAAAAAAAGAAAACAGATAGTATCCCATATGGCTGAAATAATTTGTGTAAAATAGTCTTTACAAAGACACTAGCATTGATAACCTAATTGAAATAGAGAGAAAGAAAAAAACATTTATATAATCTTTTAATACTTACTTGGTAAACTGGATATCGTAATTTATACATTGCATTCACAAAAGAAAGTATTAAAGTGAGTAAGCAACAAAATAGCTACTGACACAAGTAAAAAAAAACTCAAAAGAATAGTGTACATACGTGTCAAATAAAACTAACGGTACTTGCATTGCTATAAGAAGGTTTCTTTTATATCTTTTTTTTGCAAGTTACGTGTTCACATTGCTGAATAATTCTGGTTGAACATTCAAGTATTAATTCAAGATAATAGGATCCTGCTTAGGAAGGGTGGGGAGGTTTTCTTTTTTCTCTTTTGACATAATATCGAGGAAAAATTAGAAGTACCTCACTAGGGCAATGAAGAACAACAGTGGCCTAGACGATGTCAAAATGGCAGGTGTGAAAGTGCGAAATCCAACTACTGGTTTTAACAGCACATACATAGCAAAGAACCACGACATACCGACCAGTTTCACAACAGCTGATGTTGGAAGTCATAAAAGTGGCAGCGTAAATGGATCTTCACCAGGTGCGGCATTCACATTGAGAGGTACACCAATTTTAGGGAATTCTACCACTGTCTCATCTAATAACAATAACAAGCATATCACAGGCACACGCCAATCACCTTCTTCTAAGCTAAACAACAATAACCATTATATGCAAGCTATGACTACTCAACACCTGCTTCATCAACAATTAAAGACAAAACAAAATTTTCAAATGCAGGAAAACTCAGCACAAGAGGCGATGAAGAGACAACTGAACGAGGGGCAAGGACAAGGACAATATGTTCCATCTTCTTCAGTCTCGAATAAAAGTCAAACGGCACAAGCTGAACCTCCACAGCCACGTTCTTCCGACACACCAGCATCCTTTGAAATTGAAACCAAAGATTCTCCGGATTATGAATCATATGAAAGTGGAACCACTATACCGTTAAACATTAGTCTTGCTAGTACACATCCAGGTGAAAATAATTCTCTCAAGTCGAATCCTACATCTAGTAAGGAGGTCGCAGATAAGACCACTGAAAGTAACAGTAATTTTAACACTGGCGCTTTTGCGAGCGATATCAAGATGAAGAATAGGGAAACGAACAAAAGTCATAGTAATAAAACATCCACTTCTGTAAGTGCTCATAGTACTCCCTTAGATAATGGCAAGGAGTCGAATAAGAACTTTAAGGATTTAGGTAAGCCAAGTAGAAATAATACTAACATAGGTTCTGATTCTAGCCAAGGTAACGGAAGTGAGAGACTGCCACTGAACATGGATCCCGCAAAACAACGATACTTCTTATTTCAACAACAACAACAGCAAATGAATAAAACACTTTCTTTCATTCATTCCTATAGAGTTAGGAAATACATAGCTAATATGGCAAATCTGCGCCTCTATGAACTTGTAGGCATACTGAATCGATCTGCTGGTCAAATCGGAAACCCAGAATATTGGAACAAATTTGTCAGTGATGTATTTGTATCAAATGGTCTAATAAACTTCTCAAGAAAGCTTGACAATAACTTCAAGCAATTTCAATTCTATTCGGCTCTTTTACCAATGTTTGCAATAGCATCTGCAGAGCTTGGCCTTGTAAGGATTGAAACTGTCATTCAACAACTTATTACTCAAGTTTTGAGTAACGGAACAATTTTCTTTAACTGTCCTCGATGTACATTCACATATCATTATTCAGATGGTAGCTATGTCACACATTTTACACAACTTAAAGGCATCTTCAACAGAAATTTCAAGATTGAGTGGATTGACGTGTGTTTGCACAGCTTTGTTCCCGGTGTGGAATGGAGTTTTCTTGAAGCACTGGTCAGTGACTCTAATAGAAGTAAGGAAATATTTGAGAAATTGTCTCAGGATAAGAACCAAACTGATGAGGAGATAAAGAGTGGCAGATCACAGAATAATTTTGATGCGATCATGAAACTCAGGTCATATTTTAAAGTTTTCAAAAACCTGTCCATATTTGGAATTCCTGATGATATAATAAGAAAGATGCAAATGGGACATGTTATGTCGACTTTAAAAAATGTCATGATTTATGATAAACAACAAGCACTACAAAATGGTTTAGACGGCAAAAGAAACCCCTTTGACTCATACGTCAGTTATGTGGAAGAAAAATATAAACCTGGCCCAGAAGGCAAGGATTTTGAGGCATCCGAGATGCAAAGTAATAGTGGTACACCAACTGCTAATGATACTACTACCAGAAAGAGGCCATACCCTCCAGATGGCACTTCCAATACACATGATCAAATCCATTCCTCGACACCTAGCTCTGCAGAAATATTGGCCTCTATTGATATCGACGCCAAAAGGAGAAGGCACAGTGGCATATCTCCAAGATCTACAGACAGTTAGACGAAGTTGCCTTACTTCCGACTTTAGGTATTTCTTTCACAAATAATCAAACCATCTTCGGGAACTATTAGGGTATTTATATCCTCATACCCATTTCATTTTCAAAACTGCATACCCTTTCAAATATATACCGGTTATATTATTGAGATTTATACACTAGCTAATTATAAACTCTTCCTTGCATTCATTACATACTAGTTTTTAATACTCTCTGGGTAGATTTCATTTATTTCCATACAAAACACAGAGTAAGCCCTTCACTCTGGATTTAATTTTTGAAGTCCGACGCATGAAAAGGGAAGAGCTGGGTTTTCAACTCATTGTAGCTTAATATCTACATAAACAATACACACATAGCGAAGTTTACAGATATTTTAAGAGATAGCTAATTCCTTTTAATGACTGTGAACAACTAAATTGCCAAAGAGTGTTTTCTCTAACATTGTCAAGTTAGTTAAACAGATGGCTTATCAGGAATCGGAGAGCATACAGTGGCCGGATCCACAACGTATACGCAACTATAAGGCTAGAAATAAGACGATAAGAACTATACAGTCCATTTTTAGTAACACTGGATTACTATTTACAATATTTTACGTGGCAGTGAGTACAATAGTTCAACCCTCGCTAGAAAGACAATACAACCAAAGGATAGAGCTCACAGCGGGGGCTTTACTGGAAGTGCGAAGATTAACAAACAAACTTCTTCGGAGGTTAAAATCTAAGAATTCCTCTGAATTAGAGTTACGCTCAAATACTCAGGAATATGCTGATAGATGTACACAAACTGAATCAAGGTATATCACTGATGACTTCGAAAGCGATGATGACATGCACAATGACTCAGATGATAATTCAATCACTTGGAACATAATTAGTAAAAAATTGGTGGAAGTTAAAGATTCTCTAAACAGATATAATGAAAGTTGCGATAGGCCGAGTATTAATATGGAAAACTTGACCTTCCAGAGCAAACTTGTTGTCGATCAACTGTCTGTAGCAAAAGATGCCGACAAGCTCGGTGAACTTTCCAGAACTTCAGTAAACAATATAAGGGAGATGAAAGGATGGTTTGTAAATGGGCTTGTATCCCTTTGATAATATCTTTACTATATTCAAGTATTATGTTTGGAGTCGATTACTTGCTAGGAAGTAATGAATATGCACATTATATATTAATAAGTATTTACAAAAATGCAGGTATATTTTAAGATGCCCATTATAATTTGGTTAAAAATGGGTAGAACCAATATGAATTCGACTTTCATCTTTTCGTAGCAGATATCTCGAGTAATTTTAATTTTTTATCTTTCAGTTTCTGATCTTTAATACTAATTGTAGGTTTTGTACTTCGTACTTTTTTTTCAATTACATCAAAGGTGTTCATATGCCGACCACTAGATATTATCACTTTCTTATGTGGTACAAGGTTTTCAACCACTTGATGGCCATTAGAAGAAATATTTCCACCATTTGCATATAATTCTTTTATCCTTTCTCCTCTTCTTTGCCACCTTTTTTGAACTTTCTCCCATTCTTCATCATTAGGTTCCCAGTTGGATTTCAATATTCTTCTAATAGCTTCTGGTGAAACTTTAAACCTCTCACTCAGCTCAGTGTTCGTAATATTAGCGAATGATCTCTTTAGTAACCTGACACTTTCTATCTCTTCCCTGGATAGGCGCTTTGATGGACTCCATCGCTCATTACCAATCTTCTTCTTAACACTAATGATTTGTTTCTTCCACTCTGGAATATTGTTCTTCTTCGATTTCTCAGATAATTCCGTATTACTCGGTTGTATTCTCTTCAAGACTTCCTTGAATGGCTTGATTGGAGTTCGTTTCACTGAGTATAACCGTACTGCTGTCGGCACTTTGATCAGCATTCGTTTGTAAATTAGTTATCTTCAAGTGATGCTTTTTTATTTTAAGAAATCACCCACTGCTAAGCTAAACTATACAAATAATATTAACAATGGACTAGAAAGTTGGTCTATTCCTCAACCGTACCACCAAATTGAATGGATTGTTGAAGTTTACTAGTAGCACTATGCCCTTCTAATTTTTTTTCATGCCTCCGGGCTCATCTGGTGTAGAAATTGAGGGCGAAAAGGGAGCTTAAGCTCATCGAAATTTTGGGAAAAGCGTATTTTAATGAGTGCTATTGTAGTGTACCTTACATTCGTCATGACAAAAACAACTAGTATATATTCCTGTTATAGTAGTTTTGTGTTACTGCGGTTACTGGTTAATTATACAATCGGATAAGGCAGTACAAGAGAAATAAGCCGTCTCTGGAAAAGTAGGAACTACGAAGGACAAAACTATCAGCCAAAATCAGCTCGATAGAGGGAAAGTCTTATGAATATTATCAAGAAATTCATGCAGTTGGGGGAGAAACAGGAGATATCAATGATCCCATCCGGGGAGTTCAATTTGTTGAGATCCAGAAAGTCTCCCAAGTCATCCCTAGAGTGTATCTATAACGATGCAATGCTGAGAATTAGGAAGAATGGTGATTGGAATTTTGAACTAGTTGTTAACAAGATTGTTGAAGTTGGCGACAACAACAATGGCGACGATTCAAGTGATTACACGGATGATTCTGTCAGTGTATTGTCTGTTGCAAGCAAAAGAAGAGAAGAAGAATGGAACTTTGAATTGAAAAAGGACTTGAACTTTAGTAAAGAATGGAATAAGAATGGAGATGCAGCGTTTGTTTGGGGGAATACTTTAGGCGATGAGGAAGTAGAGAAAGTTCAATTTGTTATCACACCACAACTCAGTTTAACAGAAATTGAAAACTTCTTGCTGACTGTATACAGGTGCATGTATGAGGCTGAACACAAGAAATCTGCATCACATGTTTCTAGAGAACAGCTATATAAATACAGACCTGAGCCTCCAAAGGAACTATTTGTCACCGAATCAGACTCTTATGACGAGGAGAATTTAGGTGTATCATTATCAGAGGTAAATCCTTCACAAGATAATACATCAGATAATGACGATCTATTTGTTGATGCCCCAGACAACTTGGATTCTAAAGCCAAGGGCAAGAAAATAAAAACACCAAAGAAAGATAAAACTAAGGCTTCATCGAGTTCTTCTGAAGAACATAAGGAGAATAATAAAGGAGTAGAAGGCGAAAAGCTATGCCTACTTAATGCAAAGGTGTTTGTGTATGATCCTTTTGAGGAGAAGTTTATGATACAAGAAGAAAATGTCCCAATTGCTCTAGTACAGTCTGGGAAATATGAATTCTGGTTGAGCATGGAAGGTAAGGATGTTGATTTTGGTTTAGCGGTGTCACCTCAAGCCAATCCTTCTTTCACGCTAAGTAATAACAGTTTTACATTCAATTACACTGTGAGCAGGATAACATTATCTTATAAGATTGAATTCAATGACTTCAAGGACTTTACAATTTTTGAAAACTGTTGGTCTAAGTGCATATGGATGGCATTAAACAAGAAAGACTGGGAAGAACTGCCTAAAAACGAACAGAAATATATCGAAGATAGTATAATAGCTGACTTAGAGAGGGATCTGGACACAATATTAAAACTAGATGATGAGGAAGAAGAGAGTGAGGATGAAGAGGACAACGAATACTCTAAGAGTGTTGTTAGCTCTGAAGCTTTTGAGGACCCCAACAGTGGATCAAACAAATCAAATTCATCAAAGGGTAATAGCTCATTAACCGTTGCCTTTCGGGGTAATAGGTCTTATGTGGTCAGAGATGATAAGATAGGCGTATTTAAGGTAGATGATGATGATGATCTGGAATTTGTATCTGCTATTAAAAATATAAGCGATAAGAACAAAAAAATACTGGATCCTAAGGATCCGATGATGTATATGGAGGATCGGTTTATGGTACTATCTGACAGCAAAAATGGCGATAAGCTATACAAAATGGACATAGAGAGGGGAAAGATTGTTGATGAATGGGAATTCAAGGATAAAAATGTGGTTCAATATGCTCCTACGAAAAAATTTGATCAATTAGTTGCTGAACAAACTTTGCTAGGTATATCTGATAAGAGTGTATTCAAGATCGATCCAAGGATTAACACTAAGAATAAAATTGTACAGGACGAAAGTAAAGATTACGCAAGTAAATACAATTTCAGTTCGCTGGCTACAACAAAAGATGGTTATGTAGCTGTTGGATCAAAACGTGGTGACATAAGATTATATGATCGCCTTGGTATCAGAGCAAAAACACTAATACCATCACTAGGGCAAGCAATCAAGTACATCACTGTTTCTGGTGACGGAAGATGGCTACTGGCGACTTGTGATGCATCTTTGTTGTTGATGGATTTATCAATCAAATCGGGCAAGAATGCTGGAAATATTAGTTTCTTAAAGTCTACTCCAGCTAGTGAAAACAACAAGACTTATATCTTGCAAATCAGTCCAGAGCATGCTACTCACATTCTCAACTACACAAAGAAACCTCTATGCTTCACTAAGGCATACTTTAATACTGGTATAAATCAAAAGGAAGACAGAATTCTTACATCCAATGGTCCTTTCGCCATCTCATGGTCTATGAAAAAAGTGTTGGCTGGAGATGAGAAGCCATACAAATTGGACTGGTACGATTCTACAGTCATTGAGAATAACTTCGAATATAACAACAAGCAAAATGTTATTGTAGCATTAAAGAATGATGTGTCACTATCCAAGATAAAACACTTCAAAAATGTGAATAAGTCTATATTCAAAAATGAACCAAAATAATTGGAACGGGAGAAACTTTCTATAATATTGCTACATCGTTCCCGATTTGTTTTTGAGATTGCTTAACCCGCTGCTAGTATATCACAGTATAGTCTTTCAAATATGATTTTAGTTCTTATTAAGTTCTTTAAATAGATATGTAGCTAATAAAAATTGTAACATTCAAGTACCAGTCCTGTGGCGCGCATAGGTATATGTCAGACATTCTAACGATCAGAGAAAAATTAAAACGTTTTCGGCTCAGCATCAAACTCTGGGCAACTATTTCAGAAACTTGGACGATTTTTTCGGGAGATTCAAGCTCGCTCTCATCTCATCCCAGAACAATATCCTGTACGCCCTGAATTTATGTAACCGGGTCGGCTTATATAGAAACTCAGATGGATTGGCCTGATGTTGCAACGGCGTCTCCTTGATCCCGTTGACTTTGTTATATACTTTGCGAACAAACCTGTGAAAACCTTCGCTCTCCAGGAGCTTACAGTACAACCACTCCTCCAAATTCCTAGGCGGTCTCATTGCCGCTTTGCCCCCTTCCCCAGACTCAAAGAGCAGAGAATGTCCCGTTTTACAAAGCTTGTATACCACTTCGCCCTCCCCTCCCCAGATTTAAAAACGGGAGGATGTTTGAATCGGAGTTATAGACACAATGTGCAAGTAAGGAACCTTTGACCACATTTTCTCCAATAGAATGGGCGAATAGATGCTTATTCCTACAATTCAACATCCACACAGCTATGAAACTCTATTGCAATAATTGCAGAAAGACTGTAATGTAATGGCTATAAGGCATATAGGTCCTTTGCATAAAAAAAAAGAAAGAAAAAGAAAGCAAAAAAAAGAAAGAAACAGGCCTGCGCTTGTTTATGTGAGATCCCAATTAACTAAGAAAACATCGTACGAACCCATAGACGAGTTTTCTTTTGAATGTTCCGTAATTTCTTTCTTTTTTTCTATAAAATCTGCTACTAAATCCCAGCAGGGGCTACTTGTTCCCTTGTTGCTTTTCGAAGCATTCGAAGAGAGGGCTACTTTTAAAGAATAATGATATGCTCAGAGAGACCTGGAGGGTGCTCCTGGGAATAATAGAAATGGAAGCTTTGAGCCCATCTGACAATAACAAAATTGGAAGACAAAGAGTCCCAAGAAAAAAAAAAAGAAAGCTGCCCATAGCCATGGGCATCGACATCGCAAAAATTGACAAAATAATGTGAAAAAAAAAATTTTTTACTGTTGATTGCAAGAAAAAAAATATTTGGGACACTTACAGTTGGAAATTCTGGTAAACTGGTTATATAAAAGAATGAACGTTTAAACTGGGTAGTAGAAAAATTTTTTTTTCTTTCAATTGAGTCTTTTTTGTATTTTTACATAAAAGTTAACCACAAAGAAAAACAGTAATACAGAACAAATAAAATGGCTGACGGTGTTTTCCAAGGTGCTATTGGTATCGATTTGGGTACTACTTACTCATGTGTTGCTACATATGAATCCTCTGTTGAGATTATTGCTAACGAGCAAGGTAACCGTGTTACCCCATCTTTCGTTGCTTTCACTCCAGAAGAGAGATTGATTGGTGATGCTGCTAAGAACCAAGCTGCTTTGAACCCAAAGAACACTGTTTTCGACGCCAAGAGATTGATTGGTCGTCGTTTCGATGAGGAGTCTGTCCAAAACGACATGAAGACTTGGCCATTCAAGGTCGTCGATGTCGATGGTGCTCCAGTTATCGAAGTCGAATACTTGGGTGAAAACAAGCAATTCTCCCCACAAGAAATCTCCTCCATGGTCTTGACCAAGATGAAGGAAATCGCTGAAGCCAAGATCGGTAAGAAGGTCGAAAAGGCTGTCATCACCGTCCCAGCTTATTTCAACGACGCTCAAAGACAAGCTACCAAGGATGCTGGTGCCATCTCTGGTCTAAACGTCTTGCGTATTATCAACGAACCTACCGCTGCTGCTATCGCTTACGGTCTAGGTGCCGGTAAGTCTGACAAGGAAAGACACGTCCTGATCTTCGATTTGGGTGGTGGTACTTTCGATGTCTCTTTGTTGCACATTGCTGGCGGTGTCTACACTGTCAAGTCCACCTCCGGTAACACTCACTTGGGTGGTCAAGATTTCGACACCAACTTGTTGGAACACTTCAAGGGTGAATTCAAGAAGAAGACTGGTTTGGACATCTCCAACGACGCCAGAGCTTTGAGAAGACTAAGAACCGCTGCCGAAAGAGCTAAGAGAACTTTGTCCTCTGTCACACAAACCACCGTCGAAGTCGACTCCTTGTTCGAAGGTGAGGACTTCGAAGCCTCTTTGACCAGAGCTAGATTCGAAGACTTGAACGCCGCTTTGTTCAAGTCCACTTTGGAACCAGTTGAACAAGTCTTGAAGGATGCTAAGATCTCTAAGTCTCAAATCGACGAAGTCGTTTTGGTCGGTGGTTCTACCAGAATTCCAAAGGTCCAAAAGCTATTGTCTGACTACTTCGACGGTAAGCAATTGGAAAAGTCTATCAACCCAGATGAAGCCGTCGCTTACGGTGCCGCTGTTCAAGGTGCTATCTTGACTGGTCAATCCACCTCCGACGAAACCAAGGACCTATTGTTGTTGGATGTCGCTCCATTGTCTTTGGGTGTTGGTATGCAAGGTGACATCTTCGGTGTCGTTGTCCCAAGAAACACCACTGTCCCAACCATCAAGAGAAGAACTTTCACCACTGTCGGTGACAACCAAACCACCGTTCAATTCCCAGTCTACCAAGGTGAACGTGTTAACTGTAAGGAAAACACTTTGTTGGGTGAATTCGACTTGAAGAACATCCCACCAATGCCAGCTGGTGAACCAGTCTTGGAAGCTATCTTCGAAGTCGATGCCAACGGTATCTTGAAGGTCACTGCTGTTGAAAAGTCCACTGGTAAGTCCGCTAACATTACCATCTCTAACGCTGTTGGTAGATTGTCTTCTGAAGATATCGAAAAGATGGTTAACCAAGCCGAAGAATTCAAGGCTGCTGATGAAGCTTTCGCCAAGAGACATGAAGCTAAGCAAAGATTGGAGTCTTACGTTGCTTCTATCGAACAAACTGTCACTGACCCAGTCTTGTCCTCCAAGTTGAAGAGAGGTTCCAAGACCAAGATCGAAGCTGCTTTGGCTGACGCTTTGAGTGCTCTACAAATCGAAGACGGTAGCGCTGAAGAATACAGAAAGGCTGAAGTTGGTTTGAAGAGAGTTGTTACCAAGGCTATGTCTTCTCGTTAAAAGAATTCAATTAACTTAAGATAAAAATATTCCAAAGAAATTCCATCTTAATAATGCATTAATAGATCATAAACTTTTTATTATGGATTGGTTTTTCTATCCTTTTTGTTTCTTAATTCTTTTACAATCCACATGAATATTGTCATATTTTTTTACCATAATTTTCAGTTCCATTTTCCAATGATCCTAATCTTGTACAACATTGCTTAACAAATTTATTAAAAAATAGAGTAATTAGGGAAGTAGGCTTATGCTTACAATTTATTTCTATACTTATACATTACTGGCATAATAAAATTTATTACTCCTCTTAATATTTTGCTACCATATATATGTATCATAGTTTTCGGTATTCAATTAAATTATCGATTAGCCCTTTAAATGTGATCTCATAAGTATTTTATATTCAATTACTAGAATCCATTATTGCCAATCATCTTGTATGAACTATAGAGGTTACTATACTACTGTCCGCAGTTCCGTAAATCTAGTAGCATATTCAATTTTGAATATGATAGTTCTTGACTTCATCACGACTCCAATTCATAATACGATTAAAATCCGAGTATAAAGAGCACAACTATCTTATAATTACTGATTTTGTTTCTACAATAAAATTTTGGTAACGGATCCAACGATGAAGATGCGATCCAAAATTAGCAGTTAGTAGGATACCAGTATCAGTCACACTTAGAATTCAATACTCAGGTTCCCCTTTATTCAATTACAAGGGGCTGATGACCTGTTTATCACATATTGTTTTATGCAATGGTTTCCTATACGTAATTAGTAAGTATGAGCCACCGAAGAGGAGTAAAATGGCTCTCCCCTTTCACCTTTCTAACGACTTATCTAGGGCTGCTTTGCGCTATTTAGTTGCTTGATTTGATTTGATAAGCAACAATTGTCTCGAAGATATAACATGCGAATAGTATTTAACCATTTGATATTTTGATTACTCATATTTTATGTCTATTTCCGAAATCATTTGGAGTTTATTCTAGTAAACATTATATATAAGCAATTAAAAATATTAGATAGAATGTGCGAAGAAGAAAGAGAAAGAGAAAGAGAAAGAGAGCATCATCACAATCACCACCATGGTGGTGATGCATTGGCTGCAATAGCTGGTGGTCTAGCTGGTGCATACGCTGGTTCGCATTTATCCTCTGGACATAAGAAGATGGGTGGAGCTTTAGGTGCCATTGGTGGTGCAATACTAGGTGAAAAATTAGCCGAACATTCTCACCACAAACACCATGGTCAAGAATATAGAGATGATGGTCCTAGTTACAATAACCCACCACCACCAATGAATAATATGGGATTTGCCCCACAGGATAATTACCGTCGTGAGAACAACAACGATTATCAATATGATAGACGTGGAGGTCCTGCTCGTAATGAATACGACAACTACCAGTATTCTGATGGACAACAAACCTATGGCCGCCCTCCCCAGGGCTATCCTGGTGAACACCAAGGTAGACAAGGCTGGTAAGCTCACATATGCATCATGCACATCTTACATATTGTTTGTTACGTAATATTTTCCACACTTCAATGACTTTATGAATACATCAAACTTATATATATGCCATTATTATATTATATTCTTATTATAAGAGAACTACTAGTAATCTGATATGATACAAATTATAACTAAAGTTTGATGACCGAGACAGTTTTACTTTATTTAATATAGTACTTAGATAGGAGATACTGGATCAAAAATTTGTTTCCGGTACACAATCCGTATATAAATAAGTAATAATTATTACTCTAACAAGGTAACTAAAACTTTATCATTAAATTGAAGCATATGAAGCTGTAGAAGAATACATAAGCTTTTTTCCTTAAAGAAGTGATTGAACATAATTCTACACAATATTATAAAAGCATATACCAACTTCAAACAATTTTTTTGCAGTTTCTACCAATGCTAAATTAGTTTCTAATGTATTATCGGTTCCGCAAAAATCAAAGTTATATATCTTTAAAGATGGATGTAGAAATAAAAAATATAATGAAGTATATCCCACTTTAATATATTTAATAAACAAAGCACCCTCCACTTACAAGTCCGGTTTGCAAGTCCCTCCTAAGTGGAAAAAGTAGCTTCTTAGGGAGAAAGCTCAATTCGAAGAAAATAATAAATCTATGGTCCTTGTAGAAAAAAAAAATCAACTATTTGCAGCAAAAGTGTTGTAGCTAAATATTTTTTATTTAAATATGACATTCTTTCCTCCTTTTCTCCATGATTACACAATATAGGTTTCAAGCATAACATTGCTATTCAAATAGGCTCTCTTTTATTTTTGTTATTAGTAACATTGTTCAAAGATAAAAACAATCCTTATGAAGGATTTATTTTATAGCTAACAATTTTGAAAGAAATACGGTAGAATATGGAATGCCTATCAACATAATATTAGTGTTGTAATATTGTGAGTATAATTCTCATCTAATAGAGTCCTGCTTTTCTACTAAGGTATCTATCTTTCACTGAATAAAGTCCACTTTTGAATGAATAGTTTTCAAAATGTTATAGCAGTTTCATGCGAGTCCTACAGAAAACTCATGCTAATGGATAAACGAACGATTCACTACCACAATGAAATCGAATCCTTGCTTTTAATACATGGTAGTATTATCCCTATATTGCCTTTACTTCTTTTTTGCAAAAGAATTACATGGAGTGGACAAGTCGATTCAAGTAATACCTATTAGCCAGAGCAATTCCTTATTTGTTGTCTTCCCATTTCAATGAGTTTGTGCAGGTTCTGTTTTCTTTATCTCGAATGACAATGTATCAACGAATAATTGAATTAGCAATTATGAGACTGGGACCTGCACATTCAAGTCTTTGATATTAATAAGCAACTCAGCGGTATCGATTGGTTTTATAGCAAGCAGAGAAATAGTTATCTTTAAAGCATACAGAACCTAATATTATTTACAGAACAGAGTGAAATAGCATGCCAAGCTTACCATTGTGATACACAGCAAAAGAATTGCATTCCATTTCTGTTCATATTAATACAGAAAAAACTACACCATAATAACATTAAATCATTATCATATCGTTCTCACGAGATATGAGCAATATAATTGTCTTCAGGAATGGTATCGAAATCCACAACTCTTTCCGACATGCTGGTTCAACCAAATATCGACATTAGGAAATTTCATACCGCAGTGTTTACATTTACCTGGAACTTGACTTCTTTGTTCTCTTTTAGTCTTTTGAGGATATTCAAAATGCAGTGCTTTGAGATGATTTTTAAATGTATCACAACGTGAAAAGACTCCTGTAGGATGGCAATCCATTGGTGTAAATTCAAGAACACTGTTACTAGTTTCAGGAGAGTTTAGTTCTAAATCAACTTCAATCAAGTTTGCATTATATGGGCACTTAAAAGCACATTTGATCTGATGTAATTGTATTAGTTGATTTTTCTTCAGTGCTCTTTGGCCTTGTATGGTATTTTGACACTGCTGATTAGTATTTCCTAGGTTGGCTATGTTTTGTATATCATCCTTCCAGTGACGCTTTCTATGTCTGATAAGGTCATTGTTTCTAGCAAATCCACTCTGACATATAATACATTTATGTGGTCGATCTTGAGAGGTTAGATGTGTCGATTTATGAGTTGACAAGTTGGCAAAATATTTATGACAAATTGGACACTGCCTCTTTTTTTTTGTTTTTGAATAGTCGGCTAATAATGCTTTCTTGAGATTGATTTCTTGAAGCGTCATGTTATTAGATGATGGTAGTGTAGTGTTAGGGATGGATCCTGCTAGTGTATTGATTTCGGTTAGACTTTCATTGCTTGTATTCACGTTTTTATTTGTGAAGGATACTGATCTAAATGATGTATTATTTGATGGCAGATAATATGAGGTTCTGTAAGAAACATTAGTAGTAGTAGAACTGTTTGTTGATGAACATGTATCTGAACTTGGTAAAATGTTTGGACACATATGATATGTTGGAGGTGAGTTTTTTATAGCCGAGCCACATGACGGTGTAGGTGAGCTACTAGAAGACTTCAATGTTGCTAGGTATACACTCTCTCTTCTAGAGGTATTTGTGTCTAGAGGTAGATATGTGGGTAGACTTGTCGGGCTGAACTCACTTTTAATTAGCGGCCTGTAATCTGTTGTGTATACATTTCGGTTTACTGCGTGAGTGGGTGCCCCTTGCGTACTAGTGTTGTTAGGGGCAATTTGTGGATTCACTTGCTTTTTATCATAAGTTGCTGAATAGGGCACTGATACTGTCCTGACCATTCGAGTATCGTTCCTTAACCTACTGTCATTATAGATATTGGTTTTCACAAAATTATCCAAAGAAGAAATTGGTGGCAGCTTTAATTTTGGTCTATCTATGACAGAAGCGCTGTTATAATATGAGTACCGGCTATCATTTTGACAATTTACCGAAGTTTGTGTCGTGTAATTATTAGTTGCTTGTGGTGTTAAGGCACTAATAATGGTTTGTTGCGAATTTTGAATAATACTATTTGTTGGGGAAAGTGTACTGTTAGTAGAATTACCCGTGAAAAAGTTGTTCGTATGCATGCTTTTGCTTCGTTCTTCACTGACAGTGTTTAATGTCTTAGTGTCCAAAATTTTTATCGTGGAAAGTACAGATGTCATTGCCCATCTATGGCTAGAGAATATAAGTCAGCTTCTCAAACTCACTAAAATAAAATGAGAAATTAAAGTAGAATAACTTGAAGGAATTAAATAAGTTCTAATGAGATGGAACTAGGATTGGGATATCGATATAGCCTGAAAATTGAGCAAATTTAGAACAATTAATATTACTATTAAATCTCTGCTCGATGGCGTATAATTGAAATTAATATGTTCCACTAATTCTTGATGACTGTGATACAACAACCTTTTTGTTGAATAATACTGCACACAGTCGATTCAAATGCTATCTATTGGTGAACTAATTCCAGCTCCTATTGGTAATCAATCTAATATGGGATTTAAATAGAAATGAAATTGTATTGTCGAGTGAGAGGCCTTCAAGTATGATTGGATATGTTTCCGTTTTATTTAATTCAAAGGTACTATTATTCAAATTCAAAGGGATTTCTTTACTGTTTGTAATCTGAAAAATGAAAGTTGCGTAAAAAAAATGTATTGAAATGTAATACAGTCAGTATTGGTTAAAATAGTTGTGAATGTTCATAACAAGATAGAGCTATAAAAGTCAAGTCATTTGAATGCATTAATATATATTTATACTATTTTTGATTACATAGGCTTTGTGCAAATCAACTGCTGCACTCTGAAAGAGCTATCACCTTGGTGAAACATCCCAACGGCCTATAACACCAGATCGAAATCAATAATTGGTATATACAAGGGACTTGTTAAGGAAACTCCTTGATCCATGAAAAAGAAAAAACGGCTGGAAACCAGTTTCTGGGTCAAGCATGAATATTATGCTAATTCAGGGAACACTTATAAGCTGGCAAATTAATATTTCATGTTCACAGAAACAAAATGATGTTAGTGTTAATCACAACTAATAAGAAAAGTGTACGACAATCGAAGAAAATCCAGTTTTACCTTCTATAATATGAGAGTATAAAACCCAGAAGGCTTCACTGCAGCATTTGAAAGACAATAGAATATCTCAAATAGACTGTCTTTCTGTATCTCTCCCTTCATCCTTCACAACCAGTAATAAGAAAAGTGAGCAAAGAAAACGAATAACTTCCTGCAGGTATTTTTCTAATTAATAAAATTCACAGGAAAGAAGAAGAAGAGGAGCCATATCCGTTTTTTTGTATGCTTGTCCTATTTTTTCCCCTTACAATAGTGGGTGTATAAGATTACGTTGATGTAAGAATCTCCACAGGAATTACCTAGGACTTCTCAGTCTTGAATTTCTCAGTTCTATCTAATAATGCACAGGTTTTTCACTGAAAGGACAAGTAGGAATAGTAATTTACTCTTACAGAACATACCAATAATTTTTGTTCAAGATTTTTGGTACTTTTCTTTTCTCATTTGTTACATCCTTTACCATCCCATTTCCTTACCTTTACTACTTATTTTTTTCTTTTCTTCAATGTATGGGATTGTCTTGCACTCAGATTGCCCCACGATTGTGGGAAGTGTATCTTTGTTTTTCGAACACTGTAGAGAAGACCTAGTTAACTGAAAAGAAAAGAGAATCATTTCTTAAAATCGAACGGTTTGCACATAATATATCTTGGAAAGAAGGCCCAGAAGTTGTGGTCCTGCAAATTCAGAGAATTTCGGATACGGGACAAGTTTCATGAAATATAACCATTTTCTTTTTCGTTGCGATTTTCATACAAAAGTGAAAAAAATAAGAAAAACAATCGACAAGGAACTATCTTACAGTTAGTATAATCCGGCGTCGAATATATTTCGGCTTTCTTTATTGTACACAATTATCTTTCCTGTTCAAATTGTGATTCTACATGATTTAGTTTGTGATCTTCACTTTTTATTTTTTGAGCTTTACGAGAATTGATTGTAATAACCAGGAAATTACCAGCCAAAACTAAACGGTAGTGCATAACGCAGGGGTAGAAATTAGGAGCCAAGTGTATATTGTATCAGATACACGTAGTTGTACGATTCCAATTATGTGTAAATAGTCTATGCAAATATCGAAAAGATTACAATCTATTACCTTCAAGACAAATAATCTCCTTCGGTTATTGAACTAACTTCTTGTTTAGCTCCTATATCCCACTATGATCCTTCCTCTGTTTTAACAAGCGACACTCTTCAAACATTTAGTAATATTGTATTTCTGGTAGATGAAATAAAAGCTCAGTTTATACTTCGTCTATTCTAAATACCTTTACAATTTGTAAAGTACCTGTTATATCAAAGATAGCAGTAAACTACTAAACGCAATCTTGACTAGGTACAGGCCCTTATTGTTGCGCTAATAGCCACCTTGGTTCGCTGTGGTGTACAGATACAACCAAATGTACCAGTAAGTTGAAAATTTGGTCAGTATCTATTGCAACATTCGCACTTTACAAGCATCTTGTTAGAAATTACTATAGTTGGTCAATTTTGCATGGTTTATTCTGACTTTGTCTGTATTGCGTCGTTTGCTCACACAAAATACAGTTAATTTGATTTTTTCGAAAATCATGATCACACTATATCTTCCACAAAAAAAAACACCTTAGTAAGGAATGATCCCTGCGGGTATTTCTTTGTGATCTTTATGCACAGAATTAATCACAGGAGAATGCTAACTCAGTCAGTTGATGATGAAATTTACACTTTGTAGCTAAGGCCCACGCAATTTGTTTCATTTCTGTAATTGTTTACCTTCTCATTTGATCGTTTGCCCAGTCCAGCCCGGTCTTTTCCACTGGCCCGACACAACCCCATAATGCGAGAAACTAGAATGATTTGCCCACTTCTTCAGCTAGTCTCCACACGGTATTTTCTGTGATGCGAAGGATTTCACAGACAACCTCATGTGCAACATGTCACCAAATCACGGCACGGAACTGTAATAGAATGAAAAAATGCGTTCTGTGTGATTAATGAATAACAGAGAAAATGCCGTACTGAAATGTTTCTCTTGCTCATTTTTCGCTACTTCTCCATAATTCCGACCAGATACCACAGACCTTGTTAGTGAAATCAGCACTCTCTGATCAAATGCTCCTACGACCTTTATTGTTTTTTTACAGCTTTAACAGCATCAAGTGTATTGATTTGCTTAATTCTATCAAGCACCCAATACAGAAAGAATGGATCTGTGTACGTAATACATAATATTTGTAGCTTAGAATGCCTTTCATGGATAGGACCTGCGATATTTTTTATTTTGCGAAGCGTTTCATTTCTTTTTCCTTCTAATAAAGTATAGAATGAAATGTCTCGCAGAAGAAAAAATAGGACTGGTCTCTGTGAAAAAAAACCTTCTCTTTAGATCAAGATGTAATTGAGAACTTAAAGTGTTTCTATTACATAGTAGCCATATACGTCCTTTTTGATCCTTGCTAGTTCTACGGGTTTTGTAGTGCCATAACCGCCCTGTGAAATACGCGAAGAAAATGAATTACTAATCTGTCGCTAAAACTAGCAAAGGCTTTTATAATCAATATTTAGGTTCTTAGGCAAGGTGACTGGAAGTAAAGAACTATGCCAGTTTGTCTCCACGTCATAGCAAAGAGGGAACACAAGGGGGGAATCTTTGTGGTGATGGTAGTGGTTGTTGCGCTTGGCACTGTCTTTTGTGACCTCTGTAGTTTAAATACGACGCTCAGTGTGGCGACTTCTTTTATAGAAGAGTATCGTGTGTAAAAGAGGTAAATTAGTATACTACGGCATTTTTTCCATAGTAAGCTGTTCCAATCATCTGATATGAATTCCAAAATATTCTTTAAGGTGTTTTCGAACCTAAAAAGTGGGATGAATTTTTTTTTCTTTTGGGCTACTAAGACGGGGGTATTCCGAAAAAAAGCGAAAGAAACTCGCTTACTCTTCTGTGACCAAAAAGAACAATTGGCCGGAAATAGTAGAAAAGAAAGCAAAAACATTACCTATTACAAAGCTCATAGTGAGTTCTTTGAAAAAGACGTGAAGAGCCTGTTTGATGTAAACGGAAATGAACAAAAACTTGAGATTGATTTATTACAATATGAAACAAACAGACTTATACCCAAAAATATGCGTAGCTAACATGTTATTAATAATAATTAATATCATGATATAATACTCTCCCAAAAATCTCTTTTTTCCAAATACGTACCTTGAGAATACTCTGAGAAATTCAGCAGTGGCCCATGTCGGTGAAAATGGGAAGGAGTTGTTATTTAGAAGCTTAGAATCTGTGTTCATGACCATCGGCAAGTAAAGATCGAACAACAGCTTTCTAATTTGTCCTAGCAAAAGAATTATTTTTTTTGGTGATGCTTAATTGGGTGCCAAGGACGGCCATCTTTCATGCTCATATAGACGAAAGTAGTGATACATACTATTTTCTGGTTTGTTGTTTTTCTTTGATTAACACCGATATTCTCTATTTTATCCCTGCGAAGATAACATAGGGACAGCCATTTTTTCCTTTGACCGCTTTCCTTGTAAACACTCATTAATTTTATTAAAGGGTTTTTTTACTACAATCGATACCTGTACTATATTTCAGTCGTACTACCACCATGATGCTAAGAAGTTTCTTTCTGTTTTCTTTTCTGTTGGAAGGGGGTTGAGATTTAGGTTGTGCTTGTATTTCTAGTGAATATAATTATTACTCATCAGTTGTTTCTTAAAATTTTAGTACGATTTTTCCATACTGGTACGTAAATTTGTCAAGGACATTTTCAGATTGCCTCTGAGGATTGAAGAGCTTGACAAGTAAAGGATTGGCCAACAATTCTTGTGCCCTTGTGTAACAGTCATGCTGAGATAATTAGTAGAGAGACACAAAGTGGGATGATTTTTTATTCTTGAAAATGGTGGCACTTCCTTTATTTTCAACTTTCTTATTGTTAACCATTAATATTATGCTCACAGTTCATTGTTTTTCTCCTGACAGTAGTATATTCAGTAACATAAACGGGTTAATTTTTTTCACTGAGTACAACTTACATATTTCTTCAATGACCCAGTGTTAATTTCTAACTTCTCTTCACACCCTCCCCCTATTTAACTGTGATTCGGTTTTAACATCTTGGAAACTATCGAGCTACTCAAAATTCACTACCGCAACTGCAAGCAACCATCATTCACCATAAGAAATAGCTGGGACCTTGAGCTGATCTCTTATACAGTAGTTTACAGCAAAAGGAATAGTGGGGGAGTTACCACATTCATGGACTGCTTTTTTATTCAGACTCAAAAAGAAATGCTTTCCATCATAGCATGTCCTCTCATCGATTGTGTATACAATTCCGTAATTGTCAATCCCCAAAAGTCCCTGTTATTCCATTCATTTTCAAAAGTGATACCACACCAGTAACACCATAATAAGCTCAGTAGTTCGAGTGACTATAGCATACTCTAGACCACTCTGTTTAAGGCAAAATATTTCATCGAACGCTGCTCATTAAACGAGAACTGGAATAATCGCTGTTAATTGCTGGTATATTTCTTTTACCATGTCACTGAATGTACATTGCTTCTAGCTCAGTATGTGTTCAATAGTATTAATATGAATAATATTGAATCAGCAGAATTATCTTCAATGAAAATGGTAGTATACACACAGAACAAGAGGTACAATAAAATTTTTTTTTTGTTGCTCTTCCCGGTTTTCTGTGTTACCACGAGTGATTTGCTTTTTTCAATTTTTTTCTTCAGTTTTACGCAAGTCATAGAAAATCTCTGCTATCCCAAAAATCCCGGGACTTCGGGCATGCCCATTTCTTTTTTTCAATGGTACTGCAGAATTCTTCTCGACAGATACTCCTCTATTGAATCTCTTGCATCCCATATTTTTTTTTCCCTGCATTTTGCATATTTTGCTTAGTACTCTCTGCCCCTGAGAAGCATAGTGGGGGGTCTACTCCAGATTCTGCGACTATCCCGCATCTCTTCTCTGTTCTTCAGTCTTACTCTTCTCATTTTTGATCCTTTGCTAAGGACAAATCCATATATTGAGCAATACTCACAAAGTGTTCTCTTGTGATTGAATTATGTACTATACACAAAATACCATTCAATAAGATTCCACAAACAATTCTTAGCAACTGTAAAGGATTGTCCTATCCTTGTTCTTAGTCGCGCTGGCCTTAATGATTTTTGATGATTTCATCGAAAAACCTAGAAAGCCATATGACTAATAGAGAGAATTAGTGTTCTACAAGTAGATTACTATTTGTTATTCTAGAGCTGTTGCTAATAAATTCACAAAATGTTCTAACTTATTTCCGTGTATACACCTCTCAATATTTGGGATCAGAGCTTCTTTTTGGTTTCTCAGCTGACTGACTTTTCTTTTAAAGTTATTGCTATGATCTGTTCTGTGGAAAAGCTTTAAGTGTATCCTGTTTTTAAGCCGATATCAATTTCTCAAGTGCCTCGACCAATTTTTATTAGTTGCAGTTTTACGGCAATATTTTTTTATGTATTGATTATTGGCACTGAGCATTTCCGTAAAGGGAATTCGGGATAATCTGTACCCAGATATCTGATCCAATCTAGCACTTCAACTGGATTGTTTCCAACAAGATCTCTCTAGCAATTTTGCCTGGGATCGTTCTTCCTTAACCAGTATCTGCTTTGTAATTACTGTTATTTCAACACTATTCAGCGTCTAAATGTATAATTAAAATATTCCTATCCTAAGAAATGCTGTAGTAGTACGTAATAAACTCTCAAGAATTTTCCCTAATGTCTCCATATTAAAAATGTTGTAACTTTTCATTCAAAAACTATTGTGGAGACCCATCTCATAGCAGGATAGTTGTATTTCTGTTTTGTTCGAGCCATTGGTGTACGTAAAAGAAGAGTTAGAAACGTTCGGTAGGCCACTAAGGTTAGTTATTACTTATCTTAAAGAAAGCTAATATTTTCTGTTAATGACCGTGAGGTTTTTGTTGAATTTTTTATGTATTCCGAGTCATGTCCATGTTTCCATTTAACTCAACATTTCAAGGTACTATTTTAATGGTTATAATATCGCATGTGAAAATTTCTGGTACGGTTTTGTCAATTGTGTTTGTTCATATTTCTATTTTGCTTCATTGATATTTGCATTCTAGCGTAGTTTACGTTGTGATAAAGTTTTTTTTTCGATTTGGAATACCTGTTGTATTTGAAATTACATTAAATAAAAGACATGAAACAGGAAACTTGAAAGGGAATGTTAGTAGCATTTGCCATAAAAAATTGCTGGCGTATTACTAGTTTATGATTAAGCATAAACTTAACAAATGTGCACTTCTATGACATAAGCGTTACCAAACATTAACTGGTACAAATCTATCGAAAAAGAATCAAGACTCATTAGCACAATGCTAAATTACATCCAAGAAATAAAATAACAGTTCAAAACGTGTGGTTATCTGGTATTTCAAAAGAAAATTAATTATCAGATTGATTTTTCAGATGAATAGTTTTGATTATAATCTAATCATGCAATTACTTTGCTAGGAATTTTATTTCTTTACGGCGTATGGGAGGCTAGCTGTTCTTTAGAACACCACTGATTGCTATATGTGACTTATGCGAGAATTTCGCTATTATAACTCAATGATTATCTCGTTAAGGCTATTTTGTGTTATAGGGTAACATAAATATTCACATGCTAAGTTCTGATCCTATATTTTGTTAATCACTCGGAGTTGTAGCCATTTTTGGATTTACCATTTTTCGTTATCGGCTCTCTCTTGAAACTTTTTCTTTTTCAGGTTCTAAGGCCGAGAAAAATATGCATCGGGTCCTACAGGTAAAATCTTCTAAGTAAAATAACCAATGGTACAGTAGTACTTAACAAATAATGTTTTACCTATGGAACCGTATGTTCCTAAAAGAGTGTTGTCTTGGGTCAGTACACTGATTATTAATCCCATTAGGTATGTTTTGTTTAGCAATATTTCATTAATGTGTTTCACCGTCTCTTATTTATTTCGCCAAAAATGGGCTAGTTACAACAGATATAAAAAAACGCCTACGATGAAGCTCAGTAATTTTTTTGTATTATTGATAGATTACTAGTAGAATAGGATCTACATTTATCAGTCTAAGATGTAAAGAAAGATACATCATTATTGGAGATATTCAAATAAAATTTTTTATATACGAATTGACTATTGTCAGACAACAAGAAAGCTATAAATATTGAAATGTCTTAGTTGTCTATTCAGCTTCAAATCAGGAAATTGAGAGAGTTAGCTACTTTCTTTATTAATTCCTTGTAATAATTGTACTACATTATAGAAGAGAAGTTTGCTGAAGATTCTAAGGTAGTGAACCTTTTCAACCTTCATGGCAACATAAAGAACGGGCAAAATAAAAATTTCGCCAATGGTGTACTAAGGGCACTTTGCTACCAGTTCATAACTTAATTGTAGCACGTTCTGTTATAAGTTTAAGTTTATTGTTGTTTTATTCATAATATTTCCGGGTCACGTAAAGTTATTCTTTTCTTTGATTGGAATCTACCAAATAACCTAACGAGGGAGGTATGAGAAATTACAAGTGTAGTATGTTCAGCTGATATTTCTATTGCTCTTTTTGAACCGATGCTTACTAAGGCTGTATTATATCCCACAAAATTTTTTACTTGGTACTAACTTGATACACTGATAATAGATTTTTTTTTTGATTAGTTGTGATTTTACTGGAATGAAAGTCTAGCAAATTGAAGTTAACTTTCTTTCAAAATATCCAGTAAAATACTACCGCGGAACATTAATTTTACTATAAAATTGATTAGCTCGTTTATCTCTCTATAATATTGTGAGTATATGTAAATAAAAGAAAAAATTGCATATCTTTTCAAATTAATGGATCTTCTATTTGTCTGCTTTTGGTTTGTCCAACACACTAACTTTCAAGCTTACTAATTCGAAAACTAATTATTGTTGTCCATTGTTATTGTGGTTCTGAAATAACATAATAATCAGATGGTATGGTTGATATTAGCAATTATTTTATTATTACAAGATATCTTCATTACTACTAAATTAGTGCTGTCTGAGGTTGCTAGTCCAAAATCTAGACATTATACTAATTACGGTAGGAGTTTCGGATCAAGGCTCCTATATCCGCAATCAATAGTTGTTCTTCTGATGTTTCTAGCTAATTAAGGGGGACATCCCACGCAAGACAAATCAACAAAAAAAATATAATAGGAAAATCCTATCAGGAGTGGGATGGTTAAGACAATGGGCTGAGTTGATTCTGGTATTGGCATACCCCCTTTGTGAATTAAGATTCTTTACGTTTCAAAGGAATAGTCCAGACAATGTGAGTAAGTTTTTTTGTACCTTACGGCCCCAGGCTTGGTTCGAATTCTATAAAAACATCAAATTTCTTTTTGCAAGATTGAGCTTCAGTCAGTGTTTTTTCACATGGCTAGCAGGTTTTCTGGAAAAGGAAAATATTATAGTATAATCCTAGCTAGCGTGGGCATTCAATAATGGTTTATCCTAAGATACACCAGGAAAGTTTATAATAAGAAGTGCCTAATATAGTATGGCTGGTAATTTGTACCTTTTATTTAATAATTTATAAATATTTGGCAGAAGAGTAATGTAAACCAATTTCGATTACTTTTCTTTTTCTTGCCATTGATTATAGTTGCGCGGCATATTCTTATGGTACGCCACCTGAGGGTAATAGAGGTGATGTGCTCTTTTCTTCGCCGATTGTTGCCAATTATCTCAAGATCCGGTTTCTTACTAAGTTATTATTCAGGAATCCTAAGAACTCTTTTAACTTTTGTAATTGTATATTCGGTGGTTTTGCTAATTCGATTCTACAAAGATATTATAAGCCAGTTCTGGAGCTGTAATGTTTCGCTGTGATAATCAGTACTCATTAAAAATTTTAGAAGAGTTATCCCACTGAATTAGTATAGAGAGCATCAAATTTTGTAAGTAAAAAATCATATCAAAACTACCTATCAGAAAGCATGCTTTTGACAAATTGAGATAGCTAGATCAATAACTTGTAAACTTATGCTTCAAGTCATCTGGCGAGAACTAAAAACAAAATAGTACGATGATGAACATTATATACTTGCTAATGTACATGCATTGATTTTGGTGGGATCATTTCACTTAGTTTGACAACAGTACCCTATATAAATCATTAATTTTTGTGATATTTACCAGTATTTGAACAGTTTAGTGTATTTTTACAATGAAGTATGGTTGATGGGGTTTAAAGCCGCTTAGAATATAATAAAGAATGCTATTATAAACTTCCAAGACATTAATAAAAACTCTAATACCGACCACTGTGTTTTGAAACACCATCTTAATATTAAGACTATTGTGTATAATTGATTCAATTATCCATTTAGCACCTTTGTCGGCTCAGTGGTAGTTGGAAGAACACACTACGTCTCAGTTAAGTATTATTTACCCGGCCTTGTGTATAGTCCTTTATGTGGGATCACAATGGGGAAAATTCGGTTTGCTCCATTGATTGCTCATCGATCGTTTGGGTTGTGAATGCTTCGATCATGTGAAAGAAAAAGTGAAGAAATTTAAGTTAATAGTTACTCGTAGCCTAGATCATCAACTCGAACACAAATATGTCAGTAACACAAGAAGTGTAGACCATCACTTAATTGACCAAGAATATCACTGATAAGCTGTACATATCTGGCATATACCAATACATTGCATAATTTGTTCTGTAATTCCCATATTTAAAGTCCATTATGTTTTCCCTTAAGAATTTGGATAAGAGGCTGTACGACTCGCATGGTAGGAAGAAAAGGAAGAAGAAATTGGTTTATATTGATGTGCGTACCAATTCGATCTACAAGGATATGATCCTTATCCAGGGAACACCTTTGGAGTCTCCTCCCATACCGTTGTCAGGGAATGTAGTTTTTAGTGTAAGCGATAATGTGAAGGTAAAGCGGATCAAGCTCCGGCTAGTATGCCACTATAAATTGGATTTTGTACAATTGGTTCATGACGACATGGCAAGTATAGTGAAAGAAAGAACTAAGATATTGGAGTGTACTTGGGCTAACCTTCTGAAAAATAGTGAGGGAGAAACACAATTTGACTTCACAAAAGTTCACAAGAGCACGAAGAAAAAAACTGGACTGCTACGTGGAATTAAAATATGGAACACTAGTGATGGAGATTATTCGAGTGGTCATCATGGGACTAGTGCTAGTGAATCTGTAGCAAGTTCGCATTCTACTGGACACACCTCAAGTGAACATGGGAAGTGGTATCAAGCAGGTAATTATGAAGTTCCGTTTCAGGTCCAACTTCCTAACGATATTCCAGAAACTATCGAGGGTTTGCAAAGTGGTAGCATTCTTTACAATTTTATCCTGGAAATAGAGACAGAGGAAAGAAATAATAAAGTTGATGTGACGAATAAGTACAATTTCTACAAATATCTCAGGATTTTGAGAACATTGTCTATGAATCATATTGCAATACAGGAAGAAATGATGGTTAGTAATACTATAAGGAATATGTTACAATACCAAATCAGCATACCAAGTAGGGCTGTATCGATTGGCGACGAAAGTATGATAGGACTATCGATCAAGCTAATTCCGTTTGAGAAAAGTTATTATCAATTAGATAAAATAATGGTTGGTCTGGTACAGGAATATTGTGTTAAGGACAGACATGATGAGGAATACGTAGATAGTAGTACGATCAACCCTATAACAATAGCATCGTTTAGGGACATAGAAGGTATTGTACCTGATACAAACGAGTTAATAGATTCTACAGAATTGAAGATACAATATGAGATGCCCAAGAATCTTAAATCAATCACGCAGGACTGTGATATAATGATAGGTGATGAACGGTTAGGGATTAAGAAGCAAGTAATGTATGTGAGACATGAACTTAGTGTTCGTATCAAGTTCATCAAACTGAAAGATGATAATAAACCACTTGAGATAAAACTACGGCTACCAGTTTTACTATATGTTTCGCCTATGAAGAAATTGCTTGGAAGAAGAGTCTATTTCAATGAGTCGACTGGTAGAATACATTTCAGGGCCAATGATTATGTGCCACTGTTCACCCCAAATACCGGCAACAGCACCTCTTTAAATCAAATTGGTCTGAATAGCGCAGCAGGCGACAGCCAAGGACAATCAGACGTACGCGATGGTAGCCAGGAGGTACCGCCCCCGCTCTATTCGGAGATAGACCAGGATATTGTATATACGGGTGATAATGTAGAGTCCCAATTATTCGTTGAGAGCACGCGTCGAGACGGGCGTAACCGGGATAGTGATGAAATCCAGATGGAAACTAACCCTGGGTCGCAATTACGACACTATAGTTCAAATGATTCGAATGGGTACATGAGAAATCAAAATCAACCGGTAGTCGCTACTCAACCACCAGTGGACACGTCTACACCAACGTATGAAGAGGCACAAAGTGCAACTGTTGAGCAGAGGCCTGCCCCTACATACGAGTAGTTTAGAAATCAAGGTATGTACTAAATTTGTTCTTTTCATCAAATATCAGATTTACACCAAGAATTAGGCAACGCTTTGTAAGACCAGCCGAGATCACGGTTAACTCATTTTTGATTTTTTTTTTTGATTTTTCAAAGGAATAATATTAGCTACGCAAATATATTGTCAATGACAGAAGCAGACATTATCCTTCTGTCCGGAGTAATAATTAGCACATTTGCTTGACAGTGTACACATAGATGTGTTAAACACGAATATCAACACGGCGTGCTACCCCGCCGTGTTTCGGTTAATTTACTGTACACCCCGCTATTGCAAAGTCGGCCGTGATATGTAGAGGGTTAAACTCCGAGCCTTACGCATAGTTAGGTTCCGTGGAAACAAGTATGAAATTCAAAATGGGTAACATCTTGAACCATTTTATGGCGCAAAGCATATAGGATAGCGGATAACATAGCAACTAAGACGTATACGAATCAGTTTTATTATTACGAGATGCAATTATTTACTCCATCCAAGTATCATTAGCTGAACTAACTTTCAGTCGTCATGCCAAAAAAATGAATAACTTGTGCTTACTGCTATCCGCGGATGGAGGGTGTATCAACAGTATGAGAGGAGGGACCCTTCCTTTCAAGCTTGGCTCTATTTTTTGGGCTCCCCCCTTAGTCCGATTCTTTCGTACGTTCCTGTATGTTCTTGTTTTCTTTCTCGACCACAACCAGATTGGAAAGTGATCACCCCACATCGGCTTGTGTGTTTTTCAATGAGATGAGAAAAGCGAAATTCCGGGGTAACCAGAATAGTGGGGGCGGGGAGGGGGGGGTACAGGATGATTTCGAAATAGTCACTGCAGAGAAGCAGTCGCGCGGTTTGTGATCACTTCCCAGGGATGAAAATACCCTAACAATTGCAGGTGAAGAAGCCAAATGGAACGGATGAACGGGGAGGAACTGATGTTTGACTCTCGGTTTCCGGCATGCTAGATAAATGGGGTGGGAAAGAAGTGAAAGAGGGCTGTGTGTACCCCCACCTAACCGCACTGAGATACCCCTTTGCCCCTCTTCCTTTTGTTGTCTATTACTTCTTCTGAAGACAGGCTTCCAAGGGGGAAGAGGATGGAGGGGGGCCACTCCTTAATTTTCACTTGCACTACTTGGTATAAGAACTAGCAAAGGGAACAGCAAAGGGACACTCTAGTTTAAAATAATCCCTCAGCGCAGTTCTGGCTGCAGAGAGGCCCACATGGAAGAACACGAATTAATGCCGGCAGAGTCTCTTCGACCTTTGTGAACAAGTTTTGTGAGAAGAAAAAAGAAAAGAATAAAACAAGGCGACAAGAGTAGGGCAGAGAAAGATGCTCGATTTACTACTTGCTTTCTGCTCTTGTTTCTCACTGCTCTACTGCACATCAACCCCTAATATAGGGACAATCCTCCCGTCCGAACCCCCCCTCCCTGCTAACCCCCCCGCTCCCCTGCTCTTCTATTTTTCACATTAAACCCAATTAATAGTAATATATTGATACCAAACCCCCACTAGGCTCAGAAACGGCAGCACTAAAGACTGAACAAAGAGAGATTTGTGAAAATAAAGAGATTCAATTACTAACTCTTCTATTAACCTCGACTTCTAGATCTTTGTGTCTGATACTTGCAAGTGCAATGGTAATACACCGTATAGCAAGGACCATGCGTATGTGTGGGGTAGGGCGATATTTTCCACCTTGTTTATGCCCCCCACGGCAGGTTATATGGTAGCTTGCAGCGTATTAACTTGGAGCGTATGACATACTTGTAGAAATTGTTTATTATAGTCATCGGGTGTGGGGGATCGGCTGAGAGAAATGACACAATATAGCACATCTCTCTTTATGCCCCCCGGGGGGGGGGCCTGTTGAGGGATGCTTCGTTACCATCCAATGAACGTATTTATATAAACTAGATTTGATGGAAGACAGGGAAAATGATGGATCAAAAAAAATATACTAGCTCCCGCTATGTAGTCTTTCTTGCATTTATAGAAAACAAGTTTACGCTAAGTTGGATAAATATACTCATCCAAGTAGTGTAACTATTTATTATCTTTACAAATCAACATACGATTGAGGATAATTCTATATTAAAGGTAATATTATAAAATGCAAGATCAACCCACGGGGAAGACAAAAAGACACTTTTGTTCGTTTTGCAACAAGGCCTTCTCGAGGTCTGAACACAAGACGAGACACGAGAGATCACACGCAGGTGTAAAACCATTCGAGTGCCAAGTTTGTAGTCACTCCTTTGTGAGAAGAGACCTTTTACAGAGACATATCAGAACTGTGCATAGAATTTTACTGCTGAGAGATACTGGAGCGCCCAGCCAAGAGAATGAAAAGGATGCCACTTTCAATGTCAACAATGTCGATAAACTAATAAACTCTATGATAATAGTGAATAATACGGTGAATGTTGGCAACTCCACGTTAGACAGCAACGATACTGACTCCAGCAATGCTCAAATTGGTGCTACAGGCGATCATGTGGATCAAACAGATGACAACAATGGTAAAGTCACACATTATACATTCCAACCAGAAAATGGTAAACTGCCACAAGGTCAAGCAACCGATGGTCAGAAAGTCAGAAGTAATTCAGTTGCTTCTGAGAATAGGCAAAGCCAGCGGGTATCTAATGGCTACAATGTAAAAAATAGAGTCAAATCGAAGTTTCTCAGTTTCAAACAGAAAGACTTGACATTTGGTGAACACGGAGACGAAGCAGGTATTATATCCATAGATTACACGAATAACCTGGTTCTATCTAATTTTAGTGAAAGTGATATTTCAATGATCATAGAGAGTGTGGAAAGCAATCCAAATCTTGAACTCTTACTGTTAATAATTCATATTATGGAAAGAAAATATCCTCATGCAGAGACTTCTAAACGTATTTTAACGAGAGTATTGTCATTTACAGGAATAACATTCATTGAATCCAAGCTAATTGCCGCCATACAGGTACGTTATAGTTTACTTTCCCAAAGAGACGAGAATCTTTTGAAATTTTATTCCCTGTATCAAGATCAGATATTGGAATTTAACGATTTTTCGGTATTTAACTTGAACCAATGGACATGTTTATCAGATTTTCTCAATGCCTCTAAGAATCAAAATGCTCTGGTCATTTACCAACAATTTAAACGGAAATTTTTACTCGATAAGAAATCTATTTTGATGCCTTATGAGATTCTAAATTTATTAGATATCGAGTCCAAGAAAAAGTTAAGAAATTTGAACAACTTAGATTATTTTACGAATCTGACCTATTGGGAGAGTGTATTACTAAATGACAACAATTTTGACCTATTAATTCAACTAAATAAAAACTATATGAGAGTATTTGAAAATGGTCAGCAGTCAAATTTATATTGCTTGACATCTTTCAACTCCAAGCCAGACGGTAAACATTGCTATAACTATCGTATTCTTTCAGAGTCTAATTGGCTGTTACTGAAGCTACTTTGCTGGAATAAAGATGTCAATTTACAGGATTCTTTGAATTCTGTAAAGCATGACATATGTAACGCATTAATCCCTCTAATGAATACGTTAATAGACAGCAGAGAGAGATTATTTTCAATAAAAAACGATAACTCCAAAATAAGTCTGATCATAGATGCTTTGTTTTTCCAATTGGAACTATTTTCTGTCCAATTACTCCCTAAAACGCAAGAAAATATGGAAGGAATTTCAGAGTTTTTATGTAACGAAAGCTTGCAAAAACTAATCTACTTTTGGTATATGACAATAACAAAAACGTTTGGTAAATTTAAAACTAATGATAAGAGATTAAAGCTCATAAAGCAATTCATTAACTCCTACATCAAGTCCAACACACTCATCTCTGGAAATAAGAAAAGAAAACTCAACAGCGGAAGTGGCACTGATTCACCTTCTCATGAAGAGAATTTGAAGAGATTGGAAGATGATTTGTCAGTCATTCTGTATGATATGTGGTCAAATGAATATCAAGGATACCACTTTTTAATAGACACAGTAGTTAAATGCATCAAGGACGATTTGATTGAGGCTAGAGTACTACAGATTTTAGATAATGACTGTGAGGATGTAAAGGTAAAACTAATTGATGCCGCTTTAAGAGCAATTAACAATATTGAATTTGCAATAAAATCATCTGAAAGTCAATATGTATCTACATTGAAGCATCGCAGAGGATCAACATCGAAATCCATAGCGTTGCCTATCAGTCATGACAAACCCTCGCCTTCATTATCTTTGCAAAGGGCAATGGATCAGAGCACCACATATATTGATAAGAGTAGATTGTCTACAGGATCAACTCAAAATAGCAACCATTTATCGACCAACTCAACACCCACAAGGGAGAGCTTTGATTGGAGCGGCAATAGTTCAAGCATGTATTTGACATCACCAAGGGTCGAAAACTTACCGAGGGTCAGGAACAGTATTAGTGGTGGAATGATTGGTAATGGTGGTAGAGGATTTAGAAGTAGTAACTCAAAAATAGTACTTCCACCAATTAATCTGAGTGCTATTCATAATCCGAGTGGCTCACCAACTACTTCAAGAGGCTCTAATTCAACGATAGATGGTGGTCATTCATCATATGTATATGGTAATGTATTGATGTCACCTCAATCAAGTGTCGACCACAATACTTTGCCTAATTCAACCACTAACCACAATCACAACAATCAAAACACTCGTTTAGCAAGTATGCCAGAATCACGTCCTGCTGGTTGGGGCAGTGATCCTACAAAGGATGCGTCTGGAACGTCATCCACTAGGATTGGAATTGATGTCGGTACAACTGCACCAAACAATTTCACATATGGGATATTAAGTGGATACTCCATGGGTGAGAGTGTTAATATGCAAAGTAATGCTGCATCTTCACATGTGAGAAACAAAAATAACGAAAGTGCCCTGGAGCCCAAGGACAAAAGTCAAGTACACCTACAGACACCAAAATCCTTGGATAATTTACTGAAAGACGGCAGCTACGACCGTTCGAGAAAAAACTCTTTAATGGATGGCAATGCTGTGTTGAGTCCGAATTACCAAGGAAAGTCTGCACAGTCTAATGATGAAGTACAAAAGGATCGAAAGATCAGGCTCCCACCACCATCTGAAATACTAAATACGGCATCCACATAACCTGAGAGAGCATTTCATTCTCCTTTAGACATTCACAATCACAGTCACTTAAATCCCACCTCTCCCGATATCAATTCCAATCCATGACCACACTACCTATATAGTGCCACCTATAGATTATATATTCTGTTCAACTTAGATATTTATTACACTCACCAATAACAATACGAATAGTTTTGATCCTGAATAGTCTAATATGCCATTGAGAAGTTTTTAATCATCCAAAGGTGACTCAAGTCTTATCTACGTTCTATATGATGCCTCACTTGGGTCATTAGTTTCTTCGAACTTTTTCCAGTTGGGATTTTTTTGCAGTCAAGTCAAGTTCAGGTTTGTTTCTGCAGCTGTATCTGTGCATAATGATGAGAAAAACATATAATATTTCTTGAAAAGTGTGAAAGCCCATCGCAAAAATTCTATACCATAGTAGTAGAAGGATAATGAAAGAAGTTGGGATGAAAGTTCTTATCAGTATTGATGACCCTCTTTCTTCCTAGGATACTCCTTATGGCTGCAATTATATATAATTGATGTATTCTGATGTGTCAGTTCACTGATAATGGATATTATCGTCCGACAACGGTGCTCATTCAGGAACTAAAGAGAATCACAGCGTTGTGACTCAAGGTTACTCCAATAAGATAGTTGCTAAATTGTATCTTTCTCAACAGGACTTATAAGAGAGTTATTACTAGATAATAACTTCTTGTTGTTTTGGCAGTCTTAGATATATGATTAGTTTTGTCTAAGATATTTTAGTCATTAGCCAATATACAAGTGCTATCGCCTTACAATACAAGTGTTATAAACAACTTGTGAAAAAACAATAAGTGAGAATAAGATCATAAGAGTTTGCTTGTGAAAATTTTTCATCGATATATTGATTGGTTGCGCATAAGAGTATCGATTTTGTTGAATATTGGTCATAATTCATTGCAAAAAATTTACAATTATAAAAGGTATAAATTGGGACCAGAATTTACCTTTATACCTCATTCAATTCATTTCCTTTTCCATATTCAAATCTGAAACAAAATTTAATATTCATAAAAAAGTACCGTATCATAGGAAATAAACTATATTATATCAATAATGGGAATCAAGTGGAAGAAATTCATCCCTCACTTGAGAGTATTACCTGAAGATCTTGAAGGTGATGTCTCAAGTGACAACAATAGTTCTATTGAGGAACACATTCATCATGATGATTCAAAATCGATTGATGATGATAAATATCATGAATCTCATGTGGTCTATGCTGTTGATACTTCTTCTAACAACGCAAACGGGAAGTCGTCTTTACCAATTAACTCAGCCCATGGCTCTGTTAAACTACAAAAGGGTATTCCATATGAACTCAGAGATGAGGCTAACAAGTCTCGCTGGAAGTTTTTTGATGAATATGAATACAGATTGAACAAAGAGTATAGAAAGTCAAGAAAGTGGTATGAGTTTCTATATCCAAATCATATCTCTCAAAGCAAAGCAGAGAGGAGGTTACTTTACAAGCTTGACATCATTGTTGCATTGTATTTCTTAATCGTTAATTGGTCAAGATCTGTTGACAGCAGTAACTACACCAACGCTTATGTGTCTCACATGAAGGAGGATCTTCATTTCAAGGGTAATGATTACATTTATACGTCTACAATTGCTAATGTTGGGTCCATTGTGTTTCAATTGCCGTTCATTTATATTCTACCAAGATTTCCAGCCCATTATGTCTTGCCAATTATGGACTTCGGTTGGTCGTGGTTCACATTTGCCTGCTATAGGGCCAAATCATTACCTGAGCTGAGAGCATACAGGTTTATCTTAAGTTCTTTTGGTGCTGCGTACTATCCCGTTGCACAATATCTTATGGGTTGTTGGTATGCCCCTGATGAAATCAGTTCAAGAGTTTGTTTATTTTTCTGTGGGCAATTGTTAGGTAGTGTTACCTCCGGTTTACTCCAGGCCAGAATTTTCAAGAGTTTAAATGGGGTACATGGATTGGCTGGATGGAGATGGATGTTTTTAATTGATGCTATTGCTATCTCCATTCCAACTGCCATTTTGGGATTTTTTGTGATTCCTGGTATCCCCTCAAAATGCTACTCTCTGTTCCTGACAGATGAGGAAATAAGAATTGCTAGAGCTAGAAATAAGAGGAACCAAATTGTTGATGGTGTCGATAGGTCAAAGCTTCCTCATATTTGGTCCTGGAAAGTGTGGAAAAAAGTTTTTTTCACACCAACATTTTGGGTACTAGTCATCTTTGATCTTTGCTCTTGGAACAATATGACAGCATACAGTGGATCCTACACATTATGGCTAAAATCCAATACAAGCTATTCTATTGAAAAAGTTAATAATTTATCTGTGTTGCCGGCATGTCTCGGTTTTGCATTTGTTTTCTTCTGTGCCTTTGGTTCAGATCTTTTCAGGAACAAATGGCCATTTATGGTATTTTCACAATGCATGAACTGTATATCATGTGCAATTTTAATTAAGTGGGATGTTGCTAGTTCGACAAAATGGTTTGCTTTCTTGATCACATACTTTAGTGTTGCTGCATCGCCATGTTTATGGTCATTTATTAATGATTTCTTGAGACATGACCCACAAGTTAAGGCAATTACCTGGATTGCAATATATTCAATTTCTCAATCTACCTATGCCTGGATTCCGACACTTACTTGGAAGACAGTAGACGCCCCAAGATTCAAGACAGGTTATATCGCTAGTTTAATATTCAGTGCAATTTATGGTCTGTGGACATTTGTTGTGTTATTTTTCTACAAACGCAATGAGAAAAAGAACGCTTTAGGTAATGGTATTATCCTTTACAACAGTTCTAAGGGGGAAAGTCCTCCAACATTTGTGGAAACCGATATGGTTTTGAAGAATGGTTACTACTATGTCAAAGAAGACTGTGAATAAAATTGTGTTTTGAGAAAGTTTTGTACTTTGATTCTGTTTTTAAATGCTTTATTTTATGTAATCTATATCAAAATATTGATATCTTACTACTTTTAACTCATTTTATATTTTGTGACTATTATTTTTATTTTTTAAAGATGGATTACATGTTTTGTATTCCAATATGGTTTTTCTCATACTTACTCACAGTAAATATTTAAAAAAATATGAATTCAAATTTAGAGATTAACCTGAATGTTTTATATTCTTTTACCTAAAATAATACACAAAAATAAAGAAATGAAACGGATTTCACATGATAAAGTTATTACAATTTATTTACGAAACAAATAAGACATAAAGGGATATTCATGCGCTGATTTGATTAGTAGACGAAACCCAAAATCTTACCAGAAACGTGCTTTCTTCTAGCTTCTTCATGGTCCATAATACCAGCAGAAGTAGTCAAAATAACGTAACCGAATTGTCTAGCTGGTAGCAAGTTGGCAGTCCACTTTTCAATGTCACCAATCTTGACGTTGAATCTTGGAGAAATAACACCACACTTGTTCAATCTACCATTTAATTGAACGACAATCTTACCAGATCTGTGGTCGTCAATGTATTCAAATTCACCAATGTAACCTACAAATATTGTACGATATCGAATAGATATCAGAAAAATTGTTAGTATAAGCAACTTGTTTATTGCTGGGACATTCAGGTTAACGATCATATGCAAGAACACAAACGCTTAGTGTAGCTTCTACTAAAAAATAAGAGAGACGTTCATGAAGAATTTTACTGCGGAAGGTGCATTCAAAGGAATAGAATGATAAAATGTGAAAAATTTGACCTTTATAAAGGGTAAAACACAATTCGAAACATTAGAGGAAAGAAGGCATATGTAGAGGAAAAGTAAACGGTAGAAAACAAGTCTGACTTTAAAAGTCTGTCAATACCGTGTAAGAATTCGATTCCACGTGAAATTAATCATTATTATTCCGGTCAATTAAAAGACAGTATGGGACTGAAACTTATACCTGTAAGATATAAGTCTAATATCAACAAACAGATTGAAATTGTTGTTTGACCAACAAGAACAACCTCGATACTATCCGATCACGCCATCCAGTTATCAGACCGGGTTTTTATACAAAAAAAGCCAATATTTTCCTCAATTTTGCAATTTGAATTGTAGTTAAATACCCCATCAGCTAGAACAGCCAAAATGAAAAAAGGAAACAAGATCAATTCCACTCCGATGAATTATTATTACCAACAGTTAATCTTCTTCATAATCTATCCCCCATTATTCTTAGATTGCTACTGAAGTACTCTGTGTTATATTAATGATACCATTTAACCATTGATTGCCTTTTTATGTTTGGAAATCCAAATAATCAAAATCACATACCATGTCTTTGCATAACTTGCAAGAACTTGATGATAACCTTGGAAGAAGGTCTAATCAAAACTTGACGCTTACCGGTCTTTTCAGCGTTGTTAATAGCGTTCAAAGCATCAGCCAAAACAGAAGATCTAGTCATTGTTCAATATCTGTAACACAGAAAGCACTCTCTCTTCGCAGCAAAAAACATTCTTTATAAAGAATAAGTCAGGGTGGAATGAAAGAAACAAAAAGTTAGTATTACAAAAGAATTAATAAAAAAAAATCAAAATGCGTCTTGAAAATAATTTCAAGTTACTATGATTCATGGAGTTGAGCGATTAGATTAAGTATAAGATTCTATTGGAACTTTATAATGACAATAAAACCCTACAGGTATCCTATTGAAAGGATCTGAAGGATCTGCGTCCACAAAACAAAACTTTTCTGAAGCATCTCTCTTTGAAAATGCCTGCAGTTTTGATCATCGACACTTTATAAATTCACAATACAAAGGTATCAGAGGATATACCGACGTAAGAATACTCTGTTTCACCAGAAACAGAATACTTACTTCTTTTGTTCCTAACATTGTCAACATTCCATGGAAGGGAAAGACACCCACGTACCCGGCATATCTATTAAAACTCTGATTCTGTTGTGAATATCGTCATATTGAAAGAAACCAACGACCCATACCAACCTCGCTGCATTTCCACTATCCATACGAAATGCACTCACTAGTGCAATTCTTACAATTAACACATACTTATATTTTGAATGTGAGTGTTGCGATAGCGTAATGGTATGATACTCTGCAATTGAGAAAAATATTAATTATTTGTGAGAGGAGTCCTAGAAAATTTCAGTTATCTTTTGTTCTGTATTTATAGTTTTTCTTCAAACGGATTTCAATTGAAAAATTTTTTTTCTTCAAGAAAAGTTCTGAGTCTATCACTAATTACGTATACTTCTCAATCACTATATACTAATTCACGTCAGAGCATGTGAAATATATTTATATACGATGAGTCAAGAAAAATAGTCAACTTTACCCGGATACTTCTATATCTATATGTGTGAGGGAGCTCTTTTTTGTAATACAAGAAATGTAGTATATAACTCTTGTTCATATCACGCTTGAGCAGGGGATAACCAGAAATATCTGAGAATTTTTCATTATAACATGTTATTATCACCCATAATTATTATCTAGACTCTCAAGTGCAGCGTTTAGGCTGGTGGCTTCACATTTTTCTACCAATAACAAAACCAAACCGTTATTGTCATTCCTCAACAATGTGTGGATAATTTTAGAATTGATTAGCCTACAGTTTTTTCTTATGATTCTGAAACCCATGCTCATCGACTGAATTTATCTATAACTGCCTGTATTAAAAGAAGACGGAGGCCGGTTACAATAGGGTAATTCTGTGCATTACCCTAGATTTCGATTTAGTGTTTTAACAAGCACCCCATGAATGAATATTAGACCAGTCTATTTTTTTTTGTTTGGGTATACAGTACTGGTTGAATTACTACAATAAAAGGTTCTACTTGTTATTGTCAGCACAAAATTCCAAGATACTAAATTTGCTATAGTTACGTTTCTCACGTGTTTTATTATTCCATCGATGTTTGTTTTCGTTTCTCCTTACTTTCGCGTTTGTTTACATTTTGATCATTATAGGAATAGTAATTAGTGGAATCCCATTATATTGACAGCATTTCTTCCCATTGTCCTTTAATTTTTTGAAACAATGGGATCTTAGGTTTATTCTTTCTTTTTCATAGATGATGGGGTGTGAGTTTGGATTTTAAAGGTACATTTATACAAAAAAGAAACTTAGGACCCACAATTGTGCATATTATACATGCTTTGAAGAACTTTACTAAACTAATAGCTTCTCTGATCCAACACAGTACTCTGGTTTGCATACACCCTTAAAATTTTTCTATTTACGAATCTGATATGCTCGTACCTTTAAACTGCTCATTTACCCAAATTAGGTAATTGCTTTACCATACTTATTTTCCCTGGTATCATTAAATTACTCAAATTAGTGGAGGTGGGGTTAAGAGCTCGTAAATTCCAAAAACAATGGACAATGGAGTAGTGTTGCTTTATTTTCCCTCCAGAGACACCCCAGCAATGGCTTTCCTGATTATTAAAAGGATTCCGCATATTTCTTCACCACATTAGCTCTAAGACTGCTGTGCCTAATGCGAAAAAGAAAGTTTTTCTTGATATTTGCAATGAAGCCTTCAATATCCTAAGTTGCTTTTTGACACATTTACCACTAAATTAGAACCATAAACACCAAAAAACTCCCAAACACAATAAAAAATAAATAACAATTTTTGGTGTTGTTTACAAAAAATTAGACTTATGTATTTACTATACATCCATGGTATAGCGCGCGTTAAGTTTTAAATTTATTTGTGATGTATTGAAGTTTTGGTGTCTTCCAAATCTAAAATTTTGAGGTATAAAAGGACTGTATATTCCAATACTATTCCATCCAAAATAGCTATTTCTACTATTAGAATTGTTTCTATTCAGCCCAAAAAAGTATACATTAAGACATTATTCCTGCTGTATTAGCACAACAACCAAAACAGATCATAACATTAATTACTCGAATCATCAGGAAAAAGATGAGCATCTCTAAGGTATTGAAAAAAGTAATTCCAACAGTTAGAATTCTTCCTGAAGAAATGGATGATGTATCTAGCACAACTTCGGTTGCATCTGACTTATCATCTGTTGAAGAAATAGGTACCGAAGTTGTAGCAAAGAAGGATGACAATGATAAAGAGCAAAATACCCATGGTCTAAATAACGTTAAAAAGACCCAAATAGAATACACAGTAGAATCGGATATTGAAGATTGCAGTGACTCAGAAAGTGATAATGCTGGCTATAATGCGAAGCACATAAACTTGAAAAAAGATATGCCTTATGAACTTAGAGACGAGGCTAAGAGATCAAAATGGAATTTCTTTTACGAATACGAATATAGGTTCAACAAAGAATACAGGAAATCTCGACGGTGGTATGAATTCCTCTACCCAAATCATGCAACAAAGTCAAAGGCTGAGAGACGCCTGCTTTATAAAATTGACTTCTTGATTGGCTTCTACTTTTTAGTTGTCAGTTGGACCAGATCTGTTGATTCTGCAAACTATGTAAATGCCTACGTCTCCAATATGAAAGAAGATTTACATATGGGCGGCAATGATTATGTTTACACTTCAACTATTTCCACAATTGGCCAAATTGTTTTCCAAATTCCTTTTATGTATTTAATGCCAAGAGTACCACCTCACTATTTATTGCCTTTCATGGATTTAGGATGGTCCGCCTTTACTTTGGCTTGTTTCAGAGCGAAGACCCTAAAAGAAATGCAAGGTTACAGATTTATGGTTGGCTCATTTGGTGCAGCTTACTATCCAGTCTCTCAATACATTTTTGGAAGCTGGTATGCGCCTGATGAACTAACCTCTAGAGTACTGCTGTTCAGTTATGGTCAATTATTAGGAAGTGTAACCTCTGGTTTATTACAAGCAAAAATCTTCAAAAGTTTGGATGGTGTATGTGGGTTGGCTGGTTGGAGATGGATGTTCCTAATTGATGCTATTGCGATTTCTATTCCGACTGCTATCATGGGTTTCTTTCTGATTCCTGGTATCCCATCTAAGTGCTACTCTCTATTTTTGACTGATGAAGAGATTAGGATTGCAAGAGCCAGAAACAGAAGAAACAACATTACAGACGGTGTTGATAAGTCAAAGCTAGTTCCGTTATACAAACCTGCACTTTGGAAAAAGGTCCTATTTAATCCAACTTTCTGGATATTAGCCATTTTTGACATGCTTTCTTGGAATGTGATGACTATTTACACAGGTTCTTATACCCAATGGTTAAAATCCAATCCAAACTATTCCATTGTCAAAGTTAACAATTTGAGTGCTTTGCCCGCTTGTCTAGGATTCATTTATATTACTGTTTGCGCGTTGGGATCAGATCTATTTCGTAGCAAATGGTTCTTTATGGTATTTGCACAAGCGATGAACTGTATATCTTGTGGTATACTGATGAAATGGGATGTTGCAGAGAGCACCAAATGGTTTGCATTTTTGATCTCTTATTTCTGTATTGGAGCATCTGCTTGTTTATGGACATTTATTAACGATTTTCTAAGGTTTGATCCTCAAATCAAGGCCATGTCGTGGATCTGCAATTACATGTTTTCACAGTCATCTCACGCTTGGATCCCAATGTTAGCTTGGAAAACCGTAGATTCACCAAGGTATAAGACCGGTTATACAGTTAGTTTGGTATTCAGTATTCTTTACGGTCTATGGACATTTGTAGTTCTTTTCTTTTACAAGAACAACGAAAAGAAGCATGCCCTCGATAATGGTATTATTTTGTATGATAGTTCTAAAGGTGAAAATCCTCCAGCGTTTGTTAACGAACATATGCGGGAAGAAGATGGTTACTTCTTCGTCAAATAATAGACCATATGACCGAGACCACAGAATTATCTTTCAAGATTAGATGGAATAAGATGCAACCGTTTCTATTTCTATTTTTATTTTTATTTATATTTATACGATAAATTTTCTCTTTTTAATATATATATATATAGTAACAGTTCTAAGATATACGGAGCTTATTGTTGAAGAAGTTATCTATGCTATTGTCTGTTCTAATATATCATTGCGGTACAGTCACGATGCAAGTATATCACGTTTCACGTGTAATTTTTCAGTTTGACAAAAGTCAAGAGTATAACGTCAGGAATCGCTAGCAGGCATGGCTAAATGAAGAGGACCGGATATCTGGCAACTTTTCAAGGTTTAAATCCCAAACTCTATCAAATAGTGAAGGGCAAGTCAACACAAATTAATAATGTCTAGTGAGAGAGCATGCATGCTTTGTGGAATAGTGCAGACCACGAACGAGTTTGGTAGAGTGGGGTGTCCTAACTGTCAAGGTATATTTGAAGAAGCTGGTGTTTCGACCATGGAATGCACGTCGCCGTCTTTTGAAGGTCTAGTTGGTATGTGTAAACCTACTAAATCATGGGTTGCCAAATGGCTGAGCGTCGATGCAAATATACCAGGCATGTACGCAGTGAAAGTTGATGGTAGACTTCCACCAGAAGTGGTTGAGTTGCTGCCACACTACAAGCCAAGAGATGGTAGTCAAGTTGAGTAGAGAACGGGAAAGAACTCTAGTTTATACATACCAACATAATGATTTGATGGTAAAAGGAATTACATTTTGCAATTTGTCCCCAGTTACATTCCGGATTGATATTGTCAAGAACTGAGAAGGAGAATAACGCATGCTACACAATACGTGGGCCAAACAACTTACTTTTGTACTATATAATCACGAATAAGAACCTATATATATATTTTTTTACTATGGTTATTAACAACAATGCGGAAGGCAAGCAGTGCGCTTTGTCGCCCGAGTGAAATTTGCGATTTAAGGAAATCTAACTAGAGTCGAATGAAGGACTCAGTTTAAGCAACAGTTTACAATCAGATCTGTATCACATCACAAGGGGAAAGAAGACTAGAGGGAGTACGTATAAATGTTGAGATCTACCATTGTGCCGAGAGGCTTCAGCCAGATACCGAAAAGGCACATACTAGGTAATCAGCCATATTTCCGTCCCAGCTCGAGGAGAAGTATATCTACATTTCAGACCATAGCCGATACCTTCACGACGTTGCATGATGTATCAGGAATTCATTGGGTAGTGCTAATACCGGTGACTACGTTTGCCTTGAGGACGGTGTTTACGTTGCCGTTAAGTATATGGCAAAGGCGACGGATAGTCAAGCAACAAGAGTTGAGGAAGCTAGTGGCACCTATATCGTCTATTGTCAAGATGAGACTAGCTGTTACGAGCAAGAGTGCGAAGGAGAAGAGATTAGAGAGTGGTAGTGATATTACAATTGCGAAACCTGTAGGTGGTCTGAGTGCTGAGAATCTAACACCCGAACAAATTACGTTATTGGCGGTAAAGGAGACCCGTAAGCGTCAGAAATTGTTGTTCAAGAAGTATGGCGTGCAGATGTGGAAGAACGCTGTGTTGCCATTGGTGCAAATACCTCTATGGGTCACCGTATCCATGGGCATCAGAACACTCACAGAGAACCCGCTCCGTGAGAAACTGTACAACAACGGCTGGCTCAGCTCCGTGGGGATAGACGAGAACTTATACCTCAGCGAACCACTAGAGGCCTACCCGTTTGCGGTACCATTAGTGCTGGGCACATTGTCGATGCTCAACGTGGAGTACAACGGCAAAGTGATCCAAGGCGACTCAGCGAAGAACCTGGGACTGAAACTACGTGCAGACAACAGCAGACTTCAACTGGGGATACAAACTATCCTGAACGTGACAAGAATAGGTACTGTGTTCATGATGGGCTTCTCATCACAAACCGCCTTGCTGCTGTCCCTGTACTGGATCAGCTCACAGCTGTACTCCTTGCTACAGAACATATTCTTGAACTGGCTGTGGCCGTACCAGCGGTAAACATGTAAATAGAATGTATAAGAGAAAAGCTCCTACTGCCAAGCTCACAGTACCGTTAGTAACCTGTATGTTAAGAAGTATATTACTCACTGTGCCCAACATCACACCCAACGTGGATGGAGTCAAGGGCTACAGTAAAAGCAATAGCAATATTAAGAAAAAGGCATCTTGCGCTCAGAAAACACCGCACACTTCAATGAAGATTGCAAAAAAAAAGAAACGTTAAAGGCATAATCCACATGCTTGCCCCACCAGCCCGTACGCTACTTTCTACTGCAGTTCAGCTTGCTACACGAGTTATACTGGCTGAGAAAGGATGACTTCCCTTCTCTCACTGGCAAGTTGGTAAACAACTCGAAGGACAAAGTTGCGATGAGTTCACAAGAAGCATTGCTAATTTAACAGAATTGCAAGAAATCAATATTGTTCGGTGTAACAATTAATTAAGCAATATAAAAGAGCTGGAATGGTGACTTCTGGGAAGTCATTTCTTTGTAGTGAAAAGTATAAATTGGAGCCAATGTTTTGGTAAAGTTGGTTTCTCCAGAACACTGAGGTTGTCAAGATGTTTTTTCTTTGAGATGTATTGTAGTGTAAAATAAGTACTTAGATATAAAAACTTGGTAATCATTACAAAAGTGCTTGAAAATAGTGATCTACGCTATCTTTTTTTTTGGAATATCTTTTTAAGAGAAGGGTCTCTGTAACTTCCATTGGAACCACTGACACTTATAGAAAACAGTACAAACACTGACACGAAAGATGGCTTTTGTACAACCTGGTCCACAAGCTTTGTCCCCATTCAGGGTGGAGAACTTGATCCAGGATATCAACAATGTTACCGGCAGCAACTCTATCAAAGTGGTGCGTTCTTGCTATATCCACTATGCTCAAGTCCTGACTGAATTGAGCGCGGAACAGAAGAATGTCTTGGAAGTACTGTTGACTTACGATTCTCCCTTGGATACCCAGAACGACGAGTACTCCAAGCAGCTATTCGACGCTATAAAGGAGGACAAAGTTGGCAGTGACCTCGGAGACGACACTTACCTGATCAGAATCTTGCCAAGAGCTGGTACTGTCTCTCCATGGGCTTCCAAAGCCACTAACATTGCGGCTGTTTGTGGTCTAGATCACAGCATCAAGAAGATAGAAAGAGGTGTAGCTCTGCTAATCAAAGTTATACCTGGTTTCCCAATCGCTGACCACTTAAACGAACTATCCCTAAAGTCTGTCTTCGACAGAATGACCCAGACGTTGTACATCAACGAGATTCCTCCTATGAGCGCTCTGTTCCATTTTGAGTTGCCAAAGGACATTACTACGTTCCCATTGGTATCCGATGAAGCTACAGGCTCTCCAAAGGAACTTTTACAAAAGACTAATAAAGATCTAGGCTTGGCCCTTGATGCAGGCGAAATTGACTACTTAGTACACGTTTTCGTTGAAGTGCTAAAGAGAGACCCAACAGATGTTGAATTGTTCATGTTTGCTCAAGTCAACTCAGAACATTGTCGTCACAAGATTTTCAATGCTGACTGGACCATTGATGGTTTAAAGAAGGATCTATCATTGTTTCAGATGATCAGAAACACTCACAAGACTACCCCAGACTACATCATCAGCGCATACTCCGACAACGCTGCTGTTGTGGACACAGAAAACCAAGGTTTCTTCTTTGCCCCAGACTCTACAACCAAAGAATGGAAGGCTACGAAGGAAACTATTCCTATGCTAATCAAAGTCGAGACACACAACCACCCAACTGCCGTATCACCTTTCCCAGGTGCTGCTACTGGTTCTGGTGGTGAAATCAGAGACGAAGGTGCCACTGGTAGAGGTTCTAAGACCAAATGTGGTTTGAGTGGTTTCTCTGTCAGTGATTTACTAATTCCAGGCCATAAGCAACCATGGGAGTTGGATATTGGAAAACCATCTCACATTGCATCTTCTCTTGATATAATGATCGAAGCTCCTTTGGGTTCTGCTGCATTCAACAATGAATTCGGTAGACCATGTATCAACGGTTATTTCAGAACTCTAACAACAAAGGTTAAGAACACCCAAAATAAAGAAGAAATCAGAGGTTTCCATAAGCCAATCATGATTGCTGGTGGTCTAGGTACGGTAAGACCAAAATTTGCGCTAAAGAACAAGCCAATTACCGCCGGATCTCCAATCATTGTGTTAGGTGGTGAATCTATGCTAATCGGTCTTGGTGGTGGTGCGGCTTCATCAGTTGCCTCTGGTGAAGGTTCTGCCGAACTAGACTTTGCATCTGTTCAAAGAGGTAACCCTGAGATGGAGCGTCGTTGTCAACAGGTTATTGATGCATGTGTTTCCCTAGGGGATGCTAACCCAATCCAATCTATTCACGATGTCGGTGCAGGTGGTTTATCGAATGCTCTACCAGAATTAGTTCACGATAGTGGTCTAGGTGCTAAATTTGATGTTAGAAGAGTTTTAACATTAGAACCGGGCATGTCTCCAATGGAAATTTGGTGTAACGAGTCTCAAGAAAGATATGTCCTTGGATGTAGTCAAAAAGATCTTCCAATCTTCGAAGAAATTTGTAAGAGAGAAAGGGCTCCTTACGCTGTTGTTGGTTTTGCTACTTCTGAAAACCGTCTATTAGTTGAGGATTCCTTTTTGGAAACGACACCAATTAATCTAGATATGTCAATTCTATTCGGAAAACCTCCAAAGATGTCAAGAGAAGCTAAAACTGAGCCATTGAAGCTACCAACTGCTGATCTTAAGGTGATCCCATCCTTGGATGAAGCAGTTAAGAGAGTTTTAAACCTTCCATCTGTCGCTTCTAAATCTTTCTTGATCACTATCGGTGATAGATCAGTGACCGGTTTAATCGACAGAGACCAATTTGTGGGACCATGGCAAGTTCCAGTAGCTGATGTAGGTGTCACAAACACATCTCTTGGTGACTCTATTTGTAAGACAGGTGAGGCTTTGGCTATGGGTGAAAGACCTGTCAACGCACTAATCTCTGCTGCTGCTTCAGCTAAATTATCTGTTGCCGAATCATTGCTGAACTTATTTGCAGCCGATGTCAAATCATTAAAACATGTAAAACTTTCAGCTAATTGGATGTCTCCTGCTTCTCATCAAGGTGAAGGATCAAAGCTTTATGAGGCTGTTCAAGCAATTGGTTTAGACCTATGCCCAGAATTGGGCGTTTCTATTCCTGTAGGTAAAGACTCCATGTCAATGAAGATGAAATGGGATGACAAGGAAGTAACTGCTCCTCTTTCTCTAAACATCACTGCTTTCTCCCCAGTGTCTGATACTTCTAAGACATGGACTCCATTATTGAAGAAGGACTCTGACTCAGTTTTGGTATTAGTTGACTTGGCCGCAAAGAAAGAAAAATCATTGGGTGGCAGTGCTCTACTACAAGTTTTTAACCAAGTTGGTGACTCATCACCAACTGTCCATGACAACAGAACCCTAAGAGGTCTTCTAGAAGCTATCATAGAACTGCATAACAGTGATATTGTTCAAGCCTACCATGATGTCTCTGATGGTGGTTTACTGGTCACCCTTCTTGAAATGGCATTTGCTTCCAGATGTGGTCTGAATGTCAAGATTCCAGTTCAAGATGATGCTGTATTCAAGTCATTATTTAGTGAGGAATTAGGAGCTGTCTTCCAAATCTCAGCCTCCAAGCTTGAAACCTTCCAACAAATACTGTCCAAACACAATGTGACCGACGAGTACATTGAAATTGTTGGTTCCCCTGACTTCAATTCTCAACAAATCAAGATTGCTGATGCCAATGACAGTGTTATTTTCGAAGACACCAGAGGTAAGCTACAACAAGTATGGAGTAGCACTTCTTACCAAATGCAAAGGCTAAGAGATAATCCAAAGTACGCCGATGAAGAATTTGCCAATATACTAGATGACAAGGACCCAGGTCTACACTATACATTAACTTTTGACCCAAGTGATGATCTTGAAATCCCAAAGACTTTGAATACTATTAGACCTAAGGTTGCTATTTTGAGAGAACAAGGTGTCAATGGTCAGATGGAAATGGCATGGTGCTTCCAACAAGCTGGTTTCAACTCAGTTGATGTTACCATGACCGATTTAATCGATGGCAGGGTCCATTTAGATGACTTTGTTGGTCTTGCTGCTTGCGGTGGGTTCTCCTATGGTGATGTCTTAGGTGCTGGTGCTGGTTGGGCCAAGTCTGTGTTATATCACGAGGGTGTCCGCCAACAGTTTGTTAAGTTTTTCCAAGAGAGAGAAGATACTTTTGCCTTTGGTGCTTGTAATGGTTGTCAATTTTTGACCAGATTGAAGGATTTAATCCCCGGTTGCGAGAACTGGCCAACCATGGAGAGAAACTTCAGCGAACAATACGAGGCTCGTGTCTGTATGGTTGAGATCACTGATGAGACCGGCAACGAGAAGAGCGTCTTCCTAAACGGTATGGGCGGTTCTAAGTTCCCAATTGCAGTTGCTCATGGTGAAGGTAGAGCCAAGTTTGCCAACGATGGTGCTTTGCAAAAATTCGAATCTGGCGACCTTGGATCTATCAGATATGTTGACAATTATGGCAATGTCACCCAGAGGTTCCCATACAACCCTAACGGTTCGGTGAACGGTATTGCTGGTATCAGATCGCCAAACGGCAGAGTGTTGGCTATGATGCCTCACCCTGAGAGAGTTTGCAGATTGGAGGCCAACTCGTGGTACCCAGAGGGCAAGTTTGGCGAGTGGAAGGGTTATGGTCCATGGATCAGACTGTTCAGAAACGCCAGAAAATGGGTCGGTTAAGTACTACCATTTCGAAGAGCGTTATTAATTTGTATATTAGATTAGATGTTAATAAGATAGTAAAGTAATTCTGAAATAAATATTGAGTTTATTATTTTTTTAACAAATGTTTATAAAAAAATAAGTACTAGAGAAAGAAAAAAACAAATCTATGAAAAGTAATAAGTTAAAATGAGTTGTGTGAATGGGGGGTTTGCGTTACATCAATAAAAGGAAAGAGAAGTAAAAGAATAGAAAAAAAAATTAGTGCTAAAAAAAAAGGAGTAATGTGTCTTTCTTTATTTTTTTCTTTCTTCTTTAAATTCTTTAAACGTCACATAATAATTGGTTAATTCTGTTTGTTATTGAAAAAAACAAAATCAAATGAAAGCGAGTTAGTGAAAAAAAAGTATAGTGATATGTAGTCCGAGTCTAGAAGAGAGCAAATCAATTGGTCTTCTTAGCCTTTTGTTCAGCCTTGGACTTCATTCTTTCTTCTCTGGCGACCTTAGCTTCTGGACCAGATTCGGTGTCCAGACAGTAATCCCACCATCTGAAAGAAGAAGCGTAGTTACCGATGAAGTAGTGGTGGTGCAAGTCGTGGTGTTCGGCACCGGCCCAGAAAGGCAAGAACTTGTTCAAGGACCATGGGAAGTCGTAACCGGAGTGAGAGTCGACGGCTTGGAACAGTCTCAAGGTAATCCATACACATAAGGTGAACAAATGCAAGTTACCAGTGTACATGACGTATAGGATTGGCATACCGACGGTACCGAAACCTAGAGACATAGTTTCCAATGGGTGAGCGTACTCAGCGGATAGACCGAATGGGGCAGCGTAACGGTGGTGTTGCTTGTGGATGTACTTGTAGAAGACACCGTAGTGGAATAGCCTGTGGGCCCAGTAGTGCCACATGTCTTCCAAAACGAAGAACAGAGCGATCTCTAGGGACATTTTCTTGATTGAAGGGAATGGGACTTCGACGGTGATACCTAGTTTTTCACACATTGGGTGGAAAGTCCAGATTGGGATGGCCTCGACCAAGAAGTGGGACAGCAGGACGGCCTTCAAACAGTATAGTTGTTCCTTGGTGGAAGGAATCTTGGTTGGTTGCAACTTCCACTTTCTGAAGTATGGGATTTGGTCAATGATGAACCATGGCAGACATCTGAAGAAGTACATGAACTCGTGCAATAGGAAGAACATTAGACCGGTGGCTAGAACATCGTTGTTCATGTAAGTGTACCAAGCAGCCCAGTATTGCTCCATAAAGTTCAACTGTGGTTGAAACTTACCGATGTTGGCCAAGGTCTTGAAGTAAGTGTCTTCGCGGACCAAGTCCGTCAATGTAGCGTTGTTGAAAACGGCAGACATAGTTTTCTTTTTTGTTAAGGCTTGTTGTTTTGTCTAAGGCTCTAAATGTGAGAAAGAAGAATAGATATCCTGTTTACCAAATTCTTATCTTATCAAGTTTATATAGTTTTTTTCCTACAATTACTACAAACGAGGTAGAAGACTTGTAAAGGAAAATTCTTTAAGCCCATTATTTGAGAAGTTAAACGACCATCAACCGTTAGATCCTTCAGCTTTCTTTTTTTCAATTTTTTCAATTTTTTCAATTTTTTTTTGCTTGTCTTTGTAATGAGAATCACTGCTACTTCGAGCCCATCCTAGCCTTTCTTGCTTTGTCTTTTTTTCTTATTTAAACCCGACGGAATGATCGGACAGAGGGTGCGACACTTATGTGGACGAGGTGATATCAACAAGCTTCCTCGAAGGTTACGAGAGTTGAGTTAGTTCTGGGTTCTGGATTTTGTGGGTTTCTGGATGTAATGGATATGTGGATTCTGCAGTAGGGGGAAGCAGTGAGGCAAGACGTGCACGAGCAAAGTGGGATCAAGTCATTCGTTTAGTCTCTAGCAACACACTCGTTTATTATTTGTGAGCGACCTGCTCGTAAAAGGACCCAGTAGTAAACGACTGTAAAACGTTACGAGTGATTCTTGATTTAGTGCTTTGGAACTATAGGGACTATAGGGACTATAGGACTATAGGGACTTACGATATCTTGCAATATTTGACAATGAGTTGCAAAAGAAAAACTTGCATTGCGGACAGCTATAAGTGCGATGCTGGTATAAGCTTATCGGAGCTAACAAAAGCATCGTTTGACTAAAAAAAAATTCGTTTACATCACCATTGTGCTTATACCAAGACATCGGAAAGCCGATACATCTACCAAGATTACTTCAATATGTTCTAGTTATTTTTCAAGTGTCAGTCTTGTAGTCATTTGTTTATATTCATCGAGCAGGAAAGTACTTAAACGTCGCTGCTCTAGCATTAGAGATGCCAGAAAAAATAGGTAACAAAATATGAGTGTCATCATTGTAGAAAAAAAAGTTGCAAAATAACTAGAAAATATCGATTACAGAAAAAAAAACATCTTGAAGACGTTTCGAAGAAGGAATATTCTCTTAGATCTCCTGATTACCAATAAAACATCCTTCCTCGTTCTTTCTTCGCCATGTACGGTTTGGCCACCTACTTTCAAATAAATGTAATAAGCAACACAATACCTCAAATTCTGGACAAGTCTGCTCTTTATATACTAATTTCAGATGAAGCCCTTTCAAGAAGGAAATTGAAAAAAAATTAAAAAAATTTGTGTCTTGTGTCGTATCAAGATACGGTTATTTCAAGGGCTTACGATCAGAGAAATTAGGGCTTTTTGCTGAATGAATCAAACATTGATATAGAGAAGGACGCTAATTATACAGCTATATTTTATTCTTGTTTTTATATGCTACATCTCTTGCACCAATGTAGCATTACTTGTGCTTCTGACTTTTGTTGTTTCTTTAATGGCGTTGATTTGCGATTGAAGATTCTTAATCTCGAGGTTGAAATTTTTCTGGGTTCTTGCTAATCTTTCCACCCATTTGTCAAATACTCCATCTTCGGCTATTAACCTCTCAGTGTATTTTTGTTTCAGAGCCGAGACTTTGTCGAGATATGTCGGATTTGTGAATACAGTCATCTCTTCATCTACTCTACTCTTTGCCACAGAGTGGTATAGCAAATATTCTTGTAGGCCGCGCAGATCAGTATTATTCTCCACATCGTCTCTGGCGTTCTTAATCCGGTACTCAAGTAAATATTGTCGACACCTTTCATAGTATGTTTCAGTACTTTCTACAAATTCTGTGCACGTTTCTCCAAATATGAGGTCCCTTAGTTCATTGAATTGTAACTTGTCGAAACTAGTCTTAAATTCAAGTGGTCTAATAACATTTTTTTGCCAATGGTATACCATAGATTGAATTTTGACACAATATGGGACATTACCATATACTTCTTTAGTTTTGTCTCTGGATTGGAAAAACCTGCAAATTTTTATATTTTGTAATCTTATAACATCTTTAACCCTTTGTTTTACCGCGGTTAATTCGGCTTCTGTCAGATAATCGCTCTTCGATAAAACAGGTATCAAGTTGCACCGCGATGACAATTCCCTCATGCTAATAATATCAATTGGATGCAACTGTGTGTCACAAGCTTCAATGAAATACAGACAGCAATGGACACGGCTATCTCTCTTCTCTTCTTCTCTATATGGTTGCTCTTCTTGAAAAACATATCGAGTCATTTGTTCATCAAGGTAGTTTATTAAAGGTACCCAGCAATAATTATTGTTGATTTTATTTGCATATCCAGGAGTATCAACTATTTGCAATTTTAGATTTACACTTCCATCATGATTTTGTAACAAAAAATGATAATTCTCTAATGGCAAAGATCCATGTTCTTGATGTTGGGTAGGAGGAATAAGTTCCGTTTCAAATAATGAATTAATAAATGTTGTTTTCCCTACCCCGCTCCGTCCAGCTACCATCAGATTGAATATCATCCCCTCTCGAGCATATCTTTTATCTATTTGACCAAGAATCATTGATAATCCAATGTCAAGTTCTTCAAAAAGCATCTTCCTCCTTTGCACATCCTGAGCCGGTTTTACTCTTCTGTCCTCTTTGAATATTTGCCCTTCACCAAACAGAACAAAGCTAGCATCATTTAGATAATCCAGACTATCTAATTCATAACTGTTATCATCTATCATTACTTTAGATAAACCAATTCTTAAGTCAATATGTCCCAATATACAGAATTGTAATCAGATATAATAAAGTCGTCAGAATCTTCATGTATATTACTTATTCTAGAAACCACTAGTATTATAATCAACAATTGTTTTTCAATATGCTCAATTTGTTTTTTTATTTATATGTAAGTCGACTCATTTCCCAATTTGATAATTAGCCGCCTGCTTATACTAAGTTACTGATGACACAAAGTTTGACGCACTCACCTTTGAACGCAAGCAGTTTAGATAGCGCATGACAAATAGCTCATATATTCTAGTTACTATGGATGATTTATGAATGAATTTGATTTCTGTATATAAATATGCAATTAATGTTCTTCTTCTAGCTGTACTATACTTGTATTTGTTAGATGATACTAATGTTTAGCAGAGCCTGAATAGAAATCCCGAAAATAAAATGCAAAGCTCTGAATTAGTGGGGTAAGAACCGACCTAGATATAATGTCACGTCAATGAATTCTTTATATTGTATGTGTGCTACACCATCTTGGTTTTTATCAAATTTTCTGAACAATTTAGTCAATCTCATTAACCAAACCAGAGCTTCGACGAACTTGTCAAACTTCAACTCCTTCGCATTATTTGCAGGATTTATAAACTCTGCATACTGATCGAAGAGCTTTTCACTTACCTCAACTGGTACCATATAACCTAATTCCTGTAGGGAGTTGTGAAACTCGCTCATTGTGATCGTGTATGAGCCATTAATATCATTATCCACATATATCTTCCTCCATTTCTTCACCCTCTTATATAAAGAGATAAACTCTGATTCATTAACTGTCCCAAATCGAGTGGCACCAAACAGATTTATTAGTGCATCCACAGCCGATATACAAAAATGTGTATTATCATCATTCTGTAGAAGATTTTGCAACTCTTCTGCAGTTAGCCTTTCCTTTCCTCGCACATCATGGTTATGAAATAGTTGAATTGCTATTCTCGTATCCTTGGCATCCTCTTCACTCAATGTTTGGGATGAATCTCGCAATGCCCCTTTTGTTCGAGAAAGCATCGCATTTTGTGCAACTTCTGGTGACTTATTAGCTATTCTAGGCGGTGTATGTGACACCTGGGCCTGAGCTCTCTGCATGGCAGCGGATGGTGGAACCATTGCCGGTGGAGATGACACTATCCTTCCTTGTCCGCCATAGTTGTTACCTCTCAAATTTTGTACCGGATTTCCTATCATTTGCTGTGGTATTGGTCTTGTCTTGGAGGATGAATATGCATTTGGGATCGGCATCTGTTGTAGTTGTGGTTGTGATAACGACTGATGTTTCGGTACATATGAAGCACCATGAACATAGTCTCCTGAAGATCTCCCAGTGGGCATCGGCTGACCCATACCAGGCTCTGAAGGAGTCCTAACATTAGGCTTCCTCACTCTAGGTTTTTTGTCTTCCTCATTCCTTTTTGTATTTTGCATGGCCTCTTTTGGTGTTGCATATAAGAGCAAGTCATCACCTGCCGCATACTTTAACTTCCTTGCACACATATTCCTCTCGTCCCTATGGCAGTCAAAATCACTATTCTATTTTAAGTCTGCTCTAAGCCTCATACACAAATTTCCTAAAATATTACTATTGATTTTCGGTAAACTATTGTCACAATAATCACAATAAACAAAAATTGGATATACAGCTAATATATAGCCTTGATCTTAACTGTCTATGATCACTGTAGCTGCTAAATTTATCACCTGAACAGACTGCTGATCAACTGTCACTAGTGATGCCAAAACCAAATAGCAGTTCGTGAGCCTTAGCAACTTCAATTCTCTGAGTTAAATTGTCTCGAAAGTGATGAAACGATAAAAGTGTTTAAAGCTCGAGGTGGAGACCTATTTTGCCTTTCAGTTGTTGTGCTCATCACTAATATTATTTTGATTTTTTTTTTCACTTAACTAAATTCACGCATGTGGAAAAAAACACTGCCCTTGATTTGAGCTGATTTACGAATTAGTAGTATAATAAAAGAACCACCAAACATTTTATATTTTATAACAACCATAACTTAACCAACTGAAGCTATATCTTTAGTTCCTTTTACACTCGTTTAGACCAATTTAACGTCGCCTTTGATAGTGAAAAATTATCTAGAACAGGTCTAGTTCTCAGAATACTTTAAGCGTTGAACTCCGACTAGGACTCGCTAGGTAAATGCTGTGCAGGAAAACCTGTTTCTTTTGATAATAGCCGAGAAGGTGCCTTATTATTTGATTTAATTAACTACCTTACCTTTTTGAGTTTCATTTATGGAATTGTATTATTCTGCAAAGGTTTAGCTAGCAACATTATGATTCTCATTTCATTAGGGCATTTTTGTGATATTCACGGACCAACTATAATAATTGTAACACAGGAAGGAGAAATAGGGAACTCAGGTAATGAGCTATTACTGCCAGATTACCCAACTGAATCATACTGTGAGTCATGCATGGTTAAAATACCAGATTGTGACGGTAGCGATGAAAATGGAGCCGATGTCGATACAGAAGCAGAGGTATCCACAACTGACACAATCAGTGAAAATACCCTGCTCCCTGCTTCAAATGTACCAAGATCTATCAGGTCAAAACTTGGCGAAAAATCCTTTGTGTCCTCTCAATACTCAGCTATTAGGTACCAATTACTTACATCAATGATACGAAAGGCATTTTCAGAAGAGACAATGATATATGATGGCTCACCTTCTGTTTTCTATGATGAAAGTAAGGGTCTGAATTTAGTAATGGGCTTTAAACTACATGATCCTAATGCCAGAGGAAACGAGAGAAGATACTGCCTTATTTTAACGATTGAATCTGTCGATGAAACGAATGCGATGGGATTAATTGCAGCTCATTGGCACTTCATAGTAGGCGGGTTTTCAATGATGATCAATGCAATCAAGGAAAAACATGCTCAAAATAATGATGGATTAGAAAGCAATCATGACTTACAGAAAAATTTCACACAAGATATTGGCAACTACTTAAGAGCAAATAAAGGCAAATGTGCACGCAATCTATCAGAATTGACAAATGATAAATTCACATTTTTACGAATACACAAATGGAATACATACATGATAGATACTCTCTGCTCTAAGTTACAAAGGGCCGATCAATCTTCTGTCATAAAAGAGAGATCAAAACATGCTTCTTAGCGTTATCAACATTTAACATTTTCTCCCCACTCAACCTTATTACCAATTGTTCTTCATAATTATAATTTCTATTGTTCTTTATTAGAATTACATAATTCAATGCATAATTAATGACTTTATGATATTATATGAATTTTTTTAAAACAGTTCATCTACGTTATGATGTTCTCAATAGTAGAATATTTGTGCTTATGAATAATGAATTTAGCCGAAGGCCTCAAGCCAATAGTTGATGTGCTTATTAGTTTTTCACTTAGATGTCCCTCTTCTTCAGCATTATCATCGTCATCATCGGATTGATGAGCAGAATCCATGTGCATATCATTACCTTGAGTTAGTAAACCTTCAGGCGATGCCTCAGTAGTTACGTTGCCTTTATCATCAATTGACATGTGTGTATCAACTCCCTGTTCTTCAATTTCCTCATAGTCGAGTTTCCTTTTTTTATGTACAGTTAACCGATTTAGGTCCAGTGAATTGAATGAATTCATACTGTCCACATATCTTTCCTTGATTGAAATGCTAGGTCCTCTAAACCAAAGAATTTCACTTTGAGAATTATTTGCCTGATATCTAGACCCCCTTAATCTGTTTGCATCATCAGTTGTCATAACTTCATTATGTTTAGGGATTCCTGCCATAGGCAAAACATAGGAATGAGGTACATCTATAGTCACATATCTCATTCCACTCTTAGCCGCCTGCTGGCTCATGTCATTCACAGCTTCATTTAAAGAAACTGAACTGATATTTGTTGGAATAGGGCCTTGTCTTAATGCTTCAACAGTAGACAGTTTTTGAGGTTGAATAGTTTGTTCGGGCCGTTGTGGCAACGTAGACACAGGCACTTTATGAGACTGCATCGTCCTATTCGATGCTACTGGAGGTATTGGCTTTTGATATGACATACCCTTGGTTGGCTGTACCATGTTTTCATTGCTGGCGGCAGATTTAGTTTGTTTTAATGCCGGCAGACGTGAAGTAGATTGACTTGTTCTTGGCAATGCATTTGCAGTTTGCATACTGGTTATGATTGTACCATGAACTTCATCAATAATACCGGATTCTGGCGGGTCACCAGGCCTGATTATATATCTTGGACAATCGTCAGAAGTTGAATATTCACCTAGATCATCTCTCTCAACTTTTGGTCTTAAATAGACAGCACCCACTAGAGGAGGTGCAGTAGGATCTCCTTCCGTTGGTTCAGGTATTCTATCATGAGGTGTAGCATCTGGTCTTAATAGATGCCTAATGGGCGATGGATACTTGAAAAATTTTCTGCCGTTTACAGGAATTGTCTCTTCATCTTGATCACGCAGCTCTTCAGGTAAGCAAGCCTTCCATGTTCGAATTTTGTTGAAGACTTTGTCACTCTCATTATACCTAAACTCACAAATGAACAAAGGTCCCTCATATGGTGTAGCAGGATTGCCCCTTTGATATCTTGTAAAATGAACAACATAACATTTTCCTATTAGGTCGTTAATCAAATGATCTCTATATTGACCCGTCTTTACCACCTCATTTTTATAAAACAATCTATCAACTCTGTGAACTGTCTGCTCAGGACGGAAATACCAACAGGCATTTAGCCATTTTGTACCATCACTAGTATACCATAGCTTAAAAATTTGAGCAACAACCGGCTTGTTTGGATCATTAGCATTATTTAATAAGACCCAGTCACCTATCTCATATATTTTACCCCTCACCTCAATATTTTCAAGTGGGTATCGAAGTTCACCTTCGGGCAAGAAGTCGCTATCTGGTTTTGAAAGTTCAATCTCAACTAGTTTTCTGAAATGATATTCCATAAGCCTTGCAGTATTGAGAAGCATTGGATTGTTTTGATTATATTTCTTATAATTCTCGATCATTAAAGTGAAATCATCTTGGAAAGATCCAAAGTTTTTGTACTTCCTTGTCTTTACCCTCCTCCTTATATCATCTAAACAAACAGGATTGCTGATAATTTGACGATATGCCGGATGTCTTTCCGGATCAGGCAGCTTTTCAAATGTCAAGGTCAAGGTTTGGTTATTATCGTCTACTTCACGCTTGATCATCTTCATTATATTTTTAATCCTTAGTAGATACGGTAAATCTATAATTGGTGGACGACCACGTCTGGTTTGTAATCTCTGTTGAATCGAAGGCTTTAGAATAGCACCCGGAGAATGAGAGATAGGTGTTGATGACATGGATCTATTGGGTAAAATAGGATGTGGACTCACTCGACTGCTAATCTGAGCCATAGGTACCCTACTTGGACCCATTGAAATCACCGTTTGTTCCATTCTTCTATTCGCCGTTGAGTTATTACCCTGCATTGCCATGTTTTGCCTAGAGGTATTATAGCCGTTAATGCCCCCGTTCTGCTGTGGAATTGGTTGTTTGACTTCTGTAACTGGCTGTGGGGTATTGGACATAGATGTAAGAGGCAGAGGTGAATTGGACCCGGATCTAGCTGGCACTTCGTTTGCATTCCCAAGAGCAACTGGAGAAGCTGATGCTGTTCTTATTTTCATCATAGCTTCCTTCTTCTTCATCTCTTCAATTTCATCTGGTAGTGGTCCCAAATTTGGGTAATTAACATTTGTATATTTTGCTTGTAACTGTGGTACCGAGACATTTCTCAGAAACTTCTCGAGAATGTCAGCATAAATGTATATTAACGAGCCCTTTGAGTTATATGTTTTTGCATTCCATGGAATTTGAGAGACATCATTAACATAGTCTTGTGGAGATGTGTAATGAGGTAATCTCTTCTTTAAAGTATTGAGAGATATTGGATTTTTTATTATTGCATAATAGTCAGGATAATCTTTTTTTATTGGCAAAACATTGAAAATAGGGAAGATATTGGCTCCACTTTCCTCCTTTAAACTAAAGATTGCTTCATATTGCTTTCGCAAGTCTGTACGCAACTCACCAAATTCACCCTCTTCTGACATGATGGTCTGGGTGCTGATAATTTTATGCCTTACCTACCCTACAAAAATGCTTAATAAATGTGTCTCTACTATGGGGGTATGCGTGTAACAATTGTACTGTATCAATTCCAACAACAATATACACCAAATCCAGATTTGCTGCAGCAGTAGACAAGTTCCGAGTTCAATTACCGTGTTCTATTTCCTTTTTTCAACACCTGTTGCGCAAGTTGTCAACAATTATCTTCAGTCACGCCACAAAGACAAGTATTATTTCTCTCAATCTGACTAGCAGTGAAAAAGGATTAGCCGCTTATAACACAATACTTCAATTGCAATCGACTACTATTTTCAAAGACTGAAAATCTCGTGTTGTATGTTGTTTTTCCTATCACACTACGTTACTTATTCATCTTCTTGCAAACAATCGTTTTTCCTGCATTTCGCTCATTTCCAATTTATTTTTCTTCAAAAATTCTTCGACTTTTCGTTCTCGTAATAACTGCCTACGTTGAATCCAATATAGTGTCACATGATAAGTGAGAATCGTATTCACCTCACCAAACCTTAGTTGTATTCAACATCATGTATTATAGATAATGTCCGGCTACTCAACCTTTATGATACATTATACAATGCTAACGTTTTTTTTTTTTTGTCTCAGTTAAAGAACTTTTATAATTGCTTGTTTATCCATAATACGACAAGTGTATCATAGTCTTGTAATTTAAGGAAATAATGTAAATAATTTATAATGAGAATGAAATTAATAACTATCTATAAGAATGATTAATATTAGTATGTATAATGTGCGTCAAAACAAAGAAGTAAAAAAAAAACAAATCTATGCAAGTGATGTTAAGGAGATTGAAACTTTTTTAGTCCAAGTGAGACTTGGCAGTATCTTTGCTTGGCTCTAAATGAATATAGTCCAGTTCAAACGTGTCAGCTCTTTCAGTGCCTGACTCATCAGATTGTTCTTGGTGATCTTTATCAGTTTCGTTCGGTACTTTAATAACTTGAACTCTCCAGAAGCCATCTTCACCAAGGATGTCCTTAGTCTCCAATCTGTAGTTACCCCATTTAGGTAATACTTTAACCCAAACAAACCAATAGAAACCACCAAATGCAAAGATACCCCAAGCAACAACACAGTGAATCCAGTATGGAGCATGCTCGTAGACACTTTCACCATGAGTTGGTGGAACATATGGTGCAACAATTAAGTAAATATTAGACAACATAAAGAAAGTTGTGACAAATACACCAGCCTTGATAGGTGGGTTCCACTCAATCTTACCTTGTCTTCTCTGCCAGTATATCCATAACAAACCAGCGGAGACCACAAAGTTAACAATGTTCATTGGGTAGGAAATCAAGTTCAAAATAATGTTATAAGCGTCACCTGGAGGTGGTGCAATAATAGTAATCATACAGATTATGAAATGTTGGAAAAGACCAACCATTGGGGAGTTGAATGGCTTAGAACTTGCGAAAAAGTTGGAGAATGGCAAAACACCTTCACGACCAAGTTGTTGGATAATTCTACCTTGGGAGAAGATAACAGACATAACATTACCCAAGGCACTAAGACCAACAAGAGCAGCAGCAACTCTCTTTGAGTGACCACCGAAACAGATGTCGAAGAAATCAGCTGCCAAAATCAATTTGGAGGAAATCAGCTTCTCCTTTGGAACAACAGCAAAATATGCAATGTTGACAAATATATAAATAATGGCCAAACAAACCATAGAAGTTGGTCCTGCAATCTTTAGAGTTCTGACTGGGTCCTTAACTTCACCAAGCGCATAGTTAACATTGGAGTAACCAACAAATGACCAAATGACATTATACAAGGCATTGACAACACCGTATGCTGTAGCTTTGTTGGTACCTTCAAAAGCATTGTGGAAGTTATGAGATTGGTAACCATGCTTCAAACCACCTCCCAGGGCGACCCAGCCGGTAACAGAGATGAACAAAACGATACCAACTTTGAAAATACCTAGCAGATTCTGCAAATATAGACCAGCCTTGACACTAATAGCATTCACAGCGAAACAGAAGAAGACGACAGCTACACCAATACCTCTTTGGTTCCACTTAGTGATTTCCGCGTCAGCAGCAGTCAAGAACATAACTGCAGTGTTGACAGAGTTACCAGCGGCCCAACCTAGGAAAAAGACATATGATGCGTACATGCATGTAATGAAAAACTTTGGTTTCTTAACGATGGCTTCCAAGTAATTCTTTTCACCACCATTTTTCGGTATAGCGGTACCGAACTCCATATAGACATATAGACCCGATATCGCGATAATGGCGCCGACGGCCCATAGAATCAAGGCCAAACCGATAGATCCACTCAGTGTATAAATGGTAGAAGAAACCGCAAAAACACCGGTACCCAGCATTCTATTACAGATCAAACCAATACAGGAGAAAAGACCCAGTCTTTTCTCACCTTGATCCAACTCTGTAGTAAACTGTTGTCCCGTCTCAACATCAGATGCTTCTTCTGTCTCATTACTATATACTCCTTCTTCAGATTTCTTTGAAGATATTTGGTAATTATCCTTGTTGAATACATTCAACTGCGATAAAAAACTTCTTTTATTATCCGTCATTAGTATTTTTTTTTATTCTATTGTTTTAGTTCTAAAATAATTCTTGTGTAGGACTATATGCTAATCATTAACCGGATGTGTTTGTTAGTTATTATATTTCGAGTACGATATCTAAAGGAAGTGAATTGGAAAGATTATCTTTTCCTTTTAACAAGAATTATATATCTCTCTTATATATTAGAAAAGAATCTACTCCTTGCCCGGTAAATTTTTTTTCTTCTTCCTTTCACCCTTCGTTCTTACCGTTAACACAATTATTTAGAGTTTCAGTTTATCCCACAGTTAATGAACTAAACTGTTACCGTATTATCCAACAAACACTCTTTCTCCCTGTCCCCGGTTAATTCCTTTTTCACACATTTCATGAATCACAGTAAGCTACAAACACAGTTTCCCAGCTGGTCCGCTTAGTATTCCTATCTGATCTCTCTTAACAAGCAAATTTTCATTGTATCCTTTCAGCTACTAACTTTCTTCACCATTACAAATCACATAGTAGTTTCTTATTACTCAATTTCTACTTGAATCCAGGGATGGGGGACCCTTCTTGCTTTTCTTCCAGAAGTTGATTTCAGTTCTCTATCTCTCTACGGATGTTGTTTAGAGGGATCCTTATTTAATTAGCAGAGAAGAAAAAGAAAGAAGACCTTGCTAAGAAAAAAAAAGTAATTCGGTAATTCGGTAATTCCACAGAATTGTTCGTAGTGTTTGGATCTTACTTCCTCTTTTATATTACTCTTCTTTCTGTAGATCTTGTTCTGGTCTTGTATTCTTCCATGAGTTGTTGCTCATCCCTTTTAAGCCCAGCCCTCTGGGAATAAACACTGAGAGGACAGACACCCTCCTTCGTTTTGTCTGCTTTCGAACTTCCTTTTCTGTTGTACACTACTTTTACTGTGAGATACTGTGGGATACTTCCTTTTCTTTTTCGGTTCTGTATCTAAGATTCTACTCGTTTTTGCTTCTGGGTGTTCTGGGGGGGAAGGAAATGCACTAGATCCACAGAATACAACAGCTATCCTTTACCCGTGTATATGTATTATCACGATAGCATTTCGGTATGTATACATCAATTAGCCCTTTCTACTCTATACCACACTTTTTCATTAACTTCTCTCTCCTTCACCCCTGTACCGGCTGACTAACCGCCATAACAACTGGGCTAAAACGAGTGCAAAGTTAACACACAACAATAAAAAAAAAGGATGCGATAACATACTCAAGTATCTGAATTGGCAAGCCAATTCAGATTTATCAATACGTACCCGGGTGAATGGCTTTGTGCAATTTTATACACACAATATGTACAAGTAAATCAAGTACAGTAGGGATATATCATGTATAGTAAGGTGCTTCAGCGCACAACTTCCATGCCAATATATTATATCTACCTATAATACCGTTACTTGCCTTTGTTATCAATTAAACTTTCTCGCACAGGGGACACTCTTGTCTTGACACATACGCCCCGCTGCACCATTTAAACGTATGCAGAAGACTCACAGCGGACCGGTATCGGTTTCCACAGTTTTTTCTGTGAAACCTGTGGGAAATGTGTCAAAAATAGCAAGAAGGGACAGAAAAAACTGTGTTAGTCCTATGGCAGGGTAAACTTATAACACCGTTAACTTTCCAGTTGTAATAGTAAGCAACGTTTTGTGCTTTGCTCGATATATCGATTTGTAGAAGGTCTCCTGACAACAGATATGGTTGGGATGATTAACATTCTGGTGTCCATTAGAAGGCGGAGTCTCTAAAGTATAAAATATGTTGGTCCGTTGATCTTGGGAGTTTCTTAATCTATGTCTATATTGCTCATTTTACGTACTTGAAAAGATTAGTTGCACTGAAAGTGAAATGAAAAGAAAAAAAATGTAATACTCAAATTAAACACAGAAAAACACAAAATAGTAAAGTAGGAAGTGAAAAACCAAAAACAACAAAAACTTCAATTGTTCTCCCCAATATCACATTTCGAATGGATACTTGACGAAGAAACATCAACCATTCGCATATAATCTATTACTCTTCTTTCCAACCCAATGCAGCAAGTTCTTCGCGGAATTTACCTTCTGTTTCTATCTTCTTAACTTGTAAATCCTGCAATTTCTCACCAGCAGCTTGTTTTTCCTTCAACATTTCAATGGCTCTTAGTTTCTTCAACAAAGATCTGATCTTCTTCTCCTCAGGTGAGGCTTCTTTTGCGGGTTCAGTGGAAGTTATTGATGGTGCAGCTGGTGATTCGGCCTTTTCAGCACCTTCACCGGTACCACTATTAGCCTTCTTATTGGCTCTTCTCTTTCTATTCTTGTTTGCGGCCGCAGATCCTTCATTGACTGGAAGGCCCGGAATTAGACCTGGAATGGCTCTTTGCACTTTTGGACTTGCCCCAGGAACAGATCTATTATTGGCAACAGCTGCAGCTCTACGTGCATGTGGTGGTTTGTAAGCACCACCAGTAGAGGCAGACTTGGATTGTGTAGAACCGTTGCCAGTCTTAGCATCCCTCTTAGGGTGTTTTGCTTCGTATTCCTTTGCGCTTTCGTGAATAGCCAAATCCTTCTTTGGGCTTGCAATTTGGGGATCTAGACTAGCTGCATCAGTGTTGTTTAATGGTGTCCAGTCCTTGATCACATGAGGGTGATCCTTCAATGTTTTGTATTTACAAGTGTTTCTCCAATCGACCTTCAACAACTCTTCAAATTCCTTAGCAAATACTAAAGTACCGCTAACGTGCCATATCTTGATACAGTTATCAACTCTCAATCTTGGCGAAGTAGTAGCAGTCATTATGAACTCACCACCTGGAGACCATTTACATACTGATGTGTTTGCAGCGTTGAAGACAGTAAGTGACTTAAACTTATCATGACGATCTAGAATTTGAACAGAACCTTGCAAGTTACCGAAACCAGCAATAAGAATGTATCTGCCACTTGGGGAAAACAAGATAGTGTTCTTTGGTTGCTTTTCTAAAGAGTGAACAACATTACCTCTTAGATCAAAGAATTGAATAGTTGCTGGCATGTAACCGGATATGACACCAAATTGTCTCGAAGTTGGGGACCATGAGATGTCGTGGACAGGACCTTTCGCTAGAGAGACACGTACAGAGTTGTTCCCCACAGCACCATTCACACCTTGGAATGACAAAAGATATAGAGTATTTTCACCATAGTAGGATTTGTTGGTAGAGTCGAAGTCTGTTGTTGCGACACATAGAACGGCGTTACCTTGTGGATTCCATTGTAACTGGCATGAGTCCGCCTTGAAGAAAGTCTTTGAAGCAATTTTCTTTGTGATTTTGCCCTCGGTGATTGACCATATAGATAGTTGTGCTGGCTTACCTCCTTTCTCTGGGGTAAAAGTACAAATGGTTGGGAAATCTGCTGGGGAGACTTGATAAGTAGAGAATGGTTGAGAATCATTCTCTTGAGTCTTAGAAAGAGTAGCAAATGGCTGGTCAAAATGGAAGTTTGTCTTATTCGCGTCATTTATCTTTACAATTCTAATCTCATTCTTGAACATCTTTAGAGCGTAATCATCTAGCTTGGAGAATTGCATAAACCAACCGTTTTGTGGCTTATGTTGATATTGAAACACAGGTTCTTGTTCCTCACCTTCCGTAAAGACTTTGTTCAGATACCAGACCTTGACATTCTTGTGTTCGGCATCCTTTGCGGAAGGTCTTTCCCAAGTACTCATGTAGTTCCCAGATGGAGAAAACTGGATTTCATAGACATCATTGATAGTTAAATTCAAAAGTTCGACTTCTAATAACTCCCCAGAGAAAACTTTGACATTGCCCTTAGTAGAGATCGCAAAGAATCTACCACATGGGGAAAGGACGGAAGAAATGACTTGGTCGTCCTTGGCGTTAGCAGCTGAGTTGGACTGAGTGAAATCAGGATAACCTTGAAACAGCTCGATGTCTTTGCTTGTCTTCAGGAAAAATTGGGAAGACATGCTGATTTTGTATTAGCTTAAACAAAAAGAAATAAAATGCAAATTAGAATGAAACAAAGTATAATTAAAAGGAATTTGCCTTTCAGGTTAAGCGAAGTGAAATTCCTATTATTTCTATAAGGATTGAGAGAAATGGTATTCAAAAAGATATGATCTATTTGATGGTTGGTTTCTATCAGCTAATCTCTGGTTCTCTTTGACAAGAACTAAGACTATATGCAATCAACTAAAAAGATCAATTATACAAATAAGCTGTTCATTGTCCAAAGCTGAAGGTTTTTTTTTTCATCGCCATTTGCCCAGCGAATGATGCCTCTGCGAGAAGAAGAAAATAATTTTTCTCATCGAAAATGCCGAGGGGCATACATTTATTTTAGATCATGGGGAAAGCACGAAATCACAATAATAAAGCATAGTGCCCTTTAGTAAGTTTATAAATCAATATCCTATCATTTCATGTATTCAATAGAAAAAGACAAGGCTACTCATCAATAGTCTTACCAATAGATTGAACAGGATGACAACTATATAATAATCCGATTGCAATCAATGCAATTATGCTGCACGCGTGTTTTTCGTTCCAATGCATGTGGATACGTATTCATTATGAATCAAGCTCTTTATAAAGGCTATCTATCAAGCCATTTACTTGCGGGATGAAGTTTGTTTGACTTCTAAATAATCATGAATAATATGAATTGTTCTTTCAAGAAAGACGACTTTCATTATATTCACTATGTACCCGGAAAATATACACTTTTCCTGCCTGTAATGAAGCCAGAAGAGAACACGACTATTATACACAATAAGCTAATGCTAAATAACCAAGGAAAGCAGATATTATGTATAATGATTGGCGTTAGTTTACTGTGAAATGGAGGTCAAACCTGTAAGTAGTACACATCGTGGTGGTATCACTCAATAGACTAATTCAGGTGACGTGCCTAGGTAACATAAGAGTGATATCTCACCGAAGGCATTAGAAAATGCCGGTACCTTAAATCTGTAGTCATTTCAAGGAGTCCCAAATGTGACATTAAAAGTTAGCATAGTGTTTATATTTGGGAAGATTATCTCAATTAAAACTTCCGATACTGGTGTACATGTGTAGACGTTAGGATACATCTTGTATTTCCACAACTATAATTTACCCAGGACATAATGTTAAAGAGATACCATTACGCAAGAAGAATACGGCTTAACCATATCAGAGATCTGAATCAAAAGAGATTTATTGTATCGAACTATGATGATCCTAATGATGTGAACTATGGGCAAATGACAGACTACCTCAGAGAAAAAGGAGTGCCACTTCTTTTACAAGAGAATTTGAAAGAGGAAACTTTAGATGATGCGATTGTTTTGAGATTGTTACCAAGCACTCATCCGTATATTCCTAATTTACATGGAATATTACAGTATAAGACCTCTATGAATGCCATAAGGCTAATCATGAGGAAATTTGTACTAGAAGAAAACTCTAGGTTGAAAGTGTTGTCTTCAAGAAGGATTAGAGGTGATGATGACCAGATCAAATATCAATGCAATATTTCACCATACCTAACAAATCATGATAAATTATTAATTAGATGGCAAAGCTGTCTTCCACAAACTGCAGGTACAGTTGAACCAGATGAGGAAGACATGAACAAAACGATATCATTCTCCAGCAATGATGTACTTAGAACCCAAACTAGTTCTGGAGAATCACCTATATTAGATTACATTTTACAAAAACCTGCTAAGACAATTAGTACACTTGCTCCTAACGTTCTGTCTAAACATATTACCTTAGGGAATCGTATTAGTGCAATGAATAATGACGATTCTCTAGATAATGAATACACACGTATAGTCAATGGCACATTTGTTTTTGAATTCAACGAGGATAACAGTAAGATACTAGTTCATACGATCGAAAATGTGGAGCTAATTGATTATGAACGGAAAATCAATGTACCAAAAAATGCATTTGCTTGTTAAACGCTAACAAAGTAACAAAAGGGACTTCTCATATATCTTGCGATAAAGTTGTTGTAACACTGTATAACTGTTTCCTCTCGGAAGTATGACGAGAAGCATATACAAATGTGCTGTAAATAGAAATTCAAGATATTTAAAATTTGTAAATTTTTCAAAATAAGTTAAAAGTTAAATTTCAATTTCTTTCGTTCTACAAAGTATACAAAAATTAAGAACGAGTAAAATTAATAAAAAAATGGAGTCTAAAATTTATAGTTATTTAACTTTATGTTCATATTAGATTATACTTAACTAGCACCAATCCGTCTGGCACTATTACAAAATAATTAATGAGATCATAATAAGAAATGATCCATAAAAAAATAATAAACAACGTATTAGTTGCAAAAAGCAGTTGAAGGCGAGTTTCCATCTCGCATTCGCTATCTGAATCAACAAAACCAGTAGTTAAATTCAAAGTAGCAGCATTCACTGAGGTCCGATTAATTATAGGAATAACTGATATTAAAACGAAAGATAAAAAAAACTTTCTGGGTATACAAACCCACATGATTAAAAAATCTTAGAATTAATCTAGCGCCAAGTTGAGAAAAAAAAAAGCAAATTACAGAGATCCATTATTCCGAATATACTCTGCTAGGTAAATTCCGTTACCTTTTGGCGATCATCCGAACACTATCTTCGGGGACAAAAAAAAAAATGTAAAATTAATATTAATGCCAAAGGAAAAAAATTGTTAAATGTGTATTATCCAATGCTGCTTCACAGTCAGTAGTTACCGGACACACCTAGAACTTTCAAATTATTGCTCTTGATGTTTCTAACTGATGAAGCTGATTCAATGTCATTTTCTTGATGTGCAGTCCAGAATGCATTGAAATGTTTCAAAAATCTAGTTAGAGATCTCTTGCTGGGGTTTGGAGACATTAAGTTATCAACAATGATCTTGGTCATTTGCAGCATGTCATGCATGTCAGTCATATCTTGCCACAAGAAAGGGGCAACATATTTTGTAGAAGAAGACTTGAACAACTTTCTTCTTCTAGAGAGGGAAACAGAGCTAAAGAAACTTTCGTAAATGAACTTGTAAGGGTCACTGACGTAGTTGTTGAAAATGTGGCAGTTTGGGTATACCAAAGTTTCACCATTTTCTAGTCTCTTATAGACGATCTTTTCGTTTTTGATGTTTGAACATCTGAAAGGACAATGACTGAACAACAAATATAGTAGCGTGACACCCATTGACCAGTAGTCAGATCTGTAAGTGTTGTAGCTTACTTTAGCTGAGAAAGTCTCTGGACCTCTGTAGTTATCTGTTCCGATGTTGTTATCATTTGATGAAGAAGCAGAGATGGCATGGCCCCAGTCAGCCAGCTTGATGTCACCGTGGTAGTTTATCAGGATATTTTCCGGTTTAATATCTCTGTGGGCAATGCCCATGCTGTGTGCATACTTGATGGCGTAACTCAATTGTAAGACAACTTTTTGAAAGTTCAATTTAATGATCGAGGGAGCATTTAGGTCACCTTTCTTCTTAGACAATTCCAAGAAGTCGTAGAAGTCACCACACTCGCAGTATTCTTGGACCAAAGTGTAATTAGTCTCATCCTCGTAGAAATCCACGAAGGAGCAAATGAAGGGACAACCTTCATCCTTAGACAATAACTTGCCAACGTTGTATTCATTAGCCATACCTCTTTGAGAGAATTTAGATTTTGGAATAACTTTCAAAGCCACAAAATCATCAGTTTCGGTGTTATAACCTTTGTAAACGGTACTGAATGACCCGGATTGGATAGGGTTTAGTTTCTTGTATTTGTTAGACTTGTCAGGCATCTTCAAAGGGGATAAAATCTTAAAGAGAATCTAGATGGACCCTTTGGTAAAAGGAAGAGAAAAAATGCTTTGTTGTTAATATTATAGATGATATTCTATACTCCCTTTGAGAAAAAGTAACATTCAAAGTATTTGAAATATAGATTCAATGTTACTCTATTGTGAATAATACTTCTCTTTCAATAGTCAAAAAAAAAAGTATGTTGAATATATTTTTGCAGTAGAAAAATATATGTATAAGGAGAGTAGGAAAGTCAAGTTAGTAGTTTCCTTAAGCACTTTATAATCTGTATGATATTGCAAAACTGTATTATCTTGTTTAGTTTTAATGGTTATATGTATAATGTAATAATCATTAATAAGAATAAAATTTTAAAAGATCAGAAAGGAAAAACCAGGAACATCGAATCTAACAGGGAACATTTATATAATTGATTTTTTTTTTAAACTTGAGCTATATCTGAAATCAACATCTTCAATATTGGGCAAAAAAATCCAGTAATATGCTGATCATTAGCTTGCTACACCAGCTTTGTCTAGTTTTCCTTTGCTTTCAACTTGATTATGCAACTATGAAATCGAAAAAAAAAAGAATAAATTCCAATTGATAATTATTATTTGCTTGTAATTACCAAATAATCGTGCTTTTGGGAAGTAAGTCGATCCTTGTCTTCATGCATTAGCCAATCCAATGGTATTTGTGCGGTGATTTCACTGAGCGATATAGCTGGGCCCGATCTTAAATATCGACAAAGCCTTAACCAATATATTTATAAATGCTGTGGAAGGGGGGGAGGTGAAAAAAGTAATATTTGTCTCATCCGAGACATTAAGAAACACCGGTACAGACATGATTTCAGGGTTTCCCAGATAGAATATATCCGCTTTGAAATTTGTACTTACATTTCTCAGACAAAAAGTGAGTATTTTTTCAAGGACTAATGAAAAAGGGTCTTACAATTTTGCGATTTCGGAAAATCGATCTGGGAAATTGTACCGATTTAGTGTGCAGGGAAGGAGAGAGCGAGTTTCTTTTAATCTTCATTTGCGACATTTCTTTGATTGGAGAAAGAGAAGGGGGGGGGGGAATGGTGGCTAGACGAGATGTAGGGAAATCCTGTTTGATGCAGAGAAAAAGAAAGATTTTCGGGAAGGGGGGGAGGGAAATTGGAGGTGGAGAAGGACACGTACAATAGGCAAAAGAGAGCATCTTAGAGGACTCAATTGACCCCCGCGCGGATTCCATTATACTACTGGAGAATGGAGGTGAGTGTCTATCTTTGTGCTGAGTGGTCTTCGTCTGTGTGTGTTGTACAGTACTCGGAACCACAGTACAGGATTTTCACTGTTTGTGGTTGCCCTCCCATCAGTGGAAGAAAACAGTACATGTGCGTGAAACGGAACAAGGCCGACCGCTTTTCGACCTATTGCTACATCCACACCCATTGTTCTCGCGAACATTTCTGTGCTCCTATTTATGCTCTAGCTCTACATTTGGCACTGTGCATAGTCAGAATGGTGTAGAATAGGGAGACTGTAGTATTGGGGGGGGGAGATAATCATCCTTCTGTTTGTGCAGCATATTTAGTGCACTCAACCCAACACTCCAGTCCATCACCGGAGGGTGGGCAGGTTTGAAACTCTCATCGCCCCTCTCTCTCTTTGGCTGGAGATAGGATATCTTATTCCGGCTAAGACAATGCAGCAGTTGTTGATGAAAGTTTACCATGTGTTCTGTTCTCATCGGGGGATTGTAAGGAGGTTCAACGGTTAGAAAGGTGAAGGGTTGAAATCACCCTATTGTAATATTCTGAAACAGAGCAGATGTATGGTTGTACGTGTTTTGTCTACGAACATGATTACGTCGGCGATCCTTTTCACTTGTTGATTCAGATGCACCTACTGATCTATGTGTGGATCTTCCGTGGGATTTTGTGGACTTGACTATCATTATGAAGGATCCGATGCACCCCCAGAAACTTACCTGGCTTCTCCACTGCTGGGCTAATGATCACAAAACACATGCAGTAAACTTCAACAAAACTACAGTTATGCAACCAACAGAGAGAGAAGCGATTGCACTGGGAAAGAAAAGTGTGGGATGTTAGGAGACTCACTGAAACCATCGCGATGGAGTTTTTGAGCTCCAAAAAAAAATAGTACAGAATAGGAGAGCAGCAGATGCTCTTTTTGTTACAAATCTGTTAGAAAGTCTAGACACTACAAGATTCATTTGACGGAGCTGGCAATGATTACAAAATCGGATAGGTGTACTGATACGATTGTTTGTTAGTTGTACTTCGATCGGGGGGGGGGGGGAGACGATAGCGTCTGCTATACGGCGTAATTATTGGCTTGTAGATTTAAAACAGGTAAAGGGTGAATTTGGACTATTGCTAGTTTCGGGAAAAAAAAAGTTAAAGTCAAGCAAAAAGGTTGCCTAAACGGCGTGTATACTAGCCTTTATTAACAAGGAAATGTGAAGCTTAGATGCCACGTTTTTTTGCTCTTGTCTTGGGTGGACTAGACAGCATTAGACAAATATGAAACCAATTTTCTATACCAGCCTTTCCTATGAATTCATCTTCTGAGAACATCAACAACTCTATTTGCTGTATGGTTTTCTAAACAAAAAAAAAAGGGTATATGTTCTCAGCTACAGAATATTCTCTCAGAAATACTCGAGAAGATCAAAATTCTCTTTCTTAATCCTGAAAGCTACACCCGCCCTGTACCGCATAAATCAATTGTGTATTAAGGTCGAGAGTAAATTTTGCTTATACTAGATGATGATTTTACTGAATCATACAGTTGAATCATATTATCGTTCATTTTTTTTTTTTCAGAAAATTGAAACAAATTTAGTCTCGGCCAACTTTCCCTTTTTTGATAAACTTGCTAGGGTATACATGGCCCAGTATCTTTAAGTAGCTAAAAAGGAGTTACTATTGTTCTTACTATTGACTCGCATTAGCATTACAAGTAGAAACACTACATTATGAAATGTCCTTGAGTTTACCCAAAGCAATAAAATAATATGCAGCCAACTTATTAAAAAACCGCTCATACGGTATTGTATTATATGCACACAGATGGTTTTCAAGAGAATGCCTCCACAAAAGCAAAAGCGTAGAATGCCCGACATTGCTCTGCGTTTTGGATTTTTTTTACCGAATTCGTACACACTTTCCCAATAAGGGTTCAAAGAAAATGATTTTCGAAGATCTTTATCGGAGGAACCACATTTTTCCCCTCATTCCGATGTTGCACGCTCCTTTACTGTCTTTTGTCAAGGCCATCTTACAGATATTCTTTACCCTGCTTCCGGGGAAAGGTTGAACGGACCATAGTAGTCTAAGAAAATCCACTCAAGAAATGTCCGCAATTGTGTCTAAGGCATAATTTCTAATGCTGTTAGTTTTTAATAGAGTGTCGCCCAGCATAGAATTAAATATATGTGTTGCTTTTTTATGTTCTACATAAGCATATAATGCTATTTGTGGTGTTCCTTTGGACTTTTTTTATTTTGCTCCTATTGTCTTGACATATGGCTTGGATGCATATCTAATGGTTAAAGTATTCTCAGGTCCCACCCCCTGTTATACTTGCAATTGAGTTATTTTGCAGTGCGTTACATAAATATGCTTTTTTTACCGCTATATGCGTTAGTAGCAAGTAGCCATAATGATGAGGGTTAAGTTTTTTTTTGCATAGGAGAATATCCAAGCTGTAGAAAAGATAGACCTGAAACCAGTGCAGTCGTTACGGTGTGTTATGTAACTCATCACTTTCGTCGAGAGTCTTCCATAATGCATATTTTAGGTGCATTTGAATACTCAATGGGCATATGCGTTAAACTTTAACCCTCTCCTTCACTCCACCGATAAATGTCTTGTTATTTTAGTGGGGATCTATTATATAATCTATACTATTCTACCTCTTGAATATACCTATGCGATGCTTAATAATTGTGGGTATACATTTAGAAACTGGCATTGACATGACAGTTTTTGAGCTTTTTGGTAGATTTTCTTTGGTCTCGATACAAAAATTGCAGCAGCACTTCTAGCCCCTAAATGCACTACGTTTTGCTGGTCTCTTATTTCTCATATTTTGTAGTCGGAGCATTAAAAGCATTAAGCTCTTGATCCCTATATCTGAAGGAGCTGTATATGCTGTATGTATGAAACTCATTACTGCACAAATAGCATTTTCAACTTGAGGCTTATGATCAATGGTTTTGCTCAAAAAAGGTCTTTAAATGATAGTACCTCAGTTCGGTTTCTTTGCCCGATGGTTGCATAAAGAGCAGTCCTCGGTAGAGAAAATACATCCAACCCATTAACTATTGACATTTTTAACATATTCAGTTATCTGTGTTAGGGAAAACAAGAAACCGATACGATTCGCATTTAGTCAATGTATGCAGGACTGAGTGTGGTGTTTTTCAAGTTTATTCCTGAGTTAAGTTTTGGATCAGATAACACACATCTACATCACGCCTGAGCACAACTTAACAATATAAATTTGTAGTATAAAACAACACTAGTGGTTTAATTTTTCCTTATGGTGGCTTTTGCTCTACAGCACGATAGTCGGAAGAGGTTAATTATGAAAGTAAGATGGCCTGACATCTAGTATGAGCACATTTATCGCAAATAATGAATTATCTTGATAGATTAATATATGTGTTATGCTTGAGTATATCAACTAATTTAGCTAGAGCGGCAATAGGAAGCACACAAACTTTGACATTGTCATCAATTACAATTAGCGTACAAATTTGAATCTCAGGTACAAATCTAAGATTGGTTTGATATCTTCCTTACATACGATATTAATTGTAAAAATATTAAACAGGACATGCTGAGGTTTTTCTATTGAGATCGAAATATACATCGAATAGAATACCCGCTTGAAATGCAATGTCCAAGAGTGCCCTGATTTTATTCCCGTTTCTAATAGCAATTGTCTAGTTATGAGCAAAAAAAAAGAAATAAACCTAAATATGATAAGAGGTCAATCAGGTAACATTTTTTTAAGTTACAGCAAGCGGATATTTAGAGTTCAATATTTTTCTTTAGAAGTGAAACGACGTTTACTCTTCTTATCTTTTATGATATTTTTGGGTAATTAAAGATAGCTCCCAAGTAAAATATGAGGTTTTAAGCTATACCGGCTGGTTTCCGATAACTTGATTTCCAATGATTAAGTTCGAAAACATGGAAATCAGGGGACAAGCTGCAATACTACGCTTGTTGTCAGTAAGAATTCTATAACAATATCACCGAAAATCATGATTCCTATCCTTTTTCATCAGATTATTTGATGTAACTCTTACACTAAGAGTAAGTGCAGATATGAATGTGTAAAATGTCGAAATAAAAATAGAAGAAGCCGTATCTATTGCTTGTAGTCTAGAATCAAAAACATAACGGCAGGATTTTCCAAATTACTTGATGAAAATTATATGTTAGAAACGATCTTAGCACAGAATTCTATTCCAAAAGCCTTACCATCACGTCTTAAAAACATGATAAGCTATTGCAGTTTAGTTTTGGCGATGAACAAGTTAACCTTAAACGTCATCAATAAAAGAGCTGTAGGAATACTGTGTGTTACATACAGAACAATATTCTAGAATAAAAACTTTTGATCTTACACCTGATTTGCCTTTAGCTTGCGCAATAGCTCAGCCAAAGACTGAAGCAAAATAGACGGCTTAAACAGCAAGCAGCAAAATATTATGTAAGCAGTGAAGTTCCTGAAATGCTGATCCTGAGAGGTACTTAGCAGAAGAGCTTTATAGTATTTGTCTTGATTTCACCCAATTTTTCAGAAAAGTAGGTACGGCTGTTGAAAAAAACATGCAGATGGACATGAATGTTGATAAACCCGTTCCCCGGAAAATAAAGTGAGGGTTAAATTCCCAAAGTAAAACATAAAAAAGAAAGGAAGCCAATAATCTTCTGTACATTCAACGGAATTTAAAGTGTATCGGAACGGGTGTGAGATGGATATGGCATGGTTATACGTTAGGTTGTCTATTCAAAGAATGTGGGTTCGAAAAGTTTGTTCCTGAAACACCAAAAGACTCACTATAGTAACTAAATAAGAACTGATATCTACTCGACGTTGAAGAGATCTCCATGGTATCCCCGGATTCCGGGTGGGGTAGTCTTTATTTATTCTGGATATTTCTATTTCAGTTTCAATGATTAATATGATAGATACTTCATAAAGTCCTCAAGTATAGCTTGTGCAGGGCAATTTCAAAAGCGAGTGCGTCTGTAATAGAAACATAGATGACTATTCATGCTGTTTTCTAGGCATTTCGATAGTCTTCAGGGGTAATAACCTGTTAGTTACCCTTACAAACCTTGTGTGTCTAATAATGTTCTTCATGTGAAGATTTGACTACTAACTGGTGGCAAACAGTATGGTACCTGATGTACTGTTCAGGTCTCTATTTCCGTTGTGTATGTATTGTAACTTGACAGCATACAGCCGCTTTTCGCATGTGCTAACGACATCAGTCACCAGTTGCTACCAAAGTAGACTGCCTGATGTAGGATTATTATTGTGTTACATATGGTTAAAGCTAATTGGAGACTCTTTTTCACTGTAGTCCCACCTTTATGTCAATTAGCAGGCTGTTGATGATCTTACAGAAATTGTCGTTAACAGGATATCTGGTTTGAGTTTGTTATAAATAAGTTAGAGGTCTCTTATACCTTTTATGAAGTCATATAATTTTGATTTAGAGGGAAATATATTGTAGTAAATTTATAAGCTTTTGTTTTCCATTCAAATTAAAGAATAATTTGATAATAAATAAGTAGATATATAAGCTATACCTTATGCACATAATTGATAACAAAGACACCACTGCAATACAATATTCGGTCAGTTCCCATCCTGACAATGAGAATAAAGAGAACTGAGCTTTACAGAATTATTGAGGAAAATCTCCTAATTGAATGAAACTGTATTGTCGTTGAGCTGCGTTAATGTTAATTTTTATTGTTTTCTTTGGTTTGGTTTGATTGTTTTCTTGCAATTATTGTTATCTTCAGGTTGTTTCAGCTGATTTACAACAAGCCTTGGAAACCGTCGAAGACACTCTTGGCAAAGACACCACAGGTGGTTAGAGTGACGACAGTCAAATGACATAGCAAAGCGTTGTAACACTTGTCACTCTTGATGGAACCCTTGTGGAAAGAACCATTAGAGCCATCAGTAGTCTTAGAGAATGGGCAAACTGGAGCATCCGCTCCGACTTGTGGATGGCCCTCTGGCAGGCCACTTTCCTTGGCTTTACTTGGACAACAACCGTGGTTAGCCAAAGAAGAGGCGTATAAGTATAGACCCGTAATTGGTGCGATCAAAGCACCAGCCAATCTGGTGTTTGATCTTTGTGGCTTCTCAGACAAAAAGTAAGAGACAGCCAAGGAGATGGTGGACACGGAACCGAAAGCAGTTGCCCAGCAGCCAATTTTGCAGAGCAGGTTCTTCAAAGAGCCAGTAAGAACATCCAAAGGAGTGGCAGATGTGATTAAAGAGGTAGAGGTTAGTAGGCCTGCATATAGACCTAAAGAGGTAACACCAATGCACTTAGTGGTTGTGATCAATTCTGGGTTAGTCATTTTTTATTAATATATTCTAATAGTGGTTTATAGTCGGGGTTTTTTTTTTTGTATGTATAATTCTGTTAGTAAATGAATTTTGTCAAGTTCTAAGATGCAATTATGTGTTACACACTTGATTTGTGGGTGTTTTGGTCTATATTTATATATAAATTATTATGTTGAGAAAAATAATAAAGCAAAACTAGTCACACAAGCATCTAGGGGAACAATGGGATTTTTATCATGAGAGGGGACACACAAAAACGACAACGAAATGGCCTACACATGCACAGACACTACTGCAGCAACCTCGGCTGCGGATAGAAAGATTAGGAACCCAAAGAGAGTAGGTTGGTCCTTTGTTCTATTTCATGTGGGATAGCTGGGAGACAGAATTTCTAAAATCCGTTGCGTCCGTTAGAATTTCAGTTGTTTCCCAGGTATTGTTAGGTGTTAGTGGAGATAAAAGGAGCATCTTCTGCTGTAAGTTCGTGAACTTTTTGCGAATTGATAATTTGGGATCATAACATTTTACACGTGACTTAGATAAGCTAGGTGTATGAGAAAATAGTAGCTGCAGCTATCTGTAGTCTGTGCGCAGTTTGTTTGTCTGTTTGCCTTTTTTGGCTCGTAATTGTAATTGGTAAACCAGAATTGCTTAAACGAGTGTAGGTGTAGGTACGTTAGTAGCGATATCCGATATACATTTTATTTAACAAATTTGCTTTTTACCTGACGAGAGCAAAATAATTAGTGATCGCACCTCGTATGCAGCTACCACTTGTGCCTGGCTTAGGATCCTGAAACCTGGGATGTGAGACGGGAGGATCAATGTGTATAATGAATGAATTTTGGCAGCTGCCAATCGCGATGATCATAAAGGAAAATTTATTTGTTCTTTTTTTTTATATCTGATTAAGTTATCAATCCGATTAACCGAATATAGAGATATGTATATCAGATAGATTACAAATGTGTGGTTTGAAGTAAGATAAGACAGTAATTGCATATCTTGAAATTGTTGTTCTTAGGTATTGGTTTTTGTTTTTGAGGTTTAAAAGCCATTATGTGATTGTGACATCAGTGTTTTATTTAATAATTACTCTGTTTTTCTCTTAGTATGTCATCCTAATTACTTTAAAATTAAATAAGATTTTCTGTGTGTTAGATTACTTTTCTTTCTTTTCGTTTAATTTTCTGCTGTCATTTTCTTAATCTTAGATATTATATCTGTTTTACTGTTGTTTTGTTTTGTTGTTATTTTGAGGTTTGATCTTGGCAAGCTAACATTGCCGTATTGATACTGATATTCAGCCAAAAAGAAGTCAACTTTAAACCCAAAGATGAAATGATGAACGTGTGCTTATAGACACATTAGTACGAAGAAAGATAACAATGCAATTAAAAAATGATAAAATTGTTGAAGTTTGATAGTTGATGGCATTCCACCATTTTGATTCATATCCGTTTCATTTCCTGTTATAGTTTCAAGAATTACAAAAGCATAAATGACATTTCCGGCCAAATGGGCCCCAAAGGTAATTTAGCACACAGAAATGCCCGTAAGACAGTATTCAGAGTGGTTAATGTTTCGTGTCCGGATCGCCGAGCCAAGACGGCCCTCTGTTCTCTTCAGCTGCGTCTATAATTTGCATGTTTCTTTGACGGTAAAGGAGGGGGGGGAGAAAGAGAGACAGGACTCTTATGTTTCTGCTTGTAATGTACGTAGTCGAATCGTTGTGTGTTTCTAACAAAGCGAAGAATTGTCTATGTCAGGTGATATCCCGCTATGGTGGTGCCTTTACCCAAAAGCGACCAGTTCAACTACTACTGCAGCTACTGGGAGAGGGGACTGTCAGCCATTTCAGAGAGAAGTCATCTCTTTTTCCCATCTCTCTATTTCCCATCTCTCTATTTCCCATCTCTCTATTTCCCCCGTTGTTGGAGTCGTTGCGCGACGTTTTCTGAGCTGTGTTTCATAGATGCAAGATAGATCTCGGTGCGGCGTACTCCGTCACGAGTGTTTCTGGAGCCAATTGAAAAACAAAAGTGTAAATTGATCAACGGTATTTTCAGTATTTTTTCTTTTGAGAAGTCTTTTGTTCCCTTTTTTTCTTCTTGAGCTGTTTCCTCCCTCCGCTCTTGTTTTCCGCCATTTTCCTAGCTCCGTTACTTTCTTCCGGTATGTGTTATGTGCCCTTGTGATATGCGGGGTAATTGGGTCCCCAGATATGTACTGCAGTCTCTGTGTTCCCAAACTATTTTTTATTTTGTTTTATGTTTATAGTTGCAGTAATCACATTATCCTTCAACAAAGAAAAGGGCCGGTATCGGTACTGCAGCATAAGAAAAGAGGTCACAGGATACCTTCAGAAACTCCACCCAAGAGATGGATCCGTCTTCTTTTTTTGCAGAACTTTCTTTCCGGCTGAACAGCTGAACTGTTGGAGATCAAGATCTACGCTGAGATGAATGCATATCATTGTTCCACGGGTATAATTCCTACAAGAAGCAGCACAGCATGTTGCACAAGATGGCATGCGTGAAACTCGCTCTATCCTTAACAAGAAATTGGCTAATAATTACCATATTGTTGGAACAGCCTAGTACCTGATGGGTTTTTAGTTCCAACGGCATATTCTAAAAGACTTTTATAAGAAGCAATTTTCTGAGATAGTCTGATACACACACGCGCAATTTACAATTTACATTTTAGAACTCACAACTCACAACTTACAACTTACAACTTACAGTGTACAGGAGATACAGGAGATACAGGAGAGTGTCTTCTTTCTTATGTTTGATTTTTGTTGTTTTGTTTTTTGACATCACTTTCTAACAAACACACGCACAACGGTCCCCCCCACCCCCACTCCATTCTTCCCATGGCTACAAAGCTCGTTTTCGGAGTTTGTACAGAAACAGCAGCAGCAAGATGGGAGAAATATATCACGCACACTCGCATTAGCCACACGCATTAGCCACAAGCATACACGCAGCACACGCAGCACAAAGCATACACGCAGCACACTCAACCCAGTAACAACACAAGAGAACATCCCTCAGAAACGTGTGCGCAAGCTTCATTAAGATTGGTAAGAGATATGTCTGGCTACACACATTGTCGTAATAGAGCGATGTGAAGTGCTAATTCATCAGTGAAGTTCCCAAATGCTTGCAAGTGCTTGCAAAAGCTTGCAGATGAATAGAGTGGGCAGGGGAATGGAAAAGAAAAGAGCAGGCCTCACTTCCGTAATCAAAAAGCAATTTCCCGGGTCCCAAGACACACCATGAGAGATAGAACAACCGGGCAGCGCGCGACTAAGAAACAAACGCACTAGTCCTTCTCTTTGGGTCTCGGGGCTCGAACCTGGGTCCCCTGCTCTTACTACCACTACAAAGGAGAAGAGAACAGGCTATTTTGGAATTCCCTTTCAATGGGCAAGCATAGACAGCACACAGAGCCAGGCAGTTAGATGGAAATGGAGACGGAGACGGAGACGGAGACGAAGAGCCACTGGCGAACCCAAAAACCCATCATAGAATGCCCAAAAACCCTTCACTTCTGACTATAATTCTTCAAACTAGAGCCAACTCCCATTCAAAAGACTCAAAGTCCTAAAAGTGAAGTGTAAACTAGAGACTTGGGATCGCACAAAAATATAAATAGGGAAAGGATGTTCGATTGCTAGCGACACGCCCACTTTCTGTTCATAAGGAGAAAAGCTAGGCAAACGAAAAGGCAAATAAAAAAAAAAAAAGACTCATAAAGGAAAAAAATAATAATAATATAAATATCAAAAAAAAACCAATTAGCCAAACGAAGGAAATTAAAATTACTAATTAGTACTCAGAAAATAATGCTGAGGACTAAAGACAGTGGGTTTGCGTTTCTGTATAGCAACTCTAAATCTGATAATGATATTATAGCGTTTCCTAGTTCTTTCAATGTTCTCACAGAGTTGCAGCGCAAGCAGCCATACGACTCAAATGATTACTTCGATATGGAGTATACGGGTTCGAATGGTCTGAGGCTCGGTGAACACGACATCTTGCCGCCCAATTTCACTACAATTGATATAGCCATCGATAACGAGGATGACGAGGAGGAAGGGGACCAGAACACTATATGTAGCAACACTTTGCGTCGCACATGTAGTGCATATAACACAAATAGTAAGGATGGCTTGTGTAGTGGTGATCAAAACTGTATGGGTGGTATGAACATGATGCTCATGCAGTTTAAAAACCAGTACCTTGCAGGTCAAGGTATTTCAAGAGCTAATGTCCCTCAACAACAACAGAATGACAACACATTCGATTACGACGAACAGCATTACACTAGCGGGCTGCCCACGCCAACCGAATCAGCAGGCATCATTAGATCATGCTTGACATCACCATTGGACTTTGCAGCTACTATCAAAACTGAGCCTTACGTTAATAATACTACATTGCTCTTGTCCCAATCAGGTCCACCGCTCAGTCAATCATCAAATATGCCAGACTTGCTTCACAGAGAGAGGTCTCATACACTCGCAAATATAACTCCAATTAGTCTAAGCAGCAGCAGCAAAGACGATTCCTATTTCACAGCTACTGTAGACACTAAGCGTCACTCTATTCCTATGGTAAACACCAGGGGCGTTATTAAGAAGGAGGAGCCAGACTACTCTGTCTTACAACCACAGCACGCTCACATTGATGACGTCTCTGGCTATGGCGAGATATCCGCTGGTACATCTAGTTATCGTAACATGGTCTCACAGTGGACAAGCGGTACTGAGCCCACTTTCAATGATGCTGTGTCAGTTGGGCCATTATCTTGTAGCATGAACAATGCCAGCAGATGTGATATGGATGTTAATTGTCACACAAATAGTGATGAACTGCCCTTAAGCAACATCAATTTGGCAATGGGACCTACAGTTGATTCTACCACTGATTACCAATCCATGAAGGATAACTTGAGTGCCGGTTGCTCAAATGATACTAATGGGAAGTCATTGGTTAAACAATTACTGGAGGACCCGTACCTTTCCGATATCATACAGAAACCTCAGAAGCGTGGACTTTACAGGTGTGCACATTGCCCTTCTACTTTCAATAATATTTTTGAATACGCTTCTCACTTAGACGAGTATGAAGTAGAGAGAAAGCACAAATGCCCTTTTAAGAATTGTGCTTGGCGTATTCTTGGACTGCCACGCCGTAGTGATCTTAGAAGGCACTGTGCTATTCAGCATAAATATGAGTTATATGGCCAATTGAAGAAAGATCTAAACTTAACTGAGGATGCCTACCCTGTCCTGAGATGCCCAGTCATGTTCTGCCAAAAAGAGTTTTATAGGAAAGACGCCTATAAGAGACATATTGCTATTGTGCATGAAAACACTAGTTCTCGCTTCAATAAGAGATTGAAGCGGATTATTAAAGAGTGTCCTCATTTTGAAACTGAAGAAGAGAGGTTTAACTTTATTAGAGATAAGGTAAGAAATAAGTGACAAACTTATTGATTCATCTTTAAAGTATCTCGTATTGTCATAGCACAGTACAAAACCTAAAGTCTCCTCCTTTCTAATCCGAACTTGCTATTATCATTACTGTTTACAGAACAGATATACTCACAAAATAATAATCTATTTTGGAGACGACATATTAACCAAAAGATCTCCAGTTGCTACTATATTAAATTATATTCATCTCAGCTTTATCCCAACATTGTAATTGTCATTGATTAAGTAGGTCAACCGTCGAAATTGGATAGACCTAAAGACTGTTGGCCCCAGACATTATTTGCACATTTTTCTATTGGTTTTTCTTTTAAAATAACATAATGATTTCTGTTACGTGTAACTAACATATTCTATTATCGAAGTTCTTCTTAATACAGTCAATTTTGATGTTTTTTTGTATTCTTAACTATATTCTTTTTTTTGTTTTTTGAGTTTTCTGTTTTTCATCTTTCAAATATGAGGATTTCGATTAAAGGCTTCAATATTTAACAAGTGAAGAACCCTTGGTTAATGATATTGTGTTCTTTCAGCATTTAAAATCAAATGTAATGAACCTAAATCCAATAATTTCGCTAATTATGCTATTTTATCTTTTTTTTCTTTTGCAACCGAATGTTAAGTGATCATACTGTGTGGATTGAATTAGAGCAGTAGTACAAAGCTGTTGCTCTATGACATATACTATTCATGGTCTTTACAATGGTATCTTGACATTAGACATACTAAATGAAAATCAAAGGAAAATTAAAACATTTTATAGATATTTTTTACATGACGTCTGTATATGAATTTCAAAAAAAGAATCAATAGCTTTTCTAACTCAAGGTGCCGTTGATAAGAAACGGCACCAAAACGTTAAAATTCTAAGGACATAAGGGTCATAATAATTTAAGAGGGCTTAATTTCGCTACTCTGATTTGACTAAGACAATACCCTTTTTTTATTGTAATCTTAATGTTCAGAGTTTTATTAATTTATAGAAGTCATTATTATAATGCCACATCCCTTACATGACGGAGTCCTTAAATTATTTCGATCTTATCTTACATTTTTCTCTATCTCAGCCATCGGTCCTTTTCGGTGATATTTACTTGTTCGAAGTGGGACAGGTGGATATGTGCAAGGGATCCTCCTCACTCCGAGGTCTGGCATAGATGGCACTCACTACTACAGCACCCTCAATGGTGACTATCAAAAAAAAAAAAGGTGAAAAATTCTCATTAACTGACATCAATAATACTGCTGGATTGACCCTGCAACCTGTTCTAGAACCACTATTACTTTTCATCTCGAAAAATATAACGATCAAAAGAACCTAGCATATGTAAGTTTATTAACTCACAGGTGCGTTAATTAATTAATTAGTGAAGTATCCCAAATTTAAAGGAAATCTTATTTAAGGTGAGCCTATGTAGTCCTGATGTATATTCTTATACTATTCTCAATTAGCCTTTATCTTGCACTCAAAATAAAAAGTCACTACTCTACCTGAAAAAATGAGTACTGAGAACGGAGGCAATAGTACTTTAGAGAACTTGAGAAATGCAGGCACCAATGTGGTCACTGACACTGGTGAATTTGAATTGATTTCAAAATTTAAACCAAGGGATTCTACTACAAATCCATCCTTGATCCTTGCTGCCACCAAAAATCCAAACTATGCCTCTTTAATTGACGTTGCTATTGACTACGCCAAAGCTAAAGGCGGCACAATTGAACAACAAACCAATAATGCTGCTGATAGACTGCTTGTTGAATTTGGTAAGCGTATCACAGACTTGATTCCCGGTGTTGTGTCAACAGAAGTAGATGCGAGGTTATCTTTCGATAAGAAGGGTACAGTGGATAAAGCTTTGCAGATCATTAAATTATATGAAGAAAATGGTGTCTCCAAGGACAGAGTTCTCATCAAAATTGCTTCCACTTGGGAGGGGATCCAAGCAGCCAGAGAGTTAGAAGCTCAACACGGTATCCATTGTAACCTGACACTGTTATTCAATTTCACACAGGCTGTGGCTTGCGCAGAGGCCAATGTTACTTTAATTTCACCCTTCATAGCTAGGGTTTTAGATTGGTACAAGGCTAACACAAAGAATGATTATAACATCGAGAATCATCCCGGTGTTCTCTTTGTCAAGAAAACATATAACTACTACAAAAAACATGGCTATAAGACAATTATTATGGGTGCATCTTTCAGAACTTTAGATGAAATCAGAGCTTTGGCTGGTTTAGACAACGCAACGCTAGGCATTCCTTTGTTAGAGAACCTGCAAAATTCAACTGAAAAAATTGATAGAGTGTTGACACCTGAAGGTGCTCAAAAGGATGGGGTGGATATGATCACTTTGATCGATGACGAAGCTAAGTACAGATATGAATTTAATTCGGACGCAATGGCGGTAGAAAAGTTGGCTGACGGTATCAGAACTTTTGCAAAGGACACAAACACTCTTTATAGCTTACTGAGAACTAAACTCGAAAAGGCAAACTAGAGGGATATTTTTCTTCATGACCTCATCATTATTTAATACTCTATTCCCACAAATAAAAAAAATAAAAAATGCAATATTATTCATTAATTCGTTATTTATATATATGATATATATAAGATCATTGGGGAATATTAATTGGTTTATGCTCAATCTTCCGAATGCGACCTAATCTTTTCTGAACTTTGAATGAGCTGGGCCTTCCTTTCTTCCTTTCGCTATTCGTGCAGTTGGGTTCAGAATTGTCACATAAAAGTGGATCTTTATTTTTTGAGTTATTTTCAAGACTGGCTGCTGACAATGCATTATTCTTATCACAAGTTTTAGATAAATCAGAATCGAGAAGTGAATTACCAGTTTGCCTCATAATTGTAGGCCGTTTATATTTCTTATTAAATTTCAGTGTTAGTTGTGATGCTTCGATTCCCATATGACTAGTTTTTCCTTTCGTATCACCAGAACTGAATCGACCTGATATTAGTCGATTGTTTATCTTTAGTGGAGATGTCGTCTCCAAATTAGGTACATGAAACTTTTTAGTTATCTTTACCACAGGCTTACGGACAGCTGATGAAGGATCATTATGCTGTTCGGATATGAGATCTTCTAAGATAACAATATATCTTCCGAATATACGATGCTCTGCAGATCCAAAGGACCCTTGATCAAGAATTGATTCAAGTTCTTTCGAATTTGTGACAAATGCACTGCTTAGTAGTGTTGAATCTGGATCAGAATATAGAATGAACCTATTATTTTCTGTATAGAACTTCAACTTTCCATCATGCCAGGTTTTGTGTTTTTTCCGAACTTGGTCTGTATACTGACAACAGTATTCTTGGACAATAGCTGACATTGCTATTATACCATTTTAATCCTAAGCTGTTAAGGCAATTTTGACAGTTATCCGTATAAACAATAAGTCTGCTACGATTATATCCATTTATTACTGTACTCTATGCTGCAACACATATTTTTTTATTGAAGCTCATCGCGAAAAAAAAAGACGATCTCAAGTGAGTGCTGGACCTTTCACTAATACCTGAGAAAGTAGTTGGGACTAACATATAAATCGGAACTACGAGTTGCTTTTCATTATAGTAGCGTAGGAAATTTTGTGTGTGTTATGAATCAGAATAGCAATTGAATTGAAGTTTAAGGTCCATTAAGTTAATCCAACACCGAGACCGATAGCAATACCAGCAAATGCTGCTAAAAGCTCTGCTACGCCACATACGAAACATATAATTCTTAACCATCCTAAGTTTATGTTAAATATGAAGCCTTGGTACAGATAGAGCCTGTATTTCTTTAATATCACCATTTTCATAAGCCTGTAATCTGAAATCCCACATCTGTTGCCTGCCGCAATCAGAAAGAATAACGGTGGAACACATAAACAGACGAGAAATAGGATTAACAATCTCCAGAAACTATACATGTCAAATATACCTGCTGTCTCAGAATCTGTTGAACTTACCGTATACACATCAGTATATTGGATCGGTTGGTAAGTATTTTTGAAATGTACATGATAAGAGGTTTCAATAAACTTCTCTTCATCATAGTTAACATTATTGTTTTGATTATAAAAATGCTCTGGAGATAACAAATTGAAAGTGCTGTTGTTGTTAGTATTTTCTTTCGTATTTTCTGCATTTAATGATAGGCTCGATCGTTTCTGCTTTATGTTAGGTATATCCTTGGCATTTCCATCATTCCTTCGGGTAGAATCTTTACCATTACTATTTATAACATCTTTCTCATTATACTGCGCACTCAGTTCACTTCCTTCAGAATTGACTGATGAAGTATCATCTGAGTCAGTTTTCAGTAATCCTGACCAAAGAAATTGACTGTTTCGTATTTTCTCTAGCAGTTCAGATTCAGGTATATCATTAAGTAAAGAAGATTTATCTCTTGATAACCTATTTGGCGATTTTGGTGAATGCAAAGCCTTTTCCGGCTCTAGAGGGTAAACACCTTTAGTTTTAGTACTAAAAGTTGCCGTTTCAGCTGTATGTAAGCTTGGTGACTTGAATTCTTCTTGAAGTAACCTTACCGAGTCTTCTAATTTGATATTTCTCTTGAGTCGGCCTTCTGGGGTATCTTCTGAATCTTCAATAGGACTTTTATTATCGAAAGATAAAAGAATTGGCTTTCCTTTATTATGCACAAGTTGTGGTTTAGCCATGCTAGGACTTTGCTTTCTTGCTGGGGACTTGCTCTGATTTATACTAATTCTGGATGAGTTTGGGTTGCGCTGTGTTACTGAAATAGAATCGCTCGATAGCGTTTTATTCATAAGGGCTGTGGTAGCTATTGTTCCAATGCTACTAGCATGGGAGGCATTGTGTATGCTCCGATCCAATTGGATTGAGTCCATAGATGGCCTCTGAACGACTTGAGCGGGTGCCCTTGGAATTGGTTGCTCCAATCGTATCCTACTACTATTGCTTTTGGGTGTATTACTCAGTGAACGACCATTTACTATATGCTGAGGTGTGGTAGAGTTCGATGGTATTTTAATCCCACTCTTTGTTGGCGTATTACGTGTCGAATTAATGACTGTATCATTAAGAATAACCTGATATGAGCCGTTCTCAGAGTTTGAATTTGTAGAGAGTATTTCGATGAATATCGGCTGCGAGCTGGCTCTATTATGACTCTCTTGACTGTCTTCATTTGAAGAAAAACGATCGGATGCGGAGGAATTATTTGAAACATTATCTGTTTCAGAAACACTTGTTGACATTTACCGTTGTTTTAAAAGTTAAATATAATCAACAGCGGCAATAACGGTTTGGATGTATAAAGAAAAATTAAACACTTTTCAAACAATAACCTGAAATTGGAATTACCACTGATTAAACAATTTAATCCTTTCCTGATGTTGTATACCTAGCGACACAGGTTATATCTTTTGGCGCCAAGTTGTTCTAATTTTCACTAGCGTATATCAATTGACTGTCAGAGAATCTATATTTTTTAACCTAGTAGGTGATGATTAGGATGCTTCACATCCTAATGAATTAAGACAATAAAAAAGTGCTTGTTATTTATAGAATTCACCTCTCATAAGTTTCATAAACACAATTTGTAAATTCTATTAAAATTTACTTGCTTGTGCGGTGTTTTATTCACTATATTTTCTTGGCTACAATACGATTGATAATCGATGTTGACATCAATTAGAACAGCATATAGCTCAAAGAACAAAATCTTGGAAATATTGTAAGAAAATGTAAACATATTAAATCTCTTATTTACTTCTCAGTATGGAAAACCAATAAAATATCAAGAGGGACAGGCCTACAAAGCATTTTGCATCACTATTATTTTTAAGACTTAGTGGAGACTTGAATTAGTAAATAAGATAGCATACCAGTATTACCACCATAGTTTACTAAGAACAATTGTAGGCATAATAGGGTATGCTGGTAGTAAATAATAACAATATCGCTAAAACTAGTTCACACAAGTCCACAACCATACTAGCAAATTGTATTGCTGGTATCGCTTAATACGGTAATCATTTGATGGCTGGCTAATGCCAATTTGCTGGCATCATAACATACGTCAAACAAAGCATGCATGTGATACAGTCCTGTTACTCCCTTGTGTCATAAGCTTGGCATACTAGATGAATAAGCAATTGGCAGGCCAACGCTTCTACTTCTACAATCTTCATATTCACAGTAAAACGTTAATATTGAGAATTTTTTTTTTTTTATGTTTAGCATAGAGATGCTTTCATTCATAGTTCAACCATTAATTGAATATATGACCTGTCCATTGTAAAATAAACTAATGCTTACTAGTCTAGTTTGAATTATCGAATTTGTAGTTCACCTAGGCGCTGGAGTGACCATTTCTTGGTATAGTATCTCTCTCAACTTTCTTCTAGTCACGTTGGCTCTTAGGTTATTGCTGTCGTCTGTCCCATATCCATTGCTGGTCTCCATGCAATTATCAAGTTGCCAGAATTCATCTCCTTTAAAGTTAAGAGGTGGAAAGTTGGGCTCATCTTTAGGATCGTGGTATGTTGCTAAGAAAGGATGTTCAAGAGCCTGCTCTGCAGTTATCCTTCTCTTTGGATTGAAAATCATTAACTTGTCTAGTATATCAAGTAACATCTCATTATCTGTCCCAAGCAGTTGTGACCAGTCCTTCTTTGGAAAATGAGGCAGACTTAGAATATACTCCTTTGCTCTACCATAATTAATAGCTTCGATATCCTCGGGACTAGGGGTTCCCAAGGTGTCCAAAATCAAAAGTAGTTGATGGTGATAGTCTTTACCCGGGAATATTGGCTTACGGAATAGCATTTCTGCTAGTACACAACCACATGACCAAATATCGATAGCAGTAGAGTAATCCTGAAAATTGAGCATTATTTCTGGTGCTCTGTACCATCTGGTTGCTACATACTCAGTCAGGAATCCAACGTTGTTACCGTTCATCGTTGAGGCATCATCATCGGGGTCATACGTCCTTGCTAGACCAAAATCACATATCTTTAAATCACAGTTCGAGTTCAGTAAAATATTAGAAGGTTTTAAGTCTCTGTGTATAACTTTAGCAGAATGAATGGCTTTCAGTGCCCGAAGTATCTGGTATAAGAAATATTGAATATGATCCACAGTCAAAGTATTTGACGATGCTAAAATTCTCGACAGATCTGTTTCCATTAACTCCTGTACTAAATAAATCTCTTTGAAGTTTATCGACTGCATAGGTTTGATCTTCTCAAATATCGTGATGATGTTCTCATGGTTATTAAAATGCGATAGGATTTTGATCTCTCTGATAGTCCTGATCAACGCGACTTTGGCAATGTTATCATGCTCATCGTCTTCCTCTAATCGTGGCACACCTTGCCCATCATCAGAAGGCGGTGAGTCCGGGAACCTTATTCTCTTGATGGCTACTTTGTTGCCCGTGGGCAAATGAGTCGCCGAACAGACTATACCGTAGGAACCTTCACCAACAAGGTCCACAAGTTTATACTCCTTTGGGATATTAAATGTAATAGTTCTTGGCATCTATAAGGGAATGATTATGGCAGTAGGCAATCTCTGGGTTAGTTATATGGTACTTTGTCTTGATTTGCTTGAGATGCGGGAGTCATATACAGTACGCGTGCTTGGAAGCAATTCGATGTGGTTGTTCGCAGTAGATATGGCCGACCACTGTTGCCCAGAGTTAAGTGCTACTGACTATATATATGTCTTATGACCTGGAAGCTGTCTCGAGGAAGATGTACCAAGAAGGTCTATGATTAGCAGCCGTATTTAAAATTAAGCTTGTGCTCAAAGCCTTTTCTTTCTTTTTTTTGGCCTTGTTCTTCTGACGTACGTGATTCCTGCTCGAGATCAAAGTGCTGTAGACAATATACATTTCTATTTATAGAGCAAGACCTGGGGTTATAGCGTTAAATATAGTAGTATATTGCAAATATATGTTACATGCCATTGAACATTGCAGTATGTAGTGAACAAATACTGGTATTTCCTGGGCTAGAAACATCTGAAACAATTTTATTGATTTGGTATACTATAGCTCGGAAAATACAAAAAAATTATAGTAGGATACAGAAAGGTTTTTTAAAATACAAAATAGTAGTAAAATATAATGCAAATCTTTGTACTAGTGTAAGAGAACACAATAATAGTTAATCGAGAAAATAAAATAAATGAATTTTTGCTAGTCTTTTTTTTTTATCGAAAGCTTTCTCGCCTACAGCTGCCTTCCCCACAGTAAAATAGAATATTTTTGACTTTTTGTATGAGGTTGTGTATGAGAGATAGTAGAGTATAAGGCTGGTTCATCTTGCTAACTGATCTGGGCGCGCATCACACCTGGAATGGAGATTCTTAGTCTGTGTGCCCACGCTAGTTTGGGCACCACTCCAACGAATATGGTGACTGCCAGGTTCCATAGGAACAAGTTGAGGTCGTAGTGTGCGTAGTGTGTACTTACGAGGAACAATGCGATGGGCACTGCAAGCAGGAATTTGCGCGATGGTGTGAACAGCGTCTCGTGGTCTATCTGCTCCCACATGGTCAAGTTATCGAATGCGCCACCGTTGAACTCGAAAGGCGTACCTTTCACCAGGTGGAACATGATGTAGAACCCTATGATGTAGGTCATATTGGTCAGCGTCCAGGACCACTCCGCGGTGATGCCCGGCAGTATATTGTAGAACATCTTCAGTAGCACTATCACCACGATATGTATGATCCACGCACCGCGCTGGTTGACCCAGGACGCGTTCATGTTTGGCAGCAACTGCTGGTCCACATCGTCTTCAAACGTCTCTTGCTCCACATGCGATATTATCGAAGAGGACCTCTTCCTCCTGTGGTCCTTGACGGGGTCGCTAGCACCCGTAGACACCTGACTGCTGCTCCTCAACCTGCTGCCTTGCGCACTGACATTGCTGTTGCCTTGGTATGCTGGAAACGGCTTGTAATCACTCATATTCCGATCCTTGTAGTTCTTTTGTTCGTTGTAATATTTTCAGCACTGAGCACTTTATATATTTTATATATTTTATATATCTATTAGTATGGCGTTTTTTTTTATATAAAAGGAAGCACAAAGGGGAAGAAGTTTTTCACTTTATGAAGGTTAGAATCACATGCAGAGTAAGACGAAACTGCAGTGGTGCTTTTAACCCTTTGTCATTGTGTTTACTCTTAGAGGCAAGACAATCAAGAGGCAATCAAGAGGCTAGCAGTTAAAGGCAGTTTAGTGAGCAGAAGATAGATGCTAGTGTAAGTGTAAGAGAAAACAGTAAAGAAATGTGAAACACGAAGGGGTTAGGAAGCCCTGCTCTGTGTTTTCTGGGTTCAAAGACAAGATATCGGTGGGATTACAAACCCTAAGAAGGATGATGGGAATGAAAAAAAAAAGTGAAAAAAATTGGGAAGAAACCCTAAATTTGTCTATCAAATTCACAATTTGTCCACTTTTTTTTCTGTCGATGCTTGTCCTAATACATATATACGGGTATTGTCACATGTTATATACTACATCACGATATAATACTACACGTTACAATCACCTGATATCATCACTTGACAGTTAACTCAACGGTTTGGTGTTCCTCCGCTGCCAGCTTCAGTCTGTTGGACTTTCTGGGCTTTCTGGGCTTTTTGGGCTTAATCCCCGAAGCGAGGGTCGGGGAGGGGGGCAGAGGCAAGAAGCTCTACCCTTTAAACCGGATAAAGTACATAACTGACAATAACGAGAAACACATGATTACAACTCACACTATATATAAGACGCAAAATTCTTACTCTTTTACTATAATAGTTAGATCTACAAAAGAAAAACCCATAGAAATAAAGAATGGTTTCGCAATTGTTTGAAGAGAAGGCCAAGGCAGTCAATGAGTTGCCAACGCAACCCAGCCAGGATGAGATGTTGAAGCTTTACGGTTTGTACAAGCAGGCCACTGTCGGTGACAACACCAAGGAGAAGCCAGGTATCTTCAACATGAAAGACCGCTACAAGTGGGACGCCTGGGAGAAATTGAAGGGTATGTCTCAGGAAGAAGCTGAGCAAAAATACATCGAGTTGGTCGATGAGCTTATCGCTAAGTACAACTAAATCATAGCGAAATCACAACAGATATATATACGCCCAATACATAACTGCTAACTAATTATATGGAATGAATAAAAAAAGTCATACAATAATTACATTCTCTTCGTATTGCTATGTCCCCACTAGCGTTTCATAACAGGTGGGAAAATGAAGTTTCAAAAGTGAAAAAAAAAAGTAAAATAATGGAAAAAGCATTTAACTCACAGGTATCTTGCTGGCCTGGAACACAATTGTAGCTAATCCATGTAGGATACCACACCAGGGAGGGGAATGAACGCTACTACTCATAGGAATATTATACCGTTCGATGACACGTATATCCTGTATGATCCAGACGACGTCTTGTCGTTTCTGAGCGCATACTTCTCGCTACTACCGATCTTGATCCTGACATTCTACTTGTCCTGGTTCATCATTACAAGAGAGCTGGAGTCCTGCATCATCGCACTGGGCCAATTGTGCAATGAGATAATGAACAATATAGTAAAGAACATCATCAAGCAAGACAGACCATATTGGGTCGGTGACTCTTTCCAGGAGAATTCTATCAGGTCCGGTTACGGTATGCCTTCAGCGCACTCCCAGTTCATGGGGTTCACACTGAGCTATTTCACGCTGTCTTTGCTAGTTGCACCGTTGAGCACGAATAGAAAGAGATCTCGCTTCGAGGCCGTGTCTTTGTTTCTAATCCTGGTGGTATTATCGGCTTGTGTAACTTTCTCAAGAGTTTATCTGCACTATCATTCAGTAGAGCAGGTTCTCGTCGGCTTTACACTGGGGTTGTTTAACGGATCTGCATACCTACTAGTGGTTAGAGTGATCAGATCACTCGGTTTGTGGAATTGGCTGCTAAGTTGGCCTATTGCGAGGATACTATACATGAAGGACAACTTCAATTTGGCTCCAGTTACATTGAAGCAAGAATACGAGAGTTTCTGGAAAACTATATCATCGAAATCGCAAAAGAAAGAGTAAGACAATAACAAAAAGAACCCTGCAATAAAAAATAATAATTTGCATAAATGGTACCTCAACTATAACGCTATTTCCTATTACTCTTTCGCGAAAAAACGTATATAAATTTATAACTTTATAGGAGCATTGTGCTTTAATGGATCAAAAGCAATAATTATAGAACAAAAAAAAAGGCATTCAATAGCATTATGATACGCTTGGTCACGAAATTTGTATATTACATAGCTTTGTATTGTGCAATATAGTCTTCTATAATCCACTGACTGTTATCGGCGCAAAAATATCAAAAAATAAAATACAAGTATAGCCCCTCCCGGGACTCGAACCCGGATCACATCCACCGGAAAAATGTATGCTAACCATTGCACTAAAAGGGCATGTATAATTCTAATAACGAATAGAAATGCAGCATCAACTTACTGAGAAACCCAAATATCAAAAAAATTTGGATTGTGAACGTATGCAGTTACTACTTTGTAACTCGTCCGGGGTTCACGATGGACTCGAAGCTCTGCTTACTGCGTGAGCTCTACCATGCTTGTTACAAGCAAAGAAGCCCAAGATGGATGATTCAATTAAAGTGCTTATTCAGATGATATAGTTCAAGGACGATCTCTAGACAAAAGGATATCCATTGCAGTAGGTGGGTATACATATATTTTGAGACAAATAGGCTATTCATTACAATCAACTAGAAATTTGAGCCATGTTGAGAACAATAAGGCCACATCCAATGGTGTTGCGGAGTAGACCGCTTGCATCTATTCCAAGAGTGCAATTCTACTCGTCTAAGGGCAAATCCAAGGGAAAGACCAGTGGTGAGAAGAAACCAGAACACAAGAAGATTCCTGTCTGGCATAAACTCAAGGCGTTAACTAGCTTCACTGCCTCTAGTCTTTTGGTTGTTGGTGGTGTTGGTGTTTCAGGTGTTGTGCTGTATCTAATCTTGTCAGAACTGTTTTCGCCATCAGGTGATACAATGTTGTTCAATAGAGCTGTTACGCTTGTTGAAGATAACGAGGAAGTTAGGAAACTGTTGCAATGTAACGATTCTTCTTTCAAGAAGGAGAGGTTAAAGGCATATGGTGAATTGGTCACTAACGACAGATGGACGAGAAATAGACCTATTGTATCGACCCAAAAGATTGACAAATATGGAAAATGCCATCACTTCATGAGATTCCACCTTGAAAGTAAGAAAAAGCTAGGTCTAGTTCATGTCGAAGCAGTGGATTCTGAGCAAAATTACAAACCAAACTTTGTTAGCATGTATATTGATATTCCAGGTGAGAAGAGATTTTACATAATCAGGCCAAAACTACGGCAAGTAGTGAGACCCAAATCGATTTTTGGTTTCCCATGGGGATCAAGGAAAGAATAAATGGTCAATGGCACTTATTAGTCATTGTATCTTTAAGGGTTTTTGAAGGGGAAAAAGTATTAGAGTTGTTGATTAAAGCACTTGACAACACACAAGTGATTTTGTTACTTACAATAATCATTACAACATTCTTATCATGACAGCTCGATTAATAATTTAATTTTCTATTATTGTTGTTGACTTTGCATGTAATTTTCTTTATGTATATAGCTCATAATCTGTAAAGAATATACCATTTTTGAATCATATTGAATTGGAATCTGCACTTCGAGTTTTCTTTCTTTACCATAATTATCATATCGAATACTATGTACTTTTTAATGATAGAATTTATTTTTTGAATATATATATACGTCAAAGTAGAAAAAAATATAAGATAAAAATATAGACTGTTATTGTTACCATCGCAATAAATAGTCTCTTTCCGTAACAAATTAAAACAAATAGATAAAAATAAAATAAATGATTGACATTTATAAGGATAAAATGATAGTTGAAAGAGTAATGATGCTAATTCCTAATTAGAAAAATTCTTGAAAATCATACTCAATTAGGGGATTATCTATTGCCTCTTTATTTTATAGTGGACCAGGTCTTTAGAGATGGCGTATGTGTGTAGTAATGATTACTATATGTCGAAATTTGCAAACCAGTATCATTGTTACTCTTGTTTCTAGGTTGAACAATGTTATGGAATGGGCCAGTCAATGTATGGCCAATATCCTGTGGCACATGGCTAGCGGCGACAGCTGGGCCAACAATGGCGCCTGCAAACACCAAGAAAATAATGATGTAAAGAGTCAAGTATCTCTTCACCATTCTCTTTCTTAAACGGGATTGCTTTAATGAATAAATTGGTGGGCGAATATGACGAGATGGTTTCAACCAGAACAGCATGATTGAGTGGAATTTATCAATGGCAGGAATACAAAGCACAGGGAATTGGGCAAATAAGATGACATGACCAAGAACAAAATCAGCTGCAAATTCAGACATCTCTATAACCTTTGCAGTCAATTCTCTCATTGGTTGAGTCCAAGCCATGTAACCAAAGCCAGAACCATACCACTTACCTGTCCAGAAAGCCGTGTTAGCATGGTCATTCTTGAATTCTCTGGTCAATAGTAAAATTGTCATTAATTGGAAAATAAATCTTTGACATTGGATAACTGTGGCAACACCAACCAGCATTCTAGTGAAGTTAAAACCTTCTAGAACCCACATTACAATGAAGAAACCAATATGAATCACAACTGAGACACCGTGTGCAACCGCCGCCATAACAGCACCTGTCTTCTTACAGCACATACCAAACAATGGACCAGAACAACAGGACATACCCAAACAGAAAAATAATACACCAACATCAACAGCGATTGGACCAAGTGTACACAAGACAACTCTTAGAACAGAGTTGACTCTGTCATCATCGGTGGCCTTAACACCGGTTTGAGCGTTAATGAAGGTAAAACCAATGAAACAACTACCTGCATTAATTGCAGTTGGAATCAATTCAGCTAGTATTAAGTTTGTTCTATGAGCTCTGTTAGCATCACCTGCAGCCTTTTCAGAATCATCACCAATCAACTTACGTTTGAAACCTGTAATACGTGATCTTGCCATTCTTACGTAGCCAATCCAAGAATTTTTGTGGTACTTATTGTTACCTCTTGATAACCATCTAATATAGTCTCTGTAGTCCAAGAAGAAATCTTCCCAGGAAAATTGATGTGGATTAAATATGAATGGAGAGAACAGTAAAGCAGATAGAGATGCCCAGAACCATAGTAATGGAGCTTGCCAATGTGCCACTGTACCGAATAATAACATCAGCATAGATCTGGCCCCCATATAAATGGCAGAGCTGGCAAATCTGGAGTATAAAATTGAGAATGGAATACGGGATGTTGCAAAACCACGACCGGTGGATATATAACGAGCACCACCCACAGTCATGTCACTCAATAGAGCAGCAGAATAAATTTGACCAGCAAAAACTTCAAACATTGGGGATAGAGATAGAATGTGACGGAAAAATCTTTGAGTAGCCTTCCATAGACCACGTTCAATCAACTCTTGAACAACAATAGGAACAAAGGCAATCCAGAAAACAATGAAAATGGACAATGTATAACGTCTGATCCAATCAATGGCTGGTGAGAAGTTGTAACAACCGATAGGATACAAGACATCAGTCTTAGGCTTATTTCTATCGTAAATACAAAGAATGGATTCGTGGGCAAGCGCATGCAAATTGACCAAAGTTAGCATAAACATTTGCAAAGACAATTGAATGAACAAGTTATTCAAATGGAAACCAGGATGCGCATAGTAGAAAGTCAAGAAACGGTCTACGGGCAATTGTGTACCTAAATAGTAGTACTCACGGGACAACATTTGTTCACCCATACCTGCACCAATCTTAGTTGTGAAATTCAAAATTGTACCAAAACCTAAATCTCTACCTTTACCACATTGATAATATTCACAGTGCTTAATACGACCACCACGTAATAGGGCATTCATACCGGCGTAAATATCTTCGTTCAAATGTAAACCCTTTTGAGCCTTGGATAGACCACTTCTTGTTGTCATAAACGTAGCATTGATGAAATCCGGGTGACCATAATGCAGTTTACCACCAATTTGAGCCAATGTACGAGCAAACAATGTACCAAAAGTCTGTTCCTTACCAGCGGCGACATCACCAAGCACACCAGAGTTTTCGGAGAAAATATATTCTCTAGCACCAACAATTGCGACTGGATGATTAGTCTTCTGGTCTTCATATTTAACACCAGGAGTGTATGGGTAGACGGGTTCGGCATTTAATTCCTCAAATTCGGCTAAAACGGATCTAATCTTCAAACATTCTTCCAAATAGTTGTCTTGGTTAGCATCAATTAATTGAATGTATTCACCTCTGTAGAAAATCAAAGCATGGTTTTGATTATCAGATTTACCATCACCAAGAATAGGGTTACCAGATAATTGAACTCTGAATTTTGGACGTCTCCGACCGTTTTCCAACATTTCACAGTGACCGTCAATCAAGGCAGAATAAATTCTTGGTTCTTCTCCCTCGTTCAAAGGAGGTTCTTCATCCAAGTAAGCAATTTGTAAATCAGGGTAAGCTCTTAACAAGAATTCAGTATTTTCTAATTCATGTGGCTTAAACTTAGCCAATCTTTGCATTGAAACCAAAAACTTAAACTTTCTTCTAGCCATTTTCTCCAATTCTCTCTCAAGACCTTCAGCATTGCCACCAAACATTTGAACAATCTCTGGGTTTTCGACACGGTATAGCAATTTAATCGCTCTAGCGTAGTTCATAAAACCAGAAACAGTACGGTACAAGGTTTGGGATCTCAACGATGCCCAAATACGTGTACGTAAAGTGTATTCTGGAGCAGCAGACTTGAAACCAATACAGTAGAAAGGAAGATCATCAATTTGAGTTTTCAAAGCGTCAGATTTCTCTGGATCCTGAGTCTCCTCATTTTCATAAGCGGCTGTTTCTTCTGCCAGAATCTTGGTATCCTTAACAAAACATTCCCATTCAACAGGATGCAATTGTTTCAAATATTCTAATAGAGTGACTCTTGAAAATTGATCATCTTCTCTGATGATTTCTCTTAGAGAAAGCAATATTCTTTCAGAATAGTGTGGAGTCAAGACGGTAAAAGTTGGCATGTTGTCAACTGGTAATGGTTCTGGCATTGGGGTAGCCAATGATTGGGCAAAGAATGAGATACGACGTTCAGCTTCAGAGTTTCTTGGGAAAAACTCAGTTTCAAAATTGTTATCATCCTGAGATACAAAGAACGTTGGAGCTCTTAGAGTTCTTTTACCTTCAATTTCAGATGGAACTTGATGGTATAACAGTTTCTGAACATGGTCGATAGCAAGTAAATGTTCTCTGTACATGGAAATAATAATTGCATTCCAAATTTGAGAGATTAGAACCTTTGGTTTATATTTAATCTCCATATCAGTTGTGGCCAAAATCTTTGAGTAAATTCTCTTTGGTAATCTTGTAAAGATATTTCTCCAAGGAGTTAAGATGGAAATACCTAGATAGAAGGATTTACCAACAGAGAAGACAGTGTTGACAACAATGTACCACAAATAAGTATCAAGGAAGAACAAAATGAAATCTGTAGCAATCATGAAACCTAAAACAATCTTCGATTGATGTCTACATAACTTTGAACCCCACCAATACTCACCAGTACATCTCATGGTAGTAGTTGATAAAATTCTGATAGGGTCTCTTAGAGACAAAATCAAGAAGAAGTACGATTCAGAGTATTTGGCAGCAAAAACTGTAACCCAAACTAAATAAGATAACCATCTATCCAAACCTTGTAATGGGGCAAAAGATGCGGTGAAAGTCTGAGAAGCAACATATCTTCTACTTGATTTTTGCATATATGAGGTGAAAAGACCACCTAATGGCATAATCGAGAAGAATAAAACAGTGGCCACAGCAATGAAAAATGTCACAGCTGCTACAGCATGACCAGCCTTCGATTGAACAGTGTCCTTTTCATAAGCAAAGACAAAAATTAAAGGACCAAGATTAACACCTAGGATACCACATAAAAACCAAAACCTACGAGATAAATGTTGAGCACCAGCCCATTTCCTTGGAACGAACCACCATTCACAAACAGTTGCAAACAACTGGATTGCACTAGCCACTGTACCAGCCAAGGCGGCACTTGCCCATCTATAAGCAGGGACAGGTTGATTGTTTACCAGTTGTTGATAGTTGTGAGTGTAGAAAGTAGGAGAGTTATAAGCAACATACATCCAGTAGACGGAAACGTGCATAATCCAAATACGATTGAAATTGGTCACAAGATGTAACCAAGTACGTGTTTCCTTGTATGTCTTAAAGAAGACATCGTTCCAAGCCACTTCCCCAAGTCTTAAGTAACGTTCCTCGCTTGGAATATCAGTTAGTTTAGTACCATCTTCCAATACAATCTTAGTGATACCTTCTGGGTACCAAAACAGTTGATTGACATCATCATAACCAATAATCTTGTTATGGTCCTTTTCACGTTTGACATAACGTCCATCGACAATTTCATAGACCTGGTTTCTGATAAATTGATAAATTGGAGTGATGACTCTATTTAGATAATCACCTTCTGGGATTGGCTCTGTTCTCTGTTGGCATAATGGTGATTCTAGGTAGTCAGAAGCACATTTGTAAATGAAACATAGACATTCAGAAGTGAATCTAACTTGGTTAGCTTCACCCCAGATTAACATGTAAAGGGCCACTTGACGAACCCTTTCAATAGGAGTTAGCATGTTCATCTTAGTCTTCCATCTGAAGTCAGAAGCTTCAAGAGAGTTATCACCTTCGATTTTATTAAGCACTTCAGCAGCGTCTTCAGGGTTGGCCTCTTCCATTGCTTTTTTGTTCTTCTTCTTAGCTTTCCTTGCTTTTCTTGATAACTTACCCAAATTCATGTTTCTGAAACCAACTTCATCATCCATATCAAGCTGAGCTGCGAAATACCATTTCTTGTAGTTAGCAGTGTCACCACCAATATAATCAGCGTGGACAGATAGCAATGCTTGGTCTGGAGACATTCTGGATGTTCTAGAGTCCAATAAAGTCATAAACAGGTCGAAGATGTTTCTCATAGAGTCTCTTTGGAAACCAAATTTGTTGGTTAGATCGATGAAGACGTCTTCGATTTGTTCAATGGAAACGGGACTTTGTGGATCAGCGGTCCAAGCTGGGTATGGGTCGTTTGGTAATGTCATCGCAATAGCGTTCGGATCGTAGTTACCGTATACTGGAGTTGACGAACCAGACATATTCATACCGTTGCTGCCCATCCCATTGTTGCTATAACTTAGTTGGGATGGTGTATAATTAGCTTGGTTATTTTGAAATGGAGGTGGTCCGTAGCTGCTAAAATCTGAAAAATTAGTCTGGTCAGGTCCCAACCCATTGCCAACACCAGCGTTCATCTGGTTGTTATAGTACGAGTCGTAGTAGCCGTCGTTCTCATAACCACCAGGTTGTTGTTGTGGCATTTGACCTTGCTGTGGGTCGTTCATGTAATTATAGTTGGGTTGTCCGTACTCATCGTAGTAACCTTCACCACCTTGTTGTTGTTCTGGTTGTTGAGAAGCATAATCCTGATCATAGAATTCGTTGTTCTCGGCCCCATTGTAGTAATAGTTACCATTGGGATCGGTGTTCTGCCAATTGCCATTACCACCTTGATCGTAAGACATGGTTGGAATTTTCTTTTTCTGTCTTGTTCTTATTCCTTTATTGGCTGATAGAGACTTGGGATAGTAAAAGAATTTCTTCCTAAATCCTTGATACCTTGTTCTTTAACTTAAGCGAATTGTCAGCACAAGTGGGAAGTTAGGCAGTTATTTTCCCCAGCTTGTTTTAATCTTCCTTTATTTTATGAAAAGAAAATCTAAAACACTTACTCTCTTTTTTTTGTGTCTATTCCTGTTTTCTTCGATGAGAAGAAAGAACAAAAGACTTGTAGTGTTGTAAAAAGTTTACCGCTGTATGATGTCCTTAATTCTTGTACAAAGTGAATGTCTAGTGAGGGCTCGTACAATTTTCAACGGATAATACGGAACCTCGGCGCTTAGTTCCCAGATCTCAAAGTTAGAAAAGAGACCAAATAAAGGTAGAAGAGAATGGGCGGCTAGGAAGATAAAGGGGAGTGTGTCTGGAGCCGCCAAAACAGAGAGGGACGGAAGAGATCAGAAACTGATGGGTATTTATAGTGTCGACACGAAAACCGAGAAGGGCATCTCGATTTTTTTTTTTCTTTGAAGGAGAAAAGTTTTTATTTTTTGGTGGCACTTGGGAAGGGAACTAACTTGAAATAGCAGATAAATTACGTGTGTGTCTGTAAGTGTCTGTAAGTGTCTGTAAGTGTCTGTGTTCTTGGTATGTACAGTAGTTTCTATCAATTGAAAGAAAAGGACTCTATCAAAATTGGATTTGTTGGTCTTCAATTTGTGCGATTGTTTCTGCGTTGGTAGTGGGCGAGACAAAATAGACTAGCTGCTTCGGTTACATGGACATTTTTGTCTGTCCCACTCAATTAATCGAAGAAACATTTGATTTGCTATACTCCTCTCTAGCATTTTCTGTGGATCAGATATTTTCGATATACATAGCAAGTTTTCAATTTCAATACTCCATTGCCTGTGCGTATCGTTCTTTGTACTGTTTGTGGGGGGGGGGAGGGGGCAAAGGTGTAACTTAGACGGGATAAGGACAAATATACGGAGGTGGGAAGGATTCACAATAACTTCAGGGGAAGGGAATAAGTACAGATCATGTCTCTTCAGTTGCTTTCATTTAGTGGGACAAAAGACGACTCCTTTGGCTTTTTTCTGTCCAAAGGCTACCCTCACTTTGTGCTTGTGCGGTGGTTTGTGTGTGTTCCGTCGGCACGATACCAGTGATAATCCGGCGGAGAATAGGAATCGAAAGAGGAATGAGCGGAGGAAAGGGAGGGCGACTCACGAAAAACTTCACACCAAAACACCATTTAAATGAGTATCAATATTTTCTTCTCCACACAAATCACGAAGGCAAGTTAGGGAAAGTTATGGGTGGCACAGCCCATCACTTAGCTCCGTAAACAATAACCAAGAGCGTAGCAAAATGTTGCGATGTGCTACCTTTTCTTAGCACGGCAAAGCATTGTTGTCGCTTCTTTGAGGCAGATGCAACAACAGAAGAAAGTGAGAGAGAGAGAGTGGAAAAAAAGAGGGGATGGTGGCTGAAGCTTAAGCAGGATCTACGAGTCCTGCAAAAGAAAACAAAATAGTCAGCAGAGCTGGAGTTACAGCAGTACCGGAGAAACTGAGTGCGAATACTCCTTGCACGGATAGATGGCGAAGAGATGAATGGAGGAAGTAAACAGAACATCGGTGCACTACATAGAATATGCTGAGTTTGCTGCGCCACTCTCTTCATACAGCAGAAAGAAAAAGAGTAATCCAGAAATTCGATACTAGGTACGGGAGATACACAGATTGAGAAAAAGCAATAATTGCTGCTTTTCACGTACAACCAACTCCTATTTTTAGCAATCTTGTTACCCAGCATTTAAGAGAGCTAGCTATTCAGCGAACATTCCTAATTAGGAAAATATATTGATCCAGACCTTTCCCTCCCGCACGACCTTCCTATCTTCTGCGATATCTGTATGGCAGCTCGAGTCATACACATCCATGGTGTGAAGCTCGATACTTCAGGTTCCACAGAGATAGTAACACCCCTAACCCCATACACACATTGGGTACAGGACAAACACCGAGCCCAAAAGAGGCTATGATCTACGGATATTGTAGTATTAAATCCTTGAAGTGGCAAAGAAAACCTGAAGGCGTCTAAGTCCAAATCACCTGGAATATATTTCTACTTGTGGGCTTGTTCCACTGCTTATGATATTTACAGTACATTCATTGCACGCGTTTAATAAACTGTAGTGACTAGTGGTAAAAGCAGCGTCTCTTTTCGCGTATCGCTATATATATTATATGTCCTCCTTTCTATCGATGAATTCAGAGATGTATTCTATGCACGCGGAGGAGTTCTCGACGTTTATCCAGTGTCCACCTTTTACGTCTCTTAATTCGAAGTTAGGGAAGTATGTAGAGATGGGTACTATGTACTCGTCAGCGATGTATGCAGATTCGGTGCCTCGTATGAATAAACTGGGCCCATTGTATCGTCTGTCCTTAACATCCCACTCTGATATCTTGCCTTTGACAATCGCTTCTCTGAGTATTCCCAGCGGTAACTTGCTTTCGATTGCACCTTCACGGTCACGGCGCAGCATCGTCATGAGGAATTTCAAAACCAGCTCATTCTTCTCTAGCTTGGATAGACGCTCCTCCACGGTTTTCAAAGTCACTTGATGGCCCACTTGTCTCTCTAACAGGTCAATATACTGAACAAATTTACCATTGGGCATCACATTCACTGGTGCATTTTCTATGCTTATGAGCATCTTGTATCTCTTTGGGTTGTACAGGCATGCTTGCATAGCGACCTTAGCACCCATTGAATGGCCCATGACTATAGGGTTTTCCAGCTTATGATCGTCGACAAACTTTTCCAGGTCAAGTCTCATGGACTGGTAGTCATGCATTGGCGATTGAGGTGAGCTGCCATGGTTACGTAGATCAACTAAATATACATCCCTGCCTAGATTGCTGTTGATTCCTCTGCCAATCGTCCTGTTATTAAGCTTACTTCCGAACAAACCATGAAGAATAACCACAGGTGATAGTTGGCTGTTTTTGCCTGGTAAGTGGTCATATGCCAATTGGAGTGCACTGGCCTGTGAGCTATACTTCCTTAACAATGGCGCTATCATCTTGTCTGTAGTGGTACCTGCGATTGTTGCTTCTACACACTTTCTGCAACTTGCATTCTACTATCATTTATAATGGTTTTTTCCTGTACAAAGTGAAATAGGTTGTGCATTGTTTTCTACGAGTTGGCTCATCTTGAGATGAGCTGCCCACATAGTGGTGAAAAATAAATAAAATGCAGGATATACAGATGGTAACACAACTGGATAAGTTGCATCTTTATCTCCTATCTCAGATCTAGCAAGTATCAGGAATCAGTACACACTATACAACTAATAAGCTATGGAAGGTCGTGTGCAATACGAAGGCACAAATGTTGAAATTGATCTGAGTAACTTCTCACAATGCTCTGAATACATAAAGAATCAGATACTGCCGACTATGCTTGGGGAACCGAATACAGAATTCAATTATATCACAACTAAAGTGTCAAAGAATGATAAGATTAAGGACAAAGTAAGTAGTTTGGAGAAGAACGTAAAGGATAACAATTTTGTGATTATAGCATCGTATGGAGACCATATTCAAAAGATGGTGACCATTGTTGAAATCTTGAAGAAAAACTTTGCTAAGGATACTAAACTACATCAATGGAATAGATTACATAGTTTTGAACATATCAAGCCCGAAAAGAATGAACTTTTAGAGGTGAGAACCAAGGTGCCAATCATGGTAACAGCTCTATCGCTTGCAGATGAGAAGGAAGCTCCACAAAAATTAACAATGGCATCTAACCAATTTTATAGACAATCGTGATATCATCTTTTACATTTTAAATAATCATGATAAGACACATTTTGCATTACAGATCAAGAGGTATAGGTCATAATTTTGTATCATTGAATAAAATGTAGTAGCGACTCCCTTAAGGAATCGTACCGCAGGTTACTTTCCTTTAATCTTAGAAAATGGAAATTCAATGAGATATCATTGTCAGTATTTAGACAAATGATATGCACGTTTACTTTAGGCAACGCTTTGAATCTATTGCCCACGGTGTAAAGAACAATAAATCTTCGAAGTTGCCAGAATATAAAATGATCTTGCAAACGCCTAGAACAATACAGTTTCTGCTCCTGCAGAAAATCTAATTGCAAATGGCTCAGATCATTAACACTCTTTTCGGTATGAACTTATATTTTAGATGGACGTATGATAGATAATAGAAGTAATGGGATTGTAATGGGAAAATTGACAGAGTATTGAGTTTATATAGTTTTGCCAGAAACTATTGTCACGAAAAATTTTAGGTCTTTTCAAAAAAGTAGCGTATTTAGTGATCTTGGAATATTTAATATATAGGTCATTTTAAGATCAAGATACTCAAAAAGACAGTCTATTAAAACTACATTAGTTCTTTAAGTTCCCAGTTAATCATTTATGTAATTATTTCCTGGCAGAGATCTTAATCCTGTGGTGCTTGTGATAGCATTTGAACCGCTTCAATTGTTTTCATGTTTATTAAGAAATCATAGGTAGTTAAAGGTCTTAATTTGACCTCTGTCGCCTCTAGACCCTTCTGTATTAAATTTCTTTTCTCTTTCATAGCTTCCTTAGCCGCATTTAATGCAGCCTCTCTACATAATTCCTTCAGATCAGATCCAGATAATCCACCAGAACACTTTGCTATTAAGCTGAGGTCAAAGTTGGCCTTGTCCAACTCTGTATTGCCTAGCAGTACTTCCAATATCTTTGTTCTTTGCTCAATATTTGGTAAAGAAACTAGGAATCGCTTTGGTAGTCTACGTAAAAATGCATCATCAATATCGTTGATTCTATTTGTAGCACCTATTATCATTACACGGCCGTTATTCAATAATCCATCCCACAATGTCATGAACTCTGCTTTCAAGTTTGCTGTTACCTCATGATCTGTTGATGATCTCTCTCTTAAGAATGAATCGATTTCATCTATGAATATAATACAAGGTTCTAATTTATTTGCTAAGGAAAACATAGCGTCCACAATTTTGTTAGATTCTCCATACCATTTGTCCATTATTGTTGACATACGCACAGATATGAAATTGGCACCACTCTCTTTGGCTAAAGCCTTAGCAAGCATCGTCTTACCACAACCTGGAGGACCATATAGCAGTACGCCACTGGGGGCCTTGAGTAATGGGTTGTTTGTATATATTTCTGGCATTGTAAGAGGATAAATGACACTTTCATGTAAATCAGAAATAACATTGTCTAGACCACCGATATCATTAAAAGTAACGTCTATATCTTCTGCTATAACTACCGATGATAAAATTGTTCTTTCATAGGAAGATAATTGAACTTTCTTAAGGTCCGGATTCAGCTCTACTAATTTATCCCATTTCTGAGATTGCTGTTCTCTTGCCTCCTTGGAGCGTCCAGACATGGGGCCATTCTCGACATCATTGAGTAACCGATTAATCAAATAGTATAGAGATATACCTGTTCCCACTAGTACAGAAATATCAGCAATGGCTTTCAAATCAAACTTTCTAGACATCTTTGTTGGCAAGTTTCTAATTATGCTGCCCCAGTAGATAGATAAACGGTCCTGATAATAAGAATGACTGCTATATTAGGATATGGTAGGCTATACTAAGATATGTTCAGTTCTTTATAGATTCTTTGTTCTCTTCGGTTGAATTTTCAAAAATATTTGACCAGATTGTCAAAATATTTCTAAAATGTCAACTCCATCAAGGTAAATATAAAAGAGATTAGAAGTCTAGCAATAGAATCTACAATTAATTTAGTAGCTTATATATAATTGAACATTATCTCAATGTCATCATTACATAACATGCTATATGTATTTGTGTTCCAAGCAGCCTCCATTTTCTTTGGTCATGAATCTAAAAAATATTAGTTGTGGTAAGAATATAGAGGATTGTTTGGTAGGTTTGTGCTTATACAGTTGCTATTGTTTTTTATTTCTATTTGACGATATACAGAACTTCGTAACTTTTTTATTGTTGATATGGTCGCCCAAGTATTGGTTCTTGGTCATGGTCAATCACACAGATCACTTTCATTTGGAATTTTCCGGGAATGATTACATGAAGAAAGGTCAATTTGTGCAAGCTATGATAATTAAAAGGGACGTTTAGAGTTTGAACTTTGCAGGAAAGTGCAATCCTAGTACAAATACTCCAGAATTACAGTGTTGTTAACCAATTTCTATTAAAAATAGCTAATATTCTGTTTCCAAGGTGGCAAAATGAGTGATATTAGGACTGATGATAATAGTAGCAAGAGTGAGTCTTTGGGGAGAAGTAGTCGTATATCAGATGGATATAAAGTTTATGGCAATGTAACCTTTTCGAGAGATGAGTGGAAAGGAATTGTTAGGAAGTATGCCAAACTTGGCGAAATGTATAATAATAAATCCGTTGGTGCATTTGAATCCACAAATTCTAATTTGAAAGGTTCTACGGGAACTCGGTTATCGTCTAATCCAAGTACCCAAGCTGGAACTATGGACTTGCCAAGTGTTAGAGAGCCATCGATACCTAAATTGTTACTAAATTATTTTGTTACAATGGCATTCGAAGAATCAAGTTTAAGGATGGCTAAAGAATTAGGATATATACAGACAAACAAGGACTCTATCGAATTCAATTCTTACTATAAAATCAAAGAGAGAGCACATATAATACATTTAATCAAAACTGGATCAATATCACAAGCAATGGATTCTATCAGTACTGTTTTTGGGGTAGAAGTGCTGGAAAATTCTGTAGATACTGATCTGTCAGTGTTTGCCGCAGATAAGAGGTCGCAAGTGGTGCAAAATATTAATTCAAAAAATGATAAGAATAGCCTTAGTAGCAGCGATGAGTCTGAGGTAGATACATATGGTGATGATGATATACATTTCAAGTTGTTGTTATTAAATTTGATAGAAATGATAAGAATCCAACATATAAAAATAAAAAGTGGTGAAGTAACTGAATTGGATAATAAATTTATACTAGATTTAATTGCATATTCACAGGAAAAGTTAGCTATGAAAGCCGCTAGAAATGACAAACATATGAAAGAGTTGGAACTAACTATGACATTGTTACTCTTCCCAATGCAATCTCTAGTGGATAAGAAGGAATCTCCAAAACTACCTGAAAGTTTAAGAAATTTGTACTCACTGTCACTACGTTCTCATGTGGCTGATATTGTTAATAGGAAATTATTGAAATACATCGTAAACTCAAATCTGATGCGGGATTCACCTGGTAAGGAGAAATTTAGAGATGTTAGTATCATTATAGACCCAAGAGGATACTTCTTGCAATCTGAAAGTATGGTCAATACCAACATTTTGAAGATCAAAACTAAGGATGAATTTAAAGATGATTTGTATAATGACGATAGATATAAGAACAACACTAAAACTTTCGAAAAGTATAAAAACGAATTTCAGAATGAAGACGGTTCTAACAACAGTTTAACTGGCTCCAACTCATATTGGGCTGAGACAACCGAAATGTTGAGAAGGCAAAGTAATACAACTTCTTCATCTGATAATGATCAATCAAGTTATTCGGAAAACGATAATAATGATAGCAAAAACAAAAAGCAGACAACTCATAATGCTAGTAAAAACGGTTTGTTGAAGGAGGATGGTAATCTCTCTGAATTCCAGTTCGAACCAAAGCTCGTTCAGATCATGAGACTATGGGCGTGGACAGAAAATCAACTTCATGTAAATGATATTGGAATTCCTAGAGTTGAAAATTAGATAGTTTTATTGATGCATCCCAAATCAGTATATCTCCTATATGTAGTTTGGATATCTCTATATGCATATATATCATATAAAACTAAGAAAACGGAGCTATCTCCATTCTACAATGCTATAATGAATTAATTTTACACATTCTTTTGTAAGTAGTATATTGGATTTACTAGCGACGTCAGCTAATTAATAACAAAAGTGGCATTGATGTGGCAACCAGTTTCGATCTTTAAAAAGCACAGCTGGACGCTATCAACACTAGCAGGTAGTAGTTCGCCCATTTTGTTGTAAATTATGACTCCTTTTGAAACTGTAAAGCTATCAGTACTGGGATCCACCAGTTCTGTGTAAAATCTTGAATCCCTAAATAGATGGTATAATTTTAATCTCAGAAGAGACAATGGACAACCAAATTCAGGTCTCTTTTCAAGTTCCCATTCTTCAGGTGTGAACTCAATATGGAAACTTAATGGTCTCTCTAGAATAGTCTTACCATTTTTTTCTATGTTGCAATCGACTGTTAGCTCGGATACAAAAACTGGCTTGGCGAAAAATTTATCTCTATCTTCAAACTCCTCAATTACAATACCACTCTTCTCGTCTTTATACTCACGGCCATGGTATTCGTCGCTTACAATCATTCTGTGTAGCTTTAAACCCTCGTCTATACGGCCTAGATTTAACTCATCGTATGTTTCCTTCTGGATTAAACTCATCTCGATGGTTATCCATAACTCATTGAAGAAAGCAATTGTGCCAATTACTAGTAAGAACAGCGTTATCCTTGCACTGTGTTGGTCATGGATGAACTGATGAACGTATGGTGTTTCCTTTAACTTTTCAATCACCTTTTCCTCAAAACAGAAGTATTGATTTTTCCAGCTCGACATCCTGTATTATGATAATGCCTATAAGACTGCTATTGCTGTTCCTGAAAATAGCTTATGAACAAATTGTGAAAAACCTAAAATACCATCATGCCTCTTTATAAGTAATCTCTAGTTCTACTAATCAGAAGTTGAATTATACTTTCTTTTTTTCAAAAGGGTTTTTCGGCTTCTACCTAAACGAGCCCATGCTTTGTCAGAAAAGAACAAACTTAAAAAATCTAGAAATTAGAGATCTTAAAATGCAATATTATATTTTTTGTCAATATATGACATTTGGCCAAAAATTCACCATTAATATAGTAGGTTTAACACAGTGTCAGTTAGTTGTGTTTTCTGCTCGACTTATGTTTTGATTTCTTCTCAATGTTAATAAAATATTTCTCAATTCGGCGCACCCAAATCATAAAAAGCTTATCTCGTAACTTTCTTTTTAAAAGTCTCTTTGTAATAACTGGCTTTGTATGTTTGGTGACATCTGTTGTGTTTGTGTTGCATATTTCTTCTGTGTTTACTGTAGTGAGGAATTGTTTATTTAAGGGTGCGTTATTTTCACTGTCAATAATGTCGCTGATGTTGCCAAACTTTATTTCTGGTATGATCAGTTGAGCGGATTCATTTGGAATTATATAGGGATGGATTTTATCACTAAGTTTAACTATGTTGTGATTGGCGTTTACAATTTCTTGATTCCCTCCCTTTTTAATCGGAGGAGTTTTATCCGATGAAGATGTACTATTTCGTAAATTATCGCCGATGTGAACTAAAGGCAAACTATTGAGTAACGTAGTATCGACGTTTTTATGTGTGGAGCACAAATCTTGTCGATGTCTTGGAGGGTCTCCGCTTGGGTAATTTAAATTATTAATATTTTTATAATTTGGTGATGGAATTATGTTTTCTCTCTGGCTAAATATCAACATTTGGGATTGTTGGGACGTTGCCAACTTATCTTGAACTTCATTCTCTTCACTGTTAACTCTTCGAGCCTTTTTAATTTTGAAACCAATTTGAGTCAGAATACCATATGCAACCATGTACTCATTAGAATTGAACTCGATTTGAAAGCGATTCAAGTACTGAAATTTGTCAACCTGCGTGAGATACTTGCATGATATAACTGGTGATTGTGCGGAGAATTGAACGAAAGACACAATAGTGTTATCTTTGATTAAAATGTCTTCATGCTCTATTTGCATGCTTAATATTTTTAACCGACAAGCTTTGGAGTCACTTGTAACCAATAGTACCAAAAACATGGGGCATTCCGAGGTCCCTGTGATGTGGCTCCATAATGTGAGATCAAGTGGTGCAAATGCACTAGCGAATCCATGTGGTGCAGATATTTGACCTTGATATTTACTATACCTCATTACAGATAGCCTAAGGCACTCTTTATATCCATTCATTATTGCATGTAATATATAACACACATACAGAAGTATAAATTGTCCACAAAGCTCCACAGATGTATTCCTAAATGCTCACGAAATAATAATATGCCCTTCTACCCATATTTTAAGCATTTATACTGCTAACTACTGAATACAAATAAAACACTGTCCATCTAACCGCCGAAGACTAGTTTTGTCAGCCGCCAACCCTTTTATACTCTAATCAAAGCCGGGTAAGTTTTATACTTTCGAAAAGCGGCAGGAAAAGGAACCTTCTGTATTTAAAACACAATTTGTATAGATTGAGCTATAAACAGAAGTAGCCCTTAACCAAAACTTAGTTGGTATTCCTGGTGACTTCAAGGATCTTTCACTGGGGCAATCTTACACCTGATCAATAATTGCTCAGATCGAAAGCGATTTGAGGGAATGGTATATTTTTATGAATCGCAGCCGGAGTTGGGCTATGATGGCTACCAAGTGATAATTGGTAAGGACAAGTTCGAGAATGACTTGCTTATTAAATATGGCTACAGAGAACTGAACTATATGTGGTTTCATACCGACAAGTACTCCAGCGGGCATGTCTATTTGAAAATGAAAGAGAGTGAGAAGTCTTTGGGTGATGTCCCGAAAGCAGTGGTCGAGGACTGTCTACAGTTATGCAAATCAGAATCCATACAGGGCAATAAAATGCCAGAATGCACTATTATATATACACCTTGGCACAATCTGCGCAAGAACAGGTACATGAAACCAGGTGAGGTGTCTTTCAAGTCAGTGAAGAATTGTAAGAAGACAGTATGCTATAACAGAGACAATAAGATATTGAACAGATTGAGCAAAACGAGGGTTGAAATATACGATGATGTTGAAAAGTTGCTTCATGAAGCAAAGAAATCAAAAGATCCAAATTATTTCACAGACTACATTTCGAGAAACAGGGACTCTCTAGTCGAAGCAGAAAAGGTACGGAAGCAGTTGTCAAAATTGGCAAAACAGAAGAAGAAAAAGGAAACAGAAGAGGAGTTCTATAACAACTAATTTTCTATTAATTTGAAATAATCCAATGCTCTCAGACAAGATCACATTCCTATCCCCTTCACAATCACATATACAATGTATGCTCTCCGTTAGCCTTTCATTTCTTTTCTAGATGCTTATTATTCACCCTCAGAGGTTGCCCTACGAAGTACTTCACACAGGATCACCGAAATTGTAGAAAAAAAAAAATTTTACAACAAAAAGCGATGAGCATCTCAAAATTTTTATTAAAATAAGAACATAATCTGTTGTTAGATATCGCAGAGGTTGCTTTCAAGCTCAAGCAATTATTATCCTCAGAGTGTTTCACTAATCACTAGTGCTCAAAATTGTGGTTGTAGAAAAGTCTGTTTTCTCAACTAGAACCTAGAAGGATAATTCCAAGATGTCTAAAAGAAGTTTAGATTCCTCTGCTGATGAGAGAGTTGTTTCCGCAAGGACCGGCAGCCAATCAGTTCCCAAGTCCTATTCTACTGCTGATGGGGAGCAGATATCAGATAGTGGTATGATAGAAGATTTGAGTGATAACTTCGAAAGCGATGAGGATATAATTGAAATTGATGGTGAAGATGACGAAGATGAAGACGAAATTACTGATGAGAGTGCGTTTCTGCAAAAGAAAGAAGCCAAGGCTAAAGAAACAATTGAGAAGGACAATCAACAAGAAAAAGGTGGAGAAGAACTTTATTTACCTCATATGTCGAGACCATTAGGTCCTGATGAAGTTTTAGAAGCCGACCCAACAGTATACGAGATGCTTCATAATGTGAATATGCCCTGGCCATGTTTATCTTTAGATATTATTCCTGATACATTGGGTTCAGAACGTAGAAACTATCCTCAATCTATTTTAATGACAACTGCCACTCAAGCTTCTAAGAAGAAGGAAAATGAACTGATGGTTTTAAGTCTATCTAACCTAACTAAAACATTACTAAAAGATGAAGAAGAGGAAGAAGAAGAAGAAGACGACGACGATGTTGAACCAATCATCGAAAATGAAAACATTGCATTAAGGGATACAACAAATAGAATCAAGGTGTCTCCATTCGCATCACAATCACAAGAGGTGTTGACTGCAACCATGTCCGAAAATGGTGAGGTCTACATATTTGATATAGGTGCACAAGCAAAATGCTTCAATAGTCCTGGCTACCAAATTCCAAAACAATCAAAAAGGCCCGTTCACACTATCAGAAACCACGGTAATGTTGAAGGCTATGGTCTTGATTGGTCACCTCTGATTAAGTCTGGTGCTCTTCTATCAGGTGATTGTTCCGGTCAGATCTATTTAACCCAGAGACATACATCAAAATGGGTCACCGATAAGCAAGCATACAGTGTCGGTAACAACAAATCAATAGAAGATATTCAGTGGTCAAAAACCGAATCTACTGTTTTTGCAACTGCAGGATGTGACGGTTACATAAGAGTTTGGGACACCAGATCTAAAAAACATAAACCGGCTATTTCAGTCAAGGCTTCAAATACTGATGTCAATGTCATCAGTTGGAATGAAAAAATCGGTTACCTGTTGGCAAGTGGTGATGATAATGGCTCTTGGGGTGTCTGGGATCTAAGGCAATTTACACCTGATAATGCTGCTAACATACAACCAGTTGCTCAATACAACTTCCACAAGGGTGCTATTACATCGATTGCTTTCAATCCACTCGAAGAGTCCATTGTAGCTGTAGGATCAGAAGACAATACTGTTACTTTATGGGATCTTTCTGTTGAAGCAGATGACGAAGAGATTAAACAACAGACCGAAGAAACTAAAGAGTTGAAGGAAATTCCTCCACAGCTGTTGTTTGTACATTGGCAGAAGGAGATAAAGGATGTGAAATGGCACAAACAAATTCCAGGTTGTCTAGTAAGTACTGGTACAGATGGTCTAAATATATGGAAGACCATCAGTGTTTGAATTATCAATCACATACCGAATGAGAATATTTTTATCAGACATATATGTATAAATCATGTATTATGCATAAAATAGAGCACTTTGCATAGGGTCTTTAATACCTCCAATTTCTGCAGTTTATAAGATAACATATTTATTATTAGTCGTAACCACTAACTAGTGTATAATTACCTTAAATTAATGCCTTAATACTAAATAATTGTTAGCGTATTACTCATTTACCTGAACATCAAGGATGGTCGCCAACGTTCTTAGATTGGAGATAACATACTCCCTATCAGAGACCTGGAAAGTATCTGTTTGCTTGATTCCTATTTCCCAAGATTCTAGAGAGTTATTGTCAATTTTGTGCATATCTAAATCATGTTTTATATCCGCAAAGCTACCATCAAAGTAGCCATATTTATTTACTCTATCAATCAAAATACCAACCAAGCCAGTTTTGGCAGGTCCTTCCATATCATTAATCTTTTCATCACCAATGTGCCAACAAAATTGCTTAAATTCTTCTTTACTACAGTTTTTTATTAAATCTGGAAACCGGTTTAATATATCATCCAAGGCGTACTCGTATATTTTCTGATCAGGCTTACTAAAACCAACATCATAAGACAAATATATATTGCCATCAAAATATTTATCCAATCCAAAGCTCTTAATAACATCCCCGGCGTAAGGGTCCGCATTGCTGATGACACCGAATATGACATCAGGATATTTTTGGCGAATTCCCTTCAATAGAGCAATTAAATCAGGATATACAAAAAAGGCTTCACAGCTACCAAAACGATCCAATATTGCTTCTACTACATCATCTGATAATTTAATAGGCTTGAATACTTCTGTGATCATTATTTGCCACCATTGCTTAGCCGATATACCAGTATTCTTACCATAATTAGGGTGTTCCAGTTTCAATTTCGAATACACTGATGGAAAGTTGGCAGATAGCTCTTGTGGATCCACTTTCACCCCATATATCGAAGCAACATTACTGTACTGTTCCATTACTGGCAAAACAGTTGCATACAAAGTATTATAAGCATCAAAAGTTATCAGCTTAGGCGTGCGTAGACTAATTTTGCTGTTCCAATTCTGAATTGGAATCTTCTTAGGAAAAACCATCTCTTCTATTTTATAAGCTAGCTAGAGAAATCAATTGGGTGATCTATAATTATACACTTGAGCAGACACCTACCAGATATTTGTGTGTATTTTAAGTAAAACTCATTTTGAATCATCATGTAAGACTAATCGAATTAAAGCCTTACAATTTGCATTCAAAGCTGTGAATCGCTAGTGCAAGAAAAATGGGTACTAACTACAAGAAAAAAGTGACAGATGTCCTAAAATAGAATGCTATTACCATTTACAATGGCACTACTATACATTATATACCCACAAACAAAAGTTTGGGATTATTTACCCGAGTGATTCTTTAGAGGCCTTTCCTATTTCTCAATAGAAGAAGTTGGACTATTGAATGAAATCACATCTGGAAAAAAGCATCGTTCTTTGCAAAACAATGAGCATCTGCAACTTCTATTGCCTCATAAGTTCCTTGTAAGCTGGTTACTACACGGTATTCATATTCATAGATGTCGGTAATTTTGTGCGTTTCAATGACTTGCTGTTTTCCATTAACTGTGGGGTCCTCTGCTCTTATATATGTTAATGAAAATGGAGGTGTTCCTTCAAATGAGAAAATGACCTCAACTTGATCACCTTCGTGAATATCTGCAACCGTATACTTACCTTGAGAAACAGTTACCGATGGTATCGGATGTATTATCAGTGATAACTTCTCATGTTCAGTTGCTAGCCCTGGTTTTTGGAAATCCACAACACATTTAGATGCCGCATCTTGCAATGTTCTAATTGAGATAACACCAGGTTCTGATGCATATCTAACAAATTGTGAAGACTTTTCAGTAAATTTTAATTGAATTCCGTTAAATTCATAGCCTATTTGATATGGAGGTACACCATTCAATTGATAGGACACATAATCACCAACACAATAATCTGATGTGGAATCCAAGAGATGTATTTTTGGTGCTTCCACAACGGATAGTTGTAGAGTTGTCACTGAAGAAAGCATATTTTCATTAACACAACCATTGGCGTCTACCACTTTTACAATACGAATTTCGTGATTACCCATTTTCAGATCTTTGTATATTTCTGATGCTGATAGATATTCACCATCGACATCATTTATGACAAATTGATCCACTCTACTTGTACTTTCATGATATACATTTACAGTAACAACAAACGGTGCCTTACCTCTATTAATCTTTAATTTAAATGGTTCCATCAAATCAGCTTGCTCTAGGTTAGTGAAGCAGGTTCTAATGATTTTACCGGAATCTAGCAATTCTATCATAGGTGCTGGGTTTACACTTTGTCTAACTGCAACAGTAACCGATTTATGTGCAATGTTTTGCAAGGAAGTTTCATCATAATTTGAATCGGATAAACTTTTGATTATCATAGTATAAACACCTGCCTCGGAGCTTGGGAATTTCAATGATACATATTTTGTCGCTACTTGGATTTCCTCTTGTGATTTCTTTCCAGCAGGTGTTATCAAGTCATATTTCAAAATAAATGGTGGGGAACCAATTAAGCTCAAATCGACAGATGCCTCTTCTAATTCACAAACATCATCGTTCTTAAAGGTTAATGCATCCATTTTTTGTGTTCTTTTATTAGCTTGTACAACAAACGAAGGCTTGTCCAGATATTTAACTGCTACGCTGGCTAATTTATCTTCGACCTTACCTTCACAGGTTTTATCTTTAACTCCAGTTAGCTTATAGAGACCTGCTTCTTGTATTGAAAGAGCGAAATCAGAGTTTGAGCTAAACATTTCTTTAAATGTCTTGATAGTGTTACCTTCATGATCAATCTGCTCATAATTGATTTTGAATGGAGCAATACCACCCAATTTAATTGGAACTTTAGCTGTGCCTCCCTCCTTAATGAATATGTTCTGTTCTCTGTCAGTAGACGCAAAGGCGACAGTTGGTATATCCCTTCTGACATTGATTTTGGCATCAGCCTCAGATAGACTAACTACACACCCTTTGGCATCCTTAACAGATACCAAAGAGAGTATATACTCACCTCCAAGTTTGAATGGTGGTAACTCAATATCATGAATATTCGTGTTCAGATCCTTTTTGGAGTAAGAAGATCTCTTGTTTGATGAAGTTTCAACAATATCATAACTTAGTTCGAATGGTGGCTCACCGCGAAGTTCTACTGCAACATTATTCTTATGTCCCAAACATAGTTCAATGTTTTTGTTCTTACTAATCCGTGCACCAGGTTTTACTCTCATCGAGGTTTGAAATGTATAATCCTTCCCAGGTTGTAGAGGTATAGCTTCTGAGAAAATATTGTTGGATATACTCTCAAACACTATTTCATAAGTACCCTCGTGTTTAGGGCCATAAGAAAAATGTTTTCTTGAACTTTCACTTTTGATATATTTGGTATCATGGATGACTCTGTTATTATTTTCAATTCTGTATATCTTCACCGGGACTGTGAATGGTGGGACACCTGTAAACGATAAATCAAAATTCAAACCTACTTGTCCGACACATTCATCCAAAATTGGTTTAGAAACTACATTCAATTCTGGTGCAACTGGTTTTGTAACCAGTACATTAGACTTTCCAGAAACTACACCAGGACAAAACTCTGATTTTACCTTCAAAATTTTATATAAACCAGGTTCCGATACTTCTATCTCTTTGCTCTCAGAAGATGTTTTCACAGTAAACTTCTTGCTTACCCCACGCTCGTTAATAAATTCCAAATCAGCAGTGTATTCAGTCTTTTTTAGACGGTCTGATTTGATGTTCAAAAAAATGGATTTCTTCATTAGTTTGTTTGGGTTAAACTTTTCGCTCAAATAAGCACTTGCAATTCCATGGACAAAAAAGTCGTAGGTTAGATCATATTCCTGTAGTTGAGAGTCTGTCAATGTGCTATAGTCCATTTCATTTCCAAATCCGTCTATTAGCTTGTTAATTTTATATTTATAAGTACCACTTTTTTGTATAGTATTATCAAGTGTGATTACAATTGGATGAGATCTGGCCCATTTTGGATTATTCAGATGACTGTCCGAGAAGAATGCCTTTTGGCCATTCATTAACGGCGAGTCAAAGTTTTCAGGTTGTAAATTACTGTCAAAATATGTATACTGAACGCCATCAACTTCTTTCGTATAAGAGAGCTTTAATGGTGGTACACCATGAAGTTCCATTTTCATTACATCTGAATCACCGACACATCTATTACGATCACCAAAGCCAACTACGGTTATTGTTGGACAATGTGGGACAATTAACTGAGATGGTTGTATTTTCAAGTTCAGGTTATTTGCGTCAATAACTGTTTTCAATTGATAGATACCAATTCTTTTTAAAGGAATTGTCAGATACTTTACCTCCGATGACTTTTCTGTCCCGTCTATGCTATCCTTACGATGATAGTCATCCATAATAGAAAATGATTTGCTAGTAAAATTCAAAAGTTCTCTCTCCTTTGTGTAAAGGTCTGTGTATTCAATTTGAATCAATTCTAATGCAGAGGAGGAATTAACCCTAATTGGTACATTCATAGATGTGTCTACACCCTGAACACCATCTAGAGGAAAACAATAAGAGCTTTGGAATGGATTTAGAAACGCTGTGTTTTCAGGCAGAATTTTGACCGTTAAAGCACCCTTAAAGTGAGAAGAATAATCTGGTGCTTGTCTATTTTTAATTGTGTTACCTGTAATAGTAAATTCCTTTGCGTTGAATTTTTTCCAAGCAGACAACAGCATACCAAATAGAACAGTGGTTTTATTGTTACATAGAGCAATGTTGAAGGATGTGACTAACAAGACCTGCGAAATTACAACCCATGTAGGAAAGGTTAGTTTTGGAATGTTTAACACCGGAAGCGTAAAAAAAAAGGCCGCATCAACAATCAGATATTTAAATAGGAAATTGAACATATTGCTACCAATTGCAAACCCACTTATGGGAAGGCCCGATTGAAGGGCCATATTATCATATATTTTGTATGCTTGAATTAGGAAGAAAACTGATATCACCAGTGCCCTTTGTCTTGAAATATCTAAAGCTTCGGTAGAGACTAACGGCAATTGATCAACTTTCCTAAGTTTATTGTCTTTTCTTTCATTATTAACGTGTGCCGTTGTATTTACTCCATCGTATTTTTTGGAATTTTCAAAATGCATTTCAGTAGGAACATCCTTTCTGTTATATAGAAAACCGTCTTCAGCATTCTTGAATTCCTTAGTTTTTATTTGTGGATCATGCACTCTTTTCTTAGGTGAGCTCATCCCTGGTGAATTAAGCCAATGATCACCTCTAGGTGTGTCACTAAACATGTTCCATCTATTGCTGCTCATTACTGATTGAATATGTGTTTTTCAAAATACGCAGTTCAAAGCCAACAGAATGAGCTTAAAAAGGAATTCGGCAATTCTTAAACGTAACTTTTATCTGGTTTCTAATGACAATTAATGATTATGAAATTCAACTTGCTTAAATAAAAATGAAGAGCGTTATAGTTCACTATGTTTTATTTTACCTCTAGTTATGATCTATCTGAAAAGTTGAACTTTCACTGAGGCCAGTTATTTATAACCAAACTTTTTAGCCTGCCTCTCAACAATTACAAAAATGCTAGATGTACTGTTCACTTCTTACCGCGGTTTACCAGCTCTGAAGGTAATTAATTCATTATGCAGTAGCTTCTTATGTTTGTGATCCATTTACTTTGGTGTAGCTTATTTGCTTATTTGGGACAAAATGGCCATCGCTAGTTTTTCAAATATTGTGCATACTGATATACGAAAGTCACATGTACCCAAGAATGAATTTTTAAAAATAGTACTAGTTTTATTGTTAAATATTACTGCATGCTATACTATTATATACAGATAACTACTAAAAAACTGTATCATTGTGGTGAAGTTATTTTCTCTGGTGTTCTGCATTCTTATAATTTTTGTTGGTAATAAATTTGTCAACTGTCCAAACACCATTTTGTTTAACTTGATGAACGGGAATGGGATTCAAATCCCAACCAACTTGCAGGTCACTATCTTTCTGAGAACCAAACCTAGGTACCACATAACAATAGCGCTCTGTAGGTGCGATGTTGATCACTTTTAGTCCTTGGCCTGTAATTGGCTTACTGTAACTCAACAACATACCCTTTCTGGCAACATTGGCCAAAGGAGTACTTTTTATGTCACATAATGGCACTAACCTTGTCACATTATTAGCACTCAAGTTTAATGTGTTATATACAATGAACTTTGGTGGCAGTTCACCAATATTGTTAATCATCGATGAAGGATGTATGTATACGAAACTGTCATTTACATCATTGGCTAGCTTCCCCATTACAGGTAGGTAGGGAATCTTATTGATAACTGTGCGGTTCGTAATTTTAGCTTCTTCAGGATATAGAGCGTCTGCTCTTATAGCTACCTTATCTATGAACCCAACACATATCATCTGCTTTAACATTTTTAATTGGATTTCAGATGGTAAATCCGTTCTCAAATCCTCATTTGTTATATTGATTGCAATACTTTCTTTTGAAGTATTTGATTTAACAATATAAGTGAGCTGTCTTCTTAATTTTTCAATTTCATCCATTACTTTCCTCCTCAAGAAGTTCGACCTTACAAAATCATCTCTTTGCTTGTTTGGAACGTAGTTCCATGCACATGTAACACTAAGTAACTTGAAAACATCACTATATTTATCCAGCTTACTGAATTTAACTCTACTTTTGTAGAACTTATTCCTCAGATTTTTCACTCGTTCCACCTCCTGCGAATCAATGAACTCAAGTTGCGCACTTTCATTACCATCATCACGCTTTACTACCTGAGCTTGTTGAATACCTAACTCTTGTTCAGTTAGAAATGGATCACCGACTGAAAGAGCACTAATAATAGATACAATGTATGGCATGCAGCCATGTTCATTTGACACCAATAACATTTTCGAAAATCTTGGAGACAGAGGGAAAAGGCTCATCTTTTTACCATCCTCAGTAACTTTTTCCTTGTCATCTAGAGCGCCAAGATACTGTAAAAGTTCAATCGCTTTCTTTAATGATTCCTTATCTGGAGGGGTTGGAAATGGGAAATTGACAATATTATGTATCGCCATACTTTTCATCTGAAGAACAACACTTTCCACAGGCATTCTCAAAATTTCTGGTTTTGAAAACTGCTCAAAGTCTCTGTCAAATACGGCAGAAGAATACAGGCGGTAACAGTGACCTGGACCAGTACGACCAGCTCTACCACTTCTTTGGTCTGCACTAGCTTTACTAACCCATCCAACTTCAAAGCTTTGAACTCCATTGCTATTATTGTATTTTCTTTCCTTTACTCTACCACAGTCCACAACATATCTAACACCAGGTATAGTTAAGGAAGTTTCAGCAACATTTGTTGCTACAATACACATTCTTGACCCCTTCGGAGGCGACTCAAAGACTTTCATTTGCTCCTTAGTTGGCAATAAAGAATACAGTGGCAGAACATACAAAGGATCATCAGGAGTTTGATCATCTGTCAGTTCTTCATCAAAACCTTCTTCATCATCACTATTATCATCTGTGACATTCTCATTCTCATTCTCATATTCAATATCCTCCAAGAATCGTTTCTCATCCTTATCATGTACCGTTAAATCAATATCTTCTTCCTCCATAGCTGCCGTTCTTGGATCTACTTTCACCTTTGTGGCCTCAAATTCCAAAGCCAACGATTTATTTTTAGTTTTGAATGGGAATCGTTTCCTTAATTTTTTAACCATCGCCGTAATTTCATTTTGACCCGTCATGAAAATCAAGATGGCCCCAGGAGGTAACCGCTGATGAATCTTACATGTCTTCCGAAATGCTTCATCCGCATAATTAAAGGCAGTCTTTCTGTTAAAATGAACCGAAACAGGAAATTGCCTAGCTTCAATCTTCAATATAGGTGGTGGCGACGAGAACAAAGAGGAATTTTCACTGAAGTCTGAAACTCTTAAGGTTGCTGACATAATAACTAGCTTTAACTTGTTGTATCTCTTTGGATCTTCATTATTTTTTTTTGCACGCAACTTGACACAACGACTTAGCATACCAATTAAAATATCGGTGTTAATATTTCTTTCATGAGCCTCATCGATAATAATAGCAGAATATTTACTTAGTAAAAAGTCTTCCATTAATTCCCTCAGCAAAACACCATCTGTCATGAACTTTACTCTGGTATCTTCCTTACTTGTTGAGTCGAAACGAATTTGATATGCAACTTTGTCACCATGATTCCCCAACTCATTGGAAACTCTTTCAGCCATAGAAACAGCTGCGACTCTTCTAGGTTGGGTTATTCCAATCATTCCTCCATGCTCAGTTGAATCAGGAGAACCGTAACCTGATTCATAAAGAAACTGTGGGACTTGTGTTGTCTTACCAGAACCTGTTTCACCACATATTATGACTACATCATTGTGATGAATCGCTTCCATAATAGTGTGTTCCTCTGCAACAACTGGAAGATTCAATCTTTGGGCCATAATTTCAGGTTTCCTTTCAACATTAACAAAAAAGGCTTTTCTTTTTAGACCTTCATCTATGGGGATATGTGTCTGCTTCAAGCCGTCATCCATATCCTCGGGCCTAAATGTTGGCTCTACTTTAAAGCTTAAACTTGGCATTTCCACATCAACATCTCTGCCTTCTAAGCGCCTTATTTCATTGTTTGCCCATGATTTGAATTCCTCCGCAACATTTTTTTTCTCAGTATTTTCTATGCCATCTGTCAGATCACTTATTTCGGAAGAGCTATCTCCAGAGTGTTCTTGTTCACTTGAAACTTCTTTATCTGATGATTCATCCTCTCGATCTTCGTTATTATGTTCACTATGATCCCCTTCCATAGACTGATCAACATCATTGTCTTCACTATCAAAATCAGTGCCATCAGTTTCCGAGGACGTATCAAAATCATCCATATCTTCAACATTTTTCCTCTTCATTTCTTCCATTGCCACCTTCTGTTTCCAGTTATATTTTTTTTTAGATGTTTGTTTTAATGGTTTGACTTTAGTAACATTAGCAAAGCCGAATCCGAAGCCACCACCCATTCCACCTGTACTTGCAGGCCTACGATCAATAAAACTAGATGCGGTATTACCGAATTTACTTTCAAAGTCTTCCTCGTCATTGGCTTCATCATCATCATTGCTAATACCAGATTCATTATTATTATCCGATAAATCTTGATCACTATCGCTGTAGGTGTAATCAGGTGTCCTTTTTTTAGGTTCACCTTCAATTCCTTCCCATTCTTTCACATCATGTTCCTCATATAATATATCTTTTGTTAGCTCACTGGCCCGACCTTGTTTCTCTAGTTCAAGCGCTTCAGCAAACCTTTCTTTTTTTGTCTGTCTACCTTGGCCCAATTTTTTCGAGCTTGTCAGTAAAGATGTATCAATCTTATAGTCTTGTAATTTGCCTATCAATTCTTTCTTCTCTTCCCTTTTCAGTTGGTGTTCGATAAACTTTTCTAACCTCTTCTTCTTGGTACGTGAAACTTTACTTTCTTTCGGTGTGAAAAGCTCCTCCAATTTTCTCTTCTTAATCTCCTTTTCTTCCTCCGTCATAGGCTTTAGAAGAACAGAATTTGTATCCTCTACTTGTTTCTTCTCATCCTTAGCTTCTTCAGAACCATCATCAAGATGTCTTAAAAACTGCTTGTTTCTTACTCTTTTCAACTCCTTCAACTTGGCCATTTGGCCAGCTCTGGCTTTCTCATTAAACCGCTTCCTGTATGTACCCATGCTGCAAAGAAACCAAACCGGTCGCTTGATCCTCTTCTATACCAGATCTCCCAGTTAAATCAGATCTGATTGTTATACTTCACAATGCTCATCGCTAAGCTCATCGCATCGCTTTTTAAAGCTCATCGCTTTTTTGTCTGAAATTTTTCACTTTTTTGCACTACCTGCGTGACGTGCTGAACTTTCTGCACGATTGTTCATCGGAAGGCCCAGAGAATAGCAAACACAAACAGTTTTATCAGCACTTTATAGTTAACATCGTCTATATGTGCCCGTTAGTTGTTAACTGTGTTCCTTGGTGGTGGTAACCGGGATATAGAGCTGGAGCAGGAGCGCTGCAGTTTTGAACTAGGATGAACGTGGAAGAGAACGATGATTTGTATGGTATTTTAGCCGAGAAGAACATCAAGTTCGTTCAATTAGGGTTGTTCAAGAAGTTTGAGACTTGGTATGGTACCGCTGTGTATTTCAACAGCGAGAACAAGAAGCTTGGGTTTTATGATGAGACTCAGATGAAGCCAGGTCAGCAAGGCAATGGCTATGGTAGAGGTTCAAAGATCATCAAGGGCAAAACTGTCAAGAAAAAGAAGATGACTAACAAAGCTTTGAGCTCATTGAATGATCATGCGTTATCCAACATTCAGCTTAAGAGCAATCCAAAGACCTCGGATAATCAATTTTGGTTAGATACTCTCTATGTGTGTGAATATTGCTTTAAATACACCGATGTGAAAGACGATTTTGTAAATCATGTTCACCAATGTTCTTTCAAGGAGAAGGCACCCGGGAGGATCAAATATAAAAGTCCCCAATACACGATACGCCGGGTAAAGGGCTCTAAACACCAACTGTTCTGTCAATGTCTCTGTCTTTTCACTAAATTATACTTGGATAACAAATCTGTTTTCTTTAAGCTAGATCACTATGAGTTTTACATAGTCTATGAGACTGGAAAAACCATCCCCATGGCATTTTTCTCAAAGGATCTAGTGTCTTATAACCAGAACAACCTAGCATGCATCTTGACTCTTCCTCCATATCAGAGAATGGGCCTGGGCTCTCTACTTATAGAATTCTCGTACCATTTATCCCGCCTAGAAGGTATAGTATCTGGACCTGAGCTTCCTTTGTCACCATTTGGTCTTATAGGGTATCTGCGATATTGGTCACTAGTGATCTGCTGGCAGCTTTGCGAAGGCGACCTATCTAACTTTGAAAGATTGTCAATACAGGACATATCTTTAGCCACAGGGATAAGAATAAGTGACATCATACCGACCCTGAAACACTTGAACTGCATTATAGATGAAAACCACATAAACCTTAAAGTACTAAAGCAGTGGCTTAAAACGCATACTAAACCAGGGCAAAACCCATTCATGATTAATGAAGAATATCTACTGATAGACGATTGAACTACATAGTGCTCTTTTGTGCGAGTGACAAAACCTCCTCTTATCCCACATAATTTGACTAACTAATTGCATATTCTATTTCCATACCACATATATAAAAACTTAAGTCTAATTGTACAATAATTGTACTATCACTGAGGGATCATTATTATCTGCATATATCCTGGCCCATATTCATCACCATCCACGTAGCATTATTTACCAACCATAACAATAAACTCATCATCGCAGGCACGATTACCATAATAACAGAGGTTCCCGCAGCAGCCAGTTTGGTTAGTAACTAAAATAACATAATATGAAGCAAAGTTTGAAATCATTAACTATAGCTAAACTGGGACTTACAATAACAAAACAAAAAGACGTATTTTTACAAGGAACTTTTTTCGAGGAAACTACAATAATTTACCCGATAAGAAATTGGGACAGTGACTGGAACAGTTATAAACATTCAGAAGTTTTGAGATTAATAATTAGTATATCAGAAATCAAGAGCTTAATGATACATTAGGGAAGTAATTATTTAATTGGTTTACCTAAAGATCTGAAGCTTTTTTACAGAATGATTCTTCAAGAGCAACGACGACTCCGATTGTGGTTGTACAAAAGTTCATTATTCATATCAGTTCTGTTTTTGATTGGTTTTTCCATTGTACTTCCTGTAGACTCAATCGTCCAAGCTATACAATCAGAAAATAATGGATTCAATACGATCATCGTTATTGGGTCTTTAGCAGTATTCTTTGTGGCCGCTGTCACTATTCTAATCGGAAGGATGCTTTTACATAAAAGCTGTTTGAAGGATATTCCAAGGCGTTATATTCCAGTTACGAATGCCGATCTCCCGCATAAATCCAGTAGAAAAATGGTTATACACAATATGGAAAGATCAAAAAAATTATCCGGACTTTTCAAGACGCCTAAGGATCCGGTAATCCATCCGGGTCTTGAACCTCCAGCCAGATGCGACGATCCAAATACCCCAAAAATTCTACCAGAATATTTAAATTATAAGATTTGCATAAAAAGTGCAACAGATAGACTCAAATATTATGGCCTTTTTCTAAACAGCGCATCTGATGATGTGAAAAGCTCACAAACATTTACTGATCTCGTGAAGTCACAGTTTATCAAGGGAAACCATAATAAGAGACAAGTGCAAAGAGCAAAAGACTTCATAGAACTTTATGAGCGAATAAGATTTTCAGGTGATGAGGTTTCTAGAAGTGAATTCATACAGTTTGCGGAAAATTGTATTTATTTCAGCGATTTGATGATAACAATGGATATTACCAAAGTTGGTTTAGGAAATATTAGCACCAGATCTCAATTATCATTTAATATCGCAGGTAGTTCTGTTGACAGAAAGTTACGTAAACTCAACACTGCCAGGTCCAATCAGATATCAAGACTATCTTCCGGTCAATATCCTGATATTACAGCCTTCAGATACGATACATCCAACTCAGACTACCACAGGCAGGAAACCGACGAAGATGACTTTGCACTAGATGATATGGATTACTTTCCCTCTGTTCCACCTTACATGATCAGAAGAAACAGTACAAATACGGTTTCAATGAGGATACCAACAAGTAATAGCGACGACCAGTATAATTTGGGATTCAATGAAATAGGCGATGAAGACATACAGAACAATGACCAAATAAGAAGATATATGTCTAACACCTCTAAAACAGACAGTTTTAAAACAGTTATTCATAACGGATAATATTTTATTTTTATTCTTTAATTTAATTTACTAGCATTTTTTACAGGCATAATTTATAAACATAAAGACTAATCATATGTTGATATAACTAAGACTATCTTGGTTTATTGATGAAACAACTTCAATATTAATGTTTAAGACATAGTTATTTTCACCAATTTCGTTATCTGCGAAATATAAATATTCTGTTCTCATATATAGGAATATATTGAGAATCCGATCAATTTTATTATGACATGAATTGAGTGTATATATATACATATTACAGATTTTACTTAGTTGCGTTTAAAAATACTACATTCTGTTAAATCATATGCTATTAAGCTCACCCAACCAAATCTTTATTTGCTCTTTGGTTGATTGATGAGGTACAGCTGTGTCTAAATTACCCAAAATCTTGTCTGATAGACTCTTGTACTTGAGGCTGTACTTTCTCAGCAAACTCTTAATAAAAACAATTGATGTGTAGTATTTCCATTTCAAGTCATATGCAGCCAAGTCAGATGCATTGTCTCCATCTGTTAATTCAAATATCTGAGGAACATCAATATCTTCATCTAATTGAATGTTTAGCTGACTAACAGTGTTATTTATGATAATGCATAGTTTCTCTAAGACAAACTCAAAGTCGTCCGCATGCTCAATTTCTAATGTTATTTCATGCGATAGAGTTCTGAAGATAGCTTCAATTGCAGTGCTATCGACTAATCCGTAATTGTTAGCCAATTCCTCATTAAGAGCGAAATTGATAATACTTCTAGAAGAAACAAGCTCAGCAAACTTGAAAGCATCAACAATCAAATAACCATTCTGAGAGTTCGAATTCCAAAACCTTATAACTGCTTCAATAATAATAAATTCCTTTTGATCTTGATCAAGCTCAATTTTATCCAGAACATATTTAAAATCGTCTTTAAGATCGCTGATGTATTTATTAGCGTGGGAAAGTGACCTACTACCAGATTCCAACAAAGCTTGTACAATTAATACTATTATGAAGCGATCAAAATTTTTGATTATGGAGCCATGATTAGCTTTTATCTTTTCAAGAAGTTGTTCTAACTCAGAAACTTCACGAGTATTATTAGGTTTATGAATGTAATCTAATAATTCAACAACAACATCCCTAAGAGGAGATGACTCGTGCTTGAAATAGAAATCATTCTTTTTAATGTTGATTGGTTCAACAGTGTAATCAACATAAAATGACTGATAATAAGCAACTAATGCGTCATGAGCAATGTATGACGAATCCAGATATTGCTTAAACTCTTCAGGTAAACTTTCTTCAACATCAATAGGATTAGATGTCAACCTCAATTCTTTATGAATCAAATTTCTGATAAAGTTTATGTTGGGATCGTAGAAAGACTTTGATAGATTTTTAGAATCGTCCTCCCATTCATTCCACTTCCAAGAAAAGTTGAAGTTACTCATTTGAATTGAAAACCAATCTAGGTAACGTAACCTTAATTCAAAATCCATATTTTTCAAATGACTGTAGAAAAATCTAAATGCCCTACCAAATACAGGTGCGATTGCTTTTGGAGAATTTTGACATATTTCAACTAACAGGGTGTAAAAATAAGCAAATGGTTGAGAAACATCAGGCAATTTGAAGATTAGACTAATAATTGTTTCAATAGCCAAGTCTTCAATTTTAAATGTAGTGGCTAAAGGATTCTCTTCATAAACATTCGATAGCTGAGCAATAGAGATGCCAGGTTCTGCAAATATTCCCTTCTTAAAAAACAAATCCAATGAAACAACTTGTCTTGCAACTTCTTTACGGTTAAACTCTAAACTCTCTACTAAGTCAATAATAATATCATTGAACAGTTGGCCAGCATATGTAGTGATAGGGATCACAGTTTCAAAGTCATGTGTCTCATTTGGAACATAAACTTTGAAAACATACCTTGGTGTATGCCACATAGAATCCACAGAACCTCTCTGGTGCCCCAAATCCATATATTCGGCAAGATCTTCAATACTTGGAAGTTGGAGAGGGTCGTTAAATCCTTGGTCGCCAGATTGTTCAGTTAACAAATGTATCCAATCAGGAAATAATTGTTCTAGATCCTTCAAATCATCCATTAGTGACTTTTTGACATTGCTTAAAACTAATTGAACAAGCTCTGCACTGTCAAATGGAGCACCATTATTATATTCTCTTAAGAGATTAATTTCTGTTGATTTCACCTTATAATTATCTTCAACAAACTCTAGAAGAGAACCAACCTTTTGTTTCAAGTCGTCATCATTTCTGTTGAAGAAAAACAGATAAGGTATGTTAAGTAGTGTGTTTGTGTACAGCGCTTCAGATAATGGGTTCCTCTTGTTAGTATCAGATTGGTTAAGATCTATACTCAACTGCAAAAAATCTTTGAAGATGGAGATCAACTCATCATTCAACAGCATTGGAGATAATGTTGCCAAAAATCTCAAGATTAATTTAATCTTGTTCCATGGACCAGTATCACTAGATTCTGGCTTGTATTCAGGATCAACACTTTGGTTGCAATATTTTTGTAGTTCACTGAAGAAGAAATTGACCACACCCTTACCAGCAGCCTCATTTCTTGAATTGACAACCATCGTCAATAGGGCAATTGCTGGTAGTTTCTGTGGTTGTTCCAAAACAACGGCTCTAAACGTTTGCAATAAAGCATCATTGAAATATTCTTCATGACCAAATTCGTTTACTATGGCATCACTCAAAAATTGAATATCTTCTTCAAAAGCCTTGACAGATTCACCAATAGTTCTAATATCAGGCATCATTTCTTTACACAATTGGACCACAGGTGGAATCCTCTGCCTTTTAGGCATACGAGGTCTATAGTCGTGGTAATCTTCATCATCAAAATCTGTTACAAGAATCATCTCAAAATTTATTATCGACTTCTCAGTTGTATTTTTGGTAGATTATTTCAATGCAGTGTTTTCCACCCTTCAGGAAACAGATTAAGGGACAATTATCAAAAACAAATATATCACATAGGCCAGATCAACGGTTTATTATAGTCAATTTCGGTACAACACAAAATAAAACCTATGAATGCCACTAATTTAAAAAGTACAACTGGAGATTAAAAATAATTTAAGAGAAAAGATAATGTATCGTTAGTAAAAAAAAGAACTATAGAGGACTGGCAAATTGAAGTGAGACGATGTTTATAATTCAATTCAAATTGGTACTCTGTATTTCCAATTGAGCTTCATACTATAAGCATATTGTAGAATTTTGTGTCATTGAATGCCAGTTCTTGAAAAAAAAATGCTCTTATGCCGTTATGTCGCCAGTGAGCATATCGAGATGCAATAAACTTGCAATGGTAAACATACCTCCTTTTCTCTTCCTATTAAACATTGTTGGAGTTATTGGGGTCCTTTTTATGTAAGATAAGTTGTTAGTGTAAGTACAAAATATACTACGGTCTTTTAAAATCCATGGTAATGCTATTGTTGATTTTTTTTCCAGATTTTCAATTTCTTAAGAAGGTTAGTCGTGAATTAGCATATTCCATCAATCAATTATATAGGAATAAAACAAATTAAAATACTACTACATATTATATATTTCTTCGCTCTACAGTCTTGAGCAAAATCAATGCTAACAGCAAAAATATTTTTTTATATTTAATGTAATTGAAGATTCCAATACCCTTCATAAAACCATCAAAACCTACTTAACCCTATTAAAATTAGTTATGTGTTATACGTTAATATTATGTAGTATGCTGATTATGTGGCAATTAGGATTAGGAATTATGTTCTAATTTATCCAATCTAGCTTGTAAGTCATTCAGTTTCTGAGATTTCGCCTCTAGTTGTATATTTAATTGCTCAATTCTGTATATTAGCTGTGGACGACTTGGTTTCGCCCCTCTTTCCTGAAGCAATATTTGTTCTTCTGCAATAAATCTCTTCAATCTTTCATCATTTAACTGTTGTATTAGTTCAACTATTTTTGCAGATTTCTTTCTCATCTCAGTTTCAAACTCAACGATTGACAACTGCTCTTCTTGCTCTCTTTCAAAGTCATTATCACTGTTTTCCACATCGGATGATTTCTGACCGGATGCCAGTGATCGTATTTTTTGCTCCAGCACTGTTTCTCTTTGAATTGATTCAGCTAACTCAGTAGATACCAGTGTCACCTCTCTCATCAATGTTTCGTTTTCCTTTAGGAGGTTTAATTGCTCTTCTTTTATTACAAATGTCTTCTCTTTAAGCTTAGCATGGTCTGACATAGAGCTATCGTGTTTAGAATAAATAGGTTCATAAGCCTTGCTATGAGTATCCGAAAATACAAAATCAACAGTTTCAGCTTCATTTTGTAGGTTTGTCTGTGCCGATTTGGTAGGAGTGGACGTTAAATTGCCACTCGCACTCGCCTTATTATCTTTTTGCTTATAAGTGAAAGTGTCATCCTGCGCGGAATAATCCGAGTCGACACTGGTTTCACTAGTAGGTCTTTTGCTTAGCCTTTGTTCTGATGAAAAATTTCTGAGAATATTCTTTGCTTTTATCAACGACTCTCTTCTTTTACTTCTTTCATCCTCAGCATCGATGATTTTCTTTTCTGAGGTTGTGCTACCATATGGATTGTCGTATACCGAACTAGAACCCGATTCTACCCTATTTTCATTGGCCCGAGAATTTAATTTAGTATCATCAACAAACTCCTGAGCAGTTTGGTATTGGTCCATATCAGTCATATTTTCAAGTTTATAAAGACCGGTAACTTTATTTGAATTAACTTTCTTTGAAGGGGAATCACTAAATGTAGATGAATAAGTATCCACTGACTGTCTTTGAGGCTGACCCAATTTTGTCCTGTCATCAAGTTTTAGAGATCCTAAGCCGTCTTCTACTAAACTAGTTCTATTCTCATGTGACAAAGCATCTTCGGTTAGTCCTTTCTTTATATCATTCCAATCTTCGTTATTTGATGATTTCTGCTGTTCTTCATGATCCTCTATAGAAGGCTTCATTACTTGAATTTCCTTCACCATATTTTCCTCTTGTTGAGGTTTTGATAATTTTAGAACATTTAATTTTCCTGAGCCAGCAATCGATCTACCAGGAGTAGGTTCTTCATCATCAGGAATAGATAATGGTGCGACATACAGCTGGTTCTTCAAAGGAGAAGTTGCAGTGATATGATTTTCATTATCATTTCTCTTAACGTTATCATCTATGTTTGTATTAATAGGCTCAGTGTAAGGTCTTGCGTTTTGGCTTAGATATGGGTTTGGCGGTAAATCATCTGAAACTGGTTTTTGCTCACTCATGTTTACCATTGGCCTGCTTGATGTTGTTTGCAAGGACATGGCTCTATCCGCACTAATGTTACCAGTGGGGCCATTGAAACTCTGTTGTGAATTCATCGGTCCTGGTCTTTGATTGTTCATCGGTACTCTATTTGGGGAGGTGTTTCTGGGACCAGGAGTAGTCATTGTGCCGCTAAAATTTGGTTGTTGGTACATCGGCTGAGCGTGTTGTGGTGGACCTCTCATCATTGGGTTTTGTGCACTCATCATAGAGTTTGCTCTAGAGTCACCCATAAACTGACCATTTGGAAGACGATTATTTGGCGAATTTCCAGGACCAGACTGTTGGTAGAACGGACTGCCAGAACCAAAACCTTGCAATGACATGGCTCTAGGATTTGATCCGTTGGGAGGCATCATCTGTTGATACTGCTGATACTGTTGTAATTTTGAAGGCGGCGAAGGTGTTTGTGGGGTTCCTTGTTTTGCCATCCGGTTCATCGCAAGCTTTTTCTGAGTGGTCATGTATTTTCTGTAATCCGTGTTCGACGTGTTCTTGTCTGTTGTTACAATAGTTGGTATTATTGGGGCGGTGTCTCCTCCGTACCCGTACTTGTCACCTCCTTTGTTGGCATTCTTACGTATGTCATTGTATGTTATCACAGACGCGGATGGGTCCTCAATTATGTCTGCTCCTTCCTCGTTGTCGTCGTCGTCCCCACCACTACTGCCTTTCTTGGACTTACCGAACGGGCTGTGGTAGCCCTTCTGCTTGAAGAACCCGGATATAGACGACTTCTGTGTCAACGACTGCGACCTGGGGTATGGGTTACCTTGCGCAGGCGCATATGGCGTCCTTTGGTACATGTTCTGCTGGAAATACGGCTGCTGCTGCACTTGTTGTTGTTGTGGGGCCGCGTACATCCTTTGCGCAGACACAGGAGGCATCTGGTACTGCTGTTGCGCGTGCTGTTGCGCGTGCTGTTGCGGGTGCTGTTGCGGGTGCTGTGGTGGGTACTGAGGTGGGTATTGGGGCGGGTACTGCTGTTGCGGCGGGTGGGGCGGGAACGGCATCTCCTCCTTCTCACCGTTCTTCACCGGCAGTTCCTGGGTGATGTCTATGCCACCAATATCGCTCTTGAGCAGGTTGTTCCGGATATTGAACTGCTGTGGCTGCTGCTGGTGCTTCCTGTTTAGCGCTGTAATCCCGGCATCCATTGTTGTCGTCCTTGGGCTGTGCCTGGGCGACTACCACAATGGGCAACTCGCACCATTTGTTTATATATTAGGAGAAAGAAGCTATTATGCAAGAAAGAATCGACAAAATTCCTAATTAGGCCAGGCCCACAGACCACACCGCAGAGTTGGGGGGGGGCCCACTACCACAAGCCCATCTAGAAGTTCGCCTGGCAAGAAAAAGTGGAAAAAACTCAAAAGAGCTGAAAAGAAATTGTGCGGCCGTTTCTGGGGCATGTGGGTGTAAACAAAGGACCCAAAGAAAAAAAACGTAAATTGCCAATGACTTGGCATTGGCATTCTAAATGGGTTTCAGTGTGGGAACTATGAAAGGAGTCCAATTAACGTACGTAGTATATAACTTCTATAAGAGCCGGGTTAGACAAAATTTGTGGAAGGCACTATTCTGCTATTCTGCTTTAGTGGACTTGGACAGTTCTTCGTTGGACTTCAGTTTTGCGGATTTGAGTTCTGCTATGAACCATATCACTGTTATCCAAAGTAGGAAAGCGATCACGAACAGGAAGTAGAAATGTATAATGTGTGTAGAGTAGATGAGCCATAGCAAGCTCACTAGCAAAGCAGCGAAAGATATATGTGTAGCGATGATAAGTTGTGGGGAGGTACCTGGTTCGAAGATACTTTGCCAGAGGGAAGTAAAGAAGCTCATTGAAAACTTTGGTTTTAGTTTAGATTATTTTGGTAATATTATATTAAGGATATGAATACACATATGTTTATAAAACAACTGCTCTATCTTTTGCTTTTCGACCGACAGGCCAGGCAAAGATACAAAGCTATATTATATATATAACATATATTAATGGATTTGGGAAAAAAAAAGTGAAAATGAACGATGCGTTTTCCTAATTAGTGGCTAGCACTTAGAAAATGAGAAAATGTTTTCTATAACGGTGGGGAGGTTTGGAAAGGGAAAAAGTGTTTTTTTGGGTGGAAAATCCCTTAGATACCAGCACCTAGAACGAAAGAACCGGCCAAGAAAGCACCGATGGCGACACCGTACTTCCAAGAGACTGGGGAAGCGATCATGCTAACAGCACCGTTCTTGGTCTTGGAGGACTTGTGGGAGGAAGTAGAGTTAGCGGAAGCAGCGACGGAGGAAGCAGCGACGGCACCGTTGGTGACCAAAGCACTGTTGGTACCGATGGAAGAGGAAACACGGGAAGACATGGAAGATAGAGAGGAAGAAACACGAGAAGAGGAAGACATTGTTCTTTATAATATATGTATTGGTTGTTGTTGTGTACTGAGTAGTTGTGGTACTGTAAATGTGTTTCGATTCGGATTCTTGTTCATCAATATGGCCTGTTTATATATTAATTTCTAGTGGTGGGAAAAAAAATGTATTAGCATTCATTGGATGCAAAGCCCAAAGGAAAAACCAGCCATTCGAGGAAAAGCGCGAATTTTTTTTTAGATTGTAGCCAGATAAGGGTCGGACAATGCTATAAGCTTGGAATGTTGGTTCTTGCTGCAGTTGTCTAGAACAACGTAATGCTGTGGTGGGCGTTGCACCTCGACACCACAGGCTTAGACTGCCAAAACATTTCGCAACACAATCTGGTGTCTGTAATTATCGCTCGCTGCGGTTCTTTTGCCAGAAGCAAGAATCGAAGCACCCCCCACCAAGCCTCGTCAGTTTTTTTACTTCTGTACGTCACTTTCTAAGAATATTACTACGCTTTTCCTTTTTTTTTTGCTGATTCATTATTTGTGCTGGTTTTTTGTTGCTTCTCGAATCCCGAATAGTGGGAGAAAATATACTAATTATAGTATAATCTCGACATCTACATCACCCTTCCTTGTGAACAATTGTAGATCTGATAGATGGGGGATCAATTACAATTCCTAAAAGGGATAAAGGGGATTTGACCGAAGTTAGAAAGGGAGGTATTAAGGGTTCAGTGAAAGGTGGCATTGCTCTCTCTCACATCACAAATTTGTTAGCCTCCCTTCCCCCCTCTCTCCCCCCCACGTATTTGTGAATTACCGAATCGGGATATATCTTAGATCTCTCCTTTTCCAAATTAGGAACTGTTAGTGCAGAAGGATGAAACTAGAACAGAAGAAAAGTACGTACTATATTTAGGGGGAATGTGCTTTGTGTTCTGTGTTTGTGTTCTATGTACTTTGTCTATTTATAGATTGGTACTTTCTTGCCCCTCCCCACCTTAGACTGGATCGAAGAAGCCATACCAAAGCTGAATATCGAAAAAGAAATTATCTACTCAAGTGGCGTGCGTCTTGCTGTGGCCACTCACTGGCGCACGACAGCACACGCACGTATTAAATCCGCGCACTGATAGAGATACTCTACAGTCGTCACAAACGGCAAAACAGCTGCATGGCCACATGATTACATTGCGGTCGTTGGTCTTACAAACTACACACGAGTAGTCACGGGTGTCTTCGCGGTTGTCAGATACCTGGCCAAGCGATGGTTCCTGGTGTCTCTTGTGCAGCCCAGAGCGCGTGAGTCGTGAGTGCAGCAGGTGGTCCTGCAACATTAGCGGGTCGAGTTCATCTTGCAATAATGTGGACATGTCGTCTCTGAGTTCTAGGATATCGTCATCTGCGAGGTCTTCTTCAAGAGAGAGCTCTGTGGCATCGGAGTCCTGGTAGTCCTCGTCTTCTGAGTAGGAGTCGTCGTACCAACTGGTGTCTTTGCTGAGAGAGAACCGCCTTGTGGGTGTCTCTGACACTTCCTTATCGGCGTCACTGTCATCCGTGTCTATATACTCGGCCTCTTCATTGCCTCGGAGTATCTCACAGAGGTGTACTAACACCAGCTTGAAACTGTCCAGCATGTTGGATAGGAACGGTATGTTCTGCTTGGCCTCCAGAATGGGTTTGGTCAACGCTCTTACAACAGACTCTCTTCTACCGTTTCTTGGTGTTTCATTGAATCTCACTTGTTGAATAGCACGTAGTTTCTCGTTATACCGGGTGTCAAGCTCATGATTGATATTGACAGAAGGGTACTCATACCTGGTTCCTCGCTCGGAAATGCTGGAAGCAGAGGTGAGCAATATCGCCAGCTTTGATAACATCGGCGAAAAGTCCTCCTCCCCAGTGAAATTCAAGTGCTTTCTCCAGTTCTTCATAAAAGAATAGAATTGCAACTCATCGGGATTCCTGTTCTTATTCGTAAACGGATCGAATCGAATAATGTAAGCTAGTAAGTATGATACTAACGAAATGAGTACGATAAACAAGGAAAACACTTTGGGAAAGTGTCTGAATCTTGTTAATATCGGTATGCTCGAAACTCCATACTTTATCGACACATACATCAGATACGTTATATGCACCAGATTCAGCGATGCACTACCCAATAGCCTATAGTTCCGCATCTTGTACATCTCTAATACATGGATCATGACTCTATTAGATATGGCCATTAGACAATCTGGAAGAAACTCCGTTTGGTCTATTATGTTTATACGTTTCCTCTGTAGTAGATAGAACTCTATCGATATTTCAAAGATTGTATAGTCGGATCCCTCCAGTGGCGTGCTATTGGACAGCAATGATATAACTGTCTCAACACAATATGACCATGAAAAAACCATGAAATATAGCGACAACGGTATCTTGGGAACATCTGCATTGTATATTTTGACTTTGATTAGGCCTTCGATAAGCTCATACATCACCCATGTTAATAGGAGGATACAAGACACATGACTTAGTGTGTTGATCTCCGGCCTGAGGTTCGCTCTGTTTACTCTATTTCTCCTGGAAATTGTTGTAATAAGTCTGTTCAGCAGTACTGCTATTGTAAAGCATAGAACGCTGTACTCGCTGAAGAAAAATCCTATTATATCATTGAATGACTGTAATGTGCTAGATATCTCCTGTCCACTCCATACTTCCATGTACTGGGAATTTATAGCATCATGAAATGACAGCGAAAGTCTGTATAATACATTAGGAAACCTAGCCAGTGGGTTATCATTTGCCAACAAACTATGGCTAGACTGATTCAAATACGGAAACAGCTCATTAAATGTTTCATTCATCCTTGGCACATCTCTAGCCAATCACAGAGCTAGTTAGATGTATCAATAGTATAACCTGAGGAGCTTGTATGGAGATTTATAATATTTTGAAGCTACTCTGTTTAGTTTGCCTTTTACAGTTCAAATACTGTAAACACATCCGTATTCCCTTTATATTTGCCTAAATTACTTGCAATTTCAAATTGAAAAGCTCTTGAAACCCGAAACTCCCATTGAAAAAATATAAACATTTCAGTCACAAGAAGGTATACAAACAAGTCAGACATTTTGTTGAGTTCTGTATAACATAATCATAGAACTAGCAAAACGTCCAATATGGCAAGTACAGAAGAGATTGTTCAAATGATGCAGGAAGCTTCGGCTGAGTTTGCCGAAGCAGATGATGTTTCATTTCTAGATAAGATGAATTCTAATATTGCGCAACTCGAACAACAACTAAGAGAACAAATGGATGAAAGTAGGCAGAACATTGCTAAACTTGAGATAAATCTTATAGATACGGAGAAGTCGATAGGAAGCTTAAGAGAATTGATGAAGGATGCTACCGATGAGGCAACAATAATGAAAGGTAGTGATAAGTTGAATAATCTGATTGATGAGCTTCAAGCCACAGAGAATGAAATTCAGATGATGAATAGTGAAATAGAAAAGAAAGTCAGTAAGTTAGTTGAGGATGAAGACAACACAAGCTCAGAATATGAGATGATCAGCAAAGAATTGGAACAAGAATATGATCCTGTGTTCGCATCAAATATACTAAAACTAAAACTTTACAGAAGTTTAGGGGTACGACTTGATCTAGATAATAATCAAATACTAATACAGAACAAAGAGCTTGGAACAATTGATACTTTGCCATTGGAAGATGAATTAACTGAGTTTTTTAAGGTTAAATACATATGGAGTAGAATAGGGAAATGAATATGAATGTAATGATGACATCGATCTGCTAAGGTTTATATATAGCCGAACAGATGAGAAAAATCTGTCTTATTAAATAACTATTGACCAGGAAAATCAATCTTTCTGAGGTCAGAAACTAGATTTTCTTCAATTATGCTTATTTTTGGTCAGTTTGTAACAATATAAAAATATAGGAATTTCCAGAACAAGCTAGACATCTTGTTGTTGTTGTTTTTGAACTTTTAATGACATGGCTTTTTTCAACTCTAATTCTGCCTCTTTAGATAGTTCGACAAATTCCGTATCCTTCGAAAGCGAGAGTGCATCCTTCAATAGTGTCTCAGCTTTTACATAAACTCCATCATGCAAATTTAAAACACCGAGACCATATATTGACAAAGCAATGGCTTGAACAACTGATGGATCTAGTTGATCTTTTGTATGAAACCTTAGTTTGGTATTCTTTTTATAGAAGGAGACGATACTTTCATATGATTTATATGCCATCTTAATACAAGAGTCGCGATTTTTATGAAGAAAACGTAATGCTTTTAGGATAGCAGGGTTCTCTTTCAGCTCGGCATCTTCCTCAATCTTCTTTTGTAACTTTAATATATCCGAATCAAATTTTTCTGCCTGCAAATATAATAATGATCCTAAGTTGGCCTGCGATAATAGGATTTGTCCTGGGGGCATGTCTGCCATAACCATCCATTCGACACTGGTTAATTTGCAACTCAATGCGGCTGCAATGTCCTTGGATGATAAGCAATATGCAGTGTATAGATCTCTTGCCGTGAAAAATTCTTCTTTGTAAGGCTCCCACGCACTACTGTTCTTTGAAAGGTCTAAAATCATATATCCGTTCTCATCCAATTTTATGTTCTTTTCGTTTACAAATGCCTCGAAGGAATCGGCATCATATAGTCTTGGCATATGCAATGACGACTTTGTTGCTTCTTCAGCTTTACTCTTCCTATTTTCAAAGAATTGTTTCAATTCTGGTGACCTAGTTAAGATCTCCTCCTGGACTAGTAAGAGATGAGATAGCAACAACTTTTTACCATATTCTACATCGGTGTTTAATTCTAAAGATTTAATCAAAACTCTCAAATCTTTCCTTATGAGATCAGACCTTTTATCCTCCAGGACTTTGTTGGTTGTTAACAACGCTTCGTAAAACCTTGATAATAATTCCTTGAACACGTCTTTACACTCCTGTATCATACCAAGCTTTTCATACATCTCTGCAAGCTTTAATTCCAACCTTGTATACTCATCGCTAAGTGCGTCAAAATTTGAATTCGAGAGCTCATCGATTACCATAATATAATACTGTAATGCCTTTCTGTAATTGTTCCCACCTTGATCACTTTCATGCCAGACTGCTTTTCGCACATTTTCTGCAACTGATGGTGGTAACTGGTTTTTGCTAGACCAATAGTATTGCCTTATAGCAAAACCTAAAAGTGATAAACCAGCAACCGTGTATACCCACCTTTTCTGTCCATATATAGGTGCTGTATTCTTGATGTTCTCCTTTCCCTGCTCATATGAGCTATCTTTCTTAGTTCCATTCTTTCTAAGTTGAACTGTTACACCAGGGGTAAAGCGTCTCAAAGAAACTCCGCCGAGCCTAGCCAGCCTTGCCGTACTCCTAACAATCATTGGGTTTTAATAATGGGCTATGTGACCGTTATATCGAATTGACTTATCCTACTGGAAAACCCAAATAAAGCCAAAACCTCAAACAAGCAAATGTATGCAAACTACACAAACGCTTTGGTCCTACAGGGCTGTAGGTATGCTAACTGGCTACTTTTGATGTGACCTGATATTTGAGCCTTGATCACAGCTGTTGTTGGATAAACTAGAATTTTGGCAAAAGTTGAAATTTTCACGTTTTCCAAATTTTAAGGGACGTCCCCCTCGATGAGCTTGAAAAATTATTATAATTTGATAGCTAATATTGAGCTTATCAATCCTGAATTTGAATGTACTCCTTTTGTATTAAATTGTCTGATATAAAAGTATTTTGTTACTTGGAATTATTAGCTGAATAGCGTGGAAGATGTGTGGAAGGTTTGCGCTTATGTATGACTCATGGGAGGTCGCTGAGCAGATACAACGAGGGTTTAATCTTGAGATTAACCCAGTAGTAAGCACCTCTCGAGAGGACAATACTGATACGCATTACAATGCCTCATTCAATGTCTCTCCTACAAATATGTCGGCAGTTTATAAAAACAAGGATAAAGGTGAGTTGCGTTACATGAAGTGGGGTCTCGTTCCACACTGGACTAAAGATTTGAAAAGCTTTAAAAGTTACAGCACCTTCAATGCTAGGTTAGAAACGCTACAGGAGAGCAGGCTTTGGATTCATCCTTGCAAGTCTAACAGATGTGCGGTTCCAATTAGCGGTTACTACGAATGGAAAACTAGTGGAACCAAAAAAGGTGGTTCTAAGACGAATATTCATAAGACTCCTTACTATGTCACTAGATCAGATGGGAAATTAATGTTTCTGGCTGGTATGTACGACTATGTACCAGCAGAAGATTTTTATTCTTTTACCATAATCACGGCGCCGGCGCCTAAAAATCTGAAATGGCTACATGAACGTATGCCAGTAGTAATTGAACCGGGCACTAGAGAATGGGATTCATGGATGGATCCTGAGAAAAAAGATTGGTCACAAAAAGAGCTCAATGAAATATTAGAGCCCAGATATGATGAAGATCATATGATCTCCTATCAAGTCAGTCCAGAAGTTGGAAAAACTACTAATAACGGAGAAAATCTAATCAAGCCTATATTGAAAGCTGATAAAAATAAGTTCGAAAAACTGATTAAGAAAGAGCTTGATGAAACAAAGGTGCATGATTCTATAAAGAATGAACACGACCAAGGTAAATTGAAAACAGAATCTAATAATACTATTAAAAGAGAAAATGAAAGTTCAGTTAAAACTGAAAACGATAATGATAAGTTATATAGGGGAAATAATAAAGGATATAAACCTAAAACCAAAGACGATAGTCTTGTGAAGAAGGAATCGAAAGAAGGAAATGCCAAGAAAAAAAGAAATATAACAGATATGCTTCGTTCTTCCTCCAAACAAAGCCCGAAAAAGCAAAAGCGATGATCTAAAACAAGTCCACGATCTTATTCTTTGTTCCACATTACTGTCATATCTTTCTATGGAACAATTGCAGCATATCTTTACAAATTGTTAACGATTTTTTTAATATTTCCTTATCAGTACTGAATGTATAATATCTACTGGCAATAAATATTGATGTATGCATTAATATATAAATATTTATTTATGAAAGAATCATAGTATAATAGGATAAAATTGCTATGTAAAAGTCAAACTATTTGTCATTAAAAAAGTCATTACATTTAGTTTTTAGGATAATCTATAAAACATTTCATTTAATATGGAATGTTATTGCTCTAGTTTAAAATAACAACAACAATTTATGCTCATACTTTACATCTGATTTAGGATTGTCTCTGATAGCAGCAAAATTAGGATATTAGAAGAAAAGAAATATGAACTATTTCATGAGCTTTCTGCATTAGTGCCCTTAGTTTGCGAATTTCTCTTGTGCATTCTTAACAGCTCACCACATAAATAAAGTGAGCCGCATACAATTACTGGACTTATTTCAGAGGCATCATTATGGTAATATTCCTCAGATAGTAAATTAAATACATCGCATAAACTATTCTCTGAAATACAGTTGGTGGTGAATTTGCTTTTTATAAATGAGCTCAAGTCTTTAGGATCTGTTGGTTGGATCCATGGCATCCCATCAACAGAGCTGAATTTCGTGGCAATTACTCGATCTTGGGCTCGGAGTAAAGGTCTGAGTAGTGTATTCAGATTTTTCCCAGCTGTAACTGCAATTACAAATGTCAATGGTTTATCTCCAAATTGCTTACGTAAGTGTTTGGAAAGCTCAATTGCTGCACTGGCGTTATGAGCCCCATCGATTAATACAGGGAATGTAAGTTTTTTTCTATCATCACCCTCTGATAAAAGGAAACAAAAATCTAAATCATGAAGACGGCCTGGCCATTGAACTTGATCTAGACCTGCAACAAGTTCTTGTCGGCTAACATTTATATATTTAGATCTTTGTAACTCATCAAGTATAGCTAGTGCTACTCGTAGGTTAAAAATTTGATATTCTCCATTTAATGGAAGCTTTTGATTAAATTCAATTGTTCCCCATGCAGCAGTACGAACAGTATGGGAATTCATTGAACCTTCAGTGATAATGAGTTTGCAGTGCATACTTTCGCAATGCTGCTTCACTTTATCTAGGACAGTTTTATCGTTAGAGCCATCTATAACAGCACACTCTACACCTTCAGTAATAATACCGGCCTTTTCTCTTGCTATCTCTTCCAATGTATTTCCTAAGAAACTTTCATGATCCAAACCTATTTTAGTTATACCACAACATAGTTTGAATGATCCTGGAATTATATTTGTTGCATCTTCACGCCCCCCTAATCCGACTTCTACTACACACCAATGGCATTCCATCTCTTTGAAATATTGTAGCGCGGTGCATGTCAGTAGCTCAAATTCGGTACACCCTAATCGATGCTCACTATTCAAGATATCAAGTTGATTTCTTATCGACAAGTATTGGGAGTTGGGTATAGGTTGATCGTTAATTGATATCGATTCTGTAACATGGATAAGATGTGGGGTAGTAAACTTGCCAACGCGAAAATGTGTCCTCTGTTGTTGTAGTACTGTTGATAAGTATGTACAGACAGAACCCTTACCGTTAGTTCCAGCTATGTGTAATACTTTCAAATGCTGATGTGGATTACCTATAAATTCAAGCAGTCTACCAATCCTTCCAAGACCAAGCCTGATTGACATAGCAGCAGATAATTCAATTGGCTGACGACGAGTCGAGAAAGTATGAAATGTTCAGTATGAGATTGCAATCAATAACTTGAAATAAAAGGATGTCCCCAAGATCAAATTTCTGATGATGTTGGCTTGACTTAATATATCAGTAAAATCTGTAGATGCAATGGTAACGTTAATCTTAATAGGAATATCGTTTCTCATCAATGCTTATATAGAGTTGGATCAACAGTAATTCTTTGTTTTATCCATTTGGTATGGTTGTTATACGTCGACTTCTAATCGTTCAATACTTAAGGTAAAAGACCCAGATTCTTGAAAGCATTCCCAGCTCTACGAAGCTTTTTAGGCATCCCTCATATAAAGGTTAAAAAAAGAGGCCAACAAAATGTGCTACATGATTTTGATAAATCTCACATGAGCTAAACAAATGCGAGCTTTTCTGTGTTAATCTTCACACATTTTTTCTTCTTCTTTTGAAGTTTACACTTGCATGTGTGGAAGCATCCATACTTCATTGTAATTGCACCAGTACGGCTGCTGAGAACGCTTCCTGTTGCGTAGTATCGTTCTTCAGAAACCCATGTAAAAAAAAAATGTAAAAAAAATTGTGTCAGTCCCCATTTGGAGCATTTTTTTTCAAATATGCTGCAAGATGTCATGAGCATCGACTAGGAAATTAACGACTTAAAGAAATGGCACAACAAGGCAGAAAAAAAGAAAGTCCAACAATTGAAGCGATTACATAATGCCTGTTGCAGTGAACAACTGAAAATGTAATCTCTTTGCCAAGGAGCATAAGTTCTGGCCAGCAAATCCCACCTCTTTCAGAATGCTATGATCTGACCGCCATGCGATGCAATTGGTTTGCAATACAGTAACGTGCAGCCATTCTTACCATACTCTAGTCTATCACGCAACAAACACAGAAAAACTTCAAACTTTACAATTGCTCTTGCTCAATATCTTAACAACAGAACACTGAGCTCCCCGATCCGTGATGGGAGTCACTGTAGATATAGTAACTATCCGCCGAATAGTGCAGCATGGAAACAGATCCAAACAATAGAAGATCGAAGGATTTGATGGCCGTCTTTTTATACTCCGCGCTAAGTTTATATCATAATCTACGTTTTGACGTACAACAGTACATAGTTGGCTATCCTTTCAGGAATTTCGGCGGCCCTCGCGACTGGAACTATAAATAGGAACGTATAATTTGGCTGATCTTGGTACGAGTCATTTAGGTATTTCTTGTACTGTAGGCGGCTAGGATAATCCAGCATACTTCTGCTAAAGAAATCTCTTGGTGTGTGGGGCAATTGAGGGACTTTGTTGTTTGTCGCGATTTTCAACTATCAATTGATTGTGATTTGTTATAGTGATGAGTAAATCTACGTTAGAGCAACCTGAGTACGTGAAGGAGCGGTTGGAGAGTTTGGCGGAGGTTGACAGGCAGTTGTGTTCGATGCTGCAGGAGGCATCTCAGGTGGCGTTCACCTATGGAGAAGTGCTACGTGGTAATGCCATGATGAAACCGCAGTTCCAAGAGCACGTATCGGCGTTCTACTCTACCCTGGACAATGCTTCCGGGAAGTTAAAGAAAGAGATTGAACTATTGGATGAAAACGTAGGCAACAGGTTGCTACCTATCAATGTGAACAAAAAAGCTTTAGGTCAAGATGATGACAAGCTTAAGGAACAGATGGAAACACTGAAAGAGTTTTTAAAGACAGATAATGAAGAGACATCTACTTCTTAAGAACATTTGGATTGTTTTGATATTTTTTGTCGAGAGGACAGATAAACTCGGATTAGCACGTCCAAGCCATAAAATTGGTATAGATGGTATATCTTCAGCTCGGGAAATTCGGTTCTAGGATATCGTTCTTTCTAGAACAACCAATATTGTAACAACCAATACTATTGTTAAATAACAGAACTACCGGAGAAGATGGGATAACTCTTCTACAATACAGTGGGTCATTCAAAACTATGCTCTATTCTCATCTGAAAGAGAAAAGTATACTCTACGGATTTTAAGTGAGAGGCTTGGGGAGTTGTTTTTATGATCACCCCCAAAATATTTATTTTTTCTTCTGCTGAAACTTGTCGATTTCTTGTGGATGAAAAAGATCTTAAGAAGTGGTCAATTTCATGTCACTTTTCTAGGATATCCTGTAATTTTCTACCTTTTCCGTGGAATGAGGTTTTTATCGGATTATTTTTGACATTTAAGGTATAGCAAGTATAAAAGGGACTCGACTATACATGTGAAATCATTTGTAGAGATTGTTCAGTTTGTAATTATTGTTTTTTTCTAGCAGAGACAGTATAGTGTTTCCTAATAGAACATCTGTAAACTAAATCAACAGAATATAAAGAATAGGATCGCAATTTCAGTAAAATATAAGATGGCAGAGATACTAAATTATACCGAACTTAGTGAAATAGATGCAAAAATAAGCATATCCAGAAACTATTTCCAGCAGAATCGTAAAGAGCTTGCCAATCAGAAAAATGTTAGGTCTGCTGATAATAAACAGCGTCAATTCTGGTTGAAGAAGTTGTATTGGAGTGTGAAAGATCATGAAGAGCAAATTTTAGAGGCATTGGAAAAGGACTTTCACAGATCACGTCAAGAAAGTATCTCTTTGGAGTACGTTAAGCTACTCGGTGATATCCTTCATTTAATTGAAGGTATTCCAAAATGGAACAAACCAAAAAAAGTTAGAGATAACTCAGCACCCTTTATGTTTGGTAACATCAATATTGAAAAGATATCTAGAGGTAACGTGTTGGTTATTTCTCCATTCAATTTTCCTGTTTTGTTAGCTTTGGCACCGGTAGCATGTGCGTTATCGGCTGGTAACACTGTCATTTTAAAACCGAGTGAAATGACTCCTCACTGTGCGTTGGTATTGGAAGATATTGTCAAATCATGTCAGCTACCAGAAGGGGTTCTACAGATTGTGCAGGGTGGTGTTGAACAGACTACCAAACTGATTAATTCAGAATCATTAGACATGATTTTCTATACCGGTTCTCCTCGCGTTGGTTCCATTGTAGCTCAGGCTGCTGCAAAAAATCTAGTTCCATGCGTTTTGGAACTGGGAGGAAAATCGCCCACCTTCATAACTGGATCATTACAGAAGAAGAACTTAGAAACAGCATTGAAGCGTATATTTTTTGGTGCATTTGGTAATGCTGGCCAAATTTGTGTATCTCCGGATTATTTACTGGTTCATGAATCAATATACGATGATGTTGTGAAGGAAAGTGGTAAAGTGATGAAAGAGTTATACCCTGACTTAAATGAACACACAGAGTATACACATATGATTCACAAAGCTTCATATGATAAAACTTTGGAAAAACTACAGAAAACCAAAGGTAGAAAGGTTTCAGCAGCCGATGTCAAAATAGATAATACATCCGGTAAGCTTATGATTCCTCCAACTATTGTTTTTGATTCTGATTGGGACGATGCACTAATGGAAGAAGAAAACTTTGCTCCGGTTCTACCGGTTATTAAATACACTGATATCGATGCCACAATAGACAAAATCTTAAGCAAGCATGACACACCATTGGTACAATATATTTTTTCAGAAAAACAAAAAGAGATAGACCATATTTTGGCAAGATTAAGGTCTGGTGACTGTATTATCTGTGATACTACAATTCACGTTGGGATCAAAGATGCTCCGTTTGGTGGTATCGGACAATCGGGCTATGGTAATTATGGTGGTGTCTATGGGTTTGACGCATTTAGTCACGAAAGAATTGTCCTAAAACAGCCATTTTGGGTCGATTTCTTACTCAAGTTAAGATATCCACCATTTACAGCAAAGAAGGTCAAACTATTGAAACTAGCTACTGAAAGACAACCATGGTTTGATCGGGAAGGGAATGATCACAGATCCTATAAACTGATTGCCATGTTTTCTGTTACCTGTGCACTTCTTGCGGTTGGTGTGAAATCTTTTTTTGTATAATCTATTGTATTTAAATTTATATGAAAATATTCATTGAAATTGAATTCATTCCCAAACAATCCCTAAGTAATATTTATGGTAAGTTGTATATATATCCTTTGTTTTGATATTATCGAAGTACTGATAAGTATTTATTATAGTTTTGAATAATTTTATTGCCTGAAAGCTGGATTTATTCTGTATCTAAAGGCAGCTATGACGCCCTCCGAAATATTACCATTTCTTCATCTTCTGAGCCACTAAACGAAGATAATTAAAATAGATTTGTAACTACAAATGTTACATATATTACACTATAGAGGATATGATTTGATAATAATACTGAACCTCGTAGTCATGATAGCTTTGCATAGAGAGGATTACCAATCATCATCGTTATCACTAGATGCAGCTGCTTCTTCGTCACTTTCAACCCTCATTTTATTCGCCCTAGCTGCTAAGGCTGATACCAAACCATCGCCAAAAGAAGCCGGCACTTGAGATGTAGCTGCTACTGTCTGTGCAGAAGCAGGTTGTGATTGGTTCTGAATAGCAGGTTGTGAGGCAGTAACAGCAGGAGCAGGTGGCGGCGCCTTTGCGCCTTCGTGCTTTACCATATAAGCTGTTGGAACCCAACCCGACTTAGAGCCATCCAGAGTTTTTGCTAAAGACCATCCACTTGGCTCTTCCTTGGTAATATAAACAATGTCGCCCTTCATTAAAGGAAGTTCACTTGGATTTCCTGATCCGGGGAAATCGTATGCAGCTTCAAATTGTGGCTCTGATGTTTTGGAAGGCGGTGGAGGTGGTGGTGGAGGGATGGAACTTTGTGTTGCAGAAGATTGAGATGCTGGTATTTGGGTTTGGGTTTGCATCTGTGCTTGAGGAGTAGGATGAGGGGCAGGCTTTTTGGCCATGGGTTGCGGTGCAGGCTTTTTCGATCCTGGGGGAGGAGGAGCAGGTTTCTTGGCAGATCTTGAAGCAGGCGTCTGGGGTTTAACATTCATTCCGCCGTTTAGACTTTGAGATACGGTAGTATTTTGATTGTTACTAGACATCCTAGGTGGAGCCAAAGTTTTGCTTGACTGAGTCGTTGGGGCACTCATGCCTGAGCTCTTCTTTCTGGGTTTCTTCTTAGACTTAGAATTAGCTGGATTACCTCTTCTGACAAATATGGTACTGGATTTGTAAACATCACCGTATTTTGGTGCAGTATCACTCACTTGGCATTTAACAGAATGCATTTTACCTGGCTTTTTTTGATATTCAAGGGTCGGGCCAACCTTGACTTGAATTTTACTATTGAGCGTTTTCAAATGTGTAATTAATTCAGTCTTAAATGACAAATTAATCAGTGGATCTGGCATACTTGAGTTGGCTAAGACAATACCGACCCAATCATCTTGTAAATTTGTCATATTCAATTGCAAAATCGAATTGACATTGATTTTGTAGTCAGCTGTATATTGCATTGCATTTTGAACCCTCACTTGGCCAATAATATAAAGAGTAGTTGGAGATAAAATGAAAGTCTTTTTTAGTCTCTGTGCAGATCTACCGAACTTGGAGTGAAGAGCTTCACCATGAAATGAAAATACAACTTTTTCGGATATACCGGCTTGTCTCTTTATATAGGATCCATTTGACTTAGATTCATTACAAGATAAATAATCACCCATGAAAGCACGGTAACCTAATAATGACATAGATCTTCTTTCTTTCTTATTTCCAAGCAGTGACGTACCATAGTCCCGCAACTTTTCGAACTTATTACCTTCCTTACGTTCCTTGATGGTCCTCTGTATTTTTACGGCGGCATCAATACGTCTTTGAAGGTATCTTCTCCATGCTCTTTGGATACGAGCCGCCATATTATGCCAAAACTTATCCCTCATGTTTTCTAAGGCAAATAAAGTTTCCGGGGTTTTTATGAATACTTGTGTCACACCTAACTGGTATTCCTTTTCTGGTATTAGTGCATCCTGTAAAATCAACCTCACGGCTTCCAAGATATCACCAGTCCATGTATAATCACCAGCATAAGAACAGCGCGGTGAAAGCAGATAAAATCTCTCTACAAACTTTTCAAACCCTTGCCTGTACGCGAAACCTGCTCTTCTAATACGCACATTTTCTTGTAGACCCAAATATTTGACTTGGTGAAGAACTTGGTGATCATCATAATCATTTGGTGATTTGGTTTGATTCGGTTTAATTGTTCTAATATATGAAGGTTGTGCTTTCGAAAGTGTTTCGACCAATTCGTTTGCACTTTTGATAATTTTGTCACCAGCAGTTGGTGGTCTTCTTTTGTTATCTTTATCAACTTGATTAGGAAACAAAGTAGTTAAGAAGGCATTTGTAGTTGTACCAACCAGCTCCACTAAATCTTTTTGCAGCTGGTCCTTATTCTTGTCTGTCATACCCAAGACATCGTATGTAACATCACCAGCATAATGCTTAATGACAAACTTATTCTGCCTTTGCTCAAAGTGTGGATTAGAACTAAACAAACTTAGCCTTTGTGCAAAAGCCTGATCAGCAGCTGAAGAATCGGCGTGTGCCGTAGCAACTGAGTCGTTCATTGCCGCAAAAATACCAGGTGGTCTCTTAGCTTCTATCAAATCGCACACAACTTTATTGTCAAAATATTTGATTGGAGTCCATTGGATCTTTTCTCTCGCATATGTGTCTTGTTCACTTTTCAATGTCAGTTGGATGAAGATTTGTTGTAGTTTTTCATTCACGTAGTTGATGCAAATTTGCTCAAATGAATTGTGTTCAAAAATTTCAAAACCATAAATATCCAAAATACCAATAGACTTATCTGCCCCAGGATAGGCATGCAACGATTTGTTCACCCTATCAACAATCCACTCAAATAAATTATTATAGATTGCCTTTGCTAGAGCATCCCTCACAGCTGTTGCTTGGACAATGTTTAATGGAACATGATAAACAGATCCTCTTCTAGAGCCGTGATTAGTTTCAACAATTCTTTCAACTAGTGCCTTAATTAGAGATTGAGAATCAACCTGTAACAGATACGCAACAAAATCTGTTACTGACGTATCTCTAACTTGAGCATTTCCTTCTTCATTTTCAATAAAAGAGATATTACCTATCCATAGAATTGCAGCCAACATTCTGAAAATTTGATCTTGTTCTTCTTGAGCAAGACCTATCACTTGCATGGCTTTTATAGTAGCTTCAAAATCTTTTACATCATCGATTGTGTCAACACTAGTACATTTGGAAGCCGATGTGTACACATATTGTTCAGGCAATTGAACACCAAAGGTTTGTCTATAGTTGTCTGACGCACCTTTTGTGAATTGATAAAAGATATGAAAGTTTCTTTCATTTGTGATTTGACCAACCACTCTTTGCTTCTCTAGCAAGTAATTTGTAATGTTACCAGCGCATGGTTCAAATTGGGAATTAAAACGAATCTCGAGGTACTTACCGTGCCTGGAGGAATTGTTATTTCTCAAGGTTTTTGCGCAACCAAAAGATTCCAAAAGAGGGTTTGTTGCAAGAACCATGTCTTTGATTTTTCCAATAGATTCCGAATGAGTAGATGATGTAGCTGCAATATATTCCATAATTTTCTTGGCAGCTTCTGTTTTACCAGCACCAGACTCACCAGAGATAATAACACATTGGTTCTCATTATATGCCTTCAGGTTATAATACATTGCCTCAGAAATAGCATAAACATGTGGAGGTACCTCCAGTCTGTTTTTCCCCTGGTAACTCTTCATTATGGCATCTGTGTATATACCTAGATCACGGAATGGGTTAACACTGATCAGCACATGGCCGATATATGTATATATGGTACCATTTAAAAATCTCTTCTTTAGGTTATCGTTGATAGATTCATCTGAGATGCTAGTCAATAGGGTCAAATCAGATACACCAACTTCTTTCTTCTTCGAAGTTTCAAAAGCAGCCTTCTTGATATTGTTCCCTCCTCTCTTAGCCGGCTCCTGGTGGGTCTTATTACGAGCACCACGCTTCAAAATGGCCATGTTGTCACTGAAATTCTCAGTATATGCTCTTGAAAATGATAATGGGTTCCTATTCCAGTGTTGAAATATTAAGTATTAGTTTGTTGTAAGAACAGAACTTCTAGGTGAGGCAGTATTAAGATCAAATCGAGTGTGATAGTTGTTCTTGTTCTTATACTTTATCCAAGAAATTGTAATTACCGACAGACTTTTGGCCAGTCAATGAGCTGTTATTGCGGTTATAGTTACTGATACTTGAAAGGAAATCAATTGATGTTTTGAATCACTAAAAGGGGTCCTATATTAAGATCTTGCTATGTGCGTCATTTGACTTTCTTGAAAGGGAATAGTTAGCTTTTTTTCGTAAGGATCAAGCGAACTTTACTCCGCCACATACTTCTATTTTCTGACGTTGGATGTGACCTTGATATTCTAGCCACATAGGTTCAAATAGCTTAGCCTTTTTGAACCATCAGGTTTGGAGGAAGAACCTGTTTTTGATAGTAGATATAATAAATAGGGTCCTTAATATAAATAATGGCACTTTGTGTCTGTAGTAATAAAATGTGTTTTTGAAATAAATAAACATTATTGATGATACATATGATAATATACTGAAATGAATGACTATATGACTTGCATTGGCATAGGCTCGTTGTAACTTGCACTTTAACAGATATTTTAAGATGTTTGTGAAATAAAGTAAGAATGATTTTGATTATATCAACAAGGCAAGTAGATAAAGGGTGTTATTTTTTGATTTAAATTTGGGGAGGAATGCTATAAGTTTTGTACTGATTCTAAAATTTGTTTGTCTTAATGCTTACCACCGGTACGCTTGTGACGTAGTTCGTTCTGTTCCCTTTCCATTTCTGGGTCGTAGTTAATAAATTCGTGTAAACCCTTACCGGCTGGGACCATTGGCAAGACTGGCACCTTCTTCTCTACTTCGACTTCAAGCAAGACTGGACCCTGGTAGTCAACAAACTCTTTTAGAGTCTTTTCAAGCTCGGCTTGGTCTTTCACTCTCATACCCTTCATACCCATTGCCTCCGCAAGTTTTACGAAATCTGGGTTCAATTGATGTGTGTGTGAGTAACGATGCTCGTAGAATAGAGATTGCCATTGGGTGACCATACCTTGCTCTTCGTTGTTTAGCACTAGAATTTTTACAGGAGCATTAGCTTGCACAGCAGAACTTAGTTCCTGTAAGGACATGTTGAAAGAAGCATCACCGTCAATGTCAATGACTAAGGCGTCTGGCTTAGCGACTTGGGCACCGATAGCAGATGGCAAACCGTAACCCATGGTACCTAGACCACCAGAAGTGATGAAAGTACGTGGGTTCTTCCATGTCCAGTGTTGAGCAGCCCACATTTGATGTTGGCCGACACCGGTTGTAACAATAACTTCCTTGCTGGTAGCATTGGCAATCTTTGACAACTTGGCAATGGCAGTTTGTGGTTTGATTCTAGAACCTGGAGTCTCTAGGGAGTAACTGTATGGGAATTCCTTCTTCCACTTATTAATCTTTTCGAACCATTCTGGTCTTTCCTTCACTGGGAATACCAATGGGATCAACTTGGATAAGTTGGAAGCAGCGTCACCTTCTACTGCCACTTGTGCTTCTACGACTTTATTTATGTTCTTTGGAGTGATTTCAAAGTGAATGATACCACCTCTACCTTCCAATGCGGCCTTTCTTGCTTCTGGTGCAAACTTAGTGATGTTACCGGTGACACGGTCGTCGAATCTGGCACCGACGGCGATGATCAAGTCGGAGTTCTGGACGGCAAGGTTTGCAGTGGCACAACCATGCATACCCAGCATGTCTAGAGACTTTGGATCTTCTTGGTCGAATGCACCCAAACCTTGTAAAGTAGTGGTAACTGGGATCTGCGCACGCTCACTTAGCTCTTTGACCAATCTTGGCCCATCGACATTGTTCAGGATACCACCACCGACGTAAAGGACTGGATTCTTGGCGATATTTATCAAGTCGGCAGATTTCTTGATGTTTTCAATAACGAATTGGTCCTGGACACCTGCAGTCAACTGTTGCAATGCGGTTGATGGCAGGGTGCTCTTAACTGGGATTGGTGTTCTCAGGATGGCGGCTGTGACGTCCTTTGGCAAGTCCACCAACACTGGGCCGGGTCTGCCGCTCGTGGCAATCTGGAAGGCCTCGTTGATTCTCAGTGGCAGCTCCGCTACGTTCTTCACCATCACGTTCCATTTTGTACAGGATCTGGAGATACCAACAATGTCGGCTTCTTGGAACGCATCGGTACCAATGGCAGTGGTGGGCACTTGGCCCGTAAACACAACCATAGGAATACCGTCAGCCAGCGCATCGGCCATGGGAGTCACAACGTTCGTGGCACCAGGACCCGAAGTAACCAACACGACACCTGGCTTACCGGAGGCCCTTGCGTAACCCTCGGCCATGTGGCCCGCACCTTGCTCGTGCTTAGGCAACACAAACTTGAACTTGTCGGAGTTGTGGATCGCATCGTACACCGGCAAGATCGCACCACCAGGGTACCCAAACACAGTGTCCACATTGTTGCGCGCCATCATCTCGTTGAAAATCTGCCCACCGGTCAGACCCACAAACGAGTTGTCCATCTTCTGCGTCGCCACATTCTTCAGCTTAGAACTCAACTTCACACCACTCCCGGTATTAGCAGCCGCTGTATCGGGATCAACATTGAAACTCGGCGAGGGCTCCGGCCTGGGAACCGCCCGCACACTGTACTTGCAAACCTGATACGCCGCACTACGACGGCATGCTCTCGCTACTACCCCACTAATACGTATCATTGGATCCGTTAGCCCTCTTCTCGTCATGTACCGTGGCTGCAAATATCTATACCAACCTTTTTATATACTTTTCCCAGCACAATAATTTTTTTTCACAATTTTTTTTTTTCAGTTTGCCCAACACAGTCAGAGCATCCATCCTGACTCATTGGCTTTCCTCTCGCAAGTCGCCTGCCAATACAACAGAAACACCCGCAGAGAATTGGTGACTCTTAGCCCCCGTACTGTGTGCCCGTCTCGCACTTTGAAATGCGCCTTTGGCCCGTCTGGCGTAGCACTTGCGTGCAGCACTTTCTGTGCGGTATGAAATACTCCGTTACCGGTCTTTTATTAGACATATAGAGAGTAGCATAATAGAATATAGAATAGCATAATAGAATATAAAATAGCATAAGTAGCATAATAGAATATTTAATAGTATCGATGTTTGTATATAGTTCTGTTTAGAAGTTGACGCGGTTGTTGGGCTCTCCCTTGCGGAGTGAGTTGTAGGTGCGTTCGAACTCCTGCTGCGTCATGTTGGAGACGTCCACCAGGCGGGGCCCGTCTGGCGTCTCGATCTTCGCCTCCAGCGTCCCGTCCTCTTTCTTCTTGATGTCCGCGTGCTCCTTGGCCTGCAGGTACATGGGCTGCCCGCCCATGTTCTGGCTCATGTGGCCCCCATGGACATCACCCTTAGCGTGCTTGTTGCGGTTGTACACCGCAAATGAATCCCAAAAACTAGGCATATTTTGTTAGTTTTACTTGTTACTTGTTACTTGTTACTTGCTACTTGCCACTGGTTGGAAATTGGGATCCTGATCGCAGTAGTTGCATGCCCTTTATATACCCCAATACCCCGCCTCATCGCTTTGAGGTCCCTTAAATTTCACATGTGCCTGCGTACGTTGAGCGTCTACATAGAAAAAGGCTCTCGCAGTCATATACACAGTACATACAGCACACTCCAACTGCACTCCAACTGCAGTGCACACACACACACACACACACAGACACACACACACACACACAAATGTCGGAAGCCACATCTGTGCTAATAGACGTCGATGTCGAGCCGCTGATCATCGCCAAGGTGACGGCGTACCTCGAGTACATGCTGCTGGACAAGGCCCGGCGGGGCAGGAAGACGGACTACGTCTCCGCCTACCTCGTGAACCACACCGAGACGCAGAACTCCCAGGACGTGCCGCATGTGGTGCGGCTATGCGACTTCCTTGCGCCCACCACGGAGGGCGCCATCGCGCTGCTGCGGCAGCTGGCGCTGGTGCGCCGGGAGTACAGGGGCGACAACATCCTGCAGGCGCTGCTGCTGGCGTCCATCGACGGCAGGGACTACTTCGGCAAGCGCAAGGTGGCCAAGCAGCTGATGATATTCACCGACAAGGTCTCGGAGCTGGACCTGAGCGCGGAGGAGCTGCAGACGCTGCACGAGGAGCTGGACTCGCGCATCATCCTGGTGGACTGCAGCACGCACCCGCACCAGAACGCGCAGGGGTCCCAGTGGGACGCGCTGGTGCGCACCGTGAAGGGGTCCATGAGCTTCCACATCGACGAGCTGCTGCTGCGGATCACGCAGACGGTGCCCAAGGTCGTCAAGCCCGTCACTGTGTTCAGCGGCCAGTTGCGGCTCGGCGCCAGCCTGGAGAACATAGTGGACCTGGAGCCCCACCGCAGGGACGAGGCTGCGGCGGCCGACAACCCGAAGAAGCGGCAGTTCCCGTTCGGGTTCAGGACAGAGGCGAACTACGCCGATGACCACTGCCTGTGCATCGGTGTGCAAGGGTACCCGGCGACAAAGAAGACAGGGAGCCTGCAGAAGAAGACGGTGGTCAAGGACGCTTCGAAGCCTGGGTTTGTGCCCGTCAAGTCAGTGATCGACTATGAACTCAGGGACAACGAAGTCGAAGGCGAAGGCAAAGGCAAAGGCGAGGGCGATGCCCCGCCAATCACGGTCGCAAGGGAGTCCATCACCAAGGCATACAGGTACGGAACTGACTACGTGGTGCTTCCGTCTTCGCTAGAGGATCAGCTGGTGTATCAAACGTACGCAGGCCTGGACATAAGAGGGTTCATGAACATGTCAGACATGCACAGGCACTTCCTGACCTCTGAATCTGTGTTCGTCGTGTCGAGCTCCAGCAGCGCAGACCAGATCACGTTCAGCGCGCTGATTGACGCTATGATCCAGATAGATAAGATTGCCATTGGCCGTTACGTCCCTAAGAACAACTCAGACGTGCAGATGTGCATGCTTTACCCTATGATCCTGGAGAAGGAAAACGGTACCCACGTGAGGACGCTGATACTGAATAGACTTCCATTCACGGAGGATGAGCGCATCGCCATATTCCCGAGACTCACTAGGGAGGACGATAAAAAGTCCGAAAAGGACGAAACTATTGATCAACTGATGGCTGGGTTCGTAGAGTCTAGAAGTATGGATGATCTGCCAAGGGTAGAAGAGAAGAAATACTACGAGTTTTACGAGGATAGCGTGCGCGACACAACATTGGTATTACCGATGAAATCGAAAGATGAAACGAGAGAACGTGACCCTCTGATGGTCCCAGCGATGGGTTTGCACCGTCAGTTGCAAGTCATGTTGGAGTACCTACACCAGGTTGTGATTAACAAGTCGGAGAAATTCGATCCACCAGAACTGCAAGATCATCTCAAAGCTAAGATTACACCGCATATTGTATCAGACTTCCCAGAGCTTGAAGAACTAGTGAACTTGCTCGAGCTGAAGAAGGTTGAACCCAAATCTAAAGAATTCAAGCCACCTGCGCCTGCAGAGCCTGTCCCATCGCTAGAAGAATTGTTAAAGAGAGGAGAGGCTGCAAGAGAAGGGGAGTCATAACAGGTCGTATATATATCATTCTATATAACTCTTTACTGTTTCATTTTTACCAAAACGATAACTGTTTTTATGAGCCTGCAAGTAAGCAATACAAAAGTAATCATTATGTCAATCTTTGACCTGTAAATGACGTGGGGGACAATTTTTATTCTCAATCGTCAAGGACTTTTTGCGTGAATTGTATCTTATCTTTTTGGTCTGTTATACTGAACATTGGCATATACTCTGGTCCCTATCGTCTGCCCCCCTCACCCCCACATACAAATTTTTCAAATCGGTATGGATCCTCGAGGATCTGTTAAGACAGAGACAAAAAATTAAGGGGAGAATCAATTAGAGTGCAATTGATGTTCTAATGCTGATTGATTCCATTCTCAATTCTTGCCTTGTGTAAGGGATGTGTTACAGATATTGAAGGGTCTTTATACACCAAGATACATGGTTGAGTTTGACTATGCTTCACGATTCTTTAAGGGGAGCGGAGCAGTACATGTGTTATGGTCAAATTTTGCGTGATTTATGTTGAAAATGAACTTATTCTTCACTAATATGCAGCCGATGCGCAGGTAGATATTGAGTATTCTTGTCCCCTGGTTTCTGAACAGTCAATTGCAATAAATGAAAATAAATTTAATCTGCACTAGAATATGTGGGTCAATTCCAAGTGTCAAGGATCGAGGAATAAAATATATAAATATATAAGATGGGCGTTCAAAGTTTGAAATGTCTTCATCTAGTATTCCTCCCTCTTAAAGATTCAATAATCATTAGCAACATAAAAATTTATAAACTAGCATAGCAGCTCATCTAATGTCCCAAATAGAATCGGTACCAACTAAACCTTACCAGGACCAGAAACCAGGTACCTCAGGTCTAAGAAAGAAGACTAAGGTCTTTGAAGATCAACCCAATTATGTCGAGAATTTCATCCAATCTGTGATGGAAGCTATCCCTGAAGGCGCCAAGGGTGCTGTTCTTGTTGTCGGTGGTGATGGGCGTTATTATAACGACGTTATTCTGCAAAAAATTGCTGCCATTGGCGCTGCAAACGGCGTCAAAAAGTTGGTTATTGGCCAAAACGGTCTACTATCTACACCAGCTGCTTCTCACATCATGAGAACATATAAGGAGAAGTGTACAGGTGGTATCATATTGACCGCTTCCCATAATCCAGGTGGTCCTGAAAATGATATGGGCATAAAATACAATTTATCAAATGGTGGCCCGGCACCAGAACCAGTTACCAATAAGATCTGGGAGATTTCAAAGAAGCTGACTCATTACAAGATTGTGAAGGATTTCCCAGAACTTGATCTGACCAAACTAGTTGAAAATAAAAAATATGGCCCACTTTTGGTAGATGTTATTGACACTACTGATGCTTATATCCAACTACTAAAAGAGATTTTTGATTTTGAATTGATTCATAAATTTATAGCAAAGCAACGTAAAGAGAAAGGATGGAAGTTGCTGGTCGACTCCATGAACGGTGTAACAGGTCCATATGCGAAGGCAATTTTCGTTGATGAGTTTGGTCTTGACTCTAAGGAAGTCCTTCAGAACTGGCACCCTCAGCCAGATTTCGGCGGCCTACATCCTGATCCTAACTTGACATATGCACATACTTTGGTCGAGAGAGTGAATAAGGAGAAGATTGAATTTGGTGCTGCTTCTGATGGTGATGGGGATAGAAATATGATATACGGTTACGGTCCAGCTTTTGTCTCTCCTGGTGACTCTGTTGCTATCATCGCAGAATATGCTAATGAAATTCCATATTTCAAGAAGCAAGGTATTTACGGTCTTGCTCGTTCTTTCCCTACTGCTAGCGCAATTGACCGGGTTGCTAAAAAGCACGGTTTGAACTGCTATGAAGTTCCTACTGGTTGGAAATTCTTCTGTGCTCTGTTTGACGCCAAGAAACTTTCCATCTGTGGTGAGGAGTCCTTCGGTACAGGCTCAAATCACGTTAGAGAAAAGGATGGTATTTGGGCTATTATGGCGTGGTTGAACATTCTTGCCATCTTTAATCAACGTCACCCAGACAAGGAAGCCTCTATCAAGACTATTCAAAATGAGTTCTGGGATACATATGGGCGTACCTTTTTCACTCGTTATGACTATGAAAAAGTTGAGACAGATAAGGCTAATAAGGTCATTGAAAACCTAAGGCAATACGTTGCAGACTCTGGTACAAAGGGCTCCAAATTTCCAACTGATTCTGCATTGACGGTAGTAGATGCAGGTGACTTTTCTTACACTGATCTGGATGGTACGATCTCTTCTCATCAAGGTTTGTATGTGATACTGTCCAATGGTGCCAGGTTCGTCGTAAGACTGTCCGGGACAGGATCATCCGGAGCAACCATCAGACTTTACATTGAACGCTATACTGATGATAAGAGCAAATATTCGCTTGACGCACAGGAATACTTGAAACCAATTATCAAGTCAATTGTTCAGTTCTTAGACCTCAAGACCATTTTGGGAACTGAAGAGCCAACCGTGCGTACCTAGTAATACCTAGTACGCAAATATATAATTTATAAATTTTATATAAATAACACTTCACTGTGGCATTACTTGGCTCTAAATATGAAAATGTGTTGCAGCCCTATTGTGGTATAAGCATGCTATGCGTTGGGTATGATTCAATATGTACGATTAGTAGAATAAATCAATGAGGCTAATGTTCATTATACTTGCTTGAGCTATCATAAGAGCTTGCTTAATAATTAATGCAAGAGGGAATAGCAATACGGCGGTATCTACTTAATAAGAGTTATAATAATAAATGTGATAGTCAATAGCATTTGTGATCACGTCAAGGACTCTTTTACAAAATCTATGTTTTGGTGGGAAAAGATGGCTCTCTCGTACTTATATGTATTACCAGTACTCTTACCAAAAATTCCCTCAATAACCACTAACTATAGACAGCGTTATATATTTCCCTCATAATGCGATAATAGGTACATGGGCTCACCCCCGATTGCAATCAATGGTATAAGCACAATCGGCCCCATTGTCACTAACACCATTGTTTGATCTATCATATCATATCGTCTTAGAATTAATAAGAGAAATGTTACCAGGACACAAAATCCGCTTTTTTAAACTGAAGGGATGGGGTAGCACTGATGAGACCTTTCCCAAGCCTGGTTTTCCTCCCTCAGACAGCAACGGTGAGATCCTGTAAGCATCTAAAGGGAAGCCCAAAGGAACCCATCACTTGGAAGAGACTAAATAGATAGTGTCTGTCTGTTTTTCTTTCCTCATTGTGTGTCTTGAAGAGGAAATAAAAATTAGAAGACAAATAGGGACCTTAACGTAGTAGGGGAGCTCTTCGCGGACGTTTCAACGGGCGTTGATCAGATCATCTCGCATCAGAAATAAGATAGGTCATAAGGCTTTGGAAAAGGAGCGTGCTTATTTTATTCTATCTTCGAAAGTATATAAGCATTAATCGAAACAAGGGACGCCAACACTTTCTTGTAACCAAATAGGAAAGACAATAGAGTACTACTCAGATTTCAGCAGAGAAAGAAGGCAAGCGACAGGTGGCGTACTCTCTAAGTTATAGACACGACAATTTTTTTTGGCAAGAAAAGTACCCAGATTTGTTGATTAGAGTATAGAAACGTTTTCTTTTTGGTATTTGTTTTACAGTCACTTAAAAGATACCAGCATTATATCATATACTACTTTGGTGATTCGTGCATATTTGACTTTGTAATAAGTCGATAGTCAGCGTTCCCGTTACTACAAGATGTACTCGTGGAAGAAATTTAAGTTTGGTAAGTCAAAGGACGAAAAGGAACAGAAGAAGGATAAGTTGTTTCATTTCCACCATAAGCACACTGGCTCAGATGTTTCAGATAACTTTGGTAATGGCAATGACAAGGAGAAGTCAGTCGACTCCCTGCCTTCAAGTTCTGAAATAACACCATATCCATCTGACTTACCATCCCAGAACACCAATGGAAACAATAGCAGTCGTAATGATACTATGGTTAATTCTAACTCATCTAACCGTATTAGCTCTGCATCATCGGCTAAAGGCCCCGGATCATCATCTTCGACTATCAAAGATGTACCACTAGGTGGCGAGAATGAGAGATCTTCTTCACATATCGACCAAGTCTCGCAGAAGTCAGCTACTTCTACAAAGAAAACTAGCACCCCTAGTACCGGTGTGATGACAATTAAAGTGTATAACGGTGACGGATTTAGACTACCATTTCCTATCACTTCAAATAAGAAGATTTTGAGCAGACTTTTGGAATCAGGAATTGCTTCTGATAATCATGATACCAGTTTAGAAGTTGAAGCTATTCTTCAAAGAATATCGAGACTTGAATTAACAAACAGTAACTCAAATGAAAACCTACTACCAGGCGATATTGCTACACAGTCAATACCATCAACGATAAAATTACCAAACTCTGTGCCTTTAAATCCATTACTATACTTTACAATTGAATTTGATAACACAGTTGCCACTATTGAGCCAGAGAGCGGGACTATGGCTCAGCCTATTTTTAATAAAATATCAACGTTTGATGTCACAAGAAAACTGCCACAGTTGAATATTGATGTCTTCGTCCGTATTCCATCCATTCTGCTACCACCCAAGCAATGGCAACAGGAAATGGGTGCTCAGGATGAAAAATTACAGGCATTGCTTGATAAAATCAATACAAACCAGGATGTCCACTTGGATTCATTCCAACTGCCTGTGAACCTATTGATAGACTCTGCTGCAACTATTAGACTGTACAACCATCACTGGGTCGAATTGCGTGATGGCCTAGGAAAGATTAACATCAGTGTTGATTATAAACCTTCAAGAAATAAGCCATTGTCTATTGACGACTTTGATTTACTGAAAGTTATTGGTAAAGGTTCATTTGGTAAAGTTATGCAAGTCAGAAAGAAAGATACGAAGAAGATATATGCACTTAAAGCCATTAGAAAGTCTTACATTGTGTCAAAATCGGAAGTAACGCATACACTTGCAGAAAGGACCGTGCTTGCACGTATAGATTGTCCCTTTATTGTACCATTGAAATTCTCATTCCAATCTCAAGAAAAGCTCTACCTTGTTCTTGCGTGCATCAATGGTGGTGAGTTGTTCTATCATTTGCAGAGGGAAGGTAGATTTGACTTATCAAGATCTAGGTTCTATGCGGCCGAACTTCTGTGTGCGTTAGACACTTTACACAAGATGGATGTTATTTATCGTGACTTGAAACCTGAGAATATCTTATTAGATTACCAAGGCCACATTGCACTATGTGATTTTGGTCTATGTAAGCTAAACATGAAAGACGAGGACAAGACCGACACATTCTGCGGTACACCTGAATATCTGGCTCCAGAACTATTGTTGGGTCAAGGGTACAGTAAAGTTGTGGACTGGTGGACCCTCGGTGTGCTGTTGTATGAGATGCTGACTGGTCTGCCTCCATACTACGATGAAAATGTCCCAAAAATGTACAAGAAAATCCTGCAAGATCCTCTGGTGTTCCCTGACGGGTTTGACAGGGACGCCAAAGACCTATTGATCGGTCTGCTAAGTCGTGACCCACAGAGAAGACTGGGCTACAATGGCGCCGACGAGATCAAGAACCATCCGTTCTTCAGCCAACTGTCGTGGAAGCGTCTGCTAATGAAGGGCTACATCCCACCATACAAGCCTCCGGTGACTAGCGCCACAGACACCAGCAACTTCGACCAAGAGTTCACTAGAGAGAAACCAATCGACAGTGTTGTGGACGAGTACCTGAGCGAAAGTGTCCAAAAGCAGTTCGGCGGATGGACCTACGTGGGCTCCGAACAGCTGGGAAACTCCTTGGTACAAGGTGGAAGCATAAGGTAGGCCAAGTCCCCCGCCGCACTAATATATATGACCTATTACAATATATAGAAAAAAATACTACAACAACGCTAAATCTCCCGCTGTATATAGTGTCTGACGCCCTAGCTTCAATAATTCCACGGATCCGTGGAGCTTCTAAGCAGACCCGGAATCGTCTTATTTTCTGTAAAAACTCAACTATCATGCATTTTTATTTGTCACAGACAACAGCGCAGGAACCCAAAAATTCTCCCGAGACGCTCACTTTCCGTTGATCCCGACAATCCCATGGAAGTCCCAAGAGTCCCCCGAAACAACTCGCACCGTCTCGCTACCTTTCGTCCTGCAAAGACACGGATCCGCCTCACAATCGTGTTGCGAACTCAAGTAGAACACCGCAGGCCCGGGACCACAACGTTGAAAAACTCAATTTAGAAACGATTTACCCGGCTGTGAGAGCTTTTGCCTTTGCCCTTGTTGGTACAGTAAAGTTCCTGCAGGGCTCACTCAAGAGAACACCGCAGAAGGTGTCCCTTGCTGCTACAGTAGGGCACCTCTCCAGCAGTGTCTCCAGCAGTGTCTCCAGCAGTGTCTCCAGCAGTGTGAGGGCTAAGGAAGCTTGTATCCTACGGTTGGTGCAGTTTTGTGCAGCTGTTACCGTGTCGCGCTGGCCCTGGCTCTAAAATGGGTTTTAGGGCTAGGGCTTGAGTTGTGCGTTCCGTTTCTTTTTTTTCACTGTTGTGCTCTCTTTCTCTCTCTGTATGATTCTGTGTTTGTAGGCAGAGTTGCTCTTCGCGCCTCCTTCGGGGGGGGGGGGGGAAACCTAGGGCTTCCATTCCTCGTTTGCTATCCGTATCCCTTCTACCCACCTGGGGGGGCCCGCACTTGATGAAATTTGCTATATATAGCGGGAAAGCTGGTTTCTGGTGCGGCACAGGTGCTGTCTTTTGGCGGTTAAAATAGAACGGTGGCGGATAAAAATTGTGAGCTGTCTTTTCTTTCCCTTGAATAACGACGTGAGCAATCTTGGGAGTATAAGTGAATGACAAGGTTTAACTTCGCCATAGGCCATGACGAGGACGGGACCACTGATCTTGGGAAAGTTGCTACAGATACGACCACCACTACTGGGAGCTCGATCCCTGTGAGGAGCAGTATGGACTCTGATAGCTTTTCGCATGACGAGGACGCGGAGTTGAGCCGTTCGATGGATGATTCGCAGGACGCGCGGGAGGTGAAGAGTATGAACAGTGAGTATTCCAGCGACGATGGCAGCAAGGACCGCACGAAGAAGGAGATCAACTCGGCTGAGTACTCGGCTGACATTCAGCCGTTGCAGTTCAAGATGAGCAGGAGGAGGACCACGCAGTTTGACGGGACCGAATCTTCGAAGGCGAGCAGGAAGGCCAACGCCAGCGGCAACGGTAGCGATCCGATAAAGACACTCAGGTTCGACGAGGGCAGTCTGTCTTCTTCGCCAACTGCGATTGCTTCCGATGCCACCAGGGCTAGTCTACAGAGAGATACGTTTGCGAAAGTAAGAGAGCATATACAGCGAGGGTCCGTAGGAAACAGTGGACTCACAAGGTCAGATTTCAATCCATTTGCATTTATAGATAGAGAACAGTTTGAAACGTACTTGAAGGAGCCCCGCTACATACGGATCTTCAAAAAGAGATCGCGGTCATCTAAGCAGTTTAGAAGATTATTCCTTGCGCAGGAGCTGAAAACCACTGATGAATTCGATGACATAGAAGCAATGAGCGCTAGCTTATTATCTCAGCCCGATGGCCTAAAACCAAATACATCTATAACGAACGCTACACTAAACGGTAATAACTTTCACGATAATATAAACGATCCGAATCACGACATGCATTCAGATAAAACTTTCTCCGGGACAGCATGCCCTGTTCTTCCAACTTCAGGACATTTGGAACCAGCTAAGAATACAAAGGCTATATGGAGCACAAAATTTAGCATTGATGGTAAATACATGGCAACAGGTAGTCGAGATGGCGTTCTAAGACTGTGGAAAGTGCTAAGCACACCTGTGGAGAGATGGGGGTTGGATTCATCTATAGATTCTGCACATTTGACTTCAGCAAAATCACTGCGGTTACAACAAAATCAGCATGGTTCATCACATGGTGGCCCACTGGGGTCACCGGCTATGCGTAGGGACACTTTCGACAACATAGACGCAAAAGAAAATTCGTCAAATCTGTATGCTCCAGTATTTCAACCTACACCAGTAAGAACATACAAAGAACATCTTCATGACGTATTAGACATGGATTGGTCAAAGAATAATTTTTTAATTTCAGCATCGATGGATAAAACAGCAAAACTATGGCATCCCTCAAAAATGAGATCTCTAAAGAGTTTCCAACACCCAGATTTTGTTACTTGTGTCAAATTTCATCCTACTGATGATAGGTTCTTTATTAGCGGTTGTTTAGATCAAAAATGTAGACTGTGGTCAATTTTGGATGATGAGGTGAGTTTCGAATTTAATTGTAGGGATCTAGTGACTTCCTTGACACTAACCCCTGGAGACGGCACATATACAATTGTGGGAACATTCAATGGTTACATACATGTACTACAAACTAAAGGATTGGAACATATAACATCTTTTCATGTTACAGCTAAGAAAACTCATGAAAATACACATGAAGTTTTATGCCCAAGTAATGATTCAAAAGTTAGGCATGGTCCTCGAGTAACAGGCCTACAATGCTTCAATTCTTTGATAGACAATTCTTTGAGATTGGTCGTGACCTCTAGTGATTCGCGTATCAGAGTCTTTGACTTGACAAGAAGGAAATTGATTGAAATCTTGAGAGGGTTCCAATGTGGTTCTTCACAGCATAAAGCTCAAATATCCGTATATCGTAATCAACCGATAGTAATCAACAGTAGTGATGACCATTGGGTATATGGTTGGAGATTAAAATCTTCTGACCCTGTCGAGATCAATAAGAAGGCAAAAAAACATGGAATGTCTAGATCAGGTTCTATTCGAGGTTTGTTCTCGAAATCCATCAGCAGGTCGTCTAGCCAAGGAAGTGAGGATAGACAAAGTTTAAGAAACACTTTAAAATTATCTTCATTACTACCTATTCCACATAGTAGTCATAGCGATGGTGTCATGAAAAATAGTGATTATTTTTCATTTCATGCACATAATGCACCAGTTACCACGGTCACCATGGCACCAGAAGAGACCTCGAAGACTTTATCTCTGTCAAATGATCCTATTTGCGAACTGTCGCTAGAGTTTTTTGAACCATCTGATGAAGTTGACATAATTAAACTAAAAGATACACAGAAAGGCGGGCACGACAATATTCCTGCTACAAAGACACCAGTGACAACTTCATTAGCTAAACCAACTCCAGTGGAAGTTATTGGAAGTATACTGATCTCGACAGACAGTAATGGGTTAATTCGTGTATTCAGAGCAGATATGTCTAAGAGTATAAGGGCTAGAGTGTTGCAGAAGTTACAGAAATATAACAGAGAGATGGGTAAACAATATGGTAGCACCGATTCACTTGTTTCTGAGAATGATAAATCGAGGCCCAATTTGGGTACTGTTGGCCACCAACCAAGTACAAATTCTACCTCATTTTTAAGTAGTACAGGATCAACAAACACTACAACTGTAGGGTCGGGCTCTAAAGCTTCCATCACAAGGAATCACAGTTTCAGATCATTGAAGGCATTCAAGTCTCCTACAGCAAACTTCTCAAACACAGCTTTAGGTGCGACGATGAACAGAGCTCCAAGAGAAAGTATATCCTCCGTACGCTCAGATTCCACTAGCAATACGATGACACCTATGTCGTTCCCTGGTCTAAAATGTCATGTCTGTGATGGTACAAAATTTGAACCTCTAACAAGGTCGTCAGGATCGCAAGATAAGAGTTACTTTTGCGTAGATTGTAAAACGCTACTAAACAATTTCAGGTGATCTTCTATGCCCAATATATTTACGCCAATGAGACAAATTTGCAGGTACGGAACTCTGCATTCTAGATTATATAAACTACGTTTACTTTTTTCAATATTATTCTATATGTTACCTACTAATGAACCATAGACAATATTTAAGCATTATCTAGTTTGTATTTGATGAAGTTCCTTAATCTAATGTAGCCAGTTTGAAAAGCAGTGAAACTTGTTGTTCTACTCTGTTCCATGCTATAAAATACGTTCGTCTGGGCGGCAATCTCGGGTTTGTCTGAAACTTGAAACACAATTTTGCAGTTCATCAATTCAAAAAGATATAAAAGTAACTACAAAAAAGGGATTCTTCTTTAAATTTGAGAATTTATTTTACATCTAATTGGAACTTTTGGATTAGTTGACTTCCAACAAGTACAAGAGAACAAACAACTACTTTATCTTCAAAGCCCAGCATATAAAGCCATAAAGTATTGTGCACAATATTTTCAGATAATACTATCTTAGCCTTTACTTTATTTGGAAATCAATATCAAGAGATTAAAATGATCCATTTGATCAGAAATTTGTTTATCTGTGTGGTTGAGGTTATGAGCATAGGAAGTTCAAGTGTTACAAAATTTATTTCAGACTATGCAACTGTTCTGTTCTATTATTGCAAGAGTTTTTATTACATAAACGTAATAACAACCAGTATTCAAAAGATGTTGATTTTTGCTCTACGTACAGGACCTGTACCTGCCCATGTTGCTTTTATTATGGACGGCAACAGAAGATTTGCAAAGTCAAAAGATATTCCGTTGAGAAAGGGTCATGAGGCTGGTGGGGAAACATTACTCACACTGGTCTACATATGTAAAACATTGGGTGTCAAATGTATTTCTGCATATGCATTTTCTATCGAAAATTTTAATAGGCCTCGAGAAGAGGTTGAAACATTAATGAATTTGTTCGGCGACAAACTTGATGAGTTTGCACAAAAGGCCAATGATTACAAGGATCCTCTGTATGGATCATCTCTAAGAATAGTTGGAGATAGGTCTTTAATAAGCCCAGAACTTAGGGAAAGAATTGAAAATGTTGAGAAGCTGACGGAAAACAGTGAGAAGTTTATTTTGTACATATGCTTCCCTTACACTTCCCGGAATGACATTTTCCAAACAGTAACTAAGGTTACGGACAAGTATGTGCAAAGTAATATTATAGACTCAAATCTCTCAATAAATGAATTTACTAAAAGCATGCATTTCAAAGAATATTCTGACAATTGTGATATACTGATTAGAACAAGTGGGCATAAGAGATTGTCGGACTTTATGTTATGGCAGGTCAACGAGCATGCAACAATGGAATTTAGCACATCTCTATGGCCGCAGTTTAACTTTTTCCAAATGTATCTAATAATTTTGAGATGGTCAATGTTTAAAATGTTTCAGATATACAATATGAATAATGTTAGTAAACACTCGAAATTTGGTTCAAAGCTTTACAAACCATATAAAACAATTCTGAAATATATCTTCTCAGAAAGGCTCCCCGATCCTCCAATGGCAGTTCCCGTAACTAATAGATAACCAAACCAATAATCAGTTAAAACATATAAATAATTGTTACAACATTTAACAATATTATTGTTCCATTCGTTAATTACCATAGTTAATATGCAATACACTTTGGGTGGATAAACATAAAATGCTACGCGTATATCTTAAATTATAAGTTTTGCTGTATAAATAAAAAAATTAAAATAGCCTACAACAAGTCAATGCAAGTAACGTGAAAAAAATCTCCAACAGATTCATAATAAATGAGTTTCAATGCTAATGATTAAGAGTTTCATTCCATGCCGTTAATATCTTCATTATCATTTGAAAATTGGCCAGCCATTTCTTCAGTATGTGTCAAATCGGGTGTATGCTGTTGTAGCATCAAACCAGCTGTGTTGGTTTGTAAAATAGTTCCTCCTTCAGTTCTTGCCATCATAGTAGAAGAGTCATTCCCAGTTCCACCAGGTGTGTTAGTTTCTGTATTCATGGAGCTAGACTTATTGGAAGATGTAACCTCATGGCACCAGTACCTATGATGCTTCCAAGCTTCAAGCTGACACTCTCGAGAGCAATATTTAGTTCTTTTACATCTTCGACATTTAGCGAATTCTCGAGGGTATCGCTCCCACTTACCACAACTGAAATTAGCACACTGGCGTACTCCCGTTACCTCATTTTTCCTGCACGAATTTCTCATTATTACTGAACTCCAGTAGATAATATCATGTGTATTTTTATCAGTAATGGTATATTTTTCAACCAAAGGGAATGCATTAATCAGTTGCTTAGAAATGAAAGAATTCCAAGTTTCATCAGTTAGTCGTTTTGAAACTTTCTGATAATTCCATAATCGATCAAAATATTTATTCAATTGAAGATTTTTAATATAAGGGGGAGACTTCATATTCAAAATGCATGTGCGACACTTTGGTTTACATTCTTTCCTTTTTTTTTCAATTTTTAAACATCTCTTGCCACATTCCATTATTTCTTTGATTATTGGATTATTAATCTTCATTTGTAAATTGGTAATATCACTCTCATCTTTAATGTCACCCACTATATTTTCATCCTTCTCTGACAGATTTTTAGATATCGAAAGTGGACTCAGATTATTACTAAACGTTGTCATCTTTCTCTTTTTATACCTCTCTATCATACTTCTAAATGAGAGTGAGTCTATTAATTCAACATTTTGAAGTTTTTGTTTCATGTAAGTATATTTTGAAATAAACGCTAATAACTGCAGAGACCATATAACGTCATCTTGTTTAGGAATAATTTTACCGATGAAAAAACTCCTTGGAGTTGAAACTAGAAATTTCTCTTCGTCGTTCTCATAGAAACAGTTTTCTTCTAGTTTAGCATTTGACTTGTCTGAAGGTGTTGGTAAAGGTGAGTCATTATATCTCTGCCACACATCGCGAAAGTCAGTAGCACAAGTCATAATTGGTGTAGTTAATTCTTCGACACTGAATCTTTTAAAGTCTGTTGGCTTTAGTTTGTCTCTGCCTATTAAGTAAGAAATGTACTCTTCATAAGTTTCTTCAGAGTTCTTTCGAAGTAATTTGTAAGAGTCAAATGTTAATATCTCATCTATCTCAAAATCTAAAGTCTCGTCTCTAATAAAGTCGTAATGCTTATGAAAGAGCATGTAATTATCTAAAACTGTGGCCAGCACAGGAATAACCCCGGCAAGAACAACTTTTTTTCGTATCTGTTCAGTACCTCGAGTACCAGTTAAAACTAGGCATTGGAAAGCTAATGTCCATTTCCAGGCACAAAGAGCTAGTCGTTTCCTCTTATAAATGCTCTTAGCCCTCTCATGAGTCTTAAAGAATTCTAAATCTTTGTCCAAAATCTCGTGTAATGATAAATGGCAGTTGTGTAATATAGATACCAATCTATCCAATGCACCATCGTTTGCAATAGTTTCACGTATTTTCGCCGAATTTGATGTCAGATAGGTCAAATGGTTCAATGAGTTTATAAGTGGCACTGTAGATTCTATGTCTAAAGCACGCCTGTCATATACTGTCGACGTTATCGTGATAACGGGTTTGTTGTTAGATATAGAGCGATGATTCGAATCTCTCATCAGTCTAAAACGAAAGTTCAATTATTGTGCAAAGGTCAAAATGTTAATCAATGGAGTAAATTAATTTAAAGAATATTATAGTGTCTTCAAAAGAAGGAATAGAAGTGACTCTAGATTAGGTCACAAGCAAAAAATAAAATATTTGTCTATGTCGCCACCACACTTTCCGCGCCTTCACACACTAGTAGTGGGTTGATATTAAATTGGCAAGCACACAAGTTCACAGTCTTTGCACCTCACAGTTAAAGGCAAGTTACTACCACAAATGATACGCTTAAGGTCCACCGTATAACTGTTCAAGCAAAATGGTGTATGGTGCGCTTCCAGTCTGACTTCAATTTCCCGGCAACCTTCTCGCCCCCGCGACTAATTTACAATAAGTCCTCTCGGCTAAAATGCAAATACTTAGCCCTGATCTTCAAATCCAATACAGTTCTTTGCTGCTGCTAATTGTATATCTCAATCTATTGGCTTTCGGAAGGCTAAAGTACTGGCTATATATGCTGTTTTGACTACGACCACTGTCAAACCTAGCTCGATGCTTTGGAGCCATTCAGGAACACAGACAAATACCAGTAGGGAAATCATTCTAGTATTGTCGTACGGGTGATTGTCAGTGAATTTTTGGAAATCCATACAAAGTGCACTAGTTGAAATTTGAAGTCAACAATTTTGAATGGGCGTGTGGCGTAGTTGGTAGCGCGCTCCCTTAGCATGGGAGAGGTCTTGGGTTCGATTCCCAACTCGTCCAATATTTTTTTTGCTTACTGAATTTGCTATACCATTAACCAATTATCAGTCAAGTACTTTAAGGTGTTACATTGAAGTAAAATACCTCTGATTTGCGTATTAATTCTATATTCTCGAATGTACTAATAGCTGCATATGTGATATTCTAAAGAAATTCATTTTAGCAATATATTTAAATTTTATTAAATTGTACTGAAACCGGTCATTAAGGAAGTTTATAGGTATATATAGGACGAATAGACAGCTGAAGTTTATGGTTCGATGGCTTGGTAGTTCAATTCTTGCTTGGACAAGATTTGAGCAGCAGACCATTTTTGACCTGGTGGCAAGACAACGAAGTCACTGACATGGCCTGGCTCAACACAGACCATGTTCTTGAAACCATCCTTTGGTTCGAAGTCGCCCATACCTGCGGATTTGTCGACCCATGGGTTCCAAACGACAGCGTCTGGTAGATTTTCCCTCTTGACAGTATGTAGTGGCTTACCCTTACCTACAACTTGGATCAATCTATCGGAATCGACGTTCTGGTAAATAGAGTCTGTTTCTTGGTGGAAAGTAACCACAGGGTGCTTGTCAATGAAGCTCTCCTTTAGCAATTGGTCGTAGACCTTCATACCAACTAAGTTGGAGACCATGGTGTCCTCAATGTCTTCGATGTGTAAGTAGGTGTGGAATAGCCAGTTGAATTTCATGTTCTCCTCAGAAGCATTCTCAACTTCAATGGCAGTTTTCAAGAAGTCCTCACCAAGTTCTATGGTCAAAATCAAGTTGAAATCTAAAGGCCATAGCTTAACCAATTCCTGGTTGGCAATCTTTGGATTCAATCCAAATTGAACAGTTGGTGGGTTACTCTTAACTTGGCCCAGGAACTCCCATGTAGAGTTTCTTGCAAAACCATGTTGTGGAAGCTTGCTCAAAAGTTCGTCACTTTGGTTCTTACCAAAAACTGGGAACACCAATGGAATACCACCTCTAACTGGCTTGGAACCATCCAATTTGGCAGCGGTGGATAGCCACAATTGTTCTTCACCATTCAATTTCCATGAAGTAACAGTGGCACCATACTTAAGGATGGTGACTGAAGTATTAGAGTTAGATGGATGAGTGATCACAACTTGGGAGTCAGTTTCTTCAATAGACATCTTGATTTCTGTTTGACTATTGGTTCTCTAGTCACTGAGAATTTGACAGTTCGATATATTGTTAGCTATTCGGTACCTTTATATACCTGTGGTAAGGCCCAACTTTTTAAGGTCTCGATCGTGTAATGTGCAAGTCACTCCTTTGTAAGGAATAGGGGAATTACCACACACACCGATAGTAATAGTGTGTCATATGTGTAGATCAATTCGATACACATGAAAGCAGATCAGTTAGATATTCAGTAGATGTAGGTTCTCCTTTTCATTATATTTAGTTAGTCTTCTTTGATTAGTTGATTGTGAAAATGCTGGTAATTTTGATTAAATTTTGCTATTATGAAAACATATGTAAGAATAGATAATTTCTAAAATAGTTTTGTTGTTCATTAGTGAGGGAGGAACTAGACATGCATGTCGTAACGTTTTCAATTTGAAGAGAAATTCATACCTTTTGTAAATGCATATCTTCTTCTTTCACCGTGTCCAATGTGTTTGTACTGTTTGTGATACTACTGATTGAAATATGTGTGGTTGGCTGCTCCTTCTTAACGCTGGATTCGTTTTGATCCAAGGATTCAGTACCAATTCCAAGCATTTTCTGATGTTCTTGTTGTTCAAGAAATTTCTTCTTTATCATCTCTTTCAGTTCTTGCTTTTGCTTTACCCATTCTTCTGCGCGTCCCAACGTTGAATCAACTACATCAATAACACTCTGCACCATGTTTAGAGACTCTTTGGCAAGTATTAGATATTTTCCGTTGCTAGACACGGGTAATATACTAGAGTATGAGCTTAGAGAGTCTGTCGACGAGGATGCCGTCATTATTCCTGTACCATTATTTTTGAAGCCATTATGAACACTTGTATTCCAATTGCTAGGCAAATTTAGTAACGATTCTCTAACTTGAGACCTAGCAGGTTCTGGCAAAGAAGAGCCAGTATATTTCGATATTAGCGAGTACACTTTCTTAACTGTACCCACAATTTCAAGTCCCAAATCGCCAGAGTTCTGATCAACAGACTCTGATGCATCGTAAAACTCGAGATCGTCGTCGTTTTGGGGACCGCTATGCTCACCATTCAAAGCTCTAGTTTCTTTCTTAACTTCTTCTCCATTGGCCAATTCTTGTTCCTTCTCTACGGCATCTTGTAAGTATGCAACTTTGTCTGATAGTTGCTTGTTTGCTAATTTTAGTAGATGTAAACATGTTATCAGACGCTTCTTTGACTCAATGGACATAGTCAATTTATATTCTCTTAAGTTGTATCTCCCCTTAGCGAGAGCTTCGCTGAGCGCCTTACGCTTCGAGTAGTATTGTCTGTCATTATATGATCTCGAACTCCAAGTGTCCCATTTGCCATTGTAAGAACCTTGGGTACCTTGGCTCTCTGTATCAGCATCTGCCCCTGTCGTTGAGATAGAACGTGAATCTCGGCGAGGTCTAACATAGCCATTAGGGTGTTCTTCCGGGACATCACTTCCACCTTCCATAAATACGTTGCTGTTCATCTCTTCGAAGAAAGAGCCCATATTTGTTAAAATCTCATTCGAGTTTCTGCAAACTTTATCAAACAATGATTCCTCTTCTTGTCTTTTACTCTGAGAGTCCTCATGACTATTAACTCGTACTACTCGCTCTTCCGTAGACGCATTGCTCACATTACTTAATTGGCTCATCCTGGAGTCTGACCTATCCCGAACACTAGCTTTCCGCCTCCTAACATGTCCACCATCCTCATCTTCCCCATCACGTACACGCTTCTTGCTGCGGTCTTCTTCTACTTCAACATCTGCGTCCACATGCGAGTTCCTCAGGACATCCAGCGCCTCAGCAGCTTCAACATCCTCCTCCGACAGCCCGCTGAATGAGATATAATTGTGTATCCACCCACGCCTTGTGTCCATGGTATTTCCAGCAGCACAGTTTATTCACAGGGGTTCTTCAGCTACCTTGGCATACATGGATGTAATTGTAACCATCTCATTTAAAACTTCTTGTTTTTATACTCCTGCCCATGTGAAAGTTTTTTTGTTGGAAAAACCCTGCCAAGTCCGGGTATAAGCAGCTTGTGTCCAAAATAATAATGCGAAACAAGAGACAAGAGTATCAATTTGGATCCACCAGAGTATAACAAGGGCTGGGCTTGCTTCTAGAATTGTGTATTGTAACATAACTTATGCTGTTATTTGGTAGTGCTAGGCGTTGTGTGCACGGATGGAGTCATGTTGCGAAACAACTCGGAAAATACGGGGTTGATGAGGTTGCGATCAGTAAACTGCGGTTGTTGCAAGAGAACACTGCGATTCGATGTGGTGTGCTTATGAACACTCGCCAGGGATCATTTGGTAGTGCTTTTGTTACCGATAAGGAGGCATTAGGGAGCTCCTGGGTGCCCACTTTGATTAACCGGTGGGTTAATGAGGATAAGACGCCAGTGTTGATGAAGTATGGGGACCAGTTCCGTGAGATCAATGGGGAGGTCCGCACTTTTGAGATTCCTTCCAGTTTCTTGAAGGAGACCAACGCTGAGATTCTTGAAATTCCAGAGCAAGACCAAAGCAAGGACAAGCGGTTACCGCACGTTCATGATGGTTGTCATGTGTACTTAGATATAAGAGGTGACCCAACTGTCAGCCAACCGACATGGCCTACTATAGAGATTGAGGATGTGCTCTCGAAAGGCAAATTATTGCTGACTAACCAGATAGATTCACAAATGGCCTTAGAATCTCTGTTGAAATATAACAACTCTACTATTAGTGAATACCTTAATAAACAAAACGCATCCAATTTTGATAGAATAAGAGCAAAATTAGTTGATAAATTAAAAGACGGTAATCTGATTCGGACAGAGTTGAAATCCTCGATACGAAGATACTTGCAGAGTACAGATAGAGATATCTCTAATGAAAAAAGGCTAATAGGTAAAAGAGATTTAACCAATGAGGAGATTGACAAATGGGCGGAGTGTTCTCATAAAACTCTGCGAGATGAAATTGTACCCTCATTTTTGTCCTTTGCAAGAGCTCACTTATCCCTGTGGAAGCTTTATACGTATTCACCAGCGAAGTTGAAACTGAACTTTATGGAGTACTGTATGATCCCATTATACAAAGTGCATGAAATTGAAAACAGTGCAAAAGTACTTGAAGCGAATATGTTCCGTGAATTTGATCTAGAAACAGTTAGTGCTCAAGTAATGACACCAATTCTTCCTACGACTGAAATTCAAAAGATTGGTAGAATACAAACTGAAATCAATAAAGCAATCTACAAGCAATTCTTCACAATTCAGCTGCCAATGGTACTTTGTGCTTTATTGGGCGTCGTATCAGAGCAATTTTCTGCCTATTATATGGGTTCATTGGCGGCATTAGGCATTGTGCTTGGATTTTGGAGGTGTATGAAACAATGGCAGTATATACTGAATGGATATACGAGAAAGGTCGCATTTCTTTTGAAGGATAGGATTGAACTAAGGAGAGCTGAGCTAAAAAAATTAAGTGACCGATGCTTCGAAGAGAAAGCATTAGCTGCAAAGAAAAAGAAAGAGCTCCTGGAACCATTATTAGAAGTAGATCTGAGACAAAAGAATAAAAAATGCTAAAATGAATTTAAAAGATCATGTAAGTAGTCTATAGCGTGTTATATCGTCTTAAATAATATATGCATATTCGTCATCGTTAATCGTTTTATATCTCACCCATGGGAATGACTGGTATTGTAATTGGTCTTCATCAATCTTCAAATACTCAACTTTCAAACCACTACATGTGCAGTAAGGAATCTCAAAATCCATTGAAAGTAAGTTGAGATTATTCTTTGGCTTTTGACCCACAGAATTATATCCGTCATTCTCCTCGTGAGTTTCTTTATATATATCTTCAAGCTTAGGGCCTGTCCTCAGTGGTGGTGGATTCATTGAAGTTTCTCTTTCCTTCCTTTCTCTTTCATACTCTTCCTCGTTGAATAGTCCAAACTCCGCTGCCATTGTAGCGACATTGTCAAACTTGCTTATATCTTCCTTTGAGCCATGCATTTTACCACCTTTAATAACACCGATCTCCCATAATAAGAAATCATCGCTAATATTATAGACTACTCGACCATTCGATGTTTTAAACTTTATTGGCTTTTTTAGATCAATCTGGTAGTCCTTGAATACCTTGGAAATGGGAATCTTAACATCTAGTTTTGATGTAGAATTTGTTGGCTTAAAGTGTGTTTCTACTGCAGCAGAAATTTTGAGTTTATATTTTTTCCACTTTGGTGTTATTTCAAATGAGCAAAGTTTGACCATAGGAGGATCTCTAATATGTCTTTTTAGTTCATAAGAACATAATGTAAAATCACCATCTGGAGGGATAAATTCAATTTCACTTTCAGCATTATGCTCTGTGTGTTTTAATGTCTTTAGTTCATCTGAATGTTCTTCGGCATACTTTATAACCTTTTCTATCGAATCCAAAGAAACACATTGGTGGAACTGTACCTGAGAAATAAACTGTTTATCATTTTGTAATAGTTTGTTTAAACTCATTTTCAGTTTAGGCATACCAGACAAATACGATCTACACACAATTTGACCATGGATAAGACTTCTTCTAACCATACCAGACTCTAAATCCACTAAATATTGCAACTTTTCGATTACATCAAGGAAAAATTCGTTTTTTGCATAATGGATACCCTTCGCACGCCAAGATACGGGCATGATCGTCGTTTTAGCGATATAACTGTTTATGAATGTTTCATTCTCATTGGCATCGTCATCATATTCATCTTTACCTCTAAATTTACCGATTTTTTCCAATTCGTTTATATTATCCTTAATTTTTTTGTATACTTTGTCTTTACTTGTCTTGAGCACTTTGTCTAGTTCCTCTTTGGATAATGGGACTTTCCCCAAGGCAGGTTTATCTTTATCCCCTTTTGACTTATGTTTGTGTTTCCTTTTACTATTCCCATCCGAGTCAGAATCGGAATCGGTATTCCATATCTCTTCCAGCATTATGCGTTGTTCAGGCAAATTTACTCTAACCCTTATATAGTCCTTCATGATGCTTGGCTCAGTCAATTGAACAATTCCGTAGTCCAATGTTTCATCAATGAGCTCCATGACTAGCAATGTGTTGTCTAATACTAAGTTCCGATCGAGTACTTTCACACCAACGTAATCCCTAAATAACTGGTACAACTGCTCCAAGTACGTTAAAATCGCTAAATAGTTCGCGATAGCATCATCAGCAGCATCTACCACAGCAACAAAGTATAGTGTATCGCGTTTGATATAGACGAATCGCCAATTGTACACATCTATAATAGGGTTTTGCGATTGTCGCACATGGTATCGGAACAAATCTCCTAGCTCATTGACATTCGGTAGACCTTTCACACTCTTAGATACTAGCGGTTCCAAAGTCTCATCAAATATATATATCGAAGAGGACATCTCTCGTTACTCCTGCTTCGTCTTGCTTTCAGTAACGTAGGCTTGCTACTATACATCAGGCTTAATTTATCGTTCTTTTGTATGCGGTTTTGGTGATTTTTCAATTTGGGATTTAAAGGTGAAGCCTCACTTGGAAAACAAGCACTAAGTAAAGTTCAAACAAGGGCTAACTTCAAAGTAAAACATATTTAAATATTAATATAAAGAGTAAGAGAACTATGTTCAACAAGATTGTTAAAAGTGAAGCGGAACGCGTGTCAGCTGCGGACCTGCAGAAGGCATTAAAACAACTCAAGGGATGGACTCATGATAACTCTAGGCTGGTAAGAGAAGTGGCATTCAAGGACTATCAGTTAACTTGGGCGTTTCTGACGCAGGTGGCTATGAGATCACACTTATGGGGACATCATCCATTGATAACAACGAGCTACACCTCGGTGAGGCTGGAGTTGCAGACACACGACCTCGAGATGTCGCCAGGGGTGAGTAATATAGATGTTAAACTTGCAAAACAAATAGAAAAATATATAAGCCAGCATCAATGATGAAATGCGTATATACATGTATAGGAAATATCTTAAGCGTCCCATTTTGTTCAATCTTCCGTATTCTGTAGTGGATTATCTCAGATCATCGCTGGATTGTTGTAACTTTTGCAGCGAAAAGTGAAAAAGTTGCATTTATAACGCAAACTATCGAGGCTAATTGGGTGATTTACAGGGACCGTTAGTTGTCGATTACACCGAATTTCAATACCTATCTGGTCAATAGCATTGTCCAATTCTAATTTTCCACATTTGATCTCTAATCGATTTTGAACGCTCTAGCATTCAATAATTTCCGTAAGGTACATAGCAATCAAGAAATAGCGTGCTGCCCAATAACTTTATGACAATACTGAGTACCTGATGATATCTACATTACCCTGGACATATTGGTTTCTGTTATTTCTAGCAGTGTTAACAGTGGTACGATCACCGTTTGTAGAGGCAAATAAGAAGCATGTCAATGATCGGATGCGGGTAGTGTGTTCTGGTATGTATTCCAAAGAAGCTAGAGGAGGAAAAGTTGATCCATTCATTGGATTTGATTTAGAGAAATTATATCCAACACAACACGACTATGAGCCTGGTGTCATTGCTGTAATATATGATTTTAGGGACTACCAACATATTGGTATTGAATTACCCAATGGTGAAGTACAATATGTGTGCGATGAATACTCGATTGGCAAAGGTCTCTGTAAAGAAAGTCAATTGAATCATTTCATTATTCAAGATGTAATATATGATCCGTTTTCGGACTCCACTAAGGGCTTGAGCAATGAAGTTCTAACATTTTCGCATAATTACTTGGGGAAACACCAATCGGTGTATCCTGTTATGAAGACCGGGTATTATTGTGTTAGAACAGCTACTATATCATCATCAATCAGATTTGATGTGGCAATTAATTTCAGAAATGCCTTTGGTAAAATAGATGCAGCTGAGATTGATAATATTAGACTATATGGCTGGCTCTCCTTGGGATACCTGGTGAGTATGTCTATGTACTTTTTCCAGCTCTGGAAAAACAAGGATGACTTATTACCGCTACATCGATATATTATGATTTTCTTCTCTTTTCTAACCATAGAAACTGTGTCAATTTGGATATATTATCTGTTAAAGAATGAAAAAGGTAATATAACTCCAACAAAAGTGTACATGGTGTTTATTTCACTAATGAGTGCCGGAAAAGCTTCTTTTACATACTTCCTTCTTCTGATCATTGCATTGGGATACGGCATCGTTTATGCGCGTTTGAATAAAACATTAGTCAACCGCTGTCGAGCATTTGCAATTTTGAATTTTTTCTTATACTCTGCCTACCTAATACAAAGTTATGCCCAAAACCCAGAGTCGACCTCAATCACAATTTTAATCACCGCAGTGCCGACTGTTTTACTAATGTTTGTATTTTTTTTCCTAATTCTAAGGGCGATTACAAAAACAACTTCATATTTGAAAGGTCAGAGACAGACGTATAAACTATCTGTCTATAATAGATTACTAATTGTGATCTATGCAACATTAGTGTGCATATTTATTGGTCTGATTTTATGTGCATTTGCCTACCTAGGTATGAATGCAATCGAAATAATTGAGAAGCATTGGATGATAAGATTTTACTTGACTGATTTTTGGCCATCTTTAGTTTACTTTTTTGCTTTCATATCATTTGCATATATATGGAGACCTACGGGTACAACATTCATGTTAACCACTTCACAGCAGCAGCCGGAGGAGCTCGAGAACGTTATGGGACTGGAAATGGATGATTTGGACGAATTCAGTGATGAATTTGACATGGATGATTATGCTGAATCAGAAACATCGGAGCATCGTGTTCATGGTATTAATGAGGCTGAAAGGCAAAACATTGATGACATTTTTGCTAATAATGAGCCAAATATGGATGATGTATTTAGCGATCAAAACGAGCTTCAGGATACGGATGTAATCTCTAATTTCTCCGGTCACAATTCAGATGAAGATTTGGTTCCCAACGCATCAAATACCAAACAATCTATTAATGATATTGCTAACCCAAAAACTCGGAAATGATTAAGTGGAAAGTAAAAGAAGTGAGAAAGTTGAAATTTGGTAATAACTATATGATATTTATTTATCATGATTCTAAGCATATACATCTATAGTTGTACTGGATAGATCTAAACTAGCATGAATTTAATTGATTTAAAAAAACGCACATAGGGCGCCAAAAATGAAATGTAAAAAAATATTAAACAATGTATGAATTTATAATAACAATATTACTCTATCAGGTCATCAATACGACTGATTTTTGGTCTAATACTCTTCTGACTTTGAACAACATGTAGTTCTGAAGGATTAGTTTCCTGCCATTCTTTCAGCTTATATGATTGGCCAGTTAAGTCCCAATAAATACCTCTGCATGTAGTGTAAATCCCATGACGACCTTCCCAGACTGGGAATACACAAACACAGAAAGCACTTATAAATATCCATATAATCATGACAACAACCCACCCTGTGAAGAAGCGCTTACTGAATATATACTTTGTACCATACATGGGCATTGGCCAAACGACCAAGAAAGCCAGTGCAAAAAATATGCAGAGGAAATAAGCCCAGTTAAGAGCTCTTTTCAATTTCTTTTCTTCTTGGGCATCGTATTCAGATAAGTTTTCTGTATCGATCCTATCGAGTTCGTGCTTTTCAGTGGTCTTGATATGAGTCACGGCGTCTTTCTCGTCTTCTTTGTTGTAATCGCTCTCGATTAAGGAGCCTTCAGATTCATGTGCGATTTGTGTTTTACTAATGATTGGTTCTATTTCTGGGTAAGCTTCCAGAATTTCCTTTGTTTCGTCAACCCTAGAAATTTCTTTAAATAGTTCCATGTCGTAATTCTGTGGTTTGAATAGAAATGTTAAAATAGGAATGAATATTGCTGGCGATAGTAATGCAACTAGATTACCCGTAAGCATGGGATAATCTTCGAATGATGTGGCAAGGGTGATTTCACCATAGAGTGACTTTGTACAAACTAGCCAAGACATTATAGCCAATGCTGTGCCCAAAATTGGTGATACGACAGCAGCAATTATATTTTGGCCTTTCCAGCAGAGAGTAAGTACCACGGGTAACACTGCACTACTGATAATAATCCCCATTAATTCATATAGGTAACCAAGATTGACACCAGCATAATATAATCCAACGGAAAATCCGCTCATACAAAGGCCAAATACAACACAAGCAAAATGAGAGGAATAGATAAGTCTCTTTCCATCAGCTGATGGATTTATATAAATCCGGTAGATGTCATAAGTGAAAACAGATGATACGGCGATTAGTTCGGCGGACATTGCAGATGTGACAGCCATGAAGACCATGAGGCAAGTTGCAACAGCACCACCCTTTCCCATCACTGAGACAGCTGCTGCAGGTAGTACAAGACCAGCGCTTACTTGCTCTGGTGTTAATGGATCAGGATATGTTGGAAATGATTTTAGTGTTTCAGTTGCTAGACATGCAAAACCCATGGTAACCGAAAGAAGAGCTGGAACTGCAAACCAAGCTAAACCACCCATTACATAGCCAGGTAGAGCGGCAGCAGGCGAAGCACTGATGGCTTTGTTCCAATATCCGTTATCAAGGAATACTGTACCAAAGTTTCCTACCAAGTTAATTATCAGGAAAATGCCACCGGACCTAGATGACATGGTCAGATATTCTCCTTGGGCGTTGTGTGGAACAGGGTGTCTTTTGGCGGCTTCGCGTACTAAATCATACACTTTACCAGGAGATCCTAGCACATCACTTGTCGCATAAACTTTGAATGCAAAAACCATAATAATAACTATGATGACACAAGTATGAATGAAATCTGTTAGAAAAGTAGCTTTAATTCCTCCAAATAAAGTATATATTACAACACCAACCGGTAGAAGGAAGCACGAAGCAACAGAATTCATTCCCGTCATACTTTCGAAGACAGCAGCACCTGATGTTAATAGCATTGCTGTAACTAGGATGTTTGTAGCAAATGCATAGAATAGATAGCAGCAGTGACCTATCTTACCATAGCGCTTCCTAACTAATTCCAAGTATGTGTGTGCGTTAGGAGCTTTCTGTTTTGTTTTAATTGCCAAGATGGCGAAGGCCACGATCTGAAAACAAGCACCTGCTGAATATGAGTAGCCACCAAGCATACCATCCAGTTGTTTTGATGCTGAAGTAAGCAAAGTTGAACACCATATCCAACTAGAGACGACAGCAGCGGCCACCAGTCCTGTTTTCACAGTTCTTCCTGCGGTAGTAAATTCTTCTGCAGTAATTATTTCTTTTTGATATCTTCTTAGCATATAAGTCGTAAGTATCATGCCGACAGCAAATACAGTTCCCAGTCCGAGAACAATTGCATATCCTGCACCTTGAGGTAATGGAGCCTTGAACTCGCCCATGTTGTTTATTGAAAGATTAGTTGATTGATCAGTTTTTGGTTTTTATTTCAGTTATTAGAGTTATTGAAAATAGCATGGAAATCAAACACTCTTGGCCTTTTTATATAGTTATGTGAATGATAATTCTTATACCAGCTCATCTCATCTCATTTCAATTGATTTTTTGAAAGTTATAACAATGGTCATACAAATTTGCAAAACTTTATGGTAAAGCAAGATAAGATAGCTATTAAAACGCAAATTTGTTAGTGAGCTCCGTAACGCAGATCATATCAACGTTTATTTTGTTGAAAATAAAATGAAAACCTTAACATGCAGGCATACCTGTCCAGTTCCTACCCAAGTGAATCATCGACTCGATAGAGGTGATATGCTGTTTAATTTTTGCAACAGCATTTCACATACAGTTTAGCAAACAAAATACCCTATAACAACGTCGATCTAAAACAGATGTAAGGTGGCAGATATGGGCTTCATATAGATGACATTGCATTAAAGAGATAATTTTCCTTTCATTCATTACACTATCTTCTGATAATGGGATGATATAACACCGATATGATTAGATAAGATCTTATCATTTTCCTATTTGGGATAGATAAGAAGAGATATTAGATGTAGATAAATCATCCCGTTCCCTGCGATGCAATTCAGGGTAGAATGGAAGAGCTAAGTGCAAGTTCCCGTCGGGATTTCTGCTATTCCTCTCTGGATCATTCTTCGGGCATATACACGGCATTCATAGTGAGCTAGTCCTGTCAAATGGTCCAGTCAGCCATTCGGAATGTGTTTAACAATTCGTCTGGTAACCTGATAGCAATGGATTCAAAATAGATCAAGATAGATCAAGATTAGAATCAAAGATAGGCAGCTTATCTAGTTTTTTTGATATCTATATAATTTTGGGAGAAGTATTATTCTTAGTTCGTCTTGTTTACTATGTCATGTGTTCCAGCATGCGTATAACTTCTTGAATATGGCTGGCTATGGCTGGCTATGATGGCCAAGAGGATGTTAGGAGACATGGTTTTACACTTTTTTGTGACTGCTATGACTAGCATCCTAACATCACAGTGTCTATGGAATAATATCCTAATTGGGTAATTTTTTGTTTCAGTTTTTTCGAAATTTTTTTTATGAAACGACAAAATTGATACTTAGCTGCTAGCGTGGACGTTCATCACATGTATTATACGTGCAAATGGATGACTCGGATTCCAATTTTTTTTTCAAAAAGTTTTTTTGCAAAAAGTCGATGAGGACAGTTTAGCTATACTTCAAGTAACTTGTATATTAGCGTTTAGAATTATGAATTAGTATAATCTTTACTTTATCTTGCTCTCTCTGTTTTTTTTTTATTCTGGCTTTAACTCACCAAGAACAACAAAAAGGTATATTCATAATGTCTGACATTCAAAAGGATAAGGTTCAAGAGCAAGAAGCTCCACAAATCATCAAGATCAGAATGACCTTGACCTCTACCAAGGTTAAGCAATTGGAAAACGTTTCTGCTAACATTATCAGAAACGCTGAACAAAACAACTTGGTCAAGAAGGGTCCTGTCAGATTGCCAACCAAGGTTCTAAGAATCTCCACCAGAAAGACTCCAAACGGTGAAGGTTCCAAGACCTGGGAAACTTACGAGATGAGAATCCACAAGAGATACATCGACTTCGAAGCTCCAGTCAGCATCGTTAAGAGAATCACTCAAATTACCATCGAACCAGGTGTAGATGTCGAAGTTGTTGTTGCTTCCAACTAAACAACTTTATTCAATCGTTGAATAATTTGATTTTTTCTCTCTTTACTAAATTCTCTTTTTTTTTTTTAAAAGAAATTAAAATGCGTTTGAAGTTGGTATTGCTCTGATTTGGTATGTGTATCGCGACATCTCTGTTAAATGGTTATTATAAGTTCGGGAAACGGACCACTCTAGGTAAACACAGTTCCATATACCTCTGTCTTACTATCAGTGGAAACTTCAAATAAAAAATCGTCTCTATGAACTGTAATGTCCATGATATATACATTCTGTTATCTTTGCATCATATTTTTAATATAATATATAAAAATTCTAATTTCATTTGATTTTTTAAATTTTTTGACGCCTCACCCAGTTAACTTTAATCTTTAGTTGCATGATTTGAGTCATGGGAGTATCTCAAAGGTGTACTATTATTATATACATATATACAAGGTTTATTTACAGTACAAACTACCTAGTTTTACCACCAGCTGCTTTGAACAACGCGATATCGTTTTCTTCCATGATATATTGCTTACCAACACGTTTGATTAATCCTTTTTTCTTAAGATATGATTCATCTAATGGAGGCTCTATATCTCTCAGAGATTCATAATTGATGATGTCCGCACTTATAAACGTCTCCTGCAAATCGGTATGAATTACACCCGCAGCCTCTTGTGCGTTGTTTCCTCTGCGAATGTTCCACTGTCTCACCTCTAATGGACCACATGTGTAAAAGCTGATCAGCCCCAGTAAGTGCTTCATTCTAAGTATAATGTCTGGTAGTGCAGTCCTCTTATCAGATGTGTTAATATCAGTACCTGCAACATTCTTACAATATTGTGCTAAACCAGACTTGTCATTATTTTTTGTGTATTCTAGGTAATTCTTCTCATATTCAGCACTAAAGTATATCAAATCATCGTTAGGTGAGTATTCTTTTAACCATTCTGTAACTTCTTTTGAGAAAGCAGCATTTTCTAGGGTATTTTGTGAATGTAGTTGTAAATACTCTTCGGGACTAACATTAAGTAAAGTTAATGATGGTTTAGCTGTCAAGAAATTATTGCGTCTCAACACTTTGATTTCATCCACATTCCATTTCTCATCTTCATTCTTAAAGTTGCTTATCCTCTTACCGTCATAAAGATGTTCTTCTAATTTACCAAGAAGCTCGATCTCGAAATTGTACTCCTGGTACTCTTTAGAGTTTTTAGATAGCATTCTAAGCTTTCTAGAGGCCTTTTCACGTACATTGTCAATGAATTCAAGGTCCTTAAGAATCAGTTCATCCTGAACTACCGATAAATCACGTACCGGATCGACATTTCCTTCAATATGTGTGATATTCTCATCCTTAAACCCACGTACCAGATTAAATATACCATCTACATGTCTTATATCGCTTAGAAACTTATTCCCAAGGCCATGACCTTCTGAGGCACCCCTAGTTAAGCCAGCTATGTCGTAAATTGTTAATGCAGCAGGTATAACTTTCCCACTCTGATAAAGTTTCTGCAATACTGGAAGTTCTGGAGATGGTATGGGTACTTTGGCAACTTCAGGATCTATAGTTGCGTATGGGTAATTGGCAGCGGTACCTAAGTGCGAATTCGTTATAGTTTGGAAGAAAGTAGACTTACCAACATTTGCAAGTCCTACTATCCCTGATGTTGGGTTATTGGTGACCTTCAAAGCATCCAGGATATTTGGCAATTTCATCTTAGCCTTCTTGTTAGTAGTTGGCTTCATCTTAAGCACTTGATGTCTCCCTTCTTTTCAGGTTAAGATCGCATCACCCAAAATGGGCGATTCAGAACAAAGTATAAAGTAGTCAAGATAGTTACAAAAACCTTAAGTTATAGGCCATAGCAGCCTATTAAGATCATAATATAAGCAATTGGAATTTTTGTTGTGTGTATAATGTATTTACTATTTTTACGAGAATGCGAATTGTGCGAATTGTAAGAACTTGAATTATAGCGTCAGTTCATTGAGTAGGAAAGTCATTCAGTTACCGTGAATGAAATCTTGGATGAATGGATCGACAATAAACAACTCTGTAAAGTGCAACTATACTCTTCTCTATCATCTTTCAATTTGGTGCTGAATCAGTATCTCATCTCATTATAGGCTTTCCAACTGGAAAAAATGCGAAAACTGAAAAATTATCTGCCAGACCAAATAAAAGCTTAAAAAGAGATGAGCACTGCGGGGGATCCAACTATGAGCATCCTTAAAAAATCATTGTTGTTGGCCAATAGAACTATAGTCATCTATTATTAGTTTGTTGGGATAATGGACGCCGAATTGCAAGCCTTAAGAGAAGCTCGTCTTGCTGAACTAAAAAGAGGCACATCTGATTCTAACGGCGGATCAAATGGAGGTGCTCCCCAGGAACGTATAGGATCCTCAATATCACGATTCTTGGAACCTGAAGCGCTTGAGAGGCTATCTAGAGTGTCATTGGTAAGGCCTGATCGTGCGCAAGCAGTGGAGAACTATCTTAAACAATTGGTATCTACAGGCCAGTTAAGAAACAAGGTCAGCGAGAAGGACATTGTACAAATCCTTGATGGTGTCGCTAGAGAACAAAACAAGAAGAACGAAACCAAGATCATATTTGATAGAAGGGAAACTGTTGAGGACGATGTTGAACTAGAAGATGATGATGACTTCTTTGACTGATGCCTCGCCCATACATTGTCTATGATGAATTTTCCTCTAGCTCCTAGCACATTTTAACCAATTCCTTGTATAATAAATATGACTATTCTAATAAAATGCATATGTCTCCTTCTAATCTGTCTCATAATCGATCAGGGGAGTGAACACCTTTTGAGGCTGTCTACAATATCAATATGAGTCAAGATTATAATGGCTATCAAGATGGCTGCCTCCATATATTGTATTTCGCCTTTCACAGTTAGTACGTGTGTTTATACTATTCTCTAAAGAAAAAGAGAACTCCACATTTCTATAATAAATTTAATAGGGTTGATTTACTATTCCTGCCATTAAGCTTTCAATAGTAGATAATGGGCATACTACAAGAACTTCGGATCCCCCGTTTCTTTCTCCCTACCAAACTCATATAACGAAGCCATACCTGCCTCTCCACTCCGTGGTCTCTTCATGTTCTGGCAGACCCAGAATGGTGGTAGTGAGGGCATTAGTGTGTAAGGGGGTATTGTGAATTAGGAGGTGTGAGATGCCAATGTTGCTTTGACGTATAGAACCGAGTTAGAGAACTTCGACAGCTCTGAATCAAAACGTTCTCATCTTCATTTTTATCCTCTTTGTACTCCCTAGAGAATCCCCTTTCGGGTAGATTGTGCACCGTGATGACAAGCCCAGCATAGTGATAACAATACTACGACCACCCATGATGTCATTATTACAGTCCCTAATAGAAAAGGATTGCTTTTTCTATTATTGCTTTTGTGAAGCAGGTTCGAGGTTTCTAATTCACAATTCGAAATCAAATAAGCGATGCCTCCGGTCTCAAAGAATGTAATAGATAGCGGAGAGGATTCCAACGCCCAGAAGGAAATTTGATCAAAGCAACACCCCACCAAGTAGGCACCCAGCAAAAAAAAAGATTCATACTATCCAAGTAATATACATTATGCTATGTAATATATATGTGTAACTTCTTGCTATATAATATATATGTGTAACTTCTTGCTATATAGGTAAAGCTGGGTATACTTTTTCTCGAAACTGCAGTAAATCCTCAATCCGCTACCGCAAAATTATTCCCGGACTCCGAATATATAAAGGTAAAAGGTTCATCTCAGGGAAAAAAATTTTGGAAAGAAGTAATAGTTGAGAGATGCATAGTGCTAGCAGGGTGTTGATGCAGATGGAGCGTGACAAGATGGCGTTTAAAGTTCCTCAGATGAAGCCACCGCAGATTAATGTTAGCGATGAGCCCCGTAGTGTCCTTATGGATGTGCCTGTGCAGGCGAGTTGCAGCACTCTCAGGGCTGGGGGATACAGGAACAAAGTGAAGTTGGCACCTGGACATAGTGCACTGGACTGGCAAGAGATGGTCAGTACTAAGGGTAAAGCTGGGAAACTAATCACTGGAATAGACAGTATAAGAGAAGATCCTAAGGTTCTTGAACATTTTAAAGAGGTAAACTCGCCACAGAGCTTGATCCAGCTGGAGAGAGGAGTTCCTACTTACGCTATTAGGCCGCCTTTATGCATAGATGCACATGAGCTAGCACGCCATAATACTGCAGAGGACTGCTGGACTGTCATAAATGGTAAAGTTTACAGCATCTCGTCGTATTTAAGTTTCCACCCTGGCGGTGCGAAGATTTTGATAGATAAATCGTCGGGACAGGACTCAACAGTGCTATTTAATAGGTATCATAGATGGATCAGTGTTGAGAAAATGTTAGAAACTTGTTTGGTGGGTGTTTATGTCGGATGAAGTTAAGAAAACGAATTCAACAGTTTTTTAATACTACGATAGGTGAAGAGGATTGGTGAAGGAGAGTGTCCTAGGTTTGCATTTATTTATTATTATATTTTTATTACTCGAGGAAGGATTGTCATATAGTTCTTTCTTGGTCATTAATTGTTGGTCTCACGCATCTTTTGTTATAAATACATTTGGGAATCCCACTATAAAAGTACTACCAGTAGTTGGGTTAACGAACTAAGCATTCTATACATTTTATATTCAGTATTCATAAGTCTTTATTATTACATTTTGAGAAGCAGTCATTTGAACATATATGACAAATTAGTTTTGTGAACTTTTGACGATTAATTGTATTTCCATAATTTATAATATTATCATACAACTTATAAAAATAGTAGCACAGTAGTAATAATAGCTAATCTAAAATGAAGTGAAAACCCTTCTTATAAAATGTGAGAAAATAACAGTGAGCACTTGTTGAATATACAAGAGACAGTTGATTGAGATTACAATTTAAAGTTTTGCAATTTCCTTTGAACTTCTTGTTCCCAGCTAGATTTGTTTTCGGCATAGCGATCATAATATTTCTTCTTTTCGTACTCTCCTAGCGATTTCCACCTTCTTCCAATGAGAGAGGCCAAATCACCAAAACTTAGGGATGGGTTTTGGCTCTTGATCTCCTCACGAACTTCATTCGAAAACAAAAGGAATGGTGATAGCGGCTTCTTAGGTGGCAGCATGGCTTCAAACTCTTGTTTCTTGGTCTTATATTCCTCTAGAGCTTGCTGAGTTTTCTGGAAGTAGGGTTCCTTCTCGTATTCAGACAGTTGTCTCCACTTCTCACCCAGAACTGCAGAGATCTCTTTCGTCGATAGTCCGGGGTTCTCAGCCGTTGCATTAGCACGCTCTTGAACTGTGTACAAAATGAAGGCGGCAGCAGGCCTCTTTGGTCCAAACTGCTTGATTAAGTCCTTCCTGCTAACACCACTCTTAGCATCCTTATCCTTTCCCTTAGCACCTTCAGCGGTTTTGCTCCAAACAATGGGCGAAGTCTGCAAGAACCTCACACCAGCACTTCTGCTCACCCCACGTATCAAATTCAATGCCAACATATCTTGCAAAATTACTCGATTATCTATGAATCTTTTGCCAGTTGTGAATCTTGTACCATTCAAGATGAGCTAGCTAGGATCCTTATTTACTCTGAAATATTTTGGTGTTTCGGGTTTTGTTCCAGCGAACGGACCTTCGAAAGTACAGCCATTATGGTAGCCAGGGACTGTTGGAAGAGATTCGGAACACCCAGAGTGATTGGTAACAATTATCAGCTAATAATCAGAACTTCCAAGTAGTATTATATATATGCTTCTGGCTTGGCAATAAGCATTTCTGATACTGTATTAGCCCTGGCATGCCGTCAATACCGAAGGCTCAGCCCATATCATCAGCAACGCTTTTAAGCTTAACGAGTTCCGGAGGTGAAATTTCCTGGAATATAAAGGCTACGCAAGTCAGTTCGGTATAGTTGTAGATTAAAGATAGTGGGGGCACTTTTGTATATCCCCGACATAGAGAGTTGATAATTGTTAGATAATTGAGATACTGAGAAGATAGCAATGGCATTGGGTATCACGCAGTTTATCAATATTGCGGGTCTGTTGAAGGACTTGAAGAGTTTCAACTTCAGTGTCTACGGTAAGTGGTTTGGGTACATTAACATTTTCCTTTGTATAGCGCTTGGTATTGCGAACCTGTTCCACGTAAGCGCAGTTATAGCGTTTGGAATAGTCGGTATTGTCCAAGGTCTGATTATATTGTTCATTGAGATTCCATTTCTGTTGAAGATATGTCCCCTAAGCGACAGGTTCATAGAATTCATAAAGAGGTTCGAGACCAATGGATACAGATGCATCTTCTATACTTTAATGGCTATAGTCCAGTATTGCTCATTGGCGGTAATGACCACTAGTTTACTGGTCCTTGGTATCACTTTGACCATCTCCGCAGTGAGCTACGGTATTGCATTCACTAAGCACCAAGAATTTGCAAACACTAATATAATCAAGAACCCAACTGATGAGGACTTCCCTCATGATGCAGTGGTTAGAGAAATGTTATGATATTGAAAACCCTTGGCTTTTACTCTGTTAAAGCTTGTAACAGTCCATATGTAATAAAATAAAAGTAACTAAAATAAAAAGTATAACTACATTCCTAGATAATTTAGAATAATACGACGATATTTTCTTTTCAAATGTCACTTTGGAATTTGAAGTGGTACTGCAGTTATCATTTGTACAAAACATAAAATGTTGAACAAACGTTATGAGCCTTACACCATGATTCCTTAATCTTCAATAAAAAAGGAATTTATCCTTTCTTTTTTTATTTTCTAACCCTCCTTATATAGCTCCTAAATAGATATTTAATAAGTCATAACTTATCAATCCACTGGCAGGGGAACTTGTTTTCCTTTGCAAATACTTGTATAATACTTATCTGTTTTCTCTCACCATAATTACATAATGTTTTTTGTCTCTCCTCCGAAAGGCACACCATTGTGCATCTCGCAGGCAAGTGAGTGATAATGAAAATAAAGAAAGAAAAAATATTTTCTCGAAACTTTGTAGGCCGATTTGGTAGTATGGACTACCTTGTATCGTACTTTCTATTTGTACTTTGTTGATGACAAGTGAAAACCAGTACTTTTAGTACTTTTTTCTTAGTTTTCATGGTGTTTACTATATACATTCTACTGCAATTATCTAGAGGAAAAAACTTCCTTGTCTATCGCAAGGTCCTTGTTGTGTGCCTTCGAAATAGTATGGTGTCCACAACGTTAATGAATTAACGTAGAAGCCAAGCACTGAGTATAACTTGATGTACAATATTTTCCAACTTGGAATCTACATAAGCTCTTTGATCCATTTCCTTGATACAATTATATAGCTTCAACTTTTCCTTAGATTATAACTAATTCATTTGCTTTTTTTTTTCGATTGACTTTTTTAGACTTATTGGTAAACTGCTCTGTTAAAAAAATTTAATGAATGTGCTGGTGCTATTGACAGTTGGTCTAACTATGTGCCTATTAATTTTTTCCTTTTTTCTTTTTCCCGCAAATGTTTCCCAAAACTAGTGAATATATATATTGCTTTACATCAACGTTTTGAAAAATTGACAATGTAAATGGTATTTGTTACTGACTCTAATTATCAAAGCTACCTTAATTAAGAATTTGCAACAGCAAAAAAATATACTTGTACCATTATAACTCAGTTTAGAAGTTTATTGCCCACAATTAGCCTTGGGATAGTCATGTCGTCAAAAACAGGTTAGCTTATCTCATTTTCTTTTGACAGGATAACTTAGCATAACGATCAAATGTGTTGGACTGAAGTTAAATCGATGGCTGCTTGCAGAAATCAATTTCTTGATAGACATGTTATACTGTGTCTTTGCCTGATGCGAACGATTGTATACTATCTGGCGTGGCTCACAATTATTGAAGTACTTGTAAAAAGTGGGAGGAAAAAGGTGCGTGGGCAACAACATTAGGAAAAACAGGCAACTAGTTTGGTGCCTTCTGTCATCGCCAGGAGATAAAGGCAACTGCTGCAGTTATGGTAACCTTGATTGTCTCCGACAATGATATCAATATCCAAATGAACTCATACCTTTTGCGCGCCACATCTAGTAATTAAATGCCTGTCTACACCACTTGGCACTAAATAAGAACTCTGAAATATCAAGCCAAGATCCATTGTTCCTCAGAGATGTTTTCTGTTCTGGCAATGTAAGTCAGAAATCCTTCAATAATTTTAGTTCATTGTTTTTTTACTATTTGGAGATGATATCAATTTGATGTATGTTGGTATAATTGAGAATGACGCTATGCTCATCGGCTTGAGCGGACCCGGTTACTAATTGGTTTGCTATGATTAGACATTCACATACATATATCTAGCTGAATCGATAGTTGGTATCTTTTCCGTCTGATAAACGTCGCTACAGGATTGCTATTTTTATGCGAACTTTTGTTTTTACTCCACGTTTCTTTGCGAGTCATAGCCAAAATATTTGGCCTCTAATATACCGAATTGTTGAAAGCATTTGAAATCATTAATGGTGACGGAGTATTTGTCATTTTTCAACTCCTTTACCTCTATTGTCTTGTGAGATAGAATATCAGTGATGCAACCATGTCTGCGCAGTACAGTCAAACGGCGCTATTCAAAACCAACAGAACAGGCATTCATAAAAAAAACCTAGATGCTATTAGTATATGAACATGTTATCAAGTTGGTGTTTGCTGATAAATGAGGCTAATTATTTGCCTTGAATATTGGTCACATAACACAACACATATATCAAAGGTCATGACTTTAAATTCCAGAATGTAATTTTGTGTTGGACAGCATATTGCATATTATTTTGATAGTGATAGCTGTGTTGTGGCTTCTTATACTTAACACTTCTTTGATGGAAAGGATAGAGGCAATATTCGGCATATTCACCAACAGTACATGGTTAAAATATTATTGCTGACATGCACAAAAATAGGTAGATATACTAATCGATGTTTGTTCGTGTTCACTTGAATCAAACTTGAGAGACTATCAATCTGTGCAGATTTAGTCTACGCTCATTGGCAAACAAATGTTAGGGATTGCAATGTTATCAAAATTGTATTTTTAGCATTGTAAAGAAATAAACCGAGCGGTAGTTGTCATACTTTCAACTAACTATTTGGTACTTTACCTTTATGGTAAATTGAGTTTGGGTTGATTCTAGTGGTTGTTTCTCAAGTTTAAGGTGGAAAGAGCTCTTAAGTAAATTCTATCATTTCCGCCATAAACTGAAAATATAGTGCTATCAACTTTCAATGATTGCTCCTTAATAATTCACAATTCGTTGAAGTCTATGATTGGCTTTAGGCCATTTGGGATAGGTATGTCATTTTAAAAATTGCCACTTATCAAGGAATAATTCATAGGTCTATGGGTACATTTGTGTTTGGTTTATGGCAAGTATATGCTAATCCAAATGGTAGTCGAGTCAAATGGTAGTAGTCATGTGAGATGAAACGCTTGCAGATACTTTAATTGTCGTAAAACTGAGAGGACAGCGTTATGGTTGTATTTGATTTAGTACTCATATTGTGAGAAATCCAAAAATTTTCAGATTTTGCATTCATATTACAAAATTTGAATAATCGGCCACATCCTATGGATTACAAATGCGTTAACGAAAATATCATTTGAATTGTTCCTAGTGATTTTATTTATTTGCTTGGTTATTCCATAGGACTTATTGACTTCAGGATTCTAAGATCCTTTTCTCGTTGTTGCGTTAATAAAAAATTGCACATCAATATCGAGCAGTTGCTTATATGAATGTAAGTTTTACACGATGCATTAATTTGATCTTTATGATAGAAATATTATAAACTTTAAAAAAGCATTTATATGATTACAACATAATTCTTTGAGGCTTTTGACTCATTGAGAACTAAAATACAGTGGGATTAAAATATTACAATAAGCCAATACTTGTAAAAAGTATGGCAGTCTTAATTAAAAAAATGCGATATTATTCAGTTTCGGTAGAAACTAAGGAAATGAAGATGATTTAACATATACCTATTCCAGAGGTACCAGTTAAAGTTCAATTGTGCTTATCGATCACAGTATTTAAGATATTCTTCAGCTCATCTTTGTTGAGCAAGCCTTCATGGATAAGTGTTTTTGTATCTGGGTATTCAATTGTACCATCGATTTGTTTACTTAACCTTTCGAGTATTGGCCAATTGAATCTCATGTTGCGAGAGTTGATTTCTTGAAGAAGATTGGGGACATGTTTCAGCTTCATATGTTGAAGTAAGTTGTCACGTCTCTTATGGCGACTATTACACCATGGACATAAGAAATGTCTTTGCTGTGAATGTGAAAGCAAATGCCTCTTTAGCCAAGATTTACGTTTGAACAATTTTGGGCATAAATGACACCTATGAGGAAATGCCAGAGAGGATACCTCTATTTTTTCTCCCTGGTTACCGAACATCATCTCGTTCGTAACTCCTAACTGAGTAGTGAGAGATGGATCCGCCCGGGGCAGTAAATAATTTGTTTGGCCCAAAATTGGATGCGAGTTAATTCTGGATACAACATTATCTGATACTGTTTTTGGTTGCTCCTGCATAACATATGTGTAATTTGGATTATAATAAACTCCAGCACTTCCTATAGGTGGACCGATTGGTGCTCTAGAGGCATCGGCATTATAAGATATGGCATTATTCGGTACACTTCCTAAGCGATTGTCCGCGTACACTACTTGATGAGCCAATGGTGGTGTATTTTCCGAAGAATTGAACATGATCTGGTTACCGAAGTTAGTCTGTTTATCCTGATCCAGCTTTACATTTGCAAATTTAGACTGTGTATGAGATGGAATGATAGGTAATATTGATTGCAAAGGTCTTTGAAATGATGCACCTTTTTGATTCGGAGTCAATTGATGAATATTTGATACCGAAAGCCTAGGTGTGTTTTCAGGATGAGTGTTATTACCATAACTTACCGACGGTGATGCTATCTTGGCCTGATTTGTTGTTGCTGCTACCAGTGTGCTTCCTGAATATGATTCTGTAGTATTTGAATTGCTTGCCAAGAATGGTGGGCCGTGAGCATGCCAAACATACGAGACACCTTGCGGTAACGGAGCCGTATTTGCATATAGATGAGTATAATCATGAGATCGGTTAGGTGCATCAGGTGGTGTACCGACAAAATAAACTTGACCGGCTGTATTGCTATTTCCAATTCTCTGACGTAAGGAATTTGACCAGTCATATGGCATCTTTGATCCGTTATATTGGTAGTGCTGCGTTACAGGATGAACCTGGGACCCAGTTGTGGTGTATAACCCTGGTTGGCTTGTAGTATCTACAGCTGAGAGGTCGAGTCCTTTTGGCGCCTGCGCCTGATGATCAAAATTATTTGATATCTCGAGGGAACTTTTTTCTTCCTTTCTTAAAGAGTGTTTGGCAACAGTAGTGTCGATATTACCATTTGAGCTAGAAAGAATGTGACTAAGTCTGGGATCATTTTGCCCTTTGGTAACACTTGTGTTCAAGGCATTATCCAATGCATGGTCATTGTTATTCACCATCGCCCCTGAACTACCTTCGCTGCTATTTGACAGACTTACAGTTGAATTTCCAACTCGCGGTACAGGATTAGTTTTTGTCCATATATATCGCACACCTTGGTTCAAAGCTGGTTGTACAGCTTTAGGTGTTAAGTTGTTATTTTTTGAGTATTTGTCAAATGCGTGTTGTAAGTTTTGTCTCGCAGATTCAGTTTCAGTACCATTTATTGTTGGCAAATTTCTCTGATATGGGACTTCTTGCTGTTGAGATTTAACTCTACTAACGTTCTCGCTAATAGGATACAACTTTCTAATTGAAAATGTATGTTCTCGATCTGCAACAGCTATTTCATTTGCTTTATTACTGGACCCTAGATGGTTGATTGGAGCAGCATGCCTTCCTCGATCCTCCTCTACAGCACTTGACGGATTGCAGTCTTCAGAAGCACCGTCCTTCATCAGTTACTAAGGAAGCAATGTATGTTCCTTAACTAGCTGTTGTAAACTTCAACACAGTGTTCCGTAATATTTGTACTTTCCGCAAGAATTTGGCAATCCTTACTTTGTCCAGGCCAGAGTATCACCGACTTCTCAAGAAATTAAACTTTTTTCTTTTTCGCTCGCTGCGATCTTTGTAAATAGGACCTGAGGGAGTGAAAAAAAACTGACTTAATCTTTTGGAAAGGACAAAACAAGCACAATCACAAAAAACTTGGAGAAGAAATGCGAGTTGGTTGTTGGCAACGTTATTTCTTTCACTTTTGATTATTATCAGGGTATTGAAACCGTATCTTAAATCTTCAGAGACTAATATAATGCCGAATGCAGAATTACTTAATCACTTATCAGTGTAAACAACAGATTAATAGGTCTATTGTTCAGTTAAGATGTAATGATGTTTGAAGGAAATTCTCTCCAATCTATTAAGTTATGTTTCTTTGAGGGTAGCTCAACGAAAAAATTCTATCGAAGAAAGAGTATGTCACTTGGAAAGCCAGAGGTCGTTTTTTCCTTTTGGCCCTTTATCTCTAATTATGACAATGCCAAGTAAATAAAATTTCCTGTGAAATGGATCCGTTAGATGCAAATAAAAAACAACTTTACCAAAACTTTAACTTGAACGAATCCAGTTATGAAAGCTAACTGGATAACAGATAACTGAAGAATGAAGTAATGGCACTTGATAGACGTTTATCACGGTAATGTGTTATTGACCGTGGTGCTGGACAAAGGTTATATCTATGAAATAACGTTCTCACTGTCTTCTTTCAATATGCAAGGAACAAAATAATCAAGAGTACTTTGTTGGTTGCAATTTGAGGGTTGTGAGCTTCTGATTAGTTGGCTTATTACAGTACTTTCCTTATGGTTATCTCTTGTTATTCCTGATTGTTTGCAGCCTGTATTCTCGCAAGGGATTCTAGATTGGAAGAAGTATGAGTTGGTGAGTAATGTGTATTTCAAAATATGCGCACAATTTGGTTGTAGTGTATGAGCTGATCTTATGTACAATCTGAGAAGTTTCTTGGAGAGTGGAAAGGAATTGAATTGTTGGAAGTAAAGTTGACAACTTTGCAAGTGCTAGAATTGGTATTTTTATGGAGCTATAATTTAGCAGTCTCTTTTCTTTTTCTTTAAGTAACGAATGTAAACTAACAGATGTGAGGGATCACCTTTATTGGTATGTGGGAAACCTCGATGTAGCCACGGTAGTATTGAAACTATATTGTAGAGAAGGCTTGTTCTGAAATGAGTTCTTGTTGTTTATCCACTATAGATTGATCCCACGAGGAAGGAAGTTTTTTTAAACTTGATTGCTTTTGTGAGTAAGAGTAGTAAGTATGAATCTCTTTCTTTCTTTTCTTGGGTGAGCGGAATGTCAAACGTCAAAAGATTGCCTATCCAAAGTTGTCTATTTTTTCTGCAGATCCTTGATTTGAAATGTAAAAATATCTTCTCTTTAGTATCAAGTATTCACCTAATACAGGGGAATCCAGGTTAATAGAAGAAGTGTTGTATGTTGGCAAAAGTAGATACGGAGTGTAGTCTTTGTATTAGTAGGAATACAACTGCGCCAATGAGCAAAGCGGATCTTTTCTAAAGTAGGTAATAACTTTGAGAGAGTGTGTGTGTGAGTTTTTGTGTGAAAGATAGAAAAAAAAGACGGTAGTGCTCTTCAAGAAGATGAGACCAGAAATCGGCTATTAAAATATGAAAAATTGATCTCAGCTAAGAACAAGAAACTATATGTTAGCAAGAGAGCAAGAAATAAGATTAAAGGGAAGTTCAAGTAGCATAAAGGGAGTAAGATTAGAAAAGGGAAGTTTTGATGCTGAGAAATCATAATTGATATATATCAATTTTTTTTTTTGGATTCTTTTTGTAGATTAAAAAAAAATAAAATTAATACAGAAGAGTAATAAGGGACAAAGTAAAATTTTAACTTTATTAGCTAAGAACTCTGGGAGAGGGATTTTAATTTGCTGGATGTAAGATAGTTTAAGAAAGGGAATCTTTCTCAGTTTTTTAGTGGTCTTTTTTGAGACGAGTAAGGTGGGAGGATTGTTCTCTTCTGTAAGTTGGCGAGTGTGTATGTTTTTCCCACTTGAATGTTTTGTTTTTCCCTCTACTGTTCTTCTCTAACCGAGTATAGCAGGGGAGAAAGGGAAAAAGTATATCTTTAAATTACAAGAAAGAAAGAAAAAAAAATCTATTGTTGCAATTGTTCTCGGGAGACAACAAACGAGAGCAGAAGCCTAGATGAAAAAGAAAAAACCACTTTGATCGACGCTATGTACGTGTTGTCAAGGTGTTTAGCTTTTTTTCCCAGCTCTCCCACAACACTTTTCGTTGGTTATTTCTGTGATTTGATTTTTTACGCAAATGGAAATGATCCCAATTTGTGTATGAAGAAATTACGTTTGTTAGGCATTTGTGTTTTATCTTCATTTTCTTTTTTTCACCAGCTTTTCTTTTGAGTAATCGAAACATTGAAAACACTGAAAACATTGAAAGCATTGAAAGCTTCTATGCCGGGTATATGGTTGTTCTGTGCTTCATGATCTTCTAGCAGGGACAAAGAAAAAAGAAAATTGTTCTGAGAAGATAATGATATGATGGGCATCTCTACTGCACTGTCTACGCTATTTGTCTACTTTACTTATCTTTTATGGGGAGCGTATTCCAGCTGATTTTGTCCACATTATTTACATCGAGATGTTGTGCAGATATTACTTAGTCCATACTAAGCATCGATGTTCAAGTAGGGGAGGGGGGTAGGGGGAGGAAGGAAGGGGAGGAGTATGAAATTCTCAGTGGGTGGCAGAAATCCCACAGTAATCTGCTACATGTACGGAACAGCTGCAAGGAAACATGTACCAAAAATGCAGAGAAACGAGTCGGAAAGAAACATATTCTTATTGCAATCACAGAGAACATGCCGTAGAGCACTCGCAAAGAATTTTTTGATCTTCTCTCTCTTTCTCATCTTTCTTGTGACTTACGTCTTATCTTGTTCTCACGAATATCGGTAGCTAGTTGTAGAGTAAGTGTATTGGTTTAGGTGGATGAGAGAACAAAGTTAAGAAGGGGTACACTCCCTTCGCAATTCCTATGAGACAAAGACAACATCACTGCGGACAATTGATGTGATTCCCTTGCAAAGAAATAGTTGTTGTAGGTAATAGCTAAAAGTTGCTAATAGGAAAAGAATGGCCGGGCAAGAGGTAAGATAAAATACTCCCTAGTCTCCATTTTTTTACTTCAACCCGAGACGAGACAGAAAGTTAATTTGATTGGCATGCTTTGCTTATACCATTTTCCATAATTGGGAACTCTTATTGTGGGTACACGGAGGATGAACGGATGTCGTTAGTTTTACTAATGGTAGAAGATGAGTAAAAGACATCCTGCAACTGTTTCTATGGTACACATTCCAAAATAAACCATAAATTCTACCTGAGTTTAGATAGCAGCGAAGCTCGAGAAAGAGTATGATACGGGAAAGACAATTGGAAGAGGAGGGACAAAGATGAACACTGCGCAAGGACAATGGAGCAATAACAGCGTAAGACGGACGTTGGCAGGCAGATCCACGAAAGTAAAAAAAATTGAAAAAAAAAAAGAATAACAGGATAGGTTCTTGTGTCGAATGTATAGCTCTTAGAAATCAGCGCAGCAGTGATTCAAATATGACGTTCGTACGTTGTCAACACATACAGAAAAGAAAGTGAATACAAGAGAATTTTGTTTGTTTAGCTGCGTGATTCTCATGAGAATCTGAACATGGCATATAGGAGAAGATGCCTACGGGATGTTTCGAGTACAGTGGGTAACTTGGTGAAGGATTGGCTCTTGCTGAAGCTAACAGCAGGTATTGTGTGCTATTATCGACTAGGGTAAGAAAGGGCGTAGGCCTTAGAGTATGGCGTACAACCGGACAAAGGATTTGCCCACCGTCCATTGTGTGCGGGTAGTGTTTGAAATTCTGCTTGAGTTAAATGTGATTGTCGATTGTACAGCTGTTTCTTCCTGCTCACTTTGCTTTCCTACAGGCGTTGGTCTAAGGCTTGGAAATTTGACAGGGCTGTACTAGCCACCATATAATATGCTCTACTACAGAAAGCAAAGATTCGCGAAGAGGAAAACTTAATGAAACAGTTGATTACTCCTAGTTCTAATGTTATTGGAGCTTAACCTCTTGGCTAGATATAAGAGGAGGCAGTGTTTTTTTTCTTTTAAGAGGGAGCAGTGACGAAATGACAGACTAATTTGTCTTAAGTTTGACTAAAGATGAAGTCGTTCGCTGACAAATAAGAAAGGAAAAACACAACCTTTATGAAGATATTGTATTTGCAGTTGTAGTCAATACGGGACCCATTTTCAGCGCATCATAAAGATTTGCTTATTTGCTTAAACTGAGGGATATAATTGTGAATCTCATTCTTGAATGATTGGTACTACTAGCATACATTCAAAAAGAAAAATTCTGCTAGTCCTCCTGATGTTTAATCCAAATAAATATCCCCTCGAGTTAGGTAATTTTCATGCTCCCAATCCTAGGAATCCAGAATCCGGCAAGCAAAGTAGCAAAGGTAAAATGGTAGCTATCATTACATCACACTGTAGAAACTCAGCGTAAAAAATATAAAAGTATAGCTTAATGTTCTTTGTGTCTATAGGCGTAACAGGTACGAGGTTCGAAAGCATTTCTCAAAGACATTGTTTAGCGCTGCAACAGCTTCTGAGAAGGGTCTTAAATAAAGACAAGATACAATACTAAAATTACTAGGCATTTTTACTTAGGGTCCTAGAAATTCCTTTATATTTACAAATATATGGGCAGAAAAAAGTGAATACAAAGTACTACAAACAGAAGGTTGTTTGTTACATAAAAAAACACGGTGAATTGACAGTTAAAGGAAAAATAAAATCATTTTAGTAGTAGTGCTGCTTGGTAA